CTTCTCCGCTCCGCTCCTAGTCGGCCCAACGCTAGTAGCTCTTACTCCCCGACCCTCAGAGCGGACCAAAGTGGTCCAATTGTCCTACCATCGGACAACGTTGGACTCACTCCAAATTCAGGGCACGTACTCGGCTAAGGGCGCAGCGCAAGAGCTGAAGCCAAGCCCCGACCCCTCTGCTTCCTGAGTCGGCACGGTATCTAACAGTTGGTGTTTGGTGTGCTCTGGACTTTGAAGCATGGGATAGGGACCACACAACACTCACTGAGCATGGATAAAGCTTTGTCTGTGTTAGGTACCGTGCCAACTCAAGAAGCAGAGGGGTCGGGCTTGGCTTCAGCTCTTGCACTGTGCCCTTAGCCAAGTACGTGCCCTGAATTTGGAGCGGGTTCAACGTTGTCCAACGGTAGGACAAGTGGACCGCTTTGGTCCGTTTGGAGGGTTGGGGAGTCAGAGCTACTAGCAGGCGGGCTGACTAGGAGCGGAGCAGAGAAGGCGGGGAGTGATGCGGAGGGTGGATAGGAGCAGGGGAATGTTTGGTAGGGGCGGGGAAGGCAGAGGATAATGTAGAGGGACAAGGGAGGATAGTTGATAGGGGTGAAGTATAAGGGGAAGACTTAGAGCACGGCTCTAAGTCGGAGTGGGGGGTCGGAGGGTCAGAGGTGACAGCAAGTTGAGACTTGTGTCCAGAGGAGGCAAGGTTCTACTGAGAATTCTCACAGGATATAACTGCGAAAAGACAAGTAATATTAAGACTGAGGAAAATATCTAAGTACATGATATGTTATATACTACTATGTATGAGGCAGTGACCAGGATAACTATGTTGTAAAGCTATGTACCAAGGATATAGTTTGTAAGTGTTTTACCCAGGCGAAGACATAAGTCGGAGCGGATATCAATATGTACGCGTTGGATCAGTAATCGAGCGGTAACAGGAATTACCAGTCATCTGGAAGTAAGGGTCTATGTACCAAAGGGGAAAATATCTATCTAAAAGGGGAAAGAGGTCCAGTTGAATGGAGAGGTTTATGGAAGGGGGCCGGTTGAGCGGTTGAGCGGAAGTGTAGGGCAGAATGCAGGCTTGTGATAGGATGGAGCAGAGGATGGATGGAGCGGAGAGGGTCGGAAAGCAGAGCAGATATCAATATCGGAGCGGTTGGATCAGGTATATGACAGTCTGGTGGATCAGTGCAGCTGTACAGGGGAGCAAAGTCTGTGGTTCCCCATTTTCTTTCCTGCTGCGCTGACGCAGAGTCACTTGTCCCTTGATGCTGATTTGTTTCCTACCACCCACCACTCAGAAGTATTGTCCATGTTTGAGGGACCATGTACCGGTACTACTTGTTTAAGGTCCAATTTCAGCAGAACACGGCTGCCAATTATGTTATCAATGAATGCAACAACCATTCGGGAGATGCATCCGATGAGGGCATCCACCATCAATGAGTTGTGCTCGAGCTCTCATACCCTTGCATGTGTTTCTGAATCCGCATGCTGTTAGGTACGTGCTGACTCAGTAATAGGAATTACCGGTCATCCGGAAGTAAGGGTCTATGTACCAATGGGGAAGGTATATATCTAAAAGGGGAAAGAGATCCAGTTGAATGGAGAGGTTATGGAAGGGGACCGGTTGAGCGGTTGAGCGGAAGCATAGGGCGGAATGCAGACTTGTGATTGGATGGAGCGGAGGATGAATGGGGCAGAGGGGTCGGAAAGCGGAGCGGATATCAGTATCGGAGTGGTCGGATCAGGTATATGACACCAACTCGCTCTGCCCAGAGCGTCATAAATAACACTCTGAGGTGTATAATGCAACACACCTTGAGATGGTACCCTTGAAGTCTTTATTGTGATGAGGGAGACATGGTGGAGGTTGGATTCAGGTAGAAGACAATTGGAGTAAGGAAGATATATGAGGTTTCTGGTAAGACCCATTGGGACTATTGTTCGCCCCAATTATTCTTGAATCTCCACCACGATCCACTTATGTGTCAGCAAATTAAAGATGCTTCCAAAAATCAATGTCATGAGGGTACAGCTAAGGATATGACATTATAAGGCATGCTGAAATCTGGGGTGGGGAGGTTGACAAGGAGCGTCGGGGTATAAATTCTCTCCCAATCATAAATTGAAGAGGTGTCATTCATCTATTGAGGGAGTGGGGAAAACACGGCCCCTGGTAGATCACAGCCTCTCTGTTAGGTATCGTGCCGACTCAAGAGGCAGAGGGGTCGGGGCTTGGCTTCAGCTCTTGCGCTGCGCCCTTGCCGAGTACATGCCCCGAATTTGGAGCGGGTCCGACGTTGTCCGACGATAGGACAAATGGTCCGCTTTGGTCCGCTTTGAGGGTCGGGGGGTAAGAGCTGCTAGTGGTGGGCCGACTAGGAGCGGAGCAGAGAAGACAGGGGTAGATGCGGGGGGGTGGATAGGAGCAGGGGGAATGATTGGCAGAGGTGGAGAAGGCGGAGGATGATACAGAGGGACAAGGGAGAATATTGGATAGGGGCGGAGTATATGGAAAAGACTTAGAGCACAGCTCTAAGTCGGAGCGGGGGATCGGAGGGTCGGAGGGTCGGAGGTGACAACAAGTTGAGACTTGTGTCCAGAGGAGGCAAGGTCCTACTGAGAATTCTCACAAGATGTAACTGCGAGAAGACAAGTAATATTAAGACTAAGGAAAAATATCTAAGTACAGGATATGTTATATACTTCTATGTGAGGCAGTGATCAGGATAACTATGTAGTAAAGCTATGTACCAAGGATATCATTTGTAAGTACTTTACATAGGAAAGACATAAGTCAGGGCGGATATCAATATGTACGCGTTGGATCAGTGATCGGGCGGTAATAGGAATTACTGGTGATCCAGAAGTAAGAGTCTATGTACCGAAGGGGAAAGTGTATGTCTAAAAGGGGAAAGGGATCCAGTTGAATGGAGAGGTTTATGGAAGGGGACCAGTTGAGCGGTTGAGCGGAAGTGTAGGGCGGAGTGCGGGGTTGTGATAGGACGGAGCGGAGGGGGTCAGAAAGCAGAGCGGATATCAGTATCGGAGTGGTTGGATCTGGTATATGACACTCTCATCGCATTGAGTGGATGTTCTGAAAAGTTTTGTTGACCTTTATGGAAATTTTGAGTGTGTTGAATTGTGAGGACAGCTTGCAACATCAAGGGAGAGAGGTGGCCATTAGATTATGGCAAAGGTGGATGGCATTTCAGTCCTGAAAGTAGTAGGTTGCCTAAATACACAGGATAATCAGCAGAGGCAGTTGTCTTATGGCTGTAAGTCATACTCCATATCTGTGAATTCATTTCAACTTTCAGAGTGTGCATCCAGTGTAAGCAGTGCAGGCATCATCTCTAGATAACCTGCTGACACCTCTGAAGGAAATGAAGGAGTGAATCCATGATGTCCACTGCTTTCAAGTGCTCTCCTTGTGTGATTGATATGATTTTCTCACCAATTGTCGGAATCCCACCGTGAACAATGGATTTTGCACGATCTTGAATCAGATTCTTGTGGCTGACGTGCACTGGCCGGAAAATCCCAAAAGACTCCAACACATCGAACTTACAACAAACCTGCACATGGAGTCTGCATCAAGTCTGTACAGATTTATGACATACAGACTGGCCAATCCCCGGACTGAAGTTCTACAGAGAACGACCATCTGAGTACGATCATTCACATATGGTCACTGACTTGGATATGAACCTAGCACCATGTTGTGTAAGCAACTTTTTTCTGTGACTTGACTTCAGATGATGATCTTGAATTCATCAGAGCCTTGACTCAGTGACTTCAGTGACCCAGAACTTGAGTTTTGAGGCTAGCCAGTTTTGCCACTATTGTGGACGGTCATACTAACTTTGTTGGACATCACAAACACCATAACGATGAGGAGTCACAAATAACTCAACTTTGACTCAACTTCAGCTTGTTGCGCCACCACTGTGACTTCATCATCATCCCTCGGCTTGATGGATCGAAAGTTATCATACCCATCAATATGGGCCCAATTGATCACCCCAAATCTGATATGAGAGTCAAGTCATGGCACACCGCCTGACCCATGCCAGTGGTCAAACTCGTCCTAGATGAGACCCAGTCCCAGATATGGTGCATATACAAAGCTTGAAACAGAAGGGCCCATGACTTCATATTCCCACAGGCTTCATATGACGAGACAGCTTCCAGCTGATATTCCTAATACAGATCTGACAACTTGATACAGTTGACTATCCCATAATGTATACGCCCTTAGTGTATATTTTCAATACTGTATCGAGTTTTCAATGGTCCCACTGTGGGACAGTGAGAAAATTGATGCATAATGTATATTGTATAATGTATTGACCTCGCATGCCTATTATACATTATCAGACGGCACTTTTGGTGGTGGGGACCATTGTCAGTGCCAGCTATTGTCCACACATCATATGAAAACCCCATGCACGACATCATGCCAACCAAGAAATCCACAAATCACATTTCCATAATGACTGCTGAGAAGCGCAAACCTCATGATGTTCCTCCACTCGATAATCGGCCGAAGCCAAAGAAGCTAAAGACAATCAAAGCTACTCAGCCAGCAACCTCAGCAAAATCAGTAGCAAACACAACACGCCAAAACCTTACTCTCGCGGATTGGCTAACAGTCTTTGCATATGTTGATGCACACCCAACAATCTCACAATGTGATGTTGTTAATCATTTCAAGTGTCTTCGGTCCTGAGCATTGACCTTCACCCAGGCAACGCTGTCTCGGAAGCTGAAGGAACGACCTAAAGTGGAAGCGCGCTTGAATGACAATCCAAATGCTTTGTCGTCAAAGAGACCGCGCATTGTCACCAGACCAGATGTTGAACAGGTGTTATTTTTATGGGTCAAGAGCATGGAGGAGAAGGGAGAACAGGTTAATGGACCTATGCTAAAGGAAAAATGTTGCCGATTCGAGGAACTGTTCAAAGTGCTGGAAAAAGAACAACTCTTAGGAGATGGGTGGTTGGCACCATTTTGCAAGGCTTACAAAATTCGTGAGCATCAACGGCATGGGGAAGCAGGATCAGTGGACCTTGATGCTGTTGGAGCAGAGCGGACTGCAATGCCAAGAGATCTTGTCAAAATTTCAGCCTCGGGATCAGTGGAACTTTGATGAAACAAGTTTGTTTCCTTTGTATGTGCTGTTATCTTTCATTCAGGGGTTAATACTCAACTATATTATCTAGCGCACCACCAGACTGTGGTCTTGCAACAAAGCAAATGAGCGGAAAGAAGAAAGAAAGATTTCGCATCACCATAGGTCTTGCTTGCAATGCTGATGGCAGTGAGAAATTTGAGCCAATCTACATTGGAAAGTCTAAGCAACCTTGATGCTTCAAGAAGTCATCCCCTGAGCAGCTTGGCTTCTACTATTGTAACAACAAGAAGGCCTGGATGACGGCAATTCTTTTTGAAGAGTATGTGATTCATTTTAAATTTTTTGATGTTACTGACCGAAAATAAACAGATGGATGAAGAAATTTGACCTCAAGATGCGCAGTGAGAATCGGCATGTTTGCCTATTTATCGACAATTTCTCTGGGCACACAATATCTTATCAGCCGACAAACGTCCAGCTTGAATATTTTGAGCCGAACATGACATCCTTCGTGCAGCCTTGTGACATGGGAATAATCCGCTGCTTCAAGGCACTGTACCGCTGAAAATTTTGTGAACAAGCAATTGATCTTGATGAAGCTGGTGAACAAAACATTTACAAAGTTGATCTTCTTGAAGGGATGAACATGGCTCGTTCTGCATGGAGAGGTGTCTCGTCAACAACAATAAAGCATTGTTGGGATCACACCCAAATTCAATTGTAGGTCATTCTATTTTTCATTCGGCTCATTGACCTCAAGTTTATCATTAGGGACAACCTATCTACCAGTCAGCCGCCACCGAGTTCCTTGCCTCACATGAACCCAGCCACTTGGGATATCCTGCGAGACTTCGCAGTGTCTGAAATGACATTTCCAGAAGCTGAGGCACGCATAAACGAAGTCCTTGGCAGCTCTTATACTGATACAGATTGGCAGGCCTGCATTCAAGGCAGTAATGGATGCCGAAGGGGATTCAGATGCGGCCAAAAGGCCTATCGAAACATCTTGCACAAGTTGCTTCTCGCCAGGACTGGCCTAAAATTCATATTCCTGCACTGCCAGCTTCCTCCCACTCAGCTTACAGCCCTCAAAAGCGAACTAAAATCTTCTCTTCAAGAATTGAAGGCTCGGAATCGCATTTTTGGTGAACCACTATCCTTAGACGAGCTGCTCGAGCCGGCTGAGGAAAAACAAATCGGGGATTCCCTTGGGTTCAACTTGAATGGTGGGGACATGGCCATTGTTGTTGCAGTCAGTCGAGAGATTGCTAAGAAACAGGGTGAGGTGATTGAAGCTGATTCTGATGATGACTCAGAAGAAGATCATGATGTGGCCCCAGAGGTTTCCCGTGTAGAAGCACTAGCACTATGTCAGCGGCTCGAAGGAGCATGCCTTCAGCATGGACATTCTCAGGACTCAACACACACACTTGATTTGTTATAGCAAATCCGTCATTTCCGTGCCCAATTACAACATGAGGAGCTACTCCATGCAGGCAGACGACATTAGACTCGTTTTTTAAGTAGATATGTACTCTAGCACCTTAGATTTTCAATGCTGTTAAGCGGTGTCACATGTGTTCGTCACATTTAGTCACAATGTGTGACATCGGTCCTTCTGTATAACTTTGATAATGTATAGGTGTGAGGTGGGTCCCGGCGTTATACTGTTATGGGATAGTCAACTGTATACCATATATGCTATGATTTAGAGCCAAAAGTTCACTAATAAGTAAATGGACTTTGTCATATACCTGATCCGACAGCTCCGATATTGATATCTGCTCCGCTTTCCGACCCCCTCTGCTCCATCCATCCTCCGCTCCGTTCCACTCACAAGTCTGCACTCTGCCCCTACTGCTTCCAGCTCAACCGCTCAACTGGTCCCCTTCCATAAACCTCTCCATTCAACTGGACCTCTTTCCCCTTTTAGATATATACTTTCCCCTTTGGTACATAGACCCTTACTTCCAGATGACTGGTAATTCCTGTTACCGCTCGATTACTGATCCAACGCATACATATTGATATCCGCTCCGACTTATGTCTTCGCCTGGGTAAAACACTTACAAACTATATCCTTGGTACATAGCTTTACAACATAGTTATCCTGGTCACTGCCTCATACATAGTAGTATATAACATATCATGTACTTAGATATTTTCCTCAGTCTTAATATTACTTGTCTTTTCGCAGTTATATCCTGTGAGAATTCTCAGTAGAACCTTGCCTCCTCTGGACACAAGTCTCAACTTGCTGTCACCTCTGACCCTCCGACCCCCCACTCCGACTTAGAGCCGTGCTCTAAGTCTTCCCCTTATACTTCACCCCTATCAACTATCCTCCCTTGTCCCTCTACATTATCCTCTGCCTTCCCCGCCCCTACCAAACATTCCCCTGCTCCTATCCACCCTCCGCATCACTCCCCGCCTTCTCTGCTCCACTCCTAGTCAGCCCGCCGCTAGTAGCTCTGACTCCCCGACCCTCCAAACGGACCAAAGCGGTCCACTTGTCCTACCGTTGGACAACGTTGAACCCGCTCCAAATTCAGGGCACGTACTTGGCTAAGGGCACAGTGCAAGAGCTGAAGCCAAGCCCGACCCCTCTGCTTCCTGAGTTGGCATGGTATCTAACAGACTTAGTAAGTGTACTCTTCTCACCATTCTTCAAATTCCACCAACTAGTTTATGAACCAGCTCTTCGACTTCAAAGGAACCCCAAGCAATCATGCATAGTATGCCACACGCCGTCTATCTTACTACTCCTCCAAGCTCTGTTGTAGGGTCTAGTCATGACTATAATAGCAGTGATGAACTTCAATCTGCTCGACTGCTCGTTCAGACTCCACCTAGCTCTCCACCTGAACCACCACAGATTTACTGTGTCCACAATGACAGGATTCAGAAACATGGCAGCCATCCTACAATAGGACATTCCTGGCTCAAATCACCCCCCAAACATCAACGATCACCATCATCTGACGACACCTCTCCTGATTCAGAAAATGAGCTCTTCACATTCCCACGCATACCTCCCTTAATGGACTGCCTGCCTAGCATTGTGGGGTGTGCACAGAAGAGGTTTAGGCCTTTTGAGCAGCCCCATGGTTTACTGCCTAATGCATTGGAACTCCGGTTTTCTCAAAGGTGTCTTGAACCTGGCGAGACTGATATAAGTCTAGCAGATATCCAAGAGGTATATCAATCCAATGTGCACCATTTTACAAATATTGACAAGCATTTAATATCAGGGCAAAGACATCCTCATGTGTTGCCTGAAACTCATGCCCAAGAACATTGTTAATCAAGCTCTCATTGCGAAGGAAGCTGATTGTGAATACAAGTGTTTGTCTGCTCTGGCATTGGTTTGGGTGGCTGAGGCGAAGGCCCAAGACAAGCAACTTCATGAAATGCCTATTGAAGAAGAACTTGCAAAATATGCTGTGAGCACTGCGGAAGCTTCCATTCTCCGGAGGGTCTTGGTTGGATGACGTAGTGTGGAGGAGCTCGATGCTGATGTGGACTTCTGCGTTGGCGCATACAGTCATGAATTTCGGTCATTTTCTGTTGCCAACTCCACCCTTGATCAAATTGAGGGTATCGCTTTGTGTCTTTCCAAGTCCAAAGAGGAACCTCATGCTGATTCAGCTTCCTCTGACTTTGACATCAATGATTGAGGTGAGTTGATTTTTAACATACTGGTCTTTCAAGTCGTAATACTGATTACAATAAAGTAGAAGTTGTTTGTTGATGCTTTCTTGTGATGATGATCCTGTTGACCATTGTAAATATGCACTATCATCTGGCAGACGATCTCCACTTGGTCACAGGTCTTAATTCTTGTACTATGCCAGAAGTATAGCCTTTACTACTAGTACCACTAGATGATTGACTCTAAAACGCATCATGTATCTTTTATTTCGGACTGTTCGGAAAGTGGTAATTTAATTTGAGTGCCATGGAGTAGTAGTAACCGAGCTTGAACTTCCAAGTCTTCAGGAAGCCTACTTCAAGCAAGTTGAAAAAGTGAGTAACTTAAGCCTCGAGTACCACACTTGCCAAACTCCAGACATGGCAGATCATCATCTAATTATGAATTCTTGTCATATCCTGTACCTCCAGACCCGGAATTCCGGATCTACTCCATTAAAGTCTGGTTCTCTGTCCTGCTATTCCGCCCGGCGCTCCGCCTTCATCTCCGCACTCACCCCTAACTCCTTTTAGATTAGCTATTGCTCCGGTCACCAGTTATGTCCTTTCCGCTATGCTTATTGATCTGTCCATTCCTACTTCATTTCCGACTTCACTGCTTTGATCCGTTACACTTAGTAATAGACTTTTCACATGCTTCATACATAGCCCTTACCTTTGCTGACTGATTTAATTACAAGATACCTACAGTATATAAACCCCTGTAATACTCTGGAACTCCTCAGTTTGAATATCATCTTAGTTCTGCTCATTCCTGCAATCTCCGGACTTGAGTCTCAGCTCTTGTCCACCTCCGAGTCTTAGGGGTTAAACCTTAGGACTACTTCTCTGGCTCTACCTTAGGGTAGTCTAACCTCTGTTCTGTTTATACTCCGGACTTCTGTAGTAGCCTTACTCCAGTCCCCACATAAGCCTTCTGGAGTTCCTGCTGAACTCCACTGACACTAGTCCTCCGGAACTCCCTGGACTTCCGTCAGACTTCCCCTCTGTCCCCCAGAAATTAAAGGGCATGTACTCGGGTAAGGAGCACAGTGCACGAGCTGAAGCCGAAGCCCTTTGAGTAACCTCTCCCTTGAGCACGACCTTAACAGGGGGATAAACTGGTGGCAACCCTAGATGCAAGGTAGGTAAGGTTAGGACAGTCTCTCCACATAATAAACTCTGTCTGATTATAGATTTAGTCAAGTTCCAACCTTCAGTAATGGGGTGATTCAAATGTTTGCAAACAACACATCTGAGATGAAGAAACTGGCAGCACGGGACTTTGAAGACATATTACAGGTTTGTTTTTACTTCACTTGACTGTTCTCTACTTAGCTTGCTGATGGCCTTTTTTTCAGTGTGCAATACCTGTGTTTGAAGGCTTGTTTTCCGATAGCCATGATATGATCATGCATTCTCTTTTATACAGATTCGCTCAGTGGCACGCACTCGCAAAGCTACAAATTCATACAGAGTCAAGTCTAGGTTTCCTCAAGGAGACGTTCATGATTCTCTCTAAGCAGTTGCGGAAATTTCACAATTTTACCTGTGCTGTCTTTGAGACCATGGAATTGCCAAAAGAGAAGGCAGCTCACCAACAAAGGTTTGCCCAGTGGGCTGGACCTGATGATGGTTCTTCAGAATCTGGGGGACCATGAGTAACAAAGCTTAATTTGAGCACCTACAAGTTTCACACAATGGGCGATTATGTACAAACCATCAAGCTCTTGGGTACAACAGACTCTTTTACCACTCAGATTGTAAGCATTGTCTCTCCCCTCAAGGTTAGTTCTGAAGTTATATTATTGGATAGGGGGAGTTGGTGCACAGAGTATTAAAGGCATTCTATCCCCTCACTAGCAAATTAGATACTCCAGCACAACTAGCAAAGCACGAATGGAGGCACCGCGTGCTACAGCGAGTTGTGGAATCAGCAGGTATCTCTCCCTTGATCAACCAATCATCGGCTGACTCTCCTGCTTCAACATTGTCCAAAGACCCATATTTTATCACAAACCAATCGAAATGATCCAGTCTCTTTGTTCAAATTCCTCAGAGAACATGATGGCGATCCAGCTACCAAGGTAAACTTTTGGCCCAGTTTGACCCGCCCAGTTAACCTTATGACAGATTTCAGAACTTCATTTCAAACAAAGGATCACATTTTATATTGGCCTGAAGAAGTTGGATGTCAGTCATTGTGACTGTACATTTTCAAATGAGGGAACCACAATTCAGTCATTCATTCCCAACAATATTGTCTAGTTGGTTCAAACCATGCAGGTGCACTACATGACCTATGACATGAGGCCATGAATATGATACCTGTTCAGACCGTTTGCTCAGGGATAAAGTGGAGTCTGAGGGCTTGGCCTTATGCTCGTACGCTGCACCCCTTACCCGAGTCCGTCGCCCCTAATTTCAGAATGTACGTCCAACACCGAGTTCTATGAGTTCCGACAGGACATCGGAATAGGGGGCTCCTCTCAAGGATGCGACCGCTGGACTACTAGGGTGAGCACAGGAAAGGTGGGCGGGTGTTGTTCCGCCCGACAGGATGGAGGCGGGGAGACTACTGTCGGTCGGAACCAACAGTAGTAAGTGGAGAGTGGACGGGACTGCTTGGATGAAGTCCAAAGCCAGCGCAGAATGGAGGGGACGGATTTGGCAAGCGTGCAGGGTTTTAGTTCCGATGCCGGAAGTTGGATGAGCGGAGGAACGGGGGGGAATGGGGAACCGGAACGGAGGACGGAGGAACGGAGGAACGGAGGAAGGAGGACCGGAGGACGGAAGGAACGGAGGAGGCCGGAGGAACGGAGGATACGGAGGAACGGGAGGACGAGGAACGGAAGGAACTGCGGAAGGAACGGAAAGGAACAGGACGGAGTACGGCAGGAACGGAGGAACGGAGGAACGGAAGGGAGATAGGAGACGAGAACTGGAGGAACGGAGGAACGGAGGACCGCCAACCTAGGGAGTCAATCCTCTAGGCCTGGCTAACAGACGTTGAACTAGGATCAGCCCAAGTCAAAGAACAAGAGAGCAGGGCTTAGAAAAAGGTTAATATTCAGACTGAGTATCTACCGACAAATGTTACATCTTATATACTCTACGTGATGAGCATTCGCCTAGCAGAAGCGCTATGTGCCTGAGTGTACAGGATACAATAGAAATGACTGAGACCATACAAGAATAAGGCTTCGGGGAACAGTATGTTACGCGACAGATCAATCGCTAGGGTATAGGGATTACCAGTGATCCGAAAAGCAGAACTATGATACTAAATGGGGATAGGACCAGTCAGTCTAGGAGGGGACTGGTGAGGCGGTTGGACGGACTAATAGTTGGGTGGGACAAGACGAGCGGAACCGAGCGGGTTGGAAAAGTGGAGGGAGTAGGAGTAGGATTGGGCGGAGGAGCGGAACCCCAGATAGGGTCGGATGGAAGGGGTATGGTGTCGGAGGACATAGGGGTAGTGTCAGAAAAGTGGAACTGGGTCGGGCAGAGGTAGCAGGGCTAATCCTGCTGAGATGCACTTTGTGCATTGTTGGGGAAGGAGGAATGGAGTGGATGGGGAAACAGGGGGTTGGACCAGGGGTGGGGATGTTCACAGGTGGTATTGGAGGTGCTTGGATCCGGTATATGACAATACCATCAACCCCAAAACCAATGCAGATATTATGGTGCTCTCAGGAGAAACCTCACCTAGCCACCCATATTGGTATGCTCGTGTACTGGGTATTTACCATATAGACATGTGTGTCATATCTCGTACCTCCAGACCCAGAATTCCAGATCTATTCCATTAAAGTCTGGTTCTCCATCCTGCTATTCCGCCTGGTGCTCCACCCTCATCTCCACACTCACCCCTAACTCCTTTTAGAATAGCTATTGCTCTGGTTACCAGTTATGTCCTTTCCACTATGCTTACTGATCCGTCCATTCTTACTTCATTTCCGACCTCACTGCTTTGATCCATTACACTTACTAATAGACTTTCCACATGCTTCATACATAGCCCTTACCTTTGCTGACTGATTTACTTACAAGATACCTACAGTATATAAACTCCTGTAATACTCTGGAACTCCTCAGTTTGAATATCATCTTAGTTCTGCTCATTCCTGCTTCTCCAGACTTGAGTCTCAGCTCTTGTCCATCTCTGAGTCTTAGGGGTTAAACCTTAGGACTAAATCTCCGGCTCTACCTTGGGGTAGTCTAACCTCTGTTCTGTTTATACTCCGGACTTCTGTAGTAGCCTTACTCCGTCCCCACATAAGCCTTCCGGAGTTCCGCTGAACTCCACCGACACTAGTCCTCTGGAACTCCCCGGACTTCCATCGGACTTCCCCTCTGTCCCCCGGAAATTAAAGGGCACATACTCGGGTAAGGGGTGCAGTGCACAAGCTGAAGCCGAAGCCCTTTGAGTAACCTCCCCTTTGAGCACAACCTTAACAATGTGGCTCAAAGGTAGTCAAACCGAGAAACAGCACTTCACAGTCCTCCATGTCAGGTGGCTCACACCATTGATATTGTCAGACCATCAGTCAGGCATACAGTGTGCTCGCCTGCCCAAATTGACCTTTGTGGAAGAGTTGGACTATGACACATTTGGATTCCTTGATCCAGGCCAAGTGATTCAAGGAACTCATTTGATTCCCGCATTTGTTTCAGGGCGTGGTGTAACCTCACTACACCATGGAAACTCATTGACATGAGCCAAGGATGAACTAGATGACTGGAAAGAGTTTTATGTTGGGATGTGAGTGCAGCATGTCTCCTCGTGACTTAACAACTCTGATTTGTTGGAGCTAGTTTTGTTGATCATGATATGTTCATCTGTTACTGTTAAAGTCGTGCTCAAGGGAAAGGTTACTCAAAGGGCTTCGGCTTCAGCTCGTGCGCTGCGCCCCTTACCTGAGTATGTGCCCTTTAATTTCCGAGCGGCAGAGGGGAAGTCCAGAGGTTAGACGTAGGAGGAGTTCAGCAGAACTCCAGAAGGCTAGGAGAGAATAGAGTAAGGCTACTGCAGACAAGTCCAGAGTAGAAACAGAACAGAGTTTAGACTACCATAAGGTAGAACCGGAGATTTAGTCCTAAGGTTTTAACCCTAAGACTCGGAGGTAGACAAGAGGTTAGACTCAAGTCCGGAGAAGCAGGAGTGAGCAGAACTAAGATGATATTCGAACTAAGGAGTACCGGAGTACTACAGGAGTCTATATACTGTAGGTATCATGTAAGTAAATCAGTCAGCAAGGTACAGGCTATGTATGAAGCATGTGGAAAGTCTATTAGTAAGTGTATAACAGATCAAAGCAGTGAAGTCAGAGATGAAGTACAAACAGACGGATCAGTAAGCATAGCGGAAAGAACATAACCGGTAGCCGGAGAACAGTTATTCTAAAAGGTGATAGGAGTGAGCCCAGAGATGAAAGTGGAGCGCCAGACAGAGAATAGGGTGAGGGAAGCGGACTTTTGTAGGGGAGATCTGGAATTCCGGACCCGGAGGTACAGGATATGACAGTTACACTGACTTAGGCATAGGGCACCCAGTAGCCTTGAGGAGGATAGTTAGAGACTGTTCTACCCTCGAGTCAGCGACAATACCAGTGGAAGGTGATAGTATGGACATTGACCAACAGATAGATGTTGATCTTCAACTTGACTTGGAAGGCGAGGAGGACATGCAGTCCAAATTGGAAGACAAACATGACCTTGGCTGCAACGGTATTGAGGGAGGGGAGTGGGACGAGTCAGCACCTGCAGTTGAGTCGGATGATGACCTCTCTTTTTGAGATGATCAGTGGCATTAGTACTAGTAACTGTGTCAAACTATACCATCAATGCCGTGACTCAGACTATCCAACTTGAATAATGATCATTAACTTTACTTTTTGAAATTAGGCCAACCTGTCCTTCATTCGTGCAACGGCCATGAGCAACAACTTAGTTTCTCTTGACCTGTGAGACCTCCAACATTACAACTCAAGTCTGATAATGGGCTCGCAGGTTGAATACCATGACTCCCTCTGAGTCAGGTGTACTACAGCAACATACTTGTGTCTCTAAGGTTCCCAACAGTCCAACATGTCTCTGGTAAGTTCAGATATTCATGTATTCCCCAGATATGTTATTACCATCAACTGACTGACTTGGAACATGTCATGGCACATGCCAGGACACCAAACTTGACAGCAATCATGACTTGGTTCACTGATGGAAGTTGTTTATGTGGCAAGATATCACCCTCTCTGGTCCAACATTTATCGCTTTGGTGGCATGGGTGCGTCATACTGATATTCTGAAGTGTCTGCATCGACGAAATCACAATGCACTTTAGGCTCCTCGATCACAGGCTATGTATAACTTCTTCACCCTTACCTTTCCTCTCAGACCCTCCACGAAACCCACATACCTGTGTGGCTCTGGCATCATTTGCACATTGGTCTTGCGCAGTAGGCAGTGCCTTTAATCAGAGCTCCTCATACTTTATGAACCTTTGAGTGAGTGATTGAACTTAAATTCGAGGAGTGCAGATTGTCAATACTGTACTTTATCTAGCTGACCTCGATGTCAAGACCCGCCCAATTTTGTTGATTGTTCTTCGGTCACTGCATGAATCTCACAGTCCACGCATTCAAGTTATTATGGGTCTCAGGGCGCAGGACCCTATTCCTGACTGGGTTTCACACATCGCTCTAGTTTTGCTCATCATGGTGATGGGCGAAACTATCCTGACAGGTATAGACAGAATCATGTCCAAGCACGTGGATCATCACGCAAAAGAAGCTGAGTACTGACTCAGTCATATCTACAGGTGGCCTTGATCATGGAAAGCCAGTAGTCGACATAAAGCACTTGCACAAGACACATGATGAAACAACTGAGATGTCATCAGTGATTCCTTGTGGTATCATTGGTGATAACATTAACAGGTTTGTTGACACCAGCTACTCATGACCATGAATGCTTTGAACTGTACCCAGGGATCACACAGAAGTATGCATTCTCATTTTTCGCCATTGTGGTGTCTGATCATAGTTCGACCCAAGAAGTTATACCAGGGTTCTTCTTGGCCATTTACTTCTTGTTTTTGCCAAAGCACCCCTTTTCCTTGGCATCAATGAAAACTTCTTATATCAGCCTGAGGATGGTATAAGCAATGCGAGCTCGCTGTGAGGTTGAACAACTCGTTATCATTTGTGGAGGCGTTCTCAGCACTAGGTTTGTGCATAAATTTCTCCTCTGTTCACCAGTTCACTGATGAGTCTGGTATACTTACAGGTACTACTACTAGTAGGTGTGCAGGCATCACTACTTCATACCACACAACAGCCTACCAAATAAAATTATCCTTCAAGTTCACCAGATGCACATTCAGTGGCACCTGTGGCATTACTAATGCCATCCCCAGCGGGTGGCTTCCGAGTTACCACAGGAATATGAAGAACTTGTTCTGTCTAACTAAACCTTCAGGGGTCTACTCGGAGCATGTCGCAATGAAGTTCTTACTCCTAATTGAATGGACCATCTGATCTGAAAATGTCTCAACTAGATCTTACTAATGTTTCATCCTCCACGTGCTGATGCAGGTGATAGGCTGCCAGTGGCAGCCCTGGGCCAGTGGGTGATTCTATAGCTGCCCATGACCGTGACTGACATCTCTCAGGCTGGTAGCACTTAGTCACTTGGTCCCCGTGAGTTACATCACAATGGGCCAGGCTTACCACGACCCCAAAATTCAAATGTTTGTTGGTTCCGATTTGGCATTTGTTTTGCCTACCAGGTTAATTAACATCTCCCAATTGGGGTCTCTGTTTCTTCCCCATCAAGGTTCCTCATTGTATTACATATGGTTAAATGGTAAGGTAGAGGTCATGCGAATTCAACAAACATCACATGATGTGACCATAGTGTGACATACTTATGAGATGACAATGCCGGAGCGGCAAACACTGTGTGGAGTCACAATTATGAGAGCAGTGCAGTAAGTAGACAAAATGATGGTAGGTAGCAGATACTGTATGTACTAGTGTGATATGTACTGTATATAGATCATGGATAACATATTACCTTGAATTGGAGGCCATTAAGCCTTCGGGGAGGACCCGATGTCCTCAATACTTCTTTACAGCCCATGCTGCTTGAGCTCCATTAAGGTCATGCTTATAAGCAGCAATGAATCTGTAGGATTGCATAGCAAATCTGTTCAAGGAAAGAAGGAATAAGACAAATGAAGAATCCAGGCACAAAAACCACTCACCGACGCATGGTTGACAGTGGTATCGAAGCCAGCGCAGCCACCACATTTTGCTCAAGATCTGCCTCTTTTGAAGAGGGGGGATTGAGCCGATAAACCCTCTTTGCATATCCCCAACACATCTCAATAAAATTTAGTTCATAATGAAATTTTGGCAAAAAGATCACTGAGAAGCCTCGTGCATGACATGTGGTTTCCAAAAGGGATTTAACATTGATGAAGTTGGGCTCATTGAAAAGGATTCGGCGACAACAGCAATCCTTTTGGCCTGCCTTGCATTTGAATCCTTTGCACTCCGCTAGAAGACCCTTTGTGTCATATCCTCGTTCTTGCAAGATTTGTTACATCCCTTTGAACCATCCAGCTTGTGGGTGACCTTTGGGGAAATAAAGTAGCTGTGGAGTACCATTATGAAGGCATCCAGGAGCCATTGGAATTCTCTTTTTTGCTGGTTTGCCATCAGAGTGCATAAGTGGCTTTCCGTTGTCATCGGTTACGGTCACATCTATGCCCCATGTTTTCGATAGGTTTTTTTGGCATATGTCGGGCAGATAGTGCATCGTCAGCACGTTTCACATGTGGCATTATCAAAGACCAAGATATGGTCTTCATTTTGATAATGTTTTTCAAGAATATTCATTGCATGGGCAGCATGCTTTAGAATTTCATTGCTGGAATGATATCCATCGCACGATTTTCCTTCCTTGAAAAGAACCTGTGCACTTTCTTTTCCATCTGAGGACTGAAGGAAGCCATAATCTGCTGAGACAAAGTGTGCAACCATCAGCGAAGCACCTTCCCCTTTTGGCTGGGGTAGAGCATCTTCTTTGATATGCTCCCATCAAACTTTGCGGTGATCATTTGCATAGAATGTTGATTCATTGTGGAACCAAACAACAATATGGCGGGTAGGTTCTGGGAGGGGGGGGGAGTTGTCGCATGTGAGATCATCTTGTTTCCATGTTTGTAGACGTGACTCGATGCTTCCCCATGCAGGCAGAAATACATTTTGGTGATAATGGACAACATCGTCACGTTCATGACCATCAAAATACTGCCCCCTCTTCTCTTTTTTCCACCGATAACCCAATTTCTGAAGCCACTGCTGAGCAGTGCTTACAGAGATCAATTTCTTGAAACCATGGCAATTCCGCACAATGGGATCATCAAGATAATGTACAATATCCAGTGCACAAATATATTTCCCCAAACTCTGCAGGTGCAATTTGATTTTGGCTGCTAGTTCCTCGTCTTCGATGCGTGAGATTGCGTGGTTTTGCTGGTGTAGAGGTAAATTTTTTCGATCTTGGATATATGCCTTTGTCCATCAACAGAGGCAGCGCGCGAGATATTCACCTCTTTCAAGTAGATTTGCAGTTTGCAGGGCTGCCTTGCCCCAGTTTGAAATGTTATTGAGGTCGGTAAATAGGACAAGGAAGTCTTTCATTGACCGAAGACATTCTTCAAGGACAGGGCTGAGTTTAGGGTGTAGATAGCCTGTCTTATCCTTCCTCTTGGGTTTGAGCAGGTTTCGGAGGTCCACTAATGCTTTTTTTGCAGCCTCAATGGTTTGGGGGCAGCAGCAGTTCCCAACAGTAGTCTCGCGTGCCCACCTTATCACCATCATCACTACTCTCATCACCACCATCATTACTCTCATCACCATCACCACTATTAGAATCGGTCTCCAACTCATCATCATTGGATGTAGCACCTGGGCCATGAGAACTAATAGCCTCTGGACAGGTGTCATATACCTGATCCGACCGCTCCGATATTGATATCCACTCCGCTTTCCGACCCCCTCTGCTCCGTCCAATCACAAGTCCGCATTCCGCCCCTACACTTCCACTTGACCTGCTCAACCGGTCCCCTTCTATAACATCTCCATTCAACTGGACTTCTTTCCCCTTTTAGATATATACTTTCCCCTTCAGTACATAGACCCTTGCTTCCGGATCACTGGTAATTCCTATTACCGCCTGATCACTGATCCGACGTGTACATATTGATATCCGCTCCGACTTATGTACTTCGCCTGGGTAAAACACTTACAAACTATATCCTTGGTACATAGCTTTACAACATAGTTATCCTGATCACTGCCTCATACATAGAAGTATATAACATATCATGTACTTAGATTTTCCTCAGTCTTAATATTACTTGTCTTCTCACAGTTACCTCTTGTGAGAATTCTCAGTAGGACCTTGCCTCCTGTGGACACAAGTCTCAACTTGTTGTCACCTCCGACCCTCCAACCCTCCGCTCCAACTTAGAGCCGTGCTCTAAGTGCTCCTCTTAATTCTCCGCCCCTACCAATATTCCCCTTATCCCTTTCCCCATCCTCCACATTATCCTCCGCCTTCCCCGCTCCTACCAAACCTTCCCCCTGCTCCTATCCACCCTCTGCATCACTCCCCGCCTTCTCCGCTCTGCTCCTAGTCGGCTTGCTGCTAGCAGCTCTTACTCCCTGACCCTCAAAGCGGACCAAAGCGGTCCACTTGTCCTATCAGTCAGACAATGTCGGACCTGCTCCAAATTTGGGGCACGTACTTGGCTAAGGGCACAGTGCAAGAGCTGAAGCCAACCTCAACCCCTCTGCTTCCTGAGCCGGCACGGTACCTAACAACAGGCTGGTAATGCTTCAAACTCGAACTGAGGTGGATCCGTCAAGTTCTGTCGCCACCGTATCCCACATATGGCAATGAGATCTTTGTCTTCATCAAAGACTTCCTCGCACAAAACTGGGTGGTGTCGCAGGCTGCCAGGTACGTGACAGTGCACATGTATGTACTAGCCAACATGATTTTCTTCGATGCTAGGATTGGCTGCCTCAGTGCGATGATCAGACCTAAGTAAGAGAGCAGGTGGCTCGTTGTTATCAGAGGTTGGTCTGACATGATCCCTAAACCAGTGCCACGGCTCAGAAATGACCTCAGCTTTCACAGGTAACATGGGAGCCAGTTTATTTTGAGGGTAAGGCTTCTCATTTTCATTGGTAACAACAGTATTGATAGATGTTCTCTATTCCCAAGCAGACAGTCAATGTTTTGCCACTAAGAACAAAACAGAATACTCACATTTTCCTTCTGTGAGCCCCCAGCCTCATCTCGGTCTCATCTTGCCCTCTTTGACTGATGTGCAGCTGCAGCATTGTCAATCTGTGCCTCGCGACAACATTTCTGCCTCCCCATGGGTTCACGACTCGGAACTTCAGCTTGTGCAACAGACGGTGGCACCCAGCATTGAATTTCCGTCAGACTTCAAACTCGTTTTTCACATATAATCGACCCTACAGAAAGCTCTCAAAATTCAAAATCTTTTCACCATCTCCACGCAGTACTGATTTACTCTATAGATAAAGTTTACACTTGCTTTCCCCATATTTTGCATAAATTACTTTTATGCTTCCTGGCCCTGTTGGATTGATTTTGAATTTCTCAACCTCGTCACTCTAATGTAACACTGGGCACGTGATGTTTGTTGAATTCGCAAGACCTCTACCTTACCGTAAGTATAATTAGGTCTCTCACCATGACTAAACCTCATCATTGACAACTCCAATATGTTCAGTTGCCAGTTCTGGGTGAGTGATACTTACACATCATCATTATTTGCCCAGATTAACAGTAGTACTCATCTCACCAATTTGAGCCTTCACCGTTTCGATAAAAGTCGGATACAGTGAGTGTTGTTGCCAAGCCTGTCACATACTGCACCCCTAGAATGGTCAACTCATTTCCTTTTACTTGTTAGCACACCCATGCGCAAACTGCAGCTTTTGTCTTGGGTGTTCATCCAGAACCACCAAATGTCGACAAAGATGAGGTCAGCAGCATGTGCACGATTTGGCATTTTTACGAGGGGATGGATGAAGAGCTGTTTACCACACAATGGGACAATGTCCAACTCAAAAAAAGTGAGCAAAGTCCATTTCACTCAGGCCTGATGGGATCCTCATGTCATGTTGCACCAGTCGAGTTCAGAGTTCCTCTCCATACCACAGATAGAGATAAATGGACCACATATGTGGGCCAGTCTTACTCCGAGTCAGATTGCCACCTCGATATATTTGACGCCATCAAGGCTACAATAGATGTACCAAAGGAGTTTCAGCACTTAGGCTGGCACCTGTCTACTGCCCACCGCATGGACCCACCTCATCGGCTTTTGAGGTCACTTGATATTGATAGTGCTTTCAAGCCATGAGGGTGGAACAAAGTTCTGGCAGGAATAAGAAGGTAGTTGTGATTGAAGTTGTCAATACTGTACATTTTTTATGGTTACAAGTGGTCAGCATGACATGGCAGTAGTTACTTCTTGCAGGATCCTGTACCAAAAGACTTCAAGCAAACCAAATGAAAGGCAGTCATGTCTTCTTGTCATATACCTGATCTGACCGCTCTGACGATATTGATATCCCTCTCCACCTGACCTTACACTCCTCCCGCTTTCCTATCACCTCCACTCTGTCTGCCCCCCACTTGATCCAGTCAGTTCCTGCATCTGCTCCTATGCTCCCACTTGACCACCTCATCGGTTACCTTATGCATCATCTCCACTCCACTGTAACCTCTTTCCCCATTTAGGTATATACTTTCCCCATTGGCACATAGAACTTATTTCCCAGATCACTGGTACTTCCTATAACTGCTTGACTAACTGATCCAACACGTACATATTGATATCCGCTCCGACTTATGTTTTTCACCTGTGTCTACTTACAAATTATGCTCAGTACATAGCCTCATACCAAGGACTGCTAATCACTGCCTCCTACATAGAAGTATTTAAAAACATACCATGTACTTAGCTACTCCTCAGTCTTAATATTACTTGTCTTCTCGCAGTCTCTACTTGTGAGAATTCTCAGTAGGACCTTGCCCCCTCCTGGACACAAGTTTCATCTTGTTGTCACCTCCGACCTTCCACTCCGACTTAGAGCAGCTGCTCTAAGTATTTGCTCTTACCTCTCCAACCCAACCAATCAATCCCCTTACTCCCCTCTGTCCCAATGCACTTCCTCCACTTCTAGTCAGATCACTGCTAGTAGCATTTACCTCCTGACCCACAAAGCAGACCAAAGCAGTCTGCCCGTCCTATTGTCAGACATTGTCGGACCCGCTCCAAATTCGGGGCACATACTCAGCTAAGGGCACAGCACAAGAGCTGAAGCCAAGCCCTGACCCCTCCACTTCTCTGTCTGAGCACGGTTCCTAACACTTCTTCAGGCAAGCAGAGTCCATCATCGCTTGTATCCTACATGAAGGAGTTGGAGAAAGTCAAGAGTAAGTTGCGCTGCTCCGACCATCAACTTGGAGAGGACACATTCTGTTGGGTGGATTCATCGCTGCCAAACACTCTGCACTACCCACTATGTACCCAGGACCTGCAGGAGTGGGCTAGATATTTGGTTTGTGATACTTATTTGCTACAGAGTATGATGTGGTGCTCACAAATTGCAGCTCAAAACTGGAGATCCAGACAACTCCTGTGTCACTCTGCCCAGCACGCCTCACTTCAATAAAGTTTGAAAGACACATAAGGAGCGAACTACATCACTGCTCCAGAGGGTGCCCACCAAAATCATATCATCAATCATTCATAATCACATTCACCTGTTATCCTCTTCCAATGACATCTCTGATGGAGTACTTGCCAGAGAACAGGGAGAAGGTCGCATGGCTCCTCAACCACTCAAGAGGACATTTGCACTCTACATGGACAGTGACGAAGAGTCCGACAATGAGGAACTGCCACAGCATATCAAGAATGTCCTTACCAATGTCCACTTGCGCTACCCTGCCATGAACTTCCCTCAATATGCCGATAAACTAAAGGATCGTGGTATCTTGTATCTGCCGACCCCAGCTCATTTTGGTGTTAGATTCTACGAGGAGACAGTTGGGATGCCAGAGGGCACTGCATATACCTTTCAGAGCTGTGTTTCTAAAACTCACATGAAGGCAGAACTTGCGAAAGGGAGAAGGAAAGCTAAAGGGAAGAAGAAAGCATGAGCCCAGCCTGACGACAAAGATGAAGAGAACATCTGTCCCAGCTTCTGATCAAAATGCAGTTAATAGGCTGGTAGTTATTATCTTACTTCATGTTATTCAGAATCTCATAATATGATATTCTGTGGCTTCAACTTGTTGTAACATTGTTTCTGGTGTCATAAGATAGGCTGCAGTCATACTTCACTTGATCATGTGATCAGATCGTGACATTTCATGACAAAAGTACCAGAATCACATCTCCTCCTTCAAATTGTCTTTTTTCGCTAAAGTAGAACCTAGGAATGTTAGCTAAGGTACATCCTCAGAGAACCTAGGTTTTAAAATTGTAATATAGTTCAAACTGAGAGTGAAGATGACTTTCTTATGTTCAGGACATGCTCAATATTGTGCTTTGTCATCTGAGTCTACTTGGTGATCTGCTTCAGAAGCCATTGACGGAACCAACACTACCTCTCAATAGTATGCCGAAATGAAAACTCTTCAACATTGCCAACCTCAAAGCTACTTGCAGAGTGCAAGAACTTCCAGTGTGCAAAGGGAGCAACAAACTGTTGCTGTCGCCGGTGTGGGGAATTCCCCCACTGTAGGTGTAAAACCTCGTCCTTTCCGCATCATCTCACATCAGTTCCGCGTATTCCGCACATTCCGCATTTCCCGTGCATCGTCCAATGGGTTCCGCATTCCTGCACATCCTTCGGAACCCACCCGCACTATCTGATATTCCCGCGCATCGTCAGACAACCTTCACATGTCCTGTCCCCATCCTTCCAGGTCCATTGGTATGCTGTATCCCTCTTCCCGCTGTTCCTAACGTTATCCGGATCAAACTGACACATGCCCTTATGGCACGGACCCCTATTCCAGAGTATTGCGCCCATGTGCACTGCCTGCCTTCACTTCCACTTCCTGAGAGACTTACTACCTGTACCTCAGTGTTCCTTAAAAATAATCTTCCCTTTAAGTAGTGGTACTCAGGGCTTGGGGGTATTTTATCGAATCCCATCTTTTACCTTCCCACTTTTCCTTCACCTTACTAGAGGATCGCTTTGACTTATGCCCACTATCAATCTAACCTTGTGATATACTTCCTTCGACTTCGCCTGCGAGTTCCGACAAATCAGTATGTTCCGCACTTTATCCATTTGAGTTCCGTTTCATTCCTTTCCATTCCGCTTGGGTTCCGCTTGGGTTCCGCTTGTTCCGTGCAAGTTCCACTTGTTCCGCTTGTTCCGCATTTTTGCGGATCCTCATCCTACCTGCGGGAGGGTTGATTAGGGTCATTTAGACAGGGACTAGTACTCCCCAGTAGCAATCCCCTTTAGGGTCAAACACACTTGTTCCCAAGCGAGGCAGCAGGCAGCAAAGACCCAACTGTGTAGTAGATCGATTTCTCTCTGCTGCACTTGTTGTACCCACACCGGGTGCTGTACAACCAACCAGACTTCATTGCTGTCAAGTCAAATCTGGAGAGAGCATGCAAAGCAAGAGGAGTTTCAGTGCTTTTCCTTCTGAAATTTCATTGTGAACTTAATTTCATTGAGCAATGTTGGGGATATGCGAAACGGGTTTATCGTCACTATCCCGCTTCAAACTGATCTCAAATGCAATGTGCTTTCAGCTCTTGAATGGATGCATACAGCAAGGGACTGAACGGAAAGCAAGCAGCGTGGGCATTGAAGAAGTACAGAGGCCATCAAGTACTTCCAGATAGCATTTTGCACGACTTCAATAACATTTGTGTATAACCGTGACTGATAGTAGTTAGTAACACAAAATCACATCATGTCACCACCTCGGTCACACCATGTGATCAAGTGAAGTATGACTGTGGCCTATCTTAGTATGTGATGAAGCCTTAGATATGATATACTGCTGGTTCAGACAAGAAATGAATGCAGATGTGAAACAGCCAATAGAGTCCATTTCAAGTTGCAAGTTGCTGTAGTCAATCTACAGTATGTACTACCAGTAGTATATGTAGGTGACTGCTTGTCACAACCCTACTTGGATGATAGTGTTCAGGATTTGGCAAACTCGATCTAGGCGATGTCTTCCTCATCCTACTCATTTTTATTCAATGTTGCAACTCCGAGAGTCCTACAAAGACAGCAAATACACCTGCTATCACATTTTACCAAGTCCCTCTCCCCCATCCAGAAAGTTATCCTTCCCTGTTGGCTCAGAGGGAAATACCAGCAAACCACCTTGTTGTCAGTGAGCTCATGAGTCCATCAATATGATCATAGGTAGTCATGAGACCTACTAGCTATGAATGGCTTTCTGAAGTGCAGAATGCTGTACATGATCCTACCAACACCCCTTCCAAACAGACAACTGTGCTTCAGCTTTGAACAGTTTCTACTTTGCCAATTCTCTGACTCAGGAGCAGCTTGTTGTTATGGATGCATGTTTGCATAACCTGTGCAATGTTCCTGTGCAAAACAGATTCGAGAATGCGAGGCCCACAACTCAGAGCACTTTCTCGAGTCTGCATATACAACTAATGAGTGTACTATACCTATAGTCCAGTGTCAGTTGCTGAAGAGCAACCAACACAGGACTTGCTACTATGGGCGAGTCTATGTAAACAAGTGTAAACACTGCCTAAGTAAGTAAAAGGAATTCACATCACATGCTAAGTGAGAGTCCTCAATAGAGGAAAGCAACATCATAACACAAATAACTCGCACCATAAGGTGCTCAATCACCACAACTAACACAATGTTCCCTGTGCAAAACAGATCTTCGAGAAGCAAGCCCCACAACTCAGAGCCCTTTCTCGAGTCTCGCATATACAACTCTTTCTTGGAGACCTACATCCATATGGCATTTGTCAAGGAGCCCAAGGATAGAACTTTGTGGGACAAGGATGTGTGTAACCTTTATGGACCCCATGGAAAAGGGTACAGATAGAGTTCACCCACTGTCATATACCGGATCCGAGCACCTCCAATACCACCTGTGAACATCCCTACCACTAGTCCGACCCCCTGTTTCTCCATCAGCTCAATCCCTCCTTCTCCGACAATGCATGAAGTGCATCTCAGCAGGACTAGCCCTGCTACCTCCACCTGACTCTATTCCACTCCTCCGACACTACCCCCATTTTCTCTGACACTATATCCAATACCTCCAGATCTGGAATTCCAGATTCTCCCCTACAAAAGTCCGGTTCTCTGTCCTGTTGTCCACCTGGCACTCTGCTTTCATCTCCAGACTCACACTGATCTCCTTTTAGAATACTGCTCTCCGGTTACTGGTTGTACACCTTTCCGCTTTGCTTACTGATCCGTCCGTTTGCACTTCATTTCCGACCTCATTTCCTTGATCTGTTGTACACTTACTAATAGACCCTCCATATGCTTCGGACATAGCTTTTACTGTGCTGACTGATTTACTTACATGATACCTACAGTACATAAACTCCTGTAAAACTCTGGAACTCCTCAGTTCAAATATCACCTTAATTCTTGCTCATTCCTGCATCTCTGGACTTGAGCTTGGTCTCTTGTCAATCTCCGAGTCTTAGGGTTGATTCCTTTGACTGTACGTCCAACTCTCATCTTAGTTCTGCTCATTCCTGCTTCTCTGGACTTGAGTCTCATCTCTTGTCTACTTCAGAGTCTTAGGGTTAAACCTTAGGATTAAATCTCTGGCTCTACCTTAGGGTAGTCTACACTCTGTTCTGCTTCTACTCCGGACTTGTCCATAGTAGCCTTACTCTGTTCTCTCATAGTCTTCCGGAGTTCCACCAAACTCCTCCAATGTCTGACCTCTGGACTTCCCCAGACTTCTGTCGGACTTCCCCTCTGCCCCTTGGAAATTAAGGGCATGTACTTGGGTAAGGGGCGCAGCGCACGAGCTGAAGCCAAAGCCCTTTGAGTTGTCTTCCCCTTGAGCACAACCTTAACACCAACCACGTCTACATATGCTATCATGCTCTTAGCATGGAGATGTACATTTCATTCACCTCCTTACTTTATTACTCTGACTACTCTCTCTAGATTTAATCCCAAGTCTGACATGCCCATCCACCTCTCCAACTTGCCCAAGCCAACAACCCTCCTTAGCAATATCATAGAGCAAGACATTTCACTTACTGCCATCATTGCTGATTGCATTTTGGCATCATCAGAAAAAGCCTCAGACATCATAAAACTCCTCTCCAAATCCACAGTAGATCTCAATCATCCTTGTATATTGGCTGAGCTCAGTCAGGCATAATTCCTTGGGAGTCATGTCTCAGACTCTATTGGAGGGCATCCTGGAGGTCAAGCCTGTCATATGACTTGCTGTATGTATAATGTTCTTTCGCTTGCATCTCCCTCACATCGCCTCACATCTCTACAGACATTCTAAAGAATTCTTGGACAAAAATGGGAATATAATACCTGTGCAGCCTTGGGAAGAAGTTCCTTTCAACCTCAATAACCTCTGCAGCCACTTGGCTCAGGTTATCCTTGCATGATGTGTCCTCCCAGTAAACCTGGCTTCCCGACATAAACTCTTAGAAGAGTCGGTCTACAATGTTGCAGTAGAGCGTCTCCATCATGAAGCCAAACTTTTCGACGAGCAAGGTCTAGGCAACCGTGAACTTCATTGTGCAGATTTGCAAAAGTGGATGTGGGACTGGCACCAGAAGCTCAAGAAGCACTTTGAGGCAGAAATACAAAAGATCATTGGTGCTGAGGCAACTTGCAATCTGTAAGCATATATATGTCTGTCAGACATTCATATTAACCACCAGCTAGCTGAAAACAAGCAAGTTCAACAAATGGGCCCCTTCCTCTCCCTTGTCAGACACAAGAATCACTATCCTTGAGATCATGCACCTCCAAGGCAGTGGTGGTGTCTTGGATGGGATGAAAACTACCCATGCATTGCATCCGGAATTCAGATGATGAGGATCTGTTCGCCCAAGTGGGTACTGCTCAGCCAGCTGCTTGGAAGCATAGAGTACATTCATATTGATGACCCTATCTTCATTCTCTGCCAAGCAATCTCCTGTCAATCATCATCGTCTTGTCACTTGACAATCAGGCTTCATACAGTACTGAGGAAGTTAAACCAAGGCAGCTGTCAAGACAAGATATCATTGCAGCACAGCGTGCCACATTGTGAGTTAGTTAAAAGGCCATTATTTCAACCCAGATGAACTCCCTTCGTGGTGTAGATGTTCTTCCCAGAAACACCATGATCTACAGTTTCAGGTGTGACTTTGGAGACAATGCGCTATTTCATTGGCAAGTTCACAAGACTGTTCAAACTTTGAAACTCGAATGTTCCAAGGACAGGTCAGGTTTTAGACTCGGACTTAACTTGAACTTGAATGCATCAGGTCATGGTGAGTACCAGTGAAGGAGAGCAAAAATGTCATCAATGAATGAATCTTTTTAGAATATATTAGGTGTGTTCACCAGCAGCAAAACAACCATCAACCCACATTCCAATAATAATGAAATTCATCATAGACATCCTCTTCCCTCACCAATGTGATACAATGTCTGCAGAACCTCCCATGACTTCTGTAACTTCACCAAATGGAATAATAAATAATCATTCCCATGCTCAACTTGTACATCTACTTCATAACAGTTACTGCAACAATGATAGACTTACAAAAGAACTTGGAAATGCAAAGAAGCGGTTAGAAAAAGCAGAGCATCTACTAGCAGAATTTCAAGCTACAACCATCAATGGTGCTCCTCTCTCAGGCGAGGCTTGTCGTGTCATCAAAGAAGCTGAGGCATGTGTAGCCTATGCCGATAGACATACGACCCTCCCTCCCCACCTGTGATCACTACTCTACAAACCACAGATGTTAGGTACCGTGCCAGGCTCAAGAAGTGGAGGGGTCAGGGCTTGGCTTCAGCTCTTGTGCTGCACCCTTAGCCAAGTACGTGCCCCAAATTTGGAGCAGGTCCGACATTGTCCAACGGTAGGACAAGTAGACCGCTTTGGTCCACTTGAGGGTCGGGAAGTAAATGCTACTAGCAGCGGGCCGACCAGGAGTGGAGCGGGGAAGGTGGAGGATAGTGCGGAAGGTGGATAGGAGCAAAGGGGTTTATTGATAGAGGTGGAGAAGCAAGGGGGAAGACTTAGAGCAGTGCTCTAAGTCGGAGTGGAAGGTCGGAGGTGACAACAAGATGAAACTTGTGTCCGGAGGGGGCAAGGTCCTACTGAGAATTCTCACAAGTAGAGACTGCGATAAGACAAGTAATATTAAGACTGAGGAAAATATCTAAGTACAGGATATGTTATATACTTCTAAGTGTGAGGCAGTGATTAGGAGACTTTTGTTGTAAAGCTATATACCAAGGATATAGTTTGTAGGTACTTACTCAGGCAAAGACATAAGTCGGAGCGGATATCAATATGTATGTGTCGGATCAGTGATCGAGTGGTAAGAGGAGTTACCAGTGATCTGGAAGTAAGGGTCTATGTACTAAAGGGGAAAGTATATGTCTAAAAGGGGAAAGAGGTTCCAGTTGAATGGAGGTGTTATAGAAGGTGACCGGTTGGGCAGTCAAGTGGAAGCATAGGAGCAGATGCGGACAATGATTGGACGGAGCAGAGGATGGGTGGAGCAGAGGTGGTCAGAAGGCGGGGAAGGATGTAGAATCAGGTGGAGTGGATATTAATATCAGAGCAGTCAGATCAGATATATAACAACAGACGACGAAGACCCTGGATGAAGACAACGGGGTGCAGTATCCTCTGGTAGGTGAAACACCCTCTATTCTATCACTCCATAGTTGACACACCTCTCATGTCGGAAATTTACAAAAGCGGTTGCAATCAGCTATGTTTAGATGTCATTGAAATGCATGCTGAAATAACAAGGTAATGTTCCTGGCTGAGTTTCAATGTATTGCAAGGCCGATGACAAGCATATGTGTCAATGCCTGATGGCCTGCCAGCTCTTTCTTTCTGAATCCAACCTCTGTAATTCTGTACCCAAATGGCCCCTGAGCACTCAAAACTGTGTGATATATGTGACCAAAATATCAAACCAAGAGGCTGGACTACTCATCGAAAAGCCTGCGAGATATGTGCGGGTAAGAGATGTTGAGATCAGGTTATTGTAGACGCTATTCGGAAAGAGAAAGATAAGAGCTCTTGGACTTCATACTGCGGTGTTGAAGCTGACACTATTACAATATCCAGCAGCAATCAAGGGGCGAAGGACAGCCCTGAATCAACCTAATAACCATAGGTCCAATGAATCTGCCGCACAAAGTACAGTATCTGTTTAATTTCTTATAATACATCACGCTCACTAGCTCTCTCAGTTGAAAACAGAAATCCTCCTGACCTCACGCATGGTCCTGACGCAGACTTGGATCATGGCAGCACAATTGTGAGTCTCACAGGCGTTTTCATCAACCTCACTATTAGTATTGACACTATTGAATTCCAGATGTTATTGTAATTGAACCTGAACCTGTTGATGCAGACGCATTCCTGGCCTTTGCACATGATGACATCAAGATTGAACACCATCCAAACAGTGGCACCAAAACTACAGTTCACTCATTTGAGACATTCATGCATTGTCCAGCTCCCTCTTTGGTCCCACCTGATAGATGGCCTTGGTATCCATTCCAATCTAGGTTCAAATTCAAAGTTGCTGAGATCGCACTCAAGGCTGTGCTAAACAATGAGCAGACTGATCAGCTCATCAAGATCTGTCAACAATGCGCTATAGGGAAGGATAAGTTTACATTTTTGAACCATAAAGATATTCATAACAAGTGGGAAGCAGCATCTCACCACATTACAAAGGTGATTTAATTTTCATGATTAGCATCATAATTTAATCTCAATTTAATCTCGTTCAAAGCGCAGTTCACCAAAGAAGTGATTTCAGTACCTTATGATGGCAAATTGTGGGACTTTGATGTGCACTACCAGGATCTTTGGGAGCTCGCTACTGATCCACTTGGGGACCCCAGCTTATTTCCACACTTCACATTTGATGCACAACACTTGTCTAAGTTTGATGGCAAAACATTCATCCACTTTGTAGACGAGCTGTTCACTGCGCAGGACTTCTGGGATATCCAAGTACGTATTGATACATAGTAATTTTGGCCCCTTTTTATTCTATTTTAATTGTTGTAGTCGCGACTTCCACCAGGTGGCAAGCCACTTGCTTTCATTTTGTACACTGATAAAACGAAGCTGTCGTCATTTGGGACTGCCAAGGGCTATCCAGTTGTCGCTTGAATAGCAAATCTACCTACAGACATTCAAAATGGATAAGGTATAGGTAGTGGCTATGTGGTAGGATGGCTGCCGATTGTATGGTCTGATGATTGCCTTGTTAAATTGACACTAATCATCAGGAAAACATGATTTTACTATTTTTGGTTTTATTTGACTCTATGTATAAATGGTGCCACAATGTACACTAACGGGATATAATTGAATATAGATGTCATATAGAAGCATTTTTTACACTTGGTGTAGGTGAAAAGAACTAGTATAGTCACCAATAGCATGTAACTAGCACTGCTACCATAGAATTTGATACGCATACTTACTAGACCAATTGTTAAGCAAAAAAGTGGAGCATGCATCAAGTACACTATTAGATCTCCACTCCTCAGGCCATCCTACACCAGCTCCCAAGTGTGGTATAAGCTGACAAGACTGTCGTATAGTAGAGAGAGGGACAATATCACCAGGCAAGTGTCCAGTAGTGTCCAAAGGGAGAGGCTTGGTAACTGAGTACATATTGTGATGGGTGCCAGGTGAACGGGACACAGTTAGCCACTCTACATATGCAAAATGGTGCTTTGGCCAGACTGCAGGAGCTTCATTATAAAGGCTGATTATTTCTGGAAGGCAGAATATAAGCCTCAGCCTACTGACTTTCATTCCTAAATACAATAAAGAAATGCTGAGCTTTAGAGCTATCAAGTATTAGAAACATATGGAGGCGCACCATGAAGTCCAGTAGACTCAGCCCCATCCTTGTGAGTGACCACCACCACATCAAACCTCCCTGAACTCTCTCCTCTACCTGGTTATGCCCTGACTAAATCTATACCTTTCTGGCCATCTATGTCATTCCCAAGAGTATCTAGTGAGAATTTAAAAGAATGTCAAACATCTAGCTTATCAAAAGGAAGAAAAGCATTGCCAACTTGAGTACAGGGTATAGAATCTCCTCTAGTAAGAAATTTATTAAGGAAAATGCGCAAGTGATATGAAAAAGAGGGACAACCATGCTTGGTTTGGATGTTGGAAAGGGTCTGGGAGGGAGCAGCTGGTCTCTTGGCTGTCACTACCCCAACGTCCTGGTTTCTTCCATCCACAGCTTCTTTGACCTCCTCTTCCCTCTCCTCCTCCGATTGATAGTGAGAGATGTAGCTCTGGAACATGACTATTTTCTCCTGGCGACTCAGCCACTGAGTCATCTGAGGGAGCTCATTGCAGAAGTTGGATGCTCTCCATGCTTCCTTGGCATAGTCTATATGAAAATGTTCAAACATTTCAGTATTATAATTATCAGTAGTTCCGAAATTACGTATGCACTCCTCATAGTGCAGCATTGAGTGAAACTTTGGTACATTGAAGTGATTGTGTATTCCAAGATCCACCAGGATGTCCTACCCAGTAGCAATCCCCTTGGGACGAGTATTAGTCTTGCACCCTTGTTAGACATCTGCATCACCCCAGAGTCTATTTTCCTCACCCACAATGTTTTGGATGAAGTAGGTGGTTGCATCTGAGGCCCTGGGACATTCAAGTTGGGCATGTAAGGGATAAATAACAACGGCTCAGAAGTGGGTGAAGAAAGTGCAGCCTGTGAAGGGTTTGATGATGGCGGTGGTAATTCCTGACGAGATCCTGAAAGGTATTCAGCCAGATAAACATTGACAGGTTGGAACTGTTGGATCTTCAATGTCTGCACATTTACCAGCTGATTGATGGAGGCGGAATACCTCTCCTGAGCATCCAAGACCACCTCCCGGCTTGGTGCACCATCAACAGCAGTGGGTATGGCGGCTATCATCTCTCTTATCACGGCGATGAGCCATGCATGGGTCAACTTTGTGTGCATCTCCTCCACAGCCCGGCCATCATTGTCCGTCAGCCACAGCAGGTTGTACAACTTGATCCATCCATTGCAAAGTGTGCCAACCTTCCAATATGGTTGAAGCACTCCCATGAAATCCGAGGAATCCAGACATAGTTTGTCCATCTTCACAGTCTCTATCGTAAGGTCGTAGGTACCCACTTTTGCCCATGCTCAAAACTCTTTGTCTTAACACCCGTGGAAGGAGGGAAGTGCTTCTCATCGATAGGAGCACAGCCAAATTTCTCGGCAGTGAGCCTGTTTGCCTCCGACATAGACACTGCATTGTTGGGGATGGGTCTTTGCTGCTCGACAGGAGGAGGCCAATGTTGGACATCATTGTATGGACCCTTGAAGTTCACCCCAATGAGCCATATAAGGTAGATATAGGCCTCAAGGTTGTGTGTGATACCAGGAGCCTCATTTTCCGCGCTGGTGCCAAAAGGGAATGTTCCCTGAGAAAGTGAGTTTATGAAGAAGAAATAGTGGGGTAGGGACACACAGTGGTAACAACTCCATTGGCAGCGCTCTTACTCTCCAACATGTCAAGCGCTAAGCCAAAATTACCAGCCACCCCAGGATGCCTAGGAAACCACTCTGGGTCAACCACTGCCATTCTGAAGTGCGTTTTGCCATCTTGTTCTTTTATCCACTCAGGAACTGCAAACCGCTCGTCAATTTGAGGAATCCACATCCAAACATTGCTATCACTGGTGTCTTGGTGTATAATCCCATGCCTGTAAGCTTCAAGATGACCTGGAAAGATTGATCAGTAAGGCAGGTTCAGTGGCAAATGTATATGCTTGCCTAGCAGTGCTCCTAGTATACAATGAAGAAGTTCCCAGCGACATGAGAACCAAGTGCATTTTATGGCGGGGGTGTGAAAAAAAGTGCGAAGGTGGACCAAGGGGTCAACCATGCCAGCCATTCCCCACAAGATAGATCCCGTGGTGTCTTCTGGGAGCAATTCACCACTCTTGGGGTCGGTGCATATGACAGGATCCAAGGAGAACTGTTCGTCACGTATGGGAAGGTGCAGGGGATACTTGCCGTAGATATCAGCATCCCATCCGGGAGATGCGCTCCAGAGTGTGTACAATGATTTCGTGAGCTGGACTTCATGAGTAGTTTTCTCTATAGTGTCAGGGACGTCTAATGACTCATTGAGATCAATATGTGATTGTAGGTCTATGCTCTGCACTCACCAATCTTCAATTTAGCCTTATCAACACGTTCACTATCCTCCAGCAACTGGTGAATTTTGGCATCTGAGTAAAGGTTTATATTCTGCCACATGTCTTTGCAAATCAGGTGCTCGACTTGGGGAATTGAATGTTGCAAACCAGGGGGTGCAGGGGGGATGTAAGAAATTCCCACGACCCTGGTAGATTGTCCAATGCCGGATTGGCTGTTGTAGATGACTGATACAATCATAGCGGCCAGTTATTCTGCGTCTGACTCAGCTGCCGGCCACCTCATTTCTATGCCACCCCCGGGCTTTTCCGAGATGGATGTATTGTAACCCAAAAGTTCCAAATCTGCGTACTTGAACCAAGCGATGATTTTCAAGTACTTCTCAATGTCCTGATAGATGTCAATGGGCTCGGTGATGCTTGATCCTCCATGGGTGTGCATGCAGATGGAGAGATTAGAACCCAACAAGTTCAAACCCATGAAGTATCGTCAATTGATTTGGTTGGTCAGAACAAAATGTGCAATTTCGCCCATGTAGCTGATCGTATTGCTGTTGAGCTTTGAGTTATCGTGGTACTTGATTTCCATCACAGAGATGAAGTTGGCCCACTGAAAGGTGTCCGTGTGAGGTGCCTGCTTCATCAAGACAGCGTCGGGCTTGCGAGACCCGGACCCATGGCGAGATGTGATGTTAGCACCACTCAAGGGGAAGACAAGCATGGTGCTGGTGTCACGCCACTCCCGTGCATCCTTACTGAGTGTTTTGACCATGTCATAGCCCTGAACCTCAATGATCGTCTTATCCATGGCAACACCAGTCTATGAGACACACATGAATATCAAGTCAAGCTACAGGATCAGATATTACAAACATTGTTAAAAGAAATTGACCACATCTTTCTCCCTAAGCTTGTCACCCCCAAGCAAAGCAGGGCAGTATCCAGTTTCCCACCAACTCATTATACCTCCTTGCAGTGACAGCTTATTGAATTCACGACCATTGTTTCTGGAGTAGAGACGACATTCAACAACCTGTCAAAGTAGTAGTTTGCATCAATGGGTCGCGAACTTATCGCCAATGGTAGGTACATACCTCATCATACCACTTTGTTGTCACCACTTGAGTGTCATCTTTGGGGATGTCATGATGCTCAACAAGGTAATTCTCCACTGTCATATACCTGATCTGACCGCTCCGATATTGATATCCGCTCCACTTTCTGACCCCCTCCGCTCCATCCATCCTCTGCTCTGTCCAATCACAAGTCTGCATTCCGCCCCTACACTTCCGCTCAACCGCTCAACTGGTCCCCTTCCATAATCTCTCCATTCAACTGGACCTCTTTCCCCTTTTAGATATATACTTTCCCCTTTGGTACATAGACCCTTACTTCCGGATCACCGGTAATTCCTATTACTGCCCGATCACTGATCCGATGCATACATATTGATATCTGCTCCAACTTATGTCTTCGCCTGTGTAAAAGTACTTACCAACTATATCCTTGGTACATAGCTTTACAACATAGTTAGAGCCTGTTCAGCAACCGAAATTTGAACTGAAATTTGCCAATGTGTGACAGTATGGTGGAGCGGCACCATAGAAGCTGATGACGGAGATTGAAAATACTCTCCCTCCGACCATGACCACTATCAGTCGATATTGAGTCGATCCTCAGCAGCGAAAGTGCATCTATGCGACTATCGCTGCTTTCATCATCTGCACTCAGTTTATAACTTCTAGAGATGGCGCAACCAGAAGACGAAGCACCAAAAGAGAAGGCCTATTGGACTGAAGAGGAGACCAATCGCTTCCTGGAGTATCTCATTACACAGAAATCCAAGATTGCAGGATCAAGCACCTTCAAAGATGTGACACTCCTTGCAGCTTCAAAAGATATTGCTTCACTATGGAAGCGGGGCCCTGTGAAGACAATGGAGCACTGCAAGAACAAATGGGCATCGGTATGTCACATCCATCTGAGTCTCACACCGCTCAGCCACCATCACTAACATATTATAGTTGAAACAGATATACAGCGCCATCGATAAATATCGCCGGTCTCAATTGGGATGTCACTGGGACAACGAGAACAGTGCCAATATTCAGGGGGAAGCTGCAGAAAGCATGTGGGACGAGTATATCAACGCCAGTAACAGCAATAAGGTATGTATTGAACTACACTTTGGTCTCCGGTCTGGTGCTCACCTTCTGCTTAAGACCATGAAGTCGTTCAAAAATAGCGGATGGAGACATTATGCTGCCATGCAAGACCTTCTACCAGGCAGTAGTGGTGCACAAGGGACGGCCGCCTATAACCCAGCTTCATTAGCCGCACAGGTACCAGTGGCTGCCGAGATGAGCATGGCTGCCCCCCCAGGCACGTATGGTGATGTCAGCAACATGGCTGGCAATAGCATGGGGGGTGTTGATGACTTTAGATGGGATGAGAACGCATCTGCCCTTCCACCTGTAGCTGGAAGTTCATTCATCATCCCCCCTGCCCCCACTTCTTCCTCTAGCACAGGAAAACATTCTCATTCCGACATGATTCTCTTGCATTCGGCACCCCCTTCCACCATCGAAACTTCGGTGGCATCATCTTCAAAAAAGCCACAGCAGTCAGCGGCGCCCAGCAGCATCTCACGTGGCTGCTTCTAGTTCGCATGCAGGCACAAGCAAGAAGGCTGCCAAGGAGGCTGCCAGCACCAGCTGCGTTCATGAACCTCCAGGGCTCCATAAACCGTCTCACAGACAGTCTCACAACGACGCTGACCACCACTACTGATGAGACTCAGGTGTCGGACGAAAGAACGAGGGCCCTCGTCATGATGCAAAATGAACTGGGTTTATCAGAAGATGACACACTTGTCCTCATGAACCTATTCATGAGGAGCCCGACAATATGTAGTTCTTACTTGGTCATCCAGCCTGAGAGGCGTCTGGGGTTCTTGCAATCTATGATCCGGCAGGCAAACAGGCAGGATTTGGGGCTGTTGTAATGTTGCCATCATCACGAATCATCTTCACATCACTTGTTTTTGTGTCAGCTCATTTGTATTGCTTATCTTCTCACTGTCCATAGCTTCCATTGATTGTTATGTACTAGTAGAAGTTTGCTACGAATCTATGCATCATTCTCATCATCGTTCCCATAGTACTTGTCTAAGTCTTCCTCATCCTCCAAGTCTTCAGTCAATATCTAAGAAGTGATATACATCTAACAAGTCTCACTCACATAAAATACTCTGATAGTCGTCCCACATCTGCGTCGCCAAGCGATCTCGAAATACACTTGCACTTATGTCGTCATTGTCACTGTCGTTTGGAGGGTGATCATCAACGTTGTGAAGTTGTCCGAGTCCTTGATGGGCAGGGTTGTCATTGAAGACAGCTCTCTGTGGCAGAGGCGCTTCATCTGGGTCATGAGTGTGGATGTAATTATGAATAGCACAAAGCGCTGTGGGAATGCAGGCTTGAATATCGATTTTGTACTCAGGGGATATTAGAAGGATCCGAAAGTGTCACTTCACGACACCGAAAATGTGTTCAACCACATTACAGTGCAGATGCGTGACGAAGGTTGAATAATTCTTCCTTGTTTTCAGGTCTAAAAACAAAACGGTATTGAGTGAGCCGAACAAAGAAAAAATGAGCTAGAAGCTTACCTGACTGCTGGCGCGACCCCACTCAGCCAGATGATAGCGAACACCACGGTAAGGAACCAATAGCTCCCAGCATGACAGGAACCCAAGGTCAGCAAGAAGATATTTCCCCCAGGGGGATATTTAAGCCATCGTTGTGTGCTATCTCCCAAAGTCGTGCATCTGTAACAGACCCCTCCCACCCAGTCAAAGCAAACATAAAATTGAGGTCGAAGTCACATACGAAGAGACAGTTCTGAGAGACAAAGCCTTTTCAGTTATAGTAAAGGTGGCGGGTGGATGAGGGGGGAAATGCATGAATGTGACTTCCATTGATTGTTCCAATAGCATTGCGGAAGTATGGCCAACATTTTGGGTTGTCACGAATTGTGCGTGAGACGGGTGTGTTTTCAGCAGGAAGGTGTACATGCATAGCGTAGAAAGGGTTGGATGCAAAAATGTCTAGCATCTTGCGGAAATACCTACAAAAGAGTTGAGTTAGTAGTATCAGGTGTGAAATATACTAGTAGATCATACAACATACCGAGAAATTGTAGTGTTTGATCGCTGAAATCGTTCCGTGACGTGTCTGACAGTCAATCCTGTCACACATGTGTATAGAAAAATGGCCAGTTGCTCCTCTAGCGAGACATCAAGGCCTCGAAGGTCATTGATCAAACTCTCAAAGACATGGGCATTTACACCAAGTTCACAGCTAATGCGCTCTGGGTGGCCAACAATCAGCTCTGTCACCCACTCTTCCCCTGTCAGTGTGGAGGTGTGATAGGGCTCAGGCTTCGTCCAGGATTTGTTGCAGGAAGACTTGTGTTATGGCGGCAAGCAGTATATTGACGAGAAGAGCGATGTAACGAAGCATGTGTTTGCGAAACTGCGGCTCGCTGCCTGGCGACTCTGATCTGCTTGTCAAGCTCCTGGCAGCAGCTGAGCAGTAATGAGAGGTCCATGTGGAATAAGACTGTTAGCAAGTATTGGGTCAGCAAACAGCAGCTGATTCAACAGTGGCTGCATAGTGAGTACTGGATCCATGTTATACTGTGATAACATATCAATAACAATCAATCTTACCGATTGGTTTCTGACTCCGCTTACATCTCAGACACTTCCAATACATTTGGGTGGGCAAATTTCATTCAAATTTTCGGTTGCTGAATGGGCTCTTATCCTGATCACTGCCTCATACATAGAAGTATATAACATATCATGCACTTAGATATTTTCCTCAGTCTTAATATTACTTGTCTTCTAGCAGTTACCTCTTGTGAGAATTCTCAGTAGGACCTTGCCTCCTCTGGACACAAGTCTCAACTTGTTGTCACCTCCTGACCCTCTGACCCTCCACTCCAACTTAGAGCTGTGCTCTAAGTGCTCCCCTTAATTCTCCAGCCCCTACCAATATTCCCCTTATCCCTTTCCCCATCCTCCGCATTATCCTCTGCCTTCCCCGCTCCTACCAAACCTTCCCCCTGCTCCTATCCACCCTCTGCATCACTTCCCCGCCTTCTCTGCTCTGCTCCTAGTCGGCTTGCCACTAGCAGCTCTTACTCCCTGACCCTCAAAGCGGACCGAAGCGGACCACTCATCCTATCGTCAGACAATGTCAGACCCGCTCCAAATTTGGGGCACGTACTCGGCTAAGGGCGTAGCGCAAGAGCTGAAGCCAAGCCCCGACCCCTCTGCTTCCTGAGCCTGGCACGGTACCTAACTCCACAAACTTCTTCCCCTCCTCGACGTTGGCACAAGTTTCCTCGCACAGGGATTTGGTGCCCCTGTCATGCATAACATGGGCTATGTCCCTCAGGTCAGTGTCCGATAGCCTGGCCACAGTACTGCTAACAAGCGCCTCCCTAAGCACAGAAAATGAATCATGATACTGGCACTCCTTGATGAAGGTGAGCTTCATTTGGTTTATTATATTGTCATTGAGGAATTTGGGATTGGAAAATGGACCATGCAACAGGAGACACAAATCCCAAGGACATCTGTGAGCCCCATAGCGGCCAAACTGCAATTGCAACTGCAGCATGATGGGGTCGGAGACTCAGGGATATATGAAGTTTGTGGCTCCATATCCCCAAATGGAGTTGTGCTGGTGAGCAGAATGTTAGTTACACTGCTAGAAAGATCATAAGTTTGGGCCCTACATGATGATGAACTCGATTTTGAATCATCTCTTGGAGGTGGGGTTGGTTGGGCTTGCAAAGAAAAGAAATTTCCCATGCATGAGTTTCATCACCACAGTTGAGCTGTTACTCACCATGTTCTACTTACACATTGTATGCTGTGAAGTTGCAGTGGATCGTATGAAACTTCACTGATCTGATGGAAGGCTTCAAAGCTTCAAGTGGGAGGACTTAGCCTTGTGCACTCAGCAGCCATCATTTCAGCTGGCACTGATCCCATTGATTGCAAAGATAGATTTCGATTTTGATCAGCGCAGACCAGGTTAGGAAGACTAGCTGGCAAAGACTCTGACCTATGTCGAACTTGGGAATGCACAGTAAAAGCAATCCATGCTATAAGTGTGAGAATTTTGCACTGGTTGGGGGTGCAAAGGTGCTACAAGGTCTAGAATTACCAAATTTGGGAACCCCTGCTCAACGTCTACAACATCCACCCGAAACCCGCCTTTTTTTGGAACACAATGTCTCCCATGACATTTCCACTGACCAAAGAGGATGTCAATCTCATTGTGAATGCCCTGCAACTGATAAGTAATGATGAGGCCTCCTTGTTGAAGGACCGGCTGTTATCGCATTACTCTTCCTATTTTCCTGCTTGCAGATTTGAAGAAGAAGTTCAAGAAGGGCAATCACCTACAGATCAGGTGAGTTCTTTTTCAATTTGTAATTTGTAAAACAAGCCCTCACCCATTTACAGCTCCACCCTGCAACCAACCGTGCATGTGCACATGTTCCATATGATCCACACTGCCCAAGGAGGGGTGGCCCATTAGTCACAGGAGCACGGTGGACCATTGGAGAGAACACCGCACGTTCCTCCAACATTTCAGCTCAAGCGATCATCAGTTCTATAGCGTCCTTCGACACTTCTCATAAAATGGATTTCACCTCATGGATCTCCAGTGTGCTTGGCACCCTCAAAGCCAGGGAGAATGATCCAAAGACTGGAGCTGGACTGCTATGTCTGGTGGAACATTGTCATACATATTCTGGGATGGGAGTGGGATGGAGCTTCATGACTATGGTGAGCCGACTGCAGCTAGCAGTGAATTGTCTGAGGTACGTGTTTGGCATGCTCTTGCATTACTCGTGCTCATGCAATTCAAAGTACCATACGATCGCACCCATCAATTTCTACGATAACAGTATTCTACGACACTAGGATAATGCCTTTAGATCCCAGGTTGAGACCAGCATGGAGCAGCTTCTTTTTCTGGATCTCATCTGGGGTCAAGTTCATGCTTTTGGCAGGTGGCGGTTCCATTTATGCATTAATTCTGATTGCAGCCAAAGACATGCACTGGAGCATCACCACTGCCCCTGCAGAAGTATCTTGGGAAGTTGGGAAGATGCTGCATCATCCAGATAAATATGCTGGTATGTCATACATGTTGTGTTTTGCGTTAAACCTGGAGTCTCACTAGTAACACAAGCTCTGAAGATGCAGTGTCTTATTCAAGGGAAGATCATACCTATTATTGCTGCATTGAGGAAGCGCTTTCCCTTGAGCATGCCCAATGTGATCAATGGGTCCATGTCATATACCTGATCTGACCACTCCAATATTAATATCCGCTCCACTTTCTGACCACCTCCGCTCCATCCATCCTCTGCTCCATCCAATCACAGTCCGCATTCCACTCCTACGCTTCCGCTCGACCACCCAACCAGCCCCCTTCCATAATGTCTCCATTTAACTGGAACTGCTTTCCCCTTTTAGATATATACCTTCCCCTTCAGTACATAGACCCTTACTTCCAGATCACCGGTAATTCCTCTTACCGCCCTATGACTGATCCGACACGTACATATTGATATCCGCTCCAACTTATGTCTTCGCCTGTGTAAGTACTTACAAATTATATCCTTGGTACATAGCTTTACAACATAGTTATCTTGACCACTGCCTCATACTTAGAAGTATATAACATATCCTGTACTTAGATATTTTCCCCAGTCTTAATATTACTTGTCTTCTTGCAGTTACTACTTGTGAGAATTCTCAGTAGGACCTTGCCTCCTCTGGACACAAGTTTCATCTTGTTGTCACCTCCGACCCTCCACTCTGACTTAGAGCCATGCTCTAAGTCTTCTCCTTACTTCCCCGCCCCTATCAAGTATTCCCCCTGCTCCTTTCCACCCTCTGCACTATCCTCCACCTTCCCCACTCCTATCAAGTATTCCCCCTGCTTCTTTCCACCCTCCACATTATCCTCTGCCTCCTCCGCTCCACTCCTAGTTGGCCCACTGCTAGTAGCACTTACCTCTCGACCCTCAAAGCAGACCTAAATGGTCCACTCAGTCCTATTGTCGGACAATGTCGGACCCACTCCAAATTTGGGGCACATACTCGGCTAAGGACACAGCAGCAAGAGCTTAAGCCAAGCCCCGACCCCTCTGCTTCTTGAGCCAGCATGGTACCTAACAGTCCATCTCTCTCCAGCTGGACTGTACATGCATCAGAGATGTTGACTGCTTCATCAATTCTGTACCAATCAAGTGAGTATCATTGCCAGGAATGTTTCAGTGTTAGACTCATGTGATAACTTTCTAAAGTAACTATACACTTCCAAAGCGGTCAAGAAAATACTGGAACACCTGCTACATACCATGTTGGGAGGATACAATCAGCCTGGAGAATGGTATAAGTGGGACTTGCATCACACAGCAGCCTGAGGCCCCACTCTTCACGTCTTTTGCAGCATCACCACCAGCACCCATCATCCCTTGTACAGGGTCTACGCCCTCCTCTGCTGTTTTCATTTCAACCACATTCAATCATAATCACCCTAGCAACCTTCACTTCCCAGGAAGCCACGACAGGGTGAAGAACTTATTATGGATGATAGAGCAGCGCAGGATAGTGGAGGATGGGGGCATGGTGATGAGGGACATAGATGAGCTGAAGGAGAAGGTGAGTTCTCTTGTTCTATTGGTTTAGATGTGCTCATATAGATTGAGACAGCTGTCTACTTTCTATCCTGGGGTGTCAAAACGGCGGATACTTTTCTAGTGGTTCCGATGTTGATCATTCCAGGGGCCTTGGATATTCGCAACTCAGATGGCAGCCTGATGGCCCTTATCTGCACCAGTATACCTTCTAGCATGTGATTGTCCTTATTTTCAATGCTCAAGTTGGCCTTTGATGGCCTGGACATTTTCAGGGATCGGACTGTTACGTCTGTTTCCGAAGAAAGTCAAGATCCCAAGATCAATTTGCAAGCAGAGGCGAACGAGCCTTTTAGATGTACACACTTCAGTCACTGGAATTGCTATGGACTGACGGTAAGTTGAAACAGTATACTTAAGGTCCTAGATGCTGATGCTCTTGTAGGGTCATACTGCGCTGCAGGGTGTCCATCCTCATGACCTAGAGGCTGCTGGAGGGAGAAGAACTAACCTCAGACAGACTTTACCTCACACGTCCAAAGAGACGTTTACTCAACAGCAGCTGTACCTGAACATCCAGGCTAATTTGGGTGAAGTATTTGAATGGATCGAAGAAGAGGTGAGTCGGAATTTGACTCCAACAATTATTTATTGATGGTCAATTAGATCTCGTGTCCACCTTCCCGATGAGTATAAGGTTCTGGTCAAGCTGGTAGACATTCTGCCTAATGCTGAGGGATCTCCAGTCAGACCTTTACCTCTCATTGGTGGTGAATATTAATGTGTGCATGGTGGCACATAGGGATGCCAAGGACTTTGAACTATGCCTAGTGCTGGTGGTAGGGGAGTTCACTGGTGGTGGACTAGTGATGAGAGAGCAGGGGCTGGTTGCAGAACTCAGGAATGGGGACTTTGCAATATTCAGGTCAGGAGAAACTACTCATTTCAATTTGGATTATTTGGGTAGGAGGGCATCTCTGGTGATGCATACTGATGGTGGGTTTAAAACATGGGAGAAAGATTGCAATGGTTGGAAAGATCACTCCCACTTCACATATTTATGACCTACCCCTGCCATTATTTGATACTTTAAATAGATGCATGGGCAGAGAATGATTGCTAGTACATCTGCTGTGGCTGCTCAGCAATTTTATATTTAATAAGTTCATTTCGCTTGTTCAACTTTCCATTCCAACCTCATCCACCCTGTTAAGACCGTGCTCAGGGGTAAAGCGGAGTCTGAGGGGCTTGGCTTCAGCTTGTACGCTGCTGCCCCTTACCCGAGTATGTGCCCCTAATTTTGGAATGTAGTCTGACACAAGTTCTATGAGTTCCGACAGGACGTCGGAACGGGGGTCCTTTGAAGGAGGACCGATGGACTACTAGGTGAGTGCAGGAAAGTTGGGCGGGGGTTGTTCTGCCCAACAGGAGGGAGGTGGGAGACTACTGCGGTCGGAACCAATGGTAGAAGCGGAGCGGAAGGAACTGCTTGGACTGAAGTTCCAAAGCAGAGCGGAATGGAGGGGACGGATGCGAGAGTGCGGGGTCTAGTTCCGACGCATGGGAAGTTGGGTGAGCGGAGGGATGGAGGAATGGGGGAATTGGGGAATGGGGGAACCGGGGACGGGGGAAACGGGGGAACGGGGACACGGGGAACGGGGAACGGGGGAACGGGGGAACGGGGGAACGGGGAACGGGGACGGGGGAACGGGGGAACGGGGGAACGGGGAAAGGGGAACGGGGAACGGGGAACGGGGGATCTAGGGAACGGGAACTTGGGAACGGGAATTGGGGAACGGGATGGCCCGACCTAGGGAGTCAATCCCCTAGGCCGGCTTTAACAGGAGTTGACTAGGATCAGGCCTAAGTCAAAGAACAGAAGAGCAGGGCTTAGAAAAGGTAATGTTCAGACTGAGTATCTACAGACAAATGTACATATGTTTATATACTCTAAGTGATGAGCATAGTCATAGCAGAGGGCTATGTGCTGAGTGTTACAGGATTACAATAGGATGACTGAGACATACGAGAATAAGGCTTGGGGAACAGTATGTACGACGACAGATCAGAATCACTAGGGTATTAGGGATTACTGGTGATCCAAAAAGCAGAACTATGATACTAAACAGGGATAGGACCAGTTGAGTGGTTCCTAGTCTAGGAGTGGACCGGTGAGGATGGTCGGACAGACTAACAGTCGGGTGGGGGAATATGAGCGGAACTGAAGGACCCCTGTGGGTCGGAAAAGTGGAGGGAGTAGGAGTAGGATTGGGTGGAGGAGCAGGAACCCCAGATAGGGTCGGATGGAAGGGGTATGGGGTCAGAGGACATAGGGGTAGTGTTGGAAAAGCGGAATGGGGTCAGGCAGAGGTAGCAGGGCTAATCCTGCTGAGATGCACTTCATGCATTGTTGGGGAAGGAGGAATGGAGCGGACGGGGAAACAGGGGGTCGGACCAGGGGTGGGGATGTTCACAGGTGGTATTGGAGGTGCTCGGATCCGGTATATGACACACCCATGGCATAGACTCGTAACCAGTCTGGACTACGTCTTTGAGATTGTTAAGTGCTTGACGTAGTCAGACTGGTCGATCTCAGAGAAACTTGGCAGGAGCAGCGAGGAGTTTGAAATTTGACAGATGCTGGTGATGCCAATTTAGGTAATCGTTGTATTTTGTACAGCATTGACACAAGTCCTTCGTTCGCACCTTAAGCAAAGTATTGTATGCCTCTCAAACATCATAGTCCATCAAGCAACAGTACTTTACATCTAATAGGACGATAAAATGATACCTTTTCATGCCTTTCACCAGCCCATGCAACAATATCAGCCACCTGTTGAGCCTTTGATTTGGATTGTCAATCCTTCGAGCCTCGACATTGATGAAAAAATTCTTGTGGTCCTAAAAATCCTTCGTGGGCTTCGGATGACAGTCATGGACCTCATGTTGCACTCTATCTTGAATAAGACCTCCATGCCACCTTGGAAAGAAGGTTTTTTTCGAAGCAAGGCCCTTGTGCAGTTTCTCAATGTGTTGGATGCTGATGAGTGAGCGAGCAAGCAACTTTGTATTGTTTTATGACCAATTGCTATCAAAATAGTCACCAATGAGGTTGACGCTGAGATGGAGGCTGCTAAGGATATTTTTGGCATGTCATCAAAAGATGTCACCCCCAAACTACTCCTCTCATTTGACCTTGATGCTTTGCTCACGGCGTGACTACGAGAAACCACTCTGTGGCTACAACGCATCCTTTTGTCAGCGATGCAGACAGCACAAGGAAGAGTTGCCGAGAAGAGGGCAACAAGAACATCGACCGGGAGTTGTAGCAGTACTTCAGCAAGCTTGCCATATGCTGTGCGGAATGCAAGCTTCTCACCTGGCTTGGGCTCTCCAGCCGTGATGATAAAATGTGCTTCATCAATGAAAAAGAAACCTGATTCATTTGATGAAATTCTGGTCCTTTAACATCAGTGCGAGACGTGGAATATGACCACCTTCAGGAAAAAATTGCTCGGGTGCAACAATGAGGTTACAGAAAGCTCCTGTGTACATGTGCTGGAGGAGAAGATCATGCTAAAGTCATCTAGGACAATGACTGCACATACATTCCAAAGATTCTTGTCAGATGGAGTATCACAATTAATTGCGATCAAAGGAATGCCGTACTGCTCAAACTCCTGAACCTGTGATTCACAAGGACAAATTTGACATTTTTAAGGTGATTAAATTGTAAATTCACCATACATGATCATGCTGCAGCAGTTTCAAAGGGGTGATGGTGATGGCTGTCTTGTCCGGAGAAAGAAGTAAAGGCAGAATCATTGTGAGGGTCTTTCTGGAGCCTGTTGCAGCTCGAAGTACAACATGTCTTGCAGAAAGTAATGATATGAGGCATCTGAGCTGGAACAATTTCGGATGTTGCGAATCCTTGGAAAGAAAATCGAGTTGCGAGAAGGCCTCGAGAACTTGCTGGTGTTGTGTCATTGAAAGGGCACTCATAAAGTTTGTTGGGAGATCTTCAATTGCATCTTGAGCAGCGAGTGATAAAGGTCGTACAGAACTCATGGTTGAAACTTAACATAGCATATAGTCTGAGCAAGAGCAGACACATAACTTGTAAGTACTGTATGATCACAAGTACCTCCAGCAGAACCGGCATCTGTCAAATTTCAAACTCCTTGCTCCTCCTGCCAAATTTCTCTGAGATTGACCAGCCTGGCTTCACCACTCAACTTGTCCGTGGTATTAGTAAGCCAGGCTGGTCATGAGCCTACCCATGGCACCCAAGAAGACAACTTCAGCTGGCCCTCGTCCAGCTACTCGTGCCAGCACTGGCAGTTCAGGAACAAGAGTCAAGCCTACACCTCAGGGTGCTGTTAAGGTTGTGCTCAAGGGAAAGACTACTCAAAGGGCTTCGGCTTCAGCTTGTGCGCTGCGCCCCTTACCCGAGTACGTGCCCTTAATTTCGAGGGGCAGAGGGGAAGTCCGACGGAAGTCCAGGGAGTTCTGGAGGACAAATGTCGGTGGAGTTCGGCGGAACTCTGGAAGACTATGTGGGGACGGAGTAAGGCTACTACAGAAGTCCGGAGTAGAAACAGAACAGATGTTAGACTACCCTAAGGTAGAGCCGGAGGATTAGTCCTAAGGTTTAACCCCTAAGACTTGGAGGTGGACAAGAGATGAGACTCAAGTCCAGAGATTGCAGGAATGAGCAGAACTAAGATGATATTTGAACTGAGGAGTTCCAGAGTATTACAGGGGTTTATATATTGTAGGTATCATGTAAGTAAATCAGTCAGCAAAGGTAAGGGCTATGCATGGAGCATGTGGAAAGTCTATTAGTAAGCATATAACAGATCAAAGCAGTGAAGTCGGAAATGAAGTAAGAATGGACGGATCAGTAAGCATAGCGGAGAAGGACATAACCGGTAACTGGAGCAATAGCTATTCTAAAAGGAGTTAGGGGTGAGTGTGGAGATGAAGGTGGAGCACTGGGCGAAATAACAGGACAGAGGACCGGACTTTAGTGGTGGGGTTCTGGAATTCTGGATCTGGAGGTATGGGATATGACATGAGCTCTCTGCACTAATTGCATTAATAGTCAGGTTTCTTGATTTTTGAGGGCATCTCTCTAAGAGCAAGAATTGCAATTACAGTGGCTCAAAAAACTGTCCACATGTTTTCACATTTTTCACTATCTATGATATTGTGTGAGAATATACAAACACATCAAGGATATGCTGGTACCACATTGTAGTACTACTTCAGGGCTTCCAATTGAGCCTTATGGCATGGGAATCAGTCGAGATATAGTGGAGATATGAGGCTTACAAAATGATGACTCATGCAGACAGTTTTTGACTCAAGTATTTTACAGTGATAATCAGGTATTCTAGTACACTGTGTGACCTCCCTTGGCTTTAATTACTGCCTCTATCCTTCTAGGCATACTCTCAATCAATTTCTGGCAATAATCTGCTGTAATCCTTGCTCATTCCACTGCTACACTCTCCCATAGCTTCTATACTCCTTTAGAGGGGGTTTCATAGGCTTGAAGCTTCTTCTTAAGTGTTCCCCAGAGATGTTCAATGACATTGACATCAGGGGACTGTGCTGGTCAGTCAAGAACATTGATACTATGTTCTTTAAACAATTGTCTGGCTCTCCTAGATGTGTGCTTGGGATCATTATCCTGTTTGGAAATGATGTCTTTTTCATCAATCCCTGATTCAGCTATGCTAGGCAGTAAGTGGTCATTTAGAATGTCTACATACTGCTCAGCATCCATCCTCCCCTCAACTTCAGCAAGCATACCCACACCATTCCATCCCATACAGCCCCATACCATTGGAGAACCTCCTCCAAATTTGACAGTCTCACTAACCTCTCTGTCTGTTAGAAAATCCCTCTTCTTTTTCCATGCATATACCTTCCCATCTGACCCAATCCTATTGATTTTGGTCTCATCTGACCATATAACATGCTTCCAGTCCTCTACAGTCCAGTTTTGATGGGCCAAGCCAAAGGTAGTCTTCTCTGCCTATGTTTGATAGAGAGAAGAGGCATTTCTTCTTTGTTACTGCCTTGAGATGAGCTGCCTTGAGAAAATTCCTCACAGTTTGTGAAGAGACAGTGGTGGTGATGGTGGAATTGATATAATGGGTGGCTTGGACGGCATTATTAGCCTTTCCTGTAGTGATATGTTGAATGATAGCCCTCTTATTAGCAGAGGTGGATGTCCTCCGCAAGAGTTTTCCTTGTCCATGTGGCTTTCTTTGATACACTTGGCCACAGTAGACTTGCATACTTCAGTTCTAGAGGAAATTTGATGAGCAGAGATGTCACCATAGGACAAAGAGAGGATATTATCCCTTTGAGCAGAGGAGATGGCTTTCATGGTGATTATGACCATGACACATGAGACATTCTGGTTTATATAGTTAGATATAGTTTTAAGAGTATACCTAGAAGGATAGAGGCAGTAATTAAAGCCAAGGGAGGTCACACAATGTACTAGAATACCTGATTATCACTGTAAAATACTTGAGTCAAAAAACTGTCCGCATGAGTCATCATTTTGTAAGCCTCATATCTCCACCATATTTCGACCGATTCCCATGCCATAAGGCTCAATTGGAAGCCCTGAAGTAGTACTACAATGTGGTACAAGCATATCCTTGATGTGTTTGTATATTCTCACACAATATCATAGATAGTGAAAAATGTGAAAACATGTGGACAGTTTTTTGAGCCACTGTAGTGTGGAGGCTCATAATAATTGCATTAATTGACTCTATATGTCATTTAGAAAAGGGGACTTGTCTTTTTTTGCCCTGAGGGATATAGATGCTATGTTTGCATAAATAGTGCTCTATTTGCAATTAGTGCAAATACCACTTTTCCTGATGCAATTGTCACCAACATCAACCAATACATCTTCAAAGCAGCAAAAGTTTCAACTCACAAACATGCAGAACAGGAGGACCACATGGACACAATTGATCATGCACTTGCAGCCCTCGACATGGACAGTGATTCAGGCAATGAATCTGATGCTTCAGTCCAGATAGCTACTGCTCTTGAAGCAGCTGATCCCATCATGGTCCCCGAGCTGACAGTCCAGAGCTTCTCACCCCCAGCTGATCCAGACACCATTGATCTGGAAGTGAGGAATTTGCCAGTTGAAGAGGCTGAATCAGAGGACATGGGGGGCAGTGCTAGTGGATGTGGACGTGGGCAAGGATGTGGGCGAGGGAGAGCTAGAGGGAAGAAGGCAGCTGTGGTAGCTGCGGCTGAAACTTGCACAACTTGGTCTCATAATAGATAAACTCACTTTGTTTCTATCCATTTTCATCAATATTCCTGCCGTTGCATCTCTTATCGTGTTTTTGTACTCTTTATTAACACACTCACTCACTTCTCAATTCTTGATTCTTGTCTTAGGGGACCCAATGATGCAGAATCGTCGGAGCTTAAATTTTGTTTAAGTTCTGAATCCTTCTCTCGCAACCAGTAATCCTTAGACTTGAAACTTTCTTTAAACCTGCCACAAACACTTAAACTCTGAATCCTCAGCACTGACACTCACTATACAGGCAGTCCAGCATGGATTCTAATGTGCCAGATTCAGATGCAAAGGCTGACCATAATGAGAGCATTTAAATTTATTAGTTGTTGTCAGTGTGTCTTTCCCTCCGTTCTAATATCCCAACACTATTTGATCATAATATCTGAATCACACAGTGTCGTATTATTATATTTATTCGCACCATTTGCAACAACACAATCACACTTTCCACCGTGTCCTGCTCACTTGCATCTGAATTGGCCAACGGAACATTGCCTTGCTCTCTCGACACACAGCTCATCAATGCCAGGCACCACCACTACGTGCATCAATGGAATGCACCAGTGCAGTCAACATGCATTGCTCCGTGAAGTCGCCTGATTCATTTTACATTAACTTGTTACTTACATACCATTCATATACGCATTTCAGTGGGATATTACTACATGTACATTCATACGCTATTAGCTTCCATGCAATGGTGGGCTGATGCGAGACTTTTTTAAGGCCAAGAAAGATTCCGCACCATAATGTCCTTGTACTACAGAGGCGCTCACGGTATCATTGTTGTGTACAATGTTACTGATAATGGTGAGAATGCTTGTCTGAAACACCAACTTGAATGCTTACCCCGACAATAAGACACTTTTATGAACATCAAGCAATGGCTACAGGAGATAGACCAGTACGCCTTTGAGGGCGTCAATAAGCTGCTGGTTGGGAATAAGAGTGATCTTACCAGCAAAGAGGTGGGGGAGTACAGCGTGGTGAAGGCAAGTATTCGCTTAGAATATTTTGTTTGGGGGTATTTTAACCACCTTAACAGGAATTTGCCGATCAGCTTAGTATTCCTTTCCTGGAGATGTCCGCAAAGAATGCGACAAATGTCAAACAAGTGTTTTTGACAATGGCAAAACATATCAAGGATAGGTGCTCTCAGAGCAGCCTACTACTCCGAGGACACTGTCAACGAAGAACGTCAAGACATCCCATATCCACCGGCAACTCCATCAGCTCCATCACGTATCTGGCTGTTGTCTCCCATCTCCATATCCCTTGCATCTCCTGTGACTGCATCTCCGAGTACACCTGCTACATCTCTGCTCGCTGTCCAGACACACCACTTGTAGGATCTCATTTGGGAGTTTGAGGGCTGCTGCGAGTCCTGTTTTGTCTGGCGAGAGTGGGATGGTTATGTTCATGAGTGTGTTTCAGCTCTATCCTAATATTATATCTCCGATGCTTCAATTTTGATTTCCTCATCCCCTCTGGCTTATGATGTACTCGTATGTCTTTGGTGATTGTTCTATACTACTACTAATATACCCATGCTGTAAACATTATTATTATTATTACAATTAAATATCGAAATATGTATTGCTACCCAATAGAATAAATTGTAATTTGTATTGCAAGGAATGTATATTCATTACAATGAAATTTGTAAGCCTGCAATTGCCATTGTGAGACTTGTCAGTACATTCCAATGACTTTGCAATAAATGTTGCAACAATGATTTCAACCACCATTGCCATGTGATGTGACGCCAGTGGTCATGATTGTCATGAATCATCATAATTGCAACTGTGCTTGAAATTGATATTTAAATGATTATGACAATTACAACTCTATTATGGCAACCTATTTAAAGATTTGTTCTGCATTTGGGCATTGAAACGTGTTGCAAGCCGTTGAAATCTAAATTAAGAATTTCTGACACAGTGCAACATCTAGGTCCTTCTCTCCTCCGACCCAGATCCAAACACAGACAGTGAAGGTGATGCAGATGTCATGGAGTTGAGAGAAGCAGTTGATACTGCTACTGACCACCGCAGTGCATTTTTGACATTATCCGATCTGGTTGCATCTCTTTCTATCATCTATTGCAAACCATCCAATTGGATTACCCCACAACCCAATCATATGTTTTAGTCCATGCTTGTCTCATTGTTTACAACTGTTGTCCCTGTGCTCTTTCAAAGTTTTTGTTTCATTTTTTCTATCTCTATCAACTCAACTAGTTTGTGTCGAGTCAATCAGTCCACATCACCAAAAGGCACAGTAACCAAGAGGGGGAAAAGTTAAACACCCACAATCTGTGTTGCAAATTGTTCATTGTTCTCCAAACACTTCCACAGATAATACTGCCACAGTTGGCTGAGAGCCCGCACATGCTCATTCGCAAACTTCAGCCATGCTAGCACCTCCTTTCTCTCCTTGTCTAACTTCGCCTTCTCCTTCTCCGCAATCCTCAAACCTAGCCACCTTCTCGGCTCTCTCTTCTCCCAGCCATTCTACATCAGCAAGCGCAGCAGTGCCAATAATGTCTTCGAGGTATTCAAGCAGCCTGTTGTCATGCTCTGAAGTGCCCTTGGGCTTCATCTGTGCAATTGACTCGACTTCACCCTGCAGGATAAGGAAATGCTTGTGTGTGAGGTCGATTCTGCACCCTTGGAGGAGTGTTTGGACCTCAGTGTAGGTGGAAGACCATGAATTGAGCGTGTACTGAGAGGTGTTGGATTTGGTTACTGTGTGAGCGACAATGAGTGCAGAGTTTGGGACAACATTATGTGTGTCAGGTCTGGGCTGGGGGAAGGACTTAGTTTAGTCCAATTTCATGGGTGAAGGAATGTACAAGGTCTATGATCTTGCGGAAATGGACTTCCACACTGCACTCATCCAAGTGAAGTTAACAAGCACCATCTTGTGTATCACAAGACGCGGCTTAAGACCTGAGGAGGGTCTTCAGTGGGTGGGGGCTGCATCACTGACAAGGGTTTCACGTGGGGCTCAAGGAGAGAATTTTCTTCCTCTTCCTCCTCAGCACCATCTTCAAAAATGTGACATTTTCAAAGCAGGGCCCACGCTACCTCTTGTCGATGTTCTGCATGTCCTGGTAATGTTCTCTTTCTCCTCTACATCATCTGCATCGGTTCATTTGCATTTCACAGAGTTTGATGCCTCCTGTTCAGCAGACGGTCACATAGAGTGAGATGACTTGCAGGGAGGCATTATTCAGAAAGATCTTAAGTTTATAATATTGAGAGGAGTACTCTGTGCTGCTGCAATGACAGCATGTTAGATTTTTGTTATGAAATGTAATACTACTCTAGATCTGTTGACAAGTACCAAAGGCACCCCCCACAGGAAGGAGTTCCAAAAATGCATGACAAAAAATAAGAGCATCCGAGAGGTGTGAGGGGAGTGCACTGTTGTCCTATGTTGGTCTTCATTGCCATAGGTCACAATTTTGTTACAAAACCGCATGCTATTCTACATTTGTTGACGAGTGCTAAATGCACTTCCCATGAGAATGTCTTGGATGAGGTTATAATGCAAAGCAAAAGTAAGCCAAATGACAATGTTCAAAATGATCACCACCAGTATGCTATCACCCCTTGTCGGCTGCAATGCAGGAATGTCATCACATTGTTGTGCACCACTCATGTTACTCTGAATTTACAGGCATTGATGGCTATGTATCTACAACTCAAAAATTTAATGGGATAAATGATCATATTTTGTAGGAGCAGAATTATATCCTTCTACAGTTCACACAGCTACAATATCAGGGTCTCATCAATTCACTGATGATCGCAAGGCTGGGCGAATTCACTGTAAAAATTGTAAAAGACTTTGATCTGAGTAAACACATTTCAAGAAGAGGGATGTCTGAATCAACAGACTGCCATGGTTTTCCCATCACCCAATTCCATATTCCAAGCACTAAAACCACCCCCATAGCTGGAGAAGACACCTTTTGGGCAGAGCAGGATGGGCCAACTGATCCTAAAGCTGTGCTTCTGAATCATCTTCATGTCAACACTGCAAGCAATGATTCTCACCTCTTTGCTTGGAAGCATCCTAAAGGTACTAGGCCGCTGTCAAAGAAAGAATTCATCAAACAGGTGGCATCAGCAGCTGCAATAGCTGGCCTCCCAGACCTAAAAGGACATGGCCTATGAATAGGAGGAATGTTAGAATACCTTCTGCGAGGAATACCATTTGAAGTGGTGAAGAGCATGGGCAGATGGTCCAGCAATGTGTCATATCCTGTACCTCCAGATCCAGAATTCCAGATCTACTCCATTAAAGTCCGGTTCTCCATCCTGCTATTCTGCCTGGTGCTCCACCTTCATCTCCACACTCACCCCTAACTCCTTTTAGATTAGTTATTGCTCCAGTTACCGGTTATGTCCTCTTCCACTATGCTTACTGATCTGTTCCATTCTTACTTCATTTCCGACTTCACTGCTTTGATCTGTTACACTTACTAATAGACTTTCCACATGCTTCATACATAGCCCTTACCTTTGCTGACTGATTTACTTACATGATACCTACAGTATATAAGCCCCTGTAATACTCTGGAACTCCTCAGTTCAAATATCATCTTAGTTCTGCTCATTCCTGCAATCTCCAGACTTGAGTCTCACCTCTTGTCCACCTCCGAGTCTTAGGGGTTAAACCTTAGGACTAATCCTCCAGCTCTACCTTAGGGTAGCCTAACCTCTGTTCTGTTTCTACTCCGGATTTCCGTAGCAGCCTTACTCCACCCCCACATAGTCTTTCAGAGTTCCACTGAACTCCACCGACGTTTGTCCTCTGGAACTCCCCAGACTTCTGTCGGACTTCCCCTCTGCCCACCGGAAATTAAGGGCACGTACTCGGGTAAGGGGCACAGCACATGAGCTGAAGCCGAAGCCCTTTGAGTAACCTCCCCCTTGAGCACGACCTTAACACAACGCCTTCGCACTATACCTTAGAGACCACACTTTGATCCTAGCGCCCTACATTCAAGCGTCCCCAGCCCTGGAGCCATTCACAAGCTATACACTGCCACCAGTGCAATAACAGCCAAGTGAGTTTTCGCTCCTAATACTGGGGTATCAAGCTTTGCTTTACGCGTCACTTCACTCCTAATTCCGGGGATCACAGCTCATCTTGACACCTAGGTTCGGACCCTTATTTCAGGCCGGAAAAGCCCGATGGGCTTTCGCCCAAACACCCAAAACCTTTTCTCACCACCACATCAGTCCTGTGTATACTTGACCCCCGTGTCGTAGTTAACCATCCTTCCCATAATCACAAACGCTTCCGTTGCCTCGAAATCTCACCGCGTTCCAATTGCCATCAAGCATAGAGCTCTAAGTTAGTAAGTTAGCCCGGGGTTCAAAATGTTTAACCCACATTTAAGCGATTTTTCAACAATTTCAAAAGTTGTTTTGAGTACCACTATTCCGGCCTGACTATTGTTTTGTTTACGCAGTGCTAGTGAATATTAATGCCATGTTCTTGTCGTGTCTCATGCACCGGTGGCTGTGACATCGTCGCCCGCAGGTAGCTACAGTACTAGCAACCTCAGAGGACTACATAGCAGCGACGCTAGCAGAAAGATCCGGACCTCGTTATAACGCGAGAAAGATAAAAGTCAGAAAACGTAAATGAATATCACAGTTCCTGCTCCACGATTTTCTTTGCCAACACCTTGATGTTGTCGGCACTGGAGCCCAGTCTAGTTTGCCCCACGGCCGCGTCCACCATCCGTTGTCCGATATTAGGAGGTGCCCTCTTCCACTGAGTCACTCTCAGCCCAACTCCAGGCATCGCATGTCGAGTGATATACCGTACCCAACGATCGACGACTTCGGGGTCTGCATCCCATGCTTTAATTGCACGTTTGTGCACCTTCCGCTCGAAGTTCTCTTGACTCTTCTTGTGCACGAACGGACCGCGAGGTACAGTCCACAGCGAGCGTTGCGTTGGCAAGTACACCGGGCGTGAAATTGGGATGCCTAATGCTGCAGCTGCATGTCCCACGAAATGCATGTACAGTTCAAGAAATTGATGGTGATATGCACGGAACTGCAGCTGGGCGACTGGAACTGAATGAATGCGGGGGTGGTATAGCGGAGGATAGAGACTGCGTCCGTGAACAACTGTGGAAGAAAAGTCTTCTTCCGTCAATAGTGCAGGAGCCTCTGGTTCTGGCTGTCGAGTAGGCGCACTGCGTAAAGTATCATTCAGCTGTAAGATACGCGATGGGCAAAAACGCACGCTGTGTGGCTGCTGCCATTAAACCGCACCCATCTGGCTATAGTTGGTAGAGTTAGACGAGACCGTCGAGGCAACATTGCTATTTGCGAAGAGACCTGTCACGATTCTCGAACTTGAAGACAAATATCGAATCCGGCGAATGCCGGATCGCATTTCTCGCCCTTGCTATCCTTTCTGAGTTCTACATTGGACAAGGCTCGACAGTAGACCGCCATGTCCTCCCATGACAGTGACCCATTCTACCTCAGGTGAGTGTGTTGCTAATTCATGAAATAACTAGGCTGAAATGAGTTTGTAGATACTAGTAAATCATAATTCATCCTATTTGTTTTGTCGCTAAACATTCATGTAGCACTGGCCATTCAGGAAAACACGGTCATGAATTCTTGGAGTTTGAGTACTCCCATGGTCGTCTTCGATATGCCAACAACTCGAACTATAGGAATGACAGTTTGATCCGGAAAGAAAGTCAGTAATACGACTTGAATTCTTCGCGAGTACTGATGCAAGTTCTTAGTGTGGGTTGGGCCATTAGTGGTGAAGGAGCTCAAGCGCATTGTGGAATCGAGTGAAATCACAAAGTAAATATACTCTGCCCTATTTTCGATCTGCTGACTGGCCATTTAGGGAGGATGACACAAACTGGCCGAAGAAGAACATCGTTGGAAAGCAAGAACTCGAGATTCGCGTAGGCAATGACCACATTGCTTTCGAGGTTCGTAACTGGCAGCACTCTTGCGAATGCGACCTTATACATACTTCGTCACATTTAGACTGCGAAAATCGGGTCCCTTGTTGACATCCAAGACAGCGAGGATCCTGAAGGACTTCGCGTGTTTTACTACCTCGTACAAGACTTGAAGGTGTGTCTCCGCTTACTTTTCCTCGCGCGATCTTATAACCATTTGCGTAGTGTCTGATATTCTCCCTTATTTCTCTTCACTTCAAAATCAAGCCTATCTAGCTACATTCGTATCTCTTGTGCCAGGCCGAAATGACGCGGCGCATGTTCACGCAGCACCACAAAATGTTACCTTTGTATCACCTTCACACAACGTCGCTCAAATCACTTTCCAATTTTATTGGTCCTCTGCCTCCGGAACTGGCGAGCATGAATAGACTATATCTAGGCTCAATGCGCCAGTGCCACTAAACCTCCAAGGTATCTTCTAGTACTCTTGGATGTTGTGACATTGCAGATTAGTGCTCCAACTCAACACGCCTTCTAACATGCGATGCAAGAAAGCTCGATTTATGGCATCCAGACACAGACAACACCATCAGTTACATATCTTCCACAATTTCCTGCATGAATCTCCTCTGAATAGTAGCATAGTGCTGCATTTCTGCTGCACTAACACTAGGGACTAGCTCGTTCAGTGCACGGATGAAGTCCACCTGAGTAACCAAAATGTGCAAGTCATCTGATTTGGCGATTTCAGTGAGATAGTACTGAGGTGTTAGTTGGTGTTGTCGAAATTCTGATTGTTTGTTGAGTTGTGCTGCTCAGCGCGTCGTCAAAAAAATCACATCGAGTGTTTAGTGTTCTGACAAACCTATTTTGCTGTCCAGCTCGGCAACCTTCCTGTTTAGTGCATTTAACATTGCGTCAGAGCATAAAGCATAGAAGTCAGCTCCCGTGTAGTGGAACGGGCACTCTCGAGCAATGTCCGCAAGGCTGAGATCACGACTAAGCTTGAATTTTCTCGTGAGGGCATGAAGGATATCAAGCTGAGCTTCGTGCGTGTCGCTAACTCCGAGATATAACATTCGATCAAACCTGAGGAATGGATGAAAGGCTGATTACACAGAGAATGTTACCACAAACCTTCCAGGTCGCAAAAGAGCCGGATCTAATAGGTCGGGGCGATTGGTAGCTCCGATGACGAAGACATCGCCTCCACCCCCAGCAGACATACCATCCAGTTCTGCAAGAAGCTGGCTCACAATACGGTCCATAACACCACCTGAATCTCCTTGGTTGCCTCGCTTTGGCGCTACAGAGTCAAGTTCATCAAAAAAAATGACGCATGGTTTTGCGTCACGAGCACGTTGAAATATGCGTCGAACGTTTGCTTCAGACTCTCCAATGTACATGTTCAGGAGTTCGGGTCCTTTCACCGAAAAGAAATTCAATGAGCACGAAGTTGCCACTGCCTTCGCGAGCAGCGTTTTCCCTGTGCCTGGGGGCCCATACAACAAGATTCCTGTGTGGCTCCATAATTCAGTAGCTGAGATGGGAACCAGAAATCATGCAGACCTGAACGCTTCTTCAATCCTTCGATGAATAATTCGGGGTGCTCTAACGGAAGTTGGATGGTGTCCAATATCTCGTTCTTTACTCTCGACAAACCACCGATGTCCTGCCACATGACCGCAGGAATCTTCGGAGCCCCAATGTTTTGAGCGAACGTCGTCCTCGCCTTCAAAAGGGAAGATTCCAAGTGATTTGCTCGAATAGCTATGGTACTCCGGGACCATGTTCGACGAGCAATTTCGTCACTGCAGACATCGTGATCAGCAAGGTTATTAATTCGAAAAGCTCTCACCGCACAGTGACTCTCTAACAGCAATAACCTCCGCTTGTGTCAAAAAGTCGAATATATCAATGGCAACTAGTGCAGCAGTCTGTATGGCAAAAGAAGCCACTGAAACATCGGAAGCCAGCTTGACATGATCCATGCAATGACGTATTATACCCGATCGTTCTGCCTCAGTCGGAGCCTGTAAGAGGTACAGCGAATGATATACAACGTGTTTGTGTGAGCAGTCAATGGTGGTCCCACCTTTAGTGCAAATTCATTTGTAAAGCGCGAGAGGAGGATAGCAGGGATCTTAGAAGTGTCACTCGCAGTTGCAATGACGAAAATCTGGCTGCCCGTGGATTGCGTATGGACCTCCACGTCTGCTAAACAATCGTTCAGGGCATGTGACATTGTGATACCTAAAGCTTTGGTTAAGATGATGATAGTGCACTAAGGAAGATTTATGCACACCTTTTCCCGGTTCCAAAGCTGGAGTAGACTGGGACAGCGCGTCTAGGTGCCGAATCACGATCGCGCATGGTGCGCATGAACTTGCCATTTCAACTCGAGCTCTTAAGCTGCCTTCTGTATTGACTTGATTTTCCGAAATTATCGCAAAACAGTTAATCTATCGTTTAGAAGGAATCAATCTCATGAAGGAGGAGCTCAGTGGTTGATTGCACCTCTGCAATATGGATTCCAAGCCGTCGTGCTATAGAAGAAGCCATTGTAAACTTCCCGGACCCTCGAGCTCCTGAAATAAGCAGAAATGGTCGAATGCCAAATTCTACAGCTCCCTTGAATCGAGGAGCATCCGACAAACGAGTCATTGCATCCATTGTGCCAGCTGAGAAAGATGATTCTCCTGATCTGGTACCAGCGTCATCTACTCGGTTGTCAACGACGCGTCACTCAACGCCGCAAATGCTAAAGTTCTCACGAAGGGCATTATAGCTTGGTATATCTGGTGAGCTTTTATTTTGTGTTCCGAGCTGCACGATTCGAGTATGCTGGGAGTCGACGAAACAGCCGTAGTCGCCTCGAGCAAACTGGGGGTAAATGCAATAGTCATCAACAGCATTGATAGGGTCGTAGTCGACCTTGTCCACGACAAAGGACACCACTGCGTTACCGCTTGACCGCCTAGTACCAAACATGAGGCAGGCTTCAAATGTTTTGTGCAGATCAAGCTCACCAATATATTGGAAGTTTGCCCTTGTCAAGTTTATCAATAACTTCTGCGTTGTCGGTATCAATGAACACATTAATTAAATCTCCTGGTTTGACCATGCGTTTACAGGAACTGAAGTAAGATTGTATTTCTTGGAGAAAAAGAGTCTCGAACTTGCGTCCGGTGGAAAAAGGTGATGTAATGCGAGAAAGAGTAAGGGATCGAGCGACTGGTATTGCCGGTTGACGGTTACCAAAAGGGCTTGGACGAATCCACACCAGACCGGAAGAGTCCACACGGATGCTGGAAACCAGTGACGGCGAAGCCTTCACAACACCACTGGGGATCCCTTCAGCATAGGATAAAATCACATATCAAAAACTCACGAAGGCACCGATTCGCAATCATGCGCAAACACCCGCACTAACCTTGCTTGTGATGACTCGAGGTCGCTCACAATAGCCTGAGCACAGTGAGTTTAATGTCGCAGAAAGGAAGGTAATAAACGTACCCAGTCTCCATCAAGGACACCAACTCGACGAAAATCAGAGGTTCGCAGGTACAGCGCGACATCATTGTTAGGGACATCTCGATCCTCTCGCGAAAGCGGTTGAAGACGGAAACAAGCGTCCATTGCGGCGGCTGCAACGTTAAGTTATGTTAACAGGACGCTTAAAGCGGCGGATACGCACCCTCATACGGACCAGCATGATGAGCCACGGCTGCCGGTAGTGCGGCAGTGATGAGAAAAGATTCGCTGATCTCGAGCGGCTCCGAAGCTAGCTCAGCATCAGATGAGTGTATGCCAACAGTCGACGAGTCTCCTCCAATTTCTGCTCCCTGGTCACAACAAGTCACCACAAACTGCGTGACATTTCGCCGTATGATCCCTTGAGAGTATGGATATGCAACATCAATTTTATAGCGATATGGATAGAGCGCCGAGGGGGATGTTTCAGATGCATCGCCATTTGAGAGAGATAACGTTCGGGGAACATGCAATTCTTCACCAGTGCGGATTATCAGCGATGAGTTGAAGAGCCATTCCTCCATGGCAGAGCTGTGGGACGACGCGAAACTGTATGCGTCAGGGGTTTGGGCTGTCAATACCACTTCGGAGAGCGAGACGTCTTCTGCACGAGACAAGTACAGTTTTTGCTGACTATTGAATGTCCCAAAAATATGAGGATACAGGTCTGACCAGTGAGGTGGTATTGCGATGCACTCAATCTTGTGGCAATGATTACATGAAACAAAAACATGACCATATGTAATGGACGCACATCAGGATCCTCGTTCGCCCAACAAGTCAAACATTCCAAATCTTGGAAGGTTAACAAGGGCGCGATTGAGTCGCCCGACGATATTATGATGAGAACACGAGAATCTTGTGGTGTAGACAAATATGCCCACAATCGGGAGCTCAGGAGCACGGTGTCGCTACCAGCCTTGTCTGGAGGATCTTTGAGAGTGAATTCGCCTTCTACGCTGGGCGGCTGGCGGAAAAAGAAGCTCATTTGACAGGCGTGACAAAGGCTTGTCGGGGGGAGGCTTTTGTTGGCCGGAGAGCTAAAGGCTGGATGTGAATAACGCGAAACAGTACTTATGCGTGCATATGCGGTAACACTGCGGTAACATACATCCAACTGCTTACATAATCACATTGTTTTTATTCCTCATACACCATGAGTCGAGGTGCAAGTGGTTTTAGCAGAGGTGGAGGTACGAGTTCAAATTATAATTACTGAGACTCCAGTTTGGCTGATTCTTCTAGGACGCGGTGGAGGACGCGGAGGATTCCAGCAGCGCGATTTCGGTCCTCCAGCTACAGTCGTCGGTAAGACATTCCCCTCACAATTTCGCGTCACAATTTTCATCGTTTGCAGAAATGGGGACATTTATGCATGCTGTAGAAGACGAGATGTTGTGCTCCTCTCTCATATCCGACAGGGTTCCTTACTTCAATGCCCCCATTTACCTCCAAAACAAATCTGTGATCGGCAAGGTTGACGAGATTCTTGGCCCTATCAATGAAGTTTACTTCTCAGTCAAAATGGGAGAAGGGATGGTTGCGAGCAGCTTCAAGCAAGGAGATAAAGTATACATCGGAGGGGATAAACTGTTGCCCATTGAGCGATTCCTCCCAAAACCAAAAGTTGCAGGTATGCTGTATTCTGTATGTCTCTCTCAAGTTCTGCGCCTGAGCTTTATTTGTCTAGGTGTAACAAGTACATCTCTCCTCTCTTATATAAGCTTCTGATTCACTGTAGATCATTTCTAGAGCGCGGGCGCGGGACTGCAAGGGGCGCTGGGCCACGGGGACGGGGGGCCCCTGGTGGACGAGGACGGGGAGGACGAGGCGCTAGTAGGGGTGGGGCAAGAGGTGGCTTTGGTGGTGGCTTTGGTGGTGACCGGGGTAGCCGAGGAGGGGGTTTCAGAGGAGGAAGTGGCCGTGGTAGCAGTGGTGGAGGTTACGCTCCTCGAGGTGGAAGAGGCGGGTTCAGGGGATCGTGATAATAGTGTCAGCATTATGTTGGTCCCAGCATGTATTTGTGTAGATGTCAAGGTTTCAGTGCCTTCACCTCGCTCGAAACAGTGATGAATCTGTTTACCCGCTCATGTTGCATGGAAATAGACTGCAGAAATCAATGTAACACATTGAATTAGGCGTCGAAAGAACCCTACCTGAGAAAGCTGAGCCGACATGGCAACAGCATTCACGAACGTATCTTCCATCCCCGGGTCGAGTTGGCTGTCTATTGCAGAGTTAGATGGTGTTCTCCCATTCAACTTCCACACATACCATCGAAATCTGAAAGTTCTGATTTCTGATTCGCATCAGTATCCATGTCAACACCACGATGCTGGGCGTAAACCCCCTGAACCAGGGCTTCGACTTCCGTGGGACGTGTCCGGCGGCGGCCTGCAATTTCCCTATCCCACTTCAGTCGCTGATCGGAGAGTGACCAAATATGTCGATCAAGAGCCTCATCAAAAGGCTCCATCTCTACAACCCATGAGCGACATTAACTCACTGTCAAACATCTAACCCTCACCTTCTTCGTCATCGCATGGATCTTCGGTGGTCCGTCCGTTGATACGGAGATTTGGTCTAGTTATCGCAAAAAGTGTGTCAAGGAACTAACGTTTTTCAGAACATCATGTTTGAACGAAAGGTGCTTTGCTCACTTGATTTATGTGAGGCAGAAATGTATCCCTATCTTGACTGGCATCTTGAGACTGAAGTTCCAAGTCCAATCTACCAAGAAAAGCGGTTGAAATATTTCGCTGAAGACGTCGCCAATCCTGTTCTGTCTCCACTGATATTTTGGGTAGATCTTCTCGGGCATCCATTTGAAGGGTAAAGAACGATGTAATGAACAAGTGCAGCGCGTTATTGTCGGTTGTTTGTACGTTGCGTGCAAAGCCTTTGGATCCAAACAACCATCTATCGTTCATCTATGCATACTTAGATCATTTCCCGCCAACCATCATGTCCACCTTGACATTCTGGAAGCCAGGAACTGCAGGACCTGGGAGCACACTTGACAGAGCAACAGAGGAGGAAGGAAATGTCGTTCAATCTGCGCCTTCGCAGGGTTCCCTTTCTATACAAGCGCAGCGTGAACGATTGCCCATTTGGAAACACCGTATGTTCACTCACTATTACTTATTGTCGCTTCAGCACTACCCAACTTTCTTTTATAGGACAAAAACTTTTGCACTGTGTAGAGAAGTATGGTGTCACAATTGTCGTCGGTCAAACAGGATCAGGGAAAACAACTCGTGAGCAATCATCAAATATCGCAGATAATTCAAGTTCCATCTTACTCTAGGCTGAGAGCTACCCCAGTATCTCCTGGAATCGGGATGGGCTTCTGAAGGTAATGTCATTGCATGCACCCAACCACGACGCGTCGCAGCAACGTCTGTCGCTATCAGAGTTGCAGCCGAAGTTGGTACCCTTCTTGGGGATGAGGTACACCACCAAGTTAACGTACCTCCGCATTGCTGACGTGTATTCTCATAGGTTGGATATACTATTCGCTTTGAGGATGTCAGCGACAAGGAACGAACCCGGATATGTTACATGACCGATGGCATGCTCTTTCGAGAGACGCTAATTGATCCTCTTCTCTCGCGCTACAGCGTTATTATGGTTAGTACTGCACTTCTCTTGTCAGCATCCGCTCATTGAGTTGCCAGATTGACGAGGCGCACGAGCGAAGTCTCTACACAGATCTACTGCTGGGTGTCTTAAAGAAGTCTGTCAATTACACAAGCTTTCCCCCCGGCTACTTAGCTAAGATGGCGCGATTCACAGAATTAGACGCAAGCGCCCATCACTTAGGCTGATAGTGTCGTCAGCTACTTTGGACGCCAGATCGTTCTTGGAATACTTCACTTCGGGAACACATCCAGACGAAGCCACCATTGTTAGTCTGGAAGGGCGAATGTTTCCTGTTGAGGTTGCCTACCTTCAAGAGCCCGCTCCAGACTATGTGAGGAAGGCAGTTGAAGTTGCATGGAATATTAACTTGCAGGTGTGTTCCCTGAACCTTTTTGCTCTTTGCCACATGACCCCCTATTGTGCAGCACGGTGCCGGTGACATTCTGATATTCCTGACGGGACGTGAAGAAATAGAAAGATGCTTAGAGGAGCTCACAGAACTTATCCCTACGTACGCATACATTTTTCTCCCATATGATCCCTATGCTCATGCAAACCCTGATGCTATCTAGACTTCCACGAGGAGCTACACAGATAATTCCTCTTGCCCTGCACGCTGGCTTAAGCACGGAAGAACAGCTCAGGGTTTTCAATGTTACAGAACGAGGGACGCGGAAGGTTATCGCCGCCACAAACATCGCAGAAGTGAGTCCCACCATTTGTGTCAACCTGGCGTCTCATAATGTAATCAGGCCAGCGTCACCATCGACGGGGTGAAGTTTGTTGTTGACAGTGGGTTTGTAAAGGCAAGTTGCATTACTTTCTGGACCGCTCCATCTCACCAGCAACAGATACGGACATATAATCCAACCACGTTCCTTGCCTCACTGTCGACAGTTCCAGTTTCCCAAGCATCTGCTATACAGAGGGCTGGTCGCGCCGGACGGACCTCACCGGGAATTTGCTATCGTTTATATCCTGAATCCGTTTTCGCTTCTCTTCCTACCAGCACGCCGCCTGAGATCACTCGCACTGACGTGACCACTCCGATCCTGCAGCTGAAGTCGCTAGGTATAGATGATCTTATGAAGTTTGAATGGGTCTCGGCACCTCCAGCAGAAAGCATTCTCCGCGCCCTTGAGGGACTCTTTGCTGCAGGAATGATTAGGGGAGGATGGCCTCCTTACTCCGATTGGCGAGCGAGTCGCAGAATGCCCCATCGAGGTCAATATAGCTAGAATGGTACGTTTGCTAATAATTTTGGCTTTTGTTACATGGCTTGATCAAAGGCAGCTTTTTGCTTCGAAAGATTTCAATTGCGGCGAAGAAATTCTTACGATTGCTGCTATGGTCTCAATACAGGTGAGCGCCTCGCTGGTCCGATATCCCTATCATGTTTAACAAAATACATCGTAGGATGCATTCGTCATACCTGAAGGTGCTCCCGGAGCGATTGCAGAACTGGAGAGACGAAAATTCACAGCCGATGAAGGGGTATGATCCATCCTTGTCCGCTGCAATTCAGCAAACTGACATCTGAAACAGGATCATTTGACACTTTTGAATGGTACGTGTTATCTATGTTTGACAGTTGATTGCTTACGTTCAATAGCATACAATGCCTTCACTAAATACGGTCGATCTTCATCAGTGGTGCAAAGCTCATGCACTCAACTTTCGTGCCATGTCGAGAGCGGTGTCGATTCGGTCCCAGCTGAAGAAATACATGATTCGCTTCAACTTACCATTGCATAGCTGCGAGGGTGACGCTAAGCGGCTTCGGCAAGTGTCTGGTCAGTGGATATTGGCGCAATGGTGCCCGATGGGTTGCAGATGGAACGTACCGGTCGGTGAAGGGAAACAAAGTGAGCACTACTGCTAAGTGCATGATATTCACCGTTGTTCACTCAAACAGACCTTATATGTCCACCCTACATCTGTGCTTTTCACTCGAAAGCCGCGGACTGGGTGGATCGTCTTCCACGAAGTGGAAGAAACTAAGAGGACACAGTATGTCTATCTGCTTGGTTGAGGGGCTGCAAAGTTCATCTTTTCTTAGGATACGAATACTCTCAGAGATCGAACCAGATTGGTGAGTTAACTTTCTCCTTGTGACTCTGCACTCGCTCAACACTTGTGAAGGCTACTTGACTATGGGCATAAATACCAACATAGGCATGCTGCGGATTAATTTGGACGGGACTTGGTCCCGGTAGTCAATCAAATGGTGTCGTCCCACAATTGACCTGCGGCGAGGAGACTGGTGTTCGTTTCGCCTAGAATATGTGGTGACATCGCACCCATACTGTGAGGTAGTATTGAGGGCGTTGGGCTGGTGAGAGGTGGAGTTGTAAATGAACAGAATGTGCATTCGAAAAAGTGATCGAAACTTAAAGGCTTGCCGATCATGACCCGAGTTGAAAGTCCGAAACGCCATACAAAATAAGCTATGTAATACCGCAATTGTACTTAAGCCTTGTCAATCATGGGCGCTGGCCAGTCCAAAGCGGACACAGAAGAAAAGGTCTTTTACAACGAGACTCCCATACAGGTTTGGTCTACTTGCTGTCCTAAAAGCTAGTTTCCTAAGGTTGTGTACAATGTCAAGTTCTCGCAGGATGTCGTGAACCACCTCTCAGATCATTCAATGTCATCAGACACATCGCCAGAACGACAATCCACTCTTGACGTCCACATACGTGCTCGGATACAAGCGGAATTGGAGCATCTGCGAGCGGAAGAGGAAAATGTGCAGAAGGAAATCGAACTCGCCCTCGAGAGGGAGAATATCGACCGCGAAATGTCTCCGGCAGGCGGAGAATCTTCCGACGAGGTCCCTCAGGGCGATGTCAAGAATAGCACGACGTTGATGGGTGACCTTGAAGAGATTCGTAGCAAAGTGGACAGGTTCCAGGCCAGGAAACAGCTCAGCGATTATCCTGCGGTGAAGGAGAGCGGTGAAGCAGTAGTGTTCTGCTATAAGTGAGCCTATCCTACTGGTTTATCCCATCCTTTCACTCATTTGTCGCTTCCGTAGACAAAATCCCACCACTCCTTTGGACTGCTGGCGAGAAGTGAGCGAGTTTAACGCTAGCGTTGCTCAAGCGGAATCGGTAGGCAAAACGGGTCAGACGTTCGGGTTTCAACTCACTGTTTCCTCAGCAACATCTCGCTTCTCTTCGGTAATAGTCGCAATGGCACCGTCAAGAACCAAGAGCCTTCTCTACACTTATAGCGTGGTTCGTGACGTGTTTCATACATGTCTAATAGTGTGTAAACCCTATACTATGACTATTGAGTCGTGGAATTTCATGATTCGCCCTCTGGATTATCCAATCCGACACCCCGCAGCAGTGCTTCACGATTCTTCGCCCCCATATGCCACTCCAATTGAATCTGTTGACTGGGCCCCTTGCTGCAGGCACAGTGACCCAGCACTTATATTTGAAACTCGATGTGGGTTGGCATCGCTGTGCGTAGAATGTCGCAGTGTTGAGCAGGGAACTGTCAACTCCGCCTGCTGTTCGCCGATTGTGTGCGGCTCGGAGCTATGATCAAGTCTCGAAAGGTGTCTAGTGCCGAAAGTGTGGTCCAAGGCTGCTGTTATGGTAGCCACGGGCACGCGGACTTGTTCTTCCTCGGTCTGGGTAGAATACACCGAAGCAGTGCTGATGGTTGATTTATGAGACAACCTGTTCGAAGCCCTCCCAAATGATGTTCTGCTTCCACGTCCGGCGCTCTCTTTCAATTGATCAGAAGGACGTCGCAGAGCACGAGCTGGATTCTTTGGGGGTGTTATTGGTGGTCCCGGCAACGGTGCAGCGATGATCAAGGAATGCTGGACGGGAGTGGTGTTGGATGCAGTGGATACTGTGTTTGGTACTGAATCTACATGACTCGTTTTCCCGTCTGAGCACCCAGTATCGTCACAACTACTCGAGGGGCCACAGCCCTCCTCGTTTAGTTTGTCAGGGGTCGTTTGGGTTTGTCTCGTCGTAATACTTTGCTGTTGAGCATGATGAATGACCAAGACATCAAAATTACATGGAGCATACCTTGCGCGAGTGAGATCCTTTGTTGGACTGTCTGATGAACCATTTCCATCCCACCACTGCTATCACCACAAGGGCGATCCCGGCAGCAGTACCACCGACGACTGCTGGGATGGAGACCACTGTAGCGTGCTTGGTATTTGTGGTGGGCGTAACTGTGCTGGAGTTCGTTGAAACGATTTGCTCACGATTGATGTTAAGAGTGAGGTGGTTCACATTGCCGATGAGTAAGGGCATGACGAAGGGAACCGGGGATTAGTACCGAGTGAACATACCGACACCTTGTATGCGTCGTCGACAAGGTGTTACAAAGGGCCATGCGATTTAAGGATGTACAGAACACCAGTCACAAAGAATGGATGGATGAACGTGTTAGCCACGAGGTGTCCCTGATCCAAAACCAGCGCGCGCAATCGATATATTCGTGTATATGACATGGAATAAATGGACATCTTTGACCTACGTGAGAACACTTTATGCTGCGCAATCCTACTTCAAAGGTGGATAAATAGGTAGGACATATGGAATGCGGTCACAGTACCTTACCTTTTGTGACAGAGATGGAGTCACAGGGATGAGGGCGCATTTGATAATCTACAGCTAGTACTGTTCCTCGTGAGAGGTGACTTTTAATCCTGTAAAGTTGTGATCGGAATACAAATGCCAAGCTCATGCCAATTGTCTGTAGTAGTTTATTACAAAGTCTTGTGGTCAATTTAATATTGAAGCATGAACGCACGCAACCCCACAATGTACGTATCTGACCAGTAAGAAAACCGAGCCGCTGTGACGAAAATAGCTGTGTAGATCGGAGTTTGATCAATTGGAGCACATCGTGTTCAAGTCGCGTTGGTCGTTATTTTAAGAGTACTTGCTGGTTTCTCCCACTAAAAAATCAAATACCTTACATGCACGTTGTCCCGGCCTGGCATCCCCAAAGGCATAAGAACCCAAGAATCCCGACGACGCTCCAAGTAACGATATAGATTGTAAGATAAATGTAACGGCTAATTCCGGTCAACCAAAAATAACCGATGGTCCGGAGGGAGCGTACCTGTACCTAAGCTCGGCAACTTGCGTTCATTGAACTGCTTTTTCCCTCCTTCTCGGAAGTTAGGATAAGGCGATGCGCGAGGATACGCCTGGGACACGCATATAATGATAAGTTGCGCAAACTCGATAGATATACCAATGGGCGTACATATGATAGTTCACTATATACTTGCAATCACCTTAGGATTGTTCTTTAAGCATCCAGGAGTATCGGGATATGATGACATGTATGATCATCTTTAAAAGTAATTAAGGATGTATTTTGTTGTTTGTATTCGGACATTTTCATGATTGCCGCGTTCGGCAATTCGACTTCTTTCTGCCGCTCGGCTTTATTTGCGACAGATCCCACTGCGACTGTGCCCTTCCCCATCTCTCTCCGCTTCATCGATATCACAGCGTATTACTACTTTCAATTGTTCATCCTCCTACCTCTCTACTTCGCCCTCCTCTCTATCGTCTGTGGAAGTGTCTCCTCGTCCTCTATACTATTTTAACCTCTCTATACCTTAATTTCAGTCTAAATTAACCGGCCCTTCCCCGGTCGATAAAGAGACGCCGAGTCACCGTTGACGTTGATAACCGTATCGACTTCAAGTGGGAATGCAAGGCACTCCAGAGTTTGTGGACGAGCAGTCAATGGCAGCGTAAGACATTCTATAACGGCAAATCTCCTCAATCAAGTATGTTTATCAAGCCTCCCTCCAGTTCAAAACCGCCTATCGTGCGGAATCCAAGAGCATGCACCGTTTGTCGTGCAGCGAAGGTGCATGATCAATTGATGCTGACACAAATCAATCAACTGACTTCTTGATAGATGAAATGCGTCGGGGCAGAAGATGGTCTCAGGTCTTGTCAAAGGTGCAAACGAACAGGCGTAGAGTAAGCCATGAATTCCTCCGATATGTCCAGCAAGAGGTTGATCCCTTTTCCACAAGTTGTATCTTTGAAAAACATCGCAGAGGGCGTAAACCCGGGTCAAAGTCAGGATAATGCTCTTTGCTTTACCTACTCCTTCTCAATATCTCCAAAGGTTATCTGAAGCATCTAAAATGCTCCGACGATTAGAGAAAGGATTGAACACAGCAAAACTCAAGCAAAGTGACTCATCGTTGTCGACGGTATTCCCCGCCGACCCGCGTACTCCTCAGACAGAAAGCTCCCAGTTTGGCGGACTGCAGCCGTCAGATGCTTATGGTTCCGTTGGTAAATTCTTTTGCGTTAAGACACTACAAACAGTGACTCAAAACATACTATCATAGACGGATATGCCGCTTCCAGCGTCAGTTCACGCACCGTTGATCCAGAGGAGGATGACGACGGGGAACGGAGTGACGAGAAATTCCCCGCGAAATTGATCAGGAAGGAAAATTCCTTTTTCAGGACCATCCTCAACCCAGAACACAAGTCACCAATGCCCCATGTGTCTCGAGATCCTTACCTCGTTCAGTCATTGCGCCCAGCGCCTCTTCCCGTCGGTTTCAACGATCCAATCACAGCCGGCCTAATCAATGAAAACAAAGCAAAAATCCTCTTCGATGCAATCTTCCTTCGACTAAATCCATTTATCAATCTTTTCGATCCAGCTTTACATTCTGTTGCCTACGTGCGGTCCAAATGCCCTTTGTTATTTACTACCTTGATAATGGCTGGCTGCAAATTCTTCGAACCGAGCTTATACAAGGACTGTCTGAGGCTTGCTAATGAACTTGCAGTTCGGGCATTCGCAGAAGGTTGGAAACGAGTAGAAGTGATCCAAGCATTTGCGTGCCTTACTTATTGGAGAGAACAAGATGACAATGTGAGTGTGCCTTGAACCCTCTGACTCGACCTGCTCAAGCTGAACTTCGTCAAAGCGGACATGGATGTATATTGGATATGTACGCATTTGTTTATCAGTCTCCACAATTTAATTTATAGTTTTTGTTCAGGCGTGTCGGATGGCCGTAGAGCTTGGTCTCAACCGATATCATGCAAAACCTCCTGCTCACGAAAGCGACTTCCAGCTTCGTGAAAGACGAAACCGAGAGAGGACATACCTTGTCCTCTTTGTGCATGACCGGAGCCTCAGCATGCAGACGGGTCGGCATTGGATGCTTCCTGAAGTAAATCATTTTCTCTCCTAAGATACGACGGCTCACACTCGCTGCAGGATGACTTTATAAGGCATTCTGCTACCTGGCATGAGCAGGGCGGGTCCCCCATTCGATGCGAAGATGTCGTCGTTTCCGCTTTCATACAACTCCGTCGTATAGCGGTGAGACCTTTTCTTTCTATACCTGTATGATAAAATCTGATGGTATTAGACCGAAGCTACAGACATGTTCCACACGAACCGGAGTCTCGCGGACGGTGGAAACAGTCAAGTCAACATCGATATGGTGCTGAAAAACTGCAATGCGAAGCTCGCCTCGTGGAACACTACATGGGACCATGAGATGAGAAAAGGTAAGGAGCACTACATCTCGTCTTCTGATGCATTTGGCCTCATATCTTGTTGATAGCTAACGGAGAGTCCTTCCACTTTTCATTCATAAACTTCTTTTGCCTCTATTCGAGCCTTTTCTTGAATAGTTTTGGCGTTCAATCCAGTGTTCCACCCGTAAGTCGCAATTTTACCTCGATGTGCCGTTGCTATATTGTCTCACCCCCAGGCCAACCGCACGAATAGTCATGTCCGCGCCTTATCTGCGTGCTTCGAAAATGCATTGAGTGTGCTGGGAATCGCATCCAAAGACTTTAGAGAATTTGGTGTTTTGGTAAGTCTCACTTTAGCTCATTTCCCACCGATTAACACGTTATGCAGCGCTACGGACAAGAGACAACCTCTGTTATGACAGCATACTCTGCCATATTTCTATTGAAGGTAATAATTTTGCAACTTCAAATCGAGCAACGTTGATGTGTCGACCTTAGTTACTCCGTAGCTCTAACACTCATACAGACTTGCAATCAGAATTACCAGAGGGTGCAGCGCATCAGATCCATACTGCGATCACGAAAACAGCCGATGCGTATCAGGAAGCTTCCCACCTTTCGCCCACCTCAACATCGGCTGCTTACCATGCTCGGTTTTTGTGGAGTCTTGTTCGCAATGACATAGACCGAGCTCGACAGAACGCTCAAAAAGACATCCCGATCGACCCAAGCATGCAAAGTAAGCCGTCTCCACACTAAGCAATGTATTTGTTGACAGTTCATTTGGCAGGTTCCTATTCCCCAACTACCCCATGTGCACCTGAGCATTTTACATGCCCATCATCCGCTTCCTTACTGTCGTATTCTGGGTACCCGGCGCAAACCTCCCCTGATATAAGTAGCCATAACGCCTCTTGCGGAGGACCGAATTATCCAGATGCATTAGGTCGCACTTCTGGGTCGTATGGCCCTTCAAGTCAACTGTCCGGTTATAACATTGGGCATGTCTCAGAAACCGACTTTCATTACTACCGCAGTATGTTAGCCGAACTCGGTTTTGGGGATAATGGTACCACCGTTCCCTCGAATGACGGTTTCCGCAATATTGCCTACGGAGACACGGCTGGCGTTTATCCCCAAAACCCATACGTACATATACCACCTATCGGCCAAAGTGGATTTGGAACTAGTTAATTGGAGCGTTGCTTCTCTTGCACTTACTTATCTTCATACATGGAATTTTCTGGCTGCGCTTCAGTAACTCACTGGTATCGGTTCATGAATGACTTCATTATGGTTATTCTTCATTGAAAGGTCACTCAACACCAATGGGGAAAACAACGACTTCTACCCCATATGCAACCGCAAGCGCTGGATTGCCCCTCCTGGCCATAAAATCAAAATCTTGGACCCGATGAGGGCGGGGAGCGATATTAATAACGTGAGGTTGTGCATGAACGTAATTCATGTCGTGAACGTGAATAACAGCTCCTTTGGTTGGACAATGGGATGCAACAGCGAAATAATCCGGACTCGTCGGACACCATCTTGCAGACCAAAGTCAGGGCTTTGATGATTAATAACAATGGACAAAAAAAACGTACCGGAATTGGTGACCACCTTCAGGAAAACTGATACCTGTGTGTAAAGGTTGTCCACCCTGAGGCTTAGACAGGTCCCATATGGAAAAGCGGGAGCCGTAAGTTGCTCCTACGCTGAATGGTAAACAGAGTCAGCCGTAAGACGAACTCAGGACCAATTGTGCACAGACATATCGATGTTATCTTGACGCCAAGCTGCAAATCCCGTCCACTGTGATGAAATACCCATCAATGACTTGGACAAAGCGTGTGGTTCAACAAGCTCAATAACGCTAGAATGCCTCCAGCTCCCCTGCTCACTTTGCTCCGGATCAGACCTCCAGTCCGTCAAGAAAATAGAACCTCGGCAGTCTGAAACGAGAAATCCTTTGCTGCTGAATTGGTGGCAGTTCACAGTAACAAGGGGGTGAGGAAACGAAATCCCATATGCAGTTGGCTGATGACGGGGACGGGGTGATGACGACGCGTCGGTAATCATTGACACCTGTGGAGAAGGGATTCCGGAAGAAATATCCAGCGCTGGATGTAGATCCCAAACCATCAGCATTTTGTCATCTGAGCACAATATTTTTGGTATTCAGAGTATATTCACTATGCGATTTGAACGAATGATGCACCTGCCACGGTTGCGACATATCTCGCATTGTCTTGATCACGTCCTCCACAAAAGCACATATCATTGACTTTGCCGTGATGTCCGCTGAGACCACCACCAAACGCGAACATGTTCTCGGAAGATGTCGAAGACTTTGTTAGCAGGTGAAGACCGAAGTCTGAGGCAGCAGCAGCAATTCTGAGGCAGCGTCAACTTCATGTTTGCAGACAGTAAGGACCGCCTTACTCGATAACCCAGTCATCACTTGAACTAGGTGAAATGGATCGAGGCGACCACGCCAGGGCTGTTATGCGCCTTCCAACATGAAAAGACGCTACCCTTTCACTGGTAGGTGGGCTCTTAAAAGGGAAAAATAAATCAACGGCTTCGTTCATATAGCTAGGAGTGCACACACTACGCGGAAGACTTCCACTGAATGCTCCCCTGCGACAGCTAACAAGTCCGCCCCGTCGTCATTAGAACATGCGCGGACAACAAAGACGTCTGATCCGTGATTGATCCTCACTACTGCACTGTCCATCCTCAGACGCGAGGTTAATGAATCCAAGTGGATGTCGCTATTAAGTAGTATCTGCCAGGGTTTACAGTACTAGCTAGAAACCAAGCGTATGTACCATGCAACAACGCATTAATCGTAAGCAGCTTAGTGGCTTAGTCAGCTAATCATTGACACTTATAGCTCCGCTCAAACCTTAACTCACGACCAGGATCATCATCAAGTTTTCTGTATTTCTATCGCGGTAACAACAAAAACAGTTGTCGAAATGGTACGCCGCATGTCCTTGTTTATTCGAGATCCTCACTCAATCTGTTCAGCCTCTCGCCGTTGATCTATTGAACCCTTCTGCAGAGCATGAGCGCAAGCAGCACAAGCTCAAGCGTCTCGTGCAATCACCCAATTCATATTTTATGGATGTGAAATGTCCAGGTGTGCCCCGCCGCCTCAGACCCGATGACACCTAATCTCATGGGGTTTTTTTAGGCTGCTTTGCTATTACCACTGTCTTCTCTCACGCACAATCAGTAGTCCTTTGCGGCTCATGTGCAAGTGTCCTCTGCCAACCTACAGGTGGTAAGGCCAGACTGACGGAGGGTATGTCATCATGCTTTCTTGTTTGTGATGCATGTTTTCACCTCACTTTTACAGGCTGCTCGTTCCGCCGAAAGAACTAGATATTGTACTAGTAAAATACTACTAGAATTGTAGTGACCGAGCACCTGTTGATTTCTGCACAATCCGTTTGTTTCTCGCATTTTGTGTATGTGTCAGGACTCAGCAGCACTCTAAGCCAAGAACAGCAGCGCGAATAAAGAATTCGACCGCATGTCCGCGTCAGCCAACGAATGTGTGCCTCGTTAAGACATGCCGTCAGTTCGACGAAGGCCTTAAACAACTCAAACTCCACGATGCGCTCGATCACTCAAGTACCAAGAGACAAGAGACGCCGTCTACGAGGACAATACAGTGAGTGAATTGTTATATGGTATGCATCGTTGGTTCAAAAGCATGCCGCTCTCTTCATCGTTTTACACACGACATGTAGTTCGAAAAACGCCCCGACGCGACGATCTTGACGTTGCTTTGCTCCTTGCTATACACCATGATGAGTAAATTCCGTCACGACCATCGCCAGTGTAGCCCCCTTACAATTACGGGCGGGGATTCCAGCTAATGGGAGTCTGAAGAGTACCGTGTTGATGGCCGCATCTACGTTATTTATCATGACAAGACAAAAACAAAATCGACGCCCAAACCCTCGCTACCGATCCGCCAGACCACTGCCCGCCAAAAACAACCAATCACAAATCCAAACCAACTCGTTGAACACAATACGTGACGCACTCACCGTCTACTATTCTGCATCCTGAGCAATGAGATTGGAGGATAGATGTGGATTAGATACATTGGGACAATACGGAGAACCTGGATGAAATAAATGCATGCATTTGGGAGGAAGCAAGGGAGACCTAACAACTATAAGTGAAGTGACTTGTAAATGCCACGCGTGATGAGAACTTCAGATGACATACCGCTGCCCTGAACTACCACCATTTGAACCATCCTTTTGAACTCTGCGCAGCTGCCTCTGACTGAATCTGAAGTTCTTTCTCCCGCTCCATTCGTCGCGCAAGTTTGTATGCCTTTATTCTTGCCAGCTCTTCTCGGATGGCGGTTTGATCTGTTGGTATTTTCTGCATGGGTCGTAAGCACGCTGAGAGAGCATTGTATTAAGCCCAGAAAACTCACGCTGTGAGTCCTATCCGAGGCCGGGAATAGATGATCCTTATACTGGTGATAATAGTCAATGATGAATTCGTCCACAAACAAAAGTAGGACCCACAGGAAGGACATGATTATGGTACCAAGCAGGATCACCGAAATGCAGCAATGCCATGACGGGTACGAACAAGTATAGGCCAAATTTGAAGACTTCAAGATTTGGACCACCCATCGCTAATGCAGAATGTGTACAGTGCGCACTGCTGTAAAGAAGTGGCAAAGGCTGACAAACATGTTATAGCAGGCTCAATACAACATGTTCCGGAATCTCCTATACTTCTGAAAAACGAAGATGGCACTCGGCTTCTTTGCTACCTCGAGCAGTTCTCGGGAATAATAAAGGTCTCTTAGACCCTATTATCCGCTCCAGAATCCTTCTGCAGTACCTCCCCCGAGCCTAGCCACCCTCCCCTGACCTTCTGCAGGATACACTTCTACTCCTCTGCGACGCCGACCTCGCCAGCATCTCGTCTTAGGCATGCATGTGCCTTATGTAAATGGTAATTATTTTGGTAAACACAATTCATTAAGCACTGATATTAGTACCACCCTTGTCTCAAGCTACTCAACCATCTACTTTCTGGCTCCAGGTCGCTACTACCTTGCAGGCGTCGATCTTCGCCGACCTTTCGCACGGCTTCTTCTTCACGGAATGCCCGGTTAGCTTTCTCTCTAGCGCAGCCCATATCCTCTCGCCAACTTCGGTTTCACGCAGGCCCGTCCATGCGATCTCAGGTGGATGGATTGGTGTATTTTATGTTTGGGTACCGTCCATTTATCAAGTTTTCCTTTTTCTCCGTGCTTGCATCACTCACACCCAGTCTCACGCCGCCTCCATTCGCAAGTCGTTGTACTCGAACCGTGTCCGCTGTCCGCTCGCAAGCTCAGCGCTTCAGCTTCCACCTTCCGGGACTTTGTTGATGGCAAGGATGTGGTCTTATACGTGAAGGGCAAAAACGGGATAGGCCCTAGCCATTATGAACTAATCCAAGCCTGCATTCGAGAACCTACTGTCGTCCCATCTCATGACACCGTCACGCTTCTTGAGAATACCATAGCTAAAGAAAATGGACGGCATATGAGCGAATGGATGGCAAGGGTTGATTTTTGATCGACGCTTCCCTAGGAAGTTCGATCAGGCCGGAGTTCAGTCAAACGGTGCAGGAGGACGCTACCCTTTTCACCTCTAATTCGATAGAGTCCGGGTGTTTCTTGCCTCATTGTACATCTTCAACACATCCGAGACCTTCAACGCCTGCTGGGGCACGGAAAACGCAGCGGACGTGAAGACGACAATGAAATTGAGTTTAGGCAACGTTCCCGTAGCACCCAACGCGACGATTCACTTCCTTGTCCCCACTGACGATGAGCACAGGCATGTGAAAAAACTATACCAGTGATAGGATATCTAACGCTGAGCAAGGCCACAGAGGTGAACAAAGGCATCTCTCTCCTTTGGTGTGCAGTGCAGATCGATTGTACGGCATCGGCTAACGAAGTCTACGGAAGACATGGAAATCGGAGCAACTTTGCTTGAAATTATACATATACCAAAAATCCTGCACCATTCGCTGGTACTGCTGTCCTACATGCTGCCCTTCCACCTTTTTCAATTGAGAATATAGCTCCGTCTGAACACAGGAGGTGAGCCCTTTCATCGATGTCATCCTGCTTGCTGTAAGCGTGCGTATGAAGATTCCAGGCGGGGAAAACTCACAGGTATCCATTCCCATCCTCCGCACCGGATATATTCTACTAGAGTGGGACCAGCTCCTTCTCTGGTTATCTTTCCATCACCGGTGTATCTCAAGTTTATGTGGTCACCATCTTGATATGCTGCCATCAGCACAGCCGTTGATTTTTCCGCGAAGATATTTCGAGCTTCTGTGGTATCCATAACGAAGGTAGGATCGCGACAAGGTCGAACCATGACAATGTCTAGCGAGACTTCCGACGAAATAATCTCTGACGCAAGAGGGGTGATTCTAAAAGCGGGTTCCAAACGATCGACATTGACGGTAGACAGAAAGTATGCGAATGGGCCATACACATCCACAATTCCGTGGTCATCTGAATCTTCGTGGGTCACGAAAATCTTTTGGTCTGGATCATATATCTCCACGGACCGGGCAGATGGCGTAGGCAAGAGCTTGACATGGCTGCTGTACCATTGTGTTATATTGTTCCTCGCAGCGACTTTGAATCTTTCGATGCCTGGCACTTCTTTCCTCAGATTCTCAGAGTCGTGGAGAATAGACGCGTGCAAAGCAGTGGAAGTAACTACTGCTGAAACAGCGACCTTGGGAGAAGATTGCTTTGAGCTCGGCGGAGAAGAGAGGGTTGCGACAGCAAGTGTGAGAGGAACAACGTTCGAACCCCTGATGAATGCTTCAAGAGACTTCAGCTTGTATGCTGGGCTCTCAGGCATAGAGGTTGGCTTGAATAACGAGCAATAGAGAGCGTTTGCCGTCCCACACGGGACAAGAACCACACGAACCGATGATGATACGACACTCTCGCGTACACCTTTTAGTGCCACAAGCGAGAGTGCATTGATGATTTCGTGCAGCGTCCCATCGCCGGAGCCCAGGATAACTGTCACGTCGCCCTCGTATCGCTCTAGGAACTGGATCACTATGGTACCAGCATGCCCAGCGGCTCCAGTTGCCACGTTTTGGCTAACTCGGAGATGCGCTTCCTCGAGACGAGGAAAAACGTGCTCATTGAAAAAGGCCTCAGCAGTGCCGTCTCCACAGACGGGATTGTATATCACGAGCAGTGGACCACTTGTCATAGCAGTCTGATACGTAGTTAGTCTAAGTGACAATTCTCTGTACTGCATTCGTTGGGAATTGACTCACAAACCTGAAGATGTTGTTGGGCAAGCCTCCTCCACTGTCGATATTCTCTTGATAAGATAAGTAGGTCTGCTGATTGAGTAGTCAAACCTCTGGGACGCCTAGCTAACCTAATCATCGGTCCGGTCGGGACGCCGCATTAAGCCAAACAAGTAGTGACCAAACTGACCAAACGTCGAGCTCTCACAAGGGTGCGCTAAAAGTTAATATCGGTGTTAATCGATTATGTAATCCCACAAGCAAATATTTATTTAATTGAATTAAACAGACTGCGGCGCTAAATATTAGTTACCAAAGGCATACTTAGTATTAGTAGTATTACGGCCGAGGCGCAAGTGATAACTGTATACTGGGCTTGCCAACAGAATCTTCATGTCATTGGACTTTGCCAAGGCTTCTCAACCGCATTGATTACTCCCAGGATCCCTAGGAAACACGACAGGTTGTTCCCTAGCCATGATCATTACTCTCGCTCGCTCGCTGCTCATGGAGCCCGCCGAGGCAACGGAAGATCCGGTGGATTTAGCCACCTTCTGGTCGAAAATTGCTATCAGTGTCGTCCTTGTGCTTGCGGGAGGTGTATTTGCAGGGTAAGGGTGTTCAGTCTAGATATGTGCCATGTTTATTGTTGAATCTTGACCATTCATAGATTAACTCTCGGACTGATGGGGCTAGACGAATTGCACCTGCGTGTCCTGGCTACGTCATCAGAGGATTTGAAGGAGAAGCGCAATGCGCAGAAAGGTCGGTTTCAAAACAACCTTATCCCATCCTGAGTTTATAACTATTGGTTACATGACTAGTATTAAAACTGATGCAGAAAGGACGACATTGGGTATTAGTAGTAAGTATGTTGGGATACGCACGTACGCACAATAACTTATTGATCACTCATGGTGTAGGTGCTCCTTCTGGGCAACGTTGTAAGTGCCATTTCAGATGTCTATCCCTACAATAGCTCAATACCCGCAGGTCATCAACGAAAGTTTACCAATCTTTCTCAATGGTGCCGTAGGTAAAATCAATTGTTCGGCTTCGCGCAGATTCACAAATACTATTGCGCTAGATTGGTGGAGGCGTTGCGGCCGTTGTAATATCGACCACGGCGATAGGTATGTTCTTTTGTTGGTTGTTGAGTTTGCTATCTGTTGATCAGTGTCACTTGCAGTTATTTTTGGGTGCGTTCTCGCCCCTCTCCGAGTTGGACTTGTTGAACACATGCAATTTTATTCTTTTCCGCAGAGAGTACGTACAGTGTTCCATGTCCAGTGACATCCGATTGATCAATCATTACACTTTCCTACAGAATTATCCCGCAGGCGGTTAGCGTCAGATACGGCCTCGTAATTGGCGCTCGGTGCGCACCTTTTGTACTCGGCCTTATGTATTTGTTTGGTAGGTACGTGCTAAGCTATCCTGAGGACATAATAACTCCGGATGGCAAATAGCTCCTGTTGCATACCCCATCGCGAAGCTCCTTGATCACGCTCTGGGCCAGAATGAAGCTCACACTTACAAAAAGGCTGAGCTCAAATCATTTCTGCAATTCCATCGCACGGGAGAGGAGCCGCTACGAGATGACGAGATCAGTATATTGAATGGTGTGCTGGAGCTAAATACGAAGAATGTGGAAACAATCATGACACCAATCAAGGTAGGTACTCCATCAAGCGAGAGACAAGACAGTGTTGCTCACGTGTTTCGGAACTGTAGGACGTTGTAACGCTGAGCTCAGACGCTATTCTCGATCACGCAACGGTAGACGCAATGTACATATGATGGTTCCAGTGTTCTATTGTCATTTTAACTAATAGCTCGTTTAGTCTCACAAGCGGCTACTCGCGTTTTCCTGTACATGAACCCGGGAATCCAATGGCATTTCGCGGGCTTCTACTCATCAAGAAGGCAATTTCGATGTTACATATCAGTGCCCCTAGACGCTGAACTTGTTTTTCAGTTGTTGGTATATGATCCGGCGCGCGCTCTCCCAACCTCCGATTTCAAGCTCTCGGTTCTTCCAGAAGCACATCCCAGTATAAATTGTTTCCAGGCGCTGGATTATTTGTGAGGATTTTTACTTGGACTTCTGCAGTGCCTCTAATGAATGCACTGCAGTCAAACGGGACGTGCCCACCTACTACTGGTCAGTCGGACACCTGGCATCGCAGGCGGTGGAATTGGAGTAATCACGCTCGAAGGTGTGTCCTTCCCAAGCAACCTTGTCCCATTACTGATGTACATATTCTAGACATCATTGAGGTGCGTCTGTGTCCTGGACGCCAGGATATATTCAGGGATAACAATTTTCTGCAGGAGATTATATCAGAAGAAATCGTGGATGAAACAGATCGATACGAGGATAACCAGAGCAAAAGACGCGCGAAGCGAATAACTACTGCTGCTGTGATGCGAGGGTTCGCACTTAATTGTCGTTATTCCACAACTTTTGCTAACATATTTTCGAAGGATTGTGGAGCGGGAACGAAGTCTAACGCGAGCCTCGTCCATCGAGCAGACACCCCTATTGCGTGAAACACCTTCCACTCAGCGCTCCGAGCTCAATTATCTGACTCCTCGTTACGGTGCCATACCCAGCCAGTCCCCAAAACCATAGCACAAGATTTTGACCATATTCACAAGGCCGGATCTCGTTGCAGTTATTGGACGAATTTTCTTCGTGTTTGCTGTATTGATTGCTTTGCTCCATACTATCATCTTTCTAGAACTTGCTTTTGCTACTAGTCAATTGTTTTGCAACATAGACACGCATATTCGCGGGACGGCAACTGTGTCTGCCCGTGCGCCCTGCTTTCGAGTACTAAGCAGTCTGAGTTGCGCGGCAGCAAAGCTTTGAACAGTTCGAAAAAAATGAGATATGCGAGCATTCCTCTCTCGCTCTTCAAGCTTCATCCCTCAAACCAGCTGCAAGAGTGATGAACATGGACGCCAGGAGAGTTCCACTCGCTGTCAACTCAGTGTTCTAATCAAACGGGATCCCGGTCCGGTCCGGGTGGTAATATAGAGCCCGTGGGCCTCACTGATCTGAGAAGGTCCAAGGACCGTTAGTCCCATGCGTATGTTTCCGCACCTCCGTCTATCAGGAGCGCCTCTGTTATCGCACAACCTCAAACGTTTCACTTACCGCACCATGACTTCTGTCGCTCCTCCGGTCTTCAAGCCGTTCACTCTCACGTTGATCCAGCTCGGTTCTATCGGCTCTGACAAGGCAGCCAATCTTGAACATGCTCGTGAGATGATCATGAAGGCAGCAAAGGGCAATTCAGACACTAAGCCTCAGGTTGTCGTACTGCCAGTATGCGGTCAATTCTTTTTACCTGACATCTCATCTTATTTTATTTCAGGAATGTTTCAACTCGCCTTATGGCTATGTTCACTTCCCCGCGTATGCCGAGAATATTGGCTACACTGCTGGCAAGGAGTATGATGTTCAAGCGAGTGTAAGCGAAAGTGTTAAAATGCTGTCTTCTGCTGCGAAGGAGGCAGGAGTCTGGCTCATCGGAGGTCATACCCCACTCAAACGTGTGGCAAGGGGGTAGAGGGTTCATGTTTTATTTTACAGGCTCGATACCCGAGAGAGATGCGGAGACGAATAACGTCTACAACACTTGCACTGTGTATTCTCCGACAGGTGTCGAGTTCCCTGGATCTTACTGCACTCAACACTGACATACGTAGGTGCACTTGTTGCATCACATCGCAAGGTTCATCTATTTGACATCGATATTCCTGGGAAGATAACATTCAAGGTGTGCTCTTTTGTTCTCGCTTTAGCGCCCTTTCTGGACCTCACCTTAACTGCAGGAGAGTGAGACATTAACCGGAGGAACGACAACGAACTATTTTGACACTGGTACGAACCCCATACAAACTACTTGCGCCGCACCTGATGATCCTCTGCTCAGAATTTGCACGTATTGGCCTCGGTTTATGCTACGACGTCAGGTTCCAAGAACTAGCGATGATCGCGGCACGGCGAGGTCCGTGGCTCCATGATTTATATGAGGAACGAAAAACGCACAACCCCTCAAGGATGTCATGCTGTGGTGTATCCTGGGGCATTTAATCTTACCACTGGACCCTTGCATTGGGAACTCCTTCAACGAGCTCGGTAGCGTGGTTATCCGACTGTGCTCAATAGTTCTTGACGTATCCTCCAGGGCCGTTGATAACCAAGTTTTCTTTTCTATGTGCAGCCCGGCACGGGATATGACTGCCGGGTACAATGCGGTGCGTCACATTAACTGTGTGATCATGACATCTGAAATATCAAGATATATAGTGGGGGCACTCAATGGTCGTTGACCCATAGTAAGACATCTCCTTTGATGTACTTCGTTTCGCTCTAAAGAAACTTTCAGTGGCCGTGTTCTCGTGGAGGCCGATGAAAACGAGACCATCCTGCATGCCGATATCGGTGAATTTAACATCGTTCTCGTTATTTATGAGCTCTTGATTTGACACTGGATCTAGATCCCGAACCGTTCCAGGAGGTAAGAGCTGGAATACCAGTCACAAAACAGCGTCGCTTTGATGTCTATCCCGACGTGAGCGCTTGAGGGACGGCAGGCATGATTATGCTGTCTTCTGAAAGAAGAGTTGAAAAATATGTCAGAAAACTCCTAACTAGCCTGTGACAATACTTTTGAGGTTCCTCAATCATGCCTATTTACATGCACTTGATTAGAAGGAACGACTATCTGCAAACTAAACCTGTTAACCTAGCTACTGCTTGAAGCTGAAGCTGTGATCATGGACTTGGCAGTGAAAAAATGATCGAGAAAAAGGACTGTTTCCATTTTGAGAGAAGCCAGCAGTGTGCACAGCTACAGAAAATTCTGGTAGGTTCCACAGGATTCTTCAGCGCAATCGGAATCCATAGAAAAAGTGTCAAACAGCGCCTGAACAACGTTCACTTCTGTGCCAACCACATCATTGTCTTCTAGCTACCTTCCCTCCGTCATGGTCAAAGAAAGGTGTGACTAGTGATATTCAACCGAATCCGTGGCTGATATTCAGCTCAGAAAGTTTTACGATCTCCTGGAAGTCCAGGTAGACGCTTCAGAGCCTGATTTGAAGAAGGCATACAGGAAAAAGTGAGACGAAATTCATGGCGAGTGCGATTTTCCATTGACCCGTCCCGCAGAGCCTTGAGACTACACCCCGACAAAGGTGGTGACCCAGAACTCTTCAAGGAAGTTACACATGCGTACGTCCTACATTACATATCCAGACTTCGGCCATCTAATTTTGTAGATACGAGGTTCTTTCCGACCCACAAAAGCGCAGTATATACGATACTCGTGGTGAAGCTGGTCTTTCCGAGCAAGGTGGAATGGGTGGGATGGATCCCCAGGTATGATCATGGTCGACATCGATGGTGACATTAGACTGACTTAGACCCCTAGGACCTTTTCAGTCACTTGTTCGGCGGTGGTGGATTCTTCGGCGGTGGTGGCGGTGGCGGTCGCCCGCAGAGTGCCCGCAAGACCAAGGATCTCGTACACCGTGTGAACGTCACACTTGAGGACCTTTACAAAGGGAAAACCACCAAGCTTGCCCTTACTCGCAATGCACTTTGCTCCAAGTGCCACGGTCGCGGCGGGAAAGAGGGTGCTGTGCGAACATGCACTTCATGTAACGGACGCGGTATCAAGGTCACCTTACGCCAGATGGGCCCCATGATCCAACAGATACAGTCCGGCTGCGACGACTGTTCGGGTACGGGAGAAATGATCAACGCAAAGGATCGCTGCCAGCATTGCAAAGGCAAGAAAGTCCTGCCAGAGAAGAAGATTTTGGAAGTCCACATAGACAAGGGTATGAAGGGCGGCCAGACGATAGTTTTCGCAGGAGAAAGTGACCAATCGCCAAACGCCGAGTCAGGAGATGTTGTTATCGTCATAGAAGAAAAACCGCATGACCGCTTCAAACGTCAAGACAATAATCTCATAACGGAACTGGAGATTGATCTACTGACAGCCCTTGGTGGTGGACGAGTTGCAATCCGTCATCTCGACGATCGCGCCCTCATGGTGAACTTTGTTCCTGGTGAGGTGGTCAAGAATGGTAAGCATTCATCGAAAAGGCGATGATAGAACTTGACACTGGTATTTGCGGCAGATGCCATCAAGGTCATACGTGGTCAGGGGATGCCCTCGCAGCGACACCATGAACCAGGAGATCTCTTTGTGAAGTTCACTGTGAATTTCCCCGACCATATCGACCCAGCCGTTATCCCCTTACTTGAGCGGGCACTGCCACCGCGGACAGAGATCGAGAAATTCCTTAAGAATATTCATCTCGAGGAGGTGGATCTGGAGGAGCCTGACGCACGGTCTAAGGCGACTGCTATGTCAGATGAGTCGATGGACGAGGACCACGAAGGAGAGCCGCGTGTTCAATGTGCAAATCAGTGATTTGACATGTTGGATTAGCATGATATCTGTTGCACTTAGAGATCCTGGCATCTGTTGTTACACTCGTTACATTTAATACGCATTTTCATTGGCACTTCTTCACTTCTTGGTAGGCACTTATTACTGAGGAACATCCCACCGAATCTGAGTTTAACGACGATGAGAGAAAGAAGAACTTTCGGAAAGAACCTTACTTCGGGATTTTCTTTGAACGCCTTGTAGGCTGCATGGTTGAAGAAGCTGATCTCTGTCTCGTTTTCTAGCACGTGGGACAGTCAACGAATCATCTACATCCACTCGACGGACTTACCAATACCAAGTTCAACTAGCCTGCGAGTGTCATCGTCGAAAATCCAGTCGTCGTGGTCCATATTTATGATTAGATTCGTCGTCTGACAGGGGTTCATGCTAGCATCAACATTGTATGGCTCGGGGACCATACCTTAGCACCGTGAGCTTTGGTGTACAGCTTGAGCGTATCTGTGCCGCAAAATTTGAACATTCTTCGATACTATCAGGCAAAGGTCGCGACTCTAACCTAGATGCACGTTCCGATACGGTTTCCATCCAGAACTAATCTGAATAGCTACAGCGAAGGACGAAACAAGTCGGAAGATGCTGAGAAGTTAATAAGGGTGGTATACCTCGCCGAGCCATATCCTTGAGTTCGCCAACTGTTGTGATCTCAAGGTTCAACTTGTGTAAGACAAGACTTCGTTCCGTGCGGTATTCGAAGGATTTGATTACTCGAAGAGTAATGGTCGCCTGAGTTTTTGGGAGAGCAACATTTGTGAGCATATCAGAAATTCCAGCAGACATCTTGCAAGTGCTGGAGGTCTCGGGAGAAGAAGCAACTAAGTTCAAGATGTCGGACAATGATATCATGTAAGTAGCCTACTGCATCAGGCTCTGTCTCCGACTCATCTACTACACCAAGGTCATAATATACCTTACCCGAGCAGTTCTTTATCCTTACTCCATGAGTGCAGTCAATGAGAACATAACAGCACCAGACGACCTCCAACTTCACAAAGATCCACGGACTCTGACCTCTCTAAATGAGATACTCTCGTGCTTGTCGTGGTATCAATCTGTCGAAACCGAACTTTCGAACTCCCTAACCGAGCTTCTCTCCAATCGCCAATCCATTGATAAGTCGTTGCAGCAGTTAGACGCCCTCGTTCCGCGTCTCGATGAACTTCATATTGAAGCAACGAACTTCTCGACCAAGGTCTCGGCCACTGCACAAACAGCAGAACGCGTGGGTGGACGTGTACGTTCGCTTGATGAGGAAATGAAGCGTGTTGGGGAGGCTGCTGAGCGAGTGGGACAAGTAATGGAACTGAAAGTACGTCCCCAGATGCCGTCCGCCCGTCTGATAATTCATTTGATACTGTTATATAGTCTTCTCTTGCTCAATTGCAGTCTTGCATTGAAAACAAAGACTGGGAATCGGCCGCCAGATGTTGTGCGCGTGCCATGTCTTTACCCTTTGAAGTCATTTCAGGACCCTTTGCAGAGTCTGTTGTTGTGAGTAACCACTCGAAACATGCCACGCTCTTCTCATCAACCCGACCAGCCCACAGCCGAGAGTCACTTGCCTCCAGCGCAAACACTGCAGGCCGCACGAGAACAGCTTTTGTCCATTTTCAGGAGTCATTTTGAACAAGCATCTCGCGAGCGAGATGCTGCAGCCACGACTCGTTACTTCAAACTCTTTCCTGCTATTGGTTGGGAGGCAGAAGGTCTTGAGGCGTATGCATCATTCGTGGTTGATCTTGTGCGAGTGAGAGCTCCAACGTCAGCCAAAAGTACGCCATCTCAGGCTTGGACATGAACCACCTTCTCACACATTTAATTAGCTTCCTCACCACTATACTTTGTGACTGCACTTACAGCGCTGCTCGAAAGCGTCGCCATGATAGTTGATCACCACCAACCGGTCGTTGAAAAATATTACGGGGCGGATAAAATGACGATCGTCATCAAGCGCTTACTCGACGAATGCGACCGCGTCGTGCGGCAGACGTTGGACAACTGGAGAGAAGATAGGTCAGTCAAGCGAAAGGTGAAGTATTTCATTCCGTGCGATCGGATGATGATTTTCAAACGAGTGCCCAGTAGCTTCTAGACGTGTCCAGCTCTTCCTTCTCTATCGCACCTGCTACATCTCGCAAGCAACCGTCACAGGTTTCATCTCAGGATGATGATGACTTGGACCCTCGCGAGATCGACAAACTCTTATCTGAAATAGCGGGTATGAGCGGTCGATGGTGCCTTTTCCGCAAGTTTCTTGTGGAACAACTACAGGTGCGTATCATTGTTCACGCAAGGCCTGTGCGAGACTAACAATGCCAAGGATGAAGATGTTGAGGATGCTGTTCAAAGCGGCCGCGTCACTCCTGTTTCGCGAGGTCCCAATCGTGAAGGGCTTCAGTCGCAAGTCACTGACGGTCTGAGTGCCTGGGGGTCTGCCATTCAACCAGATCTACTACAACTCGTGGAATCCAGTCGCTCTCATCAAGAGTTCGACGAACTACTCATGACCTGTTATGTTCCGATGGAGACGTGGTACACGCGTACTATCATTGACAAGGTATTTGTTCTCTCACACATCAGCACCTCGGACTGAAGTGTCCTTGAGGCTCACCGGTTATCCACCCCTGACCTTTCGCAATTGCCGGTCACTACTACAACGCCAGACGACGTATTTTACATTCTCAAGACAGTCTATTCACGGGTTTTGTCTACGGGCTCGTTCAAGCACATTGAGCGAATGACTGATCTCTTGAAGGATATCATGGACCATGATTATGCTGGCGGCATCAAGAGGAAGCTTGATGATGTATACCGAACAGCAGGGAACACTGCCGGTGGTGGACGTGGGGAGAAATCTGAGCGAGAGTGCCGTACAACGTTCATCGTAGGCACCTCTCCATGTTGACGAGGATTCTACGCTGACATGTCCACAAGATCCTCCTGAATGACCTTGATATATCTTCTTCACACATGGAGCGATTGACGAAAGACCTACTTGGTCACCAAACAATAACACAACTTTTCCTGGATGCAGAACAACCACACGTGAAAAGGGTAATTTCTAGTTTAACAGGATCTGTGGTGAAGTTCCGTTCAGCACTGAAAGTATGTGCTTCATTATTCTAACCCAGGATCAATCCGCTGAACTATATTTCAGGCAGGCGTAGAGCAGCTTTTCAACCAGCTGATGAGACCTAAATTGCGCACTCTGATTCCAGACGTGTTTAAAGACGTGTCATACGTGCTCGACGAAGAGTCCTATGCTACCGCAGAACAACATGACATCGTTCGGAAGCGGTTTGTTAAAACGTGGGAGGGATTGGTAGATGGGTACAAGGTTAATTTCTGGCCACAACGTCCAGGGCATATTTGACATATTGCGCAGGACGCTTTCACGGACAGTAATTACCGCGTGTTGTTCGGGCTTGCACTCGATGTCGTTGCACGACCCTGGGAGAAGTATATTTTGACGCTACATTTCTCTGAGGTGGGCGTTATGCTTATTCATGATCGTCTTGAAGGTCATATTAGTACAGCTGGGTGCTGTCCGTTTCGATCGTGACCTTCGATCAATAATGGCATATCTCTCGTCTCAAACGACCTTTGGAGACATCCGGGAGAAGTTCGTGCGCTTGCAACAAATCAGTTCGTTACTGAACTTGGACAACGTGGGTAAATGTCTTAATCGAACGTCTCACTCACTAAGTCGTTATTCAGGAGGAAGATGTGGATGGATTCTATAGTGGATCAGGCATATCCTGGACTTTGAGTTTACAGGATGCAAAAAGTGTCGTAACCTTGAAGGTGTAAAAACCACAACAGATATATATTCCGTGATGAGATAATCAGAAAAGTGTGAAACCGAAAGCAGGATGTATGAGTCGAAGTTTACCCTCGTCGTAAAGCGTCTAGTCTTGCTTGGAGGCTATCCTCATCCGATGGACCAGCCCCTACGGCGTCATCACCTTTGGGTGGGCTACTTCCGCCAAGTGTCTCCCCCAGTGCCACCGGTCTGCGTTCCGTCAGTGGTGACGATATTGAGCCGAAACCAGTAGGGGCGTCCGTGAGCTGCAGATGAAAGTGGGTGAATATATATGGGGATAGGGAAAGCACACAAACTTACCTGCTGAGAAAGGCTGACACCTATTTCGTCAAGAACCTCTCGTAATATCTTGTCACCTTCTTCCTCTTCGTCTTCAGCCTCATCCTCCATGACGTCGTCCACAGCGTCCGACATCATTTCTTCCTTCATATCCATCATCGAGCTCTCCTTTTCAAACTCATTCATGATCTTCTGGATGGCTGGGAGATTCAATCCCCTGTTCATCGACGCCATGGCCTGGTAAAGGCGTCAATCAGGACGCTAGTTTGAACGCGTGAAGAATCGCCAAACGCACCCTCGTTGCTCCGCGCATGGCATCTGCCATTTGCTGATTACTTCTTAGAGTCTGTATTCTCAGTCCAACAGCTTGGAGTTGCGTCCTCATTTGGTAAAACTTCTGGACATAACGCCGGGTGCGAACGAGGTCCTTCGCCATCACTTTACACGCATTCTACTGAGAACATTGAAATTGATGCACGAGGAGGGAAAAGAGAGGTACCATTTGGCCAGCTTTGGCACTCTTCTTGATGTCTGTCACAAGCTTCTTCTCGCTCTGCTCAAGTTTGGACCGTTCACGGTCAAGCTCTCGTTGCGCTTTGCTCAATGCACGCTGATGCTGTCGCAATCGCTCAGCAGGCGTGACCGTCCTTCCAAATAGAGTTTCCTTTGAAAACATTAGCAGATCTTAAGTAACATTTCGGACGGGGACCTCACTATGATGTTCATCGGGGTGGTGGTGAAGTTGCAGAAATGCTGCGCGGCTGTTAGGACCGTTGGCATTAGCTACTTCAACTGAATTACATAATACGTTCATTAGTACTTGAGACTTCAAGTATTTCAAGCGATTCAATACGTACACTACTATGGAACCTGATGCAGTCGGACTGCGTTGCGATCTAACATCTTGCCACGAGTTTGATTTCCTCCCGATCAAGTGTCACTGTAACAAGGTGTTCTGTAGGTTCCACATCTCCCCTGATAAGCACACTTGTGTGTTACCCGATGGGCCTTCTGAAGGACACGCGCCCTTCATAAAACGCCAGAGATGTGCTCTTGAAGATTGTCAGAAACCGAGCCTGGAAAGTGCAATCAGTACAGAGGTTGGTGTCGAAACGAGCCCAGCTTCATCTGCTCCATGCCCCAAATGCCTTTTGTCATTTTGTATCGAGTATGTCTTCCTGAATCTTTTGATACAAGAAACTCAACTGCCCAGTCATCGTCACCCAGATTTACATTCATGCACAGGTCTGCAGGAGCATGAGACTGATAAGAAGAAGGATGCTCAAGATATCCTTGCGCGGCATTTTTCCAAACCATCTTCACATACTCCTGTAGCCGTTCGACGCACAATCAAGCCTCCTACAGACCCCCAAAAAATAGCTCAAATACAGAAAGTTACCCTCATGAAGATGCGTCATAGTGCTACTGCGGGGGACTCTAGGGACAAATCATCCACCGTACCTGTTAATGAACGCTTGCACATCAAAGCTCGATTGGAGATAACTGGGATGCCCGTGCAGGAACGCGTACTTTGGTTCAGAAAGGCAAATATCTATCTTGTTGATAAGCTTTGGGGGTAATCTCACTCTTTTTCTTATAGTCTGTGGTCACGGGCAGGGCATTGGACCTGATTTCTGCAAATCTCGGGGTTCCCTCCTCGTATCAAACGGTTAGTGAAATTTGCCCAAGAGCATGATCTCCATGACCTTATCGCCCTGCTAGCCGCTGTGCCTCATAGAGAAGACCGTCTCAGATTCCTCAGGTTGCTTGCCCCTTCAAAATGATCAGTTATTGTCTGAACAAGTGGGGGACACCTGCACTGTAATCTTGTCGACTGTGCCCCTTAGTCGAAGTAATTGATCTACGGACCTCGTGCCACATACTTTCGCGTACTACCTCTTACGAAATTCCGATTGTGATAGACCTATTATCTAATATTCCAGCTGCCGGGGCATATACGAGCGACAAAACACTTTGACGACAAAAGGAATTATCGTTAATACAACAATGGGGTCCACCCCACACCAGCATCGACAATGACGTCGGTGCTTTATCAGTAACTTATGCGAGATCACGTCAATTTAGGGTATAGTATTATAGAAACGTCGGAGTCCAGTACGATCGAAACATTAATCAAGCTACCAATGCAGCTAGTCTGCGGAGATGAGACACATTGAGGTACGCTGGAACGTATGTCTCCAAGCCAGACACCTCGCGAGGCCAGGGAGGCTCAAATGGACCAACCTCTTCCGACTCGGGAGACAATAGTAAATGATCATTCCGATCATTTGCCTGCACGCGTGAAGCCACTACACGTAGAATCTCAGGAGAAATGGGGTTCTAGAGGAGTCAGCGAAGAAACTGATTGTAGAATGCGTGTCATACCTCATATTCTGCCACGTAGTAGTTCGTGCACATTCGTTGTATTTGCATCGGACTAAGCATCCAGCAGACATCGTAGATGATCTCTATATCTGCGGGCGTTGCCTGTTCCACGATTGTCAATCGGTGGTCGGACTAAAGTAAGTCTGGGACGCGCCTTTTTCAGTTGCAGGAGCTTTATGGCCTGCATCAAGTGTTCCAACTGGAGTGTCCCCTCGGGCATGTCATGAGACTTGCACCACTCTTCTATCCGTGTGATATTATACTGAATTTGCATAGCTTGAATAGAATTTATGTTAACGAAACGGAGACGTGCGTTGGAGAGGGACGCACCTCGTTTCCAGGAGGAGAAGTTTCTTCTCATTAAAAGGTCGTTAAAACTCGTGACACCAATCAGCTTGAGAAGTTCGGCCATGACTTGTTGCACTACTGATTCTTCCATGTAGTAGCTCTTCAGACTCTTCCAGACCTTGTTCAGAAGGTCTAGGATGTCGTCCATGCTATATGCTGGCTGGCTGTTTGTATTAAGGAGGCGATTGAACAACCGACCACCGCCATCGCTCGTCGTGAACCCTGGCAGAGACTGGCTCTCTATCAAAGCGGGTATGACCATCTTGGCAAGGCGCTTCTTCGTCTCTAGCATCCACGTGTGGTATATGTTATACTCCAAGCTGCCAAGGTCGTGCTTGACGACTGTAACAAGCCGTTCGTAATCATTCCAGTCAAATTCTCGGACAGCATTCTCTTCTCCAGGTCCGATACCTTGTAGCATGTCGCTCTCAGCCACATAGATGAACGACAACATCTCGTGGACATTCGAAAGCCAGTAAATTCCGGGAATGATGGAATCTTCACCGTTGAACGACTTGAGGATAAAACATATTAGCGGATGAAAATACCCGATGAGACAACGATCTTACCATCACATGGGCTTGAATAGACTCCATAATATTTGCCAAAAACCGCTCGCTCTCCGGTATCAACCCGTATTTCCACATCTCATTGGTGACAAGACTGATAAGATTCGCCGGGAAAAGGATCTCCTTCACAGGTGACGGGGTAGCAAGACTTGGTGCTGGAATTTTCAGGCCTCTAATGAGACCAACAAGAACATCTTCATCCAATCGTTTGGTATCCTGCATAAGCTTAATCTTTTCCTCCGCAAGGTCGTCAAATGAGCGAACGTCTGCCAGGCCGTTGGCACGCATGCGAAGGACATTGTCTTCGCCGTTATATGCAACGGATACTGCGCGATGGTTCAGAGCTTGATTCTTCTTGACATCGAGCATGAGTTCGTCAACAGACATGCGGATGTCGGCTGGGCTGAGCTGAACAACGCCTGCAGAACTGTGTCTTCGTTGGTGACGATTGCTGGAGGGCGGGACAAGGGCGGCACCGTTAGAGAGACCACCGGAATCAGGCATACGCAGCGCCGGAGCAAAAGTCGGTGATACAGGAGCTTCAGTTCGAGCATTCCTTGTGAGGGCGTTGTAGGCGTTGGCGCGGTTTAGCTGCTCCCGTAGACTACTGACTTCAGTCTTGAGAGTCAGTATAACGGACCCATCCTCAACGGAACGAGAGGGGGCATTGACAAAGGCCTTCTCCTGGAATTGCAGCTTCTCTGCCTGCGCAACGAGCTCGTCCGAAAGCTTTTGGATCATTGTTTCCTTCTCCGTAGCCTTGGCAACAGCTTCCTCCAATCGTCTCTCCACATCAGCCTTTGCCTGAAGAAGCTCATCACGGCGTGATAGTTCAGCTTCGGCGGTTGACAGCGCAGTCTGGAGGGATTTCGCTTTCGCGTCGGCCTCTTCGTGTTTCGATGTCCACTGCTGAATCTGTTTCTCCAATTCACAAAGCTGCGCCTGCAGTAGCTTCTTCTCCTCCGTGCGTGTCTGAAGCGTTTGAGTAAGTTCTACCACCTTGTTTTCTAGCCGATACGATATCTCCTTGAACTTCGAGACTGAACGGGCCTCAGCTCTGAGAGCCTTGAGTTGTTTCCGAGCGAGCCGCCGGCGGACACAAGATTGTAAATAAATGACACGTTTGATGTCCAACTTGTGACTGCGACGATAAAGTCTGGGGGAGCAAATTCGGTAAAAGATCATTACTCGACAATCACGGACGTACACTCCACGGAAAAGAGATTGCAAGAGAATAGCAGCATGCGAAGTCTTTCTCTCTCTGTACAGTCGTCGTGCTTGGGTACCGCGGATGCCTGTGGCGAGAGATTGAGTATGCTGCTGTACGAATTCATAAAATACCTACGGCTCTGGAATAATGTGATGGAGTGTCTGGTTTGCAGGAAGTTGGACCTCTGAATGAAACGGCGAATACCAGTTTGAAGGCGTCTTGCAGCAAAATCTCTTCGAATGTTCTCCACGAGCCTACGGGCTAAGATACCACGCCACCAAGTTTGAATTTTGATCGTAGCTCGGCGTAGCTCCTGGTACTTTTTCACAGCCATGCGCCTGTGCATGTTCTTCTGTACAACCGTGACAAGAGCATTGAGCTTTTCCGAGCGGAGGGACTCTAATGCCGCGAGCATACCAGCCCTGAAGAAAATCTTTGTGAGACCACTCTGATATTTGTCAGGGTCGTTGAGAGTTTTCTCAAGAATAAGTGAGCAGAGAGGCCTGAGCTCCAGGCGCTGTATCATCGGTTGCCAATCTGTCGAGGGTACCAGCATGTAATACCTGCATAAAAATCAGCAATTGATACCGCGCAAACCCACAGTGATCATCGTACCGCTCCGCAAACTCTTCATAAGTCCAACGTGATGGGTATCCAGCACAAGAAATACGTATAGTTTCGAGAACACCACAAGCACGCAACTGACCCAAGACTTGAGACGGCGTGAACTCCCAAGGTCGTTTAGCTTCGTTCGGCTTGATACACCGGATATAATGGACATTTGTAATGCTGAGGGTGTCCATCAGGGTGATCAAGGAGGCTTTGAAAATAGAGCCTTGTGTGGGCTTCCGGATAGCAGCTCCTGGTTTCTTGGGGCCAGCGTTCGCTGCGACCAACGATGAACGTCCGGGATCAGGAATGATGGATGAACGACGGGAACCACCGCTGCCTGAATCGGACGGAGAGGGTGACCCGGGATGTGGAGGATCGGCTGCTTTTACAGATCCGAGAGCAGCGTCGAGAACTTCCTTCAAGAAGGGGTTCTTCGTGGATGCTAGCAAAAGCATATGCTCGTCAGGAACTGTATCGCGGTTCTTCTCGAGGAATCCTTCGACCTCGTATGTGACATCATGGGCATAGTGAGCAATGGTGAACGCAGAATTTCCAAATCGAGGTTTCTTAAAGACGTTCTTGTTGGCAGGCTTCAGAAGCTGGGAGCTCAGTTTTTGAAGGAAAGATGCGTCACTACCCGCCGGCAAACGCGACTCTTCGTCAAGGAGTGCGAGGACTCCCAGTTTCCCTTCGATCACATCAATGCAAGGTTGGTTGTCTGAAAAGTCGATGAAAGTCCAGTTGATCTCCTCTTTTACATACTCCTCTTGCTCGAGTTTGAAGACGTGAGAGTTGAACTACGACGGTGATTTTGAGCTATGAATACATCGCAGTTACTTTACGCTCACCTCTTGTTGCAATTTCTCGTTGGCGTAGTTGATGCTAAACTGCTCGAAGGAGTTCTACAATGTCGACAGTTGAGCATCATGAATTCACTGAAGGATAGGACGTAACCTTCTGAAAATGTTCAAATCCGTAGATATCCAACACGCCAATGAACATCTCAGCTCGCTCGGCAGCATCTCCGTTTTCACCAGCCAAACTTTCATTGACGATGGCAACCAGCCACTCAAATAAGCATGCATATACGAACTTCGCCACACTGTCCCTAACCACTGTTGCCTGCGCGGCGTTGAGAGAGGTGACAATTTTTTCCGATCGCGTGGTGATCTGCTTCTTGATAGTCCACTTCTTGAAATCGGCCAAGGTCACTCCCAAGAAGCGAGTAGCAAGAAGAAGGGCAGGATCCGCGTCGTCGATGACCGAATCGGTTCGTGTCTGAGCGATTTTCACGTTGCCCAGATGAAGCAGTGCCGAGAGAAGTCGGAAGACCGCCCACTGTTTCTCTACACTGATTCCAACTGTCGATAAAGCCTGTTGCGTCGCCCGGAATTCCTCCGCATCATCCACTCCATTTATCGGAGTCGAAGTCGGCCCTCCTTGTTTCAGATAGTGGAATTTAGTCACGTCAGTGTCAAGGCCAAGATCCTTTCGTTCCTTCGACGGTGCGCCGGCACACAGTTGATAAAAAATATGGTAATTCCGTTCGGTCGTTGGTTGAAACACAATACGTGACCGCTCCAACAGGTAAGTCCGGATTCGGGCGCCGACAATTTCTTGTTTGCCATCAAAGAGGATCTACATAGCATGTTAGATACTCAGCAGCCGAAAACTAAAAATACTCGCCTGAATGTATTTACCAAATCGCGAAGAATTATCGTTGCGAGTTGTTTTAGCATTTCCAAACGATTCCAGAATCGGGTTTGTGGCAAGGATCTGGCGCTCTATTTCACTGGATTCGTCGAGAGAAAATTTTGTCTTCGCTTTGACTTGGGAACCAGGAGGGTTTACCGATGCCAGATATCGCATGATGAATTTAGCCTGAAGATATTTAAAATTCCAGTAGCATGAACAAGCACCGCACACACTGATTCAGTTTTACCAGCACCACTAAACAGCGATACAAGTATGTCAGTAATACAAGCAAGCCACAAGATGCACGGAGATTACCTTTCACCTGACACAATGATCGTCTGGCCCATGCCCTCCTTCGACATTGCGGTATATGCATCCTCAGCAATAGCAAACAAATGTGGCTCTAAATCTCCTCTTCTCCGTCCACTATAGGCTTGGATGATCTCGGGGCCATAAAGAGTAACTCGCTGAAAAGGATTAACAGCAATAAGCACGATTCCGCTGTACGTGTAGATGCTATGTTGGGCATAGCGATTACGAATGGTATGTAGGACTTCAATAGTACTCAGCACTGATTCTAACGATTAACATTAAAAAGGGATACCTGAAGGTTCATTCAGATGTGAGAGGGTAGCCAAATCATCAGCCGTTTCTAGTAAGGGCGGATTTCGAAGTGGAGGTAAGCCTTCCTTTCCGGCCTTGATATCCTTGCCAGTGGTATTAATGACAATTTCCTGTCATTCACATTGCAAAGCATGTCGGCAATTCTGCAAATTGGAATGCAGGAGATATGACGCGTACCTTGCCCCGTTCATCGACAAACGCCAGTTTTATCGAATCGTCAGCGCCTTTGGTAACAGACGTGACCTCTGCAGAAATCCATGCCTGATCCTTGTCTTCGAACCAGACTCTCGTTCCCTTGCTGTAGATGTTTTCGGCCATTGCCAAGGCGTCGTAGGTGATGGTCTTGAGCTGCGTTGACCATGCACCAGAGCTGCAACGCGGTCGAGTTGTGAATAGTGTATTGAGGCCCAATGACCTTGATTTGAATAATTTGTCCCACGGTCCATGAACAAGGTGAAACTTGGAACTTATAATAAGCTCGGTCTACCTCTATAGTACTGTTGGTCTACTGTACTGTTGGTCTACTGACGAATCTATCGACTGCGACAAGTATACTAGCAGATACCCGCGGAGTCATGTACTCAAGCGAGGGAATTTTTCCGCCCATGGGCATAACGAAGGTGAAATGAAAGCCATCTGCAGTATTCATATAAGTATATTCATAACTTATAACACCATACTCATACATATACCAAAACAACACGCACACACGCAAAAGAAAAACACACACGACCGTTGCGACGTTCATGTAGGTTCGCATACATATACTTACTTGCAAGTTCACTCAATCGGCCCCATGATCAGTCCTAGTCATTGTCAGCTCAACACGGGAGTTCTGAGACCGGTCATTATTGTGAACTCCACGACTCACGTGTTTGTGGGTAGAACAACAGAGACAGCACTATTGGACTTCGCCAAGGAACTCGGATGGCCGGACCACAAGGAGACGAGAGATTCGTCACCCAAGTCATCCAGATTATGATAAGTACTGGTTAAAATTTTCAGCGACTCAGCCTCGACTAGGGCGCCGTGGTTTGGACATGAGCAAAGTTAGATTTTGTTCAATCGCCGCGCCTAGTGTGGTATTAACTTGTTATCAGGGTCCTGCTTTCCGTCAGCTTGGAGACTCTCAGGAGGCTCGGGATTGTTCCTCATCAGCTGAAAATTCTGCTGTCGGCATCCGCGACTTTTGTCACTGCTGTCCTCCATGGTCGCATCCCGGACCGCCGGTCACATTGGCTAGCGCTAATGCTTCGCATCCATATTTTCACCGCCCGCTCGGCGTGTTGCACTTACGATGGAGCAAAGAGTAGCATCCCCCAACCAACCAAATGACCACAAGGATATGTTCTGGGAAGCGCCAGCGGTGTTCTTTTCAACTCCGCTTCCCAGAACATTTGGATCGAGACTACAACTTCGAGCACTTGGGAAGTTTCTAACAACTCAGTTATTTTTGGGAGTGTAATCACTCCGGTGATAATGACGACTCTCTGGTACACGCATCCAAGGTCGTGACAGCCTCCTTCCCAACTATATTGAAAACACCCGTGAAGAGTCCGGCATTGATCTCAAAGTCGCGCGTGACTTTGAAGAAAGCTTTGCATGAGTGCCACCTGCCGAGCCTGCACATTTAAACGACAACGTGGCTAGTCCGAGGAGTATCTCACCGGATGATGTGACCGCTGAATTTGCCGCATTCGAGGAGCGAGCGAGCGAGGAAGAATTCGAAAATGTCGATGGAAAGGGAGTTTTGGAAGGCCGTACCTTTGGTTTCGAGGAACTGCTCCATGTTGTCCACGGAATCAAGAATTCGAAAGTGTCGATGGAAAGGAAGCGTTGGAACTTGGAAGGGTGTGCCTTTGATTTCGAGGAGCTGCTCCGTGTTGACCACGGAACCATGCCACGAGCAGTTGCAGATGAGATCAATGTTGTGGATCATGATGGTGACGGCAAAAGACGAGCAAACAATGATGGCGCCGTTGGTTGACTCAGACTTCGAAAGTTCTGCCAGTTCTACCGGCAAAACCAACTCAAAACAGTTCTGCCCCCCACATTACGGAGAAGTGTCGGTATAACCTCGTCGCGGAGTTTGGAAGGGGTCTAGAACATGCTTAGAACGCGTTTTGGATTGTTTTGAATCGGCCTACCGGGCCCTATCCCCCATTCTTCCAGATATCTATACAAGTAGAGCTGGGTGTTTTTGACGTGCGGACCTGCAAAATGACGTTTGACGGCGGCATGTCGGCAGGGAGACTTTAGAACATAGATTTAGATTTAGAAACGCTGCGGAAAGTCATCTGTCGCTGGTGTAGGTAAAAGCGTGGAATCAATGGTCATAACCCTTGGAGACGATCAGGTTTATAAAGCCCAATTCTTATCACTCAGGAGGACGCACACATATATAGCCAAACCGGTCATAATAATATTAACATTGTGGCTGACTCATATAGCCCAGGCTGCCCATCGTCCAAACGCTCCGCGGCCCAGCCGAAGACCTCCATGGTAAGTAGGTAGTTTTGCCTCCAGCTTAGAGGTCTCCTCGGTCTCGCAAAACTGCGTTTACGGTATGAACAAGACGCATAGCTGCGAAGGCCGGGCACTGCGCGAAGATGCTAAATTGAATTGACACAGGGTTGGCTTATCGCGATGCTGCACCTCACGCGCGTCAATTGCTGTGAATATGAGGGCTGTACGACAGCAGAGAAGCCATGGGATGGGGTTAGTCTTCCTCAAACTTTACACACGAAACAAGCTTCATGTGCGTAAAGGCTTTTATATTATTATAAGGCTTATAAAAGCCTTTATGCAATGATTATCTCGGCGATCTGGCCTTTTCGTCTCCCTTGCCCTCATTCACGGTCGATGGTGTCACGGTATGAGTTTATAAAAGGATGTATCTCCCGTCGTGCATTAGCCCGTGTTCTCTCTACCTTTCTCTGCATACTTTTTGTGACCATTCATCCATTTTCCCAGCTGGGGGGGTCATTGGCTTTCCTCGTGCTGAGCTTAAAAGAGCTCGTATTCTCCGTCCAGGAGGATTTGGCACAGCAGCTTGAAATCACGGTTCTAAATATCACAGGTGCCTTGACTGGTATTGGTATATCGACTTTCGCCAAATATCTTGCAACCCTTCCACGCCAGGGATCGGTGACATCGCGTCTCATACCAGCTGTATTCCTTGTGGCAATCGGTTTTTTTGGTTCGTTTCTCACCGCATGCTATGCGAACTCAGCTAAGCCCTTCTGAAGCTGGTTGGGCGAAAAGCCGTCTTCCTCGTCTCCATCTGTCTGCGCGGATATCGTGCTTCATATCTGTATTCCTGTTGACCGAAAATATCGGTATACGCTCTGTACGTTGCTGTGCCCCTCCCCTTGCATGTAGTTTGATGGTCACCTTAGGCTGTCCTCACGGACTCCGGCGGTTTTTTATGGATGACATTGACAGCTGCGACTGTCTGCTTATTTTCTAGCGTGCTGACCTTACATTGGTCCTCGACTCACCTTATTGAAGAAGTCGCGTCGACATTGAGAATTCTCCGCCAATGCTTATCCGTGTCCATGGATCATCCATTCACGTGTCCTTCCTCCCAGCAAATCGCTGACCTGAAGGATTTGCATGTACAGCTGGTTCACCGGTCTGTGATACTGAATGAGATGTACTATCGGGCGGCCTTTGAGCTCCGTATTGGGCGTGTTGGGGGTGAGCTTCTTGTGCACAGACGCATTTCCACGTGTTGATATGCCATAGTCAAGTCCCTTAAGCCTCTGCTGGGCATCATTGAACACTTACGCCGCGAGTTATCCTGGGGGATGATTCCTCGGCCAGTTCAAACCGACTGGTCCAGCAAATCGCAACCTGCTTCATCTCCTTCTTTCGAGGCTTCATCAATAGAGCTTGGTAAAATTATTATGTCTTCATTCAAAGCAGTCGAAGATCTGGTGATCGGCGTGTACACGCATGCCTCCCTACGGCGAAAGTCATTGCGTGCGGAGAGAGATGCAGTTACCGCGGCTGCCATTAATCTCAATCTCGCTTGGCACACTGCTAAAAGCGAGCTGCATAACTTTATTCAAACATTGAGCGAAGAATCGGGTTCCCCATCTGGCTCCGTTCCTTCGCATCTCCATCATCAGTGCCTGTTCGCGACGTCGTTGTTACAGGCAAGTGATCATATCCGGGGACTGTCATAAGCTGAACGAGCCAATGATCGAGTCAGATGGCATACGATACGAGCCATATCCTGCAAGTGGCTCAGAACATTGCTGTGCACCATGAAGCTTCCCCACTTCGCTTCTGGCTTCCGCGATTGACATGGCAGTGGCTAGGTGTTGCACCCCGAACTTTCATAATGGATGAGCATGGGACACACATAGCTCATGATGTTACCGAAGCAGAGACAACTCTATCAGCCGAGGAAGTCCGACAAGGCATAGCTTTTGTTGACCAACAGGATGAGGAGAAGAGTCAAGAGGTTTCTTATCCCCCTACCCTCAAAGAAATTCCCACAGGCCCACAATTATCATCAAAATCCCTGCCACAATGTTTGTTGTCGACACCGCGACGCCTTTGGAACCATTCCGTCGTGCTTCAGCTTCGCCTACGAGCGTCAAAAATCATCCGAAATACGCAACATTCCAGTCATTTGCGGCACGCGATGAAGAATGCCATTGGTGTGGCCATGCTAAGTTTTCCGGCTTTTCTTCCTTCCAACTCAGCAGGTTTGTTTGTTCGCGTCTCCAGTCAAGTGCGATCGGTCATGATTTCATTGTTAGGTTTTCAGTGGTTCTCGAGGATCCATGGCCAATGGATGATTATCAGCTACGTATGGGTTCTTGAAACCAACACTGGAGCGACCTGGCGCGTCGGTTATTTGCGTCTCGTGAGTCCCGTTTCATAAATTTTGCGGCATGTGTTCATGTATTTGATAGTCGGGGACCATTCTAGGAGCCATCTATGCTTATATTGTGTGTTCTCCGATATTATCATGTTCACGCGCTGACCGCACTTTCTTAGACATGGGTTATCTGCAAAAGGAATTCTATTGGCATAGTGGTGATGGTGACGGTAACTAGTTCCGACAACTTGACAGCACCCTGCATCTTTTGACCATTGCTGCTAGTTCTTTGATATACCCATAACATGGCTTGTCACGAAAAGCAGTATCCCGTCCTTGGGTGTCGTCGCGTAATGTGTCCTTTCGACCCACCATGCGCAATGCTGATCATCCTCCAGGTCTATTACCCTCCCTCCCGTTGTGTTATCCCAATACCTAAGTCCGGATTCCAGCGTATCCACACAAAGTATTGATTTTCACTTTTGGTATGAATTTATCTCACGACTGCGCAGACTTAGCTTGGATGAGGGCTTCAACGATTGCCTTGGGCATCATCACGGCATTGGCAATGAATAGTCTCGTCTTTCCTCGTCACAGCCGGGTATGGCAATTTTATACATGCTCAACCTCATTGCTTATACGGAGAAGGTATTGTTTCTGAAGCAGACTAGCAGGACATTGAGTTTGATCAGCCAGCTGTATCTTCTCCTCGGACAGTATGTTGCTTCTCACTTTATGAGTTGACGCTGCTCCTAAACCAATTCCAGGGGGATGTTTCGGAACATATATGCGTTCACGCCACACGACAAACAAGAGGCAATGAAGCTGGAACTTCAAATTCGTAACGCGCTTCACCGATCTTCGTCGCTGCTTACTATTATAAACGACGAACTCAGTCTAGTGCCGGTGGGCTTGTCATACTGAGTTATCTTTACAACTAACTCGTTCACAGAAACCAATGCGCCACTACCGTGAAGTTGTTCTCAAGATACAGAAGATCCTCGACTTGATGACTGGTCTTAGAAAGATCCAGGAAAATATACCCCGCAAAGAGACTGTTGTATCAGTCTTAAAAGAACGGAGGGAATTTGTAAGTATCGACAGACTCTGCCTGCTGAACTCCGTCAAACGCCATTATCAGATATCTTGTGTCTGTCTCTCGCTGTTCGCGAGTGAACACGTCTTTCGAGCTCGACAACCTCTACCGCAGTTCCTTCCATCTGCGAGACAAGCACTTGAGACGCTCGAATCACAAATAGAAGCCTCGATGCGACGAGCCACTGACGAGGATGAGTCGGTCAAGGGCATCTCCCTGGCATACTCAGTTGCAGAACGGGAGGTCATGAGGGATATGGTTGGTACCATAGAGGAGTTGTTGGAGTTGTGCCGCCAGCTTTTTGGTACATCGGCGTGGCTGACCCGAACCTGGCCGGAAATGAGTGTTCACAACGCTGAAGAGGGACCTGGAACACTCGGTGACGGATGGTTTGGTACAGTGTGACACGTGTAAAGAAGGGTATTTTATTCGTCGTATTTAGAATTTTTACCGTGTATGTATGTGATTTTAGGACAATACTTCGTGTGTCGTGTTTTAAATGATTGTGACGTCACGCGGTTTGCGCGTTGTTATGATGCCAAACAACACGATGAGTTTAAATTGTGACACGTCTCTTTCTTTTCTCTCCACCAAGTTCGACGATGCCCCGCGTCTGCAGTCCACTTTCCAATCACCCTGGCCACCTCGGGTGTCCATTCGCACCATTATGCTATCCAGGCCACCATTGAGCTCATCGCTGCTTCCAGCCAAAATATCCATTCCTAACGGGATGAATTCTAACCTAATATCTATCGACCGCGGGGAGAATATACCTCTACTTGCGTGGACCACAAACAACTGCGGCATTGTTTTGGGGTCGGGCCGCGTTTCGGCGGTGGTTTTTCACGTGCGCCTCGGGCATTTGATAGTTTGCTGCTAACTTCTTCTGCAATGAACTCCTTTTGAACCTGCCTTCATCGCCTCTTCGGAACGTGCTTGTCGCCGACCACGGAAGCGCCTCCGCTCATGGATACGCACAGACCTTCGCATGCGCTGCCTCGGGAACCCTTTGTGGTCATGTCTGACATCACGCACAGAAAGCTAACAACTTTCGTATGTCTGACGCTGCCACGCTTAAAGGGAAGGTGGTGCCGGAAATGCGTTGGTTCATGCTGTGGGCAGAGGTCGCGCCGCGGAACGAGTGCCAGAGAGGCGTCGCGGTATCTATTTGGCAACCACAAAGGAAGGAGCAGATCACGCACCGGTTCGCATTCTGTGGCAAATTGCCTGTGGCGTGCAACCTGGGTCACGCACAGATCTCTGTAGAGATCAATTTACCCAGTGCCGCTCTTGGAATACCAGCTATCTCGTCATACGCCTCTGCCCTCACCTCTCGTGGTTCATATCCACAAGTCAACACACATGATTCGCGCGGTCTGAGTCTTTGACTCTCTCCTCGAGTTGTGGGTGCTCTCACTGGGATTGCCCACTCCTCACCTCCGGCGTCTTTTAGCATGTCTTGCTCGCCGTGAGCAGTGCCGTTTTCTCCGTCGTCCTTTGGAACGAGACAATGTGCATGGGACTCAAAAGCGCCGGCGTGCGCAGCAAACTGCCTGGCTTCGCGGTGATTTGCGACGTGGAACCTGGTCTGGAAAGCACTTGGTCGCGAATGTGGTACGTACAGGAACGTGATACTAAAGACTGCTTCGGCTAGAGCGTTATGGTTGTAATTTTGCTGTCGTCCCTGCAGCTTCGGCTCCCCTACCCCACATGCCAGAGGCATGCTGTGGAGTTGCTATGTACTATTTGCCTGGTCCCACGCTTCAACGCTGACTGGAACCTTATTTGTGATGCTACTGACCGCTGTCTTTTTGAAGGCTCAGGCTAAGTTCGATACCATTCGCTCGAAGCTGACTTATGTCAGCAGGAACATCGCCAAGACCTTGTCTGTCGAACGCGCTTCTGCTTTTTCGTCCGCCCTTCAACCCACTGGTTTGTTCCTCGTATCTATGTTCGGCCCGCACCACGGGCTCCTCAGGATCCCCATTCGCAGTCTCTGCAGTCCGATCCTGTCTGTTTTTGTCTTTTACCCATGGATTTGGTTCTCACAACCCAAGTTTACTGTCATTCAGCTGCATCACCCTTCGTACGGGAGGGGTGACAGAGATTTGTTCTCGAGTTCAGCGGTGATAGAACAACTTTGTGGTGTGCATGTTCCTTTCCCAGGTGATGGGATTACGCACAAGACAGGTAGATCTAGATGAGTCATGTTGATGACGGGTGAAGGGCTCATGGAGGCTGTGGTTGTCTTGGCTTACTGCGACTGGTGTACGAACAAGAAGGTGGTCGGAAAGTTGCTAGCGGTGCGTTCCAGACTGCGAGCGACGGCTGAGTGGTTGACAACTTCTTCTGAGCTGGATGCGGCTTCTGTGATGTACATCGTGGAGGCGGGTGATGGGCAGTGGGCGAGTGTGGATGGGCGGTCCGAGTCGTGCGAACGATGAGGATAGTCCAGATGAGTGGTGGCTGGGTGAGTGTTCGTGTGTCACCCTTCTCGCGCGGTGCGTGGCTGGGATTGATCCGTAGCGGGGAAAGCTTTTTGCTTCGAAAGTGGATGAGCCTGGTCCTTTGCGAGGGACGCTGTGGGTTAGCGGCAGTGAGGGCAAGTGGCGAAGGCTGACAACCTTAATGACCCATGGAGTCCGTCAATTTTTTGCACATCCCCGTCTTCGTGATGGGTTTCATTTTCTTTCAGTTTTGCATCGAAGGTTGCTGCGTTCGCGCACGACTGCGAATTCATGTAGATCTCTTATAATTAGGAACGAGATTGTACCGTAGTTTGTCCATGAATGCAGATGGGCTCATATTTCAAACCCTCAAATGAGGGTATGTGAAAACATTTTAACAAACAGCGGAGATCATCACATAGCATATCCATACACCACGCCTTCGCTGCAGCTATCGCGGGACAACTTGTGAACCTCACCCGTCTCGCACGGGTCGGCCTTGGGTGAACGTGAGGGAATTTGCGCTGGGGTAGGTGGCGTGACGGTCATATGAATCACAGGGCAGCCCTTGGTAGAGGTACGGCCAACAATTGTCGGACGGGAAGGGGAGACGAAGACAGTCAAGTCATCCCCCGAACTCTCCTTGCTCCGGGGAAATCTCGAGAACCACGAGTGGCGGGCATGACGTTCATCGCGGCGACGAACACGAACGGTGACAAGCAAGAGTATGCCGAGGACGGTAATGATAACCATGAAGACGAAGATGATCATGACAATGGTGCCTTCAAAAGTTTGTAAATATGAGTTACGGGAGATGTTCCACTCGTGTGCGACTTACTGAGATTAAATGTGATAGACATGGATGAACAGCAATCGGATAGGCCGTTCTGCGCAGGAGTGATGATGAGAGCAACGAGATGAACAAGAAAAATTAGCGATTGTGCGTAAAGGAAAGAAAGCACGTCAACGAGTGACGAGTCTTGTAACGTTTGTCCATTGTCTTGTAGGTCAATCGAAGTAACAAGTAACTTAGGGGCTTGGTCTGAATCGAGATAGATGCGTTGTTGTCATTTATTTGGAAGTGGCTGGCAATGGACTGCTTCAGTACTGCAAGTAACAACAGTGCTTAGTGTACTACAGACGCGATCATCTACTTAATTATTTTTTATTTCTAGATACCCCTTCACTGGTCTCTGCATCGACGGGCTAAGCCCAGCACAAGCGTTCTTAACAATGGATACGTTATTTGGCAGGAAGAAAGCACGACCTCGCCAGACCTCGGTTTCAGGTCGTGATCTTTCCGAGCATTCTGTTCCCTATGACAAGATTGCTCCTACCTCTCGGGCTCCAATGCCTGTCGGAACCGTGTCTCAAGGTTTGCGGGGCGCACCTTCAAATCCAACTATCTCAGCTCCCCTCACGAACCCCACTCTTACTCACAATGGGACTGAGATGAATTACAGTGCTTACCAGCGCAGCCGAGATCGGGCCAACAGTCACAGACCTGACTCCACTTTTAGTGCAGCAGACTCCTCCACCCTTTACAACGATTCTGTGGCTTCATTCACTACCGGAAAGCGACCCAAGACTCCCACCCATAAACTTCGCAGGAGTGAGGCGTCTGGTTCATCTGGCAGACGTAGTCCGAATGGCACTGATTTTGGCTCAATACCTCTCCCATCTTCACCGGTTGTATCTCATTCTACTCTCCGTCCTGGGTCCACTATTCCTTTTTCGTCCGAAGCGGAGCGCACCCCTCGCTTCTCGAGTTCCGACACTCACTCCAGCCATCTGTCACATTTTTTCCATAAACCTCATTCGAACCAGGATGAATTCGTTTTACCCCGGCCAGAAAGAGACGAAGATATCGAAGCTCTCTTTGAACACGTATCAGTGACTCGCGACCTCCCTACGATGAAGCCTTTTACCATTGAACAGAAGTGGCAGTTGGTGTATGGTGCAGAACAATTGCGATGGCAGGAGGAAAAGAATCGAGAGGAACAGGCTCGGAAACAGGGTGATTCAAGTGCAGCAAGCTCCCTTGGAGAGGGAACACCAGACTGGTATATTAGGAAGTTCCTCGACAACACCATCACACCGAAACAGGCCTCAAGTGTCTGTGTATCTTTGAAGAGTCATGAAACGAGGTGGGAGGTTAGTTTATGTGCTGTAATTGTTGATAACCTCAGCCTGTTTAGCTGGCTTGAACGCTTCATTGAGCTCCAGGGCGCATCTGTATTGGCGCAGGCGCTAATGCACATAAGTCGCAAGGGTGCCAAGAGGTAGTGCCATTGTTTAAACCCAACGTACTTTTCACTAAAGCTTCGCATAGGCTCCAATCTGACACCCCCCTCGAGAATGAGATTGCCAAGTGTTTGAAGATTATCTTCAATAGCGCTGTATGTTTCTTTTCCCCTTGTCCGTCATTGTTCATTGGGCTCAGATCCTTTAGCCCAGAGTGCGCGACGCTATAAAATTGAATGGTGTCGTCACTCAAATCGCGTCTTCTCTCAATTCACCTCATCTACAAACTCGCAAAGTGATTTGCGAAGTTCTCCTCTCCATCATCTACTTCAGTGCAGATCCTCTTTCAGTGGTATTACCAGCTCTAGAAGCCCTTAGCGGCGCTAATGGCGAAACGACTGGATATTACGATTATTGGTTCAGATCTCTTGAGAGCGCGCTCCTGGGCAGGGGCAAGATGGGGAGTCTGGTTGGAGCTAGCGAGGAAGTCCGCAAAGCCGGTGGACATGACAATTCCCTCGCAGATTATGCGGTGAGTTTGTTTTACTTGTGTTCTAGCTGGATCATTAACGTGTATCTAGTCAACCAACCTTTTCGTGATTGTTCATATCATAGACGCAATCGATGACCTGGACGTACGATTGCACCACCGCTCGTTAATGGACTCTGCTGGTCTCCAGCGTATCGTTGCCCTATGTCACGAGATCGGTACTGAGCCCATGGAAATACAGCTCCATCAGCTGCAGTCTGTACTGGAAGAGGACGAGAAGCATCTGCGGGAACGGTACGACGAACAAATCCTTCGGGACCTCAATAGTGCTGAAGACATCTGGAATGCCCTTCGCCATAAAACGGAGAACACAGGTGCCAAGGAGTACTTCCTCTCTATGATGCGACACCTGCTACTCATCCGGGAGGAAGGTCCTGATATGATGCGCCTCTATCAGTTGTTAGACTCACTGGTCACGGACGTGGTCATGGATGGGAAACTTGCCACCGCAGAGAAGAGGCTTGGACACACCGTTCAACGGCTTATCGGCCAGTTAAACGATTCTCAGCGATATCAGGATGCAGTTCAAGAGGCTGCAGAAGCTCGTTCTCAAGCTCTGCGTCTAAAGCTTGAGAAGGAGGCCATTGAAGAGGAGATGTCACAAGGTTCAGACGGTCTCGTCGGTAATCTCAAGGCGCAGGTCGCTCTCCTCGAACAGAAGCTTAATTCGCATCGAGAAACTACGAAGCGTCTCCAAGGACAACTCGAGACACAGAGAGTCGGGTATGAAGAGCAAATTGCTCAACTGGAAGCTCAAATCTTGGAACTGTTCAGAATGCTAAGGGAGGTTGGTAAGGGTTACGAGAAGATCCTTGACTCCACTTCTGGAACGATGGACCGGAAGACCCTAATAGAGACCCTGAATAAGCATCTCGAGCGAACCAAGACTATCAGCATCCTTGAGGGGCGCGGCAAGAAAAAGAAGGATAGCAAGCAGGGGGACGGCGAAGACGACGAAACCGACGAATCGGATGACGATGCCACTCCTCGGAAGTCCGATGCCCAACGGGGCGCTAATGGTTCAGGAGGCCGATCCCAACTTTCTAAAGCTGCCCGGATATCTGGAGTTCCTAACGGCCACGAGTCGCAATTCATGGATGCTGACGAGGCGGACGAACGGGAACAAATTAACCATCAGCTTGTAGCGAATGCTAAAATTGTATGATCTCTCACGAAAATCAGCAAAGATTGTAATGCTCATTGGTATTGTATAGTTATCACCGGACGATGGTGCTGTCGCTAGTCCTCGGAGTATTAACCGCTCGCCTCTTAATCGCTCGCCCAGGCGTACTAACCGTGCGATACTAGGCGATGACACACCATCACTACGTCGTTCACATCGCGCCAATAATCTTCTCGCACCCCGGCACGACCATGCACTTGATTACAGTGATTACGAGTCATCGCTACGCGAAGAGCATGATGCGGAGAGCGAGTTTGGTCAATCTACACGTAGCGGATTCACCGCCTTGACCGATGATACCCAACCCACTTCTGTTAGCTCGGACGGCTCATCAGAGGTATCCCGTGGACCCACTTCTGCGTCCTTCACTGAACAGCTTGCAAAGAAACTTCAATCCCGGGGGCGAGTCCCGTCTGTCTCCGAGGATAGTCCAACACCGTCTCCGCTTGCCTCCCTCGCTGAGGAATCTGACGTTGCAGCTCCCCCTCCTCCGCCACCTCCGCCACCACCACCACCGCCACCAGTACCGCCGAAGGACGATGATGAATCAGCCCCACCTCCCCCGCCGCCGCCGCCGCCTCCTCCTCCGCCACCACCCCCTGGATATCTCCCTCCTCTTCCAACCTTTTCCAGTGCCCCTCCACCCCCGCCTCCTCCACCACCACCCTCTTTCTTGAAGGGTGTTTCTTCTACCCCAAGTTCTGCATCTAATTCCGCTCGAGCATCCATGTTCCTTAGTGCAAACCTCAATATCCTTCTTTCTGCTCGCAAAGATATGCCATTTACACCTAGTGCCAAGATGAAGCAGTTGCAGTGGGACAAGCTTCCGCAACAGCAAGTTGGCAAGACACTTTGGAAAGACGAAGAGCCTGAGAAAGAGAAAGAAATGCTCGCCAAACTGCAATCCGATGGAGTGTGGATGGAAATGGAGGAAGACTTTAAGGCCAAGCAGTTGATGATCAATCTCATGGGTGCGTTCTCTATATCCTTTCGTCATTTTTAGCTGACACCCCCGAAAGCTCGACAGAGGCAAGCCGAATTGAAGAGTGTTCTTGACCCACAGACGAAGAAGCGAGTTGGTGAGTTCTTGGAGCGCCAGAATCTTTGAGCTTGCGACTTAAAGTATTCTCTTCCAGAGATCCTTATTCAGCGGGTGAAGAAGATGGAACCTGAGGAAATTGCACGCCGCATACAGCAATTCGACCAGGAGATGTGCTCTGAAAACTTCTTGAGCGAGCTCAAAGGCGTCCTTCCCACTCCGGAACAGGTGAGATACTTACCATTTGTCTTGACTTTGCTTAAGTTGTGTTTAGATTGGCAAACTCAACGTATACCGCAATGCCGAGCCTGAGGAACTGGCTGGATTGCACCCTTCCGACCGGCTCATGGTTAAACTCATCCAGATTGACCGTCTTGGCCCCCGCATAGAGGGTATGCTTTACAAGTGCAAGTTCGAGGAGCAGTGGCTACTCCTAGATGACGTATGTCGTTATTCACTGGGCATTTTAAGATATTCACCGCGATCACACAGGGCGCCAGGAAGGTAGGCGAAGCAGGAGATGCCTTGCTGCACGCCAAGCACTTCAAGGAAGTTCTGAACGTAGGTCCTGCCTGAGCCTAGAGCGTTATTTTTGCCTAAAATACATTTGCAGCTCATCCTCATGATTGGCAACTACATGAATGGCACAGGGATTAAGGGAGGCGCCTTTGGTTTCCGAGTGAGCAGTATCAACAAGGTAGACCCTTTTCTTACGTCCTCTCGACTTGACTGAATCTCACTGCAGCTTGTTGACACTAAATCCGTCAACAACACGACACTTCTCCACTTTCTCGAACGGACAATTCATAAACATTTCCCAGCCATGGAAGAGTTTTTAGACGAGCTTGCCAAACCCGCAGAAGCCTACCGAGGTTTGTGTTTGCTGTATAAGAGGCCCAGATTCCCTGACATATAACGCACTCCAGTGAACACTCAGGATATTCGAAAGGATCTTGGTGAACTTCGGGATGGTTTGAAACGTATTCGCCAGGAGTTGAATGACTATCACACCGACCTAGCACAAAATGACGGGTTCAGCAACCAAATGTGGACCTTTGTCGGAAAGGCGACCTCCAGGATAGAATATCTTGTCGATGATGTAAACCACGCGGACACTACTTTCATGGAAGTAGTCAAGTATTATGGCGAGGATGAGAAGAACGTAACCTCACCGGAGTTCTTTGCGGTTTTCAAAACTTTTGTCACCTCTTATAAGGTCAGTGGCCCCGACACATTAGTACAATGAGGTGACCTAACATTTTGCAGAAATGTAAGATGGAGAACCAAACCGCGGCTGAGGAGAAGGCTGCTGTTGAGAAGCGGAAGCAAGCTATGGCAGAGACGAGGCAACTGCGCCAGAATGCCAAGGATGCTAGTGCGCGAGAGGAAGATGACTCGGTTCTCGACGATCTATTGGAGAAGCTGCGCAATGGAGACACGGTTAAGCGTCGTGCAAGAAGGGCTCGTCCACAACCAGACACTAAACCTCTCGTACATCCACTTGACACTACCGTTGACGTCGCACGAGATATGCTGGCTCGTCTCAAAGCCGATGGCTTCGGGACGGCGATGCCCTCGTCGCCTACTGTTTCTTCTGCGCCACGACGGCGGACGCGGAGAAGGACTGACCTTGGTGGTGCCGACTCTCAATCTGCCCTTCTGTCCCCTGCAGTAAGCTTACCAGACCTACCCAGCAGCCCAGACGTTACGGCGGACTCGAATTTTTCGGACATGCCATAATCCCTCCATTCGCCCTCATTAGATGTATCTCTATCTGTATTTTATCTGCTTGCATTAGTCTCGCTCACCACACACTCACCCTGACTGAAGGATTGTTTGTCAATGTTAGATCCGATCAAGTTGGACTTCAGACTTCCAAGTTCTGACCATTCTCATAACGACTTTATACGAACTCCATATACGCCATATATAAGATACCCTTCGAATATGATACCTTCCGCTGGACGCATATTTTTCTCTTCGCTTCTCCTTTCGTCTTTCGTGCGTGCATCTCAGTCCAACAATACAGCATTAGAGATAGAAGCTATCCGCGCGCACTTTCAGGGGGCTGGTCTGGTGCCATCCCTGCTGGCAAGCTTCATTCCTACTGCGCTTCTGACCGCAGCTTACGTCGGTGTTGGGGCCGTAACCCCGGGTCAGCTCCTCCTAAAGGCTCGTAAGTGAATTCTATGCCCCGTAGCATTTGCCTTGCCAAGTTTTACAACTGCCAGAGACGCAAACTGCCCCACACCTTATGATCACGCCCGCCAATGTCACAACCTTGTTAAATGAGAAATACACTGTTGTAATGGTGGATGCCTGGGCTCCAGGGAATAATGAAACGCGTGGTCAGATTTGTCACTGGCTCGTCAATGGAGTAACTATCCAAGGTATGAACACGCTCTAATTGCATATGATCTTTTGAGTTTCACGCAGTGTCTGCGCAGACCATTCTGTATCAATGCGCGGAAGCCTGGGGGTAGAACAATACAGGGGTCCAGCTCCGCCTTCCGGGAGCGGGCCACACCGGTTACTCATTTTTTATCTTCCTTGAAGGAGTCCTGATTCTGATATAGATCCCTGCAGCTATGTTATCCTACTCTACGCCCAGCAGTTGTCAACCGTGCCTCCGCCGGCGTTCCCCCAAGGCAGTGATCCGGTATTTTTCCACCTCGCGGATTATGTTAAGGTGTGGTCACTTTTCCTCGTATGTAGATCTATGATATTAACAGAATACTAATAAGGCCTCAAAAATTGGACCGCTTATTGCAGTATGCTCTACGAATAGCACATCACCCAGCACCACTAACCATTTGATCAAGGGAACCTACTTTACAGTCCAGGAGGGGATAGCTTCTTTCATACCCTCCCCTACGTCTCCTGTCGTGACGTCTGCTCTTATGGCTTGGGGGTCCAGTCCGTCAACATCTGCGAGCACAGACGTTCACCACAACGGCGCAATCTCGTCATCAAGCAATTACTTGACCATCTTACTCGCACCGTTTTTGTGGCTTGTAGCATTGTAGTTTCTTTTACCCTCACACTTGATCACTCGATGTGTACAAATCATATGAATCATAAATTATCGTCAGTACGATAGGATATCCAAGCTGAAATGCGTCAAAGCAACGTGTGTTACTAGCTTCCGAATCTTTCTCTCGCCTGTTGGAGATGCAGTTGAGTACCAAGGCGCCATGTCTTCTATTGATTTTGACCAAGTGACCACACTCACCGCATCCTGTGCCATGTGGACATAACCAGCATAACCATCGGTATACTTCCCCAGCTCCTTGCCTTTGCTGGCACCCAAGCCCACTCCTTGTGCATAAATGTTTGTTTGACTGGAGTGGTGGGATTTAGTAGCGACAAACCATAAAATAAGCAATGCATACATTGGGTCTACCCTGCCATCGCCATCAGTGCCCAGACCGAAACCCTCCTTCCACCCCATCATTTTTAGTAGTTTATTCCCGACGTTTGCTTCATCCTGTCCAGGGTGAACTACTGGCGGGGGTGAAGGGGGCGGGGGCGGTCCTTCAACATGTCGTCTCTTCTTACCGATCACGCTGCCAATATTGTCCGGTAAAGGTACATCAGGCTGGTTATGCATGATACGTCGCTCTGATGCTCGATCACGATATTTGGGCTGTTCAGGAGCCTTGTCGGAAGCCTGACGAGTAGCTGCAGCTTTTTGTCGAGCGATGTCTCTAAGATTAGCGTCCTTGAAATTCTTCTGTATGATAGGTAGGAAGGATAAATTCCAACAGGAGAAATTGTCAGCTTATTCTAATAATACTTCGTTAACAAGAGGCGCGCCTTGTGAAGACCGGACTCCTTATTGTGACGCTTCAATTGATCGAGGCTCTTGAATTGCCGGGCGCAAAGCAAGCATGTCAATGCAGTGGTATCAGAGAACTCGAATTCGGTTTCGACCACTTCCGGAGAAGGTGCTCTAGATGGCACCGTTGAGATCACGGTCGGCGTCACGACAGCTGGGGGATTGGCCTGTGGAACCTAAATGATCAGCTGCTCGTTCCTTGTGTTACAACACATCTGCAAACCGGTACATGAACATTCTGGTCGTCTTTAAGTTCTTCTTGAACCTGATTCCATTTCTGGATATTGCTGACAGTCTGATACGAGAATAGAAAGTCACAATATTTTCTGGCAAATGATGCGGGAACAAACGAACCTTCTTGCTTGTGATGAGCGGAGCAACCATCTTCGACGCGGCCACTGTGCCACAATACAAATGTCAACTATTACACGCCAATATTTGTCGAGAACAGATTAAAGAACCTTTGCTATCGTCCGTGGAAGTTGTTGGCTCGGTATCATCTTCCTCGGCGGCGAAGTCTTCGGCAGAAAAACCAAGTGATAGTTGCCCCGGAGCCTTTGCTGTCGATAAGGAAGTATTTGGTTTGCTTCCAAGGGCACCTCTGTTAAAATTGAGCGTGACGGGTTTATCCGAGATAGGCAATACTGAGGGTGCAGGAGGTTTGTTCGAGGCATCATCTATTTCCCCAGTTAATTAGTGCGAAAGAAAGGAGTTCACTGGCGCACCTTTCTTCTTCTTTTCCTTCTTTTCCTTAACGGGTCCAGTTGAGGCTTGAACCTGGGGTTGTACAGGTTCTTCCACTTTGAACTCCAAAACAGCGACCATGGAGGATTCGTCCCAATACTTTACAAACGCACCCTCAACTCCACCCAAATTAATGGACGATGGAATTGCAGTTTCGTCGCGCAGCATATGGTCAACTGGTTGGAATGAGTATTGATGAGCAAACGAAGCAGCGACAGGCTTGTCGGATATTCGAAAGCCTGAGGGATGAATCTGGGGAGACATGCTGGTGGCCAGCACTGAAGCTGCAGACTGGAATAAACTAGGATTAGAAACCAATGTTGTATTACTCCTCGTCATGTTACCTGATTGTCGATAAACTCAACAAATGCAAACCCGAAGCTGGCCAACGTGACCCTATCTTTAATGAGGATAATCCGTTTCATGCCTTTAGCTCCGTTTTTCCCGGGTCCTGCTGAATTCATCATGGCCTGAGCAATCGCTTGCGGCCCCGACAGCGGATCTAGACCACGGAACAGTAGCACTGGCCCTTGGGTATTGCCAATGTCACGCGTGCCATCGTTCATATTCTGGCGACCACGGGCTTTGTCAGGCAAAGCACTTTGCGAGTAATCGATCTTGACCCGTCGACCATTGTGGGGAATGCCGGTCTCAAGCGCCTTATAGAATGTAGCTGTCGCTGAAGCGCCGTGCGATGCAGGTGGAGGTACCTGAATAAACGGAAAAAGCGGATCCACAAATGCACGGGCATGTTCAACACTCGCGAACTGGGCAAAGCCGAAGCCCTTTGAGATACCTTCAAAAATTCAATGGTCACAGACGTCAATGCACGGCATGAATATGAATACGAATGGGCAAGTGCCTGTTGATCTGTCTCTTATAATGGTGACCGTTTCAATGTTGCATCCATTGTTCGACAGGTATGCCTGCAGCTAAAGTATAGCATAGATTCAGCTCGGTACTCGAAAATATGTAAAGCGCGTCGACAAACATCCGCCTCAGAGAAGTCAGGATCCAATCCCAGGAAGATGACATGGGGGCTGGGTTCGCTAGGAAGCAGACGCTTTTTGCCTTGAAAGCCTTTCTGGTGTCGGTCGTCTTGATCTTGTGTATAGTCTTGTGGCCTGCCCTGAGACTGTTGGTTGTAGGGGGTGTCATAGTGGGGTTCTTCGTACGTATGACTTGCATCGTAGCCCTAATGAACATGGATGAGGAGAAACATAAGTTTGGCATAAGGACTACGCACGCCATTGTTAAATTTCCTACGCTTCCCATCCCCGTCGTCCCTTCCTCTACCTCCTCTGTCGTTAGTCCATGCCGCACTGTCGCCCCAGTTGTCCTTTCCTTTATCCCAGTCACGGTTATAAGCCATGGAACAGAAAGAGATAACACAGCTGCGCTCGAAAGATGATAATAGGTAAGAAGTAAAAGATATTCACGATGAACCTCGCGGCCGCAGAAACGTTTACGCATGCAAGTAGCGCAACCAAATAAGCTACAACAACACTACACTCCTTACATTAACTACGACCATGGCCGTACCCAGTGAGTACTTAACGGTTTAACAATGCTAAGAGAGATACTAATAGCTTTTAAACGACTCAAGGCTTTTTGAAGGTTTGTGCGTATTCTTGGACTCAGAATGCATGCTCTAATACGCCTTTTAGGTTGATCCCGCAATTGAAAGATGGAATCGTATGGTAAGTCGGGTTCAACCGTATACCTCTGTCTTTCTGAAGTTTTCTCTATTTCTAGCGTGAAGATGCGTATAAACATTTCAGATTCACCCCACGAACAACGTGGGTCACGATGTGTGGGTTCGTACTCGTGCCCGGGGCGATCTATTACCTAGCAAGCCAAACACACGTACGTTGTTTTTTACATTCATTTTGTGATTTGCTTATGGTTATTGCAGTTGAAATGGAGCTGGGCAGGAAAGCGAAAAGGGGAGGCATTAGCACAGTCGTGATTCTCGACCCTATATCGTATTCTCTGCGCAGCGTGTACCGTGAACGTGGAGGTATCCTATTCACCATAAATCATTTGATTTGGGTTTCTATCGAGAATAACGTAGTTCAGAATCTCCTGCACAACTCTATTGCTACCTTGCAACCACCACCAACAACCGCGCTGAGTAGTGCATGCGCAGGAGCTCGCTGAGAGTGATGCTCGACGGCAGTGTCCAAGTGCTCCAACTCGTCATCTCTAAATTCCTTGATGACATCCTTCAAAAGTGGGATGCTTGGATGGGATGATGGTAGCGACTCGAAGTCTTTCAGTTGGCTAAATTTCCTTGGAGCATAAGACTTGCGGGCACAACATCAAAAGAAAAAGAGAACAAACTCATCATAATGTTCCCCTATGACTGTCTCTACTGCCTCTGTGCAAGCCATGGCCGCTTCTTTGCCCATGAGGGCGGTCGCCGCCCCGAGCGCAAAACCTGCAGCTTTTGCAATGTCGGACAACACTGTTGGCCGTACCTGATGTTGTAGCTGTAATTTGTCCATCACTTTCAGATGCAGTTTTTCCTGGTCCCACATTTCCTACACCAGATTAAGTTGAATGGAGGTGGTTCAATTGCTATCCAAGATGCTCACCTGAATCAATGGCCCAACTCGCGGGTCGTGGCCAAGGACAGCGAACTGTCCTCGATAAATCCAATTCGCCGCAATTTCGCCAGCTTGGTCCACACGCAGCGCGCTATCCAGAATTTCCCGCTGCTCTGGAGAAATGTCCGGGGAGGTAGACACCCCAGGTTCCTGATTCTTGGACAGGTCCGTGTAGAAAGTGGATGCTCTGTATGTGATGGCTCGTGTCAAGTCTGGTCGTAGAGCCTTCGCAGCCTGGAAACGGCACCCTGCCAACATTGTGATTCCAGCAGCTTAGTCGCACAAAACAAAACAGATGCGGTCAACCACTGAAAGCAATAATGATAGCACTTCCTACTAAACTCGTGACCAGTCTGGACTCTGGACTACGTCTTTGAGATGTTACCTTGCGGAGCAAAGTCAACTTCAATCACTGAGGAAACGAGATTTTAGCCACACCCTAATTCCCCTTCAGCGTGTATGATTAGGCCCCAAAGTTTGGTTTTTTTGTTGCCAATTATTAGTAGTGCTAATCAAAACAACTGACCGTCGCCGGTCTGTGTATTCATTGTCTATCTCTTTCTATCTCCAACTCAACCAACTGTACATCACTTAAGGCTTCCAAGGTGTCGAGTTTGAGTATGTATACTAATATCTAATTCGACATAATCCTTCTTGGCGTTGACTGGGAATACACCAGCGGTCTTTCTTGCAATACATAGTCGTCTCAGGATACCGCCAATTTCCTGTCTATGCTTTAGGCGTGCTGACCTGACTAGTTTTGGATTGCATCGGTGGGTAGATTTATTGACGGTCACGATTACTGTGTTTAATGTTTTCTGCAGAGGTCATGAACAACAACCTGGACGGCGACATTTCAGCACGGTTGTGGGCCCCAACTCTCCTTTAGATAATTCATGTCCCTCAGCTGCTGAGCAAACTGCCTCTGCCACTTCCGCTGTCAAGCTCTGGACTGTTGCAGGGTTCTCTGCTCAGCAGATCCTTCTTGATGTGTCCAGCTACGGACACGGCTACTCCATCTACTCGTCTGCAGCTATCTAGGGCAACGTGTTGGTCTCATACCACAGCTTTAACGCCAACCACTTCGTCTTTGGCGATAGCTGGGATGCAGCTGTTCCAGACACTGGCGGTATCAACCAACCTGCTTCTGGCGACTTCAACTTCTGGGGTCTCATCGCTGGTGGGTTCTTGAACGAGGACGGCAGCGCCGCCTCCTGCGTGACTGACCGCTTTGGTAACTGCAGACAGACGGTGCGTACTACGAGTTTTTCGCCGGTTTGACTGTCGCCTTGTTTTTAGCCGTAAGTCTAACAACCCCAACACACAAGTCATGGTAGCCTAGGACAACGCCCAATCTTTCAGTATGTCTTTACCTGCCCCAGTCATATTTTAGGTAATTCTCCTCCAGCTGTAAAGGGTAACTTCATCAAACTGGTTGCGTCCACCCCCCATGCAGGTCAGCCCCCGCAGACGTCTCTTGGAGCAAGCACCTGCAACCAGACGCCAGCAGTCACTGGCGCGTTTGGATCTGGCGCCACGAAACCGGCCATCGGGAGCAAGGCTCCTTCTGCAGCTCCTCCTACTCTTTCGAAAACCATCGCGTCTGCTCCGTCAGCTTTGAGGAAGATCTATCAGTACTTCCTCTACTAATCGGCCAGCAAGACAGCATCGACAACAGCGTCTTCTAGAAGCTCGCCTTCCGGTTCCCCACAACCATCTTAACGAACATCCATGCTCCCCCCAAGGGCATCATTTACTACTGGCACCTCTCCGACACCGAAGTCGCGGGGCACTGTATTGTCGTCTCTGATATCTTCTATGACTTCCAAGCCTGCTCCAGCTGAGGCCAGCTCACCTTCGCGTGCTTCTGTAGTTCTCCTTTTGGCTCAGTTGCATCGCTGAGGTCCAATGCTGCTGCTCCTACCGCCTCTCGTCCTCGTGCTTCAATATGAGCAGAACACCCTCTGTTTCATCTGACCTTCAAGCCCTCAATGCCACCTTGCAACAAAATCGCAATGAACATTCGCGGGTCCCCCAAAGGGGTTGGAGAAGGACTTCTCCCGCTCCTGCGGTTCCGGCAGCTGCTCCTCTGGCTCATGCACCTTCCGCTTCTGTTTCGGCTTCTGCTCATTCTGCTCCTCCTTCCGCTGCTTCTGCTTCTGCTCCTTCCCGAATCCTTCCCCTTCCCCTTCTGTTCGCTCCACCTCCTTCCCCTTCCCCTTCTGGTCGCTCCCGAATAAGGATATCATCCGGTAAGCAAGGTCGATGTAACATTGTCTTACGTACACCGCGGAGATATGGAACCTATATTACTCAAATCGTCCAAACTGCCGCATGATCAAGAATCTGGGGGAAGGTTAAGGGAACCATCCCGTTTGATATCATAATATTCGATATTGTGATGCTCTTCGTGTCATGCTTCGGTCCATAGAGTGTGCCCCCAGTCGTCATTAGACAGTTTCTAGTTCAGGCTTTTTGAATTAAAATACATGCTTTAATATGCCCTTTATGTTGATTCCACAGTTGAAGTGAGTAAGTCAGGTTCAACTGTAATTTGTTATTGCAGTTTGGGCAGGTAAGCGAAAAAGGGGAGGCATTGGCGCAGTCATAATTTTCGACCCCATATCGCATTCTCCAACTCGTCACCTCTAAATTCCTTGATAACATCCTTCAAAAGTGGGATGCTTAGATGAAATGATGGTAACGAAGTCTTTTGGCTGAATTTCCTTGGAGCATAAGACTTGCGGGCACAACATCAAAAAAAATGAGAACAAACTCGTCATAAATTATAATGCTCCCCTATGACTATATCCACTGCCTCCGTGCAAGCCATGACCGCTTCTTTGCCCATGAGGGCCGTCGCCACCCCGAATACAAAACCTGTAGCTTTCGCAATGTCGGACAACACTGTTGGTCGTACCTGATGTTGTAGCTGTAAATTTCAGATGCAGTTTTTCCTGGTTCCACAATTCCTACTCCAGATTAAGTTGATTAGGCGCGGTTGAATTGCTATCCAAGGTACTCACTTGAAATTAATGGCCCAACTCGCGGGTCGCGGCCCTTGAAGGACAGCGAATTGTCCTCGAAAAATCCAATTCGCCGTAATTTCGCCAGCCTGATCCACACGCAGCGCCACGCATTACCCAGAATTTCCACCCCAGGTTCCTAATTCTTGGACGGGTCTATGTAGAAAGTGGATACTTATGGCTCGTGTCAGGTCTAGCCATAGAACCCCGCCAACATTGTAACTCCAGCAGCTTAGTCGCACAAAACAAGACGGATGCGGTCAAAACCACTGAAAGCATTGTCAAAGCAATGATGATGGCACGGTGCTGATTCCGGAACGAGTGTCTTCCTTCTGTTATAGTCTGCCTAGGGGAGACTATTGATTCCTGCTGAAAGTTCCACGGTTGGGGATGACCAGAATAGGTAGCAACTCAGATCGCGTCTGACGTTCCGATACCTTCACTTTGTTGTATCTGCATCACAATGACCTCAACGTACGTGTTTTTTAATAACTACGATACCATCCCTGTATAACTGTTCACACAGGTTTACCCCTTCGCAAGCTGTTGATATGTCTAAGGAAAAGGACTGGTCGATGAACCTCGGTGTGTTAAGTCATGGCTCGTCGTGAAATGCGCCAGATTTACGTTCCAGTATAGGAATGCTTGACTGGGATGCCACGAGCATTGTATTTACAAAGCGCAGCCTGGTCGAGTTCCTCAAGTGAGTGATCTTTCAGATGTCACCCCGACACTTGCGAGGCTCAGCATCCATCTAGATACACAGGAACCACCGTCGATCCTGGCTTTAGTAATATTCAGAAGCTACCTCGTGAGTAATCGAGATGTCTATCGATGAGAAGTGCTCACCTGATCTACAGGGTATGCCAAGTTTGGCAAATTAACGAGTACCGAAGAGCAGTCACCTGGTGATTCTGGCATTTGTGACCCGGTTATTGGTCTTGACAAAGTCGGAATAAACAGAGATGGTCACAAGTCCCACCGTTTCCTCATCAGAAAACAATAGGCTTCTTGCAGAAGAATTCACAGATGATGCATTGTCCACTGCGCCGCCGCCGCCAAAGGTGCAGTAACATTTTGGTACTTCCTTTTCCAATCTAACGCAAAGCATCCACCACACAGCAAGCCCAAACCAGTTCTCAAGGCAATCCCAACGCTGTAGATGAGTTCAAGCCCACTAGGTATTAGAACCCCAACAGCCTGATGCAATTACTAATGCAATTAACTAGGCGTGTGAGAACGAGGCCAGGCGGTCACGATTCTATTGGCAATCTGTTCAGTGACGATTCTGACGAACCCAAAGCTCAATTTATTCCGACCCGCAAGTACGTGGTGTTTGTTTCACTGCCTCTACTTCACTTATACCTGCCGCAGAGTGCGACAGCGTCCAGGAGGAGACGACAATATCGAAGGGGTAAGCATGCTGCACAATTCTGTTGGACTTATGTATTGATCCCCTAGTAGCTTTTCTGAAAGAGCATTCTTTGTATACCAATACTACATAGAACGAAACAACATGTACCAAAGATGTCAACAACATGTAGCATCAGTACCATGCGATCAAAAATATTAATTGGTGAAAGCCAAAAAAAAATTCATGGTAGCGGCGAGGTTCGAACTCGCGCGGACTTTCGCCCATTGGGATTCAAATCGTTTCTTAAATCCAACGCCTTAGACCAACTCGGCCACGCTACCAATCGCCTGGTTGCCATGTTTGGCATCATTGATCCGCAGACCCCAGGTCACTTTGCATACACGGCTTTAGGAAGGCGGTTGTCAACTTGTCCGACTGTCGTGTCAATATGCGGTGACCGCAGTCACTAGTTCACTTTTGAAGGCCGTCGGCGCTTTTCTTATCTTCAACTCCAGAATGTCGTTTCCGAAGACGCAGAGTGAATGGCGAACTGCGTTTGATTCACTCCCCTCTACTCCGGAGAAAATCCCCGCTTTCTTCTTTGGGCACGGGTCCCCGAGTCTCATTGCCGGGCAGGCCTCGAACCCAGTTATGCTAAAAGCCATGGGCCCAGAGGGCGATCTCGCCAATTTTTTGCGTGATTTCGGCCCTGCTTTGAGGGCCAAGTATAAGCCGAAGGGCATTGTCGTATTCAGCGCTCACTGGGAAACCATAGGGGTACGTCACGGTAAGGATTTCAGCTCACCTTCAGGGAACACTTAGCTGATATTGGGTCTGGCAGTGACGGATTACGGAGATAGGAATCCCCTTCTCATGGACTACTTTGGATTTGAACCCTATTTCTATCAACAAATATTTGAATCTAAAGGAGACCGCGCTTTGGCCGAGCGCGTTGTGCAGTTGTACAAAGAAGTATAACGGAAAATCATTCTCTCGCTTCATAACGATCTGAAGTTGCTGCAAGGCAGGGAAAGAAGCCAAGCTCTCCAGCGTTCATGAGAGCCGCGGGTGGGATGGTCGGACATCTCCTCCTCGTCCAGGCCCGGGATTGGACCATGGCGTCTTTGTCCCTTTCAAGTTGATGTTTGGGGACAAGATCGACGATGTGCCCATAGTTCAAGTATCCATCGAAAATTCTGATGACCCACAACAGAACTGGGCAGTCGGAAAGGCTGTGTCGAAACTCAGGTTCGTGTCGTCTCATCTTTACGTTCGCACCTTTGTAAACTCGACGTATCTGACGTCTCGTATTCATAGAGAAGAGGGGATCCTCATCTTAGCAGGCGGTCTGACTATCCACAATCTTCGTAATCTAAAGCAATTTGCAGAGCAGTTGGCGTCACCCGATGTGCAGATGTTTGATCAGGCAATCACAATGGCTGCATCCAAGTCTGAGGTTCATACTGCACACTCATCTCGTTCCAAAATTGCTCATGTTAATCTTTGCAGCTTGACGACCGGAAGCAGTCCATGTTCGACCTCATGAAGCACAATGGTTTCTCGCAGGCGCACCCCTCCAGCGAGCATTTTGTTCCGCTGTACGTTGCAGCGGGCGCAGGTGAGGAGGGGGGTGTTCAGGTCCTCAGCGCCATTTATGCTGCTCCGACTATTGCATTCGGCGTTTGATGCTATGCAAAAGAATGTACCCACCTGTTTTCACTAGAAGATAAATTACACATTGAACAAGACGGACATTCTAGTTAAGAAGCTTTAAAAACTTCGAACAAACCTGCTCGTCTGCTAAATCTGGCTAGAGTGATATGTGCCGACATAAACTTCTGTTTGTCGTTGGTCTGTTACTTTGTTTTTTTGTACAAGATCGCTGGTAAGTACCTGTCCCGACGAATCCCTTCAATATTAATTTTCACGAACACAGATGATTGACGACGCATGCAACTCTTATACTTCACTTCCAATGGAATTTGGGTGGGTTCCACATCGCGGAGTCCCTCATATGTCATCAATTTCCAAAATATACTGGCTTTCATGCCGACATGATACTATGACATCTAGTTAACGACTGGTGGCTTGTTCCACCATTCGTGATCTCAAGCAATGACTGCACCCTCCAGCTATCTGCTTCTGACTCCCGCCAGCTTTGCGAGTGCAGGCTACCATTCTCGAAATCCAACCAATGCTACAGGGTTGCATCCAAGCTCAATTTTGCACGAGATCGATGACAACATCACAGATCGTACATACGCTCCTCCTGATGGCGCACACGGCGACCTCACAAATACTGCTGCTACCACTGATGCTCGTGGCTATGTGCGTGCTATCGGGCTGCAAGTTCAAACCACAATGCATTAATTTACTGATGTGGGCTGCGGAATAGAATATCGAATTTTCCAATTTCAAATCGATTTCAAACATCCTTCCATTCCAATTCCATTCCACATTTTGCCACAGAATGATCAAATCACCCGGAGGGAAGGTTCTATTCTGTAAGGCGGTTTGATCCCGGCCGGGGGACCAATGCCGCAGTTCGCCACGTCGACGCCCGTCCTCTCTTCAACTTCAGAATGTCATTTCCGAAGAAACAGAGTGAATGGCAAACTACGCTAGATTCACTCCACCCTACTCCAGAGATAATCTCCGCTTTCTTTTTTTGGACATGGGTCCCCTATGCTCGTCGCTGAACAGGCCAGGAACCCAGCCATGGGCCCAGACGGCGACCTCGCGAAGTTTTTGGCCCTACTTTGAGGGCCAAGTACAAGCCGAAGGGCATTGTCATATTCAGCGCTCACTAGGAAACGATAGGGGTGTGGCATGGTACGGATTCCAGTACACTTTGGGGGCGTTTAGCTAACCATGAATTTGATAGTAACGGATTACGAAAATATAATCTCCTCATGGACTACTACGGGTTTGATCCCTATTTCTATCAACAAAGATTTGAATCCAAAGGAGACCGTGGTTTAGCCGTGCGTGTTCTGCAGTTGTACAAAGAGGTACATCACCCCCCTTTCCTCGATAGCAATGTCCTACATAGGGTAGTACACCCCAACAAGATAATAATTCGATTCAAAAAAAAAGAAAAAAAAAGGAGATACATCGACAGAAAGTCATTCTCTCGGTTGATATCGACGTGAAGGCAGGTCAAGAAGCCAAGCTTTCAAGTATCCACGAGAGCCGCGGGTTAGATGGACATCGGATCTTCTCCGCCTCTTCCAAGCTCGGGATTGGACCACGGCGCCTTCGTTCCTTTCAAGCTTATGTTTGGGAACAAGATCGACGACGTGCCCGTCGTTCAAGTATCTATCGAGAGTTCTGACGACCCAGAACAGAATTGGACAGTCAGAAAGGCTATATCGAAACTCAGGTTCGTCAGATCTCTATGTTCGCACCTTTGTAGCTATATCTGATGTCTCGTCCATAGAGAAGAAAGGACCATCATCCTAGCAGGCGGTCTGTCTGTCCACAATCTTTATGATCGTAAACATTTTTCAGAGAAGTTGGCGTTACCCAACGTGAAGATGTTTGATCTGGCATTAACAGTAGCAGCATCCCAGTTCCATGTTTATCCCACATGCTCGTCTCTCCAGAATTGCTCATGTGTTATTCTTGACAGCTTGACGAACGGAAGCAGTCGCTGTTTGACCTCGTGAAACACGATGGCTTCTCGCTGGCGCACCCCACGGCCGACCATTTTGTTCCGCTGTACGTTGCAGCTGGCACAGGTGAGGAGGGAGGGGCTCAGGTCCTCGGCGTCACCTACGGTACTTCAGACGATTGCATTCGGCATTTGATCCTATACACATGTTTTGTACTACAAGCTAAATTACACTGCGAAATGAACATTCCAATCATACAGTATGAATGACAGGAATAAGGTATTCAACACAAATAACCCGAAAGTAATGAAATGCCAGGGAATAGCATGTGACAATAATGAAATAGAAGAAAGGTGTATATATGGATGTACTTCCATCACGGCCGGTTATCTCCAGCAAAAGACCATATTCTGACGTCTCCGTCATCGCTGCCAGAGATGATCTTGTCCTCACCAAGGCCCAGGCATGTTACAGCCCCACGATGTCCAACCAATGTAGCCGTACACCGGCCTTCCTCGCGGTTCCACACCTAAAAGCTTGTAAGTTTGGGCGGCAGATGATTACTCGTGAACAAAACGCGCCTTGATAGTGCGGTCATGGCTGCCGCTAATTAACCGCAATTTGTCACTCTCCACTGCCCAGACGCCTTCGATGTGACCAAATAAAGTCTGCGTGGCTTTCGCTGTATCGATGTCCCAAACCTTGATAGTGTTATCAAGGCTTCCGGAAATGAGCACCGGCCTCTTAGCGCGCTTCCGACTATTGCCTGCCAGCAATTCCTTAGTAACACGATCAAGGCTCTGAATGTCCTCCATGCTCTCGCTCTCAACTCCAGAAACGGAGAATGCATCCGCGCCATCGTGTGTAATGACCGTGCAAACTTCAAAGGGGTTCATTGGATTCCCAACCTGGGTGACTTGAGCGAAGTTGTTTTCCGTAATGCGCTGTTGCTGGCGATTGACACCCTCGTCACATGCCTTGTCCACCTCTAGTAGTTTCAGACTCTGCACTTGCCCAACGTGCCCCATGAATTGGCGCACGCACGTCCGTTGTGCAAGGTCCCACAGTCGAATGGTCCCGTCATCTGAAGCCGAAAACAATAGTTTGCCTTGGCCTATCCGTGGCTCGCCACTTGATCCGCACGCCATCTGGGTATTCGTCGGTTCTTTAGACTCCCATAACCGCACGGAATTTACCCAGTCCCGGTGCCCACGGAGGGTGAACGCTTCACCCGTGCGAAAGTTCCACACCTTCACGGTGGTGTCCACACTCCCGCTAGCAAGCACGTTAGAGTCAAAGTTAAGACAAACAACGCCCTCCGTATGCCCCTCGAGTGTACGTATGCACTCCCCACTCCTCCAGTTCCACACTCGAATGGTGTGGTCCATACTCCCCGTAATCAACTTCGCCTCGTCGAATTGTAATGCCCGCACAGCACGAGTGTGCCCACGGAGGCAGCGCACCTCGAAGCCGGTCTCGATGTTCCACACACGCACAGTGCGATCGTACGAGCCAGTGATAAGGATAGGGAAGGATGGATGCTGCAGGGTCTCGCTGAACTGGAGACACATGACACCGTCTGTATGTCCACGCAACGTCCGGACAGAACATCGACCTCGGCGCCAATTACGCTCCACCGTTAACCGCTCCGAATAAACATCCTTCCATGGTCGTGTGAAAGGTAATGCGTCGGTTATGTCGGAACCGAGAACGAACGGGTCAGGATGTTGGAATGAAGGAGGAGACGAGGAGGGAGACGCTGAGTTCATGCGTACGGTGCGCTTTCGTTCGAGAATAGGTAGCCCCCATCCACATTTGAGGCATTTTTGCCCGATGTGCTGTTCACATATTCCGCGCCACAGAACGTCATCATCGGCTAGGCCTTTCCACCGTTTGCTCACCTGAGCAGCGCGACAGAGAGAGGTGGCGTCGAGATATGCAAGGACTCTGAGCGATAACTCCCGGGGGAGGACGGCGAATGGGTCGATACGGATCAGCTGACCAAGCTGCTCCGTTAGCAAGGAGAGCTGAGAGAAACAGCACATGGTGAGAATGCCTTGGAGAATAAGTTCTCTTCTGGGATGTGATGACGAAGAGAACCCGGACCAAATGGCATTAACAGCTTCACGCTCTTGTACAGATAGAGCATCTAGAGCCTGTAGAACACAATCAGCAGCTGAACAGCTCATCAGGTGGAGCGTGCCAAGTCAGGAAAGACACATGCCTGCTGAAGCTTCAAGTTTGTACCCTCATCTGCCATTCTCTGATGGCGGACACATAGCTTTCTCTGAGCTGTGGAAGTTGGAGTGGAGTGCATCTCAATATCTGGTGTGGTTGAGAGCGGAGATGAACCGGCAGAAACAGATCGATAATTTGAGAAAGGTGAAGAAGATCGATCAAGACTTGAACCTGAAGCGAGACGAGGGGCAGGAAGGGTATCGCATTCATAACCAGTCGTGGGTGTCGCCATGACTGGTGAACAGTAAAAGAAAGATCAAAGGGTTCAAGCTTTTTAAGAACCAGCGGTGGAAGTATAATTTCATGACAATCTTCTTGGAAGTACTTGCCTACTCGCGTGCATCTCACGCAACATCACGCAACTTAACGTCACTCGTCACAACATATCCTGTGTCACGCAATTTCAGTCAGCAAGCAGCACAAAGTATCTGCTCAACGACAGGCATAGAGTAGTAACATCATGTATACAGTGGTACTGAACGACCGTGGAAATCAATTCAACAAAAATATGACGTGAACGACACAGAATCAATACAGGATACACGCACTCATCGATCGAAATTATACGACACGCAAAAATCAGATACCAGCCTCCTTCCTCTCAATCAATCAAGCGTGATCTTCAGCTGATCCAGAGGTATCGGTACAAATGTATCCAAGTCGATCGACCGTGAGCGTAGCTCAGCTTCGCAGTGTGGTGGAACCAGGAGTCGGTTCAAGTCCGGTCGTACCGACAACTCTGTCATGAACAGGTCAGTGGTCGTCGACATTCTATATTATGTTGTTGTTTACCTTCCCGAGTAAAGTCGAACAGACGGGGGAATTCTTTTCCGTTCGGCATCCTTGCGCCCTCTACTCGTAGTTCATCAAAGAATGGGTGCACCATGGCTTCAACTGCGCTCAAACGTGCCCCGGGAGTATATTCCAGTAGCTTTGCAACCAAATCAATCGCCTCGGGCGCAGTGCGTGGTCGAAACACCTGTCATACGTACGTAAGTACACGCGGTAACAACGCGACTAACTGCGGAGATACCTTTGAGAATGGATGAGGCTTGATTTGAGGGAACTTGTGCTCCATGTAATTCGGATTCATCGTCTTAATTTGCTCTCTTGATGGCGTCCCAAGAACTTTGATGATCTCCACCAACTGGTCGATGCCACTTTCCCCAGGGAACAGAGGTTGGCCAAGCATTAGCTCTGCCATTACACAACCCGTCGACCATATGTCTGGAACAGTGTTACTCTCTCCGACACGGTACAGAATGAGATTGTTACCCACCAATGTTTGTGGTGTAGTTGGTAGCACCGAAAATAAGTTCTGGTGCTCTGTAATACCTCGAGCAAATGTAACTAACATTTGGCTCTCCCGCAACGAGGATCTTTGCTGAGCCGAAATCGCACAAATTTAGAACGCCTGTCGCAGGGTTCAGGAGGAGATTCTGAGGTTTAATATCGCGATGGCAGATGCCCACAGAGTGAATGTAGGCAAGCGACCGGAGAAGCTGGTACATGTACAGCTTGATTTGAAGCATGGGCATAGGCTGCTTCAACTTTGTGTAATGACGGCTAGCGCGATAAACGGTGTCTGGGACGTATTCAAGAACAAGATTGAGGTAAACTTCGTCCTTCTGTCGGATAAACTACAAATCAGCGCCAAGATGAAGACGGTATGAGAATTTGCAAACCTTTTCCCCATTGGAGTAGAAGAAAGCCTTGAGGTCAACGACATTTGGATGTGACACTAGTCTCATGATTTGCAATTCACGATTCTATTCGCGCGATACCAAAGATATCATAGACCCTTTCATCAGCATCATTTCAACAGGCAGTCCACATCACGACGAGCACAAAAGGGCGCTGCCATGTCGTACTTACCTTGAATCGCTTGTCCTGGAGTACTTTCTTGATGGCTATATCCTCCTTTGAGTCCCCGACGAGCTTGGCTTGGTACACGACACCAAAAGAACCGTTTCCAATGACTTTACAATTGGTGTAGGCAATCTCCTTCTGTTCTGATGTTTTGCCGTCTGTGGCGACGACCTTGACGACCTTGTGGGGATCATCGATGGCTATTTGGGGGAAATGTTCATTATCAGAAGATGACATAGACATGATGGGGACAGAAGGAGGTAGGGTTTAAAGACGGGAAATGACGGGGAGGGGGATGACTATTACAACACATGGTGACCAAATTTGGATGTAGAAAAGTATGGTGGATAGAAAAGAGAGAAACGCACGAGATATCCTAACACCGTTTATTGGAACATTTGATGCCATTTGGTTGTCCTCGCTGAAAATCGCAATCTTTTGAGGAAATCGGAAGGAACAGGTGGCACGACTAGAAGCGAGCGCTTATTTGATGTTGATGATGCGGTAGAAACGGGTGAAGCAATCAAGTAAAACTGACAATGAAAAAAAAGGAAAAGATTCAGTGAAATACTAGAGGATACAAATGAAGGCTTGTTGGTAGTTTCAAAGGATGATAGATGATGATGGAAGAAGGTGAACGAGCAGGAGAAAGGGTGACTTTGAAAGGTGATCCTGTGACCCCCTCCAAGCACAAGCACTAACAAACATCAATTCAATCAACCTTCTTCAATTCAATACCTTTACTACAACCACAACGTATACATGTACGCCATCCCCATCAACGTCAACTTTCTTTCTGACATTCGTGTCATCATCTCTAGTCACCGCCTCATGTTAGCTATTACAACGGCTCTTAGGACCCTGCATACAATTTTTTTCTCAGTCCGACAGTTTGAAACACTCCCAACAAGGCGCAACTCAGAACCCCCGCGCAGATCATCATATGCTCTTCGGAAGCACCTTTTGATGCCTATAGGTGTTTTGACGAAACCCGCAGCACGTTAATATTGATGCGTATTTGATCCACCCATTTCAGGGCAATTTTTCACTCCATATTTTGCATCTTTCTCCCCCGGAGCATCATTGTAACTGCTCCAAGAAGCATGTCCAATTAGGAAAGTTAGGGGTCACGACATGCTGTCCATGCGTGATCGGTTTGTCTCAGACCTGTTATCGCAGCAGTGGCGCTTGACATATGGCCGCGGACTGTTCTTGCGATTTTACTCTAGTCTATAGTTCCGCAAGTTCTACTCTAACCAAGTTTGTTCCCTAAAGTAATTGATAAGTGAGCCCTCCCAGAGTCTCACGTAAGCTGATCTGGACCCACGAGTTAATATTTATCTTCATAGTCTATTATCCTGTTGAAGCTGGCCGTACGTAACTCATGGGTACTTGCAGTGTCTCTGCAACAACAACGGGTAGTTGCCACCCAAATGGTTGTGATTGCCATGCTACTGATTCAGCTGTCATTCCAGTAGTTCAATAATGTCGGTGTTCGTCGGCATTGATTTTCCAGGGCTCTATTCCTCGCCTCAATCACAAGGTTGGCCAGCATGAGGGCCATCTGGACGAACGCTTCGCACGAACTTATCCGAGGCGGATACTAAAGTGGTCCGTGTTGAGCATATCGATCAATACATTGATTCCGTTCAAGGGAAACACCGTTGAAATCAGGGTCTTGAATCTAGAAAGTGAATCCCTTCATTCAAGGAGGGAAGCTCGACGACTCCACTTTCTGTGCGCGCACGATATTGATCAATACAGTGATTCCTTTCGAGGGTCGAAGAAACACCCGTCACTCAATAGTGAAATCAGCGTCTCTGGTTCAGAAAATGAACTCCTTTATTCAAGGAAGATTCCACTTTTGTGCGCGCTTTTTTGTGACGAGCATCCTTGAGCATCCGGTCGATATTTAACTTTATTGCAGGACACAATTCACGTGTAACCCCATATAACGTTGAGCTACATACAATTTCCCCGATCTCTTACTAATATCGTGGACAGTTCAAGGCCTGTTAAGCATTCTTGATCGGAAAACGGGACTCCAAGTCAGGGATGTCGCCAAGGTGGTTCACCCTTCAACATCCAACACTTCACCGTGATTTCAAGTCAGTTATGTTCCTCCGTGGCAATTCAAGATTAATATTCATTAAACAACCCTAATGCGCACTCACTGCCACGGGTGGCATCCAAGACCGCGTCTTGTTTCCCTCGGTCACTTCAAGCTCCGAAAACCCTAACGAGAGGCTTGCGGCACTTGTGATCGTTGTAAGTACTGATCGTCAATAGTTTTTGTTCTCGTTCCTATTACAACGGCAGTCGTATCATCATAAATCTGGGACACATGATCTACGCCGTGCACGGACTGACTATTCACACCTCGCGGTCGATATTGTCCCTGCACGATTTGTTATCAGTGAACACGCAAGTGGGTAGACTGGCCAGTTGGCAGGCCTATCACAAACCAAATACAACCACATATCGTTCTCCGTGCTTATGCTTACCTATTTTTTATTAGGGTCAAAGATTTTTGTTTACCCGTGCTTTGCCACTTCTCAGACCAGTCGACGGATATGTTGAGTCAGTATACCAAACACAGCGAAACATAGCAAACTGTTCATTGTCGAGGACATCCTATCTCGTTCATCCGAGATCAACGCAGTGCTTAGGCAGGGTTGTCCTCACTGACTTTAAGATTGAGAACAGCAAGGTGGGTTAATGAATGAAAAAAGCACGTGCCCTATTCATTGATCAGATTAGCTGCGGGGCACGAGACTGGGGTTGCTACGCCCATCCAAACTTGAAGTTACGGCGAAGCCTGCTGTATCAACCCAGATCTTGGTGAGCGTAATCTGTCTGTGCATGCACTCAACGCGTGTGATGCAAAACGATGTGGTATCGAGGTTAGGTATCGATTGCGAGCGTCTTTTGGCTTCTTTAGGGTATGACGATCGCTTCGCCGAGATGATTCGCTGCTCAAGTCGGTAAATCTTCCGACCGGCTCATTATGAATTCATACCCGTTCAACACGGGTATTTTACCTACGTGAAAAGTTGCCATGTCCAAATTATGGAGCGCTTGTCCTTCTAGCTGGTAAGCATAGCCTCCGCCGCGTTGTTGAAACTACTTGGCTCACAGGCGCCTTTCTGTCTTTAAAAAACGCGAGAATTGGAGAGAGCGAAACTCAAACACGACTCACTCCGACCATGGACGTAACTGTAAGCTCTTTCCGCCAGATCGCCGCGTCTTGAACTCATTGGTCACCACAGGACATCAACGCGTCTCGCGACCAAAATGTGGCTGAAGTACACTCCGCAGACTTCCACTCCGTTGCTCTAGATGATGCCAACGACCTTGCTTCTAGAAGGTTCGTCTTGGTTTGATGTTCGTCCGTATCCGTCATATCATGCGGTCTTTAGCAGTTTCGACGAACCGTTCTGGCCGTCGTCTGGATACCTCCACGACCCCTTGATGTATGGGCAGCCGTTACAGCCAGCCTACTCTGCGCCATACGATGAATACGCAGATGACGAACTCACGAGCTTCCCTAAAATCAGCGATTTTAGTCAGAACTTGATGGGTAATGCGGAGGACCATGCGCCCTACCCACCGCTATCATTCAACAGGCAGTTGTTCCACCATGAAGACGTTGTTCTAGGTGGCCCATGGCCCCACAACGAGCTCTCAGGAACCTCGAGCCTCGCGACAGCTGACCAGTATATCGTACCAGACGCAGTGCAGTTTGCGTCTGAGCATAGTCACGGACGCGAGCGGGCCGATTTTTTCGCTTCGTCCACCTTGGGCCCCGACTTTCCTGCCTCGGGAAGTGGTACGTTCATTGAACCGAAGGGGCTCGATAGAGAGCTGGACTTCCCCTTCTATCACGTAGAGGGTAGTCAACACGTGCACGGCGCACTTGCGCTGGAAAACGTTGGGCAAGGTCAGGCATTTTAATACTGAGCATAGAATCGAATTCACCAACAGCTATGCAGGTGTCATGACTGGTTTGGAGGATATCCATTTCTCGGGTGCTACTGCGCCATACCATCCAGCCTTCCTTGGTGGCGATGTGGGGGAGGTTGGACCAGCACCTCACCCCACACCGCCTAGTATACCGCATGTCGTTAGATGCCAACATCACGTGCAAGGTGAACCATGTGGGGCATTGATCAATGGCGAAATCTCCAATATCCTAGAGCACTTCTCTCGTGTGCACGTTCATCCTCGCGTGGTCGCAAAATCCGGCTATCCCTCGGAACCCTGGACTTGTTGCTGGGACGGCACGTGTGACGGCCGCATACACAAGGGGAACTTCAGGAGGCATGTCGTTGGCCATTTCTTCCGCTGGAAGTGCTCGACCTGCTCGATGACTTACTCGCGAGACGATACCGCGCGCAAACACATGAAGGGCTGTGGCGATGGCAATGGCAGGATCTCTACGGAGCTGCAGTTGGAGGTTCGTCCAGGACAGATGTAGGAAGACGGCTGACGGCACTGGAGGGGGGAACCGCTACATATATGCAGCTGTGCTTATGAAGGGGGGATTCAGGTAATTCTTCCGATTGACAGTTTCGATATATTTATAGCTCGAGCAGGCCGGATCCGTTTACTTACTGGCAATGGTAAGAAGTCGATAGACTCTATGTTGCTCGCTTCCTCAGAACTATTTAAATTTTCCATATGCATCGATTTTTTTTGTTTGTGTTCGACTTCGATCACGATTCGCCGTGAAATTAATGTACTTTCGCCTCCGTCGGAGGGCGGCCGGGGGCCAAGTAGACCCTTTCCTAGTAGTAGCATTCACAATGACATACGACGTGAATTTGAAATGGACGTCCACTGGGCAGCACAGTGCAGTGATGGGCCTACCGAAAGTCTAGTCAGTTACTTATCCAAGTTGCGTCTAGACTCTAGAGCGATTGGGCGATAGCATACGCGCCCCATGATTATCGGTCTATAACTTAGGTACAGGAGTTGTATGAGAGGTAAGTTGTGAGCATAGAGGATCCGAGTCGCCGCGATTGCATCCGCAGACCGTGCCCTAGCTGTTTGCACACCTTCTGATAATATACCGTTGATCCGATCTTCTTATATCCAAAGCTATGTATAAATCAGAAATAGGATAAGACGCCAAGCGGTACCTGTACCCGCTGCGATGGCCCGACTCGGAACGATTCGACATGGCATAGGAGGATAAACGTACTCAGTCGCGAAACTCGCAACACTGTCTAGTCCCCTGCCTGCGGTGATGTACCATCATGCTAACGGTAGATTAAGAGCCAACTCATGATTACTTACGGCTACGGTACAACTTACCCCTCCAAATTAGTCTCTAGAAGTCAAAACCGCGTGGGAGGCGTGCGGTGGAAGCTTATTATTGAAACTTGCGTTTTTTGCCGTTTCTTCTATCTCCATCTCCATCGCCGCCGCCGCCACCTCGACCACGACCTCTCCATTGACCTCTCCACCTCCCACGGCTCGTTCCTCTGAAAGTCCCTCTTCCTCTCCCACGTCCTCGCGCCAACTCACCGACCTCGACCACTTCTCCTAGTAGTACATCATCCTCCAGTTCCATTATCACATCCGCAGATTCTTCTTCGTTCGGCTCAGCAGGAATAGAAATACGCATGAAGTCGTAAGCGACAACAGCTTCGCCATCTCCCCACGCCTCGCTCGCTTGCCGCTTTATTTCGGCGATGACGGCAAAACGGGGATCTTGAGGGTTTTTGAGTTGTTTAGGCGCGGGAAATCTGTGGGCACGTAAGAAAATGAACAGCTCGGCGGAAAGTGGGCGTGAAGGCGACGTATGAATAAAATGATGCAATAGTACACGAGCGACTTCAAATTGGATTAAACTCAGGAGGAAGCACTCACCGGCTTCCAATATGATTCAGTACGACTCTCTGGGCTCCGATTTGTTTCGCAAATGCGCCAGCCATCACTGGAGTGGAGTGACCCCTTGCCGCGACTTTGCTATCCACCTCGTCTTTGGTTCGTCGTGCTGAAGGGTCGATATGTCGAGAAATAAACGTATCCGTTGCTTCATGAATGAGGAGTGACACAGGCGTAGTCGGGGATGGCTGTATAAGCGGAATAATTGGTGAAGCATCGTATGTGTCACCCAAAATGACAAGCTTGCGATGCGGAGGGTTAGGCTCGTGGAAGATATAACCTATGCAGGGGTCTATGTGGGTTCATTTAGCACTAGCGTACAAGGAGCTGTTAGAGGTGATTGCGTACCTCGATGCAGTATCGGTCCCGCATCAACTACAACCTCACCCCAATAACCTGCGCCACTTGTGACACATCTCCAGAATCCATGGTCATCACAGAGGAAATCTTGACCAGGGCATTCGCTCGGATGAAGCACGGCAGGATCACATGAAGTGGGAGTGTCGTTGGATGTCAGTAGTTCATGAACTACATAGCGCTCCCCTGTGTGGGTGAGGGTCATAGTAAATATTGAGCGAACAAATTTACGGAGGCCAGCAGGACCGTAGAGCTCGATCTGAGGCTTTTGAGAGGTTAGAAATAGATATCATAAAAGGCCTGTATAACACACGGGACTGTCTGAGGGTGGAAGGTCGCCTGTAGCGCCTGTTAGTGGCGGATGAAGAACATTTCTAAGGAGAGTGATTATCCCCATTACATGGTCGGCTAATAGGGCACTAGGGTAAAGACAAGGATTCCAGAAATCCGAGGAGACAAACCATGCATATGGGTGACAAATAGCTTGGCCACTTTGAATGCCTTAAGGACTGGGTCCCCTTGACCGCGAGGCTGCATCTGAAATTGACGCACTGTCCCTTCTGCACAGTCTACCACTGATTACGGCTAGTTAATCAGCCAATTGAATTGCAGAAGAGATAAAGCGCACTCCATAGCGAGCCGTCGCCTATAACGTCTGCGACTAATACATGATGTAAGATCGAGATGAAATGGTACAAAGTGGAGTGGCATACCAAGACTAGAACAGTTTCGAGAAATTGAGGGGCCACCACCGCTGGATGTGCCCAGGAAAGATATATTCATGTTTCGTGCCATGAGAGTTGTAGACTACCAGATGGATGATGATCTGCATCCGTTCTTACTTACGTTAAAAGGCAATTGAAGTTGAATGTGGCTGACTTTTTGTTTACAATCGAACCGTCAGCTGCTGCAGTACTGCAAAGTGGTTCTGACTATCGTTTTGTTACCAGCTGTCGTTCATTCAAATCACTCTCTTTAATATGTCTTCCTTCATGGACACTTCCGAGCCCCGTATGCCCCACGTCTTCGTTATCCCCCCCGAAGAAGAGCACTCCCAAAATCCCCCTTGGTGCTGTTTCGACGCAGACCTGCCTGCAGAGAATAGCGCATCTATTGATGTGACCTCTGCTAACCAACCTGACATCTTATTCGATGTACCCTTCTTATTGCACCAGCCAGAACCCACTGTTCCCATCCACCCTGAGCAGCCTGGTACAAGCCCAGTGGATATCCCACAGACCAGGAGTTCTACCTCTAGCACTAGGACCGAGAAGCGTCAGCGTCCACCGCATATCAATATCTCTGAGATACGAGACCCGGATGTGATTGAGGTCGTCAAGCTCAAACGTTCAAAGGACCATAAATCCAACTACGCAGATCACGTCCCGCCGTCCCCGTCAAACCCGGAGCCACAATTGAAGCGCTCAAAGACTTTCCGTTCCCGTGCATCCCGCGCATTTCAATCCATAAAGAACGTCTCGCTTACCCGTGGCAAACAAACGAATACCAAACCACATGTCAAGGACCTTTGGACATCCACTGAGAGCATGCCAGGCATATTCAGAGGCGTTTTGCACTCCCAAGAGGACGTGCCACCAGTGCCTATTCGCAAGCTGTCGGGCCTCTTCCAGAAACAGTTCCCATCGTCGGAGGGAATCCTCTCAAGCTCAACAACCACATCATTGCCTTATCTCAAGGGCTCTGACACCACACCCTCCATCTCTGACATTCGGCCCTCGTATGAGTTCATTGAGCGCCCCCTCACTCCCTGTGCACCCACATATGACCATAGCCTTCGTCGTCCAGTGTCTTCAGCCGACTTCCAACGCTCTCCTTCACCCGAATCCAAGTCTAGCAAGGATTTGAAGCGACCTATCTCATCACAGGAACTTCAACATCCAGTAAAAGACTTGCGTCCAGTGTCTTCGGAAGATTTCCAGCAAAACGAGCGCTCGGCGTCGCCCAGCCCCTCCACCAAAGGATCGCGCAAGCGCTTCTCCATTAATGAGCTGCACCGCATGTTCTCTTTCTCTCCAGAGCCTCCTTCCTCTTCCACATCCCCCCCAACATCCGCGTCAACATCGAGTACACACTCTTATCCCGATGTTCCATACGCCGCTGTGCATTTTGTTGACGACGATTACGGAAAAGAGGTCGAGGGCAAGTACGGTCGGAGTCTCGAACTCCTTGATGTCGACGACGGCGAGTTGCCCCCTCCCTCGCGCCCAAGGGATATCAGTTTCGAGATGCGGCTCGACAGCTTCCACTTTGACTCGTTGGCGTTCGATCCCGAGGAGTTTGATGTGAGCATGAACTTGGGGACCACGGGGCTAGATATATTCCGGCGATGATATCTGTCTTTTTTATATGCTGTGAATTCTGCGATCGTCAATGGCTTTCCGGAGGGGTACATACTCGTAGGCTGGGCCTCGCGGGTTCCCTCGCCCATTTCTTATTTATCTGTGCTTCATTTCACGACCTGTACGATACCGATCCACATCTACAAAGAACTTAACCAACTCTCTATGCTGACTTCAAACATTCTCGTATATCATGTAAACGCTGCTTGGACTCACGATTTTATGTCCTCGATGTTCTTACATTATTACTCGTCCATACCTACTCGCTTTTATTTAAGTTATCTCGGGCTCCCATAACTCTGTAAGCTGGTTATATATAGGATGTGACCGTGACGTGACCCCGTGACACTACACTTACACGACACCGTCCGACCGAGAGAATTTGTTCGCAAAGGTCTTGTCCGGCTTCCACCACATCCATGCTCCAGCTTCAGAGAGCAACACAAAAAGTATAAAACTTTGCTATTTGAATTTCTGCATCGCTGACTGCTATTGCAGCACGCTGCACGGAAGTTGCGTAAAGCAACTGTCCAGCTCGGCGCGTGGAACTCTCACCGGGGGCTTGCTACGCCCTCGGGTCCATATGACGCTGTCGTTATTGGCGGAGGTAAGTTGCAGCAAATATAAAATAGCTAAAACTAACGAGCATCAAAGGTCCTGGTGGTTATGTTGCCGCAATCAAGGCTGCTCAGCTCGGATTGAAGGTATTGTTCGGATCACGGAACATGAATATATTACTGACGACGGGCTGGTACTTATCAGACTGCATGTATAGAGAAGCGTGGCAGCCTTGGAGGCACTTGTCTCAATGTCGGTTGCATACCTTCAAAAGCCATGTTGAACAACTCCCACATCTACCACCAAACGAAACATGACCTCCAAAAGCGCGGTATTGACGGTACGCACAATTTGCGAGCACTGTTCTTGACTCGTTCCTCACGGTTAAATTAGTTACTGGCGTTTCCCTCAACCTTCCCCAGATGCTTCAGGCCAAGGAGCAATCCGTCGTTGGCCTCACTAAGGGTATTGAGATGCTCTTCAAGCAGAATAAAGTCGACTACATCAAGGGTAGTGCATCATTTGTGTCCGCAACGCGTATCGCGGTCGAGCTCAACGATGGTGGATCAACCGAGGTGGAGGCGAAGAACGTCATCATCGCCACCGGCTCCGAGGTTGCACCCTTCCCAGGTGGTGCTATTGAGATTGACGAACAGCAAATCGTCAGCTCAACTGGTGCCCTGGAATTGCAGAAGGTACCTGAGAAGATGGTCGTCATCGGTGGTGGCATCATTGGCCTCGAAATGGGCAGCGTATGGAGTCGCTTGGGCGCAGAGGTGACGGTCGTTGAGTTCTTGGGCGCAATTGGAGGTGCTGGTATTGATGAGGAGGTTGCGTGAGTTTACGAAAATTGGTATGCGATTCTCAAGCTAACGGTTCTCAAAGTAAACAATTCCAGAAAATTCTCACCAAGCAGGGTATCAAGTTCAAACTCAACACTAAGGTCCTTTCCGCCGACAAGCAAGGTGGGAATGTCATCATTAACACTGAGTCTGCCAAGGGCGACAAGCAGGAGACGGTGGGTGACAATTTGTGGCCAAGGCTATTTGTTACTAAACGGTTTACCGCAGCTCGAAGCAGATGTCGTCCTTGTTGCTGTGGGCCGTCGTCCGTACACTGAGGGCCTCAACCTTGAGGCTATCGGTCTCGAGAAAGACAGCAAGGGCCGCATTGTCATTGACGACCAGTTCAACACCTCGGTGAAGAACATCAAGTGCATTGGTGATGTGACTTTTGGACCCATGCTTGCTCACAAGGCTGAGGAGGAAGGTGAGCACACCAGGGTTGTATTATGATCCAGAACTGACGGCCAGGAAGGCATTGCTGCTGTTGAGTACATAACGGCAGGTCACGGTCACGTCAACTACAACGGCATTCCTTCTGTTGTCTATACTCACCCTGAAGTATCATGGGTCGGAAAGACTGAGCAGGAGCTTAAAGCCGCTGGTGTGAAATACAATATCGGCAAATTCCCCTTTGCTGCAAACTCGCGTGCCAAGACCAACCTCGACTCTGAGGGCTTCGTGAAGTTCCTTAGCGAGAAGGAGACGGACCGCATTCTTGGTGTCCACATCATCGGTAAGTCTGATAGAGGGACTTCAGCATACGTTACTGATCATTGTGTTCTAGGCCCTAATGCTGGTGAGATGATCTCGGAAGCTGTTCTGGCTATGGAATACGGTGCAAGTTCCGAAGATATCGCACGGACAACGCATGCTCACGTATGTATTTTGTTATGCCCTTCAATCTGTGACACACTAACGTTCATCCTTTGACAGCCCACCCTAAGCGAGGCATTCAAAGAAGCAGCAATGGCTGCCTACGGGAAGGCCGTCCACTTCTAAATTACTTCTAGACATCTTTACCGTTGCCGCTGTGGTCTGATATGTGTTGCACACACCTAATGGCATTTGACCCTAGAGCGACCGAGCTCCACACTGAATAAACGGGTGATCTATGGACTAGGAATACAGCTAAGTTACGAAAAATACAAGCTGCCACCTGTCGGGTGTGGTACCTCATACATAGACTACACAGACGTGATGTCGAGAGATGTGTAGCTCGTCACAAATCCAAATCATGTTTGGCAAGTTTACATATACTTAGGAACCACCGACTGCGTTGGTGGAAACTTTGCCTGCCTTGTTGAAGGTGAACCTGGTCTCGATCGGGCGTTCTGATTGTGGACATGCACACGCACGAGAAGAAGACGTGCAATAAGGTTTATATTTGTCCGTGTTATCGCGGTCACGTGTGCCATAAAACCTCAGATTATTGGGGAACCTTCTGTGATCACATACTTATGACTGGTGGTCTTTCAGAGTTTATTAAATCGATAAAATCCAACTTTGTCTCTCGCAGTGAGGAGTGCGTGCGGCCACAGGAGTGCGGGATTACCCCCTGCAGATTGGTCGTGCACAACGTTCGGAAGATAGGATCCCGGAGATGTCGTCAGGAAGTTGACAGCAACACAACACAACTAAGCTACGCAGTGGGAAGACGAAGTGAGCGACTATGAGCAAACATAGGTATGATGGGAAGTAAATTAATCAACAGACACGAAATTTCACGGAGCCCAGCCAACGGGCTGCGCGTGGCACGGTAGAGCATGTCCTGAGGCCTGAGGAATGTTCCATGTACTCAACGACTGCGTACATCCATAGGGGATGGCCCATCTGCCAAATGGTCCACCGTTCTTAGTCGCCCTTTACAGCGTGAAGTTAGCGTAAAGATCCAAAAGAGTCGAGGTCCCAACTTGGTTGTATCTCCGGTTCTCCGGTTCTCTTGCTGGTTCACCGTGTTTAGCAGAGCAGCTAAATGAACTTCCGGATTATCAGTGAACCATCGTACGCCAGCGGCCCAGCACACCCCAACACTGGTACACCATATACGTGCCATGTGAAGTAGCTACGATTGGCTTGGGGCAATAAAATCCGTCCATCATATAAATGCACTTTCAACCATGAGGTCTGTCTTATCAATCTTCTAACTCTTCCAATCAGTCATGCCACAGCTGTCTGACCTGCCCGTTTCTGACAACACGCAGCTCCTTCTCGGTGTTGTGGCTTGTCTTGGGGCGATAGCAGTGATTTTTCGGGTTTATCTTCCTGGGTCAAAGAGTGGCTTTCCTCTCCCACCTTCCCCTCCCAATCGGAGACTCCTGGGACACTTCGTTCCCCCTCGCAAGTAAAGTTTCACGTTGACCGTTTTTTTCGAATACTAACTCGTATTCCATCGCTGGTCAGCGCATTTCTCACTGTAGCGAAATGGATCGACCAGTACGGTCCTCTGATTACCATTCGCACAGGGACTGAGAACATTGTTATTATCGGCCGTCACAAAGTCAGTCCCTCCACGCTGAGTTGTCATATCCGGGCTGAACGTTTTGTTGCAGGCCGCGATGGATATTATGGAGAAGCACGGCGTATTGCTAGCTGATCGTCCACGCATGATTGCTGCGCAAATGCTTACCGGCGGACTGACCATCGCTTTTTCATGCACTGGGGACAGGTTTCGTCGGATGCGTAGGTCCGTAGTTTACATTATGTGAAGGAGCAGCCCCGATCTGACTTTGCAACGTGATGCAGAGCACTTCATACGCATCTCCAACCTAAGGCAGCTGAGACATATCAGCCTCTACAGATGTCATTCGCGAAGAACACGGTCCTTAACATTCTTGATGATCCACACAACTTTCAGAACCACATGATAACGTGAGCGCTTACCTAGGTTCGAGCCATAATATTTACTTACAGATATTTTGAAGTTATTCTGTAACGACGATTATGGCAGTCACTTATGGGAAGACCACACCCACATCTGTGACCGATCCCGACGTCAGAGCGGTTCGCCAGCTCCTGGATGTATATCGTACAGTCCTGCGTCCTGGTGCTTACCTGGTGGATACGATCCCCTGGCTCAGATACCTTCCTTGGTACGGCCAAAAATTAAAACAAGAGTTTAAGAGCAACCGGAAACTCTTCGCCGGTCAGATGAACCGCCTGAAACAACAATTAGTACGCGTCTCTGATATGCCAGTCTTCACACGATATCTCAACCGTTCTGCAGCAGAACAATGTAGACGTCAGCCCTTCGTTCGGGAAATATTTGCTAGAAAATGAACATCTCTATGGCTTGACAGAGATGGAGATGCATTATCTTTCTGGCACCTTGTTTGCAGGTGGAGTCGATTCGGTAGGGTGTCTTAGTTTATTTTTTTCCCGATGATATGTGGCTGAAATTAGGTATCAGTCTGCTGCGGCAATATCTACAGTGCTAATGGCGGCTGCATGTTTCCCCGAGGAGCAAGCTAAAGTTCAGGCCGAGCTTGATGCGGTCATTGGAAGGCATCGAGGTAGCTCGGTTTCCTATTGCAATTCTGTCGATTCAATTATTTCTCCACCAAAGCACCGACCTTCGTTGACCAAAAATCCCTTCCTCTGCTGGACGCTTTCATCTCTGAGGCTCAGAGATGGCGACCGCTGGGCCCGAATGGTGAGCTTCATAGTCGGTCCTGTACCTGAAGTTTACGTCATTCACTCTCTAGGATTTCCCCATCGGACGACTAAGGACGTGGTTTGGGCAAGTGTTCTTGAACATTGTGTCTTGCGAAGGATAATCTGACAACCACCGGCAGGAAAACTATTGCATTCCCGCCGGGACCACGGTACTCGGCAGCCACTGGTAAGCATCATCCTTCGAATTGCGAAGGTCCTGAGACCTCCTGACAATTGCTGCGTCAGGGCCATCTCGCGAGATCCAGAAGTCTATCCGGAGCCTCACGCGTTCAAGCCTCAGCGTTGGATTGACGAGCAAGGTCGTCTGAGAGACGATCTCACATTCTGTTTCTACGGATTTGGTCGGCGGTAAGTACCGTCTTTCAGGACATACTCTATTTGACTGTCCCTCCTTCCAGCGTATGCCCCGGACAACACCTCGCGGACAGGTTAATGTTTCCTTTCACACACATGATCCTCCGAGCTCATTTCGATTGGTCAGATCGGTGTTTATAAACTCGCTCCTTGTTCTTTGGGCCTTCCAGCTCACTCTGGATCCTACGAAACCGTTGGATGACGTGGGGTTTATGCATGTGGCAATACCAGATGTCCCGTGCCCTATTGAATTTAAGTTGAGGGTTCCGGACGCAGAGCTCAGGTGCATGATGCAGAATTATCCTGAGGTCGAATGACGCCTAGGTGGCATCAACAAACATTTGGAACGAATGTCCATTTCGTTCATCTATCTAGACCTCGCAGTATGTCAGTTTTCAGCTTGGTTACGAGCTCCAGTTGTGTAATCTATATACGTCGTCAAATATAGGCATCATCATTGATCGATGAGCCCTTCCTTGTGTTCGGAGCTCCAGTCAGGTTTATTGCATTACTATTCCTAGTTGCGGCAAAGCCCACCACATTATCAGATTGTACTGGTCATGGAAGGCGTGCGCATGTGGTACTTATTACTTCGGACCGCACGAGACCGCCGGGAATGATTCACAAAGCATTGACGAACGAATGGAGGAGGGTGTGACGTGGGTTGATCTGACTCCAGTCTGTCGTCTGGCTTGTCCCACAAGGTCGCGGAAGTGCGGGTATCGCTACATCAAGCGTAACAGTATCCATCGTAATTTTTTACGGCCCAACTGATTCTGCCGATGGTATATACAAACTACATACCTACATGTAGCCTATTTTTTCGCCCAACAGTTCGGCTAATATCAGATAGGGTTCGACTCAGTATTTCTCCGCGAGGACTGTCACAAGAGTTGAAAATCAGATGACTTCCTGGGGGTAGAGAGTAAATGCTTACTGAGCGTGACGAGCGAAGTCCAACCAGTGAAAGGGTGGCTATGATATGAACGATCAGCGCCAGAGATAAATAATTACAGACAGAACACAAACCTCCTCCGCCCCTCTCCGGTAAGAGCATCGTACTGTTCCCATACATATCCTGTTCTTTGATATTCCTACGCCAAGATAAGCATCACAGAACAATGGCAGAGGCCACTTTCGAGAGAAACCTACACTGAACACATTATTCACCACATTCCTCCTCAGCTCTTCATAAATCTCCTTTGCCTTCTCCTGGAATGGTCCCTCCTCGCGCGCGTACGTGTTATGCAATGCCCCAAGCACCATATAATTTATCTGCACCCATATCGGTCCTTTCCAGTAGTTCTCCCCTTGCCCAAACTCGGAGTGGCTCTTGCTCAGGCTGCGGATACCATACTCCGACCAGAGCTGTTCTGGATCACGCAGCATGTCAAGGATCGGCCCAAGGTGTGGAGAGTCTGGCGGGAGCAGCGAGAGCATGAACGGGAAGAGAGAAACATAACCCAGATGACAGATATGGGTGGATTCATCTAGGAGAGAGCATGATAGGTATTTACATGACACACAAAAGGGAAGGACCTCACCGTCCGAGTCGATCCCAACGTCACAGTACATCTCGTTTTCCTCGTTCCAATGCAGATCTGCACCAGTTGACAAAAATCAGCTCCTCTTGCAAGAGAGAAAAATAGGGGATGTATCACCGTCAATGTTATTTATAATGGCTAACTCAATCTCAGCGAAACTTGCCGCATCATCTTCTTCGTCAATGAACTGTGCAAAATCCTTCATCGTTCGACTGAAGAAGGCCATCCAACTGATTAAGTCTAAATGAAGCTCCCCTGCATGCGGCGGACCTCTCGGATAATCGTCCATTCCGCTCGTCAAGACATGTGCCTCAGAGCGTCCTCGCCAGCGGTACCCTTCCGTGCGTGACCGCGCCCGACGGCCGTACTGCTTAATCTGCCCACGCTGCGTCCGACGGAACCATTCATAGTGCCGCTTCAAGGGCTTGTACATCTCGCGCAGGACAGACTGCACAGCTGTGCGATCAAGGGCTGCGGTGGACTTGAGAGTGCCGGCAAGAGGCATTTGTCCACCCATGCCATAGTCCATCCCAAGATCTGCGGCGGAAGGTCCATCATGCGCAGCGTTGAATTGATTGATAATGGCTGTTACAGCCATTGTCAGAGTCGGCGGGTTTGCGAAGGTAGGCACTTGTGTCTGGAATTGCTCAGGGACGCGGCTGCGCGCCTCCTCACCAAGGATCTGTTCACGTGCGACCCAGCCATTGCCATCGATGAGCTTAATCCAGTCTTTGAGGATTTCGAGACTGTGAGTGGTTAGACACCTGAAATATGCGACAGAGAGCTGGTTTCAAATGTACCTAAGCTCCGTGTCCCATGCGCCTATGTGTAGAAGATGGAAGCCTTCATCCCTGCAAAAGTAAGTGAGTGAACTCAACCATTAACTACCGTCCAATTACCAGTAAAAACCTCTCGGGAAGAAGCTGCGGCTAGGCGTAGCGGTCAACAGAGCACGTGGTTCAGTCAACCGAGCACCACTATCTCCATCATTTTCGTCATCGATCTCGTCATCTTGATCCCATTCATACGCGAAACCTTTGTCAACGATGGACGTGCCGTAGAAGTATCCAATACCGCCGAAGAGATTGGACGTGATGGCCTTGCTGAATGACTTCAAACTTGTAACGTCATCGGCTGCGTGTGACGACGGAATTGGGAATGTCTCATCAAAGTGACTGTCGAAGGACGTTACGATCGCCGCAATACCTTGGTCGATGGTGCTCGCTGTGGTATGGGTTTAGTTTCAATTTAAATAAAAAGCACTTTGGACCAGACCATCGAACGTCTGGTTCGCACTGGCGCTCTCGAAGAAGACATCAAACTGAAACTCTCCCTCAAACGACTTTTGAACTGCAAAAAGATTGCTTGCGGTGAGGATATCATCAGAAAGCTGCAGAATAAATGAAGGATCAGGCGCCTGTTCGGCAGAGCGGTATTTCTCAGCAATCGGGCTTGCACGGGCGACGATGTTCTGTATGATGTGATCTAATAACATCGCCTGTCAACGGGTTGGAACAACCTCCGAGAGAGGGAACGTGCCTTTCGCGGTCCAAAGTTGTCCCGGTGGAAGCCGCAACCCCACGACGTGAGTTTTGCCTAACCGTTCCTCGAAATCCTCAGACAACGGGCCGGTGGTTACAGCCTCATTTCCAGGCGCTGCACAGGGTGAGGAGTGCTCCATGTCAAGTATTGACCGAGAGAACATACCTTCGAGAATGCGGAGAGTGAAATCACCGAGGTCAGGCGTACTGCCAGCGAATTCTACAGGTCCATCGATTCCCTTGTAATTGAATTAATTTGATTGATTGGTCATGCGTGCACTTCGTTGGGACTCACATTCTCGCTCTCATCGGTGACCATATCTACCCCGCCTATTCCTTCTAAGCCGAGATAAAATACAGTGGAAATCCTAGATGGACGCACTAGTCGTGTGCATTAGTGCCGTACCTCGAGCATGGAACTTCACGATAAAAGCGTACTGGGGTCAATAGGTACTCCCTTGATCCGTGCAGCCCAACCACCACCATGCGAGCCGCCAGGAACCTTCAAAAGCTCGGTGGTAATCCTAACGTTGTTCTGACTGTCCTGTAGTATTTGTACACCGCCCTGCCGTGGATCGAAATGCGTCCAGGTATAGCTGTCAAGGCCATCGCCCTGGTCGCATGCATGCCGGGCCTCTAATGAGGTGTTTAGTTTATTTGCCGCAGTTACATGTGTAGGTCACGTACTAGCTATAGACTGATAGTTCTGAGTACCGAACCACACCAGGCCTGTCATAAGGGATTGGGGTAACCTTGGTCGAAGGCCGAAGTACAAGTTGGGTCTGTAAGCTCCCCATAACAGGTCTTCTGTGTTGTTAGTAAAACTTGGGTATACTGATGGTAGCAGTGGCAAGAGCAGCCATAGAATCCGCATTGCGACCAAGCTGTGGAGTGACAATATAGTACTTGGTACCAAGTTTGAAGTAAGTAATCGAACTCTTCGCTACGCGAATGTCACGTGCGCGACTACTTACTACGTGGAGTTTCAGCGCTCAGCGCTCAGCCTTGTAGACTACACGACCCGCCTTCAGGTTTCGGTATACACAGTCAATCAACGTAACACTTCCGGTGATCATCACAGGATGAACCGAACCATGGTATGAGTTGGATTTATGCTGCCGCTTACCCTGCCTAATTATTCCGGTCCTTCCTGCGCGTTGGCATCGGCACTGGGGCTGGCCGCCCACGATGTCATTGCCAGGCTGTTCTCAGGTCGATTTGGGCTTTCCATAGCCCAATGGAGAGAAATTTGGTCGTCAGCCGACTACTTTGAAATTTATCAGATATGTAATTTCACTTACATAAGACTCGCACTTATCATGCGAAGGTGAGTCATGCAACTACGGAGCTTAGTGTTACACTCCAGCCGAGCCTACTTAGAGTCCTTTATGCGACGCCATGTCGGGTTTCAATAATTAGCCATTTGTACTGTCATGCCGCCAGGGGCGCATGAACATTCGTGCACAGCAATCTACCACCGGATCCAACGCTGCACCAGGTTTCCCCTATATATATCTCCCTATATATATATGACCTGGGGAAAATTAATCAGTATCTAGTAACACAACCTACGACACACAGATGGCGCTCGACAGTATCAGCATTGCAGATAACACTACGGTCGTTGGCGGCCCTTCCTCTGCTGTAAATCGCAAGGACCTGCTACACGACCGTATCGACAAAAGTAATGATAGTTCTTTCGCGTATCCCAAAAAAGGGGTGTCTTTGCACGATTTCTCCAAAACTGCAGACTATGCCCTAGAAGAACGTCCCTTCTTCGTACCCATTACTAAGGACGGCGTCATCACCGCACTAGAGAAAATCGACAGGCAACTTCGGAGCGTGAGTACCGCAATCTATGCACATTTCGGTTTCATCAACGTTAACCTTTCAGTCTGGACGGACTGGTCTCTTATCAAACAAGGTGAACCTCTCGGCGTGATGTCTACTTGGAAAGGCGACTTACATCGCAATATCAGACTCCGGTGTCCTGGATTGGCAGGGAAGTTGCTCCAGGTTCCCTCGGTTTGATCAAACACGGTGGTCTTCCCAAGATATTGACAAAACCTGGTCGATACCCTGGATTTCCCCTCCGTAATTGGTGGTCGCGCAAGTGGTGCGGTACCCAAGGACGTGCGTGCGCCGATATTCTACACAATGTCATACTGAAATATGGTCATCAGTCTCCGACACCGCGGTCGAATTTCAGGGTTTAACAGTCGTTCAGGTCTCGCAAAATCAAGCCGCCGTTGTCTCCGATCCTCAAAATCGCATATTCGTGGTTAAAAATTCAGGATTTGTTGCGTATGCAATTGATGGAACATATGACGTTCTGGCCATCGTCGACCAGACACATTTGTCTACCGCGATCAAGGACACAGTAACAGGCGCTACCCTTGGCTCGTGCGTATCTCTGTATCTCATCTTATTCGTGAATTAGCTTTTGAACCTTGATCAGCATGGCCGAGATCAAGATGCGGAGTCGCGTCAACGCAGGCCAAGCACAGGAATATGTTGTGGCATTATTGTTCGTTTACTCCCTATTCCAATATTCTTATTCCGATCCTTCATGGTGTACAGCTTGAACATTCCGGCAAACAACTGCGCCATTCTTCAGCGGGGAGACGACCTTGAGTTGCTCCCTGCTGGGCAACACTATATAACAAATCCCAACGTCACACTGCGTGGTCTGTATACACTCGGCGAGAACCAGCTCGAGATGCCTACGAAGGATATGTAAGCCTTTTGCTCAGCCAATGATATCTTATCTTACGTGGTTGGCTTCTAGTTTCACGAGAGACCAAGTTCCTGTCGGCTTGAATATCTATTTGAAATGGTGAGCGTTGAAAATGAGACATCTGATATTCAATTATTCATGAAACTGCTAGGCAATTAATTGAACCTCTGAAGGTGTGCCTTTTTCACAAATTGACTTTCGCTACCAATCGCTCACTCTATATGCAGCTCACCACACATGGCTATCATACACCTTATGATGCGCTCCGTGACAAAACTCAATCTATTCTCACGCAGATTGTCGCTCATCGTATGTCTATCAATAGTTTGTGTCATACTTGGTTTGACGCAAGCATTCTAGTTGACTACAGCTCCATGGTGAAGCAGCGCTCTCTTGGACCTGACAACCTTGATGACGGCACGGACCCTTCGTCGGCATTCCTTGATGCCCTTCGCACTCGTGCCATGGACGAGATGCACGAGGCCGCACTTGAGTATGGTATCATTTTGAAAGATCTTGGTAAGTGTAGCGCTTTTGATACAAGAAAAATCTAAAGCTGACCATGCTCTGTAGCCGTGATAGACCGACAATTCAAGGGAGAAATTGCGTCGACCATGGACAAGCTTACAACAAGGGCCTTACAGGCGCAGGTCGAAGCAGCCGTAAGTTTCATCCCTCTATGATACATTCATCCCCTTCATTTACATGCTGTAGAATGTCGACCGAGAAAACTCGAATAAAGTTAAACAGGAAGAAGGTGCTCTGGCTGTCGCTCGCATCAAGGCACAAACTCGTAATGTCAGTACCAACTTAACTTCCAAGCTGCTCATAACAAACGTATTGGCAATAGACGCAAGCCGATTCTGAAGCATATAGTGTCATTGCGGCCGCCAAAGCACAAGCTGAGCGCACGAAGATTGACGCTCTTGCCCAGGCGCAAGCTATCCGTCACACAGCTGAGGCCGATGCAGAAGCGATCCGCATCAGGGCGTCTGCTGATGCTCAGGTCACGGACCAGTTCGCACGCGGGATGGAGATGCGCAGAGTGGAAGTCACGCGCGTCCGAGCGTTTGGCGACAGGACTGTCTTCGTACCCACAGACGGGACTGGGGTGCAAATGGGCAATGCGATGGCAGTGGGCATGGCCGCCGGAATGGGCAATGGCTCAGGACCTCAGTAATTGTGACAAACCTTGGAAGGGCTTTAATTGGGATTTTTTTTCGTACAGACTTTGCCAGCGGGTATTAAGGAAATCGCGGACTCACTTATTTATATACTTAAACTTAAATTACATTTGTATCCTAACTTGGGGCACTTCGTATAATGAGCTGTACTGCCGTATCGTGGGTACCCGTGTGTAACGTCACTCGTGTAAGCTGCGGGTTTGCTCTCGTCACCACAGCTGAGTCACGCGGGAGTCACGCGTCACAGCCGCGAGGAGGCTTTGAATGCGGCAAGGCGACTATCCTCATTTCATCCTGACCGCTGACCACCACCACAATTTCCTTCTTTCTCTCCACAAGTCAGTTCTTACCACTTACTGAACTCGATCATCACTTGTAACGTTCGTCATGAGGTCTAAATTCAAGGATGAGCATCCGTTTGGTACGTACTATCATTGCCCCACAGTCATTAGATACTAACGCGTCCTACGTTCTCAGAGAAGCGCAAGCAGGAGGCTGAACGCATCAGGCAGAAGTATCCTGACCGTATTCCTGTTAGTTTTCCTCTCATTTTGCTACGTTTCCTGTCCCTAACAGGAGTGGCATCGATTCTAGGTAATTTGCGAGAAGGCCGACCGGACAGATATTCCTACCATCGACAAGAAGAAGTATTTGGTACCTTCAGTGCGTATCACGCTGCTTATCATGAGTGCGGATGGATAGCTGATGGACGATTTGATACCTTTGCTCGCCGCACAGGATTTGACAGTCGGGCAATTCGTCTACGTCATCCGAAAGCGTATCAAGCTTGCGCCAGAGAAGGCCATCTTCATCTTCGTCGACGAGGTTCTTCCACCAACAGCAGCTCTGATGAGTGCTATTTATGAGGAGCATAAGTAAGCGAACCCCAGAATGCTATCAAGTCGGATCTCATCATTTTCTAGGGACGAGGACAATTTCCTTTATGTCAGTTATTCGGGCGAGAACACCTTTGGAGAGGAGGGTTGGATTGAACTATAAGCGTGCTTTCGACAATACATGTCCATTCGCGATGGTGCCCTTGGAAAGCCATAGATCGTCCTGGGCAGCAAGCGTCTGATCTCATCTGGGACCCAAGCCTTATCGTCGTCTTCATCTCCATACCCTTTTCCTACGTCCGCTTTGCTCGTCATCTGTACTCTAGTTGTCATTTCTGGCTCGATTGCCTTTGGTGTTTTAAATCGAATTGATTGCACCTGTATATGGATAATTATCATTCATTCTAACATGTCGTATAAGCTGTAAGGTGCTCTTGAAGCAAGTTCCACCATGATCGGGCTGGCCTTTGGTGAGGTCATTAAATATCGTGTGGCAAGTAGGTTGTCTCCCTTTGAAGCCGGCGAACATGAGGTCGATAAGTTCCTGACTCCCCACATTTTGCGGTGCTCGGATGTTTAGCCGGTCAGGTTCATTGTCAAACCGCGGACGACCAGCAATTTGCTCACCATCGTGCATTCAAAATATGCATAGCTGTGCACTGCTGCCGCATGCAAAATGCATTGCGCTTATGGTCCGGTCCCTGCAGGAGTCAGAAGCACATAGGTGACTCTGGAGAGTCTCCAAGTTTCAACTTGAAATTGGGGACATCACACACTTGGGATTCACGATGACCCTGGCACACACGGTGACCCGTAGGCTTCTGCTAGTATGCAGCACAACAAAATGTAGATGATCCAGGTATTTAAAGGCTTCGTCAGACACCCGCCTCCGGGTCCGGGGCGTTATTGATGTTATTCGGCGTTTCAAGTTTCATGGTAATTAACGCCGGAATGGCTGATCGTGGCACATATACATATGGCTAACAATCTAGGCAAATGGTAGCACAAGTACGACTTGCCGCTGTGAACTTCACTGGAGTCGATGCCCTTCCTTCATAACCATACACGCAAGGCGCGCTGGATTAGGTTCATTTGTTATGTCGATCTTCGGGGTGCATTCGTATCGGGTCTCTTCGTGACGTTTCTGAGTAGACCTGGTCTAGCAGAGCACCCTTCAGCGCTTTAACATGGGTATGTGCTTCACCGTATGTAATTAAACTCGTGCGGTCTTCTCCGAGCGTCATCGACCAGGCCAGCAAGGTGGTCCACGCACCACAGGCTACTGTGGTCCATCCACACAGATTTGAAGCAGCCTTTTATGCTCAATTGACCACACCTTCGAGAACAATGGTGATACACTTCTATGGTAATTTCCTTCCTCCACAAGCCGCTTTCATTTTGTCCACACGGAAAAGCCACAGTCAACTCGTGATGGACTGAAACCAATATAAAACCTGGACACATGGCTGAGATGCACCATCACACACGTTCCCTCCGCAGGCTCGATCTGCTCAATCATTATCACTTTCATTGCATCGCCTCATCTACATCGGTTGTCTGTGACACCATGCCCTTCCCATTCGCTCTGTCCCGTGGTCTCTTACTTCGTACGCCCATCATGTTCTGTTTTTCTTACACGAGACGTTTACTCATTTGTTTCTTTCAAGTCGCTATTGGCATCTGCAATATCACATCGATTGTGATTGTAACGCTGGCATTTGTTGCACAAACCGCAGGACGTGAGTGCTTTCAAGCTAGATTTTGTCTTCATGCACACCAGTTTGTTTCAGCCTTCGAGGTCCTCGCCGCTACTTCAAGCAGTCTTGCTGTGTTTGTTTTCCCCATTACGTGAGTTCATCATGGCACATTGTAGATGCGGAAAGCTGACGGCGCGATAAGGTTATTGTTCTTGTATTGCAGGAGACATGGAGAGGCGACCAACACTAGAAATCTCGTTACCTTTGGGGCTTTGTGGCTGGCAGATTTCAGTACGTAACCTGACTATGCTGCTGCTGCCATTCTTATACATATCATCAGCATCTTGTATCGGCCTGACAGTCCGTGCACACCAGAATAAGGCGACAGGCCTTTGCAGTGACCTCTCTCAATCTTGCAATTGTACAATGGCTCATGCCCTCCTCGCTCTTTCGTATATGTCCGTCATCTTTGGTATGTTTCGTTGAATATTGTGATTCCGTGCCAGTCGCTCACTTTGACCTAGCCATCATTGGTTTCGTAATCGCATACATCGATAAACACCCCGGTATCGCCACACTCTCGCCTCGCTATCCAATAACCAAAGCTCCAAGTTCACAATTCGCTGCCTTACAGTATCCCCTAGATGTTGAGATGGACAACATGTACACTCCGTATCCAGCTAGAAACCCGAAACACCCAAAGAGGGCGCACATCGAGGAGAGGTGGACTGATATCCCTCTATAGAGAACATGCGTTGTTAATATATTATGTACATGTATGGATGTAAGACTGGCTAATGAAGATACAGCATATGCACAGATGGTCTGTTGTTTTAGGTATCACGAGGGGTCAAATCCACCGCTTCCTCAAACGCACAATCCGGTAAAGCGTTTCGCTCCCAGAAAGCGTCCCATTCGTCATCACCTGGCTCGTTGTCTGGAGTGGAAGATCTACTCTTAACAGCCGTGCTGTCCACAACACAGCCGATGTCCAGTGGCGCTACTTGAGCGTTTTGTGTCCGAGTCAAGTCACCCTGAGGTGTCATCGAAACATGGGCGATCGTTGCAGGTACAGCTGCGCCTACCGCTGATCGAACAGCAAGCGGAACAACAGAGCCAGGAATGACAGAGATGCCTTCTGCAGTAACAATATAGTCACAAGAGGCAGGATCGCACACCGAGCTGAACACTACGGTTAGCCGCCTGATAAGCAGGGGCTGTTCATCGCCGACTGGATCGATCGATGACGTCGCTGAGGTCGACTTCTGGATTTTTCTCGGGCGCTCGCTCTCTTCAAGATACCGTCGGCGACCTGTTCGTGATAAGAATATTCTCGCATTAAGTTGGTTCGACCAGACTAGACCAAGCGTAGCTTCTTTTCTGCCCTCCCCCAGGACACTGTCTGCACGACCGAACCACCGGAACTGATCCTTGTAGCCGACCTGCCCACGATCCAAAGGAGCAGTATCCCTGTCGATGGTATCGCTAACCTCATTCAGGACCAGGACCGCTATTTGGTGCTTGCTAGCGAGCGAATGCAAGAGCGTCCCTATTTCAGATAGTCTGCGGGACCGCTCAACTAGGAATTGTGTGGTGGTTCTCTTGGAAGTATGGAAGAGTTCCGCAATGGCATCAATGACAATCAGTTTGAGAGGTTTTGAAGATGAGTCATTTGCAGACATATATTGCGGTAAAGATTTAGAAAGAACAAATATGAGTTTGTCGATAGTGGGAACGGTTGTATGTTGTATATTTGCGAAAGAACACAGTGAAGGCGACAAGAGCGGATGAGTATTGAGGATTTGTTCCATTCGCGTGGTTTGCAGTTGCGACGCGACCGTCAGATAAAAAGCAGAACCTAGAACTCCTCCCAACCTAGGAGGGAGCTGAACAAGCAGCGAGAGTTGGAAGGCGAACTGTGTCTTGCCCGCGGCACTGAAAGCATTCAACGTTTTGTGCTGATGGGCATTCCAAAGTATTCACCTTTCACCCACAACTTCCCAGAGCATTCCCGTTCTGATTCCACCACCCAGCATACTATCTAAATCAGCATCTCCGGTTGTGATTTTCTCTTCGCCTTCCAGCGGTAGGTCTGTGATTTTGTTGATGGGCGATGCACATTCTCGACATACAGCTTCGAGAATTCCAGTGACCACTTGTGGGGAAATGCGCGCGGCGCGTGATATATCACTCGGGGTGCTCAGTAAGAGGTCTGATAGATTTTTGTATCCTCCTACGAAGCTTGAATTCGTCATATGTGTAAGTGTAATGATCATTGTAGACACACCCTTTTCAAGAGAAGATTTCTGGCCAGTGGTCAGGCTGGATAACGAGGATAATAAAACGTATTCCATCGCTCTCCTGGTCACTCTGAAAGTGCGCAGATCATATCAATATAAGTACGAGTTAGTGTTAGGTCTTAATCATAATGGTACCTGTTATGGTTTCGAACTCAGATCCGCTATACTTGAAGCTTGTTGCGACACGTCCACATTGTCAAACACCATCTGCATAGCGAGCAACCATGCCATCTGCGACCACGACTGAAGCGGTTCCAATTGAAACCGCTCATGAAGACATGATTGTACGCAACAACGTTGATATTACCACCTGAACGCGTACTCAAAATTCAACCCCAGCATGATGCACAGCTTGACTACTACGGCAAGCGTTTAGCGACATGCTCTTCAGATAGAACGGTCAAGGTCTTTGACGTTGTTAGCGGGGAACCATTGAAATCCAGTGGGCACACTCTGAAAGGGTTCGTGTTTTGATCTACATGTTGAATATTCTCATAATTCCGCATCCTTTCCGACAGACATACGGGTCCAGTATGGCAGGTTGCCTGGGCACATCCGAAATTTGGACACATACTTGCTTCTTGCTCATACGATGGCAAAGTGTTGATATGGGGGGAACGGTCTCAAGGCGCGGCCGACGGTGGGTGGGCAAGGGTGAAGGAACACACGTTACATACCGCTTCAGTGAACTCCGTGTCGTGGGCTCCCCATGAGCTTGGTGCTATTCTGGCTTGCGCATCATCGGATGGCAAGCTTTCCGTGCTTACTTTCAAAGGTATACATCCCCTCATTCACAGCTGACATATCTGACAAACATCCGGTAACAGATGACGGTCAGTGGGGTGCTGATATCTTCAATGGCCATGCTATCGGCTGCAACTCTGTTTCTTGGGCACCCGCGACACAACCTGGATCACTCATCCACCCGCAACAACCTGGTACACAGCCTGCCGCGCCCTTCAAGCGTTTTGCCAGCGCGGGCTGTGACAATCTTGTCAAGATCTGGGGCTACCGTGAAGACACGCAGTCGTGGGTGGACGAAGAGACGCTTGATGGGCACACAGATTGGGTCCGCGACGTTGCGTGGGCACCCAACATCGGTCTGCCAAGGAGTTATATTGCGACAGCATCCCAGGTTCGTTTACGAGAGAAGCTGTCCTAGATTTTCATCTGAAGTATTTTTGTTTCAAGGACAAGACAGTATTGATCTGGACAAAAGACTCGCCAACTTCTCTATGGGCGAAGACTGCCCTAGACCCATCAACAGCCTCCGGAGCACCTAGTGCTGCAGCTGCAGGCAAGTTCCCTGACGTTGTATGGCGCGTATCGTGGAGTCTCGCTGGAAACATACTCGCTGTGAGCTGTGGTGACGGTAAAGTCACGTTGTGGAAGGAGAATCTGCGAGGCGTTTGGGAGTGTGTTAGTGACATGTCGAGTTAGGGGTGTTTGGATGTCATACTACTTAGAAATGCACACTTTGGCTCGCTCATCTGAACCATGCACAAAGCATGTGTGCCACGCACATCCCCACTGCTCATGAAGTCCAATGTTGCGTGTCAGGGTTTACTGGCCATCACAAGGTATCAAATATTGGCGTCCGCATCGATCATTTCGAACACGGTAAGCAAGTGCCAAACCATTCTTCAATTGTCTGACACACCTCCACTTCCGGGTGAGACTCTGGGACTCAAATGCTAATTTCTGCTTGACTCGGATGTCGGATGCAGACTCCAGACATCACAGAGAACCCGTATACGATTATATTTCAGGTATCTTCTGGTGGAGTCCAAGTACCAGGCTATCTTCGATGTCCCTTCCAGATGGACACGAATGGCAGCCAACAGCTCTTGCCTTGGCCTCGAAATGAGTTCAAATTCTATCCCTTCCTCATCGCCGGAAAGTTGTGTGGGGATTTGCACGTCTGGCAGTTCTTTCACAATCTCGCTTGATAGAAACCTCACAAGTGCTTGACCGATAGGACAAGCCATTAGCAGAATCGCGATAGTGAATTCACAAGTAAGCAGGCCTCCAGGTGTGATTGCTCGAAACTGCGGTATTGTCGAGTCTCCCAGCATTGTTGAATATGTAACCTATGTTAGTCACCCGTAGTTAGTTGAAGGAAGACGGACCTGTAAAGGTTTTCAGGTCTTTCATAACTAATACATGTGGCTTTCACGATACACGACCGGTGTAGGAGAATATTGCAGTTTGGGGTCTATGAATTTGAGAATGACATCACAGATTCAGAATACAAAAGTTCCCGACAAGACCAGGAGACGAGTTTTGGCCCTCACTTCAAAGTGCTAAGGTTGACAACAGGAAACATCCTTACTTGCTGGTAGCTGGAGTCGGTGTGCAGAGAACCAAGTACTGATTACTCTGTAGTACATTTTCGCATGGAATGGACTATCCCTTTTATCAGCAACAAAGTTTTAAATTGGCTGCTCGCACGTACATGGTGATTCAGTCCACCTGATGTGCAAACATGTTCATACAGAGGGTCAAGGCCTAGTAGCATACCGTGACGTATCTAGGACCTGAAGGGGTCGGTCGTCCCGATTATGCTCTCAATGAGAACCCCGAAGTGCATGTTTACGCGGACAGTTAAATGATACCTGCTGCCCTGTCGACTAGTCTTCAGACGGCAATGGTAATGGCGATGGATGAGCTTCAAGTTGGAAGGGTACTAAGACTTGAGTGAACTCACGCAGCCACGCTAGTCTCGGAAGCATCCGACGTCACACACGGGTTATCACAAGGCATAAATTGACGCAGGGCTGTCCTGGGGTGACCTAGGCTTTAACTTTGCATCTTGTGCATATCGTCCCGACGGTTTTGATATCGCAATGTTCGCCAAACTTCCACATACGCTAACAGCACCTTTTGGGTTATTGACTGACGAGGCGAAGCTAGCGTTCCGCAGTCGCCCTCAAGGAATATCTAAACTGTATACAACAAGAGTGAGTTCGTGACTCCCGCTTCCATCTAGACTTTGACTACAATGACAAGTTGATAACTGCAGCACATACCTGAAACTGACAGCTATTGGGACCAGGTCGGTGAATCCTAGTTTATTGTCCGATTCGTTCAATTGAAAAGTATATCATAGTATATCACCCTCTTTGACACACCCTCTGACGTCTTCTCCCTCTTATCAACTCACGACAGTAAGTACCAGCATTTGACTCTTAGTGCGCACGGCTGACGAGATCTCCAAGTTCGTAGAGCTCTCCTGGACTCGCCTGAAAATGTAGCGACCCTCATTAGAGTTGTGACGTCTCGTCTATTCAACCTTGTGTCTGACCACACTTTCCCATCCGCACCGCCAGCATCTGTGGCATCATATGCCACTTCCTTTATCAAGACCTCGAGCACAGAGCGCAATGCAACGAAAGAGGTTCTCAACAGTCTGCGAGTCCTTCAAAGGGTGCTGCCTGTTGTATTTGAGGTGGAGGGAGAGTCCAACGCATTCGAGCTCGAGGTACTGTGGAAGAGGGTTGAAGCTGACGACGGAATTGTGCCCACAGCCGCAGAAGAGACACCGCAGTTCGTCATCGAGGATGATGAAGACAGGAGTGAAAGTGGTCATGGCTCTAGCACGCCATCGCAGACTCCTCAACCGAAACAGACAAAAACACTACCTTCCCTAGGAGAAAAATTATTCACTTGCCTCAACGATCTCCTGTTTTGTTGCGGTTTCAGTCTCCCAACGAAAATACAAGTGGATCATTACAAGATCAATTATGTTATATGGTATGAAATTGTTGGTTCAAAAACACATCCCTGACTTACGGTCACCAGGGAGAAGGGTGTAGGCTCGACGACTGACCCTGGACCAAATCATGCATACGACTCCAATAAAACCGAGGTCTTACGGCTTCTCCTTGTCCTTTTATCACGTCAGATATACATCCCGCCTGCCACTCTCTTCACGCATCCATCGTTCTACACTCTGCATGTAGTTCGGAAAACGCCCCGACGCGACGTCTTGACATTGCTTTGCTCCCTGCTAAACACCGTAATAAACACCGCCACGACCAACGACATCACTATTGCCAGTGTAGCCGGCAAGGTCCCTTACAATCACCTAGTTTTCAAGGGCGAGGATTCCAGGACGGCACTTGTGGGCATGTGCCTGCAAGTTTTGTGTGTTTTGTTGGATTTCCAGAGTGGTCCGGCCAGAGACATTATCTCAGAGAGTGAAGACGCCGCTTCATCATCCCCGACAGCACAGACAAATGCCTTCCGCTTTTTTTTGGCGAAATTGGTAAATTAGTCTCCTTTAATTTCGTTCGAGAATATGGTTGCTTATGGCATACAGCATCGCACGCAGGATTTTACTTTTATCTTGAGCGGCATTGTGGGCATACTAGAGCAGCAGCTAGCTATATCGAACAATCTATTACCCGGATCCAGAAAGTCGGTTCCTTATGTACCTGAGACTAGTACGCATGTCTTTTACATCCACCTCACTCTTCTGACCCCGTGCAGTCATTTTGTTCTGGAAGATCATTGAGCTCAACAAGGTTAGTAGACCGTCTCTCCCACAGTACCTATCTGATATCGGATCCCTTCTTTAAGAAATTCCGCGCTTACCTGCTTGACTCAGACAAAGCAGTTGATGTTCTTGCGTATCTTCTATGCTATTCCCTTGAGATCAAAGACAAGCCAGGTACGTCTTCTTTAGTTGTCTTTCGGGCAAGCATATATTCTAAATGATTTCTAGAGCAGCATGGCCTTTGTAGAGCGCTCTCGTACATCATTCAAACGCTATCGGCTGAGCCCGCATTCGGCAACAAGCTGTCGTCACCGATAAAGATCCAGATACCGACAAAATGGGTGCCTCAGGGGACATCTCACGGGACCGCTGCAGATTTCATGATCACTGTGAGCAATAAAACGACTTTTTTCCATTTTTGGAAATTAACCCTCAAGTAGTCAATATACTCTATCATTGCAACTACGTCAGGGTCCCTGAATTCCATATACCCGGCACTTATCATCGCGCTTGCGAATGCGGCTCCATATTTCAAAAACCTGTCTGTTGTCGCATCTAATCGTCTCCTTCAACTCTTTACTTCGTTCTCGAATCCTCTATTCCTCCTATCCGACGAGAGCCACCCGAGACTTCTCTTTCTTATGTGAGTCATCGTCGCATGGGAGTAGCAAGCATGACGCTTACTGGTTGACAAGGCTTGAGGTTTTCAACTCAGTAGTATTCCATCATCTTTCTGATAACCCCAATCTTTTGTACGCAATCATCACTGCACAAAAAACTTTCGAAGAACTAGGGACATTCACTCTTGCTCACGGACTTCGAGAGATTCAGCGTGTACAACAGATCAAGGAAGAGCAAGCTCGTCAGGCGGAACGTGACCGAAAGGATGGCCCACAGCAAGAACGTGCGTCTACGGAGAGTGCGCACCAGGAGAAAACACGCCTTCTCAGGAATGAAAGCGACCCCGCCTTCGCCATTGCATTGGATATCGAGTCTACTTCTTTTTCTCGTCAGGACCTTGAAGCTGGCCTGGTTGGCCAAGAGCAAACCGAGACCCGCCCACTCACTTCACCACCTCCGGAGAACAGTCCAACGACAAGTACCGCAACTATAACATCTGTCTCAGAAAAGGCGAGAGGCAAGATGAGGGCTCGGCGGTCGCTGTCCTCGGACACAATCAATGGAGATCGCATGGCTGCGGTTGGCGTTGGCAGGAATGGGTTTTTACCCACTCAAGAATGGGTGGGTTTCAGTTCACACTAACATAACATTCGTCGTTAACTTCAATGAAACTAGGTTGCATCGTGGCAACAAGGGTAAGCTCTTGCTCGCTGATGTTCGAGTGGCTCCTAAATGTTGACATTGACAGGCTACCTTTGGATACTGTGATGCTGGTCATATCGGAGCTCTTGCCAAAGATCCAGAACCTGCAAGCTGGCAGGCAGAAGGCCAACACAGCGGGCGCTATCACTGATTTCTTGCAAAGCGTAACATTGACGGATGTTCTGCCTCCTGCACCAACATTATATCCGAGACGATTTGTGGTACGTTCTTTTCTACATGAGTTGCGTCAGATACTGATCCAGAAAATAGTGGTCGGACGCATCAATCGTCTGGTTGACATCGCTGATCTGGGGAGGGGTTTATGTGCACGGAATGTCGCCCCTCGGGATATGGAATTCCACGAACGTGCGGCTCTTTTTTGTGAAGCACACACAAACGCAACAGCGGCAAATCACAGACACGATGTCGAGTGTTGTTGGTCTCTTCTCGCCCACCAGACAAAGACCCGAGCGTTCGTCCAATCAGTAATTTTGCGTGCTTTGTTGGTATATTGTAACTAGGTGTGCTATTTATGATGGCGCTGCGGAAGTAGTACCTCAAGGACATCATACCAGGCGTGTGTTTTCCCGGCAGGCAGTGTAGACGCGATATATAATCGAATTCGATGCACTCAACGCTTCTGCCATACCTTTACCCACACTCCATCGACGTACTCTCTTACGATAGGCACTTCGCTACGTCCTTGTGTTTTGTTGTCACATTTACAGTTTGCTTGTTTTTTGATTCGAAGTTCTTCTGGTGATTCTGTGGCGTGTTGGCTATGTGGGTTGACCGAACGGAACGAATCCTCTTATTCACAAACAATTAGTCACCTTATTCGTTAGCATGAGTGATTACTGCCGCTGCGTCGCTTCGATACTTAATGCATTGATGCATATTCAAGTAGTAGAAAAACCAGCAATCCGTTGCTCAGCATCTGTTGAGCTGGTATACTTACCTTTCACTACTGTCCTCATGATCATCGCCACCGAGAATTACGCAAGAAAGAATATAGCTTTTCCCGAGTTGACACAGCGAATGCATCATCGGAACGGGTGCATTAAAAACCCCAGTGGGGAAAAGCTACCGCCCTCAGCAGTCTCGTGTATGAAACATACATGGTAACAAGATACAGACATAACATGAGTGGGAGACAAGAACAGCGCGAAGCAGACGTAGCATAAAGAGAGTGACATATCTGCAGCCGGGATAATCCCGTGAAAGAGTTGTATTTGAGGGAGACAGGAGTTTAGATTGTTGTCGCGTCGGAGATCGTAGTGAAAATCGATGGCTGCATGTCGCGCAGGGTGGGTCCAACCGAAGTAGGGTCCAGAGTTGGAGTCCGACGCGTTCCAGAGGGGAGTGGCGCATTGTACCAGGCTCCTCGAACCTCCGCCGTATTGCAGCGATGCACGGCTTCGGCACCCAGTGCGCACAGCAGCGCCAAGGTTGCTAGTCTTGGAGCGCCACCGGGCTCATGCAGGCTCGACGTCCGCGAGGAGACCTCGGGTCGGCGCGCATGAACGTTACGAGGATGGGTATATCGACCCAGAGCCTCGACGAGTATCTTGATGGACGTCCGAATTATGATGCACAGATGTAAGTAAGTAGCAGTCCTAGGACAGGTGAGAAGGGTAAGTGAGAGGAATGAGGTCGATCAGCACTGGAGCAACGCACTTTATGTAGGCGTTGTTGGTGGGTCAAAGCAAGGTCAAAGTGGGAAGGCATGCACGCCACCCCATTAGCTTCAAGACGCCCACAGTCTGGAAAGGGAGAATTTTGTTGAGGACTGGAGTCACATTCCTGACATCGGAAATCAATAGATCAACGCGAGGACACAGATAATATCCGGTATGCCTAATTATGTCGAGTGGCCTTCATTCCCTGGCAACGCTGCCGCGCCTACCATATCAAACAAACGCAGAAGAACGTCCAGCATTTGTCCACCGTGACAAACATCATAAAAAGGAAGTACGCCATCCGATAAGAAATTTCAGGCGTTCCCCCGAGGTTATTGGATTAATTATCAAAGATTCCATGGACACGGGAGCGGTGGGCGAAGCTGAAGAGAGCTGAAGCGGGCCCCAGAACAAATACTTTTGGTTTTGTTCTGTTCTGTTCGTTATACGTGACAACGGCTTTCAACAACAAATGGGGATGAAGAAGGGGACGACCTTTGACAGCCTTCCACAATTACTGGTGATGGTTTTCCACGTGACGCTGAACACTACACCTGCCGAATTAATCCAGTATCAGAAGACGCTCAACCAGATGTGGCGTAAAATCAACGCGATTATCGTGCAGATGCAGAATCATGACATCCCCGGACTTAATCGCGATTCGTTGTTGACTGGGTAAAACCAATAAAATTTGTCAGCCTTCTGCCATATCATCTCCATCCTGTCCTGAAGGCTGCTGCTCTCCGCCACCCGCACTCAATCCCTCGACCCCAAAATCTACCCGCCGTACTTCCAAAGTCCGCAGATTGACAAGTGCTAGAATTCCCGTCTGGGAGAAACTAGGGACTAGAACAATTCTGCAACTTCTTCCTTTCCCGCCCGATTCATCTTCTGAATCCACCAGCTCTGTGCCGAATTGGGGCATTCCGCCAACAAGGTAAATATCCGGAGTTGCCCGCAAAACAAACGGGTCTCGGTCTCGATAAGGGTGACACCATAGTGTGTCCGGAGCAGTCGGGGCAACGTGGCTCCATCTTAAGGTTGAGGCAGCGATTGACACGAGGCTCGAGGGCGGGGTTGGAAGGTATTTGTACATGTCAAGAATAGGCTGTCCAGAGGTCACCAATAGGCTGCGAGTGACAGGCGGATGACTTGATGGAGAAGATGAAATTTGCCCTTCTTTCGGTGTCAATGGCTCAGGTTCATCACTACATCTGACACGAAGCCAGGCCGGATTTGATTCGCAGTGGAAGTCCTCAAATGCTGCAGCCTTTCCGAACATCGCACGGGGGAAAGGTTGCTGGGGAAGAATGACTCCTGAAGGATCATCCGCTCCTGGCAATATATGCACAGGAAGTGCAGAAATTAGATCGTGAAGATGAGCGGAAAGCGCAAGATTCGGATGAGGAGAAAAATTTGCCTGCGCTGATGCGCCGAATTTTCTCTGATATACACTTGGTCATGCGTCATTACGCAGAGGTGATTCTGACTCACTGGTTTCTTCTCGTCTTCACCCTCCTCGCCGTATTCCGCAAGCGATAACGAATTTCCAGCGATAATAAGCCGCGTTATTTGTGATGCCAACTGTTGATCCTCAGGGCCACCTGCTTCTCCCGTGAGGTACTCCACAAGCATCTGGATTTGCGCATCCGCAGGTGAGGATGATCCAATGGATAGCCCTGATATGACAGCTACATATTCATCTTGGGTGGATGGAGAGCTAGGTCGTGAAGCATCTTGGGTTCAGCTGTAGACATGGGAAATAATAAACTTACTCCACATCCATATCCATGGCGTCTGAGCCGAGAATTTCCTCCTCTGCAAATGATGCAAGTCCTGCAGTGCATATATCCACAACCTCAAAATCTCCTGTGGATGTTTCCATGCCCAGTGCAGCGACGATGACGCCTGTGACTAGGTGTTCCTCTGCGACACGGTCACCGACCAATTTGATACGACCCGACTCATCTTCCAACATAACGCTGTCTTCATCGCAGTAAAATTTCTCGCGCGGGGGTGGAGCCGGGATAGAATGCTTGACACAAATCAGTTCTGAGGATGGCTACCATGTCACGTCACTCACATCTCGGCCAATGTCTTCCAAAACATTCGGTTTGAGTGGCATATCCATATAGACCGTACCTATTACCCAGCACAGCTGAGATTTCACGATATCAAGGACACGCGCTACATAGAGCGGTTCGCCTGATTGTACCTGCTGTTAGTGTTCAAAAAGGGGGGAAAGTTATTGTGACATACCTGCCAGTCCATTCCACCTAGTTTTAGCCCGCTTCTCCACTGCATTTTTCAGCATTAGCAGACGTGTGAAATAGATGTTTGCGTATTGGTGTCTGTAAGACTTGTTCTTTGCGTCGATCAGGAAAGACGGTGTCATCTCAGTTGGAGGAACAACGGTGCTTGTCAGTCGAACAAGTGGACATGACGGAGTTGGTCTGCGCAGATAAATGAGACCTCTGACGAATCCATGAACATACAATAATGTTACCCACATCGATTCAAGGATTGCCATCCTGGACGGTAGCTAAAAGGCAGTCAAATCTAGACGTAGTCGCGACTGACGCGAGTCTGACGCTGCACGCGTTCATTGAATTTGGTCGTATTTGTGAATAAATCAAAAACCACAGTGATTACTACATATGCATATTTTCATATTTTATATTTACAAGATCTTCACGCTGTAGTACTCGATTCGATGACCAACCCAACAGGATAACCTGATAGTCGATTTCATCAGCGCAGTCCCAACTTATTATACAACGCTTGTGACCTAGAAACGCTCTGCACGATCACGACTCGGAGGATCTAGTACGTGATGGCAGTATGTTTGACCCTTTATGATACGACAACAATTGAACCGTACTGATGAGTCCGTCATCTCCACCATAGTCGACAGATTCTGCCTCGGAAGTGCGATATCGCAGATGCTGTGAATCACGAGAAGACCTTGCTGGATGCAGGCAACATTGCAATTTGAAAGGTTGGACGGATAACATCTTTGCTACAGACAAAATCAAAATCATGCTTGCGGGCTCCCCTGGCGAGCCTGTTGGCAGTATCAAGGGTGTGCTGGAAGAAGTACGTGGCGACCAATATGTGTTTTCCTCGGGGAACAACTTTTACTTTAAGCTCAAGCGCGGAGGGAGCAGCCTTGGCAACAGAATGGACAAAGATAATACGCAAGTGCTAGTAAAGCCGATCCCATACTGATCTGAAATGCAGTATCACTACTATCTTCACGTTGAACTTGTTCACTGTCTGGTATCTAATCGTTTGGTCGAAGGGTATAAAATAAGCGAGTAGGCAAACCACTGCCGAAATCTTACGCTGTGTATAATTAGAGTCTAAGTTTAAAGTTAGAGCCTATCTTGCGGTCAACTACGAGTCTAGAGGGATCCTCAGCTGGAACGTTCAGTGACCAACTCTCCAAGCTGGCAACAATTTCTGCACCCACAATGCGCTCATCATGATCACTGGCTGCGCCAAGCACAAATATACTCTGCGTACGAGATTCTCAACTGGCAACTCGGGGTTAACCGGTTTTTTTCGCTGACTCTACTGTAGATGGGGGTGCGCAATCACATCCAGTCCGAGTCTACTCTCCACATTTCATACTACTTACAATGCGTTGTTTCCATACACCTGAAATTAAAGGGTCTGGACTCTGTCTCGGCTCGCCTTAGATGGACTGATCACGAATCTAGGACCGACTACCGTGGTCTGACGTCTTCAAGGAGTAAGTCATGCAAATATGATTCTATGAAACTCGGTCTTCCGAGTCAGCTGCTGCGACATAAACGAGTCATCTATTTTGAGAACCATAACTTGGACGTCATGTTCAGAATTGGAACTCCCCACAACCCAACTATATATAAGATGGTTGCATCTACCCTTCCCCCTTCAATCCCCCTTTATCAGTTACGATGGCCCTTTCAAAGGTGAGGCTTCTGTCCACGCTCAAACGCTTCCCTCTAATAGCCCCATGTAGCATATCAACCCGGACAAACTCATTCGCGAGTCCAAGGTTAGGAGTTCACAACCAAATTATATCACATCCGAGCTGACAGAAATGCGCGCAGGATAAAAAGTACCATCATCACCATCTGACTGGTACAAACGCCAATTCCTCGTCTCACCCGTATGGAGCACGATACGGGACCGCAGCTATCCCCAAGTTCCATCTTCCTTCTCAGGGGACTGGCGCGGAGACCGCTTACCAGCTGATCCATGACGAACTGACCCTTGATGGATCTCCCAGTCTCAAGTCAGTCTCGTAAAGCTCGTATTCAATCTTGTCTTCTTACCTTTCCCAAAGCCTTGCCTCCTTTGTTCATGTCTGGATGCCAGAGCCCGCGAACAAGCTGATGATGGAAAACATGTCCAAAAATTTGATAGATCAGGATGAGTACCCTATGACGCGTATGTCAAAAATAGTGATCCGATTACTGATTACCGCTGACGACGACCTGCAGAGCAAATTCACACTCGGTGTATCTCGATCCTTGCTGATCTTTGGCATGCGCCATCGACTCATCAGGCAGTTGGGACTGCCACCACTGGCTCATCGGAAGCCATACAGCTGGGTGGTCTCGCCATGAAGCGACGCTGGCAAGAGCGTCGCAAGGCCGAGGGCAAGTCCATACATGAGCCTGGCCCCAACATCGTAATGGGTGCGAATGCCCAAGTCGCTCTTGAAAAGTTTGCACGTTACTTCGAGGTCGAATGCCGCCTCGTACCGGTTAGTGTTGAGAGCAAGTATAGGCTCGACCCCAAGAAAGCTATGGAGTACGTTGATGAGAATACCATTGGCGTTTATGTCATCCTCGGCAGTACTTACACCGGTCACTACGAACCCGTAAAGGAGATGTCGGACCTTCTCGACGAGTATGAGAAGAGGACTGGAATCAGTGTCCCCATCCATGGTGAGGCATCTACGTCTTCTGTTCCTTTCGTGTCCACTGACTCTCTGTTCCAGTCGACGGAGCTTCTGGGGCCTTTATTGCGCCCTTTGCGCATCCAAAACTGATTTGGGACTTCAAGCTTCCACGGGTTGTCTCTATCAACACCTCAGGTCACAAGTTCGGTCTGGCTTACGTAGGTGTCGGCTGGGTGATATGGCGCTCCAAGGAGTACCTTCCGAAGGACCTCATCTTTGAGCTGCATTACCTTGGTTCAGTCGAGTACTCGTTCTCACTGAACTTCTCCCGTCCTGCTGCGCCCATCATTGCTCAATACTTTAACTTCATCCACCTCGGATTTGAGGGATATCGCGCGGTAGCCAAGGATGACCTCAAGAATGCAAGGCTTTTGAGTCGTGCTCTCGAAAATTCCGGCTGGTACACAGTTCTCAGCGACATACACCGACTAAAAGCCGAGACGCTCCAGGAGGGTGCCCACGCAACTGCGAACTTCGACGAAGAAAACCCGGAGGTTAGCATTTTACCGCTTGGTAGCAACACTTTTCTGACGTTATCGCCCCAGAACTATGAAGAAGGTCTTCCGGTTGTGTCATTCCGGTTCTCCGACAGCTTCCAGGAGAAATACCCTGAAGTCCAACAGAAGTGGATTCAGACTCTTCTGCGAGCTAAAGGGTGGATTGTCCCGAACTACGAGCTTGCCCCCGACTTGGAACATGTTCAAATTCTTCGGGTCGTTGTTAAGGAGAATATGACTGGATCGGTCAGCGTTATTCTCCCGATCTTCTCGCTGAGCTTTACTAAATCAACTATCTAGCTCGTGGACCGCCTGGTTGAAGATATCGTAAGTCACATATAATATTCTGACTAGTGCAAGAGCTGACATGAATGATTATTGTTCAGGTTGAGGTTACTCAAGACCTTATCGATCACGCGTCTTCGGCACATGCCCTCAACTTGCTTGGGAGCCACAGCCATAGGAAAAGTATTGGTCAGACGGATGAGGGCTCTGCGTACTCTGGTACGTACTCGAAGCAATGTTAGGTGTTGAGGTAAAGTGCGGGGAAAACATTCGCTGTGGCGAGAATTGTACAATAACTTTTGGCGCAGATTCAGATGTACGAGTGTAGGAATAGAGACATACTTTGGCAACGATTCGAACAGGCTCTGGTCACTTGTCTGGCAAATAATGGTCGATCCACTTCTGGGAAGTCATTGACATATTGGCAAGTGAGAGGAAACCCCATGTAATATGCAGTAAGTACTAAGCAGCAGTATTTAGTAGCCCCGGGAAAAGTTAGACAGTGTTTAGACTTCACAATAGAAAAATTCGAATACTTCTCCAAGGCACTTTACCCCCTTCGATCTTGTGCAGTGCTATACGTGTTATCATTATCAAGAGCAACGGCTACAGTGCATCGTGTGTAGAGTTGTGATAAGATATCCCAACGGCGCGGAAGGCACCACTGAGTCCCTGACAAGCGCGTGGAAATCATGAGACGGACCGTTATCGTAAGTACGATATATACATAGATGAGCGCAAGATACTAGACCTACGGCAGTAATGATTATCGGAGTAGGCCAAGTATCCCTCGACGTTTATAAGTATGCATCATTGTCGTAATATTAAATATTTGGATCCGAGACCGCTTATTACGAAATTCGCCATATGTAGCAAGAGTCCTTGAACAGAATATGCCAAAGAACCTGTTCAACCACCACCACTTCGTGAGTCGGGAAAGCTTTAACGCTGTTTAACCTACCATTTCAAGTGTGTGCAATCTAGAAATGTACCAACGCCAGGTTACAAGATTCACCTGACACCTATTGGTCCTGTACTTGCGTCTGCACATATTTTAGTAAGATGTGCAAACCCAAGTCGCGTGCACGTGGAAATTTTCAATCCCAAGCGCTAGCCTATCCGTCACTTGACTAGTAGGTGGTCCGCTTATCAGTGGAAGTGTGTGCCTAGGCTCGAGCAAGGTAACCCCGGGCTGAGAATATTGTACCTTCTCGTTTCGCTCGAGAGCCATGTATATAAAGAACCGATACTTATCTGAAGCTGACTTGCCAAGGCGTCCTCTGCAGGAGATAGTATGACTAACTCTCATCTTATGGAGCCGTCAAAGGTCCTTGAGCACCAGGATAGTCCCCTGGAGAAAGACTTGAAGGGCTCCGATGTCTACAGTGCAGAGAGTGTGGAAGAGGCTCCCTCGCAAGAGTCTGAGCACATCGTCCGTGGTGCCGAAGACATTACCAACTTGGTAGGTCTAACAACAGGCGAGTCAGTTGCCGGCTTAATATGTTGACTTTGCTTCAGATCATATCGGATGAGGACAATCCTGACCTTCCCGTACTGACCTTCCGTTTCTGGGTGCTTGGTATAGGGTTAGCGACTTTTGGTGCATTGAAATGAAACTTAATCTCGGCACAAATTGATGTTCAAGTCATCACAGGATCTGTGCTATCTGAAATATATTATTGGAAGCCCCAGAATGCTATGGTTTCGTCGCTATTCCAATTGATCATATCTTACGTTCTGGGCAATGCGGTGAGTTTCTGTAGTTTGCTTCAATGTGTCTGAAGTGATTAAGATTGTACGAAGATGCATTATGCTATGCCTTCGAAAGGGATTTGGCGGCATCTCAATCCCGGGCCGTTCAACATCAAAGAGCATACGTGCATCACCATTATGGCGTCCACTGCGTCAACGACGGCCACTGCTATTGGTATAATAGCAACACTCGATCTCTTTTACGGCGTGACTCTGAATCCAGGAGCGGCGATCTTCCAAACTTTTGCATCGCAGGTGCTACTGATCACTTGCTCCCTCTGACATTGAAATTGACCATACAGTTCAGTTGATTGGATATGGGTTTGCAGGGCTCCTAAGAACCCTCCTCGTATGGCCAACTTACGCACTGTATCCGAATCAGCTCCCGTCAATTTCTCTTCTGCAATCGATGCATTTTGGCGGTTTACTCAACAATAAGAAGATGAAGTACTTCTGGATTGGTGATTATTTTAATCATCTTCAACTTGAACTTCATGAATGCTAAGAAACCCCTCAGTCTTTTGGGCCATCTTCTGTTGGGTGAGTGCAACAACATAGTTCACCCTCATATCTCATTATTTGATGCGCAGGAAATCATACCGACATGGATGTTCCCTCTTCTTACGGCGTTCTCTGTTATTTGCCTCGCTGACAATGGTCGCTCGGCTGTTATTCGAAATATTTTTGGTGCGGGATCGTCCAACGAAGGGTTAGGTCTGCTGTCATTCAGCTTCGACTGGACCCTGATCACACAAGCGTATCCTCTATATTGGCCTCTCCAAACTCAAGTCTCTTCCTGGATTGGATTGGGATTGGGCTACGCCCTCATGAGTGCGTTACGTCATGTCATTCTCTTGTTGACGCTATTCATTCGTCGATTCACTATTAGGTGGATGCTATTATGGAGACGTATTCCAGGGGTACTCAAGAGGGTTACCGTTCATGTCAACTGCACTATTCAGCGGTAATGGCTCATCGTACGACCAATCCGCGATTCTTGACTCCAACAATCAACTCGACCCGGTAAAGTACGCTGAAGTTGGCCCCCCGTGCGTACATAAATAATCATAACAAGAATGCTTGATAACATCAGTCCCAGATTCATGACGACAACCTACGCAGTTTCTTTGCTTATGAGCTACGCTTCCATGGGAGCAGCATTTTCCCATATTTTCTTATGGCACTGGACGGAGTTATGGGAGGCTTTCAAAGGCTTTAACTTCTTGAAGTCAGGGCAAGATTTTGACGAGTACGCTATGCGATTTCCTCCAATTTGTATTTTCTTTAACGCCGCAAGCCAGTGTTCACTTCCAGCGGATGAAAGTGTACAAAGAAGTTCCACAATGGTGGTATGGTTCTATTTTTATCGTGTCATTGGGCCTAGCGATTGGTATGGCGTACGTTGGCATCAACACCCTGCCGTGGTGGTCTGTTTTCGTTTTTACCGTCATTGGTGAGTTGTCGACTCTGTGGGGGTCGACTTTATCTCATGTTCTCTTGTATAGCATTCATTCTCGCTGTCATCCTCGGTTTTATATTTGCTGTGACAGGGTTCCAGATCCCTACTGGAGGTTTTGTGCAAGTTATTGCTGTCAGTGGTCTTTCTGCGTTATCGGTTGCGGTTGATACAGACAAAATGTGCTTAGGCATACGTCCATCCCCAACAACCGATTCAGAACATGTATGCGAAGTTGTACGGTTACAACACCGGTTATCAGACATTATCCATGCTCTCCGATTTGAAGCTAGGTGCTGTCCTTCACTTTGGTGATTTGACTCAAGAGTTGACGTTTGCCTTCCAAGGGCAATATGCGAAAGTACCACCCAGAGCCACTTTTGTCGCGCAAGCCAGCGGCACAATTCTTGGTGCCAGTGAGTTTCGTGCGTTATATGAGGATTATTCCGCTGAATGTTTCGGTTGAGTTTTCAACTATATCCTCTATAAGAGTATCGTAGATGCACACAGAGCCGATCTAATAAACCGTGCGCTATATCACACATATACAGTTTCTACTCGAACTCAAGGGAGAATGATTATAGCCATCGGAACGCGCATATGGTCAGGGTGGGTCTCGCAAGAGATCAACTCAGCAGCTATTACATGGGGCGCTCTGAGTGCGGAGCTATACAGCCCAGGTAAAACATACTTTCAAGTGAGTTCCCGACCAGATGGTAGTAAACGCAGACTCGCAACCCCTTTCCAGATTCCTCTCGGACTTCTATACGGGTTCCTCGCTCCTTTCTTGTTCTATGTTATGCATCGCCTATTCCCGAAGTAATTTTATCTGCCGCATTATTTCTGGAACAATCTGATAGGACAAAATATAGACAACGGGTCTGGTCTTACCTCAATATGCCAATCATTTTCACGTATCTGGGTTGGCTGCCGTACTCAGTCAATGGTGCGATGGCAGATCGTACGATGTTCGCTGTATTGACAATTATCATAGGGATGTGGTGGCCAGGGTTAATCATCGGATTGTCTACGCAATGGTGGGTCAGGACCAGGAAGCCAAGATGGTACAATAAATACAACTGTGCGTGATGTGCCAGCTCGAGATTATCATAACAGACCACCTAGCGGTAATTAGATCTGACCTCGGCCGCTTTGGACGGAGGTTCGTCCATCATTTACTTTATCCTTAACTTTGCGGTATTTGGTGAGTTCTCCGTTCGCAAGTCGGCACAGTTGTACTTATACATGCCATGTAAGGGGCAAGCGGAAATGCCATCAGCTTCCCTACGTGGTGGGGAAATCCGGATCCTAGTGTTATGAGTGTCGGTAAGTTCATGGCTGTATCATTTTTTGAGATTGATCGTCATTTTGTCAAAATCAGACCACTGCATGGCCAGCACTTTTTCATGACACGGCTCGGTCTCCTTGTCTTGTTGAGGTATAGTCGGGAAGCATAGCTTGTTTTTTTGGGGGATATGATAGAATCGAAGTGTAAGAGTGTAAGAGGTTCATGTATCTGAAATTTCACAACCATCATGGCAATGCGGGGGAAGAGAGACTTTCCTGTCTTTGTCAGGCATTCATAAGTGTTGCATGTAAACGTGGCGGGGCGCTCTCTTATTACTGTTCGAGATGAGGCCATTTCGCAACATCGTTTTCCCTTTGCAGGTGGGAGATGCTTGAACGAATCCCAACATTTGTCAAGTCTCTGTGAGACAATTTTGACGATATCAGAAAACACATGCGTGCGTATGTTGACTACGTGAGAGGTGTGATGTGGCGGAAAGTCTAGAGTTAATCATCTTGATGAAGTTCCTTCCAAACCTGTTCCGTCTTCAAACGTTGTTCTTTGGCCTGTGTGCGGTTACGAGTCGAGCGTTCGACACGCTTAAGGATGTCGTCAGTATTCGGAAGGGTGAACTAAAGGCAACACTAACCTCTTTTCGAAGGCACTGGTTAAGGCTATCCTTTTCTTGATTGCAACCACCGGTTAGTCGCGCCCAGCTGTTAACATGGCATGCATCGAGTGCCTGGATGAATTCCCTGCAGACTTTGATGCTTGGGTTAGGATAGATACCGGAACCGTGCGCCGTGCGCCGTACCTATTCGTTTATCGGACAACTGCGGGTGCATCTGAGAAATGCTGCATGAAAAAGCAAGAACCAAATGACAGTGGGATCCAAGGCAGTTATGGAAAACCAGTGTTGACGATACACGCACAGACCAAGATGAGAAGAGCGTAGGTCCGGTTGTGTGTTTTCCGTAGACAACCGTTGTCCGAGAGAGTTAAGTCTGAGTTAACGCGAGAATTAACGTGTGAATTGGTTCCATGGTCGCAAGCCGGTCACTACTAATTACTCAGATCTGTCTACAATTTCAAACACCTATATATTAACCCCAGCAACTCAAACTTATCGTAATTCCCCCCACTTCCATCAACCATGTCTCAGTTCACTCCGGAGCCAACTGACAATACTTCCGTCGCGACTATCCGTACCCTTGCTGCCGATGTCGTTGGCAAGGCAAACTCAGGACATCCAGGTGAGCACAACTAGATCAGCTTCAACCTGTGTACGATAACGACGATAAACACCTAAAAGGTGCACCCATGGGTATGGCGCCCGTCTCCCATGTCCTATTCACAAGGCAAGTAACTTTGAATGTGTCCACCTGGCATATCTATATGATTATTCCAGATTCTTCAACGCGAACCCCAAAAACTCCAAGTGGTTCAACCGTGACCGATTTGTGCTATCTAATGGGTGAGTTTATGTTCAGATCTGCATTTGATTACTTGCTGATGAACATTGCAGACACGCGTATGCACTTGACCCCTAACTGGTGTATTAATTATCACTGACTATTGCCCACTCTAGCTGCGCGCTGCAATACATCTTATTGCACCTCTTGGGCTACAAGCTCTCCATGGATGACCTTAAGGCATTCAGGCAGCTTGATTCATTGACCCCTGGTCACCCCGAAGCACACCACACTGATGGTAAGTGCTATTTATGAAACAGCCCCTGTAGACCCACTCACACTCCGCCAGGTATCGAGGTCACCACCGGTCCCCTTGGTCAGGGATTTGCTAACGGTGTTGGTCTTGCTATGGCTCAAGCACACTTGGGTGCCGTGTACAACCGCCCCCAGTTCGACCTTATCAACAACTACACGTATGGTTGGTATTTCTCCGTTTCCGAGTATTCGGAATATGTCATAATTATATCTCCACAGTTTTCACTGGAGACGGTTGTTTGATGGAGGGTGTCGCGAGCGAAGCTGCTTCCATTGCTGGCCACTTGCAGTTGGGCAACTTGATTGTCGTGCGTACATGATCTCACGTGTGATTCTTTTTACCCTTATTAATCGCTCCGTCCCAGATTTATGATGATAACCGTGAGTCGGATTCTCATTGGTCAGCCCTTCGGCTCCGTGACTTATTGCATCATAGATATTTCCATCGATGGTGACACCGCTGTCGCATTCACTGAGAACGTCGAGCAGCGCTTCTTGTCATACGGCTGGCAAGTTCTCCATGTCAATGACGGTGACCAGTATGTGGTGGTTTCTCATCCCTATTTTTGGTGTCTGACTGGCTCTCAGCGATCTTCCTGGAATCTACGATGCCATTGTCGTTGCCCGTGCCGAGAAGAACAAGCCTACCATCATCTGTCTCAAGACCACGATCGGTTACGGATCAAAGCAACAGGGTACTCACGGTGTCCATGGCTCCCGTGCGTGTAATTTTCCTGACGTCAACTGCCCACGTCTGATTTATTTTTGCCCTCAGCTCTCAAGCCCGATGACATTCAGTCCCTCAAGAGCAAATTCGGATTCCCTCCCGACCAGAAGTTCTACGTGCCTAAGGAGACCTATGATACTTACCAGGCAGCGGCACTTCGCGGCGCCAAGCTCGAGTCCCAATGGACAAGCCTTCTCGCCCAGTACGGCAAGGCATACCCCAAGGAGCACGCAGAGCTCACTCGCCGGATTTCTGGGGAACTCCCAGAAGGATGGGAGCAGACCCTCCCCGTGTACAAGCCTTCCGATCCTGCTCAAGCGTCTCGCAAGCTGTCTGAGCTTGTCCTTACAGCGATCACACCCGCACTCCCAGATCTCATGGGCGGCTCTGCCGATTTGACAGGCAGTAACTTGACTAAAGTCAAGGGAACTGTCGACTTCCAGCCCCCCAGCACTGGACTCGGAAACTACGCTGGCACGTACATCCGCTATGGTGTCCGTGAGCACGGTATGGGTGCCATTGCCAATGGTCTGCATGCTTATGGTGGTATTGTGCCATTCGTGGCCACATTCTTGGTAAATAGTGCTTGCTGCCTTAGCCAAAGTTTCTTGCTGACCTGCCTTCTAGAACTTCGTTTCGTATGCGGCCGGTGCCGTCAGGTTGTCCGCGCTCAGCAAACATCAAGTTATCTGGGTTGGTGAGTAGATAGAATCTTTCAGAAACCAGACATTATTACTGACAATTTGCTAAGCCACGCACGATTCGATTGGCCTTGGAGAAGACGGTCCCACTCACCAGCCGATTGAAACCGGTATTCACCTCCGTGCAATCCCCAACCTCGACTTCTGGCGCCCCGCAGATGGTAACGAAACATCCGCAGCCTACCTCGTTGCCCTCAGGAGCAAGGAGACACCGTCCGTCTTCTCGCTCTCCCGGCAGAACCTGCCGAACCTCGAGGGCTCTACCATCGAGCGTGCAGCGCGGGGTGGATACGTGCTCTACGAAGTTGACAACGAGGATATGACGATTGTCAGCAGCGGCAGCGAGGTTCCTATTGCCCTTGAGGCAGCAAGCAAACTTAAAGCCGAGGGTATCAACGTCAGGCTCGTCAGCTTGCCTTGCTGGTCGGTATTCGACAAGCAGGACGAGCAATACAGGCTCAGCGTCCTCAGGAGTGGCGCTCCCATTCTATCATTGGAGGCGCTCACGGTAATATTTGAATCTTTAATGGTGATACACTTACTGATCTATCTTTAAATAGACCGCTGGTTGGCAAAAATACAGCCATGAGGTGAGGTTTCGTGATCACATAGGTTTTGCTGAGTAGCTCATATACTTTGCAGCAATATGGTCTTCCTGCATGGGGTGCTTCAGGACCGTACCAAAAGGTTTATGAGAAGTTTGGCATCACTGGCACTAGTAAGCTTGCATGTCAACATCGGTTGGGATGTTACTGACTGTGTTCCAGACATTGCCGCCGTCAGCAAGAAGGTCATCGCACACTACAAACAGAGGGGCGGCCAAGTCATATCTCCTCTCGTTAAGGCTCTGTAGGTCATTATGTCCAGCACAAAAATTCCTGCCATTAGGTTAGATTAGAAAGGCGGTGTAACAATCCTGTAATGAAATAGAGTTGATCGTTGTTCAAATAGAGTGATCGTTGTTCAAATAGATTGAGCGTGGTTCAAGGACCAGGTTGTCCAGGAGTCACATCTCATGAATTGCCTATTTGTCTCACGTGGCCGCCATGGAATCAATGTATGGATAAGGATAGTCGCAACTGCGAGTCTACTTGGAAGCGAATGTCTATTTGCGTTGAACGGTCATTGTGTCCCAGGCAAATCTCTCCTCTTCTTCCTTGAGGACGTCCTGAATATGAGGCATGAGGTATCGCTTGTCCTGAAACAGCGGTCAACATCCACGCACTTCGCAGTATTGCGAGAGGTCAACGTACATCTTCAGGCTTTGACCACTGTTCTTTGGGTAAAGGTGCGTGGTGAAGATCACAGTCACTTGCAATTTTGAAGCGGTAGGCACGGTCATAGGTCTCTCGCGGAGTTAGGCGACCGAGTGCCTGCAATTCCAGCCGGTGTCAAGAATGCTCAAGAAAAGCATGCAGGCGACTCACCCTCTGAACCTGTGGGTTCTCCTCCATCTCTGCATAAATCTCAATTGAGCGCGTTGAACATCCCGGAACTAAACATGAGACACGCACGGAGGTCATCATATTTGAGACCCATCTTTCGGTAGCCCATGAGGTCGGCATACCAATGGGCGACTGGGGCCACATATTTCTTGAGTGACCGCGAGGAGCGAATGTAAGGTGCGAGGGATGGGCCGAGTGCGTTCATCGCGTTGGCTTGCTGAGTGGTGTCTTCACGAAACTTCAATTCAAAGAAGCGGAACCACCCGGGATGTTATTTGGCTCTATTTACATCTACTTTATTTAGACTTATTTTTTGAAAAGATAAGATCTGGAAAAGATAAAAATCCAACAACAAATCTTGACTGCGATCAGATATAATCACCCCCTCATCCTTCCGTTCAGACAAAACAGAAATGGCACCCAACATCCGTGAGCGCACTTACATCATGGTCAAGGTAGCCATCCATCGTCTCGAGATGATCATCTACTGAATCGAGCGCGTCGTCCTCCAGCCCGATGGTGTTGACCGTGGTCTCGTCGGCGAGATCACCGCCCGCTTCGAGAAGCGCGGGTTCAAGCTCGTCGCCGCCAAGCTCGTATCTCCCCCCAAAACGCATCTCGAGAAGCGTGAGTTCTGGATCTGACCAGGTTCCCGACGCGTTGATTGACGTCATCTGGTGTGTAGACTACGCTGACCTCAGCGGGAAGCCCTTCTTCCCTGGTATGATCGCATACATGCTCTCTGGACCTGTCTTTGCCATGGTCTGGGAGGGCTTGGATGCCGTGAAGACCGGCCGTGCCATGTTGGGCGCTACTAACCCCCTTGAGTCTGGCCCCGGTTAGTCTTTGTGTAGTGATCAAGCCATACACCGGTATTGAATTTCTCATAGGCACCATCCGTGGCGACTACGCCCTTGCTGTTGGCCGTAACATCTGCCATGGCTCCGATTCCGTCGAGAACGCCGAGAAAGAGATCGCTCTGTAAGCTCGCTAGATCGCGTTGATACTCTCTCTGACCATCTTTGCAGCTGGTTCCCGGAGGGCACCCTTCAATACTCGCGCTCCAATGAGTCCAAGATCTTCGAGATCTAGACATGTAGAAAAGGAGAAACAATAATCGCCAATATTGTTGTAAACTAGATACCATTCCGACTGCACGTGGAAAATGGCCACCACGTTGGCATTAGAGAATCACCTTTCGCGCGATTTTGAGATCCAAACCATCAAAAGACATCCAAGAAAATTGTTAGTAACACAATAATAGAACAGGACAGATAATAGATGAAGATAATGAGCGCGAACAAGGTATGTTATGCAATGAGAATGAGGGTATGCGTGCAAGAAATGATAATGTGATAAACTCGTGTGTGCCAACACCCACTACACACTTCCTCTCGGCGTGCCATAGTATGCAGAGCACAGCTCCAAAGGTACTCTGTGTTCCTAGACATGCAATCTTCTAAGAGGAACCTCGACCCAACTACCACTGACAGACATTCCGCTGCGCTTGAACAGGCGTGCGGAAAACGTATGACATCGATGTCATGAAGCCACAACCGTGCATTATGTCCCAGATGCTAGTATAGCAGCAAGATCTTGCTCGCCTGCTGCTGCAAGTTGTCGTGAACGAGCCTTCAAACGCACTACACACAAAATGAGCCGTTGTAGGCGATATCAAAAAATCAAAGGACTTACAGAGTCGATCAAGGGACAATAACACCACCTTGACGGCATTAGCATCATCACGCACAGGAGGGGCGTTCTTCAACAGCATTGAGCGGTCCACCCAATGCTCATCTTGCCAGATCGCAGCTTTGAGGATCAGATCGTCCATGCAGCGATCCCACGAGTTTTCATCAGTGAGATCAACCTGCTCGATCCGTACGCTAAGCGATGTCAAGTAATTGCCTTTCGAAGTCTGGACTTTTAGGGACATCGAGTGCGAGCGGATGTGTGAGGTGATATAGGCCACGGCTTCTTGGGCGGCTTCGCCAAGCTTGGACGGATTCGAAGAGAGACCGTCCAGCTCCATTATAACAGGAACTGGTAGGACGACTGTCCATCGGAGGCTCTCGATGATCGATGCGATTGCCGATAGGGAAGATAAGATGATGTTCGTATCCAGTACAAGAATAGTATAGCCAGCCACGATGTTCAAAGATGGCATCGATGCATTTTTCCAGGAACGGACTGGGCGAGACCGCTGTTTGGGTATGTGGGCAGGTGCGCGCTGACTTGAAACAAGTAGAGATCGCAAGTATCTCCGGCGTGCCTATAAACACCATCAGATGCCATCCGAAACCCACAAACGAGGGAACACACCTTAAGAGCCTTGACTTCTTCAGAATCGTTTTCGTCGTCTTCGCTCTCTTCTGACAATCCATCAGCGTCTTCATCCTCGGCATCGACATCCATGGAATCATCGGTCCAACGCCGACCACGTCGCCTCCGCTCCTCTTCTTCGCGTTCATGCCGATCTTCCTCAAGCCACCGGGTCACTTTCGCTTCAAGCACACCCTCAACCCTCCACTCACGCGTGCCCTCCACCCAAGTAAACCCATCGACAGCAGCTGACAAGCAAACGGCACATCGCACAAGTCGACTCCATCTCTTACTCGTCTCCCCGCGAGAGCTCTCCCCACGGGAATTACCCTCCTCCTCATCTTCATCTTCGATGATCCCATCAGTGAGCTGCCCGCCTTCCTCCACATCCAGAATTTCAATCTCCACACGTCTCTCCTCCCCACTTTTCCAATATCCGCGCTCAAAGACCTTTCGACTGATCCACTCCATCCCACGGAGGCACCAATCCTCGGGGAGTGGCGGAGCACAACCACTCGTCAGCATTGCCCACCGCTCGCCGCCAGCAGCTGGGATATTCAATCCCTGCGCGGCGAAAATATCACGGGGGATAGTGGCGAAGAACTGGGCAAGATCGTGCCACGGTATCGAACGCTCCAGTACGGAAAGCGTCTCAGCGTGCTTCGTGATGGTAGCCAAGAAGGTGAGCATGACCGAGAGATAAGGGTTCAGAGTCGAACGAGCAAAAGGCGAGGCCTTCCGAGTCGGGTTGCGGAGAACAAACGAGAGCATTGAAAAGGCGAGTTCCATCGCGAGTTTGAACGATACCGGCAGTTCCACGGGCTTATTTGCGTCGGATAGAGATGGAGACGCTTGCGGGTCGCCCTCATCATCCACATCCATTCCACCGTCTTCTTCACGGTGTACAGGTGCAGCGTGACCCTTCTTGACGACTTTTATGGCGGGACCGCCTGTGCCAGTTTCACGAGCACCTACGCCACCGATCTTGCGCAGCACGCCACCTGGACGGCCATACTCGAGCACTGCACAAATGTTCACGACTGCCATCATAATCCACTCGCGTTCCTCGGCTCCCTCGATTTCGATGCGTTCAAGGAAGCGAGCGAGAGTCGGTGAAAAGTCGTCAAGTTGAATGTTAGTGAACAACATGCCGTGCAAAAGAACGAAGAGTTCTGATACGCGGGCATCAGGTTGCGACCGCCGTGATTGAGCACTTGATGACCAGATGGGGAGAATGGACTCCCGAGAAGTAGAAAACGTGTGAAGGGTGGTCATACTACAAAGAACAACTAATCAGACATGCCGCAGATAGAAATCGCGGGAAAACGAACCTCTTAACAAAGTGATAGACGGCGCGTAGCTCTTCGTTGTCGACCTCACGGCTCAACAGACCGAGATGGTGGTGCAACTTGCCTGCACCAGGGGTATCTGCAAGACCTTGAGCGTACCACTCCTTTGCGATACTTCGCCAGCGCTGCTTCTCCGGCTCAACATCCATCATCCGTGCAGCAACAATGCCAACGCTTGGGCTCGGCGAGTCGTCTATCCGCGCAGCAGGACGATCAGAAGAAGATTTGACGCTCATCTGCGACTTGCTCTTGGCTGTAACAGGTTCATCGTCTGTGGATGCTGCGACCGCTTTAGATAGAGCGTCTGTAGTAAGTGCCGAGCCTTTTAATTGGTTATTGGTAACCATTGCGGCCACGGCCATACGATAGCGCGCAAGATCGCCAAGAGCTTCCAGCCAGCCGGATCGGAAGGAGCGCAGTGTAGGCTCCTCGAGAAGGCCGGTGTAGAAGGTATAGGCATAGTAGATGAAGTCTTGAAGGTGCTCGAGAGCGAGCGGCGAGGAAAACGAGGCACGTCTCAAGGCCTCGAGGAGTTTATGGAATGCGTGAGTCCAGAGACGAATGATGATGTTGTACTTGCCCGGAATGACGCGGAGGGAAGCCGGCACGCTCGGGGCGAGGGAGATCTCCATCAGGTTATGCATCATCTCAGCGAGTCTGCACACCCTCGAATCAGTCACATCACAACCGAAAACGGAGACCCACTTACCGTTTATGGTCCGAGATCAACTTCATCCATTTCTGCTGCTGGAGGTCTTCGTCGCTGACTTCGCGCCCCCGACCTTGGAGCAGGACACGACCTTCGTCTACGTAGTCATCGGCGTCCTCATTGAGGATCTTTGTTTCGAGGGTGGATATACTGCGGTACAGCTTTTTGAGCTGTGCTGCAAAGGCATTGTTGCTGGGATCCTCACGAGGCTTGGTGTCAAATAAGGCGGATGATGCAGATGAGTTATCGGTGGTGCCAGAAGACAACGTGAAACTTGACGTCATAGAATGGGCATAAGAAGATGTCGATGACGCGGAAACATAGTCCCCCGAAGACTTCGGGGTAGGTGGAGGGCGGGCACCATTTGATGATGGCCGGGCGAGAACTGAAACGGCAAATCTTACAGGGTCGTCTTTACGATGGTCGAATAAGTGGCGATTTGCCGGTGGGTCCCTTTGATGGGAAGTGGGGGTGTTGCGGGGTGGGGAAGAGCTGCTGGTGACGTCGGAGATCGATTCTGGCTCGGCCGTGCGTCTCATTGGAATTGGGTCTGTGTTAGGATTGAACAATTTTCCCTGATGAGGCTGCTTTGAATGATCACGGTGGGGGCGAGGGGAGGTAGATATCTTGAGGCGTCGTGAGAAATCTTCTGGGTCTGCCTCTGGGCGGGATACGATGACATGAGGAGCGAGGTGAGTTTTACGTGGAGAGGTTGCTGCGGGGAAACTGCGGGAAGGTACAGGTGGGGGGTTCGGTGCGGGGGGTTGCAGACGGGAAGCAGACGGAGATGAAGGCGTTCGCTCAGGGCGTTCGCGAGGACGAGTTGTACTGTGAGTTGAATAAAAATCAGTAAAGAATAATCAGCAATGAAATAAAACATACGCCGCATTTCTTCGCTGAAAAGCGATCATACGCTCTGCCAAATCAGTTGGTTGAGCGGGATCACGGTCCCTTGGCCTCCTTGAGGGCTTTGGTTGGTCATGCGTTGAATCCATGACCAATTAGCAGCTTATTTGAAGCAGAAAGCTAAAAGGGCTGCTACTTTGTTAGAATATTATATGGATGAGAGTAGGAGACGCAGTATGAACGCTGTGGGCATCCTTACCTGTTCCTCATCCACTGCGCATTTCGAGAATCCGCAGTCGTTGGCTGCGCCGATCAAGATCTAGATCCAATTTAGTATATGTCACGCTGTCACAAAAATGTCACTTCCGGATCACCAACTTCCACTTTGCCGCTAGAACGACGAGCAGGCGAACCTGCGGTGTCCCAGGTTCGCTTGAGCTTTTGTTACGCCCACCTACTAGGCTACCTGCATGCTCGTTTTCGCGCTGTCTCGATACCTCTCAATTACGACATGGGACGATTGTTATCTACCGCACGATGATAATTATCTGCCTTGCGACTGAATGCTCTATAGATGCTATGCATCCACACCATTTCGACACCTTGGCAGCCACTTTCTAATCTGATGACTCGCCGTACGAGCAAGCTGCAAAAGGCTGCAAACCTATTCATCTATTAACTCACTCTTGACTGGTTGCTGGCTAAGGGCCGGCTAGCGCCTTTCATCCAATATTGTACTTTCCTTCGATAGAACACTCAGATGGTTCTCGCCCATTTGCCACGTTCATTAGGGTTTACGTTGATCCTTTGGGCAAACCTGTGCTCGTGAGCCTGCTGTTAACTTCTTAGGGTTGGTGTTCGACCCCACTTCGCTCCTCCGAATTAATCACCTCAAATAGACCTCGAATAACCGCTCCAGTTGCGCAGTTTCACGCCCCAGCATCGAAGGAAGTGTTGAGCTTCAGAATACGACGTCCATGCGAGGTGCAAGTCTGTAATCACGACCCTATTTTTTTTTTACAAATACGACCAGGCTTTGTCTCTATGTCCAACAAGCAAGCCTTCCTTCATTGAGTGTTCTGTTACCACGAGTGGTGACCACCGCTGACGATAATGCTGCAAATTTTAGACTTAAATTGACCGCTAAGGAAGGAAATTCAACGACGACAACGTACTCGCTACCCGTGCAGAATGTCGATGCGTCAGACGCCAACCACGTCACTACACCGCGCAACTCGTCGGGGCGTCCGAGCCGACCCAGAGGGTTCATGCTAGACCACACATCGAACAGGTGTGGTTGCTTGTCCAGATATGCTGCGGTCATACTACCACAGCCATCATTATTCGATGTTGCGGTTTAATTAAATCACGAGACAAACCTAGTGTAGATATGTCCTGGAGACAACGAGTTGACGCGAATCTTCTTCTCACCGAGTTCGCAAGCCATGCTACGAGCCATCTGGAGGACAGCCGCTTTGGAGCTGTTGTACGAGACCCAGGCGTGGCCCTAAATGGGATCAGCATACACGCACGACCATAACGGTTATCGGAAGAGGCTCACTCTGTTGGTAATACTGCCTGACATCGATGCGATGAGGATGATGCTACCACCGCGTCCGAAGCGGGCCATCTGTCTGCCAGCAGCCTGCGCAGTGAAAAGGACGCCATTGGTGTTGACATCCAGGACCTGCACATTGGATTTAATCTCAAAGGCTATGCGATAATAGCCTCATCGACAGCCACCCACCTCTCTGTACTCCTGCGCGGGGTATTCCAGGCAGTCAGTGTGGGACCTGAGAATACCGGCCGCAGCGACGCAAAAGTCCATCCTTCCCTCCTTATCACCAATCTCCTCCACCTTCTTCCAAAGGGCCTCTTGATCAGTTACGTTCGCGCTGAAATACTCCAACCGCGAATTGTTCCCTAACTTCGCGACGTAATCTCTGCATGCGACCCATTCATCTGATGGTTTTTCTGGGAGATCGAAGCAGTACACGACGCGTGCGCCAGCTTCGCAACATGCAAGAGCCATCTCCAGGCCAAGACCCCTATTTCCTCCAGAGACAAGCCCGACGCGATCGATCAGTGCGAACTCATCGAAGATCTTGGGTTTTGGTGTGATAGACGGGTCTGCAGCAGCCTCGAGAGCGGCTTCGATACCGAGTTTACCAAGAGGAGATGTAGATTGAGCTGGGAATTGGGAACTAAGGGCAAATTCAGCCTCCCTTCCACACCAGCAGCGAAGACATTCCTCGATAGACAGATCGAAATAAATACTTACCTGGACATAGCTTTGTGCTCACTGATAACCGATGATAGATGATGAAGATTATCTTAGAAATGTTAGGGGAAGCGATTGCGTAAAAGGGGGCTTTATACTGCACGGATCTCCACCTCCATAAGGCTTCCGGAAGCTCACCTGACCATGGTCAAGGCGAGATGCGGCGCACGAACAACGAAATTACTATTCTCAGTGGCCTCATGAGCATGAGGTGGTAATCTGCGAACAGTCTTCCCACAGGAGATAAAGAGCAAGTCTAATGGTTGCGGTTCCCGCGACTTATCGATGGTAGAACCACTGTGCTGATGATGTCAGTGAGGTGCGAGACGTGAGCAGGCCATCATGCAATATTGTCTCCTAAGGCTAATGTACATCGAATCCGCAGGTGCAGTACTTTACAAGCTAGTGTGTAACATAAATCTCTGCGCAGTAATGTAAACGAAGCTCGCTCTTGTATGTGGAGCAACATAATGACAGTGAGTACCTACAAGGAACGAGCCGGACTCCAAGTCAGTGTGGCTACATTGAGTCTATATTATGGATGCTATTCACCTCAGCATAAGGTGGAACAAAGAGATGAGCTGCGAAAATACCGATGGATTAAGTTAGGCGAAAGAGAGAAGCCCTAAGTACTTTACAAGCTACGATGTAGCATCAAAATCGACGTCCGAATATCTTCTGTACGCTGGGATCAAGCTTTGGGTGCACCAACGAACCATGGCGTAACGAGCGCATTCGCGCGTCTGACGAGATTGACAACGAACCAGGATGAAAACTCCTTCCCGCTCCACTGGTCTGTCATACGGATTATCTTGTAGTCCTCATCCAATTCTACGACGATGATAGAGTCGATTCGCTAACAAGAAGTGAGCTAAAAACGATTCGTAGCTAACACCGCAAACCTTCTTGGTTCCAATATACCGGAAGGTATACTCTTGCGTTTGCGAGTAGACGAGATGTCTCGGCAAGCGCGTAAACGACATGACCCGACTCGAGATTGTCTCTGACTTTGAAAAAATCTTTGGCTGGAGCCCTGTGAGACTTGGAACATTCAGTTGAAAGCATGTTTACTCGCCATAGCAAACCACTGGGAGAAGCGACTCGAAATAAGCCTTGGCACTCTATTGGCATGACTTAGAGACTCGCACCTGAGGAGCATACTGCGCATAACCCTCGCATTTGACCAAGGGATCCTACAAGAATGAGTGAGAGGTAGAACCGCATGATAATATAAAACCAACCTCAAAAACTGCATCGGGCCTCCATGTTCTTTCAAAAATCTCCTTTGATGGCCGACAACAGTACAACTCCTTCAGATCAGCCATAATGCGATCCCGAACTATATCGTCTCCTTCCATAGATGAACTGTGCTTTCCAGGAGACGTGAAAACTTGGTCGTCTTCGTCAGACACGGGCGCTCCAGAGTAATGACCTCCAGCAGCGGAGTGGACGATGTCTAGAATTGGGAGAGATATATGCAGAGACGGGCGGTGGTATATCATTGTAGGGGATGGCGAATCACTACTTTTGGGTGAAGCATCGTGTACATAAGGTGTTTCCTGTGATGTGGTCATTTCTGGAGCTCTCAGAGTACTTCAAGAGGAGGTTAATGAACACGAGTTGAACCAATGTGGAGAAACTTAGATAAGATAAGATAATAACAGTGGCTGTGCTTTCATGGCACGAGGTCCTCGACTATTCTTACAGCTTGAAGCACATATAATCAATTCGAACACGCTGGTACTCAATATTAACTCTACAATGCGGTGTGTCCACCGTCGACAACAATGCTAGGAAATATTTATGTTAATTTTCACATTTAGAACCAGGATTTTTACGCACTTGCTTCCTGTGCAATAGCTCGACGCGTCGGATGCCAGCCACGTCACAACTCCCCGCAGTTCGTGAGGTTTGCCAAGCCTTTTCATTAAGTTCTGCTCTGACCATACAGCACGGAACTCTGGTTGCGCAGAAAACAACGGTGTCAGGAGGCTACAGCCTGATGGTTAGAGGACTTTGGAACAAGCGATACAGAACGTACGGTGTCTCAATAAAACCTGGTGATAATGAGTTCACCCTGATGTTCTTTTGCGCAAGTTCACATGCCATGCTGCGGGCCATCTGTATCACTGCGGCCTTACTAGTATGGTATGGCATCATTGGCGGATCCTGCGAGTGCAGTCAAGGGCATGCAAGCGAGAAAAGCCGAATAATAGCTACCCTCAGAGCAACACTGCCAGCGATGGAGGCAACGAGAACAATACTTCCCGGCAGCTGGAAACGAGCAATTTGCTTTGCAGCAGCTTGGGCGCTGAAGAACACCCCTTTGATGTTTACAGCATAAACCTCACATGGAATCAACTTGGCTATCCTTGCCATCGCATAAAAAACTTGGCACACCTTTTCGAGGTCTTCTTCGGTGTATTCCAAGACATGACGGGGAATCCCCGTAGTGCCTGCAGCTGCCACGCAAATATCCATTCTCCCCTCTTTTGTTGCAATGTCTTCTACCGTTTTGAGTAGCCTTTTCTGATCGCAGACGTCAGCGGTCACATATTCGAGTCTTCCAGCGCCCCCAAGTTTTTCTACGATCTGGCGAGCAGCGTTCCAATCTTCACCTGGCTTCTCCGGGAGATCTAAACAATATACTGCACGCGAACCAGCCACAGAGAGCGCCAAAGCGGCCTCGAGCCCAAGACCACGGTTACCTCCAGTGACAATCGCAACCCGGTCTGTTAATGCAAAGTCTCCCAAACCCTCTCTTTGGATCGCGGGCGTAGTGTGCAAGGAGGATGACCTGACTCCAGTCTTCTTGATAGATAGCGTCCTTGCGAGGCGCAGGGTTGTTAGGCAAGAGCGACTGGCGATTAGCTTCAGCATGGTTGGCCCTCTAAGCTCTTATCGTTGGTACAGGAAATCCCTTGCGTATCTTATAGGTGAGCGGTAGTGTCAGTCTATATATGTATAACTGAGATCGATCACAAGGATGGTTGAAATCACACGGAAGTACCTCCCTGGCTGACGAGCATCCGATCTACTGCCACATGTTCGCCAGCTCCTGCCACATGTAACGAACTCAGAATAGGTTCATCTGAATCGGCTCACTTGGCTCAGCGCGGTTGATCACTTCATGCTGTTCCGTGCGGCTCGGACGCCACACGTCAATACTTCAATGGCTGTTCGCTCCGAGGCAGGTATTACGCAATCTTGTACGTTGATAAAAAGGTCTGTACCCACTGTCTGAGTCTCGCTGTGTTACCCATGACTGCTTGGTGATGGAGGAAGAAGGTGGTGGAGATGAGGCCCCACTAGAGATTGTGCTATATAGAGCACATCGCATCAGGCAAGGAATATGTCCAAGCAGGCTGCCAATTCGATCGATAGCGTGAGCGGTTTTCTTCTTGTCGATACAGCCGCAGATATGCATGAGGAGGTGGGGAGAGGGAAGTGGAAGTGTGTTGCAAATAAGCAATATAGCGCATACGAGCAGCACTAGATAGATATCGTTGTTTTTAGGCAAAAAGTCATAGTAGCAAACTGTCGCGACTTAGCCTCGTGAACTAGCCGCCTTGTCGAGGGGGGATGTGCGACCAGGTCTCTCGAAGACCTTCATTTTTTCTTACAAGTACTTACATAGAATCGATTCGAACACTCTGGTACTCGATATTGACTCTACAATACAGTATGTCCACCGTCGACAATAATGCTAGGAAACATGTACGTCAATTTTCACATTTAGAACCAGGATTTTTACGCACTTGCTTCTCGTGCAATAGCTCGACGCGTCGGGTGCCAGCCACGTCACAACTCCCTGCAGTTCGTGGGGCTTGCCAAGCCTTTTCATTAAGTTCTGCTCTGACCATACAGCACGGAACTCTGGTTGCGCAGAAAACAGCGATGTCAGGAGGCTACAGCCTGATGGTTAGAGGACTTTGGAACAAGCGATACAGAACGTACGGTGTCTCAATAAAACCTGGTGATAATGAGTTCACCCTGATGTTCTTTTGCGCAAGTTCACATGCCATGCTGCGGGCCATCTGTATCACTGCGGCCTTACTAGTATGGTATGGCATCATTGGCGGATCCTGCGAGTGCAGTCAAGGGCATGCAAGCGAGAAAAGCCGAATAATAGCTACCCTCAGAGCAACACTGCCAGCGACGGAGGCAATGAGAACAATACTTCCCGGCAGCTGGAAACGAGCAATTTGCTTTGCAGCAGCTTGGGCGCTGAAGAACACCCCTTTGATGTTTACAGCATAAACCTCACATGGAATCAACTTGGCTATCCTTGCCATCGCATAAAAAACTTGGCACACCTTTTCGAGGTCTTCTTCTGTGTATTCCAAGACATGACGGGGAATCCCCGTAGTGCCTGCAGCTGCCACGCAAATATCCATTCTCCCCTCTTTTGTTGCAATGTCTTCTACCGTTTTGAGTAGCCTTTTCTGATCGCAGACGTCAGCGGTCACATATTCGAGTCTTCCAGCGCCCCCAAGTTTTTCTACGATCTGGCGAGCAGCGTTCCAATCTTCACCTGGCTTCTCCGGGAGATCTAAACAATATACTGTTCGCGAACCGGCCACAGAGAGCGCCAGAGCGGCCTCGAGCCCAAGACCACAGTTGCCTCCGGTGACAATCGCAACCCGGTCTGTTAATGCAAAGTCTCCCAAAATTTCTCTTTGGGTAGCGGACGTAGCGTGCAAGGAGGATAACCTGACTCTAGTCTTGTTAATAGATGATAACCTTGCGAGTCGCAGGGTTGTTAGGCAAGAGTGGCTGGACATTGGCTTCAGCATAGTTAGCCCCACTTATCACTGATACAGAGGAAATGATGAGCATTTTACAGCCCATTTTATAGGTGAGCACTAGCGCCAGTCTTGACCCTAATATCAATAACCAACATACGTTCAAGGCACAAGCAAGCTATTTTCCTTGACTGACGAGCACTCGAGTATCCCCAACGGGGTATAGTGTCGTGAACCTGTCGCGCTGTCGAGGGGCCATAGGTGGAATGTGTGAGAAAGTCTCTAGAAGAACATTGCGAAGAAGTAGGGAAGTCATTCGACACATACCGAAAGTAGTGAAAATGGCCGTCCTTATCAAACATGACTTGCGAGAGAAACAAACGGATCCGAAAACAAGGGAACCTTGCTGAATCGAAGGAATTGTCTAGGAGATCTGTTGTCTCTGTTGAAATGCGCATAATTTGAAAACATCGAGCACAAGTCGTTTGTGGTACGTTCTTGCGAGATCGTCCATCATGACGAAGGCCTGTAGTCACAGTATACCCTACACTGGGAGTTCGATTGCGATTCCACGTAAGACCACCAGCTGTCGAATAAAGGCAGTCATGCAGATTGGAAACAGTATGATATGATTGAATTGTAGACCTCTTGACATTACATTATGTATCCCCTTGCTCGATCAACGAACATTTCCACATACTAGTCGACAATGTATGAAAGAATTGATCTGAAGACGTTAGTTGGTGTGCGGAATCCCTTTCCCGCTCTCTCTTAACCACCGTTAGCATTACCTTGCCACAAGCCGTATGCCTTCCCGGGTGTTGTTTGCCAGAGTCGAATTGTACCTGTGACATGATACTTGTCAATATTGTCCGGGCCACTTTAACGGAACAACCCTTACCATCCTCTGAAAAGTGGGTCGTGACGTAATCAATGCCTTATCAGATAAGGGTCTCTGCAGTTGTGAGGAAGAAAACGCACCGCTGCCGCTTGCATATACTTCACCGTCAGGGCTAAACTCTACGCAGTGGACAGGTCCATGATGCCCCTTCAAGATCTCCCTCTCTTCTCCATCCATTCCATGAACCCTGACCCACTCGTCACCAAGATTGCCTGTGACAAAGCGGTCTTGAAGGATAGGATGAACAGATGCAGATGATGGCGAATAAGGCAAGTTGAGACTATGCGTTGGGGTACCACTAGGCAAAGCAGGTATAAATGCTACGGTTTTTCCTGATGTCACAACCAGACGCTTGGTTTGCGGGGATAGTTCCATAGAGGTTATCGGATTAGGGAATGTCATAGTTGTAGTAAGTTTTCGTGTTCTTAGGTCCCACCATCTGTGGAACTGTATCATCAGTGACGCTCTGTTATGGCAAGTTATTACTACAAACTTGATGATACCATCCTCGCCAGCGGATACACCGGTATGTTCTCCGACCCAAACTACACTCTTCACAGTTCCATCATGCGATGGTACACCCAGGTCTCCAAGGAAATCTGCCTCCGCGTCAGGGCGTCCAAGGTCGAATATTCTGACCTTCTTCTCCTGACCGCCAGTAAGAAGGTGAGAACACGACGGAGAGATTGCCACAGTCCGAACAATATGATTATGAGGGAATGAGTGCAACACGTCTCCCGAATATGTGTCCCAGATTTTTCTTGATTTCAATCATAGTTAATAGGGAAAGGATAAAGTAATTGAGGTGGTAGACTCACGCAGTGAAGTCAGCGCTTCCTGATGCCGCTCGCGAAGCGTCAGGAGAGAGTTTGGTGCACCACACTGCACCCTTGTGACCCAAAAATGTGCCTATCCAGTCCCCGGTCCATTCTCTGAGCATCGGATTGCCATCTTTGCAGCTTGACACAAGAAGATAGGTCCCATCGTCTTGCAGCGATGAAAAAGAAAGGTGAGTGACAGGGCGAGTATGTCCTGGTGCCACGAGAGGCACGGGCTTTGGATGGGCAGACATAGATCGTTACTGAAGATTCGTGATATCTGTTCGTGATACAGGCGCACCGCGCTCTGGTCTTGACAACTTGCGAGTACAACACAAGTCTAACAAAAAGGAAAACAGCACGTACACGTGACCATTTACGGCAGAACCCCCCTGGTGTAACTCTAAGTAGTACTATACAAGCTAGTTGCCAAGGGCCGGTCGACAGCTGCAGCTTGCTCCCGAAAAGTACTACAGTAGACTATCTCATATGACATTTTGGATGGTCCCACTGTGGGGCAGTGAGAAATTGTCCCATAATGCATATTGGATAATGCATAGACTTGCATGGTCATTATGCATTAATTATGGGATAGCTTCAAGCCTTGGTCGTGTTCGGTTCAATATTTTTAGTGTACTGGGGCTACGTACATTGTGAAGGAACTCATTCCACCTCATCCCACATACATATCTACAATGCTTGTAGACAGAAGAAAACCGCGAGACATGCCTCCACCCTGTCAAAGACAGCTAAAAAAAACCGAAGGTCAACGACACCCCAGCAACCTCTGCGCAACCGGCTGCTCGCACAGTCGCACGCCAAACGACCCTCAACCAGAGGTCTCTCACGCGGAAATGCTTGCGCTGTGTCAGCTGCTCGAAGGAGGCTGCCTCCAGTTCGGAAATGCTGACTCCACAGTTCCACTGGACTTCGTGAAGTAAATCCGTCTTTTTCGAGCTCACTTACGACGTGAGAAGCTCCTTCACGGAATGCAGACTACAATAGACTCTTATTTTCGTTAAGCAGATACTGTAGATGTGTTACACCTTTGTGCGGAGTCACGCGAAGTCACAATCTGGCACAAAATGTGACATATGTTCTAATGCATAAAGATTTTGTGGTCCCGACGCTATGCATTATGAGATAGTCTACTGTATTAGAGGGTTTCCCTGAATTCAGGTTAGTTCAACATTTCACGCAACCTGTCAATTGCCATGTTCTACGTCAACATCACTATGTAGCCCCCGCATACAGTATCGAATTGCGATCATCGGGAACTTTCTTCCAACCTGACATTAGCCTCTGTCAACAGCTGCTTGCGAAAACAAGACAATCCTCACCACTACTAGTGGCGAATGGCACAAGGGGCAATTATCCCGTTCTTAATGCTTCATTGCCATATGGGACCAATGTTTCTGCTATCACAGCGCCACAGGTGAACCTGCTTGGCTCGAGGAAGGTGACTGGCATGTACCTGCGGGAACCTGTATTGACGTTATAATCACTTATGTTTCCCGAAAGGAACTGTGTAGCAGTGTACTTTACACTTTCAGACTTCCAAGAAAGGTTTTCTCTGATCAAGGTGTGCGGTAAAATTGTGGATGACCGTCGGCATCCCCTGCAAACTTGAAGGTACTCCCACACTGTTTTGAAATACGAGCTTCAGTCCCAGGCTCAAGATAGGATGCAGCCTCCATGTTGTATATTGCCGCGGCCTCACTTGTGGTATGACTTCGTTTGTCAATGTGAACGACGCGGTCTGACATGTTCCATACCGACCCCACGGAATTGGTGCCTAATGTCACGCCAAATCTGAACACCCGCTCCGGGAGGCACCGTTATGGAGCCTTGGACTGCCCTGGATCACGCTATGTACTATATTCGATAATACCATTTATCATCAAAGCACGACAATCTCTAATAATACCGTATAAAGGACTTGCAATCATTATGGACCGGAAAATGGAGAGAGAAGTTGAGAAACATTGTGTCTATGCCCAGCAAATACTAAGGCGATACACCAAGTACTAAGCCCCCAAGTTGAAACGTCAGTATCTTACCTGATGATAATTCAGACTTGAGAACAGTCGACGAATTTCAACTCAGCGATTGTGGAAACAAACCGAATCTTCCGAGTCTGTTTGGAGTAACTATCGTCAATTTAACCATCAATGGCGTGCTCAGTCGACATCGACGCCCAGTAACATGCCTCACGGAGGTGACGGATTGATTAGGACTCCCGTCTATAAAATGGATAATCCAGAGCTTCTGTCAAACTGTCCCGTTCTGATCATCGTGCACTCTTCGAAACACAGAAGTACTGTACGTGGCGAACGTAATCACCTGAAAGCCGCAGTATCTGCTGCATTTGTCCGTGCTGACTCGGAGCGCTAGCGCTGAATTAAATACCGAGTAGTACCTCTCATTCCCATTTGAGCCGGCGTGCTTGATCCCCCGCCTTCCCAATATCTCAACCATGCTTTCAACAGCAAAACGCGTTGGCAATAGGATCATCGGATATCCCGAGCAGACGGTGACCACAATCTCCACCGACACCTATTTGAAGACCGTTGTGAAAGACCCAAAGAATAGGGTATGGCATTCATAGACTTTTCATTTGTGTTCGATTCAGGCCGTGTCATTTCAGGCGGTGAATTACTTGACCAGCCTTTTCCCAATCATTGGATGGATCACGCGATACAGTGAGCCATATTCTTACTTGGGTACATGTTACTTGTACTCATTCCGATGTTTCCAGACTTGGGATGGCTTACTGGCGACCTTATTGCGGGCCTTACCGTAGGAATGGTGCTTGTGCCACAGGGAATGTCATATGCACAAGTAAGTACTCTATCTCAAATCTCTTTCTCGTTTATTGACAAGTCTTCTTAGATTGCGACGCTTCCTCCTCAGTACGGTTTATATTCATCTTTCGTTGGCGTTCTTGTATACTGCGTACGTGCGCACTAAAATGAGTATTCGCAACGCTCAATTTACTTCTAGTTCTTCGCGACTTCGAAGGATGTCTCTATCGGACCTGTGGCAGTCATGTCGCTAACCGTGGCTGAAATCATTAGCGCTGTGGATTCAAAGTACCCTGGTAAATGGGATAGCCCACTGATAGCCACCACACTGGCATTTGTTTGTGGATTTATCGTGCTTGGGATCGGCCTCTTGCGCCTCGGCTGGCTTGTCGAGTTCATACCCACACCGGCAGTCAGTGGTTTTATGACTGGATCTGCGATCAATATAGTTGCAGGTCAGGTTCCTGGCCTCATGGGTATCACTGGGTTCAAGTAAGCGGTATCATTCCCTGCGAAGTGCCATTTTGTGACACACTCCATAGTACTCGAGCCGCCACGTATCAAGTTATCATCAATACCCTCAAGGGACTTCCTGGTACGACTCTAGATGCCGCCTGGGGTCTCCCAGGCCTTGTTGCACTCTACGCAATCCGTATAACTTGTGATCAATTATCCAAGCGATACCCCAGAAGAAGTAAGCTGTAATATTTGCGGTGTTTCCTCGATGAGACTCTTAATGGTATCTGTTCAGGTCGACAATTTTTCTTCGTCTCAGTTACAAGAAATGCTTTTGTGGTGATAGTGTTGACGATCGCTGCTTGGTTGTACTGCCGAGACCATAAAAGCGCCTCTGGTAAATACCCAATTAAAATATTGCAAAGTGTACCTGCAGGGTTCCAAAACGTGGGCGCCCCCGTTATCAACAGCGAGCTCGTCAATGCCCTCACACCACACATTCCTGTCGCCACCATCATTCTTCTCCTTGAGCACATAGCCATCGCCAAATGTAAGCCACTAATCATCTGACCATCTGGCCCTTTTGACACACTAATTACAGCATTTGGACGGGTTAATGGATACAAAATCAACCCCAACCAAGAGCTCATCGCAATAGGTGTCACGAACACGATCGGCACTCTCTTCCACGCTTATCCCGCGACAGGATCATTCTCCCGTTCTGCTCTGAAGTCGAAGTCAGGCGTGCGGACTCCTTTGGGCGGTGTTGTCACTGCGATGGTTGTCCTTGTTGCTCTCTATGGCCTTACCTCAGCATTTTACTGGATCCCTAATGCTGGGCTTTCAGCAGTCATTATCCACGCGGTCGCTGATCTTGTCGCGTCACCTACCCAAGTATATTCTTACTGGCGCGTCTCCCCCCTCGAGTTTATCATTTGGTTGGCTGCAGTTCTGGTCACCGTCTTCTCATCGATTGAGAACGGTATCTATACCTCCATCGCAGCGTCATTCGCCCTCCTTCTGGTTCGCGTCGCACACCCTAGAGGATATTTCCTCGGGAAGGTTACCCTTAGACGTGACTCAACGGAATCACGAGAAGTCTTTGTTCCGTTGCGCAAGGACGGCGTAACGAACCAATATGTCAAAGTTGACCCTCTCGTTCCGGGTGTGATCCTGTACCGCTTCGAAGAAAGCTACCTATACCCCAACTGCTCTCTCATCAACTCCGCCATCGTCGATTATGTAAAGGAGAATATGAGACGTGGGATTGACTTCGGCGCGATCCATTTGGCTGATCGCCCCTGGAATGATCCCGGACCAACTCGTGGTAACTCCGAAGCTGCGGAGGCAGCCAACAACGAAAGACCTGTCCTTCATGCCGTTGTGCTAGACTTCTCTGGAGTGTAAGTGCTCTGACTCCAGTCTCCTTTGCGAGTCACTTCATTTACTTCTCATTCCTAGATCTCATATTGACACCACGGCTATCCAAGCTCTCATAGATACACGGAACGAAGTCCAGAGATGGGCAAACCATCCTGTAGAGGTCAGTCATGATGTCGATCCCCGCTACGCTGTCTAGTTAATGCAACACTACAGTTCCATTTTGCCACCATCCTCTCCCCCTGGATTCGGCGTGCTCTCGTAGCCGCGGGTTTCGGCATCGGTACCCCAGCAGTCGAGCTGTCAAGAGAAATCGCACCTGTTGTACCCTACCGTGGCGGTCGCCGTGAAAAATGGTGGGATGACGCCGCCAGCTCAGGCTTGGAAGATATGGAGGCCCACAGCGAGTCTCCTCCTCCTACATCGGAAGCGGTGCCTATCGTCCCTATTGAAACTCCCTTCTTCCATTTCGACCTCACTAGTGCTGTCCGCGCCGCGGAGGCTGGTGTAGAGAAACCTGCCGACAGAGCTGATACTCCACCGATGAAATCTATTTAAAGCGGTTTAATTTGAGGTTGAGTAGTCTAAGATCTATGTAACAACTTCACGGAAGTGTACTAAGATGTACTATAAACTGTGCCTATATTAGGACCTTGTGGTCTGGATGTTGTACATACCATCATATCGATGTCGCTCTCATCATTCTACTTCGCCCATATGTGGCCTCTTTACGCAGCCATGAAGTGCAAAATTTGAATAGAATTTGCTTCTTGTCATGTTCTGAGGGCAGGAACCCCGTTGCTACCTTTTATCGCTGAGATCTGAGACACAAAAACGTTGACATAAATGTTACATCTTAGGCATACACCAACACTGTGGAACATGTCACAACTGAGCACTGAGAGTTGTGTTTAAACGTGGAATATCGAAATGAACGAATCTACGCGACCATAGAGCCTTGCCAAAATCATCATGTCACTCACTCACCCGGTCATGCCTTCGAATACATCGTACGAATTCGATCCCCTAACACCGTGACTGAGGCGGATGTGACTCAATAAAGGGCAACTAAAAAAGGGCACCAAGCGAATTTAGTAGACCAGTAACTCGATCTTGCCTCTCCGTTTCTTCTCCATCTTGCCGATCATGAGATCATGAGCCGTATATATGCGACAGCCTTGTCTGGAGTCATCTTTCCGGGACGTATCTTCTGCCTCAGCCGACTAACTGCGACTTCGCCCCTGGTAGTACATACTTTGTCAATCCACTCGAGGTAAAAGCGATTCTCTAACGGCAGATTGGCGTCAACGGAGCGTGGACCGAAGTAAACGACCTTCAAATAGAGCGATATTATACTGTCATAGTGGTACGCGGATATCAGAGCTGCGTTCAGGAGTCAGCTTCTCAAGCACTTAGAGGTAACGATACACATTACCATCGATGCAAGGCACCAATCTGGGGAAGCGACAATGGAGTGTACTGTGTATGAAAGTGGTGGACTCAAATTCTTCTGGGCTGAGATTGAGTTTCCACTGGAAGCTGGCAGGCACAAGATAGAGGATGTCGCAGTCAAAGCCAGAGGGGGATCCCCCGTCCAACCAATCTCTTTATCAGGATTGACTCGATTCGGGAGATTTGCTTTTGGGAGATAGCCTTCAGGATCTTTTTCAAAGCAGCCCATTTGCAGGAGGTGATGGTGGGCATCCTCCAGCTCCGAATCAGCCACCGCGACGATGAAGTCCCAGACGACAAGGTCAGAGCCATAAACCCTTGCAGATAAGTCACCGACGATGCAGACATGATAGTCGTCATTCTAAAGCATACGAACGACTCGGATTTCCTCTGACTGGTGAGTCGTCGTTGACTGTAGGGAATATTAGCAAAACAAGTTGCGAAATGCTTAAGACGATGTTTGCGCCGTACGTGCGGCAGGGTCATTCTGACTCATTCAAATCAGAGAGCGACTGTCGACTGTCAAATCGCAAAAATTTGAACGCCTTTGTGATACCCCATTATTGCCTAGAGAACGTAGAGTACGTAGGTTATAGACACGGAACTATCACGATAGGCGGGGAAATACCGGAAGGTACCCGGAAATTACTTACCGTTGGAGTACTGCTCACTACATACCAACTTGGTCTCGACATACATTACGATTTGCTGAATGCTTCGCTCAAGGCTATCGACTGCCTTGCCGCGCGCATCATATACACGATCATTTTCCAGGAGTTCAACACCATTCTCAGGTCATAACAAAGTTAGGCTTGTTCTCTATTCTTACCCTTCAGACAGTCATATCCAACCTTCTAGTGGTCCAAAATCAAGCAGCGAAAAGGTGCAGAAGACGCGAAGAAGTCCATTTTGTACGGTAAAGTTGCTCGCGTAAGTCTTTCCCTTTGCATGTCGTCCTAATGAACGCGCTACACGTGTTTGCTAATAGGACATTCTTGCTGCTGCCAGGAGTATGTATATTTCGTGCACGTCCACTCCAGTAGCTTATGTCCCGCATTTAGATGGCGGGTCACCAATTCCTGAAGAAAACTCTATGCTAGCCACTGCCGTCCGACGCGCAAAAGACGCGGGTGTCCCGAAAGAGAACATCGAGAATGCGTTGGTCAAGGTGCGTATACAAGCTCATTAACCGCTGTTGAGACCCACCAAATTCTCTAGGCCTCCAAAAGCAAGAGCGACAATGGTCAAGCCGTAACTTACGAAGCCATGATGCATGGCGCTGTGGGCATCATCATGTGAGTTCCTACCAGAACTCTTCGATATCCATGTAGCCGAACGACTGGGAAGAGAATGTAGAACCAACAATGTCAACCGGACCCTCAGTAACGTGAGGGAAATGCTCAACCGTCATGGGTCCGTCCAGCCTTTATTTTTTGTGTTTTCACTTCAATATCACCACTCAGTGCTCGACAGGCCCCAGTCAAGTTCATGTTCCGTCAGCGAGGATACCTCAAAATAGCTCTCAACCCAAACGACATAGAAGACTTGTTCAACACAGCAGAGTCGACTCAGTGCGCCTTTGATTTCGATGAATGGGAAGATGACGCTAGTGGCAGTCGCGGAATAGAGGTCAGCCCCCATTTCTCTATTCCCGAGAACTGAACCCATCAAACCCTAGTTGGCATGCTCTCCTGACGAGCTGCTCAAGTTAGAAGATGGACTTCGTCAGTACATCCAGCAGAATGCCAATGCTGAAATACTAGTCAGGGAGGTTAGATGGGCCCCACTAGAAGAGCAAGGAAGTACAGACGATGAAAAGGACAGCGTCTCAAATCTCGTCGAAGCTTTAGAAGAAGACGAGGACGTCACTTGCGTGTCAACTTCCCTGGAATACAGCCCTCTGCTAGGAAATGCTTAATTTACCGTACATAGTCATACAACGGATAATATACTTGAACCATAGCACACAGAGACATCACACACACCATGCTAGCAAGAACGCTTTCCACTCAACACATCGGGATGAAGCTTCACCCACGTTGCACTACCACCATCTCCTCCACATTGCACAACACCGGCGTCCACGGCTTGAGCAAGATATTCTTCCGGACTTGACGTGCCAGCTTTAGAATATACCGCGGATCCAAGCACTAGGGCGACCGTTGAAAAAGAGGCCTTCACTATCCCATTCTTATGAACATTGGACAGGCAGGCGATGAGCGGCTGGAAGCAAAGCGGGATCGGCACCACTGGCAGAGAAGGTGGACTGTTGGACTTCGGTGTAGCTAACTTGGTGGTCCCCTGCGACGCGGTGCTCAATGGCGGCGTACTTGCTGTGAATGATGTTTTGGAGCAAGAAATGTTATCTTGTGGTGTAGGAGGATTGTTACTGTGGACAGTCGAAGGGGCGGATGACTTCGGTGCATCAATTTCCTGCCTGAACCAATTTGGATGCAGGGCTATCCATGCGGCACCGCCCCGAGTCTTCCCCCCACCAAGCTCGATAACAGAAGCTTTTTCCGCTAGCGAAAAATAATTCGCGAACTTAGTCACGCCCGCGCGCTTGAATACATCCTTTTTACACCGACCCAAGTCGGTAGAAATATCGGACCTGGGGGGTTTCATGTTCCCTTTCGACTTCTCCAGTAGAAGCTGATTGATCAGCGGAAGGAATTGTGGGGGTGTAAGGCGTCGAATCTTGTCTTCTATGGACTCGATAAGAGGTGCTCGACACCCTGAATATTCGTCTTTGTTGTCATCGATAACAGACATTGCTTGTTGTGAGCCGCTCCCAACGTTAGACATGGTAACGTTGAAATCGGAGATGACCGAAGCCGACGATGACGATGACGTCGGAGACATTGGAGTTACAGAAGGCTCAGTGGCAGGGGAAGAATTATTGATGGGTGGAGAGATTAAAATATAAGTATCGCTTGGGGTGTGGCACGATTCGGCAGAGTTCACTGTATGTGAGGGATCATCGACCTCAGTCAAAAGTGGACTGCCAATCAAGACATTTGGAACATCGTCGCCAAGCCCAAAGGCGTCCATAAGTGCTGCTTGGTCCGATGGAAGGACACAATCGTCCATAACGGCTGAGACAGAATCAGTGTTCGTTGATTTCGGTGTAGTGATGGTATCATTCCGTTTGTGCGGGTCTGCAGATGACAAGGGCACAACGGCAGGCACAACGTTCTGAGGCGCGCTGCCGTACGAGATGGAGGCGCATCCCGAGATGGTGCGGGTGTGTAACGGGGGGCCAAGGGGAGCGCTCCTCGCATCCACGTCGTACGGGACGGCAGGTAATGGAGAAGGTGGGAAATTTCCTAGGCCCATGGTATGGGGTACGCCAGGCCCGTTCGGGTTGCGCTCCAGTCGGGCAATTATGCTGGCGTAGGGATCGCGAGTCGCATCCTGAATCTCATCAGCTGTGCTAACACGATCGTCTGCAAGGCTTTCATCTGAAAGTGCATTATTCTTTTTGAGAGGGGAGTCTGGGCTTCGATCAATATTTGGAACAGTCTGCGTCGACTGTGTCACGTATCTAGCCCGTGACCCGAATCTAGGACGTATACTAGGTGCCTCAGGGATGATGCTAGCAGCTTTCTTCAGCGTGCGCGACAGCGTTGGCTGGGTGGCATCACCTGAGTCTGTGTTCCATTCAAACACTGGTGGCTGTAGTTCCTCTGTTACACTAACACGTCGCGTATGGGCAGGTGGTGTGGGGAGAGACGAGGAAAGGAGGGTAACGGCAGGATCTTCATTCGAATCTCGAATTTCCCGCGTCAGGCGCTCGAAAACATCCTCGTCAAGGTTGCGATAAGGTTGCCGCACTGGGGATGTATCAGTTTCTGTGCGCTTTCCAAGAATCGCAAAATTCCAGTCCACTACGACAGAGGCCTGAGACTCCAGACTCTGGGGAATGTTTGGCGCTGGGGGCACGATGAGGACGACGCTATACTGTCGAAGGCGGAGGGTTGAAATGGCATAAGCATAATCTCGGTCACCGGCTATCAGGATAATGGTTGCCGGTGACGGATTATCGACAGCATATGCAAGCATATCCACTGGCAAGCAAAGTTCACAGTGCATGGTACGGGCGCCTTAGTGAACACACACCGAGAATCATCTTGTCCACGACGTCTTTCCTGCCGTTGTGGGGGCAGTCGATCATGGACACTCCAGAGGACTGAAGGTCTGAGCGAAAACCGACAGACTTGGGGGACTGCGAGGATATGTCGAGGTAAGCTTTGAACGACGTTACGTTTCCAAAGACATGCGCAATTCGTCGGATGCCATTTACAATGGCATGTCCTTGTGAATTCAAGGGAGGACTACAGTTTTCTGGCAGAAAATGTAGTACCACATAAGCTGTCAGAAGCGGTAACGCAGACACCCACCATAGTCCCAGAACACAGCGACCTTTCTATGGTTGGACATGAAGCGCTCATTAAGGAGGGGGATAAGACTACTACTAAGATGCCTCGTGGAGTATGGACGAGGCAACTCGAGCCTCGAGGTGGGTGCCGTTAAGCGGCCTGCGGCATTCTAATTCGGGGCGGCCGCATTAAATTTACTACTTAGTGGAGCTGCACTCGTCTCACTCGGCGTACGTTGGCAGCGCTCAGAAGTGCACAGTAAATGAAATGCAACTTGAAAAAGCCGTTCGACATACACGCATTTCGCGGAGTACTCACTTTCTTCTACTACGTCGCTGACTTGAAAGTAAAGTCCGACCAGCAGTGGCAGCATGAAGGCGACGACGCAGTCACATTATAATATGTACTTCCGAGTCTAACCTAAATATCTCCCGCGGGCGTCGAGTCATTCCATTGATACAAAATAGTACAATTCACCCACAGCGACAACGTCCAGGTCTTCTCGGGTCTCTCTAGTTAGAATCGCAAGTTTTATTTGTCGGACTAGTCACTAATTTTGAAGGATTGAGCACAATAGTAGCGCCTGGGATCAGTCTCCAGCTATACAGACTTTGTTGACCATAAAGTTTTGTTGCGTCGATGTGATGCGATAAATGATTCTTTCGGTGGTGTCAGTGTCTGAAATCTCGTCGAAGCTTTGGAAGAGGACGAGGAAAGGCTTCTTTGTCGAATTCCCTGGAATATAGCCCTCTGCTAGGAAACACTTAATTTACGGTACATAGTCTTACAACAGATAATATACTTGAACCATAGCACACGGATACAGCACACCAAGCTAGCAAGAACGCTTTCCATTCAACACATCAGGATGAAGCTTCACCCACACGTCACCACCACCATCTCCTCCACATTGCACAACACCATCATCCACGGCTTGAGCAAGATATTCATCCGGGCTTGACGTGCCAGCTTCGGAATATACCGCGCGTCCAAGTATTAGGGCAACCGCTGACCAGGGGGGTTTCGCTAGCCCATTGTTGTGGATATTGGACAGGCAGACGACGAGTGGCTGGAAGCAAAGTGAGATCGGCACTACTGCCAACAAAGGTGAGGCGTTGGACTTCGGTGTAGTTTCGGTGGTCCCCTGCGACGCGATGCTCAATGGAGGCGTACTTGCTATAAATGAAGTTTTGGTATAAGAAATGTCATCATGTGATGTAGGAGGATTGTTATTATAGACAATCGAAGGGGCGGATGACTTCGGTGCATCAATTTCCTGCCTGAAATTCGGGTGCAGGGCCATCCATGCGCCGCCGCCGCCAGTCTCCCCCCCACCAAGCTCGATAACAGAAGCTTTTGCCGCTAGCGAAGTATACTCCGCGAACCTAGTCACGCCCGCGTGCTTGTATACATCCTTGTTACACCGAACCAAGTCGCTAGCAATGTCGGACCTGGAGGGTTTCATGTTCCCTTTCGACTTCTCCAGCAGAAGCTGATTTATAAGCGGGATGAATTGTGGGGGTGTAAGGCGTCGAATCTTATCCTCCATGGACTCGATAGGAGGCACTTGACATCCTAAAGATTCGTCGTTGTTATCACTACTAAAAGACGTTACTTGTTGTGGGTCGATCCCAACGTTAGACATGCTAACGTTGGAATCGGAGATGATCGAAGTCGACGATGACGCCCGAGACATGGGAGTTACAGAAGGCTCAGTGGCAGGGGGAGAATCATTGACGGAAGAAGAGTTCAAAATATAAGTATCGCTTGGAGTGTGGCACGATTCAGCAGAGTTTGCTGTGCGCGAGGGATGATCGGCTCCGGTCAAAAGTGGACTGCCAATCGAGACATTTGGAACATCGTCGCCAAGTCCAAAGGCATCCATAAGTGCTGCTTGGTCCGATGGAAGGATACAATCGTCCATAACGGCTGAGACAGAACCGGTGTTCGTTGATTTCGGTGCAGTGATAGTATCATTCCATTTGTGCGGGTCTGCAGATGACAAGGGCACAACGGCAGGCACAACGTTCTGAGGCGCGCTGCCGTACGAGATGGTGCGGGCGTGTAACGAAGGGTCAAGGGGAGCGCTCTTCGCATCCACGTCGTACGGGACGATAGGTAATGGAGAAGGTGGGAAATTTCCTAGGCCCGTGGTATGAGGTACGCCAGGCCCGTTCGGGTTGCGCTCCAGTCGGGCAATTATGCTGGCGTAGGGATCGCGAGTCGCATCCTGAATCTCATCAGCTGTGCTAACACGATCGTCTGCGAGACTTTCATCTGAAAGTGCATTATTCTTTTTGAGAGGGGAGTCTGGACTTCGATCGACATTTGGAACAGTCTGCGTCGACTGTGTCACGTATCTAGCCCGTGACCCGAATCTGGGACGTATACCAGGTGTCTCAGGGATGATGCTAGCGGCTTTCTTCGGTGCGCGCGACAATTTTGGCTGGGTGACATTATCTGAGTCTGTGTTCCATTCAAACACTGGTGGCTGTAGTTCCTCTGTTACACTAACACGTCGCGTATGGGCAGGTGGTGTGGGGAGAGACGAGGAAAGGAGGGTAACGGCAGGATCTTCATTCGAATCTCGAATTTCCCGCGACAGGCGCTCGAAAACATCCTCGTCAAGGTTGCGATAAGGTTGCCGCACTGGGGATGTATCAGTTTCTGTGCGCTTTCCAAGAATCGCAAAATTCCAGTCCACTACGACAGAGGCCTGAGACTCCAGACTCTGGGGAATATTTGGCGCTGGAGGCACGATGAGGACGACGCTATACTGTCGAAGGCGGAGGGTTGAAATGGCATAAGCATAATCTCGGTCACCGGCTATCAGGATAATGGTTGCCGGTGACGGATTATCGACGGCATATGCAAGCATATCCACTGGCAAGCAAAGTTCACAGTGCATGGTACGGGCGCCTTAGTGAACACACACCGAGAATCATTTTGTCCACAACGTCTTTCTTGCCGTTGTGGGGGCAGTCGATCATGGACACCCCGGAAGACTGAAGGTCTGAGCGAAAACTGACAGACTTGGGGGACTGCGAGGATATGTCGAGGTATGCTTTGAATGACGTTACGTTTCCAAAGACATGCGCAATTCGTCGGATGCCATTTACAATGGCATGTCCTTGTGAATTTAAGGGAGGACTACAATTTTCTGATGAATAATATACCTCACGAGGGTGCAGAAGCGGCTACGTAAAAACTCACCGTAATCCCAGAAAACAGCGACCTTTCTATGGTTGGACATGAAACTCTCATTGAGGAGGAGGAAATAAGACTAGTAAGGTACCAAGTCGTGGACTCCCGCGAGCAACCCACCCTTGACCGAACCACTTTCCATTTCGGGGAGTTACTTAGCGACGTAGCGCCCTAGTCTCCAGTTATATAGATTTTGTTGCGCCGATGTAATTCGAGAGATAATTCATTCAGTTTACGATGGACTCTGCTTACTAGTGCCTCAAAACTTTGGAAGAGAACGTTGTGTTAGAGTCCGAGCGATCAGAGAGATCAGAGACGAAGAAAACCGAACGATCCGAGATAGTAGAAGAGAGAGAGTGATAAGTCCGAGCCCAAGCCAAAACGGACATTGACGAGCGACGCACTGACTTCGGCTCGTGCCCTGCAATATGTTACTTTTTCGTTCTGATATATTTACGTTTCTACACAACTTACTATATAACCGCTAGCAGTAGCACGAGCGCATCTCAGCTTCTTCCAAGAGACTGAGATGTGAGTTAATAGTATCGTCGTATCGATTAGAAAGAAAACTGACGAGTCGTTAGCATACTTGTTTCATTAGGTACGTAGCTCGTTACACGAGCTTCTTCCAAAAGACTGAGATCATACTTGTTTCATTAGCGTCCCACTCGTTATTACTCACCACACGTTGCTCCTATCTCGACTTCCGATGAATACAGCCCTCTACTCAATTTATGATACATACTACTAATACAACAGATAATACAAGTTGAACAGTAATATACAGAGACATCGAACAAAGCTAGCAAGAACGCTTTCCACTCAGCACATCTATATGAAGCCTCACCCACGCATTACCACTGGTCCCTCCACATTCCACAACACCATGGTCTACCGCTTGAGCAAGATACTCTTTCAGACTGGACGTGCCAGCTTGAGAATATACCGCGGGTCCAAGCACTAGGCCAACTACTGAACGGAGGGGATGCATTATCCCATCCTTCTGAACTTTCATCAGGCAGGTAACGAGCGGCTGGAAGCAAAGTGGGATCGGTACGGCTGTCATAAAAGGTTGAGCGTCTGGGTTTAGTGTGGGAGGTCTCGGCGACGCGGTGCTCGATGATGGCATAGGTGAAGATGGAGTTGGAGTCTTGGTATAAGGAGTAGTTGCCCTGTGGTGTAGGAGAGTTGTTACGATGGACAGTCGAAGGGGTGGATGATGACTCAGGTGCATGTGGCTCGACGTCCTGTCTCAACAAATTCGGATGGAGCGCCATCCATGCGGCGCCCTCCCTCCCACCAAGCTCGATGAGAGAAGCTTGTTCTGCTAGCGCGGTGTATTGCGCGAACTTGGTCACGCCGGCGCGCTTGTATATATCCTTGTCGAACCGAAGCAAGTCAACAGCAATTACGGACCTTGCTGGCGTCGTAATCCCGTTCGACCTCGCCTGCAAAAGCAGATTGATCATCGGCAAGAAATGTAGGGGTGTCAGGCCTCGGATCTTGTCCTCAACGAACTCGACAAGAGACGCTTGACACCCTGAAGGACTGTCTTGGTTATCACCGATAACAGACCTTGGTTGTTGTGAGTCGATCTCAACTTGAACGTCAGACGAGGTAACGTTGGAATCGGAAACAGGTCAAAGTCAGCGACGACGACATCTGAGACATAGGAGTTACGGAAGGTTGAGTGGTGGAGAGAGTGCCATTGGCAGAAGGAGAGTCCGTAGTGCAAGTACGCCAACCAATATTGGAGCACGATTCAGCAGAGTTCACAGCATACGCGCACGATCGATTGTCGACCTCAATTGGAGGTGGACTGGTTGAGCTATCTGCAACCTCCTCGTCGCTGTTGTGGTCTTTATCTTCGTCTTCGTCATCAAATTGAAAGGCATTCCTAAGCGCTGCTTGGTCCGATGGAAGGACATAATCGTCCATAATGGCTGAGACAAAGTCGGTGTTCGCTGACTGCGGTGTAGTAACGTCATCATTCCGTCTGCGTGAGGCTGCAGGCGACGAGGGCACTGCAGGAGGCATGACTCTCTGGGGTGTCTCGCCGTACGAGATGGGCGTGCATCCAGAGATGGTGCGGGTGTGTGACGCAGAGGCGAGGCGAGGGTTCTTCAGACCCAATTTGTACGGGACGGCAGGCACTGGAGATGGTGGAAAGTTCCCGAAGCTTATGGTAGGGGGTAAGTCTGACCCGTCCGGGTTGCGTTCCAATCGGGCAATTGTGCTAGCAAATGGATCGTGAGTCGCATCCTGATTCTCATTAGCTGTGCTAACGAAATTGTCTGCGAGACTTTCATTTGAAAGTTTATCGTTCTCTTTGAGAGGGGAGGCTGAGCCTTGATCGATGTCTGGGACAGTCTGCGTCGCGGATCTAGTCCGCGACGCCACAGACCCGAACCTAGGACGTTCAGACATCTCAGGGATTGAGCTAGCAACCTTCTTCGGCGTGCACGTCAAGGCAGGCAGAGTTGCATCACCTGAAGTTGCTGTATTCGGTCCAAACACCGATGGCTGCAACAGCTCTTCTGCACTAATGCGTCGCATATGGGCAGATGTTGCGGGAGGAACCGAAGAAATGAGGGTCACAGCAGGATCCTCATTGAATTCCCGGATTTCGCGCGACAGCCGCTCGACGATATCCTCATCGAGGTTGCGATAGGGTTGCCGCACGGGTGACGTATCGGTTTCTGTGCGCTTTCCAAGTATAGCAAAGTTCCAATCCACCACGACAGAGGCTTGAGACTCCAGACTCTGGGGAATATTTGGCGCTGGAGGCACGATGAGGACGACGTTGTACTGTCGAAGGCGGAGGGTTGAAACAGCATAAGCATAATCCCGGTCACCGGCTATCAGGATGATGGTTGCCGGTGACGGATTATCGACAGCATATGCAAGCATATCCACTGGCAAACAAAGTTCACAGTGCATGGTACGAGCGCCTTAGTGAACACACACCGAGAATCATTTTGTCCACGACGTCTTTCTTGCCGTTATGGGGGCAGTCAATCATGGACACTCCAGAGGACTGAAGGTCTGAGCGAAAACCGACAGACTTGGGTGACTGCGAGGATATGTCGAGGTATGCTTTGAACGACGTTACATATCCAAAGACATGCGCAATTCGTCGGATGCCATTTACAATGGCATGTCCTTGTGAATTCAAGGGAGGACTACAGTTTTCTGATGCAGGATATAGCCCATGAGGGTGCCGAAGTGGCTACGTAGAAACTCACCATAGTCCCAGAAAACAGCGACCTTTCTATGGTTCATTGGTGGGGAGATAAGACTGGTAAGGTGCCTGCAGGTCCTGAATTCACGCGAGTGCCACACTGCCGTTAAGCGGACCGCTTTCCACTAGTATTTCGGGGCGTGTAGCGCTCGCTGCTGCTGCACTCATGTCACTCGAGCTGCAAGTGCAACTTCTGTTCTACATATGTCCACGGTGGCATCTCGCGAAATACTTTCTTCTACGACGTCGCCGACTTAAAAGCAAAGTCATAGAGTTTAATAGTTTTATATATATAAGTCTATAATGATGTTGTGCCATAGTCTCGGCTCGACCTCTACCTAATGCAACCGGAGGGAAAGGGGCTCTTTGCCTCTTCGAATTACTCGCCCTCGTCGTCCCGTTAAGTACGTCTCGTTTTTCAGTAGTAGCTACAGTTTGGCTACAGTAGTCTTGTTCTCGTCGTCTCGTTATAAAGCTGTACTAATATTTTTCGAGCACCCTGTTCTATTCCTCCCTTCCTTCTGCTCGCAGCATTCACTCACATGTAAGTACGGTTTCGGAACCACTCCGGATGTACTTTTACTCTCTTTGTTTCAAGTTTCATTAGATCCTCCAGCGCTCGCGCCCTGGCAGGGAGGACCAAACGCAGTCCTACGAAGTTCTAGGCCCAGCCCAAATGTCTTCCGCGGATATCAAGTCATTCCATCGCACTCGTTGGAATCGGAAGTTTCATGTGTCCAGTTTATAGGCTCGTGACCAGCCTGGCGTATACTACCACGGACTAGTCGAGTGGCGTGGCAGGGCGAAGCGAGGAGTTTGAAATTTGCCACATGCCGGTCGGGCCGGACGTACTTATGATCATATGCGTCGAAGACTCTCGAAGTACTTGTTGCTCTCGTTCAGACTGATATATACTATGTGACCATGAGTAAGCTCTTAACATCTCAAAGACGTAATCCAGACTGATTACGGGTCTAGTGTCCAGTCACTAATTATGAAGGATTGAGTGCAAGCAAGCTGCCACTGGCGCCAATGGGTAGCTCCCGACCCTGGTCTCTAGTTATACTGCCTTCGGCAGACTTTGCTGCAGTGCTGGCAATAACAATATTAGTGTACCGCACTCACCGAAAACACAGAGTCGTTGACACACTACACAAGTACACATATCGTTGCCGAGATTTTATTGTCTCCAATAACCAAATTGGGTAATGAAGCGCAGGTGCCGCACGTTGCCGAAACCTTCGTGCTCGCTGTCAACAACAGCGAGCTCAAAATTTCCATCGTTCCAGCACATTTTTTCGTGTTTTTTTTTCTCGTTGTATCATGTAATATATTATCAAATAATAATATTTTCGCTGTGTGAGACCTCTGAAAGCTTGTACAGGCACACAGCATGTGGAGAAAGGGCAGTTGGCCCAAAAAGTGAAGTATTGATTATAGAAGGTTACTGTAGCAAGGCTGTAGAGGAAGCACTCATGCTCTGGGGCCCCTGGGTCATGAGATGGGTGTATACTTCCCCTATAGCATTCATACGTTCATGTACACTAATTTTCAGCTTTCTGAGGTCTCATATAGCGGAAATATTATTATTTGATGATATACTATATGGTACAGTGAAAAAAACTATGAAAATATGTGCTGGAACGATGGCATATTAAGCTCGCTGTTGTTCACAGCGAGCGCGAAGGTTTCGGCAACGTGTGGCATCTGCGCTTCGTTACCCAATTTGGTTATCATAGCTGGTCCAAAAGAAACTTGATACGTCTCGGCAACGGGGACCAGTGTGCGTGCGACTCTTTGGCGACTGTTTTTTTTTGTGTTTGTATGGCATATTGTGCAGAATGGTTGAACGAATCCAGCACCATACGGAATCACTTGATTCACACTACGTATACATACTAGTAATACAACAGATAATGAGTTGAACCGTAACACATAGAGACATCAAACAAAGCTAGCAATAACGCTTTCCACTCAGCACATCCATATGAAGCCTCACCCACGCATTACCACCGGCCCATCCACATTCCACAACACCATGGTCTACCGCTTGAGCAAGATACTCCCTCAGATTGGACGTGCCAGCTTGAGAATATACCGCGGGTCCAAGCACTAGGCCAACCGTTGAAGGAAGGGGATGCATTATCCCATCACTGTGAACTTTCATCAGGCAGGTAACGAGTGGCTGGAAGCAAAGCGGGATCGGTACGGCTGTCATAAAAGGTTGAGCGTCTGGGTTTAGTGTGGGTGGTCTCGGCGACGCGGTGCTCGATGATGGCATAGGTGAAGATGGAGTTGGAGTCTTGGTATAAGGAGTGTTGTCCTGTGGTGTAGGAGAGTTGTTACGATGGACAGTCGAAGGGGTGGATGATGACTCAGGTGCACCCGACTCGACGTCCTGTCTCAACAAATTTGGATGGAGCGCCATCCATGGGGAGCCCTCACTCCTACCAAGCTCGATGAGAGAAGCTTGTTCTGCTAGCGCGGTGTATTGCGCGAACTTGGTCACGCCGGCGCGCTGGTATACCTCCTTGTCGAGCCGAAGCAAGTCAACAGCGATGACGGACCTTGATGGCGTCATAATCCCGTTCGACCTCGCCTGCAAAAGCAGATTGATCATCGGCAGGAATTGTAAGGGTGTCAGGCGTCGGACCTTATCCTCGACGGACTCGATAAGAGGCGGTTGACACCCTGAAGAATTGTCTTTGTTATCACTGATAACAGAAGTTGCTTGTTGGGAGCCGATCTCAACGTCAGACGAGGTAACGTTGGAATCGGAGTCACTCAAAGTCAGCGAAGATGGTGTTGACGGAGACGATGCCGACGATGATATCGGAGACGTAGGAGTTACAGAAGGCTGAGTGGTAGGGAAAGTGCCATTGGCAGAAGGAGAGTTCGCAATGCCAGCACGCCAGCCATTATCGGAGAACGATTCGGCAGAGACCACAACATACGCGTGCGAGTCATCATCGACCTCGGTCGGAGGTGGACTGGTTGAGCTATCTGCAACCTCTTCGTCGCTGTTGTCGTCTTCATTATCACCAGCATCATCATCATCATCATCATCATCATCATCATCTTCGTCTTCATCTCGGTCTTCATCATCAAGTCCAAAGGCATTCCTAAGCGCTGCTTCGTCTGATGGAAGGACATAATCGTCCATAATGGCTGAGACAGAGCCGGTGTTCGTTGACTGCGGTGCAGTAACGTCATCATTCCATCTGCGTGAGGGTGCAGGCGACGAGGGCACTGCAGGAGGCACGACTCTCTGGGGTGTCTCGCCGTACGAGATGGGCGTGCATCCAGAGATGGTGCGGGTGTGCGACGCAGAGGCGAGGCGAGGGCTCTTCAGACCCAATTTGTACGGGACGGCAGGCACTGGAGATGGTGGAAAGTTCCCGAAGCTTATGGCAGGGGATAAGTCAGGCCCGTTCGAGTTGCGTTCGAGTTGGGCAACTGTGCTAGCGAATGGATCGTGAGTCGCATTCTGGATCTCATTAGCTGTGCTAACGAAATTGTCTGCGGAACTTTCATCTGAAAGTTTATCGTTCTCTTTAAAAGGGGAGGCTAAGCCTTGGCCGATGTCTGGGATAGTCTGCGTCGACTGTGTTGCGGATCTAGTCCGCGACGCCACAGAACCGAACCTAGGACGTGCAGGCATCTGAGGGATTGTGCCAGCAACCTTCTTCGGCGTGCACGTCGAGGCAGGCTGAGCAGCACCACCTGAAGCTGTGCCTGTATTCCGTTCTGACACCGATGGCTGCAACAGCTCTTCTGCACTGACGCGCTGCGTATGGGCAGATGTTGCGGGAGGAGCCGAAGAAAGGAGGGTCACAGCAGGATCCTCATTCAATTCCCGGATTTCGCGTGACAGCCGCTCGACGATATCCTCGTCGAGGTTGCGATAGGGTTGCCGCACGGGTGACGTATCGGTTTCTGTGCGCTTTCCAAGTATAGCAAAGTTCCAATCCACCACGACAGAGGCTTGAGACTCCAGACACTGGGGAATATTGGGCGCTGGAGGCACGATGAGAACGATGGTATACTGTCGAAGGCGGAGGGTTGATACAGCATAAGCATAATCCCGGTCACCGGCTATCAGGATGATGGTTGCCGGTGACGGATTATCGACGGCAAATGTAAGCATATCCACTGGCAAACAAAGTTCATAGTGCACGCTACGGACGCCTTACGGAATACACACCGAGAATCATCTTGTCCACGACGTCTTTCTTGCCGTTGTGGGGACAGTCAATCATGGACACCCCAGAGGACTGAAGGTCCGAGCGAAACCCGACAGACTTGGGAGACTGCAAGGATACCGAGGATATGTCGAGGTATGCTTTGAACGACGTTACGTTTCCAAAGACATGCGCAATTCGTCGGATGCCATTTACAATGGCATGTCCTTGTGAATTTAACGGAGGACTACAATTTTCTGGCAGAGGATGTACCCCATGAGCTGTCAGAAGCGTTAAAGTGGAAACCCACCATAGTCCCAAAACACTGCGACCTTTCTATGGTTGGACATGAAACTCTCATTGGGGAGGGGGGATAAGTGGGGTATTTCGTGTGGACAGGAGCCCAATTTGTATGAACCAAATGTGACGTTAAGCGGACCGCTTTCCAATTCGGAGCTTAGCGTTGCACAGCTTCGCGTTTGCACACGCAGTGCGCATTGTGTCACTGCACTGTCGTCAGAAGGAGTAAACGTTACCTCAATGCTGCAAATGCACGCTTGAAAAGCTGTTCTACACGCACCTCAAGAGTGTTGACTGCGGCGCTGACTTGAAAATGGAGGAAACTAAAGTCCGCCCAGCACGGAGCGATGCCCGCTTACTTACGAGAAAGAAACCCCATTTCTATTATCTGCCTAAATATGTTCCGCGGGCGTTAAGTCATTCAATACAAAATGGTCCAGTAACCCACACCCGTGTGAGTGCCAGCCTGTAGGTCTTCTCGATTCTCGCTCGCTAGAATGCCCCCAATAACTCAGCGAGTAAATTCCCCTCAGCAAGAGCGAGAAAATGAACGGGAGGTGCATGCGCATTGTGATTGCCGTCTCATGATGTTGAATGGCTAAGCCAAGCATTGCTGGAACTCGCGTGGTACATGCATGAACGTTCATGAACTTTCGGGCGTGGGGAACAACGAATAGAAGCAGGATGACTATTTGGCGAGGTGGTATTAATATATCGGCGATCTAGGTGATTACCGTGGGCAGGCTAGGTTGTGAAATACACTCGTCGAGAGAGCACTTACTGGCGTCCGCATGTATCGAAACATAAGCAGCCTGACGTTTAGTGTCGTATCGCCTGTTGCTCTACAACACCCTATGAGTTTTACAGCACACACATTGTGGGTGTGAATCTGTGCATAGGAGGTGATGGGTCGCGTTTGACACTCTGAAAAATGACCATATTTGTCACAACTGATAACGGGTTTTGCTTGGTAAGGACCGACCTCGACATTGTACAAGGTGGTATTGGAATCGGAGACGGTCGTGAAAAGAAGTCAGTGCTGGTCGAAAGATTTGCAACCTCACCGTTGCTGTCGTCTTCGTCAAGTCCAAAAGTGCTGCTGGGGCTAAAATCGATATGATAACAGTGATTTCGGTGCATTAAGACATCAGCACTTACTACAATCGCGATATACCATTAAAAGAAGGAGCAACTATCTTCATTCTTTCAAGGCCCAGATACTAACATGCCATGATGCTAAGTCCTCTTCAAGAAGTTTTTACTTGGCATGTCATCCAACTCGGCTGAAGGTGAACTTCGCGATCACGTGCACAGACGCGTAGTGTAGAATTCCCACGGGTAGTTTGTTGACTGAGTTCTTTAACTCTGTTCATTACCACAACCGAGGCTCAGCGCTCAACGACCCCAACGACGAGCTCACTCTCGAGCACAACGCTCACGACGGCGACGACGCCATATTATCCAAGCGCTCATGATGAGCGCACAAAGACATTCCACAGTGTCCCCCCAACCACTGGATCGCCTTCTTTCGTCTGATCCTGTTCAATCATCTATCGTTCGCAATTCCGCCATGGGTTGGAGCAAATCTTCGTCACCAATAACTAGCACTGGAACAACGCCCCTTAGAATTTCAAAGCGGGATAGTTCTAAACCAAATTTTCCTCTTGTTGCTCGTCGATCTTCCTCCAGTTACAGACATCTCAGAAACAATAATCTTGTCTCCAAATCTCCTTTCAAGTCTCAAATCCCAACACCATCCAAACCTTCTACGTCTTCCCAAAGTAGCGTCGCTTTCCCAAGACCAACGCCGCGCAGAGTCAGTGGCGAGAAACGCCCCCGTCCCGACTCTATGCATGACCAAGCTGAGAACGAGCGTCCATTTGCCCTCAAGCGAGAGCGCCGCCAGTCCAAAGTGTACCAGGGACTCATAGAGAAAGAGCCTGTAACCAAGAGCCCTTTCAAACGTCATGTCGCCGATGAAGAGATACCACCACCCCCAGTACCCCCCAAGTCCACCCCTATCCCTATCCCACCAATTCCTGAGCCGTCTCCAGCTAGAAATGCGAATCCTCCTAGAGCAATCACTCCCACTCGTTCCTCGCTCGTCACCAAACGCCTCCATGGTCCTCGAACTGCTGACCATCCTTCCCTCGAACGCAAGCGCCAGAGACGAAAAACTGTCACCTGGGATGAGCGTTGTGATGTCCTCGAGTTTGACCGCGAAGAAGGCGAAGGCGATCCCTTCTATTCTGACGAAGATGACTATGGCACCCCTGATCCTGATCACCGCGAACACGCAGCCGCAATATTCGGCTCACTTCCCTCTGAGATATTAGAGTTAGTAGACCCCCCTCTGAGCTTTCCCTCACCCGTCAGTCCACCAACCATCTGCCCGGATGGTGACGTCTTTGAGTTGGACCGCGAAGAAGGCCAAGATGATACCTTCTATTCCGATGAAGATGACTATGGCAATCCTGATCACAGCGGTCAGACAGCCGCAATATTCGACTCACTTCCTTCTGAGCTCTCGCAGTTCGTAGGCTCCCCTCAAAACCTCCCTTCACCTATCGCTCCACCAGCCGTCCACCCGGAGTCGCCTGCTCCGCGCCAAAGCTCCCCGTTCTGCGAGTCTGCGAGCTCGCCTAATCTTTCCATTGATGAAAGTGCAGGGCGCGCCCCAAGGACACGCATCAGCTCCCCGTTCTGCGAGTCCGCGAGCTCGCCTAGTCTTTCCCTTGATGGTGATGGTAGCGCAGGGCGCGCCCCAAGGACACGCATCAGTAGAGAGGATATCCAGACGCGCCTCATGCGGAAGCGCAGTGCAGATAGTCCTCTGGCGTTGCGCAGCACGTCTCAGCAGGACGCTGACGCACGACTTCCCCAACAAACCGAGTGCCATGACTCTCCCCAGGTGGGCAACGTCATTGCCAATGTAGAGATTGAAGAAGACGAAGAACAGGAGAAACACGAGGAGTCAATGTCGATGATGATGGATATCAGCACCGAGCTTGCAAATATTCGAGCTGCAGAGCGACAGTCGCCGAATCCCGACGTTGTACGGTCGAGGAGCCCCACCCAACTTCTTTCTCGACCACCTACGAGCATTCGTTCATCTCTTGATACAAGTTTTGATCTCACCAACAGCTTTGATCTCGGTGGTGACTCTATGAGTTCCGTGCAGCTCGGCGAGACGCACTCCACCCTCGACGACGACATGCAGACGCGCCTCGCGCGCCACCCCATTGCGGACAGTCCTCTGGTGTCGGGCGGTACGGCTGAGCAAGACACCGATACCCAGCCTCGACAAACCGCGTCCCGCGACTCTCTCCAGGTGGAAATCATCATCGCTGATGCAGAGACTGAAGAAGATCCAGAGCGAGAGAAACGCGTCGAGTCGATGTCGATGATGACGGATATCAGCGCGGAGCTTGCGACCATCCAAACTGCAGAGAAATGCACGTTCAACTCTGCGGCTGTTGCAGTAAGTCAGCAGGGGTCCCCGAATCTTGACGCTTCAAGGAGCTCCATCCCTCCCCATCTTGCTCCACCGCCTACGAACATGGGTTTGTCTCTTGATGCGAGTTTCGACCTTGGTCTTGGCACAGGTCTCGGCGACTCGGTGAACTCCGTCCAGTTCAGCGAGATGCGCTCCGCCCTTGATAGACTCATGGATGACGTCAAGGGCACGGCGAGTGCCAGCTCAAGCCCGAGAAGGCTCACGCACATGCGCGTCGAGTCCGTCACAGAAGGCACCAGAGCAGGGCAATTCGACGACAGCTTCGGTGCGGGTGACGAGTCCATGCGCACGGAGACGGACTTTGATACATCGATGTCCATGGACAACCATGTCGTGCGGCCGCGGGCGGCACCGTTGCAGCGCGCGGCGACGGACTCGATAGTATATACTGCACCGGCATTCAGCAGCCCCGTGCTGGCAGAGGAGCGGCCTGATTCGCCATCGAAACATGCCATACGTGATAGAGAGGAGCTTATACTCGAGAAGCGCCGTGCGGCGCGAAGACGAGACGACGATGAGTCGCTAGGGTATTATACCCCGCCCCGTGCAGCGCCCGCTGGCAGACCTTCACGTCGGCGGAGTCGGAGTACTGGTGACGCTGGGGCCCTGACAAAAAGCGATATGCTCCTCGATCTCGGTATCTCTGACAGTGAAGGCGACCTTCTGGCTGACAGCATCTCCAAGGAGTTGAAGAAACTTGATCCTGAGCATAGGAAAGGGGTGAGCGCATTAATTTCCTGACCCAGGTTGAGGTGCTCACATTTGAGCAGAAATACCGCATCCGGGAGCATGAGGCGATTTTTGCTTCGGCAGATGCTGAGCAGGTCTCTCATATGTCACTTGCTGGTGATGTGAACGGTGGCAAGGCATGGAAGGCCGTCCGACGGCCATCGGACATGGTAAATTGATTATTTTTTCTCCCCTACAAATTTTTCTGATATTTCATGTTCTAGAATGAATATTCCAAGCAAATCAAGGAATACAGGTCGATGGAAAAGCCTGGGAAAGCGCACGGCAAGGTGTTTGTCAGGGGTCAGTAAAATTCTATGCTTCAGGGATTTATAGCTCATGAGATCATTGGTTTGCAGTCCTTGGTGTTCGCGGCTTGAAAGTGCCCATGCCCCAGCAAGCTACAGCTCTCACATGTACCTTGAACAACGGAATACATTTTGTCACTACTCCAGAAATCCGTCTATCCAAAGATCCGCGCATCGACCAAGAGTTTGAGCTGTAAGTTCGTCGTCATTAATTTTAATAGTCGTGCTAATCCGGCGACAGGATTGAACACAGCAAGCTGGAGTTCACGCTTACCCTCAAAGTCCGTCGTGATGCACACATCAACGCCCAATCTCAAGCTCTTGTGCCACCACCTGCGCCTCCTGTGCAACCCACGATATCCGCACCCAAGTCTAGGGGTGGCATGCTCAGCTTCTTCTCATCATCACCTAAAAAACAACCTCGTGCGACACCCCCTCCACCTACCCCTCCTTTTAAACTCCCAGATAATCTCGCGCGGTACCTAAAACAAGATGGAACCCTCGCACGTGCATTAATTTCCTTCAAAGATGTAGCTGCGAGATGTGATACTCGACTATTCGAGACTAGTTACCCACTAATTGGACAGCGCATTGAAGCTTCAGGGGGTCCAACTACTATGGAGTTGGGAGAGATCGTGTTACAGATGTTTAGACTTCCACCTCTACCTGGCGTTCTGAGCAATCAGCTTCCGCAGAGTCTTGAAGAATGCCATCGAGGTCTAAGACATGTCGCCTGGCATAAAGTCACGTACTTTGAGGGTACGCTGACGCAGAATGGAGGAGATTGCATGGCAAGCGAATTTTTCTTCAATTTGTAAATAGTCACTTAATTTCACTGCAGACATGGCGGCGTCGACGACTTCGGGTGATCGGCGCGAACCTTGTTGCATTTAACGATGTCACCAAGAAGGCAACAGCTACCATCAACCTCAAGAAAGCCATTGCGGTCGAAGATAACCAAGATACACGTACGAGCGCTGTCAGTCCAGGAGCTCGGTCCGTAGATGATTATGACGGGATGTTCGCGGTTGAGCGTTCCTTCCGTCTCATATTTCCCGGAAATCAGGAAATATTTTTCTTTGCGGACACGGATGACGAGAAGGCGAAGTGGTATGTCTAAACTTGTTTACGCACGCAATCTGACTCATATCTCCTGTCAGGCTTGATGTATTCCGTGCGCTCGTCGGTCACATCCCGCCGAATCCCTTATGGGCAGAATTAATATGGCAACGACAGCAAGAGATGGCGAACCAAGCCCCTACGCAGATGTCTTCTCCGAAGCCATTGAAAAGCCCCCGATAGTATTTCCATTGTATTTTGGCATCTTTCGTCTTGCCTTCGTTCTCGCTCTCGTCGCGATCTAGTCTTGTGTTTTCTTTTTCTCCTTTTCTTGCGATCTCGTTTGTTCTGTATTATGCTACAATAACATCGTAGTCTCAGTCGCATTCGCATGCATATGCTTTCTATGTAACAGTAATTTATGCACATAAAGTACAGACGTCGACACATTAGTCTTACAGCTTGGACTTCTCTGACTCGCGAACGCTGTCAATTATTCATACGTACTAGTGACACCTAGTGACACTGGGGATTAACAGACGGCACACGCGTGAGCGTCGATGGTTAAAAGGATAATGATGGCAGGGTCGACGACGAATGGAAGCGTGTACCCCAGTAAACGAAGTTCGTAGTACATGATGCCTGAGAATTCACGATGTCTTTCCTGCCGCAGTTAGGGACAGTAAATCATCGAGACCTCAGAGAACTGGAGCTTAGAGAAAAACCAGATAGACTTGACGTTCGCGATATCCAAAGATATGTGCAATTCGCCGGACCCATTTACGATGGTATGTCCTTGCACATTCAAGAGGGACTACAGTTTTCTGGTGAACGAATAAGGAACATTCCCCGTTCACCGCGAGCAAGTAAAACGCCGTGCCACGCCGTAGGATCACATTGACCAAACATTTCCGGAACTTGCGCGACGAACTGTTGGGCATGGGGAACTACAGATCATAGAAGCAGTAAAACTATTTCGAGTTTCTGCCCAGTCTAGCGAGGTGGTAATTTATCGAAGATCTAGGTTGTTTGCCGCGGACAGGCTGCAAATTATGACGGTGAATACGTTTTACACGCCTGTTCCAGAGAGCACTTACTGCCGTTCGCATGCATTGAAACAAAGTCTCAGCCGCAGCTTGACATTGATTGCTTGCTAACATGTCGCCTGTTGCTGCCCAACACCCTAGCATATTTGAAAGCTCCACAGCACACACGCTCGGGGGGTAGATCTGCACATGACATTGGTTAATTGGCCTGCGCCGGGAGGATGATGCGACGCACTTTTGCGAGGTCTAACTTTGACTTTGGCGATATGCACCGTCATTATGCCGTACTTTTTACCAACAATGCTCAACCCACACTACACACCAGAATCAACGTCTAGGTTTAGGCGGAAGCAGAATAAGGCAGGGTTTGGAGAGCAGACTAAAGTAACTGTCAGTACTGCAAAACACCTGAAAATTCAATGCACGTGACCTCAGTACTAATAGGTTAATGCCAATAGCCAAAGCGTCTGAATTCCGACACGTCCACACCTTGGGTGATATCCACGACCCACCAACTTGAAGCGACAGCTTACTTGACCACTGGCATAGTCGTAAACTGCAAGTCTACACATTATTCTTGCTACAGCTGAAGCGTCAAGGCGATGCCTGCGCTCAACAAGAACAATTCCGGTGTGCTACACTATTCTACTTACCTATGACTGTAGGTTTGACTGGTTTCCATAAAGCTGTAAAGCGGATAATGCAAGAGGCGAGGGAACTTGCAAATGATCCCTGCACCGATTACCATGCAGTTCCTCTTGAGGTGCGCGCTCCTTACGCGCGCTCCCGTTATCTCCACTGACACATATGCATCTGCAACCATAGAATGATATTTTTGTATGTAACATCTCTCGGTAGCGTATTGGAATATCGAATGATACATTGCAGGAATGGCATTGCACGCTTCGTGGCCCCGCTGGTACAGAATTCGAAGGTGGTCTGTACCATTTCCGAATAGTACTTCCAGCAGAATACCCCTTCCGACCACCTTCTCTAATGATGCTCACACCAAACGGGCGGTTCGAATTGAATACCAAGGTAAGCCCTTTGCCTATATAATACTAGAGTTACATTAAGGTTACCCTCCATCAGATATGCATCAGCTTTACAAATTGTGGGTTATCCCCTGTCGCGTCATTGAGCTATTAACTAACCTTTGACACCCCAGACCACGAAGAGGAATGGCAGCCTGCATGGGGTGTTCGCACAGGTATTTTTTTACATTTTGAGTCAGCGTCGTTTCCCCTTACGTTTTGCATAAGCTATCATCGGACTCCAAGGATTCTTCCCTCTGAAGGGTCAGGCGGCTGCCGGTGTTGGTTCCGTCGAATATCCCGTCTCGGAACGCAAGCGTCTGGCCCAACTGTAAGCATAGGCCTAGATTACACCAGTGCGATCTAACGTCACTCATTCAGGTCACGGGAGTGGGTCTGTCCACAATGTAGCCAGTCAAATCTTACTCATCTCCCGGACCCCGAGGAGGGACCATCGAAGCATGAAAACGTGTCATTGCCGCCGCCTACCATCACCCCAGACGTCAGAGTTGTTCAACAGAGCGTGATACCCACTCCTATTCCTCGGTCCGACAGGATCGAAGAAGTGACACAACATCGCATACGTGGAACTGCGCAATTTATGCGTCGTAATCCGCACCGGCCTCCCCTAATACTTGATACCGCTATCTGCGTGCTCCTGGTGTTAGTTTTAGCGTTACTCTGCCGTCGGGTTTTGTGATGAGGCATGACACAACTAGCATTTGATATTTGATATTCGGGACTCTGTAAGTATATAGTTTAACCGCTCCTATACGCTCTAGATGGTTTCTTGACACACCTCGGATAAATAACTGGGGTTGAATCGACCAGCAGTCGGTGAATCATAAATTGGTCATTGACCCTGCTGCGGGGATTCCCTGGGGAAGTGAGCGTTAGTTTTCTATATTGTGCGGCTTGGAGGCGTTGCGCCCGGAAGTTGCCTGGTCGGAGGGTCATTAACTTTATCTAGTACCAGATCTTGCTTTATTTAGTTATTAATACTATATTTGGTTTACCTCCGACGTCACTTACGTGATAAGTATGATATATTTATGAAATGAACTGGACCAGACTGCACCAGCCAAACGAGTTTCAGACCCCCTGCCTTTAAACTTCAAGTCGTCATCTAGCACGTTCTCTTCCAAGTCGTCTCTTGACTTGCTGCAGGTCGCTGTCGTCAAGAATGCCAGAAGGTCCCTCTCGAAACACCCGCAAAGGGAGATCCGTATCACTTCATATCCCAAAGCAGTGCGATCCCACGCCAGTACCCCCTTCCCTCGCCGATTCACCACATCTGTCGTCACCGTTTAGCGTATTTCGTCGAAAATCAACCCTCCTGAAGTCACCTTCTAGGGAGGATGACGAATGGCTAAGAGACATGGTACCATTGGGAAGGGAGAATATAAAACGTAGCGGGTCGTCGGCAGTCACTTCAGCGCAGACATCACAAGATAGTACGCCTCCCTCGTCTTCGGAGCAGAGCCGTGCCACATTATCACCGAGATCTTCCATGTATCCGAGTCGTTCATGGTCGTCTCCTTCAACACCAACCGTTATTCCTGTTGACTTGCAGTCCTCTGACTTGCAATTGCCGGACGCGCGGGACACTCGGGTGTGAGTTCAGCGTCATCGCGGGTTGTTTATTTGGGTTTTATGTTTATCTGGATATTATCTGGGGTATATTTGTCCAAGCGCTTGTCTTTCCATCACTACATCGTTCACGCATTAGATCACTGGTCAACTGTAACCTATTTCATCTTGGTTTAGTTTATTCACTTGTACTGTGTTGTATTATATAGCGATTATCACGGCTCACATCACGTCTTCATAGAATTATTCATGCTATGTTACCAAAATAAATGTACAAGGATTGGCAAGGGATCACTTCTTTTTAGCAGCAGTGATACTAAGCACGACAAGATCGTCATCCTCCAAGTTATGGCTCGCGATAGTACTCGTATTCGTCAGCATCTTACCCGCATACGATATTCGAACTTTCGAAAGAGGAAGATTGCTGCCCAGGACTTGATTTATACGATCACGGAGCGTCGAAACCAACAGAGTGAGAGGAAGATCTGACACCGTGACTGTCTGTCCATCAAGCTTCCACTCGGGCTTGGACGGATCGTTGGGAAGTTGCACAGAGAGAGATATAGTGTATGGATGCATTCCAATCCAGTCTGCCTCGGGATACAGGGCTCCACCAGGAAGTTTCGCGATTTTTTGTCGCTTGATAGCAGGCTGCTCTTCTAATCCTTCCATTTCATCTGCGCTGCGCACCATACCCGCGTGTGGCGGTGTTCCCGTACCACCAGCCATCATACCAGCCATGCGAGAAGGATGCATGCCAGCAGCAGGGGGCTGGTAACCGAACGGTTGCGCAGAGTCGAGGCCTTGATAGTGAAGGGGTGGGAGCATAACTGGTGGAGCCTGAGGGGGATATGCGGATGCTGGTTGTGGGCCAGATGACACAGTAGCGGAAGAGTAGGAAGCAGACCCTGATGATTGCACAGGAGGGGCAGGTAATGAAGCATGAGGAGGAGGAAGACCCGTCATTGCGGGTGGAGGTGCCGACACAGGGCCAATTCCAGGGCCAATTGCATTGGCGTCCTGGGGTCCAAGACCCTTTGCACGATGGATGGCAGCAATTTGTTCGTCGAAGTTGACGTTGGTCGAATACTTGTCCATCGTGGAAACCTTCGTCGCAGTGTGACCATCCCAAACAACCTTCTCCCTCTCTTTTCGGCGTTCCCTCTCTTCCTCTTCCTCTTTCTTACGCCTCTCCTCATCAGCCTCAGCACCGAAAATATCTACACGTGTACGGGCCAAGTTCTTGAGTGATGAAACTACGTTCGCACCACGCAGAAGTTCGGATGCTTGGGCTTTTCGAGCTTCGAGATTATCACGGTGAGACTTCCACTTGGGATCTAGCAGCTCAATACGCATGTGCTCATCAAGTTCGTCGACAGGAATCTGCTGTCCACAAATTGTGCACGTCGTGAGAGTAGCTCCCTTCTTGGCACCAACTGTAATATTCAAGGGTAAGTTAATAGTCAGAAGGAATGACACTGATAACATACGTTTTGGAACATAATCTGTCCTGATCTTCATGGGTCCTGAGATACTGGCACTTGCTTGCATCGCGCGGGCGCGCTCAAGTTCCCTCAGTCTCTCCTCGTCTTCACTCTTCTTCCTCTGTTGCGCTTCATCGTCCTCGTCATCACTCTGCTCCATTGCGGCATCCTCATCTTCAACAGCCCCAATCCCAGCGCCGCTGACAGCTGCAGCTGCTTCGGCCTCTGCTGCGGCCATTCTAGCCTTGTGAGCTTCTATCTCATCCGCAGTATTTTCCATGATCATAGCGGCCATTCTCTTTTGAGCAAGCGTCATGCTCTCCACTTCTTGCACGCTCATTGGCGGAGGTAGCTCTGAATTTGCATCAGCAACCGTGAAATCGATCGTCTGAACGATTGCATAATCATGCCAGTCAATCTCAGCAAATGCGCCTAAAGAAAACAATCATAAATGTTTGTCGAGACCAGGGGAAATGACGTACGTTTCTCTGCTTCCTGGTCATCCTGTCTCTTCTTATCCTTCTCCCTCTTCAAGCGTTCCCAACGGGCGTATTTTCTTGACTGCTCCAAGGTTGTCCCCTTCGCGCCCTCCTGCGCCCGGTTACTCAACTCCACTAACATCTCCTTACCTGGATACAAAATTTTGAGGTATTGCTCGACGAGGCGGTTGAAGCAACCAAAGAGAGAATGCGTGGGTCGCAGAAAGTCGAACTGATAGTTCCGTCCCTCGTTCTGCGAAAGTGTCGCCAAGAACGTCCGACCGCGACGGGCGGTGAAAAGGGCAGTCAGCTTCATGATATCTCTAGCATAATTCATTAGTGGCGTTCTTGTGAACATGGGAGGCGACGCACAAGTCAATATGGCTAACATTGGGCATATCCATAGCAAACTGCGACTGAGGTGGTTCAACGCCGAGATCTTCTGGAACTACTGGCATTTCTTCTACCCCGTCCGTCTTTTCCTTTTCTTGTGAAGTATCCTCCAGCTCCTCTCCCGCATCAATCTTCTCCATGCGATGCCTATAGTAAGCATGATAAGGATCCGCGGGGTTGAGGAACGAGAACTTTGGATCCTGACGCTGGTTTTCGCGAATTTTATCCTCAAACTGAGGTGGGTTCGCAGAGCGAGCGACGAATAATGCTGTTCTGTCGATAACAGCTACAAAGAGGCAAATTTCAGAGCACGAAGACTATATGATGGAAGGACCTTACATTTGATTTCTGGGGGTGGCAAGATGAGTCCACTGGTAAACCTGAATGAAGGATCCCGGGTGCCATTTGTCATTTCGACATCGCCAGTAAAGGCGTGTCCGTTCATGACAGGCATTGTTTGCGTTTCTACTGCCATGGTTGTTGTCGACGTGGGCGACGTTGATGAGAAGCCTTGACCCGCTCGTTCGTTCACCAAGTCTTATCGGAGCTTTAAATCATGGGCTCGGCAGACGTCGGCAATAACTCAAGTTGCTTCCAGTTAACTGACTGACTTGCACACAAAATGTTTGCTTTCCGACCTACGTCGGTAAATCTGGGCGGTCTACTCTGGCAAGTCTTGTAGCACATCCAGCAGCGTTTTCTTACCATCCGTTGTTCAGGAAAACACCATGGAAGCTGTCAATCACGCGAAAAGCCAATGCGCGTGCTCGTCTGAAGAAAGTCGACGCAGTCATTGAAACAGTCAGAGCAAGTGGAATACAGTGCGGCGCATTGGTGAGCCAGTCGCCTTGTTCTCCCCATGTGTTATATGACTTAAATGTATTTTCAGGAAAAGGCACTGCAGCTGCCCAAAGAGCACGAGATGGATCCCAAAGATAAATATACGGTATTCAGTGCGACTTCACGAGGCTATCGCAAAGGCATTCACAAAGTACCCAAGTGGACCAGAGTGAGTTCGTCCCTGTTGCCTGCGCGCGTTGTATATTGAAACATTGCACTTGCTAGCTTACACTAAGAGTCAACCCGAAGGGCTTTTAAACGATGTGCTCCCTCTCATTATACATATAGATTGTGTTATCGTACTTTTAACAAACTTAATTCCCTCATGATTGTGGGATCCACTACAAAAGCACCAGTTGGATTTTCCCCTCTTGAATACCCTTGAGTACCTTCGGCGCCCCAAGGACAGTTCTGAATACTTCGTCCCGAGTCTCTGGGATATCAAGCAAGCTTCTTTTCTTCGTATCTTGATATGATACATCCAAGATAATGTGTGTGAGCTGAGCTACCGAGAGGGCGTCTGAGAAAGTTTCAGACATATTGTTTTCCAAGGTAGTATTTAGCTCACCAGTTTCACATAGTAGTTTCCCGATTCTTCCAGGAGTGCCAACAGCAGAACCAATTTTTGACCTCTTGAGATAAGAAACGTGCTCTTCCAGCTTAAAGTGCCTTGCAAACAACTTTGCTACATCTGCACCTTTCTCACGACGCAGTCTCTTATCCCTGAGAACTCTGGTCGCATCAGCAACTCGGAGTGCGGCTCCGGCAATGAACAGCAAGGTGGGAGCTCCATTAACTTTAGACCTTTGCGATAGCCGAGTGTGCAGCGCCGGAAGAACTACACACATCAATACAGGTTTGCAGGATGTAAGATTGGAAAACGTACCTTCGATAATGAATTCAACCAGATGGTCTAATGATCTCGATCCCGTCCATAGCGTCGTGTCCGCTATCGATGATTCTGTCTGGTTGTTAAAATGAGATCATCCTCCGAAGACTAATGCAGTTGAGCTCACCGGGAATCATGACGTCCCCGAGTTCTATCCCAGACATTGCAGGGAAAGCTTTGGCTTGCATAGATGACAAATAGTCTGCAAGATTGTGAGCAGGTTGCGCTGCCACTGAAAGAGGCTCGATAACCTCGACTGTTTCTGCCAATTTCCTCTTCTGCGAAAGATAATGTGTCGGTGAAGGACCGACGAGCCGATAAATCATACGAACCTTGGCCTTGCGCTCCTTTTCCTTTTCTCTCCGCTTGCGTTTCTTTTCTGTCGCTGATTTCTCTTTGATAGTAGCCTCCGCTTCCTCGACATCTTCATCCGCACTGAGAAGACCACTTATATCATCGCCTGGACCATTATCTTCCTCGTCAGAAGTAGCGACGAGCTCATCTGGCACGAAGTCATCGTCCAAGTCATCGCCTCGCTGACCATTCATGCTGCTTGTGAGAGGAAGCTTGCAAGAGGTAGCGGTGAGAACAATGACGAAAACAAGCTTGAGAATTAGCCAATAACCTAAGAAATATTTCTGCTTCCGCGATCTCTGCGATGTTGTCGGAAGGTGCCGAAGCAGGCCTGCTCAATAATTCCTTTACTTGCATACATGACCTCACAGCACGCAATAATACCACAAGCGTCTATTGCCTAGGCGCCTAAAGACTAAAGCCATGCAGCTCGCAAGCCCTAACCTCGACGTTCTGTCGTCCTTTATGACCTTCCTCCCATCCCTAATTCAACTTCTGACCACCTACTGGAAACTTATTCTCGCTTCGTTTGTTATCTGGTCTGTAATAGTCTTTTTACGCCGCGGAAAACAGTCAAAAGAGTATTCTTCACTACTTGCACCACCTGTCGGGAGTTCTCCCTCCCACCAAGCGTCTCTAAACGGTTCAGACGGAATCCCTCCGATGTATCATCGTTCGTATTCTCAAATATCTGACCGACCGACTTCAACAAAGTTATCTTCGCAAGATCAAGAAGATCTCAACGTGACAATCAGTCAGAAACAAGATGCTCGTGTGAAGCAACCTTACGAGGCCTTCCTTGTTTTAGACGTTGAGGCTACCTGCCAAGAGGGGGCCGGTTTTGAGTGGCCTAATGAAATCATAGTTCGTCTTATCCACTATTAGCATGGAGTCTATGTTACACAGGTTCCTGACCATGTGACGCCAACATAGGAGTGGCCCGTCTGTCTCATGCGGTGGAAGGATAAATCGAACCTAGGAAAAGCTTGTCAGCTGGAAATTGTAGATGAGTTTCGCAGCTTTGTCAAGCCCACATGGAGACCTCAACTGTCGCAGTTCTGCACGGAGTTAACGGGAATCACCCAAGTACGTGTCATGTTTCTGCTTTGATGATTTCGCGTCATGATATTGAAAATTAGGCTCAAGTCAACTCGGCCCCAAACTTCCAGAAGGTTCTGAAGATGTTTGCCCGTTTTCTGGCTCGTCATGGCTTGATCGATCCCAAGAGCGGGAGACCTATACAACGCTTCTGCTGGTGCAGCGACGGACCATTTGATGTAAGGGATTTCGTCGTGAAGCAGTGTTTTATATCAAAAGTCAGTAATCTACGAGCCACGTAAAATAAATACATCATCATGCATCTGATTATTACTTGTCAGGCGCCTATGCCACCGTGGCTCAAAGGGGATGTTCTCGATGTCAGAAGGGTTGTCTCTGTTTGGGCAGTTGCCTCCGGCAATCCAGAAACCATGGCTAAGGTAACTTTTTTTTTGCAATTCTGTCGCCGTGAACTCGCGCAGTACTCACATTCATGATACTCTCATCAGCTCGCAGCACGTTCTCATCTTCGATCATTGAACATACCACAGCAACTGGAAGCCCTCGGGTTACCGGCATTTCAAGGCCGCCTGCACAGCGGTATCGACGTCAGTACTCATCGTCCTCCTGGAACTGCGCCTTGCTGATATTCTTGGTCGTTTTCACACTGTCATTTCTTCCAACAGGACACACGCAACATAGCACGCGTGATGACTGAGCTCGCTCGTCGTGGAGTTCGTTTGGAACCTAACACATCCATCAATACAAACCGTCGTTGGAATTGGATGGGAAAACCTGGGGAGGTTCTTGAGCACACCCTAATGTTCTAATGATGTAATGCGATTGCTCCAGGAATATGCTGTTACCACCGAATAATTAATGATTTATGGCACCAATAAGACAGAATAAGACTTGGAATACATGGCTACGCGAGTCGCAACAGCGAACATGCTATAAAAATGAGAGGGCAGTGACGTAAAAGTTATATAAAGATGTTTCCGTTTATAAATATGAGAGGCGTCCATTCGACGAGCGAACTCTATTGGTGCTCCTTCTGTTTGGCCAAGCCGTATGCGCCAGCAAGCACCACTTGCGGTCACAGTTGGAAAAAAGGAACCTTGATGCGCCGGCTAACTTGGTTCTCGAAAATTCATAGTTGAAAGATTTCCTGGAGGTACAGAGGATACACAGGGATGAGAAACAGACGTGGATGGTCTGGCGCTCGACACGTCCCACGCCCAATGCAAGAGAACTTGTCGGAAGAATTACTGACAAAGCATATGCTCTTCAGCTCCATTAGCAATAACATTCTAGAGGATCACTCACGAAGTCCCAAAGAGTACCGAATGCAGGAATACCGGCTTCCTTGCAACCTTGCTGGATCTCTGAGTTACCAATGTAGTTGGAAGTGATGAAGACGACCTCTGCCTGCCAGGAGTCGTATACCTCCTTCAAGATCTTCATGGTGGGCGGACGGCCACCACGTGTCTTGGAGTCCCAGAGGAGTAGACGCTCCGGACCAACGTGCCTGTGAATGAGGCCACTAATGGTCGGGCCGAATGTCTTCTCTTGATCGGAGCCTAGCCGACACGTCAGTTATATGATGGGATTCCTGCGTTTCAAATTGTCTTACCGATCCAAATTAAGTACCTGTTAACGTGATCAGCTAGAGTATAACGTGCGAGGGTAAAGGCACTCACCAGTAGGGAGATTGGATGCAAGTAGAAAGGGCAGCACCAAGACCTGTTCCGGTGCAGATACGAATACCACGTTTGTAAAGCGTTGATGTATTGGAGACACCAGCGAACTGAAAAAGTGATCAGCAATCTGATCGGAAAAATAACCTTTGAGCTGTAGTACCTTCAGCTCACGAGTCCAGATCCTTCTCGGTGGGTCGTTGACCAGACTCTTGGTGAAATCACCTTGCACACCACAAATGAGGTAATGATATTTGGCATGGGTACCCTCACTGTGAGGAGTTAGTAGGATCGCGTAGCGACATCACTGAACACCTACGAGATGATACCGAAAGCGTGATATTCTTTGACAGCACTGCGACTGATACGAGCGAGGAGACCCTGTTGCATACCACGTTCGAAGCGGAGAACAGCGACCTTTGGAGAGGGCAGCTCGATGTCGACCTTGGCGTGTCTCGTGCATATCCAAGGCAGGACAATGCTGCAATCACGATGAATAACGCAATCGAAAAGGAACAAATTGCGGTACTTACAAGACGGACATTCCGAGATTGTACCAGAATGCCTGCTGTTGGACAACGTGTAAACCGATGCGGTCGAACGTTCCGTCCCCGATGTCGTAGGCATTGGTCACAATAGTGTGCACCCCTTCGAAAAAATTAGCAGTGTTTTCGTACATTAGAGATGGTTGAACTTGCAGGTCATAATCAAGGCAGTCCACCCGAAGAAACGGTGGTTGCGCTCGAATACACTAGGTGCCAAAGTCAGAAACGCTGTGACCAAAGAGTAGCCGAAAAACTATTTACTTGTGGTGTGTGTTGCGGACCCACGGAAGACCGGCACAGATTGTGATGAATAACATAACTGTGGTGACCGTACCGAAAGCGAGGATCGAATCATTCATGTACTTGGTCTTGTACTGACGCACGACCATAACGACGATCCAAGCCACACCGGAGATTGCACATCCGCTGTGAATACCACCAAGATGCTGCGAAGAACCATCAGCTCCTCGACTCATTATTTGGAGTTCAAACTAACCTGCAGAGTAGAGGTACACGCAAGACGGAACCATAGGGGAGTCCACTATGATAGAAAATACATCAATGTCGATTGGAAGTGCTAAAAACATGTATATCACGAACCTTAGCGAAGAACGTGTTGACGAACCAATACAGGCATCGTCCAAAGATCTCGTTACGCACGAGGACCGCTACGTTCAAGTTACCAACGACCAAAGCACCCGGATACGCTGCAGCGTATGGCCATTTTCCAGCGATCGTAAAGCCGATTCCAATCCAGTTCACTATAAAAATAACAGTGAAGAATCGCCTTGATGAAATAGAGGGGATGAATATTCGACTATGTGTGTTGTCGAAGAATCCCATACCTGTAACTATTGTACCAGATGACCCAGAGGACCCACAAGGGGGCCCTCTTCTTCGCCGGTTTTGGGGTTGGCGGTGGCTTCGCGACGTTTGAGGGGGTCACCGGTGCATCCTTTTTGAGAGACTGCACGGCGAACACATCGATGTCTGCTGCCTTTTTCTCACTCTTGGCGAGATCGGCAAGCTGAGGAGAGCGGACATCCAGCGTCCCTTTCTCTGCGTCATTATAAGCCAAGGCAGGTTTGGTAGACATTGTGCTCTGAAGCCGCGAAGGGAAACTACCTGCTGGGCGTAGGGAAAAGATGAAGTGCGAAGTTTTCGACATTCAATCCCAATGCCTTTTATCGTCTCGAGCATTGCGGGTCCTTTCCAGGGGTTTCCAAGAAGGCAACTTGTGAGAATGACCATCGAGAAAGTGGATCTCGGAATTAATACGTTGCCACAATTTGAAAAGTAGGAGGTTCGCACTGGTGCGTTCACAGCAAAGACTCCGGCTCCTGGGTGACCATCCGGCGTCCAGAGACACGAAGGGCGTGAACAGGATCACAGTGCTTCAATGATAAGATGACATCCAAATGGGTCCAATCACCTTTAATACAATTGGCTTATTATACCTGGCTAACCGGATGGAACAAGTGTCAAGGACAACCGATGATGGGCCCTGTCAACTGAGCGTCTTCGCCTACGCGGCTTCCTAGAAGCACTTGTTTGATGTGACGTGATAACTTCATCTCGGAGGATGCACTTCGAGGCACCCATTGTATGACTGTGTGCATTGCATAGCTCCGATAGTGGTCTGAAAAATTCCAGCAGTTTGCCCGGTGCCGGACAAAAACTGAAATAGTTATCGCAATCAAGAGAAGACTATTGAGATCGGATGAACTTACATATGTGCTATTGCTGATAGGCTTACATACATGCAAGGTCACGGAACGTGTATTCAAGCCAAGCTCAGCAGCAAGGTACTCTTGGGAAGACGGAAGCTTAAAGTGTCCGAAGCCCGGGCCGAAGATGAGAAAATTCTCCTGTACTGCTTGAGAACTAATGATGAGTCTACGTGGGATAGCCTCATAGATCTACAGCATTGCTCGTAACCTGTATAATGATAGTCAGTGAATGATCTTCTAATATTGTTTCCGTGTGACCAAAAAGGAAATCTTCATTCAGACAATCATTATCATTCCTCGAAGTTCAGTCATCGAACGTTCTCATTTAAACCAATACTACTCTCAGTGAAACAAGTAGCGTTAGGATCAGCTTTAAACGCCACTGTTAACAGTTAAACATGCCACTCGTCACGGCATGTTATCAGATAAAGGATCTAAAACAACAGTCTGCCAGATCTGGAAGACTGCTTTGGATCGGATCCTTCATCTGATATATAGCATGCACGCGTACCTACTAATTATCTGTGTGCCATCGTCAATCGAATGATCTACAGGCGAGTCCGCAACGTGGCACAACCTCGCGTAGAATTTCCGGAGAAATCAATTCTAATTTTATTTTTCGCAACACTTCATCAGTTCTCCACAAGCTTACCTGCAATCGAATACCACATAACCAAGATCCAAACCGCGTAGAAATATCGATACTTGATGGCAGCTGTCCGTAGGCTTGAAAAAAAAGGAATCGCTTGATTTCCCCGGGCATGCTAGTCTAGATTACACGCCAAGTGATGTGCCACTTCACCGAACCTCCCACTTTGGAAGTGTTCCAGCAGTCAGAGAGCAGCTGATGTTGGGTTGCAGAAGCGACGCGCGAATAACACAAACTTCTTGCATCCAATCTGGTACGTATGACCAGGCTATAACCAATTCCTCAAATACATCAAAAATACGACGGCCAGCCAGTACTAGTAACAGGGGTACTCCACATCAGTTCCCTTCCTCCACAAAATCTCTGAGGCGCCGCAGTTGCGCAGAAACTTCTTCTTTAAAGAGACCGATTTCATTGCTGTTCTTGGCAATAGCTCTGATAGTCTCATCTTTCACTCGTGAAACCTTCGCTATTTGCTCTCGATAGCTGGGAGAGGAGACGATAATGAAAATTTTGATTACTTGGAGCGGAGCAGGCGACTTACTCGAATTGCAATGCCTGAAGTCTTGATTTTACCCCCATTCCACTCGATAAAGCGGCCGTGCGCGCATGGGCAAGTTCTCTCTCCAGTCGGGCAGTTTCCGCATTGCTTACCATAGACTCTTGTTGAGCAGCCTATCACAACACGGTAGATGATCAAGAGGATAACTTAGTAGTGAGAAGATGCGACATACGTCTCGAAGGTCATCCGCCTGCTCATTCAGGCTCATCACCTTCTTCTCAATTTCTCGCACCTCCTCGTCGACGTTCTCGCATTCCAGAGTCATCTGATCAAGTTCGTGATCCACCTTGATGCGCTCGCTTTCAATGTCTGCTCGGTCCGTTCTCTTAATTTCGGCCACGCTGCTTAGTGTAGGTTTTATGACCTTGCGGATATCAGAACCTAGCAGTAGCTGCTGAGGATTCGCAGTGGCCGTGTTCAGCTCCAACCTGAGGTCGGTGTTCTCGAATGGGGGCGGGAGAGGGGGAAACAAACCCAGGCTAGATAGAAGATTGCCATAGAGATCTAGTGCCTCTTCTGCTGCAGCTCCACGGTTGGTTGTTATAACTTCCAGCGACATGACTGTCTTGTGCGCTTCAGAAATCTTGTATTTGAGGTCCTCCAGATTGCGTGCCAGTGTTTCATGATCAGTGTTCATGCGAATCACTTCTTCTGGTGTCAAGTTCTGAACTTTCACAACCTCGGTAAGTTTTTCATGCTCGGCCTTCAGTTGCTCCAAGTTTTGAGCTGAAACTTAGAGTTCAGGGTGATTCACCCGCTATGAGGTTGCAGGACGCACATCGAGCAGCGAGTTCCGCTTTCTCGCGAGCTACCGATTCAGTGAGCTGTCTCTTCCGTGACTCCAAGCGGTGCAAAACGTCGTCAAATTTGGCTCGGTCATCCAAGATGCACGCCCGAATTTTCTGGAGTTTTTCCAGAGGTGCCTAACGCATCAATTTTTAGCAGACATTCCTCGCCAAATGACCGTGCCTGCAGCCTACCTTAGATGACTGAAGTTCATCCAACTCCTTCGTTCCTCGTGCTAGTAGTCCTTTCTTCTCCTCTAAGTCGCCAACCACCCTCTCGTTCTTCTTTGCTTCAATCACATCGTCAAAGGGACGGGATTTCAGGAAGATAGAAGACGTACCATAGCTAGCTTCCAGTGCTTTGTCCTGTTCGTGGAATACATCTGCGCCGTGAAAAAAAGCAACATATGCTTCTGAAAAGTATTCGAATGCAAGCGCCTGATGATGAATAGGGTCGCTAAACTCTTCGGGAATTCTGTCAATAATTTGTAGTGTGGGGTCATCCTCGCTCTCCAAATAGTTCAGCCGGGCCTAGAGCAATTTTTTAATGTAGGGTTGATTATTATTAAAGTGTAAACAACCTTTCCCATCTCAACGAGCCAATGTAAGGCTGCTAGTAGAGCAGGCCATGAATGCATACTGCCTGGAGCAGCCAGCCACTTGTTGTCAATTTGTGAGGCAAACGGATATCGCAGAGCTTTGAGAGCGGGTTGAAATTCGTCTTCAAAGCGAAGGCGAGTATCAAACGGGTATCCAGGGTCCACAATAGCCACAAGGTGTTGAAACATAGCTCGGTAATCTTTGCCAGTAATGTTCGACAGTGTTTGCATAGAGATGTCAAATTCCGTCGCTTGCAGCCAGGAGTATATTTCTTGCTTCATTTTCGATTGATACGAGCGCTCTCGAATCGGTCGAGGGTCCTTGAATGTTTGACTGCTGGAAGGTGGAGCGAGAGACGCACCACCTGTCCATATTGAGCCCCTCCTAGAGGAACTGAGAGGAGGAAACAGTTCGAAAGGAAAGCTGGCGAAATCGGAGAAGACACTTACTTGGTTAAAGGTGTACGCCCATAATTTGGTTTACTCGTACTTTGCAGCAGTGGATTCACATTCTGTGACCGATGACTGGCATGTCCTGAATTTGAACCAGAACCAGCGCCCTGTGGCAGGTAGGGTGTGCGGGCTGCTGGCCCAGCGAGCGACATGCGCATAGCAGACGATGATGCTTTCTTTGCTGTTGATGGCATTGGTAGGCCTGACCGAGTGTTGCCATATATGTCAGTGGCAGGTTGCATGGTAGAGCGGCGAAGCGCTTCCGACATGATATTGTCAAGAAATGGTGGTTATAATATGATATGAATTTGATGTGCTCGACGCGTCGCGCGTCGCGGTCAAGAGTCAAGACAATGTTTATGCATGCACGTGATCACACCAAAGATAGGCGACCCCTTTTGATGATATTACATCTGATCTTATCTGCTACATACGTTCTCTATTCAATAGCTGCGTAAAATGTCCAGCCGCTATGCTCCAATGAATCTCTTTGGTGACAACGGATTGAGGGCTGATTTGCCTATAGGCTTGATTAACGTCGCGTATGGCCCACTCTTGAATATCCTATCCCCACTGACTGACCAACTTGCGATCTCAGAGACACGCAGGAAATTCCAAACTCCCAGGAAATATTCGTGTACCGTGACTCTGGTGCAAGCATTATCATTGACATCCTGCAGAAAGTCAATGTCGAAGATCCGGAAGCGGCCGCGAAGTTCGTGCTCTCTTATCATTACACATGTGCTACAAGAAGCTCTGATGCAGGATATCGCAGATTCCATCTAGATGCCATAGCAGAGGATAATAACGCAACGGAACATCATTATATCCTTGTGCAAAGACCCACTACCAGTGAACTTTCTCCCATCATGCTTGACGGACAGCAGGTTCTAAAGAAGGCGGGGTCAATTCACCACCTTCGCACCCTATTTGCTCTTTTCCGCGTGAAAGGAAAGAACCACGACGTCGTCGTCTCGTTCAACATTCCAGCTGAAACAGGGCAGGGGCCTGGAAAAAATGGAGCCGTCACAGCGGAACAGGATCAACTCATCGCATCGGATTTCTATAGAGCAGTAGATTCCTTGAGAATCGTCGATTACAACCTTTTTGCAGTCTAGAGTATTATTCCTACATAACGAGTATTTCAACCAACTTTCTCGGGACCGATCTCCAGATCTAGGCCAATACCTGGGGCTTGATCTCTCATGAGTTTTATGAATGTGTTCTCAAAAACTCAATGCCTATCATAGATATCGGTGGCTCAGATTGCATCCTTTTTTCGCGCACTCCTAATGGAGCACCTCGTGGAAAAATGTACACTATCAGGTAGTGTCAGAACTGCTTCCTCGTGTCCGTGCACTTTCAGGGGGCCGCCTTCCGCATGGATATAGTCGGGAAACGTCGATCTCACTTTCTGGGTTATTAGTCGTCTGATGAGAGAAGGCTTCTTTCCGCTGTGACAACTTAGCCCACAGTGAGAACAAAAACATGGGTTCGGCTGTGTCGTGTTCTGTCATGCTTCCACCAGGAGCATACGTCATGTATAAAGAACTCTCGCTTACTCGCGCTGTCAACGAGACATCGAAACACCAATCTGCCGGGAAGGTCATGGCCCATACGGAGAACTACAGGGTATATCGGACTAACGATACATCAGCGATCAGGTCAACAAATTTGCAAGAGACACGTGCGAGCAACTACGTCGGTAAACGTGCTGAGGCTTCATCCAACATTTGCTCGGCCTCAGGTTCCTCCACGATACGTTCACCCACACTTATCTTCACTGCCTCAGCAGCTTTGGATTCTTTTTTGCGCTTTGATGATTCTTTCAACTTTTCCCATCGCTCACGAAAGCGTGCGATCGTAATTTTCTGCGAGGGAAGTCAGTGGCAGAAAAAGGCGTCACACATGTCTTCGCAACGCACTTGTTTGTCGTTCTCTGTGCGAACAACTCGAACTTCTTCCTCCAACTCCCTTATGCGGCCAAGTAGCTGCGCCTCCCGATCACGTCCAACATTCAGTGCTGTCACAGGTGCGGGAACAGCTGGCAAATTAATATTCAAAGCGCTGAGGTCTACTACCGGTTGCTGCCCGGATTGCCTTGTCATTACCGTCGAGGCACCCATTGCTCGTTGTGCCTGATAGAAGGTAAGCAATAGTATTGGCAATTGAGTCAGTCTGATAGAAATCAGTGAAGGAGTGTAAAATTACCTGGTGCCGCGCCATCACAATGCTTTCGCGTAATTGGTGATCTTGTTCCTTGCGCAGCTGCATTATCCGTTCAGCAGCCGCCAAGCGCTTGGACATTGTTTCAAGGTCCTGCTTCAAAGAAGCGTTTTCTTTCTTCAAAACCGACCGGGACGGTTCCGAATCCGAGGGAATCATGTAAAAGGATTCTGATAGCTCATTGCCTTGCAGAACTCGTTTCGTAACGCCAAGTCCATTGACAATATACTAACTCACCTTCGTCCGCAAATACTTCCTCGTCCGTCTCCTCAAACAAGGTGTCCGCTTCTGAATGAGCAAGTCATAAAATAGCTATTGGTAATGCAGGTTCGGCAGCTGCTTACTCGATTTAAATTTACCATCTAATCCCAGCCGTGTCAAAAACTTAGATGTGTGGGGCTGTTCGATATCAGTGGCACTACTTGAGCTTCCGTCTCGCCGTGAGGTCTTCTTTCCCGATGGTGGTTCAGTACCCAGAGGGGCTGTGGCGAAAGCAACTGGCTGAGATAAATTGTCCAGCATGCCCTCCATGATTCTCCAAAAGTTATTAAAGGCATCACCCGGATCAGACTGTTTGTGCAATGTCGTAAAAGGTCATAGGGTAGAATAGATGTAACTTACCTGTTGCCCCAGGACCATGAACGATTCGTCAACGTTATTATGGGAGTCTAGCAATCTACTGGAACTACTGGCATGCAGTGGCGGAGAGGGCGCAGGAACGGGCGCGTGAGTGGTAACGTTTGAGCTGCCCCCGTTCTTGTGCGTATAAATCTGTGCATGCCTTGGCGAGGTCTTTTGCGGCAGTGTAGGGTCCTGGTTTTCTTCACGAAGCTTCGCAATTCTCCTCTGCAGTTCCTTTCCAGCTTTGATATGTTCGTTGTATAACATACGAAGCGTCGTTTTTGTCTAAGAGGTATGGCAAGTCACTAGGGGTACTAGGTATGACCCAAGGGCTCATGTACGCACATTCACGTCCTGTGACTTCTCTTCGCAAGCATGAAACGCTTCTGCAGCCTTCATATGTTCTTCTGAAGCTGGAATGAGCAACCCTTGGCTGCGATAATCCTCTGCATTTGCTGCATGTTGGTGCGCCTGTGCTAAGTATCAGTATTCGTGTGGCTCCACATCTGCACGATCATCTACCGTTTGTAGCGACAAGTCCATCTTTTCGTTCACTTGTTCACTCGTTGGATTAGGAGAAGAAATGAAGAGGATTAACTTACGAATTCGACCAAGTTGTAGGGCAACAGAATTTTACGCGGAACTAGATTGGCTCAAGTGACCTAATGAAGAGCTCTTTTTAGGTGAGGCGTGCTTGATCAGCGCGTGCCACCTCTTTGGTTTGCCTTGGTACGTCCGACTCTTGTAATTGACAACGTTGTAGAATGTCATTCTTCCTCTAGCAGTGGAACAAAGTCGGTCACACAATGTCCTTGGGAGGAGAAGCTTCCACTGAATCATAGAATCACAATCACCGGCCTAGTGACCATGGCAATGGCATCGTATGTATTGATTTTACAGCGGGTCGCCATTACTCTCACAGCTTATCGGACAGTAGCTCATTGCGTGAGATTCGGAACTTCGGAACCTTCAGGGAAGTCTCCTGTGGTGCTATGTTGGGCAACATGCGGCGCTCTGAATAGCCCACACTGTGACGTGAAATGCGCCAACGCTGGTCCTTGGCATCCAGTTCGCCGTTTCTTCAGCGCACTTTACATCCCGCACCTGCCAAAGAGTCACTCCCATACCATGATGGATGGTATAATCATCGAATGAAGGGGGCTCAACATGTCATCGCCGTGTATTTACATCGGCGCCCTACGTTCACAGGCCGTTTCGTGCCGACTGTGTTTCAGTTAGCCCGAATGAATCTTTCACCACCCGAGTTTTCTTCGCGTGTCCCCATTGACGGCGAATTTTAGACCATTGCGGCACGCAGATTGTATTCTCACTACTTGGAGCAATGTAGACTTCTGGCAATTTGTTGCTTCCGATTCGTTGGTCTTGGAAGTTCTAACACGACCTAAACCTTCTCTCGATCGATTTTAGCTCACGCTCATCTTTTGCCTTCTATGACCTATAGATGTGAGTATTCCACCAAGCATATGGTGCGTTCGACCAGTACTTGAAGGTCTAGAACTAAGAGGCACAATCCTTGGGATGTGGGTAACACTTATCGAATCGCAGATTACCCGATTTTTGAAGTGGAGGGTGGGCGCCGCTTACGAGTATGGTAGCCAACTGGGGGGACATAACCATCGGTGACCTCGAATTGCAATTCGGACTACCCTCTGCACCGACGGTCGTGTTTGAAATGGGCGTTGTTAATGTACAGCCAAGGCTAGTCAATAGCTCCCCTTAATCCATCACCTCTATCATTCAGCATGGTTTTGAATAGTCCTCTTCAAGAGAACGCATGGCTATTTCCTGAGACAGCGGTAAGCCTACAGTACACTGGTGTCCCTCGTTCTGACGTTTAACGTTGACCAGCCTCACCTGAGTGAGATTAGAAGGCAAAACTTAAGGGTCCAACTCGTGTACGAATATGAGAAACATAAAGTATGTTTTCAACATATGCATGGTAGGGATTTCGAATGATCCTTTTGCCCGAACAGGTGCAAGGAAACAGAAATAACTTGTTCCTGTCCGGAACCTCAAGAGAGTCGGGAAGTGACGTTTCGTTCTCAGAGCCAAGGACATCTGTGGAGCCGTCTTTTGGTGATGCAGCATTCTCAGCAACTAAGGTGACAAAACGTGTTCCCAGACGTACTACGAGTGTCATCTGATACATTTTAATAGGACGAATGCTCATCCATACCATCGCGGAGGACTATGTCACTTGCATCGCTCGCCCGATGGCCCAGGAGCTCTTTGGCCGACACAGTCGTGTGCATGCCCGATAATCCTTTCGCTGATGCCGCGCCTTCAGGGGACACACCTAGTTCTGCCACCCAACAAGATCCGATGCAAGATATCGTGAAGTACTCGCATGTTGTCACTGCAGAACATGAGCCCAAAGTTACTCGCGTGTCAGGTATTACCGGAACATGGCCAGAAAGAGCTGAGATAGTGGATCCAAGTCGAGGTTTTCCCGGGCCTGCTATTCCTCGCGGGACATTCTCACAGGCAAAATCTTTCTTTCTAAAGTCAAGCGCCAGTGGGGGTGATTTGCAAGTGAGCAGTATCCTGATGTAGCTGCAGCGTTCAGCTGACCTGAAAGCAGGGAATTATCTCGCGGCGGACACGAAGTCAAGATAACCCTATCATGGTGAAAGACAAGGTTTCAATAGATTACCTTAACGTCGACGTACCTCGTACACGTAACGACCCAAGCAGTCGGTAGCTCTTGTATTACATAGATCAAGCCTTCAACAGTAGACTACTACCTCCTGCTATTAGTACAATGTAAATTCGCACTGGAGGCGGATGGCAGATAATCTAAGTATATGGATATCATGATCGATGACATGAATTTTAGAAGCAGTGCAAAGGTCACGTTATGCGGAGGGGTTGCCGCATGGGCGGTGCGACAGTCGGTATCTGAAAATCGTTTGGTCTCCCCACATCTTTCTGACGTCGCCAACGCCCGACACAACGAGCTCATTGCTCATAACCTAGACCGCCGAAGAATAAAACCGCCTGAGGCTTTGATCCCTTCTCGGGCCCGCCTTTTAGCCTGATGTTGACGCCTGCGAATGCTCTGTGAGTCAGATATTCGAAATCTCAATATCAACCGTTCATTCTTATTCTGATTGTAGCAGGAAGAAGATAAGGGTTACAGGTAGGATTCTACAGTTACATTGTTATCGGAGGACCCTAATTTTGCATGGTTTGGACAGTCGTTGCCGCAGATGGGCTGTCTAAGCGTGATGTTTTCCGCCTACCCGACCCCTTTGCAGTCATCACCGTAGATGCAGAGCAGACTCACACCACCAGCGTCATTAAGAAGACTCTGAATCCTTACTGGAATGAGAGTTTTGATATGTAAGTTTGGTGCCGGTCGAGCGCAGTCGCACGTGCATGACTAAATATCCGTGCGCACAGCACCGTCAAAGACTCTTCGGTGGTAGCTGTGCAGATATTTGACCAGAGGAAGTTCAAGAGACGTGATCAAGGGTTTTTGGGCGTGGTCAACGTAAAAGTTAGCGATGTGCTTGATCTTGAGCTGGGGGGTCACGGTAAGTGCCTAAATCATCTTTACGCGCGCAGTCTGATTCATCTTATCCAATTTGGTAGAAATGCTGACTTTGGATCTAAAAAAGTCCAATGATAACCTCGTGGTTCATGGCAAGCTCATCATTTATTTGTCAACAAATATCAACCAGCCCATGAGCAACCCTGGACCCTCCCAAGTACAAGGAGTTACCTCTGCATTAGCTGACATGGGAATGAATGAATCGAGTCTCTCTTTGTCACATAATGCGACTCCAGCAACTGGTAATTCTCTATCTCGCCCACCCAGTTCACACGCCACTGCCACTGAGCCCGTCGCAGCACCGTTGATGCAGATGCCGACTCCTCACATACCATCTTCGGCGACCAGCCCTGAGACGGAACAGGCGTCTTCACAGTCTCCATCAGCTCGTCCTATAAGCTCAGGCGGTGGCCATGCTGCACTTGCTGCACCCCCATCCACAGCACCCTCTTTAGCTACTTCTCCCGGCCAATCGGCCAGCAACGCACAACAGAGAAATTTCAACCCTAATGTGGATCAATATGGAGCACTACCTCCCGGCTGGGAGCGTCGCATTGATCCACTTGGTCGAACATATTATGTTGACCACAATACCCGGACAACAACTTGGAACCGACCATCACCTAACCAAACTGTAAATCACAGCAACCAGGACAGCGAAACAAATGCCGCGAGAGACCAGCACTCCCGCCGCGTACTCGCCGATGACATGGTTGACGCTGCTAGCACAGGTGCTGCGGGTGCCAATGCATACCGCAACTCGTCGACATCGGCGCAACCCCCATCGACCTAGCCCCCCGCCGGCGGTCGTTGGTTCGGGTGGGAATACTACGACAGCTGGGTCTGGGAGTCTTCCAGCCGGCTGGGAGGAGAGGTACACCCCCGAAGGTCGACCCTATTATGTTGATCATAACACGCGCACTACCACCTGGGTCGATCCCCGGCGTCAGACCGTCATCCGCGTCATGGGCCCTAATGGACAGAACACATCCTTGCAGCCTCAGACCATATCACAGCTGGGTCCCTTACCCTCTGGCTGGGAGATGCGTCTCACTTCCACTGCACGTGTTTATTTCGTGGACCACAACACGAAGACGACCACATGGGACGATCCCCGCATGCCATCCACTCTTGATGCCAACGTCCCGCAGTATAAGCGTGACTTTAGGAGGAAGCTTATTTACTTCCGAAGTCAGCCTGCTATGCGTGCCCAGCCAGGCAACTGCCAGATCAAAGTGCGGCGGAACCATATCTTCGAGGATAGTTATGCAGAGATCATGAGGCAGACGCCGAATGATTTGAAGAAACGTCTCATGATTAAGTTTGATGGTGAAGACGGTCTTGATTACGGCGGTCTGTCAAGGTAAGTTTGACTGAACTATTGAAGTTTGTGCATTTGCTGAGTTTATTACAGAGAGTTCTTCTTCCTTCTGTCGCACGAGATGTTCAACCCATTTTACTGTCTATTTGAATACTCCGCCCACGACAACTACACGCTTCAAATCAATCCCGCTTCAGGTGTTAACCCAGAGCACTTGAACTACTTCAAGTTCATCGGTCGCTGTCTCGGTCTTGGAATATTCCATCGTCGTTTCCTCGATGCATACTTCATTGTCAGCTTCTACAAGATGATTTTAAAGAAGAAGGTGACCCTGTCAGATCTCGAATCTGTCGATGCTGAGTTGCATCGTGGATTGACCTGGATGTTGTAAGTGTCTTTATCAAATTTTGTCTTTATTTCTCCCGACACTTGTTCAGGGAGAACGACATCACGGACGTGATCGATGAGACTTTCACGACAACCGAGGAGCGCTTCGGTGAACTGGTCACCATCGAACTTCGTCCAGGAGGAGGAGATGTTAACGTGACCGAGGACAACAAGAAGGAATACGTGGATGCCGTTGTCGAATATCGCATCTCAAAGCGTGTCAAGGAACAATTCGATTCGTTCATGTCGGGTTTCAGCGAGCTCATTCCACAGGACCTCATCACCGTCTTCGACGAACGCGAATTGGAGCTCCTGATTGGTGGCATGTCGGAGATTGACGTGTATGTTCCTCGCTTAAAGTCGTGCGGCCGTTCGGCTGAATATCGTTGCAGAGATGACTGGACGAAGCACACTGACTACCGCGGATATGAGATGAATGATGAGGTCATTCAGTGGTTCTGGAAGTGCATTCGCAGCTGGCCGCCTGAACGCAAGTCCCGCTTGCTTCAGTTCGCCACGGGCACATCCAGGATTCCTGTCAATGGCTTCAAGGACCTTCAGGGCTCGGATGGACCTCGCCGCTTTACCATAGAAAAGTCTGGCGACCCTTCGCAGCTACCGAAGAGTCATACCTGCTTCAACCGTATTGATCTTCCACCATACAAAGATTATGCTAGCCTGGAGCAGAAGCTCACGCTTGCTGTAGAGTGAGTCCTCATCGTAGAAGCCATGTTACGTCATGCTAACCATCTCTACCAGGGAAACTGTTGGATTTGGTCAGGAGTAATTTTATGCACGACTTTTCACTTTTATCCTTACAATCGATGTCACGCTATCTTTTTGTAATGTTAGTGGGACGCAGATTATTTTTTTTGCTGTTCGTACAAGTCTCTTTCGGCGATTTATATGCTGTCTTTCTGTCGTCCACAAGCACCGCTTTCGTATCTTTACACATGGCTCCTAGTAGGTCTTTTCTGTATAACGCGGAGCAATTATCATTGGTGTTCGTATTATGTAGTGGGTATATGAACTGGCAGAGAACGAAAGCCATAAGATATCATAACAAATGGAAACCATAGATCGTAAGCCTATCACCTTTTCTCAAAGGCGAATGCGATATAGATGTCTAAAAGGCATTCTATCAGTACTGTCACATTGCATTGGACAAGATGGAACTTACTGACTGCCTCCCACTCTTCATCATCCATCGAGCTGGCGCCGGTCGCGTCACACACATTCATGCGTACCATCAACGACTTGAAATCTTCATGCTCCCTGTTTTCTTCGAACACTTCATGGAACTCCTTCTTGAAGACGGGATGCAGTCCGTACTGCGCAGCCATCCTACGTAAAGTCGTGTCAATACCAATTTAGGTTGGGGGGCATGTCCAGATGACGTGAGGGAGACTCACTGTACAAAATTGTCCCATTCGACTATATACTCCGGCACATTTTCAACGGCGTCGCGGAGATAAAAGTAGTATCGGTGACCAAACAATGGTCGCGAGGTCCGTTCTTCAAACCGGATTTTGTACACTGAATTTCCAAAAGAGAGATCCTCAGAGTCAGATGGGAGTTGGTCCAGTCGCGCGCTATTGACGCAATGAGCTCAGTAACAGGGACCCGAGGAAGAATCAAGCCAAAAGCTAAATTTAAATGGACATACAGGAGCTGGTCGGCATTTGGAACTGTCCCGAGAAACACCCCTCCAGGTCTTAGCCATTCGCTGGCATTTTTGAGCATACATCGAGCTTTCTGCGCTGTTTCAAACGCGTAATGCATACAAAATTGCATGGATACAACGTCAAATGGCTGTGCGAGCTGCTGCGGCGTAAACGCCTTTGTAAGTGGTTCTGTATAACAATCCAAAGCAGCGAACGATGCGTCGAAACGTGGTGGGCGCATAGTTTCCCATCGTTGTCGAGCTTGCTCGACAGACACGTTTGCGATGTCTGTTGAAGACAAATCAGATCGGGCTAGGTTAGAAGGATGACGAAAGGGTATTACCGACAGCTAGCATCTCTCGAATCCGAGCCTTCCCCCATTTGATGAGGTCACCCCCTTTACCACAGCCCATATCGAGGACTTTGCCACGTCTTTTGCCTTGACCAGCAGCAGCGAGGGCTGGATGACCGAATTGCGTAATAAGCACCGATTTGACCCAGTTGTTGAAATTCTTGAGTCCGATGATGGGAGACTCCTTGCGCTGTTTTACGCCAACCTCCGGTCGCAGGTTGTCTGGGAAAGTAGCGTTAAGGGTAAATCGGGCGGAGGGTAGAAGATGCTTACAATGATCGACGACCATCTTCACATCGCGAGCATGTCTCTTGGCTGGACGCTCTTGAACATCGTCGGGCTCTCCGCTCGGCCCTCTTTTACGTTTGTTCATGAGACGCTGGGCACCAATACCACGATAATTTTTGTAGAGCTGTATTTCATCCTGAGTCATAGGTGCGAGGACGGAGCCTGCGGGAGTCAAACGTTGACGGGGGTTGTAGGGCAGAGTTGAGCGCATCGTCGGAGAAGACGTTTTGTGGGATGGAAGAGACGGTGCTGAATTTGAGGAGACCATGGGAGAACGAGTCAAAGGGGAAGTTGGAAGGATGCGAGAATGGACATCAGAAAAGGGGGAAGTAGAGGAAGTGAGTGAAGAACGTGAAGGGCCAGGGGGAAGCTGCCGTGAGAACGAGTGGTCTTCACGGGGGATGTCGATGGCCGGGGGCAATCTCCGTTGAAAAGACGGTGCAGAGTTCAATTTTTCCGATTCGAAATCATCGGAAAGCAACAGATGAGATAGACTAGAAGGTCTAATAGAGCTGGGAGTTCGTGGTTCAACCGGTTCAGAGTTTAACAAAACAGCTAGATCTGTTGCCCTACGTGTCAAAGACGGGCTGGATATCGCGTGCGATGAAGAAGGACGTGATGAAGTCGTCGGGGACGGTATTAGTTCCAGGGAACGATCCGGATAGCCTCCTTCATGTTGTAGCGGAAGTGCCTGTGGCTGCGTCACTGGTGAATTCAAAACTGCATCTCGTACTGGATCAAACGCTGGCATCCCCGCCTAAGAATATAAGCCAAGTCTTGATAGTTGCTTTGTCGTTTAATAACGTTTATGTCGACGTCGTCTTCCTCTTCCTTGAAGATTCAGTACAGACTTTTTCAACGCCGCGCCAAACAACAAACTAGCACTAAGAGTGTCCACAGTTACGTAACTATTAGCTCGCTCCCCTGGACAGTACACTCCTATACGGTCTCACGCGTCCTCCCCGTGCTTCCTCTTTAACGAGGCACCGGATAACTCACAGCGATCGCTTCTTCCATTCGCTAAGCCATTCCGAAACGTCAGTCGTGGACCGCTATATCATCATGCATCAGTCAGCTTTCTCATATTCCCTCGCAAATATCTCACATTGATCCACGACCTAGAAGCACGCAATGACTCTAGAGTCTGGGAAAGCGCAAGGTTGTACCTGGATGTATCCTTGTCCTAATCACCGCCATCCGTCAGCTCGTCTCTCATTTCCGGGAAAAAAATCTTTACCTTGAAAAAATCTACGATCTGCTGGTAGTCTTCTTCCTTGGTCAAATTACCAAAGGCCGACTGATGCACCCTTAAACATGCGCATCACAGCAGAAAAGCAGTCCGACGACGTACCGACACAACATCTTTGAACGAAAAGTTCCCCTCGTACCGTTTGGCAAGCTACGAAAAATTGAGGTTAATTATTCGACATCTCAACGGACAGCTTACCTCTGTGTAGTTATCTTTGAAGAACTGTGCACACCTGCGCCTCGTGGGGTAGTTCATCATCTGGAGGCCGTTCAGGAAATATATTATGTCTTGATTCCGCGCTTTTGAGAGGATGTACGAGAACGTGTCCTTGATGCAGCCCTCATCTTGGCTGCCGCACATTGCCATTCTAACGAAAATATCAGACTAATGCCCTGTAAAATTAAAATCCGACTTACATGGCGGAAATACTCTTCGAAGGAGGCGTAGTTGGGTTCTCGTATAATGCTTTGGCGAACTCATATTCTTGACGACCTCCATGCTTCACACCCTGTAGATCACACTCAGCATAAACACAAGGTTACTCGACATCTCACGCACAACAAGGATCGTCGTCCTAAACAGATCAGCAGGTATCCTCGAATCATCCTTCGTCTTCATATATTCCGCAAATCGGGTCTTAAGCTCCTCCACGACGCTATGGCATCGTCAGATTTCACTCAGATTACCATTCAATAAACGCTTACGTAGTGTCTCCGGCAACAGCGGCTTGTCCGACAGCGCGGGTGCGCAGTTGCGAGATGTCCACGGATTCAGATGGAGAGTATTCGTAGCCCAGCCGTTGGACGATGGGCGCAAATAATGCCTATACAAACCGTATTAGTATTCCAAAAGATATCTTGCGATTCATGGACCCACCCGACGGAAAGCATCCAGATCATTGACGACAGCCTCATGCTCCCACCAGGTTGACACAAGAGTAATGATGTTCCGAGCGATGCTGTCCCACACAAGGACTAGAAGATAATTTAATAAGCTCGTCAAGTTTGTGCCCAATTGCAGTGTGCGACACTCACACTCCTTTTCCTCGTGTAAAATATCAACGATGGTCAGCGCACTGCTAACTTTGCAAAACCCAGCCTTGGACAGTGCCATGATATCATGCACGAGGCCAATACGGTCGTTGAGCGAGAACACAGTATCGCCCTTGGCAGCCTCCTTAGCGATTGCCGCGAACCTCTCATCAGAGTACAACACGCGGTCTACAATCATTCATCAGTAAAAGCATCATCAGCAAGGAAACTCGACTTACAAACACCATAAGTCCCCGCGTTGAGCTTGAAAGGCTTCGAGGTGTCGATGGCGAGCGTCTTCTCCCTCGTGTCAAGAACGACAGAATTGTCAACGTTGACTTTATCGCCGTTAGCAGTCAGCAGGGACAAAGGCACGGTCCAGATCGTCTCGTTGTCCTTTTCTTCTGCAGGTCCAGATTCTAGGAAACGATCCTGGCGAACAAGAATACCGTTCTCGTTCTCGATGACAGTGAGGACAGGGAAGCCGATCTGGTGCAAATGTCAGGGTGAAGTTGATGGATTGAGCTTCAACGCCTGCCTTTGAAATCCAGTTATCCATGATCTTCGGCACATCTACCCCAGTAGACTCTGAGATGCCCTGCCACAGGTCCTTTGTGACAGTGTTCCCGTACAGATGCTTCTTGAGGTAGATCGAAACACCCTTCAGGAAGTGCTCCTGGCCGACGTAGTTGGACAGCATGCGCAGAACTTGTAAGCGTCGTTCATCAGACACGGTGGTGAACAGACAATTTGAATTCCTTACCAGAACCTGCTTTGGCATAAGAAAGGGAGTCGAAAATCTGATCGCTTGTATGAGACGGTCCAAAATCCGATAACAGTCTAGTCATACCTGGTTGATCTGGTTTGCATCAGGACAATGCACTTCTATCGGATGAGAAGACAATTTGGCATCAAGATCCAACGCATCATTCAAATGCTCGGATATGAACTCGCTGTCAACCTTCCATTCGGGATACACACTGATAAAAGGTATTATGATCATGTCGAGAGCGGAGTATACCACCTTACCGATCTGGAATATAGTGCCAGGGGATTCAGCGGGTGGTGTACGTACTGTAAACACAAGACGTACCAACGATAATCACTTCACCCATCTTGGGGCGGGTAATCTGAGTACAGGATATACAAGTCGATATTTGCTAAACTTACCAAGGTTGCAAAGCCTAGGATGCATTTCAACAACGTTATTAAAAGTGGTGACATGACACTGACCTTCATTCAAGTACAAATAGTCCCACCATTCCATGGTCGTGATATCACCAAACCTAATTCAAAGTTTCCGCAACCTAACCTCTGAAGAACAGATATAGACTTACCACATGTGAGCGATTTCGTGAGACTGAAAGACAGTGACTCGTTTCTTCGCAGCCATATCTGCTTTCTGGGGGTCAAGGAGGAAGGCGCTGGTACGTCCAGTGATGAGGCCCTAGTAGGAGTGAGTACTCAAGTACGCCGAAATTCATGGTTCATACCCAGTTCTCCATGGCGCCTGCGTCAAAATCATGGGCCTTCAGACCGCCAAACCTCATCAGTGGCATGTAAGGAGATCCTTCAAAGAACCCTTACCACCAGAGTATCGAGCTTTGGGAGAGGGTATTCGATGTCAAATATTTCCTCGTAGATTGGGAGTACTTTCGCCTTGATATCGAGGGCATACTGAGCCTGATGAATCACATCGGGAGTAGCTATCAAAATACTTCAGTTGCACCTGGGATTCTGTGAGGACGAGTCCTTACAGTAGATGCGCAAGGGGCGAGTCTTCCCACTCAGAGGACTCTTATAAGAGCTTTCCAGGTACGCGAAACGTCCGTTGGCATATGCAACCAGATAGGTGGACATCTGTAGACTGATTTTAAGTTAAAAAAACCGCCGAGATGGTATCGACTTACGGGTGGTGTAGTCTCAAACTTGGAAACCTTCCATTGCGCTTTGTGGCTATCTTCAGTGGTCAATGCTGAAAAGAGCGCTTCCAAAGAAGGATCCTTTATTTTGGTCGTTTGGGGTTCGTAGATTTCTTCCGATGCCACAGACATGTTGCTCAGATTAACAGTGTCAGTGCGTGAGATCATAGTGACTGCAAAGGTCGCCTTGAGAAGGGGTTCATCCCAGCACGGGAAAGCACGCCTGGCGGCGGTGGGCTAGCAGCAATTCGTAAGCGCGTGTACAAATGGTGGAATCGAACACACACTTCGAACTGAGTCAGTGTATAGTACTTCTTGGTTCCCTCGTGCTCAAACGAGCTCTTGTAATATCCCATCATAGCCCCGGTCAGTTCTCCAGAGAAGCCAATGGACAGTGTTGCCTTTGACCCCGCAGGCAGAGGTGTCGGAAAGGAAAGTAAACAACGTTCCGCCTTGTCATCAAGAGACGGAGAAGTATCGAGCTGCTTGATCTTGAGGGCATCGGAATACAATGACGCGTTGTTTAACTTCAGATCAGCTGAGTTAAAGACGATGGTAGAAGTTTCCTTCTTAACATCCAGGCTGATGAGATTGATCAAGGATCTTCAAAGGACATTGTGTGTGTGGACATACTCAATCTTCACCACACCCTCGAATATTGAGTTCTCCAGGTCAGTCTTGATAGTCAAGTCATAGTGCGTTGGCTTCACGTCTAGGGGAAGACGGAAACCACCTGAGTCGGCAGGCTTGTTCGCAAGGCTGGTCATAATAGCAGATGTTGAACAATTTCTTGTTTTGAGAATATGAGATGATCGCAGAAGATAACTGCGCAAGATAGACTGTGTATCGTTGCGAGTGCCACATGTCGATAGACACCGGATCCGGGGTAAAGTCACGCATATGCGTAGACTTCCAAAAATCGACGCCATCGATTGTTTAGTTGAATCAGAACCAGCTGTCCATTGCAACCGAACCCGTGTCAAATTCCAAGTTTACGAAAGGTGCAGGTTCCTTTGGAAATTTGAACAACCATGAGGTTTGCATATGCTTAGACGGCAAAACTTTCAAGACAGGTCTAATAGTAGACTGCGGTCCAGCAACGAAGTTTCATTTGGGTGTAGATGATCCTCAGATTTTTACCCACGGACAACGCCGCCCCCTTCCATACACCACATCCCAAGCCTAGTTACATCGGGAAGCGAGGAATCCATCGAAGCCATGGACCGCGTGCGGCGTCATGCTGCCTAGGTTTGGATCGTGGCGTGGGCTCAAACGCCAAGCAGAAAAAGTGTATGAATCCTACAAAGTTATCAACACCATCAATAAGTGTACCCCCTGCATGACAGCACCACAATTTGCTACGCACTCGGTTAGGTAGGATACCATCGCACGATCCCCATGACGATGAAGAAGCAGTGAGGGACGAGTACCGCCAGGCACGCGTCTCTTGATCAGCGCATGTCAATAATGCGGCAGCTTAGGAGTGGGCGTATACACTCCAGACTTCACTGATCCTCCGACGGTTCTGTGCAACTTCTCTTTTATACATGTACGTAGTCTGCGTCATACCCACACGTTGACCCAAATCAAACATTACACGATCTTCGATTCGTACAAACAGCAGTACTAGACGACAAAGGATTCGGGCAAGGTACAAGTGGGTATAATACATGTCGACGACTATCGGGAAACACGGCATTAAGGCTTCGAGAACCTGGAGTTCGGCGGAAGTAGCGATTTCGGGAATATCTTCGAAGAAACATTGCGGTCGTGTTTCTGGAGGGCCTTCTTCAGATCGTCTTGAGTACGCTCGCTGGACTTGATCAAGCCTTCCCAGTGACGTGTCATGGCCACGCGGTGCTTTGAATAACCCTCCTCCAGATCTATGAAGGAGTTGAATTGTCTTGCACTGGTTGGTCGTGAATGAACACTCGTCAGCAACTTCAGCTTGTAATCAATTACTCACTATGCATCTGCCAACGCCTCTAAGTCTTCAACTGCGCCACACAGGAGCTCTTCCCTCCCAGCGCGGACGGCTCTGTCGACACTTTTGAACTTGTTGGCGATGCCTTTTACGATGACCTAAGACAGAACGTCAGACGATGAACGCGTCAAGTCGCAAAATCAGGATTTTCACAGCCTGGATATCGCTCAATACCTGTAAAATGAATGAGCGATGTGGCAGAAACTTAAGCAGGTTGTCCTCACGTCCACTATGCCCTGAATATCATCACCCTCATCGGACTTATTGTTGTGGTGATTGTTCTGCCTTGGCGAGTTCTTTGCACGTTTTTCTAGAGGACAAAGAAAGCGTGTCAGACGTCACAAATTGCCATGCATCTTGGTACCCACCAGGCATTTGCTTGACTGGGTGGGAACCCGTTTTAAGAGTGAGTGGGGAAAATGAAGATGGTAACCCAACGTCCTCAAATCGTACTCGATTGGAGGACGGCTTTCGTGCAGGAGGTGATTCTAACTCGTCGTCAGAAACCAGTGAGATGACACAGTCCAGAACCGGTTCCTTGGGTGGGCGTGCGTTGGCTTCGTAGATCCCATTTCCAGACGCCCCATGGTGGTTTGATCGAACATTAGTCGTCAAGCGGGTCATGCTGGAGGCCTGGACAACATCATTGGAAATGGGCCGGGTCACGAGCGGTGATGCAAAAGAAACTACCGATTGCCTCCGACGAACTGGAGCGGAAGGTGAGGACCTCATATCGCGAGGCTTAGTCAAAGAGCCTTCCGCATCCGTAGTTCTAACGGCAACGAGGGGGTTATTCGACGCTGCGAGCTGCTCTTGTCGCTCTTCGTTACGAGGGGGAATCTTAAGCAGGGGAGCAAGATCTTGCGACATGATGACCCCCATGGCGTCATCGGTGGGCGGGTTTGATGCTCCGGTGCGTGTCCCGTGCTCGTCTTGACGGCTGGTGACGTGGGTGACATGCAAAGCGCTTGGAAATGTAGCAGACTTCTTAGAGTTCTCTGCGAGGCCTTCACTGATGAGCATCCGAACATCCTTGGCCACTCCACGATGCTTTGCTGATTCTTGGCCATTCTTCACCGGAGTCGGGTCTTGCGTGAGGTCAATACAGACAGGAGGTTTACGTGGGGTCAATTGTAATGGAGGGGGATCTGAGGAGGCAGGCTGCGAAACAGTTAGCTGCCCATAATATCACGAAAACATCACGTACAAGAATCGGATCCTCGCTTCCTTTCAATGATACTGAATAATCACTAAAATCACCAAAGACTGCTTCACAAATCTCTTCCGACGCGACATCCTGGATGGGTTCAAGCGGATCTTCATCTGGGGGACTGATATCCAAAGGTTTCACTTCGTCAGACAAGGCATGTTGTGTAATGAATACCGGGTCCTCCCAGGGTGCCATCTTCGGTTTGGGAGTAGGATTAGTACGATCCGGAGCCAAATCTTTGTTGTCGATGATCTGAAATAATGACGTTGATCAGTTGGTGACATTTATGGATTGACGTACTACTGCATTGGTGTTTCTGGTGTTGGTCAAATTCTCTGAGGCGACTGTGCTCGTGCTCGCCTGACCCATGTCCGTCTTGTATGCGATAAGGTGAATGGGTGATCAAAAGAAGAAGCGACAAACCTTCTCGACTTCCTTTGTTGATGCAGACTCTGGTTTGAGGGACACTGCAAGGTCATTGGTCGCATCATTGAGGGGAAACTTCACTTCCGCAATTTGATCAAGTGGTTCCGGCGTAGCGACTATCCCAATCTCAGGTTCTGACTCGAGCTTTGCGCTGACCCCCGTGGGTAGCTCAACCGCGGGTCGCTTCTCGTTCCTGCGTCGCATGACGCTCGCGCGGGTTTGTCTGCCGGAAATCGGGGCTGAAACCTTCTTTGGTACCGGCTTCGAAGCCTTGACAACCTTAGCGCGCGCGTTCGTTTTTCCTCTCGAAGTCGCTCCAGGAACTTCGTCAAAGTCTACGTTCTCTGGCGGAATGGGCGACGGCGCCTTCCCTTTCTTCCCGTACTTCTTGGTAGTCTTCGCGGTAGTTGTTGACAACGTTGACGGTGCGAAAGGGTTGGGCAATGTAGCCGCTTCGCTATCGCGTATGGTTTGGATGTCGCCACTAGCAGTATTACGGGCCTTCTTCTTAGGTGGATGATTGTCCTCTAGAGCCATGGTTCCTCTCGTGGGGGAATTCGCATCCTCCCGTTTGCGCCGAGTGCCTGCCAGCTTCGCTGGCAAGTTGGGCGAGTTTACGAGTTTTGAAGGAGAACTACGCCGCGTAGTTCCTTTTCCTGTTGCCAGATTCTTTTTCACAGGTGAAGTGGATATTATTCCGTGCGCAGTTGTTTCCGGCAACAATTCCGCATCGGGTATAGCCTCCTTCAAGAAAGCGGCGTCGTCAAGATGTATTTTGGCTTCATTCACAGCTGGCCCTGGGTGAATGGCCTCATCACGAGGTGGTGTGGACAGCCTCTTGATTTCCATAGGAATCGTTTCTGGATGATCTGTGTGGGAATCTACAGTGCTAGACGACCGCAGGGTGGAAGAACGCGTGTTATAGGTGCGGCGTGACTTCCCGAGTTCTGTCGTCATAGTCTCCGCGTTTGTATCTGGCTTGGGTGATGAAACTGCCACCCTCTGAGCGGTCTTGGGCGTGAGCTGTATTTCTTCTTCGTCGGAATCCACAATCAACCTCCGCTTGGCGATGCGTCTGGCTAGAGGCACTGGTGGAATGCTGTCGCTTTTTGCGTTAAGACTGGGAATTGGTTCGGCTTTGACATGTTGCGCCGAATGGACTACGAGACGAGCTTTGGCGACGGGCTTGGGAGCAGGATCGTCGTCGGATATTTCCGAGAGCTCATCGTTGCTTTCGCCAAACACAGAGACGTGCACTGCATGAGGGGTGATGTCTACCGCAGGACTTTTGCGAGGCGGAGTCATCGGAAGTGGCGCGACTTTTTTCGCAGTCTTGGATACAGGACGAGGTCTGGGGACAGTCTTTGTGGGGGACTCGACGCTGGCATGTTTTTTGAACCCCAGAACGTCAGGCTTGGTTTTAGCCGGTGTTGGAGATGGTACATGCCGCGCCGACAGGGATTCTTGCTTAAACTGGGCGGCAACAGATCGTGCATCATCCGGGAAGTTGGTTTCGTACACTGTCGGCTCCGAGGTCAATATTGATACGATAACCGACGCTATGGACCTAACCATTTTCGACATGTTTAACTTTATCCTGTCAATATGAGGAAGTATTAGTACGTGGATTGGGAAGTAGTTGACATAACAACCTCATACTGTGAACCATGCGGTGGCGGTGGAGAGTCGCCCGTAAGTCTAATACCATGGGCGAGACCAACACTTCTCCGTATGCTCGTTTGCTTTGGAAGATTTTCACCCAAGAAACTGAGCTTGGCCTACGTATAAATTGCACCTGTCAGTGTAGTGTTCATCAACAACCTCCTTGTACTCACCACACCGCGTCTCCGTAGAGCCTCCATGAGCCTGCTCAAATCTTCCCGTTCAATGTCGAACTTCAAGTAGAGGCTCTGACCGACCAGGATGTTCAATGGCACTTCTCCCATAACTGGTGGAGCTGTTAAATCAACATGGACGATGGCTTTGTTGGGCGGCGGCGCCTTTGAGATATCGATTGTGACAGAGCGTATATGGCCGTAGGAGATCTTCAAGCTCTCGCAAACATCGTCCTGGTCATAATGGTTAGCGAGGTTCATGACAGAGTTGTGGTTATATTCGCCTGCTCGATAACGTTAGCAAGGAAGCAGTCTCTATCCAGGTACAAGCGGTCGAATGCAGTCGCCTGAGGATAAGCTTTGCCGCACACATGAACCTCATCCAAGGAAAATGGTTGAGGGCTACTCCGGGGAGTGAATGAGTCTGGCCTGCGTCACCAAACCAGAATACTCACAATGTGATATCGCTCCTGGCCAGAGCGTCAATGACCTTCATTGTTGTATCTTCCCAGTGCGAGCTGCTAATGTATTGGAGGATACCAACTAATTCCTGACTGCAGCTGAAATGCTTCTCGGAGCCAAAAAGTTCGTTAATGAATTCTGTTCGTTTCGCCTTCCCTTGCTCAGTTTCGTACGTCGGTGGGATCAGCCATCCCACAATAGTCAAAAGGGCCTCGACCACAAGGTAGTCTAAGTAGAGTTAGACAAAACTTGTACGACCGAGCTTCATGTAGACTTGCCTTTGGACCGCGAGATTGCGATGCCGATCAGCGACCTAAAAACCAGTTAGAGATCATTATTAGATAGACAGGAGGAAAAAATTACCCTCCAAGAACAGCATGATCCCGCAGCCTTCGTTGGTTGCCTGGATGTTTGGCAAGTGTCTCGTGTAGCAGAGAATATGCCTACCAACAGAGTCATCGTAAATTATGCGACAAATGAGCGCATATATGCTGCTATCAAACCACTATCAAGTAGTAAGCACTCACAGTCGTCTGTGTTCGCGGTAAAATGGTCAAGGACGTGTCCTGGTAAAAGAAGAGCGTGCATATAGTCGGATAAAACGCTGATGCAGTAGCTTCCTTTGTCATATCTGCCAAGTTCGGGGGTTAGACAGACACTAAAAGGAAGGAACTCCAGGAACAGGCCATACCATCACATTTTTTGTCAAGAAAGTCCTAGATTCGACCCGGTTGAGTTCTAGTCAGTGTCCCAAGGAGGGAGATCATACCAAAACACCTGATAAAAGGGCAATTGCGACCTCATTCCACGAGGCGCTTAACTGAGAATTTTGTGCATTCAGAGCATTTCTTAACTTGTCATCGATGACTTTGCGAAGCACGGCAGAGGAAAGTTGGAGCGCAGGTCCGGGAACGGCAGCATATAAGGGAAGGAGTGATCGACGGAGGATGGAACGAAGTTTCGATATTGATTGTGAGGAAGGGGAGGACGATTTCTGAAATAAAATTGAGCATCTGTTTAGATATGAGTCTGATTCCTCACCAAAAGAACAAGGTACGACGTAAACTGGCTGACAACGTCGCCGACGCGCTTGTCAATTCCATTGTGTTTGACGGCAGCTTTGAGCGCCTCTACAGCCCTTTCGAGCTCCGTCATCCACGCAAGAGTAAAGTTTAGAGTAAGATAATATCCTTGTTCTGCTGCTCTGGTGCTAAGTTCACGGTGAGAGACAGAGTCATAAGTAAGAACGCGTCAAGATAATATTGAATTATCACGTGATGAGTGCTTTCTATCATGTGATTGATGCGGAGTTTCAATGAGACAGTCGCGCAGATGTATTTCAAGCCAAGTTCCAACGAGATTCCAGATTGGATCACTTCTTGCACACCTTCCATTTTGTGCCCGCCGCCCTCCTGCGCCACCTAAGAACCTGACATTCAGCCGGAACAATCAATGGAATCTATCAAGGAGGAAGCCGCACCGCTGTTACTCCAGCCCGAGTCATGGGAGGTGCTTGATATCCCCACTGCCCTCGGTATCAAGACACCATTATCGGACGTAAAACTCAAGCACTCCAGGTATGACGAAATTTGGAGCGAGGACGTGCACGCTGCATTCATGGAAGGTAGGGAGCGCATCCGTCGCTGAAATTGACGTTCTTGTAGAATAGTAACTGAGAATGTATCCAAGCCATCTCCATCTACCCGCCAATGGGCAAGCGGCGGCTCAGATATGTACGTATATTAAAAGAAGAAGACCAAGACCAAAACGCGGAATCGTCCCACCTCGTCAAGTCGTTCGGTCGCTGTCAACTCATTCAGTCGTACATACTAGAGAAGACCGGCAAGAATCGCACTCGGAAGCAGGTATCTAGCCATCTTCAAAGGTTGAAGAAGAAGTACAAGAACGATAAAACTAGTCTGTTGTCTCCGAAGTGCTGGCATGCTTTCCTACTGAATTGCGCTTCGTAGAGCGTGCATTGTTCTTGGAGGTGTCGCAGCTAACTCAGGAGCATTCTGACCGAGAAGATTTGGCGTCCTCTCCCGGAGGAATTCAAAGTCCAAACATCTCCCTGTCTCTGTCTTTGTCCTCCAATCACCCTTCACCCTTCGATGACGTCGTCCGGGATGGGTTCGAAGAACAAAAGCCGAGTGCCACGCCTGCCAATGGATCCTATTTCACATACTATCACGTCGACAATAGGCATCACTCGTCGTTCTGTGAACGGGAGAAGGTATCTAACTCTTCAATGGTTCCACAGGTCGTACCGGCTTTGCCAATGGGGGTTCCAACGGAAGGAAATTCGGTCAGCACGGGTCCTGAAATCTCCTTGTCTTTGAGACGACTCAGTAACAAGCTGTCCCCACTCACCCGACAATCGGAAATGCCCAATGCCCTCCACTCTTCCCAAATTCATTGCTCCCCTGGATGTCAGGTTCCGCATCACGTTGTTACTCACGATGATTCCTTCACCATGATGGACTTTCATCGTAACTACCCGTTGACTCCAGTAGACCAACTCCTGCACACTCCTTTGCAGCCTCCACAGATCACGCGCCTCGAAAAGCGAAGGGTCGTGCCAGAGAACGTCGACGGAAGCTGGAACTGGCCGGTCAATGCCGATACATCTGGCTCACCTGTGGACTCAGACTGGTATGCCCCCCATGCGCACACCGCGGAACCTTTGCTGTCATTCCCAGATATGCGTGGCGCGCCTGCCTTCTACATGGACTACATGAGCGACTTTTCACCCAGAGTCCAAGGGCCAGCACCACACTCGAAGGCTGTCACACTCTCATACTTCCTCTCCATATGCTCAGGACTTTTTTCCACTGGGTTTATCGCACGCTCAACTGACATGCCCTCACTTTCTTCATGACCCGTGCGCTCAAGCGGAAGAACAACTCGCGTCCCCTCTTCTCATCAAGCCGATTCCCATATATCCCGTCGCGTATGCGCATGCAGAAGATCGTACACCGCATCTATCTCCCGACCCCGCTTTGTAACGCACCCGCAGTTTTTGTGTTTTTTTTTTGGTTCTTTGTATTACTGTTCTTACGATCACACAAACGCATCAGAGCATGGTCCGCAAACATCGCATCGGACACATTAATACCCAGCAATTCGCACTCCTGTTGTAGTACTAGTACTGTTCTATTACCCTTCGCTCAGCTTGTATGCCCGGATCAGTAAATAGCATAGACATGTCAGCGCAACTGAATGACTCATTAATATTGAATATTGATGTAGAGTGAACTCGGATTCTCAGAATGTCTCACACTTTGACTTAACACTGCAAACTAACTCGGGTGTACCAGTACTTACTCGGTTTAGTAAGCTCTCGTTTGACGCCCATGTAACAACCTCCTGCAAACTGTTTGATTTCTATGGTTGACTATGGCCTCAGGCATGCGGGAGGGCGGTCTCAGGATTCAATTATTGAGGTAAATTCGGTGTGTAATGATCAGGACCTTATTGTAACCACCCTGTGAACTTGCCGTGAACAACTAATTATATTGTTCTCCTTCAGGCACTACTAACTGACCGCAAGTCAACTGCCCAACACGTTTCACGTGTACATTGAGGTAGCCAGGAGGCTCGACTACCGCAGTGTCTGCCACAGTATTCGGACCGTTTGCCAGTAAACAGCATGGAGTCGCGCAGGAGTGTAAATTTCACCTTGGCAGCCCTCAAGGTAACATTCCACAATGTCATGCATCTTCATCTAACCAATTGGATGGTAGTCCCCAAGGATTAAAAGGAAGTACCTGCGCAAGGTATTTGGCATTTCGCTCTTCCGTTTCTCTTTGGTTGACATCGTGTAGTACTCATGGCTCCCTGATGTATTACGAGTGAAAGGCAGCGTGCGTGTTGTTGGCAAGAAAAGACGCAGTCACTGAGATCCTCGGGATATAGATTATTGGTCGTATAATTGGTCCAGTTTTGACTGTCACCATATTCGCAGCGTTGGTCGCCTATGCATGGTCCAAAGGGAAGAGAGTGGCGTTGACAAATTCGGTGGTGCCGCTGTTGTCTGTGGTGGTGCGTAACAGGAAACACCGACATCGCCAACTGTATATGCTGACTGCACGTTACAATCCCCAGGTTGGTTTGATTCTCGTATTTAGGTAAGTTATATGTGTGGTCCACGACATTTACCAGTTAACAGTTCTCTACAGAAATGGGTATGTAAAGCGTGAAGTTACCAAGTACAGTATTTGATCTCAGCCTAGCACTTCATACGACCGTTACTGGGAAGGTCGAAAGTGCTTTTCATCCATCACGTCTAACGTAGGAACTCTAATGATCGCGTGTATCCAATTTCGTTAAGTCTTCTCTAGGTTCGCAACCTGTCTCGTAACATTTGGGTTAATGTCTCGCTGCCTCCCACTGAAAACCATCCCGCACACGTTCTCGGAAGAACCCCGACCTCTGATATTACCGCTGCTCAACTCAGACGTCAGAAGATAGAAACTCTGCAATATTGCGTAGCTTTTGCATATGCTGTCCAAACATTACCTTCGCGATGAAGACGGGCCCAGTTATGAGGACTACGCCGGTATCCTTCCCGCCTCGTTCACGCGATTCGACGATCTTGGTTATAGCACGCGTCAAGGAAGCTCCTCTCCTACTTCCTATCATGCTACGACGCCAGTTGTGGACAGAACAAAGCAACAACCCTGATGCCACGAAGAGAATTCGTCCGAAGCGCAGCAAGAAGCAGCTCGTGGCTCATACCACCGCGTCAGGTTCAACCACCCCGCTGCTTTCGGACTCTCATCAAACTGTTGAGTTTCATCCTTACGCTGATCGAATGTCTATGCCATTTCCCCTCATGTTCGTGATTGGAACTTAATGCACCGCAAAGCGACTGACCGATATCAACAGTATCGCTCATGAGCTATCCAGTGCCATCTTCAGGTTTAAGCGGGAAGGTTTGCTTGAAACGGTTGGTCCAGCAGGTAAGATACCCTGACGTGATTCTTAGTCTTGGTGCTAATTTTGTGCCGATACCAGGCACTGAATGCCATGAGTGGGATGTAAGTCAGATGTGTCAGTCCTAAACGCATCTTATCCTTGTCCAGAGTGCAATCGATGGTCGACCAAATGACTTCGATGGAGAGGGTGGCGAATACCCCTATACCCGCGCCTTGTGAGCTCGAGCTTCATTGCTGTCTCTTTGGCAGATGCTGATGCGGGATCTAGATGGAATCCATCTAAAGCAATGTGTAACCTTATACCTGTTTGCCTTGCCATTGACCCTCATCAGTGACCTCGGCTGGAGCACAATCCCCATCGTTACTGTGGTTGCGTTTACACTGATGGGCATCGAGGGTATCGCAGATGAGATTGAGATGCCTTTTGGTAAGTGGCCTGCGCAAAGATAATGTTGTCGCTGAAAACAGTATCAGGACATGACCCGCACGACCTGCCTCTTGGTGCGTTTCAATGCAATGCAGCACTCATTATCATTCACTTATTACATACACAGACACTTACTGTGACGACTTGAGAGAAGAGATAGAGTGAGGTGCATGTCCTGGCCCCATGTTTGGTAACTGACTTTTGTGCAGGTTTATGATCGAAAGGCTTCCGGAGGGGGGACACGGTGTACTTGGTTACGATGACGGGGAAGGCGATGATTGAACTCTTTGGTCAATGATGGGCAGTAGTGGACTTCACGATTTTTTCTTGTCTTTTATGCAAATCGTCACCATCAAAGTCAGCTCTATGAATATCTAGCTAAATTCTGGCGTGCAGAATTCTCCTGGTCCGTAGGGCTAGTAAAAGAGAATCAATAACATGATATCACCCGTACGACATGAACCAACCTTCGTTGACAGCGAAGTAAGTCCAGCAGAGTTTTCGCTCGTCTTCCGCCCACTTTGTGGTCCCGGTTTCGGTTTTTGGCCATTTGCGAACGCCTCCAGGACTTTCTTTGTGGTTGCCGGAGTCAGGTCCTCCTAGACTGAGTTCAGCTCACATTTTGCCAAGGAATGTGAAGCGACGAACGTAGAAATCATCGTTCACGACCATCATAGGTGCATTACTGCAAGCGCCTTGACATTCGACTTCAATTACGGTGAATTTGCCATCATCTGTTGTGGCCCCCGGTTTTATTCCACCCAGTTGGCTGCACACCGTGTCCAAAATCTCCGTGGAGCCACGCAGCATGCATGGTGTGGTGGTACAGACTTGCACAAAATTCTCTCCAATCGGTTCACTGCACCAATAGTGGTCAGTAGAGTAGACCTCTGATTAGTAGTTGACGCACCGATTGAACATGGTATAGAACGTCGCGACCTCGTACACTCGCATGGGGGGCATCTCGAGCAGCTTTGCGACGTAGTTCATTACGCTGATACTCGTCCATCCCTTGTTCTGCCGCTGTCCAAGGTCAAGGAGAGGAATGGTCGCAGCCTTCTTGTATTGCGGAGGATATCTGGAGATGATCTCTTCGGCCCTCTTCATGTTGTCCCCTGTGAACGCAAAGGGTATCTACAGAGAAGGAGCCTGAGAAAGTATGAAGGTCGTCAAATTGGAACACATACCTTCGGGTTGTTATACTCGGTGTCGCGGTGCTATCCACATTTAACAACTTTTCAGTTCAAAATGGAAGATGCACCTACCACGAACAATGCATCTGAGCGGCGGGCGCATGAGTTCGAAAAGGCCCTCCCAAAAACCGAAGGAGTCGAAGCCGCCGAACGCCTCAGTAAAGTGGTTACAAGCATGTCCAGCAGCGAGCGGAAGTGTAATGAGTTTCACCTTGTTCGGAACAGTAGGATGAGAGAACTAAGATTCACACGGTCTAGACCGGAAATTGCCTCCTGTGTGAAGTCATATCAATTCTAGTAAGCTCTAGTGCATCAGGTCAGAAAGTCTGACAAGGATACACTGCTTATCCAGCTATCTTTCGCCGAAGGTTACGCGTGCTATCTATCAGCTTTCGGCATGACGCCACTTATAAGCAGTTGGAACACGTTCGCTATGGACATCCGTAACCCGTGACAGCTCACATCTAACGGTCATGTCTGCAGTTATCAACCCCAAAAGCGCCCTGAAGGTCGTGATGGTTGGCATTAAGCTACTTCCTACTGATAATAGTGCTGAGTTGCCCTCAGGGTGCTATGACTTTTGGCGTAGAAGGTTCCGAAGGCGCTCGGGTCCACGACCTCAAAGACGTGGAAACCATTCTCGACATCTTTCAGAGCCATGGCCACAGTGAGGTTGGTCCTACATCCGTTAGCCATGATTGCATTCTAAAACGCTGATTTTCTCTATGTAGGTCGACACCGCGCGAATTTATGCGTTCGGTACCAGCGAAGAATATCTCGGAAAACTCAACTGGCAGAGCCGGAACTTGATCATGGACACCAAGCATTACCCTCATGCCGTAATTTCCATCTTTGCCGTTCTTTCAAGTCGGCTAACATGTCACTTAGCGGATGGGCCGACCCGTCGAAGAGGGCGAATTGTGTGATCACTCCCCAGAGGTGAAACCTTTCCACTTCCGACTGTTCGGTATCAAAGTTATTTACGTCTGAACACTCAAGGGGTTGCGCCAGAATCTCATGGCATCCTTGAAGGCCCTGAACACCAAGTAAGTCCTCCTCTCCCTTGCAAGCCCATGTCTTGATAAATTTATTCAGCAAAGTCGACATGTGGTATCTACACGGCCCTGACCGCACCATACCATACGAGGTCACCCTAAAAGCTGTCAATGATTTGCACAAAGAAGGGTACTTCAAAACTCTTGGCATTAGCAATTACATGTCGTCAGTATCTCCTAATGTCCTTGCCAAACCTAGGTCCTGATTCCCTCTGCGCAGTTGGGAAGTAGCGCAAATGGTGGAGGTATGCAGATCCAACGGGTATATCCAACCTACAGTGTACCAAGGCGTTTACAATGCGATACAAAGGTTTGCTATTATGTTTCTCGCCCTTCCATCGTGCTCATACATTTGTTCATAGAACCGCAGAACCAGAACTGTTCTCCTGCTTACGAAAATATGGTATAAGCTTTTATGCCTTCAGTCCCCGTATGCATTTTTCCCCTAGCGATGTTATACACGAGCTTGAGATACATCCAATTTAGTCGCAGGAGGCTTTTTCACTGGTCGGTACATCAGCCAAGATGATCAGGCTGAAGCAGGTAGCCGGTTTGATCCTAGCAGAGTTCAGGGCAAGGTACCTTCAGAATTCCTGTTTTGCCTCGTTTTCCAACCTAATTTGTACTTCTTAGCATCATCGTAATAGGTAAAACTCCATCCGAGGATAGGAAGCCTGGGTTTGACTCGATGTGCAGGTATTGGAATGACACCTACTTTGCTACTGTCAAGTCGATCCGCGACATCGCTGAAGCACACAATCTAACCGTACCAGAAGTGGCTTTGCGGTGGATCTCTCATCACAGTTACCTGTCTCGTGAAGCTGGCGATGCAGTCATTATTGGAGCATCTAGTGCGAAGCACACAGAACAGGTATAGTCATATGTCATGATTTCTGGCTAAACACACACGAACTAATCATTTTCAGAACCTTTTGGATCTCGAAAAGGGCCTTTTGCGTGAGTTTGACACAGCTCTAACTGCTTTATCACGCGATTAAACTTCATTTCACAGCCGATGAAGTTGTGAAAGCCCTTGAAGATGCTTGGCTTTCTGTCAAGGCTATCTCTGCCAATTACTGGCATTAGATAATCGAAGTAGCGTAGATTGGCAACATCTGTGCAACCAACAAGAGATTCTCAGAGAAATACGTGTTTCATACTCATTGACTATCGGACATCAACCATAGACCTTCGCCATTTTGAGGTTAATTCATCAACCTTCAGCAGCACCCCTGCTGCAGCCCTACGCAGTCGAACCTCATGTAAACCCCCACCACCTTCCACAAGGGTTCCCTTCTCAAGTAGCTCAAAAATCTTCCCAGCCCACTCTCCAGCACCTAACAGTAGTGCGGTGTGCTCAAGACCAAGCGAGCGTCCCCCATCGAGTTCGAGACAACCATCCAGTACAATCAAGGAAAGCTCAAGAGCGGCTGTGAGCACTGAAGCTTCCTTACCCCGGGCTTCGCCAGGTGGTCCGATCGAGTCTGTGTCATCGCTAACCGCCCTTGAGATTGGTCGAGTGCCCAACGCGACCGCGAGCTCCAGTGCACCTGGCGCAATAAGAGACAACCATTGCGGAGCATTCTGCGCTGCATGTACCAGCAGCGCCAGAGAGCCCATAAACTGCGACAGCACTAACGGGGTTGAGGATAAGACCCGTGCCAGCACCGTGATACCGATACCGACCATCACGGTGCGCTGTTCTCTCCTCACGCATCTGCTCGTTACGGAGGAACGCCCAAAAACGGTTGATGAACGGCATAATGAAGTAATCGGCTGCGACATCTATGAATGCAGTCCGATGAGGTTGCGAAGTTCGCCCTGGCAGGAGTGCTCGACTGTCTCTTTCTCCAGGCGACACTTCACTGATTTTAAGAGGTCTTCGTACGCGCAACTGTCGTTCTCGTACGAACTCTGGTACTTTGTCAGCGGTGGCTTCCTTTCCTCTGTCTATTGCTGCACGGGTGACACCCTCAAGCAAGCCTTGGACAGTTCCGCTGGCTTGACCGTTGGCAGTGAGATATTTCTGATGAAGCGCAGGAGGCAAGGTTTTGCTAGGAAATGCAGTGCGCTGATCATCAAGAGGCTGCAAGTTTGCGGAATGAACTGGGAGCGACGCTAGTTCTCGTGCTCCAAGTACGACGGCGTTGAGTATGACAAAGCGTTGCTCTGTAGAATACTGATTGCTAAAAAATTCTTCGATGATGCACCTGTGAAAAATTTCGTCGTACGTATTTGTTGGCCCAAGCCTTGTAATGAGACTTACGTGGCGGAAACTCGAGGGCAGCATGCTACCAGTGCATTGACGGCCCGCTGACGCTTGTTCTCGAAGCCCTCAAGTTCGTAGTTATCGTTCAAGGAAGTAAATCCATAGATCAAATTAGCAGCGTTTTCCTCTGCATAGCCGTCAGTCATTGACCCACATAACGTCACCCCGAACCCACCAAGTTCAGTCCCATAATCCCTCTTTTTCCTAATCAGCTCTTCTGCGACGTTAAGTGCTATTTCGATTTTATCGACTTCCTGGTTCTCTTCGCCGGGCTTCGCCATCGTGCTTCGCACCAACTCGCCCAGCTGCGCAAGGTACACAGGCCGTGAAATTTTCTTGACTCCGACACGTAGAGTAGGGTCTTTCTCGAGCTCATCGAGCTCAGAGGGCGTTGGTGACGCGGAACGGGAGGAGGTTGGTGATGCGTAGCCGGTAAGTGAGTCGTCTGAGTCGTAGCCGGTCGTGCTTACACTAGCCTTTGTGAGCCTCAACGCTGATATTTCAGCATCTTCCAGGACACCAGCGGTGGTGAATTTCTTCTGTTGGAGGACTCTCCTCCACTGTGACTGGCTCTAATTCATCTCCTGCGTAAGGGTCAAAATCAATATCTCGAGCCGAGCAAAGTGCTCTTAGATCTCTGGCCCAGGGCTTCCCGTCCTCATCTCCCTCCCAGTTTCCGAAATCCAAGTTCTTTCCTGCACGCGTTGCAACCACTTCAGCTGCCAGCATCCCACATCGGCGGACGCTATTGTCCAAATGACCAATATATCGACCGACCGCAGCGACGAAGCTAGGGGATAGCGCAGTGGATACCACATGTTCTGATTGACGAGGAAAGTACGATACAATGAGAAGTAGCAGTGATGTAATATCTAATCCATGCAGACTGATCAATCACCAGATCAGCTTTACATGAAGACGAACTCACAATGATGTCGCGACAGAAGGGAGTGCTTGACAGTGCTCTGAAGCACACCACACGTCCAAAGTACATGCCAATAAGGTCTGGAGCGCTAAAATATCATGATTGACACGCGTCTACGAAAATTTAAATAAAATACCGACCTTCAGAATTCATAGGACCGGTTTTTGCACCGGCTACACAGCTGACGAAAATTCTGGCATGGCTCTCTTTCCAATCGCGGGTCAACATGACACTCAGCACAGCATTCCACGCATCTGATTCTGGCTGGAGCATTCCGAACATAGCACGAAGCAACATGGATTCTTGCACGACAATGCCTCTTTCTTGTGCTGTCATGCCTAGGTTACTGGGTAAGTGCACCAGAGAAGAACATAGCGATGTGAAGATAGTCTGCTGAGCAACCGTTGATGGAAGAGAAAGGAGTATATCCGTCCAGAACTTGGAGTACCTGTGGTCATCGTCCTGTCTAAATCTCGCGCGGATTGTGGCTAGTGTGGAGCGAAAGAAGGATGGTTGGGACGGTGGTAAGAATGATGAAGATGGAAACACGCCAACGTTTACGAGTTTCATCAACAGCTGTGTGGCAGACGTTATCATATCTGCACATACGTCATGTGTACATATCAGATATAAAATGAACAAGACTCACCCTGCGATGGCGAACTGGAGAGAGTGAACACTAAACGCTCCGTGCCGGTACTCAAGCCATTGAAGTATGTCGCGAGCTCAAGTTCTAGGGGCAATCCTCGCGTGCCGACTGCATTGGCAGCTTTTAACGGGACTGCGGAAACGTTTCTGAGACAGTCATCCCATCTGACCGATTTCCTTGCTGATATATCGTTGCCAGCGAAAGTAGCAGTGTGAAGTCTGTCAATAGGATACTGAGTCGACAGCTTGGCTAATAGTCTAATAGATTGCTCTGTGAGCACTGAAGAGAGCAATGTGGAATAAGCGCAGAGCACGACATTTCCTGCAGCAGATAGTGCAAAAGCAAACGCGTCGGGGCAGAAATACTGATCAGCGAGTGGTAGATGACCCTCGTCAGCAAGGACTGTAGACCACGTTGGCAAAACGTGCTCAATTAAGACTCTTTGAAGGGGAGGAAAGGCTTTTGCGATGTCAAGGGCTCGTGGTCCTTGGAGCGGCTCGAGGTTGAACCGACGCCATTGTGGTGGAAGAAGGCCTACGGAGTCGAGAGGGCGACAAAGTAAGGATAACAGAATTTGAAGGTCTGTTATAGGATATTGCAGGCTATCCACCACAGATTTGATCTGCGCGAAGGTGTCTTCTTCCATAGATTATCACATAGAAATCACCGCAGCCTGGAACTTGACGTGCTTGACTTTGGATCAATAATTATCATTAGCTTAGTCAACAGCTTCACAATTCAATACAGGTAAACAAACTCCTAAGTATTTCCCAAGTGGAACATCCGTTTGACATCCGCATCCGAGGTTGCAGAATGGACTGGGAGACCTCCTTCCTCTCCATCCATTTTGGACCAACACTATCATCATGTCGTCTTCCAAGGTGTCCCTCTCCAATCTCTCAGCACTTTATCATGTCCTTTGGCAGGTGCAAGATGACTCTGTCTTGAGGCAAGGATTGAGGTGTAATGTTTTAGATTCGAATGGATATGACAAGTTAGCCTGTTTCCTCTCTATGAGGTTTGAAATGATACTAAGTGGTTTGAAAATAGGGTGCATCCGTTCACCTTCGATTCTATCGATCTATCTCGACACCCTGATGCGGTGTTACCAAACGGAGCGACCTCCATGCTCATTCGTTCAGAATATGAGTTGTTCTTTGACAACATCTCTGCGATCGAGCGCAATTTCATCGTTCATGGATCAGCGGGTATAGGTGAGTCAACTTCTTTCTAGGAGCGCTGCTGCTTAATGCGGCCACTGGCCATCAGGGAAGACGCATTTCCTAGCATACGTCCTCATCAGGCGACTTCTTGCTTGCCAGCCGGTAACTTATCAGATAGACCAACCGGGCACATCCGTCTTGTGCTTTACCGCTGACGGATTCTTCACCCTCTCAGAGGAAGACAACGAGTACCACCCCTTGTTCCAATCCGAAGACGTATGGCACCTTGTTGACAGTACACACTACAACCCCGTCACGCACACGAATACTGACCACACTCAGACGCTGATGTGGGGCACGTGCGGCAAGGCCATTTTCACTACCTTTTGGCCCGACAGCCTGGGGTTCAACATTGAATGGTCGCCTGGATATGATGTTGCGCTTCGGCAGTGGATGGCTCCGTGTACTTGGGACGAAATCTTCGCTATGAGGTGAAATCTTTTGATATGATTCCAACGATCACTGACAATCGTTGCCAGTGCACTTACTGCAGACCGGCATAACGCCAAGCGCCTGCGATGGACATACGCTCATTTCGGGTCCAATGCGGATATCTGCCTGCAAGTGTCTCGTCATGCCAGCTATGGCGATCACTATGTGGATGAGCTGGAGTGCGCACACGATATTTTCTGGAGCCTGCATCCCACACTGCGCGAATTAGAATCCCAATATAACCGCAGCCTGTTTGCAGTTCAACCCGGCGACACCCGTACGGAACCACTTCCGTACCCTGTGTCGCAGTTTGCCAGCAAGCTCCTCGCAGAAGAGATTGTCTCCTTATACCCATCCACCGCCAAAGTTGCCATCGACACCCTCCTCGACTCGCTCGACACTAAAGAAGAGGGTGAGACCTTCTATCGTCAGACTGTGGTGGCCCTTATGTTCAGATATGGGGGAACCTTCGAGCTGCGGTGTCCCGATTCGGAGTGGAATTATCAGCCAGCGGATGAAGGTTTCTTCCTGCGTGCCAACTCTACGGCGACTCCCAAGCGTCGATGGGCTTACCGGACCCAAGGCCAACTTGCGGACCTAGCCGAGAACTATCCCTTCATTCTCCACTCCCCTGAACATTCCCTTGTGCATCCAGGTATCGACGCGGTCATGTTTGATGTCAGCGCCTCGACGGTGTGGCTTATGCAGGTGACGTATGGATCCCCACGCCCAATATCCCCGAAGGCTCTTCGTTTCGTGCAGGACACTGTACGAGGCAGTGCTTACGAGCCGACCCCTCTTCGCCCCTGGAACCTCATCTTTGTCACACGCAGGCAGGTCATCGCGGACTCCTTCCAGCTCGGTGGATCCAGAAAATCAGAGTACTTCACTTCTATGTTCTGGGACAAACGCATGAAGCCATATGTGATGCAATTACGGGATACGGATCCCGGCATGCACTCTTCGAGCACCTCATTTCAGCACACCCCATATCAGCAGTGGGGTTTCCCCATGTGGAAGAGTCTTAGCTTCCCACAGCGCCTGGCGAACTCGCTGGCGCACCTCGTACATGGACCCTGGCTTGCAACTGGTTTTGAGTGTGTGGACCAGGTGACGATGGGGCTTTGGGGTATGTTTATACGGACGCCGGGATCTCATTTACTTGGCTATATGACGAGCGAGGACTCGATTGTGCTGAGTGGACTCCATATGAGCATTCCTAGGGGACTAACTGGCAGCAGGTCAGGGATGTACTTGGATCTCTGATAACCAAGGTGAATGGGAAAAGAGAAGCAAGCGGTCCAAACTTCTATAATGTAGTAGTATTAATGTGCAGGCTACAATCTCCTGAATGGCATCTACTTAAGACTGTTGAAAATAAGCGGGCCCACTCAAGCCTCCTCATCGCCCTCTCCGACATTCTTCATACCTTCCCATATGTCTTCTCCTTCCTGTTCGTCATCATTCACGGGCACAGCATCTTGCTCTTGATCCCAAACAACAACCGTCGGTATCGTCGTCACGAAAACACGTTCCAAAACAGTACCCTTCTTGTCAGGGTGCTGCCCAACCTTATCGGGAAGCGGGACGACACTGTGTATACGTATGTATCGATCTATCGAGGCTGAGGCTAGGTGGGATGGAGATGCAGTCAGTGAGACGGCAGTGCCCTGATAGGCCTAGATACGAGATGTTCTGTCAATGAGGATTAAGAAATGCAATCAGGAGAACAGACCTTTGTACCCATATGAAATATTCCCATTACGCAAATCAACCGCATACACATTTGAGCCAGTGGTCTGACACAAAGGCCTCACTGATTATGTAGCGGTTAATAAAGCCAAACCACGATATCAATCAAAGGAATACCAACTGTTCTGAGAATCCCTTCTCGATTGTTTTTACACCACCAACCTTCCCTATCCCTTTAAATACAGCGACAGGTCGCCGCCCAGCACGGGTGTCGTAACGACGCATATCACCGAGGCGCGTGCCTGCAAGAAGATGCTGTTGGCTTGCAGATGTTGACGGTGAGAGGTACGTTAAACACGTATTATGAACTGGTTGTCGTAGTCCGAGATAATCATTTTGTACGTTTTTGGCGCGCCAAACTTCCCCAGGAAATAGTGCATCGCCTTGTTTCCGTTTTTTGCTACCATTAACTGGTGTATCTCTTGCTGAACTTTCAGACGGAGAAGCAAATGCACGCTCTGTATCCCAGAGAGATACCTCCACCTCATCGCCTCCGTATGCAAATGTTTGATGGTCGTGCGAGAGACGCCAGTCCGCAGAGTCGGGACGGTAAGGCAGCAAGTTTATGGCTAACTCCACTGTTATCGTCCTTCAAAGTCGACATTAGCAGGGCGCCGTTGGTAGTACAAGAAAATACGGAGCTTCGCCGCTTCAGAACCGTCAAGCGAAAAACTCGAATACAGGAACTCACCCGCCCGAAGCAGCAAGACCAATGAAGGACTGATCAGTTTTGATTCGAGTTTCCTTCCATTCTTGAAGTAACTCGAGTCGATTATCCTCTTCCAGAGAAAAAATTGAAACCGCTCCATTTGCATGAGCAGCTGATAACTTTACTTCAGCATTACTCGGGATGTTTTACTAACGCGAGGGGCTGGCTGAACGCACCAATGTCTTCTCCCCCACGTTCAACGCGAGTTTTTGGATGCCTTTTCTTCTGCCTGTGTCGGTACCGTCATGAAGAGTGTTCAAGACTGGTTGCGATTCTTCTTGCAAAACTGGGTTATACTGCACCGATTTTATGTTGCCCAGCTCATCACCGACGAGAAATCGAGGCATTATTGGCGTGACAGGACCAGCGCGTGACGGAGTATATCATTGTGTGACTTACCATTATTGTGTATCAGCACTCGATAAGTCAGTCAGCACATTCATGGACGGTCCACTCAAAGAGTTGTCCAAGCTCGAGAAGCTCACGGAGAAAGGCCAAGGGAAAGCACCATCTATCGAGAACTCTTTGGACTCTCTTCTCCATTCTCTCCGACAAGTGAAGGATCGCATCAAGGCAGGGAGCGTTACAGAGGACACTTATGGCTTTCTAGCACAAACCGTCGAAGCAAAGAAGAAAGAAATAGATGAGAGACAGAAGGAGGTTTATAATGGAATTGCAAGACTTGGGAAGGCCCTGGACAAGGTCTGCATGCTCTGCTAATTCTCTACGTCGCAAGCATGAACTCACGACTTTCGCTGCACAGAAATTCACTCAGCCGCTTCCGACATATGACCCTCTTTTCACGTCGGACCGTGCGCAAGCGGCTCTTGAAAGAACAATTGCCCTACATTTCCTGCGCACCGGACAGTTTTCGACAGCGGAAACATTCATCCAAGTAAGCAGATAATGGCAAGTCTGAGACTTACTAGAATGATTTTCAGGAGTGCGGTGTATTCATCGAGCCTGGGCTACGAACTCAATTCCAGGACTTGCACCGCATCGTGTTGGCATTAAAGAGACAGGATATCGGACCCGCATTAGAGTGCGCCGCGTTTCATGGCTCCCACATTCCCTTTTCTCATGTATACTGCTTGCAGGTGGTCGCTGAAGAACCGCGAATTTCTTCGAAAGCGATCTTCGCCGCTGGAATTCTATTTACATCGGTCCCAATTCATCCGCCTCCTCTTGGCAGAACCACTAGATGCTGGCCCTGCCATTTCGTATGCAAATGCCACATTGCGCAGCTTTTACCCAGAGCACGCAGCCGAGTTTCAGAGACTCATGACTTCCGTTCTGTATCTCCCGAAGGAACGCCTGCAGCGGTCTCCGTATGCAGACTTGGCCTCAGACTCGGTGCATACGGATCTCGAGCCACTTTTCGCCAAGGAATATTGCACGAGTCTTGGCATGAGCCGCCAAGTACCACTGAGAGTAATAGGTGACATTGGCGGTGGAGGTGCCTTGGCCAGAATTGAGAAGGCCCGGACAGTAATGAAAGAGCGTAAGAGTGAATGGAGTCAGACCGACGAGTTACCTGTCTGTATTTCCTTTGTTGATGTCAATTGTGTCTCATTGTATCTTCAGATCGAAATTCAGCTCGCACCAGAGAACCGTTATCATTCCATTTTTGCTTGCCCAGTATCCAAGGAGCAATCCACTGAAGATAACCCCCCGATGATGATGACATGTGGGCACGTTATAACGAAGGACAGTTTGCAAAAACTGTGCAAGTCCAATGGGTACGTCTTCGTGTGGTTTTGCTTTCGCTTGAATCATGACGTTTTCAGACGTGTCAAATGTCCGTACTGCCCCGCGGAGTCGACACAGGCGAACGCTTTGCGCGTTTTTTTCTAGTGTTTAAGAAGGCTAACACTCCTCTCATCGTCTGCATTGTACTTTAGTTCATCATCTCCACATATCTATTTGTACTATAGACTTGTAGCATCACATAAAATGTGGCACAACTAGGAATAATCAAGATATCATGAACCTCCGTGTCAGGTTTCAAGTTTCGGATCGACCCAATGAACCTGAATATCACAATATCACTTGTCTGTTCTACAACACCTGACGTAGACTCACCATCATCGTCAGAGTCTCTTCTCCATCCTGATTCGAGCTTTTTACTATCGTACTCTCGTCGACGGAGGGTGCGTTGATGAACCTCGCGAGCTCGGCCAGTTTCGCAACGTCGATATGATACCGCTCTGCTAAGGCCTGAAGTTCTGCTTGGGACTTGATTGTTTTCCGGGACTCGAGTAAGTCGCTTAGCGATGCAGCCACGAGGCGATTTCTGGTAGAATGTGACGGCGAAGCCTCTACTTCAGACTGAAGGCGAGAACGATACATCTGCTGAACGGAGTCTGCCTGTGAGGAATCCAATACCTTGTTAAGAGCGGCACTCGATACTGGACAGGGCACGCACTGGTCGGACGGACTGCATGTGGTGGTCGACGCGTACAGGGCCTAGCTGGCTCAGCTTTGACATAAATTGGGGGTCTTTGGCATCCACTTCAACCGCTAGCACGAGGTTTCAACAGGCCATGAGTGACGCTGACAGTTCTGGCGTACGTACCGTCCGTCTTATTTTCGAATGCCAGTGGTCTCGAGGGCATTGCACGTCGAATTTCTTGAACACCACCTTGTTCCAAGGGTGTACGAGTGCCAGCCCATGACGATTTTTCTTTGGGTAGCTTACGGGCTATTTTGGATGAAGAACCGCCCATGGTAAGTAGATGAAGAGCCTATGAGTCTTATGTAGACGGTTGTTTATAGCACCTACATTGTACAAGTTGAAACTCGTCTGTATACGCTTCACTCAAACAAGATAACATCCCTAGGCCTCTGATCGATATCAGCAGTCTGATTCAGTGATGAAAACATGAAGGCCAGTTGCCTTGATTGATCCTACTTCAGTCTTCTGACTTCTCAACACTTTCTTCCTGTTCTCATGTTCAGTTCGTACTAGTTTCGTTGCAATGCTCCGTGCTCTAGCCCATACTCGAAGTCCAGTGCGTTCAGATGGCCTCATAGCAAGCGAACATCGGCACTCCTAGAAAATAAGGACTTGTTTCCTGAAAAATGGCTTCGAAAATATAAGCGGTAGGTCGAGAAAATATACATTAATATTTAGCATCGAACACGACAGACATGGTCCCTCTTCATATACGAGCGCGTGAACTTCTTTCCACAGCCGACGCAGACAGCTTTAACCTTCCGCAGGTGTGTGTCGTTCACATGGCGAGTGTGGTTATCCTTCTTGAAAACTCTCAAGCACCCAGGCCAGGTGCACTTTACTTTGTCTTGGCTACCCTGCACCTTGGGGAGAGGCAGTTGGTCGCGTCTGACTGAAGAATCGGGCAAGGTCTGCCCCTCAAAGTATGTGCCATGCTGAGGCAGGGTGGTTTGTGCACCGAGCTCATATCCGATGAAACCGGATGCGCCGCAGAGCCATAGGCCCGGGTCTGGTCGCAGATGGTAAGCGTTTGAAGGAAATGCTGCGAATACAGCGAACTTGCCTTGACCGACTGGAGGATCTATAGCATCCGAAAGTGATCCCGCAACACTGACAGATTCTAAAGGACCGTACTCTTGGTCCAAATGTTGGACATGGCGTGCTAGTGGCCGTGGCAAGGGGGAGAGGTCGAGCGAAGTCAACGATGGTGGAATGACATCGAGCATATCGAGTGCAACTAGCGCGATGGTCTGAGGCTCATTATCGCCGATTGCTTGGACGCCGACGGTACCATTGAATGCGCTTGAACCCCCCACGGTGACTCCTGACTGGCAGGTGGCAAGAAGCTCTTCAAAGTGGGTGCGGATCTGCAGTATTTCCTTGCAAACATCGTCTATCCTGTCAACGTACTCAATACATGATTGCAGGGCTGATATCGTTGCATTTTGACCAGAGGTATAACCTAACCGCGGAGACGGCGTCGATGGGTGGGCTATTAACCTTGGTCTGGGCCTTAAACATGGTAAGCTCATGTGTTGATCCTGAGGCTACGAAGGGTTTCCTTACTTTTGTAAATATGCGCTCATAATACTGAATCTGAGTTCTGGAAGACCTGGATGGCACAGTGAGTGCAAGAAACACCCACTAGCCTTTTTGCGAGCTTCCTGCCTTTATATTCACGTTTGCCGCCCGTGGCTGTCGTATGCCCGTGGCAGGGCCAACGTAAACTTGGACTATGCGTGTATACTTCGAATCATTCAAGTGGTTTTCTCAGCCCAAGCGCACTCTGGTTCTCCGATTCCCGGGCGACTCGTCGAATTGGTGTCGCGACCCTGAGGAAACCTGCCCGGCGGCAGTGCACATTGACGTACTACTGCAAATTTGCGATCTCACCCCAAAAATTAACCGTGTCGCACGCGTCCCTGTGTCGTCAATCTGTATCGGCTGAATATTTAGTTGTGGGTGGGGAATGGGCAGATATCAGGCGCGCGCGTGTTCGCACATCAACCTTCAATCGAAGGCAGCGCTTATTCTGGTCTTGCGGCACTGTCCTTTGATGATATCATTGTAGTGTGCGGTGAACGCCGACCAAGATTAAACGGCTGTCGTCTCCCCAGTTATCATTGACAATGATTACCTGGTGGGTTCCTTCGAGAATATCCCTCAAAGACAATACTGACGCCGGTTTGTGTTGACTGACAACTGCGATACTGAGGTTTCATTTTTCCCTATGCTGAGCTGGCCGATGGGGGCGAGCTTTATCCTTGCGCTATCTCAGTAATCCACGGTCCGCTTTCCTCGTTGTCCATCGCAAGTGAAATCTGTAATCGAGCATTCAACGCAAAGTAACTTTCCATGTTTAACGGGGTTGAGGGAACACTCACAGAACGTCGAGAGTACCGTCTCAAGTACTAACCCTACATACCCATTCTCCTCCTCAGTAGTCCAAACGTGTTGACCTATCAGTGTGCTTCCCCAAGAATCATTCAAACACAAGGTGAATCACTCATGGCAAGAGTCATTGTCCACATAGGCAACCACGAGCTCAACATCGGTCTACCACGGATCTCAAGATGGCCAACAATTTTGAAGCAACCTAGAATTAGGAGAAGGGGGTAGAATATTTACAGAAACACAGTCGGGTCTCAAGTGGGAATACGTGTATCATCGAGCCGCCTTTGCAGACAGTAATAAACACCAACACATTTCGTCTTCTAGTAGACACCACCACGCCTCCTCTGACGTCCCGTGCGCCTGCTTGAGCGACGCGAGCCAAAACATCTACAACAGAGAATATCGACGATGACGTCAAATATAGTGACGATGACCTGCAAGAATGATTTGTTCAGTGATATTAAGACGGTCCAGGAGCATACACATACAGTCGTGATGGCCCCAACGATGGCCATTATAACTCCTGCGATGGCAGATATAACGGCGTTAATCCCACCGCCAATAGCAGAGAATATTGAGCCCTGTGTACAAAGGATATTAGTACTTGTCGAATGGAAAATATGACCACAACGATATACCATAATCAACAATCAGGTATGATCCACAATGAAGTTCTGATTTGAACCGTTGAAAGGTATCGTTTGCTGCTTGTGCCTTATATACTTTGGCCGAATGCATGACGTATAGATCGAGGTCACCGCAGCTTGTGGAGGGGCTAATGATCACCAGAATGACATCAATGCTGCTTGCTACTCCAAAGGAAGCCTGTATGAAATTTAAATGCCAGCACATCCGCTTTCGAGTGTCGACCGGTTATTTTGGACCTGCATGGACACCCACTGAGTGAGAACGGTGGTGTAGCATGATTTCCACGCGATTATGCGATCACGTGGTATGACGTCCCAAGTACTATTTGAATTTCCCCATGGACCACGACTGAGGAGTGGCCTCAAGGTTTTTCAGGTTCCACTGGCATCTGTCCCCGTCACTGCGTCACCCAAGTTATCAAAATGCTCGGAGCACTGTTCTCATCATTATACGTCATGATATTTCTTGCCTAATGCCCAACTCGTCTTTTTTAGTAACGGGCAGCTGCGAAAGGGTGGGCTTCATCGTGGAATAAAGTTCACCACACGATGATGAAGCCTGCGCTTCCTCATCGGTTCGGATGCTGCACAGCTCGGACCTGACCATCCCCCGGATGGCTACCAAGTCAATTAGTAGTTGGTGCTGTTGCGGGATCTTCGATCTTATTACCTACATTACCACAAAGAGCATGCCTGACAGGTGAGTAGATTGGAATCGGTATTCTAGATCACTGAAATGACTTCGCAGTGGTGCTACCCCGATCCTCTCATACTTCACGCCAGACTGGCTGGAGGCATAAAAGTAGTCAAATTCTATCTGTGCGACAGTGTCGTTCAGTTGCAAAGAAATCTTGTAGGGGATGTAAAAGATAGGAGCACGTATTTCCTGTCCTTGCAGGCATTTTCTGAAAGATTGTTTGTCGGTTCATTGAAGTACTACATTGCCAAACATTCAGTATTGAGAGCACGAAAGTTAGGTACAGTAGGAAGCGCGGCAGTACAATTCTAGACGAACGAAGCTAGCAAGTAGCTAATACTACAACAAGATTTTCACATAAAGCCAAGTACTTTGAACGCACCATTCGTCATCACGCGTCCCTTCTCTCCCATGCGTACCCACGCATTTTTCTCGCCAGCCTCACCCTCAGCCGACAGCATGTTCCCAACTGGCGGTCCACGAACCAAAATTTCACCAATGGGATCTGCACCTTTTTCGACCATGTCGTCATCGACAGCGATGAGTTTAGCCTCAACATTGACACTCGGAGCGCCAACATGTGCAGGTTCGGCGGCTGGAGAAGAGGAGGGAAGCATCTGAAGATCAAATGCATGCGTGGCAAAGAGAGGACCGGTGGCAGAACCATGCGTAAATGTGTTGATCAACGGAACAGAGAGCGCCACGCGAGCAGGCGCAAGTGCGTCAAATGGTAGAGGTCCTAGAATTGGATGAATGTCTGTTGTTGTCAGGAATTGAACAAAACACACCACCACTTATCACAACCGCCTTCACTGTGTCAGCCATCTTACCAAGGACAGCTTCCCGTGCGCCACCGAAGACAGTACGGTCCCATAAACTGTCCTTGGTAATGAATCCTTCTGTGAGGCTAGTAAATTTGTGCCGCCATGCCAAGGGGTAGATGAAGAAAGACTTCTTCGCACGCTCCATCACTGCGGATGCAAGTGATTGGACGTGTCCAGGCTTGAGGAAAAGGACTGTAGGAGATGGTATGGGGAACTTGGTTGCAGAGATGACATCAGTTACATCCAGAGTCGGTGCACCTGTGTATATTTCCTTTAGGTATGGAGATACATCGATTCGAGCTTGAACATACCGCCAACATGGAAGACTGCTGTCGAAGGCAGAGTCGCAAAACTAGCGCCCTCAAAAAGAGCAGTGTAGGCAATGGCACGTCCGTATGGAGTACTCAGGGAATGACCAGAGACGATGGTATCGAGGGTAGAGAGGTTAATGGCCGCGGGGAAGAGCGCCTTGATTGCCGTCACACCGGAAGTAAAGTTCTCGTGCGTTAGCTGTACACACCGCATTTCACCCGATGGAGTCTCGAAGAATGAGACGGTGTGTGCGCTACCGGACTCTGAACAATAGTCAGGACAATGATTGTATGGAAATTCAGGGGCATACGAGGATTATTTTTTGGAGCTTGAGGTACCTTGCCATTAGATTCAACCTCATTCCAGGAATGTATTTCGACCTCTTTCATAGCCTTGGGTTTGATATTGCTGTCCGACTTGCCGACCACAATAACCTTGTGATGATGCTCGTGTGCATCGTAAATTATCTCGAGAACATGCGGCAGAAAAGTCGCGTCTGTGATGATGGCGTTAGGCGGGTGCTTCTCAAGAACTTGCGTGAGCAACTCGGGGGAGCTCAGGGTAATGGAGGCGATGGACTGCTCCGAGAGTGCGAGGTCACTGATAAGAAACTCTATAATGCACACCGGTTTGAACCATTCTCGACGCGCGCTAAGCAAAACGGAGGAGCGTACCAATGGAATCATTCAGCAAAAGCAAGACAGTTGACTCCTCTGGGACAAGCTTAGCGATCCCCGACCCAAATGCCGAAACACGGGCTTTAAGCTGAGCGTTCGTGATCTGAATGCGAATATAGCACGATGAGCGTATAAGAAAAAGCACAGTCGAACGCACCTTGGTAGACCAGAGTGTACGAGGTGCATCAAATTCGGGTTTCACGAGGTCAGTCACGACATTGACGTCTTTGTCAGGTCGCATAGGGAACTGTGAGAGATTCAACGGATGCCTGATGCAAAGAGCTCAAGTCCACGAACCCTGCCCATGAGCCCTGTCCCATAGTTGCGGTAGACTGCGCTCTCGCCTGGGTGCCTCACACGACCAGCATCACTCTGCCTGCCTAGGAGAATTGGGTGGACGAGCGGCTGTGGTTTGTAGAGGTTCTGGAGGACAAATACAGTCACCCCAATGAAGCCGAGAAGAACGGTAAGGTCGTCTGTGACGAGATAGTCTGAGACGGCCATAACGACCGAAACTGATAGTACTGGTGACTACCAGAAGGTGATAGCAATTGAGATGCACAAACAAGATACGAGATGGACGAGAGCAGCTAAGAGACGCCAAGCTTTGAGTCGACGTGTCAGCTCCTACTACGTGTATAGACGGCGTCTAGGCCGGCATCATGACAATATTCACGCGCACCACTGCTTTATCACAAACCTTACATTTCAGATGTTTCATCGAACCAGACTAAGTAGATACAAGATCCATGACTAGATGACTACTCTAGCTATAGCTAGTAAGTCCTAGGAAGTCGTGCTTGAAGCTGCTTAGGCTGGCGTACTAGGTTATGGGAAATGCCGCCCGAGCGGCCCAATTCGCGATCGGTCAGCACGCTTAAGACCGCTGCTTTCCAAAAGCTTTATCATGATCAGACTTCGAGAAGCACTAGTGCTGTATATCTAGTAGACCTTTGCCCCCGATTCCTTCTAAGTATTCGCAAACAATACTTTTTGCCCGATATGACCCTGGCGATGGTCGTTATCTCCACTATGTGACTGCAAACCATAGGGACCACTGACCACTACGTTGAGTCTACATCGCATGGGCTGTGTACGAATGCCCTTGTGACGGAGTGACCTTCCGCAGCTTTAACTTGATGGCGCTCACCACTGAGGTGGTCATCGTCCGTGCGCGGCGTTGGTTACCACGTGACCTATGTCTTCTCATTAACTTCATCCGGATCTCCCCCTCTTTAGCTACCTCTCTTCCCCCTCACCTCAGTACCTTTTCGATCAGTACTAGTATCCACTCGTCTCAGTCCTAATTTTACCTTATCGCCACTGCAGCGATGTGCGCTATGTCAACTATGAAAAAGTCCTCGACCAAGGCCGCCGACCCTGTTGCTAAATCTGCCCAGAAGACGACAGCTGCGAAGTCGCATCATACGACTCATCCCCCCTGGATTGATATGATTACCGTGGGTCATAATTCTAATTACTACACAGATTCCATCCTGGGTGATGTGCGCTCATTTGACATGTGTGAAAATAACCCCTGTCCACAGGAGTGCATCACCACGACACCCGATGGGACCCGTCATGGCGTGTCACGTCCAGCGATTAAGAAAGTAAGCACACACCATATTGCATAGTTATCTCTGATATTGTGCAGTTTGTCGACTCAAAGTACCATCTTGCAATGAACCCTACGGTTTCTAGCCAGCTTAACCGAGCAATCCATCAGGGCTCCGATAAAGGGAATTTTATCCTGCCAAAGGGCGAGTCTGTCTTTTATCGCGGAGCCTTTCATCTTATTTTTTACGCGATTCCATATAGGTCCTTCCGGGAAAGTCAAACTTGCACCTCGGAGGCACAACGAGGCAGCTAAAGAGGTGTGTCACCCTCATCTTCTTCTTGCCACATCGTCTTGATCTCAACACACCTGGCAGAACGCAAAGCCAGCCTCGAAGCGCTCTACTGTTGCGAAAGAAGTTCACGTCACTCCAATCAAGGGGGCTACTAAGACCGCGGCGAAGAAGACTTCTCGTGCGGCGAAGAAGCCGGCGGCTGCCACCGTGCCCGCCGCACCGCCGAAGTCGGGAACTGCTGAAAAGAAATATCATTCCGTTGCAAAGAAGGCAAGAACGACTGGTTCCTCCACTCGCAGGACGGCTGGAAGAAAGGCCGCGACAGCACAAGGCACAGCTAAGAAGGTGCGTGTAATCATTGATATGAGCGCTAATATCTTTGACACGTGGCCGTTGCTTAGACTGTCACAGGACGAACGATTGCTTCAAAGACCAGGCGGGGAAGCAACTTCTGCGAAGAGGACTACGAGGGCTGCAGCTTCGCAGCAGAGGGCCAAGAAGACTTCTCGCAAATAAAGGATGTTATTCATGGTAGGATCGGATGCAATATTTCTGTCACTGGTGCTCACCTGGTATGGTCACATTATTAACAGATTTCACGCACTTTCTGGCGAATCATGGCTAACGTCTTGATATCTCCTCACAAACACGGATATTCCTCGCTGCTTTTCGTCTCCTGTTCCAGTCTGTTTTTTGTCCACCTTGCTGCTTTTACGTCTTGGCTGTATCTCCGTGATGCCCCACTCATGCTTTCCTACGAGTTTTACTTTTGATGACATGACTATTCAATTCTATGCTCTATCTTATCGTACTTGTATCTACTATCAGCTATTCCCCCTGATCTCTGCGCATTATGTACGAAGTTTTACAATCTGGACAACAAACTTCAGCTCTGACAGGATGATGTAGTTGTGTGAGAGTTGCCCTGATGTCGGATACTCGGTTGTGTATGTCTCGAATAGTGCAAAGAGTTTCTCAGAAGGGCTGGTGTGGTGCAAATTGGACTATGACATAGATCAGTCATGACATATACCGCCCCGTTCCCAGCCATTCATTCCCCCAGGTCCTTATCTGATCTGTCTTCATAGGCGGTGACATCGAGATCACTTCGACTCTAGACTAGACACCTATAGTATCTTTCGACGCTGTGGAACTTTGCTGGGCCTTAGCACACAGATCCACCCACATGCACAAAATACAGCTTTCCACTGCAGAACATCATACTGCAACATAGCCTGGCTCATATGTCGGCACCAGGCTGTTCCTGGTTTAGTTCCACAGTGCCACTACTACTTGTGGATGTCTGTGGCGGTGCTGAATTTCCTGTCAAATAAGGTTTTGGAACCGCGTTCTGTATCAACAAACAACAAACGCGCATACACGTGACCTGACGCGGGAGTGTATAAATGTAGCTGTCTTACCTTAGTGGTCGACTCCAACTTTTGCCTCCTTCACGCCCAAATTCTGTAGTACGTCGCTACATATCCATTTCAATAAGCCCTTCTACATTCAATAGTAACAATGTCTTCCAACACTTCCGTTTCCCCACCCCCTATCGAGACTCTTCCTGCCTCTTCGTCTAAATCCAGGAAGCCAGCATCTAAGAAGCCCGCATCAAAGAAGGCCCCCACCAAAGCTGCTCCCAAAGCTGCTCCCAAGGCAGCATCACATCCTTCCTGGAAGGACATCATTAAGGTTCGTCAGTGCAATTGGACCATCGCAAATATATAATTCATCAGTCAATCTAGGGGTGCATCATGGCTCACAAGGAGGATGCTCGCAGTGGCGTATCAAGAGCGACTATCAAGAAGGTGCGCATATGTTCTACGTTTGTCTAGTCATGACTAACTGGCTGGCCTACAGTTTGCAGAGGAAACCTACCACATCGAGGTCTCTGGCACCAACTTGTACCAACTTAACCGCGCGATTTCATCTGGCGCCACGGCGGGCATCTTCTCCTTGCCCAAGGGTCCCTCTGGCAAGGTCAAGCTTGCACCTAAGAAGAAAGCGTCTGATGATGAGGTATGTGATCGTTGCGATCTTGCGTTCGTAGCGCTCACGCACATCAGAATTCGAAGCCTGCACCCGCAAAGAAGCCAGTCGTGAAGAAGGCTCCTGCTCCTGCCAAGAAGACTGATACCGCCTCCAAGAAGACTGCCACAAAGAAGGAGACAACCACCGCACTCAAGGCAAAGAAGCCTACCACACAGAAGAGCTCCGTAGCTGCCACCAAGAAAGCTGCACCAGCACCCAATAAAGCTGCACCAGCACCCAAGAAGGCCGCGCCGAAGAAGACTACCGCTGGCGCTCCAGCAAAGAAGCCAGCAACGAAATCAGCAGCGCCTGCCAAGAAGGCATCGACCGCGAAGACAACAGGGAAGAAGGTGCGCTAATGAGTTGACACTGCGTTTAATCAGCCTCACATTCACTCCAGGTCGCTGCCAAGGCTGCAGCTACCAAGACCGCCAAGAAGCCTGCCTCGAAAGCAAAACCTGCGTCATCGCGAACTAGAAAGGTATGCTCTCGTGCGCATCTCTTTACTTCTAAGAGTTCACATCTTCGTTCTTCCAGGCGGCTGCTTAATACCTTGTACCACATTGCCTAGACTCAGTTTCTCCTCCATCTGGTGTGACATTAGCGTGCTCCGTGTATTTTTGATACCTTATTCGTGTACTCTTACTATCAATTATTGCATACCATTCCAACGAGACTGCAGCTATGGCCTGCGATGGCTCTTGAGATATACTCTTTCCCTGGTAAGGCCATGGATATACAACCACAGCGGTGGTATAGACAGACTATTAGCGCTCTTACGGGGAATCAGCTTTCCTTTTTTATGGACTTTGTTCATTCCAATTCTTGCTACATGTGGTACCCGAGTTACATACGTAGCGTGCTGCGCAGTCAGTCAAATGCTCAAAACCGTTCATTGTTCATAGCTGTGGTGTTGTATTAGTGAAAGAAAAAAGGCTACTACTAATCATTAAGGTCATCAATTAGAATGCGGTACCGAAGGCTCCTGGGGCTGCGGAGGCCCCTGGGGCTGCGGAGCCGCCGGCGTGGGCATGGGCATGTCTTGAGGACCGTTCTTTGTCCATCCTGAGTTTCTCGACATAGATGAACGTCATGATGACAGTGTCCATCATATGAACTACCTCAGGTGATACTTCCAGCGTGGCTTTACGTTTCCTTCCTATAATTCCGAGAGTCGCCCTATGATAGCGAGCGACCTCGGTTCGAGATCTGTCGTTCCGTGAGAGCTGAGATCACAGAGTGAGAACCGAAGTATCACATCAACGGAGGACGTAAAGGCACACTCACAACAACTACTCTGTGATGGAGATCCCAGCGATAGGGGCGACCATCTGGACCAGTGAACACGCGCTTCCTGCCAGAATGTCACTATGACGATCCGGAACTCGTGGTAGGAAGCTACTTACCGCCCCGTGAATCCTCTGCTTTCAATAAAATCCGCCGTCTCTACTTCAGTTCCACCAAAACGAAACTTTGAGGAAGACCATGTGTGCCACTCAATCTCTCCCATAACGTCAAATTGGTTCCACATACGATTATTTGGGTTGGGTTTTCGAATTGTCGTAGTGCGGGAGCCAAAATTGAATGGAGTGTCTGTCGTGTAAATAACCTGTCCCCCCTCGTCGGTGATGACAGTGTCGCGAACGTGCTCAGTGGAGAGAGTAAACGAAATCATGGGGTGTCCGTAGTTAGTTTATTGTGCACTGAACACGCATACTTACCTGGACCTTTTGAAGTGGTTGACTGAGGGGAAGGCAGTTGCCAGTGGCTATATGGATACTGTTACCGCCGATCCTGTGCATAACAGGCCGCCTCCAGCAGCCCAGCTTGGAAATTTCTAGTCGAATGACAGCACTTCCGCGGCGCGTCTACATGATTGTATGCCGGTGAGAAAAGTATACATGCACACCTTTGGAGAGGCGAGGCGCTCTCTCGTGTCAATGACAAGCCACAGACATAAAGGCGCAGATTGCCCAAAGGTACCATAAATGTACGATGTTACTCCTCAATTAGGGTCGCTGTTGCCGACAAGCTGTCGTAGTCATTACAGTAGTGCCAAGAATGCTGCGGTCAGGGGTGTCAGCTGTGCCAACAAGAGAAAGTATTCACCTTTCCGCATATGAAAAAGACTTCCACAAAAGAACCTTCAGTACTATGTTGATAATGGTCTGGTAATAGTCAGAATGGAACATAATGTGTGGGCTTAGTGTGGACGCACTGAGGTCACCACTGGTTGATATCATGATGAAAGGTGCTGCGACAGAAACTAGTTTACTGAGAGGAGAACATAACCACTCAACCTCACTGACGCACAATTTGAAAGGAATGGTTGACAGCTCTTACACTAGACCTACCGCCTGGACTTGGCTTATAAGGTGCACAGGTTGATCTCGCTCGAAGAGCAAATATTCATGCATACGGTATTAGTTGAATAAAACATGAAGGTTATCCATTAAAACGTGGTACCTGAGCTACCTCACTCAATTTCACGGACCACCAGCCCCCGAGGCTGCGGCATTAATATTTCTTGTAGCCTGTTCGTCGTCCATCCTGAGTTTCTCGACATAGATGAACGTCATGATGACGGTGTCCATCATATGAGCTACTGCAGGTGATACTTCCAGCGTGGCTTTACGTTTCTTTCCTATAATTCCGAGCGTCGCCCTATGATAGCGAGCGACCTCAGTTTGAGACCCATCGTCTAGAAAGAGCTTTAATTGTACCGTGAGAACCAAAGTATTATGTTAACGGAGGGAGTGAAAATGTACTAACAACAACGACTTTGTCCTGGAGATCCCAGCGATAAGAGCGACCATCTGGACCAATAAAAACGCGCTTCCTGCCAGAATTTCAACTAATGACGACCCAGAACTCGTGAAAATGTGCCTACCGACCCATCCAGCCTCTGTTTGGAATGAAATTCTTCGTCTCTACTTCGGTTCCACCAAAACGGAACTTGGAGGAAGCGAATGTGTGCCACTCGATCTCTCCCATAATCTCGAATTGGTCCTGCATACGAGAATTGTCGTCATTGGGCTTGATTTTGTGAATCGTCGTAGTGCGGACGCCAAGTCTGAATGGAGTGTCTGTTTTATAAATAACCTGACCTTGTTCATTGGTGATGACAGTGTGGCGAACACTTTCTGAAGAGAGTGTTAACGAAATCATTGTGGGTGCACCTACTGTGTACTTGGCTGCTTGCTTGACACGATGCCTTGACCTTTTAAATGATTGAGCAGGATGGCTATGGTTCAACTGTTACCATCATTTCTATGCACCGCGATGTCGCAAGGCAGTACTTGTCTCCAAGTTGAGCTGCTATGGACTATTCCATAGAAATTACCACAAGCCAAGGAAAAGAATAGATCGTTCGAAGCTTCTAAAAAGAACAGCGGTAGTGCGATCATCGTGTAGTCATGCTTATGGCATCAATGGGTCGATGGCCAATGGTGACGGTATTGAGTACATAAAGGAGTCTCTTGGAACATTCAGATCCCAACGTGAGCCAACGTGAAACACGTCCTCCATTTTCCCAAAATCATCCAATGCCCACTACAGAAACTTCACCGCTGCTCGAAAATGGCTGCTATAATGATGATACAAACCTAGGTTTTACTCGTCGCGCCGTCAGCTTCCTCAAGGGCGCGGGTGAGCCGTCGTGGGCGGAGTCGTTCAAATTCTTCATTTTCGGGACATGGTTCAACATCCTACTCGTATTCATACCTCTCAGCTTCTTCTCTCACTACTTGGACTGGGACGCTGGTCTAAGGTTTTTGTTCAGCTTCATGGCCATCGTGCCCTTGGCTAAGGTGACAACCACTCATATCATCAGACTCTAAAGGGTAACATCATCGTTTTTAGTTGTTGGGCGAGGCAACAGATCAGCTGTCCGTTAGATTAGGGGACACTATGTCAGGTCTCCTTAATGCATCTTTCGGGAATGCCGTAGAGATCATCGTCGGCGTTGCTGCCTTACTCAATGGTTTGTCCACCGTTCTGACATTGTTCGTAACTCATCATGATCCTAGGTCAATTGCGAATCGTCCAGACGTCCGTGAGTGTTTCGACACGCCCTCTATTTGCGATATCATGACCTTGGATCAGATGCTTGGATCGATTTTGTCAAACGTACTGCTCGTGCTAGGTTGTTCGTTCCTTGCCGGTGAATAACTTTGTTTTTGAAGGAGAGTTTGGACTTACTTTGTGTAGGTGGAATATATCATGAAGAAGGAAGTTTCAATATTACTGGAGCTCAGACGTACGTCCTCGTCCTTAAAATCCTTGACTGATTTACAATGGTAATTAGTTATGCATCCGTAAGTTATTTGTATTGTTCTTCGCAATTATCACTAACCAAGCCTAGCTTATGACATTGTCGTGCATCAGTAAGAACCTCTTCTGCAACTTGAGTTTCGCTGACAATCCATAGCGCTTGTTATTCCTGCGGCCTATGCAAGTACCACACGCGTCGGATTGCAAAAGGGTCATCATTGCGGCGTTCCCGATGAAGAAGGCGGATGTCCCACTGCTGGTGTGCTCTTTATATCCAGAGGAACTGCCATATTGCTCTTGGCAGTTTACTGTGCATACCTTTGGTTTCAGGCATGTTCTATTGTCTTTTTACTCTCATGTACTAATTCAAAGGTACAGCTAAAAACCCATACCCGATTGTTCCGTCTCGATACACCCGCAGGGGAAAGTCAAGAAGCCAGCGAGGAAACGGAGCCTCGTATGGGCACGGCCGCGGCCGGTGTTGCGTGCGTTTGGTTTAGTTATTTGCTATATTGTGCACTCATGCTTATCCGTTAGACTTTTGTCAGTCACTGTCATCATCGCATTTTGTGCTGAGTATCGTAAGTGACCCACTTTGCTCCCTTGACCTCATGTTCATTTGTTCTAGTTGTCGCCTCCATCGAGGAAACTGCAGAGCGCTATTCCATTCCGAAGGCCTTTATTGGTGTTGTCTTGTTGCCGATCGTGGTAGGTTTCAAGTTATGTCAGGTTGACCTACCTGCCCACATCGTTTGTAGGGCAATGCTGCAGAACATGTCACTTCAGTCTGGATGGCAATGAAGAACAAATACGAGCTTACAATCAGTATTTGCGTTGGGAGTTCGATTGTAAGTGCACACATTATCATTAGATAGTGATTGAACTGACTATTGGGCAGCAAATCGCCTGTTTCGTCGTGCCACTTCTTGTGATCGTTGGTTGGATGTACGATCAGATATCGCAATCTCGAGAAATTTTGTTCTCACTGTTCTTTGTTTTATAGCGTCGGTCAACCCCTGACGTTGCAATTCCAGAACTTCGAGGTCTGTTTATTCACACATTCCGTGAAATTATCTAATTTTATTACGAATTATCAGACAATCGTTGTCTTTGTATCTGTCCTCCTGGTCAACCTACTAATCATGTCAGTATCCAGTTTTCCCTTCGCCATCGAGACATCACTCACTTTTTTCAGGGACGGCAAATCGAATTATATGGAAGGTCTCATGCTGGTTACCCTCTATGTGATCATCGCCCTTGCCTGTAAGTTGTTCAGTCAAGCCTTTAGTCACATTCTCATCGCATTTCAGTTTGGGTGGCCTAAAGCAACATGTGTGCTATATTTATTGGGGTCAAATACATTGACATTCCCGACTTATCTCTCTAATACTCCCTTAAATTTCCTTCGTCCGTCGGGGGCTAAGATAGCCATTAACATACTTATTTGTGTAACATATCTTTCATCAAAACATGTGGTAAATTGCACGACTCTCTCGAAGGGAAGCGGCATACATAGATTCATAGCGCCAAGTAAATGTGAAGGGTCACTTGTCTGAGATAAGGCTGTCTCCTTGAAGCTCTTCAAACTTCTTGCGCGCCATGCAAATGTTCATCTTAATGGCTGCAGTCTCTGCACGCGTGAATGTGGATGAGCTGGAACAGACGATATAGAACTCAACAACTCACCGATAACTGGGTCATGGACTACAACTAAAACATAAGTATTTTTGGTCATTTCATCAAGCACAGCAGTAAACTCTGCCAGTTCCATCTCAAGAGAGCGGAATTCCTCCCTAAGACGTGAGCATGACTGTTTGAATGCTTTGATAAGCTCTGAAGTCCTTTCATATCGCTTTGGGTCCAGCGCATGAAGAGCAACAGGGGCAGAGGGGAAAGCATCGGAGGAGTCGGTGCGCGAAGACGTTGCGATGACAAGGAAGGTGGTGCGTTCAAAGAGTATCACCTCGGTTGCACTGCAAGCTTCAGCAAAGATACGGAGGTGTTTCGAGAGGTTACGAGCGTTGGGAATCAGCGTGTTCACAATATTTGACCATGCCTTGCACAAATCTCAGTGGTAAACTCGATAGCAGAGGAACAGGAATATCCGGTACCTTGTAAAGGCTCTCAGTCGTAGATGCTCGTCCCAAACACCTTCATCTGTGTCTCTCCACTGGCTTTCTCGAGTTCTGCCACCTTGCGTTGCACGACAGCATTCCGTTCGGCCTCCCTCACCAGGTCTATTTTGTGCACAAGGAGAAACACGTTCGCATCCTTGCTGAACTGTGACAATCCCTCCAGGCAATCCCGATAGTACTCCAGATCCTTTTCCATCTCACGGGACTCGACGTCAAAGACATAAATCATGACAGCCGACATGCGAAAAGATGATCGAGCGTTGTGCACTCAAATATGAATCCATGAAGGCATCTTGACCACCACAGTCCCAAAGGTTGAGGATGAGATCACCTAGGAATCGGACATGATTCTGCTCGACGTCAATCGTCGCGCCGAGACGGGAGGTGAGGGATGCTGGGTTGTTGGAGCTGAGGGGCGTTCAGCTGGTCCAAGTGAAGCAAATGGTGCTGTCTTACAATATCATGGACCGCATAGAAGTCTTTCCGCTACCAGACGCTCCCATTAATAGCACCTAAAGTCACCAAATGACTATACTGCATGGTAGACGTGAGAGCCTGGCGCACTTTTTTCTTCATTTCGCAGCGATATAACTTGATGAACTGATGATATATGGAGGCTGCTGCTATAAGTAAGTCGATGTCATGATTAACACAAGGCTTAGTATAGATTTCACACGTGGTACATCTCTTAATTACTCTTGGCCGTATTAGCCATATTCTTCAAGCTTCAAACTTGCACCACTTCAGCCTCTATATGGCATTCGTAACGGTTAATACTACTTATTCCACCCTGGCATGGTTGCCAGCATGAGGATTCGCCAGATATCGATGGGGATTCAGATAACGAATTGCCCAACTTCTAGGTGGCATCCCTTTGGTACGAATCTGAAACATATGCATACTCTTAAGTGTTGAGCTACATGCAAGACCTAACAAATCACGAGTCACTTGACGTACTGTCCTTGTCAGCAACGAGACAGGGTGCGACGAACGCATAAAGATGTTTTCATAGTTCAATCATTAGGACCCGGAATTTCGACTCGCGAAGTGGTCAGCCGCTTTATCTTGAATTATGCACTGCAATCGTTGGAAGTTCCACATCCATCATTTGAGACCTGTCGATTGGCTTCCTGGCGTTGAGTCTAGTGGTAATATGAGTTGATATGTATAGTTGGCTCGTTCTTTAACCTACATGGCCAGCACCGAATTTCCGTAGGCTGTTTGATACGCACCATCTCAGACTCTTGGAGGATGATGACTCAGGAAAAGACATCACTCACAATTTCTGAGAACCATAGCTACGCCTCCGATGGCAGCAGGCGCGTTTACCCAGTACTGGGGTTCGTCATTTAGTCGAGAAAAGTTTTACATAGATTGATGTTGCGCACCAAGATGCAAATGCTGATGGCCAGCAAACTGTCAGGTTACGAAGAAGATGCTTAAAGTTCGTGGTGATCAGATTCAAGCAATCCAACACTTACCATGAAAGAAACCCCGTGCCGATAAAATTCTTGGTTATGCACGGGATACGGGTGTCCATGCTACATGGCACTGGTGAATATCTTGACGATCCGGTTGCAGCACACCAACTTACCGCCGGACCCCAGATCTTCCAGAACGCAGGTAAAAGTATACGGAAAGACTAATCATGGAGTCACACACAACGCTCAGAAATGCCCCTGCAGTAGATACTTTGAGTGGCTGCCAAAAAAAACGTCAAAACAGCGTTAAGGGATATACTCAGACATACTCCATCGCTCGCGAAAGCCCCGGAGCTCCTGTAATAGTTGCTGAACTAGGTTCTTCGAAGGTAAACTGAAAAAACTCACTGCTGTGGAACAATTACTGAACGCAAAAAAACCCGTCAGTCGCACGTAGGGAGCTAGACCGTCCCAAACTAACCCAAACCGAGCGCTGTCATAAACGACTATAAATCACAGTCAAGATGTAGTAGACAAAGAAACTCACCATATGACGAAACTGAGAATAAAATCTATTGCTCGCCGATATTAGTTCATCTATCTAGCCAATGCAATGGAATACGTACTATTGGTATGGTGACGTAGATGTTTTTGTTGCTGACTACGTACACAACTGATTAACCAACGATACACAACTAACATATGATGACTTACTTATCCACACACGATGACAATAAAAACTGCGCCGCCCAGAAGTAAGCGTCATTCATAACAACGATCGGCGCAGTACCTTTGCACAATGAATGGTACTGTAGACTTGAAAGGACGTTAAATAGATAGCACGGTACTTTTTAGGAACTCACAGCCAGACAGAGAAGGACCATCGCCTGCCACAGGCAGAGTCAGATATGCTCAATCTGAGAGTGAAAGCATCGTGCTCACCGCCGTGTCCCTACAGTTGCGTTAAAACTAAATTCATCACAAGTATGCATGTGAGGCAGCTCACCACGCCTGACACTTTGAAGAATAACTTCGAAAACAATAGGAGAAGAACGACCAGTACATAAAACCGGTCAATGCCGTCGCGAACGCATTCAGGATCCTGGCTCATAGTGAAATAATGTATATGATAAGTATGGTAGACCAACGAACAAGAGAGTGACAACCTAAATTTACTCAGTTGGAGAATGGAAGTCATACTGCTATGCATCACTCACGAGACACTTGAGCAGCTGTTTGTCACGAGGGAAAGCTCGATAATAACAGAATCCCTGGGCGACAGCAATACCCAGTTGCCTATTAAAGCCATTGATGTCAAATGTGTTCGGTAATTGAGACTGACTGACACTAGAGAGACGGTCAACCCTGAATGTTAACATGTACTCAGTAAATAGGGAATTAAAGCACAAATATTGCACCACACTCTCACCTATGAACTGGCTTGCTAACGCAGACATAACGCTGAGAGCTGGGAGGAAGGTGTTTTAGTGGCAGTTCTGCCGGAGGAAAGGTTTTGACTTCAAAATTCATGTACATACATAACACAGTGACTAGTATATATGGGGTGTTCAATGACCCTGACGTGTGTGAAACTGGCTCACCCAGCTTGCCAACTTCAAGGTTCATGCAATGTTAATTAGCTTCTTAACGCAATTGGATACAAGGTCAAATACACACTGCAATGCTGTACATACAACAACCTGAACCGTTATTATCGCACTTACTCGTATTATTTAACCCGATATGACGCTTTGGGGGGGATATCAATTTGACTATTGCCGGCAACCTTGCACTAGTGTGATTATACAGGGTTAGACGAGCCTGGGTCTGGCTAGGTATGGCGAGCGAGGCCCGGATGAGATGCGAGCCGCTGGTAGGTCTTTTCCTCCAATAGCCAATGTGATGTTTTTCAACTATCTGAACTTAGACACAGCATCCGAGCTCTTGTTACTTATGAAAATCTTGGGATAGTCCACCGATCCTGATTATCACAACAGGGTCCTTTCCATCAATCAGAGCGCTTCCCTCAGTTATCAGGAAAGCCTCGGTGATCAGTAAAGGTTGACGTACAAGTGAGCTTGAGCTGCGGACCGGCAATATCAGAGGAATATCCCTTCAGCCCATCGTCTGCCGTGTGTTCCCATCTCCACTGCTGCAAGTCCCCAATCCTCACCGTGATTGTGGCCCTTCTCTAATCCTCTGCCGAGACCAGCTCGTTCCAACGCTTGGTCCTCAGTGAGTGCCGTCAGGACGCCGAAGATGACAGGGATACCCGTGTCAAGCTGGATCTTCATGAGGGCGTGAGAAACGCTGTCGCAGATATACTCGAAATGCATCGTAGAGCCCTTGATCAAGACGCCAATGGCTACTACTGCGTCGAATGGAGTATTTGGCATGCCGACAAGAGTTGAAGTGGGAACAGAATGTTCTTTGGTGGATGGAAGTGACGTCGAAGAACCACCGAAGCTCAATCCGATCAGATCGCTAGAAGATGTAGCCGCTTGAACATGAGACCCTGCAATCACTCTGTATAATAGCTGAGCTGATGCTTAGACGGAAACATTGATACGTACTTCGAGCATGCGAAAGGAAGTTCAAAACTACCAGGAACAGACTGGACAATAATGTTGGAGTCTTTCACCCCACATGCTTTCAGCTTGCTGATTGTGCCCGCTAAGAGTGCATCAATGACAGTCTTGTTCCATCGCGCATGTACGATGGCGATGCGTAAACTAGAGCCATCGAATTGAGTACTGGATGGGCCCTTGATTGAACTCATATTCGAGGTTGATGATCAATGAGGGGGTAAACTAACAAATAAGGTTGTCGTATTTGACACTGTTTATCATTGTCTAGTAAAGTGCCATAAATTTCTCAGTTAAACTTACGGGGAGCTGCCAGCTCTTGTTTCTTTAACTCATTACTAGCCGCTGGTCATCCTCATAGTGCTAGTGATGGACGGGAACCTTGCAGGTAGGCGTGCCATCACATTGGCACATCTGAGAAACTGAAAGATAGTCCCTCACAGTGACATATTCTCTGATCTATGCGTTTCTGAAAAAGCAGTCCCAGACAAAGGCAGCTGATGCTGTGAAGAAAGCTGCAAGGAGCGTAATCGTCCTAAAGGACGATTTCAAACTAGAAGGTCCCCACTTGGATGAGATAGTAAAGCGGTGGAAAGAGTCACAGGCTGCTGACAATTCGTGAGTGTTCACATTCCCCGATATATTTCCTTTACTCAAGCAAGAGAATGCAGTTCTGAATCTGACTGTATGTATTCCATGTCGCTATTTTTAAAAGCTTTATTACTATGGATGATAGCTTCAGATGATTCCTCCGATGGTGCGTTATCCCCAGTCATGTATAAACAGACCGTATCAGATGTAAATTCGGACAGACTCATCGACAAGTTCCAGTTCTGATTCCAGTTCCAGTTCATCTGAGTCAACGTATGTTCCCGAGATGTGTGATTTATCTTGCTCACCCGAAACTGAGTCAGTCTAAAGTTCAGGCTCGGATGAAACAGGCATGTATTTATTATTGTCGCCATGTGTTGCCTTCTCACACAACCACAGATTCATCATCAAGTGAAAGTGAAAGTGATGACAAAAAATCAATTCAAGCCTGTAAAGAGGCCCCTGAGACTTTGTCATGCGGAGAGCGCGAAACGAGTGCTACGCTTTCCTCTGGTATATTCCGTTCATCAGTGGCAGCTATTACATCTAACTTGTGAAAGATGCCAAGGTTTCTGAAGTCAAGTCTCGAGTCCCCAAGATGGGACCATCCATCAAAGGAAGTTCAAGCTCAGGATCGGATTCGGATTCTGATAACTCCACAACTGAGCTTCCGTCCAGCAAAAAGCTAGCCCGCAAAGACGCGCCAAAAAAGGATAGTGATTCATCAGACTCCGAATCTAGCTCCTCTTCCCCCGAGTCAAGCTCATCTGACTCGGAGTCGACCACGTCCAGTTCTGAGTCCGAGTCTGAAGCAGAGACCACTCCAATTTCTAACCAGAATCCTGTCAAAGGCAAAGTCGCTTCCTCCAAATCCAGAGCTAATACGGACGTTGCGTCAACCCCGAAGGAGGAAATACAGGTGACGAAAAAGCGAAAGACGTCTGAGTCTGGAGCTGCTGTAGTTACTGCTGTGGTCCCGAATGCCTACCGATAGTGTGCAAATCTCGACCAAGAACAAAAATAATGGCAATAACAAGCCGCCACGAAACGTGAACGAGCGATTCTCGAGGATAAAACCCCAAATTATACCTCCGGAGGAACTCCTGGACAACGGGTATGAAGCAAAGGTGAGGTCTAGCTTTGCATCACCTGCGAGACCTAACCCCCTTGCATCGTACAGGGTGGTGCTACTAATGACTACGGTAACCGTGCACACCAAGACTTGATCGTTACGCGAGGCGCGGGGTTCAGGAAAGAGAAAAACAAGAAGAAAAGAGGTTCATATCGTGGCGGAGAAATTACTGTGAGCATGCGATCCCTTCGATGTCGATATAGTCATTGCCTGATTGATTTGCCAGCTGCAAAGTCACAGTATCAAGTTCACAGATTAGATACATGTATTCGCTGGCAGAATATGCATCGCATGGGTTGTAATCCGACACCCCATCCGCATAATCTTCACCAAATACACTATACCGATACCTTCGTGTGTGCATTGAAACAGAACTAGCACTAAGGGAGGTAAGAATCTTTGTTTGGGCATTGTTTGGGCTAGTCGATATCGAACACAATAATTACTTGGTTGTTGTATCATCTACGTACTGACCCTAATTGTGTACCCATCAGTCTACCACTACTTGTACCCTGAGATTGGCTAAAGACTTGATTCTAAACCGCTGTACAGCCACAGACCAAACACAACCAAGCGCCATCCTCTGTGTGCAGCAGTTCCTTAGCAGACAAAATTTTGGTGTGTACCACCGTTTTCTGCGAAATCTGTCGCTGGTCAGCCAGTAGAGCAAGTCGCGTGAAGAGAACAAGTGTCTTCCTTCTATCTGGTCTGCCTAGGGGTGACTAGGTGACTACACCGTTTCAAGGTCAAATTTAAGTACTGTCCACCATGGCTGGTGTCGGTCCTGCACCCATTCTCTTCAATGAATTCTTTCAGATGTTCATGAGGTGCATGCCTCCAAATGGTTGGCCAGTGAACTCCAAGATCGGTGTGTTTCTCTTTGTCGTATTTCATAACATAGCTGCAACCTAGTCCGTTTTACCTTAGCCGTTGGCAACTCGGGAGGACCAGATTCCACCTGCTTGTTGTTCCTTCTTAATATGTTGCTTACCGACTTGCGCTCAAAGGCCATGGCTAGACAATCAATCCCGACTTCAGTTGTTTCCCTCTCTGTCAACCATAACCTCCAAGAAACTTCACAGTTGATGGCAGCCCGCTCTGCATCTAATGCAGAAGCCATGGGGGTTGAACATCTGACGCTTGACATACCCTGGGGAACACCACCGTTTTCTGCGAAACCTGTCGCTGGTCAGCCGGTAGAGCAAGTCGCGCGAGAGGCACGGTATCATGTCGTATTTAATGGGATGACGCACACTGGCGCACACTCGGTCGCATTCGGGCACCATGCCGATGACCAAGTAGAAACTTCGTTAATGCGTCTCGCAAGGGGAACGACCGAACTTGGCGCAGGAGGCATGCGACGATGCCGCAGATGGGGCATGGGTACTGGGGATGTAGAAGGTGGTCTTGGGTGGGTTGGTCACCATGGATTGAACCGTTGGATTGTGAGACCTCTACTCGAGGTCAGGAAGGTCAGGGCTGCTTGACACTAATTTGAATTTGATTTGTTGATAACTGATATGTAGGATAGGATCCTTGCTACATGTGAAGAACATCAGCTCGATTACGTGAATGACCCAACAAATTTTCAACCTGAGATCACATTAAGAAATGCGATTCGGAAAATGCTAACCCTGCAGGAAGAGGGCAAAGATATGGTGATATTTATTTCTGATGCATATCCAGCGTCGCTTACCATTACACAGTCTGCACTTTCGGGGCTACCACAACATATTGCTAGCTCCCTCGATAAAATAAAAGTAGCTGCAGCTGACCTGCAGGACACACCAATGGATCTCACAGGTGGAATCCATCAGCTCCATGGGGCAGTGAAAGTTCTTTCGTCTCGACTCGAGGATGTTGATAACGAGGGTGAGCAATCATTACATCAGTATCATTCGGATCGGGATTCATAGCTTCGATAGTCACGTTCCACCTCAAAAACCTGACACTCCCTTCTCCTCCAAGTACTCTCATCCTTTCCTCGCACGCACTGCCTGCTGTTGTAGATCCAACCGTTCGTCTTGCGTTCGTTCTTCGGGTCATGCGCTACGTATCGTTCCATCCATGGGGTTCTATGCGCGCGGACGGCAACCGACGCAGAACCAGCATACAGCGCATCATCGATACACTGTGGCAGTTTGATGGTGCCCCACCATTCACTGCAGGTGGTGGAGTGCTTTGGCAGCCTGCGATATTCAGCGCTAAGAAGCGACTCCGAGTGGGCACCCAATGTCTTGGCCGCCAGTTACAACCAGGCGAGAGATTTGCATGGATGGCATCTAGACTGCCTGCTGTTCCCTACCATGTATTGGACACTGCAACACTGCCTCCAAAGTTGGATGTCGATGTCACAGAACGCCTCGCAACCGCCATAAATCGCGGTAACCCCTCTTTGGAGGTCCTCTTTGACTGCCGTTTCCTTGTGCGCTTTGATCTATCACAGGTTCCAGAAGAATTGGTCGACGCTTTACGGAAATACCAGGAGACGGGGGTGAACGTGCGGATTAGGCCTCACACGAAATTCTACTGGCCCAAGGTGGTACTGCGACAACCTTCTTGCCCAGATACCATACATGCTACACTGTTGGATGACGGACAGATAGGCACGTTCGGGCGTGCGCCCTGGGTGTCCATGGAATACATAAGACTGTTGGACGCGACCTAATACATAACTTACACCTTTACACACAAATCATAACATACAACGGTGTTGAATCGTTTTCACATCCGAGCCTTCTCCCCACCCCTGAGCTGCAAAAACGCTTCGAAAACGCCATACCAAACCTGGGGATCGAAGTACTCGATGTAATCGTGACCGAAGCGATGATGTGGTACTGAACCTGTTCCATCTCCTACCGGCACCGTACGTGCCCATGGAATGATCTTCAAAAAGCCCTGAACATTGGAGAAAGGCAAGATCTGATCGAGTTCGCCGTGGATGATCATGAATTGTGTGTCCGGCGACAAATGAGAATGACACCCTGTGAAGTCAAATCGGGAGACTGCTCGCCGTTGCTGTACTGTGCTTGGATGAACGCTGCGCTGACATAAACTCGGAGAAGATTACCTATGGTCTTGAATGGCCTGGATATTGCATTTTTTCGGTCAGCACTGTGGCCATCTTGCATAAAGACAGAAACACGACCTTCCAATTAATCCGCGATCTATGAGTTCTTCTATTCTCGCTTGGTTGGCTTCACTAGCAAACCACTCGGGGTCATAATTTTGGGGCATACTGAGGCGCACCGTTTCCCTGATTGTTTCCAGTGTCAATGGTCCTTTCGGTCTGGGCGCGAACTTTAGTCCGTATCCTGGGTCCAGAGTGGGTGTGAATGCGGTACAAGCAAGTACAACGTGTGTCACACGAAAATGTAGGGGAGTCGGATTCGTGCGATGAAAGGGTAAGAATAAAAGACACTGAACAATCATGCCTTGTCATAATTATATGTCAGGTGCAAATTGTAATCTGAGTTGCCTCCTTGGACCTACCTCCCATGGAATGTCCGCACAGAGCAACCTCGCTCCATTGAAGATGCTTAATTAGAGACAGAAGGTCTCTTGCCAGTGTGTCGAGAGTAAAAGAGTCATCCTTGCGAGCCCTAGAATCCCCCATGCCTCTGTACATCACTAAATAAGATATATTGAGAAAGTAGTCTATAAAACTTACCTGTGGTCATAGATCAACACTGTATCGAGTGAACATTATATACTGCTTAATATTACTCATTCGGTGTTTATTAGTAACCACGCACCTTGTCGATTTTTGGCTAGCAGCGATGATATTTTCTCGGTGTCCCCCCGACAGGATGTGACGCCGCCAACGAACACGAGCGGCACTGGTGCCCCTTTGCGGTCTGAGCCAAGCACCTCGTAGGCTAACTGAGTTCCATCTGGAAGTTGCAAGATAGAGTAATTGTCCATCTTGGCCTTATGCATAGACTCGGGGCCAGCCGCCTCACAGGTACACGACAGTGACAAGGAGTGCGGGGTGGTTAGAGCCGTTGGATGAAGGTGCTATTAGTTGACTCTATTTCAAAGTCCGATCATGATCTGACACGACGTACATGTGATTCAATGCGCGTATGTACCACCGTTCGGTTATAGAAGAATAAGAATACGTTCGAACCGTAACCGTGTATAAGAAGATAACGGATTCGAGCTCGAAAACTTCGTATGGGACAATATCTACTTACGAATTGCAATAGCAGCAGATTGGCGGCACAAGCCCCTTGTTCAACATGCGGTCAGTACTGCCATTCTTAACTCACTGCATCTCAGGTATCTAGTTCTCGCAGTACCAACCTGTCGAACCTTGAGTAGCGGTACGTTCAGCCGCAGCAGTTTGAATGTATAGTGCTGAACTTCTACGATCAACTAGACCTATGCCAGTGTATGCAGCAGTGTTACGATCGTCGCATCGAGAAACACATGGATTTGCTGCCACTACAGATCAGCTGCGCAGAGCTCAAGAGAGGGCAAAATTTTCAGCACCGCCATCGGAAAGGTATCCTCCCGATGTACTTAGGCCCCGCAAGACCTCGGGGTCAACTCCGCCCTGATGTTAAATGCGTTTTAAGTTATGGTTCCACTGCGTCACAAAGCCGCAGGGCGTCATAACTGTTGACGTGGGCGTGAAGAGCTTTAACTGCCGCCCATCTATTCCCCCACGCACTGCATCACTGGAATGTAACTACGTAAGTGCATATGGAATTCATTCACTTGCAGCAGCAATTGTATTTGCTGCCATTTGTGCTCCTCTACTGGCCTTATTCATTATGAAGACTAACTTTTGTGTGTATCGTTCTTTCGCTTCCCGTGAGTATGATGTCACTCACGAGCGACTAAATTTCTCCTTTAGTTCGTTTTACAGCATTTTTCGACATCCTCCGCGCCTTACACTGTTGCAGCAGATGGGGAAAATCCGAACGTGTTAGTCACATACGAAGTTTTTCACAACATGAACTTCTTTAGTATTCTCTACTCTGAATCGGCTTACATCTTGGCGGGAGATCGGTATGTGGTGTTATGTGCTCGCTGCGAGGCGTCTTTGATGGGCTTTCTAAGTGCGAAGATTGCGCAGAACCTTTCTCGGGACCGTCTGCTTCGATATCACAGTTATTCTCATGGCAGCCGTCGCAGTGGGAATTCCTTACTGGTGCGGCACAGTATGGTACTGTACAACATCCAGTACCGTCGATACGGATAATACCCTCGATAAGCCGGTATCTGTATTTTTCTGGGGTGCGGTTTCATTCTTACTCTGCACGGAGTACTCAGGTATGGCGGAATTACCTTGACTGACGTAGCGCGGTACCAGGATTCTTGGCTCAACCTACAGCGTTTATATCCTTCCTATGATCTCGCTTCCGCTCGTTGCTCGTGAACATCGTGTGCGACGGCAAATAACAACACGGAACAAAGCAAGGAGGGCATCCTCTCGCTGCAGTGTGGGAAGTTTTGACTGTCCTGCTGTTTATTACTCACGTCAGTTCCGGTACCCTGCCCCCAGGTCAGAAATACCACAAGCTTACAAGATATCCGTCCTGAAAATTCGCATGGACAATCCTAAATATTTATCCCTTTACCTTACAGTACTAGTAACATTCACGATTCGTTTGATATACATACCTACTTGATATCATAAGCTCTGCGATGCATAGAGAAGCAAAAAAATTGGAATGAATTGCTTCTGAATAGTGCGGAGGTAGCGGCGACGGCATGATTTGGCCAGGACTGCGTCTGAGAAGGTTTGGACTAGTTGGCAGTAACTTACACACGTTGTCTACTTTTTTGTCTTTCTCTTCTGATTTTTGCTAGATCGCTTCATCTACTGAGCTCTCTGGTCGATCTCTCCTAAGAAATCACCCGAGCAGAAGACGTAAATTTTATCCCCGATGTCGTCGCAGGGGACACATCCGATTTCCCCTCCTCCTGTACCAGTCTCTCCTCCTTCAACTGGTGTCCGGCGTCATCACACAATCTCAGCATCATCTCGCTCAGCGAGGGCTGGTGCCCGTGCGCCCATTTCTGAGGAAGCGCAGGAGCAGCCACTCTCGAATGACGATGAGCTCGTTGGTGAGGACTGGCGAGGCGGAGTTGGCGCAGTGGGAGAGAAAACCTCGTTGCACCGACAAAGCTCGCTCCCCACCAAATATAAGGGTATGTGAAAAGACATATTAGATGCCTGTTCATCGTTTACCATGTATGCTCTCCAGCCGTCCATGGCCGAAGGTCACGACAGACGGGAAATCTCACCCCAAGAAATATGAATAGTTTATCTGCCATCGATGGTCACGAAGGCGATGAAGAAGACTGGGAAAACGACATGAGAGCGTTTCAGAATGAAGACGAGGTGAGTCTTTGTGCTTAATTTACATCTACATCATACACGCCACTGGCTGGTGAACTCCACATCACGGTGTTCGAGGCCATGAATACAGGCCATGTTACTCCATTACTTCCCAGTTGGCAACTTTTATACTCACACGATTCCTTCAGCACGATATGTCCAACTCTGAGTCTTCTCAGCATCAGCTCGTCGTTGACGCCCAATCGCAGTTGTCTACGGGCAATCCGTCCCCTCTGTCACCTCAGTTTTCAACTTCGCACGTCCCATCGCCGCCTCCTGCAGGGTCGGGCGTGCGACGTCACCAGAGCCTGACTTATGGGGCTCAGAGCGGTGTCAGGCAAATGTCCTCTTCAGGGCTCAAGCGTGCTGGGACTCTTCAAGGAAGTGGACGGCATCCCCCAGTCGGACATAGCCCCAGCCCTCCCAACGAGGAGGAGTACATCGAGGAACAGGAGCTTGTCAATTCTTACGAAGAGGACTCCTACTTTACCTCCCGGTCCCCTCCACCCCAGCAGCAGCAATATGCCCCTCAAGGTCAAGGACAGTATCCGACCAGCCCTATGGGACGCTCCTCTCCTTGGAACACTCCTGGCACCGGGGAGTGGCGAACCCCTGGTGGTTCGTTTTCCGCGGCAGGAACTGGAAATCCTGATGACCTCGCTCGTGCTCTATCCAGCCTCGACATCAACCATAATCTCTATGTCAGTAATACAGGATATCAAACAGGACAGACTGCCCATCCTCCCCGGTTTCAATCCACCCATCCACCCCCCGCACTTTCCCCTGGTATGCGCTCGGGCAACGTGCAGGGTGCCAACAATGGCTCCTCTCGCAAATTGCAGTTGAACACTGAATCTGATGGGCGCAGGACTCCAACTGCACAGCCCGGACAGGTGCCCGGCAGCGCGCCCGCATACGTTCAACCTATTGGAGCTCAACAGCAAATGCACCAATCTCGTGCTGGTTCCATGAGCGACGCCGACCGTGCAGTGGCTGTCACTGGGGCTACGGCTTGGGAACAAAAAGAGAAGCTTCTTGGCCAACGCACTTCTAACCCCAGCTTGAACTATCGATACAACCAAGGCCAAAAAGGCAATGTTCCTAGCGTACCGCCCATCCCTTCGCAGTATCTTAATCAGCAAAGCGGTCAAGCTCCCCGAATGGGGAATTCCTTTGGCCAGGGACAGATGCAAGGCGACAACAACGCCCAACCCGTTCCCGGGTTCATCAACACCCCTGTTGACGTTCCGACGCTGATTGCTGGAAAGGGATATAATCCGCCCAACTTCGATATCCGCCCCGGATTTGTATGTTGTCGCTGTCTTTGGATGTCATCGTCTCAATTAAAAATACTGCTCAGGCTCGCTATTTTGTCATCAAATCATATACAGAAGATGATGTTCACAAATCTTTGAAGTACGAAATATGGAGTTCTACAGATCCCGGAAACAAGAGACTTGACAAGGCCTTCAAAGAGTGTGGTGGGAGGGGTCCCATCTACCTCTTCTTCAGTGTGAATGCTAGGCAAGTGATTTGACGATCCAATCCCAACGCATGCTCACCATCACCTCAGTGGTCATTTTTGCGGAATGGCAGAAATGTTAACTCCAGTACGTATTATTTACTCTCAGCCCTCCAGAGGTTCCTGTTCATCTTCCGTCTAGGTGGACTATACAAGAAGCAGTACAGTATGGGCGTCCGACAAGTGGAAAGGTGTGTTCAAAGTGCGATGGATCTTTGTTCGTGATATCCCGAACGCCAACTTGAGGCACATCCGCTTGAGGTAAGTTACTCGCAACCAGGAGAACTTTTTTGCTGACCGTTTGGTTAGCAACACTCAAGAACGCAAGCCAGTGACAAACTCTCGAGACACTCAAGAGCTACTACCTGAAGCTGGTCAAGAAATGCTCCGTATCTTCCACACCCACCCTGCTAGGACTTCTCTACTGCAGGACTTTGCTTTTTATGAGGTGCGTGATAGAAAGTTTGCATTTGGGTTTAGCATTCACATCGCTAGCAGCTTCAGGCGATGCAGAAGATGCAAGTGAATCAACAGCAACAGCAACAAGGCGGAACTTTGACCCTGTCCGACGGTCCCACTCCACCATCGCAATCCCCTCCCCCGCAACAGACTATGTTCTCGATGAATATGGCGAACATGGCGACCACTCCTGCTATGTACGGCGCAATGTCGCCGGCTATGGGTGGCGCTTTGTCTCCCCATTTGCTCTCCATGCAAATGGGGATGGGGATGATGAGCCCAGCGTTTGGTATGCAGCAGACTCAGGCCATGCACCAGAGTGTCATGCGTCACCCCAGCCCTGGGCCCCCTGGACAGAACTTCATGAGTATGGGCGGCGTGCCATACTGAAGCTAGTGTCTTCACGATCTTATGGTGTTTCCCTTTCGCGCAGAGAAATGAAATGTGAAAAGTATCTCGATCACTAACATTGGATATAGATTTCTACTTTTTGCGCCGAATGTACTTCTCTAGTTTGTATATCCTTTTCGCCATGATAAGTTTCTTCATCTTTCCTGCTTTCTCTTTCTCGTTCAATGTTGTAACCATAGTCTCCCTTGTCGCACCATCACCGAGACCGAATATGCTGTCATAATTGCTACTTACACTGCAGCTGTACAACGGCCATGGACATGGGACTTTGATGGACGTGGATATCCGCTTGTTCGCTACATTGTAATTGTTTTGCCTGCTATTCCTTATCTATGCTACCGGTATTCCAGAAGTCAGGAATTCCGTTGCTATTTGCCCCACATTACAACCTACTGTACCTCTGCCCGCAATAGCTCGTGCAACGCCTCTGCGATCATCAATGCGAAAGAAGGGTCATTGATATCCACATCAAACTCATCCACTGGGCACTGCAAACCACTCCTCAGTGCGTGCAGCAGAGCGCCGTCCGCATCAGCATCGCGAAATGGTCCTGTGTCTTTGTCGATACCAGAGAGACCTCGCAAGGGCAGGATAACGCGTGTCTTATTAGTGGGCGCTCCCTTCAACTTTTCTACCATGATCTGGCCGAGCTTTGAGCATTCCTCGCGGGAGGTGCGCATCAGAGTGACTGAGGAGTTGTGATAGTGGAACAATCGCCCCTGAAACTGCTTTGGAATGGTGTCCGCTGGTCCGAAGTTGACCATATCCAAGGCACCCACTGACACCACTTGGGGAATACCATAGCTTGCTGCTGCCTCAAGGCGACGAGGACCAGCAGTGAGCACGCCACCCACAAGCTCGTCCGCGAGCTCAGTAGTGGTGATGTCAAGGACCCCAACAAAATGGCCCTCGCGGATGAGTCTCTCCATTGCTAAACCCCCAGCACCTGTGGCATGGAAGGCGATTACAGAGTAACCCAACTCCTCCAGCTTCTGAGTAGCCATCTGCACGCAGGGAGTGGTCAAGCCAAACGTACTGACTGCAATGGCCGGGCGTGACGACTTCAAATCCGCCCGAATAAGAGAACGTTTCGCCATCCCTGAAATAGCATCCGCTGCGTTTCCCAGGACGACTTCTAGTATTGTATTCATGCCGGCGACGTCGACAACAGAGTACATCATCGTGATATCTGATTCACCGACATAGTGGGAAACGTTCCCCGATGCCATGGTGGACACCATAAGCTTGGGAAAGCCGATGGGTAGGGCATCTCGAAACGCTCTCGTGCAGACGCTCGTATTACCCGAGCCTCCCGCTCCAATGACCCCCGCGATACTCTGAGTTGAGTGTAGACGTGCCAGAAGCTGCGTCAATGCGATGGTCATGATCTCCTGTCCTTTTTTGCGGGATGGCGTACTACAGACAGTGGTTGCATGTTCCCTCAGCACATCTGAACGGGGAATGTCGATGTCCCGCAAGTCAGGTGCATCATAGGACCCGATGTCAATTAGGATAGCATTGCAGACAGCAGTAGACTGAACTGCGCGCTTCAGGAAGATAAGAGCCTCAAACTTGGTGTCGCAGGTGCCTATAACTGCGACAGTGGGTGGTATCGGCATCATCGAGGTAGATCAGGGACCGCGAACCCTTCGCGCAACACGTCTTGACGATAAGTACGGGGCGCCGCCCGGCCTAGATTATGTCATAGTATGCGGATGCGAAACGGAGCCTGTTCGTTTTGCCCGTGGAAAAATGCTGGACACCATTCTCGTCAGTGGTCCACAATGGCGGAGATAACAACGTCAAAGCGACTGCGAGATCACATCAGCCAAGGGCGGGCGATTGTGGGTGGGGGCGCAGGTATTGGGCTAAGTGCAAAGATACAAGAGGCAGGGGGGATTGACCTCATTATCCTATACAACTCCGGTCGCTACCGGATGGCTGGTAGAGGATCCTTGGCAGTGCGTGGTCTTCCTATATCCATTAAATCCAGCTGATTGATTGTTTAGGGTCTGATGCCTTACGGCGACGCGAATGCCATCATGCTAGATATGGCCCGTGAAACTCTGACAGTTGTGAAAAATACGGCGGTCTTGGCTGGCATATGCGGGACGGACCCATTTCGGGATATGTCGCAGCTGCTGGAGGAGGTCAAAGGCCTGGGCTTCACTGGAGTCCAGAACTTCCCCACAGTTGGCCTCATTGACGGTGTATTCCGACAGAACCTGGAGGAGACAGGGATGAGCTATGAGAAGGAGGTTGAAATGATTCGAATGGCACACGAACTTGATCTGCTAACGACACCATACGTTTTCAATGTCGACGAGGCGCAACGTATGACAGGGGCGGGAGCCGATGTCATCGTAGCCCACATGGGCCTCACGACGAGTGGTACTATCGGTGCAAAAACCGCGTTGGCCCTTGATGATTGCGTGGTCCGGGTCAAGGAGATTCTGGATGCGGCTGTGAAGATCAACCCCGAAATTATAGTTCTTTGCCACGGCGGTCCCATTGCCACACCATCAGACGCAAAATATATCATCGAAAGGGTTCAGGGCATTCATGGTTTCTTTGGTGCTAGTTCGATCGAGCGACTGCCAGTTGAAGCTGCCATGAAGGAGGTGACCCAGGAATTTAAATCAATCCGTTTATCTACCCGTCTGGTGAGAAGAACCATCTTTTGAGTGTCAGGAGTCACTGACCGTGATAAATATCCGACAGTGAAATACGTAGTGACCGCATTACGATTCTGAATGTGAATCTATTGCCAAGGGTGTCTGCCAGCCTCTGCCCGGACACGATGAACATGCGCCTGACAGGACGCAGAACTGGCATCTGACATTGCACGCCAATAGCGCTAGATATTTAAATTAATTAATCAGATAGCTGAGGAATGATTGATATACATGCATCATGGTTAGCCTACTATGCAGGGGTAGCTGGCCATCTAGTTCGGACCCGGACGCGCCTTATGGAATCAACAAGGCAAAACAAGATCTTCCACAGTTGGTCTACAGTTTACTAGTGACAACGCCTGTCGACGCGTTGTTATCTCATACTACATAGCATTCAGCTTAAGGCAGCCCACAAGTTGTCACAATCAGAATGGCGCTCCTTTCAGACCGTCAAAAAGAAGAATTGTGCGTGAACTGGGCACCGGAACATTTATTTGCTACTGACCGTGACCGTGTATCGATGTAGACATAAATCCATGCTAGAGTACCTGCATACGAGCAATTTCACAGCAGCGTACAATGCGCTAAAGGAGGACACTGGGGTGGAGTATACACCGGATCCTAAGGCCAAGTATGCGGGTCTTTTGGAGAAGAAATGGACCAGTGTTATACGGCTACAGAAGAAGGTGCGTTCTGAGATGTGCATTTATGATCGTGTCGATCATCGAATTTATGTGACCTCGCAGATCATGGATCTCGAGACCCGAAATGCATCCCTTCAAGAAGAACTATCCATTGCTCCATCGAAACGTGCCGCCATGCAAGCAGACTGGGTGCCCCGCGCCCCCGCTGCACACGTGTTGACAGGCCACAGAGGTCACATCACACGCGTCGCTTTCCATCCACAGTACTCGATATTAGCCTCTGCAAGTGAGGATGCAACAGTGAAGATATGGGACTGGGAAACGGGCGAGTTCGAACGGACATTGAAGGGACACCATCGTGCCGTCCATGATGTCGATTTTGACCACAAGGGACACTTACTCGGTGAGTGACATGTACTTTCGTGCGAGCACCGCTGATGAATCCGCATTGGTGAGGGTGTTCACAGTGACATGTTCGTCTGACCTATTTATCAAGATATGGGACTCTGAAAATGAGTGGAAGAACACAAAGACACTATCAGGGCATGATCACTCTGTCTCGTCAGTGCGATTCATGCCAGGAGATCAATATATCGTCAGTGCAAGTCGAGACAGCACGATTCGCGTTTTCGATGTTGCATCAACGTAGGAATGCCTTTCTCGCACTAATTCCAGTGCTGACTCTATATATGATAAAAGACATCTAGTACGAACGATCTCCGGTCATTCAGAATGGGTGCGTTGCGCGGTTCCCTCAGATGACGGTCGGCTGCTTGCAAGCGCGTCAAAAGACAAGGTAAGCTCTCATGTTTCGTTAAAAAAAACCTGCTTCTACATCTGGGACCTCAGACTGCGAAACTATGGGATCCCCTAACTGGAGAATGCAAAGGAGAGCTAAGGGGGCATGATAACGAGCTCGAAGCAGGTTTGTTTTGCACCTGTGGCTGCATACACCGCCATTCGCGAGCTTGCGGGCCTGCCAGTAAGCCCAGATAACCATGAGCAGTAATCGCGCTATCTCAGGCTATCCCTATTCAGAATGTGGGTCCCAAGGGTCCCGGTGCTTATGTCGCTACTGGATCCCGAGACAAGAATATCAAGCTTTGGGACGTCCAGAGCGGACAGATGATTAAGAACCTTGTGTGTACATCCCTTTTGGCTCCAGACGCCTACTGATTTCGCATAGGCTGGACATGACAACTGGGTGCGCGCACTCGTCTTCCATCCCTCCGGCAAGCTCCTCTTGTCTGCGGCGGATGACAAGACAATACGTGTGTGGGAGCTGTCCACAGGGCGGTGCATGAAAACCGTTGAGGCACACTCGCACTTTGTAGCAACGCTTGCATGGGGTCGGCAGAAGGTTTCCACGGCGGCGAAATCGAACGGCACGGATGCGAAGGCTGGCGAGCTGGAAAAGCTTGTGAACGTAGTCGCGTCTGCTGGCGTTGACCAGACGATCAAGATATGGCTTCCATGATACATTCACCCAGAGATCTTGAGCTACGCTTTGAATGGCAGTATATGCGCTTTCGTCGTTGATTCCTATCCTCTGCGAGACCTTGGTGAGTCATGACGCCTATCTCATGTGTCTGGTAGTGATACGGCGCTACTAGCTTGGCTACTAGACATAACACATAGTACGACTCTCCTTACGACATATCCCTCACGATCATTTATTCACGGACTTTCTTCTTTCGGCTCAAGATTCGGTTCCTTCAACATACCCATATTACTCCTATATATTGACCTTGTAAAAGCTATACAAGATAAATTCAGGATCTTCGCAAACGGGACAGAATGACTGTCAGATAGACTATGTGCCATCAATTCGTAAGGATCCATACCCGATCTTTGATGGCATCAAAATACTCTCCATGATCTGACTGTCCTCGGATAAAGCCACCCAGTTGACTTCGTCAGGGTGCTCAAGTGGCTCGCCAACGAATTTCAACGTGGATCCCAAAGTTATCCGAGCTTGCTGGGGCGAGTTTGGTGCCGGTGACAATTACCCCAGTGATGGAAGGTTCCAAGCTGATGGTCGGTGTCTTCAGTGGCTACGTCAGATATTCGGGTAATTTTATTGTCTGCACTGGCGATACGCTGGCAATCTGATCGAATGACACTTCAAGTGTACGCGCTTTTCAACCTTCAGGAACTTCTTCCTGCTCATTTTATCCTAAATGATGGTATGCCCCCCACACACACTTTACGTGCTGACATTCCAGAGTATGACACTGAGCTTTCAAAGTTGCCCACTTGAAGTTGCCCGAAAATTGTCTCGCCCGGCTTCCTCGCCATCCCACGATGGCTGTCTGGTGCAAATACGACGCTGTTCACGTATATTGAACGATACTGGCACGCTTTTGTTGACTGCAACAAGAATTTTGACCTGAATTATAGGCAGTGCTGAGTGGCAGCTTTCGCATCCGAGAAGACGGAAATGAACGGACATGATATCCGTCCTACCAGGAGTCGATCCAGGGCCTTGGGGAAACGTACATCGTGGCAGGTAGAGAGGGATACGGAGTATAGACGAACTTTATCGTCTTTGAACATCTTTAGGCAAGGGCTTGACGCGTCGATACGAATTCAACCTCGTGGGAACCAGTTGAATTTGTATCGACACACTCAGGTCTTCCCGTTCCATCAGAACGGAGGCCTCCTCCCCGAAGACGTTGGTCAGTTTCCCAGGACTCGTCACGACTTGATCAATTGTGAAAGTTTGATTGACAGTTAAAATTTTACTAGACACATTATTTCATCTATCATGAACTTGAATGCGAAAGACGACCTTCTCGTTCTCGGTGGGGAAGAGGTCACCAATCCGAATACTGACTGTTTAATAGTAGTGCCAAGATAGGATTTAACGTAATCATATAATTCATATCCTTCACAGATCACGATGTAAAACTCCCCCCACGGATGGACACGTCGGCCAAGGTCAAATGACCCCAGGTCTGAGAAGGAGTAAACATAGTATAAGAACGGAATCGATCTGATCAAGGAGATTGACGCAGGTATGTATGTACTAGAAATGCATTGCTCGGCTCAAGACGTGGCGTTACATAAGTATCACGACCTTAATTGCGTCAACCTAAAATTAGCCTTCGGCAGCGATTCGGGAATGTCCGTTATACTGGTGTGTACATTGTGAAAGTTGTGCGAAGTGCTTACTATTAGCACTAGCACTAGTCTCGTCAATAACTACGATGGCGCCCTCGTCGTCTTCGGGCGCGTCGACGTCCGTGCAAGTCGGTGAGCTATACACTTTTTATTATTCATGGCCTTGTTATTTATTTTCTGATTACAGCTCTGCGCATACGGCCAACGACTTCACAGGACACTGTATCCATTCCCGCTCGTTTTCAACGGACGGTCATTCATGCGGCGTCTTCCACTATTGTGAACGTAGATGCTTCTTCCGCTAGCCCCACTGCATCTGGTTCTGCTACTGCCGTCGCAACTCCATCCACTTCTATCGGGAAAAAGCAGGTTTTCACTTTTGATCAAGTTCATCCTCCAACTGTTACCCAGCATTCGCTCTTCACCAGCACTGCCAAGCCTCTCATCTCGCGTTTCATGGAAGGATTTAACTGTACAATTCTCGCTTATGGACAAACAAGCAGCGGAAAGACATTTACCATGACTGGCGTGGACCTTGATGCGGACCCCTCGGATCCTAATAATGGCATGGGCATCATACCGAGAGCTGTCTCTACTATATTCTCGCAGGCGAGAAAACTTAAGGAACAACGTGGCGGTACCTGGAATTACAGCATAAAGGGCTCGTTTATAGAAGTGTATAACGAGGATTTGATCGACTTGCTCAGTTCCGACGAGGCAACTGGGTTGCGGCGCGAGGTACAGATTAGAGAAGGGAAAGACGGTTCTATAATTTGGGGCGGCCTACGTGAAGTATCAGTGCGAAATAGCAATGAAGTCATGAAGTAAGTCTTCTTCCTTTAGCAGTGATTTAGCTGAGGACATGGATTTTATAGCCTTATCCGCCAGGGCACTTCAATAAGAAGAACGAATGAGACGGATATGAACGCTCAATCGTCTCGTTCGCATGCCATCTTTTCTCTGACATTGACCCAGAAGAAATACACCGGCTCTGGCGTACCACCTCGTTCATCTTCGCCATTACCTCCTGGCGGTCGTTCCCCGTCGCGTCTCGCTCGCCCTGGATCGTTGTACACCACTGGCAGTTCCCCCAGTGCAAGAGTGTCCTCGCCTACTATGGGTAGGCCAGCGACTCCGAGTTTCCAGGCAGCTATGGGACGAGGCGGAGGGCTGCGTCCTGCAAGTGCTCTTGGTCTTCGCCCTTCTGAAAACCGACAAGATGATGATGAGAGCGGCGAGTGGACCACTATAGTGTCCAAGTTTCACTTCGTTGACCTGGCTGGTTCGGAGCGCGTATGTTTATGCATGCAAATTTGGTCTCGAGATTTTGATATGCTAACCTCCATTTCAGTTAAAACGTACCGCCGCTGCGGGCGAGCGGATCAAAGAGGGAATATCCATCAACAGCGGTCTCCTCGCTCTCGGAAACGTCATCTCGGCACTCGGTGACCCTTCACGTGCGAAGTCGCATACTAACTCTCACGTCCCCTATCGCGACTCCAAGCTTACCCGCCTCCTTCAAGACTCGCTTGGTGGCAATGCACATACTCTCATGATCGCTTGTGTCAGTCCCACAGAGTGGAACGTTGGTGAAACTGTCAATACCCTGAAGTATGCCAACCGCGCCCGAAATATCAAGAACCGTGCGGTTGTCAATGAAAAGGAAGATGGTTGGGACGATATCGAATGGCTACAAGGAACAGTCACGCGTCTCCGCAAGGAGGTCAAACAAATGAAAGAAGGTGGCGCCATCATTCCTTCTAGTTCCGCACATTCCCCTGCGGCAGTGCCGGATGGACACTCCAAAAAGATCCTTGCACAGATGTCAGACCTTCAGAATAATTACGAAAGTCTGCGCGAGAAATACGTGGAGCGAACAGAAGACCTGACTCGCCTACGTCGCGAGATTGGGGAGCGTCACCGCACTTCATCTGGCGGGACTGTAGGCGGTACAGCTAAATACGAAGAGATCGTTGGACCTGTCATCGAGGAATACGAGAAGACCATCAGCGCGATGGAGGCCGAGTTAGGCCTCAATCGGGCTGCGTTGAGACTCACCAATGAGATGATGGAGGAAAAAGAAGAAGAATTTGCCCAGATCACAGAGAGACATTCTGCAACCGAATTATATGTTGAGGAGCTCCGTACCCGCCTGGCGAAGCTTACGGAACGGGAAGCATCAACTGAGGTTCGCGATGGCTTTATATTAAACCAAACATATTTCTAATCAAATTGTACGCAGGCTTATGTCCGTGACCTTGAGGAGAAGATGAAGTCTTCTGACGAAACGTCTATGTCATCGAGCGAGTCGCTGACTGACCTGAAGCGCGAGGTCTCCCGTTATAAGGAGGCTGAATCGCACTCAGCCTCGTACATAGCTGACCTTGAAGCTCGCCTCGCCCGCTCTGACGAATCGGCGCTGACCTTGCAGCAGACGATTGAGCGACTCGAGAGCGACTGTGAACGTCGAAGAGAGGAGGTGGAGGCTCTGAAGACACGCTTAGAGGATCTCAGTCAGGACGGTGCTAGTTGGCGGACCGATCTCGAGGAAAGGGAGAGGAAGGTTAAAGAACTAGAGCAGAAGATGGAAGCCTGGGAGCGGAAGAGGAAGGAAGCCAACGAAGATCGCATCCGGCTGGGTGACGTGGTTGGTGAGGTCGAGCTGGCGAAACGCAGCCTCGAGTCCTTGAACGGCACGAGCACTAAAGTCAATTCTGTGGGTACTTCCGGTGCCAGCACACCTGCTACAGTGGACCTTTCCGTCGATAATCAATTGATCGCACTGCGAGAAACTCATGCCGCGACACTGATAGACCTTTCATCGATTTCCAAGAAGTACCAGGATGCCCTACAGGAGATCGCTGATCTGGCTGCTCAGATTCAAGAAGCTAAACTCAGCAATCCGACGATACCAGAGACTTCAGCCGTTGATAAAGTGGAATTTCCGATGCCCCGTCGTCGAATGACATCCTCCAAGAGTCGAGAAGCTCTTGCCGATCCTCCATATGATGCAGCTGGTCGACGTCTTTTTTTCAGGCAAGCGGCCTCCGTAGAGTCTCTTGGGAGGTATGTTTCGTCTCCTGCAATAATCTGCGTTTCATCGAGTTTGAATTTTTTTTTGCAGGTCACTACCTCAATCAGTCCCACAATCGCTTTCGCTTTCACAAGAACTCTCATCAGCGAGATCTCGAGAGCCTTCGGTATCGAGTCACGGAAGCAGTGGTTCCATCTCGTATTCTCCATCTCACCGTCCGAACCTATCCATCTCTCTTTCCAACCTCAATGGCGTCACCACTCCCACTGAACAACGCTCTGCGGTGAGCATGGAGAAGGAGATTATGCGCTTGCAAGAGGTTCTAAGGGAGCGTGAAGCTGAGATTAGCGCTCTTGAGTCCTCGCTGAAGGAAAAGGAACAGATAACGCCAACTCCGTCTGAACCGCATATTCTCCATTCCACCGAAGCGGACAATTTGACACACCTCTCGCCCAAAACGATTCAGAAGTTCGATGCTGTTCGCAAGAGCATGAGGCTACATCACGGTCTCATCCCTCATGTCGACGCCGACGTTTCTGATAATGATGTTGACGAATCGCTTGACAGGCTAAATGAACTTATGCTGTATGTTCATAGTTTATATCCTATTCTTTTTTTTCTGATCCCTCGTCCGTTGTCCAGGTCGATGGCTCAGAAGGAGTCTCAGCACAAAGAAGTCGTTGATTCACTTCATAGCCAACTCGCTCAGGTGCAACGTGCGCACGATGAGTTGACTACTCTTTCTAGGGATCAGGTGGGCAGAAATCTTTCTCTTGACTATCATGCATATCAGACACTGATGACATGCAGGCGCTGAACATGTCGACCGAACTTGAAGGTCTCCGTGCCAAACACCACGGGGATCTTTTCGAGTTGGAGGCAGTCAAGCAGCATGAGGCGGAGCTTCTCGCATCTATCAAACAAGCTGAGGAGAGTCACGCTGCCGAGCTTGCGGAGCTAAGGTCTGAACACGAGGAGGCTCTTCGTGCGAAAGGAGTCGAGGTCGAGGAACTAATCTTTCGTCTGAAAGACGAGCATGAGACATCTCTGAATACTCTGCGAGATCAGCTGTCAGAAGCATCTACAGCTCTGGCGAAGGCTCTGGAGGAGCACGAGAGTGCGTTTGGAAAGCTTCAAGCTGAGCACGAGGAGGTCCTCCAGCGACATACTCAAGAGGCCAAGGAGATTCTCGAGCGTACCGTCGAAGAGCACCAGCACGCTATGGCCAATTCCCAATCTGACCACGCGGAAGTCTTGAAGTCCAAAGACGAGCAAGCAGCCACCGACCTCCACCGCACCGAAGAGGAGTACTACAATGCGCTCACTAAACTCCGCAAGGACCACGCAGATGCTTTGCAGAGGCAAGCTGACGAAGCCGCTGCAATGCTTGAGCGCCTGCGCGAGGATCACGCTAGCGAACTTCGCATGGCTGAGAAAGCTCGCGAATGCTCTTTGTCAGAGTCAGAGTCGTCTCGTGATTCGGTGCTCCGTGACCTTCAGGACGAGCATGCTGCTGCTGTTGCGAGAAAGGAGGCTGCATATGCGGAAGACGTGGAGAAACTCAAGGCTGAACATGTGCGTCTCCTTTCGAGCAAAGAAGAGGACTACAGAGCAAGGCGCGAGCATATGAAATCTGAGCATGCGACTGCCATGGCTGTCCTCAGGGAGGCGTCGGAAGCTCAAGTGGAGCAGCTCACGAAGACCCTAACACGTCTAGAAGAAGAAGCTGCTGCCACAGTCGCGAAGTTACGCAAGGAGCATGAATCTGCTACTCAGGCTCTGACAGATCAGCATACAGCGTTGGTGCTACAAATCGCTCGTGGTCATGAGGAGGAAACTGCTCAGCTCAAGTTGTCACATACCTCTGCCCTCGAGGACGCGGTTGCCAAGGCTCGGGATGAACACGCATCCCTCCTCACCTCTCATGCAGCGGCAATCGCGAATCTCAAATATGAGCACCAGATGTCACTCGCCGAAGTTGAAGCGTCCCTTATTACCGCTCAAGAGAAGCACGCTTCCGACCTTGAAGAGTCTCGAACAGCGAGCGAGCGTATGCTTGCTGAGGAACGGGAACGCCTTGCTGCCACCATCACCGACCTTGAGCAGAAACACTCTGATGAGCGTGATGCTCTCCGCAAGGATCAAGATCTTCTCCATCAAAAACTGGAGTCCCACAAAGTCGCGATCAAGGATGCTCAGGAACAAAGTGAACGGGGATTGCTTGCAGAACGGCAGCGCTCGCATTCGGCAGCAACTGAGCTTGAGGAGAAGCACTCTGCTGAACGCACCTCGATGCGCAAGGACTACGACATGCTTGTTCAGGAGCTTGAGGCCCACAAAGCTGCCGCAAGTGACTTCGTGGCAGTACGTGTACAGCACGAGAGGACTCTGTCCGAACAGACGACCACCATGGCATCCTTGGAAGAAGACTTGGCTGGTGTACGATCGGAGAAAGCGGACCTTCAGACGCAGGTTACCAAACTGATGGCTGAGCTGGAGAACACCCGGTCAGAGAAGGCCAAGTTCATCCAGGAAGCATCCAAGCGCGAGTCATTGGTTGACGAGCTTGACAGACATCGCTCCCTTATCGCTGAGATGCAAGAGAACCTTCAGCGCGTCAAGGACGAGAAAGACAACTTACAAGTGGAGAGGCATAAGCAAGAGACTGCCATGCGCGATATGCAAGCACAGATTGCACGCCCATCGGTAGCTCAGGAGACCTCGACACCCCGGGCAACACCTGATCGCAATATCTCTTTCACTCGTCTCAATGGTATGGCCAGCAAGCTTCCTCCCCCCACACCCCCGCCATCCATGCCTCCGCCACCAGCGCCAAAAACTCAGGAATCCCAGTTCAGTATATCTACCCAGTCTTCTGTTATGTCTTCGAAAGACTCCACTGCCGAGTCTCCTGCTACATCAGTTGCTTCCGTACTTCCACCTAGCGGCCCTCAGGTGGACTCCAAGGCTATTGCGGCCAAGCTTGAGGACCAGGCGAAGCATATCAACGAGCAGGAGGTGATGATCAAAACGCTCAACAAGCAGCTCTCTCACTGTGAGAGCGATTTGGCTACTCATATGGATCTCGTGAGCACGTTGGAGACATCGTTGAGCGACTCTGAGAAGAATCGTATGTATCTTTGTCTGCTTATCGTGACGTTTGGATTAACCAATATGTTTCTCTCGCAGTCCGCAAAGCGCGTATGCAAGCAACAGAGCTTGCGAGGGAACGAGACTCAGTTAATTCCCAAATTGAGAGCCTTCGCAACGAGTTACAGGAAGCGCGCCGTGAGGTCGTCACTGTTCGGAAATCTATTGTCGAAGAGAAACAGTCCCTGGAATCGCGCCTCGACGAAGAACGCCGTGCGAAGGAACGTGCTCGTGCGCAGCTTGACTCACGGATGGAGGAGCTACAGAAACGAAAATCGAAGTTCGCCTGTCTATAGCGTTCTTGTCAAGTTATATTTGCGACCAGTGAGCTGTTACGATCCATGCCTTGACATCCTTGTCGCACCTCTATGCCTATCATTTTTGCACTCGCGTCAAGTCCTCCCTTGCTTTTTATACCAGTCTTTGCGTTTGTCTCTTGTGTCTTGATACCCCTTCGCTGTGGAGCTAGTTTATCGCGTCTACTATGGGTATCCCAAGTATGTTTGTCCGTACTGGCTACTACACATGTTATAATACCATACAGTTCGGATCTTTACCGATTATGATACGCCGCGGTGTTGTAATTGTGGCGGTCGCCGTTCGCGAGTCAGGTGCGTGTCCTCCATCATGTGAACCTACTGTGTAGGATACCCCACGCTGTCTATGAGTCTATGATACCAGTTCGACATGTTTATGCATTAACGCGTCAAACGCTGAGGATTTTTCTTGAATATTATAAGGCATTGGTACCGATAATATTCCCCGCGGCCGTATAATATTCCCCGCAAAATTTGAGGTGGAGAAATGTCGTAAGTGGTGTTTGTCGGACCGGCTTAACTGAGATTATTATGTAGTTTGGGCGCGGCCACTTTAAATTCCATTTCTCAACCAACGGTCGAACTTTGCCTCCTCCCACCATCCTTCTAGATCCCACATCGTTATGCCTTTCAACTTTTTTGCTCGTGCTGTCCCCGCCGTCCCGCGATCGATGGTCCTAACCCGCACCCTCCAGCCCCGCGTAAGATTCCAGAGTACCGCACCAGCAAAGCCGAACCGTGTTCCGCGTGTCCTCCCTTCGTTCTCCCTTGAGGGAAAGGTGACCTGTTGGCCTTTGAAGCTCGATGTATAAGTGGTCTAACTATTATTTAGGTTTGTCTAGTTACTGGTGCTGCTAGAGGTCTAGGTAATGAATTCTGTCGTGCGTTCATCCAATCGTTCGTCTTCACAGCACTCCTTCATTTTACCTTGATGGACTAATCCATTTTCGATTCTAGGGGATGCACAGAACTAGCTATTGTTGATCTGAAGGAGAGCGAGGCGCAAGCTGCCGCTTCTGAGTTAGTATCGAACGCATGCGGTTTGTAATACGCTGTGTGCCTGGGACGCTACTGAAGAGCATCAAGTTAACAGCGACATGACTCCGGAAGACTTCAACGTTATCGGTGTAGGATGTGACGTGTCCTCGGAGTTATCTGTGCAGCGCGCATTTGAGCAAGTCATGGACACCTACGGGCGATTGGATGCGGTAGTTGCATCTGCAGGTCAATTCTTGTGTCTTCCGCAGCACTAACCAGGAACCTGAAATAATATGCAATGCACAGGAATTGTGGAGAACTACTCCGCATTTGAGTAAGTAGCTCCGTCCCGAGCACTCCATGGAGCTGACGACCTCATCATAGCTACCCCTTCGACCGCATAAAGCGCTTGTATGACATCAATGTTCATGGAGCCTTCTTTACTGCGCGAGAAGCCGCTCGGAACATGATTCCTCAGGGAGGTGGATCCATCGTCTTTGTTGCTAGCATGAGCGCATCGGTATGTTGGTCTTCCGAGACGTCCTTATGACACGAAATTCTGACGGTGTCCGTATAGATCATCAACATTCCGCAGGTGAGCCCATGATGCAGGAAGGAATTTGTTAACGGGATCTGACCGACATCTCTCGGGGATAGCCGCAAACACCTTATAATGCTTCGAAAGCGGGTACGTCCCACAATCTACAGTCCCTGGAAATCCCAAGGGGGTACTGATGTGATATCACTCTGATAGCGGTGCGTCACATGGCTTCAAGTTTGGGAGTTGAGTGGGCAAAGAAGGGCGTGCGCGTTAATACACTGAGGTTCGTCTTGCGTTGCCTGTTGCCGACTACTGGCTGACACGTCATGAAGTCCTGGCTACATGTTGACAAAGCTTACCAAAACCATCCTCGCCCATGACCAAGATTTGAAGGTTGGTGCATGTCGCTAAACCTCCTCGCTGAAAGCTGATTATGGTGCAGAAAACTTGGGAAAGCTTGACGCCCATGGGCAAGGTGAGATGAACCTAGCGGATTTGGACAAAGTACTGATTGCAAGAACTAGATGGGTGAACCAGAGGACTTGGCTGGTGCTATCGTGTTCCTCGCAAGTGATGCGTCCAAATTCATGACCGGAGCCGAAGTTCGCGTGGACGGAGGCTACTGCGTTATTTAAGCCAATGTTCTTATTCTTGGATTTGTCGGTGCCAATGTTGGGAGTAGCATCACATAGAGTTCACTAGAGTACTTTCAGGCGAATGCCTTGTCTATTTGTTGTCTATAATACATAGTTTTATGGTGGGCGAGCGAGTCTACCGGGTTCCGAACAAATAAACTACGTAACAGTTGCTTGTCCAGCTCTGATGTGAGTGTAAGTCTAATGTTTGAATCTCTCTAATGGGCGAAATACGGGAGCACGATACACGAATTCGGAGACTACGAGTTCGAGGGTGACTTCGACTTTTGAATATTTGTTTCTAGATGAGGTGAAAGGTGTGCCAAGGTCCTCGATTTGAAGCTACGAGAACGACGAGGAAAACGGAAGAAAGCGAAAGAAGGAAAGTGAGTAACCAAAATAAGGCTAAGCGGCTGTATTAAATTGACGTTAACCTGCATGACATCATAGCTAGGTATTTAGGCGTTTCCGTTTCGCGAATTCTTGAGTATCTCACTTCTTACTCTTTCAACCGGAGTCAAAATTTCATGTCCTTAAGTTCACAACCCGTGAATGCCACGCATAGGTCTGCCTCGTTGTCCAGATCACAAGACTCGGCCCCGTGCTCATCCTCCAATGTGACTTCAATGTCAAACGCACCCAGCTCCACTCACAACGCGGCGAACTCTATACCGTCCACGTTTGAATTTACCAAACGAAAACGCTGGGCAGATCTTCTCATACACGAACTGTCAGAGGCGATTGTTTTCGTGCTCTCCAGTGACTGCAAGATCTTATTTTGCTCAAGGGCTGTCTCAGAATTACTGGGTTGGCGAGATACAGAACTTATTGACAAGGATCTTGTCGACTTCGTCAACGGTGAACATGATTGTTGCGTTCTCGTCATGTTATCCGCGTGTGCTCATTTGTCGTTCATCTCTTCAGGCGAGGATAAGCATGCTTTCCGTGGGTCGTTTGACCAATCACTGCGCTCGCGCGCGGAAATGTTATCCTATGTTCGGTTCAAGTGTCAAAATGAGTACGCCTCCCACACCAAGGAAGTTCTTTTCGAAGTGAAGGGTTATCCCCACTACATCGATGATGAACCCTATGCGCGCTGCTTCTTTGCAGTGGGAAAACCGTATCCGAGTCGGAATACAGCAATGTAAGTGCATAAGCATCAATACATAAGTCAAATTTCGTGCGCTTTCTTCGGCCGTCTGATGGAACTTACACCCGACTAGGTTAAACACATTCCTTGAGCTCAAGACTGAAAATGAACGGCTGCAGCAGCGCCTCGCAGACCTTAGAATCCGTATTCCGCCACCTTCTATTGCCCATACTAGTCAATCAATGGCTTCTATGTATTCTACACCATCCAGTTCTCGTGGACCTGCACAGTCGGTGACCCTCCGCCCCGTCGGCGACTTAACCGCCACGTGTTATACCACCCATCAGACTGGCATGTCATACGATGACTTAGTGACACAGGCAAATCACCATCAACTACGGGGCTTCACTGACCCTCCCAACGTGCTCGCGTATGGCAACTACGCTCTTGTCGGCCAACAAACGCAGCCGACAGAAGACAATTATGGCGACGATGCTGCCAGAAGGAAAAAGGTGTGTATAACTATGGAACCGTCTGTCTGGATAAACATTTGACCATTATTGGTGTCCTAGATCCGCAAAATGCACGCCGCAGAGCAGTACGTTTGTGTTACATGTGGACGTACAGATTCCCCAGAGTGGCGCAAGGTCTGTCGCTCGCATGTTTTATCTTTCCTGTTTAACTTTGCAAATATCTTCTCAGGGCCCACAAGGGCCAAAAACCCTTTGCAATGCTTGTGGTCTGCGATGGGCAAAACAAGTACGTACTAAACAGGATGAGGAACAGCCTAGCGCAGGACCCAGCACTTGAATCCCGTTCCGTGCCATTCGGCACGCCGCACCTGTCAGCACACAGCCTGTCACGGACGTTTTTTCCTCTTAGTTGATGTTGAGGGTCAGGGGCTAGGCTGTTTGGTGGCATGCGGCTGGCATCTTGTTAAAGAATAGCCAGCCGAGTTGTTTTTGGACCACTTCACGGTATACGACACGACATAGACGCTTCATATACACGGACATGCAATATGTATTTTACATAGATAGTGTGATTTTTACTTGGATACGGTTTCTTGAATCTTATTTTGTGAGAGGTGGTGATCTGGGCTACTTTGCGCGCCGCGATTCCGTTGGTTGATAAGATCTTAAGATTCAAAGTCCGCGAAGCGAGGCTTAGTCCCGACAAAGAACGCACAAAGAACGAGTACATTGGCTTGGTTTCCGTTGAGTTCTGTGAGATGAATACTGGTCAGGCTGGGCAGGATCGAGTACTAGCGAGATTACAATTGACCGGGCCGCGCAAGAGGTTTAACCCATGTTCCAGGGCGATCTCAGGGTCTATATGTCGACATAACAATATGGTAAATCTTCCCTGCCCTCCATGACTTCCACTTCTTACCTAAAGAGGTCGCGGGTGGGAAATTGAGCAAGTCCTGGGCTTTTCTTTGCCAGGGACTTGCAAGTACTTATTTACTTACGATTATGAGCCCTATTACTGGCCCTAGTGAGTCATCACATTTTTGTACATTACATTTGAAGCTAAAAGTGCTATATAATACAATCAAAACCCTGTCAGTTCCGGACCGATGAACAAGGCACTGCCAGTCAACCATAACGTTCTTCAACATGAGTCTGGATGAAAACCGAGGAGTTTTTATTTTTATCAAGGACTCCCCGATCACTCATGATCACCCAAACCCATTCACCTGCATGGGAGCACTTCCATCAGCAAGATCGCCGTACACCCTTTGCAGAATCTATGGAGCTCGTGGACCAAGGACACTCGATCGGCCGCCGGTTGACTCTCATCACGTTGACTTCGGCATCTGGGTTTGGACTAGTGGGCTGAGGCCTGGTTAACATGGACCCGAAAGATACCGAATGTATGGCGCACGCGTAGGTTTGGATTAAACTGAGCTCGTGAAATTGCATAGGCTTGTGGCAAGTACTTTATTTCTAGATATCGTCATAGACGCGTGAGAACCACGGTCAACCTTGGGATGAAGATGAAGGCCGTCCTCATCAATCCATTCTGCAAGGAGGGTGAACTCGTGATAAAGTTCAGCAAAAAACAACGAATTCTCTCTAGATCTGACCGATGGGCTGATTAGGGTCGAGACGACGTTCTTAATAAAAGCTTTAAAATATCAAAGCGTGCTCTCAGCGCTCAGCAGTGAACTGACGATGCCCCGCCGCACTAGAGGCATCTGAATCCTACAACCCGTCAGCACATGGTGACCAACCTCACAAGTTGGCTCCAGCGCTCCGTCAGAAACTATGAATTCGTTATCACCTTAAACATCGATGTGGTGTAAAAACGTCGCCTTCCCCATAAGCCTAAGCGTCCAAGGGTCTCAAGAACAGCTGAAGTAATCATTTCGAGGAGCAGGAAGCCTATGACATTGCAACGGCAGCCGCTGGCTTGCAGTTTGAGGATAGTTTGATTGACACGCAATAACTTTGAGACCGATAATCAAGTAAGCTGGGTGGTGGAGGAAGAGGTTCGAACTTAGCTAGTGTCCGGAGGTAGACCAAATAGAAGGAACTTGAAGATAGTCGTTCTCCTTCGAAGTTCTGCACTTGGGTTTCCATAATATCACGTGCCCATACTGATATTACAACTCTTCCTAACTCCCATCTGCAGAGTAGACTGCCCGTCCTCTGCTCGCCGACAAGCTGTTAATTAACATAAATCTGTTCACGACATCATGTCTGCGCCAGAAGTGTACCAAATCGCTAAAATTCCAGTTACGTGCCACGCATTCAACGCGGACCGCAGTCGTACGTCCTTCAATAGATTCTTTGAATGCTAAGTAGTGAACGTCTCTATCGACACAGAGGTTGCTGTGAGCTTGAACGACAATAATGTCCAGATCTACGCAAAGCAGGGCAAGGAGTGGATTCTATCTGAGACGCTCTCCGAGGTGTGTTTTAATCAGTCCATACTGGTTCATCAACATGCACCGACTACTACTGCTTCTTCAGCACGATAAACTGATCACGTCTATTGATTGGGCCCCGAACTCCAACCGCATCGTCACCGCCTCGCAAGACCGTAATGCATACGTCTGGTCCCTCTCTCCCGATCCGCTCACTGGAAATCTGGTGTGGAAGCCTACCTTGGTACTTCTTCGCATCAACAGGGCGGCTACCTTCGTTCGCTGGAGCCCCAACGAGGATAAATTTGCAGTTGCCAGTGGTGCAAGGTACATACGTTTTTCCTTTGGAAATAATGTGGTTTCATCAGATGTTCATAGGGCGATTGCCATTTGCTCATTTGATCCGGAGAACAATTGGTGGGTGGCAAGGCAGCTCAAGAAACCAATCAGATCGACCGTCCTTTCTGTCGACTGGCATCCGAACAATGTCTTACTGGCAGCGGGGAGCGCCGATATGAAGGCACGGGTGTTCTCGGCTTATATCAAAGATGTAGACAAGAGGTGATTGTAGGCTCTGGACAACGACGGACATAATTTTAACCGTTAATTTTTAGGCCATCGCCTACCATTTGGGGCGAGAAGCTTCCCTTCAACACTATTTGCGGAGAATACACCAGCCCCGCAGGCGGATGGGTTCATGCAGTTGGCTTCTCTCCTTCTGGCGATATCCTCGCTTTTGCTAGTGAGTCGTATGATGTTCATGATGCCGGCAAGACGACGTACAATTTTCACAGGTCATGATAGTTCTATCAATATCGTTTACCCTGGTGGTCCCATGGTTTACAATATTCGCATCAGCTCTTTGCCGTACGTGACTTTAGCCTGGACTTCCGAAGATGCTCTGGTTGCGGCTGGCCATGATTGTCAGCCTGTCGTTTTCTCTGGCTCGGAGCAGGGCTGGGCCCTTGTCGGCACTTTGGATGACACCACCGCTTCCAGTGCATCAAAGGCTCCTGGTGCAAGGACTGGGACTGTTGGGAGGTTGAACAGTGCAGCATTCAACACGTTTAGGAACGCGGATACGCGTGGACAGACTGGCGGAGCAGACACTGCTGCTGACACAGAAGTGCTCACTGTGCATCAAAACACAATCACGAGCGTTAGGCCGTACGCGTATAGCGGCGAGGGAATTGTTAGCAGCGTGAGTACTACTGGCGTGGATGGAAAGCTTGTCATCTGGGATGTTAATGCTGTGTCGGCTCTTACTGGGAAGATGGGCGGGTTGCGGGTTTGAGGCCATAGTACATTGTTGTACAATTAATTGTACGGTGAATAATGCAGTTCGTAAGTGTGTGGTATAGGTTTCTACTCTTTGGATGTGTATCATTTTCGTAGCGTCGTGTCAGTTGTCGCGTACGGATATCCCACCTCCTTGACAGGCTGCTCGTTGATGACGCCCCAAACTGATGCTTTGAACTGGCAACCGCATCAGCCTGGAATCACAAAAGCGATGAGGTATCGGCATACCAGTGTCAACACCAGGCCCATTTTTCGCTCTAGCACTCTCAGACGTGCAATAAGATTCTCATCTGGTCCTTCGGATAGCTGTTTCGTAGTAACGGTCAACTGTCATATCATCACAGATCAGGATTATGCCCATTCCTTACTCGAAGATGCGACCCACATCTTTCACATGTTGCGATAGTTTGGCGTACTCCCACAGAACATCCGCCTCCAACGCGGTCAGACTGGGGTGCGACTCATACGGGTTCACGTCGAATATGCCGCTCGTCGCAAACATTTTTATGAAACCCACAAAGGACGTCGCAGACAGGTATGACCTTCAGATCTTCAAGCGTGTCTTGTCTTGCCAAGTGTGCGATGAGCGGTAAAGTTCCTTTTTGGACGACTAAAACCTCCACCGGCGGATGTGAAAACAAGGTCATTGCTCCCGAATTGAAGCCGCGCGTTACTATAAACGAACATGTTTTTCTCTTTTTTCGACAAATAAAGTCACCCCGGCGGGTTAGACAATATTCCTATTGACACCGACGTCAAACTACCGAGTTCGTTACCTTGCAATGTCTTTCCGAGACCGACTCGGGAACTGTCGATTGTCGAGCTAATATGTTTTTCCAAAGTTCCTGTTTTGGACCACTAAAACACCTCCGGCGGCAAAATACATACCTATTGACACCGAATTGACGCCGACCTCCAGTCTCCCTGCGGCAAGCCCCTGGATGACACCATGGTTATGATGTCAAGGTAAAATAGCCTCACCAATTCAACGGGAATGTACCATTCGATAGACCCCCTCCAGGCATATATTTCACTGTTAACGTGTCATCACCGTGGCCACTTACAGTCTCGAAGTCTAACTGAAAGGTAGAAGCGGGTAGAAGGGTAGAAGCACCATGTACTGTATCATCATAAGTCCGGACGTGGAGTTCACCCTTGTTCTAAAAAAGTAACAAGATCAAACAGTTATCCCCCCCAGCGGTACATAGCTTCACAGTGTACCTGGGGCGCCCACTCAGGTGCGAGTAGCCTGCTCTAGCCTCAGGCTGAATACCCATGCTCGCCTGAAACCTTGACACGTATCCCTGCCCAACGAACCGAAAGACGCCCATCTACCAAAAGACCCGTTCCGCTCTATCGCTCGCTGAGGACTGTATGCTAATGAGTATTAGCTGGATGTGAAACATTTGCTTTTGTTCAAGTATGCTGACACTTATAAGCGCACGCAACCGCTATGCAAAAAATATTTTTGTAGCGTTGATCTCACGGTCGTATACTGGCTCAGAGTTTCCTAATGTGGTGAAGCTGTATTTCCCCTCCTTGGACGCAACAATATCACCATGTTCCCCTAGTACTTAAACAATAGTCATGGGTTCCCTCGATCCCTTAAAACACCCTGATTCAGGTTGAATTTTCTCTTTACAAGTCGCCCACATGCATTCACCCCCTGTAACATCACATCCCTCCCCATCCTCTTCCTTTGCACCGAGACCGTTCCCTCCTCCTTCCCTTAACGACGTTCCTCATGAATATATCGTTGATCAGCTGAGGAACCTCGCCTCGCACTACTGGGATAGACCACAGACAGCCGATTGTACTATCAGTACGTCGTCGTTATTTACGGAATGTTCTCATCTCATACGTCGGCAGTCGTACCTGTTCCCCATCATCGAACACGTCCAGTACACGACCCTTCAGTCATTTCGTCACCAGAGCCCTCACCAAGGGATCAGGTGCACCAGAATGCCACTGGTCACCGGGTAACAGAACCTGCTATCCATGCTGTGCCTCGAATGAAACTAAGAGTGAGTCACGTCATGCGGCTATTCATCGAAGGGGCTCATTCCTTATCGTGCATTTTCAGTTGCACATGGACTACCTCTCCTCGCAGTCATCATTTCTCCGAGGTCTTTTCAGTGGTGCATCGCCCCATGATCTCATACACACTGGTACCTCTCAACCCCGACATCGTCCCCTACATGTTCCAGAAAGCCGTCTCCCTTGTCTTCTTCCTTCCCCACAGTCACATCCCACTCTCTTCCTCCCTGTTCCTGACCCTTCTTCCATACATCTGGTTTTTCATTGGATGTACTTTGGTCAGACGACTCTCATGGAAGACTGCCTAAATCGGGGTGTTGTCCATTGGGAGGGGATCGCGCGCAACGTGGAGTACTTGGGCCTTCCCACAGATATCAAAGTATTCCTGGGGCAGTGGTACAGCAACTGGCTTCTTCCCGCGCGCAGCCGCCCTGGCTGTCCACCGTGTTCGCCTGAAGATGGTGATGATTCTGATATTGAGCTGGAACTCGACGAAGACGACGAGACGGATGATGACGATGATGATTCCTCGGTCGGCTCATACACGGATGGTGTAGATGCTATCGCAGAGTTCGAGCGAGGCCGGACACGGACAATCCGCCCCTTGGCGCGCCTATGCGGAAAGTTACAGATGTGTGGAGCGTGACAGGCATTTGACATCTTTACGAACAACTCAATGTATTTCATAATGGTTGTCGCCCATGGCAATCTTCTTTGCTCTATCTTTATTCATTTGTCGCATCCCCTTTTCAGTGGGGCATGAAACCATTTCCGGGGAATGTCTGGACTGCGTGGCATCGGCGACGGACTCTAACTTGCAAGTGCGGCTGCTATCCTCAAATGTTTTGCGCGACGGCACCGCAATTACGTTCATCCCATTCCCTGATATACTAATAGTACTTGTAATTGTATCAGATGCGAAAGGGAAGGCGTGTATTTCAAAGTCAAGAAGACAGAGCCTTGTCGTAATTTTTCTTGAGTCTTCCACGCAATTGTCCTCAAATCCAATAACCTGATACATGGTACAGACGTCCGCAATTGTGTCCGATGCTAGAAAGGCTTATATGACAAAGTTAAGGCAGAGCTTCTCCTCCCCTCGAGCTTCCACGCAATTGTCCTTTGAACCTTCGTGGGCGCCAATCTGTTTATCTCGCGCGGCCAAGCCAAAACGTGTAAGGGCAGACATAACCGAATATCCCCAGATCTGAATGAATGATTTAGCGGCTGGGGACACCCGTAAAATAGCACAGTGCTTGGAAAACAAAAAGGCGCGTGGCAGTCCCTTAAGGATAAGAACGGATCTAACCTCAAAGACATTGACCATATGAGGAAAGAGAGAAGAGCGGTTTGACAGCGGAACTAAACAAATGCGAGCCTTCCAGAATGGTTTCACTACTGCGCATGCCGCTACGACACCCGCGATCTAAGGCCGGGACGTTCCATTCAATGACAATCGGAGAATGCACAGTAGTGTAGGCAATGTAGGCGTCATCGACAGGTATTAACGTACACTGATAAGCGACAATTAAAGATAAGCTTAATGTCTCTTTTCGATGAACGGTCATCCCACTTGGGGTGCACAGGTAGTACGGAAACTTGAAGTCCAGGAATACAATGCGCAGGTAATCTTTTGCTAAGTGCTTAGCCACATCCGGATATGCGCCGGCATTGCATGAACCCGAGGGGCCTATACGATAATGTATTCCATCAGTCAGACTTAGTAATTTCCGTCCTCGCAAAGACATACCAGGTAGCGACCGGCCTGCGTTTCATCCCATGTTGAGCCATGGGTGTTCGAGTACGGAAGTACTAACACCCACGCGAAGCCCCTTAGGCCACTTGTACCTCTTAAATATATATTTTATTTTTGTCCTTGCTAAAGAATGGCCGAAAGAAATGGGAAAATGTACGAGAGGTCTCATGGGGAAATTAATAGATAGTACTCACCGATCGCTTCGCTGTCCATGGTAGCCGTACTAGACCTCAGGAGCCATATGAAGCGGGGTCCTGATCATTATCCATTCTGTGATTGCTCCATTCTCGTCATCAGCTAGATGAGTATATCCGAAGTCTGCAATTGTCAGATGCCCGTCATTACTGGTTCGAGATCTCGATGAACAAATACGTCTGCGTGGAGGAAATATAGCCCAGCCACAATTAAATTGGGCAGTGGCAGCATATTGAAAGGGCTGCGCGTTTGGATAACGTCGTGGAAAGACCCGCTCGCTATAGACTTGAGCATGAGGTGAAGTTTCAATTAGTCTTTGAAGGCGCCTATGTCATCATTCACCCAGGGACTCCCTCCATGGCAGTTCAGACAGGTGCCTTCTCTCAGTCTTGGTATCCGCAGGGTGTTTCTGGCCGAAGGATACGGATGACATAGTAAAATGTACATACCCGATCAATTAGTTTCATTCTGTCCTTGAAAGGCCAAGTTGACAGCGAATAATGACCTTGGGCGTTCCATTTTACCTAGGTTCGGGCAGCTGCGCGATTGCACGAGTAACGAGTGACCATAAGCCCCGTCGCCTATGCACGTCGATTTAGTTGAATCCAGCTCTCCTTCCTGAAACGGTGACAGGTTGAATATAATATGCAAATACATTCGAGACCCTCTAGGGTCAGTGCTGGTGACAGGATGTCGCCAGTATAGAATCCGCGCGCGGACTCTGATACGCGGCTAAGGACGACAGTTTGAATTTGTCTGTCAGGGGTGCCTCAGGAAGCACGTATGTACTTGTGGTGGATCAGGGCGCGAAGCGCGAGTAGATGCTTGGAGGACTTGCTTTCGAGCATGTATGCCTCTGGATGGTGCTGAATTTTCTTTGGAAGTCCGAACAGGGGGTCGGGTGCCGCATTCCGAACGAGTGAAACTTAAAAAACTCAGATTATACGAAGCTTGCTAGACGCACGAAACAGAGGGTGGAAGTGTAAAGCATGAGGTATGTGAAGGATCGCATAAGTTAGACACAAAATTCCTACAACTTGCCAGGTTACGGTGCTGTAAGGTCGTAAGTAACTGTACGATAGACTCAGAATCAACAAACCAGCAACCATTATCGAAGAAACACTACCCTCTCCTCCGGCCTTGAAGCAATCCAGGCGGCTTCATGGATGACGCCCAACCCAACACGTTCCATCAAGCCCTCATTCTGACTAACCGCCATCACATGTAGCAAGCATTCCTGGTAATTCACAAGTCTCTCTTCGTCGTACACGCCACGCGTTCCGGTACGGGAAAGGACAATGAACTCGAGAGTAGTCGGCGGGGCAGGGTCCAATGGCAGGACGACAGTGCCAACCCAAGTGGGAGGGGAAGATGTAGTGGAGAGAATATTGAAGAGACCGTGGTGGAGACATGCACTTGTTTCTTCGTTTTCTTCACCACCTCGCCGTGTAATGCCAAAGTGGCTGGAAGTCGTACGGAAAATGAGGGTGCCTGGTTCTAGTGGTCGATGAATGCTTAGTGTCAGCTCCGTTGGGTCTAAGATCCCTCGTGGAGAAGAATATCCGGATTTCTCTTCCTCTGTCATGGGAATTGAAACGATCCGGGAAACCCGGCGAACATCAAGCTGCATTGTATCACCACTCTGGTCCACGATGTGCCAAGGACCTACAAGCGTTTCCGCCACCGATGGTTCGCCACTACTAGTGTCGATCCCCACATACCGGTGCTCCGTCATGTAGTCAACAGCGCCACGCCACGTAGCCCATGCCCAAGAAGGCCAAGGTGAACTGTCTCCGTCAAAAAGGGAACGACGAGCGCGAGGTGTGTGTGGATCGTGTTGCCAGAGAAGCGCGTGATGCAGGTCTGTCAACATCATTCCATAATGAAAGACTCTGGCAGGTTTACCCAGCCCAAAACCTATCGCCAAAGCATTTGTCACTCCAGTGAGAGCATTGACAATGTCTGATTCCACGGTGAGATTGCGTTGTGTACACTGCTTAACGGCCTCCATGTAACTCCCAAAGGAGTCTGCGGAAGGGAAAAATTCTCTGCGTGAAAGCCGAAGAAAGCTGGTAGAGAATTGGTGGCCTTTGCTTTCGGCGACAATGTCTTCTGCGAAGACATCACCGCGGCACTCAAAGTGAACTTGCTGCCCAGTGAAGTATATTCTTCGGCGGGAGAGCGCGCTCTCTTGATAGGTCCAACACCGTGTATTCCATGTGGACAGAGCGAGAGCCTCGCCAAGTCTTGGAGGAGACACATAGAGATGAAGTCCTTGAACAACCTCAATATGCTGTCGTAGTGTTCTAGTTCGTGGACGGCATCCTGGGAGAGGGTCTCGAGCCGTCGTGCCGCCAGCAGCGATTATCGTGAGATAAGACAGACCGTAAACCAAATCCATGGCGTGTATCTGAGTGAGCTTGTCCTGCAAATCATCTTGAATGATGCATAGAGCGTCGATCCATATGTAACGTTCACCAAGTTGTCGAACGAATAGAATCGAATCAGTGATGGTCTCAGGTAATTTCGTCGTGTTTAGCCCGCCAGGCTTGGAGCGCTCCGCTATATTATCCTTCGTCGTCCAATACTCTGTGCCAGCGCCTCCCCATACGTAACTGAGGGCGACATAACGACAGCCAGAAGGTGCAGGAATCATGGCCATCGATACTACGTCCACCACTCTCACAAACGCCGGCAGCTTCCTGTCGTCTTCGCCGTCCTTTCTCCAAGCACTTTGACATTCATCTCCATGGTTCTCCTGGCACAGCTTGATCCAGTTCTTCACCAGATCGATATCCACAGTATTCTTCACCCTGCGACCATGAAGATCAGTTGGTCTCCCAAACTTGAAAGCGTCTTCTTCCATGAGGTGAATCCTTAGCGAACCTGCTGTTGCCCTTGAAGCTGGATAACTCTCCCAAAGATCCTGTAGGCCCTCCATATTGATGTGGAGGCGGTAGCAACGAAATTTGGGTGGGGGATAAAAGGGCCCCCGAAGACAACCGCAATTCATCGAGAACAGCCGACATTCGATCACTGAGAGATCGGCGTGAGGAAAGTTGTCCAACATCAAATGTTCGACGGACGTGAAAGGATATGAGACGGCAGAAACTGCATTGGTAGGATTTTTCCAAGATAGATGAGAGTAGATCGAGCGGAATCTCCTCATCCTCTGGAATGCCATCAAGGAATATCTTGTAAAAATCTATTTTTGCACAGATGGAACAGAGTAACGTGGAAGTATGATCCCTCTGTTCACCCTCATCAATCAGTCCACCGCGCTGGGTAAGGGGGATGTCATCGAGTTCCTCACCTGAAGATTGGTTCCTGTTTGATCTGGGTTTAGAAGAGGGGCGGATTCAGAGGTCCCGTCAGATGCGATATTTGCTTTGAGTTTGCATGTGCGGATGACTAATAGCCAGACAAGCCAAACTCCAAGAGCGAACCCTCCAACAATTCCAACAAGGGCCAAACCATGTGTGAAGACCGGGCTTAGAGTCTTAAAAACACCAGTGGGCAGTACTGTAAGGCTGTTAAGCCCTTCATGATCACCTGAAAAGTATTTCAATATGCGACGAAGCAGGGCAAAAAAGCTATTGTAGAGGTATGATACTTACTTGACTGAGTTGTTTTATGGAAGGGAGGAATCATACGAGTTGCAGTGACTCCTTGCAGTTACTGGCAGGCAGGGGTGAAATGTGTCCGCGAGAAGGTTGTGAAATCAAAAATTGAGCATCAGCGCTAAGATAAACGTGTGTGCCAGCCATGTCTGGTCCACCAAGGCCAATACATTGGATGAGCTGGGTGACCACACAGACTGTAAGTTGAGTTGCGTTACTTGAGGTTACCCGGAGGTGGGTGGAATTTTGTACCGCCACGGGCCTTGGCACGGGTCGATAATGAGGCGGAACGCTCAGCAGAGTCAGCACTCTTGTTCAAACTAAGCTCAGCTCCAATAACGTGCGCACGTGCTAAGCGAAGCGCCAATGCGTTGATTGTCAGCAGGCACATCTGCAACCTCCGCCCAGTCTGCCCGCTCTGCAATGACACCGAGACGCATTACTGAAACAAAACCTGGGGATTGGACATACGTTTCTGAGGGCGGGGCGACGATTGTATTCTCTTATCGAGGACCTTACAATGTCCAGTTCTCTGGTCACGTACTACGTCTTCGCAAAGTCGTTCACAGATCATCAGATGCATCGAACAACAAGCTGCTCAATACCAACACTGAGCAACCAGACGACTCGATGATCGCCTTCCAAGAGAACATCATCTCAAAACTCGTCCCGTCCGAGTTTCTGCCGAGTCTTGATGTAGTGTTACTTGATGAAGAGTGGCTCAGATCGTTTGTTGAGCTACACGATGGCGATCGTCCAGCAGAGAGAAGGCAGACGGATCAGATTGATGTTCACAGGAAAAAGGGTGTTTTAGCCACCGATCTCATTGGAGGCACACAGATTGCGATGGAAATCAAGGTTGTCGCCCCTGGTAATTGAATATCTGAATCTAACAGGTTGTTTTGCAGCCGAAATGGGGATTTTTACCTCTGGAATGCCATCTCTCGCCTGAGACTGTCGCTCTGAAGAGAGTAACATGCAGATTTTGCATGCACACGTGCTTCAGAGTGAAGCAAGGGGACGTTTGCACGACCTATTGTCCCCTAGACCTTTTTTCTCGCGACGAGAGTCGCGTTAGGAAAGCCCTACGTGCCTTGTGGGCTGGATGGTATGAGAGCGGCGGGTCTCTCAATAACCTACGGTTCTTCGTCAGTGGCAGAATGGCAAAACCAGATGATGTACGTTTTCGACACATCATGTCGACAAAGGTTTCTGATAAGATCTTGATAGGACGACTCTATGAAGATTTTGGCACACTTCTTCTCGGAGGACGAATCGACTGACACCGAGAATCTCCAGGAGTCATTCGCATCCTCTCTTATGCAGGCGCTAGTTGACAGTCCCGTTCTTCTCCTGCTGTCGACTTTGCAACGAACATTGGATATCCTCGACGTAGAAGGCTTATCCAAGTTGTACACACAATCATCACCAGATTTACCTGGTGATGGTCTCGGATCTTCTATTCCTGATCCTTCCATGGAGGAATGGGAGGACTTCGTGAGAGTCTACACTTCTGATTATCATTCCTGGGACCACGCGGCTCCCAGTCCTGGGCACCTCAGGCATTATCTCATGGCCTATCTTCTTTCGGCGACGTTTAAGGATTGCTCCATTATTATCCGGCCCAGACTACAGATCCCGTCTACGACACAGGTTGGTCCCGCACGGTCATTTGATACCACCATCATCGACATGGATATGAAGAGCATGGATCGCTTAGGGAAGTGGGAAAAGTTAGACAGACGAATTGCAGAACATTACAAGAATTCAGGCAACCAACGTCGTTGCATCGACAGTACTTAGTTAATAATAAGAGTGCTTTCCACTTCTTTCACGTGACACATGTCATATTATTAGTCCTTTATGTAAAGTTATAGACGCGCGAAAGCAGTGGTATGTTTCGACTTTACGGCTATGATCCGTCGATGCTGAGAACTTAGAAGCGTCGAGAGCTCAGTGCACGCAACCAACGTTATTTCCTTGCTCATCTTAGGATCTAAAACTCTTTCCAGTATGCTAGCCTTGACATCCGGCAGGCTTACAGCGCGCCACCTACGCCGTTATTTCCGACCGATAACCACCAGTCGAGGGTCGCGTCATATCTCAACTTACAACGTTGATATAGCAGGGCTCACGGAAGAGCAGGCTGAGGTATGTCAATGAGAACATCGCCGTCAACTAGAGCTCAGTATTACAACTCAGTTCCGCAATGCAGTAGCCGAGTTTGCTGAACGGGAGGTTGCTCCGCGCGCCGCACAAATCGACAAGAGCAACAACTTCCCTTCGGTGAGTATTAAACAGGTGTTCTTGACCTTGTTGACATACTCAAGCATGCCGTCAGGACGTTTGGGAGAAGCTTGGTGACATGGGTTTGCTCGGTATCACTGTGTCGCCAGAGTATGGCGGTTTAGGCCTCGGATACTTCCACCACACATTGGTAATGGAAGAGCTTTCCCGTGCTTCTGGCTCGGTTGCACTATCATACGGCGCGCATTCGAATCTTTGCGTCAACCAAATACATCGTCATGGCACAGAAGCTCAAAAACAGAAATACCTCCCTGATTTAATCGCTGGGAAGAAAGTCGGCAGTTTGGCTATGAGCGAACCTGGGAGCGGGCAAGTTGACTGATTTACAAAGGTTGGAGATGACTTACAGTGAATTAGGAGTGACGTAATCAGCATGAGCTTGAGGGCAGATAAAATAGACGGTGGTTGGAAGCTGAATGGGAACAAGTTCTGGTAATAATTTCTTCGTGTCACGCGTGTATTGTTCTAAACAGTCCTGTAGGATTACCAATGGACCAACAGCATCAACACTAGTCGTTTACGCCAAAACAGCTCCTGAGAGAGGGTCTAAGGGCATCACTGCTTTCATCATCGAGAGAACGTTCAAAGGCTTTTCCACACACCAAAAGCTTGATAAATTTGGGATGAGAGGCAGTGATACTTGCGAACTTGTTTTCGAAAACTGTGAAGTTCCAGAAGGTACGTTTCTCTGCGGCAGTCAATGGTAGATAACTCATCGACTCTCGCTGCTCCAAAGAAAATGTCCTCGGCCAGGTTAACAAAGGCGCAGGGGTCTTAATGTCTGGGCTTGACCTCGAGCGTCTTGTCCTGAGTGGTGGTCCCTTAGGGTGGGTGCGATTCATTAAACCCTTCGGACGATTTGCTTAACATTACTTGCTGAAGTCTGGCGCAAGCTGCATTCGACTATGCAGTGGAATATGTCCACGAACGCAAGCAGTTTGGACAACCTGTGGGAACATTCCAATTAATGCAGGGTAGGTTGACCAGGCTCTTACCGAAATCGCGACTGATTAATGTTTTCAAGGCAAGATTGCGGATATGTACACAAGTATTAACGCAAGCCGTGCGTATGTCTATGCTGTTGCAAGAGCGTGTGACCGTGGTCAGATCAGTCGCCGAGTAAGCAAGATTGTGAATCCATATGCTGTTGGTTTTTGATTTTATAATGCTAGGACTGCGCTGGTGCCATCCTCTACTCCACGGAGAAAGCCATAGAGGTCGCGCTGGAAGGCATGCAATGCCTTGGCGGTAACGGATATATCAATGGTTCGAATTATTTAAACGTTATGGCTATTACTCACATCTAAACTAGATTACCCTATGGGCCGAATTTTGCGCGATTCTAGGTTGTATGCAGTGGGCGCCGGGTCGCAAGAGATAAGAAGGATGCTGATAGGACGGGAGTTCAATGAGCAGTTCAAATCATCATGATACCTCCAGGCTGCTTTCGAACGGCTCCCTAGTTCGGACAATTGATGCCATGTGTTAGTAGTATGTATGTATGTATGTGAAAAAGATCTTGAATGAGCATGGCTCTGAATCTGGTAGCGTTGCAGCTGGTAATGTCGCGCTCCTTCCGATTCCCAAACATTATGGAGAGCTCAGGCTTGAACCTGGGTTGTGTGAAATCATGTAAGTATGAGAAAATTCTTGCGAGAAATTTAGCTTGCGATGACTTGCTTCGAGGGTGCCTGCGGCGAACACATCAATGAGTAGTACAAGTCCTAGTAGGCGATCCTATAGATGCCACGTATGATCAATACATCCCCGAGTTGTTTTGCGATTGTGTTAGAATTCCTTAAGTATGCTAGACTGGTTGGGTTTTATAGACATAGGATTGATAAGTTCGTCCTAGATACATTCATGGCATAGGTATACTAGAATCATTCGTAAGAGATCGTGACGGTATGATGGTGCCTGCGTATGTTACTGTACATATTGTGAGGTGCGATGAATGACGGTATAAGATCCGGATACGACAGAACAAGATTACATGACATATAAAGTAATCCAAACCATAATGATAATATGCTGTAGTCCGAGCGACGAGGACACGGAAGTCCGTCAACTGTATTCTATTATTGCGGAGCGAACGACGGGTTGCACCATTCCTCGTAAGGGGTGTCGAAGACCGACACATCGAATGAGGGATTAGCAAGCGCAAGGTCATCATTTACGACAAGCCCTGACGGCAGTGCAACAGAGTCAGACATGACCGGGGAGCCAAAGAGATCATCTTCCTCTACTGAGGTGGTAAAGAAATCTTGTGCTGTAACCGGTGGGAGAGGCGCTGCGGAGGGTTGCTGGGGCACAGAGCGCCCATCACTACATTGCGTAGCGGGCAGAAACCATGTGTTCTGAGCGGCGGTCACCGGCATGGGCGGGATTTGATGTGGCACCGAGATCGTGGCAGGAGCTGATACTTGGACAGTAAACGCCTCTTCGGGAACAGCGACGGGGGGTGGAGGCGCGAAGGTGTTCGTGACCGATGACGTAGATGCATCGTGAGGTGATTGAGAGACCTCCTGAGATTTCTTCTGGTTCAGTTCACACTGCCCGGAATCCTGATGGCGATTCAGAGAATCGGAACGACTAAAACTAGTAAGAATCAACAACTCAGTATCATAGTCGCATTTGAAAGCAGCGAGATACTCACAGTTGGCCACAGTCGAGGCACGGCAACCGAGCACTCTCTTCTGGCTTATGCGTTCTGGTAGTTTTATGATTACGCACGCTGCTTTCCTGCATTTGGATACCATTGCACGAAGTAAGGAGGCATTGAAAGATGGTTTTGCCGTCCTTGGTGCCGACGTTTTTCTGATAGACAATTGTTAGCGGGTGGCGGGAACCAAAGAAATAAAATTGACTGACAAAATCAGGGTCCTGATCGACCGGAATGTGACGGATTCTCTTCCGCTTCTTGGTGACGCCGCCACTATCATTGGCCGCCCTGCGTTTCCTGCGCCGCACCGAACTCCTCCCAGAGGAGCCTACAGATGGAAGCTGCTGCATGAATCCCTGATTGTAATGGTCGACATGTTGGTAGTAACCGGTTCCTTGCATTTGTGGTTGCATGGAGGAGGCAGTAGGGGAGGTGTCTGACATCTGCGCATCGGTCCCATAGACGTGCTGTGCGGTCGCGACGATGAAGTCAAGTTGTTCGGGCGTATAAACCTGAAGGAATCTATCACGGTCTGTGGGCGGTTGCGGTTGCGTGGCTGGAGCTGGGGTTGCAGCTGCAGCAGCCTGTGCCTGCGGAGGGGACACCGAGACTGGAGGGCTCACAGCTACCGCAGGAGCAAGACCAGCTTGCATCGAAGGAAGGTAAGCGTTCATAGCCTGAGGGGGCGGGGCATACCCAGCATAAGCGTGAGGAGGGACGGGGTAGTGATATGGTTGAGGGGGTGCGAGATATTGCTGAGGGGGATAGGCGGTAGGTGGATAAGGGGCATACCCAGGCATCATCGTCTGTTGTCCATATATTACCCCACCGGTATTGAACGCGGGCGCGTTGGGAGCCAGCCTAGGTGCAACGTACCGCGGACTATACATTTCGGGAGGGTAAGAGCCGATAAAAGGCTGGGGCTGGAGCTGGGGTTGGGCCTCGGGCTCGGGCTGAAGCTCATGCTGGGGGTGGGCGTAGACTTGTTGAGCCTGTTGCTCCGTACGAAGCTCCGCATCGTGGTAAGTAATAGTACTAGACTTTACGCCGTCGTATTCGGGAGTGGTCCCAGGAGTTGTACCCGTCGAGTTCGGCGGGAAAAATGCATATGGAGCGAAGGGTGAATTGTTCTGCGAGGATAAAGCCGAGGAGTAGGGGCTAACGGAAGTATCGAGGTGGGAGATGGTGTTTGGGCCCGTCATATCGATGTTTTGGTCCATGAGAAAATCAAAGAGTAATATGTCGATAGCTTCAGGTCCTAGCCCGTGGTAGAAGATAACAAGTGGAAGAAGAAGTGAGTATAGTTAGACAGTACCAGTCAGGATGAGAGAGAATACGATGGGTGATGAAGAGGAGGAGGACAACACAAGTGCCAGTATTTAACTGTTGGGACATCCGCTTCAAGTAAATAAAGGGGATGGCCCACCGTGCGGCGCGTCACTTCCTTATTCGCGCTGTGGTCCACAACTCGTTACCCAGGCAAAGCCAAACAGTGACCCAGCGGATGTCCACACAAAGGATGGCATCCACCATCCTTGCATACAAGTAGAGTTTCGGGTGAACAATAGTCAAAAACGTAGGCCACCAGGATATCCCACCGCAGGAATGTGAAGCGTTCAATTAGGCGTGTCGATCGTTGATCGTCGATCTTCAGAAGTTTCCTTCCTGGGAGAAGAGCGGTGCAAATTATTTTTGAACGCGACGGGTTGGATCTGAATTTAGAATGGGGGTACCGATACCTTCCTCCCTCGCTCATGTAATTTTCTTCGTGCACAGGGATCCGTCGTGTTTGCATTAGCATTGAGAATTGTATACCAGAAAATCTGATTGACAAAATCTATCAACACAAAACACATTAAACAGGAGATTGCATGCTTATTGATCCAAATAAAAAATATCATGTCCGACCACTAATGTGACACGCGGGAAAGGTACGTATCTCTCCAACGCGTCCAAGTCACGTCTCCGGTCGCCACGGGCCACACGAGTCCCCCCTTGGCAACACGTCGAACACCACTCTTCTCTGTCACAGAACAATCAGACATTGTACCTTTAACAAGCAGATACAACTTACTGCCACCAGATCAGAACACTCATTTCCACATTCACATTAAATTACGGCACTTAGATTTGCAAGCAACTCAGAGAAGGGTCTCTCCTGTACAACAAACAGATCACGAGCGCGATTAGTAAGTCACATTGCGAGTAGTCGATGTGAACACCGTGGTGCACGTCTGGCGCTGTGTCCCAATCAAGAACAATAGCCAAACCGCGCAAACAGAAAACAACGTGATGGCAGATGAACAACTTACCCAAAGCAGAACGGACCAACGAGCACCCCACTGCGACGGTCTGCCGCACGCTCTCAGCATCTGCAAGCGCGGGGTTGACTTCCTGCATGCGGTGGAACATTACATCAAGGTTCGTGCGAGTAGGGCCGAGGTAAGAGACGTACCATCAAGTCAAGCGCGACGAGTAACCCAGTCTCATGAATCGCCTCGCAGATGTAGTGTCCTTCGCGGAAGGTAAGGCCGCCGCGCACCTTTGGGATTTTGGTTAGTGTTGCTCGTTGACTTGGCATTTGATTTGACTTGGAATAAATTTCCTAGGAATACATTGTTTGCCCGCCGCGCGCTTGGGCATTCCCGCCACAAACGCCACGGATCAAAGCATCTGTATTTCCAAGACGCCCCCTTGAGATAGGGTATGCGCAATATAAAGCGTCTGCACAAGCCATCCCTTGTTTCTTTCCCGTTGTGACGCATTTTTCAAGCACCCGCATGGTCAAGACGCGTGGAGAATGATATGCACTTCCGTGCATGCTCTCACACCACAAATACACATCCCCAGCAAGGAAGGTCGGCAAGCACTAGGTCACCAAATTGGCGCGGACCAGACGACTAACTCCATCCCACTCAAAGATACGTGCCAACGCACTGACTAGCAAAAATTAAAATTAAGATACTTACCGGCGTCCCCGTGCTAGGAGCAACACTCGGATCGAGCGCGTCAACATCAAAGCTCAGGTGAATAGGGCGGTCTCGTTGCGGGTTAACATGGTCGAGCGCCATTTCAACCACCTTGCCGATGCCATAGCTACGTCAAATACAATCAGCGTCTGCGCCTTTCCTCCACACCGAAACCGAAACTCACCGGTCAACCTCGTGCATACTGAACGCCTTGATGTTGTGTTGCTTCAATATCTCCTTCTCGCCTTGTTCCACGTCCCTTAAACCGATGTAAACGAGACGCTCGGCAGGGAGGTGGGAAACCCAGTCGAACTTGGCGAGGACGAAGTCTGGGGATGGCGCAGGGGGGTTGAGCTTGAGGAGGAAGGAGAGAGGCATGCCGTGGATGTTTCCGCTGTCGGTGCTATGGATTGTGTTTATGTCGGCGTGGGCGTCTATCCAGATAACACACGCTTGGTCGTATGCTCTGTGGACTGAATATCAGCTCGGTGGAAGGATTCAAGTCTAAACGGAGAGATTCACCTCAGTGTGCCTGAGATAGTGCCCATGGCCAAAGAATGGTCTCCACCAAGGGTAACGGGGAGCTGCCCCCTCTCGGCATGAGCCTGTACGGCGGATGCGACATTCTCGCAGACCTGGGCAACGAAAAGAGGATTTTTCAGCCTCGCGATGGATGCGTTTAGTGCGTCTACAGCGGAATCATCGACGGCATTAACTAAGGTGCTATTGGATGGAGGAGAAATATCCTCGAATTGATGGTGCCCGTCAAAGATGACACGCCATCCGAGGTTTTCGATCTGGTCGATGAGACCTGCCTGGACGAGGTGAATAGGGCCTTTGTCTACACCGAGTTTTGGCTGAGAGGAAGGTGAGTGATTGAGTGATTTAACTGAGGTTGTGAAAGATCTGACCTGACCACCGCTGTGGCGTGCGCCGTGATAAGGTTACCGTCACGCGAGTGCAGCTGGCACTGAAATGCTCACCTAAACGGACATCCTAAGATCTGAGGAGGTAAGGACTCAGCACAGGCGTGGTGAAAAATATTCAAATAGAACACACGTACAGCGATTGTCTTGGGACTTGGAAGAAACTTGTTGGAGGGTACTGGTGACATTCTAAAGGCAAAGTAGTGATTGGTAAGTCAAAGCGTCAGCAGTCAAAGTGGATGTAAAGAACTGACGGGTGAATCGTAGTCGAGGTTGATGATATTGAGGTGAAACAAGGAAGGACGACAAGGAAGAACACCGTATACCGGACTATGTGAAAGCGATTATTATAAGGCTAGCGGCGCGACTCGATGGGGAGCGATAGCAAGATCCGACTGCATGGCGGTATTTCCCGGGTCGGCGCGCGGTGCTCATCGTGATCATCGGACGTGTCGATGATAGTCAAATTTCAGCTTTTAAACATTCAGTAAGAAAAATAAAATACGAGCTAGCAGTTTGATTGCTATTACAACGCTCTGTCGTACCTCTCAGGTTTCACAGTATTAATGCTCTTGTTGTAAGATTAACGGGCAACGCGGGATCTCAATCCAAGACTCGGGTCGGAGCTTGAATCCAACTGGCAAGCCTCATGATCACAGGTCGGTTTGGAGTTGGGGAGCACATAATTAATTCGCGATTAGAGGGCGAACATAGAATTCTCATTCCCACTGGCGTTCAAGTACTTACCTGTCTGGGCGTCTCGAGATAAGCCAGTCGGTATCGAGCATACGCTGTGTCAGAATAGAGGGCTAGGCCCCTCTGGTGCCAGGTCTCCAACCTTCTGATGATGTTCGGCGACGGAGCAACTCTGAGCTCAAGCGTCATGAGAATCGCGATCGGTGGTTGGCGCAACAGTGGGAGCGCACTAGATCACTCATGTGCTGGCAGCGGCTAGATACATATACTAATTAAGCGGTAGGCGAAGCCAGGCGTCTAGCTATGGCAATCGCGGTGCAGCTTATGTAGGCTTCTGTGGGGCCACTGCGGCGCTCGCTGTCGCTGGCAAGTGTCGAACCTTGTTGAACGTATTACCTGGCGCGCGGTGAGAAAGTTATTATTGGGGCTGTTACTGGCTGGCACTGGCTGGCACAGGATATCAAGAAATTGATGCAAGATCATGATCGTTCTGCGAATCCCGCTGATATTGGCATGCCAGCGGCAACCAAAAATGGATGAGGAGCAGGGGCGAAGCAGGGAGGTAGTATAGTATAAATAACATCAATACTGACCTTTGCAACAGTTCTGCTATTGGTTACCTTATAAGCTGCCCTCTGCCCATCTTCTGTTTACACCACATCATGTCCAGACCCTCAACTAGACCCAATAGTGCATACCCTTCGCGTAGCGGAACTCCATCTTTAAGAGACGTCGTAAGTTCATTAACATCCTTGCTTCCCTTCCTCTATCCCGCCCGTCATGCACATTCACCTTCCCCACTTCTCTTCCTCCAAATCTTCCTCTAAAAAATCATCTAAATCATCTCTCACCCACCAGGTTCACGGCGTCATGAAAATCTTCCATCATGAGAAAGAATCCGAGGCCCATCAGGTATATGTCTTGAAATCATCATCAATCATTACTTAATCCTTCCCCAGATATTTCGTCAACAAGTCGGTCATCAGCCCAAGGGCATCCTAGGCCTTCCTCAGACTATTAACCCTGTAAGTTTCACTCTTCCACCACATCACGTGACTTGACGCGTCCTTAGGATGAAGAAACCGTGCCTGGTATCGAGCACCCAGGCAGTACTGGCGTTATTTACTGTTCCGATCGCGCCATAGCGAATGGTTTCAGCTACGCTAATTCGCACGAGTGGGCAAACTTGGGTCAGGGCGCTCCAGAGGTCGGCCCTATCCCAAATGCCCCACCCCGCCCAGAGAGCATTCCCTTGCCTGTTGATTCTTTGGAATATGCCCCCACAACGGGTGTTAAAGGTCACTTTTTCATCCTTGGACGCGATCCGCTCTTGACGCATGACACTACTAGCCCTTCGTGAAGCAGTGGCGAATCTCTACAACGACAATTATCGCAAAGGCAAAGCAAGCCAGTATACATTTGAAAACGTGTGTATCGTGCCCGGTGGACGTGCGGGGCTCTCCCGTGTCGCTGCTGTCGTTGGGGATGTGTATTGCGTACGTGTCGCTTCTCTTGCTTGCTTCCTAATTCCGCGCGGCTCTGCTAACCAAACACCGCGCATATAGTCATACCAAATCCCAGACTATACCGCCTATGACCAGGTTCTAAGTGCATTCAAACGACTCGTCCCTGTTCCTACTGCGTGCGTGTTTCTATTCTTTCTTCTCGATCAAAAACCGACCAAATCCTTGAATTAATATAGGCTGGATCCCAAGGTACGCAGTTTCCACTAAAAAGTGATCACAACTGATGAACCCCGCTACATAGAATAAATATCGTCTTGATATCGAACAAACCAAGGTTCGTCTCCCATGTCACTCAAACACACAAATTGACTGAACGCGCAAACAGAAAGACATCCGTACCCAAGGTCTTGCGGTTGTTATTGCCTCGAACCCGAGGAACCCGACGGGGCAAGTTATTGCGTGCGTGCCCCCCCCCCCTCTTTCTCCGCTTCTTCAGAGCTGATCCTTTTTGATTATAGTGGCAAAGAACTGAAAGAGCTCGTTTCACTCAGCCGGGAGAACACGACGATCATTCTTGATGAGGTATGTGTTTGCTTTTCACCCACTTCCCCAACGCTTCCTTCACCCTCAACGAACGCTGACACTTACAAAACTCATAGTTCTACTCCTGGTACATCTACCCCGAAAACGACAAAGATATCGGAAAGAGCATCTCCTCTGCCGAGTATGTTGAGGATGTAAACAGTGATTCGGTAGTTATCATCGACGGGTTGACCAAGGTGTGTTTTGACACTCATTCACTCTCCCTCCCCCTTAATCCATATCCTATCGTAGAACTGGCGTCTCCCAGGCTGGCGCATCTGTTGGGTCATCGGGCCTAAGAACCTCATCACCGCACTCTCGCAATCGGGTTCGTTCCTTGATGGAGGTGCGAATCATCCGTGAGTGCCCTCCTTTCCCCTCCTTTCCCTTGCATTCGTTGAACCCTTGTGTAGCATGCAGCTCGCGGCCCTTCCGCTCCTTGAGCCGGACCGTGTCAAGGTGGAGAAGGTATGCCGATCATTAGACATGACAAAGGAATAAGCTGATGTGAAACAGATGGCCCTTCAAAAACACTTCAAAGCCAAGCGGGACCACGTGCTGAAGCGCTTGCACGCGCTCCATCTCGACGTAGACGTTCCTCCACAAGCGACGTTTTACATCTGGCTGAACTTGGAGAAGCTACCCCCTCCGCTTAACAATGGTTTGGTGAGTGGTATTCCTTAAGATCCTCGTCTTCCCTGTCCTAGGAAGGGGATGAACGAACGTTGACTCATTCTCTCTACGTCAGACCTTCTTTGAAGAGCTCCTGAAAGAGCAAACGATCGTGATCCCGGGCATCTTCTTCGACATCAACCCGGCGCACCGCAGGAATCTGTTCAACAGCCCGTGTCATCACTATGTGCGGCTGTCGTTTGGACCGCCTATCGACGATTTGGACAAGGGTGGGTTTACTGTTACTTTGATATAGCGCTTGGTTCTTCCTTTCTCGCGTCTGAACGCGCTTAGACTCGTCTCAAAGGTCTTTTCATGCCTTCTCCATCCTTTTTACTCGCATCTTTCTGCATACTGTATTGTCCGGTGATACTGACGTCAGCACGGCGCACAGGTATCGACGCCATCGGTCGGGTGGTCGCTGCTGCGAGACAGGGAGGCACGAGGAAGATGGGACACAGCTATAAGAAGAGCTTGGAGAGCAACCCTGGGGAGCATATCTGAACGCGATAGATTGTTTCCCCTCCTCCCCCGGCGGGTCGTACGTCGTTGGTATTGGGATGGCTAGAGATGTGACTGAGAATCGAACTGCAAAAAGAATGGACAGTATAATTAATCATGATGCATGTCGGTTTGTTTGCACGAGCGTTGGTAGGCTAGCTATGTGTAGAGTCGTTCACTGTATAGACTTGTATAGAGTCAGAAGACATTATTATTATGGCCTTGAAACGTGGGGGAATGACGAAGTTGAGTGTAAGGTCGAGGTGAAGGTGCACTTCAGACTGAGTCGACGTAATCAGAGCTGCTGAAATGTCAGAGATCAACATCGTGGCTCGTTGACGATGATATCCGGCTGAGTAGGTTGCGGCGCAGCCGATATTCAACGCGAACATCTGTTTTGATTCGCAAATGCAAGGCAGAAAATAATACCTCGACGAATGAAGGTTAATGGCCAAGGTAGGGCGAAGCACAAGATATTATAAACACAGTTTCCAGTGCCCTACAAAAGTAGTTGCAATGAACGCTGACAAGTGAAGATCACATCGACGGGTCAAAAGGTGCGAACGCGGCCTTGAATGCCTTCACATCTGCTTTATCCTCCTCCTCGGGAAGCATACATGCCTTCCAGTCCACCCTATCAGGGATGCCTAGTAAGTCTGCTAGGACTTGCCTGTGAACAATACCAAAATTCCATCAGCGTGCGCCAGAAAATACAAGAGCGTCATCCGCAACAAAAATAACGACAGAACCAGGCAATGGGAACGGAGACAAAAACAAGGAACACGTATGTCCAACTCCATTCCCACAAAACAAGGCAAAAAAAGCAAAGACAACAGCACAAGGACACCATCACAACCCACTCACCTACCAAACTGCACCCCGAAAGGCGCATGATCCTCGATCAAATGGACCAACGTCCTCCCATCAGGCAGGTCCACTCTGAAATAACTTCTTCCCCTCCTGGAATCTGGTAGTCCTGCACCTTGACAGTCTTCCAGCGTACCATCAAAATCGATTCCCTGAGACCTGAACGCCTGCTCCACATTCCCCGCGAGCGAAGTAGGCACGGGAACAGCTTGTACATGCGCATGCCCTCCTTTTGTGCTCAGACGTCCGACTTCGAAGAATACGGCGCTCGTGTCGTGGGCGGCGTAGAGAGCGCGGAGGGAAGACTTGTATCTATGAAGTGGTTGTTAGCGGTTGAAAATGAAAGAAAGGATGAAAGATTGAATACGCACTTCTCAGTCTCTTCGAAAATCGGAGGTGCGATGTCAGCAGGGATGGTGCTATACGTCGGCTGGTGCGAGATGGGTACGATGAGGACGTGGCCTCCACCTGGGACTGAACTAATACTGCTGTTATTCCCGGCTGCGTTGGATTGCGTAGGTATGAGTTGACCCTTTGGAAGCGTCACGTAACATTCACTTCCGATGGAGACTATGAGATGTTTTCTGTAAGAGCGGAGATTAACGGGCAGCAGATATGTAAGAGAAGAGGACTTACGCGAGGTTGGGATTGGAGAGGCAGAACCAGCATTCGTCGGCTGTAGTCCATAAGTACCACAATTGATCGCCTCAAACAATGAGAAATGCTTACGTCCGATCTCCTTGATTGGATCCCTCTTCCCCCTCCCCCTCCCTCCCTCCCTCTCTCCACCACGTTGTCCCGCATTTGCAACCGGGCAATCCTCAATATAATGCCCCTCGCTTGCACACGCGCGGCACACGTACCCCGGGCGTGGTTTTCGCCCACCAGTGTCGCCCACAGCGTGGCGCGTAGGGCAGTCGCGTACGAGATGCCCGGGCGTATTGCATATGCGGCAGACGTATCCTTCCGGAGGTTTTTGACGGTCAGGGCAAGAGGTGATAAAATGCTGTTTGTAGGAGGTGAGCGCGGGTCATGGTGAGGTAGGAAATAGGAACCTCGGTAGAGTCACACCTCCGGCATTTGTACCCTGGCGGCGGCTTGCCTTCCTCACCTGACGGTGCATCTACATTGATTAGATGAAGGGTAAAAAGTAAATCGGTGGTGCGTGGAATAAGGTTGAGTATGTACCTGTTCGAAGACGCTTGCCGGGCTGGGGGACGTTTCCCCATATGAAATTCTCTCCTCCTTCGAATGTTTCGAGTGTCCGTTTTTGGGGTCGGGGAGCTAATTCAGTGAAAGGGTTCTTGGTGGCGTTTGTGGGGCGAGCTGGAGCGGGGTTTGACGAGGAAGGTGGGACAATTGAAAATGCGTAAAACCACTGTTGACAACATAGTTTGATTCGTTTCAGTGATTCGACGTCATTATTGAAATTCAGCGTACCCTGGGCTTCTTACTACCCGTTGCTTCAGCCCCAAACGCGCCAAGGCTTACAAACCTCGAAACCCTTCCTGCCTCATCATCCCACACGAAGGGCTCCCGCTCCCAAAACTGTGGCGGTCGGCCACCCAACGCAGCAAAATGATATCTGGGTTTTACCTTCCTAATAACTTCATCCAGGGGCATGGCGCCCACAGAGGAGAGCTCTGTGGAAGACAAAGGGGCTGATGAGTGCTGTGTAATGCATGCAGGCCAGTCGTTGGTGATGAGGATGTCGATGAGCTGCGAGGAAGAAGAGGCGTTGAGGATGGAGGTAAGGGAGGTGTATGCTTGGTTCTTGGATTGGGATTTTGAGGATGATTTAACGAGAGTATTGGAGAGGAGGCGCTCGACGGTGTGGGTGGAGAAGAAGGGGGATGCGAACCCCTAGAATATGATAGTTAGTGTTTACCTTGAAAGATTTGCGCACAAAACGCACGGGAGGGGCTTCAGCAGTGGTGTAGATGCCTGGATTGTAGATGCCACCTAGACAGGCTATCCGAAGACCGTGAGCGGTCGTTATGATCCCTGATTTGTCTGGCAACTTGGTCAATCTTACACCACTAAAGGAACTTTTACAGAACCCACTCAGTAAAAATACATCCTTGCATAGCTCTCCACTAGTCTTGGCGTATTTTTCTATCACAGAATCAGGTAGGGGGTTCTCTCCCTGCATGATGTAACATTTCAAAGGGACTGAGAATGGAACAGTTCAGTCAAGGTATACCACTCATGAAACGCGTTCCTGCCTTCAATATCACCGTTCAAAAGTTGCTCAGTTTCATCGGTTCCATCCCCTGAAGCCCCTGGTTCTTTCAAGGGACCGAAGAAGTCCCCAATGCAGAGGACACAGTCGAATTTACCATGCTTCGCGTCGATAGCTTTAAGTTTCACAAAAAGGTCGCGTATTGACCCAACGGCAGAGCCCACTGTGAGTCTGTACAAGCGACGTTGGTTATTGGTTTTATTGGTGGTTCATGGGGACCAAAAGCCTACATTTTCACGGGTGAAGCACTTGACGATGCTGGTGCGGTGGAAGACGCCATGAAACTCTCCGTAACACGTGACCGTCCTTGCAGTGACACAAAAAAGGGAATTACACGTAGATTGTCACTTTCCCCGCAGCCCGCTGCTTGCGTTCGAACGCCCCTGTCAATGTCATGCCCATCACTTAGCGTGAGTCTTCCATACAGCTGCTACTTAGTGGTGTTCACAGAGCTCTTCCCGGTTCATTCCAAAACAAAAAAAACAATGGTACTAATTACAAATCGCCAGCTTGATTGCGAATCGAACTGGGTTTACATTCTACACTTCTCTCACACGTGGCCGCGCGCTGAACCAGTGCACCCCTTGTATTTTCTTTCCATCCTGATCCTCATCATGATCTGAGGCGATAATTATATGCGGTGCCACAGGTCCTCCGCCAAATCAAATCACTGTGCCTTTTTCGAGGGTGTGTTGCTTTCTTCTGTTGTCTAGCTCAGCGCAAATGAAATCAGCTAGGAACCGAGTGGTTGTGGATCACTGATCAGACAGGTCATGTCAGCCCTCTGCTCGGTCGCGTGGCAGCGCATGGTTTGGCATAGCGCAAGATCCGTGATCAACTCTTATTTCTTTGCCTAACCACATGTCACCCCGAGGAAGGCAGAGGCCAGGTGAAACTAAGTTTTAATTGATCAAGATTCAGGACCCATCATCACACCGGGACGGTCCAATCGCGGGACAAGGCGCTGTAGCCCGTGCCTGTGAACGTGACTTGTGGATACCACGATGAGAGCGCACTTCTGTGTCTGTCCAATGGGAGGATTCATGCCTGGAGTCTTTTAGCGTCAAAATCTTTCAAAATGCGGCTGTTTGTTTCCTGGTTAACGCCTTCGATTCCCCAGAGATACAAATCGGTGTCGTTACTTGCGGTGATTAACACGCATGACGCGATTTAGAATAGCATCTTCCGCAAGGTACTTTGGGTAAGTTCAGCAGTTGCTCACTATTGATGCCCTGCCGTCACTTTCTCCGACTCATCAGGCGCACAAAATAATTTATTCAACAAAGAATACCAAAGATACGTCCAGATATTTTTTGCTAAGACAACCTTGTGGAGGTTGAACCGCCGCAAGGACACATCTGTCAAAGGAGTCTGGGACTCAATGAGCTCGCAGTTGCGAGGCACTTCTTGACAGCGCGTGTTTCAAGGGAGGAGTCCGGCTGACAGATTCGTTGACCGTCTTTATGCCGTCGAGTTGCGCAGGCAACACCAGGTAACTTTAGAGCGGCGTGTACAAGGCAAGTTCTGCTTCGAGTTCCTGGATTCACTACATAGTACATTCACTTGCGTTATGCGTTAGGGGATCTGTGGCTCCTCGCAGGATCGAAACACATGTACGCAGTAGTACTATTAGTGATTCAGTTCTAAATCTGGGACTCCATCGGTTCGAAGGTCCAAGCAATCCAGGTTGCGTTGGTGTTTTGCATGTGCAGTTTACGCTTTGAGAACAAAGACCCTGGGTAAAGCGCGGTAAAGCCCTACGGGCGCTTGACGATTCTTGCCTATTCTGCTCCGGATGGTTGGGCATTGTTCTATTCGGGCATGATCTTCCTGCATACCCGCGTCTATTTTCTTGTCGTAACAAGTCGTTCCTTACCAGCTCGCGTACTTTACTCGTGTCTTTCGCACCCTGTCGTCTCGCAGGCACGATCATCAGACTGGATCTGTATTTAAGGGGGCAGCAGTGTTCATTTTACTTCCTCACCAGCGTAGTGTCGGGGGATCTCTACGTCTGGCATAGAAAACATTCTGTCCTTAGACTAGAAGCATGGTCGCGTTTTCAATTATCTCCGCCTTCTCCATGCTTTCGTCACTGCTGCTCGCGTCACTGTCGCATGCATCCCCTGTTCCACGGCCGTTCTTGAACTCCGGGCTATCACTTCCGTCGCTAGATTCCAAAAGTTGGTTCTGCCGTCTCGTCCACACGACACTGGCTGAAAATCTTTGCCTACAAGAAGGGTCGACTGCACTATCTGTGAATACTCCCCTTGGCGTCGCGCAGGGTACCGCCGATGTCTCGGGTGTGAACAGGTTCGCTGTAAAGTATGCTTCCGCAGAACGCTGGTCCCCATCCTCTATGGTGACTGCATGGGCACTCCCGTACGTTAGTCACATCGCGCCTGATTTGCTCCCGATCACATACACTGCACCCACAGCAATGGTTCTACCAATGTCTCTGCGTTGCCGCTTATGTGCCCGCAGCCCTATGTGGATAATTCCACGTTCACCGAGGATTGCCTATCGATGATCCTCTATGTCCCCACCACCTCAGACGAGGACAGTGATGTACCGACTTTGATGTGGTATGTATCATAATCATTCTTTGGTGGTGGTGATCGTCATATAATTTTGCAGGATTCATGGAGGTTCTTTCATGGTCGGATCCGCAACGAATCCTGGCCTAGATGGATCTGCACTGGCACTTGCCACTAATTCGATCGTTGCGGTTATTCAGTACCGCCTGGGAGCTGTAAGTTCTCTCATCGTAATCAATTCATGTCAGCTCACATTGTGCCTTTAAGCTTGGCTTCGTGGCTCCCAACAATCAGACCAACCTTGGTCTGAAAGACGCTGTAAATGCACTCGAATTTTTGACGGCTGTTCTTCCGAGCTTCGGCGGTGACCCACGTAAGATCACTGTAGCCGGCCAAAGCAGTGGTGCGAATATGATTCGCGCCCTTCTTGCTGTGCCTTCTGCACAGTCACTATTCCAATCTGCAATTTTGCAGTCTGATCCCATGGTAAGTGATGGTGTACGCCACCTGGTAAGACCCACAGACTGATTGCTGTGTCAGGACTATGGCTTCCTGTCATCATCTGATCAAGCTCAACTTGAGGAGTACTTCGTGTCGAATCTCGGCTGTGCTGCAACCGACTCAGCATGCCTAAATGCTTTAACCGCGGATACCATCGTCAATGGTGCCGGCCTTTGGCAATTTAATAGCTCCGTTTACGTCGTCCCAGCCGCCACTCAGTCCGAGCCAATGCGTGTTGTGAATGATGGCACCTTCATCACCTCCACCTTGGACTCAACTTCGCCATTCCCCCGCGTTTCCAAGCCCATCTTATTGTCTAACGTTGTTGACGAGGGAGGTTATACGATTTACGGCTCATTCCCTGACCCCATGCCCGAAGCCGAGTACGTTGCTATCATCAACGGCTCGTTCGGCGAGATACGCTACGAGACTCTCGTGAGCTCGCAAAGCTATGCCGTCGGGACCGCTCAAGATGACGACTACCGCCCTCAGCTTCAAGTGCTCGCCACGGACTCGGTCTGGCGATGTGCGACATGGACTTTTGCGCGAAACTGGGTTTCTAATGGTGGAACTGCATACGTAGGAGTGTACACTGTTGGCGCAAGCTACCCCGGCAACGCCGCTGTCTCTTTCTGCACCGAGCCAGGGGTTGTTTGTCACCAAGATGATATCGAGATAGTCGTAAGTCGATACTTGATGTGTTACATTCTTTACAACTGACGTTCTGCGCTAGTTTGGCACTGCTCCCAACCCAACCTCGGCTCAGTCAGCGTTGATTACCGAGATGCAGGCCCGTTACAAGTCATTCTTGTATAGCGGGAACCCAAACCCTGATGAATCATCATACGCGAATTGGCAGGCGGCTGGAAATTCAGACGTCAATGCCATTCTGTTCGGCAGCAACGGCAATGCTCCTATCGGCGCTTGCACCCCATCTTTCTGGGGTCAAAGCGTCGCGTACGATTATCAAGTATTTGATATTTAGAACACTGGTAACGTCCGTATGAATGTTTACGACCTAATGTTGTCTCCCGGACTCTGTATCCGTCTCGTTTATCTTCATCTCCGCTGTTAACTTCATGGATCTCCTTGTTCGTAATGAATTTCGGGTTCTGCTGTTTTTTTATTCCTCTTTATTGTCCACATTTGTTGCTTAACATGTCATACTTTGTAGCCCTTACTCCGTACTCTCTCCGCTAAACGCCGCTGTAGCCAAATTGCTTTCTTCTCTACATACCACCAATCGCATCGTGTTCGATATCACATATGAATAAATTGTGTTGAAACTAACTGACTCCGAAGAAATGGTATATGTGACGGTATTTTAACACGAAGTTCTTACAGTTTGGGGATATGAGCTTCGACCGGGCATTGAGTGAACAAGTCGAAGTTGCGCTGCAAATTTATCTGAGAGAATCCCTGTACGAGCGATTAGATCACTAGCCCATCAGAAACACGAGAAATATGGCGATGCCGTACCGCGCCTTTCCGCTTCACCACCACGCGGTGTAGCCGGCCCTTTGGACCACCTCTCAACTCATCACCCTCGTAGACGAATGCTTCGTCAACTCCGTCATTCACACGGAACACCCGTGGATTGATCACCATCCGCCCGAATGCAGCTTTGGACAACATCCGAATTGCATTTCTCTGACTCTCCGTACTGGTCGGCCCAGTAAGGATGGGACGAAGCGTTTCCATTATGTAGTATTGTGGTGGGAAAAGGCTTATTTGTCCTGTTCTGAACTCCTCTATGGCCGATTCTGGCCGCAGAAATCGCGTTCGGATGACTTCTTGCCCCCCATCAGGGGTCGGAAAGTGTTCTTCCTTACCTGAAGACAACCCATCCGATGCTGAATTCGTAAGGAATGCGACAAAGAACTCCGTACGGAATCGCCTATTTGTCAAATGTAGTTAATGGACTAGGAACGAGGGAAACCTGTTTACCTGGGTGCTGTTGGCGGAGTCACCCACGTAGTGAACGGCAGCAGAGTGTCTACGTTGGCTCTTAGATTGTTGTTCGTAAGAAACGTCGAGAATGACATTTGTCCTCCATGAACAGCTTCTCTAGCCTGAGTAAAATCGACCAATTTGCCCGGAGTATCCGACGAAGCTAGCAGCAATCCTGCTTCTTCGAAGGTTTCTCGGATGGCAGTCCATTCTAGGGATGTATCCTGCTTGGCATCAAAATTGCCACCAGGAAAAACCTCCAATGACAGATGTCTTTGAACAGAGACGGCGAAAGAGTGATTCTGCTCACGTGTGTGCCCGCGAATGACTTCGCCTGTGGGTTGCGCTGAACAAGTAATACTTCGTTGCGACTGTTGACCAGAACGAGGCTTGCTGAAAGACGAGGCTCTGCAGGCTTTGGACTCTCGGTGTGCGTCATCTTAATAGACTCGGACTGAGAGTGGACTGAGAAACTTCTCCGGGAAAGCGATATGTCACCGTGTGCTCTGCTATTCATATATTCATTAACGCAGTCCGTCAAATTGCAATGAACCGCGGTAACGAACTCACAGCAGCTGATAGCTAGGCGGTCTGTGCTTAGCCTTGAACAGAAGTAGAGTACGGCGAGACCTTAACATGGGTTGATAAGTCGTCGAATGTCTAATCACCGGCTCCGGTACCGATGCAGTGCTCATTTCCGGGTGCAGTAACTGGGCCAGAGACTGTAATCGCTTCAAAGTTCAGTCCTTAGGCCTTGACCGTGACAAGTAATTCTTCCTTACGAATTTGCCTCAACCTAACAGATCCCACCCGCCACCTTAGACCACGCGGTACCTGACATCAAAATCGCGTTTATTAACTTGGGCAGTGAAGTAGGCTATGGCCACCGTGACCGTGCTAGAGGTAGGTCTTCGCCATAGCCAATGTTGTCAGTGGTACTTACTCGAATGCACAAGGATGAAGCGATTCCTGAAATGAAGATTCCACTCACCTTCAAATGGTCAGGACGCGAATACCAGGTAGATCTCCTTGGATCGGACAGGTAAGCTGCGGGACCCAACATCTGCCAGCCAGGGATAATCATCCATAGAATCCACTCCGGTTGTCCAGAGTATACGACCTCAAGACTTCGCTGATGAGTTTGACAAAGGTTCCTCCAGAAAGGCAGAAAATCCTAGGTCTCGTGAAAGGAAAGCTACCTCCAGATCAAGAGAGAATGTTAGCATTCGGGAGTTCCTGCACAAGTTGTTCTCTGACCCACATATTTGCGCAGTGCAGATCTACGAATTGCAGGGAAATCATTCACACTTATAGGAACTCCAGAAGGCGACGAGATCAAAGACCCTTCAAGTAAGCCTACCTACTCTTTCCAACTTCGGCGCCTGTACTAACATACGGTCAGAGTTGGAATCCCTTCCTGATGTTGTCAACGACCTTGATGTAGACTTCACCGACAACCTTGCTGCCGCTTCGGTATATATAAATGACCAGCGAAACATTCGCAAAGTCAAAGAAGCAACCGAGAAACTTCAGATTGATATCATTCATCCTCTGCGAGATGGAAAGCGTTTACTCGTGCTTGACATCGATTACAGTAAGACAGTTTTCTTGAGTCTATCCGCTTTCTGAAAAGTAAATCTTATGCAGCTATCTTGGACACCAAACCGCTAACGTCGGGCTCATTGCCTCCTGCAGAATGTGCGAGGCCTGGCCTCCATGAATTCCTAGAGACTATATACCCTTACTACGATATCTGCATTTGGTGAGATTCATTTACTTACCTCATGAGTGTAACCTCTCATAGCCGATAACCAGGTCTCAAACTAGCTGGATATGGCTTGAGACAAAGCTCGTAGAACTGGGCATGATCGGATCCACCAGGAACTATCAGGTTTAATTCCTGCTTTCATGTGGCAAGCGACGGCTGACATCAACTCCAGATTTCATTTGGTACGATCATCACTCCAACTCTCGCATAGCTGATTTAAGATACCTAGTCCTCGACAAAAATTGCATGTTCACTGTCTTTACGGAACGCAATGGTCAACCATATGCACATCATGTCAAGGCACTGCAAATCATTTGGAATCACTTTCCCCAGTTGTCAGTATAGCCTGAATTGGACAAACGAACATGCTTTGACTGTCCTTATTAGTTCAGCAAAGAACACCATTCACGTGGATGACTTGGTAAGAGGGAGGCATGTCAGGTCCTTAACGTCTCTAATTCCGTCGTAGAGTCGGAATTTTGCCTTGAATCCGAACGAAGGACTAAAGATCCATGCCTTCAAGAATGCTCATACAGAGCAGGCTCAAGCTGACCGGGAGCTTGCGAAAATTGCTCGGTACATGGTGCATATTGCTGCTGTAGAGGATTTCCGGACGTTGCGTCATAAGGCATGTGTCGCATGTTTGTCACTCCAAGTTTGCTCAACAGTTTGTCTTTTCTCAGACCTGGAAGCATGAACTAAGACGACTCCCGCAACTGTGACGAAGATACATTCTTTCAGTACGTGTTCAGATCAGGTTGTAAGGATTCATGCCAAGGGACACATGAGTTAGGGATCAAGTATGTTGTACATGATTTTTGTAATGTAACTTTTTTTTTGACAGAACTGTAGTAATATTATGTAATTTGTGTTCCATAATAACTTCTTCACCGTGTCTTCACCCAAGAGCTTATTTATGATTAAGTGGGCTACGAGCTCTCTGCAGTTCAAGAAATCATTTACGGTGGCTAGGTGCGTCATGCCCGTACTATGCATGCGATTTCATTCATGTGTAGAAATTATAGACTCAGCTTTGCTCTCGGTACATGCTTGGAGTTGACCTACGATGGGATCGACTTCGCTGGGCATACGAGTTCGAAGTCGCGATGCGAACAAAGAGCGCGTCTACCTTGAACGGCCTTAGCCGCGAAGAAAAGAAGAAAGCTCAGTGCTCGTTTGAACCAGGCGAAATTGCTCATGTCGATGGTGGCGGTGGAGTCAATGCTGCCTTCTACGAATTCTTGGACCGTCATAAATTTCCACTGACGTCAATGGAACGGCGGTACATGCGCATTCTCATCCACAGCGCCCCCGATATCAGCAAATATTGTCTCGTTCTTCAACGTCTCAGTGCGGATACATTTATCGTGTGTTACATTGCGTCGTTTGGTGGCGTCGTACACGGCACCAACCTATCTCCAATGACTCGGTTTTTTTCCATGGCTATGGGTGATGCACCTTCGTGGCCTCCCAATACAAGGCCTCTGCACGTAATTCCAAGGTGGATTGGATCTGGTTTCATATTTGGTGTTCCCGTGGTCAGGAAAAACCTGTCGAAAACCACTCATACCCGTGCTTGTCTCGCCCACGGAGAGCTGCAAAGGGTAAGGTCTTTTGTTGCAGAACGACTCAAGGCAGGTTCGGTCGCCCGCTTGCTTTGACGTTGTGGAATGAAGTATTTTCACAGCTCTTCCAGCAAGTGCACCAAGAACTGCGTGCGAAGGACAGCGAGTGGCAAAAAGTTCGCAAGAAAACTGGTTTAAAATTTGACGACCATGTGGATCCCAGCGTAATGCTGGACCGCCCAAGCAGGGTAGGCTCCAACCCTACGATACCCAGCAAAGCGCCCGTCGCCGCCGACATTGCGCAATGTTCAAATTTCAAAGGCATGCTTCGGATGAAGCGTGACATTAAAGGCAAGGGTGAAATTTACCTCGCTCGGGATGGATGGTGACACGATTATGTTCTTAGTGCCTTTACACCACAAACATCGATTCCTGGAAGTTCCTCCAAGCAATCACTTAGCCTGGTTGCTGCAATGGCAACGACAAGATATCATGGCTTCACGGCTCTACCTCAAGTGTCTCACACGTCGACCCGACACATGTTATCCTTTACTCCGACACCTTCCATTCCCCTTTCGGTATGTGAGACCTTGAAGATAATAAATCTATTGCGCACCGTGGTGAACGGAGGGAGTTCACTCAGTCCAATTTGGTCTTGCAGTTTACGACGTCAGAACTTTCCTAGTCCTACGTACTTGGTACGTGTTGCAGGAATACTGTGCCCATTCGGCTACACTGGGTACAGTATCATTCAAGATGTGCAGGAGTGTACAATGTCTGAGTATGGCATGATATGACTACATTGTGGAGGTGGCGACAGGACTTTAATATACTTCTGAGGTTGTAACACCGTTCACAACGAGATCGAAAGTCATCACGGAGGATGGCGGTACTAAAGACATCTGAGTATGGATTTGTGTCGATAGCTTTGTCACATACCAGGTTTTGTAGCAATGAGAGCAGGTAGAGAAGCATTCGGGGGTCGCAATACACCACTGGCGCCGTCGAACTGCCAGTGGTTGTTGTTCGCAACTTCAGTCAAGAACGGCAGTTCAGCAAGTATAATATGACGTTAGATATCGAGCTCACTTGAAAGCACCTCCTGCCGTCCCAGCCCAAGTAATTTCTGAGCTTCCGTGACATGGAGGCATGCAAACGCTCGCGAAGCAAGCGCGAACGTTTTCCTACGGAATGCATCTGACGACAAATTCGATGGAACGAAAAACTGATTGGAAGCTACCTGCACATACCGAGGAAGCTGTTAACCAGTAGAGCAACAGTTTTTCCCAGCCTTGGATCAGGAAAGTCGCTTTGCTGCGACATCTGGAACAGCTCTTGGGCTCGCGAGTAAGTGTTTTCATACTTTCGTTCTAAAGCGGACGCCAAGAGCGCAGCAAGTGCGTGCGACAGGGGATGCAAGGAGACATTATCAGGTAGACGTGCAAGGGCATGCTGAGCGGGTGTCCTGAAACGAGTGTTACAAAGGTGTACAATTAGGTGAATGGTCTTACAGACAAGTCGTCCATCACCATATAAGCCAGAACTAAGGGGGCAATCAAAAGCAATCTGGTGAAACTTTTGTCATTAGAACCCTGTTACATTATCGAAATGTCGACATATTCATAAGAGGTGTTTCAAGAAGCGCTCACGTTCAAGTCGTGGAGTTCAGCGATGTTAATGATGCCAATGAAGTTCCTTTGCTCGGCCAGATCAGATAGCTGGGGGAAAACTTGTTGATATATATCTTGGGCAGCGGGGAGCTGAGGGGCGATTTCCACGCTGCGGCCTGGGCTGTTGGATGATGTGGTGGCGTGCAAGGATTCCGCCGAGGAGGCAATGGAGTCTCGAGCTTCATCACGAAGCTCTGTCGCGCTCATGGGAGGTGGTGTGGGTGGTGCTTGAGCCATACTTCGGGTTGGTGCTGATCAGGCTGAACACTTAAGTAGTAGATCCTATTCAGCTGCTGCTTATCTAAGTGGTCCACAGTAAGTAAGTACGCGTGCAACTTATTCGCACTGCAAACTACATAGTCGCCCAATAGAAGGAAGACAGTCGTTCCTTCGGTATCGCTTCAGACATGGATGTACTCGATGGCGAGGTCGAATCGATCATATATATTGCAAGAGAAATATCAGGTAGGTTCGAGCCGAGCGAGCCTTACCAGCAAGCGTTTCATCAGCACACGTAGTCTACAAGATTCCCCATCTGAAGGCCAACGAGGGACATCGTGCTAACGACTGGGGAGATCTTGCACAACCGCTATGGAAAGGTAGACTGCGCATCATCGAGAAGTCGAGTGGCGCGGCGCTGATGTTTGAAGATGCTCAGACGGGTAAGCATTGTGAACTTGTTATCGCGTAGTGGACGATTAACGCGACTACAGGCGAATGTATGTTTCAACATGAACTCGTGGTAATTATAGTGTCCTGATGTAGAGTCAGTATTTGCGCGTGCACCTTATGACCCTCTTAAACCATGCGTGGAAGCCGTCCTTGATTCATCCAGATATTTTGTAATCAGGGTGGAGGATGCTGGCAAGAAGGCTTACATTGGGATGGGATTCGCTGAGCGGACAGATAGCTTTGATTTCAGTGAGCGTTTTGATTTTGATCTGCTTGCTGTTTTGACATATGCTCTTAGACGTTGCACTGCAAGATCACACCAAGTGGGTCTTGGAAACGGTGAAATTAACGTCTCTCACTTACAATATACCTATGCCTAGACGTTTGAAAGCTGCTTTGAGCCCTCCTAGCCCCTCTGAAGAAACCCTCTCTCCTCATATTCCGGTTGGTCCAAAGAAGGACTACTCTTTGAAGGAAGGCCAGACGTTCTCCATATCTATTCCAGGAAAATCTGGTAAACTGTCAACACCTGGGACCAGTTTACTAGGTTCCTCTACCCAAAGCGATGGTAGCTCAGGAGGGGCAGTACCGCTATTACCGCCCCCACCTTCGTCAGGAAGGAGGAAATGATCAAGTATTATGGCATTTGTTGTACCCACTGTTTTTCCGTGAAGGCGGAATTGGCACTACACTACAAGACACCAAAATTATACAAATTTAAACAACCCTGGGTTATGATCTCTCTTCGGCGGAAACCTCTGGACTTCGGAAAGCTTGTATAATCAAAAAAGACACACAGGCAAGTGCCTTGACATATGGGAGGTGGTTGATTTGTATGCTTTACTTGTTCAAGTTGCTACATACTCACTTTGGGCCCCATCGTAAACGAACATGTTACGCGGTCAAGGCTATAGACAGACGTACGCATATTTCAAGTACTCTCGGTAGGACATAGATCGGCGACAGACGAAAACTGCCATCTTGCAAGACGCTGATTCTGTGTTATGTATGTAATTTAGATGTTGGGTGCGAGTCCAGAACCTCCAGCCTTCACTCAGTCCTCGGACTGTACACTATGTACACTGATGAGCTGTAAAACAACAAGCTTGTGTGATAGAACGTGAAGAGGGGATAAACTTAGACTCCGTATTATGTAACTATCTTTCACGTGACCCCATTAGACTTGCTGACAATTCCATTCATTCTCGCAGTGCTCTTCGCCAGCATTGCGACTAGCTTCTTGTTCTTCTCCATCTTCAGATTCTCCTATCTGATTAACGGGAAACGTCCGCACTCAGGATGCTGTCCAGAGTCACCCCCAGCGTGATAGTACAAACTACTCTCAGAAGCTCCGTACGACGGGCTGCTGTTTGCGCTCGCAGAGGCTTCGTACAACCCTCTGGCGCAGACCGTGCACGCGTCATCGAAGACATGCACTTCAAGCTCGAGGTTCCACATCGTGAGAACAGCGTCACACAAAAGACACGTCCCATATACCTCGACATGCAGGTATGCCCATGTAATTATATATTATTTGGTGTATTGACAAGGTCCAGGCCACGACTCCTGTCGACCCCCGTGTTCTCGATGCCATGTTGCCATACCTAACAGACCAGTACGGCAATCCACACAGTCGAACCCATGCATATGGATGGGAAGCGGAACAGGCTATTGAGGTTGCACGCAAGGTAAGTCGACTGAGTTTATGAGCACAAAAAATGTCCATTCAACATCTTCCAGCAAGTAGCAGACCTTATTGGAGCTGAGGCCAAGGACATCGTCTTCACTTCTGGTGCTACCGAGACCAATAACATGGCCATTAAGGGTGTCGCACGGTTCAACAAAGACAAGAAAAGACACATCATCACGACGCAGACGGTGAGTCGAGCCGCTTGGTTTCATGACAAACGCTAATCGTCCCTGAAGGAGCACAAATGCGTCTTGGATTCCTGCAGGAAACTCAGCGAGGAAGAATTTGAAATCACCTATCTTCCTGTCGAGTCTGATGGCTTAGTCAATCTTCAGACTCTCGAGGCCGCCATCCGCCCTGACACTTCCCTCATTTCCATCATGACAGTAAACAACGAGACCGGTGTCATCCAACCAATGAAGGAAATTGGTGCCATTGTAAGAAAGCATCGTGGCGTATACCTTCACACCGATGCGGCGCAAGCTGTGGGAAAAATACCTATCGACGTTAATGAAGCCAACATCGACCTGATGAGCATTTCAGGCCATAAACTCTATGGTCCGAAGGGAGTAGGAGCTGCTTATGTCCGCCGGAGACCGCGGGTGCGATTGGAACCGATTTTGAGTGGGGGAGGACAAGAGCGTGGACTGCGCAGTGGTACCCTACCCACGGCGCTGGCGGTTGGCATGGGCGAGGCAGCACGCATAGCTAAGCTGGAGATGGCGGTGAGTTCTTGTTCTTTGCACAACTTATGATGAAATCCGCACATGCAATTTTAATGGCGCTTGAACCAAGTGGCGTGATGCTCTAGGCTCAAGGCCGTACGAGCCGCTAGCTTGGTGACGATGCCTGTGCAGGGGTACTGATCAAACTTCCCGTCCATCAATTCACCTCCCATCCCTCATCTGATATATATTCAAGAGGGACCACGCGCGGATCAAGCAGTTGTCAGATAGGTTAATCCAAGGCATCAATTCCCAAGTCGAGCATGTAGTTCGAAATGGAGATATCAATGGATACCCAGGATGCGTGAATCTTTCATTCTCATACGTTGAAGGCGAAAGCCTTCTCATGGCCTTGAAAGTAAGCATAGTGGCACACCTCTGGTGAGGGAAATTCTCATGGTTTTTGTTGCAGGAGATCGCTTTGTCTTCTGGCAGTGCATGTACATCTGCGTCTCTGGAACCTTCATACGTCCTTCGTGCTCTTGGTATGTTTTCTTCGTGCATGGGCATGTCATAGTGCCTGACAGTCAATTAGGAGCGGCAGAGGATATGGCACATTCGTCCTTACGCTTTGGCATCGGTCGTTTCACCACCGAAGCGGAAATTGATTTCGTGATAAATCACATCGTTCGCGTCGTCACCAGGCTTCGTGATATGAGGTACGGACTCACTCGCATTTCAGTGTGCTGTGCTCATCGCCCCATCCAGTCCTTTGTGGGAGATGGTGCAGGAAGGCATTGACATCAACTCAATTAACTGGTCTCAACATTAATTTATACTTCTGGATTCGTCATGGTGCACGTTCCGCCTTGCGTTGACATATTTGAGGACTGTCTTGCCTATAACTTTATGTACAACGATATTTGAACGAAATAAAGAACTTTCTAAGGATGCTCGCAAGTAGCGGTATCCGAGGTCTTGTCCGTGCGCGATGCCCAAATTCTTGGCAAACAATCGAACATAATGGCGAGTTAAAACTCCGCCACAACTGAACTCCTTCACTTTCAACCACCATGGCAAGACGCTTGTACCTTGGCAGTATGAAAATTTTCTTCTAGTCAGATCCTACACAAAACAATTCTGATCATTGTTTGTGCTTGCACAGGACTTCCCCCCGATGCCCGTTCTGATGACGTGGCTAAGTTTTTCGATGGCTATGGCCGTATCATTGACTGTCGTGTCATGACCGGTTCGTCGGACAAGAGGCGCGCGCCAAATGCGGAACTCACTGGACCTCCATCAGGATTCGGTTTTGTCGAGTTTGAAAGCTCAAAGGTGGATCTAGCCACCATGTATCACGGTGATCAGTATGCCAAACTTTTCTAGGATGCTGAGGATGCTGTGCATCATTTCAACGGCAAGCCATTCATGGGAGCCAAGTTCGTACCTTAATCACCTGCGATGTCTTAACTCATTTATTTTTTGATCTAGTATCGTGGTTGAATTCGCAAAAGAAAGTCGCCCCCGCCGGGATGTCTATGAGAGCGACCGTGGCTTCGGGTATATTTGTTGACTGACAAGGTCCTTACCGTGCTGTTTCCCTGACAAGTTGCATTTTTATTTAGGGCCGCTCGCTCCCGCAGGCCTCCCGGTATCCGCCTCATTGTTTCGGGTATTTCTCGCGACACTAGCTGGCAGGTATGATGTTCTTTTGGTTTGCACCATTGGCAGTGTTCGCAGAGCATATGGCGCTTCCATATCTCTGGAGATCGATTCGGCTGGTCATTTTGGAACCTGGAAGGACCGCCAGTATTTCGTTGATGTTCACTTTCGCCGGATTTGCCCCAAACCCAACAACGATCCTGACCTTACACTCCTCACTCAGGACTTGAAGGACTTTGGACGCGAGGCTGGTAGCGTGTCGTTTGCTGACATTGATCGTGATAACCCTGGCCAGGGGTGCGTGAACCGAAGCTATGTGCTGTCTCGAGCTGACAGTCTCGTAGTATTCTTGAATATCTATCGCGAGATGATGCAGACCGTGCCGTCAAGGATTTGGACGGTAAAGACCTGCGCGGTAGACCTGTTCGCGTTGCTTATGATGATGCCGTAAGTTGATTCCTGAGGTTTCTGTGCGATTTACCTTACCTGTATCTCCCAGCGTGGTGGACCTGATAACTACAGGCGGGAGGATCGTCGTGAGGAACGTCCTCGTGACGACCGATACAAAGAAGAACGCTACTACAGGGATGATCGTCCATCCTATCGCCGCGAGCGATCTCGATCGCCTCCTCGTCGCAATGATTACGATGATCGTCGCCCCAGGTCTCCGCCTCCGCCGCGGAGGGATCCTGATGAGAGAAAACCTGCAGGGTACGATGATTACCGACGGGGAGGTTATGATGATGACCGCAGAGCCCCTGATTATTATTATGACCGTCGCAGGGACGATGATCGGCGACGTGAAGACCGCAGTGGCAGACGCGACGAGAAGGACGATCGGTACGACGACAGGGCAATGAGGCACGCAAATGGCGATGGTGGATGGGCGCGTTAAAGGATATAGGCAGCCGCTGGATATTTTGCACTTGGCCGAGGGGCACCCCGTCCGTTATTGGTTTCCTCCTCTTATGATGGTCATGGTCTCCTCGAGGTTGGCGTTGGCGTATGTTGGGTCGAACCGGAGAACTGTTTTTTGTCTTACAGAGGTCATTTCCCTCTTGGTCCGTATGTCGAACGATTATGGTCCCGAATTTGGCGTGGAACCTGTACGTCAGCTGAAGGAGATCCCAGGCAGCGCGTGAGAATTGACGTGGGCATCATCTTCCGAATCGGTGGCGGAAACTGGCGCGAACAGTGACGGAATTAAAGAAGACTTCACGTGCCTACCTTGGTACCTAGGAACCGTTTTCCCTGAATTTGCCCACTAATGTGATCGTGTCCTTCATTCGTGATGCAGGACACGTCACCGCACGATGATTGACGTTTTGGGATATTGCAGACTTTTATGTCTTCAGGTGTGTCACTCTACTCACATCTATTCCTGGGGTTGTCTATTCCTAGAGCATGTACGAACTTAAGTCATACATGTGTAATCAAGATTCAGTTTTGCTGCGCCATGTGTACAACGATATGTGAACCACTCTCTATTCCCCACCATCCTAATTCTTGATCATCATTTTGAAGAAGAGCTAGTGTATCATCGCTCATTCTCAACCATACATGTATATTGTTCCTGGGGATTTTGCATGCTCCCAGAGCTTTCATCACTCTGAGGCGGAAAGGCCCTAATTTCATTGTAGAGAGCACGCGCAGCGAAGCTGATGTGATGAGATCCCCCTCCAATTCCTGGGTAAAATGGGCCCCGGGAGGCTCAGAGCAGTGGTGAACTTTCACCTCTGTGGGTACAGTTCAAAAGGCGGTGACGCGACCATCCTACAAGGACCTACCAATCAGATATCTACTGAGTCTGCCGTCACGATTAGCTGTTGACTCAGCAGGTCTACCGTGCTCTGTGGTACATAGCAAAATCACAAGGCATGATTAATATAGAAGTGACTCGGTGGAGTCAAGACACTGACTCATGCACAGCGTCTTCCATTGTCGATGTTCCTTCATTTTGTCTTCATCCCGCCCAGGCACGGTCTTTGCAACGAAAGAAAGATAAAATAATTCACTGTCTGATCGTTCCTTTGCCGAGATCTTGATGACAAGGGATATCAAACTCCAGGCACCGCAGCGTTGGTCCTGTGCTTACCGCAGTTGCGTCAAGGACCCGCAAGGGCGGAATCTTTGCTATGACTTGCTGCCTTGCAGAAAATGCTGTGGTCAATGAGCATGTGCTTACTCGGAGAAGACTTGCGCTAACCCTCAGTCAGTGGATTGTTAGCGAGGCTCAGCGTTTCGAGTTGGGGACACCACTCATATAATTGGTCGATATCGCGCGAATTATGGAGTTTGTTGCTGGAAAGAGAGAGAACTTTAAGTCCGCGCAGATGCGAAGGACAAGAGCTCCGAGGAGGGATCATTTCAATGCCGTTAGATGAAAGTATAAGTCGTTGTAATCTGCGGTACCGCATGAGCTTATTGACAACCCCACAAACACTGACACATACGAAGTACACGGCGTTAATGCTTCGCTTATATGGCGCCAATCTTCTAACTGGTTGCTATCGAAATTGAGGATCTCGATGCGGGATAGCACTGCAGAAATCTTCGCATGCGATAGGAAAGTAAGTCCATTGTATCCGAGTTCTGCTATGCGAAGTTGAGGCATGAATACTGCTATGCTTGTAAATTCTTCCCATGAAGTCCAGGTGCCGTTCAGCTGGATCTCAGAGAGTCGCAGGCAAGCCGATGCGGGCAGCTGAGATGGGGGCGGCCTCAGCCGGTTACGACTATTTGCAGCGTCAGTATTTCGAAAGAGGGAAACACAAGGCTAACTTCAGCGCTAGCCGCTCGAGCTGAGGCAGTTCAGCGGTTATCATCGCCACAACGTCCCAACTGGACAAGAGCGTCGCGGATAGATCCAGACCGCGGATGTCTTGACCGTGTCAGTCGTGTGATATTTGCGGAGATATCCACTGACTCACTAGGGCATGTCGATAGGATTTCCCCTGGGTCGTTCCCGGTAGAAACCATCTCATTGTCGAGGCTCACTTCTCGCAGTCGCTCTAGATTTGCAAATTTGCCTCGGATCTTATCCAAGTCTACAGCTTCAACCTCTATAGCACCATTTGAGGAGCCCAAAACGATCTTCTCCTGTGACGCAGTCCCATGCACGGTTTCGACATACTTGTTATTCAATGCTTGCAAAAATGAACACCCGCAGCAAATGGAAGAAGATGGGCGAATGAAGGATCCGCTGTTAGATACTCTTGTGGTCGCTGAGCGCTTTGCATTAATGTATAACGATATGTTCTTGATCTTACCGGCACTCAAAGTATCGTTTCCCATCCTTTATGCCATCATGTTTGCCGCGATTTGAGTCGTCCCATTCGACGCCAAGCCAGAGACCGGTTGTGCCGTCGACTGGTCCAACGTACTTGACAGTTCCGAAATAACCTGATAGAATGTATATTCTTGACCCCTCCGCGGGAAGTACATGCATCGGTCGAAGTGGTCCGCTAAGTGACAATTTTGTACTGGACGGCGGACGCTACAAGCTGTAGCGCAGTGAGGATCCTTAATCGGTTGTGCGTATAACGTAAGCATCGCCTCTGGGGTTCTCGTCGGATACACGGTACTCCGAAAATCCCAGCATAGAAGTTGCGGGTGACGGGCTTTCTAAAACTGTCCTTCAGTTGAACACCTAGTTCTCTTAGTATGCTGGCTACTGCTCTGGCGAAAATGTCGCGTAACGGTGTATCAGCAGCTCTTGCTAGAACAGGTGCAGTTGCTGCTCACATGTCTACCAGCGCTCAGGCAGCACAGCTAGAGCAAGTAAGTTCCTTGCTTGTATTATTCTCATCAGTCCCTTGAGAATCGCACTTGCATACAGTCGGTGCTCTTTGAGTCGAATGGCGCTACACGCACCTATGTCTTGAACCGAGCAAGCAAATTGAACGCTCTCAATGCTGACATGCTCAAGTTGATGAGACCTCAACTGGAGGTGAGAGTTCCAGACCACGCAAGCATGCGAAAATGCAGGCTCTTACTAAAATCATTGATTTTCTAGCAATGGTCAAAATCCGACTTATGCAAGATTATCGTCGGGACAGGTGTCGGCCGTGCATTTTGCGCGGGAGGTGATGTTGCAAGTGCGTTCTAGCGTTCAATTCCACATGAACACTTGCTGACTAACTTCGCACAGCTGTATTACAGCATTCACTGGATGTTGCCACTCGTCCAAAGGCCATAGAATTCTTCAAAGACGAGTGGGTTAATGAACCGAGCTCCGGACCGCTTGAATGACTTATCCTGCAGATTTGAAATGGACTACATTTTGTCTGCGTTGCCGAAGCCATATGTAACCATTTTGGATGGTATCACAAGTTGGTGTTTTCGTTTCGCACAGCATGCATAGCACTCACATTACCAGTGGGCGGAGGAGTCGGGCTTGCTGTTGGCGCTCCTTTTCGTGTTGCAACGGAGAAGTCGGTATTTGCTATGCCAGAAACCAAGATAGGTTACTGCCCCGATGTCGGAGCAAGCTTCTTCTTGTCCAAGATCGACGGTGAAATTGGCACATATCTTTCCCTGACCTCGGAAACTCTCACTGGCAGAGAAGTCTTGTAAGTGGGACAAACTTTTTCCAGACAGGGTCGCAGGCTTATGATTTTTGGTAGTGAACTAGGATTTGCTACTCACTTCGTATCGTCAAGAACGGTGCCCAATCTGCTAACTCGTTTATCTGATTTAGAGGATCCTTCTTCTGCCATGATTGATAAGACCATCGAGGACCATCACGCGAAACGCCTTCCAGACGAACCGGTTGGAAAGCTGACGGGTCGTACGCGCCAGGCTCTTGACATGGCATTCCGACACAATACAGTTGAGGAGATTGTGGAAGATCTCACAAAGCTCACCGCAACCTCCGACGAGACAGTAGCCAAGTGGGCCTCGGAAACACTAAAGACCTTGCATATGCGAAGTCCGACTAGCCTCAAGGTAGCACTGGAAGCGGTCCGGCGCGGGAAGGAGATGACTCTTCTCGAAGCCCTTCAAATGGAAATGGGTATCGCCACAGCTTACTGTGTAAGTTCTTAGACTCGATGATTATGTTACGTGACCTAATTAACTTGACAAATACAGAGCGGTGCAAGTACAGATTTCAGTGCAGGAATAACCGCAGTCTTGGTTGACAAAACAAGAGGTCGCCCTACCTGGTCTCCTGACAAGCTCAACGACGTCACGGATTTGATAGTGAGACAATTCTTTGAGAAAGACTCTAGCTACCTTAGCGCCATGCCTATTTTGACACCGCCGGACTTCCTTTTGAGTGGCAAGCAGAATCCGATGCGGTTTGCTCTGCCCAGTGAAGATGCCATCCTACAAATCGTCAAGTCGAAAGCCAGGAAAGATCCCATCTCCCTTTCTGACCTACTGGCACATTTCGACAATCTCCACTCGCGTAAGCAAGGTGTCGCAGAGAAAGTGGTGGAGGTAGTGAGGCGCAGATGTGATGTCATTGGTAATCAAGGTTCGGAGGTCGTTGATTGCAAAGAGCAATAGTCTGCTCCCGTAGTTGCGGCACAGTATACCCTCCTCGATATCACGATTTGCTTATCATGCTGTATGCTTCGCACGCAGCAATTGTCACCACGTCGTCCGCAACCCGGCGGGCCGGAACTCCAGTCTAGCTCTCGGCGATGATCGATGATTGTTTGAACCTTACTATTCATCCCTAAGGAGAAAAGTGTGTGGTGAACATTGATGTTTGACGTTGCGCAATGCGCAGCTTTTCATTATGCTACACTGCCACTACACTAACTCGAACGCTGCCCAAAACTGCATATGTATGATGAAACAATACAACCGAAACTTCCGATATTAGATTGGCTAGATTGCCTCATAATTACTGGACGTACTTGTTCTCCGCTTGTCGCACGATAATAGCTGGGAGACTCCACAGCTAAGTCGATAAAATATAACTGGATTATTTTGAGGTTCTTCAAATTTTGCTGTGCATTTGTGATACATGATGTGACTCGACGTGCGCCTCCGAGGATTGCTGAGACGGCCACAACGAGCAACTTTGAGTAATAATGCTCAGCGTTCGCACAGCAAGTCAACATGAATCCTCACTTGAGCTGAATAAGGAATCTGATATGGGCAAATTTTACCGGAAACTGTTCACACTCCCCACAGCAACGTCGAGTACTCGGACAGAATCATGCGGAGAATACATGTACTTTGGAAGTTATCAATCCGCGAGATAGGACAAGTGTCGGAGTTTCTGGAGTCACTCTGGAAGCAATACATGGTTACTGCGTCGCTGCGTGACACAAGTTGCAAACGAACATTGCTAGATCTCTCCATCACAGTGCCTTAGAAGTTCGTGGAATCTTAGATCTGGGCTGTGAAGATCAGCATTGGAAACGAAACATCTTGCCAGCGCTACGGGTAATAGCCTTACGTGTAAGCATGCGTTGCTGATTCAGGAGCTATGCACCTAAAGGGGAAATGTATAGGATCGTAGCAAGATGGTGACACTCATGGGATCAATGTCAAAGGTTCCTGAGTAAGATGCCTACCAATTGGCCATGTCTCGACAACAGATTACAAGGAGTTCACAGGACTGAGTGTGGCACCGACAAGATGATCGGGGTTTCGTGCCAACACCCCGCAAGTTTCGGTCAACTCCTGCCTTGCATGAAGTTCCGTTAATTCTCACAGAGGCGTACGCGCCCAGTGATGCCGTTTGGGTATTATCGGCGCTGCCGATGCACACATCAGTGCAAGCACTGTGACTAGGTAACTTCAAATCTCGATGATGTGATCTAACCGGGGGACACGCATTAGTAGTTCGTGTATAAAAGGTGTCCGGGTCCTCTGTTCCTTCATACTTTATAAATTACAAGCCTGCGAGTCTATCATCCTTCCATCTATTCACTCGCTATGTATCCGATCGACCTGCTCCAATCTCCATTCTATCTCTTTAACAATGTTGTCTCGGTGCTCAACTCTGCTCTGCTCAGCAGGAAAGTGGCACCGGGTGCACAACCAACTCTTGCGGATTTTGACGTGAATATCCAGACGAACACTGGGTTTCTCCCTGAAAGACCCCTCCCGCGGCTCCCTGAAGCTTACAGCTCATGGGAGAACGCGCTGACCCGTGCTCAGGAAGTACTGATACTGGGGGAAAACATAATGGAGGAAGACACCCAGAGTCGAGCTGATGGTGAACTCTGGAGATTAAGAATACGGGAGGTCAGTAAAATTGGTATAGAAAGCTGGAACAATGACTTACATTCTTACACAGCTCCCCGTGATCAGCATCAATGATCTAAACACAGACAAGCAACTGTTACGTCGCGCTCACAAAGTGCTCGCCTTTCTTGTCCATTTCTATGTCCATTCCATGCCGCCGGACCAAACGGCCGGTTCGGTAATTATCCCCCGATCTCTTGCAACTCCGTTACTCCAAGTATCTGCAATCTTGCGAATGGCGCCGGTACTTACATTCGCCGACACTGTCCTCTGGAACTGGGATCTCATAAACCCAGAACTTCCTGTGACGCCAGAAAATATGCGTTTCGGCGTTGAGCTCTTCTCTGGCACAGAGGACGAGCGTAATTTCTGGTTCGGGAACGCGAGAGTTGAGATGCTTGGTGTGGAGATACTCCAACTTTTCAACGAGTACCACAGTCTTCCCAATGTTTCCGACTTTGCGTCCGTCTGCAAAATCAACAGGCTCTTGACCCGCATTTCGGCAGTTGTCCGCCGCATTGAAGAAGTCATGGCGTCCATGCGAGAGCTTGTGGATCCCTCCATATTTTTCTGGCAGGTGCGGCCATGGTTCAATGGAAGTGCTAGTGGACCCTCCAAACCATCTTGGGTGTTTGAAGATGGTCCTGACTCTTCTACACTCGACCTCAGCGGTCCATCAGCCGGTCAAAGTAGTGTCATGCATGCACTTGACATTTTCCTGGATATCGACTTCAAACTGCAGCAGCGTCGGTGTCCTGCCCCATCAGACGCAAATAAGCGCGCGGATGTTGGTTTCATGGAGAGGATGAGGCGGTATATGCCAGGTCTACACAGGGATTATCTTTCGTATCTTGCAAACACCTCTCGCCCGGTCCGGGAACTCGCGAAAAGCACACCTGCTGTGAAGGAGGCGTATAATGCTGCTGTATCGGCTGTCAGGAAGCTCCGGGACTCGCACATACGGATCGCATGCCTATATGTCGTGTCTATGTCGCGGTCGACGGCGATACCGGCCGGGTGCCCAGTATTTGCGATGATGCGGAGAATGGAGAGACAGCAGAATCAAGGACGCTCCACTGGCACAGGAGGGAACGAGTTATCGTTGTTGCTAAAGTCTAATCGTGACGCTACAGCACGAGCTGCTATAAAAAGCAGCTGATGAAGGGATCAAAGTGGCATGGATGGACAGCACGTACTTTATAATAATTAATCACCACTATTTTCAGCCGCAACCACTATTCTATTATCCGCAATGAGCAGCGGTCAGATATTTATTGGCCGAGTTACTGATACTGTTGACCTGTGTAGCCCTAGTAGACGCGCTTTTAGCATGTCAGTCACATTGTAATACCTTACCAGCGTCGTATATTTATTACTGATACAATAGTCGAAAAGTAGTCATGACTTGCAATGACACTGTAGTTTTTCTTGACAAACAAATCTGTTCCAAGGGGATAGCGGATTCTGCCAAGACCATTCGATTCGGAGTATATACTTGGAAAGCCGGATAACCGTGCAGCACGCGTTCAAAGGACTTGGAAGAACCTCCCGAATTATCGGATTATGCCAAGTGTAATTAGTGTCGTATTTCGGCCATTATAATGAATCTAAACGTCTTAGTCTGAGCCTTGAGGATATTCTGTTCTGGAATAAGGTCTGACGTCAGGGATGGCGGGAGTACTTGGGAGCGGAGATGCTGACAGAATCGCTGAAACGGTCCGCTGTGCGCGGAAGGTACAATCTGAATCAGATATCTGATGCGATTCTCGATTTTATATGAAACCCGGAAGGAGGTTTGAATGACCGGCGGTAGTTATATGGTGCTTGGTGTAAATCACCCGGACGAGTACTAGCTATAGGTGATGATCGATGATCGATGGGTGCCGGTAACTCATGAAGCGGTGAACCAGTTTGTTGTTGGACCAAATACAGTGGCCCAATCGTATCAGCCTTGACAAAGTACCCCATTGTTCTCACTGCCGTTGATAGACATCCAACTCGTGCTACCATAGAATGGTGTCATAGACGGCACGTTTCGCTGGGCAGAGCGCATACTCGGTAGAAAGTGTCACGAGTCAATCTCCCGCACAAAACTACGACCTTCTGACCGCCGTCTACGAGGTGCACCTTCCCCGACTCGAGTGTCAGCCTAGTAGAATGCTCAGGCTGAGTGCATGGCAGAATGAGATGTTGGCATCATGGTCTATTGGAGGCAAAACACGCTGGATCTACTACATGTCTGCAGGTGGTCACTGCTTAGAACAGTTCCTGATTACGTGATGAACGCGTTGGCAAACTAATGTCAACAAGCACATCGAGGGGCGCGACACGATTACTTTCAGTTTCTTTTAATCCTGTTACCATGTCTCAACTTTCATCAGGAATATGTCGCCGTCTCAATGAAGCTCCTCAAGAAGAGATAGACCAGCTTGCTTCTGGGCATACCGTTCAGCTGCTTTCTGTTAAGAAAGTAGGCCCCGACATCAAGCTCGACCATCCCCACCGACAGGTATCGCATCATCATTTCTGATGGCGTCCACTTTGTCCAGGCGATGTTAGCTACCCAGCTAAATGACCTCGTAACAACCGGAGAAATTAACAAAAACACCGTGGTTATCATTGACAAGCTAGCCTGCAACTTCGTGCAGGACAAAAGGTGAGTAGCTGCTATGATATCATTCCTACCCCCCTTTAACCAATTCATCTAGATTGATCATTATCCTCGACCTCCATGTTGTATCACGAGACGAAGAGAAAATCGGGAATCCTACTGCCCCTCCTTCCACCCAGGACGCCCCTGCGCCAGCTGTTGGAGAGACTGCTATCACTTCACAACTACTTCTTCGTCTACCCCCCAGGCGAGGCAGCCACAGGCTCGCACTGGCCCGTCCGGCAGAGGGGGCAGATCTGTGTATCCCATTGAAGGTCTTAGTCCTTACCAGAACAATTGGACCATCAAAGCTCGAGTTACGCAAAAGTCTGATATTAGGACTTGGTCAAATCAGCGCGGAGAGGGGAAACTTTTCAATGTCACACTAATGGATGAATCCGGCGAGATTCGGGGCACCGGTTTCAATGCAGTTGTCGACGAACTGTACGACAAGTTTGAGGAAGGCAAAGTCTATTACATCTCCAAAGCTCGGGTGAATCTCGCAAAGAAGAAATTCTCGAATCTCCAGAACGATTACGAGCTGAGTCTAGAGAAGAACACAGAAGTTGAAGAGGTTCGTATCACCACACTACCACCGAAAATCTGGGCTCATGTTTTTATTAGTGCCTTGAGACCACCAGTGTGCCCTATGATGAAGTATAGCTTCGTACCATTGTCCTCTCTGGAAGAATTGCAGAAGGATCATACTTGTGGTATGTGCTTTGCGAGTTGTGCCGTCTTTTCTCACCTGTAGTCTATCGCTACTAGATGTCATTGGCGTTGTCAAAGAAGTTGGCCCCCTCAGCGAAATCACATCCAAGGCGTCGAACAGAACCGTAAGTCATTTTTATCCATGTCGGTTACCCTAACAATGTTTATTTGAGTGAAGATTCCGAAACGTGATTTGACCATCGTCGATACATCGCAATACTCTGTTCGCTTGACCTTGTGGGGCAAGCAAGCAGAACAGTACACGGCTGACGATCTTCCTGTCATTGCGTTTAAAGGCGTTAAAGTGGGAGATTTTGGAGGTATGAGCTCTTTATGCCAATTCTAATCGGAACTCATCCCATCACAGGTCGCACGCTCTCCATGGTCAGCTCGAGTATCATGACAATATCGCCTGACATTGAAGAGGCGCATTTGCTGCGGGGATGGTACGATGGTATTGGTACTGAGAAAACGTTCCAGTCGCACACAAGCTCCTTATCTGGTACCTCCTTCGGCGGTTTCAATCGCAATGAGATGAAGCATCTTAGCGACGTTAAGGAGTCGCAACTTGGCATGTCCGACAAGGCAGAGTTCTTTTCCACTCGTGCCACCATTATGCACATCAAAAGCGAAAGCATATCTTATCCCGCCTGTCCTACTCAAGGATGTAACAAAAAGGTGGTTGATGTAGGCGACGGCTGGAGGTGCGAAAAATGTGACAAGACTTTCGAACGACCCGAATATCGGTATGTTCATTTACTTTTCTTCGTATCATTTAAATTCTAACTTCGATTACCAGGTACATCATGTCGATGGCAGTGGCTGATTGGTCGGGTCAGGCGTGGTTGCAGGGCTTCAACGAAGCTGGTCTGGTCGTTTTCGGGAAGACTGCAGACGAAGTTCATGACATCAAGGTCAGTTTAAACTCCATAGACCTTTTCTTGATGTTCACGACCACCATCTAGGAGCGCAACGAAGCAGAGTACAACACTCTCATGGCGCAAGCCAGTGGTATCACATTCAATTTCAGTTGCCGTGCGAAGCAGGACACTTATAACGTGAGTTGTTCTCACTCATTAATGGTTTGAGATAGCAATTAAATTTCGTAGGAACAAACGCGTGTCCGCTACGGGATATCGAAAATCACTCCTCTCGATTATCGTGAGGAAGCTAAGCACCTTGTTGACCTTCTCAAATCTTCCTGGGCTCAGTGATTCTTCTTTCGTCAACGTCTTTATTTCGTGTACATTAGGCTCTGTCTACTTTTACTTTCCGCTATGATAGAAATACTGTAACATTCGCCCAATAGCTGAAATGAAACTCGTCTATCATTTTTCATGGAGTGCGAGCACTATCATGGGGGATCCAAGGGATAATGATAAACTCTCCTAAAGACCTGCCAGACAACGGCAAACCCTTCGAGAACTGTGTCTACCGTCTGCTGTGCGACCGGGGGAAGATCCAATTTCAAAGGCCAAGAAAAGGGCAGTACATGGATGAGAGAAAGCGAGTTCTCATCTGGAGGTGAGGTTGGCGTGGGTGTGGGTGTGACTTTCTCGGTCACTGTGCCCGGTGAAAGACGTGATGTAGGTGGGGAGGCCGACGAACGGACAGCGGTATGCGCACTAGAACTAGCCTCCATCACCGATGCTGATGTCGAGGATGATGTTGATGGCGTTGTATAGCCAACCGAAGGCTTGGTTGGCGCAGGCGCGTAGATAGTCGTAGTAATGAACACCGTCTCGATTGATGCCTGAGGATGATCATGCCAAGCTGGATCACGAAGCGGCATGCGTCGATCGAGGGAATGCCTCATATGCCTGAATTCGGCTCCGAGATTCAGGAGCACCACAAGAACAAGAATGGCAGGCGTCATCCAGATCATAAACTGGAATGATTTCATCAGGAACCGGACGCTGATGTGAAAGCGAGGAACGCGCGGCTGAATCTTCAAGGAGAGCGTAGGGGTGAACATTTCTTCCAATATGTAATGGTACAATTTGCTGCCTTGTTGAGATACTTGTTGGTGAGCAAGGTTTGAGCGTAGAGAGTGCAGGTCTAGGCCTATAACGCTGGAGTGAATAAACATCAAGGTAGGTGATTGGCTACTCCCACCTGTTGACGATTCCACATTAACTTCGAGTTTGCCAATCGGGATTGTGAACGTGGGCAGCAGTATGCCCACGTATCCGTTATCCTTGGTTTTGCCTTTCTCCTGGCGGAGACCTTCATCGGTTTTCTTGACAAGATAGTCAATCTGAACGTCCCCAGTGAGGTCACCCACACGAACTCGAACCCAGGCGACCCAACTCTTGCTCCCCAGCTTATCAAGAGAGGATGATAAGTCGACGAGTGACGCTTCTCCATGCTTGGTGGCTGCACTCATTTCGAACCGGACGGGCATGCCGTCGATACTCACGCTCGCGATCTCCACAGACGGTAGTTCACCGTCCTTGGGCGAAGCGTCGTCTACTCGTGCGAGTCCAAATTCCATCCAATCTGACTCCATTTCACATGGAGCTGGATGGAGCACCCGAACGGCATACGCGTCTGTAGATGTCGTATTACCGAGAAGTAAGGGAGTCACAACAACCATGACGGAGGGGATCATGAGGGGACCATCCCTTCGTCTTTTCGAGAGGGTGCCGAACATCGAAGGAAGAGACACACCAGTCGTTATGCGGTTTATTCCTGTCGGCGTGCGTGGTCGACTAGGAGGACGCCTCACATTTTCAAGAGTATCATCTGCTGTGGAATTAGGTCTTGTCGGGATAAGCGATCTTGCGATGGAGCGCAGAGCAATACGTCCTCCGTCAGATCCACAACGCGTCAACCCTCCACGCTGCATAACGGTCCTGCGTGTCTGTGCATCGAGAAGGTTGCCTGATATGTTGTAAACCTCCACTGTTGCAGCTTCGCACTCATTGCGGATGATTGTCGCAATTGTTTCTGCATCTGCAGCGAGCACAGAAAATCGGGGTAAGACGATAGGGATGGGATCCACTTCTGCATCTGGGCTTGAGGTTAAGCCCAAGGGGTGACCGTTGAAAGCACGCGGGCGGGATATGACGAGGATTGTGCCGGTGATATTGAATGTGAAGACATTTTTTGATGGAGGGAGTATATCGTTCATGTTGATGTGGATGGTCAATGACGTTGGCGGATGAGGAATGCTTTGTACGTCCGAGTTCGCTCGGCTGCGTCCTTCTGACGTCAAAGGCATTGAACTGATAGATGATAGAGTCCCTGAGGGTGTCAGAGAAGTCGGGGAACCCTCAAAAGAGTAGTCTGGCATCTGGTCTCCTGGCAGTGGCGCACGCAATAAGGATGAGGTCGAGCTGGCCGAGGAAGTCGAGTCATGTCGTGTGGCCAGCACAGGTGCTTGAAGCCGCGAACTCGACGCCGATTCAAATGGCGACTCGTGAGGCAGTTCCAGCGAAGCTTGCCTCGAGACTGGTGTCGACGGGGGATTGATATCGAAGCCAGTGTAACCTGCACCTCCTGTGACAGTCCAGGTCGGCTCTTCTCCAGGAGCCCAAATGACGTCGGATCCTCTCGCCTCCAGCCCTACATCCATACCCAGCATGGTTGCCACACCAGGAAACCAAACACCTTTTGCTGTTCCCTTGTACTCCAATTTCATCAAGATGCCCTCCCTTCCACTCCCGGGATCGAAGTCCTTTCCAAGCACATGACATGACATTTCACCCTTCACCTCTTTCACCCCTACGCGCCGCCGGCCATCTTTGCTGTCAATGGTCTTCATGGGTGCTGCCCAACGAACACGAAGACGGTCGGTGGAAGGGAACGTGCCCAGGATAGCAACGCCGCCAGAGCCTCGGTCCGCATAAGCAGAAGAGTCGGACGATTCATCATCTGCCATATCTGCGTAGGACCCTGATCGCGAAGGACGAGTCGTGGTTCGTGTGACGTGAGGCTCAGATGTAAGCTCCCATGCGCCAGGATCCTCATCTGCAGAAGAAAGAGAAGCAAAAGAGGAGGATGTGGTTGTGGAGCTCGGAGGAAAGATGCGAAGCTTGATATTGTTGGACAGACAACGCGGAAGGGGGATGGATATCTGAATTTACGAAGCGCTTATAAGATGAGAATACACTCCATGGTATAAAACGACGCACGAGGAACGGGGCCTTCGGGGGACGACAGACATAAGGAACCCAGAGATCTATCCCAGCCATGAAATGCATGTTGTTACGCTCTCCTATGGAGCCTCGTCGCATCTTTGCAGCGGAAAATGTCGAAACCCTGATGGCGCTGTCTTCACCGAACCTTGGTGGGAATTCCTTGGGTAGGACATAGGAGATATTGTACCCGCTCACAAGGATGTGACCAGTGTACTTGTCGTCCAGAGGCGGAATTGCGGTAGTGTGAGAGGTCGATGTAGAAGATGAAGCACGGGAGGAAGCAGCCATGGCGGAAGCACTGGAATTTGGCATACCAAAAACGGAGAGATATGACTTTTGAGAGCGAGCCGGTAGATTGAGAGCGCGTGCAGTGTTGTTCAGTAATGGAGAGGTCGTAGAGGAAAAGTTGTAAGGGACAGAGTTGCTGTCGATTGGGTGGACTTCTGAGCCTAACATCTTCAAGTTTCCCTCTTTGATTGGGATGGTGAATACGACGAAGGGAATTCTGAAAATCGACGCTTACCGGGAAATAATGGTAATGTCGAACCAGGAGAAACAGCGTCCATAGGTATTGAAAGCTATTGATGGTCTTAAGCCCGTTCGTTGTTGTCGACTGCGATGAACATACCTTGAGATACATCTTGATGGCTATACCATCCTGACCCTGCTTCGCTTTGCCCTCGATGGCAAGACGTGTTACAACGTTCAACTTTGGTTGCTGGGCAGTCGCCGTGAATGTGTGAGACGAAGCATTCGCTGATAGTGGGGGACTATGTGTACGCAAATGACGCGATTGCGCGGGTGTGTACATGGGTATTCGCGTGTCTAGAGCGCGCTATGACGAGAAAAAATGGTTGATCAGCGCGTTTTGAGGTCACTAGAGTCTGATAAATCGGAAAAAGTGGACCAAAAGACAGGTTCTGCTATCTTATATAGCGCGCAAAGAGGCCTGAATAGGTCGTCTACGCTGTTTTTTTTGCTGTGTAAGAAATCGAGAACAAAAAGCGGGTCGGTCTGCGGGAAAGGCGCGTTCAGTAACAGTTGCCACAGACGCGTTGAATGCCGGTATACACAAAAAGGGCATCATCCCACAAAAACCTCGTTTTGATCACATCCCTTCTAAAGCTTCGTCATCCTTTCAACCCAACAATCACTTTTCTGGCGCGCAGCAGTCACGGAAGCCTCGGGGGAGGCACAGATCAAAGTTCCGTCGTCTGTAAGCTTTTACTTGTAAATTTGTGATGTCACTGTCATGTAGACTACCCGTTTCGTCACTCTCCTCTCTGCAGCTGCTGAGTAGCGCTGAGTCGGACTGACTCGGAACGCGTAATGTAACTTTGAATAATCGATAAACCTCAGTGAGGAGTTGCCATTTGCTATTCATATATCTAATAGTAAAAGCATCTATATCACAGATCACCTGAATTGCTTGCGGGGACTTGCGTATGCTCAGCGTCCGCGCTGTTTGTTTGACCACTAGAAGCCCTGTCGATGTTGCTGCTGCTGCCGTGTTTGACAAACGCGAGCACGTTATAGCAGGGAACGGGGACGTCCTCTTAAGCTTATAGACTTATATAACCATCCTTGCATTTTTCTGCTTTGATGGCGGCCAAGTTGGAAAGACATTCTCCGAGTCCAGTCAAAACCAACAAAGAATCTGTAGCGATATATCACAGAGATCTACGACGACTCACAACCAGCAGTCACAGACTTTGACTTCGAGTCTGGAGAATATTCAGATGGACGACCGATAGCCAACCGCGTGTTTCGCGACCTCATTCGCATGTGCGTGGATATTTCCGCAATAATTGAAATGCAAGAAAACCAGACATCGTTCAGCCAGAATTTGGGATTCTTCACTGCCGCACTACCTCATTCTGGGTTTTATTCCAGCTCATCAGTAATCGCGATCACACCAAGTGGAAGCCTAGGGAACGTGCAGAGAGTTCGTATCAAAGTCAGCAAAATTAAGCAACGTATCCGGGTGAATCACCCAGCATTTCATTGAACAGAACTTCACTGACACCGAAGGGGGAGCATTGAAGATTTATAAGGACCCTAATACAAGCTGCGAACCAAGTACTCCACGGAGGGCTATCATCACAGCATGTCCTCACAATCATGGAGCATTTCCCTTCATTTCATCCGAAATTGGGAGCGGCAGTGATTCCTCAACTCACACTCACGCCGAATTTCGTATCATTCCCCAACTCAGCGCATCGTTGCTATCCGGAATCAGATCGCTTGCAGATTTTCGATCCTCGGCAGCGGCACCACTGGCACGAGTCATTGGTTGCAGCAAAAGCAGCCTCGGTTGTTGTGGATGATTTCATTATACACCATTGGGTCTTCCTTCTATTCGGTCTGCCAATGGGAGACAGTATGTTATCACCGACTCAGGTCGTTGTTCTTGCCCCATCGGGTCCAATCGATCGTACGATAAGTTGCTCGCGACATAACGTTAAACAGTAAAAACAAATCTCCTGTGATTCTAGTCATAAAAGTATCACTTTAAGTATCGGTAAGTTCTCATTTCCGTCGGTGTTAAACTTCAAAAGACTAACTTCCTCTTACTACATCAGTATACGAAGAAACAACGATATATCTTCCTTGGATTGGTCTGTCTAGGGGGAATAAGACTTCCTGCCTCATATTTGGCTACCGTACTCTTGGTCACTGCGTTCTCTCAACACTCTCACTATCTCTGTCCCTTCTGCCCCCGGCTTCCTCACAATCTGAATTTCCAAACACCGGTCTTGGACCGCGCTTGCAGGCATGCTATCAGAAGTGGCACACCTGTGACTCATCATATGAAACTTAATTTACGTTCAAGCACGCAATCTAGTCTTCATCTCCCCGCGTGATATTGTGGTACTATAACGCCAGCGGAAGTCATCCCCACATGGGAATTCTGTTTTTTTTTGCGGTGGTACAAACAGTGCCGTCGGACGCGTCGACAGTCTATATCATCATCACAAGCAATATGTGCGCGTGATAAGTTCGTATGGCAGCAGAGCTCATGCACAGTATCTATAAAACGTGAAACTGCACACGGCGTGCCATTTTGGTACTATAGTACCCTCAAGGTTATGAAAACCGAGAAGGTGTCAGCTGAAAAGACTCAGGGCCCCTATCTCTTTTCAAACCTCGGACGATTCTAAGTTTTACGCAAAACTTTCCGCGGCGTTTCGTAGTAATGACAAATTTCGGTGTCTACGACTTCGAAACTGGAATATTTAGCAGGAAACGAATTCATATGCTATGTATCCGCAACCAAGCGCAATAGTCAGCGTGTAGTCAGCAAAGCTTCCGACTGAGACGGTTCTCTTCTTTGTTAACCATATTGGTAATAGGTTGTCTTGCACTTTATTTTATGTACCGCGCTCTATATTATATAGCTGGCACGCTCTAAGTGGATGATTCCATTATCACACTTTCGTGTCTTATCACCTTACGTTCGTTCTATAACCACCCGTCGTCTCCAATTCCAAAAGCACCGTGGTCTCGCTATGGTTGCCCACGATTGGCAGAGGGTTGAGAAAAACGCGAACGTGCCTGCTTATACGATTTTCACGAAACCAATAGAGAAGTCCCAACTTGATGAGCGCGAGTACAAGTTGATCAAGCTCGAAAATGGCCTTTTGGCCATGTTGGTCCAAGATGCCAAGGCCGATATCGCCGCCGCAAGTTTAGACGTTGCAGTTGGTCACCTGTCGGATCCAGTGAGTGCGTTTCTATTCGGATTAAAGACGTTGTGTGGTGCGTTTGCAGGCCGAAGGCCGCGTACGAAGAGGTGCTAGTTCTAGTAACCTGCCTTGTTTCGGAGTGAAATAGTACCGTACTAACGGAAAGGTTGCGCGTTCATAGGATGACATCCCCGGCCTTGCTCACTTTTGCGAACACTTGTTATTCATGGTATATACGAGCTTCTCCTGTCGCACGTACTGGCTGAACAACAATTGGTCTAGGGCACCGAACAATTCCCGATAGAAAACGAGTACTCCGAAGTACGTATTCACGGACTACTATTCAACATTCAACTGACTTGCTTCGAATCCAGTATCTTTCCAAGAACAACGGCTATTCAAATGCCTATACAGCACCGGCAAACACCAACTATTTTTTCCGTGTTGCTACCTCAGCCCTTCCCGGAGCGTTGTCGCGTTTTTCCGCGTTTTTCCACTGCCCTCTCTTCGCGCCCTCATGTACGACGCGGGAGATGAATGCAGTCGACTCAGAGCATTCGAAGAACCATCAAGCGGATCCATGGCGCGTCTTCCAGCTGAACAAAAGCCTTACCAAGGACGGCCATCCGTGGAGCAAGTTCGGCAGCGGGAATCGCGAGACGTTAAGTGCCGCCGGGAGATCACTCAAGGTGGCGAATAAACTAAACGGGACAAAGAATGGGACAAATGGTGCAGCAGATGGTAGTCCACCAGTATCACCTGATGGAAGTCTATCGTCTTCACCGCTCCCTTCGCGTATTCCATCGCCAGCCCTGTCTAATACGTCTGCGAGCAGTGAGAACGAACCAGACGGCGGTGTCATTGGGCGTGAAACCCGCAGACGGTTAGTTGAATGGTGGAGCAGAGAATATTGTGCAGGCAGAATGCGACTTTGTGTTGTTGGGAAAGGTATGTAGCCATTCTGTTGCGACCGAATACTTTGTCATTCCTATTGCAGAGCCACTCAATGAGTTGGCTGACATGGTCTCGACCTTGTTTACACCCATTAAAAACCGAGAGCAAGATCCACTACCCGTAATTCCTGATCATCCATTTGGTCCCAACGAGATGGGAGTAAGTTCATGTCTTATTGCGGTGGTATGATCTATTAATATCCTATAAGACCCTAGTTTCCGTTCAAACCGTCAAGGCCTTCCATGCTATTGAAATATCGTTTCCTCTGGTGTGGCAATGGCCGCTTTGGCGGTATAAGCCTGCACATTTTATTTCACACTTTGCAGGCCACGAGGGTCCTGGTTCGCTTTTTTCGTACCTCAAAAACAAGGGGTGGGCGACATCGCTCAACTCAGGTCCGCAACCCCTTGCACGAGGCTTCGAAATGTTCAAATTCACCATTCATCTGACCAAGCTCGGCTTCGAGAATTACAGTTCGGTGGCGCTTGCGACATTCAAATACATTTCCCTCTTGAGGTCTTCTGCATTCCCAAAGTGGTACCAATCGGAGCTTGTCAAAATTGCGCGCACGAGATTCCAATTTGCTGAGAAGCAGAATGCGGAGAGTTATGCGCTTTCGCTTTCCGAGAGGCTGGGCAAGCCTGTCCCCCCTGAATTGATACTCTCCGAGGTGGCTGTGCCGCGTGACTGGAGTTCTGAAGACGGAGAGCGAGAAGTTCGTGAGATCTTGGAAGGCATGCGTGTCACAAAAGGCAGGGCGGTGCTTATGGCGAAGAAAGAGGAGCACGAGCGCATTTCAAAGAATGAACAATGGGAGCATGAGAAATGGTATGGTACGGGGTACAGGGTAGAGCGGTGGGATCCGTCGTTCGTTGAACAGGTGAGTTAGGTCCCATTGCGGCATTCACGTTGACAAACCGGTGGCTAGGCCGAGGGACCCAATGATATCACGGAACTGTACCTCCCAAGACCGAATGAATTCATACCCACCAACTTAGATGTGGAGAAACATGACGTCCCTGATGTATGTCATAATCACCCTTACCGATGTCCCTGACTGTCTGACCGCTTTACAGCCCGCTAAACGTCCTCACCTTGTCAAACAGACGCCACTGGGGTCTGTGTGGCACAAGAAAGATGACCAATTCTGGCTTCCAAAGGCATCGCTCGTAGTAGACCTTCGTAGGTATGCACTTTGTCTCACCAGAATTCTGGGGTTTGTGACTGACTATCAATGTAGCCCGATTGCAGGCTCGTCTCCGCGCGCTGACACTATGACACGGTAAGCTGCTCTAGAATTCACCTATTCGGTCTAACAACAATTTTGATCAAGGCTTTTTGCTGACCTTATAAATGATTCGCTGCAAGAATTTGCATATGACGCAGATCTCGCCGGACTTGTCTTCAACTGTGGCTCCCACCACCTTGGACTGATGATCACTCTAGATGGGTATAACGACAAGTTACCTGTCCTTGCTCGCCGCGTTTTGGAGACTGTGAGAAATCTACAAGTCGGCGAGGACAGATTGGCAGTCATCAAGGAAAAGGTTAACACTTCATGCTATATTTCTTGGACGCGAGTGGGCTCACTATGGTCAACTAGGTTAAACGTGACTGGGAAAACTTCTTCATGGAGCAGGGTTACCGACTATCGGACTATTATACGCAATACATGCTCACTCATCACACTTGGACTATCACAGACAAGTTGCAGGAGGTCTCTAGTGAGTCCCAAGGACACCAAAATATTTTTGATGATGGCCTAACTATGACAGACGTCACGCAGGATGAGTTGCAGAGACACATCGGTGATTTCTTAGCGCGCCTGAACATTGAGATGTTGGTAACGGGCAACATGCATAAAGACGTACGCATTTTCGCTGGCTAACAACTGAGTCAATCGTAATCAGAATTGAGTTTAGGAAGCCATTGGTTTATCAGAAATGATAGAGAACATTCTAGACACTTCTCCAATGCCAGCGGACGAGACCGCTCAACGCGCCCTCATCCTGCCAGAAGGCATGTTCAACCCATCATGTGGCTGGGATGCAATTAATTTTGACTTTGGCAGGCTCCGATTTTATCTGGAAGTCACATATACCCAACCCTAATGATCCCAACTCGTCTCTGACTTATTATCTTCAACTTGGAAGTTCCACCGATGCCCGCTTGCGTGCAACATGCTTGCTCCTTATACACATGATGTCCGAACCTGCTTTCGACATTCTTCGGACAAAGGAACAACTTGGCTACATTGTCTTCTGTTCAGAACTGCAACTATCTGGAGCATCGCTTCTGGGACTGCGGTTGGTAGTTCAAAGTGAACGCAGCCCTGCCTACCTGGAGCAGCGAGTAGAAGCATTCTTGGATATTATGAAGAGTAAGATCGAAGATATGGAACCTGCCGATTTCCAGCAGTTCAAAACTGGCCTACGGCAAAAGTGGACTGAAGTCATCAAGGACTTGAGAAAGGAACGATCGAAATTTTGGGAACATATCGATTCAGGGTACCTGGACTTCCTGAGACGTGCGTTTCCTTTGTTTCATTTCTTTCCGCTCCCGGCTAACGTGGATCTAGGCTACAATGATTCGGACCTACTGACAGACATTACTAAGCATGATGTCTTGGAACTCTTCCTATCTCGCGTTCACCCCTCGGGAGTTAAACGTTCGAAACTTTCCGTCCAATTACAGTCCCGAAAACCGCGGCCCCCACGGATTAGCGTCAGTGCTGCAAATGCCTTCGAAGATTTAGTCAGGACTGGAAACCTATTCGCCGAGACTTCAGGGTGGAAAGAGGATATGACTGATGAGAATCCTTTTGCGACAGAATTCGTAAAATACTGGCAAGAGGCACTCACCGGGGTAGCCAATTACGAGGAGCTGATGAAGAAAATTCCCGAGTTGATGAGGCAGTACCCGGTCGATGAAGAAGTACGGAACGTTCGGACGACAGGGGTGACTTTCATTGAAAACGTCAAAGACTTCAAAGCAACCCTTGAAGTTACAGGGCTTCCGAAGCCCATAGTGGAGTGGGGGGACCTGCCTCTCGCCAAGCTTTAGTTATTGATATTACTTACCGTTTTGTTGCCGTGTACTTATTTGGATTCGCTGTTTTCCATGAGATTGATACTTTCTCGGACGTACGTCTACGCGTTGCATACCTGGGGCACGCAACGATTCAAGTACGTCGGGAAGTAGTCTGCAATATTAGAATTCCCGATGATAAATCTCGGATGCTGCCCGTGACTTATTTTCAATGCTGAGCTTCTCATTCCCATGACTATGCCTTCGACGACTCCGACTCGTTGCAGCCACGGTGGCGGTCACTTTGATCTCTTGTCTAGATATTCCCAATGAAGGGAACTCAAGCCTCCTCGAAATGGCGACCCTATATAGTCCACACGCACACTCGAAGATGAATAGCCATTGACTGCTGCAGGCTTTGTCGGACATGGTTCAGCTTATGACTCAACTTCACCCATCGCTCACCACTCTGCAAGGTTAGTGAGCATTGGAAAACCATCATCTCGGCTCGTCCTGATCCTGTGTTGAGAATAGTCACGGTCACAACCTTCCATATCTTGGCTATCATTATAACCACGTTTCGGCTGGCCTATAGACAATCGAGACATCAATTGTGGTGGGATGATGCACTCACTGCAGCTGCCATGATTACAGGTGCCATCACCTTGGTTGGTGTTTGATCTTTGTTGGTTCCCAAAAGACTCAATCCGGTGACAAGGTATCCGTGTGGCTTGTCATGGCTCCTTCAAGTCCGTATTTTAAATTTGGATAACGCGCAAGGCTTACTATGATGCTCAGCCTATCATGAATCAGATCAAGTCCGCGTCGCAGCAAGATGGTGCACGATAGTCTTCTTCACAACCTGTTTGTGGCTTTCCCGCCTTAGTATTGTGTTTTCTATCATCCGTCTTGCGCCACGAGAAGACCGCATGCGAAGGATAGCACAGTGGGCTGCTATCATATTCGCCGCACTGTGTGTGATGATGCTTGCACAAAAATCGTATATCTGTGCCCACAGCAACCACCAGGAAAGAATTGACTGTGTACTGGGGAGCTCTGTGGCCGCAGCCCAGTTGGCGAGTAAGACCTGCAACTCCCTCGTGTGCTCAGTACTTTCTGGGCTCATGTGTTCATTTTACAGCGGACTTCGTATCTGATATCACACTTGTGTTGATGCCAATCCGACTGCTTCGGGAAATTCATTTACCCAAGGACCAACGGGTCCTCGTTATATCTGTATTCTCCACCGGCATCATCGTTTCTTTGGCCAGCATTGTGCACGTCGTGTTTGTTGTGCAACTGGATGTATACATGCAGAGTATCACCGCTCAAGTCGAGGTTCGTCATTTGCACACATGCTAGGCGCGTCATTTCATGACAAGTAATCGTCCAGCTTGCGCTTTCCTTGATTGTGTGCAATTTATTGGTTATCGTGACCTACATATACAAAGTCTTCCGGTGCGAAGACCTTGACGTGGACCGCACAATTTGGACGTCAAGAACACGAACTGCACTTTTCTTCACAACGTTCGTCGATGCGGATCAAGCTAATAGTTGGGCGTGTCCGGAGGAAGTCACGCGTACTGATCCAGCTGTTGGAAAACTCGACTGGAGAAACATAAATTCAGGGTGCCATTCCTTCGCTGCTGCTGTTTGACCACTAGGTGCATGTTTCTTGTTACTTATGAGGCGCCACAACGTTCTGATTGTTGACTAACAGACCGCTAACCCCCTATATCCTCTGTCGTCCCGCCATGCAAGGAGACCTGGGATGTTCCCTATATAGTGGTATCAATCTGAGTGTATACTTCAGAATGACGCTGTAGCGTTAGCAGACACTCAATTTCAGGGTCAGATCCAGACACAAGGGCTTCTCTTTGTTTAGTGTAGCTCATTCGTTTAGCCAGATGTGCTTCGTCAGCGAATTCTTCGACCTCCTTTACGAATAACGTGATGGACGAAAAATTATAGACTCGGAGATCGCACTCTCCGACTGCAGACTTCAGCAAATTTCAATATTACCTACCACCGGCCACTTGAACGACAATACGAGTACCCACATTGAATTTGAGAATTCGCCAGTGATCCTGTCATCAACCGCCTGGAGAGGTACGTTTTATGAGCAAACCTCCGTACGCACCTACACGGAAACTACTAATACATCTGCACCAGCGTGGATAACCACCTTCCAATCAGCTGCTGTGTTTTTCGTGACTCTTTAAATTATTCTATATGTTCTCGGCGCACCGCTACCAGGTGGTACGAGGGTTGCTTTGCAATCGTGAGATTGGTCGCAAACATAAATTCACTGGCATTTGTTTCTGTTATAGTGTGGGTTTATCCCTCCTCAAGGACTAGCTGGTGTGTAGGAGGGGCATGGTTGGTATTAATTTCACAGGCCAGTACAAACGGCCTCCAGTTACAAAGTTGACCGTGTCATCGCCTATTGGAATGGGATCATTTGCGTCACAATCTGTATATGGTTGGTGAGCCAAGTTTACATGTCCGTGGGTCGCGATATAATAGGACTGAAATACTGTCCAGGTCCATATCATCTATTGCGTCTGACATACGCGCCGCGCTACTGTTACTGACCCAGAAACCAATACTATGTGTCCCTGTAGTCAACCCTAGGTAGAAGGTGCCTGTGATAACTTATGTACCCATCTGAGAACATCGTATTGTGGCCTTGAATTATCTGTCAGGATTGTGTACCTTAGTTAGACTCCGGATTTATTTTCACGTCGACATGCTTCCTTTCTCTTCCTTTGCTTTCAAAAATTCACGGCGGAATCCTTTTGTTTCTGGCATCGTTCTCGTGGCTCGAGGTTACCGGTGCGAGAACGTAAGTAGTATTGTACAAATTTCTATGCTCTGAGTCTTAGCAGTATTCCATCATTCATATTGTCTTGCAGCAGGTACCACTCCGAGTCCGTGTTACTTTAGCCTCCTATTAGATGCACCCAGGAATACAGCCTGCCAAATTTGGGCCAGTCTTTGGTCATCTTATTCCTCACAGCCATGATGTCTGACAATTCTAATCATGAACAAGATAGCAAAAGCGTGTGACTGCACGGCATCGTGCTTCGAACCTGGTTCAAACGTTCATGAACGTTCATGTCCTGTGTCAAGTTTGTGGGCAGTGGGAACCGGGTTGCCAGCATTCTGCGTTCCCGCAGCTATCCCTACTGAAATTGCATCCTTATCGGGATTCTCCAATTTCTCCATCCCTGCTGCAACTTTAATACGTGTGACAGAGCTGTCAGTCACGACGGCGCGACGACTGCCAGCATCGATCTCCGAGTGCGACTTGCACAATTACACGGGCAAGATGAATTTTTCCATCGTTAGACTTGCAGGAACATCTCGTCATGGAGACTTTCAAATAGCAAGTGCAGATCCGCAGGTGTAGGTCCTCACTTTCACATTGACGCTTGAAGCTCTCCTGACTGGAGCACTGAAGCGAACGGACCAATTTAATGATTCGTACTAGAATCTGCTAGAACCTACTAAAGTCATATTCCCAAGCTAATAAACCCGAACGTCAATCTTTGAGCGCTTTCAAAGTTTGCGACCAACTAAGTTTGTAGATTAGTTATCAGGTTTAACATCCCGTGAGATGTTCTCTTAGCTTCCGCTTCTGAACGAGCTCGCAACCCAGTCGATACGGGCATCGCTTTAATCTTCGTTGGTGCGGTCCATTAGGTATCCGCTGCCTCAATTGCATTTATGGGTGACCAGCATGCCTGGTATCCACCCTTCTATTGTGGGTCTTCGATGTGAGTAGGGCATAGTTGATTCACGAGCTGACTCGCAGCTAAACGCATGTCAAGCATCAATAACAATAGTTCATACATGCACAATTGTAATGACCTCTTGGCGACTCTGGTACAAAATCGTTCAGCGATGCTGGTGGTGGGAGGATGTGTGGGCAGCCACTGCGCTCGCAGCAATTATCACCAGTGTGGTTTCGGTCTGGATTTATTCTGAGCCACCGATCGGTATGTCGCCTTTAACTTGTGCTGCTCCGTCCCTTACTTAGCTATTCGCCATTCTGATCAGACTCAAAGCCACGGGATGGCCCCATTATAGCGTACTGGCTTCTAATGGTTAATTTTACTATAGGTCTTTGGTGCGTTACTCACTTCCTCATAAAAAGTTTTTCGATTACCGTGGATAAAGGTCGTCTCGGTTGAGTATGATATGTTCGATTATAAGATTATCACCACCCACAAGAATACGAATCGTTGCATGTTGCGCTGCAGCAGCTTTCGCAGCAATTGCCGTCGCTTTACTCGTCCACAAATGCTGGTTTTGTGCTCGATATAACGACTGGGACAAAAACACTCCGCTCAGTTGCCCTCTCGCGTTTTCCGTAGGCATCACGCAGGTCGTCGGTAAGTAGGAGAAGATGCAATCCGGCATGCTGTAGTTGATTTATCACTCTTCAGCGGACTTTTTGTCTGACCTGACATTGGTGGTTTTGCCTGCTCAAATATTGTATCGGGTTAAGCTTCCGCGGGACCAGAAGATATTGATTCTCTCAGTTTTCTCCGGCAGTCTCCTAACCACATTGCTGAGTATCGTGCACGCGGTCTTTTTCATTCAGGCCGATCCCATCTTGAAGATTTTAACAGCGCAGCTCGAGGCAAGTCTCACTGTACTCTACAATGTTTTTGAAGCATGACTGAGCTGGTGGCTTAGATGGCATTCTCTGTTATTGTCTGCGATCTTTTGCCTATAGTAACATGTCTATACAAAGCCCTTCGAAGCAGAGACTTGGACGTTAGTCACGGGCAATACCCAGCAGACAGTATATTTCTCACCACTGTCGTCGACATGCCATCATCAGACAACTACACAACTGAAGAATCGAAATTCATAGCTTAAAAGGATCTTGGCGTATCTTGCACTAGCAGTTTGGTGGCAGCGTGGTGCTGCCGCTTCATTTACCCCATTTAAATTTTACTGTATTGTATCATTTTCATCAAGGCATATACATCATGCTTCTTCCTGACTCGTTTTGTACTATATACCACGGGTAGCATCGTTTGCAACATCCATTACTTCTTACGATTTGCTGGTGGTGGCAAGAGAAGCGCCGGCATTGCAAACGACAAATTACTATCTTACTCGTAACTGCGGTCGACGGAGAGAACTGAGTACTGAGTGTTGACTGTGGTCAATGAAGAAACAGTGATGTAATGCCGTATAGTTACAAATATACGGATCGAAAAGAAGGAACAACTGTCTTCCTTCTTCAAGGTCTAACTACGGGAGACTAATACGAATCCCGATGGTAAAATCCTTAGTGTAACAACTTATTGTTGTACTCTTGCTGACATACAAGCAAGTTCCGAGTCGTCACGACTAGGGGACGGTACAGGTTCTGATATGGAAATATTGTAATTATTTGAGGCTTGGAACCCTTAGTTTGCACCCATCTCGAAGTCAACACCGAGCCTGATGAGAGCACGCATGCGGAACAGTGGATATTAATGCGGGGGCAAGAAGGGGCTGTCATAAACATGAAGAAGTATATGTAAGGGCACCAGACAAGCAGTCGGCTAGGCTAGGCGAGCACTGAGCAAGCGGGCAGATGGATACTTGATATTCGAGTCGGCGCCACGTCTCCAGTGTTCAGTGCAACGAGCGCTCTCCACAGCGTCGGAAAAAGGACAACGATGCACATGCTGTGATAGACAGCTCTGTTGAAGCTCTGTTGAGAACGGCATGTTATGGCCACGCAAACTACTCATGAATGAATATATGCGAAGACGTCACCCCTGACCTATTATTAGGCAAGCTCATTCGCTACCAACAGCGCAGTGGAAGGCAAACCTCCTCCAACCAAAATCGCGAAAGATGCCTAAATGCTGACCGACTGATTTTATAAGATACTGAATCATTAAGGAGCGATGCTCACCTATCATTTGTAGAAGAAAAGGTGTTTAAAGCTGCACACGCACATCAATTATTCTGAGAACTAGCACCACTCCAGGTGGCTGGAATCAAAGGTTCTTGAAGTCCTTACAACATTTGAACGTCAGTGTGGGTGGAATCTCGTCGTTCACAGGACTGCCGAGTTCGCCGAGTTACCAAAGTAGTATCGGGACGTTCAATGTAGTTTTGGGTCGACATCGCCACTAGCAAGTTGATTGACGGATGAAATGCACAAGGTAATATAGAAACCCAAAAGTGCCGCGTACCGATAAGCACGTCCATAACCTCATCGATAAACCTAATCCTCATGCTAAGTGAGACTAATTGATTGGATGAGAGGAAGCATCGCGATGGACATGAGCCCGCGAATGCCACCGCGGACAATGGATACAAGGTATCAGAAACGCACTGGAGAATACTGGAAAAACTGCAAAGAAAGCAATGCAAGACAACCGAAAGGACGAAATGCCAGAGCCAAGTGGAACATCATGCTACTTTTTCCTCGCATTAGCTTGTCTCGCAGCCGGAGCAGGTTGTGGCTGCGTGGGAGGTGCATAGGTCTTCGAACGGCGAAAAAGGAGGACATGTGGCTCTGGGGCTGATTGCTTATTGTCAGTGGTGGCGTCGCCGCCTTCATCTAAGTGTTTGAACTTGCCATGTACTTCATAATGTTCCCAGCCGAGGCTCTGAGTAATGCCGATCCCTCTCCACTCCGCTTCTGACAGTAGACGAAGGGTGCCTACTTTGTCGTCGAAGAACTCTTTTGGCACAAGTTTGAGTAGCGGTTTTGGTAGAATGACGTGACGATATTCGTATAGGTCGTCAGAGTAGCGATCAGAATAGTGGATTCTGCACGTCAAAATTAGTTACACGAGCGTATCTACGGAAGAGACATTACAGCTCACTTTTCGATGTACTCCTCAATCTTGCTGGCAAGTTGGCGATCAGCCATTGAAAAACAGGGGTATTACAGGGTATTGAACAGAGAAGACCAGAAACACGTCTAACAGATACAACGTTGATTGAGACAAAGTGTTGTGTGACACGGACGTGACTAGATTTGATTTCTGTCCTCACGTGCAGTCGCGTCAGTGACATGTCACGCGTCGCTTTACTATTAGTACTTTATCTTATCACCTTGAACATCGATGTCGCTAACGGCCATGCAACCTCGTAGATGGTCGCTGATTCACCAGACATCGGGATCACTCCCCCCACAGTATACCTCTATTCCCGTTCAAATTGGTACTTACACTGACGTCTTACTACACAGACTTCACCAAAGCTATTACGACTTTCCTAGGTCTGAGGACGAATTTGGTGGGTGTATGCGCGTAAATCTCCTTCGAAGATATAAATATTTCCTTCAGACTCCTCCCCGTCTCCGCCGGAACGCATGAACGACCGTGCTCGCGCCTTTGCAAGCTATCCTCCGACTACTACTAGTAGCCATGTATTTCAACAGTCAGGTGCTGTAGACTATAGAAGCTTTACTCCCGAATACACCCCAAGCCCTGGCGATTATACTAGCACGCAGGTCGAGAGCCAGGCACACTATAATCTTCCACAAGGAACTCGTCAGTCTTTCCATTAGATGTCGTCCTTCATTGTAGTTAACAAGCCATTATAGACCACCCGCACCAGCGTACCATAAACCACTTTGGGCCTCATTACGACACTCGCGCCTCCGCATATAATCATACGTCAGTTGGACAGACACAGCAGCAAGCCCAAGCAGTGCGGTTGCGCCCTGTTTCCGAGCTCCGTGGGCCATTTTACGCTGTCTACTTGTTAGTCTCTGACTTCGACTTGGTGGGATAGCGGATATGTTTCGTGGCGTATTCAAATTTGGTGTTTTCAACGCTATTCAGTCAATTTGCTTTGATGCAGTCAGTTTTATAAAGCTTCGTTCAGATGTCTTCAGACTTGACTGTTCTTAGGTACTTTATTCGAATGAGAATATGGTACGTTACTCTCATCACTTGAGATATGTCTCTAAACCCACATGCAGGTTATCAGCGGTAGGGGTGATCACTCTACTTGAAGTACCTCTCGCTTAGTGAACATGTAGCGCCCACTGGAAGTGGCAAAACGGTCCTTTTTGAATTGAGTATTATCCGCATGGTCACTGACCCTTCGAGCACAAATCAGGCAGCGAAATGTGTTTATGTTGCCCCAACCAAGGTAAAGTTGTCTTAATTCTGTGCCAAACCCGGTTTCATGTCAATGAAGGCCCTCTGTTCGGAAAAATACAAAGAATGGACCTCCAAATTTGGCAGCCTCGGGATACACAGTATGTAATGCATTGAATTTTAGAAACCATTGACATTCTACGAGTTAGGTTGCGAGCTCACGGGCGACACCGTGGCCTTCGGCAAGGGCGTCTGGGGTGACGCCAAGAACGCTAGAATCATGTAAGCTTGGTCATCAGCAGTCCTTGACGAATTCTGATATGTAACTTTTTCCCCCGCCAAAGTGTTACTACGGCACGTTCTTGGTCTGTTGATGTTGTGACGAAACTTCTTACATTATCTCAGGCCGAGAAGTGGGACAGTCTCACTAGGAATTGGTAAAGCATTTTTGTTGTGAAAGTAGTCTACACTCACTCGTTTCAGGGACGACCACAGTCGAATATTGTCTCAGATCAAACTTTTTCTTGTGGACGAGGTGAGTCTATTGTTGTTATTGCACAACTAAAAATTAATCAATAGTTGGTCAGGTTCACATCCTCAATGAATCTCGCGGTAGCACACTAGAAGTAGTTGTCTCTCGTATGAAGGCGAGAGGGTCTGATGTTAGATTCCTTCTCGTATCAGCAACAGTCCCGAACATTGAAGATGTTGCAAACTGGATCGGCAGCAACCATGCGTCTAGCGACCACCCCGGTCAAATATTTCAGGTAATTAATTCGAGTCTCACTTGGTCCTAGGCGTAGCTGACCCTAATGAGGAATACAGTTTGGCGACGAATATCGACCCTGTAAACTCAGTCGTTTTGTCTATAGCGTTCCAAAGCCGAGAGGACAGAATGACTTTGCATATGCGCATACCCTTGACGCCCGCCTATTCTCCATACTACAAAAACACGCTATTGACAAGCCAATACTTGTCTTCTGTCCGACAAGAAAAGGTACGACATCGATTACTGGTCACATCTATTGCCACCAGACATTCCATAGGGACCATCACGACCGCTAGGCAATTAGCTAAAGAATATGAAGGAGCCATGAAGACGTGTCAGCCGCTCCCGTGGAACAGGCCCTTACAGTACGTGGTGAGACAATAAACAAGTATAAGAAATTCACAGAAGGATTAGCATGGATCAGACATTCCGTGACAAAGATCTCGCCGGTAAGCACTGTACGCCAGGGAATCCTGTTATTTTGGTGCTCATCACTTGCAGCTCTGGCGGCTCTGGGAGTCGGCGTGCATCATGCTGGACTTACTATCGACGACAGGAAAACCATCGAAGACCTATACCTTCGTAAAGTACTCCGAGTTCTTCTGGCTACATCGGTGAAATTGGGATCTTTTCTCTCCTCTAAATAATGTCGCTAATTCACCCACAGACTTTAGCGGTCGGAGTCAACTTGCGTGAGGTGTCATTGGTTTGTAATCCTCATCGATGCTGATACTAAGTTTTAGCCGCACATCTGGTCGTCATAAAGGGTGTCAAACTATTTCAAAACGGTGAATCTAAAGAGTACTCGGATCTTGACATCATGCAGATGATGGGACGAGCGGTGCGTGTAATGCTCAATGCACCACCTATTTATCATTTGGTTGCTGATTTTTGATGATAGGGTCGCCCACAATTCGGTACCCATTTTACGTTCTGTCCTTCTTCTGTTGACGTTGATCATCCTGCACTCAGATACCGAAGGGATCGCCATCATCTTATGTGAAACTGAACTCGAGAGCAAATATCGCGGTCTTGTTCAGGGGAACACACCCCTGGAGAGTAGTCTGCACATGAATTTGACCGAGCACCTGAACTCTGAGATCGGTTTGGGGACTATCACCGACGTCAAGACAGCACAGGAGTGGCTTCTCCGCTCTTTCCTGTATCGCCGAATACAAAAGAATCCACAGCACTATGATATCGGAAAAGATGACCGCCAGTCTTGGCAGAACAAGGTTGATGACGTCGTGATGGACAGCATCGAGCAGCTACGAGAAACCGAGTTGATCACTTATTCACCGCGCAATGGAGAGCTGAGTTCTACTGAATTCGGTGATATTATGAGCAAGGTGACGTGATCTGTCAGCTTTGCGCCGTATAAAACTTGACAGCCCATGGAGTTCTACATCCGTCGTCAGACGGTGAGATTTTCGCGCCACCATTAGCAGCATACCCCTGATGATGAATAGATGAAGGCAATCTTGGACCTTCCCCCAACCGCATCTTTACGCGAGATTGTGAGTCAATGGTCTTTCATTAGCCATAATCTGATGGAAACACGATGACAGCTTGAGATGATATCCGCTTCAGAGGAGTAAGTTTCAACAGTTATTTTGACCTCACGGCACGAACTATTCTATACAGATTGTCCGACCTCAAATTGCGAAGTGGCGAAAAGCAGGTAAGGAACGTGAAGCAGAATTTTTATCGCTGAGGTCCATCATTTCTAGATATACGAGAAAATCAGGCGCCATAATGACATTCGGTTCGCAGTTAAAAAAGTTCAAGGTACGAGTGACAAAGTATTCTTGCTTATGCAGGTAGCTCTCATCGTGTTCATACCTGCCCGTATTTCGAATGACGTCTTTGAAGGCGGTTCTAGGTGGTTTGCCCTTGAATAGTGCCGAATTTAGGAGCGGGGAGAGTCAACCAGGTCTAGAAGCATTCTCGGTTTTTCGTCACGTCACCCGGATTGCCACAGGTATGCTACTTGCACCTCTAAACTTGTATTGATACGTGAACCTGAACACCTCAGCGGTTGCGGAAGTCGCCATAATAAAGAAACACGGAGCGCAAGTCAAGCACGGGCTGGAAATGTACGTCTGCTAAGACCCAGGATCCTTATGTGGCTGAAATGAATTGTCTAGAGTACGCTGTCTCCATGCCAAGGCATGGGAAGATAGACCAATTGTCCTGAGACAACTAGAACACATCGGTGAAAAATCGTCAGTGAATCGCCTTGCCCCTCCATGCGCTCTACTTACGCTCGGTCTTGCAGAATCAAGGTAAAGATCTGAAATCACTCACCTCGAACGGGCTACAAGCGCAAGCATGAGTAGATATTGGCCGAGAACCACATCTCCTCAATTCCCAAGCTGCTTAGTACTAGCCCACTGAGACTCGAAGAGGTGGGTCCTCATGACTAGGCAACGATATGACAAACTAACTTTCGGGTAGCTCCTGAACCGCAGATCCCCCTTTGGGTCTGAAGTTTTACTGGCAGCTAACGAGCTACCGAAGTATTTCCTCGCCCTGACGGAAGCGAAAGTTTCCCCTAGCGATGGAAAATCACCAATAGATGTTGAACTCTCCATTGAATGTGGCCTTCTTTTGGACAAGAGAGCTTCTACGGTGTCCAAGAAACAGAAGAAGAGCGGTTTCGATATGACATCTCTTCTTACGATTACCTCCGACTTCGTTTTCGTCGACTTTCGCCGTATCTCGTGAGTTTTATACCATTAAAGCGGAGTGTCTCTAATTTTAGTACCTTAGGACGAAGGCGCTGAGGGAAAGGAAATCATTTGTGATCCACGCGCAACTCACCAAACCGAGCCAGACCATCAATGTTTCGATCTCTTCAGTAAACCAGAAGTACTCCTATCGCGGGCATATTGGGCTAATTCACATATTCAGGATAAAATCGCTGGGATCGCCGTAACTGAAAGCTACAAACCTTCCTTACCCACAAACAAATACCCAACCCTCAATACTCGCCCATTGACTTCCTTGGTAAGCAGAATGCAGGTTGCATTTCATGGACTCACTTCTTGAAGGAAATGGATTTGGAGGGGCTTGAAGATGTTGCTGACTTTTGGGATATGAGACCCGATGATGATGATGATGACAACGGTTTGAATATCCCCCTAAAAGACCTTACTCGACCCCGTAGCCCGCCCCAAAGCAGTATATCAGCGCAAAAAAATACCAAACCTCACAAAGAGAAGACAGTGCAATCTGTTTCACACCCTCCAGAGAAGCCGGAGAGTTTCGGGAAGGTTGATATGCCTGTGCGGGACGCACGACCTAAAAACCGTTCGGACGGGAAATACGAGTGAGTCTATTGCTTTCTGCGTGCTCAATGTCGACATAAACTCTCAGTTGTAATCATACCTGTAAAGATAAATCTGCTTGCCGTCACTTTTGGTGAGTTTCGACACAAAATCGTCTAAAATCATGTTCTGCCTAGAATCATCCTGCTGACGAGAAATGCGTTATAGTTGTCGTGACGGGCTCACAGAACCTTCTCGCGTCCCAAGAAATAACAACAACACAAAGCCCGTCCATCTGCCGAGATCAAAGAAACCTGACGACTCGTCCTTCAACCTCTCATCTGCTGGTTCCAAAAGCCAAGTTACTGTGCCGCTTGGCGACGTCCCAATTCCCAAACGACGAAAGGCAGCTAAACGCAATTCAGATCTTGAGCACCTTGACTCCCTTCATACAGGGCCTGTTGTCAATCGAAGGCTGGGGCTCACTGAAGGTCAACGGCTGAAACTAGATGCCCCAATGCCAAGCAAACGCAAACCAGTCCCAAATTTTGATGTCGAGCTCACCACCTTGAAGTGTTCACAGTCGCCCTCCTCCAAGGACATACTCAGCGATTCACAATCTGATGACGAACTTGCGAACATTTGCGATCTTCTGAGTGAAGGGAAGCATGTTCGTTCGAAAACGGACAATTCAAACTCAGAGATTCGAGACGACAACTACAACGAACCTGCGATGTCTGGTCTCTCCCCGAGTCCCTCTCCCAGTCACAAACGAACATGCGACTCTCTGCCTCTCAATGGCTCGCCCCCTCGGAAGCGTCTGAAAAGCAGCAACATGCCTTACAGGCCTTATTCACCAAAACGGGAAGCAGCAAAGCACGGCCGTCATCAGAAGCACTTCAAATCCAACCTCAAGCTCTTCGGCTCCCCCCCTGACTTACTGATTGCAAAGGTACATTGTTAAAATACCCTTCGACAACTGACCCCAATCATTCTAGGAGGGCGAGCTTCCTGCTCGGACTACAAATCGCCAGTCGCTTTTCCTTGCAAAATCCTCCGATGTTGAGGCCCATTCACCGTCCAATGTACCCCAGCGACAGCCTTCTGATGACTTCTTCTTTGACGAGTCTTACTTTGACATCCTGCTCGGGCCTCAACCAACAGCGGCACCTTCTCTCCGTGAGGACGGAGAGTGCACCAGCACATACATTCGGACCATAGGAATCACACGTTCTGACGCGGAACTTCAGGCTACACCGCAACGTCTCCCAGGGTTTCTTAGTAATTCCCAGCTACAATTTGGAGTACAAGTCAACACTACCAACCAACCGGTCTCCTTCAAACGAACCTCAAGCCCTGCCTTCAAGCATCAGCAGACGAACCAAGAGATGAAAACGGACAACAATGCGGCTGATGTTGATGTCCTTGCTGAATTTGAAAGCTGGTTGGAGAGTGGTGCGGTTGACATTGTATCATAATAAGATGTTGTGCGCGGTGGGTTGAAAGTTTGTAACGTATACTTGCTGTAAGATTATATGCATGATACCAATTGAGTGGATGTAAGCGGTCAGCTCCTGGTGCCCGTATCAACCATCGTTGTCTGTCGGAGACTCGTCGAAAACCTGTAGGGCGTCGGAGAATCGTTCATCCCATTGTACAGGCTGACCGGGTTTCACGATTTCCCAACCATCCTCATCACCACGCCATCTCATCTCCTTCTTCAATCGTTCCGCACGCAGCTCTACTTCTGTTGGCGGGGGATGACTATCCTCCTCCTTCGTAGGGACACGGGTGCCTCGTGCTAATGCGCGTGCAATCGCTAGCTTTGCGGGCAATGCATCGTAGTACGTTTTGCGTGCCTTTTCCGTTTCAGACGGGGTGTAAGCCCCATCATAATAGGATTCGGCAGGAAGGTCAAAATCAAGGTCCCCTCCTTGACGTCCGTCCGGCTGTGATAGCTGAATTTCTGACGCACTTGGTGCTACGAATGGCCGCCTGTGGCTCATTATCAGAGAGTAAGCTGCTTCAGAGCCAGCGCGGACTTTATGTCGCTCATTAAAAAATCCCCATATCATATGAGGAACCTGTCTGAAGCCAATATGATTTGTGAAAGGGACGAGGAGAAGGGTTGGCAGGGTTGGTATAGTCGATGGTGGTGTGTCTAAATGTGCAGGCAGAGTTGAAGTGGATTGCGTGGATTTTGATGGACTGGAAGAAGGCATCTGCAAGGGAGAGAATAACGCTGCGTTGTTCGAAGGTAGAAGGCGCGAACGGGTTGGTAAGGGCTCTCCTTCCACTCCTTCAAGGTCTACGACAGTTTCTTCAGGCTCATCAAATCGGCCATCCGACGCCAATTCCTGGGCGAGCATATCTTCCTTGTCGACACGATCCATGCTCTCCGTCCAACCGCGTTTGAGCCCCGACATGAACTCCTTCAACGTGTGCCGGCCGACAACGACAATGCCGCCCTCGAGTTCGCGCTTGCGTTTTTGCTCAAGAGATGGTTGGTTAGGTAAAACCACCGGACTCTGGGATTCAGGTTCTACACCGGCATCGACACGTCGACGAGTCTTTATCTCGGTCGCGATGCGGTTTGCGAGGTCACCACTCCGGCGCCCCGAAACCATCTCATAGTCAACGGCAGCTGCTACAAGGATTGGCTATAGACGGACATGCTGAGCACACCTCAAAATTAAATACATGATGCGCACCTTGACGTACTTCCTGAAGAACCTCAAGCTCTTATCATGGTCCTCGTCTCCGGGCCATTTCGCGCCATATACGGTGACCTTGCGTGGCAGATCTGTAGTACCCAGCGGGTCCTTGGCAAGATGCTCAACGCGTGTGGCATATTCGGAGCGGATGCGTCTGCACTCTTTGCGGTCATAGGCATAGTATGAAACGATAGAGGTGGTCACGGATAGGAATATGAGCCAGTTTCGGGACGGAAGTTTGGGACGCTTCTCGAACCAGGATGGTGGAATTCCGGTGAATTCGAGCGCAACTCTTACACCGGACTTTGGGCGTACAGGTGCTTGGCTAGGGTTTGGCGGGGAGTCGACATTTTGTGAGCTCATGCCCGTACTGCTAGTCGTTCCTTCTACCAAGTCGGTCACAAACCAAAAAATACTGCCCGCCTTAACAAACAAAGGCAAACAAAAGTCTCTTGGATTGTCCAGAAGCAGTTCCACTCACTTACCGAACGATCATCTCTGCCATGGCTGCCCTCGCTGCGTACGTCAGTTTGTGCTCTATAATTTATGGTGCTGACATTTATATGTAGTGTACTCCCACTACCGACCCATGCTCCAGTTATTTCCGATGATGAGGAAGAAGTAATCCAGCCTACTCCGTCTCAATCTGTGATCATTCGAACACCAATACCGCCATACGGCCAGCGGCTGGGATGGAAGCCGCTGAACCCTGAGGACTTCGGTACGTGCGCTTCACCATGTTCATTATTATGAGTGTCCTGAGCTTCTATCCAGGTGACGGTGGTTCATATCCTGAATGTCATGTTGCACAGTATCCATTAGACCTCGGACGGAAGAAGGCGAGTGTTTTTTCCTGCTTCTGCACTGGTTTACTAAACAGATACCCGCAGACGGCTGCGGGAAACACGCTTGCTCTTCAAGTCGATAGCGAAGGCAATGTTCGTTATGACGCTATTGCCCACCAAGGCCAACGTTCCGGCAAACATATCCAGTCCCAATTCAAAGACCTCGTCCCTATCGCACATCGAAAAGACCTTACTGATGACCAACGGGCAATGGAGCGTCCGTCTGAGGAGGAGGTTCAAGCCACTGCGGATAAAACCCGGGCCGCTCTTGAACAACTTGTGTCCGGAAAGATAAAGGCTGCACAACCAAAGCATGTCCCGGATGCGCAGGGGAAGACGACATACATTCGGTACACCCCGGGTCAGCAGAATGGAGGGGATAACGGTGCGCTTAAGCAGAGGATTATTAAGATGTCTGAGGTTGTGGAAGATCCAATGGAGCCACCGAGGTTTAAGCATAAGAAGATTCCAAGGGGACCGCCCAGCCCACCCCCTCCTGTATTGCGGAGTCCACCGAGGAAGGCGACGGCAGCAGAGCAGAAGGAGTGGATGATCCCACCGTGTATATCAAATTGGAAGAACAACAAGGGTTTTACTATCCCTCTCGACAAACGGTTGGCTGCAGATGGTCGAGGTCTCCAAGACGTTAGTGATACTGCCTCACTTGACTTCAGGCTAATGTTCTTGATTTTTCTTGTCTCATTTTGCAGGTTCACATTAACGACAACTTTGCCAAATTCTCAGAAGCACTGTTTGTAGCAGACAGACATGCCCGTGAAGAAGTTCGGCAACGTGCACTTATGCAGCAAAAACTTGCACAAAAGGAGAAAGAGTCTAAAGAAGAGAACCTCCGGATGCTTGCACAGCGCGCCCGCCAAGAGCGCAGTGGTGTCGCACCTTCTCGACCAACAGCCGAATCTCGGGCGGCAGTCACGACAACTCTTGCTGGCTATGGCAGCGGCACTGAATCATCCGCAGACGACTCTGAACCAGAAGATTCAGAAGAACAGGAAGCTCGCAAGCTCCGCGATGAAATGCGTGCCGAGAAACGTCGTGAACGCGAACGCGAGATGCGGATGTCGAATATGGGCGCCGAGCAGCGCGCCAAAATGCTTGCACGGCAACAAAATCGTGATATATCAGAGAAAATCGCACTCGGTCTTGCCAAGCCGACGACGTCGAAAGAGAGCATGCTGGATTCAAGACTATTCAATCAAGAGTCGCTCAACGGTTCGTTTGCAGATGAAGACAACTACAACTTATATGATCGGCCGTTGTTTCACGGCTCAACGGCGGCGGCAGCGATATACAAGGCTAGGGGAAATATTGCAGAAGGTAACGACGAGTCATTTGGTGGTGGGACTGAGGAGGGTATCGGCAAGGCTCTCGACAACGACCGGTTTGGTCTTGGAAAAGCACGCGTTGGGTTCGAGGGGGCAGAAGATCAAGAGGTCCGTGAGGGACCTGTACAGTTTGAGAAGGACACAGGAGATGTGTTCGGTCTAGATAAGTTCTTGGATGAGGCAAAGTCTGGGAAAAAACGAGGTCTGGATACCGACGTGTGAGTGGTGTGCTGCACTGTGGTTGATGATGTACTGATTTATTCTTAGTGGCGGGTCGCGGAAACGGCAACAGCTGGAAAAGGCGTCCGATTTCTAGGCATTCCGCTGCTTGTATTCTATCGTTGTTGTTGTCTTTATGCTCTGTATCCTAATGACAGTTTGCATCGGCCATGCATTTATCACTTTTCTCTTATGTAGAGGATCGTGTAACTAAAAATCTATTATGGAGACTTGACTTATTGTCATTGATCAACGGTTGACAAGGAGTTGACCTGATTTGATCATGGTTGTCGTTGTAACGGGACCGGTAACCTCGCGCTTGTTCCAGTGGTTTGGCAAGTCGTTCGTCTCTTCTTCGCCATCTTCATTTCGTTCGTTTGAGCGTCGTGGCAGGGTCCTTTGCCTCGAGGATTCCACCCACATTCCTTTCAAAACACAAGCTGTAATCGTTCAGCGTTTCTACCAGTTACGAATCCGACTCAGTACCAATGCACTCTGAATTTCGACGTATGCCTGCTGAGCGGGCGCGCCACGCAAAAAGGCTGGGTCATGTCCAGCCTGTAAACGAACCGTTTGCGTCTCCTCTCGTGTTCGCTAAAGATGCCACCACAAGCACTACCACCACCACTCAGACTACCGCTAAAACCACTACCTCCACCACCCCTACTACTAGTGCAGCGTCATCGACAGTAAAGCTTTCTTCTTCAGTGTCTTCTGCATCTGCATCTCTTTCTACCTCATCGCAGGCGTTGACGTCTTCAGCTTCTCTTCAGTCCACCTTCTCTGCACCGTCCGCAACCATCCCGTCCACCAGCAGCCCCGCTGCGACGGGACTACCCAGTTCCTCTAACACTACGTCTCAAAGTGTGGTTTTCGTTACTGCCACTAGTACTCCAAGCCCGACCGCTACCACCATCAACAATAATGCCAGTAGCGCATCAAGCCAGGGTCTCTCTGGGGGCGCAGTCGGTGGTATCGTGGCGGCCTCGGTAGTTGTCTCTCTAGCTTTCTTCATATTCATCGTCCGTAAGACGTATCTCCGCCGCAGGCAGAAGCGTCGATTCACTTGGCCTGCTGGCAACGTCTTCAACGACACAAAACCGCTTCCTCCAGCTCCCGTTGATGACTTCTCTGAAAAGCCTACTTCGGTGAAGCATTCACCAATGTCGCCTTTTGAGGCGCATGGACAGTCGGTATATGCGAGTCCCCCTCAGCCCCCGATTCAGAGGATGCAGAGTCCGTTCACGGGGTATGCGGGCCCAGCCCCGCCTCCTGCCTCGTACAACAACCCCATGTCCATGTATTCCCAACCACCTCCCTCTCTAATTCCCGGAGACTCTGTCGTTGCCATGGCGCGTGCAGCAGCAGGTGTCGATTCATATCCTGCTCCAGCTCCTACACCCAGATTTCGGATTGCCTCCGAAGCAGTCGTCAAGCGCGCGTTCATTCCCACGCTTCCTGACGAACTCTCGGTTACAGCTGGCGAGCGTATTCGTGTACTTGCTCAGTATGACGATGCATGGGCGCTCTGTGCGAATGGGCGTGGGGAACAAGGCATGGTTCCCCAGGAGTGCCTGGATCAACACGTAGCATCTGACCAGGGAGACTGGCGGAATGCTAGGCGTGCCAGCAGTCTGGTTTCGGATGGCAGACGGGTTTGATTTCGATAACGTTTCGTGAGCTGGACCGCAGGCTCGGGCCAGGGTATGTCTCTCAGATATGCTATTATTACGTATCCTCGTTGATGATTTGAACACAGGCATTAACAACATCTTTAACTTTATTTATTATGATACCTCGCATCTCGCGGCGACACCCTAGCGACCACGCTGTTGGCTAGATTTTGTTTCTCGTACGTTCTTGTGATCTACATCTCGAAATATCCAGACGGTTTGGCGGTGCGGTGCGGTGCGAAAGATTTGTTGAGTTGGGCGGGAGGGGTTGCTTTGTTGTATTTGTGAATGATTTGCAACTTGAACACAATAGGCACTCCGTACCGTCCTGGCATGTACACTGTCTGCAGATTGTGTATCCGCAAAATATCGGCGAGATGTGTCGCGGTTCTTCGCTCCGATGACTGTCGTTCCCTACAGCTGCAATCGCTGGAATTGCGCTGGCAGTACCCGTATACTTTTACGTTCAGCGTTTACCATTCTGGTACGATAGCGAGTGCCTATGACAAGCAGAACCTGGACAGATGAGAGATTGTGCTCGAAGTAGGTCTAATGATAGCAGAGACAAGACAATACAGCGTAAATCATAGATGGTACCTAGTGGAACTTAGCGGCTAGCCTCCCCAATGCCGGGAGCGAAATGTTTGCTGGGGATGTGTTGAATGTGACTGCCATCTCATGGGCTCCCGATAGATCCACCGTGGGCGCAGGGGAACCCAGTAGGAGGAGGAAGAGGTGCCAGGAGATGACTGGCAGTGGGAAATGGCGTCTGGGGTATTGTAATAGGTCGTAGATGGTGGTGCGTGACACCTATGGTGGGTGCGAAGACCTTTGAGGGTGCAGCGAGAGTCATAGGACAGGCCACGTTGTAAAGATTAATATTGCAATTTGCATCAGCGCGTGGAAGTGAGATATTGAACCAACGTGAAGCAGCCGATCACGATGCAGATAAACATCCTAAGAAAACATAGAAAAAAGAAAATACACCCATACTTAGCTCAGTTCTGGACATGTCAGAGGCCTTGTGATTCATGGCTGGACGTTATCCACTTCACTTTACGTCGCATCTTATACTCACTTCAATGTACACAATGCTAATTCACACCCTATGTATCACTCACCGCGCTGCATGTCCCCTTCGCATGGCATTGTTTATTGATGATCACCTGGTTCTACTGCTTGATGGATCTAACTTTTGCTTCCATGAATCTTCCGTGAGCTCCTGAGCATGTCGCATCAATAGAGATCTTAGGTGGCAATCTGCTGGCATTGCAGATATCATCTATTCGAAAGGGAATTTCATGTGGATAGGTTATTCCTACATCGCCACGAGAAACAATATCCAGCACATAAAAGTAAGGTGTCTTCCTACTGTCCCCTTCAGATTTATTTGATCCCATATCAGATCCTCACAGACAATGCGTTTCTCCTTTATCCTCGCCGTCGTTGCTGCTTTGACAGCGTCAATATCTGCCAGTGTCGCTGACAGTGAAGATTGTCCTATCTTTTGCCTGTATGATAGAAACTGCGTAGACTGCGGTCCTGATAAATACTGCGTGAGTATGAGTAGTTTGCGTCCTGCATTTAACCACATGACTCACTGGCGTGATAGTTCATCTTTTTATGCACCTTCGACTAGTGTGGCAATGAGTCGTGTCTCTGCTTTCACATCAGTGCAGTACGGTTGATGGCACGATACGTGAAGCATCGAGCGGATGCTCGACTATTGGGAGTGGCATAAGGACTTAGGGGTCGGCGGAGGCAAAGTTTGGAGTGATCAGACAGTGAAATGATATCTATGTACTGTGGAGAGCTTCGCTATGGGCTTGCTTTGCCGAAAAATAATTGGGAAAGGACGGGATGCTCACCGTAGATCTGGATGTGCTGTGGGCTGCGGTCCCTACTCCAAACAACAAGCTGATCAGTCCTTGTTAGTACTACGAGCTGGCATTGACCTTGCTTCATAAGGTGATATTTTGTTCCGTACCGAATTGCCAATGGACCTTGCTTCACAAGGTATATCACAGGTGGCAATCTGCTGGTGTTGCAGATGTCGAAAGGGGTGTAGCGAGCTGGCATCGACTTTGCTTCGCAAGGTGATGTTTTGTTACACGCCAAATTGCCGATAAACCTTGCTTCACAAGGTAGATCCAGAAATCTGCCGGCATTGCAGATATCATCTGTTCGAAAGAGGATTTTAGGTGGATACATCGCCACGAAAAACAATATTCAGCACATAAAAGCAAGGCGTCTTCCTACTGTCCCCTTCAGATTTATTTGATCCCATATCACATCCTCACAGACAATGCGTTTCTCACTTGTCTTCGCCGTTGTTGCTGCTTTGACAACATCAATATCTGCCAGTGACGCTGACAGTGAGGATTGTCCTTATTTTTGCTTGCATTTTAGAAACTGCAAAGACTGTGGTGATAGGAGAATCTGCGTGAGTATGAGTAGTTTGCGTCCTGCATTTAACCACATGACTCACCGGCGTTACAGTTCATGTTTTTTTGCGACTATGAATAGTGTGGCAGTGAGTCGTGTCTCTGCGTTCACATCGGTGCAGTATGGTTTATGGCACGACACGTGAAGCCTCGATCGGATGCTCGACCATTGGGACCAGTGGGACAATGACTTAAGTGGCGGCGGAAGTGAAGCTTGGGGTGATCCTAAGGCAGTGGATATCTCCTTTCTTTGGCGAGGTTCAGGCTATGGGCTTGCTTTAGCGAAAAATATTTGGGAAAAGACGAGATGCTCGCTGTAGATATGGTTGTGTTGTGGACAAGTTGTCGAGGGACGTACAATTTCATCAAGTGGCCTCGGTTCGACTTTGAAAGAGCGGGATGCCCTGTGACCTAGTACTTACTTCAAGTTGAAGCACTGGGATGCTATGCGAACTGGACGATCCGCAAACAAGTACACAAAGAACACGGCCTAGTCCAACACGAGCAATTAATTGTATCGTGAGTATAGTAGACTATTAGTAGTGTATAGCTGCGCGTGAGATATTATATAGTCATAGTCTATGGGTATGGAAGAGGTGCGGGGGTATATGTGAAGCATGTCGCACTATTGCAATAACAATCTTGGATTGCTTTCTTAGCAGCCTTTTCTGCTTTCTTTTGACTGATCGCCGTCGCCACAAACAAAGCTTCATGGCGTGTGCGGGCGGCTGGCGGGAAGTACTGGCGTGGGTCGCAGGAGTAATAAGGCTTTGCGTGCCAGTTGCCCGCTATCTCGGGTGCTTATGCTTGTCAGGGAGGTAGTGGTTGCATTACTTAGAATGGGAGGTAGATGCGGAAGTGGACGCGGGTGACGTTGCCAGGAGAAAGGAAGTTCGAGGCAAACTTGAAGCGCTCAAGCTAGCAAAGCAAATATCCTTGCACCGCATTCTCTACTAGCTTGCTCGTATATCTAGAAGTTCCTTGTACCCCTCCCTCTAAGACTTATTACAACGGCTCTGCGGACGCGACGGGTAAACAATACTGCTGCAACTCAGGATTGCCAGACAAAATGTGGTGGACCTGGTGGTATGATCATACTTACCGAAGTCACCCGCAGTACCGTTTCCGCACACACGAGAGATATAGTCAATCAGGCAGTCCCAGACTTACATCTCTCCTTCGAGAACACAACCGCGTGTCACTATCATATATGGCCAACCTGATACCTATACTACTAGTAACACTCCTCGAAACTCGCACTCGCACACCCGCGTTAACAGAAGTTCTCGCGTCAGTCCACGACCATTGCAAGGACAAGACGGATTTTCAGTAAGTAATTTAATTATGGTTCAATGCACTGATTGTATGAACAACGAAATTGGCTGCCCGGATCACCTTACACAGAGGACAATGATCTGCATGATCACGGAGTCCAGCCGCATGTACACGGCCAGCAGTATGACTATGGAGACGAGTCTATCCATATGCATGACATACCGTACGAACTTGAACTTTGCCCAGTCGAGTGGCATGAGGTAGACCAACCTTACCCTCTGCCTGCATCATCCGACCACCCTTGAAACACATATAATCCTACCGTTTGCTGAATCACGCATCTGTTGTGATGTCCAAGTCTCCCTAGATTCCCCACATGCCACTCCAACGTCGACTTTAATATCATTCGTCAAAATGCGCACTCGTTTCCGGCAGCGCTTCCGGACGAGGAACCATTCAGGCTTCTCGGTTGGTCAGGTACCTGCACCCTGTAGCTACCCTGTAGCCGACACGCAGCCCACGTACCCTTGGCCTCAGCGCACTCGAAGTCACTCGGCTGCCAGCAATAGTAGCGACCTCTTCACTTCGTTCGTCCTGCGTACCCAGACCCGCAGCACGCCCTACACCATCCGAGATTATGACGGTGCTGACCCTCAGTTCCCTGCATCTGTTCTCGACTAACCACTGACACCGGGATTTTCCCCACACTTTCAGGCATCCCCACATGTATTCTAGCGATCAACCTGACTGTCCGCCCACCTGCCTGCTGGAGTCCTAACAGCCGCCTCCCTCTCCCAACCATTCTCCCATACCATCTGTCAACATTTACTTCCAAGTTCCCATACCCTGCCATGATGTCTCATTCGCACCCAGCAATGGTCTTCCGAGTTTAGGCGAGAGCCGCCATATGATTTTACTTTCGAACATTCTTATATTAATCTTTGAGGGTTGCAAGGGCATAGCCTGAGTTACAACCTGTTACAACATCCATTGTATTGATCCGCAGATGTGGCAGGAAAAAACCTAAATTTACAATATACTCAAGATCGCGGTTGTAGACGATGAGCGCTGAGCGCAAATAAGTGCCGTGGCTTCGCAGTTACAACAAGTGACGTGATTTAACGCGAAGATATTCCAAAGTGGCTACGAAGATCACTGTACAAATCTGTGGTGACTTGCAAATTGAGATTCGGAACTCATATCGTGAGATTGTGCAATGGAAGATTCCTGTAGAACTGATGCATTGCACTCAGTGGATAGGTTGGTCATGAGATGCATCGAACTTTTAGGCTAATAAGCCAGCGTCATATCCATGCTACATGAGGATGTGTGTGGTCCCTACTCCAAACAACAAGCTGATCAGTCCTTGTCAGTACGAGCTGGCATTGACCTTGCTTCGGTGATATTCTATTCCACGCCAAATTGCCAATAGACGTTGCTTTACAATTATCTGAGGTGATCTGCTACATACATCTGTTCGAAAGGGGTGTTGCGAGGTGGCATTGACTTCCAAGTTGCTTTGCAAGGTGATGTGTTGTTCAACGCCAAATTGCCGATAAACCATCCCACAAAGTAGATCTTAGTTAAGGTGGAGGACTGCTGGTATTGGTAGATATCATCTGTTCGAAAGGGGATTTCAGGTGGATAACTTATTTCTACATCACTATGAAGAACAATATTCAGCCTATAAAAGCAAGGCATCTTCCTACTGTCCCCTTCAGATGTATTTGGTCCCATATCACAACCTCACATACAATGCGTTTCTCATTTGTCCTCGCCGTTGTTGCTGCTGTGACAGCACCAATATCTGCTAGTGACACTGCTAGTGAGGATTGTCCTGCCTTTTGCTTCCGTCTTATAGACTGCAAAACCTGCCCTAATAGGAACATCTGCGTGAGTATGAGTAGTCTGCGTCCTGCATTTAACTGCATGACTCGCCGGCGTGATAGGCACTCTTTTTATGTGTCCACGAATAGTGTGTCCGTGAGTCGTGTCTCTGCTTTCACATCGGTGCCGTATGGTTGATGGCACGACGCGTGAAGCCTCAATCGAATGCTCGACCATTGGGGGTGGGATAAGGACTTTGGCGGCGGCGGAGGCCAAGTTTGGGGTGATCAGGCAGTGGGATGATATTTATTTTCTTTGGAGGGTTTCTCTATGGCCTTGGTTTAGCGGGAATTTTTTTTGGGAAAGGGCGGGATGCTCACCGTAGATCTGGATCTGCTATGGACAAGTTGTTGAGGGGCTGTACAATTTCATCAAGTGGCCTCGGTTCAACTTTGAAAGAGCGGGATGCCCTGTGACCTAGTAGATGAAGCACTGGCGAAGTTGCAAACTGGGCGGACCCAGGTGCGAATACCACATAGTATCGCACTAGTGGGAATCCATGTACATGAAGAGGGCGGAATTGATGGATGTGCGGGATCAAGGCGGAACGCTAGTGTATGAAGCAGCACTAGGTGGGCATTGGAACAAGAACGGACTGCATGCAAAGAACCGCATAAGCACACTAATAAGAGAGGTGCGCGCACCATGCATGATTTAGGTGTTTTCTTACCGAGGCATCTCGAGGTTAAAGGGTGGTTGTGGCGAACTTCTGTCTTGCTGTAAAGCTGCCTCTATATGATAGGTCCTCCCCGTCTGGTATACGTAGGAGGAAGGGCTAGAGTGCAGGTAAGTAGCAGGTCCATCTACTGACTGGTATGAAAGTGTATGCGGAAGTTCATACTAGTACCGGCTCGCTGTCAGTCTCGTGTTCTAAGACATGACACAGGTTCTACATAATGTTTAGCACTGTTTGTAGGTTCATCGTTGGTTGTCACCGTTCTCGCACCACTGATTGGGCTAGGTCCACAAGCTTGCTCACGAACGTCTGTTACTTGACCACCATGAGCACTGGAGCAGTGACTGCACTAGTACCGGGCTGTACCATACCGAGCATCGCTAATCGACATGCTGAAGGTCGACTACATTTGTGATGCAACTCCAACCGCCGAGGCACCTACCTGCATGCCAGCATAATTCTTCTGGATGGTCTTGCACTGGCGATACCGCTGTCTGCCCTGGCACCGTCACCCAAGCCTGAACACAGATTGTCACAAGTCCCTTGGGGTCGTAGCTATGATGTAGACCATCTAACCCTCTATTATGCACTGAAGAACGGATTCGATAGGGAGGAGATTCAATGCAGCGAGTATATTTATGGTGTGTCCCTCGTCATGAACACAATCATCGTCATGCTCTTCTAAAGACACGTATTCTTGGTAGCCTTCCAATGATGCACCCTCGATTCTTCTCGTACCTTCCTCTCGCACCTTCCCTGCATTCTCTGGTTTTCCACCTTCTCGAACCCTCTCGTGATGTCAGATACTACCCTCAGGACGCTTCTCGTACCCTCTCGTGACATCAGATACTACCCCCAGGACACCTTCCGCATCGTCTCGTGAGTCGTGGAATCCGAAACCTTTGCGACACCTTGCACCTCGCCAATATCATTTAGCTGTTGTTTGCCTTGTTGAAATACACTTCATTTGATTTTGATGTATTCCAATTGTCTATTACAAATCAACAGGCTATCACTGTTATGTTCTAGAACTTCGAAGATCTGTGCATCACTGTGTATCAAAGGTGCTACTGTGAGCTCGGAGGTTTTGTGCATCGATGGTCATTTTCTCGTTTCCGCAATGATTGTAGTTCTCAGACTCGATGGGATTCTCTCCGACAGCTGCAGTACTCGAGATGCATACGGGGTCCTCGTCCGGGTGTTTCCAAGACACTTTTGCGATATTCCAAAGCGGCTACGAAGATCGCTGTGCAGATGTGACTTGTAAATTCAGAAGCTCAGAAGGACTCCATGATATCGTGAGACTGCAGTGGAAGTTTCGTGTAGAACTGATGTATCACACGAGTCAGTGGATAGGTTGGCCATGTGATGGACTTTTACCAAGGTTAATAAGCCAGTATGATATATCCATGTTACATGATCAGGTGGATGTGTATAGTGCTGCCGCGGTCCGGTCCAGAACCACGGTTCGAACCGGACTTTTGGTCCGGTTCTCTGTGGTTCGGTCCATGGTCCTCATGCCAGCCCGAACCGGACCGGAAAACGGTTCTCGGTTCTAGGTCCTCCCGAACGGTTCCATTTTGGTTCGGCCTTCCCGAACCATTCCGAACCCTTATCGACTTCGACTTCGACATCATCTGCTTCGACGTCAAACTGTGGTCTTCGGGATTTGCACTCTCGGTTGATCATGCTGCCTTTGGGCTTTTTGAAGGTAAGCACTCCCTAATTAAACTCTCAAGACTCTCACCCACTGACATATGTAGTGCACTTCATTCCACTTCGAGAAGTCGGCAATAGGCGCAGAAATAATAGATTGACCGCATCTCATCCGCTGACCGCGTTGATATTTGTTGCTTTGACAAAACAGGAACTAGCTTGTTTTGAGAACCGGTTTTGGTACAGCCCAGGGGCACATTCCATCCGCTGGCCGCGTCGATATTTCAAACGGGAACTATGCAGAGAACCTAGTCCTGGAGGGTGTTGCTGGCATAGGGTTGGTGTTTTTTTATTTATTCATTAGATCCCCACTAATATAGAAACAATTTAGCGAGTCAGACAAACTGAAACTCGTAGACGTCAAGGATACCTCCAAGTATACCACCCTCTGCTTGGCTGCGGCGCATGTGCTCGTTCGTCTCGATGATGGCACGATCGTCGGCGAATGGTATGATGTGACATACAAGTGGTATACCAGGTGTGGAAGCCGTGTTTTGGCTCTAGGAACGAAAGAAAGCATGTCGATCGACAAGGTTAGTGATAATCACGTACCTGTATGCACGGTATTGGTGATTGTTGCAGATCAATAAATTACCTCGCGAGGATGTTGAGAGTTGCCTTGTGTTTGCTGGATTCTTAGTCTTCTACTGAGAATTTTCGGGTTCGGTTCGAGTTCGGACCAGAAAAAAACCGAACCGGACCACAGAGAACGGTTCTCTGTGGTCCGGTTCTTGGTTCTCGTCCAGGACCCTCTGAACTGGACCGAACCGGACCACGGCAGCACTAGATGTGTATGGTCCCTACTCCAAACAACACGCTAAATTGCCAATAGACCTTGCTTCACAATATCTAAGGTGGCAATCTGCTAGATGTCATCTGTTCGAAAGGGGTATTGCGAGGTGGCATCGACCTTCAAGTTGCTTCGCAAGGTAATGTTTTGTTCCACGCCAAATTACCGATAGACCTTCTGAAGCGCACGTTTGTCGACAATTGACTGCGGCCATTTAGGAAGCGTAGAAATCTGCTGACATTGGCAGACATTATCTGTTCGAAAGGGGATTTCAGGTGGATAACTTATTTCTACATCACCATGAAGAACAATATTCAGCGTATAAAAGTAAGGCGTCTTCTTACTGTCCCCTCCAGATTTGTTTGATCCTATATCATATCCTCACAAACAATGCGTTTCTCACTTGTCCTCACCGTTGTTGCTGCTGCTTTGACAGCATCAGTATCTGCCAGTGATGCTGACATTGAGCATTGCCCTATCTTTTGCTTGCATAAGAGAGACTGCAAGCACTGCAGTAATGGGATATACTGCGTGAGTATGAGTAGTTTGCGTCCTGCATTTAACCACATGACTCACCGACGTGATAGTTCATATTTGAATGCGACTTAAACTAGTGTGGCAGTGAGTCGTGTTTCTGCTTTCACATCGGTGCAGTATGGTTGATGGCACGACGCGTGAAGCCTCGATCGGATGCTCGACGGATAAGGACTTTGGCGGCGGCGGAGGCCAAGTTTGGGGTGATTAGGCAGCGGGATGATATCTACTTTCGTTGGAGAGGTTCTATGGGCTTGTTTCAGCGAAAAATAATTGGGAAAGGGCGGGTTGCTCACCGTAGATCTGGATCTGCTGCGGACAAATTGTCGAGCGGCTGTACAATTTCATCAAGTGGCCTCGGTTCAACTTTGAAAGAGCGGGATGCCCTGTGACCTAGTAGATGAAGCACTGGCGAAGTTGCGAACTGGGCGGGCCCAGGTATGAATACCACACAATGTCGCACTAGTGAATCCATGTACATGAAGGGGCGGGATCAATAGAGGGGCGGGATCAGGGCGGAATAGCAGTGACCTCTTCATCTCGCTCGTCTGCGTACCCAGACCCGCAGCACGCCCTGCACCATCCAAGCTTATGATGGTGCCGACCTTCAGTGCTCCGCATGTGTTCTCGACTAACCACCGGCACCGGGATTTTCCCCACACTTTCAGGCATCCCCACATGTATTCTAGCGATCAACCTGACTGTCCGCCCACCTGCTGCCTGCTGGAGTCCCAACAGCCGCCTCCGTCCCCCAACCATCCTCCCATGCCATCTGCCAACATTTACTTCCAAGTTCCTATACCTTGCCATGATGTCTCATTCGCACCTAGCAATAGTCTTCTGAGTTTAGGCCAGAGCCGCCACATGATTTTACTTTCGAACATTATTATATTAATCTTTGAGGGTTGCAAGAGTATAGGCTCAGCCGGCGGAGTGATGTTCCGGCCCGGCTTGGCTCGAAAGCCGCGGCTTTGGCCTGCAAAAAATCCAGGTCGGGCCAAAGCCGCTAGTGACGGCTGGCTTTGGCTCGGCTCTGGCCTGAGCCGCGGCCCGAGTACTGCGATCGACGAACCATCGCTATCTTCCAGCATTCAGCCCCACTTTTTTGCGTCACTTTCTCCATAGACGGAAAGCACATCCTCAGCGGAGGCAATGATAAGATGATCTCGGAGTGGGAAGTACCCAAGGACGTCTTGCCAAAGGAAGCTCCCGAGATCCTGGCACCAAAGGTACTTTCCTGTTCATTTCACTTAGCACCCCAATCAGCGCATTCGTATAGTGCGTGCCTTCCTCGGACCACTTGGCAGGATGGGGAGGTTGGCACGGTTTGGGTGAGCTGGCAAAGGAGAAAAATATCAGTAGAAGCCCATTGTCAGCCCCCATGCAATACAACAAAATTAGAACCAACCTAGGACCAGTAACCCGCCCAAGCTCCAGTACGCTGAATACAGACCCATCTGATGGGCGGTGGGCGAGGCAGTTCGAATATTGAAGGGGAATTGTGAGGAGCGGTTGTGTTGGGGTAGTAGGTGTCGCGGCACGAGGCTGATTCAAGGATGGGTGCCTTGAGTGGGAGGTTTGGACCGGTGAAGACGACGAAAGCAAGTCCAGTATTGGGGACAATCCTAAGAATGGACGGAACACATCGATGGTGAGCCTCCCATTTACGAAAGTGGGCGGGCTGTGCTCCATAAGACAGAGAGCGACTTGCCAGGGCCCACTTCCTGCAGCGCGAGCGGAGAGAGAACTAGATGAGGGAGAAGGTGAAGGAGAAGGTGAAGAAGGTGAGTGGCCATGTGCGCCCTGTGAGAAGGGGTGTAAGGATGGAAGACCAAAATGAGATGATACACTCACCTCGAGCAATAAACTCTACGCCGACCACGCTAGCTACGCGTATTTGTTTTTGCTAGAGACGAATGTCGATAGACGCGCTGAATGCTGCTTCGCCATCGACCTCATGGATGTTAATGTCATCTGCAGATGTGGTGCCTAGAACGAGGGCATCTGGGCTCTCTCCTGCATCAGTAGACTACAAAGAAGGTAAAATTGCGGACTCACCTGGTCTGAGAGTAGTTAGAAATGGAAGCTCTCCTCTGCGAAGCTTCCCAAACAAGACCTGATCGCCAATCGCGAGACACGCAAGACACGGATGTCCGCGATGCACGCATGGTTGATGCAAGCGCTGAGCAAGAAAACTCTTGATGTCACTCAGTGTTTGTTTGGATCCAAAGCCTTTGCCAAACAACCGTCGCTGCCAGCGACGTTTACAAGGCTCGTTGCTCAGACTCGCTGGTATCTCACTCTTGCTTTCACTGGGAATGAAATACTGATCATGGTGATGATGATCGGTTCAGGGTTCAGAACGGTTTCGCCGCCTCTGCAAACCCTACAGAACCGCGGCTCAGGTCGCCGGCTTTGGCTTTCCAGAATTCCAAGCCGGGCCGTGCACATCACTAGGCCGCATAGCCTGTGTTACAACATCAATCCGCAGTTGTGGCAGGAAAAAACCTAAATTTACAATATACCCAAAATCGCGGTTGTAGACGATGAGCGCTGAGTGCAAATAAGCGCCGTGGCTTCGCAGTTACAATGAGTGACGTGATTTAACGCGAAGATATTCCAAAGTGGCTACGAAGATCACTGCATACAAATCTGTGGTGACTTGCAAATTGAGATTCGGAACTGATATCGCGAGATTGTGCAATGGAAAATTCCTGTGGAACTGATGTATTGCACTCAGTGGATAGGTTGGTCATGAGATATATCGGACTTTTAGGCTAAGCCAGCGTCATATATCCATGCTATATAAGGATGTGCGTGGTCCCTACTCCAAACAACAAGCTGATCAGTCCTTGTCAGTACGAGCTGGCATTGACCTTGCTTCGGTGATATTCTATTCCACGCCAAATTGCCAATAGACGTTGCTTTACAATTATCTGAGGTGATCTGCTACATACATCTGTTCGAAAGGGGTGTTGCGAGGTGGCATTGACTTCAAGTTGCTTTGTAAGGTGATGTGTTGTTCCACGCCAAATTGCCGATAAACCTCCCCACAAGGTAGATCTTAGTTAAGGTGGAAAACTGCTGGTATTGGTAGATATCATCTGTTCGAAAGGGGATTTCAGGTGGATAACTTATTTCTACATCACCATGAAGAGCAATATTCGGCGTATAAAAGCAAGGCGTCTTCTTACTGTCCCCTCCAGATTCGTTTGATCCTATATCATATCCTCACATACAATGCGTTTCTCACTTGTCCTCGCCGTTGTTAGTGCTGCTTTGACAGCATCAGTATCTGCCAGTGATGCTGACATTGAGCATTGTCCTGCCTTTTGCTTGCATCAGAGAGACTGCAAGTACTGCGGTCTTGGGACACACTGCGTGAGTTTGAGTAGTTTGTGTCCTGCATTTAACCACATGACTCACCGACGTGATAGTACTTACTTGGATGCAACTTATACTAGTGTGGCAGTGAGTCATGTTTCTGCTTTCACATCGGTGCAGTATGGTTGATGGCACGACGCGTGAAGCCTCGATCGGATGCTCGACGGATAAGGACTTCGGCGGCGGCGGAGGCGAAGTTTGGGTGATAAGGCAGTGGGATGATATCTACTTTCGTTGGAGAGGTTCTATGGGCTTGTTTCAGCGAAAAATAACTGGGAAAGGGCGGGATGCTCACCGTAGATCTGGATCTGCTGTGGACAAGTTGTCGAGCGGCTGTACGATTTCATCAAGTGGCATCGGTTCGACTCTGAAAGAGCAGGATGCTCCTGTGACCTAGTAGATGAAGCACTGGTGAAGTTGCAAACTGGGCGGGCCCAGGTATGAATACCACACAATGTCGCACTAGTGGGAATTCATGTACATGAAGGGGCGGGATCAATAGAGGGGCGGAATCAGGGCGGAATGCTGATGTACGAAACAGCTGGTAGGCATTGACTCTGGAACAAGAACGGACGAACAGTGCGAACAGGAGAATAGGACTGCATGCAAAGAGCCGCATAAGTAACAATACATACTTGTAAGAGAAGTGCGCGCACCATGCACGATGTCGTGCACGATAAGCATGCATGAATCTACGTGCGCTATGTCGTGCACGACACACGGTATACGTAGCGGCGGTGTTTCACATTTGCGTTTGCCACTGCACGCCAATCCTAGTAATAACATGCATGATTACGACAGTGTAGCCTGGTGTAAACTTGCACATGCTCGGCACTCCGCTTGCGGGTATCCGCAAATAAGTCCACAAAGAGCACAGCCTAGTCCAACACGAGCAATTATATCGTGAGTATAGTATATAGTTGCGCGTGAGATATTACATAGTCATAGTCCATGGGTATGGAAGAGGTGCGGGGTATATGTGAAGCATGTCGTACTATTGCAATATCAATCTTGGATTGCTTGCATTCTTCGGACGATGGGGAATGCGTTGCGACGAAGCGGCGCTCAGCGCAGACGTCCGTCTACTTAGCTGGGCTCTTCGGAGCTCTTCGTCGATTCGCCACATTCCCTTGACGAATGCTTCACGATCAAGAAGGCCAGTCGAGCGTGAATCACAATCGTTCCTATAGCGAAGTGAAGAAGAATGAATTTGAGTGCGTCAAAAGATCAGCGAAACATACCATATATCTCGGAGTTTGCCGCGGTCAAGTTTTGATGCGCTCCAGACGAGCCTCACTATTCGACCGCCCAATCTTTCTTCAAGTCCAACTGGGACTTGATCTGCATTGTCGTCGTCGTCATCGCTATCTGCCTCTTTCAAGGACAGTATAGGGTGATTCTCCGGGTTGGTGATGAGGTCAACTGAAAGCCCTCTCCACCCAGCAGCTTGCCTGCTCTTCTTTACTGATGATGGAGATAATGATGGGGACTTTGGCGTGGCTTTCTTAGCAGATTTTTCTGCTTTCCGTCGACAGATCACCGTCGCCACAAACAAAGCTTCATAGCGTGTGCGGGCGGCTGGCGGGACTGGCGTGGGTCGCAAGAGTAATGAGGCTTTGCGCGTCAGTTGCCCGCTATTTCGAGTGCTTGTGCTTGTTAGGGAGGTGGTGGTTGCGTTACTTAGAATGGATGAGCGATCGGAGGTAGATGCGGAAGTGGAGGCTGGTGATGTGCGGGAAGAAGGAAGTTTAGTACGTGATAGAGATTGGTGAGTTGGTGGTGGGGCTGGTGGTGGCGGTGGTGGTCGGCGAGTGGTAGTGGTTGAAGATGACGATGTTGACACTGATCTGGAGACGGAAGGCGACAAGTGGATTTTTGTGCCTGGCCGCTGAGGTAGTTTTGGAGGCTCGGGCCTAGGTGAGCCATTTGCCCTGGTAATGGGCTTCCCCCAATCGAATGAGACATTGGTGGTGGGACTTATCACAGAAGTCGCAGACACATTCTCAAACGAGTCAGCGATGCTCACGATGTCACCGTCCACGCTACTATCGTTATCGCCATTTGTGGGAAGTGGTGACTGTATGGACAGTCTTGGACTCGTTTGTTTCAGGTCGTTTCCATCAGAAAGCGATACTGAATGAAATGATGAAATGGAAGAAGCAGGCGCGTGGCCTACGCGAGCCGAACCAAAAGCATGTGGCCGAGGTGGGGGGTAAGTGTGCTCTACGGTGAGGGAGTCTGAGCGCCCTGGGGGTCGAAGAGTAGCACTACTGTCAGGGACAGAACTATTGGAAATTGAGGCGTCTGTTGACGTGTATGAAGGTTTACGTGGTGGGAGGGGTGGCCGTGACTTGGGAGGTGACTCCAAGTTAATGAGTGGCGCTGAAGATATCGGTGCTGAACGGACAGCAGCAGGTTTGTTGGCTATCGGTGGGGGTGTTTTACTGAGACGCGGAAAGCCTTTGAGATGTCTACCGTTGTGGTGTGACGGTGCGGTGTTTGGACCATCGTCTACAATCCAGTCTTTCAGGTCGATTAATGAAGTTCTACGACCTAGATTGGGAGGCGACGGTGACGGTGACCTGCTCAAAGACTTTTGAGGTGTAAATGGTGCAATTGGATAGAAGGAGTCCGAGGTAGGTGAGATAGGTGATTCAAGGAGGTTGGTCGATGGAGGATATTTCGCCTGTAAGACTACCTTTGAGGTCGACTTTGTTGACTTCTGGTCAGCGAAAGACTCGAAAGCTTTGATCCTTGATTGCAGCGCTGCTGAAGGCATCCCAACTTATGTCTCAACGCACTGCGCAACCCATAAACGTTATTTATTCCGTTCCCTCGGCCCCCTTCCGGCACTCTCCGTCGGAGTACCTATAAAAGCTCAAAAAAGGGGGTATTTCACTTCGATAATGACGACCAACATGCCAAACGATCTTTATGCCGTCGCAGGTTCGAGTTCTAGGTAAAATTATCATCATTCAAGAGCTCACCATTAGTCTAGATTTCTGCCTCATCCCGATCGGAACAGGAGAATCTTCTGTACGTTCACGAGAAATAGGGGATGTCTTCCAAAATAACACGTTCTAGGTCGCAGAGTATATCGCAGAGTGCCACAGAGTCCTGGAAAAATCAGGCCTGACATTTAAGGTGAGAGTGGGTATGTGCGAACTGTTTCGTCTAGTCTTACCAATCTTGCTTTAAGATGCAGTAAGATCCGAGTCATTTATTTATATGTTGAACTTCTGATAACGATACATGTCTCAGCGGATATGGTACTAATCTTGGTCAGTAGCAACAGGTGGTCGACCTTTGCTTTTTGCTGACAACGCTCATCAGAGGGGCCTTGGAGCGAAGTGTCTAAAGCCATACATGATTGCCATGCTGCAGTACACGCCAAAGGTGCCCCTCGAGTTGCCACCGACATCCGCATTGGTACACGCGTAGATCGTGACACTCTCGCAGGTGATGGCAACAACCACAAGGTGAGACGTGTAGAAGAGATCATAGCAAGAGACAGAGCAACTGCATCATGAGTCCGTGCTGCTTGATCAGTTTGTTTAGGCAGGTAATCATGTATGATTTGTTTCGGCTTCGGCTTCGGCTTCATGCTTTCGCATCGTCTGTACAACATAGGCATGGCGACATTATGTGACGCGATTTCATACTTGACACGATAGACATATATCGCAACAGTGACCCTATAGCGCGGTAATCTGCAACTGTTACCTCACGTACAGTGAGGACCAGCGTTCATGGAGGACGACGAAAGTATCCGCATAGCCGTACGGAGTATCTACTAACTAAGTGGTGGGACAGCCAACGAATAAAAGTAACAAGACCATGCGAGCGTAAACAGGAAAGCAGAAAAGTTAGATGACAAGCAGGAAAGTAATGTGCTGGGACCATTGGCTTCGACTTCGGCAGCGTTTGGCGTGGCATGCGGTCGAGAATGACAATGACATATGGTCGGGGAGGCATGAACAGCCAGAACCCGTCATCTGGAGCGTCAAAAAGTGCAGTCCAATGATCTCTAGAAGCAATGTGAGCATGTAGTAGTAAGCAGATAAGTATGGATCACTTACAGCGAGTGGGTCTCAAGCTAGACACCTATATGAACAAACACGATCTGCTGTTCCAGTGGAACCTTGTTGCGCCGCAATGTCTTCACAGCCTTGTGCAACGCTACCGCAGCCCGTGTACAGTCCAATCTCCCTGAACCATCAATCAGGTGAAGGTAAAAAGCAGACGCCATCTGCCGTGCAACCTCGTCGTCAACAGACCACATCGAACCAATCACACTGCGAAATCCGGAGAATTGCATAGCCGCAGCGAGATGGATCGACTCGTCCGGACTCTTCTTATCGCCCACGGTAGTGTGGCAGGCTGATAAAAACGCGAACTGCGGATTCTGCCAGTCAGACCGGACGATATCCTTGATTGTTAAAAGCCCGTCGCGCATCGCAAAGGAAGACTCAAATGTTTGTTGTTGATTCGACATTCCATGGCAGGCAAGGTGAAGCCATTGATTCCGGCTCAATGCATCCAATGCTCCCTCTACTGTTGCGTTGCGGTCCGCAAGTGATGTGAAAGACGCAACGGGTTTAACGTGCTGAGCGACGACGGCCAGCTCGGAAGCGACACAGCGAAGTTCCTTCCCTCTGTCTGGGTGTGCTTGACCAATGGCAACGAATTGTTGCGGAGATGTATCTTGAGAAGCCTGCTGTCTCGCACGAATGAGAGTTGTCAAAGTCGGAGTGTAAGAAGATATGTAAAAGTGAGACAAATTGTCTTTCTTCTTCTCGTAGGGTCCTGCTGCATGTAAAGGAAGCGGCGTGAACTCGGCGGTGGGGCACCACCAGATGCGTGAGCCACGGGGAACTGCCGACTCCCTGAGAGCTTGGACCACTGGGTCAACAATGTCATCCCAAAGCTTGCGGAGGATGCTGACAAGCATGTGTTGATGATCAGAAGAACCAAATTGCTCTGCGAGGGACTGAAAGTCGGAGGACAATTCGGATAATTCGGTCCGTGCAATATTGAGCGGAACGTGGACAGGATCTTGGGCATGCAAAATAATCAAGGCATCACAGCTGTACTGACTAGCGTTGACAATGATGACTGGACCATCTTCAGCTGCCTTCTGGAGGTCAGAAAACAGTGGAGGCAGGAGAAACAAAGAAAAGTTAGGGAGCGTGCGGATGCGTGAGACGACATCATCCCATTGCCTGGTCAGTTGCCCGATTGGTTGGGACTGGTCTTCAGTAGACTGATCGAATGCATTACGAAGCTGAGAGCTAAGTCGCTTGAACTCTTCCACCAAGGCTGCGCCAGTGTCACCTGAAAAGGAGAGCTCATTGAGTGGCGTGCGGAAGCGCGCCAACTGAGTCCAGAATACTGCACGCCCCTGCTCCACTAGTTGTACAGCAGTCGTCAAGGCACCATAACGGACACCACACGAGAAAGCATCAGTGGCAAGGGAAGAAGTAGCCTCCCTGACAACATCGAAATGACGTGGAGAAGAAGACAAAAGAGCAACATGCTGATCCAGAAAGTTCAATGCGGTCTGATAGGCAACCAATGTGGAGCAATGCTTCAGCTTCTCCGCTGAGGCTACCCATGACTTTGCAGCGCTAAGATCCCAACGAGAGGCTGCATGTGATAGGTGGGAAAGTTGTAAATACAGCCTAAAAGCTTCATCAAGTTCAGACAGGACACCCCGCTGCTCGAATCTGTCTTGAAGGCTGAGGGCAAGATTGTTGAGAGACATGGATCGATCAGAATGACCGGGGGGACAGAGGAGCAGTGCAGCTCGATGGAGCTCAATGGCCTCATCAAGGTCAGACAGGACACCCCGCTGCTCGAATCTGTCTCGAAGGTTGATGGCAAGATTGTTGAGAGACACGGATCGATCAGAATGACCGGGGGGACGGAGGAGCAGTGCAGCTCGATGGAGCTCAATGGCCTCATCAAGGTCAGACAGGACACCCCGCTGCTTGAATCTGTCTCGAAGGTTGATGGCAAGATTGTTGAGAGACATGGATCGATCAGAATGACCAGGGGGACGGAGGAGCAGTGCAGCTCGATGGAGCTCAATGGCCTCATCAAGGTCAGACAGGACACCCTGCTGCTCGAATCTGACTTGAAGGCTGATGGCAAGATTGTTGAGAGACATGAATCGATCTGAATGACCAGGGGGACAGAGGAGCAGTGCGGCTCGATGGAGCTCAATGGCCTCATCAAAATCAGACAGGACACCCTGCTGCCTGAATCTGGCTTGAAGGCTGATGGCAAGATTGTTGAGAGATATGGATCGATCAGAATGACCAGGGGGACAGAGAAGCAGTGCGGCTCGATGGAGCTCAATGGCCTCATCAATGTCAGACAGGACACCCTGCTGCTTGAATCTGGCTTGAAGGCTTATGGCAAGATCGTTGAGAGATATGGATCGATCAGAATGACCAGGGGGACAGAGAAGCAGTGCGGCTCGATGGAGCTCAATGGCCTCATCAAGGTCAGACAGGACACCCTGCTGCTTGAATCTGTCTTGAAGGCCGGTGGCAAGATTGTTGAGAGACATGGATCGATCAGAATGACCAGGGGGACAGAGGAGCAGTGCAGCTCAATGGAGCTCAATGGCCTCATCAAGGTCAGACAGACTCATCACCAAAATTCCTCAACCCAGACATGGCTATACATGGCAATGTCGGACCTACTAAAGTGAGTTTAGGCGAGCGGCGCACGAAGCGGGAGCTAGTAGAATAAATATATCTCAGGCTCTATGAAAAGACCTCAGTAAGAGCAGGTAAAGTACCTAGTAGAATAAATATCTAATGGTAAGTTGCCCGGAAAGCGACAAGGAACACTAAACGAATCCGGCCAAGATAACAGGACGAAACTGTGGATTTCTTGAGCGTTGTACTAATGGATATGTGATGGTAGGTAGGAGACCCGAGTCTCAGAGTTTGAACGATACGAAAGTGACGGAATATAAGGGGATGGGTCACATGGTATATGATAATGTAAGCGCGTAGTAAGCGGTCAGCTTACAGTTAGCTCTGTAGAATAACGTGGAAAATATATGAGACTTACATCTCAGGCTCTATGAAAAGACCTGAGATGTTCTAACGACTCGACTGGTCCTTTATAGTACGGATAGGATAGATAAGTAAATGATAAGTAAATTGTCCGTAACTTAGAGATAGACGTTCCAATATTGACGAGCCTCGGCCGACGTTAATGCGTCGCCTCGTCGTACTCACTGGTTGCGCTCGTACTGTTTCACTCTCATCTTCTACGGTCCGTCTTCCGTTTCCTTCGTTTCACCAGATTCCAACACCAGGAGCAGGTGGCAAAAATTGTGACAGCGCATGGTGCTATCGATTTTCTCGCCGCTCTCCAAACTTTCCTTTGCAAGAACCTCCCACACACCACCATTGTACCTTGCCTTCACGACCATTTTGACGTTTATCGTCAAGTGGTCATCATAGCGCCACCTGATCGACGAGTCAGCGATGTATCAAAACGGTGACACATTAGAGCCATGCCAGAAGTAGTTGCGTCAGGCCGGAAGCCTAGTTGCCCAGCTCGGTTTGACATGGTGCTGATATCAGACAGGCCTCGGTCACCTCGCTTGCGGACTCTTGATGGTAAACAGGACACCCCGCTGCTTGAATCTGTCTCGAAGGCTGTTGGCAAGATTATACAGACACGCGGATCGACGAGATTGGTCAGGAGGACATTGCTGCAAGGCCGCTCGAAACACCTTCACATCGTCTGCTATGTTATTGGAGCAAGATAATAACTGCGCCATGTCACTGTGAAGGGTCTCACAATGAGTGCAATATTGGTAGAGTCAGAGTGAATAATATGCACACAGGAAGCAGAAATTCAAGCAGTGAGTGCTGGCGCACTGAAGATGTGCGGGGAAAATAATATAGTGAGTGCTGACGGAGCTCATGGATTCAACAGCGAGCCACAAAAGGCCGAGGCACCGCGTGAATGAGGTTGAGGCATTGACGCCATCACGGACATCTACTTAGCAGCATCTGGTGTCCCATCTCTCATCGTCACACGAGATTTCTCGGAATTCAGCGCACTTCCTTTTCTCGCTGTTTTTCATGTGTCCATCTTGTATCCTGCCTCCCCGGCAACGCCGATGGCGACTTCATCTCGTACATTACGCTGTCCAAGAAAGTCATGCCGATTATTGTTGAGTTGTACCTGCGCTTCAAGGATGAGCTTAAGATTTACGAGGGTGGAACCTTATCAGTGAGGACAGGGTCTCTAGTACTTTCGAATCTTCCAGGCTCAGAAGTAGTGGGAAAGGGGACCGTCTCTCCATTTTATGTTACAGAAGAACATGGAGCTCGTCCGAGACAGCAGGGTCAAGTACTGCTAATGCACGGTACTGCACTGCAATAATTTAATTAATGAAGTTTGATTGACTCGGAAGTCCCCAACAACTCTCCTGGACAATTGAGACAAGGAGGGCGGCTGGACCGATAGTAAATATGCTCGCAGCAAGCGGATGAAAAAAATCGTGTCACAAGGAGGCGATGTGCTTGGGTTGGAGAAGATTGTAACATTTAGAAATAATGGCCGGTAGATCTGAGGCACTGACACGCACTTCAAAACAGCGAAACCGACAGTGAGATCATAGTAGGTCTGCACGGCAATTCGCTATCGAGGAAAATGCTAAGGCAGGTGGGTGGCCCTGGCCGTGATATGATAATCTTAACATCCAATCATTCGGGATCCAGTATGCACACAGCAAGACTATAAACTAGAGCCAGTGTTCATAACCTATTGTAAGAGGTTATGAGCCCTGAATCTTGCTTATGTGCTCGGCTGATGGTGCCCGCGAACAACGCGTACACTGTTTATGTGACCACGAGATGGCAAAGATAGGAGTAGTGATGTGACTTAGTCGGGACTATCCGGATTCCGACGAAGTAAACTACATCAAAGATCCTCAAGCCCTTAGCGTTGAGCTTGAAGTTCGATTGAAGCTCGAAGATCCCAGAGCATGCATAACCAGTTCCAGAGAAAGTGGACGTGAGGAAAAGATGAGGTGGAAAGCCTTAAATATGCGCGCACACATGAACGGTCGACAACGAAGCGATATCCAAGTCTCCGAAAGCAAACACCGGGTGCCACGCTAGATACTATGTTGAAATTGAAGACGAGGGGCGAAGACACTTTAAAGTCTAACACGGTCGGTGTAGATTGAGGAGAGATGTTGTGGAGGGTGGGATTATTTTTCAACGTAAGAACAAGAGTCAACTTGAGCTTGAGCGCGCGCGTGCCATCAAACAGGGTGCGATCGCGGCACATAAAGCCCCATGAGAACCACCTATTAGTCCCCTTGTCCGGAAGATACCAGGGGATGACCTTGCTGATCCAGAAATTGCTTTGCGAGGAATAAAATCAGTGTCGTCGATCATCCATGAATGGTGGAGGTATGTGCAACTCTTTCAGAGCGGACTCCATGATCGATCTCGGTGACATGAGCTGAATCGCCAAGAAATATTTGAAGTTGCGTATACAGCTGACGGGTACAACATGATATGGGATACCAAGATCTTGATCGACATGTCACATGTCGAATAATAACACTTCTCAAATCCATTGCCCCCTCAGAGTCATCGGACAAGGAGCCTGGGGCAGTGACTGGAGCAACAGGCATTCGTTAGAAAAGTGGTCGACAGTAATAAACACCCAATCTCACACCACAAAACCAGCATCTCCACCGCTCGCCAGCGGCCCGCTCAACTCCTCCAATATTGCGCCAGATCATGAATCCGATCCAACACAACCGTGAAATACGACGTCTCATTCAACAACGCTTCAAAATGCTTGATCGCCTCCTCCTCCGTCAAGTCCAGCCGGAACTTCTCCTGGATCTGCTCATGCACGTCGCGGTGCTTGATGTCTGGAATATTGGCGTCCACCATCAGCGCTACCAAGTTGAGTATCAGGTTGGCGCTTTTTCGGAGGATCGTAAAGGCGGTGAAACAGAAGTTTTTGAATCGCGCGTAATGCGTTGATTGGGCGCCACCCATACCGTCGACCATCTCTTTGCAGACTTTGACGGGAGGAGGAAATGGCTTGGGATCACGACCAAAGATGTATCCAAAATCAACTAACCAAAATGTCAGTGGCATGAAACGTACAGGCTAGATGACACTGACCATGGAAAAAGTGACCTGCGGAGCCAATGTTAGAAATTGAACCCTACTGGCCATATTCACTTACCATCCGGTGTCAGCAGAAGGTTGTCCAAATGCCGGTCGCCAACGCCCAGCAGGTACGTCACGACACAGTATCCAGCTACCAACGGAGGTTTAACACACGTCACCCTGCCAGGGAACGACTCACCACAACTGCGCACAAATGTATCAATAACGCTCGGTTCGACCCCATACGTTCCAACGCTACCCTCGTCCGGATTATTCGCTCTCAAATAGTTCAAAAGCGTCCCATTCTCACTGATGATCGCTGCGATAGTCTTGCTGGGTATAAACTGAACCATACCCTGCAACGGCCCAGTCGCCAGCACATCATAGGGAATGAGTTTCAGATCCAGATTCTCCTTCCTAAGCAGCTGATCCATGAGTGTGAACAACTGGAGGACCAGCTGGTCCTGGCGCATGTCATCGCCATCTTTGAAAATGACAGGATACTCCGAGCCATCAGAACACTGGAAATACAACAAGAAGGGGTAGAGATTCGACTTGAAGACAGATGACTTTTCAGCGTTGATGCCCGTGATCTGCATGCGCGCGTTGAGCGGTAGAGGTAGAGGGGGGATGTTGATGAGCCCGTTCTTGGAGTCGTTGATAAAGGAGCGGAGTTTTTCGATTTTCTTCGGTCGTGGGTCTTTAGATGTGCGTAGCTCCTTTGCTCGTTTGGCGAGGGTCTCGACAAGAACACCTTGCCGTCGCATGAGCTCGCGGCGTTCGCTGCCATTCTCGGGCTACGGAAATGTTTCGTCAGCGAGGATAATACGAGTGGAAGTCCAATTACCTCTAAAATCTTGTTGAGAAACTTGAATACCACCCGCCCGTACATTTTCGCTACAACCCTATCTTCCAATTCCACTTCGACTATTAGATACCAGTACAGCCGGTTACCCAGCGTATGGTTTTGCACTCCACGTGCGATCAAGAAGTCCGTCAGCCCGCTGTCGTCGTAAGATATCGCGCTTGTTGTCGATCGACTCGAGCGCTGCTCGCTAGCGGCACTTTCAAATTTCAGCGCCTGCACGAGTTGCAAGAGATATAACAATAGCTCCTACAAAGACATCAGTGCTGTTGTCACTTAGGAAAAAAAGATGTTCGAACTTCATCATCTGCGCGGTTGAGCTGCCGCACTGCAAACGCTCTCACTCTCGAGTCCACAGTCCCCGGTCCGAGAAGCTCCAAAGCGTCATCTGTGTCGACCTCTGTCCACATCGGCAGCAGCTCCTCAACTGCCTGCTTGACTTCTGAAGGATCGCGCCAAGTGACAGACTTGAGGAACTTGGTAAGGCCACGCTTGTCCCGTGCGAGGTAAAAGCGAAACTTCCAGATGAGGTCTTTCTCCTCGGAGTTGAGGGGTTGAGAGGGTGCATAGTTGAGTATTTCCTACGGATGACGTGTGAGGAAGGGCATCAATGCATACGGTGTGAGCTTTGCGCACCCCAAGTTCATCCCTGATCTTGGCATTAGGTTTGAGCTCCCTGTCGTACGGACTACTTCGGTGACTGCGCACGAGCCGGCGATGCTTGTCCTCCACGGGATTTTCGCGTGCGATCTCAGGATCAAGGATGGCCCAGAGATGCGGATCCGTGGAAAAATAACTGGGAAGTACAGGTGCGACAGGTGTCTGGGCTGCTACTGGAGGTGCAAATGGAATTGTCGCCTGATTCTGAGCCTCCTAAAAAGAGTTGAACATCAAGTGAGCTACATTCAGGAACGCGACACTTACAGGTTCGCTGAATATTACGGGAAAGTCGAAACGTGGAAGATCGATATAGAGATACATGCTCTCTGACTTCTCTGTCTCCGCCTTCGTCCTCTTTAGGCGATTGCATTCACACTGAACTATAGAAAACTTACAGCATGTATCTCCTCCATCTTTCTGAAGGCCATATTGTCTAACCAGTCCGACTTTGGCAAGTCGCCACGCTCGTATTTCTTCACCAACTGAGAAGTCAAGTGATAAGCGACAGCACCCGAGAGCTATGGCGTTACCTGCCTTCTCTAGACGACCCATTTCATCCCTACTGCCAAGTTTACTAGGAGTCTTGGTCTGCATGGAGCCATCTGCTTCTTGACCTGCCCAGAGCAACAAACGGTGTTTTCCTCGGCGCAAAGTCCTGATGTGGACACTATAAGCAGCCTTGCATGCAAAGTAAATATACCTGACGGACCATTTCTTTCCAAACATCCTAAAGGTCGAGCCACCGACAGGCACCGCTGTGCGTGGTCCTCCGATATCCCATACCGTAAATGTAATTTGAGAGTTCAATGGGAGGTCACAGTACCGAATTGGCAGCGTTATCCATTCGTTCCACCTGTATAGATAGTCAGCTCAAGTGAGATAACAGTGATGTGAGGCGCACGTATAGTTGTTCTTGAAAGCTTTGAAAGACGTGCGGAAGGGTATTGTTAGCGGCTTATTATCCGCCAGGAGCTGGCAAGAGACATAGAGGTCTGAAAGAGTCCTGGCAGTTGCATAAGCATAAAGAAGTTGCAGGTCAGAGAAGAAGAACGCACGAGGATTGTGCACCGTGAAATCTTAGTTCTGGGTTCTCGAGTAGCTCTGAGACAGATGGTTGTGGTGTTGATCCCTCTAACTGAGAACTATAGTGCTGAGGGTGGGCAAGTGGCCCGGAAGATGACTGGTAGTGCGTACATGCGGAAAGTGACAGGAAGCTTGAGATCAGAGAGCTTCGCAAATGTAAAGTCGTCTCGGTTGTCCTTGTCCATGGCTTGGATGAAAGAGAACTGTCCTCGGTGCGCTTCAAGAACTACTTACTACTACTATTCAAAGACTTGATCAATCGGTCGTCACTGTTGCCTAAGAGCAAAAGACCTCCTGGGATCTGTGAAACGGTCCTGAGTGGATATAAGCAAGGAACGACCGTCTTGGCTGGACTCATAACGTCGACGCACAATCACAATCTGCACGCAACAGAATTGATATGCGCGGGCATGCCACAAACAGGACAGCGGGAAACGTCTCAAGATATAAACATTATATGATATAATAGAAATCATGTATATATTCCTCAAATAACTGGAACATGTTTAGGGCCCTTCGCAGCATATATCTGCGCTAGCAGCCCAAGCACCCCACCATCCTCCAACTCCTCATCATCATTGATCCCTTCCTGCTGCGACTCGTACGGCTTCTTGCCCTTCGTGTCACCATCAACGTACGAATCGCCTAGTCCACTGCCCACACCACCATCTGCATTCCTATCTTCATCCCGTATCGGCGACGGAGGCGCAATACTTCCATGCGAATCGCCCAGCACCGCGGTCTGCGCCATGCCCATAGCTGAACCTGAGCCAATAGCCGACTGCCATATGCTCGACGAAGAAATGCCGCCTCCGCCCGCGACGATGCTGCCCCCACCTAGCTGAAGTCTTCGCCGGAGGGCAACGTGTTGACTCTGCCGGAGGGCGCGGTCGTATTCTTGAGCACGATCCGCGAGGTCCTTCTTGCCATCGCTCAGTAAGATGGTATTGTCTAATCCTGTTCTTGACGCTGAAAGTCTGCGTCGCGCACTGAGGTCGGCTATGCGGCTGAGATACAGAGAACCGGAAGGATCTGATGGGTTCCAGTCCGGGTTTGCTGCCTGCATGACAGGAACAATCATCAGAAGGACAGACCATTTCCTGTTCAAGTCACAAACCTTGAAGTTCAAGAAACTCTTCTCCATCTTGCCCTCTCGCGACATCATGCGCTCGTCTTGGTTTTGTGAAGGAGCTCCGAACTGTCCACCAATTAACAAACGCAACGACGACTTGAATCGGGTGTCTCACCTTGACATTGCCGTGCCTCTTGAAGTCGAACTCAGCAAAACTGCATATATACCCTCTCCCAGGTACCCAGACAGTGAAGTCATGGAAAAAGTCAACAATAGCAGGTGCACACAGTGGCAATGAAAACCAGAGTATGAACGGTGTCGTCAAGACCGAGACAATCTCCTGTGCGAAAATGGGTATTTTCATCGCGAAAAGCTCTCCAAATTCTTGGTGAACCTGTTGCGAATCAATGTCAACAGTTAAATTCGTCGATGGAAAGTTAAGACCAACCTTCTTAGAATGCAGCTCATCCTTCCATTCATCTGGCATGTAATGTGTATATTGGATGACCTCCGTCATGAGCAGCTCAGGATCGAACACCCTGTTATCCTCTGGTATCATCCCTCTCGCAACGGCAAGCACAGACCCGAAGAGACCAATATAGAATAAGACAGTCCTATGCGGAGTGATGTCAAAGTGCAAGAACAAATCGGGATCGATAACAGACGCGAGCACGAGCACCGCTGCGAAGGATCCGGCAATGAAAGCCACGAAACTAGACGCATGATAAGCACAATCGATGAAAAAATCAAGTCATGAACGAACCGCATGATGATGGTCATCTTCTCGTTGGGAAATTGGCCGATGTACATGCTCGCAAGGGGATATGACTCATCTAGCCGCCGCGTGAAGAGATGCGAGAGCTCGTTAAACTCGCGGAACTTCCATTGCGCAAAGGGTGTGTAGCGCCGACCACCGATGGACGACGGATTTTTGTGGTATTCCTGCAAGATATTCAGTAATACTACATGTCAAAGTAGGAGCAGCGCACCTCGAAATAGCGGAAGAATGAATACATGAGCATGTAGAGGACGATAAATGGTGCAAAGATAGCGTTCAAGATACCCATAAAAATGAAGCGTCGACGGAGTCTGTTGTACATGAGCGTGAAATTCCTTAGGTTTAGTCGAGGAAAAGCATACCCTTCGATTAAGACTGATCTGTTCTTGGTCTTCAAGAACACCTTCCTGACGCGTCCTTGAGGGTCGAACAAGTACTCCATCAAACAAAATCGCAAATTCCATTCCAACACCCTCGTCAACGTCTGCCCCTTCTCGTCGTCACTTGCCCTCAACAGCAGTTTAAGCTTGGGAGGAAGCGGTACGCGAAGATCAAGCAAGTCCTTGTTGAACAGTGCGATGAGGTAGTTCTCTTGCCGCATGATACGATTCGCGACGTCGTGGGCGTCAAGAGAAGCAGTTGCTGGCGTTGCAGCATTAGTGCTGTGCGCTGAGGATATGGCCGTTATGGGGTTTTCTTCTCGTATTGCGCCTATCCTGCGCACAACTTCGGGCCAAGCGATGGTTGGGATGTCAGCCTACGAGAGTCCCGCATGAGTATAAGGGAAAGGGGTGAAGATTGGAGTGGACGTACATCTGGGACGCGTAAAAGGTAGGTGTAGAACTTATACATGTCTACCAAACGCATGACCTCGAAGACAAAAGATATAATTTGCCACACATAGAAAGCAGAGAAAAGCAGGAAGAAGAGTAGTGTGAATCCAGAGAACCTATAATATCATGTACGTCAGTGTGTACAACTGTAACAGTCTTGGTAGCAATAGCGCACTTTGATACGCAGCGGTCGACTACCACATCCGACAACTGATTGACTCCATCCTCACCAATGCGGCTGTAGTCAACACACCCAAGTAGGAATGTCGAAAACCCAATTACGAATCCTACTGTGCTGCGCATCAACGGTCAGCAATTTAGTTCGGTAATGCACAAATAGCCACTGACAGGAGATTGAGTCCTCGTGCCAACGCTATGGAATAGATCCCTTTGCCCTCATAGTACAGATACACCTCCTGCAGAAATGCGTCCAGGTTATAGACGTTGACCCAGTTCCAAAGCGCACGTTCGTAATCGTCCAACCCACGCATAGGTTTGGGTGATGCCTGCAGCCGTCGATGTGGTGGTGGTGTCTGCGGAAATTCGTCGACATCTACTTCTGACGGTCTAGGAGGTATTGAAAGGGTGGGTAGAGTATCTGTAGGAGGCGTTGATGCTGTTGCATGTGGAAGAGATCGTGCAGATGTGGAATAGAGTGGTTGTGAACGACCCTTTCCCTTGGAGGGGCGACTGGATAATGACGAATCCTCTATCATGAATCGTTGAGGGACATCGTCATCCGAATTGTCCTGCTCGTACGTCTTGTCTTCCTTCCTTATGTTAGGGCGTAGAATGTTCATCTCGGAACTCTCCCCGTCCCACGATACTCTGTTCTTTCTGTGTGACTTAGTGCTCTTGGACAAGATCCCTCTGGTCGCGTGGCCTGCTTCTAGGTCTTCCTGTGCAGTCTCGTTCTCATTTTCCTCGACAACAAATTGGTTTGCTTGGGTATAGCCTTGGTGTGTACGGCCCATTGGATTCAGCATGTTGAGGAAGGGACGTGAACTAGACATCATGAGGCCACCGGGAGGGTATATGGACTGTGAGCCATATGGATTTGCTCTGGAAGACGTTGAGGGGCGAGTTGAGGGGGGAGACGACATTTGAAGGACTGATCACCTGCAAATATGATTGCTGGCTTTCAGTTGTTCAGGCTGAGTTCATAGACAGAATATGGCAGGATTGGGGTCGTCGGCGTTCGTACTGCCAGGCAGGACGCGTTAGCTTTGTGTCCTTGTCACAAACGCTCAGAAACAGTGGCGTGACATTGTGACCATATGCCGGCACTACCTCCACAGGACACAAGAGTCGACCAAGTTAGATATTATACATACGTCCGGGTAATACATTGATATAAATGACTTCTTCACGCCGAAGTTAACAGCAGCTTATGCCTTCTTCACAACTACACCCACCCTGCTCGCTGCTCTCAACGCAGCCCTGATACCAGATGCAGTGATGTCGGTATCGCTGCCCAATCCCCAGGCAGCTTCTTTTTTGGCCCTTCCTGGCAGCTCGTACAAGAGCTCCACGAAGGAGACCGCCTTCACTTCTGAACCCTCTCCCACGGAGTGCTCTGAATACTCCCGGCAGGAAAGAGTGCCCTCAACTTGCGAGTGCAACGCAGCAAGCGCTGCGGACAAAGGACCGTTACCCTCACCAGTGACCTGGCACCCCACACCGTCGATCTCCATTTCACCCTTGAACAGGCGCCCTCCGCCGTCGGCGCGCTCGAAGCCGAAGTCACCCAGAGAAAACCTGCCCTTGTCTTCGACCTCGTAGCCGTATGTCTCTCGGAAGAGACGGGTAAGGTCTTCATACGAAATCTTGCCGTCTGACACGCGCGCGGCACGCTGCACGACTTCGAAGAAGGAAGTTTGCAATCTGCGAGGAAGCTGCAAACCCAGAGTATTGACGATGGCGTCCGCAACATCCGATTGGCCAGAGGTAACGTTGAAACCGACACTGAGTTTGAGCTCAGGCAATACACGGTCGCCAATGGCACCGTTGACTGCACTCAATACGGCGTGCAGACCGGAAGCGGCAATGTCAGAATCGAGTCCAACACCCCACCATGACTCGGATGCTTTGCGAGTCTCCTTGACGTCGTCGGTGGTAGCAACGAGTTCGATGTACGATGCTGCCTTGGAATCTTGTCCCTCGCCAACTGCGTGCTCCGTGTACTCGCGAAGGGTCATGTCGATCTCCAAATGAGTGCGCAGAGCATCAAGAAGAGCAGAGATGGGGCCATTGCCGTCTCCACGAATGACACGCAATACGCCATCCACCAACATAGTACCATCGAGTTGACGACGCTCGTCAGAGGGCTCACCGTCGTCAGTGGGATCAGGTGACGGCTCAGACGTAATACGGAATGATTTGAGCGCCAGTCTACCTTCATACTTCGATCCACCGAAGTGATAGGTCTCGCGGAACGCAGTCGTGATGTCTTCGACGGTGACTTCACGTGCCTCGCGGTCTGATATGTGCTGAATGACCTCGTAGAACGCGATCTGCATCTTGCGTGGAAGGTCGAGTTGTAGGTGTTGCTTGACAAGGTACGCAACCCCTCCCTTTCCGGATTGCGCATTGACACGAATGACAGCCTCGTAGCTGCATCCGAGGTCGGCCGGGTCCAGGGGCATATACGGCATGTCCCACATTTTCAGCTCGCCATTTTCAGCATTCCTTGTGTGACGAATAGCCTGTGCTTCGAAACCTTTCTTGATGGCGTCCTGGTGCGAACCAGAGAAGGCCGTGAAGACGAGCTCGCCAGCGTAAGGGTGTCTTGGGTGTACAGGGATGTCATTGCAGGAGGTCACAATGTCAATGACTTCCTGAATGTCGCTGAAGTCGAGGTTGGGAGTGATTCCTTGTGTGTACAAGTTCAACGCTAGGGTAACAAGATCGACATTTCCTGTACGTTCCCCATTGCCAAACAAACAGCCTTCCACTCGATCAGCGCCGCCGAGGATTGCGAGCTCGGCAGCAGCGATAGCAGTGCCTTCATAAATAGTCAACAGATATCCACGATCAAGTGTGTCCATGACGCACCTCGGTCATTATGCGGGTGTAAACTGATGATAATATTTTCTCGCTCAGATATATGGGCGGCGAAGTATTCGATCTTTAAGCATGGTGAATGGACATGATGACAACTTTGAGAAAAGCGCCTACCTGATCAGCATAGTGATTAGGAGGAGCGACTTCTACAGTTGCCGGAAGGTTGAAAATGATGCGGTCAATGCCGGGTCCAGCCTTGCCCCATGTGACCTTGACGGCTTCACAGACTTGGATAGAAAACTCTAATTCTGTCTGGGTAAATGTTTCCGGGCTGTACTCGTAACGGAATTTCATCCCATGTGATGCAGCGTACTGATCAGCAAGCTCGCTGACGAGTTTGGTATGTCTGGTGGCCAGTTCAATCGTCTGTTCCTTCGAGTTACGGAAGACGACGTCTCGGAACATGGGACAAAGGGCGTTATACATGTGCAAGATAACATGCTTAGCACCAGCGACGGCTTCAAATGACCTTCGAATGAGATCCTCGCGAGCTGGGGTCAGAACCTAAAATCCGAGCCTCAGCAGACGTAACAAATCGATTTTGTAAGGGTACTAACCTGGATCCATACATCATCCGGGATCTCGTTGTTTTCGATCAGAAAACGAACGAATGAGAAATCTGTGTCGCTAGCAGAAGGATATGCGATTTCGATTTCCTTGAAACCACATTTGACCAGCAAACGAAAGAAGGTGAGTTTTTGATCTGCGGTCATTGGACATGCCAAGGCCTGGTTTCCATCACGAAGATCTGTGGACAGCCATATGGGAGCATTGGTGAAAGTCTTGGTCGGCCATTGACGATTGTCGAGATTCAGTGGGACGTATGGCTTATATTTTTGAGAAGGATCGATGCTATAGGTTGTGATTAGTGAAGGGCGGTCAAACTGATCTAAAGAGGACGGACAGCATGCAAGGCATGATGGGCGAACTTGATAAAAGATAAACCTAAATATTTGCAGGAAGATTGATAACAAGGGAGGGTCAGCTGGTGGAGTCGAGTCGAGTCATTTGGCTACAACGACATTCACAAATTTATTCAATTGAACCCTTTCGGCAATTAATCAAATAATTCGAACGCTCCATGGGGAATGAGTCAAAGCCTCTACCAGTTGGGAACACCGACGTCAGAAGGGAGACTGGATCATGAGACTGCCTGCTGATCGCACTCAAGGTACCTGCATGGAGTTTAAATTAGCCCTAAATTTTCACCAACACTTCAACGATACGAAACTCCCCGAGTTGGAGACCCCGACTCGTATAGAGGAGACGTGCCGAAATGCTTGTGAACGTGCAAACCGATTTGATATCATGTCCTGCCAGCGAAGCTACGATGACAGAGTCATGATCATCAAGTCTTCAATTTGTTAAACGATTTACGGTAGTGTAGATTTTAGATTAGATTAGATTTTATGCTGTTGGCTAAGTAGTGAGTCAGTACTCTTACTTCCTCTGAACAATCATGTCTATAACACTTTCAACAAAAACTTCCCCATTTCCTTACGCTGCAATCGCTGTCGCGACCTACACCCAGAAAGCAGACCTCAACTATGACGAATCGGTAGATGGTGTTACTCTAGATTTGGAGGGATCACAGCTCTCTGCGGAAGATCAGATCGTAGCCGTTCTAGCAAACGCAGGAGGGCTCGCTGGAGACAGCGCAAAGGCATTACGAATCCTGATATAACTTGCCTAATTTTAACTGGATTACTTGCAGACTGCAGCGTATTTCACTCTCGCGAAGACCTTGCCGACTTTGACGGCAATCCCGGATATCCTTGCTGCTCTAGACTCCTTAGATAACCATCTCGCATACCGCACATTCCTCGTCGGCCATGACATCACCGCAGCTGATTTCATCATCTGGGGTTCAATAAAAGGTACCATGATCAGCCTTGGTCGATGTTGTCGTGTCTGACGTTCATCAGTTGCACCGAAAGCAATTGGGTTGCTCAAGAATGGGCAGCAGTATGTTCATATTCTTCGATGGATGTCTCACATCGAGAGCCTCGAGTCCACTCAAGCTGCTCTCGCGAGTCTCACAACAGCCAAAGCCAATAAAGCCCGATCGAATAAAACGGCTGCAGGTTTCGCTCTTGGCCTCCAAAATGCAAAGGAAGGTCAGGTCGTCACGCGTTTCCCGCCTGAACCCTCTGGGTACCTACACATTGGTCATGCAAAGGCCGCGATGCTGAACCAGTATTTCGCAAAAATGTACAATGGGAAGATGATCATTCGCTTCGATGACACGAACCCCACGAAAGAACGGGTAAGTCCACTGTTTACTTCGCGAGCATACAGGTCTAAAGTGAAATGCCTAGGCTGAGTTCGAGGAGACCATATTGCAAGATTTGGAACTTCTGAACATCCGCGGAGACAAATCATCGCACACATCAGATTACTTTGACCAGATTTATGAATTGGCCATTCAACTCATCAAGAGTGGCAAAGCTTACGCCGATGATACCGAGCAATTACAGGTGCGGAATTTTAGTTTAGGAATCATTTATGAATACCGACAGGGCCCTTAGATGCGCGAGGAGCGAGGCAAAGGGATCGCATCTGCTCATCGAGATGACTCGATCGAGGACAACCTGAGGCACTTTGAGGAGATGAAGTCCGGATCTCCAGAGGGTCTGAGATGGTGTGTACGCGCGAAAATTAGCGTGGATAATCAGAACAAAACTCTTCGCGACCCCGTCATTTATCGATGCAACTTAATCCCTCATCACCGAACTGGGTATGAAGCCATCTACTTTCGTTTACTTCGAATATCGATCCATATTACAGAGACAAGTGGAAAATATACCCCACCTACGACTTTGCCTGCCCAATCGTGGACTCACTTGAGGGTGTTACCCACGCCCTTAGAACGAACGAATACCGTGAGCGAAACGCACAATATCAGTGGATGATAAAAGCCCTCGGCATGCGTGGTGTTGACATCTGGGACTTCAGGTCAGTCCTTTTCATCTATTTTACATTCGAAAACCACTGACATATCCGCAGTCGTCTCAATTTCATCTATACACTTCTCTCCAAACGGAAGTTGCACTGGTTCGTAGACAGCGGAATAGTCCAGGGATGGGATGACCCGCGTTTCCCTACCATCCGGGGTTAGTTCTCCTGCCAAGTTGTTGAGCACAAGGCTTTTTCTGACGCAACTGCGGCAGGGATCCGTAGGCGTGGACTAACTGTGGATGCGTTATCGCAGTTCATGTTAGCTCAGGGGCCTTCGCAGGCGATTGTATCGCTTGAGTGGGATTCGATTTGGGCTGTCAACAAGAAAGTAATCGATCCTGTCGCTCCGCGGTTCTGGGCCATTGTTAAAGAGAAGAGGTGCCGTCGTCAGAAATACGGAACACCTGTCCTCATGCTGACACAATCGTTTCCAGCGTCTCTGTAACCATCAACGGTGGTCCCCCTGCACCCGAGGTGAAGACCCTACCACTTCATAAAAAGAATCCCGATGTTGGCGAGAAAAAGACCGTATTTACGTCTACCATCATTGTTGAGCAGGAAGACGCAGCTTCCTTCGAGGATCAGGAGGAGGTATGTCATGCCAACGATATTCGAGAAACAAGTCTCATCCGCAGTGATCGCATCAGATAACCTTGATGGACTGGGGTAACGCGATTGTCCGATCTAAGACCACGGGCCCCTCGGGCGATGTTACTTCCCTCACGATGGACCTCCACCTTGAAGGCGATTTCCGCAAGACGAAGAAGAAGATCACTTGGCTTGCACAGCCCTCTAAGGATTATCCCTTAGTCGACGTAACGCTGCTTGACTACGACTACCTAATCACGAAGAAGAAGCTCGAGGAGACGGATGACGTTAAGGATTTTGTTACGCCCGTAAGCGAGTTCCGGGAGGAGGCATTCGCAGATGCGAACGTAAGCTCGCTCACTAAAGGGGACATTATTCAGTTTGAGAGGAAAGGATATTTCATCTTTGATGGTACGGCGGAGGATGGGAAGCTCGAGTTCATCCGAATTCCTGACGGGCGAGCGGCCAACCTGGCTAGTAAGGCAGGGAAGCCTGGTGTTGTTGCCGTCGAGGCTCCAGTGCCGACCTCGGGTACTACCGCCGACACTGGCCCACTCTCCTCCTCGACGATGTACAAGATGGACAAGATTTATGGTGAGGAATCATTGAAGCCGGTGTCCACCACAAAGATGTACACGCTCTCGAGTGTGTACGAGTGATAGTCAAGACAAGAATAGATAGAAAGTTAGAGTAGATGTGATAATTTTGTACAGAGATATATGTCGCTTTCTATTGACCTGCACAGTCAGGATGCGCAGATGCAATCGCAGAGATAGTGACTTTCTGACATCGAATATCGCGTTACTTGAAGCTTATCGATCGAAAGCCAAGTTGGTATCATGACCATAAGGAAGGTTGCCACCGCATGTGACGGAAGAAGCTGCAGGCGTGTACGTCACGGACATTTCAGATTTGGTCTGGCCCGTCTGGATGAGTATGCTCTCCGCAAGCACATTGCTTAATTATGGGACGGTAAATAATGAGAAGCTCACCAGTGTCACCACTCGTATTCATTTCTTCATTCCGGATGCAAATTTTGAGCCAAAAACAGAGAGTGAAATATGATCGTGATTAAACATTACCGTTTGTTGACGGTTCGTGCTGTTTTCATTCCCGGGGCTGTTTTGGACACCCTAGGCAGACCATATAGAAGGGAGACAGCTGGAGAGCCTCGGTTGTTCCATTCTGTATTATGGGGATGCGCATGAAAATGTGCGTCATTGCAAGCGACGGGCGAACAATGCTTCAACGATTACCACCACGTCCATATACTTGCAGAATAAATGAACAAAGCGTTTCTGAGGTTCTCTAACAGGTTAGTGCGTGATGAAAGACACGATGAGATCTCGCAGGGTTCGCATTGACAGTGCGATGCTCATGATGTACTATGATTACAACTATGATCAGCGTTGTCCTTCGCAGCACAAGGACTCATCACTCAGTAGTAATCATCATCTTCCACGGTCGTGTTCTCGTCTGCGATCATCGTATTCACTGTAAATGCCATTGGTTGTTCCTCTCGCTATCTTTTCCAGTGAGTAGTTCCTTGGAACTGGCCTCTAAAACATTTATGGTATGATCATAAATTACGGGAAGGTAGAGAATGAGAAGCTCAAGGAAGCTCACCATTTATATCTATTTATTTGTTCCCTGATTGGTGATTGCAAAGGATGAGCCAAAAACAGACGAGGAGATATCGGCACGACGTCCGTTCCTGAAGCAAGCCGTCGTTAGTGAGCTGGTCACTACTCTATGTTCCCATGCCTTGGAAGTTGGGCGAATGCATGTGTAGTGTCCAGGACAGTAACATAAAGAGACGACACACTTCAAGTTCTCATATAAGTACACGTTACCAGAGCTAATAAACAAGGGGATCGTTACAATAATGAGCGACAAGCCTATCAGGTAATAGATACAGTACCTGGGTCTCATGCTGATGGAAAGCATGCTCCTCAGCGCCAGTACCATATTACATTGAAAGGGCGACTAGCGCCGGAGAGTAGTAATGCACGAGATCGAACGAAATGAGATGGGACGAATAGAGCTACATACGAATGAATGGGCGACGTTAGCGAGAGCAAGGACGAGCAAAGCAAATATACATGTATCAAGATATGCAAGGAAGAAAGCAGCAGAAAACCGATGAACCATCTAAATCATCATCAAGCCGAAGAGATCAGATAGATCTACGTCGTAATCGTCGCCCCCAATTGGCGAGTGGTGTATTCCGCCAGAGTTTCGAACGATCTGATGAGTCTGTATGGAGATTGAAGCGACTTCGGCGAAGTACCTCCATCAGGATGAATGACACTTCAGGGTGGTGTCAGATGATGACACCAAAAAAGAGTATGGAAGACGTACCGAGAAGTTCATCTGTTGATACGAGGGGATGCGGTTCAAATTCTAGATAGTCATGACCTAGACTAGGTATTGGGGCGGCGATGAAGCGTTCGCCGACACGCATACTGCTGGCGTGGAAAGAACCTTTTGTCTGATTTGAATCGTAGTCAAGAAGCTGTGCAATGCTCAGTCGTGATCCTGAGCTTTAAGTAAAACCACAAACTGTCAGTCCGTCTGGTGCTGCCATCCAGAAGTACTCCGTGTCGAAGCGCGTGGGTAAGCCGAGGACATTGCGACTTTGTGGTGTTGAGATTCAGAACATGTGATGTAGATAAGAAGGTGGATAAGGGGAACGTACGATAGTATTGCGCTGGAGCACCCAAACATCCCTTTCGCTCCGATGATTTTTTCTTGGCCGATAACAATCTCTATCGGCTGTTTGCCCTTCCATCCAATCTCAGCGATGATCTCCCCGAGTTTATTGAATATCATGGTCCTGCGAGTCTCCCCATTTTCATCTTCACTCTCCGTGTCTGAGTCCTTATCACTGGCACAAATAAAGTGGGACCTGGTAAGGATGGTATAGCCAAGAGCACCCGTCTCAGGGTAGACAAGAGGTGAGTTTAGGATATCCGACTTTGAAAATTTGAGAAGCATGCTGTGGACCCGGCGTATATGTGTAGAGAAAAGCGGTGAGCGAAAATCTGTGCTCGAGAACAGTGGAATTTATGATTAAAGTATGTGTGCGGTCATAGGGAGGAGTCAGTGGAGGACGAATCCAGCTGTCCCTTTGATCGGCTGACCGGGTCGGTAATTGCCATTTATAAATTTTCGGGCTAGCTCCCGAGCTGTTCCATGTGCTATTGCATGCCTTCTGTCCGCTATGCAATTCAATCGCGCTGTAAAATATTCTGTCAGTGCGAGTAGAACATACTTATGCCATGATGATGCATGGACTACTTGGTTGACCAGTCTGCTAACACCATCCATTCATCCTTGCTTACGCTACTAAGTCACCTGACAAGATACACCTCACGCCACCGACTGTATTTGCTTCTGTTGACATTGTGGCCGGGTTGAAACCGTGTCAAAACCATCTTGCAGCGACTTGAACACCGACGACGATAGCGACGACGGAACGACCGACACAAGGTCCTTTTGATTATTTCCGCTGGGACTTGCACCTTAATTTCTAAAACAAACTGGATCTTCGTACATCTCAACGACTTCCTCTAACGGGTTGGTGACAAGACCTGCAATAGACTGGTTATTGTCACCCTGGTTATGGCTCAGCGTCGTTCACCACATAGACTTCCAAATAGCAACAGTCTGGCGCGTAGACAGTACTCGCTCCGCCATACATCCGCTGCAAAACGCGCTCTTGCTTTTGTCAATAGATTTCAGCGTTCCACAGCTAATTCTCACGCGGTGGGCGCGTCTCCCCCGTCATCTTCAGACACAATTGATTCGCGTCCCATCTTGGCTACATTGCAGCCCAATCTGCGACGGCTGCCATCTCGTCAGTATCTTTTGATGAAACACAGCACCCGAGATATCACCCAAAACCTTGACGTTCCTATTGGTTCCAAGAGAAAGCGCGTCGCGTCGGTTAATGAAAATACCCAAACTGGCGGTCGGCCCGCTCGTGGGGCCCCAAAACTGAAGAGAATAAAAACTACGCTTCGGGACTATTCCAGCGAAGAAGAGGAGCTTAGTGAAATGGAAGTTGATGTTCCTGGCCGATGGGCTGCGTCTGATACATCTGAGATTGACTACGATGAAGAAGCGTGTAAGTATTTGCACATTATTATCTTTCCATGCGCTAATTTTACCTACTATAAGCCGACGAGTTTCTCATAAATGAAGCATCTTTGGGCCAGCTTAAACGTCGTCGGAAAGATGAACTCCTTCAGCTGTACACTGCAGCGGGTCTATCAGACGATGTTCACAGCCTTACAAAGTCGGAGCTTGCAGAAGCAATTATTGCAGCGCGAGACGATATTGTCTCATTACCTCCCTCTTCTCCCGGGCGGGACGCGAGTGATTGTTCCTCGGACGATGGCAATGCTGCAGGTGACGAGGAAACTGATTTTGGAGCTAAATATCGAGTTCCCCCGGGTCTCCGGCGTCGTGCTACTGTTAACTTGGCTGCAAATCCGCGTTTTTTGAAAACACGCAGCTTGTCTCTCGGAGATATCAACGCCAGTCACTCATACCCCGACGAGCTACACGTTGCCCCTAAGGCCAATGGTGCACTCGCCCCGGCGTGAGTGAAATTGTTCAGAATGAGTTCGGAGCGCTAATCTTGCATTCAGACGACGGACAACTAGATCTACATCTAGTCGATCTTCACCCACGCCAAGTTCCTCCAATCAGTTGCCGTCCCCTCCTGCTACAAGATTGCGTGCTCGCAAGGTATCCGCCGAGGTTGTCGTTCCTCGTAGCTCTACCAGGAGCAAGGGCAAGGGCAAACAAGTTGAATTTAGCGAAGATGTCAAGATCGGTGAATCTGCTGCATTGGGCGAGGAGAGTGAGCTTACCGATCTCACTGAGCTGGAGGAGAAGATTGCCTCGGGCTCACCCAGTCCTCGTCGGCTACGAAGTCGGGAGAAGCGTAGTGAAGTTAGCGATGAGCAGGACTCTGACACACCAAAGCAACGGGGGAGGGCTAGAAGGCAGACTTCGAAAGAGGAGGAGGCAGAAAATGGTCTGGAGGACGAGGAAGAGGTCGATGAGCTTATCTCATCTCCGTCTCCTACACCACCGCCCATGCGAGGTCGAGGAACTCCCGTGAAAAGACGACTTCGCTCTCGCAGACTACAAACACATACTCCCCCAAGTGACGGAGGGGAAGGTGACGATGAAGAGGAAGCTGATGAGGAACAAGTAGAAGAGGGTGTGGAGGCGATCGAGGATTGTTCAGGCATGGATGACGAGGAATCGGAGCTGTCCGAGCTGTCTGAGGATAGCCGAGATATGGACGGAGATGATGATGCGTATATGGACGAACGTGCCCCTCTTCTGCCAACAATAACTCCACGGAAGCTACGCAACGGGAAGGTGGTTGGGGAAGAATGTGAAGAAGAAGCACTTGGCGAAGATGATGAGCAAGACGGTGACGAGTCGATTGACCTGGAAGCCGAGGATATCGATATTGATGCTGAAGGGGAGGATGAGTCAACTGAGGAGGTCGATGAAGCCATAGAGGGCGATGAATGTTGGTTTCTTTTTTCGTGCTTTCTTACGTTGCTAACACATGTCTTGCAGTCGATCTCGCTGTGGCCACCAAGAAGACCCTTCTCCGCATGCGTCGTGATAACCTTGTCCGGATGTGTGAGACTCGGGATCTGGATGTTGTTGGTACGAAGCCTCAGCTCGCGCGGTCACTTCTTCAGTGGCGAGATCAACGAACGAGCGAATTCTCCTCACCGTCCTCCACTGGCACCATTCGTCCACCATCAACCCCTCGTCATCGTGCTAATGGCCGGCGAAAGACCAAGAGTCGGAGTCAAAGCAATACCCCTCCTGTCCTTATGCGCTCCCAGCGAGTTCATCAAGACGAACCGCGGACCCCTCCTCTGTCGCGCGAGAACACGGCTCAGGCGGACCCAGAGCTAGAATTGGATCTCGAAAGCCTGGGTTTGGAAGATCGAGAAATTCCACCCGAAAAGCTCACGAAACTTGAGAAGATTGGTAGTGGGGGCTTCAAGGATGTTTACATCGGCAAGTTCAAGGGCAGACGGGTCGCCATTGCGGAATTCCGAGATCAGCTCAATTCAAGTATGTCATCTTTCCTGTCCATGAGGATATCACGTTATGAACGTGCGTTGTAGTGGACATCAAAGAACTCAAGCTCCTCGGTGGCTTTGATCACCCGAATATAGTTCGCTTCGTGAGTGTCTTCGTCGAGACAGTTTTGCAGACATGGTTTACGCTATGGTTTACAGCTTGGTGTCAGCATACCCGAGAACACGCGCGAGACACCTGTGATGATTGTCAGTGAATTGTGCTCGAATGGCGACCTCTTCGACTACATTCGCAATGTTCCTGCTCCGTCCCTGAAAAAAGCTGTACGTACGCTTGTCACGCCTCTTTATTCTTGCTATACATTTCTCGCAGTTGAACATCATGCTGGATATTGCGCGTGGCCTGGAATACCTTCATATGCGCAAGCCTTCAGTCATCCACAGGGACTGTAAATCGTCCAACATCCTCATTACTTCTCGTGGCACGGCGAAGATCGCAGACTTTGGCTTGGCCAAAGTTAAACAGTCTACGCGGTCCATGGTTCGCAGCCTAGTTGGCACTGTTAACTGGCAAGCGCCCGAGCTTTGGCATGCGCATCCCAAATATAACCACAAGGTCGATGTCTTTTCGTGCGCCATGGTGTTCTGGGAAATGTTTCAATGGCACATACCAAACAAGAAGTTCCCTTGGGAGGTGAGTACATTACTATTTTCTTCCTTGTCAGTCCTTAAGTCTTTTTCAAGGGAATGAACGAGCATGCCATTTACGACATTGTTGGAGCCAAACGCCAGAGGTAAATTAGCACCTTACTCCAATTATTGCACACGCTGACGAGAGATATTCAGACCGTCTATTACGGGCCTGCGGAAACAGTGGTGTCCAGAAATTATTGACCTGCTTGAGCGGATGTGGGCTCACGATCCCAACGATCGCCCAACCATATCTGAAGTCGTCAAAGAGTTGGAACATATTGCCGCCTAAGGAACTCCTTCACTCTCATGCGGACTCAAATCTTTATTGCCAGTCGAATCTGACTTTGTTGCGAACGGAAGTTCCTCGGTTTGCATCGGGAATTATTGTTTATTGTGTTTCACTGGTCCCTCTACACTATCATCTTCGTCATTATCATCTTTCTGCAAACTTATATCCCGCATTGTACCCTACCGTAGCAATTCAAACCCGAAACCCGTGCTTGATGTGTAACCGCAGGCGTTCAACGCGCTGAGAATGACGTCTGACAACCGTGCAATGATCACAAGGTTCTCCGGATCTTGTTGCTGCGGCTGCCAATCACATTCTGAGGTCAGTTTACGAATTGCACGAGGTTGCATGGATTATTGGTATGTCTCACGGTCGCCTACAAGTTCGATAACTCAATGACATTTTCACTTAGGACCCCTAATACAGATGAACGACCGTCTTCCTTCTATTACTCTGCCAGGGAGACTACTCAGGGCCTCATCACATCCCCTAGAATCGCTCCGATAACTCAAGTACGTACCGTTGACTCTGTCCAAGTTCACTAACTCTTCTTCAGTATGCTCGTACGAGATCCGCATTATCTGCAAGGTCGTCAGCGTCAGCGCACAGGACGAGATACCTGCCTCAGCGTCATTCTTCCAAGCAGTTCAGAGCTGTGATAGGAAGGCGCATGAGCAGTCTCCGGGGGTTATGCTGGACCGGATCATTGATGCTCATTAATCATTGCTATTAGTGAAGTTATGCGCAGTCCGCTTGCGACAAACGTACTGCGCAAGTTGTGGTCGGAGATTTCAAAGCGGCGAAAAAATAAACATCACTTTCCACGCAGTCTGGGCGCAGATTGATTGTTAGGACGTGTATTAATGCATGCAGAAGGGTATGAATTCATATTCAACAGGTGTTCAATTCGCTTATCGGTCGTTGCCCAGGACCCTACAGGTGTTATTCATTACGACGCTTGTCGTAGTGCAGACACATGGGTGGAGCTGTTGTATGACAAGCGTCGTAATGCTGTAACACGACTTTCAAGGAATAAGTTAGTGTTGTGACACAGGACAGCCCAGTGCTAGTGCTATGGATAAAGTGTCTAGAGTCGTTGTATCGCGCACCTTGCTACAACTGGGAGCGAGCAGTACGACACGAACTTGCATACAATCGAAACGAATGGCAATAATATGATATAGTTTAAACGAGATTTAGTCTGATTCAGAGAGCGCGAGTCATCCCACATCTGTGGTGGGGAATAGTCAGGAAATTAGTATAGGAAGGAGAGTAGTAGTACGACGGGCGGTCTATCTTCTTGAAAGATACTAGCTAGGTTTCGGTGGTGGGAAACACCTATTATTGTCATGCTATGATGCTCATTGTATGTAATTCCGGTGGTGTACGCTCCTCACTACTAGGTCGCCGCGTCACCCAACTCAGGTGCAGCCAAAAATTCCTTGCGTCCCTACCTGTACAGACTGACAGTAGGTGTTGCAACAGAGACACTCGCCCTAGAATGTTTCAACTTTCGCGGGTCCGCGGCAAGCCAAGCAGGCTTGGACTTGCTAGCTTAGGGATTGGTACACGATCACCTCTTCCTACAAGACCTTTTCGACTACTATCGACAGATACACTGGCACCACCCAAATCCCCAAGGCCAAGGCCGCAGATACCAATCGAGCCTCGTCCGAGGTCTCGTTTACTTAGCCGTATCCTGTTGGTGGCAAAATATACTGGATATGCGGCACTCTCCTCGACATTTGGGATTCTGTTACTAGGCGCAGGCATATTCATTCATGACGCTTTTACTTACACGAGCAAGAATATCCACCGCGTACCGGTATTACCTCTTGCACTTCATCCAGAGCAGGGGGGACCGAAGAACCTGCCAATTGTGAGGGCACTCGTGGATGACGTGGAGGATGAGGAGGCGAAGAGCCTTTTGAACAAACCGAAGTTGGTAGTTGTAGGAGGAGGCTGGGGGGTAATCAGCAAATCTTCACATACTGCTTCCATCGCTGACTCGGACATTTGACTAGGCTGTTTCTGTCCTGCAAACACTATCTCTCGGTGACTACCACGTGACCGTCGTGTCACCGGAAACCTTTACCACTTTTACTCCTCTTTTACCTTGTGAGTGAGTGCTAGATTGGCATTTTGCAAGTTTAACTGAATCTGCTCATGTTATGCAGCGGCCGCGGTCGGTACAGTCCAGGTTCGCACGTTGGTCGAGCCTCTACGCAAGATCATAGCTCGTCTTCGCGGCCATTTCGTAGACGCCAAGGCTGTTGACCTTGTGATGTCCGAGCGGTTACTAGAACTGGAGACTGTGACTTCAACTGGTGAATCCCAACGTATTTATCTTCCGTGAGTCGCCACTGCCAAAACGCTGATGCTACATCATCCACATCATTAATCGCCATTTGTAGCTATGATAAACTGATCATTGCATGCGGCTCGACTTCCAGTACACACGGCGTCCCGGGTCTACAACACTGTTTCCAACTGAAAACCATATCGGATGCACAGGCTATCCGACGGCGAATTCTTGGTAAGATCTTTGCGTTTTATGTATGCATCCATCATCCATTTGTACTTTTCAGATAACTTCGAAACGGCCAGTCTTCCTACCACAACTCCTGAAGAACGCAAGCGCTTGCTATCATTCGTTGTTTGCGGAGGTGGCCCAACAGGCGTCGAGACAGCAGCCGTGCGTATCCGAGTGTGTTCATATCCGGTACAAATGAACCCTCTTAATGCAGGAAATCTATGACTTCTGCCAAGAGGACATAGCGAACTACGTGTGTTTCGCAGCCGTTCTCTCTCGAGTTGTACCTGACCCTTGCTGTGCAGTATCCCAAGATATGCCGCGAGGAAGTCTCCATACATGTGATCCAGTCACGCGAGCATATTCTCAACACAGTGCGTGAAACCGCGTATGAAATTGAAATGTAAACCTTACTTTGAGCGCAGTATTCGGAGGCCATATCAAGATATGCTGAGGTACATATAGTTGCATGTCGACAGTGATTCAAGCTACAACTGACTGACTCCATCAGGAAAAGTTCCGTCGTGATCGCGTAGACCTAGTCACGTCTGCTAGAGTTGGCTCCGTTCACCCTGATCACGTCGTGTATACCGTGCGGTCGCCGGACGGGACGATTACCACACATGAGATCCCGACAAATTTTGTACTGTGGTCCACCGGCATTGCAATGAACCCCTTTACCCGTCGGGTATCCAACTTATTGCCCAATCAGGTGCACAAGAAGGCGATCGAAGTTGACGCCCATCTTCGTGTAAAAGGTGCGCCGTTGGGCGACGTGTATGCCATTGGAGACTGTGCAACTGTGCGTGTATATGTACTTTTTGCTCTCAGGTTTCATATAGACTTCGTGGCGTCTAGGTTGAGACGTCTATCGTGAGCTACCTGCTAGAGTTGGTCGATGAGGCCGACAAGAACAAAGATGGCAGGATCGACTTTGACGAATTTGATTTTATGGGTATGTCGGCGACCTTCTTTAGAAACCGGTGTTTTGACGGCTACTAGTTGCAAGGATCAAACATCGAATACCCATGGCTGAGTCCCAGTTGCAGAAGGTCAGTCATCATGCATGTTCTAGGAAACTCTTATTAAAAACTTCTTTCACTCAGGTCCGAACATTGTTCGATTTGTATGACTCAGACGCAGACAACACTCTTTCTTTGAATGAGCTGTGTAAGTTGTTACAAGAAATTGGAAATAAGATAACAGCACTTCCTGCCGTACGTGCTTACTGGTTCAAACGTCATATCACAACTGCCTTCTTACTTTGGTATTTTCCAGACCGCTCAAGTGGCTTCTCAGCAAGGAAAGTACCTGGGCAAGAAGCTAAGTCAGTTAGCGAAGAAACGAGAAGTCCTCGAGGCGAACGGCATACATGACCTGGACGAGGCTATATCCGGGCCATTCCGCTATACTCATCTCGGCAGTCTCGCGTACATTGGCAACGCCGCAGTTTTCGATCTAGGCAGTTTGTCGTTCATGGGCGGCCTTGCCGCCATGTACGCGTGGCGCAGCATTTACTGGAGCGAGCAGGTTTCAGCTAGGACACGTTTTCTATTAATGATAGACTGGATCATTCGGTATGGGCATGACATTCGTTACTCGTGCAAATGCTAATCCTTGATGCTTGCATTCGCAGTGGCGTCTGGGGTCGGGACTTGTCCAGGCTTTGATTAAACTGGACATTGTATTGCAATATCATCCTTCATCCCTTTCTTGGCGCTCATTACGCATTCCTTCCCTCCATGACATGTACCGTGTACGCATCACTTCGCTGGACTCCATGTAGAACGGATCATCAGAATATGATCCAATGATGTCCTTCCAATCACTGGATCCTAGAATGGCTGTCTTGCCAACAAGTGATCTTTGGTTGGGTGCAGTATCGTCATCTTTCGGTTGGGAAATCAGTTTCTCTGTTGGTACATGGCAAGCGTAAGCGATGTATGCCCACAGCAACGGCAAGAGCAAATATCCGGAACGCTCGAACAATACAGCAAAGGTGCAAGAAGACGTGAACAAGAAGGGAACCAACCACATTTATGTAGCACTTGAAGGTTTCTTCGATCGAACGTCATAGTACTAGGACTCGTCTGCTAGATGCAGGCTCAATGACTCGGACTCTCTCGCTCACGGTTCAAGTTAACTCCGGACGCGTGCGTGCGGCGTCCATAGCAGCCCTCATGCAAAAACTTGAGCCGCTCTGTAAGTACGGTCGGTCGGATTGATAAATGACCATACCATCATGTCAACATGACAGGATATTTTTCTAGCGGAACATGCCAAGTTCCCATTTCCTGGTGTGGATGAAACAATTCAGGCCGACTCAAGGCGAAGTCGCCTGTCGTGAGAAAAGCGGGAGAAAATTCCTTCTCTCTCAGTAACTGACAATACGATGCTTGTTGTGGAAACGACAGTTCAGCTCTTTATCTTGGAAGAAACCATGTTACAATTGCGCTGACGAGATCTAGTAAAGAGTGGGCCCTGAAAACTCCCTCACAGATCTCAGGCACCTTGAACGTACCGCTCCAGTCCCCTCAGTAATTTGTCTGGTCAAAATGTCCATGGAGCAGAATGGAATGATCTTGTTTGTTGGAATTTATTCCTGCCAATCAAAGGACCCCAGAATGGCTGTCTTGCCGACGAGTGACCCTTGATTAGGCGCGAGTATCGTCATTTTTCGGTTTGGAGCATCAATATTGGTGCTGAATGGACAAGGTAGGAGTAAGTTACGCATGCTGCGGCAACGAGAGAAAGCAAAGATATCCGGAATCACGTAAAAAAAAAAAAAAAAGCAAGAAGACGTACACAACAATGAAACCGACCACATTCAGGTCCAAGATTTCTTCGTCATAGCGCTCAGACTCATCAGGATGGAAGGGTGCAAGCAAGGCGAGAACGGAATTAAGAAGTCCCGAGCTGCTGGATGCAGGATCAACGAGCACGGACTGCATCTCCGAAAGCATGCGTGCAGCGCCAATAGGCAATGCGGAAGAGGGAGCCATGCTCTCTAAGGTGGGTGGGGTCGATCAGCCACATGTTGATGCATGCAGAAACATTGCCTACCTGCACCAATGCGATAGATTGTCAAATCCCCAAATTTGACGATGCACGAGGATGGCGAAAGGACGAGATCTGCGTCCGCTTCGCCTCCTACCATTGCTGAGGTTATGCCAGGGAGTGGGTCTATTTTTTGGCCGTACATGTAATTATGCAACTGGTACTTGTGCACGCGCTCCCGATAACTATGATCCAATTCAACGACCTGGTCGAGTGTTGTGAGGGAGAAATTAAACATGATCGATAAGAGCACATACTCCTCCTGACTTTGGTATCTTGACCACTGTAAACCGGCTGCCAAACAGCCGTTGCATTTCAACAGTCAACTTTTCGTGTCCAACCACGAGAATTATATTGACTGTCATGGAGTCAGGTGAAGTATGAATGCATTCAATAAACCGCACTTCTGAAAGCATCGACACATGCTTTTATGAGCGTATGCCTGCTGTCCGGCGCGCTGCCAGAACTAGACGCGAAAGATGATGGGGTATCAACAATTAAACCCGACACTCGCCCTAGATATTGATGATCATTGATTATCCTACAATTTAGACAGAAATTAATTGTCCGCACCCTCCGGGTCATTGTCATCTCTTTCTCCAATATTTTCCCCCAGATTTCGGATAAGTCGGTCTAGCAGAACTGGGTTCCGTTTAGTTTCTGCATGTCCGTACCAGTAGCTTAGCGGTATCAACGCGTTCGAAGAGAGCGCGGTAGGAGCTGATGTAGCAGCAGATCCAAGAGGATTGGCGGGTGACGCTGTAGCTATAGGACTGCGAATTGGAGCGGCGGAGATTGCTCCGGGAACCGCCCAACCACCCTGACTCGGAACTTAGCACAGAAAAGATAGACCTGGTCCTCGAATGCTCACCTCACTCGGATCGACGTTTACCAATACCGGGGACCAGTTCTGACCTGCCCTGACAGCATAGTTTGTCAGAATTTTGCATACTGTTGTCTTTCCCGAGTTCTCCGGACCAACAACAAGGACTCTCGGCGGCTCTGTGTTGGCAACCGCATCATCATCTGAAACAGGAGACCCATGCAAAACACGGAGTGCTCTGACACGCATCTGTTCGAACGCAATGTGTACATTTGCATATGCCGCCATAGGGGTTTCCTCGGACACATATTCAGTGGAGGGGCGGCCTGTAATGTGCTAAACGAATAGATCAGCGACACGAGTTGTGAGCCTCGACAGTTTTAGCACTCATCTCCAAAGTACAACCCTGCCAAGTGAAGACAGCAGCTCTACATTCAGTCCCGAAAAGATAAGTTTTTCCCTCCGCAAGTTCTGCGCCGAAGACTTCAGCCTGTCCATGAGCCAGCTGAAGAATTGGTTCAGATGATTTGAGGCGGCCTGGAATGAATTGCTTCGTGGTTGTATACCAACATACCTTGATTGCTAGGGAGGTACCAGGATCGAGCTCGAACCTGTACTCTGTTTCCGCCTCAAGGACCCACTCTTTCATGTCAGCCTGGGTCCCATCAAAATGCTGCAGTGAATCAGACATTACAGACCACTACGATGTCTCTCAACACAGAAACTAGTATTTGTGGCAAATTGGTGGGCACGAAATTCAAGATTCTGCTACAGTCGGATGCAGCTTCCTTCAACGCAGCTTCGTGAGCTCAGATCAATCTGCGTGGTTCTACGACGCACGCGGCGACGATGTATTTGCGGATGGTTCTGATTCCGACGGATGGAAGTGAAAAGACAAGGAAGCAACGCAGATGATGCTAGCAATTTCGTTGCCAAACTCTAAGCTCTAAGTTTCACTGTTTGGATGAAAGTTTGGACCTTCTTGAACTTCTCATCTTCGTGAGCTTCGATGTTTCTAATAAATGTATTCTCAGGACGTTCAATCAACGCTTCTTCCCTTGATTTCTCATTTCCGACGTGTACAAGAGGCCGCTGACAACGGATGAAACGCTCATCGCCTCCGCCGGCATCCACTAACTTAGTCACTAACGGGATCTCCTCAACTGGATCGTCCACATTATAGATCAGGAACGCCGTAACAGCGCGGCAGAGGCTAGAACTTATAAAGTATATGCTATAGCACCCTCTCCTCCTCCTTCTTCATCCAGTCAGCATGGACTCAGCCAGCGACACTTCTGAGAAGAGGGTGGCCCATATACCTTCTACTACCGTCCACAATTACGAGGTCGATGTTGGTGCTCAGCTCGTTGCTGAGACAGATCGCCCTTTCACACCACAAGAGGCCTCTCGACTGAGGTGCGTCATTTCATCGCCAGTACTACCTAGACATTCCATTCATAAGTTCTCATAGGGCGAAGATCGATTGGCACATAATGCCATTGATGTGCAGTAAGTCTTGAGATCCTCGAAGTCGTTCATCTGATGAAGACGTTTCGATAGTCATGTACTTGTGAGCATCTTGTCACCGATTACTAGGTTCTTGCTGAATGGCCTCTGTAGAATCACTTTCATGGATAAAACCACTCTGGGAGAGGCAGCGGTGCTGGGTATACTGTGTGTCACCCACGTGTTGCCAACTTTGCGTGTACTCACCGCTGTATTAGCGAGGATGCAGAATTAACTACTAATCAGTACGACTGGCTCGGCACAATATTCTACCTGAGTTACCTCGTTTTTCAATACCCCCAGAACTTGGCGTTGCAGCGCTTCCCTGTTGGAAAATGGATGAGGTACGCTAAACGTTGATGGCATGCACTGTATTCCTTATTCTGATGGGCATTCAGCATTAATATCTTTCTGTGGGCCGTCGTCCTGCTATGTCATACTGCTTGCAAATCTTTCGGAGCTTTGTTCGCGGTGCGCTTCTTGCTGGGAATGTGCGAGGGTGCTATCACTCCCGGCTTCATGATCGTCACCTCAATGTTCTACACACATGCGGAGCAAACGAAACGTGTCGGTTACTGGTGTACGTTCTGGTCTCATTCGTTCGTTCTCTCATTCTCATTTTCTCAGTCTTGATGAATGGTTTCGCTGTGATCATTCTGGGTTTCGTGAGTTATGGACTCCTCTACACGCATACAGTTTCCTTCATGCCCTGGCAATGGTGAGTCACACAATCTTGGCAGAATCTTATCTTATAATATCGAAAGGCTCATGGTTATCACTGGTATCATCACATTGATCACCTCCGTGCTCTTCTGGTGCGTACTAATCATGATCATCATGCAGATTACCTACTCACCCTGTTCCATTTAACAAGGTTTCTCTTCCCTGATTCGCCCACAACCGCTTGGTTCTTAACTCCAGAAGAGAGAGCTGCGGCGGTTCGCAGAATTCAAGCGAATCAAACTGGCGTAGAGAACAAGCATTTCAAGATGGGGCAGTAAGTTTAAACCCCTATTGGCTCGCGGTGCATCAGGTCATTTTCTCTTCGGCAGGTTCCTTGAAACGGTTCGAGAACCCAGGACGTGGTTGATGGCCTTCTTTGCAGGGTCTGCGTACGTTTTTGAAACATTACATATCCACGTATCTAAACATTCACGCTGTCTTATTTTAGGAACATTGTGAATTCTGTAAGGGACAATTACTTAATAACAACTCGAGCTTGTATACTGACACATCTCAGCTCACTAACCAACGACAATTGATTATCGCACAATTCGGTTTCAATGATATCCAGACAACTCTCCTTGGGTGTGTCGACGGTGTGGTCGAAAGTGTGCCATCTATTTGTGTTGTACGATACCTGACTAATTTTACTGCGGCGCAGTTCTTACTATTTGGCTGGCAGTGACTCTTGCCTCACAACCATCAATCGGAAGGTCATATGCTGGTGTGCTGATGTACATCCCCGGGATACTCGGTGCGATACTCGTCAGCGCACTTCCGTTCTCCAACAAAATAGGTTTACTATTCTCATACTGGATTTCAAGTACGTCATCATGACTTTGAACCACTGACTCAGTGACTGAACTTTACATTTTTATCCTCAGTCTTTGCGATTGCGCCATTCCCCATCTTCCTCGGTTGGGTCAGTTCAATAACATCTGGGCACACGAAACGTATGGGCCGTCTGATTTTGCCGCATATAGTTAGAGGCTCACCAACGTCTACACAGGGATCACCACCAATGGCATCGTCCTTTGCTCATATGCGATTGGTAATGCTGCTAGTCAGTTTATGTGGAAGGCACAGTATCAACCAAGGTGTGTCATCTTCCAGCATCCCCGCTCATTATGATTCACGCTAAACTGCATGCAGGAACCACGTTCCTTGGGCTGTGATCACGTCGTGCAATTTCGCTGCTGGTGTCGCCCTGGTGATTCTTCGTTTCATGCTCGCCACTGAGAACAAGAGGCGAGATCGTGAAACCCCTGACGACAAGCGCGACGCGGTCTACATACTGGACGAATCGGGCGCGGAGAGGAAGGTGGACAAGGCCTTCCTCGATCTCACGGACAAACAAAACCGCGACTTCCGCTATGTTCTATAGTTTCCTGCCAGTCACATCAACAGGCGTGATTCCACGCTCAAACCTTCCCAGATTTCGGTTCTTGGTCCTCAGCGCGTGTTTGATGCAGTTTCGATTATCATTGTTATATCTTTTATACCTTAGGTCCTGTGCATGCCTGTATTGGGTACTTCAGTGTTTGCTATAATTCCGCCGAAAAACGATGTTTTGATATACTCGCTATACAAGGTCAAGAGGTCTACTCAGTGATTCTGTGGTACATACAATGGTCAAAGAAACGATGAGACCTTGATCGGCCGTCGAACAGCCGCCGAGTTCCCTTCGAGATGCTTATATGCAATGCGAAAATCAGGCATTGCCTTTTTTGAAGTCGACGAGCTTATTAAATCTTTCTTTACAACGATCGGCCGTCCAAAGAAGTCCACAGGCGGCTAGTCGATGAATTAAGCAGATGATCCGCATTACACAAACTCATGCCATTGCTAACCTTGTCTGCAATATCGACTTTCTCGGAAGTGCGTGCTCGTTTGTTTGGGGGGCCTGGCTCAGAGGCATCCAAGCGGCGCAGTTCGTCATTGGCTTGTGTCATTTCCGTGGGCTCGCGAGCTTCGTCGACATTTTCCGTGTTGCTCTTCTTCGATCTAATGGTTGAATGAGCGACGCAGACACTAAATATGCACATAGACCGACGTTTTAAAGAAGTTTGCTTTTGCGTGTTCCTTTCCTTTTTCCACTGCATCTGCTTGTTTTGCGATGAGTGCGGCGTCAATCTTGGGTCAAATCAGTGTTATCTCATATTCATCCGAAGTCACAAACCTCAGTAGCAACCAGGTGTCGAACAGCATACCGAGAGACTGTGATATCTGCAGCGCGCTTGCCGTCATAGGTAATAAAAACATCGATTGGACTGGGTGAACAAGTGAGCATCAATCGGTGAGGGATGGATGGTCCGGTTAATGACGCGGTACTTACGGGTCAAGTCTGTACACAAGTTGGCCATCCTCGACTTTCTCCTGCACAAAGCGAAGTTCGAAAGACACCATGATCTCCACCAAGCGCGAGAGCAAGGCTTTTTCCTGTGGTTTAATTACCTGACTGTTGACCTAACATCCATGTGTCACTTGAGATGGCAAGTGAGTGTAACACGATCCACTCACTGGTCGCAAAGGAGGGGATAATATACGATTGATGTACGGCGCAAATTCGAGTTGCAAGACTTGACCTGTGACGAGGTGTCTGTTGGCCCCTGTACTCCGACCGGCAGTGCGGATACCGTTTGATAATGATTTGTAAATTTCTTCGTTTGCGCGCGTCAGCTGCAAGTTCTACTGAAAATGAGTATCTTGCAACCATGTAAAAAATAAAATGCTCACATCCCAGTCCGCACTATCTCGTTCAACCCGTGATTCCCCTCGCTCTCGGAATAGCGGATGGAAAGGAACCAGAAAATATGACAAGTATGTATGCAGTGCGAAATCCCCGTCCGTATACATGACTGATGAAAAGTTGTCAAAGGTGGTCAACCACTCGCCAGCCTTCTCGTAGTGATTCAAGTTCGCATCGTGCCGGTGACAATTGATATAATGCGCAAAACAGCCTGTACTTGCGTAAATGAATGATATAGGATGTCGCATGTTTTGCACTGACCATTTGCTATACTTGCAGGATTATTCAAGCCTTCAATCGTATGGCTTAGGCGATTCACATATCGTGCCTCTTCTTCTTCGCCCATACCAAGCTCCTTGACACGTTTTCGAGATAAAGGCGCAAATATTTCGTTGATTACGGAAGTGACGGTAGTGTCCCCCTCCTTCATGCCTACTGTAGCACGGCGAATGAGCGGTTCGGTTACTTCATCATTGCGAGACTTGATGAACTATGAAGATGGACATTTGTAAGCGTAGTATGTACAATATGTAATCACACACCTGCAAAGTATTGAGACAACCTCGAAGGTCGCCTCTGGCCACGCCGACCAAGGTGCTCAGTGCCCTAGTGTCAGCTCGCAAACCCTCCAACTCGCAAATCTCGCGGAGACGCTTGACGATATGACTGTCGGCAAGTCTCGTATACCGGATTTGCCGGGCGTGAGGACGGAGTTTGGAGAGTGCATTCGCATTTTGGTCATTACAGATGCATATTATCGGGCGAAGCAGTGGACGCTTGTCTTTCTGGTCGCCCTTTTTCCCTGCCAAAACAAGTTCGGACGAGTGTCATCATTCCCAGTGGAAAACTTACGTTTGTTCTTCGGTTTGTCAAAGGTGAGCGAGACCAGCTTGTTCACAAATCCACTTGACTAGTAAAATGTGTCAGTGATCATAATCAGGATCATTCATAGCACATACGTTGTCCCCGCCTCCTGTGGCCCCATCTATCTCGTCGATGATCAACAGCATAGGTTTTACGCTTCCGACTGCGGAGCCTGATTCCAGTGCCGGTCGTATTCGGTCGTCGATGACCTGTGCAGAACGTGCATCACTGTGTGGTGAGTGAGCACTAGACAGAAGGTTCTGTTAAAGAAGCAGACCTCGCATTTATCTCCATTACTTCATATCCCGCCTGCTTCGCGATGACATGAGCTAGTGTTGTCTTACCAAGCCCAGGGGGGCCGGATATTAGCAGTAGCTGTCCAAAGGCCACGAATAAATGTGCATATTCAGTTGTATTAAGTGTCATTATTACCTTCTCTCGTGGCCGGTGGTATTCATCGTCAGGGTTATAGTTCTCGTCATCTTCCCGCAGCCTCTTCTTGCTCTTCTTCTTACCGAACACGCACCAGTCCCACTGCTTTACCCAAGCCATCGTTTCACGAGCAACACGCTCGTTACCTAACAGTTCTGTGAATTTTCGAGGGCGATATCGATCAACCCAAAGTGTATCCTCTGGCACTGTACTCGATGGTTTGTGTGACTCGGACACTCCGGTGGTGGATTTCCTGCGAGAAAATATGAGGACGTGCTCTCAGTGAAACCAAAAGTGACACACGAAAGTGACAACTTCGAAGCAGCAGCAGCTGATAACTCGTCTTTCAGTCTGTGTATAGGCACGTCCAGCAGATTGCTCAATCGTGAAGGAGCAGAAGAAGTCTGGAGGCCATGAGCATGGAGGAGGTAAGAAATGCATTCGTATCTTGCCTTGTGGGTTGTCCCTATGTACCGCTTTCGCCCTATATGTATCACTTTCCCGTCATATGTTGTAGCCCGAAGCGAAGCACGTATGTGTGTAGGGATAGATGAGCGGGAGGAGGAAGACACCGTATCCTTTGGAATGAGACCCAGGATGTCTGATATGGGAGGGAAATGATCATCTGAAGGACCGGAGTGAGTCAATAAGCAGAAACAGAAGAGGCAAATGCACGACCTTGACTTGATTCAAAAGTATCGGTTTGGGCTGATAGACTAAGAGTCAGCAGTAAGCCACAGGAGTCATGCCTGTCTGCTCACGTCCGTCCGCGGTCTGTGATCCCAGCAATCCGTTTGGTTGAAATGCGCTACTCTGCTCGGCTCGTTCACATCTACTCTGCTCAACTCCGCCCTCAAGCTCCTGCGCTCGTTCTTCCGGTTGTCCATGAGTCGAGACAGTACACAATCCGCCCAAAAGGCCATTCGATATGAATCCGGCGCTGAGCCTATCTGTCTTGGGTAATGAGTCGAGTAACAACGTCGATGGGCCAGGCCCAAGAAGTCCAGTGGCTACAAATGTATCTTCCATGGCGGTTAGTGATGAACAGATGCACTAGTGTGCAATCGCGTCGAAACACGCGTCATCGTGGGAAAACTGACGCGACGCGTCTGTGGCTAGAGCAAATTGTGGCTGTATTTCTATTGAGCAATATTCAAGTGGGCCTAATCTCTAACAGTGAGCGAACGCATTGCTAGTTCCTTGTCAGACATTAAACTGGTGATGTCGTTCGCTCTTCCTACGAGGAGGAAGATTACTCTACCAAGCCATTTATTTCTCAGCAGCAAGTGGTTTCGGATTCATGTCCCTGGTTCATTGTATTTGCACTTGAGGATGCTCATACCATTGTATTGGAGTCCAACAACGCTCTCGTAGTCGGATGTTGTGTGCAAACCTCGATTAGTATCATGTGGAAGGTCCCACTTCCCTTGCTCCGTCACAGCACCGTAGATTCGCAATACTCCGACATTCTTATAAAGAGACGAAGTGGGTCACAGATGCGAGTCGAATACAGGATGCACAACACAAGCCGAGAGGTAATTACAAGTGGGATGGGGGCGAGAAGAAGTTGTGCGGCGTCGGAATCATCCAAGACTCGGAGTGACATTCGAATGACGTTCAACTGAGACTCGGAAGCCATCATGGCACGCCACGCCGTGCTCACGGTATGATTACAGCTCGAGATATGTTCCAACGTATATTTCAAACCCACAAGGACCATTGTTATAGTGACTCACTTACAGTGATCCTGTGCAGGAGAGAGTACTATAAGTACTCTGCAAAGTGCTTTCGAATAGACCCACGGTGCTGTACTGGTACCGACACGGTCCTATTGCCATCAACGATATTCGCCATGGAAGAGAATCTGTCATGGATAAGGAATGTCAAGGACTACATCCTTTTTTGTGATGTAAGTTTCGTCGAATGCGCACCACGTTCTTCTCACCTTTGCTGGTGGAAACAGAGAGAAAAACATTGATACTTGGGCCAAGCTTTGCATGTATTCTTTGAGGAACCTCGAGTAACGATATGCCTTTGATACACATTCAGAACAACTGAAGCATCTGCGTACCGAAAACACAACAAAAATGAGGCGGTCTCGCAGAGAAAGGTGTTAGAACTAGTGTCTTGAATATTGCTACAAGAACGGAATTTTATCATTATTGGGCAAAATACAGGGTACGTAGGGAGTAGTTTGGTATGAAAATGACCAGTAATAAAATTTCTGTTCTTGTACGGTTGTGCGCAGAGGTGATATGGTTTATGCGTGAAGCAAAGTGGTAGGACGAAGCGGTCGGTACGCAAGTCTTTCAGAGTGCAATAGTCCCTTGAAAAAATGAAACCTCAGCGCTCAGCCACAAGCGCGTTTTTCCATAAACGCGATGTACCGTAAGTGCTAACGTTGACGCGTTCGACGCGTCGCAACTTGTTGCTGGAGCCCACGACAATCCTTCTAATGACCTTTTCATGATATTCTATCTTTGTTAATAATTTGGAAAGAATTATGGGGCGCGCTCCCCGGTATGGACCTTCAAAAAAACATTGTTCTAAAGCCCTCAAGGATCAGCTCAAGCATGCTCGCAAGTGTCTTCGTAACAAGGAGAACATCCCAGTGATACCGCTTCCACGAGGCACGACTCCCTCGCAAGCTCCCACAGCATGTCAAGGTTCTCAAGAAGCAATTGGCTGCTTCAAATGAGAAGCTCATATACACCCAGGACCAGTTGCATCAAGTGCGCGAAGCTCACGCGACTGCCTGTACAAAGGCCAAGTACTTTTCCGCGCTCAATATCGTTGTTGACGATACGTTGCTCAACACAATGCTTGATCAGCCTATCAAAGATCAGCTCGAGCTTCACCGTCTCCTAGGTGAGGAGAAGACGATCCCGAAGAAATCTCCCCTAAGTAGTAAGCATGTACGCTTCCAGGTGCTTCTATTGGTTGTCGAGCGCTATGAAGCGCGACGGCGTGGTGAATCACTTGACGACGAAGTTAATTTCCTCAATTTAATCAATTCATAAGTCAAATATTAACATAGTAATTCAACGACGACACTAGATGCCTTTATTACAGTATTATTCACACATTTGCACATACTGCCACACCTACTACAGTCACTATACGAGCAGAATAGTTATAAGTGGCATAAATACACAACATTTCATAGTATTAGTAGCTGTAATTACTGTTATACAACCTCGCGCCATGTTTTCAGCGGACATAGGGGGTTTTTGCTTATATAAGTGGGACAGTTTGTTTGCGGGCATTGCCCACTACCACTTCGGTAATTTTCGGAGGGAGTCTAATTTCGTAAGTTGCCGAAGGTATTTCTTGGACTCAAACCATTACATTTGTCGTCTTCGTTTCATAGTCGTTCGCCGCAATGCTTACCGCTCGCGGCGTCACCCGTATCTCACGGAGAGCAGTCAATGGTGCAAAGAACTCCCGGTTCATCAACACCGTAACTCCTTCATTGTTGCGCGCCGCCGTTCCTTCTTCCGCGCCAAAACAAAACGCAGCTGTTCGTCCTTCCCGTACCTCGGCACCCCAACTCGGTGAGTTGGCACTCTGAGAGTGATCCTTTATGTCGCTGACCGTGTCCTATTGGCTTTTTCGCGTCTTTTATTCGAACCGGACGAACTCGGGACATATCATAGCTCGTACATATGCAACAGAGGCGACGGGAGCCGTTGGGACTGTGAAAACCGTCATTGGTGCAGTCGTCGACGTTCAGTTTGAGACCGATTCTCTCCCGCCCATTCTCAATGCGCTGGAGGTTCAGGATTTCCACGGCGGACGTCTCGTCCTCGAGGTCGCATCACATCTCGGCGAGAACTCTGTTCGTACCATTGCCATGGACGGTACAGAGGGTCTCGTCCGTGGTCAAAAGGTTGTCGACACCGGTGCTCCCATCCAAATTCCTGTTGGTGCCGCAACTCTCGGCCGCATCATGAACGTCATTGGTGAGCCCATCGACGAGCGTGGTCCCATCAAGGGTGTCAAACTCTCGCCAATTCACGCCGATCCTCCTCCCTTCGTCGACCAGTCAACCACCGCCGAGGTTTTGGAGACTGGTATCAAGGTCGTTGACCTTCTTGCTCCCTACGCTCGTGGTGGCAAAATTGGTCTATTCGGTGGTGCTGGTGTCGGCAAGACCGTCTTGATTCAGGAACTCATCAACAACGTTGCCAAAGCTCACGGTGGTTTCTCTATCTTCTGCGGTAAGTTAGACTCGAAACTTAGTGTCGCATCATGATCTTATTATCCTCTTTCAATAGGTGTCGGTGAGCGTACTCGTGAGGGTAACGATTTGTACCACGAAATGATTGAGACTGGTGTCATCAACCTCGAGGGTGATTCCAAGGTCGCTCTCGTCTTTGGTCAAATGAACGAGCCCCCTGGTGCCCGTGCTCGTGTGGCTCTTACTGGCCTCACTATCGCCGAGTACTTCCGTGATGAGGAAGGCCAGGATGTGCTGCTCTTCATCGACAACATTTTCCGCTTTACTCAGGCTGGTTCCGAGGTGTCCGCTTTACTTGGTCGTATTCCCTCCGCCGTCGGTTACCAACCCACTCTCTCCACTGATATGGGTGGCATGTATGTCCATTTATGTGCTCACCATGATATCAATTTTGACCTTGACTATAGGCAAGAACGTATCACTACCACTAAGAAGGGTTCAATTACTTCCGTGCAGGCAGTCTACGTGCCCGCTGATGATTTGACTGATCCTGCTCCTGCTACCACTTTCGCTCACTTGGATGCCACCACTGTGTTATCACGTGGTATTGCTGAGCTTGGTATCTACCCCGCTGTCGATCCCCTTGACTCCAAGTCACGTATGCTCGACCCCCGTATCGTTGGCCAGGAGCACTACGACGTTGCTACCGCCGTCCAAAAGATTCTTCAGGACTATAAGTCCCTCCAGGATATTATTGCCATTCTGGGTATGGACGAATTGTCGGAAGAGGACAAGTTGACGGTTAGTGTATATACAGACCGAGGTATAAATGGGTGCTGACAGCGGATCAGGTCGAACGTGCACGCAAGATCCAACGTTTCATGTCGCAACCTTTCCAAGTCGCACAGGTCTTCACGGGTTACGAAGGCAAACTTGTGCCTTTGAAGGATACCATCCGCTCCTTCAGGGAGATCCTTTCCGGCACACATGATAACCTGCCCGAGTCTGCATTCTACATGGTGCGTACAACATGCATAAGTCTGCTATTGATGTCCGTTGACGTGTCGAGCAGGCTGGTACGATCGAGGACGTCAAGTCCAAGGCTGAGCAGCTCGCCAAGGAGATGGGTGGTAACTAGGCGCTTCTTACTCACCGTACTTCCTACATACTCGTGTAGAATAGAGGAGGTACATGCACCAAAATTATCACTATATCCGCATATGCTTTTTGCGACGTCAGCCCTGAACCCTATCAATTCATGCCTGCATGGCATACGATTACTACTTGCACGAAGAAGTCCGTCGTCGTGTACTGAGTTCAGTAGCGAGTTATGTATGGAATCCCAGCAAACCCAACTTTCCTATAGAATGAAGTTGCTCTTGTCAATGAAAGCGAACCTTGTGATCATAAGGCGCTATGGCCGAGTGGTTATGGCGACAGATTAGAAATCTGTTTCGGTTTCCGAGCGCAGGTTCAAATCCTGCTGGCGTCGTATGATTTTTGCTCACGTGGTATCCAACCGTATCATGCACTTACGATTGATGTTGCTTCCCAAATTTAGCTGCATAAACGACGCGTTTTCGTTAGCTGTCATGCATACAAGATGCAAGTCGGAAGTGCAGACAGGCGAGAATCGGTAAATTAATTTAGTAAATGCCCAAAGGGCTTCTCGCCGATTATTACAATCGTCCAATACAGCGCCGTGTGGTCCTCGATATCGGGATGTTGTCCAGGATGACAGGATAGTGCTCTGTATCAAACATGCCTCCTGTAGTTGTGTCGTCTCCCCCACCAATTTGCAGTGCAGTGTGAACTGTGATAGTACAATGTTTCCGCTTGAGTTGTAAAAAAGAAACATAGGTCGTTTGCATTGAACAGAATTTACTGAAACAGGTCTCGAAATTTCGTCGTACGAGGGTGGTGGACTGGGCAGCTATTGTGTTTGCTTTGTGGATGGCAAAGGAGTTCGATTAAAATATAGGGGCCTGCCAAGTATGTGAATATCATGTGACAAAACTTGGACAAAACACAATTAAAGTTCACATTTTTTGACAGTGCTATTCGAGATCGAGCACTGAGTTGGACATTGGCAACCATTGCAAGTGGTGGCATGTGCAAGTCGTAGAATCTTGATCTGCTTTCGTGCATGAGCTGGTATACGATACGAGTACAAAAAGGATATGTATGTTTGCAGGTAATCTTGAGTTACAAGTAAGCTGTTCAAAGGTCTCTGTGTTTCAAAACGCACAAGTGCCGCTTGCAGCGAGGGTTGTATCTACATAAGTAGCCCTTCATTTTTACTTGAAAGCTGAGTATGGGTCGGGTAGGGACTGTATCATGGGTAACACTGTTGAAGACTTACCACTGAACCACGCCCGTAAGCTAGCCTGCGTAGTTTCATCACTCTTGTCCATGACGGATTGGTATGATTTGATGGCTTGTCCAAATCTACCACCATGAAGGAGTGCGAGGCACTATTGCTGGTTTGCGGTTTGCCACAAAGACTTGAGGTCCCACCCGAAAAGCTGCAAGTAAAGTTGTACATGAAAGTGATTTTATGGGATCATATCAACGTATCACGATAAATACCTGGTACATAGAATGAATTGCTGGTTTAAAAAAGAAATTGCTAGCGTTGACAGCGGCAGTAAGGTGGTCAACAGCTTCATCGTAACGCGCATTATCTAGAGAAATGATTCCCAGTCGGACATATAGATATGCCTGACATGCAAAACGCACAAAAAAAGTGTCGACACATAAACTTGGGTTTGACTGAGCGCAGGATAGTCACTTCCACGATACGACAAGGAAGAGGATCTGCATTGGGAGTGGCAACTAGGTCTTCGACGCGCAGCATTGCCTCTTCATACTCACTTGCATTTAAAAATGCAATGACCTGAAAAACGTAAGAAAGCACAGAACAAGTAAGAAAAAATATAACCTGCCTTGATCAAGAAAAGGATACGATTCGACTCTCCGCTCGTGAACGTGAATGCAAGATCAAATGCTTTCATTGCGGCCCGAACCTGCTTTTGTCTGCAGAGGGCCATGCCCTTGGAGATATAGCCTGTCAACGAAGGTTGTATGGCGACAGACTACGTCACGATCGAAGTTAGCTCATTTGAAGGGTCATAATTTGAGGTGCCTGTGCTTGAGGAGCAACCTCTGGCAAAGTGTCCCGAGGTACTGCCCACTCTGATATCTTTTTGTCTTCACCTCGGGCCACTGAGAACGTGGTGGCTATCCAAGGAGAAGGTGACACAGTAGATTGCATCGGAGTGCTTGAATATGGCGATGGTTTGTCGATCCAAGAGCTGCCAGAGGCGGACTTTTTTGTCATCAGATGAGGAGGCAACAAGACTGCCAGTGGGATTAATGGCAATATCGCTAATGCGGGCTTTGTGACCTTCCCAGCCATCACCGACCTGCTGCCAGGTTGATCTTGCATTGTTGCATCGCGATCTGAGCCCGCTGAGAGAAGGCGTGTGTCATCTGGTGTCCATTGTAGTGTGTTATTGAACGCATCTTCGATTGCTGCATAAGCCTTGAAAGTTGTGATACACTTCCTCTTGCCTGGATTCCATATTTGAATGTCGTTCTCTGTTGCAATGGCAAGATGTCCACCAGATGGTGAATAGCGAACCCAGCAACTTGAAACAATTGTTTGCTTGTAGGGAGCAGCGCAATAATTCATTGGGTTTCCTTGAAGTTGCCATGTTTCGGTGTTCCATAGCTTTGCCATTTCGTCCCATGGACCGGTTAACCAAGCGTTGCGTCATCTGGAGAAAAGTCTAACGTGAACAGATACGACGAATGAGCGGCGATGGCTCGCGTTAGCCTAGATCCGTCGGTGCCACTGTGCCAGGCGATCATCTCTCCATCTCTACACCACTCGCGATAAATTGCCCGTCCCGTGATACCGCCAACCCCTCTACGTTGCTGCTATGCCCCTTCAACTTCTTCACCTTCCGTCAAGTCCCACAAACGAAGTGTCGCATCATACGATCCCGTCACCATACGTCGTCTATCAGGGAAAGCTGCGACTGCGACGACGGCATTTTCATGACCTTCGAACGTTCGAACGGGTCTGGTGCTTGTAATGAGCCGCTTGGCCCGCGCCATTCTACTGGAGGTTGATGGTGTTAGAGCGATTGTGTGTGTCTTTCTCGCAGAGCTGAGGATGTGTCCTTTATTCTGCGTTGGAGCATTAACCTACCTCGTCCTTATTTTGCATCAATTGTGGCGTTCAAGCTTCGAGTGCCGCGAACCGCTTCCTTTGATTGCAGTGACTATAGGCATGTACAGCTTCTGCCAGTATCGTTTACAATTTGCATTGAAGAACACTTAACCAGTCGTTCAAATCCTGCTATCATATCTGCCATCTCGATCGTCGAATGAGCGTTGAACCGTTCACGGAGTCAGTACTTCACATGGTTTCATTTCAAATCTAAAGATCCCATTCGCACCAGATAATTGTAAGTACTTTTGGGAGTACATGTTCAAGGTTGAAAGGACCCAGAGTCCCACAGGAGTCACAGGACCTCCTGAGACGCTGTGCAGTGCCTTGTAGCAATGTACACGCACAGGCGACGTCACTGACGTGGCACAATAAATCACGGGTCCGTTCCTTGCGGTCTGTCCTTGTCACTCTAGAAAGTTATTATTGACTCGTATAAAAAGTCAAAACAATCTATGATACTACTTGGATACTACTAACAAATTACCTCCCGTCACGAGTCCGCCCACCGTTGACATCGTAGCGTAATGATCTATAGGCTCTTCTTTGCGGCGTTACTGTTTCCACTAAAGGGAGCACTGATAAGATGGCGGGCGAACTTCACTCCTAAGGCCCAGCCTGTCTCAGAGTTGCCCTCCGTGGACGATGTACAACTCGTCTCCCAGCCTCGGTCGTTGCTAGGCATGTTGCAGCGAGTCAAAACAGAAGAGGTGTGTGCAAATTTACATCGGGGTGCTTGGACGCTGACTATCCACGCTTCCTTGTTACACAGGGAATTGATGGGATGTATAAAGGAATTCGTAAGTCCCTGGAGCATTCATGCTCTCGAGACATATAATCATCTCTCTCCTTAACAGTCCCTACCCTTGGTTTCCTGCTGTTCTGGGAGCAAATGTATATCCCATCCTTTATGGTCATTGCGTTTCTTCACATCGCGGAGTATAACCGGGGTACTATCCTTATCATTGCTATTGTTTCTTCCATCAAAATTCTCGCAACTGTAGTCGAGACCGTCTTGGTCAATCGGTGCGTTCTTTTTTGGATTGGTTCATTCATGGGCTGAGAAAAGCATCCAAGGGCTGTGACGACTCAGGAAGAGCTCCCATCATTCTCCTTACGACGAGCGCTTGATGCATTGCTCTCTCCGACTGAAAGAAAGCGCCCTTATCGCATCTTCGTCATCCCAGGCTTTCTCGCGGCCACCACTTCATGGGTTTTATACATCGTAGGCACCAGTGCACTACGCCACTTTTTCGTCATCAAACAAATGCCGGAGCACTTTGAGAATTGGGAGGACGTAAAATCCTGCATTCCTCTCTTGGTTGGGGCCATCGTTTTCTCACTGGTCCTTAACGCTCTGGTGCTCACACCACTGGAAGTTATGATAGTTCGACTGTCTATCCAAGCCAAGGCGAGGCAGCCTATACTTCTTCTGGATACAACACCGGATGAAGATCATCCTGTGGGAGCTGTCAGGTAAGATCTCCCATTAACATGTTGACCATCTTGACGTCGGTCCTTGCCTCTCAGACTCAGAACTAATGAAGATGAATACACTGGACTTATCAACTGCGCGACACTGATCATTCGGGAGGAAGGTTGGGGTGTGCTTTATCGCGGGTGGTGGTGGACAGCCTTCCGTGGTCTTCTTTTTGTTTGACATTTTGATACCTCGTGGTCGTAGAATATAAATATTCGTGTTGTAATGGAACATAGGTACTGGTTGACAGTTGTTGATTACATTTCCAAGTGCGGCACGTAATGTCCGGTAGACCCTATACTTAGCCACGAGGCAGAATCCGAGATATCGATACAAATCAGTAACAAGTAGCTCTGCCAGCTCTCAAAGGGCTTGCATTTCGTGCGTGGGCTTTGATTGTACTCTCCACTTTCTTTTCCTGCCAATTTTCAAACAATGGTTCCTTCAATTGACGAAGTCGAGGAATACTTTCAGTCCCTCGAACGCTTTCTGGCAGATTCTCTGACGGCCGCCTCGCCTGATCTTCCAAACATCCGAGAGGCCGTTCACCGTCTTTGGGTTGATATTTCTCGCTTTGGACCACCAGGTCTCTCTTCATTCCCTGACATCCATGTCCCCGGTCTTGGGGCATTCGAGGTTCCTCCACGTCCGCCTCCACCCCCACTACCTAGGACCCTCATAGAGAAGACTGGTGATTGGATTACAGAACATCCATGGAAGAGCTCTGGCATAGCAGTGACAGCTCTTGGAGCTGGCCTACTTGCTGGCTACACTACCTTCCGTATGACGCACGCTCATAAGAGAAGACTTAGGTCGACTACTGTCACTCCCGAGAAACGGCAGGTTGTTGGTGCGTACTTCTATTCACTTGTTTTGCCCATTGCTGACATCTTCCCAGTTGTGTTGGGTGGTGATCACCCTCTGGGCCTCCCGCTTATCATCGAACTTGAGCAGAAGGGATATATCGTTATCACTAGCGTCTCCACACCGGAAGCTGTCGGTAGCATTGAAAGCAAGGGACATGGATATGTCCGAGCTCTTGTCCTTGACCCAAATGAGGTGTGCAACCACATGCCTCTTCTTCAAGTTTATACACTAATCAAACACCATTTAGCCTGGCACGATCCCAATTTTCCTTAGGTCGCTTGCGTCTACTTTGTCCCGGCGTTTCCCAATCACAGCAGCTGGTGACCCATATGCAGCCACTCATCCCCTTCTCCACTCCATCATTTCTCTACTTACACTGCCAATTCCCTCTATTCATACAACGCCAACCCCCATTGAACAGCTATCTTTACGAAGTACATATCTTCCGCATCTTCTCTCCACGCACTTTGCACCTCTCCAGACACTCCAAGCACTCCTACCATTACTCCGCGCAGACGCCCAGCGTGGACGTGGCCGCAAGTCCATCATTGTGTGTCTCCCCGCTGCTGATGCACGTGTTGGACTGCCTTTCGGCGGAGTCAGCGCCATGAGCGCAGCTGCTACTCTTCGTGCGTTGGACGTGCTACGCCGTGAAGTTGCTGTTGCACAAGGAATGGACTCTATCCGCATCGTTGCTGTCGATGTGGGCGTTGTTGGTGAAACCCCCGTTTCGGGTCTTGCAAATCCACACGTGATGGACGACTGGACTCTCTCGGAGAAAGCAACCTATGGTCCAGCGTTCACTGCACTTGGAGAAACTAGCATGGGTCAATCTCGTAGACCGGAAGACATTTCTGTCCTCATAAATAGCATAATCGGGGTCGTCAGTGCCGGAACAAAGACTACGACGGCAAGTAAAACGATCTGTGGCATCCGCGTCGGCGTTGGGTATGAGAAAATTAGAGATTGGATTCGTGGCGACCGATTTGCTGTTGGTGCCGGTGGTTCGTTGTTTTCCCGTCTTTCCACGCAAAAACGAGAGTTAACAATCGTTGTCCACGCAGCAGGGACATACACGTTTGCGTCATTCCTCCCTGGCGTGCTGCTAGATAGATTGCTGAGTCTACCCCACATATTGGTTGGCATCCGCAATTGGCTCTTGCCAGTGCCTCCTGCTCAGCCACCCACGGTCCCAGAAGTGGCCCCCAGCGTTCCATCCTCTACCGCGGTGTCCTTATTTCTACCATCATCTGCATCAACTTCCTTGACAGCGAGCAGCTCACCCTTAGCTCCACGTCCATCAGCTTCAGAGGCGGCTGCACCAGTACTTGAGCAGACTGAACCTCTTTCTGAGCCTGAAGATATAAGTGGACATGAGACAGGCTCTGAGGCTGACTTGGAAAGTAATTCTGGCGACGGCGATGCTTCTGCGGTGGAAAGTAGCTGGGTGAGCTTGGGGTCTCGTGGACCCACTGATTGAGGTTTAGGTCTTGCAATAGTTGATTGCTTCGTGCAATGTAGTAATGCGATAACTGAGGATACGATGCTATGATCTGTACTTTTTGTATATCTGTACCCCACAAATATTATTCCTGCTCGCAGACCTTTCTGCAGCGGGCGCTACTCTTGAGTACAAATTTATGCGGAAGGAAGTGGAGTGGTCGTTTTGAAATTTGAGGGACGCAAATACTTGATCATCGTCTGCTCAGAGTTGGATCCAAATAGGGACTCTGCAGCTACCTGGTAGCGCTGATTTAGACGTTCTGCCTCTTCTGCTAGTACACATAAACACAGTGATTGCCCAAGATTTGTTTCTTTCATTGAAATTTGGATGGGTGAGTTCATATCATTATTCGTTGTTGCAGTTCGACAAAACCAGGGTACATCAGGTCTCTCGCTGTGGCTGGTGCCCAATGCCGCCCAATTGCAACTTATCCAAGGGGTGTTGCCAAAGCAGCCTGAGACACGGCCGGTGTCTGCTGCTTCCTATCCGAATATAATTCCTCACATCACACTGGCAAGCTCAGGGAAAGCAACGCAGGATACAATTATAACAGCCCTACCATCTCCCTTGCGTCCGATCCCAGTCGAGTTTCGGAAGCTTGAAGTCGGCGATCATTATTTTAGATCTGTCTTCATATCTGTGAAGAAGACGACCGAACTCGTTGCGTTGCATGAACATATTATGGCTGCGCTTGAGAGGGATGGAGCATCGCCTTCAGCGCCAGCATTTCCGCACATGTCCATCAGCTATATCGCAGATGAAGACGGGGATACTGAACGGAAGAAGGCTGCCGATGAGCTGCGTGCTGTCACAGTAGTTGAGGGCTCTGAGACAGGTGGTGCGGGGACGGTTGTTCTTCGCTGTGGCGACTCCGAAGAAGGGCGTGTGTGGCTCTCGGGCTTTGAAGGCATGGAAGTGTGGATTGTTCGGTGCGAAGGACCAGTACAGCACTGGCAAGTGTTGCAGAAAATGTCAGCGACATCAGACGTTGCCTAGAATTGAGGACTAGGATCAGGGATTTACGGTGACAATAACGACGAGATTCCATTACTGCAGTATAGGTTTGTTACATGATGTACGAAATAAGGAGGTGAGGTGATACACTCGTGATATCGAGATTGGTTGCGAGGAATGACTGGTATGCGGACTAGATCAACGCAGATAAAAACAAGGGACAAGCAGAGCTGCATCAGCAGGACGAAAAAGCAGTACGACAATGGATCGAAAGAAAAAGAAAGTGCGGTGGACCAAATGCCTCATTATTACATGACAATATTAATGTCTTCGATTCGGGATGCGAGTGTCGGTATTGGTGTATGTGCAATTCAGAAAATTATGAGATTGATTTCCGATCGTCGTCATCGTGATCGAGGGTGAATGAAGATGACGAAGCCGATGGTGGAGGTTCGTAAAGTGGAAGAGGAATTGAGTAATCGATTTTGCGCTCTCCATTCGAGTGGAAGAGCTGAGAGTATGCGGGAAGACTCTGGCTGTATGGAGCGCTTTTCTGGAGCTCCATGGCACCCTCGATGATCAGAATGCTATCGGCGGCGGACGAAGTTACTGGGGCAGGCACCCGCACGTTCTGCATGGGCAGTGAAAAGTGGAGGCGTTCATAAACAACATCGCCATCGGGATGTTCGTAGGCGCACCGAAGCGCAATATGCATCATGTGGCACACACTGAACAGAGGACTACTTTCAGAGATGCGACGGTTGCAGGGCCCAGCCCAATCCAATCGGTGGGGCTCCTGTGCCAAAGGCACGCTTGCCTCGAGCACATACCAGTTCTCCGATGGAGAAGGGCTGATCGCATCACCATCTGGAGAGTCATGCGCAAAGACGTAACCGTCACCCGAAATGATATACTTCCCAGAATTCGAGGGTTCGAAGAGGGAGAACGAGCGGGTGGTGCTGGACCTGGAGGGATACGGGTTTATGAGAAGACCGACATCATAAAGGGTCTGCAACGAATGTGCATTCCGAAGGGGGACAGATGGAGGTTGTTGTGCCCTAGGTGGGACCATGAATCGAGTTACACGATCAAGGGAAGTAGTGCTCCTAGATAGACATGTCGTTAGTACTACGTATAAGGGATAGACAATAGTGCAGCACACCTGTACGTTTCAATCTGTTCAACGTCAACAGTGAAATCAGTTATGCGAAGGCGCTCTCGCTCCGAGGCGTTTAGTTCATTGCCTTGTAAACGCAGGATGAGAGGAACGGATGTCTCATCCATTGTTACTGCGTTGGGAATGGACGCGACGACCCGAATCTTCTTCAAAACTTCAGGGGGAATAGCTTTTGCATGTGTTTCTGTGCTATCTTGCCCTGATTGTGCATCGACGATGAACAATGCCATCGGGAAGATAGAGGTGGAAGAAGACGATGACGAGGGGGCCGAAGGGACCTCAATAAAACGAGTGAGAGTGATAGGACATATTGGCGCAGTGATTGTGCGGGTGCGACCGTTGAAAGGTGAACAAAAGCTGCTGAAAATGGAGGAGCTGCCATCCTCGAGATAGATAAAAGTTGCGGTGGCATACAAGGCGTAGCGCGTTCCGGCTTCAACCGCGCCTTGATCTCCGTATGTAGACGTGGTTGGCAACCAGCCGGGAACAGGGATGTCAAAAATGACATTCCAAGAGCAGGGCTTATCGGAATCTTCGTGTCCTTCGTTGGAGAGGTCGACAGGTTCGCCATTTAAAAGCTCGCGAGTGATGGAGCAGAGACGCAAAGGGGCATACCCAATGTCTGGGGTGATTACTTCAGACTGTCCCTCAAATGTAATGGTGAGCGACTGCAGCAGAGCACGCGTTGTGCTCCGCCGACGTTGGAACATGAACGAAGGTGAGCTGATCGAGACCGATACATGGCCTGCTAGAGAGAAGGCAGATCTAGCGAAGTCTATCAGCACAAGTGAGACGTTCGTCTTCGGTTCTAGCTTACGAAAAGTCTGCATCTCCGAACAACGCTAAAGAATCTGAAAAGGGGACGATGTCTATTGACACGGGCATGTCGACTGTCTACAAGACAGTAAGGGATATCTATAAGAGAGTGGGGGGTATCAGTGGCTGGAGCCAGGAGAATAACAGCCTTCTCACCAAGCGACAGACATCGTTATATAGGACTGCCTGTCACTCGGTTACACGCACTCACGGAAAGTTCAGCCTGAGCTTCGAAGGCAGAACAAAAGGCGCGTGGCCCCACCTCTGAAACGGCTGAGCTTCGGCATCAGCTCATATTGGTCAAGGCACGTTATCCTGGTGAGCGGGAACGTTTCCTCAGCCAAAATTCTCCTTTGTTTCGTAAATGGGTTGTTGCCAGGCCGTTGCCTTTGTGAGCGCACAAAAGCAAGAAAACAAGATAGGCTTGGTGGCTGTGCACTTCCCGAAATGAGAGACAATGGAAAAATGCTGCCGGGGCCTAGTGCTAGAGCGCTAGAGAGCTCAAAGCAGTCGTAGAAAGAAAAACTGCTCCAAAAAAGGAGAAGCACAGAATCTCGATGAATCTGATATAGAACACACGCATACAGGTCACCGCAAAGGCGAGACAACGTGTGTCACGGCTACAAAAACACGTCGATAATCACCCAGAGATACCCTATAAGCACCCCAAGTTGGTGTGCTTACCGCTCAGACATAATATCGCGTTAAGGACACGCGTAGGCGTCTACGCAAACACCTTGGACACTGCCAGTATATCTTCCTCCCTTTTACGAAGCTCTTTTCTCTTCGACGTCTCCTCCTGTGCTTCTTTCCGTTGCCGGTATTTGTCTCCTTTGGCATACCTGATCGCTGAGCGGACGGAAGCAGGTGTAACAAATTCTATTTGTGAAATTAGTGAGCAAAAACGAGCGCGATTGCTCCATAGTACGAACCAGGATTGGAATAAACAATTGCACCACCGAAAGCGCCTTCAAAAATACGGATGGGCGTCAGCACAAATCGGGGGCCAATCTCAACGAGAGATGTTTGAGGTGGGCCGTTTGGCTGCAGCGGATCCTTTTCCATTATCTGTGTGTGATGACACGGAGTCAACACTTGGCAATAAATTAATTCACGGCTCCAACATACCTGGAAATTGCGGAACCAAATCTTGTTATCGACGATAGAGAATGTCAAAACGTGGTCAATGAATGGTTTTGCTTTCCGAGCTAGTGGAGGAACGCCAAATATCTGTGTGGTGCAACGGAATATGATCACGCGTTAATGCGCACCGCTCAGCGATAGCCCAAGAACGTACATGCGTGAAAACCTCTTTCGTAAGCTTGCCCCACTCTGTTTCATCAAAAGCTTTGTCAAAGCTGAGGATGCCCCTGCTTCCTTTCAGACAGTTCCCCGTCATCTTCAGCTCATCCATCGTATGCACGTTTTGAACGTGCAATTTAATGCTGGGCCCATTCGGTGTTTTCGTAGCCCACATATACAGATCTTCATGTCTCCTTGCCTCAAAATAGAGCGTGTTATTGCAATTGTTGAGGTCTGCTATCTCGGGCAGGAGATTCAGCTGGGACTTAGAATCAAGTTTTGAATCTGAGATACATTCAATTAAGAACTAATGGATTTGTGGACAAAACCACCACTTTACCTTTCTTGACATGAGGTAGTAGAGCCTCAAGATCGTTCATGAGATGTCTCATGCGGTGCGTGATGCCCCGAGAAGACAGTAGCAGCACACGCTGTTTGTTCCTCTTCTGTTTAGGTTGTTGAACGTCGCCATCGTTGCCATCGATATCGTCCGCTTTTCGTTTACCTTTGCCTTTGGCGTCAAGTTTCGCGGCATAGGCCTTTTGTGTTGTAAGTAGTGGAGCCATTGGCTAGTTGTCTGTAGCTGTCTGGACTGAAATAGCAAAGATTTTTCGACGTCTTGGTTTACGTAATACTATCGCGCCGTATGTTTATCACCAGAAATGCGGGACAACAGGGTGAAAAAAAACATTACATAAATACTTGTCGTACCAAATACCAGCGGCAAGCAGAAGAATTGCTTAACCAAGGACCAAAGACAGGCAAGGCGACTAATATACATATCTGCGTTGTGAAAACGTTGTTGTTTTTACAGTCAGAACAAAAACGAAAAGAAAGCACAACAAGCATGCTTGAAGATTTGTCGACAAACGAAAACAAAGTAACAGTGCTCAAGTCCAAGGGGCCGCAGCGCGAGCTCAAGAAGATGAAGTGGACGTTCGTAGCTGCTTTTGCTTCTCTTGTTCCAACCGCTGAAACAGCTCACGCGTGAGGAAATTCTCGACATTACTTAGACAAGAGCAACGTACGTGATACAGCAGTTGTACTGCCATCTGAATGTTCGCAGGCTGTCCAGTTATAACAACCAAGCGCTCGTTTTCGTTACCTGCGGGCGCTGGAGCGCCGTTCAACCCGGCACCTGGTTCCATGATTTTGATCTGGCTAGCGCTCATATGACGGATTTCATTGATTTTGCTACCTCCCTTTCCAATAATGCAGCCCACCAAATCGTTGGGAATGTAAATTTGCTGGGTTTGCAGCTGCTGTGGTGGATTAGGTGGTGGAGGTGGAGCACCGTAGGGTTGCGACGCGTTCGCATACCCTGGCACATATGATGAGCCAGTATACGGAGGTCGCCGAGAGTAACTGGAAGGGCGGTAACTAGAGTGGCTGGACGAAGACGAAGAAGGCATGCGTTCTTGTGCTTCAATGAGGATATTGCCGATGTAGTAGGTTGCTATGTGAATAGCATCAGCAACTCCTGCAACACTCAGGACTCGCTACATTCACGCAAAAGAATGAGTTGCTGCCTTGTAATGAACTCCTGTTTACTGTACCTCAGTCGAACCAGGGAGCATGCCCTCGCTTGCATTCAGTCGTGCACCGCTGGCATCCTGGATCTCCTTGATTTTTGAGCCTTGTTTCCCTATCACAGACCCCATACGGGAGTTTGGAATCATGAACTTGATAGTCACTGCACGACTTCCAGGAACTGAAGGTACGTCGAAGGGTTCGTCATTGATCCGCCGCACAATCAAACCAAAAGCCTGTAGAACTTATGGTGAACAAAAATACGTGCTAAAATGATGTCCGTAGCTCACCTTGGATACTGCATCGAGAGGCCCGCTAACATTGAGAATTCTCTCAGGGTTACCGGGAATGCTCTCAGATACCATGACACGAGCTCCGCTCTTGTCCCTGATCTCGTTGACATGCGAACCACCCTTCCCAATGATGATTGACGCGTCCTGGGTGACGATCAGGCAGCGCATGTGAATCATGGCTGAGGGAGGGGCGGCAGCTGAGGACGATGAAGGTGGAGCAGACATCGTAGTGGATGATTTTCCGGCCTCGTCAGAACGAGTGCGGGACTCGTCACGTCGATTATCAGATGAGGTTCCCTTGGGAGAAGGAGTAGAGGCAGCAGTATCTGCGACGGGTGCGGAAATTTCCGTCATGTTCACATCGCGAGTCATAGACGTAGCGGTTGTTGAACCAGAACCCTGGTGCTTATCAGCTCGTGAGTCATCCGCGTGAGCCGTAGCGCCTGTGTTAGCACGCTTGTGATGCTTCTTCTCCTCAGAGTCAGAGGGGGAACGCGACCGCTTGCGGTTGTAGTCAGCTTCTGCCATTTTCGAAATTTAGTTCAAAATATTTTGGTTAGGGGGACGGAATTCTGGGGGTGATAGGCTTGATAGTGTGGTATCGTACGGTAGTGGGTTTGAAATGTCTGATGGGGGACGAGCGGGTGTGGTGAGGAAGACGGATTGCGGGTTGGATACGGACTGCATGCTACTGAAATTGACTTACCTCCTGCGACGATAAAGTTTTATACAACGAATAAGTGTTGCGAGAAAGTAAAGCTCCTGAAACGAAACTGGGTCAAAGGTTCTAGGACACAGAACGTTGTCAGAAACGAGACTTTAGTATACGTTGGCTTGGGTTTCTTCCAAGACAAACATGTCAATACATATCACAGCCACAGCACACCTTACTTTCAAATTTCGGGCAGATCCTCGACAACTTTCTTTTTGACCAAGGATCAATCCAACGTGAGGTCATAATGGCTGAAGCACGCGGAAAAGCATGGCCACTTGCAGATGAGGGTCTAACCAATTCTGTATGTTTCTCGAGTCACCATCTTTATACTGCTGACTCGTATCGTAGATCTTGGACTTGGTCCAACAGGCCGGTCAGTATAAACAACTAAAAAAAGGTGCCAATGAAGGTAAGTAACGTCCTAGCCCTTCATTACCGCTTTTCCACTCCTTTCGTCGGCCCTCGGAGAGTACCCCGTGTCTAATATCCACCTTTACAGCGACCAAAACCCTTAACCGTGGAGTGGCGGAGTTCATTGTACTCACAGCGGACACCGAGCCCCTGGAAATTCTTTTACATCTTCCCCTTCTTTGCGAGGAAAAGGCATGCTTACTTTAAAGCCATTTTGTACCATTCACCGCTAACTGTGGGCTTTATAGAATGTTCCATACGTGTTCATTCCTTCCAAGGCAGCCCTCGGACGCGCATGCAATGTATCCAGGCCTGTCATCGCTGCTAGCGTCACCACTAGCGAGGCCAGGGAGCTGCAAAGCCAAATCCGCAATGTCAAGATTGCGATTGAGAAGTTGATGTTCTGATGTTCTCATTACAGATAACTACGGATATCATGGTTGTTGTATTAATTTACATCTCATGTATGCATGGTAGCAACTAGATGTCAAATGGTGTATCTTGACCTTCCCGAGGTGTCTGGTGACAGCCAGTGACGCGCACGTTTTGCAAATATCGCGACTTCAACCTTTTCGGGGGTGCCTACTTCCCAGGTCCATGCAGTCATCTGTAGCCTTCGTGACTTTGCGTGGAATCCCTAAAATATTGAGCGAAATATTCCAGTGGGGCAAAAGGATGAAAGCCCATTCGTTCAGATGCGTGTTACACTCATGCTGTCCTTCTTCCACAGCTTGCGCTCAACATGCTCCATGGTTCCCCTAAAAAGAGCACGCATTTAGGCCAAATTCGGTACTCCAATGAGTCTCGGGCCCGTCTACGCGCGATATGCCAGTAGAACTACACGATTTCAGACCATTCAGGACTATAATATGGATCTAAGTGTTGCACAACGCCGATCGTGAATGCCGACTTATCGCTGCAGTGCTCCCGTCGACTAGCCCCTGTTAAGGGCATTAGATTCTATCGCAAACACGCATTGCAAGAACTTGATTGCACTGCTCACTGGTACGTCCCAGCCGAACTATTTTTAAAGGTTAGCGAACGACAGATACCCTCCCGCTCCTAGTTCCCCTTGCCGTTAAGTTCGGCAACACTTAACGATTCCGACAAGCTCACTTTGGGAAGCGTACAAGATGTCAAGCTTCAACTCATCATGCGTGGACACTATGCTAAATCCATTGAATAAAACAGCGGCTGGAACCTCCCTCTTCTACACATTTTCTCCGTTGACTTTGGCAGCAAACGGCGTGAAGACGCTGCTACCGCTGAAATAGGCACCTAAACCACCGGGGGTTACATGAGGCCGACGAAGGAAGTTAATCCGTAGGGTTTGAGATATGGTATCGTTCGTGACGGCACCAGAGGAATTCTATGATAAGTAGTACATACCCGCACTGATCGTTAGCTTGACGTAGGAAGTGCAAACCCGAAGGTATTATTATTGGACCGGAATGCCTGGTTCATGATTACAGATTTGCACAAATTTGACAAGTAATCTCTACAACATCTACAATAATTTATGTTGCACTTTCTACTGTCTGCGTAAGTAAAGGTATGGCTAAGTACTTGGGTGCTAAATTTTCGGAGTAATTACTTCCGAGTCGAGTGAATCCGAGAGCAAAAACTGCGACCAGCGTCATGGTGTCATCGCCGCGACCTCTTCTATGAATCTGGCCCACCGTCTTTCCCATGCATTCATAGCGGCCAGTTTGCTCCGTTCATCAAGCATGGAATACTACCCAGGGAAAATTACACGATGCAAGAGACATGCACAAGAACGTGACTCACGGTAATGCTGTCGCGGGCCATTTGGCCAAGAGTAAGGAGTCCCGTAACTTCACTTGCTACAAGTACCTGTAAATGGCTGTGATGAGTCTTGTTCCAAGAACGGACAAACAAGGAAGAGATCACCTGGAAGAAATCAAATGACAAACCCATATTATTGAACATCGCAGGGTCGTCGGAAGACAGTACCACCGGAATGCCTTGGTTCATGATTATCGGGAGGGGGTGCATAAGCATCGATGAGGTAAGACGCTATAAGTTGATGAGGTCAACGTAGGCTCGGATGCAGTATATACAAGACTTACTAGCACTTCATTTCTATTGAATGCTCAAGATTAACTGGGGGCGTCTACTTGCACGAGTCACTCACGATATGGGGCACACTTCAATTGCAATTTTCTTCTCTCGACAGATTTCCATCAATTTGGGATGCTTGGCTAGTGAAAAACTGTGCAAAACAAATCAGCGAGAACTTGATACCATACAATGCATCTAACCCGTGTCCGATACGCTTTGTCCCAAGCAGAATAGCATCATACAAATTCATGTCCGCTGCAGTGCCATCGCCTAGAGTTTCACCAGCATGAAAGAGGAACGGGATGTCCGGATGCTGCTCGGCGAAACGCAGAAGCGGCTCTGCGTAATCAATTAGTGGTTTACACTTCGGCCCATCTTCGTGGCCCACGAGATCAAAACCTGGCAGACAGAACTATTACAGCTAGACTCGCAGAAAAGCCGTGGAACTTACCAGCGATAAGGTCTGGGAATTCCTGCTTGAATTTAGAGCACTGATCTAGTTCTGCTTCCAAAACCTCTGGGGAGACAACTCTCAGGGTATTATAGACAATCTAGGAAAAACAAGCAGTCTGAGCTTGAGTAGCTTCAAGAGAGACCAAACTGACCTTCAACCCAGCAAAATCATCTTCCCGACCTTTCGCCTTCATCTCCGCCTTGATTTCGTTCGTGACCTCTCGGAATATTAAGAGTAGCTCACGTAATTCAAGTTCGGTCTTCGCGTCCTCTGCAAGTATATATCTAACGAATGTCAGGAGTCGCAATCACATTCGTATCTCCTTTCGACTCACTTGGTGAAGAAATTGGTTCGTACCTCAATGTATGAGATGCCATCTTCGATCGATGAGCGAATGAACAGCCGCAAATATTCCTTTTGAATCGGGACGAATCGGATGATGGGCTAAGGTTCATTAGTACAAGCTCACATCTTGACTTCCAGCACACCAAAGGCTCACATCGGTCACGCCAAACGTGCTCCCAAACTTCAGCCAAATCTGGGACCCTCGCATTAAAGACATCCGTCTAGCAGGTTGCATAATGTGCAACTCACTTTCATTGGCGTATTGTACGTTTTAAACGCATCGCTGGGATTGATCACAAAGGTGCTGAGCACCCACTTATCAAATCCTTCAGGGCCACCTAGTTCAGGATCGAACAACTCTCGCGCCTTGTTGATCGGAACCCAGCCACCGGTGTATGAAACATCCGTGATGCCAACGGCGTCGGCGGCGGGATACTGTTCCACAGGAATCGGCCGGATATTGGGCAGCACATTTCCGAGAGAAGACGCATCCAACGGGCCCGGGACGCGAATATGTATCGCGGGGTGACCCAGTGCCAGATCAAGCAACATTCTCGCCTCCACCGAGGCGTTCTGGTGTACATGTAATAGCCCGCCCTTTGGCATCTACAGGGAAACCGTGGTCGAGCAAATCAATGAAAGGAAGCACAGTAATTTACTATGCCTACTTTGGAGACGATTTTACTGTAGAGGTCCGTCTGTAAAATAATGTCTTTGGCTGTACACAGATGTGAGAGGGAGTGCCAAGCGTGAGACGAACATCATACCAGTTTAGAAACTCCATCCCTGGGTACGGGTGAGGAACATCCTCGCGATCAACTCCCCAAACAGTGACGGCTTCTCTAGCACGGATGGAGCGCACGACTTCATCTGCCTTGAGCTCAGCCGCGGTATAATTGGCACGAACATGGTCTATACGCAATGCGCGATCCTCTGCGATGAGCTTCTCACGTCTTTGTAAGTATTCGGCAAGCATCTGCGAGGACATCGTTGAAGGAGAGGAAGATGGTAGTTTCCATGAATTCGACGGCTTTATAAATGATTTCCCCTGTGGCGGATGTGGCAATGATGTCTCCAGTGGTTGTGGTGGACTGATGGAATATCTGGGTAACATTCCATCCAGTGGCATATCCACGTCAATGATGCCATACTGTGGCATGGCCCGATCACGATATACTTTGCTGTCGGTACGCTGTGTGAAGGATCCCTGTGCAAAATGAGTGACGAGTACTTGTCGAAAGCAAAAGTGGCAGAGTATACCAAAGCGTCTACGAGAAGAACCTGATCAATCCAGTGGAAGGACGCATTGAGGAACAGCACAGACCAATGGGAAATCCAAGGTTAGAGATAACGGTATTGTGTGCAGCACCGCCCTAGTCTAGGACCTGTTGGCTTGATCGAAGGAAGACAGTGGTTCCTCTGCACTGTGAGTAAAGGCTACCTGCTGCATAACTGGCAGTGCTAGCCTGTGTCAATGTCATGTGGTTAGGTAAGGTCGGAATGTACAAATGAATCTTAAATGGGACTCGGGGCTTGTTCGCGGCCGCGGCATCCATAGCTAGGCGAGGAAGCGACCTACACTATTATGATCCACCGAGCACAGCAGGTTCGCGATAAACTTACGCCTCTGATCACAAGGAAGGGTGTAGTGGATCTTTCCAGGTAGGCGCGTATCTACTGTGGCGACTTCCGTATGGACTCAGTCCGAATCATGACTCGGATGTTTTGGCTCCAGCTCGCGTACTTACTTGTAGTATGATACAGTACGTAATGATGGAGGCTGGATAACATCTTTGAGATCGTGCAGAACGGCTGCCAGATCTAATAGTAACTTATAGCTATAAAGGTAGAGCGATTCTGAACCTGAGCTCAAGCACGTCCCGAGTCTCACCTTCAGAACATAGTATGAAAGAAAATTGTATTACAGCCATTTGCAAAATGTCGGAAATTTCTATGGATCATTTCAAGGCCTAATAATACATTTAAGGACTGATTTTCACACACTGTATTGTAAGGCTTTGCAATGATGAAGATAATATTTGATGGCGCCTTAAAAGGCCATTGTTCCCACCTTATGATGCCTTAAAATAGCATCCCTCATGGGGAATATCATGTAAGCATTGCAAGGTCTTAAAAGGGTTGGCGCAATAATAGAAGATAAAAATAAGTTTCCAAGGGCCCAGTGTCATATCCTGTACCTCCGGATCCGGAATTCCAGATCTACTTCATTAAAGTCCGGTCCTCCATCTTGCTATTCTGCCCGGCGCTCTGCCTTCATCTCCGCACTCACCCCTAACTCCTTTTAGATTAGCTATTGCTCCGGTTACCGGTTATGTCCTATTCCGCTATGCTTACTGATCCGTCCATTCTTACTTCATTTCCGACTTCACTGCTTTGATCTGTTACACTTAGTAATAGACTTTCCACATGCTTCATACATAGCCCTTACCTTTGCTGACTGATTTACTTACATGATATGTACCTACAGTATATAAACCCCTGTAATACTCTGGAACTCCTCAGTTCGAATATCATCTTAGTTCTGCTCATTCCTGCAATCTCTGGACTTGAGTCTCATCTCTTGTCCACCCCCGAGTCTTAGGGGTTAAACCTTAGGACTACTTCTCTGGCTCTACCTTAGGGTAGTCTAACCTCTGTTCTGTTTCTACTCCGGACTTCCATAGTAGCCTTACTCTGTCCCCACATAGTCTTCCGGAGTTCTGCCGAACTCCACCGACTTCTGTCCTCTGGAATTCCCTGGACTTCCATCGGACTTCCCCTCTGTCCCCCAGAAATTAAGGGCATGTACTCGGGTAAGGGGTGCAGCGCACGAGCTGAAGCCGAAGCCCTTTGAGTAACCTCTCCCTTGAGCACGACCTTAACACCCAGATGCTATCCAATGATATTCTAATCTTTATCCTCTATTATCTAATCTCAACCATTGTTATCCAATGCTATCTAATCATATTGTAATCTTGACCATTGTTATCTTATTATGTTACCTATTACTATTTTAACTCTGGGTCATTTTATTTCAAGTTAAACTATTGTACTTAGAGGGATTAGAACGCTTGCCATTAGCATTATCTGAATCATTACAATTGTAGTTCATAGTACTCACCGGCATAGTTACCACTTGGTTATAAGGTCTCAGAATACATTGAAACCTGCTTCACTATATGGTGTCTTTGAGTGCCTTATAGGGATACTAGCAAGACTGACAGAATTCTGACGAGAAACAAACATAATTCAAACTATAGGATGAGATGCATCAAATCTAAGAGCCTTAGGAAGACACAACATAATACAAGGTAGCGACAAGATCAGATCAGTGCTTTCCCCTCCCTTTTCCCCTAGGTTTACTAGTAACTGCCTTGCTACCACCATGACAAGTAACACACCTGACTGGTTCAGGCTCAGGCGCATAGGTTAGCTCACTGTCAGCAGTGTGAACTCGAGGTTGGTGAGAAGATATGCTGCAAGTTGCCAATGCAGTTGGCTCAATGACAGCACCACTGTCCAGTGTCAACTGACTGATGCCCAACTGCAGCTGTGTAGTTGCAGACATGGATTGACCGTGGTTGACAGATATGGAAGTATGATAGCTGGAGATGACATCAACCACTGCCAAGCTGGCAGGGAGGGAAGTGAGAGTAGAAGTTATCCGAGTGGGAGCATCAAGTTCATTAAGGAGATCATCCTCCCATGTTCAAGCTTGAGTGGCAGAAGGAAAGTCATCAGAAGCTGGTGCTAGACGTTGGCCAGTAACATCAAAAACCTTCTTGTTGAAGTAGTCCACCACAGGCCCACAGAGTGCACTTGAACAAACGCTCCAAGTAGAAATCATAGTCTGCTTGGTAGTTGATCTTTGTCTCTGCACTGGTGTGGGTACAACAAGTGCAGCAGTGAGAAATCAATCTACTGCACAGTTGGGTCTTTGCTGCCTGCTGCCTCACTTGAGAACAAGCACATTCGGCCCTAAAGGGGATTGCTACTGGGGAGTGCTAATCTCTGTCTAAGCGACCCTAATCAACCCTACCGCAGGTAGGATGAGGATCCACAAAAATGCGGAACAAGTGGAACAAGTGGAACTCAAGCTGAACAAGCGGAACTCAAGCGGAATGAAGCAGGGACTCAAACAGATAAATTGCAGAACGTACAGATTTGTCGGAACTTGCTGATTGAGTCGATGGAAGTATATCACAAGGTTAGATCGATAGTGGGCATAAGTCAAAGCGGTCCTCTAGTAAGGTGAAGGAAAAGTGGGAAGGTAAAAGATGGGATTCAATAAAAAAACACCCAAGCCCTGAGTACCACTACTTGTAGGGAACATTATTTTCAAGGAACACTGAGGTACAGGTAGTAAACTTCTCAGGAAGTGGAAGTGAAGGCAGGCAGTGCACATGGGCACAATACTCCGGAATAGGGGTCTGTGCCATAAGGGCATGTGTCAGTGTGATCCGGATAATGTTAGAAGCAATGGGAAGAGAGATACAGCATACCAATGGACCTGGAAGGATGGGGACAGGACATGCGAAGGTTGTCTGATGATGCGTGGGAATATCAGATAGTGCAGGCGGGTTCCGAAGGATGCGTGGGAATGCGGAACCCATTGGACGATGTGTGGGAAATGCGGAATGTGTGGAATATGGAGAACTGATGTGAGACGATGTGGAAAGGACGGGGTTTTATGCCTACAGTGGGGGAATTCCCCACACTGGTCGCAGTAAACTCAGGATCATGTGTCAACAAAAAATGTGCCTATGAAATCAAGTAATAAGTAGTAGAATATAAGACAACACATTCACTCACCATAACTGCAGCACCTGCAATTAAACCTTTGGTGACACATTGCGCATTGCAGCACTGTCCCCTAGCCTTCTGACCCTTGGTCTTTCCAGAAAGTATCTTCTTCCTGTACATTTCAATGTGAACGATCTGGAATGAATGTTGTCAGCACACCAGTCTTTCATATTACACCATAACCAAGCATGTACTTACTTTGACTAGTACAGGATTCTTGAGGAACTCATCGGCCACCATGGCATCTGGTCTCGCAAACAGGATGGGTGTTAGCCGAATGTACTCTCCCTTGCCATTCTTCTTCAGCAGACGAAGGAGGTCATGGTTGTCTCGCTTTCTGGCATCTGTCTGAGATGAAAAGAGAGTGGGGTCAAGCTTGAGCATTGAGAAGATGAGACTTGCACAGCTCTTGATAGCGTGCACAATATTTGACTGCTCAGTGCTAACTGCAGCACGAAACTGAGAAGAAATATCATGTAAGTGGGTTGTAGGACAGAAATGGATGAAAGAACGTACCAAAGAATCGAATGCTGTATATTTCTCCATGGACTTGTGCAAGTCCTTGGACACACACTTATATAATTCCGCCATGGCACCATGGCACCTCGCCTTGGGAGATGCCCAACGTGTAGGACTACATGGGTCATTGTCAGGCTGTGGGGTCATTGGGAAGACACCAGGGATGACCCAGAAATGATAGAACAATGTGTACTTTTTCCCTTTGGCAGTGATTTTCGTGTCGAGAGTGGATGTCTTCTTGAGTGCATGGTTACGGCTGCAGGCAGGAACAGTAGCTGAGAGTGTAAGGTAGTCCTTCTTGAGAGCTTTAAGCTCAAATCATAGTGAGTTGTATGCTTGCTGCACAGTTTCGAGTGCCTAGATACATTGAAATTACATCAGGGTGAGTAGTAGAGTAGCAGAATAAATGCACTTGCCTTGTGAACCTTGTGCATGGGTGCTTCCGGTTGAGGGACAGTGAGGATTGTCCTCAATGTTCCAAGCTCATCACCGCTTGAGTCTTCACCATCTGATGTGTCAGTGTCACTAACGGCATCAATCTCGGCCTCAAAGTTCCCACTGTCTGAATCATTGAGAGTCTGGAGCATCTCTGAAACTAAGGCTGTGATGAGCTGGGGGTTGTTGACGGTACAGAAGCAGTCGGAAACAAACATGTGCTCCAAGGTTATAAGGAGAATTCTATCCTTATCTCGGTTATTGCTGCAGCACTGCTGACGTCTATTGGCATGATAATGAGTGGTGATAATGATAGTGAGATACATTGACAAAACTTACCTGTGCATTGATGGATCAAATCATACCCTTCATATGTACTTTGATGCGAGCAGTATACCGAAAAAGTGTTAGCCAACTACAATGCATAAAGATATCAATTGACTTACCATGAGTGACCTGTCTGAAAACTGCCTCGTGCTGAGTGTTACCAAGCAACAGGCAGTAAATGTGTATTGGAGGTCAGGCGAGATCCGACCGCCACCATGATTCAGATGGCTCCAGTCCAATACATATTAATGTTGAAGGTCTGGGGTGTAGCAGTGCTAAGATGGTCACTGGGGCCTCGAGGCAATATGCGCAATTACTACTGCTGCAGTTGCAGTGGCTGGCGAGATTGGAGGAGATAGAGAGGGAGGGGGGCAACAGAGGCTGTGACCGTCATGAACAATGCTGCTGCTGTGGTTGTGGTTGCGGTTGCTGGCGAGATTGGAGGAGATGGAGGGGGGATAACAGTGGCTGACCATGAATAATGCTGCTGTGGTTGCAGTTGCTGGCGAGACTGGAGGAAAGGGAGAGGGAGGGGGGTAACAGTGGCCGCGACTGCGAACAATGTTGCTGCTGCTACTGCCTGTCATATACCTGATCCGACTGCTCCAATATTGATATCCGCTCCGCTTTCCGACCCCTCTGCCCCAGTCATCCTCCGCTCCATCCTATCACAAGTCCGCATTCTGCCCTATGCTTCTGCTCGACTGCTCAGCCAGTCCCCTTCCATAACCTCTCCATTCAACTGGAGCTCTTTCCCTTTTTAGATATATGCCTTCCCTATTGGTACATAGACCCTTACTTCCGGATGACCAGTAATTCCTATTACCACTCGATCGCTGATCCAACGCATACATATTGATATCCGCCCCGACTTATGTCTTCGCCTATGTAAAATACTTACAAACTATATCCTTGGTACATAGCCTTACTGCATAGTTATCCTGATCACTGCCTCATACATAGTAGTATATAACATATCATGTACTTAGATATTTTTCCTCAGTCTTAATATTACTTGTCTTCTTCGCAGTTATATCCTGTGAGAATTCTCAGTAGAACCTTGCCTCCTCTGGACACAAGTCTCAACTTGTTGTCACCTCCGACCCTCCAACCCTCCGCTCTGACTTAGAGCCATGCTCTAAGTCTTCCCCTTATTACTCTGCCCCTATCAAATATCCTCCTTTGCCCCTCTGCATCATCCTCCGCCTTTCCCGCCCCTACCAACATTCCCCTGCTCCCATCCCCTCTCCACATCACTCCCCGCCTTCTCTGCTCCGCTCCTAGTCAGCCCACCACTAGTAGCTCTTACTCCCCGACCCTCAGAGTGGACCAAAGTGGTCCAATCGTCCTACCGTCGGACAATGTTGGACCCGCTCCAAATTCGGGGCACGTACTTGGCTAAGGGCACAGCACAAGAGCTGAAGCCAAGCCCTGACCCCTCTGCTTCCTGAGTCAGCACGGTATCTAACACTGCCACTGCCATTGTGGTTGTGGTTGCTAGTGAAACTAGAGGAGATGGAGAGGGAAGAGGGTAACAGTGGCCGCGACTGTGCAAAACACCCTGGCAGTATAATGTATTACATACTGTAATTGTAGAAGGTATGTGATATATCCACACCTTTAATCCTTACATGGTGATGTATCCTGTCTGCTATGCCTTTCCCGTGACTTGCAGTAGCTGATACATCACTGTCTGATGTATCACTCTGGGTTTCCTGCACTGGTGCCATGATATATCAGTGATATATCATACTGTCTGGTCTGTCTGATGTATGATACTGTTTCCTGTACTGCCGCCATGATATATCACTCATGACTCAGTCGAGGTAGCTAATATATCATGCTGTCTGGTATGCCTTTCTTGTGACCTGTGGTAGCTGATACATCACCATCTGATGTATCACTCTATTTCCTGCACTGGCACCAGTGATATATCACTCTGTTGAATTTACCTGTGACTTAGTCGCTGATATATCAGCATGGTATGTGCCAAATTAAACATAGAACATAAACCTCCGTCATGCATAAAACTTCTACCAAAAACGAATCTGTATGTATGCTAAAGTATTTGTATTAGTCCACGAGAGGCACAGCAGTCCATGAGGGGATGGCTTCCCACAACAACCTGAACTGTGCAGACATTCTCCGGCATAGCATTGCCTGGCAATGTGCATATGCAACTGCCCCCTCTGTGAATGCAGACGAGACAAATTGGTGTTGCAAGCCTTGCGCGTCCCACCATCCAGCCTGCCACTCCAAGAAGGCAAGAACACAATGCATTTCCTCACACAGGAGCTGGACTTCCTCCTCCCACTGATGAGCCCGTGCCCGCGCCTTGCACCATTCCACACGTAATGCTACAATATATTAATTGAGTGATACGCAGAGTCATAATCAAAGACTTACAATCCTGCAGTCCTTCCTCCTGATTGTTTGATACCCCAGCCACTTTCCATATCCATGAAATATTCTGTTGGCCGACCGTCTTCCCTTTGTCGTGTTTGAGTGGGACCGCATCTTTTGTCCTGTCCAGTGGCTTCAGTATCCGCCGCCAGTCATCATTCTTGCCTAGTTTCGATGCAAGTATAACAAGTGCGTCTCGGGCAGCTGTGTACTTAGCTGATATTGCATCAATTTGGCTTTCAGCAGAATTGATGATGCCATGAGCACGAGTGTTCGCACGCTGACCTCAAACGAAGGCATCCTTATACTTGCAGAGGTGATAGGTCATGTTGATGACAGCGCAGAGGTCATTTAGAGCATTGTTTGCCTGCGCTTGACGCAAATCCCATTCATACTTTAGTAAGCGGTTGTCACATGGGAATGTCGGGGGCAGTGATGAAGGGAGAAAGAGGTTGATTTTGTGGGCCTTGTCCTCAGAGGCAATGTCATTGGGTGAACGCAGGCAGGAGACGTAGGGCATGTATAACAGTTGTACTCAGGACCAGGTGTGAATCCTACGGTGGAGGCTATTGATGTGTTGGAGTATCTTGACTTTTTGGGCATCTGTGGCATGCTGTCCGATGGTCTTCGCCTCAAACTCAACACATTGTCTACATGAAGCTGTGTGAGCGATGACTACAATACTTGTACCTGAATACTTACTGTTGATCCTCTAGTTCCATCCCCGATGATATAAGGACCAATGGTGATATATCATTGTCTAGGGATATATGTTCGCCACACTCGATTTCTTCCACCTTGGCCTTCGATAATGCCAGATGCATGGCAGCCTGGGTCACAGCTGTCAAATTACTCCTCAGTGACACAGATTGTCAGGTACAAAACAACGCTCACTAGTCCTTGCTTTGACTTCAAACGGATTCGTCAAGGAGCAGTCTGACTCCCACATCTCAATCTCTTTCCGCCATCCAGCTAATTGATCTGCATCAAGGGCAGCCTCAAACTCCTTAAGATCACCGGCACGTTCTTCAGCCTTAGGTATTGCAGCCTTATATTTACAGAGGAGAATGGTGCCTGTGAGTGCAACTTAGCATTGAATTGTTATTGATAGAATAGTAAGTTACCCATGGTGCAGACCTTCTTCCAATTCCAGTTGTTAAAGTGGTCATCTACAGTGTCTTGCCTCGATCCAGGTCCCATCTCACGAGTGCTTGTAGTGATAGGGTTAATATCTGCCCACCTGCGCTCCGGGGCTTCACCATCAGTCCGCCCAACACCTTTGATAAAGTTAAATGAGAACCTCGTTTGGCAACTGGCGATGTGCACTGGCAGATGGAATTTAGGAACTAGGAATGTGACAAGCTTGTTGTCGTGGTCAATACAATACTCATGTGGGAATGCTGACATGCGTGACCAAAGGTTTTTGTTCCACTGACAGGCAATGTCATAAGATATATTAAGGACGTGAATGTTGTGTGAAGACCGCATGCTTGAAAAAAAAAGATAATCCATGTTGATGTACCTATTAATGGTGAGTTCAGAAACATAGCTATGATGCGGTAAACAAAAGAAAGCACCTCTCCCCCTTTTGTAAGTCACCGACTGAACACGGTCGCTTGAAATTGTGCCATGCACAATTAACTGTGCCTACACCCATTGCTGCAAGTCCACACAAAGCTCTCATATCCGCCAGGTTCACAGCGGAGTGGCTAGAACATGTGCTCTTCTATGTTTAATCATAGTTAGTGCTATGACTTGGGCAAACATATTAAACTTACCTCCTGAGCATTGCCCACCCTATTGCACAAAGCCAGGAAGTGCTTGTACCCAGTCTCCTCCACGAAAAATGTGTACCCATGATTCAATCCAGGATCAATGGTGTCTGATGATACATTATGCCGAACCAGTCGGAAATTGGCGTCGATTGCAAGGAATATCGCATATAAAAATCTGTGGCCGAGTTAAGAATGAAAGTTAAAACTTTTATCAGCATGCTTACTGGAATTCCGGTGGAGAATTTTCCCACCCAACAGGTAGATTTTTGTTTGGATGGGGACAGGCAGGGCATAAGACAGCGCAAGCACCAGCCTCTGTTGCTTTAATGCCTCCCGGATGATGACCCTGACCGCAGTGCTTCATTTGCATCACAAAGCGCCATTCACGTATCATCCGGCGGAGACTATCATAACGATCCTGAATGATACATGTCAGTAAGGATGTGTTTGGACGCAAAACTACATTACCTACCTTGAGGACATTGCCTGTGTTTTCCATGAGGCAAGCAACTGTATTGTAAAACTCCCATACCGATACTTTAGATTCAAAGGACAGCATTTGAAAATACTCTAACACGCGAAAGGTGGCGGCTGATTTAGGGTCTGACGTTGTGGCAGGAAACAAGCGAACACGTAACAACTGAATAATGTGCGGCTGAGCAGACTCACATCCACAGAAATCAAGTCCGACTTCGTGAATACCATTGCAGTCGAGGATAACGAAGTCATTGTTGAATGCAGGGATCAGATTGATGCATTGGACACCAATGGGATGCTTGAGTTGAAAGTGGGCCCCCAAGGCCTTCAATGTAGTGATCTGAAACGAGGTACCGTTCCAGCACTGCGGCAGCATTGTACATTCAGATTGTTATTTGGGAAAAAAGAGTGTACATACCTCAATCCTGTGAAACGGCTGCCTCTTGTGTATATGCACAGCACATGTGGGACACATCAACTCTGCACCATGACAGTCTTGGCACCGATACATTGGGTCTGCTTCCCTGCAGAAACACGTGGCTTGTGCAAAGTCACCACGGCCCTCCAAGTGAAGAAACTCTAGCAGAAAGAGGTCAGCATCCGAATTCCACAAGTGCAAAGGATCATCCTAAGGAGACCTTAGTTAGAATCGCATCAACAAATACATGACTTACTCCAGCAGTACGATTTCGCTTGCCAGACCCTGCAAATGTGCCATAAGCATCCTCGCTAACATCATCGAATGATGAAAAATCAAAACCATCTGTTGGTAGATGGTGTACATCTTGCAAATCAGAATCTTGGAATCGGCATTTGGCAGGTGAGTGCAGAACTGTGTAGTATACTGAAGAAACAGAAAGACAACCACTGGGTGCTGCCTCAAAGCTAGTGTGTTTGCGCTGCTGCTCCTAGCGAGTCTCTTGTGGAGTGTCGTTGGTCTCATTTCTCACTGCTCTTCCTGCAGCATCATTGTGAGCAAAGAAATTGTGCTGGAAGTGCCGGAGTGTTTGCTGCCTCCAACTAGCAACCATGGTTGATGACAAAATATTTAGTAGACAGTGTGCCCTGTGCCAAACATCGGTTTTTTCCGGTTCTTTTACCCCTTAGATCCAACTGTGACTACAGAAGTACTTATTATGACAGTATTGACCAAGTTAAGACAATGTAATCAGATAACATGAAAACACAGACGCACGACTCGTTCAGGAGGTGTTGCCAGCTGAGTGAACCTGCTGACACAGCATTGTCATATGCTTCAGTATCCCCTTGATCTACCAGGGCAATGAACTCCCTTTCTGCAGCAAGTCGTCGTGTTGTCAGATGGAGCAATTGCTCACATTCCTGTGATAGAGCGTTGTGCCCGATCCCTGGTGCACATAGCCATACACTCTCTGCTAGGTTGGTAGCGCGCTGGTGCAAATTGTGCACAAAAGTACACACATCTTCGAGTTCAGGGGATATTACATCCCATCCTTCTGTATCAATGTGTTGGAGTACCGCAAGAAAGCGACTCAGGATGGTATTGTGCTCGGGAACTCCTGCTTTGTAGCCGAGCTCCATGTATAGTGTATCAAGGTCTTGAAACATGGCAATAATGGACTTTGTGACAATCATAGAGATGGTGTTCAACATATATCATGCGCTGTCACTCAAGAAAGACGTACATTGCTCATTTGAGACTGTTTTCGCCAATGATTTCATGACTTTGCCTGCTCCATAGCTTTGTTTCTAGAGTAGCATAACAAACCAAACGACCATTAATTCCAGAAGACAGCAAATTAATCAAAGCTGACCTTGCATAGTGAGCTTGCTTGCTTTTCAATCTAGCATTGCGACGATCTTCTTCAGACTTGTATTTTGGTGGCATCAATGATATCCGTAAGCTTTGAAGGGTAAGCATTTGCAATCGATTTGCACACGGGCCTTTCAAATGGTAGCCACACTTCGGGACAGACAGGTACTACACCCTTTTCAATGATGGCCGCACTTCAGGACAGACAGGTACTAGTATCTGCAAAGCTAAGCGTGCCAGTTTGATCCAAACTGCACTCCCCATTTGGACTAGGCCAGTAACCTCTATCGTACACTCAGGCTAGTAGTCCTCTCCACCAATGAGAGCACTCGCTTAACATTGATGAAAACTAGGGAAAGCTTCAAATTGTCAACGTAAATAGAGGCTCTCTCAGATGTACACCCTTTTCAATGATGGCCACACTTCGAGACAGACAGGTACTACACCCTTTTCAATGATAGCCACACTTCGGGACAGATAGATTTGTACATTCTAGTACACAACACACAATCTCAAATAAATGGAATTAAGCCAAGAATTCTGAGTTGCATGCAAAAGCTTACAGGATGGGTTTGTCAACAAGTCATATAAGACTCGTTGAGCATGTCCTACTCATGCGCAAAAGCTTATTGAGTCACATAAGACTTGTTGAGCACATCCTGCTCATGCACAAAAGCGTATCAGACATTAAATCCAGAGTAACCATAGCAAATCGTTTATAAGACCCATTGAGCACGTCCTGCAATTTTAATATGTACAACCATGGCAAAGGGTTTATGAGACCCAGCAAGCATGTCCCACAATATTTTAATATATACAAGTGATGGAGTATCTATAGTATAGCTGCCTTGCCACACCACATGTTTAACATACACCAGAGATGTTCCCTGGCCTGCAGAGAGTGTGCTAAAGTAATACATGGAAGTGCCGGTAGCACGAAGTTTACAGGCAGTATAGCTTATTATGTATCATTAGAGATGGCATGGATCAAAATAAAAAAAAGACCATGTACATGTCACTAAATAGTCCAACTCCAGAATGGCCCACACTTATGAACCAATTATACTGACTAGCAGGGTCAATATCAACAAGTGTTTCGGCACTGGTATTGACATTGATGGCCTGATATTCTGGCGCATGTTCTTCCCCATCACTGGCGAGAGGGTCGGACTGGGAACTGGACAAACCATCAGCAGCAACATCATCCACAGGGCCAATCCAAATGTCATTGATTGAGACATTGGTGTGGTCCTCTGCAACATTTGCAAGGCCATCACTGTCTGTGTCATCGATTGTGTGACGACTCTCGACTATTTTAGTCTCAAGCAATCAGACCAGGACTCAAACAACAAACAAGAAAGAGGGAAGGAGAGTCACGACGATGGCCACTAAGAACAAGTGTTCTCAGGGGTTAAGTCTAGAGCTCACACGAGGGGAAAGAGAGCAGTAGACGTCAAGTAGATTCTCTATGGAAGGTACAAGAGGTTTAGACTAAAGAACTACTGACTACCGACTAGGGTTTATATACTACAAGAACAGTGCACGGACCAAGACAGAAAAGGTAACAACTAAATAGGAAGGCGAGAATAGAAGCTTCAGGTATAAGGGTTCAGATCATAGGTTCTGATAAGAGATCGTATCTGAATAGAAGAGAAGAGACGGTGATTAAAAGAGGAAAGATCAATCGTGAATCTGACGGAGATTAAGTGATAGGAAGTGCTATGGTTCTAGCTCGTGGAGTAGGGGAGTCATCAAATGGAAGATCAATCGTTACGTTGATCGGAGATGTGACCGGTGATATGAAGGGTGCAATATGGGCGTAGGGTACTGGCGCTTCTGTGACGGGTGATCAGAATGCAGGGTGATATATGTGATGGGTGTGAAGAGGTGAAGTAGTCACGTGATTCAGGCGTTTAGACTTAGATGCGACGTTAAGATAGGAAAAATGATTTGTGCATGGAACTCGTGACAGATTGAGACGTCGGTGTTGTCCTCCGTAACATTCGTGAGGCTGTCGCCATCTGATTGTAAGTAGAATCAGCAAAAAAAAACTAGTAAGCAAGTCAGATGTACCATGTTGTGCATGAAGTACACAGTCTTCACCTTCCGGTCGATAAGGCCAACCATATGCTTGTGGAGCTGAGGGGGGGACTTTGGAAAAAGTATGTCAGTTAGTGCTATAGGAACTGGAGTAAACAACTTACTGTATCCGCACTGAACCAACCAGATAGCCTCAATGAACTGCTTGAGTGTGAAGCAGGGATGAGATAGCATTTGAACATGATGGTTGTGGGGGCACCTGATATCTGAGTGAGACATGTTTGTAAAGCTGAATGAAGGCAGTAAGTTCAGGTTAGCGGTAAAGAAACAAACTGAAGTGCCAACATACCTGCAGATGCAGAAAGAAAAAAAAACTTAATCAATTCTTTGAACTTCTGTACCCAAAGTGGTTCAGCGATTTCCCCGAACACATGAGAGTTTGGTCAAGTGAAAACTCACCCAATGAGGACGCCGACATCAATCAATCTGGTCTGGACTTGGAGGAGGCCATCAATGAGGTCAATGCCGAGCTGGATCGTGAGAACAGTATAAGTGATGTGGAAAAACTCACCGAGTTGGATGCAGAACAGACAAAGGTGCTCAATGACGCCATCAACCATCAATGTAAAGTGTGTTTCTTGATTCTGAGCTAAATATAGATTGGAATTCTGATTAGCGATTGAACAGAAATTGTGGGAGTGGTTTCGAAACAATACCAAAGGAAAGACTACACCTGGCGGGACGTCGACCAGCAAAATGCTATCCGCGTTGCTTGGCCAGCGTGCATGAGGCACCTGAGACCTCAAGGAAATTGAAGTGTACTTGCAACTTCACTACGAGTCAAAAGTCAAGCCCTTAGTTTCTTATGATATCAAGGAGAATAAACTGGTACTACCTGATCAAAAGCTTCGTGCTGTCCAGCAACACACAAGTGAATGTTTCGCAAAGGAGTCAGAAGATGTGAAGGACGATGTTTGTGATGAGACGGTACATATCAATGCTGCCAGAAAGTTGGGATCAGTTGCAGTGGGGCAAGATCGGACAAAGGAGGAAATTTACCAGTAAGCGATTGTTTGTTTTGTCTGACTTCAACTGATTAATTACTCACTGATCAAGCGCAATTCAAGAGTTGCCCATCGTGCTGGGTCAAATATTTGAAGAACTTTCGACTTTAATGGGAGGATGGCACTACTCACTTGTTATGGGTGGACCCAACCCTTTGTGCGAAGGCGATATCATGACATTGAGGTGCGTTTTCTTACTATTACATTCACAAGAATTTGATTCATCACCATTTGTTAGTTATCACCATGGTAAAACCCTGGAGGGTTTGAGCTTTAAGGTGTCAATGCCTAACTTCCACAAACAATTTTTAACACCGTTTGAAAGACACCTGGGTCGCATATATAGTATGTATCATCCTCAATTACTTCATAGCATAACAACTGATTATTATCAATAGGTTCTTCTGCAAAGGGAACTTCGGTTCCTACATCCACATCCGGTTCACCTCCTCCATCGACTACCGATCTCGCTTCACCATCTGCACCTAGTTCGCCTCCTTTGTTGACCATGGACCTCATTCCAACATCCACACTCACTTCGTCTCTTCCTCCATTGACTACTGACCTCGCTTCACCATCTGCACCCAGTTTGCCTCCTTTGCCTCCTCAATTGGCCATGGACCTCATTTCAACATCCATACCAACTTCATCTCCTCCATCGACCATGGACCTCATTTCACTAGATGAACTGCCAGACCAGTCAAGTGTCCCCCTGCTACCTAGGCAGGAGTTTAATACACCTCTAATGGATCTAGACTCACCGATCACTTCTTGGAGAAGGGACTATGTGGATGACGGAAATACGACTTTGTCTGTCGCATTCCCAAGTGCCACTGTCACGCAGCCTCAAGTGTGTTCCCCGTCACTCACATTGTTGCCACTGGAGAGCACTCTGTTACCCCAGCCCTTACTCCCAGACTCGCCAGTTTTATCTTCAATCAACATTGATGTGTTGCCTGTCCGTGAGGCCACATTGGTGCATAGTTCAGAGCCCTTGATATCCTCAGAACTCACTGTCACAACACAAGCTAGACGCTCGGGATGCCCAGGACGTCCTTCGACTTGAGCAAAGGAGGCCAACAAAATTGGTGATGCCAGCTCACAGCAAGGAACAAAGGCAGCGCCTAAGAGGAAGCGGAACACTGCGCAGCCCAGTGCTTTGGGGCCGAGGAAGAAGTCTCATAAATGAAGAGGGTGTCCAGCCATATAGATACCCACTTACTATACCTATACTCATGTCAGCGATGTTAATTTTGAGATTGTTTGGTGTCCCATGAGTCATGCTACCTATTCTAAATGACAATCTTAATGTTTGAACACTTCAACCATGGTATAGCAGGCAAGTCATCTATTAGCATTTTGCTGATATATCATGTGGGATGCTCCAGTATCAATTTAGAAGGCTAACTATATCACTCGACTGACAATTCCGGGTATATCCTAGCGCGTGTGCTGCGAGGTAGGAGGTGATATATCATGCGCCAAACTTTTTTCTAACCTACCAGAGTTGATATATCACTCGACTGACAATTCCAGGTATATCCTAGTATAAGAATGCCGAAGTATGTGATATATCATGATGCAAATAATATGTTTTATTACACTTGCAAGGGGGTGATGATATATCATTTAAATGTGATGTATCATAATTTATGGCGGATATGCTACCAATACGAGGCTGTGATGTATCATTACAGCTGATATATTAATCATGGTGGTGGGTGATGTATCATAATTTATGGTGGATATGCTACCAATACGAGGCTGTGATGTATCATTACAGCTGATATATTAATCATGGTGGTGGGTGATGTATCATCTTCTTACAGTTGTAGTCAAAGGTCAGGATATATCATGTACCTTCTACAATGATAGGTAATTGATACAAAATTATGACACTGTCGCCTGGAGCGTGAACAATGCTGCTGCTGCAGTTGTAGTTGCTGGTGAGACTGGAGAAAACAGAGAGGGAGGGGGGCAACAGTGGCTGTGACCGTGAACAATGCCACTGCTGTTGCTGTTGCTGCTGCTGTGGTTGTGGTTGTGGTTGCTGGTGAGACTGGAGGAGACAGAGAGGGAGGAGGGTAACAGTGGCTGCGACTGCGAACAATGCTGCTGTTGTGGTTGTTGCTGCTGCTGTGGTTGCAGTTGCTGGTAAGACTGGAGAAGATGGAGAGGGAGGGGGGTAACAGTGGCCACAACCATGAACAATTCTGCTGCTGTGGTTGTGGTTGCTGGTGAGACTGGAGGAGAGGGAGAGGGAGGGGGGTAACAGTGGCCGTGACCACAAACAATGCTGCTGCTGTTGTTGTTGCTGTTGCTGTTGATGGCAGGATTGGAGGAGATGGAGAGGTATGGAGGGTAACAATGGCCACAACTGTGAATACTGCTGCTGATGAGATGGGGGGTAACAGCAGCTGCGGATGTGATTGCTGTCACTGCTGCTATTGGTCAGTAAATGAAGTCAGAATAGTAGACACAAAATTCAAGTAATACTTACATGCGTCAATGTGCCCACACCTTCATATGGAGGAACATGTCACTATCAACATGCTTGACAACCAAATACTCGCCTTGGTGTTGAGGATCGGGGGACAAAAGGGCTCCTTGAATGAAGGACTTGAGTGGGACAATAATTGAATCAGCTCTCGGACCAGCTTTGACCCAAGTAAGCCTCAGGTCTTGGTCGATCCTGCAAGAACCACCAACAATGCCAGTGGTATAAGGTTGAACAAGTGCGAATTAGAAAGCGCCAACATCTGGAATTTCACATTTAAACATTAGTATGAGCCAAACAAAGATGGCCCTTTCTGCAGTAAGCTGTATGAGCACACAGTCAAAGTGTGGGTGTCCATGTAATGATGGATTGCACCGGAGGTGGTCTGTTGACTGCCTCCAGTCAACAGTATTCTCATAATTGACCTTGAGGTAGCGATGCTCGTAGATCTGAATGATATATCATAAGTTTGTGCAATGAAGAATAATCAATCAACATACCTGGAAATCAGCCGGAATGGTTACCCATCTCATCAACTGGTACCCATAAGTTGGCAGCAATGTGTTGACAAAATCAGAAAATTTCCTGCAGAAGCCTTGAAACACTCAATCTTGGATGCTCAGCCTCATCTCAATATCCTGGATAGTAGAGCAATTTTGAGGAGAACCGAGCTTGATGTGTCCATCGAAGGTGATGTGGCTGATGTCATCACCATCTGCAGCATCACCCAAGGCCTGCAGGTGACACTGTTCATCAAGTGTGTCCACAAGTCCTCGCAAAAGCAAGGACGTGCATTTGTGGTGATCAACACGAAGGATCTACAATTGTATACAACATATTAGCAATATAATAGCATAATGAATGAATGAACGCGCATACCTGTTTAGCAACATCTTTTCCATTTGAGCGAAAAAGATAGGCCGCTTTCAGGGGGCTGTGGAGCTTCTCATTAGGGCGTGTACTTAAATTACATGCCGCACCTTTCTTTGTGATATCCTGCCATGCGTGAGTTCAAAGATGTGTCTTTGGGAAGTTCCAGTCTGTCTTGAGACCTTCAACAGAGGAAGTTGTAGCGTATTCCACATAGTCCTGAGATTTAGTCAGTAGGGATGATTCAATGAAAAGAGAAAGGATTATCTTGAGAGCAGCATCAAAGACAAGGAATTCAGCATCTAACATTGCAAGTGTTCTCTCTGTATGCACGTCAAGCCCAATCAAGCTGTCCAGCTGTAGATAGCTGCAAATGACATGAAGAAGGTAATAGCCTTCTGGACTAGCTTTGTGTGTCAAAATGGGGAGCGCTGCGTAGAACACTTGCTTTACAATAGTTAGCCAAGCATATCTATTAGTACTAACTTGTTTGTACTTACCATGACCAAGTCCCGCTTCTTGTTGCCATCGGTAAATGTGACATGGATGATGGTCGTGAAATGAGTGAGATCACACCATCGAGGGAACTTCTCAACACTGAAAGTAGGTTTAGAGTGATGTCAATACAGTAGTGACAAAGAAATAACTTACAATTTCTCAACTGCCGCTAGGGTTTCACATCCGACATCACCAAGGATTATCTTTAACTTGCCCAACAAATGCTTCCCTCCCATACCGCCATGCACTGTATGCAACCTGTCAACGCTCATTGCATCATGAGGGTCAGAGTGCTCGATAAGCCAGAGGACATTCTGAATGTAATGTATCAGTAGAATAGAATAGTAGAATTGAAACACATGACTTAAAGCAACTGCATGTAATCCTAGTGCCTTCAAAAGCTCCTCACCTTGAGTTTTGCTGCATCTGTAAACATTGAGTGCAGCCTGCGCGTCTTTTGCAGACCTGATTGCAAATGTCTTGGACAAGTTGGAAAGTTCTTCATGTGGTACGAGGCACACGGGGCACAGGCACTTGCATTGCACGCTGCGAATAAGAGACATCATGCATCTATTAACAATTGAAGGCTGTGTGTGAGTCTAGTAGACATCAATAAGTGGTGCACTCACTGTTCTTTGTAATCTGTGGAAAGTATTAGTATTACAGGGAATAACCAGTGCATTATTTTGTTGTAGCACATATACAAATATCCAGTCTTTGAATATTGCTTGAGGTTGACGAGAAGCTTGGTGAATGCTTCGTGCCATATGACACGCTTAAGGTTGATGTATCCTGGTTTCCCGTGTTCGGATGCTTCTCCGTCAATCTACAATATTAATTGCGTTATTAATATGATTCAGTAGGATCACTGATGAGCGCTGACTCATGATTGGTAGCCAACCAACAACCCGACCACTGCCAATCCCCTCGCCATTTCAAATGTTGATGGGTAAATTTGCACAGCGAGCCATGACTGGATATCCTTTCACAGTGCCATGCGAAGACAGCTTGGTCTTGTCTGCATACAATATGAAGCAAAAGGGGGCAGTATTGTCAATGTTTGACGGAAGACGGGACTGATTACATAGATGCGATCACTGCACATTAATATACACACATTAAACATAATATTAACATACTTGGATTTCCCACCACCAATCACCTGTCCACGGTTCATTGAAAAAGTGCTCAAAGTCCATGTCATTGTGTTTGTAGATGTGCTGTGCGTCCCAAATAAAATGCGGTGCGAGTAGTGGGTTATCCAAAAGGTCAAGGGCCCAGTCCCATAACGGCCTCATGTGTACCTCAAAAACTTGTTGCTCCTTCTTGTACGGTACCTTGATTTCATGCTTGGTAAACTATACAACAAACTAAGCAGTCAGACAGATATCATGCAATTAAAAAAACACATACCGGCATCAACTCAGCTGCAGCATTATCTAATGCTGTGCGAAGGCCAGCCTCATTTTTCAGTGTTACCTGAGTGTCGCCCTGCGCTATGTGAGCAATAAGACTGAGAAGCCTGTTGACCTAACCCTTGTTAAGAGCAGCATCAAGCGTGATTTCAGAGAACTCAAAATCTCTGCGCGATTGGAATGGGCGCCAAGGTACTTCATCTACAGGAGGTGCTTGTCTCTCTGGGGTGACACTGAACTCCTTGAACCTTTGATAGAGTGTTTCATGGCCACTACAAGGGTGAAATTTGGTTTTGAACTCTTGAGGGCATTCAATATCCACTGCAGGCTGGTGTGGGATGTTGGGACCAGGGTTACTGGTCATGCTAGCATCAGATAGGACTACAACATAGATAATAGTCACTGATTTGTCAACAAACAAAGAGAGAAGTACGTACCTGGGCTCTGAACACCCTCATTTCCAGCATCAAATTCAGTGTGCTTGTCCGGACCAGCTATAGGCACTGAAAGATGTTTGAAGTGTCAGAGTGAACAAATTGAGTGGGATGATGATGACACACCTGGTGCTTGTGGTTCTGAATTTGCAGAAGAGTCATCTGCAATGATGTGTGATGGGCCAGCTGCTACTGCCATGGCTGTTGCTCATCGATTTTTCTTGTAGCATGCTATTCAAGCATGATCAAAATGATTGTCTCGAATATCAGCAAATGAAAACAAGTAATGGATCACTTGGACTCACCTAATCACTGATCTCTCTCATATTCTTGATTGAAGGCCTCTTGACCCTCTGCATCACGCATCTTGCACACTGATTTGTGCCGCTTGATGCCTTGGGACTTGTACATGTTGCCGCAATGCGGGCACTGAGACCCGCTAGTTAGCGTCTTCTCAGTGTAATTATACTTACCTCGACTTGAGCGGTTTGGGGCCATGACTGTTAGATAGTATGAAAAACAGTTTGTACATGTTTGTATACAGGAAACAAGGATGAGAAAGAAAGACGAGAAAGAAGTAGAACTTGAGGCAATTATTAATACATATATCATTGATGCCATCTGACAAGGCCACATGATAAGATTTGTCACAATACTAATAGCCCCTTTGACAAGGCCTTATATTTTCTCCACTATCCTTAAAAGGCACTTACAAAGCACCTTGTGATGCATATGACCAGACTTGTAAGCCGGCGGCATTATAAAGGTTGTTTACCTTTTTCCGACAAACGCTAGGCCAAAAAAAATTCACTACATACACAGCAGTATTTTAACTTCTATTCTCCAATCAGATATCAATACATCTTCCAAAGATATCGCAATGGGATATGTATCATCCCATTTGAGTTGTAGATCAAGATTGTCCGTCAGAAGTTAAAAGTTTGTTGTCCCGACTTATTGCCAAATATATGTAGTGAATTTTTTTTGGCCTACCATTCTGCAAATGGCTTTAATCCCTTACAGCTCCTTGCAGATGCAAACAAGTCCATAATTAAACTGCACGGAAGCAGGAATAATTGTCTTCCTTCTATATAAGTGGGAATCAAGGTAGATTTCTAAACTCGCTAAAATGCTCAGTAAATAATCGGCTAAACAGAGTAGTAAGTAATCTAGCACAGCCAAATGATGGAGTCGGCCAGCATTGCAAATCAGAGCTTGAACTCCAATGCCTGCTGCTTGCCAATGTGTCCACCATTCTGCATGGTTACAAGTCAATGCTTGAACTCACCTAAAGGTGATGGAACTGCCCCAACCAGCTGCATCCTCCAGATGAGGTTGTGGATCCAATCCCCAGGCTCCTAGGACTACTATGAAGGTAATTGTCCACTAGATGAGATCCCAAGATCTTCATTGCACAGATACCTTAGTACAACATCTTGCCACTAACCCTGCAGATGTTCGCATACTATTCTACAAGGGGAAAAAATCTGCCACTTCAAGTTCCAGCAATAATGAGTGTCCTTCTGGCAAGGACAAAGGGGAAATATATTAATTCATGGAAAAACTCATCTTCATGACCGACACTGAATATTCAGCCAGTAAACCCTATCGCTTATCACGACTGTGGTCACCCCTTGAAACATAGAAGCTGCGTGATTCTCTCTTATCAAAGTGATACCCTGGACCCTTACCATTGGACCAGTTACTCTTATCTCTGAGTCCTTATGACTCACATAGATGCTTACCTAGTTGGGACACTTTTTGGCCACATAGGCCTACTCTGAACTCTTAGGATGATACCTTATTACACCTGATAGTTAGAACATGTATTCTCTAACTTGATCTTGACTTGTGATACTGTCAGAACTTTGCCTAGTAGATATGAAAGAGGTTATGGAGGGGCTTAGCTTCAGCTCATACACTGCACTCCTTAGGCGAGTATGGTGCCCTTAATTTCGGAGGACAGATAGGGGCTGCCAAAGATCGACTCCAATGTGCTCTGACAGAGGTTCAGTAGTGGGGAACTATGTCCGGTGCACTCTGACAGAGGTAAGGCTACAAGGGACTAAGTCCGATATAGAAAGTAAGGCGAGGACTGTCGGAAGACAGAAGTGGAGGTCAGTGAGATAAGTCTTGGAGTCGGACTAGACAATGAGCAAGTTGAGTTGGGGTGGTTAGGATAGGTTCGAGTCTATATTCATATTGTAGAAGCAATACTGGAATACATAAGGTTTATATACTACGAGAATCTGGGCTATGCGGCACAGCACAGCAAAGTACAAAGTAATAATAAAAGAGACAATGAACCATAGTATATAACAAGCTAAATTAGAATGGAGGATCAGATCATACAAGGTACAAGACTAGACAGAAAACAGACTATACAAAGGAAACTTGGAATGGACTGACAGGTGCCTCGTACCTTGATTGAGTCAGGGGTGGAGGAATGTACCTGATGTCGGAGATACATTTTGAGAGGTGGAAGAGCATATAGGAGGGTGGAGGACTAAGAATGAGGGTGGAGAAGACTTGTCTGGATCATGATTATGACAGATACCTGGCTTCTAGTAACTTGAATGCTACTTGATTCTATACGAACACTTCCTATTCAACATGAACAACATCATCTTGTATTAGGGCGACAGACATCTGGTGGCTCCCAGTAGGGCCGATGTCTCAGATGACCATCAAGTCCACTGTTTGATACACTAAGCAGGGCTTAGTGTAACAAGGACTATGATTGAAGGTGGAGGAGACTTGTGTGGATTGTGGATATGACAGACAACATCCCACCTGTCATGGATGTCTTTGTGATTCTGGAATGTAATTTTCTCCTGCCAGGAAGCGCACTGGTTACAGAGCCTGATGAGACGATCAGTCTGTTCATTGTTCAGGCAAACCTCCAGGGCAAGCTCAGCAATTTCAAACTCCAGTTGCAATTTGAATGGAGCCCAAGGGTGTTTGTCAGGTGGGGCAGAAGATGCCAATGGTGTTGGACAGCATTTGAAATCATTGAAAGCATGTACTTCTGGTGCAATCCCACTGCTGGGATGATATTCACACTTGATGTCATCAATCTGGAATGTGGGATCTGCATGTTTGTCATATCCACAATCCAGACAAGTCTTCTCCACCCTCATTCTTAGTTCTCCACCCTCATTCTTAGTCCTCCACCCTCCTATATGCTCCTCCACCTCTCAAAATGTATCTCCAACATCAGGTACATTCCTCTGCCCCTGACTTGATCAAGGTACGAGGCACCTGTCAGTCCATTCCAAGTTTCCTTTGTATAGTCTGTTTTCCATCTAGTCTTGTACCTTGTATGATCTGATCCTCCATTCTAATTTAGCTTGTTATATACTATGGTTCATTGTCCCTTTTATTGTTACTTTGTACTTCACTGCACTGTGCCGCATAGCCCAGATTCTCATACAGTACACTATCTCATACTGTATAGCAACAGGAACTGCCTATTTGCTATACAATATGAGATATATACACTATCAAATAATTCCCACAGAGGGGGGGGGTCAACCAATATTGGGGGTGTCAATGTAGCAAAAGTATTCGGCAAGTACATCGTCATCAGGTGTTACTACTTGGGATTCCAGAATCTGTCTAATGTAGCCTGCTTTGCATTCTGCAATTCCTCGTGCTGTAGTGTTGCTCAGAATGCATGAAGCTTGTGAATAAGGTCAAGTGACAAACCAGCACCAGCTTGTGCAATACATGCCATCTCGAGCTTTTCACAGAGCGGAATTAGTTTTGCAACACAGACCTTGGATTGATCATTGTCATTGTTGTCATCATCTGATTCCACTTTGACCAGCTCCCCGCTCCTAATTGCTTGCCAGCACCAAATTTCTTGCAGCAATTGTGTCATCATCTTCATAGGCAGTTACCTCCCCAATGTTCTTCTCTTCTTGAGGATCAAGAATCTCATCGACCGTCAATGGTGTGCCAATGATCCATCTTCGGGTTGTAAGCTCCTCTACAGACTCCATCAATTCACGTTCAAGAGTTTTGAGCTGAGGTGCCTTCATGAGAGGCAGAATTTTGACAACAAGTCTGGTTCATCGACATGCAGCTGATGCAAGTTTCTCAACAGCCTCAGCTGCTTTGATGAGGTGATGTGACTGGTGTGTCTTAGTAGGGCTGCGCACCATTGGGACCAGAGCAACTATCAAATTCATCCTCACAACGTTGTTATGCATCAACATTGGCAACTTAGTGGTAGTCCTACTTGGTATAAACCATATCTCATAATGTATATTGGACCTTTGAAGGTTATACATTATACATTATACAGTTTTTTGGGTGTCTACCTGCGTACCTCGATGGGAATTGCCAAAACTTGATACAGTATAAGATTTATGCATTATTAAAGTATACATTATGAGAAAGTGTACTGTAGTATATAAACCCTATGTATACTAGTATTGCTTCTACAATATGAATATAGACTTGAACCTATCCTAACCACCCCCAACTCAACTTAAGTCCCACTTGTCATCTAGTCCAACTTCGAGACTTATCTCACTGACCTCCGCTTCTGTCTTCCGACAGTCCTCGCCTTACTTTCTATGTCGGACTTAGTCCCTTGTAGCCTTACCTCTGTCAGAGTGTGCCAGACATAGTTCCCTGCTACCAAACCTCTGTCGGAGCACATTGGAGTTGATCTTCAGTAGCCCCTATCTGTCCTCTGAAGTTAAGGGCACCATACTCGCCTAAGGAGCACAGTATACGAGCTGAAGCTAAGCCCCTCCATAACATCTTTCATACCTACTAGGCACAGTTCTGACAGTGTTCGGGGACATCAGCATTGAGAAACAAGGGAGGATCTAGTAAAGTTTTGATACTGAGTATAACAAACATAACAAACAATAATCTGAGCTTACCATTGTGCTCCATGTTATCTATATTGTTCCAAGTGCCTGGTGAGACATCACATTGTCCTGTTGTGACTTGAATATGATTAGAAAACACACTAAAGGGCACTTACCTCTCTGTCCTGACACTGTATCAGTACGATCTCCCCTCATCCATTGCAGATTTGAGGGACCTGCTAGCAAAATTAGACACCATAAACATGATGAGAAATTGTGCGCACCTGCATCTCTTCAAATGGATTCCACAAAATGTTGATTTTGCCATTGTTTTTCAGTGTTCATCTCGCAAGCCTTGCGGTGAGTGGTGTAACCACACAGTTTGATGTTTTGTTGACACAAGTCGCAATATTTTGTCCTCTCAGGGCCCATTTTGTTGAGAGGGATATACAATTTATGTACTGGGATCGATATGGATGGAAAGAAGGGAGGAGAACACTCAAGAACGCTGTTCAAGCAAATAGTTACATATCAATCACGTTGCATGTGCATTGCAAGCAATTGAAACCCCACCATGAGTCTTACAGCAAGGTTGTAAACATCATTGTAACGTGATATAAACACTTCCTGATTACAATCAATTTAGGAAATTTGTGACAATATTCTACTGGGTATGTTAGCTCGTTATAATAAGTAGCACAGGGAACATAAGGCTTACATCTCAGTCTTCAACAAGAACTGAGATGTACGAACGAGGGACTTGGTAACTTTATAGGTAGTTAGCATAGTGATAGAAAGAAATTTTCGTGGCATAGGAATTGACGGTTTATAACATACTATATGATGGCTGACATCAAACATCAAACGGTTGTGCTTGCAATCTCTCATTTGGACGTGTCCTGCTCGGACTTCAATCTGGAATCCAACAGCTAAGAGGTGTTTGGAAACAAGGGCATTGTGGGATTTGGTTTATTTGACTGCACATGTCGAGGGCCGCTGAGATGGTAAGTATTTCAAAAAGAGTCAGTGTTGAGATTTCCGCAATGTTGTCACCAGCGAAAAGGGTGAATATTGGGATCAGCAGTATCATCCTTCGGAGCACAAACACATCGAACACCATCTGAGAAATTGTCGAGCAGCTTTGTCACAGGCTAGAAGAATGACTGTCCAGTGTCGATGAGCGGGCGATGGATGCAAAAAGGCTAACAGGGACCTTCTCCACTTTGAAAATGACCTAAGAAGTAGTGTGATTGACGACAGTTTCTTTGAAGAAGGAGGGTGTGAGGTAGCTACGACGGATGGCAACTAAACTTGGTAGTGGAGAAACCTGGAGATCCGTATCGGGTTCGGATGTAGGACTGGGTTTGGGACTTACATGATACTGACGCGTCAGTCACGTGTTCAAACACCTGCCAGTCTCCAGCCTGAACGGGAGACAGCCATTCTTTACATATACTTCTCCTACGAGTTTAAGTTTCAGGCAAACAATGCCAACCGCGACGACGACCGTTACAACGGCTGCGTCTGTCTCGACGGCGGACATGCTGCATCATAAAGTGTCCAGCAAAGGTTCGTTGTCAACGGAGGCAACACTACAATTACTATACGACCGCGCGGCGAGAGCGTTCCTTCACCGGGACGTCGCAGTCACATTCAATTTGGTGAACTCTGCATTTGCACTCCTTCCAGCTCCTGTCGCATCCTCGCCTGATCCCTTAGATGTACACCGGAGAAAGTGGGACATCCTCCGCATCACCCTCGAGACCACCGTATTCTCTTCAGCCCCCAACCTCGCAACTTTACCACAACCACTCAGAGAATCTTTACTATTGTCTCCCCAATCATTTGTTTCCAATTTACATGCTCGATCTCTTGCATTGTATACTCCCTTATCCGTTCCTCGAAAACCTAGCTCCGCTTTCCTTCCGCACCAAGTCCTCATCACACTCATCGCATCTAGCCTCAACATAAATTGCCCCAATATTGGTCGCGAGATAATAGAGGACTGGTTGACAAACCGTAATCTATACGACTTCGTCCCTTTCACAGGCGAAGCGTACCACAAGGTCCTAGAACTCTACTGCTTGCACATCTTACCTCGTTTGGGCGAGTGGGAATACATCAGAGAGTTTCTGTCGTACGAGAACGAGCTACCATCTGATAAAATACGCGTGAGTTTATTTTAATAATGGCTAGGTCGTACTGAACGTGATGATGCTAGGAACTACATTTGGCACTCGATGCTCAGCGTGCTCGAGCGCAAGAGAGTACAAAGAGGGAGACGCCAAAACCCGAGACTACTCCTTCCCCTACACCAATACCCCCACCCCGCTCTCTATCCCCTACCTCTGCATCCTCCTCTTCCTCCTCTCTCTCCACCACATCCACCCGCACCGTCGTCCCCGCATCCACCCGCACCGTCGTCCCCGCATCCCCCCGTCCCAAAATCGCCCGTCAACAATCCGCGTCTTCCACATCAGCAGTTTCAGACGTCACCGTAACCAGATCCCTTCGCCACCTCCACGAGCAAAGCACGCCCCGGGGAAGTCCTAGCGCAAGCCGCGTTCGCACCTCCCGCGTCCCCGGAGCTCTCTCAGTCGATCATAGTGGCGCCGCGCAGCCCCAAACGTCCTTTACGCTCATCCGGTCTTATTTCAGCCGCTATTTCACAGCTAACAAAATAGCCTCTTTATCCGTTTTGTTCTTCCTAATTCCTCTTCTGTCTTTGATCATCCGGAGGCGGCGGCGCGTGGAAACGCCCGCAGACCAGGTACGGAGGAGATTGTTAGAAGCACGTGGGGATTCTATTGTGAGACGGTTATGGAACGAGTTGGTTAGGGCAGTTTTGGATACTGTTAGGATGGGTGGTGGGGGACTTGTATAGCCTGTGGTGTGCTTGCTTAGTAGGTCACCAGTCTAGGCCAGACCCATCGCAAGATACCCGGCACTACCTTCGAAACCCACACAATAGTTTTTGGTTTCCCATTCATATTCTTACTCAAAGCACAAGACAGCGGACGTGGGTTTGACGTTCCGACTACCAGAAAGCCCTGCAAGACCTTGTACAAGGTACCCATCCAGAGCGATTCCTGAATGCCACTGGTTCCCTAACCGACAGCCATGCAGGATTCGTCTTTGGGTTCAAGTGGGAGGTGCGATTTATTTCATTTACGTGGCTTTCATCGTCCATGGTCTAGTCCGGGGCAACAAATTGCCGAAGCAAGCTTGTGGGCAGCCGTGACAATTATTTTGACGGTTAGAAACTCCAGGGATCAGAGGACAATGTGACTTGGGAATGAGGATTGTGACCTATTTCCATCTCCAAACGAATCTCTTAAGCAATGTGTTACAACACCTTACAAGACGTCCCCGTCCCTTACCCTTGTATTTTGAATTAGCAATAGGACGGACATGAAAGCACTGGAACGATATCATGGCAACTTTATGCCCTGGTCGTAATCAGCAATATAATCAGGAATCTACAGAAATGAATGTGCTGGCAGAGTACACGCCAGTTTTGGTGTACCGTGCCAGTATATACATACTACGTGCATATCGGGTATCACCGTAGGGTAATATGGAACGTACATAAACCAAACGATTCGTAAACATTGACGGCCCATCTGTGAATCCGCGGCTCGCCCGTCGTATATTGCGGTGTAATACACCCGCCCCTCGCAACACTAAATATCGTCCACATCCAGGATTTCTCTCCTTCCCTCACGCTCGTCGACTACCATTCCGTCATCCGACCTCTCTTGGTCAAAGGCAGTCTCCATCTGGCGTGTCAGGCTCCCCAAAAATAACGCAGCCTGTTTGTGCGGGAACGTAAACCCGCTCGCTAGGAAGCCAAGGCGTTCCTTGAACTCATCGCTCAGTTTGTCGAGCTCGAGAGGAGTATATTTGACACGCCGGTCCATTTCAGGGTCTTCGGACTCCGACGGGTCGGTGTAGGCACGGAGGGAGAAGGATATTGCTGATTTTGGAGATTAATTTGACTAGGCTTGGACGCATGGAAGAAGAAAAAAGGGGAAACAAAACTTACTCCTCTCAAGTAACTCCAACCCTCCGGTCTCATCATCCTTCACCGTCGCAACGTACGTGTACATACATGTATGCACGATATCGTGTTCCACGCCCTCACGCGGCTCCCATTTGATGTTCAAGACCAAGAGGTTTGAAAAATCCTCATAGAAACGGATGGCTGCAGCCTGTGCTGGGTCAGCTGCGGAGGGGAAAGTCCTCGAATGTTGGGAGTGAGGGTGTGGTTGTCGTGCGAGAAGCTCCTTTGAGCGCGCAATCTCGGCATCAAGTTCAACGCGAATGTCTTTCACTGCGCATACACAAGTGATTCAGCATCACCATTTGAAGAACACGATACCAACCCAGATACAGCAAAAAGACATACCGCTCTGCTGAAGCTCAGCGATTTGCCGTTCACGCTCTTTGACAAGTGCGTCTTTAGCTGTGAGCTCATCCCGCATGCGTGCGAGCTCATCGTGCAGCGTGCGCTGTTCCGTATCAGCTGTAGCGCGAGTGAGGAAGTGAGGAATGGCTGGAGTGGTTGAATTAGGTGGCGGGTGTGTCGACGGGGATGGAGGATTGAGCTCGGGTTCAGATGTTCGGAAGAAGGGCGATTGAGAAGCGAGTTGTGCTTGGAGGGCTGATATGATGGATTCTTGTGCTGAAGGGGTAGTTGTAGTGTAGGTGAGGCGGCAAGATACACGAGACTCAAGTTAGCTGGAATGTCGTCAAGTCGGTGGCGCTCACTTTTTGAACGACTATTATATAAAGCCGTAAGGTCATCGAGAGCCTGTTCAGCTTCTGTCTTGCGGACCTGGAAGAGTTCCTCGAGTTGTTGCGAGAGTTTGTCGCGCTGATCCTCTAACTAATAATCGATTTACGAGCGTTACTCATCTAAACAATGGAGGGTGCATGAAACATACATCTTTTGCCTTTACCTTCCACCGCTCAAGCTCCTTGTGAACACGTGGGCTCAGGGATGGCTTCTCATGCTCCGGGTCACTATGGTTTGAGGGGTCTTCAGTGATGGGATCTGAGGAAGGATGATTTTTGGCAGCAGGTTTGACGGGTTTTGGTTTGACGTGACCGTCTTTTGCCTTTGTTTGACTCTCTGGTGCTTTCCCCTTCGACTGACTTTCTGGCCTGGTCTTTTGCTGGCTATCTAGGACCTTCCCATTGACTCGACTTTCTGCTGCCCTCCCCTTCCCCTCCTTCCTTTGTGGACGAGTCGTATTTGAGGGTGGGTTTGGTGGCGGATCGATGAGCTCGATATCGTTCGAGTCGTCGTCGTCGTCGTCGTCTGTTATGGGTTTGCGCTTACTTGGTTGCTTAGACGTGGACGGCTCTGGAGACGCGATGCGCTGCTTCTTACGGTGCTTGGGACGCGTCGTGGTCTTCCATGCGTCTGTGTTCCGAGTGCTTGTCAGTTGAGTTGACTTAAGATGGTAAGGTCAAATTTACTCATTTCATCGCCCGAGGACATGAAAGCGGGCAGATAGGATGTCCTTGAATGCTAATTTCGGTGGAGTAGAACGTCCAGAACTCGATTTCACAATCACTTTGAGTTTGTACGGTTTCAGCAACTGAGCATCAATGACCCACGTGATCCATTATCGCTCACGTGACTGCTTATTGTCTGTATCACTCAATTGATCTTGGCATTGACCATCGGTCGTCATGACTGTCCTCGACGAGTACCACCAGAAACGAGCTCAGCTCATTGCAGATGATCGAGCTCTTCGCGTCGATGCGACCAACGAAGCACACTTCTCTGGAAAAGCGCGACAAGCAGATGCTATCTTGCGCCGCATTCGCGAGGAAGAAGCAAAGTCGATTTGGGCAGTAGAGCATGACGAAGTCCCCCATCCATTCCCAGGAATGGAGTTCCTCACGGGTATACTCTAGCTCTCAGAAAATAGACTGTAGACTCACTGATAGTACACCTATGTAGGAAAAGACATCATCCTCAAGACCCAGCTCTTCAACATCATCACCAAGGTTTGTCCATCTCTCAGTACTCGACAACCTGTCGCATGATTTTGAATGATTGTCAAATTACAAAGATGCCCAAAGGCGCGCTACTACACGTTCATCTTGATCTCACCGTCAATGGCACCACCCTGCTGGCGCTCGCCTTACAGCACCCCTCAATCCATATCCGCGCCTCAGCACGGATCACGGCTGCCTCCATTAAATCTGTCGATATTGAATTTCGTCCTCTGCCACCCAGTTTCGTTCCGCAGCGCATCTCGCTGTGTCTACCGACCTATAAACCAGGCGAGTGGATACCCCTTCGCCGTGCGCGTGAGCAATTTGATGCTGCCCTGGGTGGCATGCAAGGCTTCGACCGCTGGATTGCGAACTGTCTTACGATGAACCCAAGCGATGCATATGTCACGCATAATAATAATATTAGGGTGTGCCACTTTGTATATCGTTGGGCAAAAGAATGGACTCATAATCTCCGCAAAGATATGGGACAGGTTTCGTGCCGCTGCGACACTCACAAGTGTAAGCACCCGTACCTATGTCAGGGCTTGGTGGATACGATCACTCATTGAGGCGTACAGAACTTGGTGTACTTCCTCCCAGTTTGGCGTGCATATATCCGGCAATTCCTTGAGGAGACCATTATAGATGGTGTATCTTATGTAGAGGCGCGTATTAACTTCAGTCCGAAGTAAATCTTTCTTTCTTGTGCCTTTCGTTTTTGATCGGGATATTGGTAGGTTCATGATTGGTCCCAATGGCGAGCAAAATGTTCCGCACAAAGAGTGGCTGGGCACGTTTCAGGACGTTCTGGCCGAATTCAGAGGGAGTCTACGAGCACAAGGAAGAGATGACGAGTTTACTGGTGCCAAGGTACTTGTTGTCTTTTGAGTCAAGTCTCGAAGCCTATAAAGAAGTAGATCATATACACGATCATCCGGAACTGTGAGCCTGAGGAGTTGGAGTGGTATCTCAACGACTGTATAGAGATGAAGAAGCTCTTCCCTGATATCATCGCTGGTATGTCGCAGATGGTTTCTACCTTCTTTCCCATCGTAGCACCACCACCAACGAACTCCCTAAGGTTTTGACCTCGTCGGGGACGAAAATATTCTCCGCCCAATCAAAGACTACCTCCCGCAACTTCTCTCGTTCAGCACCCTGCAAGCCTCACAAGGACTCCCCGAACACCATCAAATCCCGTTCATATTTCACGCTGGAGAAACCCTCGGTGACGGGTCCGTGGCAGATGACAATCTGTATGACGCACTCCTGTTGGGGACGAAGCGGATCGGACACGGGTTCTCGCTTGTGAAACACCCAAAGCTGATGGCAATGTGCAGGGAACGCGGTGTCGCGCTGGAGGTCTGCCCGATTTCAAACGAAATTTTGGTGTGTTCCTCCCTTTTATCTCATTCTATCCGGATATGGTAAACTGATTGCGTGAGGCTGGAGTAGAGACTGACGGCATCGATGCCAATGCATCCTCTCCCAATTTTAATCAACCATGGTGTACCAGTTGCACTGAGCTCAGATGACCCATCGCTGTTCCAGAATATGGGTTTGAGCTTTGACTTTTTCCAAGTTTGCTCCATTTCATATCCCTATCTCGTTGTCGTTCACACTTATGCGCATCTGCAGGTCCTCGCAGCAAGCAACGTCACTGGCCTTCTTACGCTGGGGCACATCGCGCGAGATAGCATCAAGGTGTGCACTTCCTTATGTCTGTTTCGCTTGCAGGCAATGACTGGATGTGTTCGGATGCAGTACTCGATGCTCACAGCCGAGGAAAAGGCGCGTGCAACGCTTAAATGGGAGGAACGCTGGGAGCGGTTCGTAGATGAGATCGTTAGATTCGACGGGGTACGGCGGAATTAGGATTTATACCCCGGCTTGGATACCTTCCGGGCTCAGAACACCACAATCGGGAGGGTGGGTTGTGGTTACATATGCAATTCGGGATGCAAGAACATCTCGCAGTGCCACAACTTCTCGCCCAAGATGGGGCACCGCTGAGTGTTCGTTGCGCCTTCTCATTCTTAGTTTCCATTGCAGCCCAAGCTGGTTTGTTTTCTTCAGCTCCGGCGTCCCTGTCGTTGTCTTTGCAGAAACTCCTCCGTTTTGACTGCACATCGAGGATGTGTACCCACAAGGTATAATCAACTATTGCCTGTCCGCTGTGAACTGCGGATGTTGGTAGAGGAACTGCTACTTGTTGGGTGTCACATATGAGTGAGGGAACGGTGAACTATATATACCCGACCACGATATCGAGTTCACGGTGGACACACTACATTACACGTCAGACGCAGAGTTGTGACCCAATAGATTTACTGATAGATAGATATAAGAAACGATCGTAATATTCCTTCTACTTGCATAAGCACGCCCAAGAGGCCATTTTTACGGACATCGGGTGGACACTTACGGTAGCTCACGGCAGTACTGTTGTTTTTTGGGTTATAACTGAATAGGTTATAACTGGCCAGTGGATGACTTTCCGTAGGCTCGAAATATATAGATTATAATATCATATCATAAATTTGACTACATTAGGAAGGTGTGCCGCGATGCCGCTGTTCATTTGAGGTGAATTTGCAAACGAATATTTTTTGCCCCCCTCTTTCAAACCTTAATTCTATTTTGATCTGTAGGGGGGGTACCCCCCCCCCCCCCCCCCCTACAGACTTGAATATCGCCTTTCGTCCGTTTTAGGCCACTAATGCCAGCGATATTCGCTGACGTAATATGCATTGCTCAATGTGCGTAGCACCACTCGAGGTCACACAAAGGTGCATTGAACTAGGGTTTAGGGTCTCGAGGTTGTGTGTTACTCTGATGATGATTTGTGCTACTAAGTTGCTCGGATATGTTCTGTTTGTGCTGACTAAGCTCTACTTTGGCTCTCTGAGACTTCTGGAGCGGCCTTGTCCTTGGTTTACTCCTTTGGGACCCCTAGTCCATGGACCCCCCTAAAAAATAACCGGCGCCGCCCTCAGTCGCCGCTTATTGCCTCTGCTGCTGCCTTGTCTCCTCTGCCACTGCTTCACTCTAGCATGTTCTCTTCTTCATCTTGTTCTTCTTCGTCTAGTTCTTCTTCATCTAGTTCCTCTTGCGTGCTTGTAGTTGCATGGGGTTTTTCATCGACGGTGCGTATTTTTTCTCGGAGCTTCTGATCAAACTGCTCCTGCTCTTTTGCCAACTGGGTGCCTTGGCATGGAGTGAATGGGCGTAAGCGTCGGGCGCTGAACTCTCCTGGCAAGGGGTTGCCTTCCAACAGTTTCCAATTTGTACGCGTTTGATATTCTTGATTGTACTCGACGCGGGATTGACCATTTCGGAATGAGCTTGCGCTCCGCTTTGAAGGTGTAATCTAGGTTGTTGCAGTAAACTTGGACTAATTGCCCGGATTGGAAAATGACTTCACCAGGTGCACAATGTAAGACCTTCTTGTCGAACGCTGCTTTCCGTTTGATGGCATGGCAGACGATCTCCTCGTAACCGTTGAGGCACTGCTGCTCTACATACGCAATTTGTGTCGTGGCATTGGAACTTAGAGGAGCTGATGTGCTCTCCTCTAGTGGCGTTGGCGGTGTGTTAACTACTAATCCCAATAGAAGCTCTTTCGGGGAGAATTTGAGCGCTGGGAGCAGTCGGTGGTTAAGGGCGTGGACTGTGTCATCGAGGTGGTCAGGCCATGAGTTTGAAAGCTTTTCCCATGATGTGGGTTCCAAGTCGTCTTCTCCGATGCTGGGTGCGCACAGGCACTTCAAAACTGTGTAACAGGAGCTTGTTGGTTCCTTCTACCAGACTGTTTACCCATGGCAAGTATGCTGCAACTGTGTGTAGTTTGCATGCTCTGGAAGTACAAAAGGCTCTCACCGCGTCGTTATTGAAATGCTTCCCTCCATCCGCCATGAATGTTTCCGGTGCTATGAATGTGTTGGCGATTTGCTTGAGGCTGTCGATTGTCGTTTTTGCGCTGCTGGATGTCTTGTACCTGAAAACCCATACATGTTGAGAGAATGTGTCTAGATAAATGCCTAGTGTACTATATCCTCCTTTTCCTTTCAGTAGGGTTAGATAATCTCCAACTAGGAGTTCGAAGGGGTGGCGTCTGGTAATTGGGTCGAGCAGTGAGTGCAAATGTGTGGGTCTGAAACTTTTACACTTAGCGCAGTTCTTGATGACCTGTGAGGATTGATGTGTTGAGTTTTGGACTGCATATGCGGTCTAGGAGAGCAATTTTGATCGCGTCGTGACCCCAGTGACTGCCTTCCTTGTGAACCTTGGCTGCTAGTACCTTGGCTTCCTCTTTTGTTGTACATTCTACCTTGGTTCTGGCTTGCGTTTCTGTGCTTCCTTTCAATTGCCATAGTTTGCCCTTTTCCATGATATATTGGGATGCTCTGTGATGTGCTCTCCTCTTCTCTCTCAAGTTCCTGTCCTTGTCGAGGTTGTAGATGGCTTCGACTACTTCCTTGAAGACTGGTTCATCTGCAAAACGTACTTGGAGTATTTCTGTGGTGGGACTAGTCTCGGAGACGTACATTATGTTGTTTGTGAGTCCTGTGTGTGTTTCCCAGTCTTCGCTTACTGTCCATTCGCTCCCATCTCCTTGGGTTGGTGGTATACCTTCCCATTTCCGACTAAGCCCATCTGCTACGACGTTCAGCTTGCTGGGTACGTGCCGTATGTCTACGATATTGTATGACAATATACTTTCTCGCCATCTTGCGTGCGCTACGTTTAATGTTGAGTTGAGTAGTGTATCCTTCAAAGTGTTACAGTCAGTCTCGATTTCCACTGGGAATCCCCATAGAACGCTTGAAAACTTATCCAACCCGAATTTGAGTGCCACAAATTCGAGTAAGTACAATTTGTACTTTTGCTCAGTCGTGAATGTCCTTTTTGATGTGAAGGCGATAGGATGTGTCCATTTGATCCATTTTCCTGCGGGCATCTCCATTCTGAACCTTTGGGATAATACTGCAGCGAATCCTTCTATACAACCGTCTGAGGTTATGATAAATGGTGAACCGTCGTATCGGGGGGCTTGAAGTACTGGTCTTGAAGTGATGGCGGTTTTGAGGTCTAAAAATGCTCGGATTTGTTCTTCTTTCCAGTATGTGGCCAGTTTGAAGCTAGACATTGTTCGACGGTATGCAGCTTTTCCGTGCAGGTTGTCGAGTGGGACTTTGAGAAGGAGGTCATGTAGTGGTCCTTCTCTTTTTGCGTATGCCTGGATAAGTGTTCTGTAAAAGCCTGTAAGACCCAAAAATTGGACGAGACTTAGCGCGTTGTCTGGCTGTGGCCAGTCTACTATTGCTGTGAGTTTGGTCAGATCTGGCTTTACACCGTCTTGTCCAACTGTCCCCTGCAAATTCTGTCTCTGAGATGCAGAAGCGTGTTTTGCTCGGCACTATGGAGAAGTTGCATTCTCTGAATTTGGCAATATCGCGCGTAGTTTGGTCATCATTTCCTGGAAAGTGTCAGCAGCGCAGGCTCCATCGTCCATAAAGAGTTCCATGTAATATGTAACTAAAAATTGTATAACCTTTCTGCTAAGGTGTCGCAGAATATCGTGGGGGCTCCTGTGATGCCCATTGGCATTTGCTTGTACCAAAAATATCCCCGGCCTTCGACATAGAACTAGGTAAGGGCCCATTGCTCGGGGACTTCAATTGCATAAATCCTGAGGCGAAATCAAATACGGAAAGGTAGTGGTGGCCGCTGAGGCATTGTTGTTTTGCGAGGATGTCACCTTGGGGCATGGGGGCGATTTCCGTAACCTTGTTCAACTGTGCGAAGTTTTGGCATATTCGCCACTTCCTCGGCTTCGTGTTGGTGGGGTTTTGCGCCCATTGGGTTGGTGTCTCTTGGGCTGGGAGTTTGAATGCTGGATTCATCCCCACTGTGCTACATTGCTCATTTATCCGTCATTTCAATTTGGCTAAGGGTAGTCCTCCTGTTTCGTGAGCTTTCTGGGCGATCACTGTGGTTGCTACGCATTTGATGAGTTCTGGTGGTGCTCTCTCTATCACCCCTGCCTTCAGCATTTCGTCTGCTTGCTCGCTATAGAACCTGGATTGTTCTGGGGTGAGTGGGCATTGGTGTATGCGCAAGTTGAACTTAGCGTTTTCTGGGACGTTTAGGTTGACTTTTGCGCCTGGTATTGGTGTGACTTCGCTTAGGGCTAATGCGAATGAGTCAGTGTTGTCCCGTACGAATTCTCTCAATTCTGCGTGCTCATTTTCCGTAAGGTCGTCACTGAACGTGACTTGACGTAGGATTTTGGTGATTCTGGCTGGGTTGAAGGGGTTTGTCTGTCTGGTGTAGATGGAGGGGTTTGCTGATGACGCGGCTGGTTCTGGTAGGTCGCCCAATAATTGGTCTATTGGCTCTGCTTCGTCTGCTGACCTGATCACGTTGATGGTTCCCAGTTCTGTTGTGCGTTCTTCTTGGGGTATCTCATTTCCCATTTCTTCTTTCATTTCCATTGGTTCTACTGAGTGCGCTGTGGTTTTGGCTACCCGTTTCCAGATTTGCTTCATCTGTTTCTGGTTTTGGCGCTTGAAGTTAAGGATTGGAGGCTTCCATTGTCCCATCGGCGCGTTTGCTGATTCTTTACTCGGGATGTGTGGTTTCTTGGGTGCATGGTCAGTTTTCTCCCAGGGTTGTGTCAAAGATGTTATTGAGACTTGCCTTGAGGGGGGTGATTTGATACCCCCCAGAATTGTCTCTTGTTGTTTGATGTCCATTGTTAGGCTGACATTGTCCTCCACTTGATACGATGTGCTTGGTTGTCGTACTTCGTTCGCTAGTGTCATTGATTGTGATTCATTTGACACTGTGATTGAGTCCGTGACGTAGTCGTGGGTTGCTTTAAACGTTGTTAACAGCGGTTTGCCAAAGAGGAAGGCCCATCCTCCTGCGCTATTGAAAACTTTGAATTGTCCTTGCGCGCGTACTCCGTTGAGTTCAATTGTTCCTGACCACTTCGCCTCTGAGTTGACAATTGTTCCATTGGCCATTCATAGTCGCTTCGTGGATGGGTAGATGTTGTGTAGCCGGTGCTTGACTTTGCTGAATACTGACAAGCACATCACCGCTACCATTGCGCCGTCATCAAACAGTGCTCTAACTCGTACCAGTTCCCCTTGTGGCCCTTCTAACTTGACTTGATGTATGAATGGTACTGCTTCTCCCGTCTCCAATTGTGTTCTGTTGAGAGAGAGGTGTCCCGCCATGTACAGGTCAACAATGCTCGATGTGTCCTTAGTGGGGGATACAGGTGCGTCAAGTGTAGCTAATGATGCATGGGGGTTCTGGGGGCTTGAATGGGTTGTCTGGTCCTCGCATGGTGCCTCCGCGCACGCAAGGAAGTCTGTCCTAATGTGGGTCTCTGCTGTTCGTGGGGTCGGTGTGATGCCCTTATCTACACCGACCCATCCCCTTTTCCCTCGCTTTGTTCTCCTTCTCCGAACTGCCCATCCTCGTATGCGTATACTAGTGAGATTGGTGTAGCTGTAAAGCGGTTGAAAGTGCCTAGGACTCTACTCGAGACTGCTCTCCAAGCGGCTTCTTTCCTCTCTAGATGTGCTGTGTCTCCTGGGGGGAGTACACAGTTGCGGCTGTTGTGTCCATGTGTCCCGCATGAGAAGCATTCCCCTGAACATATGGTTGCTGTTCCTGGTTTGAGCGGGTAGCCCATCTCGTGTGTGACTCGTGAGCTCTCTCCCCATTTTGCGTTCCATTGCGCGACTTGAGTTGCATGCGCTGCGTGACCTGCTGTGGTATCTGGATGGTGGGGGAAAGACGTGATGAGGAGCCTGATGTTTGCTTTTAGCTTGTCCGTTACTGTGACTGGTTGTTGTGGGGCTGCTGCGGTGGCTGGTTGGCGGCTATAAGTGGGCTGTGTGTTCTGGCAGTTCTGGTTCGCAGGTGTTCTCGTGTATCTGCTGCTATTCGAGGGTACTGTTAGGGGGTTTGGCGCGTTGACTGACATTCTGCTGAGTTGATTTTGGAGAGTGTCGACTGGGTTGGGTGCTGGTGTTTGTTGTCGGATGTGGGCTAGGTCCGTTTTGAGGGCGTTGAGTTCCTGCATCTGCCGGTTGTGTTGTTCCTGCTTTTCTACTAATCTGCTTCCTTTCAGCTCTGTGACCGCTTTTGCGAACTCTGCCCAATTCTTGTACTCTTCGTCCTTGAGTAGGTCTTTTATGATATCTGGTAGCTTGCTGCGTACTTGCCAAATCATTGATGTGCTTTGCTCAATGTCTGTGCTGGTAGCAAGTTGCAGTGTTTTCGCTGCCCAGGCGACATGAGTCCAACACTCTCTGTCGTAGAGCGTTGTCTTCTTTCCTATGTCTGCGCTCAGCAACACGTGGTCTAGTAACTCCCTCTCGTACTCTGCTTTTGTCTTTTCTGCGATCGTGACCAGTGGCCAGCGTTTCTCGAATGCTGTTATGAATGTGGTCCAGGTGAGCTTGTCTGCGGTAGGGCGGGCTTTGAACCATGTTTCCGCTTGTGAGCTGGTTCCAAGGTAGTCTCCGAACGCGTTTAGTTTGTCACTGCTCGTTGTTATGGTCTGCTGGCGCATTGCACGGCTGAAAGATTTCAGAAAGTCGGCTGGATTTTCTGATGCGTGTCCATCACCGTGAAAGATCTGGGGGGTTTCTGCAGGCATGGTGACTTTGGGTTGTAGAAGTGCAAAGAATTTGGCTAGGTCGTAGTCTGGTACTGTGGAAATGGCTGTGAGCGGTTTCGTCTTTGTGTGGTGAGGTGGGGGGTCGAGGTAGTCTGGTTCTTCAAAGTCTAGGCTAGGGACTTTAAATTCAGGGAAGGGGACAATACTTCGATCTTCGAGGCTGCTGAGAGATGAGCTGCGAGAGCGCTCTGGCGTGTCTAGTGGGGATGATGCTAGCGATGTTTCTAATGACGAGTCTTCTCTTAAGTATCCTGCAGTGATGGCTTTTCCTAGGCTGTTTCTGGGCCGTAAACTTCGAGACATCAGTTTCTGATTGGAATCAACGTAAAATAATGACTGTGTACAGCCCTTTTCGTTACTTTCGCAAGTGTCTTTTTGGGACACTTGCTGTCTAGCTTAGCCTCTTTTTAGGCGTGACTCAACGTAAGATGGGGTGTGTTTGAACATGTTTTTGTTCAGTCTTCTCGCGGTGTTGCTAATTGGGACACTGACTGCGACTGAGTGACTAAAGCTGAGGGCTACTGTTGTGAACGAGAACGAGGGCTTATGACAAAAGTGAGTTGAATTTTGGTCTGTTCACCACGATGAACTAGGGTTTAGGGTCTCGAGGTTGTGTGTTACTCTGATGATGATTTGTGCTACTAAGTTGCTCGGATATGTTCTGTTTGTGCTGACTAAGCTCTACTTTGGCTCTCTGAGACTTCTGGAGCGGCCTTGTCCTTGGTCTACTCCTTTGGGACCCCTAGTCCAGCGTCTTCAACATCTTGCCAACTTTGTTGACGCATTTTTCTCCCTCATCTGTTTAGACTTTAATACCAAGTCCTTAGTACAAAACTACGACCTGACTACGCTGCATTGGCCTGTGCCTCCCATCCCATGCAATATCAGCCAGCAGGTGGCTCAACCAATCCCCACCCTCCGTCAATGAAAATTTACTTTCCATCCCTACATTTAGAGCGCCGTTCAATGCGTGTATTTCCATGTGCATTCACATCATTGCGAAGGATGGGTGTCTCATACCAGAGTTGGGCAAAACTTGTGGTGAGCAGCGAGGCAAAGGTAGTTACATCAATACCCATGGTGGTAATAAACGCTCGATCGTTCTGGCTGTTGTATAACACCTGCCAAGGGGTGTTGATGTGAGGATTGGGGAGAAGCTGGGGTCGGCAAAGGTATGAATGATGGGGGTTCCGCGTGTCAATGCGCTCTTGCTGTGATACCTCGATCCCACAAATGAGGGCTGCAGCTACCACCTGAGCTCCTTCGTCGTCATGAAAAAGTTCTGCCTCGTCGTCGTTGAGAAGCTGGTACTGCATTGCAAGATTGTCCATTGAGGACTGGACTAAATCTAAAGAACTAAGCGTACAGGGGATTATCGTTGCATAGATTAAATTGTTGACAGGATTGCAAATTTATTTCAGGCTCCGAAATAATCTATTCCGGATTATTTAGCCTACGGAAAGTCATCCAGTATGCGTCCTGCCTTGAATTAAATAATAGTTATGTAATTGCTACCAGGTACTAGCTAGTCTGAGTCATCGATAACAATTGGAATATTCAAGCTCGATGGTTCGCTTCCCATGCCCAATGACTCCCCTGGTGCATTCCCGCCAGTGTGCGACTCTTCATCCTCGGGCAGGCGTGACATTAGCTCGTAGAATAATGCCTCATTCTCCATGTTTTTTTCACAAAACTCGTCCCATCCAACCTCAACAGACCAATTGAACATGTCCCATATGTGAAACATCCTCTTCTGACCAAAGAAGCAGCGAATTTGTCGTGGCCTGCTACCTTCTGCAGAGAGCGAGATGTCCTCCTCAGCTTCAATGACTTCTCCTAACCCAGATATGTAATCGACATTGTCATCGTCGTCGGCATCTTGCCACAACTGCAGCGCAACAGCCGAAATCCCGAGATCCTTAGCCTTCACCTTGATACAGTATTTACAGTGTGCCTGGCAGTGCACTCTATCAACCTTTATAGGCCCCTGATGGAAATGTTCCCATATTCAGGGCTTCCTAGTCATCAGAGAAGCTTTGGAAGGCAATACAGTCCCGGGAGAATGGCAGAGAGAATCTGAGAGATCGACGATAATAGTGGTACTCAAAACAAATTTTGAAATTCTTGAAAGCTCGCTAAACTGCGTTCAACTCCCTTCAACTCCCCACTAAAAGTTTGAATGAACGCGCGCAAGTCCGAGAGAAATATGCTCGGCACACATTGGCATGTAGTCGGACTTTAAAATGACACTTGTGATTTTCAAAGCGTGCTATGTACATAGGGGAAAGTGGTAGAGTAGCGGTCCAACATACTTGTATTTCAAATGAAAGCATTAATAAAAATTGTAAAAAAACAAGGCCACCGGGCGGGAATGAAATCAGCTGTAGGTAGGGAGCGCGGGAGGGACCAAAATAAGTGCCGAGGGGAGGAGGGGGGGATGCTGAGCAGCTGGGGGGGGAGGAGAAGTGTCGGGAGGAAGATCTGCATGCCTCCGCAGAGACGCAAGATCAAGCGCCAAGAGTACGGCCATCTTCGATGCTTTCCAGTGGAGATGGGGCGCTGGTCAGGTGGGGCGCGCGTGGGATCTGAACTAGAATAGATTTTCTGTAAGATAAGGGTGAATGTTAGTGCAACTTGCGAGAGGTGCAAGGAATACTTACCTTGGGTGGATGACACCCGGGAATTTGATGGTGTCCTGCTCGACGCTGTGGATGAGCATCGAGGTTCGAGGGTGAGGTCAGCGACGACACCGGCGTGTTCAGTGCGAAACGAAACTTCGGAACTTTCCGAAAATTTAAACTCCGCCAAAAAACTGCATCACATATGCACCAAATAGATAGGAGTTTTGATCCCACACCCACTGTAGCTCCCACCACAACTATGCCTCGTCAATCCACATGTAAAGAGCTCCTGAATATCGTGGATCAGGCTGCACTTTCTTTGGCCAGGTTGCAATATCAGGGTATCCTAGATGACTGGTCAGACTTTGAGAGCGATTCCGGCTCCAAGGACTCACTTTCTACTACTGATTCAGACGATGTTACAATCAGTCTGTCTTTTAGCCCTCCTTCCCCCCTATCCCCCCTTTCCCCTATGACAGGGATTTCAGATTCTTCCAGTTTTAGTTCTGTATCTTCTGATGATGTCACTTTGCCTTACGACAGGCTTCGAGACACCATTGATGCTCTTCGTGATGAGGTTAAGAGGGCCCGCATACTCCAGAAGCCTGACGAGCCTCCTCCACGAGCACCTCAGCTTCACATGCTGGTCCATCATGAAGAACACCGCCCTCACTTGTTTCGGCAGAAACTTCGTGTCAACCCCGAGATCTTTGATGACATCCTCGATTATATCTCTGATCACCCTATCTTCCAAAACCAGTCCAACAATCCTCAGCTCCCTGTCTCCATCCAGCTCACCATCTTTCTGAATCGGGCAGGCCACTATGGCAATGCCATTACTCTTGAGGATGTTGCTCAATGGGCAGGCGTGAGTGTCGGGTCCATGGTTAATTGCACTAATCATGTGATGATTGCAGTACTTGATGCCCATGATCAGTTTATCTGCTTCCCAGCAGGTAATTCTGAGGATGCTGACCTGGCTCGCAAATTTGCTGAGTCACGTACCTGTCCAGAGTGGAAAGGTGGCTTTCTAGCCATCGATGGCTCGACTATGAATCTGTTCACAAAACCTGGTTATTATGGTGAGACATTCTATGATAGGAAGTCCAAGTATTCCCTTGGCTGTCAGGTAACATTTTTTTTCATCCTCATGTGCAAAAATTAATTTAATTCTAGGCAGTCATCTTGCCCCACAATCTCCTGATTGTTGATTATTCTCTCAGTCACCCTGGGAGTGTCCATGATGCATTTGCTTTTCGATCCACTCGCCTCTATGAAGAGCATGCCAATCTTCTGCCAGATGGTCATTGGGTTTGGGCGGACAGTGCTTATCCATTGGAACCATGGTGTATTGCCCCTTTCAAGAAGCCTCACAATGGATGGCTGACGAAGAACCAGAAGACATTCAATTATCACCTCTCTAAGGTATTTTTTTTTTAGTGGTTTTCCATTGATTTACATTTATTTAGATTCGTGTTCGTGTTGAACACACATTTGCTGTTTTGAAGGGATGGTTCCAGTCCCTTCAAGAGCTACGGTTCAGGATTCAGGCTGAGAAAGACCTTGAGTTTGCTGTGCAGTGGATCAAGTGTTGCATCATCCTGCACAACATGATCATTCACTTTGAAATCGAGCATCGCAAGAAGGATGGAACATACGAGAGTTCTCTCAAGTGGGCTCGTACGGAGGGGGAAGATTTTGTTGATCAAGAGTTTGAGGGTCCATATGGTGAAGAAGTAGTTGGTGACAGGACATATGATGGCACTCTAGGTCAAGCTGCCCGTGCAAAGTTGATGGATGAGCTTTTTAACAGTCCTCACTCAGATGCACAACACAGGGAAGGATGATCACTGACACAATACTTTCTTGAACATGTACTACTACTAAAACACTTGTACAACAAATGTATATAGCTATGTAACATCAATCAAAGAAGTACTGACAAAACAACAAACATATGTCCAATGAAAACAACATGGTGACAACAATAAACTGAAACATGATGACAGCAGCAATGGACGGGGATGACGAGACGACGCGACGACGACAAGAACAAAATAAGCAACACAACAACTCACTCAACTCCTCCATCTGATCTCGGGCCCTTGTTTGCCTGCATCATTTGATGGAACTGAATTTTGAGTCGAAGATTCTCTGCTTCCTTGTTGAGCACCAATGAATGTGCTTCGTGGACTCGAATGTCCGCCTCATGTAGACGAATCTCGGCATCTTTAGACTCCTGCAGACGCTGATGGCTGACAGTGGCCTGGGAGGTCTCATGCTCACGGGTAGCACGAAGCCATTCATACTTCTTGATGTCGCGATTGTGCTCACTCTTCACCTCGAGCTTCGCGAGGAAGCGATGGTGTTTGTGATCGTGGCGCGACATCGCATCAGAGTGCATAGACACGAGCTCATCCTTAACCTCGTCTACCTGCTGCATCACATCTGGCTTCGCCTTCTTCTTCTTCGAGCCGCCACTGTTTGGAAGCGAAGTCTGGGGGGTCGAGGACATAAGGTAGTCCGACGAGGAGGTAGTGTTGCGTGTCGTGGATGAATGCGCTGACGTGCTGACCAAGACCTCCGATGGTAGGTTGCGTCGCCTCCCACGGCTTGGTGGCTTCTGCGTGCGAAACGCCGAGCGGCTGTTGTAGGCAGACGCTGGGGATTTTTCTGGCACATTGAATGGTTCGGGAGCATCGGGAGGGGGAGACGGCGATGAAGGGAGCTGGCGTTTCTTCCCTGCGACTTTGGAAGAGCTATCGGCTCTCTCATCACCTTTGAGGTGATGTAAGGCGTCTCCAAGGGGGGCATCAAATGGGTCACCGGTGTCGAGAGAGTCCACGTCAGCAATGTCAATGTCAGCGTCTGACATTGGAAGGCCAGGAAGATGGATTTGAGGGGACATATTGTAGGGGGGGGGTGGGCAGGTAAGGGGGGAGCGGGAGCAGGTGCGGGTGTGGGAGCAGGTGCGGGTGTGGGAGCAGGTGCGGGTGCAGGAGCGGGAGCATGTGCAGGAGCAGGTGCGGGTTGTTGCAGCGCCGGATCGATCAAGGGATCACCATGTGAACCCCCAGCATACAGCATTGCTAGCGGATACCTTGGATAGTATTGTTGGCCGTAATGTGGGGGCAGAGTGCTGGAAGGATAGGTGTTGTGCTCGGGATATGCGTGAGGAGGTGGCTGAGTGTTGGTGCCAGGATATACATGCTGTGCATCTGGGGGCGCGTCAAACTGCATGGGGGGACCGCCCCCACCACGTGATTGAATCAGGGAATATAAGGCGCCGGCGTGATTGACGCCGGGTTTTGACGAGTAGGTTTTCGTGGCCATGGACGGATTAGCATGCCAAATGGCATCTAATGCCGTGTACCATGGGAGCTCTGCCAGCGCCGCATCTACAACAACTGATCAGCCGAGGACCGGAAACTCAGGACCAAAGACTCACCCAATAAGTTTCTCATTTGCATGCCCTCAGCTGGTATCACACCAGCGCCTGTGCTGTCAAAAGACGCCTTGATTTTCTTGTATTTACCCCTGAGACTGGATGAATTTTAATATTTTTTATCAATGGAACAAAAAAAATGAAAGCGCTCATGTTCCAATGCGGTTGCAGACTGCATCGCGGAATTTTTTTGCATTGACGGAGTATGCGTAACCATACTTGGGGTGATTTGTGAAGATTAGTTTGGCCAGGGTACCGTAAATCTGTCCTTTGTCCGAGCTTGAGGGACCGTCATCAGCAGTAGACATCGCTTCTTCCCATCAGAGTAGAATAGAATCCTGCAGTCAGGCAGGGTGCATAGTAAGATAAGTAACAAGTAGATCAGTGAGAGCGTGGTCGCTCTGCCACTGAATAGTTAGGCGGGGTGTGGATTGCTCTGGAGGCGCTTTGAGCGATCCTCGAGAGTTTGAAGTTTCATCACCCATCACTGTCGAGCAGCGCACTAGAGGGTTGGTTTTGAGGCCTGCAGAACGACGGACATGTTGACGAGAAGGAGGCATAGTTATTAAACTCCGCCGAGCGATGCCGGCCTGACTTTCAATCGCTGTGCATCGGCCGAAGTTTTGAAGCCGTTTAGCCGCGAGTTGAAAGCGTTTAGCCGGTGTTTAAGCGAAGTTTTCAAGAGTTTCAAAAGTTGTTTGAGTACCACTAATAATAAAAGTTTGCAAACCCCCCATTGTAAACTCAAGTAACATCCGTGGTACATTAACCTACTAACCCTCCCAACAATCGCAGATCCATTAACTTTAAACTAACCTCTTAACCGGTTAGAACCGGGTTAAGTTAGAACTCTTTTAACGAGTTAGTGACACACTGGGCCCACGGTACCCTGCTTCGTCTGATAGTTATGTCGCGAAAAGTTGCGTTCTAGTGACTGGCTGCTCACAAGGCGGGATGGCTTCCATTTGTAAGTCCACTGTCTCCAAGAATCTCGGATTAGTCCAACTCTATGATACACAGATGCGAGAGCTTTGCTGAGCAGGGATGTACCGGATATGCCACGTCTCGTAGGTTTGGAGACAATGGAGGGCTTAAAGAATCCGGTGAGGAAAAGGCTTGTGATGGACGTGACTAGCGACGACAATGTCAGACTCGTCGTGCAGTCCATTCTGCAAGAGCAGGGGAAAATCGACATCGTTGTGAACAATGCCGGTGCTATTGCCATTGGTCCGTTAAGACCCCTCTATGAGTTGACATGAGCCATCAACTGATTGACATTTCTCGCAGGACCGTTGCTTGATGTATCTATAGACCAGGCTAGGCAAGCTTTTGAAACCAACACGTTTCTCAATCCTGCGGGTTGCGAAGGCTGTCATACCCTCCATGGTGGAACAAAAGCAAGGGCTTGTCATCAACATTGGCTCCGTTGCAGGAAACATGTAAGCACAGTGCAATGATGCAATTTTTGAGTTGACCCCGTCTAAATAGTGCCACTCCATGGAATGGATTATATGCGCAGCAAAGGCGGGCAGTTCATGCATTCAGTAATGTTCTGGCCATGGAATGCAAGCCTTTGGCGTTAAAGTGATGTTGGTGGCGCCAAGTTGCGTCAGGTCAAATATCGGCACCAACAGGCGGCCAACCTTGAATTGTCCTCTACGTCCATCTTCAAGGCTTACTTTGATCGGGTGTACGAACGAATGCATATTAGTCAAGAGGCCAAGGGAGCATGCCTACAGACCAATGTTGCACGAAGTGTAGTCGCAAAGGCGCTGGGTCCCAACCCTCCAAGTTATATGACACTTGGGGCTGGCTCGGGTATTTTGCATTCTTAGAATGGCTTCCTCGTTGGCTTGTCCTCATCGATTATGGGAATCAAAGATGGTATGGAGGAAGGACTGAGCTAATCTATGTAGCCACCGCGCACCATCCGATTATTGCCATGGACTATGTATATGGACGGTCGCGGACCACTCGGATGACTATGATGGAGACGTTCAATATGAGTTAATACCCGAGAACCAGTTCATTAGACAATTGTTAGACTGGCACGAGCTTTCTCTTTATTCCCACCTTTCTTCTTCTTCTGTCTTTGCGACTCGCCCTCGGTATTAGCAGCTTCTCTGATTTTTTTGTTAACATGACCGTCTGTCGTAAATTCGAGACTATCTTCGCCACAAGTCCGCTTCTTACTTCCCTGGGGATCACGGAGGGCCGGTTGAGGCAGCGTCAAGGTTGGGTTCGCAGATAATCGACTGGATTGTTGAATATTCACGTTGTCACGCAAATTTTGGTCGTCTTCGGTCTGCTGGGTGGGAGGCGCCTGCCTGCGCAGCTTCCGGAACCACTAACCTGGGTTCTGACAGGACGGCTCGATAGGTTTTGCGTGCTTCTGTCAGGTTTCCGCGAGGAAGCGGGGCATCAGACTACTGATGAAGATATTTGTTGAAGTAGCTTACGTGCACGCAAGACGAGTGATTTAGGTACAGCAACTGATGCATCGTGAGCTAGATTTTGTGCCAGGTCCAGCAGCGTGAGCCTGAAAGGAGGGCCGACCAAAAATGAGAGAGAAAAAAACCAATAACTAAGTGATAGACTTACAAATTTGCAATATCCTTGGGTCCTCTATAGTCTGCCTCAGAGGCGACTCCCCACTCACACAACGATGCCTTTTCCCTTGGTCACCCGAACGACTTCTCGTGCAGCAGCCCACCAGTTTCGTTTGCCACTTACACCGGTATCGCTGACGCCGAAAGCTGAAAGACTGGCTTCAATTTCGCCGCCGATGGCTCCTGCGTAGTTGATTTCGAAAAACTGCGCCGTTCTTTATGGCAGTTCTGACCAGTGTGTGCTTCAACTGAAAGGGCAATCGAGGGAGCGTTAAAGGAAGAGCAATAATATGTGCAGTGAGTGGTGAAGGAAGACTATGCGTGAGGCAAGCGAGGGAAAATGTCGCGGAGGTCGTTGGCAGGAGAGCGATCACATCGTAAGGCTCGACAAGGGAGGTGTTCGCGTTTGTCTTGCATTCATAAAGGTTACACAGCTCATGACTACAGAAGGTAGGTACTCACCAAACCAAAGCCTTTTTCGCTATCATTATCGAGGACAATTGTAAGTCGCTTCAAGAATACCGTCCCGGGCCTCGCCCTCAGCTGTGTAAGAAGTCCATCCAGAATGTTGACATGAGTTTTGGGGTCGATTTTCTTGTTCACGGTTTGATTGAATGCATCACAGTGTATCCTACTGTCATGCGATTAGCACTGGCGTTACATAACACAAGTAAACAGACAATGTTCAAGAAGGTCCAGACGAGCTTCGATTCCCTTTATTTGGGCAGGGGTGAAGCTATTGGCGAGGACTGCTGGGGTTGTTTGCTTTTGTTCTTCTTGGGTTGAGAAGAAGACCCAGATGCAGTGACTGGAAAATTAAGGTCAAAGTGCATCGTGAATTTTAGTGGAAAGCTGCAGCTGGGAGTTGTACAGTCCGAGCAAGACACCTAATAAAGCTTAGGAAACCACCGACGTCTGAATCAATTTATACAATAAGCCAGTCTCCCGTAGGTAGCTCTAACTTTCATGCATCATGTGCACCTTCCTTCAGTAAACAAAAGTGCTTATATTCTAAAGAACGAAGTCAAGTATTTATCCACTCATGGACATGCAGCTTACTGAACCTAGTATATCACCGGTTTGTTTGGATCCAAGGCTTTTGCCAACAATTTCAGCGCTCCAAGCGTTGAGCCTTGCCGGCAGCCCAGGCGCCGTAATGTGATCAGTGCTCGGCGTAGTCGACGTCAACGCATTGGCTACGTGTAGGCAGCGTATGGCGAAGGTATGGTAGGTATAATATGATATGTTTCGTGACGGTTCTACTACTTCTTTAATACTCGCAGCGTGTCACAATTCGCGTTACTTGCAACCCACCTCCCGCACCAACACCGGCTTCGTCTAAGACATGTTCAAACATTCATCCTCCTTTTATTATTATCTGCTCTTCGAGGTCTCCGCAATAAACTATGCATTGTGCTCATCCTCGAATTCTCATCGACGTCCTGATCTGCTGATTCGTTCTAATTCTCCTCCTGGTTGTCTTCGGGCTCTTCACCATCTTCACCGCTGTCACCTCCGGCCGCTCCATCGCATGTTATTTCCTAGTATAATGTTGTACGATCTTGTCATGTGACTCGGCTCTCACATCGGTGAATCAGGGGCTCTTCTCTCGTGGTAATGAACCAAGAAGGCCCCATGTGCCGTGCGCCGATTCTCTCTCATTTTGGAAGGGTTACCCTCTCCAATATCCCAGAGGAGTTGCGCTGCCATATCCTTGGGTTTTTTTCCTACGATGAAATTATGCGCTGCGCGTTGGTGAGTCGTGGCCCCTTTTTTTGTCACTTAACGCACTAATCTATCCACGTTAAAGACTTGCCGAACAATGTACCAGACGGTCAAAAACACTGTGGAGCTTCAATACGCCATCGAACCTGGTGCTCAAAGATTGGTGCCAGTTCATCAACGGCCACCTACTGTCTCCACAGCGGAGTGCTTGTGCATACTCAGAGACAAGGCAAATGCGTGGAGTTCCTTCAACCTCAATGTGACGAAAAGGCTTCGTTGTATGTTGTTTCCCAATTTTCGGTCCATCACCCACGACACTTGGCCCTGCTTGTTATCCCACTGAGGACGAGTGGACAAGGTGTTACGATTTGTAAACATGTTAACTCCAAAGTTATCGACATCAAGACCTGCACAACTGCGACGGCGATTGGCCCTCCTTGCACATGGAGCAAGGGTGATCAACTTCCTGATACACTTGCTGGCGATTATTACGTAGATGAGACGCACGACCTTTTGGTAACCGTCGACATATGGGAGACCCGCCCCCAATGCAATCCAAATTAATTTCCGCACGCTATCCACGGCAAGGAACATCATTTGGCCCATGGATCCGAAGCTAGTCACTGTGACTAGAGCCTTTTCAGTGCGAACGATTGTCATCACATGTGTATCACGGTGTGTTGGTCAATGCCCTCGGAGATCGCCTTGCTTTCTACGGTGAGGTGACCTCAGGCCCGGAGGAGCTGGATCCGAGGATCACGTATACTGGTCGCTGCATGTATGGAATTGGCATGAAGGTCAAGTTGATGTAGGCGTCTCCTTCTTTCTATCACTCAAAAGGTTTTATTGTAGTATTCAAAAGAACATACGTGTGATCGACGAAGGCCACGGCTTGGTCGACATCGGTTTTCTTACCGAGGGAAACTTTTAGCTCTCACATCAGGTGGTCATATAGAACTATATGATGTCGAAGACCTGTCGAATGCACCGCAGCTTCAGGCAAGATTTACGCTGCCCATTTGCACTCCACACGACTTCCGCTTTCGATATCCTTCGGTTTTCCACGGTGCCTCGAGTTGTACACATCTCGCGGCACCAGATGAACATTGGGTTTGGACGACGAACCCCGCAGATCGTGTCATATGCGTGGCGCATCGGGCCTCTGGTTCGATGTTTGTCATAATTGCTCGCCTTTTTTTCCATGAACATTCCTCCATCATGGTTTGATGCAATTTCGGAGGATGGACGCTCAATTCCATGGTTATTTTGGGGCCCACAGAATAGCCGCTGCTTCCGAGACATGAATTGGTGCAAAATTGGAGTAGGAGGATCTCGTGCTATACGGAGTGTTCCAAGGATCCTGACTTCCACTTCCACCAATTCCTACTGCATATGACGGATTTCAATCCCTCCGCCGTCGGGTGTGGCTTCGGCGAAGTAGTTCGGGAGGCTACAAACTGTCCGCCTACCATTTTCACGACACGTTAACCACGAGCAGTGGATGCCAGCAGCAGCCAGCGACAACCTACCTACCCTTACGTAGAGGTAGTCAGCGACTGCATTTTCAATCGCTCCCCTTCCAATATCACACTGGATGAGCAGGTGTTTTGCTGTTTTGATACAGATATAGTGAGTGTATATCCGCCTGACAAGCTAATGAAGTTACCCATACCTCTGAGTAGATGTGTTGTGAAAGGGTTGAGATGATCGACCTATAGCTAATCCCATATCTCACCAGAGTCATCAATAAGGGTGAACATAATGCGTAATGCCATCTCTCAGTAATAGCGGCTAGTGATACGTTTACCAGACAATTCAGAAATTTGAGGCATCGCATAATAGCTACTATGCTCCTTACGCCTTCATGCAAGCAACCTTCGGGGTTTTCATAAGTGTCTTTGTCTTGAGAAGTAGGGGGATTCTAATCATGACGGCAAAGATTAAAAGTCCTCACTATCGGGAATGGCACGATGCATCATGTAGAACAAAGGGCATCTTGTACGACCACACCTGCTCCATCCACTCATCTGAGTATTCTTCGGTGCCTCGATGTTGGGGGAGTTCTGGTATATTTCGACGACGCTCTCTTTGCCAGTCTGAAGCGTCGGAAATCACTCACAATCTGACCAGCAACTCACATAGCTAAAAGTACTTATACTAGGCCCGTTCAGACTCACTCAAGGCTGCAACATGCAGTATCAATTGCGATAATATTCTACACACCAGCTTCAGATCGCCAAGTGAACGATGGACCAAGGGTCAGGAGTTGTCCATGGTATCTGATGTAATGTGGAAACGGTTCGAGACATCATATAGTGATGGATAGAAGATCGACTTTTATGGCAAGACTCACATTAAGATCAGTCCTCCGCTGGTAAACCCCCAGGTTCTTCCAACTGTGCAACATCTATCGTTTGCTCCTCATTTTCGATGGCCATCATATCAGCTGGTGGGTCATCATCTCCATCATCTTCCCCTTCTTCCTCCTCATCTTCTTCGTCTTCCCCCTCACCTGGCTCACCCATCTCGTCATCAACTTCGTGTTCGACCTCAGTATTGTGTATGTCTGCTTGGGATGCAGAGGACGCTATTGGTGTCCGCGGGGCAAAGGTGAATGGCGGAGGCAAATTCGTCGCCTTCTCCTTCCCCTTTGATTTCGAGGCGACTGATGCGGTTTCACTTTCTCTGGCCTTGCCCTTGTGCAAGGAACTTGTGGTTCCGGATTTGCGACTCTTGTCTCCTTTCGTATTATCTCTATAAACTGCGCATGCTCAACACAACTTGGAAACGAGAGTGTGAGGTCTTACTCTGAAGTTCATTCTGTAGATTCTCGACGAGATCTCCAAACTCGATCATCTCGAGGGCTTTGAGCACGTCGGACGCGGAGATACTTTTGTGCTGTTTGGACAAAGCTACGTCGTGAGCTCTGAGAGGCCATCAGAAAACATCACATGAAATCCATAGCATCACATACGTCGCCGCTAACGCAGACATCAGTGATCAAGTAAAGCGCGAATAGAAGACGTCTTCACATACCGAGGTAGTTGATGAATACTGTCGAACCCTTCACCAGAGACAACACGGTTTCTTTCTGCAGTTTTGCATTGTCTGGCATCTGGAGAAACAATCAGCGCGAAACGTTTTGCTACACATGGTGCACGCCTTACTGCCGACTTTGCTATCTTCGTGACAAGACTTTTGGGAAGCTCGAAGTTCTCGATACCCTCTGAGACGAGATCTTGCTGAGCCTGAGCAGAAATGGGACCGCCACCAGCATCTTTTCGCGGCATTGCTTCCTGTTGATGTCGATGGTCTGAGTCAAGGTTTCACGTGAAGAGTAGACGCGTAGTAGTTGGGGGTGCTATGTAAATGTTGTTGCGGCAGCTGTCAACCCACGTGAGGCAACTCTACTTGTGCGGTCGAGTTGCTATAAACAAGGCTATTGCTTCCAAGTCTTTCTTAAGTACACGTTTGAGAGAATTTACGATGTACAGGGATACACATAAGGACTCTACAGAAATGGGCGTACTAGGACAATAAGCCTGAGCTTCATAGAGCGTGAAGTAGTATGAGAGGAACAAGTGTAGCGTGCTGGAGCAACTTGTTATACTAAACTTACTAGGCCGGGTTCGTCATGGTTGTCTAAGTGATAGACTGATACACAACGTTAGCTGGAGGAGCTGGGTTCCGAAACCAGGAGTAATGTAGTAAGTACTGACAATCTCAGCTTAGTACCGCCGCGTGTGTCGCTGTGATCTCGATTCTTCATCACAATGTACTTAAGCCAGCGCGGGAACCAAGATGATCAATTTGCAGTTCCTCGCACACGCCGCACTAAGTAGTCTCCTGTCCTTCTCTTCAAGACGCCGCAGGAGGCCTGCGAGGTCCAGGACTCTCATTTCCTGAGTCACTTCCTGCAGTGCATATTACATCAGCTCGAGCACGGGATCGCTTAGATCTCGATCACGGCACAAATCATGATAAAAGCCTGAGCTGAGGGCAGTACTTGTTTCAACTTCCTTCAACACGTACCAGTACCATGGACGCTCTCAAAGCTGTATTCGAAGCAAAAAAGGCGGAGGTATGCTGGATTTCTCAGAATTTTGTGCCAGAATTGAAGACTCGATCAGGGAAGCCCAGCATTAGTGACCTTCGTCACTGCCGGATACCCAAGGACACAAGACACTGTGCCTATCTTGCTTGCCATGCAAGCTGGAGGGGCAGACATCATCGAACTCGGTGTGCCCTTTTCCGACCCCATTGCAGATGGCCCAGCTATCCAAGAGACCAATTCTGTATGTTTGACTTTAGATGCGATCACTCAAATACCGACGTGAGATAGGTTGCTCTTAAAAATGACATTGAATACGCAACTGTACTCGGAATGCTGCGAGAAGCTCGGGGCCAAGGATTGACAGCGCCGGTCCTTCTTATGGGTGTGCTACATTCATCTCTGTACATACCTCTTAAACTAACTGTCATCTCCACCAGGGTATTATAATCCGATGCTCGCGTATGGAGAGGACAAAGCAATCCAAGACGCTCGTGAAGCTGGTGCAAACGGATTCATAATGGTTGATCTTCCACCTGAAGAGGCTATCAACTTCCGCGACAAGTGCACCAGAGCAGAGTAAGTTAATCGAGATCGTCTTGGTTCGTACTGACCTTTTTCGTTCCCCAGCTTGTCATATGTTCCCCTCATCGCGCCATCAACGTCTTTGCATCGCATCGAATTTCTTTCGTCCATTGCTGACTCATTCATCTATGTGGTGTCAAAGGTATGCAAACTCGTTTCATTATAACTTGTGTATATCTGACTATAGTGAAGATGGGCACAACTGGCTCTTCGGTCAAGGGGAAGATTAACGCCGCCCTTCCGGATATCATTGCCCGCATCAGAGAATACACCGCTGTCCCTTTGGCCGTCGGCTTCGGTGTTGCTACGCGCGCTCATTTTGACGTTGTCGCCGATGCTGGGGCAGATGGTGTCGTTGTTGGTAGCCGTCTCGTGACCATTATCAAAGAGGCACCTCTCGACTCGATACCTCAAAATGTCGAGAACTATTGCCTGGAGATTAGTTTGAAGGGACAGCCTACTCGCATGCGGTCGCTGCAAACTTCGAAGCCTTTGACGCCTTCCAATGGTGCGTTGAAGACACCCACAGTTGCTTTACTTCCCGCACGCTTTGGTCAGTTTGGCGGACAGTACGTCCCAGAGGCACTCTTCGATTGCTTAGTGGAACTCGAGGAAGCTCACAACTCGGCTATCAATGACCCCAAGTTCTGGGAGGAGTTTGAGAGCTATTACGGATACATGAATCGCCCATCAAAGCTTTACTTTGCAGAGAGCTTGACGAAGCATGCCGGCGGCGCCCAAATCTGGCTGAAGCGCGAAGATTTGTGAGTGACTTGTCGAAAAAGCATCCACGGTTCGCTAATAGCCTACAGGAACCATACGGGATCGCATAAAATCAACAACGCCATTGGGCAGGTAGGATTGAATGTTTATGCCTTACTTGTGTAGTGACATTTCATCAGATCTTGCTCGCTCGTCGTCTAGGCAAGAAACGCATCATTGCCGAGACAGGTGCTGGACAACACGGTGTCGCAACTGCCACTGTGTGTGCTCGCTTTGGCTTGGAGTGTGTCGTTTACATGGGTGCAGAGGATGTTCGTCGCCAAGCCTTGAATGTCTTCCGAATGAACATGCTTGGTGCAACAGTTTGTAATTTTGTCCTGTATTATCATATGTATATTGACCTCCATTTAGGTTATACCCGTTGAGTCAGGTTCTCGTACTTTGAAGGATGCAGTCAACGAAGCTATGCGAGACTGGGTGACCAACCTTTCAACCACACACTATCTTGTCGGCTCCTGCATCGGTCCACACCCTTTCCCAACGATCGTGCGCGATTTTCAAAAGGTCATCGGGCAAGAGATCAAATCTCAGCTGAAAGAGGCCAAAGGAAAACTCCCAGATGTCATCGTCGCGTGCGTCGGCGGTGGGAGCAATGCCATTGGAACCTTCTATGATTTCATTCCCGACAAGAACGTGAGGCTTGTGGGTGTAGAGGCTGGCGGTGAAGGTTTGGATGGCGATAGGCACAGTGCAACCCTGACGAAAGGACAGCCCGGCGTGCTTCATGGTGTGAGAACATACATCCTGCAGTCGACGGCTGGTCAAATCATCGAGACGCATTCGGTTAGCGCAGGTCTTGATTATCCTGGTGTCGGGCCAGAACATTCTTGGCTCAAGGACTCTGGCAGAGCAGAGTATGTTGCTGCGACAGACGAGGAGGCCCTCAGAGGCTTCCGACTTTGCACACAGCTTGAGGGAATCATTCCTGCTCTTGAGTCATCACATGCACTCTGGGAAGGTGTCCGTCTTGCCAAAACGCTGCCAAAAGAAACTGATCTTGTCATTGTACGTACCCAAAAAGTCCACCACTTTACGCGGCGCTCATGGAGTTTACAGTGCCTCTCCGGGAGAGGCGACAAGGATGTAGAACAGATATCGGAATTACTCCCTGGAAAATGGGCTGACAAGCTTGACTGGCACATTTGAGAAAACAGACTTGCTCATGGCCTCTCAATAATGGATTATCTATGCGCGTGGTTTCCGTATGAGTAAAGAAAATTTGGGGCGGATAGTTGGGCGGCTAGCTTGTTCCAAGTTACTGTACTAGAATTAGACGATTGTAACATGCTACTTATGGCAGGTGCAATATTGGATGACTCGCTCTAGCAGGCTGTGGCAAGTTTCTGTCAAGGCTTTTCCAGTCCCACATATCCGCACCGTTTGACTATGGCTACTGACGCATCGAGTGTTGCAAACCAGCGAGTTGTCGAAACCCTTGCATCCAGATTACGGAGGCGGTGAGTCGAACCCCTCGATCATACCCCTACATCATATATCATGACAGGCAAGTTGTAGGGTCCCGCGAAACTGCTCTCGAGACCGTCCTTGTCCTGAGACAGGTCATCTCAAAAGCACGATTCTCTAATATCGACCAACTTGTCGAAATCATCCGATCTGTTGGACGAAAGCTCGTGGAGGCACAACCTAAAGGTGCCTCTCAATTTCTGTTCTAGACGATTTGGCGTCTCATCATCCTTTTACACCCTTAGAACACACGGTTGGGAACACCGTGCGGAAAGTGCTACATCATATCCGGGAGGAATATCACACTGCATCGCAAGGGACTGCAGTTGTGTCGACATCAAAGGATACCTTGTCAATCGCAAAGTTCGTGTTGCAGGGACAGCCACGGAAGCAGAATGTTCCACAAAAGACGACTTTGAATGAGTCACAAGGCTCGTTGAAGGAGAATAATCCTGATGATCCTGATGCATTTGCTCGAACCCTTAAACCCGTTCTTATGGAGGCCATCCAGGACGTCGTGGACGAGCTGGAAACAGTATATGATAATATCTCAAAAAATGCAAAGGATCATATACATTCCGAGTGAGTTTTCAGTCTTCTCCTTTACCTCGTTTCTGAGTTTAGATAGTGAGATAATCCTGACCATCGGAAAGTCGAGCACCGTCGAAGCATTCCTTAAAGCTGCAGCACCCTATCGGAAATATACTGTTATCGTTGCGGATACTGCACCATCGTCAGTACCTAACTGTCCCGTTCTGACCCCCCACTCATCGTATAACAGATACAGCGGACATGATATGGCTCAATCTCTGTCATCAGCTGGCATTTCAACAGTTCTTGTTCCCGATTCATCCATCTACGCACTCATGTCACGCATCAACAAAGTCATCCTCGGTGCCCATGCGATATTAGCCAATGGTGGCATGTTTGCGATAACGGGATCTCTGCTTGCTGCCACGGCAGCCAGAGCACATAGCACCCCAGTTGTTGTATGTGCTGGACAATTCAAACTTACCCCCCAATGGAATTTGTATCACGAATACGGCGCTCTCGACTTCGCAGATCCAAGCAGTGTGCTAGGATTTGAAGAGGGCAACCTCGTCGATAAGGTTGACGTGGTCAACCCCTATTATGATTATGTCCGACCAGAGTTGATCGACGCATTCATTACAAACGAGTGAGTAATTATTATATGCGAGGTTGATTATCTCCTTAACGCACTATATAGTGGAGATCACCCTCCATCGTCGGTTTATCGCCTTATCAAAGAGGCATATGACGATGAAGATTACGAACTGTAGCTCTGTCATAGTAGACCTGCTGCGGACATAGTGCATTTGCACCACTGCTGGAGCGTACTGCTCGCTGTTCACTTGCTCTTGGTGCTCAATATATCGAAGAAAGCCTCTTGGGGAAGGTCGACAGATCCAATGCGCTTCATCTTCCGCTTGCTCTCTTTTTGATTTTCCAGATGTTTCATCTTGCGCTCGTAGTGACCTACACGAGAAGTTTTATAAGCAGCAGGGAATGTTTGATCTGATTATGTACCTCCATAGAGCCCAGCAGTGACGTCTGCACGCATTGCTGACAAGGTCTCGCGAGCAATAATTTTCTTGCCAACCGCAGCCTGTATCGGAACTTCGAATAGTTGACGAGGGATCACCTTATCTGTGATGATCTTCAGCACCAGCACATCGGAGGGCAAACTTCTTCACGCACGAAGCTTCTTAACCCACTTTCTGCCAACTTCTTGTTGAGCTGACCGATGTACTATAAGAGCGAGTGCGTCCACCGGTTTCCCGTTCAGAAGGAAGACCATCTACATAATGTCAGGTAATTGTATGATGTAGATACTTTCACCACACACCTTCGCGAGATCACTGGCTTTATACCCGGCATCTTCATAGCTATAATTGTTTCAGCAATCGTCCCCATTTATATTGCGAGCGCTTACTCAAAACTGGCATAGCCTGAGCTTCGGCTCTTCAGTTGATCAAAGAAATCTGTCACAATTTCACTAAGGGGCAAGATGCACGTCAGGATTGTTCGCGCAGACGCTTCTGACGTGCTTCCTGAATCTAGGTATCGGTGGTCAAGGTTCTCGGCACGGTGCGCAAAGCAAAGGTTCATCATCTCCCCGAGATATTCTGATATGCAAAACATCAGCAGGATCACTCACGCCAATGTTAAGGAATGCCGACCTTCAGGCACAATGATAGAAGCGTTTACGACAGGTTCTTGCACTTCCTTCACTTTGCTAGCTGTGTCCGATGTGTCTGGGAACTCCGTAGGATTGCTGATCATCACCGATTTGTCCTTGTACAAGACTTTTATGGTCTTCAGGGGTTTTCCGAATATGATGCTAGTGTTTGTCACATACCTTTGTATGGGACGGTTGGAGCTGTTACTATTATGCTTGCATCATATTCATCTTCCAGGCGCTGTCGAAAAACATCCATGTGCAATGTCCCGAGGAAGCCGAGACGACACCCTTGCCCCAATGCGGTAGAGGACTCGCGTTGGATGGTAACACTCCTGTCCGTCAGGGTAAGCTGCAGAAGCGTAAGAGTAGGCCAGAGATTCAGATGCAAAAATGTACCCTCTTGATGGATTCCTCGAGTTTAATGAAGTCGTTGCTGTCCACTGGGAATACACCGGCATAGACCTAGATCGTATAAAAAACCAATAGCGAAAATTCAACATTGGAAACAAACCATAGCCTTAGATGGTTGGAATCCAGGCATAGGATCAACAGGCATACCGACACGATGGAGTGTGTCTCCAATATGAGCTAAGAGCAAGGGTCAGGATACGACTGATAGAAAACGGCGGCGATTACCCTCAGATGATTCTTTCATGTTGCACGCTATGTAACCAACTTGTCCAGGTTGCAGACTAGCTGTAGGCACCTCCTCAGGATGCATCACGCCAACTTCAGTGATCTCATATTTCTTTCGGGTATGACAAGACGCGATTCTATCCCCTACATGCCACTAAGCGATGAAAACAATGCGCGAAGAGCATAACAACCTAACCTTTTTGAATGATACCATCCTGTACGCTGACGAGGGAAATGACACCCCTGTAACGGTCATATCTAAGGCACCACTTGAACCAAAGAAGGAAGAGCACAGATAGACATATACGGACAGTGAGTCGAACATGAAGGCCTTGAGAGGGGAATTTATGTTTCCAGAAGGAGGAGGTATGCGGTCCACGATAGCTGTCAGAACTGCTTCTACTCCTTTACCTGTTTTCGCGGATATATGGAGAATTTCACTCGGGTCAATGCCGAAAGTTGACTGGAGTTGAGCGGCCATTCGTTCCGGTTGTGAAGCGGGCAAGTCTATCTACAAATTTAGTTAGATGATGTTGTATTCAATATTCGAGCGAGATCTAACCTTGCTCAAGACAGGTATGATCTTCAGTCCCCGTTCCTTAGCGATGTGAAAGACAGAAATCGACTGTGCCTGGATACCCTGCGAGGCGTCTACCAGTAGCAGAGCGCCTTGACACGCAGCCAAGGATCGTGAAACCTCCCAAGAAAAGTCAACATGACCCTATGAAACAAAACGGTGCTAAGTTACTGGTCAAGATCAAGTACGAAACTTTATTACAGGGGTGTCGATGAGATTGAGCAAGTGATGTTTCCCATGAATCATGTGTATCATACTGAGAAGCTTCATTGATTAACCATTCTGAAAACAGACAATGCGTGACAGACCTTGCTGTCTGTGCTTTGACTTTGCGAATTTAATCGTCTTCCAATCTAATCAGACTCACAGATGACTTACCGGTAATACCTCGCTCGCGTTCCACCTTTAGCTTGTCTAAAACCTGCTGGTTGAGTCCCGTCGACTTCGTTTGGATAGTGCCAGTGAGCTGAGTGTTTAAAACCATAAGAACCCGGGTTTGTGTCAGACGAAGCGAACGTACTTCTAACAGTCTACAGTGTCGTCTTGTCAGCACAGAAATTTCACTGATGATTGCCAAGAGGCCCACCTATCCGCCAGGGTCGATTTACCATGGTCTTGTGAGCTCAAGTCAGAAGAAATCATATAGACCAAACATTAAAACTACCTATGTGCGCAATAATGGAGAAGTTTCTGGTACGGTTATGGAATAAGCTTCAACTCTGGACGAATACTGGCGCGTCATTATCGTACCGAATGACTTCGCAAGGAAACTCTTCCATCTTCAGAGACTTGAGTGTAGCAGCCAGACATATTGTAGTAGAACTGAACTGTCTTGAAATTGACCAACGGGCAGGTTGACAACGTAGTAATACCTTGAGACATGCATGCCGCCAGCCAGGGAGCATTTCACGTCCTGCAGAAACACGAATTTCGAAAGTGTCAAATTGCTGCTGGTTGTGCTGACTAAGCATATATCAGACCTCTTCGCCATGTCACTGCAGGAGGCCTCAGATGCTCGAAAAGCGCGTTTGATCGCCCTAAGAAACCGCAAGGAGGGTATATCAACTGGAGCAAATGGGTACGTGATAATGAAAATTCAAGACTGCATAATTCTAAGCAACCACAGAGATTCTGTACTTCTCAGCAGGAATTACGACCCAGAGACAAGGACGTTGAAGAAACACTCGAAAAATGACGTCCTGACGACAGACACCGTTGAGAAAGTTGTGGAAGGAGTGGCTGAAATGATCATTGCCCAGGATGAGCTGCAGCGTACCCAGGAACTTGTATGTCGATTCCTCTACAACGAACTCCCGCGTTTGCAGCTGCTCATGTTCCTCAGGACGTATTCAACATCGCACCAAAACGGCCAAACTGGGATTTAAAGCGCGAAATGGAAAAGAAACTTGCAAAGCTGGAGCGAAAGACTCAAGAAGCTGTCCATACACTCATCCGTGAGTTCGATATTCCACCCAGTCTTTAGCGTCAATTACCCACCTAGATCGATAGGGCAGAGACTTGCTTCTCAAAAAGGGCAATCAGATGACATTTTAGGAGCAATGAATGCACAAGAGAAAGCATTGGATATTGAAGACCAAGCGTCAGACGAGGATGAATGAAGCAGGCTCCTTCTCTCTCGCGCCCATCGTGCCACCTCATGGTCATGGATCTTAGCTCTTCCTCTGTATGTGGGCTGAATATTACCCTAGTACTGCAGCCTCCCTGCGGTGGCGAACTCGTGCCACAACTGACGCGAACACGTCAAGGCGTAGGCTGCCTTGCTTTATCGATCGCACCTTGAAACACGGAGTTCCGCCATTCAAGATTTAATAGAGGTACTCGAAATGGTGGACATGTTCCTTGCACCTTGTATATTACCTTGACAATTTAGACGAGGGAAGTCTATGCAAAATCGGTACTCTCATCAGACACGTGAGGCCCCAGAGTTGTTTTCACTTTGAACAAGGAGATATTGTGAACTCAACGCATGCCCTGCATTTTCTGCCTGGCAGGCTCCCTTTTTCGCTACTTCTTGTCCCCAATGTCGTTCAGAACGAGGGCTAGTCTCATCGTTTGCCCACGTTGGGCACATATTGCCAGCGTGGTGAGTTCTCTATCGCATTGCCCGTGCGGTTATACTGTCCTGACATAACCGTCATGTTCAGTCCTCTCTACATACACAGACTGCGTGCCGAAGACACTGAACACCATCTGAAACTCATGCGGGCCATTGGTCGGCGGCCCAGCTATGAGGCGTCTGGGAAACGATGCTGTACGGTATGATGTGATTGAGGTTGCTCTGCAGATCTGATACCTTTCTGCGTCAGGAACGATAATCACCCGTCACCGGTACCTACAGCAAACCTACAGTATATTAAAGGCTCCACAAATCGCATTTCTTGAATCGCAGCTGACCACAAGACCCTCTGCCTGTCGGCAGCGGGAATCTTCAGAATGACTCGGATACCTCTGGTAAGTTCAATAGATTTTAATGATTTTTTTGCTCACACGCTATCAAAGAAATTGATTACAGGAGGATGTCAAGGATTCTGAGCAATTTTTCCTAAAGTTTCTGGACACTTCTACTATAGATCTATCAAATTAGTATCTAATAGATACACATCCCTCTAACCCTGACATACTCTACGTAGCGTTACTTCTCGACGACGAAATTATAAAACAAGGGATAACGATAGATGTCTACTCAGTATCTACAGAAGAAAAGCAACTGGATATCAACTGACATTCCAGGTGTTGTGCAATCCAATTGTGTCATCCGCGCGATTCATTGCACCGCTAGACGCTACCATGTCCTCACGATCGTGGAATCCATTGATCCTGTTCCCCTCACTTTTGCCTTCCCGCGAGTTGATGGCAAACTTGTTCTTGACGTTGTCCGCGCGCAGCGATTCCAATTGGTGTAAATACTCCTCACTGACACCACCAGTGACATATTCCCCTGTGAATACCGAGCAATCGAAAGTAGGAATTGACGGGTTAAGTTGTCGCACAGATGCGATGAGGTCGGGAAGAGTTTGGAACACGACAAGGTCTGCGCCGATGGCCTCAGCTATCTCCGGGGTAGTGCGCCCGAACGCAACGAGTTCTGTCCTTGAAGGCATATCAATACCATAGACATTCGAATGTCTAATAAATGTTTGTCAGCAGTCTGGTGAGGCTTATTGGTGGAAGGAACTACTACCGTATGGGCGGCGCACAGCTTGCGACGACGACCTTCTTTGCGCCAACGTCTTTCGCCATCTGGATAATCTCTTTTGAGGTGGTGCCACGAACAATGGAATCTGGAGCTGTGTGTCAAGGCAAGGCTTGATCATCATTCATTTCTACGACTTACCATCAACGAGGAGAACATTCTTCCCCGAAAACTCCAATGCCATGGCGTTCAGTTTCCGTCTGACATTCTTTCGTCTTTGAAAAGACCGTGAATATTGTGGGTTCTGGAAACGAATATGTCTTACCTCATTTGTTGACCTGGCATGATGAATGTCCTGCCAACATAGCGGTTCTTGATGAAGCCCTCTCGGTAGGGTAAGTTGAGTTTCTGAGCAAGATTCAAAGCTGCAACGCGAGATGTATCAGGAACCTGCAAAATGTCAGGATAAGCATTCGTGGAACAATATTGAAACCACTAACGGGAATGACGACATCCACTGCGATTCCGCGTTCCTTTAAAACCTTGTCAACTTCGACCGCAAGCGCATCGCCCATGGCCATTCGACTGCGGTAAACGCTGATGCCGTCAAGCACGGAATCTGGGCGAGCGAAGTACACGAATTCAAATATATCGGGTGCGAAGGTCGCATGCTCTGCAACACGTTTCCTTGAAACTCCCGACCGAGTGATGATTACCGCCTCGCCTACCAGCACCCGATATCAATAGCTGCGAGTGACAGAGGGAAACAAGGACTGACCAGGCTTCACATCATCCCATTCGCCAAAACCCAGAGCATCAGCGACAATACTCTCGCTTGCAAAGAGGTAGTCTCTTCCGGAGTTGCTCCTTCTGGAAGCCACTCCGACGGGTCGTATGCCATTCGGATCTCTGAACGCAATGATCCCGAAGCCAGCAAGCATTGCGACGCACGCATATGCTCCTGTGCACTGCTTCATAAGACCGCCTATGGCAGTGAAGATATCGTCTTCGTTAATACGGAATTTTCCAGTCTGCTGGAGATTGTTGGCGAAAAGGTTAAGAAGAAGTTCGGAATCGGACGAAGTGTTTATATGTCTATGTGCGGTGGCGTCCATAAATTGCAAGAGTGAAGGACCGTCTATGAGGTTCCCATTCTAATCACCTTCAGTCTTGAGCAACAAGTCTCGGAAAAAAACTCACATGTGCAAATACAATACCATAGGGTGAATTAACGTAGAACGGTTGTGCTTCGGCATGGTTCGAGCTCCCAGCAGTTGGATAACGAACTGCAATGCACCATATCAGATAATCGTTGGCGGGATCAGGTTGCTCCAAGGGCTTACCATGGCCAACACCCATCCCTCCGATCAATTTGGAAATGGCCTTTTCATCAAAGACATCCCGAACCATACCATTGGCTTTGCATTGAAAGAATCGGCCCTTTGGGCCACAAGTCACGATGCCACATGCATCCTGTCCCCTGTGTTGCAGCAAAGAGAGACCTTCACAAATTTCTGGTGCCGCATCAACAGATGCATCATGGAGCAGTAGCCCTAAAATACCGCACACTAAATCGGAGATCTGTCAGAATCTCTTAGATAATTAAGTAGGAAACTCACTGGCGATGCAGGGGTGGAATGAAAGAAATCCTGAAAGTTAGGGTGATGTCCGTTGGCGCGATCAACGTGCAGGGGACTATGGTCACAACCCGAAAACTGCCTGCAGAAAAACTGGCATAGTCTCGTCACTTTTCCTTGATAATCTTTTCCTTGATAATCTTGACCTCGGTCCATATATATTCGTAGCCACGTGCGCACGTGCGTCGACAAATTTTTCGGCAAGTCACTTTAATAATTGTCTTACTCCAGCCTTCTAACGTCAATCCTACTACTTGGTCGACCAAGGCTAGCAAATGCATTATACTGTGGTGAGCCTGAGGCTCGTAGAAACTTCTTCCAACATGCGGGATGAATAGACAGAAAAGCTTGGTTCATCCCATTGCCAATCACACCTTGAATCACTGAAAAATACGCGGTTGAACGCGGGTGTATTCTTCGATACTAAGAGAAGATATAGTGGATATAGGTAGGGCATCAGCAACATGCAGCGTAGTGGGGATCTTGGCAAAGTCCCGGGTAATGGTCGTGATAATAAACAGCGTAGCGGCTGGGGAGTAGGAGGTGATGATGGTGTGCAATAATCTACAGATAGGTGCGTGCGATGATGAATGAGGGAAGGATGAACTTCCTATGCTAGATGAAAAAAATTCTACAGGACCCAGTGAGACAAAAGAGTGATTACAACTTGAGCTGTTTAGGCTTCTCCCAGGTGTATGCTGGGTTACCTGTATAGCAATCAGCTTCTGCACTACATGCCCCAAAAGCTTCGAGAACATACCGAAGTGGCCATAAGACGCGGTCCTGAGGTAGTGGGGTTTCTGGAGGTCAAGCTCACGCACTAGAAAGCATTCGTCATTCGTCCTTCTCCACGCGGAGTACACTTACCCATGACACCAGGACGGAGATCCCAGTTCTTGCGAATGATAGCCTCGAGCTCCTCGTCCGACTTCTTGCCAGTGCCGTACGTGTCAACGTAGATAGACAAGGGTTCGGCAACACCGATAGCATATGAGAGCTGAACAAGGCAGCGGCGAGCGAGGCCAGCGGCAACGAGAGATTTGGCTGCGCGAAATTTCAAATACTGAATAATTGATCTAAGACGGATGAACATACCGATCCAACGAGCGGTGTATGCTGCGGAACGGTCAACCTTGGAGAAGTCTTTGCCTGAGAAGGCTCCTCCACCGTGTGCACCCCAACCACCGTAGGTGTCCACAATGATCTTACGGCCAGTGAGACCGGCATCACCCTGGGGACCACCAATGACAAAGCGGCCAGATGGTTGAATCTAGTCCAGATGGTGAGTTACAACCGCCACCAGAAATAACAATTCACGTACGTGGTAGACGATGCGATCATCAAGTAGGTTCGCGGGGATGACCTGCTTGATGATTTTGCTCATAATTTCTTTGCGAAGCTCGTCGGTGGAGATTTCCTCTGCGTGCTGGGTCGAAATAACTACCGTGTCCACACGCAGGGGGATCATTGCACCACCCTCTTTCTTGTACTCGACGGTGACCTTGAGTCTTGGAGTCGGGGCGCAACCAAGGCAGAAGACCTGATCGGCGAGCATCGGCCATGGCACGGTTAAGCTTGTGTGCGAGCATGATGGTCAAAGGCATTAATTCTGGGGTCTCATCGGTAGCATAACCGAACATGATACCCTGGTCACCAGCACCGTGGTCTTCCAGAGAGCCATGGTCCAGACCCTGAGCGATATCAGGGGACTGCTGCTCGATGGCAACAAGAATGTTGCAGGTCTTGTAGTCGAAGCCTTTGGAAGAGTCATCGTAACCAATCTGTTTGATTGTGTTGCGAATAACTTTTTGGAAATCGATCTGGGCTTTGGTGGTGATCTCTCCAAAGACCATGATCATGCCGGTCTTCGACGCGGTCTCACAAGCGACCTTTGAAAATGGATCTTGCTCGAGGCAGGCATCAAGCTGTAAAACTGATTAAATCGTCTTCCGCAATGATTACTATCGTTTGGGTATTCACAATGGCATCGGAAACCTGGTCACAGATTTTGTCTGGTATAGATTAGTTTCCTTGCAACAGTGCGACAACGAAAAAAAACCAACCGGGATGACCTTCGCCTACAGACTCAGAGGTGAATAAAAGATGCCCAGGTGCAAGAGCAGCACGCGCGTTTCCGTTAGCAGCCATTGAAGACGTCGAAATAAACAAGAGAAGGAGTTGGGAAGGAGTGAAAGAAGATGTGAGACCAAGCGTTGCGCGAAAAACAATTAAATGATCTATGTCGCTTATGTAAGCCCACCATCACGCCATCTTCTGCTATCTTGCGAAAATACAACGTACTGCATCCTCCGAAACAAACTGATAACAGTTGATAGCAGACTCAGACGTGAGCAGACGTGGCACTGGGTTCCCATGAGACATCAAATGATGGACGTTGGAGGGAAAATGTTTAATCGGGAAGTGTAGTGTGGGTAAATCCTAAGGGCCTGATAGTAGCTTGATAGTCAAACGAATTAATTATTACAAAAATCCTACACCAAGAGGATCTGTATTTGTCGAGGATTGTTTATCTTCGTGTTCTAAAACAGGGCTCTCATCAGACACAACCGTGGGATAGGGCACACCGATGTTATGGTCCTGCCCAGATATATGGGATTCTGACGAGCTGTGACGGGGTGGATGTGCGACTGTTGGGTCAAGCGGTAATGATTTCCCGTCAAAGAGATCTCCTGATAAGGAGATTTGTCTAGGCGACCGAGACCTAGTCGTACTCCAGGGATTGTCGGAGGGAAGGACTTGTATAGCTTTTGGGGGTTTCATACTATCCCAAGGGTTATATGATGAGCCGGCAGGGTATGCCTGACTAGTTCCACGATAAGTAGAGCGCTCTCCGTCTCCAAGGCGCTCACGAGGTTGAAGCTCAGAAGTCTTTCCTGGGATCTCTTCGTTATCTCCTGATGGCCTCGGCAAGGTCTTCAAATCTTTCGCAACCCCATCATAGACATCCTGCATTGCTGAGAATGCCGCGGTGGCATTCGAAGATAATTTCCCCCACACTGATCTCACTCCGGTATTCGAAAACATATCCGCGGAATTGGCCGTCCGAGTGCGACCCAGGGATGAAGAAATACTTCCTGGAGAGGATGGTCGAAGGGGAGGGCCAGAAGGCCGTAGCGACGAGGGGGATGGAGCTGCAATATTATCACCAGTTACTCTCTGAGGAATGTCTGGTAATGAAGACCATAGTCCACGAAGGCCTGCAGTCAGGGTTTCAGACGCATTTGCAACGTTGGATGGTACGGCAGAAGGATTCGAAAGATTTGGCGTTCTAGCAGGGGACGGTGGAAGCGGTATTCCTGCAGGAACACTGATTGAATTGATAGGATCATCTTCTATGGAATCGATTGGGGATGTGAATTCGGGGCCCTCCTTCGTTTGAGAGATAACTATCCTCCCATTCATCTCCTCCTCTGTCCTGCCATAAAGCTCGTGCCAAAAACGAATATCCTTGGCATTTGGATAGAGAACACCCATGTCAGCCGAAGGATCTCTACTGGATGGTTCATCCAAAGAGGGGTCGTATGCGTCATTCTTGTTCAGCTCTAGCTCTGTGGTGGAGTTGAAAAAATCCCAGATACAAGCTGTTCGCTCCGAGGGAACAGCGCCATCTTCACCAGCTCGTCGTTCGCGTTCACAATTGTATAAGAAAGTGCCGAACTGGCACGAATAGAGGTGATACAGCAGTTGGCGGAGGAAGCGCTCATTAAACTCAAAACGAGAGGGGTACTGCCGCTGCAGCTGACGGACGCATTCCAGGAATTGGTGAAAACAGGGGCTCGTCTCCTTCAGGTGGCTTTGGGAAGTGAATCGATTCTGGACGGAAACTAAGAAGGCTTGTGCAGCATCAGCGCCGCTATTCGTCCCCCCGGTTTCTGGTAACGAGGTAAAGAATTTGTCGGAGGAGAGGTGTCCGCACCGATCAAGAAATTTGTGCCCAAATGACACCCAATCTTTCTCAATCAGTATCTGGAAACCTCGAATGGTGCGGTAATATGGATCCAAGCATAACTGGGCCAACGCAGATAACTGAGACGTTCGATCCCAGCCATCAGAGCAATGGATGAGGACATGTGACGAATTGATGTGAATGTTGCGAACAATGAGGGCTGTGCTCTCCAGTATATTCGACATGTGTCTGAGCCATCCAGAACGACGCAGCGCCTGCCGGTCGACTACAATAAGCTGTTGTGCTTCACCAGGCAGGCTACCAGTAACGCTCGCAGCTACGTTATCCGCTTCGCGCAATACGTCCACGATCTTGGCAAGGGACTCCCGCATGGTATGTATGTGGTCTATGCCCGAATAAACCTTCTTGGCGTCCTTGTAATGATCCATGATTTCCGTGCCTGCACCTTTGGCTGTGTTAGCCACAGCATTGGCAGTCGGCCGTGCGTCAACTATTAAATTCGTGCTGGTGGCACCGTAAACCGCGCCGCCTGACGGGCGTGATTCCGAGAAATGATGAGACTGAAAGACAGCTTCGACGAGCTTCTCATCTTGAAGTGAGCGGTTCTGCTTAATGCCCACCATCGGCTGGCTTGATCTCGTGATGCTGCCCTGTATAAAGTAAAATTAACACTTTGCCCTGACTGAGGCACCAAGCTACTGACAAAGTTTGCCCAGTGTAAGTAGGTCAGTGCAGGTATTCGGCATTTGCTGCGGTATTTGGACGCGTATCGCAACGTTGAGTCACTGATGCGAGTCGGCACGACCAGTCGTGAAGGGTAGGTAGGCGAGAACTTTGGATTATTATTTACACACACAGCGATTCAACAGGGAAGTCTGATACTTACAGTGTGATCCTTGTTGATGTCAGTGAATCGCCAAGCTTTCGTACGAGTTCCAACGCCCATACGGCCGAATTCTTCTCTTGGAGAGTAAATAGACCATCCACCCGTAGCATTAAACGGCGGGCTAGGAGTGTAGAAGAACGCATACAGCTGGTTGACGGAGGCTAATAAATGTTAGCGATCAATGTGACTTAAATCGAGAGATTGGACACTCACTACACACGGTCAGCTCTTTGACACTTTCGAATACGTCTATAGTGTCCCGCTCCTTCTCGAACGATAGTGAAAACGTTTCAAACATTCGAGTGTGGAATGTTAGCGGACTCTGTCCATGCAACGTTTGCGGGAGCTTCAATACAAGAGATATCAGCGGGTAAGGTACCTGCAGTACGAGTTATCAAGTGCAGCATGCCGTGAGCCGGAATGTAGAACTCGCCCACATCTCCTCCTTCTCAGCATCCTCATACCGAAATATAAGGTGATGGGCAGTGAGGTGTAAAGATCCATATTGAGCGCTACCGGACTTGCCACATAATACCTTCTCCACCTGCACACGCACTGTTGAGCGCATCAATGGTGCATTCCGCACGCAACGCACCTTTGAAACTCTGATTGAATCCATCTATCTGGTGGAAGTGGACGCAGCTCGACTTTAGCACTCGACGTTAGACGGAATCAATACTGGTATGTTTGATCCTATTTACACATCATGAACTCAGCCTGAGGACAATGTATATGGGTGGTACGCGTCATGCATCAGGGTCGATGCCAATACCTGTTCTTGTTTCCAAACTAGAATATCTGCTACAGTGTACCGCGGTATCTATCCAAAGACCCAGAATTCGCTAACCACATCTCGGCCAGATACACTGTCGTCTGCATTCACTACATCTGACATCGGAAACAGATCTTTCCTCAGCGTCATAGCCAACGCAGGTTCCTTTTTGATTTTACGTCTAACCTCGGTTTCAATCAACTGCGACATTGTAAGCGCGCGTACAAGAGAACAAAGGATCATCTCTTACCGTTCCGTACGTGTGATCGAGGAAATCCTCCATTGAATAACCTGGCTTGGTGAAAGCCTCTGCAAAAATGCGAGCCATGGTTGACACTGCAGAGTCATAGTGATGGATATGAGAGTGAAGCTCCCATAATGAAGAATCAAGTGCGTTGGTGGAGTTGGGATTTGGCTCTTCGGCAATGAACGGGTCTGTCAGACATTATGATTAGTTATTGCTTGCCAAGAAGGAACTGCATGCGTACCTGTGTCTGTGCCAGTATTGTCTTCAGTTCTGTGTATCATTACCATCAGGGCCGGATGCCGCTTGAGAATATTGTATGTGAAAGGTATTATCATGATAATAGCCGCCGGAGGAGCGTTGAGCGATAACCTGGACAACCTCTTGACAAACGATGCCAATAAAGTTGCAGGTAAATGCCTGCGTTGTCTCAGTGACAACACCTAGCAATTATGGAAATGGGTCTTACGTAGAACTCAGAAACAACTCAGTTAGGCGGAAAAACCGGGCGCGGTGCTTCAAGTGTAGAACATCACGATGGAGGAATGCGTATAATCGAGTGAAGAATGAAGGGTAATCTCTGCAGCCGGGACAGGTAGTAAGACCTAAATTGTGTCATTTGAAGATTCGCACTTACAGATTATAATCTCGCATTAAGGTGAACAAAGCATTGAGTGCCAGAAGTCCAACGGTTTCTCCTAGAGAAACGCCTTAATAAACCGTGTTGAAACCCATAATTTTGCCTCACCAAGATCCACGCACGCGCTTATCCAATCCATGACAAGTACAGGCCTAGTGAGATGTGGCAAGACACCACGGTGCATTATATTTAATGCTCTCGTTGTGAGGGCTCGGTTGGAGGATGTGGAGACTGATGACAGGTGGGGTAGAAAGTTTAGCCACGATCGCGTGAACACAGCTCGATGAGCTTGAAGAGAGTGAAGAGACTGGTGGAATGTCAGGGTGTGAGCCCGGGCCTTGATACTTGGTTTTTTCGTATCTTTCACGTTGGAATCCTCATCAAAAAATTTGCGCCAGTCATCCTCGTCGTTTTCGTCCACTGGTTCTGGGTCATCCTCCTCTTCAGTATCTCCCTTGGCGGTTTTATGTTTTGGAGGTTTTGCGCCGAGTTCTTCCACCCACCATGCGCTGAGCTCCGACTGATCCGTCGGAAATGTTGACAACTTTTCCATAATGGAGAGCAGGTTGTCGAGCAGTTGAGGATACTCTGTAGATGAATACTTCGAGAGCACAGTTCTAAAGGGGAATTAAGCACTGCATATTGATTTTGTACGAGCCTTACGTTGCTTCTCGCAAAAAACACCATCGTATATCATCGTAGACGCTGAACCATACCTCCACGAAGTTCTCTCTGACGTCCAGCTTCGTCTTGGAATCATGCTTACTGCTTCCTTTTGATCGAGGGGACGGTGGGCACAGTAGGATCCCGTGCACTATGTGTTTAAAGTGTGAAAGGTGAAATTGCGGTTGTGGGGTCGGGGCAGACTTGGTCAATGAGGTTGAGAGATGCTTCAAAAGTGAAAAAAGTATTTCCAGCGATGATTTCTAGAGTAGACGTGAGAACACGAGGCAAGATCAACATTAATCTGATACGCACCCTCAGCGCTGGTTCTTCATCTTGCAGTAAACCGACGAGCAATTCTACGTATGAATCCAGCTTCTCCCATATCCACTTGCGCACTTGTTTGGCAGCATCATCACCCCCGTGAACTAGCATTCCACGAGAGATTATCAAGACGAATACGCGATAAATACTGTAGACTGCTTTAGACATTTCTCTCGCGTCTGACGTGCCATGAGCCAGCATGAGCAGATCCGCGAGTGGGTTAAGGGTGCCATTGTCGGTGACGGCGGAGGTCAGTTGAGCTTCCAAAGATTTTATTGAAACGGATTCAACAGTAGTCTTCCGTCTTTTGGTTGGGGGAGGGAGTGAGCGGACCGGCATGGTAGAGATATGCAAAGTTGAAGCCGGTCATACTGATTAACTTTGGATTAATTTTATTATTATTATTCAATAAGATAAATATATGTAAACACAATCAAGTGCTGATCAATCAGTGAATCATGACTGCTGCTTCCTGCTGCTTCGACACAGACTGACGACATGTACGACGTGAATCCTACCCACGACACCGCATGGACCTCTCAGGTGCAGGGGATCCAATAATTTTACTTATTGGACCAACACAAAGAGCTAAGGAGGTTAACCGTGAGAACGTGGGAATAGATTCAGACATTTACTACGGTTTAGACCGTGACGTCTGAGGAAACACCCTGAAATTTCCAAGTGTTCCTCGGACCTCCAATGTTATCTGTCACCTTCAAAACTTCCACACGGCTGCACTTAGCATCGACGACGGGACGTGCATTGCGCTCTAATAGTCTACGTCATTTCCATCGATCTTGGAAATCCCAAGAGCATTTCCTAAATGCCGATGCCAAGGCAAGCACCCTGTTAGTATCATAGCACGAGCTGGGTCAGTATAACCACAAGCGCTACATGCATTTGACATTTCCAGACCTTCGACAAAGTCGCTCTAAACCCGTCTGCAAGTCATAAAGTCATCCTGGTTGACTTCTATGCAGAGTGCGCAATAACTTTGGACATCATTGGCGTTTAGCATTTGCTGACAAGCGTGTAGTTGGTGCAACCCTTGCAAGATGATTTCGCCCTTGCTTGAAAAATTGACCAGCTGATGCGACTGTGAAGACTGGTAGTGGCCTGTTCGCTGGAGCTGGTCACGGTGGACACAGACGTAGAGTTTGACCTTGCAGCAAAGTACCAGGTGCGCATTCTTCGCCATGAATTAAGAGTTCTCGTCTCTGACATGCATCAGGTGCGAGCGCTGCCAACCGTTATAGCATTCAAAGACGGCAAGAAGGTTGACCAGTTTGTTGGAGCCTTGAATGAAGGCGGCATTAGACAATTCTTAGCCAAGCTGTAGAAGATGCATATTCTTATATGATGAACATGATTGCACATGTTCCATACCCCTCTGGGTTCCAAAAAATGTATCAAAACATTGAAAGCATAGCGTAGAGTTTGTTACAATGATGAAAGGTTGAATATAGGTACAGGTAAGAGATAAAAAACTATCGGGGTCAATGAAGCAGTGGGTCCACATCATAATGCAGCGGTATAAGCGAGAACTGTGTCAGGCGCTAACATATAGACGGGTCAATGAAGATATGCAAAGCCGTCCAGGTTATTGTATCGAACAACAGCCCCCTCCAGATTTTTGTTGACCATACACGTCATCTGCCTTGGTGACTGGACCCCACACAGACGGAACCTGAGCAGGTAAATTTCGGTCATCATACGTTCAGCGCAAAATGCCTCATCATAAAGAAAACATACCAGATGATCTTTCGTCGTCTTGCAGTAGCGAATTAGACTATGAAAGAGTTAGTTTGGTTTTCCACAGTACAAAAAGAGCAGAATCTCACCTAGCGGCAGCTTCACTAACCCGAATTCTTGGCCTTGCCAAATCTTCTCGAAGGCGCTGGTTGTGCTCCAGCAGCCTACGATACCGCAGCTCCGACATTGACTGCCTTCCACCTCGTGAGCTCATGCTTGTGGAATTTCAGGACGGGAGAAGGCAAGAGTTTGTAGTAAAAGTCCTTGATTAGCAAAAACTGTGAGATATGGTCGACATAGGCTTTTGACCACCAAAGTACCCACCAGTTTTGTATAGACCGCCTTACAACTAAAATTGCGTGTCGTACTGCGAAAGGTCAAGAAACTAGGATACCACAGGATTAGACGGTGGAGTGGTGATCACGGTGGGGAGACAAGTCTGTAATGGTGCAATTACCCGGTTTGACTGAGGCGGCTTTGAAATGATAATTTCCGCATTTGGACAATTGTATTTTGTGAACAAAATTCTTTTCTACTCCTGACGGCATTCAGTGTTCAAGGCAAGTACGTTGGTTTCGTATGAGTGGGTCGACAACCGTGCAGAGCTGATAATCTTAACTGGAAAAGTACATCCACTCTACCATTCAGCTCCTTGACTGAGGCCCAGGCAATGCGCCAGATACAAGGCACGTTATAAGTATCTAGAACAGCCTGAGCCTCGATTAATTATAACCAGTAACAGTAAGAAAACAGCCTGAAGAGTAGCAATTAAATAACAACGTAAGTCATGCAGATGATACGAGAATTCCGTGATGAGTTCACTGGCATTGGAGAGCAGAATCAGTAAAGTGACATGATCGAAGTCCGGGCAAGGTACATGACGGGCAATAAAAGGCAAACTACGCTCAGTATCTGTCCAGGATCCCTCGCAGGAGTTTCTCCTTGGCTTTTGCATGATCTTCGGCTGCGACCGACTTGTGCGTCTTGTCACGTTTCGATATGAGTCTTTCGATATCCCCAGGAACCGTTTTCGCGTAATCTCTGAGTAGTTGGACTACACGGAAGGACCGTTCTGTGGTCAGGCTCACAATCCAAAAAGGCCAGGAAAAAATACCATGTCTGTTGATGACCTTCTCGTATTCACCAAAGAGCTGGTCACTCTCAGCGCATACATCTTGGAGCTGAAGAGATATCCCTCCAAGCGCTTCCTGGAAATTCGTTGCTGAATTATAGAGGAGATAAGATGACTTTCGCAAACTAACTTTCATCCGAGCAAACGTCGAAACCACTTGATCGTGTTCGCGTCTTGCAGCATCTTCGAGGGCCCTTGAGTTGTTGTGAAACAGGGCAGCTCCACGAAGCAAGGTTGGGTGGATCTCATGCGAGAAAAGTTTGTGAGCCTCTCCTACTCGAGTAATCACTGGAATGAGAGTATCCCTGAACCGCTTTTTCACGTCCCGCCCATGAGCAGTGAACGCTGGCTGGAGTCGGTTAACAATAGCTGCACCATCTTCAAGATCGGGAGCCTCCTCCCTGAGATATGATGATGAGGGATGAAGCAATCGCTCGAGGTTGTAAAGTTAGTCAATTTCACACACCCGTCGTCCAGGAGAGCAATTAGGGTGTGTTCGTCCCAATCAGAGTCCGCGGAATCGTCTTCGTCATCTTGATCCTGGTGTTCATGGATGCCAGTCATCCCCGTTGCTGAATTGGTCTTCTTCGCGATATTCGCTGAAGCTGAGGAGTTCTTCTGATGTAGGAGACTCGCAAATGCATTTATGTCGCGTCCGAAGCTTCTTCAATGGTGAAACAAGTCTGTTGCGGCCCAACAAGCGTGATTTGTCTGAATTAACCGCTGCAGAACGGGAGAATCTTGCTATCAGTAACGTTCATGAAGAATGACCGCATAGATAGTATCTGACGTGACTTGAATGCTTTCGACATACTTGACCGCATTCGAGAGTTCGACTTTCTGTTATTTGGGGATGAATAACGCGCCATGAGTCGGTGTAAGAGATTATCGTGCAGTGCAGTTAATAACTTGGCAGTAACAACCTTGGTTATATTAGAACTCCGACGCGGTATGTCCCACTGGTCTGCGTTCTTCGTTTCTCTCCCCGTACATCTTGGCCCGGTGGGCAGGTGAGTTGTTTTTTTGTTCATTTCTGTTAGTTTCTTTGCTTATAAGCCGTCTATCTTTTACAGTCGCATACTTGGCTCCCTTCTTTCAGATTTCCTGCGCTTCTTCAACTTCTTCGTTCTCGATTTCTGCTCTATTTCATCATGAACGCTCGTCCACATAAGCAGTCTATGTCAGAGCTGAAGCTTCGCAGGCTCACAGAACATAATCAAAGACTGCGAGAGGATCTTGCGCGACCCCGAATGAGAGTGAGCGAAGCCAGCGCAAGGTACGGCTCCATTTTATTCCCACCACAGCCAGGCACAGATGATCTTACCGTCGCTCTCTGCATCACAGTTTAATTCGTTATTGCAAGACTACAAAAGACCACCTGGTGCGTTTGTATTCCTGATACCTTTAGTGCCTTTACTATCAATAAATTTTGTCTCGCGTGCCTGTGCCCTATGTGATTTGCGCTCATACTGCGTATTTTCAGGTACCGTCTGTGTGGGGACCCGTTGGAAAGGGTGAGGACCCATACGCACCGCCGCAAACAGGCTGCAACTGTATCGTGATGTGATGTGTCGCTCCTTATACCCCCCACTGTGACATACCCCTTTCATTTTCTGGCTACGGAGAGAGATTCAGACCCCAAACCGACCTTTCCTGAGCGAACGCCCCCACGCATCCTATACACAGCTCGAACTGCCCACGCTCATTTAACATATCCTACATCCCCTTGTCCGCATGACATTCCAAAACCAACGGACGATGCTTCATGGCTTGCCAATGTGCACATTCTCACACTCCAGTCGTACACATATTGCTTGGAACCACAAACCCTTTGTCGCTTAAGTCATCCCAAGGTCTCTTTTTATCCACTTCGAGCATTTCGCTCTATGCATGGTCATTATCTCACTTTTTGCATAGCTTAGTGTGTTATTTGTTTTTATCGGTTTTTGTTTCGGCTGGAAGTGCATCTATGTGATATATATATGTTGGGGAAGAGAACCTTAACAATGAAGCCATTTACTACATATTATTCTGAGCCAAGACTTGTGTATGAAGTGGACAATTTGAAACAGCTTTCGATCGATCTGAGCTCTCTACCATCATTACCAGGCGTATTGTCCTGTCACTTTGTTCTTATGTCCTCTTAGCTCTGCGTTTCATATAAACCAACAAACAGACAATGTCTCTTTGTGAACTCCTGCACATATACTCGTCCATTGTACCCTCTGAGATAACGTGGAGGGAACAGGTACTGTACTCGCTGGCGCTGCGCATAAACTTTTGGGAAGTACACTGCCAAACACGCTGACCACGATTCACGAACGCTTCTCGTAACGCTTATTTCACACCTTCCGTTGTTCTCTTCCTGCCATGATTAAAGACGTGCGGCTGCAAATACGGGAGTTTGCAGCGCCAGTCGCCCAGAAACTAGGCCTCAGCAAGGTATCTGACTTTGCCGATGTGATCTTGCTCTCCTTCGTGTTCTTCTCTGTCGTGCACTATCGTCTGTCACCCACTGTGAGCGGAGCGCTCTTTCCTGTGTCGTATGGCAAAGCGGGAAAGAGAGCGCGGAACAACTGGTGAGGTTGACTACTACGCCACACCTGTAGACCAGAAAAGAATTGACAATCGCAGGGACATACGTGTCGCATCGTTCGTCCATGCTATCATAATCATATTTCTCGCCGGGCGCTGCCTCACTCTTCCGAGTCTTAACGAAAACCGCGCGTTTGGTTGGGACGAAAATGCCGGGTTTGTGATAGCTGTCGCAACGGGGTGAGCCGACTGTCAGCGAACGCCACCAAATTTCTGACTTGACTTGAAACTTCAGTTACTTCATCTGGGACACACTGGAATCGATCATCCACTTCAGTGACATTGGATTCGTTTTCCATGGTACGTGTCCGATGAGTCTCTTCACAAGCTTGATTCTGACACAGCCCCAGGCATTTCATGCCTTTTAATATATGGCTTTGCATTTGTGCGTAATGTGATCATATCAGAACTTCACGGTAGATAACACGTCCATTCAGACGCCCTTTGTTCCTTACTATGGGGTACGCTTCTTGTTCTGGGAGCTGTAAGTACAAACCACTGCAGATGTCCCATTCCTTTCGTTCAAACTGTTCACAGGAGCACTGTGTTTTTGAACATCCATTGGTAAGCCATGATCTAGCATGCTCATAGTGATGCAAACGGGCTTCGCCTGCAGGTTCTTGGACAAGACTGGAAAGACAGGCAGTACCCTTCAGCTTGTCAACGGCATTGTTCTTATTGCGACCTTCTTCTTTGTACGCTGCCTCTGGGGCGCAAAAATGGTCGGTGTCGACTTCACTTTGGTGCACGTCAGAACTGACGTTTCCTATGCAGTCGTATGACTTTTTCGTGACTTTGAATGGGGTGTACGACCAAGTTTCGACTCCATACGTTATCATTTACGGAGGTGGCAATGTCTTGCTCCAAGGGCTCAACTGGTTCTGGTGAGACTTCAATTGTCTTTGTCTTCAGGGCTAATTTATGCTCATGAACCTCATTGTCAGGTTCGCCAAGATGATAGCTGCGCTTACGAAAAGGTTTCAGGGAAAACCCAATGGACACAAGAACGTCAATGGAAATGGCGTTGGAAAGGCTAAAATCTAAACATCTTTTTAGATGTGTATGTTCTGGTTCTGCAGGTTAAAATGCTGGTAGAGGCAAGTACAGTATGCTTAAATACACAATCATCGACGACAGGATCGGACCACTAGGCTACGGTGAACGCTGCCTCTACTTGTGTCCGTACTCTCTGCTCCCAGGCAACAAGGTTCACGCGTCGAGTGACCTCAATTCTCGTGCTATCCTTGCTATTGAAAAGACTGTGTAGGTACGCGAATGCAAGTGCATCTAAGGCAGTAGGATTTCTGCGTCGTGTCAGTGATCACACCCGCTGACTTGGCAAATAGGATAGTGACTTACTCTGAGCCAAGAAACCATGTGTCAGTTCCAAGCCGTTCTGAGAGTGAAGCGATGGCCTCCGCATACTGGCCTTGGATGGATGACAGTGAAATATTTGTTCCATATGATGGTAGAAGTGAGCTCAAGCCAGTGAGAGGAGCAGGTGGTGGGCTAAGAGTGACTGCTATGGCCATCCCTCCAGCGGCGGCTGTCTGGAAGAGTTGAGAAAGGACAGGTTGTGGAGGTTCTGATAGAACCTGGCAATAACAATCAGGATGTGGTCTTACACATCAGACAAAATGCACACACCAAGGCAGCATGCACGACACCCTCGAGCAAGGAGACCCATGCGTGGCTCTCGTCTTGGAGAGATCCATCCTTGTAACCGTTCAGCGGATCGTTCCCACCGTGAACCCGTCCATCCACCCAACCAGGGATACCGCGTGGTGCTAACAGCTCATCTTTGGCATCGAATGCAGGAGTATGTAGGCAAGGCAAACGACCATCGATTCCACCTTCTGGAGAGATGTCCCACCGGACTGCGACGTTCGTGAGCCCACGCAAGGCGATATATGCCTGCCATTTGAGACATTCCACGTCTGCGCTCAGAATATCAGAGTTAGTGTTTTGGTCGATTGCAGTTGTTCGGGGAGGTGCAATCCATAATGTAGGCCTTTGCAAGGGATTTTTTGCTGTGACTTCTATTGGCGGGTACGTGTGCAGGGGGAACTTGCTGAGGAACCTCTGGAGCGGTTCAGGAAGACTGAACGTGGATGCCATGCTTCGAAAACAGTCTCCCCTGGATTATTTCTCGAAGTCACTTTGGTACTAAACTACACCTAATATATGAAAAGATTGCCTCCAAAATGAAGAAATTTACCACTAAACTATCCTTTTATGGTACAGAATTCACGATGACCCCAAGCATGCATAAGTAGTTTACCAACTGGCTTGCTCACTGAGCGACTGACGTTCGCGTCGACGTGGCAAACGACTAGCAACCTTAGTAGACCTGACAAGCTGGCTTTACTCCTCTAACTTTCACTTCGTGTTTGGGCCACGTCCTCCTCAAGTCTGGAGTTTGCCTCTGCCCTTCGTCTAAAGTTCGCCTGTGCCCTCCGTCTACCGAACTTGCACACAACCGTATAGAGTATGTCTGATTATGTGTCGAGCCCCTCTAGGCCAGCCTCGCCTGTGGGCGCTTTACCAGAAATACCACACACTGCACGTCCATTCCGCTTAAACTGGGATACAGCTTCTCGTGCCCGAGGTCCAGGGAGCGTTTCAGAGACCACTGAAGGTCGTGGAGGTGACTATTTCGCAACACCTTTTCGCCTTGAACTGCCCAATCTATCAACTGCAAATATTGCCCTCGGCGCTTTGCCCCAGGAATGGAGTAGCTCAACGCAGGGATTCAACGGTAGGCTGCCCTAGGCTCCTGCCATTCTATGATGCGTGATGCTTATTGTTCCCAGCGATATCAACCGTTCTTAATAATCCTCATAGACGCCAGGCCCCTCCAAAAGCCCATTCCTCCCTCCCAGCTGTGCCCCCTTCTGATTTACCACGCGTCAAGCGCAAGGACTTCGATCCATATCTTCGGGCCATTGCGCCGGAATGGGAAAGATTCGAGCGAAACATGCAACTTGGTCGGGATAGCCAGGCTTCGTTGGACGCATCATTTAGTCCTCGTCCTTCAGCGGACACTCCACTTACGCCACGTACGCCTCGGGCAGGAAAGCTATTAACACCTCTCGGCTCCGTCCCTGAGGTCTTCTTTGATGCTCAATTTAATCTTGGTGACCCACAGACATTCAATGCCGTCATAGAACGCCAGGAAGAAGACGAAGCTTCCTCAGACCCTTCGTCACTTTCGTACTCCCTCCCTCTTCTTGAGAAGTTGTCACATCATGCAGATACCATTGAACAGCACCTTGTTCGGGAAATTTGCTCTTCGGTCCACATCATTCTTTGCGGCATTAACCAACTTGCAAGACCTGCAGACCGAATCGGAAGAATGTCTTGATCGAATATCAAAGCTCCGCGGACTACTCAAGGAGGTTGATGAAAAAGGCGCTAAACGAGGACTAGAAATCGTGAGGACAGAAAGCAAACTGCTCAATCTCGAATCTATCAGTAGTGGTGTCAAAGAGGTAGGGGCTGTGCTGGAGATGACTGGGGTGGCAAAGGGATTAGTTGCGGCGGGACAATGGGGCGAGGCTTTGACAGTCATTGAAGGCGTGGAAGCACTCTGGGATCCTGCAGCTGCTGAAGGGCAGCCTGCAGTTTCTGGCAGGAAAGCTCGAGCGGAACTTGTTCGTGTCCCCACCAACGGACGATTGTCGCCTCTTCCATCTATGCCGGAATCGCCTCCCCCGGAAAGTGAAGGGACTAGGAAGACTCCATCGATACCGGTGTCCTCATTGATCGCCTTCTCTTCTCTTCCTGTGCACCTTCGTGCATTGACCATGGAGATAGCGTCCTCGCTTACCACGGAACTCGTCAGTGTGTTGAAGCTTGACTTACTAGAACGAGTGAATGCAGCACCTGAGCGGAATGGTAACGTGAATCTGTCCTTAAAGGATAGGCTGCGGCCCGTTCTTCAAGGCCTTTTACGCACTAAGGGAATTCGCGAAGCTACTGTTTCCTGGAGAGAAGTTGTGACCAGTGAATTGCAAGGTATCGTCAAGCATGTATGTGCTCGGCACTTTAATGGTGAATGATCATTGATGGTTCTCTAGCACCTGCCGTCTTTCAATACGGATGAAGAGGAGTCTAAAGATCCTAAGGCTGCCCCAAGGTACGTGGGACGGTAACTTTCCGCGTACTATTATCAATTTTTCTGTGCTCATTTCAGTGGACTTGTAAATCTTCTTCGCTCCAAAGAGCACGCGGAGTTCCTATCGCTTCTCTCGCAGCTGTATACGAGTCTTCTGAACGGTATCAAAGGCATCCAGGCCCAAAATGGCATACTAATAGAAGTGTTACGAAGTTTGCAGTAAGACTTTTCGTTCATCATTCTCCGCCTTATCGCTCATTGTGCTTCCATATCTCCTGGTTAATATCTCACAGGGCGCACAAACCATCAGTAGACATCACCTCACTGCAAGAAGAACTCTTAGACATTCTATCTTCATCTGCGGACCTCTCAAACAAGCTAGCCGCGGTACTTATTGGATATCGATCCGAACAGCATGCGCAACTTGATCTTCCTGACTTCCTTACCTTCTTCAACACTTCGTGGAGTTTCGTGGTGCAGTGCGAAGTGATATGCCGGCGGATGATCATGGGGCTGAGGGGAGTGGTCCTTGGTCAGGTACGTACCTTTATCTATCAGTAACCCAATCAGATGCGATAATAATATCATGTGCCTTCTAGGCGAAGCACTTTCTACAGGCTTTCCATCAGGCCCGAATCAGCCAATCGGCGAAGCTCGTTGAAGATGAACAGTGGAATCCGATGTCAGAAGTGCCTGCAGCGCTGCAGCACATGGCAGATGTCCTGGTAGATTCCGCAGTTCGGGACTCCCCTGAGCTTATCGTAGGAGAGACAGATAGCTCGACTTCGGCCCCAAGCCCGTTACCATCTCAGCCTCCTTCGAGCAATTCGAATGGATCCACACCGTCATCCAAGTATCTTCGAATAGAAGAACGACCGTACTTCTGTGTTTCTGCCACAGGCGCTGTCCTCAGCCTGTTATTCGATTACCTTAAGCTCGTCGTCAACCTCTCCATGCTTAACATCGATACGATGGGTCGAGTCATAGAGTTTCTGAAGGCGTATAACTCTAGGACCTGTCAGGTCGTCCTGGGCGCTGGGGCGATGCGGTCGGCTGGTTTGAAAAACATCACCGCAAAACATCTTGGTAGGTATTGTTTGTCGTCCCTGACAACTAAGAACCATTGATCTTATCTCTCCAGCACTGGCATCACAGTCCCTGTCAATAATGATCGCACTCATTCCGTACGTGCGAGAAACCTTCCGTCGCCACCTTAGCCCAAACCAGGCGGTGATGCTCATCGAATTTGATAAACTCAAGAGGGTACGTCCGGAACCGCTGCATATCGTATCAGAATCTCATTCCTGTCCTAAATGTAGGACTTCCAGGAGCATCAGAGTGAAATCCATTCGAAATTGATTGCTATTATGGGCGACCGCACTAGTGCACATGTCAAATCCTTACAGGCAAGTTTTACGCCCTTTGCCGTAATCTACATCGTAGTTTGGGGCATTGAAAGCTAACCCCGAGTGCGAATAGAACGTCGATTGGGATCGGCTAAAGCAGGGAGAAGGTGCCAATGATTACATGGAACTTCTCGTCAAGGAGACTGTCACGCTTCACAAGGTACTTTCGAGGTACCTGACTGCACCAGTTGTGGAGGTTAGTGATACTGGCTCTGTATGTGCTAACCAAGTTCGCTCACAGTCATGATCCGCCGCACAGTATGTCATGTCTCAGGTTGTCGCTGCGATCAATCACCGCCTATCCGAAGAATACAGCAAGATTGACTTACAAAGTCAAGAAGCAAAAAACAGGTGACTAAAATAGTACTCTTAACTTTGCCCCTTGTGACGATTTTTACAGAATGCTCGCTGATGCGAACTACCTTCATGAGAAATTTTCTATTCTCAAGAACGTTGGCGCGCCCACGAACATGCTCAAGAATCTGGTCGCGGAAAAGACTTTGCCTCGCAAGTCTACGTTCAGTAACATCAGAGCTACAGCAAGTCCTAACGAGCGCATAAAGGGCCTTCTGTCACGGAGAGATAGTGTCAAGCCAGACAAGCCGCTTCCGGCAGTCAATTCGTCTCCGACACCTAGCCCGCCGCCGCCGCCTCCTCCTCAGGAGGTACCTGCTGATGCTGCCACTGTGGAAGAACATCGAAATGGAAGCCCAAATCTTGATAGAGTGGTGCCACCTGCACGAGGCAATTCTCGCGCCCGCAGGATAGTAGGCTTCAAGCAAGCGGAATCTCCTTCCTTAGATATAGATGCAGCAGAGAAGGATGTGCTCCCAACCCTTCCCGAAGACGCAAATCACTCCCTACTTTCAGAAGCAGACCCCCCCAACTGTGTCGCTCCAAAAATAACGGGAAGTAATTCCGCATCGACACCGTCCCATAGTGTGGAGGAGCGTGAGACTAGTGATTCTCGTGATGAAGTTCCACCTGCGGTCCCTATATCACCTTGATAGTTAATATGTGGTAGGCGATTGCAATTCGGATAGCAACGATGGATTCTGGCAAATTCTCCTGTTGAGAATTAAGAAGCGGCCAGAACATTCTAGTGTTCCACTTGGCGTATTACTAGTCTAATCCTGATAATCCTAAAAATGTGCATGCCTGAAGGCCTGACAGGTCCTCCATTCCCCGATCCCGTTGTTCTGGCGCGGATCAACCAGGATCAACCTTGCCAGACCTTGCACGGGATGCCGTGCTCGTCTGGTAGTTTCAAATATGGAGCCGTATCGGAACCATCGAAACTTGTGTGTCTCTTTGTTCCCTTACGTTGGCACGGGACCCGCAACTAGTTACTCAGTTCGGATGAGGATCCTGCGAAATGTGGGGAAACGAAAATCGAGGAAGAAATTCCGAAATCCGGAGAATATTAACAACCGTCACGCTGACATAAGCATGCTGTACCTCCTGCCAAGATCATGCTGCAAGTCCTGAACTCGAGATTCGCAAGTCCATGACGATGACGTATGGGTGCTGTTTGAGTCACCAGGCTCTTCTGACCCACTGGGTATCAGGTCCCCGTTATGACGCACTGAGTGGTGTCCAATGGTGTTAATATTGGCCGGCGGGGACAACACACTGGGCCACAGCGGTTCCAAATTGAGGTAGAAACGAGGGTGAATCTCCATCAATAATCTTGCCACCGCCGACGAGCCGGCTCTAATTAGGGTCGGTTCGGGTCGCAGAGCCCTTTACCAATCGCTGAGAAAGCGATGTGAGCATCGACTGCTCTGGTCCTCACCCTTAAGGTCGTAACCGTGCGACTGGCCAGTACATATGAAAGTTCAAGATGCACGATTTTAGGGTACCTGCATGCCGCAGGAACTGTTCGAGGCTTTCGCTATAACCCTCGGGTGACGAGCTACATACTATTTCCATCCTCAACATTTTTTACGTGCGAACGAAATGAATCTCACCCGTGGTACTGTCACTCGCAGATGGGCCCTTTTGTCTGCGTGCCAGAACCGGGTGGGATGGATATATTCATTGAATCGATTAGCACGGACTTCTGAGGGCGAATAAACGGACCTGCTGTGATATACCTGGGCACGCCTGAATTCCGTCACATCACTTTCACACCTTTTCACGTGTTCAGCACAGGTAAGTTAGTAAATATGCTGTCCTCCAGCGAGGGTTAACCTCAGTCAACCCTTGGTCGACCCCCAAACTTTGATTTAAGTAATTGACATAACGCACGCGCGATTCATCAAGTGGTACCTATAGTCGCGCAATCAAACGTGCGACGACGAAACACGATGATAAGATCACGCTGCCGCATAGATTTGGTGTGGTATACACCGAATTGCAAAGAATTGAACGTTTGAACTAATATGTCGCTAAAGAACTAGTATGATGATGGTTGGTAAAGAACAATGGTTGAATCTGCGGAGAAGATGTCGTGCTGATGACAAATTAGAAGGTAACCCATAAATGGTAAGTGAAGTTCACGGGTAGATCTGATGTGCAAGTGTGACGTGGTTCCTTAGGTCCCTCCCCCTTCGGTGAGATCACACGCTTTGACTCAAGCTGAAATTCCTGGTCTTGTCTGAATTGAGTCATCGGAATTATTAATTTATGAAATATTCTATTCCTCGTACCGCCCCGTATTTAAGGCCGTTCAGTTCCTTGTCCTTTTTCTTCTCATACGTCCTTTCATCGCCTTTCGACGACGCCTACGACAGCGTACTCTAAACCTGTCGTCTCAAGCATTGACAACCTAGTCTAGTTCTTTACCTGCGTGGTACCCTTTGTTGCCCACAAAGCCTCATGTTCGAGGAGATCTGCCTCACATGCTCCAAACACCTCCGCGATGATGGGTATGCACTTCCCTATGCCCTGTTAGCTTGTCTTGACTGACTTTCTCGTATCAAGTCGTGCGTATTGCAGTGATGAATGCGAAAATTCAGACATGTACAATTCTCCGTCCATCTCTTCTGCCAGCAGCGCCCTTTCCTCTCCATACATCGACTATGCACCTGGTGGCGAGGTTCCAGCACTCATGCCGTCTGCATTAGGAACCGCACTCAGTAACAATTTTCAGAAGCGAGGTCGGTATTCCGTCTCGTCTTCTTCCACGTCTTCTGCTTCGTGGTCCCTCTTTACTGATGCAGAAGAGGAAGGCTATGCTTCTGTTGGTATTGACGACGAAGGCAGGAGATGTTAGTTTGGATTCAGGTGTATCCGGCGACGGGTTCGCACGGTCCGCAGGCTTCTTGCATCCGTGTAAGTCCTCAGGACTTAGCTACACTCGCCAGCCATCGGCTACCAACAACCATTCAACCATTCCCCTTCTTCACCGCCGAACCTCTTCCACGTCTAGCTCCGGTTTTGGACAAGTTCATTCATCTGCCGAAGATGACGCCGACTCCATGAGCGATCTCCCTCGTAGCTTTAACGAAAAACTTTCGGAGCAAGAGCGGGAGCGTCACAAGCTCACTGTTACCTCCAAGTCTAAAAAGACCCGCAACCGTGCGAGTCTCCCTGCATATTTTTCTCTTCTGCAGGTCAGCTCTGCCCAGCGCAGTTCGCCGCCACCTTCCAGCAGTTCAGGAAACACAGTCAATCGTGTTTCTCCCCCTACACCAAAATTAGCTTCATTGCTAGCCGTCTCTGGCTTTCGCCCCGCTCTGGAAGCGACACCCCGCGGACGACGACGTGAACCAGATGTATCCCAGAGTAGTCGCTCCAATTCTCGTTCTCGTGCACGCCAGCAAACCCTGGTTCCTGGCCCTCGCGAACGTCAGGATAGCCGCAGCAGCGTTGAGCAAGTTTTTGATTGGACCTGTGCTCCGTTGCCTCGAGGTCGTCCAAGTGTACGGCGCAACTCATCACCACTTCCCAAGATGATGTCCTCCATGCAGCAATTTGACGAAACACCTTTTGTTGCCGGTTCCATCAGTGAGACGCACGAGCGCCGGGGTCGCTTCAAGCGAAACGAGCTTGGCGGACCGAGCTCGCGTGATGCGCCGGGTTATGGGAATGGCAGGAGTGGCCTACGAGAGCGAGAGCGCCAGCGTGGCGTTGGTGCCAGCCCTCTGTGACCGTACCCACCCAAAACTCCACATTTCTTGTTATCCATGCCACGCCGATATATTTTTGCACCTCGGGCGTGACAAAAGCAATGGTCCGCGTAAACGACCTCCTCGGCTCTGCCTACGACCATGATCGACTCAACTCTATCGCTTCCTCGTTTTCTCGCCACATTGCACTCAAAAATAACCGGACCGGCTCTCCACTTACCCTTCTATATCGGCCATACGTAACATATCTATATCATCAAAGTACACGACAGACAAAAACTTACGGAAATCACAACACACATTCTTCGTCTTCGCATCACCATTCATTACTTATTCGCGGTTGTCACGTTTAAAACACAAAGCATTCATCGTACTTAGCTACTGCATTTCGCATTGTCTTTCGACGTTCTGTCTTTACTAGTCACATCATCAAAACAAAAGGATTATAAGTACCGTACTAAGATTGCACAATAATATTCGCTCTGTGCATGGTAATTGGTGTGAAAATTCTTCTGACTGAACCGAGCAATGCAGATATCATGACACGATTTCTCAAAGTTCCATTGATGTTGTCCCTTGTGACTTTCGAACAAGATTGTGAACGTGTGGTGATTATGCAATAGTTGTCTCCTGCCAGCGAGAGTATACCACACATATTGCGGCTACCTCGGTGCTTTCGTGAACACGGACGAGACTTCCGTGACTAGTATAGATCTGAAAGATGGAAGCGGCGGCATGCACCTCGTTGCAAACGCGCAACCCTGAGCTCCAATCATTAGATTCCTGCAAGGGCCTATCATGTATCAGCTCCGATCCATTCCATTTGCTGATATGTAACGTGTTTCATGGTAATTTGTGAGCTAAAGATAAGTCAAAGACTCCGGTAACGCATCCACCCAGCAAGCAAACATGACGGCGAAGTTGGACATAGGAAGGAAATGCTGAGAGAATAAACGTAGTAGAGTTACTCTGACCTTGTACCCGCATGGTTAGCCAGGAAGCTGTGCGAACCTCGACACGCGACGGCGGACTTCCATTTTGGGAACTTACTGGACTGCAGGACTCTCAAGTCCCCTTCAGCAACCCATCAAGCTTGTGTCTTCATCAGGTATCCCTCCTTTACCAGCTACCCCAAATCATCCAGAAACAACCCACAAATATTCTAGTTTCGAATTTGCACCTTTTGGTGCTGCATGACATAGCTAGCTACGGACCCATCAACTTGCCATCATTGATCCACTTACTCAGCTGAATACCGCAGAGGACACTCGTCCTACAAGCCTAGGGCCGTCCCCAAGCCTGGAATATCCAACGGTTGAAAGTCACAGCCAGTCTACTTCAACACAATCAAGGGCAGTCAGTGTACAAGCCCATAGACCTATTTCGATACCGTCTACCAGACACCGGTCACAGCTCGAGGAATCTGTGGGTGACGTGCAATCTGCTGCATCAACAGGTGCGCCTCGATTGGTTTCAAAGCCCCTTGATCATTTCCACTAACTATATATTCTGTTCTTGCGTTTTTATATCTAGATACTGAGGTCTCAAGGCCCCGCAAACGACAAAGAATCGATAGTCTAAATACTCCCGACTTCACATCAACCTCTCTGACAGCAGTCAACCATAGTCTGCGCTTCATTGGATCGCCTCTAGACCACCATGCGAATTCCTGAATCTGATAATATTTCTAGTTTGTCGTCTTCATATGATTACGTACCAGAGGCAGGCCCGTCTTGCGTCACCTTGGACAAGGCTGGTCATTCCAATGGAATAAAGAAGGAGAATGGGCCACTCTGCTCCAGTGTCAAATGGCACTACTTCGAACGGATCTCCATCCATGGGGAATGGCCTCGCCAAACATAACTCGTCCATTATGCGAGTGTCACTGCCAGGCACCACGCTCTACGACGACCCATATCTTGATCGAGAAGAATTCGTGAGATTAGTTATCCAGAGTCTTAGAGACGTCGGATACATGTAAGTGGCTTTTCTCACTCACATCATCTTCCCTTATCATCTTTCCTTCAGAGAATCCGCTGCCACTCTCGAGGCAGAGTCAGGGTACTCGTTAGAAGCACCTGAGGTGTCGGAATTTCGGCAACATATTCTGCGCGGCGCCTGGGCCAACGCAGAGCCTCTGCTCGTTCAACTCGGGGTGACTGATGAAGACGCTCTTCTGGTATACACATCCTTGTACGACAGACCTGCTCCTCGGTCACTGATTGTTCTATTTTTAGGATGCACGGTTTCTCATTGGGAAGCAGAAATATCTTGAATTGCTGGAGGCTCGAAAGACCACCGCTGCGTTGCAGGTCCTGCGGAATGATTTGGCACCTTACAGCACGATGTCAGAACAGGAAGAACTCCACGTATTGTCTAGGTGCGCTCTTTGACATATTTTCACATGGTGCATTCATGATAACTTTCATCCAGCTTGATGATGTGTTCAGGTCCTGAGGATCTGCGTCGACGTGCATCTTGGGATGGGGCGTCGGGAACATCACGGCGACAACTTCTTGATGATCTACAACGTCAGTATGAGATCCCGGTGGATATATCTCTTTGTGCTTCCACATGAATTTGTTCAAGCTATTGACGTCTTGCCTCATAGATTATATACCTTCTTCGATCATGATTCCCCAACGCCGCTTTTCTACCCTTCTCACACAGTCGCGACTATATCAGCGACATCGTTGCCTCTACCACAACTCACCTGCGGACTCGACTTCATTCTCACTATTCAGTGACCATATGTGCGACATGGAGGCTTTCCCTCGTATAACAACCACCATCCTCGAAGTCCATTCAGATGAGGTGTGGAACGTAGCCTGGAGTCACGATGGTACCCATCTTGCAAGCGCAAGTAAAGACAAGACTGCCATTATTTGGCGCATTGGGGTTAGTTGCACTGGACCGTATCATTCAACATGCTGATTTTTTTCCTTGCAGCTCGAGGGAGAACCATCATCCCGGGATTGTATAGCGGAATTCATCTTGCGCGATCACCCATATCCTGTTGGTTGTTTGGCTTGGTCATTAGACGACTCCATTTTGTCTACGTCTGCGGACCACCTCATTTTGCTATGGAATACAAAGGTTAGCTTTACATTCTCACGTTGTTTTGAAGTCACTCATGAGCTGTAGACTGGAGCTCTGATGAAGACGCTCGAGAGTCATGCTGAGACGGTATCCGCCCTGGTGTGGCTACCCGATGGCTCAGGGTTTATGTCAGGCAGCCTTGATCGCAAGATCGTATTATGGGTACGCTCATTGCAACCCATGCTATCACACCTCACCTCGCCTTTATCAGGACATGGAAGGCGAACTACGGGAATCATGGAATGACGTAGCCATACGTGTTACTGACGCTGCAGTGACTCCTGACGTGAAGCGCCTGGTCGCTGTTGGGATGGGATACAACCCTCCACCAACTTTGGGGTCACTTTCCCAAGGCCAGGTCCGCGAGCCATCGCCACCTCTTGTATCCAATGGCACCGGTAATTCGATGGGGCCGCGTTCGTCAGAGAATCGGATGATCGTCTACGATCTCAAGACAGGACAGGTTGAACTGTACGTTTAAGCATGTTTATTTCATATCTTTGCTCATCGATCTTTGTGCACAGGTCTATCCACATGGAGGGTGAACTTACTAGCGTGAAGATTTCCGAGGATTCTCGGTATGCATTAATTAACCACGCTCCAGATGTGATTACCTCCTTCTTGTATCAAGCCCAGCCTTGTCACTGATTATGCATCAAAGGAAATACATCTGTGGGACTTGCAAGAGCTCCGGCTTGCACGCAAGTTTACCGGGCAGCGCCAGGGTCACCATGTCATCCGCAGTTGCTTTGGTGGCATCGATGGCAACTTCGTTGTTAGCGGGAGTGAAGGTATACCGACGTTCATGGTTTTTTGCTAGTTCGTGCTCACGCAAAACACCTCCAGATCGCAATGTCTATGTTTGGCATCGTGACACGGGGGCACTTCTGGAGGTACTAGAAGGTCACGGCCTTGGAAGTGTGAATTCTGTAGCCTGGAACCCCCGCAACAAACGCATGTTTGCATCGTGTTCGGACGATGGCACAATACGAGTGTGGGAGGCACCTGTTCCCGCGGGTGAACTACTTCGGGGGTTCAGCATCCCTGAGTCAGAGCCAGAGATGATTGGGAAGGGAAAGGGCAAATTCAAGCAACCTTGGGCCTATAACGATGGTGTATTATAAGTGGACTGGGGCTCTTGGGGACTCGGTGGACATCAATGATCTTTTGTGAATGCTTTTGCTTTCTCACTGCTACTTTGCCCTCATCGCACAACATATAGTTATCCGAACGTTGATAAATCAACTCCATCACGACATATCATGCATAGTATAGATTGTTTAAGTAGCAAGCAAGGACGTAGGATAGTGTTCACTATACATAACTTTCTAAAATTAGTGTCAAACGTCACGTGAGCGCGTCGCGTCGCGTCGCACTTGTCCGAATTGGCACCATTACTGTCACTTGTACTTATTGCACAACCTCAAGAACCCTGACTGCCTCACATTCTTTTTTGCTCAATCACACCCTTCTCTTCTTGTATGATTGTTCTTGCACTACTTTCACTTCCGGTGCTTTGGGCAATCGCCTGGGGCAAGGAATCCGCATGGAACGGTCAGACACCTTCAGGGACAGACACACCAGGTCCATTTCGGCCCTATTACGTCCCGCCAGGTGCAAAAAGCTATGATTCATCATCTCCGCTTGTTCACTTCACTGGTTCCTGGTTTGATTCCTTCAATAACATGTATGTCGCGACGACCCTGCGTTGGACTGACGAGAAAGGAGCAGCTGCCCAGATGGCGTTCGTGGGCACTGGTATCGAGTGGTTTGGTAGTCTCGACAGGAGTCACGGAATCGCCGCTGTGTTCCTCGATGGTAAAAAAGTGCAAGAAATTGATACCTGGAGCAACGTGTCGCGCAAACAGCAGCGGATCTTCTGGGAGTTCAACCTGCCATACGGGAAACACATCATCAAAATCAGAAACCTCGGGCGGGGACAAGTTGACAGCCCTGTTATTGACATCGATGCCTTTGTTGTCACAGAAGGCCATGCGACCCTTCCTCTGACTCATGACCTGTCAAACGCAGCAACACAATCGGGACAGAGCCAGTCCATCGCTTCACAGGCTCAATGGACGCTAGAACAAAAGGGCGTAACCGGCGTATCTGCCATGCAACTTACCGTGATCTCTGACACTCATGTTCTTATTATCGACAAAGTTGAACATAATCCTGTGTCCATTGGGGGGCACCCTGCATGGGCTACCTTGTTCAACCTCCGGACGCACGCCGTTAGGCCCCTCAAGGTCGAATCTAACTCATTCTGTGCCGGCGGGACCTTTCTGAGCAACGGAACTCTGATTAACGTTGGAGGTAACCCTGTAGTCGGCGGGTACACGTCTGCGGCAGACTTCGGAGATCTGGATGGCTTGCAGGCAGTTCGCATCTTCGAGCCTTGTCTATCTTCCTCCGCCGCTCATTGCAAAATCTACGAGAATCACTCCCGCATCCGCATGGCTAGTCCCCGCTGGTATAACACAGTCATCCGAATCTCGGACGGAAGCGCAATGATCGTTGGCGGATCAAAGAAGGGCGGGTGGATGAACAACGAGACAGTGAACAACCCTACTATCGAATACTGGCCTCCAAAGTCCATCCACAACTCGATTGGCCTTCCCATACATCTACCGTTCCTCGTCCGCACCCTCAACGCCAACCTGTTCCCTATCGTGTTCTCACTTCCGGACGACAGGATCTTCATGGCCGCTAATCAAGATGCTATCATATATGACTGGCGAAACAATCAAGAGCAGGCCCTTCCGCGGATCCCTAATGAATGTCGGGTCACATATCCCATGGCAGGCGCTGGCCTTCTCCTTCCTTTGTCCCCCGACGATGGTTATGCTGCGGAGATCCTGTTGTGTGGAGGTTCCTCGATTGACGACAAGAAACCGGGTTACAAGATATCTTCTCAAGATCCAGCATCTTCCCAATGCTCTCGCCTGCTGCTCACAGACGAAGGAATTGCCGCAGGGTGGGTGGTCGAACAGATGCCCCAGGCGCGTCACATGCCAGACGCAGTTTTGCTCCCAACTGGCGAGGCTCTGATCGTCAATGGCGCAGGAACTGGAATCTCAGGCTACGGCAACGTTGTCGATCAGGTTGGGCAGTCGAACGCAGACCATCCAGTCCTCACGCCAGTTCTATACGATCCCACCGCCCCAGCCGGGCAACGCTTTTCTTCTGCAGGAATGAGAAGTAGCGCGATTCCAAGGATGTACCACTCAGTCGCAACACTGACGCCCAACGGTGATATCATGGTAGCTGGGAGCAATCCAAACTTGGATCGGAGCGAGGTAAAGTATGGGACGGAGTACAGAGTTGAGTGGGTCGGACCCCCATACATGAAAAGGAACAGGCCAGTCGTGCACAACCCTCCCAAGGCTCTCATGTATGGGCAGAATCTCACCCTGAGTGTCAAGATCCCGCCTTCCACGACTCAAGCTCGGAATATCAAAGGTGGGTTTGCTATTACCTAGTTCGGGCCACCAACCTCACAATTATGCACCTTAGTTGCGCTGATGGATCTTGGCTTTATAACCCACGCTGTTCACGCGAATAGCCGTCTGGTGTATCTGAGCTCTTCACTCTTCAGTGATGGACTTTCGCTACAAATTACTGGTCCGCCAAGACCTGCCGTATACCCACCAGGACCAGGTTGGATATACGTTGTCGTGGATGGTGTTCCTAGCGTTGGGTTCCAGGTGATGGTAGGAAATGGTGATGGTCCCCCTGTGGACCAAGCTGCTTGGGACAAGTGCGTTCGCTTTTCTACTTTTAATCCTGCATCACTGAAACATTTACTGACAGCTTGCTGAAAATGACTGCGGTGGACCAGTACGAATCATTGAAGAGGAAGAAGGGAAAGAAAAAGGGGAAATATACCGACGACGCAGAGTAATCTATATGCTATCCTGGCTTGCATGGCTGCTGGACAGTTGGCCTCTTATCTTGTTATCTATGTTGCTCACGGACTGACGTTTGAGCTTATCTTGTATTGTATTGCCAGCATTGGATTTATACACAACGTTTTTGTGTTGCACTTCCTGTGATGATATTGGAGAAATATGGAAAACAAAGATGATAAATGTATGAACCCGTCTATACAACAAAGTTACAGGGCTCGCTGCTTCATACGGCTGCTGACAGTCCTAAGTCCGGCATATACTTTTCCGGGTGGTGAACCCAAGATTAAGGAGACAATTGCATCGCGCGCAATTTTGATGTTTTGGAAGGAGCCCATGATGTGAATTTTTCTGTGTACATCAAGGCGTCAATTATCAGTGTCAAGATAAAAAATAGAGAGCGAGGATTTACGTGTCGGCGAGCACAATGCGAGTCCGGCTAGCGTTCTCGATCGTGAACTTAGTTTTTCCGTCTTGTCCCGCTATCCGTCCTGAAACGCTTTTAAGCGAAATAATACGTGATATGTGCTTATAAACCGACCAATTGCTCTGCTAAGATGATCACCATGAAGTGTTTTTACGTCTTTGATCTCGAATGAGTCGAGGTAAAGATCATCCATTCGTAGCAGTGCTATTGCGTCCTGTGAACAAAACAACAACTCAGAGATGCCAACAAGACATCAGAAGTCAACGCTCACATTAACGTCAAACCCAAGAGCATATGCCTTCACAAAATCAGCTCCTTTCTGGAGAGCACCGATTTCTTTGGTTGCTTTCGATGTCTGCAGCTATTCGATAAGCGTAGAATCCCCAAAGACAGGCAAATGCGCACTCTGATTTCTAAACACCGCCTCTGAACATTCATTCGCACTTGTAGTCCGAGGATCTCGGTGAGAGGACTGAAAATATTGATCCAGTCCTTTTTTATAGGAGTCATGCGGTGCGGAGGTATAGGAATCCGCCGTGTCTCTGATTTCAGAGCAGATTGTGCCGCAGATGCAGGCAAAGCCGGGAAAGAGGGAGCTGAGCCTGCCTCTAGCACAGAAGTAGGATCAACTTCGATCATCAAATCGTCATCTTCAGCCGTGTGATTTGAGTTCGAAGGGGGAATAGCTTCTGTAGACATCTCCTCATCGCCATTCACCTGCTGTGATGATATGGTACCAGCCGTGCGTGCTTTCTTCTTGCTCATGCTCCGGCGATTTTTGGAAGCAAATATACTCTGCTCTACATGTGCGACAACCATCTCTGCTGATGATGAATGAGGAAGTGAACCTAGTCCAGTATGAGGCCTTGAGGCGTTGTGCAAATTGACATAGATCTAAGTGCAAGTCACATGATCTGGCTACTTTTTCAAGCAAATCGCGTTAGTGGCTAGCCTTGGCCTCATAACACAACATACAGCAATGTCGGGTTACACCAAGGACATGAACGACAGCCATACCGAGGGTAATTACATACATTCAATAACTCTGATGTGCTCAGAAGGAGAGTTTTCCAGCGCTGCAGGCCCTGTTTAATTCGCTGTCACCCAAAGGGTTGGACGCGAATCCGTCTTCCAAGCTAGCACCTTCGCAACTCAAACATCTCGCTGATAAAATAGGTGAGATCCTCGGAGGCGCGAGTGATAGTGAAGGCTTGCAACGGAATGAGAAGAGTGAAGTGCGTCTTCGAACCTGTGTCCAATATATGTATTGAATTCTTGATCTGTGTTCAAAGCTTCTGAACGACGAAGGTCTCCCGATCATAGACATCACTGAACCTGTTGTAGATATCAGCGATGTCCACTCTCCAGCGGTTCCGTTTCATGAGCCAGATCTCATACCAGAATCATCTCTCTCTGCTTTGGAGAGAGAACAACGTCGTCACGCACAGGATCACATTTTGGACATGCTTGAAGAAGAGGAACGATTGCAATTAGAAAGAGACCAAGAAGAAGAAAAGGAGAGGCGGATGGAGGATATCCGTAAACGCAAGGAAGCTGCGAAAACAGAAGTGGAGCGGTTAAGAGCAGCCAAAGAAATGCAGAAGAAAATGGGCAAGGCCCTGCTGAAAAACCTTGCAGAAGCTAGGGAAAAGGAGGAACGAGAGCGGAGAGAACTCATCGAAAAGGATTCCTCCAAACCGGAGTCTTCCAAACCCAAGAAGACTGTTACAGTTTGCTAATCCCAGCTCGCCGGATGAATTGTCTGCTACGGGGGAGAGTCGGATCACTGGATCACCTATTGATTGGGGAGATATCTCACCTGCAAGACTGCGGTCCGTCGATCGAGTTCCCCTTCGGAACAGAGCGGATACAGAGCGACATCCTATGAAAATGCACGTAGTGGAGCGACATCCAACTTCGTACACACCGGAATCGGAACCTCAGCCTGAAGGTGATTCGGACGATGAACCTCTTTCCACGACGTCTTCGGCTCCCAATGAAGATGGAAATATGCTACACGAGTCTCACACTTCAGGCAGTGACGACGACGACGACGACGACGAATCTGATGAGGGCTTGCTCGAAGAGGAATACGATTGGAATTCTGCGCAGCACCACCGAGAAGTGGCCCTGGCGTATTATAAGAAGCGTCATGCTATTGGTGTAGATGCTGCTCAAGCGATGACTTCGCACACGCATGATGACGAAGAATGGAACGAAGGAGTCAGTTTTTCTCTTCTTAATTCAGCCCCACAATTTCAACAAGCAACTACAGTGTATTCCCCCAGATCAGCGCCCGAAACCTAGCGTGTCGCGCTTCAGGGCTGATCGTATGGCCACAGCATATGACAGGTCTACTTCTACTTCGCTTGAACCATCAGTTATCCCAGCCTCTCGACAAAAATCCTTGCAAGAAGCGATTCGATTGGGAAAAGTTGAAAACGACCATCTTGTTGGCGGCGAGGAGGGGGAAAGCGGGAGTGAGGATGAGGCTGTCCGAGAGATCTTGGAGCTTCTGAGCAATGGAGGCATTCATAATGCTGGTCCCAACGTTGCCCGACAAAATTCTGAAGGTCCGGTATTGTCTACACCTGCGCCGTCGGAAGAGCCTGCTACGGTGCCATCAGTTCCAGCTGCCCCGAAAACATCAAAGTTCAAGATGGCACGAAACACTCTTACCTCAGATCAACCCTCCAAATCGCCCGCTCCATTGCCAGTGGGTGAAATGTCATATCCTAAACCAGCTGTCACGGAAGTCATCGAGCGCCGACAATTCAAGCCGAATGCTCCTCACCAAAGGGTTGTTGAGCCACCCGCTAGCGTGCCACCAATTCCCTCGAAGGTCGTCGAATCGCCATCTTTTCCTTCGGTGATCGTGGACTCCCCTTCTTTTCCGCGCAGAAAACAGCTTTCATCTGACCCTGACACAAGCCGTCCACAACGCCCCCCAGTTGTTATGCGCTCGACAGTAACGGAAGGTTCTGCGAGGAGTGCGGCAGATACAGTCGCCAAGGTTCCGGAGGGAAGGATATCTAGGTTCAAAGCAGAGAGGATGTAAAATGTACACGATACAGGGGTCATTATATAAGCAATTCCTTGAGTTTACGCGTTTCGTCCTGCCAGCGCCTACTATGGCATGGTTGGCGTTAGTTCTTCGTGTCGCAATTGCTCTTAACACTCAAGGATTCTTCCAGCCGGATGAGTACTTCCAGGCATTAGAACCCGCTCACCACTATGTCTTCGGATATGGATACCTCACATGGGAGTGGGTTAGTCCAGCACCCCTTCGGAGTATCATCTACCCTGCATTGAATATACCGCCCTTTTGGCTTATAAAAACGCTGGGCCTTGATACCAAATACCCTGAGCTGCTAGTGAGCCTTGTATCTATTCCGTCATTCTCCAACTTCATTCGGAGAGTTAGATAGCGGGCCCGCGCATTGTCCATGGCTTATTGGCTGCCATTACAGATATAGCGCTCTGTGAAGTCACAAGGCAAGTTCTGAACGATGCGTTTGTGCCAACGGCGGTGGGATTTCTTAGACTTGAGCGTAATCGACGACTGAAGTCAATCTCCTGCAGTACCTTGTTTCTCTGACATCCCTATTCCACTCGTTGTCACTTTCACGGTCCATGTCAAATTCCCTTGAAACGTCATTGACAACAGCCGCATTAAGCTACTACCCCTGGGACGTTGCGCAGTCCATGCAGGTGCAGTCGTCAGTCAACCCAAACTGGCCGAGTTATTGTGACAGGATATCTCACGCATAAGGAACAGAACTAGAATGCGCATGTGCATCGCGTTCGCTGCGCTGGCATGCGCAATCAGACCTACGAATGCTATCATCTGGGTCTATATGTTCGGTCTTCTCTTCACGCGTCTCGGATTCCGCCCCCGTCACATTTTCGCCATTGTTCGCGATTGCTGTATCATTGGGTTGGTTGCGTTCGTCCATTTTTGCGGGAACCAGGTGACTCAGTGTTTTCGCAGATCTTTGACTCTTGTTACAGTCTTTGCGCTTGATTCAGCCTTTTATGGCAAGCCTACGCTAAGCCTGCTGAACTTTTTACGAGTCAATGCGTCGCCCGTGTCTTTGTTCTACGGTTCCAATCCTTGGCATTATTACGTGTCTCAGGCCCTCCCGATTCTCTGTTCCACATCCTTGCCATTCGTGCTGCATGGTATGCGCCTTGCGGTGAAGGACGACGAGGTAAAACTGAAGACGATGCTCGGGTGTATCGTTTGGACAATCACGGCATTCTCATTTGTTGGACATAAGGAGTGGCGTTTTCTCCACCCACTCCTCCCGATGTTACATGTCTTCGCGTCAAGGTCCTTAGTGGAACTGTATCATCGCAGCGCTAAAGCCGAGATCAAAGTTCCCCAGAAAAAGAGAAAGGAATCCGCAACTTTCTCACTTCCGATTCGCACTCGAGACCTCTGCCTTCTCTTATTGACCGTCCCAGCCTCGATATACGTCGTGTTCTTCCATAGCGTAGGGCAAATCAAAGTCATGTCATATTTGCGGAGCCTACCTTCCGAGAATCTGACATCCGTGGGGTTCTTGACACCTTGTCATTCGACCCCGTGGCAGGCCTACCTTCACCGGCCCGAACTCGCAGCGCCCGGGAGAATGTGGGCTCTTGGGTGTGAACCGCCACTGGGGTAAATAAACATCATTGCGATAAGTTTCGCCCGGTTTTGACGTTTTGCATTCAGACTTCAACATCCCGGTGACTACAAAGACCAGACAGACATCTTTTTCGAAGCGCCCTTTGAATATATGCGAACACATTTTCCATCGCAAGTGGATTATTCCTATCCTGCTTCGCCTTTCGCTTTATCGATACCGAACGTCACATTCGTGGAAACAATCCAAGCTGTGGAACAAAGTTCACGATCTTGGGATTTAGGCTGGCTGCATGAGTGGCCGCAGTATATAGTCCTGTTTGGCGCGCTACTGCGGGAGCCTGGTATGTTGGACCTCTTTCGGAATCTAGGTTACGAAGAGGTATGGAAGGGTGGGTTTGAGTGGGAAGGAGAGGGTCAAAGAAAAGGCGCTGTTCGAGTCTGGAAACATATCCGTTGAATGTAGACTCGTTATCTCAGTAAAAACATTCGGAAATCGTCTGTCGCACAACATTGAACATGATAATGATGAGTGTACGATTCGAGGAAGGTGGAATGTGTATTCAGAATGTGCAAGGGATCTGAGAAACTAATATGGCTATATCACGGCGTGCCAGGTCATGTCCAGATCGTCTACTTTGCATTCTGACGTTGCATGCGAGTGAGCTGTGAGGACAAAATATTAGCGTGGAAGTTGATCTAGATAGCAAAGACTGACTCTGCGGCGCTTCTTCAACCTAAAGAGACGGAGTCAATCAGTTTATCGACCCTTCTGAATGAAATATGAGACTTACTTGTGCTTCTTCATCTTCTTTCGCTTCTTGCGCTTTGTGCTATCAGCGTGGATGGTGACCCACTCCTGTGCAGACTCTTTCGCGTTGATCGCGCTGCCTTCTGCACTCTCCCCACCCAAACCAAGCCTTGCCAAAGTGTTGTGCCATGACACCATTCCTCCCACACGGTTCATGACCAACGCGTGTCCGAGCTGCCTCGCAGCATCAGCATCGGTCTCGAACGAGGATTCTGGTGGGTCATCGAATGAAGGAAATTGCTCTGACTGCAATTGAGTCTTTGGTATTTCTTCTGGCGACTGAAAAAGAGGCGTGTCTTGGGGCGCAGACTCAAAAATGGTAGATGGCGGCTGGGATAAGAGAAGCAGCGGTCTGTGCAACGAGAAAAATTGGTGGAGATTGAAATCCTGAGACGATATTGTGGGATGAACGTGGTGATTAAACTGGCTGGCAAATGCGGAATGTGATGTGAATGGCAGTGAAGGTGTGCTTCGTGATGCGTCGACTGCATTTGAGGCTGGAATCGATGGATTTTCATCTACCTTCATCTTTACGCTCCCATTCCCAGAGCTGCTGCTGCTGGTTCCGTCACTGGATGCGACGCTAGTGTTGCCATTATCAACCTTGGCTCTGCCAGAAGAAACGACAGGCTTTGGAGGTTTGGTGGAATTGAAGTACCGGCCACCGCCTGGTTTAGACGAGAAAAAAGAAGAATATGCTCTGCAGTTCGCTGCTGGCGGTTTGAAAAGACGTGGTAGGAAAGACATTAGCGTCTTTCTTCTGGCGTCTGGCCAGCAAGAGGGAGACAGCTATTGTGTACAATTCCGAGTCAGAGAAGCGTTTCAACTAAAACGGGGTTGTTGTGTGGCGCTGTAGTCTGCACGAATCGGCCGAAGCTTGGAAGCCTTGTTTTTTTTTAGTTTCCTACCTCCCACTAACACGCTTTTTCAATTAAATTTGACTGCAGAATTGATTGGTTGGTACACCAGTACTCGAGCTCAGAATTTTTGTCTGCTCAGTAGTTCGCTTTATCCGGAATGCTGTCGGCAATCGGAAGGTATACAGTCGTGAGAAAATGTGGCGCTGTGGGCAGTTGAGACATATGCTATCTCCTTGCGCGCACTACTACATAGTACACATACCAGAAGCCTTGGCGCAGTGCGCACGAAGTTCACATCTAAATTAACCTATAGCTCCAATCATTGACCAACCTCGATATGTCGGTCTCTCCCCCTGTATTGAATGTCCATACGCCCACATCTTCTTTCGCGCTTATCCATTCTTGTAGGTATTTCAATACTGACGATGCCATCTGCTAATCATCTCTCAGTCAAAGATGACACCATACAGCAATTGTATGATAAACTTTCCAGAAAGTCCAGCACGGGCTTCCATGGAAAGCGCGTCGGTCCTGGTTGGATCAAGTACAACTGGAATGACGCAGTGTGGAATATGGATGACGGTATTATTCCCTTCGCATCTGCTTGTACATTCCTGGCTAAACATCCTTAATAACAGACAGCGACTATACCATCTTTGTGTGGAGGCTGAAAGCGCCCTCCACATCCGAACAGCCCGCGACCGATATAACACCAACGCTTCACGTCCACGATCCTGCAGCCCAACTCCCAGAACCACCCGCATATTGCAACCCATCCTTTTACCTATTCAGCTCTGCGCGTGTAACTTCCCCGCGTCCTCGGTCAGCGCGGAGTGGCAAGTCCAGGGCCATTCGCCCTAATCCACCAGATGATGAAGAGCTCTCAGGGGCGGCAAAGCTCAGAAAAGATTTTGAGAGATTCCATAGCGAAAACGGTGTACGTACTGTTTTGGGCACCATCGGTCCAGTCGACAATGGTAGGCAGCTACTTGCTTAGTCTTTCATGCTCACTGAAATTCGAGATATTTGTAGTTCGCATGCTCTTAAAGAACGGTTACCGCCATGTGTACATCTCACGCAAGTTTGCGTTGAAGCATGGGTTTATTCCCGGTGACGCTGCACCAGGGCACTATGGCTATAGTGGCCTCATCAACCTCGGCAACTGGCCGATCACGTTGAAGACAGCTGCAGATTTCACTGATAATACACAAATTAACAATGGAGCACACAGTTCAAATCGCTTGCGGCCTAGCAAGTCAAAGACCATTTCTGTTCCCGTCTTCTTGTCCGAGGAGCCGCATTTTGACGTTGTGCTTGGCCGCTCGTTCTTTGAGAAACGCCAAATAAAGACTTCATCCATAGATCCTACCGAGGTCATTTGTCTTGACACCGGGGAGAAAATCGAGTGTGAGTTGGTCATACTCAAAGATGGTAGGGGTCAGATCGTCACTGTTACATAGGATTTCCGTAATTTGGACAAAAAATATGCGCATCTGCTGTACACGGTGTAATATATAGGAAACTGGACACGTCACACGTCAGGGTTTTGCTCCATCCAAGTGGGGAAGGCAGGTCCGCTATCCCATGAAAGTGTAACAGCGTCTGGGATTGAATCTATCTCTTTCACATAATGGACTCCTTCTTGAACACTCAAAATGCCTACGCCATGCCTATGGATATGAATATTCGCCACCAATCCTATCACGGACAAATGTATATCACTTACTGTTCCTCGATATGGCAAGTCATGTTTCTCAGAAGCCTACCGGCTCCTACACTTCGTCGACATAGAAGGCATCGGTACGTTCTCGGCGGCCTCCCAGATAGGAGCTGCGCTTGCAGTCGTGTCTTGCCAACTTGAGAAGCTTTATCTCGATTGTTGTGTAAATGGTTGTGTTCCAGCTGCAAATGCTTTAGATACCAAAAGTGAAATCCAATAACACAGAACATACACCCTTCCTCCAATGCATCACAGTCTTGCCATCAGGATGGCACGCGAGACAGTAAAACGGGGTACTCATGGTGTCCATTTGTGCAAGCGTTGCGGTCCGAGGATCCTGACAGCAGCTGCGAATGACATGAATGGCGAGTACTGTGGAGGACCTGAATTTTGGAGACCATGGAGAAGATCCGAGTGAATAATACGCGATGCGGGCAACTCGGTCCTTAAATGAATCATTTCTGTCTTTGTTTGAGCCCTTTGGAAAATCAAGGCTGCAGTTGTGGGCAACAGCATCGATCCAGAAGAAGAGCTGTTCGCACGCGTTGCAGACAAAGACGCTGGTTGCAAGTTGGCGCATAGTCCCAGCCGGCGCGTAGTCCTTTGGATATCCATTTGCGATGATAGCAGCGAGCTGTTGATCGACCTGTCTTCGCCAGTTCCTCGCCAGGTTAGGAAGAGCAACAAAAGCCGGTAAAAAGGAATCACGCTCTACTACGACGTGGGCAGGTGATTTGATGATGTCGTCGAAAGGTTTGAAGAGTGCAACGTCAGCGATGTGAGGTAATACGTCGACATCAGTGTTTGGAAATGATGCAGGTTCACCCAAAAAATCGTTCCATGCCTGGAAGAGAATCCTCCGTCGAGAATTATAGAGCGTTTCTTCCATGCGGATGGTTCGCATTTCTGACATATATTCTGTTAGAATTGGGCGGGCACGGCTCCAAACTGTGGGAGACCAAATCATCAATAGAACTTGCAACAAATTTATTATACCAACTTCGAGCAGTAAGAGGCCGCGAATCTCTAATTGCACGATGTTTGGATATTTTCCACCAAGAATGATAATCGATCTCAGGTTTCCACCCTTCTGCTTCTAACCACTGCTTGATACTAGAACAGGATGTCAGCGGGCGTCAAAATTGGCTCGCAGTTGATCTTACACTCGCTTCCGCCCCTCTCGTATCTGGTGTAACTCGTCAGATCGGGCCCTGTTGACTTCAGAGAGCCATGCTTTGCATGCTTCGGCATGCTTCAAGGCGGTGTCACTAGAATTATAAAACCCGCAGGCGAAATATAGCACACCTCACGAATACCACGCACAGCCTTCTTTGTATCCTCGATAACCAGCGTTTGCTCGGCACAACTCAAGCCGTTGAGCTGGAGACTAAGAGCCTCGTATTGCGAAGTTTGGATCATTTCCGTGAACCCTATCCACTATCAGTGTCAAACCGGACCGATGCGCGAAAAAGTGAGGTACTCATACGTAAGCGCAAGTCACGGAATGTGTAAGTTGGAAGAAGTTCAGTGACATTTGGACAGAGCCGAGTGATGACAGGTTTCGAAAAGGCTGCCTCCATACTGGAAAAGAACATTCAGTTTAGAGTAAAAGCATGTGACGGAACCTCGTACTTCGTCTGGATTCTCAGACACGGCCCGCAATATTTTACTCGAAACTGCCAGATGATATTATAACCAATTTCGCCACAGTTCTGTACGTTTCATGTTGGAAGACGCTGTTATGGGACAGAGGAAGATAACCCACGTGACAATGTGGATCAAATGCAAGGTATGCATACTGTGGCTCACTGAGATCTGCTGGGCAGTCGGGTAAATTCGGGATAAGGGACCGCGAGGCCCTCCAAATAAAGGCGTTCGATTTGCGCATGAGTAAATTGCGAAAGTCTTTAGAAGTACGAGCTAAATTGAGGAGGTCCAGCGGTCTCAGACACCCGAATATCTGTTGTGATGAATAATGATGAGTTGGATGTATAGGCGCAGCAAGTAAGGTTTACCTCGAAAAGAACATCCAAACTAATGGTGGGTAAGAGGGAGAGCCCCCCTTTTCTGGCCCTTGGTCTGACAGGTGGGTTGGTGACCTGAGCTTCTACTAGGGATTCAGGGCCTTGGGCATCAAGTTTGGGTCTCTTCATGATGTCTGCAACACACAGTACTACGTCAGCGGAAGGAACACGTGGCCAGGAGTGCCAACTCACGCAAGTGAAGTGGCTTTGGGGACGTCATTGACAAGAGTGTCACAGGGCCGTGGACCGCCGGGGGACAGGGCCTCCTCGGAATAGTACTCAGGGCACTCTGCAGCGTGGATTACTGAAGAACGAGAAGAACAGTCTTTTCAAGGAGACAGGAACGAGCTCAGTTGTCGGAGTATGGTGTAGTACTGGAGAGAAAGCATGGAATACGCGCTGCATGATTATATGGTGCTGATTATCATTGACGCGTGCCCTTTGTTAACTTTGGGTTAAACAGCATCTCGCTGACTAAGCAGACTTCATCTGCCGCTTTGCCGCTTGTGCCACCTACTGCCGCTATTTGAATCGTAAGTGTCTCATGCTAGTGGTAGATTGCTACCAAAACAGGGTGTACGAGCTGCAATATGTAATTAGAGGCTTTTCCCCGTGCGCGGCTTGGCTAATTCCAAGGAGGGTGGTCACTAGCACTCCGCGGACCTTTCCCGAATCCCCAAGAGTACAGTCCGTGACTCTATTAGTGGTAATAACTAGATGACCCCAGACACTTTCCTTTTGCGACAACTTACAAGACATATTTGCAACCTTGTATGTGGACTAAAAGCAACTATCATTGCAATCAGTGAGCGGAGGTGAGAGGTAACATATGTAGTAGATCAGATCCCAACAAGCCGGGTCCTATGGATTCTTCGTCCCTCTCAGATCTTTCTCCACTTTGATCACATCGAGTGAACCAGCTCCCGGACATGGTGAGTGCTAGCACAGTGTGTAACCTGGTATGCGGATAGCCGCACTGCATACAAGGAGGGTAAAGGTGACGACCCGCCAAGATCACGACTAGTGTGCCCTCGCCGTTGTCGATATAGCAGAGCTGTCGACTATGTCATGCGTCTCCGTGGCGCTGTTTAATGTCCTAGCGCCAGGTAATAATGCCATTCGCGGCCAAGGAGCTGAACGTGTGTGAGATTATCTGAATCTCAAGGTCCACGGGTAAGTGCCGAGCTCATCGAAGGCTGGAAGCTCAATCATCCACCTTTTTAAACAGTTGTACCCAGCAGATCAGCTTTGTGCTATTGCACCTAGGCATGATAATAGATGGAGTGTAATCTCTCGGATGATCCCTGGAAAAGGTCGCACGATCGTTGTCTGAATCTTCTTCCGCCAACGTCGTAGAGCGGGTAAAACTCTACTGCTGCATCCGCGGGCGCTTTCATGATACTGTGGATATTAATGACATAAAATAACGTCACCATGAGGGAGTTATTAGAGAAATGCAGAGTTAAACCGGAGACTCGTCCCAAGCCCGGGCCAGCAACTTCCGCTTAGGAGAATGGGTGACATCTTCCATGCGGGAAGCGCGTTATATCCAGAAGCTGGGTGCACTGCACAGTGGCACAGACTTTGGGAACATCAGTAATCGAGAAATGTCAACATGTAAGACTGAGAAAAAGTTCGATCTGTGCAACAGGTCTGACACGTGTGATAGGGTAACTATGGTTTAGAAGTTTTAGACCAGTTAAGATGATCTATCACCCCTCTTTCAGCAGCATTACTTTAAGGCTATTGCAAACTCACGGGCGGCCTGTGAATCACAATCGTGCCCCATAAAATGAAATTTGCGCATCCCTTTTTGCGGTCTGCGCGTACGCCTTCCGATAATCCAATTCGCTCCTGCAGGTGCCGGGGGTGGATCGCGCCCAGTCCGTGTACACGGTCCAGAGTGCTGATTTGAGGTATCAATTGAACCTTGAGCATCATATCGTGATCGACCTTTCGACAAAATAGTCCCTCATTCTGTTTTGGATCTTTCGAAATTGATGCAACCTTTGAGATTTGTAACCGTCAAAAGCGCCGCTATGGCGTTTGTAGAGTCATATGAATTGATTTCCTGCCTAGGTTGAGGGCTACGTAGTGGAAGAGCCGCATGTCGGTTGGTTCCAAGGGTCAACGTGCTGTTCACGATCGGAGCGTGTATATGACTAAGCAGAACGCCCTCATCGACCTTGCCTCTGTTCCTTCGAGAAGCTGTTTGTTGTGACTCATTGTCCCGTCGACGGTTGTCCATACCATAATTCTCGCCTGCTTACCATGTCTGGGATCTGTAGACCACGTCTTGCTGAGGAGCGCAAGCAATGGAGAAAGGACCATCCCTTCGTAAGTCCCCCAGCGGCTGTACTCCTTGCATTTGTCTGAATGAAGCGCTTTCATTTGGACTCCTTATCTCGCGCCGCTTGCTCAAATGCAATATTTCGCTCAATATTATAGGGATTCTACGCGAAGCCAGTGAAAGCTGCAGATGGCTCCATGAACCTCATGGAATGGGAAGTGGGCATTCCTGGAAAAGCCGGAGTAAGTCACAATATTCGCAAACTGTGCGCGCCATTTGCTGATTAGTACGCCAGACACCTTGGGAAGGTGGTCTTTTCAAGCTTACCATGACCTTTCCTGAAGGTGACTCATCCTTTATGTTTCCGGGTTGCCGCCACCCGCTAATCGTTCTGTGTAGATTATCCATCTAAACCACCGAAATGTACGTAGAATCGCATGTTGCATTCACTTAAATATGAGTGTATGGCGTGTAGGTAAATTCACGCCCCCTTTGTTTCATCCAAACGTCTATCCGTCAGGAACCGTTTGTCTTTCTATCCTTGACGAAGAAAAGTCATGGAAACCAGCAATCACCATCAAACAAGTTCGTGGAGTATTTGTGCTCATGGCATCAATCTGAGCTTTGTGCATTTTCTAGATTCTCCTAGGTATCCAAGATCTTTTGGATGACCCGAATGTAAACGATCCAGCGCAAAGCGACGCATACACGATGTTTAAGTACGTTTTTTTCTCTGGCCTCAATTGCATCAGAACATCGCAGTTTATCTCTCCCAAAGAAACGACAAAGTTGCCTATGAGTAAGTCGTCGCGAGGTATCTCCGAAACACCAGCTGACCATCCACAGGCGAAGAATCCGGCAGCAAGCCCGGGACAACATACCAAAATAATGCAACGACCATGTATTTGTAGTTGTCTTCGGAATGAGAATATCAGAAAAACAACTCGGTGGCAATGTTCGCATTGTGGTTCTGACCTTTTCAGCTTCCTATCTTTACTGGTCATGTCGCTAAATTACATGTGCGTTCAAGGCTGGCTTGGAAGAAATTAACACGTATAAAACTGTCGATTGACAGCCAATGGTGTAGGTGGCTTGAAAGTGAGTAGTCAAGGGTAGGGACGCCTGCCTAATATTTACTATCGGTTACGGTCTATTCGTGATGAGCCTCCATTTCGTGAGTCACACTTTTGGGCATGGAAACGTGATGGCTTGTCACATGGTGTAACGGTATGTCACGAAATTCACCGCGAAAAAGCGTGACTCACGAAATGACGGTCCATCACGAATAGATCGTAAGGGATAATATGGCTCCAGCTTCCAAGAGGTCGTTCGCCTCTGTGTCTTCTCTCGAGCCGTCGGTCCCTTTCTGCTTGCCTTTTGTCATGGATTGATCCGAAGCATCAGTTGGTACTTCTCCAGCGCTGCCGACGGATAAGAAGTTTCCTGCACCTCGAATACCACGCCCTCTGAAGTTTGTTGGGTATCATGACTCCTCTACGACTCGGCTGGCTTCGCATTTAACGATTTCCGCCTTTCTTTGATCAAGGCCCCCCTTCCGTTTCTTCATCGTCAGCAGTAGTACTGTCCTGACACATGCCCTCCACATCTCCTGGTTAGAAACAATGAGCCATTGGTGTGATTAAGACTGGCACTTTCGCTTTAAGCTTATGTACCTGTCTTCATCTGGTCTTGGTTCTGGATCATTGAGTCATCTACACATTCTATCAGCAGCATCCCACAAGGTCCGTCAGGAGTCACTGGCGGGACCCGAATTCACTCGATATACATATACCTACTATTGATTCATCCACACCACCGTCCGACCGGAAATATGATTCAGACCTTGAGAGTATCAGTCGAACTGTAGACTGGATCCGTAAGCTGATATTGAACGCAAGTAGCACGCATACGTCGACGAGACTTCTCACTGAGGCCACTGCCATAATTTCTACTATTCGCTTCGTCTCCAAGCAGCTCGGCGCCTAACCGCTCCCAATTGTGTATCACGCTGCAGTGGCGGCGGCCTTGGACACCTTTATGTAAATTGTATTGGAGCGAGCCCGTCACTGTTCTGTTTATATTTTCACTCCCACATGTTGAGCGCTCAGCTTTAATTGTTGTCTTCAACTGACGCGTATCTGCTGTCCATGGAAATACTGCCAGGTACTATTTTACTTTACAGCTCTCCAATTCGTTCATTGCTCAATGGCCTCCGTTCAAGATGTTCCCCTACACTTGCTAGGGCATGATTCGGAGTGTGAGAAGCAGATCTGTATCATCGGAGCAGGAGCGGGAGGTCTTGCTGCTCTGAAAGTCATATCAGATTCTGCCTACTTCAAGTCAGGGAAATGGTCTGTCATCGCGTATGACACCCGGACAAATGTTGGAGGAATATGGTGAGTTCACAAGAGTTCGCACTCCAGAATAATTATTTGAACCATTACTGAGGCGTTATCTTGTCCAGGCTGCCTGCTCCGCCGGTTGCCGATGCCTACAATGCTCCCTTGACGGCTCTCTACGATTCTCTAACCACGAATTTACCCCATCCTATAATGGCATATACCAGCTACTCCTTTCCACCTGAGACTCCTTTGTTTCCGCCAGCACATGTGGTGCAGACGTACCTCGAGTCGTATGCTGCACACTTCAATCTTATGTCCCTCATCAGGTTCAACACCACGGTGTTAGATGCACGATGGGAATCAACGCAGTGGACAGTAACCCTTTCGGATGGCGGACACTTTGCATATGACCACCTGATCATCGCAAATGGACACTATCATTTACCCCGCATACCAGAAGTGTCAGGGTTGGCAGACTGGATGAAGCATGGAAGAGCCTCTCACTCTGCATGGTATAGAAAACCTAATTATCTTGGGGACAAAATACTTGTCGTTGGAAACGGACCCAGCGGTCAGGACATCGCTGCTGAGATGTGCACTGTTACTCCGGTGGTTGTTCATGCTGTCACTGTGCCTGACGCAGCAACAAATGACACTGGCAACCTCGTTCGGAGAGGTCGACCTGTTGAATTCAAGGATAACGGACAAGTAGTTTTTAACGATGGTACTGTGGAGAACAATATCGACCATTGTATTTTGGCCACCGGATTCCACATGCATTTTCCCTTTTTGGAGGGAGCATCCATGATCAACAAGAATATTCCACCAGACTTCCCTCCACTACCTTCTGGCGAGCTTTTCAACTCAACCTATCACGTGTTTCCCCTTGCAAAGCATTTATTTCCGCTCCAAACTCAATATCCTATCACGTCCGTCGCTTTTATGGGCCTCATCATCAAGGTCGCACCGTTTCCGTTGATGGAGGCTCAAGCGCATGCGATTGTGCGAGCGTTTGCGGATCCTTCGTCTCTAGATCCTGTCGCAGAAGCAGTCGATATCATTTCTCGTTCTGAAAAAATCAAGCGTGCTGGTGCTTCGACACCTCTAGACATCGCCAAAGCCTGGTTCCGATTCGATAGGGCTGACCAATGGAATTATCGAGACGAATTGTATCAATTCGCGCAGGCCACGGGGCCCCTCATCAAAGCCACAGAATGGGAGAAGGAATTGTACGATTTGAAGGTAGAACTGAGATCAGCATGGGAAGATCTGGAGAAGTCAGGGGAGTCGGGGGAGTGGTTGAGAGATGTCGGCAAGAATGGGGATCAGGATTGGGTAGCGTTGATGTATCGTGTAGCGGATTATGCCAAAACTCGAAATAATCCGTTGGGAAGATTGTGATCGCAGCGCAGTGCGACACGCTTCTCATGCACGCAGTAATAGTATTAGCTCAACTAGCTTCACATACTAGGACTGTCATGCAGAAACATACTATCAGCCTCCGGCCCGCCGGGCAGCACGACCCTGTCGGAGGAGCACTTGACCTAGGCGTGTCTTAGAGTGAGTCACTGAAGTTCCTGCACCTATATATGCCATTATCTTATCACCAGAAAGTCCCTCGAGCAAGGACACCTCATTACTAGTACCAGGTACATAGCATGACCACCCAAAGCCCACCATGCCAACTCAGCGGTACACAACTCGTTCATGGCGATCATGGGCCAGGAAGTGAAGTGGCCCCTTCCATCTCTGTCACCTCGAGTGAGTTCTTTGCTACGTACCGGGACAGCTGTTCATCATCTATGTAGCGTTCAGAGCTGTGCCTCATGGTGACCCCGAGGGGCTTGGAGCGATGAATCCCGAGAAACATATTTATTCCCGCTATTCACAAAACGTCACATCGAGGGTGGAACAGATTTTGAGCAAGATCAATGTAGGCCTCATTTCAGGAGTGATTAGAACATGACTTATTTTTCGTAGCAAGGGAATGCAATCACTTATGCGTCAGGATTAGCCGCCGCATTTTCAGTGAGTCGGGGTAATATGTCGATACGGCATGCAGGTAGTTGACCAAACCCTATGGTCTGGTAGGCTCTTGTCCACTACAAGCCCAAACGCATTGCGATATCCGGAGGATACATGGGTTGTCACGGCACGATATCAACTTACATCAAAGGCAGGTTTACTGATACCCCGATCATTGGCCTGGACGATGAATTCCAAGAGGGGGATCTCTGCTGGCTCGAGAGCCCCTTGAACCCTACAGGCGAATCGAGGTAAGTCTTCGAGGTGCTCTTGGTTTGAAAATTTCCATGACCTAGATTCCTGCCAGAAACATAAAATATTACGCGGACAAGGTACGTCTCAAGATAAATAACACGGACGTCAGCAGGGGTGCTCATACACTGCCCATGAGATTCATGCTGTCGGAGGAAAGCTATTGATAGATTCGACCTTTGGTCCTCCCCCTCTTCAATATCCATTCAAATGGGGGGCAGACTGCATATTTCACAGTGGTATAGTTAATCTTCATCCCAAGCGCGACATGACACATCCTGACCTGTCACAGGAACCAAGTACTTCGGAGGCCACTCAGATTTGCTCTGTGGAATTATCATCGTCAGGACCGAAGCTGAACGGGAACAGGTATATCTTATTGAATTCCAAAAGTAACTGAATCCCATTTTTGTTAGCTCTGGCACGACCGTGTATACATGGGAAACATGATGGGGTCCCTCGAGTCTTGGCTTTTATTACGATCCCTTCGAACGCTGCATCTGCGCGTCCCAAGGCAATCGGCAAGTGGCACGGAAATTGCACAATGGCTTGGCAGAGCTGTTGTTCCAGAGGGTCAGGAGTACGATGGCATTCCCGGTGGAGTGGTCACCAAGGTTTGGCACTCTAGCCTTCAGGAGACTGATGCCAATGGGTGGAACCCCTCAGTACAAATGGAAGGTGGATTCAATGCTTGTTTCTCGATCTTGGTGCGTAAAAGCGGACACAATGCAGGATTCTGTTCTCATTCGAATGAAAGCTTTCAAAGAAAGAGTACGCAGAGAGACTGCCACACTCACTGGAGTATTTTGTGGTAAGCCACTTCCATTAGGAAGTGAGTGCGTTGATGACTGATGTACCTCAGCCGGCGACCAGTCTTGGTGGTGTTGAATCTTTGGCAGAACAGCGTGTCATGGCAGATCCGAAGGAAAATCCCCTTCTTGTACGCCTAAGCATTGGTGTGGAGGAAGTGGCAGTGAGTCTCAGCGTGGCTTTACTGGTTTTCCTCTGCTTGAACATTTATGTCTGGCAGGACCTGAAGGACGACTTGCGAAGAGCACTCGTACAGATATCGAGAGGAAATTAGAGCGAACAGTGCATATATGACATACCATATATGTGAAACATGGATACCCAAGGTAACAAGTTTGGAAGCTGGAAGCACAATCATTACTAGTTGATAGTATTGGATCGGAAATGAGTTTGGCTGTATTAGTTTCAGAAGGCTTTGCCAAATAGCAATACACACAATCCATCATTTGGACGCGTCACGGTCGTAAGCCGCGTCAGCTACGCTTTCATATCCCATATCCAACCACCATGAACTCCATCTTACAGCGTTTTTCGGGATCAAGTGCAGGAGGTCTTTCTAAATCAACTATCGAAGAGGACAATGATTTCTCTGATGCAATGTGGGGTTCTGAGGCTGGCTTCGGCACCTTGGCCAAGGGAGTGCCAGGCTTCGTCGTCCCATCTGTTCCAGACGTGGGTCTATCATTCCTGTCCTTGAAGCGCAATTAATACAACCCTCGCAGCCTGCTGCATTCCTGAGGCTACACACCGATGATCACGCCGACCCGTCGTGCAGAATCAAAATCCAGCACGGGACAACCACGCTTGCATTTAGGTTCCAGGGGGGCGTTATCGTGGCTGTCGACTCGCGTGCTACCGCTGGAAGCTACGTCGGTATGTATATAAGTATCAGGGATGATACTCGCTCTTCTAACACAGTCTCCAGCATCCGGAACAGTGAAGAAGGTCATCGAGATCAATCCTTACTTGTTGGGCACGATGGCTGGCGGTGCTGGTATGAAACTGACCCTCTACTTTTATTACCTTTGACACCTTTCCAGCTGATTGTCAATACTGGGAAACATACCTTGGCATGCATTGTCGTTTGCATGAGCTCAGAAACCGAGAACGGATATCAGTATCAGCTGCTAGCAAGTACTTGAGCAACCTTGTGTATAGCTATAAGGGAATGGGTTTGAGCATGGTCAGTCTTCATATGCCATCTCTCCTGCTGTTTCTGCTAACAGTCTTTAGGGTACGATGATCTGTGGCTGGGACAAGACAGTTAGTGCCGGTGCAAACAGATGGATAGTTCGCAACTGATTCATGTTATTGAAGGGTCCAGCAGTCTTCTATGTCGACTCTGATGGCACGCGGTTGAAAGGCGACTTGTTCTCAGTGGGTTCGGGAAGCACGTTCGCCTATGGTGTCTTGGATCAGGGATATCGGTGGGATCTTACGGACGAGGAAGCACAAGAATTAGGACGGCGAAGTATCTATGCCGCAGGACACCGAGATGCGTTCTCGGGCAACACTTGTAATCTCTATCACGTGAAGGAGGATGGCTGGAAGTTCATCGGTACGTGGCGAGTCGTTTCTTTGCGTACACTAGTGGTTTACTTGCATGTTCAGGTAATTATGATATCACGAAGCTGCACTACGAAGGACCAGGAAATGTTGCCGGCTCACCTGGTCATGGTTATGGTTACGACCAGCGTGTAGAGGGACGCAGTTCAGCTAACCCTCCTGAAACGCCAGCACAGGCGTGATCTTACTGTATAGATGTGTGTAGTAAAAGTCGAACGCAGTGTCTCCACCTTCTACATAAGCTTTCGCATGTGGTGTTTTTGGGCATAAGTAGAATTCCCAATCTGGCAAATGTACTTGTCTGCAGCTCCCAACCTGGCTCCCACCTTTGGGGAGTGCTCATATTTAGAAGGGTAGGTCGATAGTCACGGTGACACGGTTTGCATGACAGAAGACTGCAGTCATGAAACACCTCTTCTCCAAGCCATCCAAGAATGCGAACCCTGCCAAATTGAAATCCCCTGCTCCTGAGCCGCCAATCGTCAGCCGTACGGCAGCACTTCCCGCCACAACCATTGGTCTGCAACCGAGTTATGTCGTTCCTCCAGTCCCACACCCCAATCCTCACGAGCACATCGCGCTGCTCGCATCAGAGGACGGCCTGCTCATGCGTCCCCATGGTGCGGGACTGCCTCATCCCGCATCACATGTCCGCATCTCATGGGGCAAGACAGTGGACATAGCAGAACTCCCCAGTGACGGTGTTGATTGGGAAGAGAGCGCGGTCGTTTATGGAATTGTCGGTTTAATGTCCTTGTTCAATGGTAACAAGACTTTCGTGCTCTGCTCACACGAGTGAAACCAAAACTGAATACTCTCTGACCAGCCTCATATCTCTTGGTCATAACGTCTCGATCTGATGTAGGGCAATGTAAGCGACCTCTACCTTCGATCATAGTGAGACTCACACGAGGCTCAGTATTTGATGCCTCTCATTTGATTTATGGCGTGAAAAGCGTTGTGTACATACCCCTTGTGAAGGACCGCGCTCAATCAGTCCTTTCACGCATAGCGTCTCGTAACACGTCCGAAAACAGACCCTCCCTTCTTGTGAGCGATGTAGACGATCTCCAGGCCCCTGATGAAGGAACCTCGGGGGGGCCTCGCGTAAAATTCGCAGATGAAGAGGACGTGAAGATCTTGACCCCACGCGATCAAGTGAAATTTCCAATCAACAGCCATGATCAACCTGCCTCACCCGAATTATCTGGTGCTTCGACACCTGCTTCCGATGTGTCGATGACCAATTCTCCCGTATCGACGATTGCAAATCGCATGTCGTTCTGGAACCGTCTATCGAAGCGCTCATCAAGCGTATCCGAGGCAGCAGACATAGAGGAGTCTCTTCTCGATGAACGAGAATTATTCGATTCCATCGTACAAGATGCTAAGGGAGAGCATCACAAGGTGATCAATTCCATCATAGCTGCAACTGCACCACCGCCGGATAGCTCGGAGCAGCGCAACTCTGAACTCGAGGAACGCATTTTGCGCGGATGCATAAGAGAGTTCACAAAGGGAGACATGTATTTTGCTCTACATTTCGGTGGGTGCACGCATCGTAGCTCGCCAGACATGCAAGTTATCACTTTCTGCAGACATCACAAGATCATTGCAACACAAACATGAGCAATTCACCAAGCTGCATGCTCAAAACAAGCTACTTTCAGAACTGGATGCCCTTGCGAAAGATACGATTGTCAATCCACTGGACGACAAAGTGGACGCTCTCTTCGAGCCATCTGCTATGTTACCATTGTGGCGACGGGTCGACCGTCACTTTTGGTGGAACGAATGGTTATCCAAGCCATTTATAGATGCTGGTGTAAGCGACTCGAATCAACCATGCGTTAAGATTAATCGATACATCTGTTCCTCAGCTTCACTCTTACGTGACACCGATAATGCAGGGATACATTCAGGTTTCCTCATTTGATCTACCCAAAGATACCTCCGCCATGCAAGATGATTCAGTGGGGCCCGTGGATTACATCGTTATCTCGCGACGCTCCAGGGATAGGGCCGGTTTACGATATCAACGCAGGGGCGTGGACGATGAAGCCCATGTAGCTAATTTTGTGGAAACAGAAGTAATCATGAGAGTTCAGGTGAGCAGCTTATTTTACACCATTCGCTAAGATTGAGCCCCCTCAGAGGAACGGAATAAGCAACGTGTTTAGCTACGTGCAGATTCGAGGCTCAAGTAAGCAGTTGTTTGATGCATGTGCGATGCATTGTATGACTCGATCCAAGTTCCGCTGTTTTGGACGCAAACAGGTTACAGTATGAAGCCACCGCCTGTCCTTGCACCAGAAAGAACCCCTGCACAAAATTTGGACGCCCTCAAACGCCACTTCCGCTATGCTGTCTCTGTATATGGTCCACACGTAAGGTTCATAGTCGCAGTCTAATATGACCGCGTCATTCACCTTTGCGTAGACCATTGTCAATCTTGCTGAGCAACATGGGAAGGAGGGACTGATCACAAATGCGTATCGTGAATATGCAACCAAGCTAGATACCAAGGATGCTCGGTAAGTTCCCAACGACGAATTCTGATCAGAGCTTTAATATGGTTACAGATACTGCGAATTTGATTTTCACCGTGAAACGAGGGGGATGAAGTTGGTATCATCTACTTGCGGACGACACTTTGCTGATCATTAGCAGGTATGAAAATATCTCCAAGCTCATCGATCAACTCGAACGTGTGTTTGAAAGCCAAGGGTACGAGTACTCTGTCATCTGACTTTCTTCCACCTTGCGAGCTCAATGAAATAGGTTTTTCTGGATTTCGAACAACATGCTTCTATCAAAACAGAAGGGCGTATTCAGGGTTAATTGCATTGACTGTTTGGACCGCACCAACGTTGTCCAAGTGAGCAGCGGGTCCAGCTAATGTCCCCTATCTCATAATTGTCACAGTCTGCATTCGCAAGGCATGTGATGAGCATGCAACTCGAGGCTGTGGGGCTTCTGAATCCTCCTCAAAACGGAAAGTCGGGGGTGGAGATTATCTTTAACGACGGTCAGTTGTCGTTGTTCTTTTTGATAATGGGCTTACGAAGAATTGTACAGTCTGGGCCAACAATGGTGATGCGATCAGTCGAGCATAGTAAGTATAGAATGCCCTATCAGAGAGCTTTCTCTTACCCTAGCCCTCCCCCGAAGTGCTGGCACATCTGCATTGAAGGTTAGTGTCTGGTTCACTTCGAAAACCTGTTTCATTGAGCTGACTTCCTGTTGGTAGGGCGATTTTACCAGGTCAGTTCGTGCCAACCTTGAATTGTTTCATCGTTGACTCTATAAGCTAGGACTGGGAAACGAGACTTGGGGGGTTTGCTCAATGATGGTGTGAACTCCCTCGCTAGATTGTACAGCGCGACCTTCAGCGACTGGTTTTGTCAAGCTGTCATCGACTTTACGCTCGGCTACAGGACTCTCTCTGTTTTCGAAGAGTTTCTCATCAAGCTACAGTCTACTGACCCTAGAGAACTTATTCGCCTGTCAAGGATCAGAGCAGAAGCTATAGCAACTTCTGTCGCTCGCGTATTGTCTGAGGGCGAAACGTTGATCTCAGGGTGGACAATCTTTAGCCCAGAGCAATTAAATGTCAAATTTGACGATCGATTCGAGGAGAAAGTGTTACTCTTGGTGAGCATTGGCCATGGTGCGGTCCACGTTGTTCTGACCATGAATCAGAGTGCCCGCGCTCTGTACATTGTCGTACGTCGTCTCATGGCGCGATGTCATCGGTAGCAATTGCTGACTGCCCCGAAGAGCTATGACTACAGCTTGGAGAAGGCGAAAATGTACATCTGCATCCCCCTGGGTGCGATTTCACGGCTCGAGAGAGGTCACTATCGGTTTTTATTGGCAGGTCAAGTAGCTTAACTGTCAGTCAGGTGCTTATATCATCTCTCCTCTGGAAGAGGCGAGCGGAGATCCACTGCAGAACGCCGGCTTTTCGGTTTACTGGCATGCCAGCGATCAAATCAGTATGCGCATGGCTAGTTATTCAATGAGAAACCGCCCGGAAGATACCCCGATAAAGTTACCACGAGTGGTGCCGGCAAGTAGTTCTACTCAACTCAAGCCGATGCTGCTACGTCGCGAGCCAACGAAGACAGCCAACTTGTCGGGGATTATGTCTAAAGCCTCGGAGAACGCCGCTGGTAACATGTGTTTCGCAGCTTTCAAAGTGCTCCCGGTGGACCCTGCTCGAGTTAGAAGTGGATTCAGCGGATATGCAGAACCTGCGGATGACCTCGCAGGAGCAACCACTTGCAAGCAAGTCGTTGATTTGATGGTAGACGGCATCAGGCGAGCTTGCGATGACGCAGGGAATTCCCCTGTTATCGTGGATCGCGATGTAGTCAGGTGGGTAACACGCCGAGAATGTTTCCAGCATACATCACTCATTTCGAGAGCAGTCTCACCGAAGCTCAGAAGATGACCAGCGTTTATGCCAAAATGGAGTATGGCGTGAAGCGGTTACTTTGGCTGGGAGGTTTGGTGTAGTGGGCAAAATCCTGTTCTCTGTAACTTTAAATCACTCTACCTTTACTTTTATACCAATCGTCTTCAGATACCTATGGAAAGTACCGGATAGCGTCACTTCCAGCAACTGGAAAGGATTCAAGAATGCTATAAATTCTTTGCAGCTTCGTCGCCGTCATTTTGCTATGTTAATAGGCGACAAAATACGGTAGACCGTGGCTCTTGAGACACTCGCAGTATTTGCGACGACCGAAGTCAAGACGACGGACACCGATTGTCTGGAAAATAACCCCTTGCGCTCCTTACCTCTTTTAACACTTGAAGTAGCAGAGCCAGTCTAACCCATCACACCCACTAGTGACGCACTCACCTGTAATATTCAGCGCCTTGTCTTTGGCACTTGATCAAAACGATCATCCACAACCTGTGTTCCTGTAGATGATGAGAAGTTGATGTATTCTCAGCGACCCGAGGCAGATATCGTTCCCCTAGATCTGAGCAATATACTCGGAGAATGTCACCCCCCATGCGCAAATCTTTTATACCGATGAATGTTCCTGAACATACCGGCTTGTCTGTGGAACTTCACTCAAAGCAACGACATTCAGCGTTTCTAAATTCAATCTTGCCGCTCTCCCAACGTCTTTTGTTCCCTCCCACTCATAACGTTCAAGGCGGCACTGTTCGTGCCCCACGACAATAAAGCTCGCGTTCACGTAAAAGCCGCACGATCTCCGAATTAGGACCCGCATTGCTGTTGTATTGTATCTCCTGTGGATTCCATTCTGCTTCTTGATGAGATGCGATGAACTCGGAGTTCAACGTTCCCACTACGGAAACCTGATCGTCATTCTGATATGTCAGACTAATACCTATCAAGTTCTTCCTTTGCATGTAGTTCGTTAGTGCAACAAAACTCGTAAGACACACAATAGAATGATACAACATCGTTAGTGCCTAGGCTGGTGCACCTGGTCGAGTTTCACCAAGATGTTGCGATACCATGAAACAGGATTCTTCGCTCGCTGTCGAGGTCCTTCTCGGTGAGTCGGAGTCGGAGGCTCTTCAGCTTTTCGATCGGGTAAGACACTATTGATAGGCAGAGAGAAGGGTCGTGTAGGGACCTCGAGCCAAACCACTCTTGGATATATATAGAAGGAACGATTGTCTTCCTTCTGTCATGGTCTGACTAGGGGAGACTATCTTGGACCAGCTCTAGAAGGACAAAGACATGGATTCAAATATTGTCTTGGTTAATTATTTGGTTTAATTTCTCTCCATAAATATTGGAGATAAAACCTTATATAAGCGTTACGGAGTTGGCATACCCCCAATGTAAAGGCCTTGCACAGTCTTCTTTACTACCACCGTCATCTCAGCAACTCTATCAACATGGTTCTTCTTCTCACTTCTGATAATGTGCAGTTCTCCGTCGACAAGGAGGTCGTTGAGCGCAGTGTTCTCATCAAGAACATGCTTGAAGGTATTCTTTCATCGTCGCCACCCATAGGAGTAATTTTGATCTTGTCCAGACGTTGGAGAGTCCGATCAATCTATACCTTTGGCCAACGTTTCCTCGAGCGTATTGAAGAAGGTCAGCATCTCAGATATTTATCGATCAAACTTTCTTCGTGGTAGAGCCAGACGACCATGTACTCACCCTCCACTGTTGCACAGGTCGTGGAGTACTGCGAACACCACAGGGGCGAGCCTTTGCCTAGCGCAGACGCCGACCAGAACCAGGATGAGACCCGCAAGCGGACAACCGATATCAGCGAGTGGGACCAGAAATTCATCACTGTTGACCAAGAGATGTTGTTCGAGATCATCCTCGCTGCAAATTATCTCGATATCAAGTCGCTGCTGTGAGTCGCAATCATGATCGTTACGCGTGCCCCTCTTATCAGTCTGCAGCGATGTCGGGTGCAAAACGGTCGCCAACATGATTAAGGGGAAGACCCCTGAAGAAATCCGTCGTCTGTTCAACATCGTCAATGACTTCACTCCAGAAGAGGAGGTACGTTCTGTTTGTCTCTCTCACTGTGATCACCTACTGAACCTTCATAACAGGCGCAAATTAAAAAAGAGAACGTAAGTCCCAACCGTTTGACATCTCATACATTCTCTTAAATCTTCTGTAGGAATGGGCAGAGGACCGATGAGGGATCAGGCCATAGAATTTACAGTACCAGCCTTTTCTATCCTCGTGTCTTTACCAGCCTCGTATTGTAGTTTGATTTGCATTGTTCTCTCTATTGATAGTCGTGACTCGTTTGCATGCCACCAACATATGTCACAAAAGCTTGGCCGTGCTTACATAACGTCAGTAGCTGCATTACCTCGTGCACCGTCAGGCGAACATACCTCCAGTCAAATTTTGTCCTCGTTTTTCAGGGTTTTTAATTCTCGTTTATGCCACGGATCCCAACCATACCAGGAGTTGCTATTCCTCCACGCTCTGACCAAGAACGGTGGCTGAAGGGTCATGTAGCGAGACTTTGCCAGCTAGAACATGAGCGGTACAGTGTCTAGTACAAACCCAATATACGCAAGAAGCTCATGACCTCGCTTCGCCCTCAGATTTCCTGGGGGCCAACCAATCAGTTTTGCATCGGGACACTTGCAGCAGTTGGAACAGCGCGAGTGAGTTTAGACTTTGTGTACAAGGACCAGGATGTTGACATTTCCTTCGTTCTGGCCAGTTACTGGGTATGCGAGAAGTCTGATGGCCTTCGCGTCCTCTTCTTCCTTCAAACCGACGTCACGTCAGGCACTCAAGCAGTGTACCTTGTGCGCCCCCTCCTTCGCCTCTATACACCCCTTGACGCCACCTAGATCGACAGACATAATGATTATTATGAGGTTTCTGGTTTCTGGTTTCCTCATCACGAAAGGCGTAAGGAGCCATTGGGAGACACCATTGTCGATGGAGAGCTTGTCATCGATGTAGACCCTCGCACCAAGAAAGTAAGCATGATTCTGCAAACCGTGGAACGCTTCCACTAAAATGCCACGGTTTCCTCAGGAAACTTTGCGTTTTCTCGCGTTTGACTGCCTCGTGGTTAATTCACAGAATGTCATGTCGCGAACGCTGGACAAGCGATACGGTGTACGTACTTTATGCACGACCCGTAGAGGGTACTAACCGACGTCTATAGCGTCTCAAAGAATGGTTTTTTAAACCGCTCTCAATGATGATGCAAGAACTGCCTCACATGGCTGGCAGTCAGCCCTTTGAGTGAGTAATCTAACCTGGACATCTGACCGTTTCTGACACGCCACTTAGTATCAAGGTTAAAAACATCAGCTTCTCCTATGGTGTCGAGGAAGTCTTCCAAGGTAGTCATTCCCTGGACTACACCATGGCAATGACGGCCTCATTTATACCTGCGTGGAAACCCCGTATACGTCAGGCACCGATCCAAACATGTGAGTTTGTTAGCCATGCCTGGATGACGACACTAATTTTGATTTCAAGATTGAAGTGGAAACCTCCTTCCGAGAACTCTATTGACTTTAAACTCGTGCTGCGGTTCCCTCCGTTGAAAGGTGATCCATCGAAGCCAGATTATCACGCGAAACCGTTCTTCGGTCTTCATGTGTACTGTGGCGACGAGCAGGGACGACCGAAATACGAACCTTACGATGAACTCTTCGTCGATGATGATGAGTGGGAAATGTAAGAACTTTCATCCAATAATTTGTTTTAGCAGCCAACTAAAAAACCTGCCAGGATGAAGTCATCAGGCGAACAAATTGATGACCGGATTGTCGAGGTTCACTGGGATCCTATTACTTCCCATTGGCGTAAGATGCGCTTCAGGGATGATAAACCCAATGGCAACTATCGGACGGTAGTTGAGAACATCATTCAAAGCATTGCTGATGGAGTCGAGAAGGATGCGGTAATTCATTTATGCGCTGTTCAGGGACGATATACTGAATTCAATCTCAGCTCCTCGAGCGCTCTGGGGCAATAAGAAACGCCTGGAAAGCTCGTCACGCTCGGCCACAGCAACCCGCCCAGAGACCAGACCCTGCGCTATCAAACGGGCCCTCATTAGGGCATCCCCCACCGCCAGATGTTCGATTAAGATACGGTCCTCTCGCAACTTCGCGTTGGAGCAGGGTGTCTGGACCCCCAATGTTTGCTGGCATGTATCGCTGATCCAATTCCTTGCACCTATTACGTCGCGCATCGGATCGCTGGTCTGTCTATCAGAGGCAACCGGAATCGCAGACTATTTGTACGTCCGTCGGGTTGTTATCGCCTGTTGAGCCCACACCTCCATTAGATCGCTCGCGAGACAGCTGAGTGACCGCTCGGTTCGGATGCAGCTGGTTGGATATGTCTGGACATCTGGGGAATTGGGTCCATACGGTAGTTGTCCTCCAAAAGAATGGAACGCACTTTCGATCCGGCACCATATCGATTTGTTTCACTTACATTCACACAAAGAGGTGTAGACAAGGTCTGTTTTGATATCAAAAACATCAAGCGTACAGGGACTGGAGTGACCGCGAGTACACTAAGTCATGTAGGGAAACGTCGTGACACATCGTAAAAGAACAGCCAATGGATTTGGATGGAAAGCATTTTGGGAACAAGATCGGTGAAAGCAGAGCACGGATGCATGTCTAGTCGTTACAGATGATGACGGAGATAGGGAGGCAACAAGTACGTAGCGCTTTTGAGTTTGACGCCATTATGAGCGCGAGAACGGAGGGGAGAAAATATGCGGGAGCGTAAAAGGCGTTGGTTAGGCGTAAATCGTAAAGCTTTGAAAGAGTAGGCAAGAAACAGCTTTCCGATGGAGGCAAAAAGATGGTCGATTTGCCCAGTCTGAAAAGCTTTGGAGATATACGCATGAAATTACAAACTGTGAATGGTATGCAAAAGATGCGATAAAATGAGCTTAAAATGGATGAAATTTGAACCGAGAAATGTGGGGGTGGTGTCTGGCGGCGGTGAGGAAGTGGCTCTAGAGTGGGTAGGATTTGAGAGCGAGGAATGACGGGCACTTAGTGGAAGATGTTCTGGTTGAGTGAAAAGGAGGAGGCGCCGTCGGAGAAGTGATGAACATCATCTCCGAGGTCATGGCACTCCGTGAAGCCTGCGAAAAGGCCGAAGAGCGCGAATGAAGGTCGGGAGATGAGGGTTGTAGAGGGTAGCGCAAATTCGGATGGAAGTTCGAGATTATGAGAGCCATCATCTGCATCAATCATACTGAAGCGAATGCTCTCCAAAGGAGCTTCGGGCATCTCAGGTGTAGACTCGAGGGAGGAAACTGAGGAGTCGCGCGCGTGTCTCCTCCCGGTTGGAGAGTGAGGGGCTATTGAGAGTGCAGCAAACTGACTCATGGGAATAGACTAGATAGTGATAGTGATGTCAGGTACCGCCCAGTATCAATGTATAGTATGAAGATATTACCTGCGCGAAGTCTACGGGGGGAAAGTCGTGCAAGACCAGCGGGGGCGTCTGTGGGCTGTCAGAGCCAGACAGGGTAATGGCGCCGCCCGCGGAGACATACACTCCGTCTTGTACATCCTGATCTAGATCAGCCTGGTCCTGGGCTGTGTCAAGGTCGCGCTGTCCATCTGAAACCCGCCACCACTCAATGTCCGCAAGGACCCTGCGTTCAGTCGTTTCCGAGTCAGACGAACGACGTATACCATGAGCTGCAACACGCGAACGGGTGTTATTTGCACTACCATTTGATAGTGAGCTCGGGTACGGAGACGAGCGTACTGACGGGGATGAAAATGAACGACGAAGGGAAGGCATTGAAGGTGAATTTGGGTGAAAGACCTTGCGACCAAATATTTTAGGACCAGGAGCTGCCTACCGCAGAGCCCACTGGACGATAGCTTGGATGTAGAAGACAAGGATGGTGGGAAACCGAATATTCAGGTTTTATAATTTCGGATAAATCATTAGATGTGACCGGAAGACGATGTGAAGGTGAATATCTGGAAGGGTTAGGCAAGAAGACGGGCCAAGATTGCTGGCAAACCCCGTCATCAAGGTACTGAACTAATAAATTACATACAAGCTCGTTCATCCTAGCTGCTTGCAATGAACTTTTATCCTGTACGCTTCTTGTCTTCTTGACTTGACAAGGTCATCGGACCGAGCTTCGAACATCGATAACCTCAATGATGGAAACAACAAGTCTACCATCCGATCCAATTTGTTCTGATTCCAAGACGACGTTGTTCTCTCTTTATCCACGCATAGTCAGAGCGAGCCAGGTTCATGACTTAGTAAGAAAACGAGCCTAGCCTGCAAGGGATCATTCCGACCTGCATGGCGCTAGTCCATCCACACACGGCTGTCAGTCCCACACAGCCCTACGATCATTGATCAACGCCCACGTCCGATATCAATAATCATATGCTCTCCTTGACTTTTCGCTCATATCTTTGTAGCGCAACAGCCTTAGTACCGTATAGCATATAAGTACTCAACTTTCAGATCACGATCCCATTAATACAAGGTCTAGCAGTGACTAGTCTATTGTGCTCAGCGATACTATCGATGAGTCGGGGTGACATGTCAAACGTTGTTCACGCTTCCAGGTACCTAATTCATATCTAGTACCCCTGCGACTCTCAAGGTGGGCTGGCCCGAGCCTGACACTAGGGTAATTTGTATCTCGCCTCACTGGACGGCCACCTTAATACCTCGGTTCCAAGTTGGTACATAACTCGTTAATGTATCAAACCTCATTAAGGTGCTGTGTGCTGCGGTGAAATGTCAGTGTACCGGAGATTTGTACGGCGTTCACGCGTACCCGGCAATTGAAGACACGTCAAAACACGAGAACAAACGCGTTTTTTTCACGTCAGTACTTACTCGAGCCTCAAGGCTTGTCTTGTGATTCCATGACATGCTATATCGAAGTGGACTAGTATTGTCATGAGGTAGGGAAGCTGGACTAGTAATTCGCGACCGCGATATCATGGGCGGATCTAGCACTTCTGTCTTCGGTACTTATACCCTAGCCCGTGCTACATGACACCCCGCAATCATATCTACCCATTGACACTTCCTCTCACTCATAGTACTGCGAACCATGCGCACCATCTACTACGGTCCAGTCATTAACCCGCAATCAGTCACAGATTACCTTGCTCTTCCCCAATGTCTGATCTGCGTATCTCCGCAGGGTGATATCGAATGGGTTCACGAGGATGTAGAGAGCTCAAAGCTTCAAGACGTTCTCGCCGAGCACAATTATGCCCCTTCTGACTTCACTCTCTGTCAATTAGACGATGGGGATTTCCTCATGCCTGGCTTGATCGATACCCATGCAGTTCGTCCAACGTGTTATCAGTGCGCTCATACCTTGATCATCTTCTATATCTGCAGCACGCTTGTCAAGTCCCTAACCTTGGCGTGTGAGTCTTCTGACTCGAGTACGTTCGTCCTCACCTTTATGCATATCTTGTCAGTGGTGGAGAGATGGAGCTCCTGCAATGGCTCGATAATTATACGTTCCCAACGGAGGCTAGGTTCAAAGACGTCGGGTATGCCACACGCGCTTACACCGACGTCGTGCGGCGCATGGTCAACTCGGGTGTAAGCAAACAGTCTAATCTACATATGCTCAATGATCGATCATAACGCTAAATTAGACAACGACATGCTGTTATTACGGTAGTCTGCATCTAGAAGCAACCAAGGTTCTAGCGACTCTTATCCACACCGCAGGTAAATCTATCTTTTGCTAATCGCCTGCGAACAGTCTGCTGAAATAATTTATCAGGTCAAAGAGCGTTTGTTGGGGTGAGTTTTATTATGGAAAGGTACACCACAGTTACTAACCACTACTTTGCACGTCAGAAATGTAACATGAACTGGAATTGCCCACCTAACTACATCGAACCGTCTGTCAAAGAGTCCGTCGATACCACCTTGAAACTATTCAAGCACATCGAAGAGCTGCCGAGAACTACTTGCGGCGAGCCATTGGTTCATCCCATCCTCACCCCGCGTTTCGCCATCTCGTGTACCGAGGAGCTCTTGACGCGTCTCAGTCAAATTGCGAAGGAGAACCCAAAGCTTGCCATCCAGACGCACATCTCGGAGAACAAAGCCGAGGTCGAGCTGACTAAAAGCCTCTTCAAGACTAACAGTTACGCAGAGGCGTATGATAAGTTTGGTTTGCTTCGCGATAACACGGTTTTGGCACACGGCGTCTACCTTACCGAGGATGAAATGGTGCTTATTGCCAAACGTGGTTCGGGAGTGAGTCATTGCCCAACGAGCAACTTTTACTTGAGCAGTGGTATGGCGAGAGTCGGTATGCTGCTGGATCATGGTGTGAAGGTCAGTCCTCTCTTTCCTGAATAGCCTGTTTGCTATAACTGACATTCCCTTTCAATCAGGTTGGATTGGGCACAGACGTTGCTGGTGGCTACTCCCCATCCATACTCACTGAGATCCAGCACGCCAGCATAGCATCCAAGATGCTTGCTATACAAGCGACCCCAGACACGAAATGCAACTGCAGCAGGGGCCACCACCGACACCAGACAGACGCCAGCTCATACTCATCAGTCGAATCAGACAGTCAATCGCGTGGTCATAGTCACAAGTCCAATGAATGTGACTGCGATAAGAAGCCGTCTGGACGGTTCACTAATCAAAAACTATCTATCGCTACTCTCTTGTACCTCGCCACTCTGGGCGGGGCGCATGTTTGCTGTTTAGAGGACCGTGTCGGCTCGTTTGAAGAGGGCAAGGCATTCGATGCTCTCCTTGTCACTGTCCAAGACGCTGCTGGAAACCCTGCGGTATGGGGTTACAATCCTCAACGTGACTTGACACAGGGGGTGACTGCTCAGAGTGCGGACAAGAATTTGATAGAATGGTTAGAACGCTTTTTGTTCTGCGGAGATGACCGGAACATCAAGAAGGTGATTGTGCAGGGAAAGACAATAGGTGGGCGAGACCATCAGTAGATAGGATATGACCCCAATTCAGACGTATCATTGACGACATGTATACCCTTGTATACCTATGCGGGATTATGGCAGTAATATACAACAATCTCTGGCAAACTCCTTGCGCTCGCACCAGTAGTGGCCCTGAGATGCTGTGATATATAAGAATACATAGTATATTGAATACAGATGTTGTTCTCGAGGTGTTAGACATCCATGCCTTTGTCCTTGTCCTTGTAATGTCCAAATTCCCATTTGAAACAGTCCTATGAACAAGGCGTTAGAGCGATGAAACCTAACAAAAGGACACAAGAATACTAACCACACAGTCTTCTTCTTCACGGGCCACAGGTACATCCCACTCACGCCCGTCTTCATCCGACCAGCCTTCCTCCAAGTCCAAGACCTCTAAAATAACTTCCTTAATGACATGCTTACGCACATCCACATGCCACCCTAATTTCTGGACAGTATCATACACGATGCTCTTTCCCAAATGACATCTCGTTTCAAGAGCATACCCAGCCTGAGCACAAGGCGACGCAATACCACTACACGTACCCTGGGGTATCGGATCGGCATTATGGTATACATGTGTGATGGGTACTGGAGGAAGAGAGCTACTCCCGATAGGAGGTGGGAGTGGGAGGTGGAGGCGATTCGCTGCCATTCTTTCGCCGGGAGCTTCGAATGCTACTGCTGGTAATCCGAAAGTGGATCCTAGGAGAGAAGCGAGACTCCCTCCGAGACTATGACCGACGAGCCATATGTCAGCGAAAGGATATAGGAATATCAGATCCTTTACGAGTTTCTGAGTAGTGCTCCGTTAGTTTTTGCGGGGGTTGCCACGGACTTGACTTACGACGCCGGTGGAATAGAATAGGCTGTCTCGAGTGAGAGCTGCGGACAAGCATGTATCGTCACAACGCTGGTGTAGCGCTGACCAGGAATAGCAGTCGCACACTGTCGAAAATACCCATGAAAAATCGACGCGGGCGCAACAGCATGAGAAGAGTAGATTATCGTTTAGTTTATCTTTCTTTGATGTACGTCCCTGAAGAGTGGTGCCTTTGATTGAAAGCACGATTGTGGAATTGTCTCTAGAAGCGAAAACATGGCCGCGGAATCCGTCTTCGTCGTTATCCCAACCAAATGGAAAGCTCTGGAAGAGAAAATTGATGTAAATAGAGAGGAAGCATGAGTGGTGGGGAGAGGTAGTTACGGCGTTGCACGTTCCAAGATGAATCGAGGTCGTACCAGTTCTTGTGACCTGGTAGTTGGTATGCGTTGGCAGTCATGCGTGCCAACTGTGAGAGGGTGTGCCTGTCTTCGATGTCTGGTCCTGAGACTTCCATCTGCTCCCACTCGATGGGCTCAGTTTCCGCATGATGAAGGGACCGTAACCGAGCGCGCTCATGAGCATCGATAGATTTCGGGCGGTAGACGGTTATTGGTCTGGCCTTTAAAGATAATGTGGGGGGTTCGGACGGCGGTGGGTATCCAGCGAGGAGAGAGGGTTGATCTGGGTGTAAAGGAAGAGTGAATTGTTGGTGGAGATCGAAGTTCACCAAGTATGGGGTGACAGTTGCGGAGGTGATAACGAGGATATGGAGAAGAGATGTGATATGAAGTAGAGGGTACATAGCTTACCGTCCGATAGTAGGAATACCTTGAGAAATCATCGAAAGGGAGCTGGTGAAGGCTTAAGCTAGGCAGCAAAGCAGTGAATACTGTCTAGCTGCTCTGCCGCAGTGCTATACCTTGGGCATGACATAAATGGGAAGCAGTTCACGGAGACGGGTAACCACGTGGAGTCTGGACCGGGATTAGTTTAATTTACGTGCTACAACATTCTATACAGTGTTCTTCACAATCCAGTCCCTAATAAATGTACTACTCAATTTGGTCTGCTTCAACATCTCCATGTCCTCATGGTCCAGCTTCTCGCTCTCTGAAGAAATAACGTCGATGACGAATGTGCGGAGGGGAGGTAATGACTCGGCGGCGCGTTTCTTGTCAACTGTAAAAGACAGTCAGTGCATGATTGCAGAGAACCGTCGAAATACCGACTTGATGCTGCACCGGGCAGAGTCTCCATACTGACCACCAGCGCCTGAATATTAGGATCCCAACCAGTAGGGCCATACACGTCCTTTATTGCGACAATTTCGTATTCAAGTTCAGGGCGGAAGAACTGCAGGAAAGATCGTGTTCTTTGCTATGCGCACGGCCAATTGATTCCAAGACATGTTTATTTGATTTATTCCTCAGGAGCTCGTCGTCTCAAGGATAATTTTAGTCGCGGGGGCGACGGGTTGTAAGGCATTATCATACCTGTGACACCAACAATGACTTTGCTACTGGCTATCCATGCTGCCATGCTAAGCAGGATTTTGTGTCCTGCATGCAAGTGATCGAAAGTGCCACCAAGGGCAACGACAGGGTATGAACCTATCAGAGCTAGGAGTGACGCGCACGGAATGTTGTCGGCGCACTTCAGTAGCTTTGTCGGGAACGATGAAGACGTGCGGAATGGTCTCCATCAAGCCAGGGAGATGGATCACAGGGGGGTCTTGAGATATCCGTCATGAGGGTTGTGTATGGGATGAGCGCACGAGAGGGACGCACCAGCCCTGAATTCGAAAGCACATATCCACATCATTCCCGAAATCATTGGGAAAACTCTCTGATGGGTCTTTGAGCACTACGCTAATGTCCAATAAGACCTTTCCCAAGTCCTGGGCGGCCTTGGTAGCTTTGACATAGACATATGTCAAGAGCTTCTGGACATCATCCCACTGTTCCACTGCGGTTAAGATGTGGTTGTGAGATATCCGAACTTGAGTCTGCTGTACGGAACAGCTGTGAAAACAAGACAATGACCAAGGCTTCTGTGGTAACTGCGGCCACGGAGGTGATTGGTGGTCCTAGATAATGGGGCGTCTCTAAGTCCTGTAGATGAGCGAATAAGACGGTATGTTTAATACCGCTCATACTAGATAATCGCAGAGCAGCTTAAACGCTCAGGCTTCGATCGCAGTTGTCATTTATTAGCCAGCGATCGCGAACTCTGACACGATCGTGGTCTGTACTTATAGGCGTGAGAATAATATTCCATTTCCGAAGACTCGTGTTGTACACGGAACTGTCGCGCGTTGCATTGCATGTACACCAACCATCGAACTGCTCAAGGCTCTCTACTCGAGTCATCTTTCTTTTGCTGACCTTCTAGCTAGCGTCGTGGTTTTCAGGGTTTTCAGGGTTATTTCAAGGTGCCACCTGTATAAAGTCATTAACTGCTTAAACTTGACTAGCTTCTGCTGGTCGTAATCCTCATTGTTACATAAATAATAGCCTGCATGGCTTCATCACAGGTCTCACTCTCATTCTCCCCATCTTCTTCATCCATGTCTTCCAATACACCAAAGAAACACCGTCCAGCTCATTTACCATTACCATCCTCAAATTTCAGCGCTGCCCCTGTACAGCGCTTTCAGGATAGCGCACAGGCTCTTCAAAGGTCTGCAAGCTTGGGTTCAAAGGCTGGAAAACTACACAGTCGTTCCATCTCTAATGCCGCTAGTCTCAAGCCAGGTTTTTCGGTCCCAGCATACCGAGACTATCCCTTGACATCTCCTGCAACTGTTACCACTTTTCAACTACCGCCAATCCCAAGTACCACTCATGCAGGTGGCATTCTACCCTCATCATCATTCTTTCGCCCTTCCAGGCCAGTCCATTCTCGTCCTTCATCATCCCTATCCTTTGTCTCCAATGACATCTTGCCTACATTCAATTCGGCACCCCCAGATCAACATCCTTTGTCTAATACGTTGACTACCCATCTCTCTCATGAATCTGACTTGAGGAGCTATGGCGATCCTGCTTCCTTAAGAGACACAAATCGTCAACTATCTAAGCGGCTTAAGCAAAGTCGCGAACCTCTACTCCCTCTCAACAACAAGCACATCGTTCCAAGTGCTAGCGCTCCCTCCCGCACATCCATGCACTTAGATCCTTCCAACAAGATCACGAGTGCAAATCGAATGCGAAACAGCTTCGAACGCGTGTTCCGCGGTCTCAGCCTTGATACTTTACGGAAATCTACTAGTAGCCTCGGACATACCTTGAGTCCCCGCTTATCCTATGCAGACGAACACCCATCTTTCCCCCATAATGGCTCTGTCGATAATTTATCCCCCCCTCCACACCCTCGAAGGAAATTCTCCCCCTCTCCCCCACTCATTCACATCGCTTCTAGGTGACTCTCAATCATTCTCCCCAACTCCAAACCACGTTTTTATATCAGTCCCTCCCGATAATCACTACGCCACTCTCTGCAATTCCTCGGGTTCCTAGGCAACGGATATACCAGCGGCATCCATCACAGAATCGTTTCTTCTGTGGCGGCCGGTTACTTACAGGTGGTGATTCTCCTTGGGCTTTTATTGCGTCTCTTACACTTGTATTTGGTCTATCTGGCGTGTGGTTTGGAACAACATGTGTATGGTATTGGCATAATGAAAGCCCCGCTGTTGCGGCGGTAGGAGCGTACATGTCCTTGTTGACCGCATCCTGCATGCTGACTACGGTATGTATTCAAAATCGTTCGTGACGCCACCGTAAACTTAATGAATTCGAAGGCCTGTCGTGATCCTGGCATCTTGCCACGCAATTTAGATCCGGATCCGCCTTTCCCTCCTAGGTCGCCTTCAGACGATGCTGCGAGGCAACCTATGCCTCGGGATCTCAAGGTACGCAATGATAGGTGAGTGATCGCCCTCTTGTGAGCCGATGTGTTCCATGAACATGCGCGCTCAGTGTACGGGTCAAATACTGCTCGACGTGCAAGACTTATCGCCCACCTCGGTCTAGCCATTGCAAAATGGTACGTGGTTCTGTGGCCTTAATAAATGGGTTGCTATACACAATTTCTGGCAGTGCGATAACTGTGTCGACGGGTGTGATCACCATTGTCAGTGGGTGAACAACTGCATTGGACGGCGCAATTACACCTTCTTCTTTGCGTTCCTGGTATCTGCTGTAAGCACTTTGAAATTCGCCCAGCCATCGCAAGAGTAACATTTCCCAGGTGTTAACGCTATGCCTCGTCATCTGCACCTCCGCCTTACACCTCTATCTTCTCACCCGTCGAGACGGCGTCAATTTCAGCGGTGCATTGGAGGATGGCGCAGGTAGTGCTGTGGCATTCTCATTGGCCATCACTGTTATATGGCCAGTCACAGCCCTCCTTGTCTACCACATGAGGGTGAGCTGGAATTTTTTCCCACAATACGTAGTGGTTTGCTCACCAAACGTTTGCCGCAGCTATTATTGCTAAACATTACCACCATTGAGCAGGTGGGTTACTGCCATCAACGATCCCTTATTCCTACTGATGATCGGTTGGTGACATACAGATTAGAAACCAAGCGCATAAAACCCTTGTGCCAGGTCCCGCGCCTCCCAACCCTTTTTCATATGGCTCGTGGCGACACAACCTCATGGAAGTGTTGTGTCGTCCAGCAGGGTTTTCGTGGCTCGATGCCCATGCTCCTATTACTGAAGACAAGCGACGGATAAATCCCGGTCTTGAAGACGCTCGCCCGGGGTGGGAAGAGACAGATATTAGAAGAGCCGCGGAATAATCATTGCGATTTCAAAATTGAAATGCTTCTATCCCATTCTGCTGGCAATTCAATTTTTCACCTCCGACTTACTCTACTCCACTTCGACGTGGTTGTGGGGCTTCCATCGGAAACTAAGCCTCATGTGGCTGGGGCGCCATCGTAACTTAACACCCCGAGGGGACGAGTTTGTACCCCATACGTCAATGGTTGTGAGCGATCGATCAATAACGATGCGAACAACAGACTAGGCCGCGGGGAGCCGACCCTACATGTGTGCGAGGTTCTATTGTGAAATGTTCGTAGACGTGAACAAGCGCGTTTCAAAATGGATTCATGTGACTTTCTGACAGCTTGCGAACGTGGCTGCTGTCAACTCGTACGTACAGCTCTCTAACTTTGGCAAGGTTAAGCAGCATCTTGAGTTGACAGAAGGGTCAGAGTAGGCGCCGCATCAGAAGAACTTCCTGAGGTCAGTGCAGCGTGTACGCGGTCGTAGCCTCGTACGCGTGGTCTTGAGTAATATCGTGAAAGGTACAAGAATAGCTACAAGGGTACCTCTGCTTTAGATCGAGTCGGACAGCGATGGCATGCTGGCCGGGGGCTGAAATTGAGGCGGAGACTGAAAACGATGACACGGCACTCATCATCATCTACCCCATCTCAAGCTGTCAACCCTCCGCGCGTGTTTTGAAACGCAGTCAAGGTGCGCATAAAACAAACTATGGTCGGGGGATGCAGCGTACTGACAGAGTTTTCCGATTTTTCAGATATTTCGTCACCGGTTTTGTGATCACCGTAAGCATTAACTTCGGTTGTATGCTACTTCGGAGCAATTCAGGCTAGCAGTTGTTATAATCGGTTAACGAATGGAACCTGCTACTGTCCGGGACACAGCCAACGACTCACAGTCAGTGCCGCAGCAGCCGAACCCTCAATCTGCAAAGCCGTCGTCAAGAAAGACACGGCAGAAGAAACAAACAGATTCTTCGGTATCTTCGCGCCCCGCGCCGAACTCATCTAACGCTCGCCGACCGTCATCAGGCCGTCGGAACAACAACACTACAGTCGAAAATCCACCAACGACGAGCGCTGGTGCGGAGTCATCTTTGTATTTTTGATCGTACTTGCTTACATGCAACATTACTCCGTTAAGCCGCTCGCCCTTCAACCGATCAGCATCAACAAGACGCTGCACGTTTTCGAGGCATACCGCTCCCGCCCTATCCAGCCCCCCTCCATTATATGATGAATCATAATTATCATCCCATGAATCCATCCCCTTTCACCCAGCAACACCCTGCCGGGGGTTATGCCCCAACCGGATCTACTAATGGCCCTGGTATGCCTAGCCACACCTCTCAATATTATCCTATGCACCCTTCGTATCCTCCCGCTCCCCATGGATACGCTCCTTATTATCCTCAACAAATGATGATGTACGGCACCCCACGCCCCAGTACGTCAGTACCAGAACAACCGCAGCCATCCAGCGCACAATCTCCCGTATCCGTCTCTGCCTCTGCCTCCGCCCCCGCATCGGTTGGTAAGCGGAAAAGAAAACTGGAGCCCTCCCATAGCAAGGGAACCGTGGACAAGGATTCAGACCAAGAAGGCCCATCAGGGAGTGATGTTCCAGCAAGACAAACTACTCCCACTGCGACCACACCAACAGCGTCTGATTCAAAGAAGCGCACAAAAACACAGCGGGCTTGTGATAGCTGCAGAAGTCGCAAAATAAGGTGTGGTTGGATTTTTTTTTTGACTCGTTTGATCTGACTCATTCACTTTTTTCTTCTGTCAGATGCGATGTTCTTCCAGAGTCGGAACCTCCACTGTGTCAGCACTGCAAACAATATGGGTTTGAGTGCACGTTCTTCCTACCCATCACTGAAACGCGTTTCAAGAAGAAGAAAATGGAAGAAGAGGCCGCTGAGAAAGAAAAAGAGAAGTCCTCGGACATTCGACGAAATACGTCGTCTCCTCAAGCTGAATCAGGGGATCGAAGAGTTTTCGGTTCGTCTTGAACTTTGTCTCAGCTTTTCCCTTTATCCTAATGTGGGTTCAGGACCGACGGCTGCTGTACATCTTCTGCATTCACAACCCATTATTTCTTCTCGGATATACGAGTCTTATGATCAGCGTTATCACCACACCTGGGAAATATCGAAAAACGGCGACGGCGTAATTTCCGTCCAAAATAATCCTGACGAGGAAAAGCAAGTTTCCCATCCAAAACCCATTGATTTGCGACTCGAACCCGAAGTTATTCAAAACCTCCTTAATGCTTATTTCAAAGAGATTGCTCCCCTCTTACCTGTTGTATCGCAGGCAGAATTCCTGGCGAATCCTTCTCCTTCTCCAATTCTGTTGTATTCCATGTGCCTGGTTGCTGCTGCACGGAGGGAGGTGCCGCAGAGTGTCTTTGATTCGATTCGATATGCGGTTAATGGCGTGATCAAAGCAGAAGATGTCTTGTCTACGGCCTCCATCGCCAACGTGCAAGCCTTACTTATTCTCAGTATGGTGGGTGACAGTCATTCCCAATTCGTCCCAAACGCTCTTTCGGCACTCTGGATCCGGTTGGGTACGGCAATACGAATGGTAAGTTTTTGTGTTGTGTCAGACTGCTTTCGGTTTTGATTGACCGTATCAGGCTCAAGACCTGGGTCTCCACCGAGCAGAGTCGGTCAAACAGAGCGTCGAACTACGAAGGCGTTTGTGGGGCGCATGTGTCATTTGCGACCGATGGTATGCATTTATTGTGATGATCCTGTACATGCTGACTGTCTTTGAAGGACAAGTTTGACGTACGGCCACCCGTACATGATTGATGTGCAGGACTGCGATGCTAGGCTTCCTTCATCTGGCGATCCCAATGATTTATACATGGACGAACTCGTTAGGCTGAGCGTGATTTTGGGACGAGTGCTCAAGACCATCTACAGGTCCGTTCAACCTGTTTTTACTATTATTACTGTGGTATTCACTTGCGCGATTGTGTGTAGCCCCTCCGGTCTCATGTTCACAACGGATGATATGCTGTACAGCCTACTTTCCGACCTTGAGTCATGGAAGACAAACCTCCCAGAGAACCTACAGTATCGTGGTTCTGACACACCTCAAGATGCTGGTACGTGGTCGCTTACTTTTGGTGTTCCTGATCAAGGTTAATCATAATGCTCCAGGGCTCTTGCATCTTCTTTACTGCTCGGTGTGCATGATTTTCTGGCGGGTCTTCATGCGCATATCCTATGCTTGTCCTGCGCATCTAAAATTCGGGTTAACCGTCGAGACGTGGACTTCATTAGTCCAACTGACCAGCGAATCGATCGATTGGCTCGACACTCACGAGCGAATGTACGATGTTTGGTTGTTAGTCCCTTACGCGGCAACATCCTGCGCACTTGTTCAGGTTTGTTTTCATTTGATTCGCGTAGCTCTATATTAATTATGTTATAGTATCACACGTGGGCGAGGCGGCAAGATGCTGAAGCGGCTGCTAAGCTCAGAAAGCTTCGAGATTGTGTACGGAGATGGGAAGGTTCAATTTCTCCTGACCACATGTCCGCCCGACGAAAGGTAACACCCATGTTGCCATGCTACTTGTCATCATTAATGTTTTGTTTTTTCAGACAGCCGAGATTATTGCTCTTCTGTATGAGGCTACCCAGGGTCCGCCAGTCCCCGTTGATCAGCCCCCTCTGCTCAATCCCACTGGAGGCGTAAAGGGTAAGCGGGCTTTGAGTGGTCTGGAGTATAAGAAGGACCCCTCGCGTCCTGGTGGAGGATTCTTCGTTGCGCATGGTGAAGCTCGCAGAAATATAGGTGAATATGAGGGTACACCTCAGGGCACGATCATAACGTCATCTGATGAGGAATCAGAAGGTTTGTCAAGGCAGCGATCAGAATCCACATACATGGCTAAGCAACATTATTGTTAGCAGAGGCGAGCAAGGCTTCGCAATGCCGCGGCTCGTCGATGGTGACGATAACCCCACTTTCGTCTACGCGTGGTGATGGGGCTAGCTTCCCCAATATGAACCCAGCGTTGAACGGCGTCACGACTGACACGCCTAGTAGCGTGCAGGTCCTTAACGTGCTTGATGTTCCGCATGCATCGAATACGCTGGAACAATTTGCGATGGCTGATGTTGGTCTTCTCGAGGGAATCCCTGGAGGTATGTTTGACTGGGGTATGTCCTCTGTTTAGATCTGAAATACGCGATGGTGTTTAATTTTATGTTAGGTCAATGGGACTCGTTCTTTTCTCGGTTCCATCCGTCTGTCGGTGGAATTGAAAACGCCGGCGGACAACGAGCAGCAAATGTTACAACATCACCATCGATGGTTTCAAGTCAGTCTAGTCATTTGCAGCAGCCACCACAGACTCGTACGTAGCATGTCTACGACATCAAGCCGATTACAGTTGCAAAATGTTTTTTTATTGTGATAGACGCTTGTCCTTTACCTGCTTTTGTTCTCTAGTAAGCTAGTGTGTGCTCTTGTAATCTGTACGAACCTTGTGAACTTTTGAATGACATCGTATGTACTACACGCCACTGTATCTATAATGCGTAACGTCGATCGTAATCGCTATTTTTTCATTCGGGTTTCACAAGTCTCGTGTGAGTGGAGACTCGCTTGGAGAATGAAATCGAAATCTTGAACTTTGTATTCGTAGGTTGGTCTTAGGCGGTAAATCGCGTCAAGAGTCGGGTGCGATCGGCGAGCTGAACGACGCTCAGCTGTCTGAGTCCTGCATACTTGCCATGACATGGCTCATGGGTTGAACCATTGAAGATCGAATTTTTGACAGTGGGGAAGAGGGCGCTAATAGTAACCGTTTTGGTGCATAAGAATCGAAGTTTCATCCCTAGTCGTCTCTCTGGTGTTTTGATCCGGGATAGACGCTCTATAGCTAGGTTCTAAATTAAGTGGAGACAGTTGGCAGACAACATAAATGAATACGCTTGGTCGGAGCGTCAACTTCAAGTGTCAAGCGATGTGTGATATCTTTTTCTCTCAAACTTCCATGACATTTACAGTGCAACAAGCTAGTCTACCCTAATAACCGCTGGTCGTTTAGTTTTAGTGCTTTCTTATGGCACAAATTGCCAGTGGTCCACCAAGAATATCTCAACTGCTTCCTACAGTGAAATGTTCCGATTGCTTGCAACCAGTCCCGCTGGCAGAACTCGGTGACCACGTATGTCCCCCACATCCTCCTCCTACACTACTGTCTCTTCAGAAACCACCTATGTCTCCAAAATCAACAAACTCTCTATTACCACAAAGACTACAGAATCTCGTTTCTAATAGGGCTGCAAGCCCGCAACAGCAGCAGGCCTCGACTTCCCGCACCTCGCACCTTCATGCTCCCCCACTCAGGTCTTCCCAACATGATCCCTTTCAGCGAATACCCCCAACTGTAAATTATAATCAAGGTGCTACTCGCGCCAACAGCCCAGGTAGTCCTCGGACTCCCCCAATTCCACAATCTATTCTTCTTAACGGAGGCACCTCCACTAATAAGCCGCATGTTCGATTTCCAGCCCAATCCGCTCCAGACCGGGTCACTATTCCCGTGCGGAATGTCACTCCTCCCGTACCCGCCAGGAATCGCACCCCTTCAAATACGGGAAGCGGTGGTAACAAATCATCCCTTAGTGTGACATCCTTCCCCAATCCTTTTGAAGATGACGCACGTCAGCCGGGTACGTCTACGCCTGTAACAGGTCGCCCCAGAGCTCCATCATCAGCTCCAAGGGAAAACCCACCCGTTGTACCGCACGCGCCGCTCCCATCGTCCATGGTCCCTAGAACACGAACGCCCTCGAATGCGCCTTCCCATACCTCTATTATTCCCCCGAGTCTCACTCCGCGTCCGTCATTTGATCGCACACGTACACCCTCTACTCTTGCACCTAGGCCATCGTTGGACAAGCCTCGCCCCTCGTTTGACGCTCCCCCTAGACCTTCTTTTGATACGCAACGCCCTTCCTTCGACGTACGACGTCCTTCATTCGATGTTCCTCGTCCTTCATTAGACCATCCACAAGCCGGTCCAGGACCCGTACTGCAGCCTGCGTTAGTCCCGCGTCCACCACGCAGTACTTCGACTCTCCCTCCATCCGGGGGTGTGCCCTTTCCGTCGTCTGCCCCTGCGCCACAACCACCCCCACCCGCCACTCGCTCGCCAGTTCCAGAGAGCGAACGTAACATTGACACGAAATGCGGAGGTGAGGCCGGCATGGCTGGTGTTGGACGGAGGGGATTTGCAGCTGCTGCACGAGCTGCGATGTTTGCTGCGTCTTGTCCTCATCCTGACCCTAGCCAACACAGGGATCCTATGACTGACAGTCGTCGAGCAAATGCTCCCAAGTATCTGGATCTCAATACTACTATGAACCATGTCATGCGAGGTGAGCGCCTTCCTCCATTTTCTTCTTCTAATGTATACCTGTGGTGCATATATTCCCTTGGTCCCCCATGTAATCATCCATTCACCACTCAATATTATAATTCCGCGGCGATGGATTGTACAATAAGCCTGCCCTTCTCTATTCTTTTTTCTTAAATAAAGTATAACTGTTCGATCGCGTTTGTCCCCATTTTTCTTATTCAATATATGCTCATTTATTTTGCCTTTGCAGCTGCGATGACACCTCCGCTCTCTCCGAACTCGGGATACTCTCATTCTCCTGTCTCTCCTCACCCCACGTCGCCGTTGTCACCTGCTCACAACACGACACCGACCACTGGGCAGTTTCCGAAGACACAGTTCCCGGATCCTCATGATAAGGCTGGGATACAGTTCCACTCACCATCACTCAACCAGAAACTTGCTCCTCTTTCGTCATCGCCTGCTGATATCCATATTGTATCTCCGTCACGAACACCCTCACCTATTTCGAATCCTTTCACGCGACACCTCAGTGGGGAAACCGTGAATCAATCACCGTTTTCAGCTTGTCCCTGTTCGACTACCGTTTCTCGACATGTTTGATAAGGGACCTGTAGACGGTAGTGGCGAAGATTCTGACGATGAGAGTGTGTATACGACGCATACAGTCGAACAAGGGATGAGTCGTAGAGGCGACGCAGATCCCATGTCCCCATCGACTGATTCAGATGTGGGGCTGGCCTATGCGGATGATTCTGACAACGACACGCCTGTGGTGATGCCACTTGATATCCGCAAGTCAAACGCTATATCTGAGTTGAACAAGGTTGAATTTCCAAGTGTCGAAAATGGGCATCCATCTTCACCAGCTCGAAAGTTGCCATCACGGAACGCATCAGCTTCATCTGCTCCATCTTCCTCCACCTCACGAACCATCAATTCCAGCCTCACGCGCAGCGCCTCGGCTCTCACCCACACGACGACACGATCTACGGGAGCATTGGAACGTGCAATGGAAACGCTGATTGAGGAAGGTGCATCCATCTCGGTCCTCGCTTCAGGTTCAGTGCTTGCCTCAATGGCTGGGCCTTCTGGGAGTCGTGCTTCTGGAAAGCCTAATCGATCAAATACAGTACCAGGCCCTGTATCACCGGAAAACAGACCGCCGAAGCTACCGGCGCGGTCCTATACGAGTCCGCACCACCCGCACATACATTCAGAACGTGTAGGTATAACGGGTCAAATCGCGCGCATTCGGGAACAAGGTAAGGGTAAGGCAAAGAAGGACCGTATTTGTGCGAACTGTGATAAGAAAATTGAAGATGGGAGGTGGATCCAGATGGACGGCGGGAATGTCTTGTGTGAGCGGTGCTGGAAGAACAGGTATCTTCCCAAGGTATGTGTGATGTAGTTGATTATCAATTTCTATGTCTGACATCTTTCGTATTCTAGTGTCGCCGGTGTAATCTCCCCATTGAGACGCAGGCCGTGTCGTCTTCCGATGGTCAACTGAAGGGCAAATATCACAGGGATTGCTTCAATTGCCACAATTGTCAGGTGAGTTGCATGGTCTTCACGTCATTGGTTTATTTTTGACCGTGTCACTATGCAGAAACCGTTCCCAGACAAGGAATTCTACGTTTTTGATGGCAAACCACTCTGCGCATATCACTACCATGAGGCGAACGACTCGCTCTGCGCCGCAGTCTCATGTGGCCAGCCTATTGAGGGTCCGTGTGCAGTCACTCACGCAGGAAAGCGATATCATCCGGATCATCTTCTATGTGAGTTCGAGAACGGTTGCGGGGAGCGGCTGGTAGAGTACTGGGAGGTAGACGGTCAGATGTTCTGCGAGAAACACGCTGCATCAGCTGGGGCCAGCTGTGTATCCTCGAGAAGCGATAGCCCTGATGGCGAACGCATACGGGACGAAGGGCGCGCGATGAAACGCATGACGCGATTCATCGACCTCGGGGCTGTAGACGAGGTCGTTGACATCCGGTGAATGCGGACTTTGACATATGCATTAATCTTATTCTTCATTTTTTTCCCTTTTTTTACTGGACTATTGGCAAGTGTACTCTCATCTTCCACAGGATATACTACCCCTTATTCCCCTTGCAATTGATATACCACATCTTTCTTTTTCTCGGTTATTATCTCAATGGGACTTTACCATACACGGACAAGGCTTTTTGCATCTTATCCTTCTTGTTCGTTATACCAAGATTATAATTGATGTTCGACGATGTTCCGCCTCCAGCTGGAAAGCTGCTTGGCGGTCAGTGCGGCTTCGTACATGGGCCATTGCATAGATATTAAATAGCTTAGTACCGCAACGAAACTTGGAACAAAAGAAAAACCTCCCCTCCATGCAGAGTACCCAACAAAGGATGATGTCATCGAGTATTTACTGCTAGACACTACTGCCAGTTGACACATGCGTGCGCTCCTGGAAAGCAATTGAAGTCATGGTGATTGCTGCATCCCAGTCTGCCACGAGCTTAGCGTGATATTCTCGAACGCTAAGGATCAGGCGTGGTCCCAGCACAAACATCTGCACGACCGTACAAAATTCAAGAACACCAGAATAAATCTGAGCTTCCAGGGAGGAAAAGTCCTATAAAAATGATGAACCGTGACCGCAAGCAGAGGTCAGTGACACATCGACGTACCCCCAAGATCGCCGGGGACAGATAAACGAGGCTGGAGCAAGAAACAGCAAGAAAGCTAGCACGTACAGAAATTCAGCGGAAAAAATGAACCACATTCACTTTATGAGCTCACCTCGCAAAGTAAACTACGTGGGTTTTCATCAACACCGTGAAAAAGTTACTGATGCTCCCTCCTGCCGATTGTCGTCGCAGCTCACGGAAGTGTTTTACTGCAATCCAGACTGCGAGACACAGTGCGAGGACCTCCCATACAATTGTGAGCACCGAAGTCGTGATTCCTAGAGTTAGGGCATCTCCCTCTAATTTAATCCTGCACTGATAGGTGCCGAAGAGAATGAATTCCTCTGATATTTGTCGATGAGCCTCATGACAGTCTTTCATCCATAATTAGAACTTACCTCCTGAAATGTGCCTCATTGGTATTGCGGCGATCACCACGTTGGTGATGTTGATAGCCAGGAAAATGACAACGAGAAGTACGAGCATCTTTCTGGATTGCTGATACATGGCATACAACCGAGCGATCATAATGACTCGGACTTGCATAATGTTGCAGTCAAGACAATTTCAGTGAGGTATTGCAGCTGCGTGGCTTACCCCCCAGTATTATATTTACGATCACATTCGTCCAATCTTGTGCAAGCAACATAACAAAGCCTGATAAAACCAGTTAGTGATCAGCCTCGTGCACTCTAAACAAACTCACAGCTGTGGAAGTCATGATATCGAACCAACAAGTTGGCCAAGAATCTCACTCACCCCTACACGAAAGTGCAATTATTTGGACGGGAATGGCAGGCATAAGTGCACAACACTTACTACATCTGTGACCGGGATTGTCGGAACACTGTCTATATGCCACCGATCAGAAGAAACGAACAGTGCGTGTAAGGTGACATACGCAGTATGCTGACGCTGATTAATTTGTGAGAGATGGCTGATTAGCACGCCGACGATTGCTTAGTTTTCCAAACATACACAGCATATAGTATACCAACGTAGCGCACCTAGGATATTTTCCAGTCAGTAAACTTGCCGATCGCACTGATAACACATGAGCTACATACGCTGAAATACAGAAAAGTCATGAGGGACCAGTGTTGCCTCTGTCGCACATCAATTATATTGACACATTGTTCTTCTGACATGAGACACTGCTCACCCAGACCAGTTCGACCTGACGGGCTATTCTTAGTGAGGTGGTTGCTTCGGTACTGACATCAACTTACCTCTTGTCCGAATGTCAATACTGGAAATACCATAAGGATATCAGCGGTTTGTGAGTACTGCCTTGCTCACCCCAATCATACATCATCCCAGCAGAGGCGGCAACTGCAAAACCGCAGCCAAGGTTAGATCGAGATATCATCCGACTGACTCTACACGAACCTACAAAATAGCTGGCATTACGACTCGCATTGATAACCGGCAACCAACTAGGATCATCTGATACTAGGGTCATACTGCTAGAGGATGAGTATGAGGAAGCGTCGAACTTGGCGCATGCATGAATGGTGATGGGTCTAGATATACCACTATCTGGCAGCGCTTTTAAGGCCGAAATAAGCATCATACAGTTGATATCCGTACCTGCATTGAGCCCTTATAAGCAATAATTGGGTTCTCAATGGAATCTTGTGCACAACACTGCGCACAGAGCAGTGCCATTTGATCACCGCAAAAGATCGAAGACCCGTTCGCCATTTCAGTAACTTGTGTTCATTTCCGTTCTCCAGATGCTTGTTGCCACACTTGCGTCAGTTATAACTTGTTATAAGAAGTCCCATGTGACCGCTATCGAAAAGCCTGCGTCTCACATCCCAAATCCTGGGTTATCCACCGCGTCCAAAAATATTAGGGTAGCTGCTGCATCCCCGCTGAACGCTGTGCAACTTGCTGCACTGCTTGCGATGTCATCGGGTCCCATAAGCATCTTCAAATCATGTTGGCACCAAGGTTCCAGATAAGCATTGATTCATCGACAGCTCACCTGCTGGGGTGGTCCTGAGAATCTTAGATGACGAGACCGGATCCACAGTGATGAGACGAGTCTAACAAGTCGTGGATTCGAACTAGTTAGGCCCGGAGCAAAAGGGTCAATAACTAATAACTTGACCACGCGCCACGATACGTCGGTAAGTTATTTCGTGAAGAAACATGTTAGTGTTTCCTCGCTGAAACAACCTACTACCGACTCAAATTTCAAATTTCAGACTGGTGAACGTTAACTCCACGATCCAAGTAGAGCCGTCAATAGTGTCAAATAGACATCCGAATTCAAAACCAGTTACTAGTCCGAAGAGCCACCGGCCCGTCTATGACTCAGAGGCAAGCCATTGCCTCATAGACGGACTGGTCACTTACGTGTTCACCATCTACTGAGAGTCCTCGGGAAAACCAGTGAAGACATGTCTAAAGGTGCTGTGTATTATGTAGTACTTGTGTAGAGGGGCCTCTTCTCGTAAGAGAAGTTGAAATCGAAGACTGTACGCAGGCTTAATAATCCTAAGAACAGTTCGTCCCCGACAGCTTGGGGTGTGCTTGACCAGAACGGATTCTTATTTAAACTCGAACTGGAAGAAGAGTGTTATGCATTCAAGCTGGCTAAAGAACCTCGATTTACCCCCGCGACCAACCGAGAGAACCCCTTCTGCATTATCACTGCAGATGATCCAAAGTTTGTTTGACGATCGTCGATCGACGCGTGTACATAATTCATGATTGCGACGGTCAGTGTCTTGCTTCTAGACTCGGATGTGCAAGGGAGGGGGAGATACAGACCCAGATTCTCTCTGCCTTGGATGCATCGTTGCTTGTATTAGTTGACACTGGTGCTGAAACGGCCTCTAGACCTGCAGGAGTCTCTACATTATGTGCACATTGCAGGCTAGGCGGATGTAGATGATCAAGAAAAACTGAAAGTTGCGTTTCGTTACGTATGTACAGACAACGGACAAAAATTTAGACCCGTTCAACGATATAATCCATATAACAACCCACTCAATATATACGCTTGAATGGTGGGATTGGCTTGCATTCATTTTCATCGAGGGTCTTGTCAATGACGCCGCGGTACTTGAGAGTGACGTCGGGCGAGTTGACATTGTCCTGCCATGTGAGGGTATGCTTCATCCAGTTGTCATCGTCACGCTACGGATTCAGTTTAGACAAATCCACTGAAGGGCGTGGTGTAAATACCAACCTCAGGGTAGTCCTCACGAGCGTGAGCACCTCGGGACTCCTTACGAGCCGCAGCCGCAGTCATAGTTTGAACTGCGCACTGTAGGAGGTTGCGCAGTTCAAGAGTCTCAACAAGATCACTAAGATAATAGCGTGAGTGGGGAATCAGCATCATATAAACAACGGCCGTACGAGTTCCAGATCATGCTCCTATCCTTGATGCTAACATTGTCAAATGATTTGTATATTTGATGGATCTTCTCAACACCTTCGTCGAGACTCTGCTGCGTGCTGCGAGGATCGTCGGTATCTAAGGCTTTTGTTCGCATGAAGCTGGTGGAACGCACCGGAAGAGTGCGGCATCGGATTGCATGGCTTTTTGCATCTCCAGCCTTATAACGGCAGTAGGTTTTGTGCCATCCGAATTTCTGATCTGGTCCAAAAACTCTACGCTCTCGAGACCAGCTTCCTCAGGAATAGCCTTGTGGGGCTTTCCGGGAGTAAAGGTCTCCGTGATATGACGAGCGCACGCGCGACCGAAGACGACGAGATCCAAGAGGGAGTTTGCACCAAGACGGTTCGCGCCGTGAACGGACACGCACGCAGCCTCACCAGCTGCATACAGACCAGAGATAGTCTTGTCTTTTCCATTCTGATCACGGCTTATGAGCGGAGTGCGGCGAGTACAACTAGCGCAAACTTACCTCATCAACAGTCAGCACCTCGCCAGTGTACTTGGTGGGAATACCACCCACTGTCGGGAGGTCAGCTACAGTCCAGACAGCACAGTAGAGACGCTAACTGTTGTAATGGACTGTAGGCAGCACTGGGATAGGCTCTCTGGTGACATCGACTCCGGAGAAAATAGCAGCAGTCTCGGAGATACCTGGCAACCTCTCGTGGAGAAGTTCGGGAGGCAAATGGCTGAGCTGGAGGTATACGTGGTCTTTCTGAAGCCCAACACCACGACCTTCACGGACCTCCATCGTCATCGCACGAGATACGACATCACGTGAAGCAAGATCCTTGGCAGTGGGTGCATAACGTTCCATGAAACGCTCACCCTCGGAGTTCAAGAGGTAACCTCCCTCGCCACGACAACCTAATGCACAGTCAGCCACAAGGCGGATACCTTACAGAAAGAAAATCACCCTCAGAAATAAGGCAGCCAGCACCATAGATACCGGTTGGGTGGAACTGAACAAACTCCAAATCCTGCAGAGGAAGGCCAGCGCGAGCAGCCATTGCATTACCGTCACCCGAACAAGTGTGCGCACTCGTGCAGCTGAAGTACGCACGACCGTAACCCCCTGTTGCAAGAACCGTTTTGTGAGCCCTGAAGCGGTGGAGCGTACCATCCTCCATGTTGAGCGCAATGACTCCAACACACTCGCCATCCTGCATAATCAAGTCCAGAGCAAAGTATTCAATGAAGAAATTCGTGTTGTGTCGGAGCGACTGGCCGTAAAGGGTGTGGAGGAGAGCGTGACCGGTACGGTCGGCAGCCGCAGCACAACGGTATGCTTGGCCGCCTTTGCCATAATTCAAAGACTGGCCACCAAGAGCACGTTGGTAAATCTTTCCATCCTTGGTGCGGGAGAATGGAACACCGTATTTTTCAAGCTAGGCGCGAGATAAGCCGAAATAATATGTAAGATATAACCCTACCTCCATAACTGATCCGGGAGCCTCGCGGCACATATAATGAATAGCATCCTGGTCACCAAGCCAGTCAGAGCCTTTAACCTGTGGAAATTCAGCTCAACTAAACGACTCGAGTGCATAACATATCAAAAGACACGAACCGTATCGTACATGTGCCATCGCCAGTCGTCTTCCGTCATATTCTACAGGTAGCTCAGTAGTGAGAAGAGCATAAACACCTCAAGATACTTATACTTACGCCGAGAGCAGCATTGATACCACCCTTGCACGTAATATGAGTGTGTTAAATGCTGCCGAACATGGCGCAACATACCTGTGCCGCGACAGTGTGACTCCGGGTTGGGAATAGCTTGGTGATGCAAGCTGTGTTGAAGCCAGCTTCCGCAAGACCAAAGGCAGCACGAAGGCCAGCACCACCAGCACCACTAAAGCGACATCTCAGGTCAGCTGATTTCTCATCTGGAACGCCACTCACACGACAATAGCATCGTACTCATGCTCGATAAGAGGATATTTGCCTGAAGACCAGGACTAGAAACCCGTGAAAACACCGGGAGATGACAAGGGAGCTGAGAGATATACTTTGACCTCCTCTGCCTTGACTGGATTGGTCCCAATGACTCTCCTGACGGGGAGTGAGTTGGAAAAAGCACGCCGAGGACGAAGCAGAGCACTAGAGGGCACCGCCTTGGACACTGACTTCCTGAACATTGATGGTGCTGTCGGCGGCGGCGGCAGCAGCGAGGAAGAGATAATGTAGCGACTCTGATGGGGTTGTTGACGTTCGTAGGGCAATGGGAAATCACGCGTCGTCCAAGTTCAGGTTCCGAGTGATGTATCTTGCCGAAGCACCTGCGCACAAACGAAGCTTGATGCGAATTTGAGTAATAGTCATGAAAAAGGCTACTGTACCAGCCTGCCAGGATTATACGAGGCTCTGCCTCCAGCTAGAAAGCTACTTGGCAGTTCGCGGAGACTACTCGCAGATGGGCTGGGTATCAATGATGATCATTGCAATTCTTGTGTAGTTCTTGCCGTCAGACGAAGTTTTGGATTTTGACATCCAGCACGAACTTTATGTCCAATAATTTGACAATTTATCCTCACGCCTGACCGTCATCATCCTCCGCGCTCAAAGGCTCAGTCACAATTGCTTCGACTCATGTCTTTTTCTTTTCTTGCTCGGTGCTGTGAGACAGCAAGAAGCCCATTCTCTTTACTTGGTTCGTGAATACTTTCTTGTCGGCAATCTGTTTTTTCACCGCCGTTGTACAAAGGTTCTGTGCGTACTGCCACCAAACGTGCTGGAGGGACGGTTCGAAACCATGGAGGATCGCCGGGTAAGCGTCTGGGTCTCAAAAAGTTCTCTGGTGCGTCCCCCCGCCTCGCATATCCACATTGCCAATGCTAGAGACCTACTATCCAGACCAGCACGTCATTCCTGGAAACATCATAGTACGCCAACGGGGAACGCAATTCCACCCTGGGCAGAATGTATGCAAGCTTCCTATCACGGTGTGACGATATTCACGTATTCCTCAGGTCAAAATTGGTCGCGACCATACTATTTATGCCACTACCCCGGGCTTCGTGCGATTCTATAAACAAAAGTGGCTACGAGGCGACCGGAAGTTTGTTGGGGTAGGTTCTACATCGCGGCGAGAAGCTTCCGAGGGATGAAACTGTGCTAGGTCGCAGTCGATACTTTGGCCTCGTCGACTTGACTGCTTTCACTAAGAACACCCCATCATCACAAACCAGCGCATGAGTGGGGTTTGTCTTGGTCCTCGTGATATTCCCCCGCGCTCTAATAATGCTAGCGTCACAGTCCATTATCGCATTTCTACGTTGGTGCATTGTGTAGCGAATGCGTTGATTGGCGACAGTACGCAGTACTACGCACATTGCTTTCAAATAGCACATGATATTATTTTTAGCGCATCTTTTATATATAGATCTCATTGCAATTCCGTCGTCTGTCACCGTGTATCTGAGGTTTCTTCCCGACCATCATGTCGTCTCAACTTTCTATTGATCCCGTTAGGCCTGCAGGTACGTGTTGCTCTGGTGGTTGTTGGTCTGCCCAAACAGCAATCTAGGGTTCCTTCCTGAGGAAACCATTCTTGCGCTTGGTCGTGACGTGCTGGAGTCGACCAAGACTTGGAAAGTGGGAAAGACCTTTGCAAAGGGCACCGTCCGAACACTATCCCGCGCAAAGGGACCAGGGGATGGAGCACCTTGGCATTGCAGAGTTTCCGAGCACACCAAGGAGGACGCGACGTTCGATGAGTTTTGGAGCAAAATTGGCACCAACAAACCTGAGAACGAGAAGGAGTGAGTTTTCCTTCGTTGTCCTCACAGCTTGAACGTTCATGCTGCGCAAGGTTCATTTCTGCAATCAAGAAAGTGACGCTAGTCAAGCGAATCTCAGACACTCAGTCCATCTGGACAATGTACTACACTTTCCCTCCCCCCGTCTCTCCGCGTGTCTTCACTGTCTTGCAAACGATACACCTGAATGAGTCATCTCCAAGAACTGCGTATGTTTATTCAATCGCCTTCTGAGCGTCTTTTAATACAACTTATCCAGTATGATAGTTTCGATTCCGGTGGACTTGTCTGGGCCAGGAGACGAAGAATTTGCCAGGCTTGAAGAGAAAGGTATAAAGGGACGGTATGTCTCCGTCGAACGCTTACTCGAGTTGGACGACGGCATAGTAGAGTGGCGGATGGCAACGTCCAGTACACCTGGAGGGAGTATTCCGAGTTTCATCGCGGAGGGCAGCATGCCAGCTCAAATATCTGCGGTGGATATCATATATTCTCGTGTAACGTGGAACAGGACTGATATAACCTTACAGGATGTTCCTCATTTCTTGAAGTGGTTCCATACCATTCGCAATGAAGGAAATGCATAACTTGATAGTTGGAATTAGCAGTATCTGATAGTAGATGGGCCGTATATATGCGCTTGTCCAAAGAAGAGGACGTCATATCATACAAATCTAATTATTTATTGTTCAGGATATCTGAATTTCCACTGCAAGGAGACCAACATGAGAAACAAAGAGCAGGATGACCATCGCCTACTTTCTCGGTTGGTCACTTCCTGATCTCTCATGCTGCATCGTTGCGCCGAAGTTGGTCCTCAAAATCATCTCCGAGCAATGCCGCTGGCCTCGAGCTCATCCAAGGCCTCATCATTGCTTTGGTTCGCTTCCCCCAACAACTTAAAAGCATAAAACTATATACGAGACCGCAGTTGTAGTACAACTACCAGTGTTAGTGGTAGTAGTGCTGGCTGACATTATCAGAGGTACGCTTCGCCTTCTCGACCTTGCGCTATAGTACCAAAGTAGATGCTGAGAATAAGTCCACACGAAGGGACCGTAAAGCTCCGCGACACCGACGCTGAAGATGGTGATGGCGATGGTGCTGCAGACGATTCTGACATTCTTGCACGCGCATGCTGGGGAGAAGAATGAAGAGGACATCCCGAGGACCTAATGACTAAGAAATAGGGTAAGATGACTCGCTCAATACTTATCCTCAGGCGCGACGCCTTCCGTGGCTGCGCACTGCTGACCACAGTAGGATGTGCTCGGGGTCCATGAGGCGAATAATGAAGCCCATGACCTTCAAGAAGGCAACAAGACCATTGCAGCGGTGCAGACGAATACCGAGCCAGAGTGGCTTCAGCACCTCATCAAAGGACTCGATACCGAAGATGGAGAAAGATGGAGAAAGAGCCACAACTTTTGCTGCGACATACGGCTGGTCCGTTTCGTCTCCCTCCTTGAGAATTTTGTGAACGTACGAACGGGTGAATTCGGAGGTAGATGGACAAATTGGCGCAACAGAAACTCGTCCGTCCGACAAATGGCTGTAGGCCTAGCCAAGTTTGCTGGAGGGCGCAGACAAAGACGCCAGACACAGCACTGCGAACGGGTTAGAGACGGCGCTCATGTTGGCGAAATCGAGGAGGAGCAGGCACTTTTCCCAGTAGACTTTGGAGGCACAATGGCCTTGTCGGCACCATTATAAAGGAGGATGATGATTTGATTGGCATCAGTAGACGTACTATCTTGCACGAGAAGATCTTTCCGGTTGATCTAGAGGCAATGGCTAGAGCAAGGCGCGCGATACTGTGATGAGGAGCTCCTAATCGACATGCTCGCTGTCGAGCAAAGCAAGAAATGTGAACAATTGACGAGAAAAATGATTGAATAAATCAATGCCCTCCTGGAACTGTTGCGTGATGTCTGGTTTGGAGTCTCTGTCAAGTCTGCCTCGTCGGTGTTGAGCAGTCATTTTCTCTCTCCATTCCGTCTCAGAACTCATACAAAATACTTAAGTCTCTGAATATGTATCCATTTCTTCCACGCCTGGATGCTCTCGAGGACATCGAAGCTAGCAGATTCGATTCAGAGTCATTCCCTATAACTCGCTACTAGTAACTCACACGTCGTGCCATCAACCATACTGCACCGATGTGAAAGCAGAAACCCGAATCACTGCCACACTAGGTGTCACTCACATAGTAAAAGGATCTACCACGCCGGTGAGTCATGTGGTTAACCCCAGGACGCAAACTACTCATACTCACGCATTTATGTTTCCTAGAGCAGCCTTTGCAGTCTCTACGATGCAAGCACAATAAAGGACATTTTTCACTTTCAGGGTCACCGGCAGGTATTGATGCTGCAGACATTGATGCTGTCAAAGCCGCAGCAACGGCAAGGAAAAAGGAAAAACGCATTATTTGTGAGAATGTGATGTGGGATCAAATAAATCTGAAGGGGACAGTAGGAAGACGGCTTGCTTTTATGTGCTGAATATAGTTCTTCATGGCGATGTAGGAAGAACCTATCCACCCTTTCGGACAGTGATATCTGCAATGCCAGCAGACTACCACCTAAGATCTTGATGAGAACTCGCCGGTGTGCGAAACTAATGATAATTGTAAAATTCGCTCGTGAACCGATAAACATTCTCGACACTGGGACGACGTCAAGAAAAGAAGAAAAGAAGTGTGAAATACTATCAGTTACCTCAAGTTCGGACACCCAGTGGTTCGGATAGTCACACAATGTAGTAACGCCATGTCACTGACTCGCCGAGTGACAAGTAGCTGCTCTGTCACACCTCAATGTTCAGGTTTCACCAGTACTTACTGCTTAGTGTTCGCGGATCGAGCAAGAACACTCTGGAGTTCGATTAAAAGACGCAGGGACACTAATTGAGTGCTTACATGACAAAGCTGGGGTTCGGAAATATTTGCACCCCTATGATCGAACCTCGAAGGTAAGCCAGTTTTTTTTCCTTGACAAAGGTTTGTTTGTCCCGCAGGTCCTTCATGACAGATTCCCTGGTCGATGTTACGTCTAGGGGCGCCACCATTTCGTTCAGCAATGTCGCGCCCACATCGACAAAGACCTTGCTGCATTGGCTGAGTCCATGCGCGTCCTTCGCTCTCGCAGGAATGGTCTAGCAGGTATATCTTGCCTCCCACCCGAGATTCTCGCGAATGTCTTTAAGCATTTCGCAGAAAAGAAGTCTGATAAGAGCACATCCCACGCTCCTACCTGTCTGATAGTCACACACCTCTGCAGGCACTGGCGCCAAGTCGCCCTCGAGTGCCCGGCTCTCTGGTCATCTATATCTATCAGTTCTGTCTCCCTTCCTTGGATACCTGTCATGCTTGAGAGGTCGAAGAACGTTGCTTTGGTCATCACATACAATACACTAGTCACGCTACGACATCACTTGGAGCAAGTTCTTTCACAGCTACCTCGTATCAAAGTCCTCCATCTTTGCTCATATACATCGGAATTCGATCGCGTTATTGACTTGCTATCGTTGCAGCCCGCACCATTGCTTTAAGTATTCAAATTCTCGGTCTTAGGGGTCAAAGGCCTTGACCAAAGCAGGTTCTTACCAGACACCATCTTTCAAGGCCAAGCACTTCAACTTCGGAACGTTGAGCTTACCATGTGTAGTTTGAGTCCTTCATTGTGTAATTTCCACGGACTTGAACTCGCTCCCTATCATACTCTCCAGCCCCTGGCAGCCTTCCCTAGCTTGGGGCAGCTCACGCTCGAGAAGCTGCGCATAGTTTCCCAGGAAACCAAGTCATTGGAAAAAGTGTTCACTCCCTCGATTGAAAGTATATCGCTAAATGTCACCCCAATCAAAACTGCTGTGTCTCTCTTTACACATCTAGCCCTTCCCGTCGATGTCAAGATCGGCCTAAACCTCACGCAAATTCAAGGACCTCAATGCTTTTCTGATTTATTTTCGGCCATGGACAAGGATCCTAATAGACCAGAAGGATTGGGACCCATCATTCGGACCCTGCACGCCACCATTTCGCAACGTGCTTTTGGTGCCCAGTCTAGCACATCGATTGCGCTCAAATCTGAAAATTTCCAGAACCCTTGTGACGATGATACACGACTCTTAATCCAATTCACATGCGACGGACACGTTGACGAAACCATCATATTCGACATGTGTCGGATCGTCACACAGGGCAGGATTCAAATTTTGAGTCTTGCGTCAGCCCTGAGTCTATGTCCCAAAATATTTCTGGCGTGCTGGGTCTGCCAACCTTCCAGAGCTCAAAGTTGCCAATCTGAACATGCGCTCCATCGGAGGCTTAATCGCTGCACTTCAGATCGAAGGTACGGGGAGCTCGGATATAGCATATCCTTCTCTCAGTATTTTAAAAGCTTGAGGGCGTCAACTTCCGGAATAACGAATTTGAAGACCTCCAGGACATGATCAAAATGCGACACAATAATGATGTTCGTATAGACGAACTCCGGCTCGCGAACGCTCGGTGAGGTGCAGTTCCTTGAGGAAGTGGTTGACATCAATTGGGATGGATATGCAGAGACCTTGGGAATTGATCTCGAATGCATGGCAGATGATGATCTTTATGATTCAGATGACTCAGATGAGCACATGGAGGACTTTATTTTTTATTGTTTCGTGACGTTCATATTTTAGAGTACTGTCGAATGTACTTTCACTAGAGGTATCAGATAGGTTTCTGCCTCGCGGGGACTCAGGGTCGTCGTTGGACTTGCAAGTTGGAGGCCTGTATATTATGGGTACACCTTGAATGTCACACTGCAAGGTTGACGTCTGGCAGACCCAAGACGAAGAAGTGCCACGGCTCTTTTGGATAATGAAGACTGTCGCTGCTCTGTATGCGTTATTGCTGTGCTAACTCAGTAAAAATTGCACACTTTTGGCATTAACATCGTTGGGAATAGTTACCCTCCAAGAAATTGCAGATGGGAAGTTGGATATGTGCACGAAGGGAACGACAGGCCTGAACAAGGTTAATGCGCTCATTGCTATAGGGAGTGAGAGATGAGGTGTAATAGAGGTTTGGGAGAAACGGAGTTCTGAGTCGACGTCGGATGATTAATGGTATGAATACGTAAAGCGATGTATGAGATATGATATGTCACGTCTCGCGCTTTTCGTCACGTTCGCGTTCAAGCTGCTCGATCCTACGGAGATGATTATCCCTTTGAGCTTTCATCCTATCAAGATACTCCTCGTCGGAAATTTTATGACCCAACATGGCAAATATCTGGTCTGTGAGTGATTTGGGTAGTTCTGGGGTGGTGACGGGTAAGGAGGGAGGGCGATATTCTGTCGGAGCGGGCGTTGCGGGGATGGTAGGTACAGGCGGTGTATGCGCCACTCGGGAGATGTGAGTTATCCTCAGAATATCGAACTCGTTGAATGCCCATTGTAAGAGCCCGCACATCACTGCGCCCGTCACTAGGCCAGGGACAGTTCCTGATCTTCCACCTATAACCGAATGTAGAATTAGTGACAAGTACAAGAGAGTAGCTCACGTTTCCATGTGTTAAGGACGCCACCAGCCAACGCTCCGCTGATGCTGGAGTCGAGTACTTTACGAGAGCGGAGGTCACCCCACGTTAATCGGGATACATCGGCAGGAGCCCCTTCTTTGGCTTCCTTTAGTCTCTGTCTGCGTAGTTCGTACTGTTTTCCTGGCATTGACAGGACGAGTGCGGGGCCGATGAGGTACTCTCGTATGCCTGTACGAGTCAGTTAATTCTGTTGGGTAGCTGAGAAAATGCGTATCATACTGAAGAATGTTGCAGATGCGATGCCGCTATTCATGGCCGAAAATAAGAATAGAGGTCCGGGTGGTTGTGACTTGAGGACGCCATATAACCCTGCAGTAAGACCACAGACAGTAGCTGATGAAGACGGTAGTCAGTTTTGTTAATTCGAGAATGACCACAACGGAAGACGGACTCGCATGTTAGGAGTACGCCTGTGGCTACCGTCTGTGGGGCTGAAGGATCCATTTGCAATAACTTGAACAAGTTTGTGTTGCAGAGCAAGATCTAGCAAGCTGAAATTTCCGTAAAGCGGTTGTGACCCCCTCTACGGGGGTGAGTTTATCAATAACTTAGCATTAGCAAGTGCACCAAGGTTCGAACGTTCAAGGTGTCTTTGTACGACAATGTTCAAACGTACGGCTGCTCAAGCATGGAGAGCTCGTCGTCTGCATTCACAGGCGGGACAAGCAGCAAGAGCACGACCAGTTCGGTCTGCAGTCGTAGCTTCTTCTGCAGCTGCTACCGCGGGCCTACTCTGGTATTCATTGAGTACTACCATCCACAACGACGCTATTATAACACCGAAGCTAGGAGATACATCTCAGCCCGTACGGAAGGCTTCTACGCCCAGTACTGGAATCACTGAGGATGACGGGAGTATATGTGCAGTCGTGTGGGGTTCCAACCAGTGAGTTGCTGAAATTTATGTTCCCTGCATGGCATGCTCATGTTTAGGTATGACATTATCAACCCAAACGAACCCGGAGTCCAACGGGTACAGTACCCCGTAAATGCCAGCTGGCTTAAAGATGTTGCACTGCGTGACTTGGCACTTCATGAGCGACATGCTGCATGTGTAGATGCAAGGGGAGATGTATACCAGTGGGGTGACGGATTCTTTGGCTCGAGTCCCACATCAAAATCAGAGCCGCAGGCACCGAAGTTGACATTGCGTGGAAAGGTAATATGATTTATCCTCCAAGAAAGCATTGCCACTCAGTACATGTATTATTTAGAACATCATCCGGCTTCAGCTCACCGAATCTCGAGTATATGCTCTATCGGCCTCGGGAACAATATATGTCTTCGCGGCTAATGCAGAACAACAAAAACTCCCCACTGCGAAGCCAACTCCTGCCAGTACGTCATGGTGGGGGCCCGGCTGGATATGGGGAGAGGAAGGAAATACCGTTGACTTTACGGAGATTCTACCCAAGAAGAAACTCGCTTGGGGCGAACAGTCTGTATCAATCTGCCGTTCTGTCGTCCGAGACCATGTGCTCATGCCGACCTAGGTTCGTATCCATTTCAGCGGGCAGAAACCACCTCTTGGCATTGACATCTTCTGGTCGGACATACACTCATCCCATGAACAAAAACGCAAACACACACGGCCAGCTTGGTCTACGGAAGTTTGACATTCCTGCTCCCTCAAGTTCTACCGACATCGTCTCTCCGCCTCGCGTTCCCGTCGAGCTTATTCCAAAAGCAATGGCTGACCCGTTCGCTACAGCTTCTCCTTTCTCGCGTCCCCCGGTGTCATCTGTGTCGCCTGCCACATCCATCAACATTGATGGAATAGATGACCAGCACATCAGATTTTCAGATTCCCTCTTTGAGATACCTTCCCTTAAAGGCATCAAGGTCTCTCAAATTGCAGCTGGAGGTCGTAGCAGCTTTGTGATGACAGAAGAAGGTAGGGTGCTTGGCTGGGGAGCGAATGAGTTTGGGTAAATATACCTTTAACACCTGAAAATCCGGTCACTCACACTTGTTCCAGCCAGATCGGACTGGGTGGCAACATGACTCTTGACACAATTATCTTACCGACAGAGGTAGTTCTATCGAGGAACGTACCCAGTTCTGTCCGCACAAGATGCATTGACATCGCTGCAGGCGAGCGAGAATACTAGGTCTTTTGCTGTCGATAACTAATTCAGTGCAGGTGGTGATTTGACATGTTTCGTCGCCGAACGAACAGATGGCGAATCCCTCGCCTATGTTGACCTTCTGACCTGTGGTAATGGGCAGTGGGGAGGACTAGGGAACAACCTATTCTCGAACGCTCAAGGGAACCCTGTCCGCGCAAAGAACGTTAGCGGTCTCCGTGAATGTCAGTACACCATTATCACAACCTTATGTGCGCTTATAAGCCCCTCGCAGACAACGAAGACAGTCGATCCATGTCCCCGATCCTTCCTCACGCTATCTCGGTCTCACCTACCGGTCATGTTCTGATGACTTTGGATACGCAAGCTCATGGGGGGCCGGGTGGCTCAGGACGAGATCTAGTCGCCTGGGGAACAAACCACGACTATCAGCTTGGGACTGGTAAAAGAAGTAGTCTTCCTGTGCCCACGACCTTGGAACATCCTGAAGGCGGTCGATTTATCCTGGGTCGACGAAAAGCTCCGGTGAGGGACCTTAATGGTAAGGTATGGGGGAAGAAAGTCGAGGTCGAGCAGCGTGCAGTTGCGGGGTACGGTAACAGCATTGTGTATTGGAAGATCAAGTAAGTAGTGGAGGGTGCAGGAACGTATTATAGATACTAAGTACTAGACACCTTTTGCACGTGAGTTTCACATGACCGCGACGCGGCTGTGGCGTACTATAGCTCTGAACCACCATCACGCGATGGCGAGGGACCTTCAATCAAAAGACCCTCAGCTACAAGAATGCATGTGCGCGAACGATATCATCCCATGTTTCACGTGAATTGATGGCCTACTCTTGAACCATCCAATGCAGCAAATTAATCCGGGAAATGACAAGTATCATTGATCCCGCAGATGACTACCTCACAATAACCGCGGCAGAAGAACAAATGAAGATAAATTATTCTCGAGGAAAAAAAGATAACGAAGAGGCGTATGCAGATTTGAAAGGTGAATGACTATCTCTGCTTCATGGTTTGCTAGTGATCACCTTCATCCTATTTCCAAGCCTTGTCTCGCGTTTTGGAGGCCGCCAGGAAATCTTCAATGCGACCGCCCAATGTGCCCTCTCTGGAACAGCACTCCTCCCATCTGAACGAGCTCGATGCATCTAGGCTGTCCCTGGCTAAGGCTATCCGCGACGCTGAGGGCTCATTAGCGAGCAAAGAGGCTGAACTGGCGGCGCTGAAAGCGCAGGCGCGTTCATTGGAGGAGTCGGACCCCGCCAAGGATCACCAGATTCAGTTAGATGGCTCTGCGTGAGTGCAATGCTGCACAATGATAAGAGTTGGATCGACTATGCTGCTTCTTTAGATTGCGCTTGAAGATCTACAAAGGGTTGGGATTCGAACCTGTCCTTGAAAAGGACGGGCGAGCAACCAATATGCTTGTTAGTGAGTGTCTAAATTTGAGCTGTCCCTTGTGAGTGTGCTCTAATATCTGGTCCAGCTAGCGAATCTGGCGACATCCACTCTTTCCCGTCCGATGGAAGTAAATCGGATTTTGATGACGCCGGTCAGCTTTGGAGGTTGGGAACTTCATGATAAAAATCTTGCGAAGTATGATCACATCTGTACCACACATGTTGTCATAGGCATGTACGTATCTGCTCTTTCAAGACTTTAATAATGTATCTTCCCAATGTCGAGTCTTAATATTTTGATACCAATGAAGTGCCGTTTTATCTGTGGTTGTCTTAGACCTTATGACCATCAACCAGTTCGATTCCTAGGGTATTTTTACACAGAAAAAGTCTTTGGTTATATGTTGTTGACGCTGCAGAGCGCTGGCCTGCAGGTCTCGGATCACCTTAATCGACCATGAGGTAGAAGGTGCCATATGCTTCCTCCCGAAAGCGACGTAATCAAAACCATGAACACTTGAAATGGCGGTTCAGGTATCAAGAGGGAGAAGACGATTAAAGTTGCTGATACCCCTCGCTGACAACCCATATTCTCTTCTCCTTGGACTTCTCCGCCACTTCCCGTACCTTTGCTTCAATGGCATTCTTCTTCACCTTGTGCGCACGAAGCTCCTGATGAATGCTTTCTACGATAAATGTGAGATTTGCCGTCGCTAAAGTCGTGATCTTGCTGACGAGCAGGGGAACGTGAGCATCGGGGAACATGGTCTTCGGCGTGGACGTTGTGGTAGCTCGCTTATTCGCTGGAGTTTGAGCGGTAGTTGCTGACGACTCCACAACGCTGTTATTCACTGATAGCCGATTGGGTAGCGAGGGAACCGCGAACTTGGACTCAGGATTTGGTTGCTGGCTTTCTTCGCCAGTCCTTGAGACGAAGGTGAAGGGGTCGATCGAGTATGGTGTGTCTATGACAGATAGATCAGAAAATGTTCAGAACCTCGTGAAGAACGTACCATTAAAGAGTTGTATACGGTATGGTTTGAAAGGATCGTATTCGCATTGACCTATGACCGACTCCCACAGAGGCCCTTTGGTATAGGGTACGAGAGGGACGACGACCTTCCGCTTCTTTTCAGGCTGCTTGCGAAGATCCTCTGCTTTCCTCTTGGGAGGGGGAAGGGGTATATCCAAGAGTGAAGGTGATAGGTCCCGGTCATCCGGAATGCATTCTTCAATTTCATCGTCATCATCCACTAGCCAGCTCTCTAGATCAGAATCACCCTCCTCGCCTTCACCCTCCTCATCCTCATCATCGTCAACGTTGTCTGCATCGGCCGCGCCTTCATCTTCCCACTCCTCTCCGGAATCGTACCCATAATCTCGAGCAAGCAAATCACGAGCGAAAGGTGCTCTGGGACCAATGATGCGCGAATTCTTTGTCCAGGAACCGTAGTAGCCAGGACGTGCATCCTCATGGAAAATTAAAACCTTCGCTGGAAGCTCCTTCCTGTCCCAAAGAATGTTCGACAAGTAGCGAACTTGAGAGGTATCCCCAGCTATCTCAGCATCGTTGAGCTGGGAATATATATCTTTCGCGTTACATGCGCTGAAAGATTTGAAGGAGGATTTCGATCGGTCACGGGGCTGCGTCAGCCGAAGAGGTCGCAACGATCGTACGATATCCTGGAGACGTTCTGTGTATAACATCAACGACATGCGCTGGAGTGCTTCAATGCACGCACCTTGTGCATTAGCTTCAGCAAGATTGAATGTTGGTGTGCTATATATGGATGTATTAATGCTATCCGTCTCTGAGGCTTGGTTATCATCAATGACGATAGCATCTGCATGGCTGAAACCCGACGTCTGCTTCTTCCAATGTTGTTTGCTAGGCATTAAGAACCGGTTGATCGGCGCCATTTCTGCGTCTTTCTTCAAGACAAAAGGCTTAAACGTCTTCAGAAAATCCGATTCGCTAGTGGACCCGCAGACGGGTTTGCCACCTTTTGAAGGTGACTCACGCGGAGGCGCCTTCGCCTTGCCGAAGAAGTTAGCCATGAGAGACCGGGATTTGTTCTGCGTCTCCTTCTGCTTCTTGTCTTTTTCAGCCTTGGCGGCTTTCTTCTCTTCCTTCTCTTTAGCCTACAATCACAACATCAACCAAAGAAGATTGGTATGTAAGACTAGCGTACCTTCGCGGCCTTCTCCGGATCTGCAGCTTTGCGTTGTCGAGCTTTCGGAGTTACGTTCGCTGACTACGCGAATTTGTTAATGAAGCAGTGACATGGCCAAGGGAGAGAAGAACATACATCAATGTTTTCAGGTTCGTTGGGGCTGACACTTGGATCGCGCTGGGATGACGAGTCCTTGATCTCTGCTGCATCGACCTGTTCGGTGGGTGTATTGCTCGGTAGACTGGGCTTATTGGTGTCTTTAGTAGGGAGCTTGTTGGTACCTTTCGGATCGAGGATAGCATCTCGTTCGTCCTGCGGTAGACTTTCGAAGACTGCGGTAAGGTCTATCTTGGCCTGAAAGAGAGATGTTGTAGGAGAAATTTGGATTTAGGACAATACACACCTGAACACGTTCAGCCATCCTGGTCTCGGCTTTCTCCTTGGCAGACTTGGGTAGCCAATCCCGATAGTTGTCTCTGACTTCCCATCGCCAGGCGCACACAATAGAAGGGATTTTGTAGCCCAGGGGCCCTTCCAAGCCATAATTTGTCCTGACCATGAGTAACTGAATGGCATGCTCCACCACAAGAAGCGGTAGGGCGACTGATATGCTTTCGCGGCGAGAGTCGTCGTCCTCATCGAAAGATGGGAGAAGTTCGGAGCGAATATACTTCGCAAGCGGAGCGACTCCCTTATCACTTCAGATATAGAATTGAGTAACGACCTACGTGGGTTAGTATATTACAAACTCACCTCTCTTGCGCAAGCTTTACTATCAACGGTTTATGCTCGTCCGGAATGACAGTAAGCGGGGGGTCCTGCCTTTCAATTCGTTCCTCTATCATCTCGCGGAACTTAACGATTTCTATGGAACAGAGGTGTTGGATTTGACACTTGCAAAACGGGAGGAGGGCATACCTTGCATCGCCTCGGACGACTTCTCAAACGATATGGGCTTTTGCTTGAAGATAACTTTGCCATTTTTCAATTCAGCAAGAGGTTTCTTTGGTGCTGTATAACAGAAAGACGCGTCTCAGTGAGTACATCCGGGATAAATGCAGGTCGTCTGTGCTCACCAGTAGATGTCGATGCGCTGGCAGAATCTAAGGGCGCTGTCAGCTAAAAGATAGATTATTTGTACGTAAGACATACCTTTTTTCTCTGTATCTGCCATTCGTGTTAAACGATTAGAAGTGAGAAGTAGCTGGAAGAAAAGCGCGTTCTGCAAAGTCGCGTCGGGATGGATCGTGGATGTGGGAAACAAAACATTGCCGAGACGTGTTTGTGACGTGACAGTCACGCGTTTCGGACGCGTTTCATCCTGTGGCCTTCACGCGTGCTCATTGTTCTCCAAAGCTTAGATGTCATTTTTTCAAGCAAAGTCCACCTCAACGGCCCCGAAACATTCGGTGGACCCAGCACATCAACCATGGGTAGAAAAGTAGTAAGTTTATTGTCTTTACTTCACAAGACGGCTTCTCTGATTACATGCAGTCGACCAAAGACCATAGATGACATATCAGCACAAGAGCATACAGTTGCAGTGCTGCGGAAAACACTGGGTTCCACGAATGTATGTAAACCCTTCTCAGTTACGGTTTGGTTCGTCCTCATGTCAAATAGCTTCCTCACATGCTATTTTATGGACCCCCCGGAACCGGTAAAACATCCACTATTCTTGCACTTGCAAGACAACTATTTGGGTGCGGCTGATGACAATTTGACTCGCGTAAACTCATTGCTCTGCTAGACCCGATAACTTTCGAAATCGAGTCTTAGAGCTGAATGCCTCAGATGAGAGAGGCATATCTATTGTCAGAGAGAAAATTAAGTCTTTCGCCCGCCAGACCCCCCGAGCACAGGCAGTAGCATCAGATGGGAATGTATATCCCTGTCCGCCATACAAAATAATCATCCTCGACGAAGCAGATTCCATGACACAAGATGCGCAAGGTGCACTACGACGGATAATGGAGACCTACGCTAGAATAACTCGCTTCTGTCTCGTTTGTAATTATGTGACAAGGTAAAAACACTCCTGTTTCTCTTTGCAGTTCACTGACTCCTACAAGAATCATCGAACCTCTCGCGTCTCGGTGTTCTAAATTCCGTTTCACGCCTCTTGACTCGACATCTACTTCATCCCGACTGTCTCACATTGCGAGTGCAGAAAATATTGACGTTAGTCCCGAGGTCATTTCGATCCTGATCGAAACATCAGGTGGTGATCTCCGTCGATCCATCACATATCTGCAATCTGCGTCTCGATTATCTTCCTCCACCAACCCTCCAGTGCCAATAACGCCTCACGACATCCAGGAGATAGCAGGTGTTGTACCAACGGCTGTGATAAATGGTTTTGTGAAGACTCTCGGCGTTTCCGTCGCTGAGGACATGGATGTAAATGACTTGTCCGCAAACGGGAAGCTGAAGGGCTTCGATGCCATCCAGAAAAGGGTCAAGGGGATCATGCGAGAAGGATACTCAGCATCACAAATACTCTCGCAGGTTAGTTATCTATCGAAGCGGCTAAACCTGTCTGATATCGTTGTAGCTTCATGACACTATCATTCTACACCCGACACTGCCTGCACGACAAAAAGCAAAGTGCGCTCTCGCCTTTGCAGAAGCCGATAAGGCTCTTTGTGATGGAGCTGATGAAGAACTATGGGTTCTCGAGGTTGGGCTTTGTGTCCATAAAGCAGTTACCACAGCATGACGTTCTGGTCACATCCATACGACATTGACCATGTAATTAACCCATGCTAGACATGATACAGTGTGAAAGCAAAGAGAAATGCATTGCGCATACAACGCCAGATTTTGGTATGCAAAACAGGAAGAATAACAGACACAACATCATAGACATACTACGTTGCTCTATTTCGCATATTACGCATCAAAAATGATTATCGTTCACCGGATACCAGCAGTTGCCTTTTGGAGCGCGCGCTTAATGGAAAGCTGCGACTTCCTCAACTCATCTGCTGTCGAGTCCTCAATCTCGAGCTTTTCGAGTGCACGGGCAAGCTCAGTCTCGACCTGGGACTTCGCTCCACGCTTGAGCTTCATACCGATCTCAGGCGAGGTGATTGTGCCCTCGACCTGGTGGATGTAAGCCTCGAGGTCGGATTTGGCCTCGTGACGTGAAGAGAACTCCTTGTCAGCCTGCTTGAATTGCTCAGCGTCCTTGATCATCTGGTCAATCTCGGCCGACGATAGACGACCAACGGAGTTGGTGATGCCTGAAGCAAGGTGTTAGTGGCAGAAAAAAAACAAGTACAGTTACTGACTGATAGATGCCTTGCGACCAGAAGCACGGTCTTGTGCGGAGACCTTGAGGAGACCGTTGGCATCAACCTCGAAGGTGGTAACTAGCTCGGCCTGTCCACGAGGCATGGGAGGAATACCATTCAACTCGAATTCACCGAGCAGACGGTTATCACGGCACTGAGTACGTTCACCCTCGTACCTAGAGGTCGAAACGTCAGCTGAATGGTTAGGATATAGATGTGTGCTCCTTACACAGGGAAAGTGACAGTCGTCTGGTTGTCCTCGACAGTCGTGAATGTCCGCGACTTGTTGGTGGGGATGGGAGTGTTACGGGGAACGACAACACCGAAGACATCACCCTGCATAGCAACACCAAGCGAAAGAGGAGCCACGTCAAGAAGAAGAAGGTCCTGGGTCTTTTCCGAGGTCTGACCGGTGAGAACAGCAGCCTGGACAGCAGCACCATATGCAACAGCCTCGTCAGGGTTGATCGACTTGTTCAGCTGGCGCCCACCAAAGTACTCCGACACGAGAGATTGGATCTTGGGGATACGAGTTGATCCACCAACAAGGACGATATCGTCGACCTTGTCACGAGGCATCTTGGCATCCTTGAGCACCTTCTCGACGGGCTCGATGGTCGACTTGAACATAGCAGCATTGATCTCCTCGAATCGGGCACGAGTGATGTTAGCGGAGAAGTCCTCGCCCTACGTGCGGATGCATCAGATAAATTTTAGCTTTAGAGACCAAGCGTAATATGCTAACCTGGAACAGCGAGTCAACCTCGACGGTGGTCTGGGTGACACTCGAGAGGGTGCGCTTAGCACGCTCGCAGGCACTTCTAAGCCGTCTGAGTGCACGAGGATCCTCAGAGATATCGTGTTTCGTCTTCCTCTTGAACTCATTCTTGAAGTGTTCCAAGAGGGTGTTATCGAAATCCTCACCACCCAAATGAGTGTCGCCTGCAGTGGCCTTCACTGCGAAGACACCACCGCTGATGTTGAGCAACGAAACATCGAAAGTTCCTCCACCAAGATCGAAGATCAAAACGTTCTTCTCCGCTTTCGATTGACGATCCAAACCGTACGCGATGGCAGCGGCAGTGGGCTCGTTAATGATACGGAGGACGTCAAGACCAGAAATGGTACCGGCATCTTTGGTTGCCAGACGTTGCGAATCGTTAAAGTAGGCGGGAACGCTGTTCATTTGCGTCGGATCGAATTTGCATGTGGTACAAAAAGAATAGCTCACGTGACGACAGCCTTGGTGACAGTCTTGCCGAGTTTTGCCTCCGAGATCTCCTTCATTTTAGTGAGGACCATTGATGAGATCTCTTGGGGGCTGAAAAGCTTCTCCTCGCCAAGGTAGTTGACCTTGATCAGAGGCGAACCATCCTTTTCTACGACCTCGAAGGGCCAGTGAGTCATGTCCTGGAGTGACTTTTAGCATCTAATTTCCGTAATGCAACATCATACTGACTTTCTTGACGTCGGGATCACTGAATTGTTATGATATGTTATCAGGTCTACTGAAGGATACTTGATGAGATACTCACTCATAACGACGGCCGATGAGACGCTTAGCATCAAAGACTGTGTTACGGGGGTTCATAGCAGCCTGATTTTTTGCAGCATCACCGATTAGACGCTCCTCCACAGAAAATGCGACATATGAAGGAGTTGTCCGGTTACCCTCTGCGGGATACACTCAGATACACGTGCGACTTCGTCGTACAGTACAGAAACTCACGATCATTGGCAATGATTTCAACTCGATCATTTTGCCAGACACCCACACACCTAAGATACGAGGTTAGTATGATGATGACGATGGATTGTGGTGCTCACGAGTAGGTGGTACCAAGATCGATGCCAATGGCGCCGTCGAATATGTCTTCCATTTTTTAAAGAGGTAAAAAGAAAGGTGAGCCGGATGGTGGTGAAGGTCAGAAGAGCTAATCGAAAAAAATCGATTGCACAGCTGAAGTAAGCAAACCTACCCAGTAGTGTCAAATTTTGCACCGCCACCAACACGCCCATTCTTTGACATGTCCACCAAGGCAGGTCTGAGGCCATGGCTTTCTGCTACCAGATGTATGCGTATAAGCCAGCCTTCGGGCCCGCAACATAGAAGGAATGTGTTCACTTCCAGTGACGAATCATTTCCTTTGCAATCACCAGATGATTGGCAGTTGTTACAAGACCGCCGTATACGTTTCAAAATGCTCGGTAAGTGTTTTTCTTCATGTACGAGACTAACTTTTTGCTTATTATATCTCGTGTAGTTGATCTTTTCAGCGAGCATGGTTCCAATGTTACGCGAGATAACGCCTTTCAACCCCACCATCAGTTGCATCGACCTCTCGCTTCATCTGAAGCAACATTATCCGCACTAATAGCTGCTGGCGCGCATTTTGGACATGCTAAATCTTTGCTCAATCCAAATTTTATGCCCTACGCGTACGGTGTTCGCGCCGGCATTACGATAATTGACCTCGACTCGACACTTCCACTCTTGCGGAGGGCTGCGAACCTCACTCGCGCCGTCGTTGCAAGGGATGGCACAGTTGTCTTCGTGGGTACCCGTCCAGATCTGCGGGCTGTTGTGCGCAAAGCGGCAGAGAGGATTGGACCACAGGCTTTCCACGTTGGCGAAAGATGGCTTCCCGGCACACTTACGAACAAACTGCAACTGTTCGGGTCTGACGTCACAAAAGGGCAGCGTGTCACACCCGACCTCGTCATCTTCTTAAACCCCCTGGCAAATATCCATGCCATTCGCGAGTGCGCCATACAACATATTCCCACCATTGGCATTGTTGACTCGAACGTCGATCCTCGCGTTGTGATGTATTCCATCCCTGCGAATGACGAGAGCCCTCGAACAGCAGAGTTAATCGCGGGTGTCCTCAGCATAGCTGGAAGAGAGGGGAGGGTTTTGCGAGAGAAACAAGAACAAAACAAAGAGCTACGACTGTCCCAATACATGCGTGCTCAAGAACGAGGTTCTCCGCGATATGTTACTGACAGAGAATAGTTTTACTACGTGCGGTTTATAACGTTGTTTTGACTATGATGATTGAACCTCACTCCAGTATTCTGTATCATCCTTCAGTAACCACAACGCCATAATTTAGCAACAGACTCACTCTCAGCATCAGTCAGTGCTCGTAGATTACCCCCCAGCTTGTTAATGGTCTCTACATACTCCTCTTCTTCCACACTGTCGAAAACGATGCCTCCTCCTGCCTGCAAGTAGGCGACACCGTCCTTGAATGTCATCGTACGAATGGCAATGCATGTGTCCATTTCGTCGTCGGCGAAGTCGAAACGTCCGACGGCACCAGCATATACTCCCCTCCGTTCCCCCTCTAGTCCGGCAACTAATTCGATAGCTTTGATCTTGGGAGCTCCCGATACAGTTCCCGCAGGGAATATGGAACGGAAAGCATCGAACCTGTTACAGTGTTGGCAGTTGCAAAAAAAACACAAGCATCAGTAAAATACCTCGTGAAGCCTTCCCTCAGCATTCCCGACACTTGGGACGTCAGATGAATGACGTGACTAAATTTCTGTACCGCCATAAGATGATCGACTTTCACAGTCTCTGGCTTGCAAACCCGATTTACGTCGTTTCTGGCGAGATCAACAAGCATAATATGTTCTGCTCGGTCCTTTTCGGATGAAGAGAGCTGTTCGGCAAGCTTTACGGTCCTCTGCAACAGAAATTAAAATAGCTTGCACCGTGCAGATATTAAGACCGACCTTCTGGAGTCTTGCCTCTCTTGACCGTCCCAGCAATGGCATGGTTATAGACCTTGTTTCCTTCCACTTTACATAGAGTCTCCGGGCTGGCGCCGACTATTTGTAATTCTCCGCAATCCAGATAAAACGTGTAGGGGCTAGGGTTGACTTGGCGAAGATGTCTATATGCATTAAAGGGGTGTAGATTTGTTGGACGGGCAAGACGTTGAGATGGAACTGCTTGTATGATATCGCCAGCGACAATGTGTTCCTTGAGCTTGGTTACAAATGACTCGTAGCCTTCCTTGCCTACGTTGGACACGGCTTGGTTTCCTAAGGTAATGGGAGGCTGTGGTACTTCTGGAGTTGTTTGACTCAAAAGTGCTTTTGCTAGCCGACGAATTTTTGACTGAGCGGTCTGATATACGAATGGGAGGTTCGTGGTGCCGGCGTCTTTCGGATAGAAGACATGAGAGACAACCTTGATAGATTGGAATAGGTGATCGTATACGAGAAGGGTGTCGCAAAGCATAAACACAGACTCCGGGATTAATAAAGGGTCGCTGAGATCCCGCGCAGTCTTGGGCTCGAAGTAGTGTATACAGTCATAGGACACATATCCGATGGCGCCTCCGGTGAAGGTTGGAATTTCGGGTATTTTTATATATTGGTGAACGGCGAGCTCTCGTTGTAGAGCAGAAAGTGGATCTCCCTGAATCTCCTCGTTCGGGCCAGTCTTAATGACCTTCAGTGGATCTAACGCGCGTCAATTAGCATTGAAAGAGAACACAACCTTGTGGACAACCTACCTGCGCCGACGAAACTGTATCTGGCGATGTTCTCCCCCGCAATGACTGACTCTAGCAGGAAGCTGTACTTGGAGTCTTTGGCTATTCGGAGATATGCCATGCATGGTGTGATGAGATCTGCAGGAAGCTGAATGAATATTGGGACACAGTTGCCTCGCTTCTCGCGGATGATGAGTTGCTCCACAGTAGCCAGCGATGGATACGCTGTACATTTCTGCAAGTAAAAACATTAGCATCTAAGCCTCGTATAATGGCAAGAGAAAATTACTTGAGGGTCCATTTGAGCTATGATGACAACATGCACGGTCAGCTTGAGGTATAAGTATGTAAATTACTTACTGCTTCGGTGCAGATGACTCTTGGATGACTCCGACGTAAGTACTAGCGATTTGAAACTTGTTTTAAGATTTCATCTCTTTGCAGTTCAGCCACCATCTGATTAAATCCTGCGTTCAGCCATCTTTGTCGTCGTAGAGCGGCATATCACAAAATCCGACCAGTCGTTGCAACCTCATCGAGGTCCAATCAATCATCGTAACATGATAACTCCCCGGTTTTCCTGTACCCAAACTCTTGAATCAGTGGCAGTATCGATCTATTGCCCATCAGTACGAGTACGTCCGCACAGCAGTCGGCCATTCATAGCCTGCCTGATCAGCGATATCATCGAAGTAGGCTTCTGATGTGGAAATCAATGTCGATGAGACTTTGTTGACCGTTCACATAAACCCTTACTTCCTTCGTGTCAACTTTCCGCATCCGGTCGTCGAGGACGACCAATCATCTGCGACCTATGATCCAAGCAGTGGATATTTGACGGTTACACTAACTAAGGAGTCGAAGGGACAAGAGTTTCCTGACTTGGACTTACTAGCAAAGCTGCTAGCTCCTCGTCATGTCGACGACCAAAAACATCCCGTTATCGAAGTCATTGGGTCTGAGCATACCGAGCTGGAAGAACTCGTGGATTTAACTGACGCGATGTCCCTCGAACAGCGAGAAATATTGCAAGGTGCGTGCAATGTCTTTCGCACTTCAACAAACATCCTCAACCCAGTTCCAGCCGCTGAAAACGACTGGCAGTTTCCCCAGACTGTCGCAGAGTCCTCTCCTCCAATACAACTGTCCAAGAAGAGATACTACGGGTTCTTGGATATGTACACTGGGTACTTCGCCCACGTTGCTCACACAGAAAACGATGTCAATGAACTTGGGAGTGAGGCTGAAAGTTGCTTGCTCGAAGAACGACGAACGAAAAGATTGCAACGTGAAGAGATGAAATGGGACGAGGAGCATTATATGTAAGTTCATGATTACGACATCACTTCGAATACTCATTCGCTTTCTCCTGCAGGGCAGACTACGTGGATGACGAGTACATCCAAGAACTTCTTGCCTGGGAAGATCCCGAGCTCGCAGATAGCGCCCAGTGTATATTCACCGAGAGCGAGAATATGACAATGCTCAACTTGCCACGCAAAGAATGTAAGCGGTATCTTCGCTTTATCGCATCTCGACTCTGAATACATTAACAGACTTGCCGACTAAATTGCAACAGCGCAATCTGTATCTGACGCTGTTGACATTATTATTCGCATACGCCTACGACAGGCGCACAACACAGCGCGACCCCACCCCTGAAAGCGCCTGGACAATTTGCTCACTCGTACCTGCGTTCTCAGCACTGGATCCCCCTCCATACATAACTTCAGAAAGCGTTCCTCTATCTATCCCCACGTCGGGGTTCACCGACCATGACCTCGCTTCGACCTTGACGCCGTCTTATCGGCGTTCTCTTGCGTTCCCTCTTTACCGCTCTTTCGCAATGGCCGATGCTTGTCGGAAGGATGTAGCAGCTATTTTGGCCAAGGGCAGAAGAGTGGTCACACGTTACCTATTGGAGATGAAACACATTTTGGACCATCATGAAGTGTATTACGTGTATAGCAAAATCTGGGTTGATGATTTCTGTGTTTGGATCCAAGCATCTGCTAAGTGCGGCGTCATTCTAATCCTCCGATCTAAATATTGATATGCTTTCCCTTCTGCAGCGACGAGATAATGTTAGACATCGCGGAGCGATTGAAAGCTTTGACCATTACGAAATCGATGATCAGCTGGGACATCGAGAATCTAGAAGCTGCAACGCATCTGGACACGACCACCTCCGACAGTGACGACGAGTCCTCCGAATGACCTTATGTGGAGTGCATCTCCCCGAGCCGTGGCACGCTACCTTGTAAGCATAATATATGTACTTAGCATCCTCCATTAGGTTCATTTCGTCACGTAAAAGACTTTAGTAGCTAAGGATGACCTGGCACGGTATGGATGCTCTGTCTCGCTGGCGGTTGAACACGAATTGCGACTTTCGGACCCGCGATATCCGCCAATTCAGAAGATGGTGAACACATGCATTATTCATTCAATTCAATTGTGCAACCTTGTAAAATAACCTTTCGGCAATAAGATCGACGGGAAGCTAAATAACTGGCAAATCTATCGGAATGATTTTACCACTCGGACTCATGTAATAAGCCTGTAAACTTAAGCTTAGGCTAAGTATATACTTAGTCTCCAACTTACTAGCTCATTTTGCACATGGGCCGCCTTCTCCGCATGCACGTAGTTGGCATGTAGTGATCAGAGCCTCTTTGAATCAATAATAAAGTTTGCCAAGGTATAGTAGTACTAGTCCGACACTCGAGTCTGTTCGCGCCCGTATCTTCGATCAAGAAGCCTTGACTCCAGCGCACTTATAGTTTAACGATCTGCCTCGTGTCGGCGGAAGAACCTCTCGAAGCCAACCTATATCCAGTGTACAAGGTCCATCCTCTCACTGATATTACAGAAGATAGGAAGAGTGGACGTGCAAATTGCCGAAATTCGCCGCTTGGTTCTCGGTATGAAATCTCTTTCCATTCGCCACGACTTCAGATAGAATTATCAAAGGTCGCTTATTTGGGCCTTGACGGTGTAGTTATGGTCTCTGCCATCCAAAAGAGCGCAGCATGCATCTGTTCCGTGTTAAGCATATGGTACTAGAGTTTGTTCACATGCGGCCCCGTGAACGGCGTCTTGAATAAACGGCGGTATGCATCATTGTGATACCCATCAGGTACATGTCCATAGATCAATGTATCATATGTAAGTATCGTCTAGATGGACTCTCAATCTTCAGCTATGGAGACACCTTGTGCGTGAACTCTGATAGTCCTTCGGCAAAACATCGTAACCACTTTGACCAAGGTCAACAGGCAGAGCAGCCGTATCATCCAGATGCTGTGATGCAAGCAAGGCTTCCCCTTCTTCTGCTTCGCCACCCACCGCCTCCTCTAGGACTGAGGGCTGGTGGAGGAAAGGGGGAGGGCTAACCAAACCATTGAAAAGGAACTAAAAGACCACATTAGACGAAAACTACCATCAGAACGTCGGGTGAAGACGTACCGTGCCATATCTGTATAGAATATGAAAGACTCGTGAGCGCCACATAATAACCGTATTAAGAGCTTCCTTACACTAAGAAGGAGAATCCCAGTACTTGCAGCAATGAAATGGGGAAAAGAAGCTTCTCCCAGCCTAGTCCAAGACTGACTAGCCAGATCGAGAGTGTTCTGCAGGTGTCGGTCAAGCTCCTCGCCGTGGCACTTACATGCCTAGTGACGCTCAATCCGAAGTAGTTAAACAACGAGATACTAATCGCGATGGCGATCCCTGACCGAAAGACGCTTGGCGTGTTCACTAATTGGTACCAACCCCTAGGAAGGTCAAAGAAAGGCGAGCTAGAAGCGACTGACGGCATAGCCAGAATGGGCATGCACAGGATGATGGTGAGAGCTCCGAATAGACCTTCGTAGCCCACAGCAACCAAAGGCGCTACAGAGTAACGAGCCATGATCTTCTCTTCCACAACAAACTGTGTTGCCGTACTTGATGCCAGTTATTCTTAGTTCTGAAAGTAAGGAATGATTAAATACTTACAATACCTGGGCAAACAGAATGAAGAAAACGCCTAATTACGATTAGTATAAACTCCCATAGATAGTAATAGGATGGCTGACCAACGAGGACTTTCGTGACTTCAGGCTCTCCGACGGGTACCGGCGCTGACGGGTCGGTATTGAACATATGCAATGTGGAGTTCGCGACGTCTTTGATAAGCGACCCGCTGTACCCTACCAGCGAAATACCAGCCATAACTGTCAAGAGAGAGACCCATCTATGTAGCTTTTAGCGCTGAGGAACTGAAGAACCACCGGGGACGTACTGATAGAGCCATAAACGACGGTTTAAGAAGATGACGCTAAGGACGCCCACAAAAAGAACGAGAGCTCCACGGGTCATCTGATAAATGGAAACCGGGGTGTAGAGGAGACCGACATTCATAAGCTGTTGACAACCATTACGGATGAATAGAACTTGTTGTCAGCACAATTGATCATGGGGACGACTTTAACAAAGGAATCGCAAGGTGAAATAGAAAGAAAAGAAGAGGGACGGACCGTTGTTCCGGTAAGATCGCAAGCAGCGGGAAACCATAAAAGAAGAACTTTCCACCCTCGTAGCTCCTCACAAGTTTCCTCAAGTTTACCAGGCGCATGCACATCTTCTTCTTCTAAATCGGACAGAAACACGGGTGCGGTCCGCTGACGTGCACGGAGCCACGTGTAAATGACAGGGAGAAAGCCTAGATTAAAAGGTGAGATATGAATAGATCAATTGCCTATTGAACAGAAACTGACAAAGCATTTCGCCGACTAGGACGGATGGTTAGCGATGCAGAACGTGGTACACAACAAACATGAAACTACGGACGGAACATTTGGAGAGTTTGCCATACAGGCTGCTCATAGAGAACGTGGCTCGCTGGGTCGGGATCGTTACAATTCTCCACGCATTGCATGTCCTACAAGGAGTTGGTTGTAAATGCCGTGTCAATTTGAACGTGAGGCCAGTGAACATGCCTGCCATTTACTCCACAAAGAATTACTCGACCCCTACAAATCATGAGCAGGTGCAGGGTTTACAAGATTTATAAGACAGACCGTAATTATCATTCCCGCAAGGAGAATTGGAATGTAGAACGACGAAGGCATGGTTAGTCGTCGTCGTCGTCGAAGCCTCTGCCAAAGAGCCAGGGTTGAGTGACAAAATATTAAACCAGGCGTGACAATTAACCGGCGTGACAATGCCATAACCGGTAATAGGAAGCCGGTAGTCCGGAGATGGACAGATCTGGATCAGAAATCGGGAGATCGTGTCGCGATGCTAGTAGCTTGCTTCTCGCTGGCTGTCATGAATATTCTGGTGCCAGTTATTGGCCAGTTATTTATCCCAGTTGCTTCTGGGCGTCTTTTCATCCTTCATCACTCTTTTCTTTCACTCTTTCCTTCACCATACAACGTCTCGTCCTCATGGTGAAGCTGACCCTCATATCCCCCAAAGGCAACAATGGTGTCCGCTTCTTTCCTTACACTGGCTACCTCGGCTTAACCTCTCTCAAGTTTGAAGGAGGTCCGTGTATTGTTCTTTGAACTAATGTCGTGCACTGATATACCTTAACTCAGTCGTCCGAACTGAAATCGAGCAGGATGGAAAACTTCTGCCTGCCAAAGATGTCACAGTATTCGTTCGATGTTACGAGTTTCGGCAAGGTCGGTTGGGCACAATACAGGCCAATATCTTGGTAGAATCCTCTGTCACATTATGGAGGAAACCAGAAGGTCAGGATTGGGCAGAGATCGGAAACGTGGAATACCCATTCCGACTTTCCATGCCACTTCATACTTCTGGTCCCAGCACAGCTCTTTACTTTCAAGAGTATCGAATATGTTGGCGAATTGAGGCCGGTATGTGCTTTCAGACGCTAAATCGATCGTGTCTTATGCCATTTAGTGGTTAATCATGCTCCCGTTCCGGGTGTTGGTTCCCGCTTGCTTAAACATTACGATCTCAATTTGATCCGCCACGACCTACCCGGGAGCGTGTCTCCTCCCTCACCAGTAACACCGCCACCAACGTCCTATCTGTCCTCCTTGAGCACCAAGTCTAGAGGACCTTCACTCCGTTATCGTATTTTACTGCCCCCTACACCTGTTGGCCCCCTCGATATCGTTTCTCTACAAGTCACTGTGCAACCACTCGATCCGGCTGTATCCATCCGCAGTGCGACTGCCGTCGTTGAAAGAAGAATACAATTCTCCGAATCCCCAATATCTCCCCCTGGTGCTTTGACCCCATCAGCCCCTACATTGTCTTCACACTCACACCCCACACCAAATCAAGAATCACACCCTCATGATCACCGCTCTGTCACAATGAACTCCGGCGACACCACATCTGCAGAGTCATCTTACAATGACCTTTCCTCGTCCTCGATATCGCATAGTGATACCAGACCTCTTCTGCCACAACGTCAATCGACCGTCCCTAGTGCCTCGCCCTTGGCGCACGCGAGCGACCGGACAGCGACGCACATTTTTGCTCATCTTGAATCTTCCCATCGCTTCACTCGGGATTCTACTGGAACCTGGCGTCAGACACTCACCTTTTCTTGGCCCGATGCCAGATCCAATAGCCGATGGACGATTGGAGAAACCCTTCGGACTGACATGACTTCTGTCAAATTTTTTATTCGCGTCAAGGTACATTACATCATTTCGTTTGTTATTTGCCTAATCATACATTTCAGTTGATCGTCTCCTCCCCCAATTCAAGCGCTGAAACGGTTGAGCTCGACGACAAAGAAATCATTGTAGTCTCAACCAACGATGCTCAGCGTCAATTGGCTCTTTCGCGCTATTCCGCCGCAAGGGAGTCTAAGTCTAGGTCCCCCAAACGATCAAAGCGAAATCGTCCAAATACAAATACTCAACTGCCATCACCACCTCGCAGCCCTCCTTCAGTTTCCAACGTACCAGAAAATGCATCCGTCGCCCCTAAAGGTAACCATGAGCCTGAAATATCGCTTGAGCATATCCACAAGATTTCATCTGCATCGTCCCCACAATCCGGAAGCAAGTACAACGTAAAGTCTACGCGTAGACCCCACACTTCTGCTGGGCCACGGGACACGCCACATGGGTACGATTCGCGAGGATACAACCCTCTTCAGAATCATAGCAATCGACTCGCTGTCCCTCTGCGCCCCGAAACCGCATACCACAGTGGACCCACGACTGATGGACGCGTCACTCGTGGTGCTTTCAACCAGAAGTGGGTTGAAGCCCCACGACTTGGCGGTTCTAGTACAAACGTGAGCTCGGAAGACGTCCACTCGTCAATGCCTGGAAGTCCTCCACGTGCAGAAGGCAGCTTGTTGTTCGAAGTTGGGCAAGTGGAAATGCGTGCGTGGGAGGAGGAACTAGCAAGAATAGAATTGGTGAGCCGCAAAAGCACTGCGGATATGATGGATTTTGTGTCCCAGCGCAGGAAGTTGAGCGGCCAACAAGTCATACGGACATATGTGCACGCGGACCGCTGAGCACACGGATTCTCTGCATTCTACACTACTTATCGCCTACTGTTTTCCGCTGTCGTGCTTTCCCTCTCTAGCATAGGTTATCTCTGCATAGTTGTTGTTTCAACCACCAATACCGTCATCGACTTCATACCAGCACGACTCACTGTAGAACGTCCAACTCTACTATCATTGCATATTACTTATCAGTTTCGTTGGCGCATGTCCTCGGAGACCGTTCTAATGAGATATACCGACCTTGGTCTTACCAAGGCAAGACATGTATAGCTGATGTGTTGTGTGACTGCAGTGGTCCAACTTCCGAAGTTCCAAGTATGATGCGCCAATATTATGCTGAGATACAAATAAACACATAAACACTGCTTGTGCATTGCGGCTGGCCATCCCCCGGGCCTCACTTGACAACTTACCAATTATTCCCTGACGAACAATCTCGCACACAATGAGTTTTCCATGGTTCAGAATGACATTACTAGGAGGCGGTCGTGAGTCTTTCTGCTAATCTCGAACTGTCAAACACGGAAGCTGATTGTAACTGGGATTGCGGCGCAAATTGAACTGGATTTTTACTGCATGCACACGGCACTTTGCTGCGCCAGTGATGGGCCTGGGTTATCTCATGATGCGTGGTTCGTCTTCTACTATGACCCGGAAAGTTGAAACCTTCACCATCTGATCTGCCCACTTTTTTGGATGACTCTTTCCTGTTCCTCCCACTTAAACGTCATCGCCTTATTCTTGGTTTGTAGCGACCGTACCTACACCTGATCAGACATATGCTGTGAGTTCTCCCCCTTTCTTCCGCCGCTGGACACGCCGGAGCCTCCTTTGTAATTGTTCCGAGGCTGCATATTGCATTTTTCGCGTTTTTTTCACTCCAGAACCATGTCTCACCATAAGCGCAGGCGATGTCACCTGATCTGCGGCGAAAGGTTGATGCAAATCGTGCGGCCAGACTCGCCCAAGAGCAAACCATGAAACGTCAAATCGATGCTCAGGTTAGTAGACTTCACAGTGCGATGCATGTTTTGACAGCCTTATTATTCTACCACTAGAGCGATCCAGACGCAGAAAAACCCATTTGGGCAAACCCACAAAAAAAGTAACTTTGTTATCTCCCGGCATCCCTGCACGTCAGAGCTCTCTCTTTGTCACTGGACGGCATACCACGTACCTATTCACTGCCTGCATTTGTAATGTCTTGATCTGTCTCGTTTTCGGTGCCGCTCGACGGCTTTTTCAACCCTTCTTGGTCTCCAGACCCGCCGTAAGATGGCAACCTCCTGAACCATGCCGGCAAAATACACATCAGAATTGCACCCGCCCTTGAAATACTTTCGCCGCAACAGTGAGAAACATCTCACTGTCATACCTCCGCGGATACTTACATGACAAGCTGGCGCCCGATATACGAATCTCCGAGTTTAGTCTCCACCGAGAGCATGGGAAATCTCACATGACGTGAGGCTCGGATGTTGATGACAATTACGCTATAGTATGCGAGCGGCAAACAAATCAAATTCATTGAAATGACAAGTCAGATCGCTACAGTGGTGATGTATTCAACAGGCTGAAATGTGAAGCTCAAAAAGTATGCAAACATTAGGGATTACGAAAGATGCTCCTCCAGGATCTATAAGCGATGAATGACACTAACACCAGGCCCCAGTACCGTCCGATTGGCAATCATGAATTAGACAGTCTCTGCAGTGGTCCTGACTGAAACCAAGTCCGTATTCAACAACGGCTCTTCCATTGACGATTCTGGCGAAGACGGAAGTGCATCATAAGATGGCTGTTCTGAAGTATTGGGGCTGAAAATGGAGGACGACATGGAGGCCGCACCAGGCGTCCCTGCGGATGGTTTCATGTTGGCAAACGGCATGGAAGTCTTCTGACTTGAAAACTTGACTACTCCATTGGGCACTGTCGATGCTGTGGAATCAACAATTCCATCACCAACCATCGGTAATGAGGTGCCCGGTGTCATGCATTGTGGTTGGGCTGAAATCGAGATTGCCCCATCACTGCGGGTGGCGCTGGTGTCAACGGGTGTCTGTGAACGAGATGAAGAGGTTGGTTGACCTGCTACAGGGGTTATTGCCCGACTACCACCGTGATTCGCTTCGGCTAAGGCCTCTCCCGACTCCAAGCTCCGAGCCGCCGATAGGATATTGGAAGCGTCGTTGCCTACTGTGTCTGCGGTGGTCTGATCCTCGCTCGAGCGACCGGGAGAAGTGTCTCCTTCTATAGCCCCCCCTGAAGCAGCAGCAGCAGCTTCCTTCTTTCGCTTCTCTTCTTCTTTTCTTTGCTGCTCTTCATGTTCCAAAAGTGAAAGGCGCATAGCCTCCATGACCATTAACTGAACAGGGATATTAGTTGAAAGACTTTGGAGTAAAATGTTAATACCTCTTCCAAATCTTGACCACCAAGACCCATCTGACCCAGTAATTGGCTAATATCCGGTTGGCCATTGTTTCTATGTCGCCGACTTCTTCGACCGGCACCGGTGTCCGCTTCGCCGCCGTCCTGACCATCACCGGTAGGTAGTGCATGAACACGACCGCTGGTCACACCAACTGGAATTAGTCTATCCCCTACTTGACGCATGATTATTCGCCTATTCGCACGGCGCGTAACAGCAGCTCGAACAGCGGCAAGTTTGGCTTCCCAGTCAGGCCGTATTTGATCTATGCACAGGAAGACATGATGGATGTGTGAGAATTGAACACGAGTCATTTACCTGTCGTAACCACATCCGGGCTATCATGACCAAAGCTCTTGCGGCGTCGTTTGTGAACTGCGTTTGGTATATTCTGCTGCAAGCCTTTGGGAGTTTCCCCCCATACTGGTGGTGACTATGAAGTTTGAACGGCAATCAGTAAAGAGAGGTCACGTCATCGGTAATAGTGAGGAATATGAACACGAACCATTCCATCGCTCCCAATTCCGGTACGCCATGAAGGAGGAGTGTATACCACACCGAAATTTTCCTGCACACAATATGGGCATGCTGCTGGCTCAGATACGAGATGTGTAGCCGTGGGTTCAGTCCTCTTTATCTGAACAAAACACTCAGTACATATTGCCTGATCGCAACATCTTGAATAGTTCATGTTAGGTGGGTAATACTGAGGCACAAGTTACTCAGTGGTTGCATGACGCACGTGAGAGATAACGCACAAGGAAACATATTGGGCATTCTACAGCACCTCTATAAACGGCGGCCTCTGGACAACGGGAGGTCTCCTTCAATGTACCAGGTCGCTTAGACTGATTAGCTGGCTTTGAGCCATCTCGCGAGTCAACCCTTGTGGGGGAGGTGTCGGAGTGGCTGCTGTCAGAATCTGGGAGGACCCTCCTAGCTGACATGATCTGTTCATCGTCCCAGTTTTCATTGTAATCTTCTAGAGGTCGATAGAAAGGAGCAAGTTTGCGATCTACGATGAACTGGGTGACGATCCCATGATTCCAGTCTTTAGGTCCAGTGTAGACGCCCTGAGGAATGAGATGACCGTAGTCTACAGTTTCGTCGTGATGGCCACGTGATGACGACGAGCCAGTGTTGCCCATGACTTCAATTCCAAAGACGATAACGTCTTGGTAGTTGTACAGAGACAGCTGACGAAGAAGAACGGCGAGACCGTCGTATGCGCTTACTTCCTTCGCTGTTCACTGCCAATTAGGTCACCGTAGTGTATTTGCCTCTATTTGTCTTTGGTGGCAAGTGATTGATACCCGGGCCGTACTAGAATTTCAAAGAAATCGTTATCTCAACGAGCTGACCATTGGCCAGGCTTTTTTCAGGCAAGATAGATAATAAGAAATGCGGATTCACATATCTTGGATCGATCTGATGTGATATATTCGAGCGAGGTTGCGCCTTTAAATGTGAGCGATGGCGTGCTTGTCTATACTACGTAAAAACCTCTTATTACCGTAACTTTCACCTATGAACATGATCGTCTGTCGTTTCCTATGATGACGGCCCGCGGCTCTCTCCAACTCTCCAACTCGCAACCAGTCTGAGTCTGACTTTGACAAGTCTTGACTAGCGCTGGTCCCTGGGGCTGTCCTCATGGACAACTCGCCGACAACTTGCGCAAACAAATTGGACACGTCAGCTACATCAAGAAATTTCTCATATAGTCAGTAACACAGGTAAAGCAAATTCAGGTCCTTACAGGCAACTTAAAGGTGCTGGTTCGTGTGTCTGTCAATCTCTTTCCTCTTCATTACGGTCATGGACCATCCTTGGGCCAGCACTCCGGAGCAAGTCCTTGAGCACTTTGGTGTCGACTGTTCTCGCGGACTAACTGCAGCCCACGCAGCAAAGCATGCAGAAGTGTACGGAAAGAACGGTCAGTCTGGGTTGTTCATGTATTTTATGTTGGGAGCTATAACAGCTTGTGCAGAGCTTCCAGAAGAACCTCCAACTCCGTTATGGGAACTTATCCTAGAACAGTTCAAGGACCAGCTAGTATTGATCCTGCTTGCGTCAGCCGTTATATCCTTCATTTTGGCATTGCTAGATGACTCTGAGGGTACCACTTTATTTGGAGCATTTGTTGAACCCACTGTCATATTGCTCATTCTTATTGCCAATGCAACTGTTGGGGTGATACAAGAAACAAACGCGGAGAAAGCTATAGACGTGAGTTATATTTTGTGGTCTTGTGGTGTATCAATGTGTTCAACTATGTTCGTGCAGGCTTTAAAGGAATATTCCCCAGATGAGGCCAAAGTCCTCAGGTCTGGCCAGTTGGCCCGCATTCATGCCTCCGAACTCGTTCCAGGTGACATCGTTTCGGTTGCAGTTGGTGACAAAATTCCAGCGGATTGCAGAATCTTGTCCATATCCTCCAGTAGCTTTAGGGTTGACCAGGCCATCCTCACTGGCGAGAGCGTTAGCGTGAACAAGTCGGTCGACGTCGTCTCTGACACCGGCGCTGTCAAGCAGGACATGACAAACATGATGTTCTCTGTAAGTGCTCTCTTTGCCTTCTCGACATTCAACAGGGGGTTCATCAGAATATTCAGGGTACCACAGTAGTCAACGGGAGTGCACGAGCTATCGTCACTTTCACAGGCCAGAAGACCGCTATTGGCCACATCCATCATTCAATCTCGCAGCAAATCAGTGAAAAGACTCCACTCAAACGCAAACTCGACGATTTCGGTGATATGCTCGCCAAAGTGATCACTGTAATTTGTGTCCTGGTGTGGTTGGTTAATTTCCGGCACTTCTGGGACCCTGCACATCATGGTGCAATGAAGGGTGCTGTTTATTACTTCAAAATTGCCGTAGCTCTTGCAGTGGCCGCTATCCCTGAAGGTCTTGCTGCCGTTATTACAGCATGTTTGGCATTGGGAACGAAGAAGATGGCACAGAAGAACGCGATTGTCAGGAATTTACCAAGCGTGGAAACTCTCGGATGTACCAATGTCATTTGCTCAGACAAAACGGGCACTCTCACTACCAACCAAATGAGTGTTTCAAAGGTGACATATGAATTACTACCGTATGAAAATCATCTCACTCAACTTTGCTTCTCAAGTTCCTCATCATTAATGCGCAAAGCGGGCTTCCAGAAGACTATGCCGTCGAAGGTACAACTTATTCCCCACATGGCTCGATCACCTCTGTCAACGGAAAGGCCGCGGATTTACAGTCTGACCCCCTCAGACGTCTCGCAGAGATTAGCGCCATCTGTAATGACGCGAAGATTGTCTACCATTCTGTGAGCTCTACCACATTACTAATCAGAGTTATCTATCCTCATTAGTGTTTCTAGGACAAGGACTCATACAGTAATGTGGGGGAGCCGACTGAAGCTGCCTTGAAAGTCCTCGTAGAGAAGATAGGTTGTGCGGATAAAGAAGTATCCGGGTCCCTCTCCACACTTTCGCCGTCCGTAAGGGCGAGTGTAGTGAATGAGTACTATGAGCGCTCCATCCCGAGGCTGCTCACTATGGAATTTTCACGTGACCGGAAGATGATGTCTGTCCTTGTTCGGCTGAATGGGAAGGGTGCCCTGTTTGCCAAAGGAGCCCCCGAGTCCGTCTTGGATCGGTGTACCTCAGTCATGGTAGATGGCAAGGTCATTCCATTAACTGCAGAGCTACGTAAAGTGCTCCTCGCTCAAACGGTTTCTTACGGTGCTATCGGTCTCCGCACTCTGGCCTTCGCCTACGTAGACGTTCAAGACCTTGATCCCACTCACTATCAGAGTCAAAACACCAGCGATTATGCTCGTTTTGAACAGGACTTGGTGTTCGTTTCTCTGGTTGGAATGCTCGATCCTCCAAGGCCCGAGGTCCGCCTCGCTGTTGCGAACTGTAGAGCTGCTGGAATTCGTGTTATCTGCATCACTGGCGATAATAAGGGCACTGCAGAAACGATCTGCAGGCAGATTGGGATCTTCGGGGAGAATGAGGACTTGACAGGGAAGAGTTACACTGGTCGGGAACTCGATGAGCTCAGTTCTGAGGAGAAGATTAAGGCTGTACAGCGCGCTAGTCTCTTCACCCGGACAGAACCCGCACACAAGAGCCAACTTGTTGATATCCTCCAAGGTCTCGGGCTGGTTGTAGCGATGGTTGGTCAGTGTACTTGACATCTTTGCTGCGAGCTAACACATTTCTTTCTAGACTGGTGATGGTGTAAACGACGCCCCAGCACTCAAGAAGGCTGATATTGGGGTCGCCATGGGAAGCGGCACTGACGTTGCCAAACTGGCTGCCGATATGGTGCTCGCGGACTCGAACTTTGCAACTATAGAGCTAGCGGTTGAAGAAGGTAGACTCATATACAATAACACCAAGCAATTTATCCGATACCTAAGTACGTGCAACCTATTTTGTCTCGGTTGTTCCTGCTGACTGGTTGTAGTTTCGTCAAATATTGGCGAAGTCGTCAGGTAGGACTACATACTGTTGTCCTGAATAAATACTGACAGTTTACCACAGCATATTCTTGACTGTCCTGCTAGGCATGCCCGAGGCCCTTATCCCGGTGCAACTCCTGTGGGTCAACCTCGTTACAGACAGCTTGCCTGCAACCGCCCTTGGATTCAACCCTGCAGATCATTCTATCATGCGTGTTCCTCCCAGAAACAGCCGCGAACCTCTTGTCGGCAAATGGCTGTTCTTCCGCTACATGGTCGTTGGCATTTACGTTGGATGTGCCACCGTATTCGGATATGCGTGGTGGTTCATCTTTTACTCAGAAGGGCCGCAGATCACGTTCCATCAACTTGTATGTGTTGTCCTCACTCAATCGTCCGTTCCCTACTGATGTTCGACAGACGCATTTCCATCAATGTTCCACGCTCTTTCCGGAAATCGGGTGCGAGATGTTCACGAATGTTATGGCCCATCGGGCTACGACCATGAGCCTGTCAATTCTGGTGACGGTGGAGATGTTCAACGCTATGAACTCGCTCTCTGAAAATGAAAGTCTGCTGCGGTTGCCTGTATGGAAGAACCCATTCCTTGTGGCAGCAATAACTCTCAGCATGGCACTTCACTTCGCCATTTTGTACATTCCATTCTTCACGGTCAGTCTTCTGCGTTTATTTCGCTGAATTTTGACAAGTTAAATCGTTTTTTCTCAGACGCTGTTCCAAATAACGCCACTGAACTGGGCTGAATGGGAAATGGTTTTGTATCTTAGCGTGCCAGTGCTTGCCATCGACGAGGTCCTGAAATTGGTGACAGTGAGTATCATGTGACAAGTCTTCTTTCTCATGTCATGCTCAATTGTCACACAGACAATGTTCGTCGACCCTCCCACACAAGTGGAGTTAAAATGATGGGACGATATGTTGGATTATGATTCAATGTATCAGTTGTAGTAAGAATGAGAATGGCTTCTAAGAACCTAGACTAGAATTTCTTCGTCGTTGTGAGCAGTGAAATCTGAGTGCTACCGCTGCCAGTGCCGCTGAGTCTCGAATTGTAACATATGCAAGGTTTATATATGCATGTTTGGTTCATACCCATCACGCCTACACACGCATAGCGCTTGTCAGCGTTGCTGGGAGCAACATGGAGCGACATAATGCGCACCCCTTCTATTATTTTAGAGGCCAATCGGCTAGCTAGCTAAGCCTGGATCGTAGCTAGACGTCTGAAAGCCTTTAGGTAAGTGACACTGTGAAACGGTGACAATCGACATACAATATGTCGCGGAAGTGTCGCCTCTCATTTACTTTAAATCTAACCATCACTTTCCGTGTTCAAAGGTTTTCACAGCAACGACCACTCTTTTTTTTTTCTTTTCGGATTTCCAGCCCGTCGACCTCACGCTCTTTTTTACTTGTTTTCTAGGTTGACTGGGTGTCCAAGCGATGCGGCTCCTTGTTCAGCTATCACTGTTGATATCGCTAGCGCTATCATGGTGCTCAGTGTTGGCTAGCAATGCTCACCAAGTCCGCCGACACCATGCAAAGCGCCTGAATCCAGACCTCGCAGTTCGGGTGTCAGGGGATGTTGATATGTACAAACGCGATTTCCCCAACTCCCGCTTCACATACTATGCGGACGGTCTGGGTGCTTGCGGTTCAACGAACCAACCCGGCGACTTCGTATGTGGTCACTTTGAATAAATTACTTGACGTTAAATTTGGTTATTTAGATAGTTGCGCTGAATTCAGCGGTAAGAATATCGGGTTTGTGCATTGTTGTGAAGTCGTTCAATATTTGGTTTTTTTTTAGCAATACGGCGGCGGCCAGTATTGCAACCAAATGATCACGATCACTGTCAACGGAATGACAGCGCAGGCTCAGATTGTTGACGAGGTGAAGAGAACGAGCATCGTGATACCAGTTGGATCAGTCTAATACCCAAAATAGTGTCCTGGATGCCCCTCCACTGGCCTTGATTTTTCCCAAGGCCTTTTCCAGTACTTCGCTCCACTTTCCAGTGGTGTGCTCTACGGCACATGGTCCTTCGGTAGTGCCCCTGCTCCGTCACCGTCGCCTACAACCACCTGGCAACCGCCCCCATCGCCGACCACTACCTGGCAGCCACCGCCGCTGCCAACTTCAATCTGGACCCCACCTCTACCTTCGACAACCTGGAGCCCCAGCCCCACCCCGTCCTCATCATCGACAAGCTCAATTTCATCCAGCTCCAGCACCCCAACCACTTCTAGTTCTTCGTCTTCTTGGACGTCGAGCAGTACCTCAAGTACAACAAGTGCTAATCCTGCAGTGGGGACCGTTGGAGTTGTCGGAAATTTATCCGTTCTCAATAACCTCAACGTTGCAATTGTGTACCTTGGTGAACTTCTTGGAGCCGCTCAGACGTAAAATTATCTATTTTAGATCCATCAAGTCTGCTGTGGATTCCTTGACGACAAAAGTACAGCGACATGCTATATCTACTTTGTTATATCTACTTTGTGGACTTTCTCGGGCTCGTATGGTTTAAAGGACTTATTCTTCAACTAGCAACTGCTATACCCACCTAATACCGTACTTCCCAACTTTGCTGAGGCGATTTCACTAGTACTGTTACTGCGTTGAATTTTAGACTGCTTCGATCCAGAGGCGTGCAATGAAACGAAACGAAACACTCAGGCTGACAGCAGTGTTGCGGGTGCTCCCGGGGTCCTAGCCAGATAGTGGTTGGTCGTGAAGAAGTTTTGATTTTTCGTATTGTAACATAGACCACACTCCCTTAAGCTTCCCTCAAGTAACAAAGCTGTATTCTTACGAGCCAGTCATTCCCTTGTGTATACGCTCTTTCAAAGTTGGTAGCTCGCCAGAGACCACCCGCACTCGGACCAAAAATCGTGCCGTTCCTGCCCTGGAAATTACACAATGCGGGTCCCGAAGATTCTCGGTTTTCTCTCTGCAATTATTCCTTTTAGTTTCGCTAGCACTCATGGGCACCACTGGGCCAGGCGTCACCAAGAAGTCGCCCTCCGCGCCCGGGGTGATGTAGATGTCCATAAGCGCGATTCCTTCACTAATGCTCGGTTCACCTTCTACGATGTCGGCTTGTGAGTCTCATCGATGGTGCCTTATTTGTCAATCGCTTACCACTTCCTTTTTTTCAAAGGGGTGCCTGCGGCCAGACAAGCGCCGCTAGTGACTTTGTCTGTATCGAGAGTTAAGATGAAGTCCTCGTCTAATTGTTATGCGTCATTTCTAGATCGTGGCGTTAAATGTCGATCAGTACGGCAGTGGATATCCTGGTCCACAGTGCTTCTTGTCAATCACGATCTCTTATGGGGGGAAAACAGCCCAGGCTGTTATCATGGATGAGGTCTGTATTCGAATATGTTATAAAACATTGTGTCCTTACCCTGAGACGACTAGTGTATGGGATGCCCTTATGGTGGACTCGACTTCTCGCGTGGTCTTTTCGACTACTTTGCGTCCGAGTCGGAAGGTGTAATCTATGGGACATGGTGGTTCAATGATGGAAGTACCGGCACTACTACCTCTAGCAGCTGGACTCCCACTTCCACCTCTACGTCTTGGACTCCTGACCCTACCACGTCCTGGACCTCAACGACGACATGGACACCAGAGACATCCTCCACCCCAACGACAACATGGACGCCACCCACCACGTTTTCATATACCTCCACCTCCACTTCCACCTCCACCTCCACTTCCTGGACCCCTACCACCACTAGTCAAATCTCTACCACCCCTTCGGCCTCGTCTACGTCCATCAATTACAACTCAGGCGTGGCCAGCGGCATTGCTATTCCCACAGGGACTGCTGTTGTGGCTGCGCCAGACAGCACCAACCCCCAGAATCTTCTAGTCATTAACCAAGCCTTGATTAGTCTCGGAATCATGCTTGCAGCTGGAGAGCAGGGTAGTTGAGTTTGCCCCCTACAACGTTGTATTTGGTCACGGAATGCGGGATGCGGTATCTATCTCTATTTTATTATACTTTGCTCGGTTGCTTCTTCTCACTTCCTCACAGCTCTTCTACGAGTTGAGCTCGTCGATTTGTCGCAGTGCTGTTTATACCCTTCAATATTCTGTTGCATCAGTATGCTGATCGTGAACCTGCTAGCCATACGTTCTCATGGTCATGTGAAATTCATGTTTTTGTCCTTTCAGAGCTCAGAGGAAGTGCCCTATTCTTACATCGAACGCAATAGGAACAAGTACAAACGACACTGTAAAACACAGGTCTAACGAGGAACTCCCCGTTGGTTAGTTATAGCAGTCAATCAAGAGGACATTTAGGCCGTATTTCTTCACCCATTTCAAGGACTTCTTCTGACCGCTTCGCCGAATATCCTTCCGTAGAGCACTCTTGCTCGGATGCATGATTTGCCGCAACGCACCCTGATCTTTGCCCCGCCTGGCTACGTATTCTTTAATATTGACATGAACCTCCGCGTTCAGCAGTTTTTTTGCTGATTTTATGCTGGTGGGCAGCTGTTGGGAGATACCGAATTCGACAACAAGGGCTTGGAGAAGCCGGAGCTTCGTACTTGGATTACCATCCTTGACAGGTGATTCGAGGTACCTGCCCACAATGAAGATATATTATTTCAAGGAATAAGAAAATGACACGCACTGCGTGATAAATGCTGCAGCATCCTCGTATGAATATGTGGGGTTCGCTCCACTGCCAGATTGAGGAGAAAGGCTCGTAGAGGATGGATGCGTATCCTCAGATTTACCACCCTTACTTCGTCTCGCCTTGCGCCTCGCTGTTCTAAGCTGCTTCCGGGTCAGCTTTTCGTCTGCCTTGTCGTTTTTGTTCGTATCCGATTCACCGTCCAATTTGCTTGAGGTTGTAACTGATAATAAATCAAACGCAATTGAGAGCCTGGTCTCCGAGACACTGTCGTCGGAATCATGGTCAGACTCAGGAGACCTGTCCACTGAGGTATGAGGTAGCAGGACGTAGTCACTTCCGCTGCTGTCCGAAGAATACTCATCGCTGGCGCCCCACACAACCTCGTCTTCAGAAGTTTCTGTAGCAGCACATGAGATGCTGGATATAATATCGATGGAAGAGTTGCTGCGCGGAGAGTCTGTCATCTCAGTGTAATTGGCTAGGGGCTTCAATGTCTAACGTCACACAGTCAGCGTAACCTAAGTGCCGTAGCATTTTGCCCTTACCTAGATGCGATTTTGTGGCAGACAATTCGAAAAGACCTTGAGTTTAGCTGTAGGTTGTAGTATGTGGATGTTACAGAAGACTAAGGAATCTTGAGCGAAACGTCCTGAAGATCACTCTAAACCGTCGCGGAGTCTCAAATTCATCCAAAATAGTCGCTTCAAGTGGACGTCAATATTGTCACGGTCATTAATATCGAGGCAGTTTATTTCAGTCTGTGGTCCGTGGTCATAAAGGAATACTCGAAATCCCAGGCGTGGTGGGCCATACACTCTCTAAGTTTGCGACACCATGGACACTGATCCAAGTTCCAATCTGCCGAAGACACAGCGAGCTTGGAGATCTGTGAAGCGAGGGAAACCTTCCGAATCCCTTGTTTTTCAGACGGACGTGGCTGTTCCTCCCCTTTCACCTGGGGAAGTGCTTGTGAAGGTTCAGGCGGCTGCTCTCAATCCGGTGTAAGTGCCATGCCTTGACGTTCACTAAATTCCTCATGAGCCCAATAAACCGCATTAGAGGATGGAAGATCATGTCGACCGCGCCTAACATCCTTGCCAGAAGGCCAATCACGCCAGAATGTGATTTCGCCGGTGTGGTCGCGGATGCGAACGGCACCGAGTTCTCCGCAGGAGACGAGGTTATCGGTTTCATATCGATCTGTGAGTATCGGTACTCCCGTTTACATACCATGTTGACGCAGGCAGTTGAACAGCACTGCAGTTGAAGACAGGGCAGGGGGCGCTGACAGAGTACACAAAGCTTCCTGCTGCCAATTTAGTCTTGAAGCCGTCAAATGTCTCTGCTATTGAGGCTTGCGGTCTTCCTTTAGCTGGGGAGACTGCTTTGCAGGCCCTTCTTGACATTGGAAAGCTTCAAGCTGGCCAGAGTGTATTTGTCAATGGCGGCAGTTCAGCAGTTGGCATGAATGCCATCTATATTGCAAAAGCTCTTGGGGCCAAGGTTGTTACTAGTGCTTCTTCAAGAAATGAGGAATTTTGTCGTAAAATGGGGGCAGATGAAGTCGGCGCTTATTCCCTTGTGGCTATTCCTTTGCTGATGCTCTCACCAGTTTATCGATTATACGAGTAAACCTCTCCACGAGCACTTTGTGGATAATCCGCCCTCGCCTAAATTTGATATCGTATTCGACGCTGTTGCCTTGGTTGACCCCGCTCTTTACAAGTATTCAAATGCCTACATAAAGCCAAAAGGTGTATTCATATCAACAGGACCGTGGCCAGACTTGAAGTCGTGGAGGGGATCTACCGGCATCGCAAAATTAATTTCTCTGGGTTGCGAAATACTTAGGCCATCGTTCCTCGGTGGCGTCAATACAAAGTGGACGTTAGTGCATTTTTCTACCAGGTCCTTGCGCGTCGTTGACATTCGACATACAGCATGGTAAGCGTAACTCACAAACCACAGGATCTTGCAAAGCTGCGGGATTTGGTGGCCGAAGGTATCGTGCTGGGTTCATCACATATTCGCCATCTCGGGTTAACTGTATTTCAAGGCAAGCTCAAACTGGTGGTCGACTCCGTTTACGGATTCGAGGATGTTCTCAGTGCTTACGAGCGCATCATGACTTCACGAGCCACCGGCAAAGTTGTAGTCAAAGTAGATGACAGCGTTGTCTGAGTACTGATATACAGATTCGCTTCGTTACCTCGTGCAAATTGAAAACGTATTGCTACTGGTAATGTGATTCCTACCTTGAGATGGATATCGAATCGGGATCGTGAAGAGACGGAAGAAGTTGATCACCCTGATGCCATCTAGTTTCGACGAGCTCACCATATTATGGCTATACTGTAGATCAATTTGCAGCGTTACTTTAGGCCTCGTCGAAAACCCGTACGCGTCCGTACTTGAGTTACCCCTACTTACCAGTGTCAGGAGCTTGATTATGAAGCGATATTATGTCAGCAGATTAGATGGGGAGGGGAGGGACCCTGTGCCCATTGCCCAACACTCCTTCTTTCGCTGTTCATAATCTTCCTTCATCATCGCTTTCAACGGAGGCGAAACCTCGCATCCTTGAACGCCATATTGTAGGTGCACTGCGTTCTTGCAACCATGGAGGTAAGCTATTCGCACCTCATCATCGTGTATTCTTGTTCAAGTCAGTACCTAGGGCTTGCTCGATTTCTCGAGGGAGTTCGATGTCTCCCTGTTAGATAAAGTCGTCATGGCATTTTACACCGGTACCGGCCAGGAAGTGAGTGGCGGAGACACCATTTGCAGTTTACGATGAACTTACTTTCATTTGTACAGCAACAAATGGCTCAACAGGTGCTGACACAGTTTGAGGAACACCTTGATGCATGGACCAGGGTTCCAGACGTTTTGGAGAGATCCTCATTTCCACAGTCCAAGGTACTGTCCCTGACGAACGGTCGGTTTATGACTGCTGATTCCGTATTCTCAGTACATCGGCTTGCAAATCTTAGAAAAGCTCATTGTGACGCGATGGAAAACACTACCCGAGGGACAGAGACTAGGTATGTTACTTCCTCTGGTCATTGAAGTGGCTCACGTCGCGTTCAGGAATCCGCAATTTCGTTGTTGGTGTGACCGTCAAGGTGGCATCTGACGAGACAACCATGCGGAAAGAGAAGACATATATCAATAAACTGAATCTTGCCCTCGTTCAAGTGAGTGATACACTCACCCACGAATAGATATAACCTTACGAACCAAACCTATCAGATTCTGAAACAGGAGTGGCCACATAACTGGCCGACTTTCATCACTGAACTCGTGGAGTCCTCAAAAACTAACCTTTCGTTGTGCGAGAACAACATGGTCATATTGCGGCTGCTTTCAGAAGAAGTCTTTGATTTCTCCGCAGAGCAGATGACCCAAACCAAGATCAAGAATCTTAAGAATCAGATGTGCGGCGAATTTAGCGAGATCTTCAAACTCTGTTCAGAGGTCTTGGAAGAGGCTCAGAAGACGAGTTTGATCAAGGCAACTCTCGAAACATTGCTGCGCTTCTTGAATTGGATACCTCTTGGGTATATTTTCGAGACCATGATAATCGACACACTCCTGAATCGCGTAAGATTTTCATTACTTCTCCTCGAACTGAGTTGACTGCTCTGCAGTTCCTCGAAGCTCCTGATTTCAGGAACGTGACGCTCAAATGTCTAGCAGAGATTGCTGGGTTGAATGTGGGCCCAGAGTATGATCCGAAATTCGTCATCTTGTTCGCCATGGTCATGACCTCCGTCAACCGCATGATTCCTCCCTCCACCAATATTGCTGCAGCTTATGCGTCAGCATCAGATGCTGGCCAGGAGCTCGTTCTTAACCTCGCTCTCTTCCTATCTAACTTCTTGTCCACCCACTTGCGTGCTGTCGAGACGGAGACGAACCGTGATGTGCTATTGAACGCGCATCTCTACATGGTCAAGATCTCCCAGGTTGATGAGCGCGAGATTTTCAAGATTACTCTTGAATACTGGTCGAAACTCGTTGCAGAACTCTACGACGAGATTCAAGCTCTGCCCATCGGCGAGAGTGGACTACTCATGGGCTTAAGCCTCGGGAGCAGCGGCGGAAACATGCTAAATGGCATGTCTCTGAGGAAGAACATCTACAGCGACGTCTTGAGTAACTTGAGACTTGTCGTCATCGAGCGGATGGTCAAGCCAGAGGAGGTGCGATTAGCTTTCCCTCTCTTTGTTCTTCCATATAATAGTGGTTCTAGGTGCTCATCGTCGAAAATGACGAGGGTGAAATCGTTCGTGAATTCATGAAGGAATCGGACACGATTGTGCTCTATAAGCAGATGCGGGAGCTGCTGGTCTACCTTACGCATCTTGACGTCGTGGATACTGAAAATATACTAACCGAAAAACTTGCAAAGCAAGTCGATGGTTCGGAATGGAGCTGGCAGAACTTGAACACGCTCTGCTGGGCCATTGGAAGTATATCAGGAGCTATGAGTAAGTGCTGTTCTCTTAGCCGTTGGATCCGCTTTAAACTCCTACCCCAATCTTTAGATGAGGAGACCGAAAAACGCTTCCTTGTTACCGTCATCAAGGACCTCCTAGGACTCTGCGAAATCAAACGAGGCAAAGACAACAAAGCTGTCGTTGCATCAGATATCATGTACATTGTCGGCCAGTATCCGCGCTTTTTGAAGGCGCATTGGAAGTTCCTCAAGACAGTCGTCAATAAGTTGTTCGAGTTCATGCACGAGACACATGAGGGTGAGGAGCCTATTGCCGTGATACTCTTGGGACACTCATCACGTTTGCAACAATATTTCCAGGTGTTCAAGACATGGCATGTGACACGTTCATCAAGATTGCTCAGAAGTGCAGGAGGCATTTTGTCATGCAACAATCCGGAGAACAAGAGCCATTCGTAGACGAGATACTGCGGCTACTCCATCGCATCACCGTCGACCTGTCACCTCAGCAGGTATGCTACGTGATCTTATTTTGATCGCCTTCTTATTCCTCCCAACAGGTTCACACTTTCTACGAGGCAGTCGGCTACATGATTTCCGCACAACCAAATAAACCTCAGCAGGAGAAGCTAATTGCCAAGCTGATGGAGCTACCAAATAACGCTGTGTGTACCCTTCTCCTGCAGCTCGAGAATTCCATTGCTCACGATTTTCTTAAGTGGGACTCACTCATGGCTCAAGCAGCACAGAATATGGATGTCCTAAGCAACCTTGATAATATCAAGATTCTGTCCAATGTCCTCAAGACGAATGTATCTGCTTGTACGTCTATCGGCAGCTTCTACCTGCCGCAGATAGGACGGATCTTTTTGGACATGCTGGGCCTGTATAAGGCGGTCAGTGGCATCATCAGTGAGACCGTTGCTCGGGAAGGTTCGTAGTTCAGTCCTCGTTCCTCCTCGTATCGCATCTCATCCCTATTAATTAGGCACCATTGCCACCAAGACGCCAAAGATACGGCAGTTGCGCACTGTTAAAAAGGAGATCTTGAAACTGATGGAGACGTATATCAAGAAGGCTGAGGATCTTGAAGCTGTGAATACGAATTTCATGCCGCCACTATTGGATGCAATTCTTGGTGACTACAACCGCAATGTACCAACTGCACGAGATGCTGAGGTGCTGAACGTGATGGCTACCATTACAAGTCGTCTCGGGGTAAGTGTATGGAATGTCCAATGCTGCGCTTGCTCACCCACCCCGTCTTACAATCGCAGCCTTTGTTGACACCTCAAGTTCCTGCCATTCTTGACGCAGTCTTCGAGCCAACGTTGACCATGATTAATCAAGACTTCTCCGAGTTCCCAGAACACCGTGTTGGCTTCTTCAAGCTCCTCCGGGCAATCAACCTTAATTGTTTCCCTGGTATGCGTCTCCCAACTTTAGAGTCGTTGCCTTACACTAATGGCTTTATAGCTCTGCTTGGCATTCCACCGACACAGTTCAAGCTATTCATGGACAGTATCATCTGGGCAATTAAGCATACGATGCGCGACATCGCTGACACTGGACTTAACTGTGAGCAAGTATGTTATGTACATGGAAAGCGTGCACTAACATTTTCTTTTAGTGTGCCTTGAGGTGGTCAACAATTTCGCGGGCGCAGAGACTGCCGTCAGCAATGCGTTTTTCCAACAGTACTTCCTAAGTATCGTGCAAGACATATTCTTCGTACTCACGGACACGGACCACAAGAGCGGTTTCAAACTTCAAAGTCTTCTGCTCGCGAGGATGTTCCAGCTGGTTGAGACGAACCAGATCCAGGCACCCCTGTTTGATCCTGCGCAAATGGCAGATCCCAATGTTTCAAATTCCGTGTTCCTCAAGGAATATTGTGCCAATTTATTGAAGACAGCATTCCCTCACGTGCAGAAGTACGCCCCTTTTCTATCACATTGTTGACGTATCTGAATCATTTTTGCAGCTCGCAAGTCCAAGTCTTCGTCGCGGGTCTTGGCGAGTTCCACAGCGATATCAACCGCTTCAAACTCGCTCTACGTGACTTCCTCGTCCAACTCAAAGAGTTCTCTTCCGGTGACAATGCCGAGCTGTTTTTGGAAGAAAAGGAAGAAGAAGCGCAGATGAAGGCCCAAGCGGAACGAGAGTTTGCCATGCGTATTCCTGGCATGCTCAAACCCTCGCAGCTAGAGGACAAAGACGAGGATATCTCATGAAAGGTCCCTGCTGCCACTACTTACTGTAGCTCCTTGCACGACTCGCGCCCCGTCCCACCCTGCATGCACTCTACGTTCACTTCCCTTTCCTCAGAAAGTGAACGGTCTCATTTTATCATCATTTGTCATAGCATCATTCTGCTATCGAAGATTTCTTGCGTTCTCGATATCTAATGTATTAGTGTAGGCCAGGCAATACAAGAAAGTAGTACATATATATCTGTTGCAGGGATGAGATGCTATGAGCATGTACGAGTATTTGGTAGCATGCAATGATTTCGGTGGAGCTTCATAAGCTTCAAGCTTCAGCTTCATTAAGCTTCATTCATCACCATCACCATGTTCAAAAAGTAACTACTAGCCTTCTATTCACACATCGGTTAACTCACGATTACATCGCAGGTTCTCGCCTTCCACAGATATTGCAAGCCAGACGCCACCCAAGTCCTCTGTACAACGATCGATAAGGGCCGCTGTACTTCAACAGTGGAAAGTCGACGCAGAGACTCTCGAAGAGATCTGGCCCAAGAAAGAGACTCTGATCCATGTGAAATGGTACATCCTTCTAGCCATTCGAATCAGAGTCTATCTGACGTATTCGGTCTGCATGACAAGAAGCAGAGAACACATTTCAATATACACCGTCCAAAGCGTACCCCTCTTTTTCCAGCATTTTGATGGGCCTTTCTACCCCACCCTTCGGTTACTCCATCAATGTAAGTCATTCCCCGAGTCTTATGCCGTTATGCGCACGTAAAATGCACCACCTACAGATCCTTCCATTCTACCGAAAGTTGGCGTCGACAGGGGCGCAATCCGCTTTCTGCTTGCGGGGGCACCTATGATGTGCCCTGGACTAACTTCAGCTGGAGGTTACCTTCCGCCATCTGAAGAAGCATTACCCAAAGGTACCGCCGTCGCTGTACATGCTGAAGGAAAGGAGCATGCTGTTGGAATCGGGATCACCGAGCTCGGTACGGAAGACATGCGGAAGCTGAACAAAGATGTAGCTGTCGAGATTGTCACCCATCTGGGGGATGATCTGTGGGCATTGCAGAATCTGTAGTTACTGCCTCGTTGGGCGTACAGTACTAGATTGTCAACAAAGAGCTCGCCTCCATTGCAACCTTATCTTCAAGTCATAACTCAAACCTTCCGGATATCTTTGTATCTGCAAGTACTGCTAGTACTTGCCCGTGGCCATCAATACTAGGATCTCCGGGCTTCTGTGCAAGCCGGTAAAAATGTCTTTATATATCGTAGCTTCAGTTCCTGGCGCAACAGACAGGATCAAGCCAAGATTCAAAAACCAGCGAATTCCGGGGTTCTGTGCGAGCCGTCAAGGATACTTGGCATCCTAGACAGAAGCAATCCCACATTCTCTTCTTCGCATCTTTTATACCACCTGCCACGCAGCCCTAGATCAACTTGAGATCTTGTTCTGCGATGGAAGATACCTCATTCGCATATTCACAGCAGATGTCTTGTGCTCGTCCTCGAAAGAATCGAAGAGGCAATGCCAGACACGGACCGCCCCTGCTGATAGATCTCCTGGATCGTGCCAAAGCGGATATTGAATCCAATGGCTGGATAACTACTTGTCAAGGTTGGAGCCAGCTTGCATTCTCTAACGTTCGCTGATTGTTAGCCGCCGCACTCAGGTCTCTTGAAAGACGCCCTGCGCAACACTAATATATCATGTCCCAATGTGCTATGCCTTGGTCTGGGAAGTCCCTCGACCTCGCGTGAGGCTCGAGCGCAACTGGCTTTCCTCATCAGTTCATGCGCCATCTTGGAGATAGTAAGTTTCAGTTACATTTCTGCGCTAGTGGCAGGGCGCTACTTCTCCTGACGGCCCGTCCTTTGTACAGGGTCTAACCAATGTGTCCATATACGATCCTGTGTTTACGGATGCAGATAAGGAATTTTTACAAAGCTTCGGGATGCAATGTTTGTCAGACACAGCAAGTCTTTTGTTTCTGTCATCTGTCATGGAGGCGGCAGTGTCCAATGTGCGCTTGCTTTATTCCAGGATGCAAAGTACGCGGTAGAACATCCAACGGTACTGTATATGCCGCACTGCGATCTGAAGCTGTATGAGAACATCATCGGCGCGAATTGGTCAAGAGAGCGACTGGCGCGCATCATTTTCGTTGCGAACCGGTTCCAGGATTACACGGACAAGTACGTTTGATCTTGTTCAATTTCAAAAGCTGAGCTTATAGACCCTGAGCAGTAATCCCCAGTCGAAGCTGGAAATAGAATCTCCATATTTGATGCGTCTAGGTAGGATTGATAACGAGGAATGCAGGCTGATCTCACGGTTGATTGTTCTCAGTACCGCACCTCGAATGCCATCCTCTTCCCACGTTGGAAAGCTTCTCTTCGGCCTTCAATAACATTTCAATCCAACACGTGAGACTCCCCGTTTCGCCGTCATTGGTGCCATCATCCCACTAGGGTGTTTAGGAGGTTTAGAGGTTACCTATCACTAAAAGCCCGTTTCTATCGCGGCCGTAGCGTAATCTCGTGAGAAGATATCTCAACTCGGGCGGAATCGGACTGCGCTTCAAGTTCAAGTTCCCCGTGGACAGCCACTGACTATGCGATGGAAACGATATCCCAAAAGAGACATATAATACACATGAACAAAGTGGCGCATATGTACACTGATGACTTACTATAGAGCAAAAGAGGAATTCTAGGTTAGACAGGGGGCAACTAGCATTCATGGTAGACAGCATTATACGAAATGGAGTGATCTTCATTGGGGAAAGGAAGGGGGTCGAGCGCATAACGATCAAAATAAGAGTCCGGGTGGCGGATGTACACATCAGGCTGTAAACGTCGCCTGCTACGTTGCCCTGGAAGAGGGATGGACGTCGGATCCACAAAGTCAAGGTCTGACGAGCGTCCCAGCGATGGTGTAGAAGGGACGTCGGACTCGTCATCGGAAGTGTCCTCTATAGCTTCCGGGACAGAGAGATCGTCTAACTCATCGGCATCATAGTAGGGTAGAGCGTCATACGCTGGAGGTGGTGAAACAGGAGACTCAATGATAGGACCGAGGGCATATGGATGAACGAGTGGTGGATGGAATGGCGGATATGGCACAGGATATGGCACAGCGATAGACGGAGAACAATATGCTTGGTGACTGAAAAGGTCGTCCGAAGAAGACATTGGTGACGTAAAGGGGCTTAGTGGGGGATCTTCATCATCTTCAACTGGTATGACGGAAATGCGAACGTCGGTATCCGATACGCACTCGTCCTCTCCACCTTCGACTAGGGATTCTAAAAGTGAGTCGAGCCACTCAGCTTCAGATGAATTGGCTTCGACCCCCACAAGTTTGGAAGCGTCGGGGAACATGAACGAATCCAACTCCTCTTCTTCACCGTCGTACTCGCTGTCACCATTATCACTTGCAATATATACACGATTCGAATAGGAAGAACTGGTCGCCACACTGGGCACATAGGGGGCACGAGGTGGTCGAAAAATTGAGTTTTTGAGAAGGACCCAACGGTGGAGGCTGCCGCCCACAGCTGAATGTAGCTTGGAACGGGCCATGGTGCAAAGTTCTGCGGGTTCTGCTGACATATGAGGGGCGAAGAATTCTAGGAAGTGTGATGGAGTGGTGTCTGACGCGTGCATAGTAGAACATTAGCAGATGATTCCTTGCCTACAAAACTTACAAATAACATACCAGAGTTGAAACTGGTTTTACCAGGGTTGAAACTGGTTTTACCGGTGTATACGGTAGACGATGAAAGGTTCGAACAAAATGGTGCCGTTGTTGGATTTACGGGCAAGTTTGTTAACCATACTTCAGAAGAATGGTGGGCCTGCGCTCTTTAAAGGGACGCGGCAATGAGGAATTGAAGAGGGGTTTTGCTTATAAGACGAGGTTCGTATTATGCAAACATGGTGATGGACGGGGAGGAAAAAGTGGGGACGGTAGGGGGCGACGCTTGTCTTATATAGGTATTTTCAAATAGAGAAAACGGTGACATGACTCAAATTGATGCCCTTTCGGAAAGAAGCATTTTACCGGCTCACCGGCGGATGATCTGCCACATGGCAAACATATTCAAACAACCTTCTTTGCGATAACGCCACGGTGCCACCACGCCAACCATATCTCGAAGTCCTGAGGAGAAAATGCTATATGCACCGAGGCCTACCGAGGCTCGTAGGGTATGTATGTACAAGACAGGAACACTGTTCCGATGCGGCCCCTCAGCCTTCGTCCATCTGGTCGTCTCTGCCTTCTTCGTCCTTAACGGTATCAATAAGTTTCTTCAGTTTGTTGACGCTCTTTGGAGATGTATCGCGTGCTATGGCGAGCGAGCGCGCCGAATTTACCTCATCACCCGTCAGTCGATATACTTTCGCAATTTGGAACACTACGTTCGACTCCTCGGGAGATGAGTCACGAAGCTGAACCAGATCTTCCAACGCCTCCTGCAAGCGTGAGAGAATTGTCATGTAAGGAAATGGTAGTCTCCGATCACTGGCAACCAGGTATTGACTTACAGCGTATCTTTTCATGGAGATAAGGATTTTCGCTCGACGATAACGAACGAGCGCATTGTCTGGCGCTACGCGAACAGCTTGATCAAACAATGAATGCGCAGCCACCTTGTCTCCCCGACGTTCGACAGCCTGAGAACGCACAGCAAGGGAGGGTTGGAGTCAGGAAAGTCATATCATGCAAGGGACACTGCAACATACCATGCCCACACAACCTAGCAGAACGGCATTGTTTGGGTGAATTTCAACTGCTTTGCGATAGTGATATTCAGCCAGGCGTATTTTGCTCATTCGTAAATAACAGGTGCCGAGGCCATACCTGCAACCAAGTCAATCAGCATGAGAAATTACCTAATGTGTCAGAAACCCAATTCTCTTTACCAAGCATTATAGTGTCGCGGATCTGCGCGGATTGCAGTCTGGAAGAATCCAATAGCCTTGTCTAAGTCTTCATCGATAGACTCATGTCCGCTCAGGGTGTACGCGTAAGCACACGACGGATCCATTTCAGCAGCTCGTCGAAAGCACGTAAGTGCCTGTGAACGCTCTTTCTGTAAGGAAAAGAGATTGCCAACTGCAATCCATGCTTCGGGTGATCGTGGGTTTATGTTCATAAGTTCTTGTGCGAGATATGAAAGCTGCACGTTCTGCTGAAGGTGCCATAGAAGAGTTGAGTAAACCTCCATATCGCCCAACCGATAAGGTTCAAGAGCTCGAGCTGCCCTGAATGCTCGTTCTGCCTATGAAAATAACGTAAGCGAGAAGGAACATATGGTGGCGTCAATGAAAATTACGTACTGACGCATACTCGAGTTGTTCATAGTGAGCTCGACCCACCATCGCCAATACCCACGATGATTGCTGGTGTGCAGTCGGTATCTGGTCGAGTTCCATAAGACAGGTGTAACAATCATATTTGGATAAAGCTCGAGTAGCACGTGCAAATCGTCGGAGCAGGTCGTAGACGTAGTGGTCCGCCATCTCTGAATCATACGCCTCCTGAGCAGCAAGTTCATTTGCTGCAGTCCAATTACTTGGCGCCGGAGAGGTCTCTGAGGGAGGTGACTGAGCATTCGAAGTTGGCGATGTTGAGGACGCGACCTCCCCGTGGAGGTTGGCATCATCCTCACCGTCCGAGTCTATTGATCGTGACCGCGACGTAGTCAGCTGCCGGCGACGATCTCGTGGAGGCGGATGCTTCAAGAAAATACGTCAGTGATTGATATTAGACCAAAACACAGGCCAAATAAACTCGAAATTCACCCACTAACCTTGGGAGGCTTGCTAATGGTGCCACTCAAGAGGCGCGTGCTTCGCCGTGGTGCAACAGCAGCACTCCCTCTCTCGTTCTTAGTAATTCCTCCGACTGCAGTTGTCCTGGATGATATGACGGGCTGAGAACGACGACCCGGTGATGAGAAGATATTAGCAAATTTTAGGGCCGGGCGTGCGCGTGCCTTTTTCGACGTTTCGTCCACAGTCAGCTTGGATGGCTTGGATGCGATAGTCTCAGTGCTCTTTTGTCGGATCGTTGATCGAAGCCTCTTCTGCGCGGGACCAGTCTCATCTGCCGAAGATAGTGGTCGAGCAGCCGACTGAGATGGGCCAGGCCCTGCTGGCTCGAGTTTAGAATTACGGGCCGGAGGTTGAAGAAAAGAGTTCTCCGTATGAAAGAACGGTTCGTTAGTAGCGCTAAAGATGATGCAGAGGATCATGTCAGATGTATTACATCATTAGAGAGTCGTAGCCGCTTTACATAGAGTCGCGCGGATCTAGTGGAGGATCCATTCGGAAAGCCTGAGGGACATTCTTGCGGCCACGAAATAGAGTGGTATTGACAGTAATGTCAGGCGTAAAAAATCCAGCTCCAGTAGCGGTCGGGCCAGACGGAGCCTTGGTCGGTGGAGGCTCTTCTGGCGGGCCCTGTTTCACTGGGACGGGACGCATTGGAAAGATCTCGTCTACTTCAGGAGCTGTGCCTAAAATGGAGTTGAATGAGTTAGCTATAGGATGTGACAAAAGGTTCAAGATGGTCACCAAGAGAGCACAAGCCTTCAAATGCTTCCCACAACATGGGGTTAAGTGCGAGAGCTTGTCGGAAACTACAAGTGGCCTGCTCAGGAAGACTGCCTTTCATTGCCATCGTTCCAGATCGACATCGTGTAGCAGCTTCCTCCGGAAAGGCGCGCGAGGTTCTAGGGCCCATAGAAGCTGCACAAAGGTCACCGAGAGTAACACAACATGAAATAGAATGCGCACCCGTTGGGGTGTAGGTTGGATCCTGTAAACTAGCGTCAAAAGCTTCGCGTGCTAGCCTGTGCCGACCGAGAGCAGCACAACACTTTCCCTTGATCTCCAAGCATCCACTGCATCTCGACTGTTGAACACCACTGACTAATTGCAGTCCTGAATGTGGCTGACCGGATCGAAGAAGTGCAGTAGCATAAAGATGACGCGCATCATGGTTATTCTCGTCTATGACAAGATAACGTTCCGCATAGAAAACCGCGGATCTGACCAGGTCGAAGTCGAGACAGGTCCATATGAGGGTCTGGAAACGTTGTGCGATCTGTGGAAGAAACGCAGGACTGGTAACGGCTTTCGAATCTTCCAGTGGCATTAGCACGAGCCTAGAGCATGAGAATATAAGTCAGAGAGAAATATGATTAAATCCAGTCTCCCGTAGACTAGCGTGTCTATCCGAGAAGGCAGCGAAAAGATGGCTTTGCGAATGAAACTCGGTGAGGAGAGGGTCAAGTAGCAGTGGCTGCGCGAGTCCCCACAAACAAACCGCGCGTGGAATAATCACGTGACTGTCGCGTAGGCGTTTACATGTATTTCTAGTCATTCTCCAAGACAATTGTAGCATACTTGTAGCGTACTTCTGTGTAAGCATTATAGGCGTATGAATTACACAACGTAGAACTGTCAAAGCAAGGCCGCCTTTGTTCAATGGCCATGGGGGTCTGCTTCCGGCTTGGGCTCTGTTACAATGAGTGAGACAGACTTCTTGGTGGGGTGGCAATCGCTTACCTGGTACGCACTGAATGGCGTCATCGATCCGCAAAAGTGAAATGGCTGCCTCATATGCCGACTTCAAGCTCCGGACTTTACTCATTGTAGGCTCCAGTACACCGGCCACAACATTGTCGCGGACATCTCCGTTCATGAGGTCTAGGCCATACCGAAGTAGCACTTTTTTCGGATCACCCGCAGGCGCGTTCTGCGCGGCATTGTGGTAAGCACGCAGTTTGGCGACGAGATCGGTGGAATCCTTCGCAGCGTTGACGGCAAGTTGCTTGGGAATAGAAAGCAGAGCTGCTGCAAATTCGGCAATCGCCAGCTGTTCTCGCGATCCCTAATGCGAGATCATAGGATCATCGAGAGGAAGGCTGTACAAATATGATACGCACCAAGGTTGTTGCAAAGTTCTCCAAGTAAATGCTGAGCGCAGATTCAACAGCACCACCTCCAGGAACAACAGATCCGCTCTCTAAAGTACGCTTAATGATGGAGAGGGTGTCATGCAACGCTCTCTCCATCTCATCTAGCATGTAGTCATTTGCTCCACGCAGAACAATAGACGCAGAGCTGACCACCTTGGTGCCCTTGATGAGAATTAGTTCGTCGTCGGAGATGCGCTCCTGGACAACTTCGTCCGCTGTACCAAGGTAGCTGGCCTCATATGTCTCCTCGCCCTCTAAATTTGCGAGACTTGAGATGAGCGTGCCACCTGTTGCCTTTGCGATACGTCGGAGGTCCTCCTTTCTGCACCTTCTAACTGCCATCGCGCCAGCTTCGACAAACTCTTTTAGACACAAATCGTCGATGCCCTTCGTGGTCAGAACTACGTTGGCTCCTGACGCCAAAATTTTGCGGATTCGTTCTAGCGTGATTTCTGCTTCACTGCAAACACACATTCAGGAAAGGACCAAATGAAACAAATACTTTCAAAAACATACCGCTTCCTTATCTCTTCTAGTTGATTTGGATCTTCGACCAGGATCTGCACACCCAGCTGCATGCGGGCTTTTTGAAGATTGATGTCCAAACACGCAATCTTTGCATTAGTTATGCGTTTCTTCATTGCTAAATATCCCGCTTTAGTGAATCATTCACGTAAGGAGAAAATGATGTGGACCTTGACTAGCAACCGTGCAGTTCAGCGCATATCCTTGGACGAACAAAGATTCTCTAGCACTCTTGCCATGAGCCTTAAGCACGTTAACAGCCTTGACTGGATATTTGATGTCACCGCGCAAGTTAGTAGACTTGACAGCAAGCATGGCGTCCACAGCCATAGGGGCAAATAGATCATCGTCACTTCAAAGGGATTTGTGTCAAGGCATTGCAAAAAGTTTTAAGTAACGTACTTTCCAATGATCTTGCTAGACATGCTAGTCTTTGCAGCATTGACCAACGCGTCACGACCAAGAGAATCGACTTTGATGCTGAGTTGATCCTGCATGAACTTGACCGCCTCTCTGCAAGCAAGTCGGTAGCCGGTGATGATCGTCGTCGGATGAATTTTCGCTTTTACGAGCTCGTTCGCGCGTCGAAGAAGCTCAGATGCAATGATAACAACAGAGGTCGTGCCGTCTCCGACCTCCTTGTCCTGCTTTTGCGCGAGATCAACGAAAATCTTTCCAGCTGGGTGTTCCACAGACAGCAAAGACAGGATAGTTGCACCATCATTCGAAATGGTCACTTCCTAGTGAAAGTAAGCAAAAGAGGGTTGATCCCATAGAGAAATATGCGCACTCCGATGTTGTCGACGAGCATTTTATCGAGGCCGAGTGGACCCAAAGAGCTTCTGACGATGTTTGCGATGGCCAAAGCCGCGGTCACTGATCCGATGCGCCATGTGAGCTAAAGACTAACCGGCACCAAGCCACGTACCATTCTGATCCCGTATATCCTGTCCTGATACACGGTCACCACCAAGAAACGCGCCTGCTCGAGGATCGCGTTGGAACATCTTGCGTCTAGATGATCTTCCAGTTCAAGGACTTGCTGACATTTGTATCACTGCAGTGTCTGCTTACGCAAGATTGCCGCCTATGGTTCACGTCGTTCGAGAGTCAATAGGGTCACAGTGCTTCGTGCAAGTGCATCATAAACCGGCTTCAAAGCTTTCTTCATGGTCATCGCGGGTGGATGTCATTCCATCTTAATGTCAGCCATACACAAGCCTAGAGAAGAGCATGGCGAGCTGAGAGCTCCTCTACAACTAAATTTTAAATGTAACGCCAGCCTAGTCTCAGGAATTAATTGCTTCTGGTGACAATCAAAAATTCTAAACGTGCTGTGGGATATCGGTCGTGTCGACACTAATGCGCATGCGCCAATGTGTTGGACAGCTAATAATCTCAGTCACGTTTTGCTAGTCATCTGCCATAGAAGGAACGTGACTATACGTTCCTTCGTCTAAGTATATAGATCTGGCCGGAGACTAACGCCGTCAACTCATGATAAGCCAGGCTTAAACCATACCGAACGTCTGCAATAGCTTCCCGCACCACTGGTATGAAACCATGCAATGACATGTCGGTTGAACATCGCCTCTCTCTAGCTGCTGCCAAGGTCGAGGTGGAAGAGTGACGAGGATTAGTGGCAGACATTAAACAAAAAAGTGAATGGAAATCCATCCAGTGCTCACCGGCCAACTGTTCATCGATCACATCTAGGAGCAACCAGATCAAAGCTCAACTTGTGGTCCAAAGGCGCGGAGGGGAAAGATGGATAAACATTTGGCATTCGCTAATTGAAAGATATCAAGGGACAAGTCCGAGGTGATAGATACCGATGAGCTGAAAGGAGAAGGACGATAAACGCAAAGGACATAAATAGCTATCGATAGTCTTAGATATAGGGAATCATACTGAGGAGAAAGAGATGTTTGAACATATATAAGGAGATGTGGCGAAAAACTGTCTATGGCACATAAAACGGATGTAGGAGAGTTGAGCAGCCACGACCGAAAGATAGGACATGACTGATGCGATGGTCAACCCAATGGAGCGTCTAGTATCCCCAGATGGTTGGCTATAGGTTTGGATGACGGAGAAAAGATAAGGTTGCTGGTGGGACATGGTTTCACTGTGAGTTCGGGAATACATCGAACAGGCCTAAGCAGCATAGAGCGTAACGAGCGTTGAGATCAGCGTGCTGTAACATGACGTGACAAAATTGTGTCTGAGGGGGTCGTGGAGAGAAGATTTGAACGAAACGAGTAATGGGGGGCGTTTCACAAACGACTGGTCCCGAGGGAAGAGATGAAACTGATCGCGAAATCACTGGACATCCAAAAAGCAGATGGTACTTTCAACGTGGAGGAAAATGGAGCAGCGATGGAGAGGTCGGGTGGAGAGGTCGAGTCGGGATTAATAAGAAGCCATGCGAGCCGCGTCAAAAGTATCAGCGCGAGCGACGGTAATGCGACCCAATCTTTTCGCCTTCGACAGCAGCATGGTACCTTTATTGGGAGGAGGGCAGGGGCTGTCGCCGATGTCGGTGTCCTCGTCGTCTGTCTGAGTGATGTTACCGATCTCAGCCACAGTTGAGAGACCGTGACGACGCGTACGAGCGGCATTTGCGGCAGCAAATAGCTGTGGAGCACCCGCAGGCGCGGTATTTCTCTTGGGCGGCTGAGCGGTCATGCCAGCGACCTTCAATGCCAGGTCGCCGTAAGCGTATGATTTGGTGCGTCCAAATTTACCCTTGCGGAACTGGTCCAAGTCCTCTTTGCGGGAAAGCGCATAGTTGGGGTCATCCATAGTAACGTAGCCCCGGGGCTGACAGCGAGAAGCACATTGTTTGTAATATTCGCAGTACCCGCCTTCGAGGATGTAGACCTCCGGATAGTGGATCCGTGGATACATGTGATTATTCATGGCGCGATCCTTGGCACGGAGGTGTTTGGCACTAAATAGCATCGCATAATTAGTGTTACGAGAAAATGGTGAAGACGCTTGGGACTTACAACGTTGGAGCTCTCTTCGCACTGAATTCACAGTGGAAAACCAGGATAGTCTTTCTTTGGGAGTCGCCACTAACAGACGGTTTGGGCTTCTGCACGCCAAGTAAGAATTCTTCCACGCCAGTAGTGGTGTTGATGTTGACGGCGCCGGGAATATGACCACCATCGTACTCATAGTCAAAGCGGCAGTCGATGACGTGGAAATTTGCAATGCGGGAATCGTAGACACCGTCGAGAAGATCATCCAACTAAAAAAACAGGATGTTAAGCTTTGCCACCAAAGGCGCGAATAAGGGCAATCACAGTTTTCGGTACGACCCTCATCAAGCCATCCTCACGCACGCGGTGACATGGCAAGATTTTGCCAAGTGTCTCATTATCTCCAAATCCTGGCAAACCTGCAGCCATGAATTTCGCAGAGGGACTCTCAGATATATCGCGCTGCACCATAGCAGACGCGCCAGTCAGAGGTCTGAAATCCTCCGTGCCATCGCGTCTACGGATGGCCTTGAATTGCTGTCGCTTTGCATATGCCTGAGCGGGAGAGGACATATCAGGGCCGTCGAAAGAAGAACCCTCATCAGATAAATGGTCGACGACAGTGGATGGAACCATAGAAAAGGCGCGTCGTGAAGGAGGCAATTCGAGTGCTGACATCCCCGCTGGCGAGGTCTCTGAGTCGAGCACAGGGTATGCAGATTGTGGCGAAGGAACACCAGGTTGCACCAAAGCTGAGAAGGCAAGGCGCCGGGCTCGTTTACTTGCGTTAGGGGGGGCTCCAAGGCCCTGGAGTGCCGGTTTGGCGAAATTAGCCATGCGATCCAGCTTGTGCTGCGAAGGTGACGATGGAGGAGGGGAAGATGAAGGGTCATGTTCAACCCGCGAAACAGTCTCCGGAGATAACGAACGACGCTTTTTTGCCTGCGGCCCTCCAGGGGTGTCTAAGCAAGACGAGGTCATAACCCCATAAAACAGATTGTTGAACTCAGTCACAGTGGGTGCTGCAGAAAGAGGCGGAGAAGGCAGTAGGTCCGAATCAACGTCCATGGCGTCATCTGACGCTAAGGAAATAGATACATCCGGGGGCTGTCCACGCTGTCATATTAACAATAAGTCCGCTAGTCTAAATCAAAAGGGGGACTTGCCGGAGCAAACATGTTTCCGTCCAGTGTCTTAGAAGCTCTTAAAGGCTTAGAGGCGGCCATCCATTCCATAGGAAGTGCGCTGCGCTGGGTTCGCTTGGAGTTCGCTTGGGAGCCCGTTTTTGCACTGACGGAGTCATTGGAGAGAGTACCGTTACTCATGTCCTGACCAAAAATGCGAGCGGCACTTGTGGATGCACGGGGGCGTGTGGTAGGCCGGTTCATCGTGTCATTCTCCTTCTGCACGGGGCGGGGTGCAGGCGAAATATCCATCGGGACATCGTGGTCTTGCGCGAGCGACATTGTGTCACGTGGAGGGGAGTTGAGAGACATGGTAGAAGCGAACGACAGCTCAAGATCAGAAGACAAGAAATCGTCAACATCATCACGTTTAGGATTGAGCATCTGGCTGCGCTTGCGAGAGGGAGCAAGTGGCGCATACAGGTATTGCGAAGAAGTCGAAGAAAGAATTGGGAAGAAGGTCATGTCGCGAGAATCTGTGGTAGAAGGTTGGAATTGAGTTGTTCTCGGACGCTTGTTCGTGTGATAATCTGTGAGTCGTTTCAAGAAGGATGCAGACATGAGGGGTTGTTGTACAACAAGTCAAATAATTGATCCAATAAACAGTATTTGAGTGCCGGATGGTGATCGTACGAAGTTCGAGAGGTCGTACAGAACGTCGAGCACAAGATGTTACAACGGAGAGAGGTGCGTCCAAGAGAAATAGTCAGTCAACAACATCCACAGTCCACTAGAACATTGGTCGTGAGAAATACATACCGACCGAAGATGTGGCCCAAAGAAACGGATCGTGGCCGATGGGTTTACCGAAAGTAGCGACTGTGGACGACAAAGTCAGCAATCTAATGTGGCCTAGAATACGAAAGAGCTGAACAAAGAAAAACATCAACAGAAAATGCGACACATGGCTTGGCCATTGTCCACGAACCACTGAGAGTTTCGCGTAAATAATAACCTCATGGTTTGTTGATATGCCGGCGCGCGTTGCTCATATGTATGTACAAGGATGAGGAAATACTACTCACCTTGATCGTAAAGAATGTGTTAACGGAGGGGGCCGGGGCCTGAGTCGTATATGCAAAGAATAAGAGTGAGTTATCGACTTCACCAACAACTTGGCCTTCAGTCTGAATATCGTTCACAGTGCAACCAACTCGAACAGAACAGAAAACGTAAACAAACTTTGGTGTAGACAATTGTGGGTCCACAAAGTTGGATCCTGTCCTAAAAGGGTCAGCGACGCGCTGCACCTAACCAAGAAACGAGAAGATCGTGTCGTATGTGTATGAAGTGTCCTGCCTCCGTAGACGATTCAGCCCTACGCGCTTTATCGCCCTAGTGGTATGTGCTGGCAAGAGAATTAGGCAAAAGAACAATTGTTTGCCCTCTCTTTGGCGTATGTTGATATTGATCACGTGTATTTTGTCTTTTGTCAATCCGGGTTTCGGAACTTCTTTGGGACCGATCATCCTCCTAGTACATACACATACTATGATAGTCTATAACACAGTTCTAAGACAAGTTAATGATTCGTCGTGCACGTCGCTACAGCTGTACTTTCCGTTTCACTAAAGATGGCCTTGGATTTTGTACATTCACTTGGTCCCAGCTGCACACAAAGTTCAAACTATCGGCATCCAGCATCAGATATAAATTCAGAGGGGACGCACGGTGCAAACACATCTTGCATCTTCACACCATTGAATTCAGTAGGGTCCAGTTCTGGATACACCCGCTCTACAATGTCCACGATGGCCTTGAAGACAATCTGTGGTGAAGGTCAGCAAATTCAACAGAGTATCAGAATTTACGCGTACATTGTAACCATCACTGTTTAAATGTAGCCCATCGGTCAAGTATTTTTTGCATCCTTCCTCGCTTCGGCCAGCGCCATCGAACATCTGTGTCCAGATATCTGCCACGGGCACATTCTCGCTCTCACCTACTTCCTTGACGGCTTCTCGTAGTCTCAAATACACGTGGACTCTCAGGGTTACCCCGCTGCTTCTCATTTACTGGTGGTGGGGTAATCAGGATTATGCGGGTCTCGGGGGAGTAGTACGCTGACGTCGGCGTTTTTACCATTTTAATAAGATGGCTTAGATTCGCTTTGTACCTGTCTCTTGGCACATGTCGTGTGTTGGGAGCAGGCGCAGCGTCGTTGGCGCCATACCATATTGTAAGTAACTTGACATTCCGGACGTGATGCTGTTCATCCTGTTTGGCGAAGATCTGTCACGAATCTATTCAGCACACTGTCTTCGTCCCTGACAAAGGCATGTCTTTCACCTGCTCACAAATTGGAATGGCCCAGTCCGTTTGATAACCTCCGAGGCCGCGGTTGATAACGTCGAGCTTCCGAACGTATCTTTCTGTATGTCGCAGTTTCAGATTCTAGTCTCAACAAATGTGTGTGATTTGCACACCCGCAAGCAACTGCGCGAAGCCTCCTTGTTCCCATCCACGCTGAGTCAGGGAGTCACCGACGAGCATAATAACATCTTGTATATTGGCAGCCATATAATTTTCCTTGTCTTGAGACCGATTGATTAGAATTTGACAGATGTTTGAAGACAGTAAACGTTCGCCCACTATCTGTGCTGCTCGACCGATCGCTGTGATTTGAAAAACTTGGACGTGGGTATGTGTAGGTAGGAGGAGCAGTTACTAATCCTCAACACTGCTCTATGAATTCGATGCGGCATCCCGCGAACTAGTCATGTGGTCACCTGCTCCTCGTCAGGTTACACCCGCAGTTCCCAGTCCTCCCTCTACTTAAGATACACGGATGAACACAGTCGCAGTGCTGCGGCACAGTTATGAGAAAAGTTAACGATACGTCCGCATCCTCAGTAACCATATATACAGGGACTAGAGTTGCGTTTTCCGCTTTACCAGAGACGGTCTTGGATTCTGTACATTCACTTCGTTCCAACTGCGCATGAACGCATCAGCGTCCTTGGAAGCAGAAATAAATTCAAAGAAGACGCACGGTACAAACACACTTTGCATCCTCACACCATGTTCTTCAGTGGGGTCCAATTCGGGGTATACGCGCTCTACAATGTCGACGATGGCCTTGAAGACGATCTTTGACCTTGAAGGTGAGCAAGCTTGCAGATCAGAATTCAAGTTTGCGCGTACATTGTAACCATCACTGTTTAGATGCAGCCCATCGTTCAGGTATTTTTCGCATCCCTCCTCACTTCGTCCAGCGCCGTCGAACATCGGCGTCCAGATGTCCGCGACGGGCACATTCTCTTTCTCACCCACTTCCTTGACAGCCTCCGCGTACAACCTCGTGGTCTCGAATACGCGTGGACTTTCAGGGATATCCCATTGCTTCGTATTTACCGGTGGCGGGGTGATCAAGATTATGCGGGTCTCGGGGGAGTAGTACGCTGACGTCGGCGATTTCACCATTTGAATAAGATGGCTTAGATTCTCTTTGTATCTGTCTCTCGGGACGTGTTGTGGGCTGGGAGCAGGCGCAGCGTCGTTGGCGCCGTACCATATTGTGAGTAACTTAACCTGCGGGACATGATGCTGCTCATGCTGCTTGGCGAAGATCTATTACGAATATATTCAGCTTCGTCTCCGAAAAGACGACGCTATCTTTTACCTGCTCACAAACTGGAATCGCCCAGTCCGTTTGATAGCCCCCGAGACCGCGGTTGATAACGTCGAGCTTCCGAACGTATCTTTCTATAACATCGCAGCCTCAGATTCTAATTCTTTCCAAACGTTTTTGATCTGCGTACCCGAAAGTAACTGCGCGAAGCCTCCTTGTTCCCATCCACGTTGAGTGAGGGAGTCACCGACGAGCATGATAACATCTTGGACATTCGCGGCCATATCTTCTACTATTTCTTGCCTTATCACCGATCGATCAGTTATTTGATAGATGGTTGAAGACTGTTGACGTTTACCTACCTCCAGTGTCACTGGCCCGATTGCTCTATACGATGGTTTGGAAGACAAGGGCCAATAATAAAGGTAACAGGCTGCAGGAACATATCGTGATGATCTTATAAACACATCTATGGATTCGATGCGGCATCCCAGGGCATCCCGCGGACTCGCGAGGAGTCATGTGGTCGGGAGTCGGGACGTTACGTACATTACTTATTCGTGCATCGTTATGAAAACCTAGTAATCTTTGTCCTTTGATTCTCAAATCAGCCTGGCCAGTGCAACTGGCCAAAATCGCAGGTATGACCCACCCTATATTGCTTCGAGTTTCAAATTTCAAAGCCTACGTGTGGGACGTCGACGGTTAGGTCATTATCATAATTTGATATCGCCATTTTTAATCGTGCACGAGCAGACATCAACATCCTACGTTCACATCATCATATATGTGGTATCCTTACTGGGACTCTTCCACACCTGTCCTCGCAGAATATATTCTTAGGATTACCCCTCCAGCTGATGCCGGAGGAGGCTGTTCTCCTTGTCGAAAATGGTTAGTTCTTTTAAAATTTATGCGCCTCATCCCAGCAGCGATTATGCGTCTAGGAATCGCTGTGTTCGTGGACGATCCCAACGCCCACATCGCTCCGTCTCCATTGGTGTTGAAACTATGGCAAGAAGCGCGCCTCAGCGACGTAAGACAGCAGATAGCTTTAACGGAAGAGAAAGAGTCCATCGAAGCTTCTAACCCTGATCGCGCCATGTCTGAAAGTGCGAAGCGCAAGCGCAAAGAACGAGAAGAACGCCGTGCACGTGCAATGGCCAATACCGCTCCCAACGTTGCTACCGAAGATAGCCCATCTTCTCCCACACCTGAAAATCCCTCACAGCCTGCCATCGGAGAATCCCCGGACAGTGCTATTGTGCCCTCTGCACCTCACACCGTCCATATTCCCGCGTCTTCATCCACGCTGGAATGGTACGCGCCACACTCCCATTCATCCTTAACAATTGCACGCGAAGCTGGCATATGGCAGTATCCCTCGACCCTACAGGAGCGCGCACGCTGTGGCGTCTTTCGCGACTTGTGGGAGAAGGGATATTACATGGGTGGAGGCATAAAGTTTGGTGGCGAGTACTTAGTCTACCCCGGTATGTTTTCCTTTCTGTCCGCAAACCTTCCCGTTACACCACCCACGCACGTCCTTAATTATTTTCGTTAACCAGTAGTATATCGGAAACACGTGCTGACTTGTGTTATTCATCGTGTTTTATCTTCACAGGTGACCCCCTCCGTTATCATTCGCACTTTGTCGCATCGGTCATCGAAGCTCCGGATGCCGCTCTCCGCCCAATGGAAATTGTCGCACATGGCCGACTTGGCACTGGGACAAAGAAGGCTCATTTGCTGTGTGAATGGAATGATGAATCGCAGGTTGTATCTTATCTCTCTATCGAATGGGCAGGATTTGGGTGAAGACCTGGATATTGTATAGAAGCGATTGTGCCTTGTCTCAAAACTTCTATACCACGTTGTTTCCAACCCAGTTGTTGTCTACTGTTCTCATCATTATTATCAAAGGGGTATAGAATTGCGAGGGTTGTGCGTGATATCAAGCAATGGCATGCAAGTATGAGTCAAAGTTGCCAGTAAGATCATGATTGTGATATCCGTCAATCCCTCTTTCGCCTCACAGCACTAGGTGCCTTGCCATTCCTCGGTGGCCTTTCTCCAAGCCTCCTTGCCTGAACAGCTGGGGAATCACCTCTCGCCGTACGACCGACATTCCTTAATTCAACACCTGCCCCTTCTTCTGCCTGTTCGGTAGTTTCGCTTGGTGTTCTCCGGTGTCGAGTACCCGCGCTGCCACCGACACTTAACACTCTGACGATGAGATCGTTCAGCCAAATGACAATTGCAAAGACCGGCATCCTAATCGGAACGAGCGGCGAAGGAAAGCGCATAGCGTCGGTAGACTCCGTGAATGGTGCAGGATTGTAAGGATCCTGCGGGACGGGCCGTGCGTGCATCGCCATTATGATAAACTGGAATCAGTAAATCAGTAGTAGAACCATGGGAAGAAAGGAGAAAAGATCATAAAACATACGGCGGGGAACATGAGTGCGAAAAGGGCAGCGTTTGCCAGTCCACTTCCACAATTGCAGATCACGGCGGACGGAAGACCAAATGCGAAGTAGTATGCCCATCGTTCTTCTAGATGACGCACTCTTTGGGCCAAGGATGAACTACGGGCCACCCATACAAACCTGAGATGTCCGTACTTCAGTGGGAGCGGCGATATCTCAGTGACGGTAACTTACTCAAAACAATAATATCTGAAGGAAAGTTAGAACTGCCGATTATCAATCAGCAGCTGGTACACTGACGCATTAACCCAGCACATAAATGCAAAACTCATCCACGGTCCGGCAATTGGTATTGAGCCCAATGCCAATGACACGATAACAGAGGTAAGAATCATAACAGCACGGTATGCGGACGTGGCGAGCATAGTTAGCATACCGTTATAGGTAACTGGCTGTTGATGTGCCGAGCGGTTCCCGTGCTGAAGGACAAAGGACCGTTTCGCGATAAGATTGCACCAGGAACTCTGAGTGGAAGAATAATTTCGGTTCATTTCTAACTGAAATAAGCCCTCAAGATCAGGTTATTGACGTACATTAAGATAGTAAGACACTCCAACCACCGGGAACAGCCAAAGAACACGATAAAACCATCCCACATTGCGGTGAAGCCAGCCCGGGTGGTTATGCACGAGAGGTTGTAGAAGCAAATCAAACGCGTAGATGGAGGTCAAGGACAGAGAATTGAGCAGCAACGACTTGAGAATATTTGAGCGAATTTCACGATCGCTGTAAGGTTCCGAGGAATTGTGTGTAGGACGACAAAATACATAGACAGTGAGTGAATGGAATGTACCTTGTAGCGGTCTTCACGACAACATCCCACCGAAAGGCTTCAAGAATACCCCTGGATGCCCATGTCAATTGTAGCTTGATCGTTTCTTGTAAAGAGAGAAATATAGGATAAGCAGAGCGGGATAGCTGATGCTGGTGCGAGTAAGGATACGGGGATTGTATGCTACTCGACTGTCTGGACATGTCCCTCCTCGAAGTCGCAGTGCCCGCTCGTGCCACAGCAGTTGGTGAGAAACAACGAATTTGGTAATAGTCGGAGTCTTGCATATGCGCGGTGCTCATGCGCATACACGTTATCCCCGAACGGATTTGAATGCATTCTTAGATAAGTAGGTTGGCTTAGGTTCTAACCACGCCGCACCCTAGTTCTATCATGACCCTCTTGTTCGAATCTTACTCTGCTGTGTAACCTTGGAATCAAGACATTGACCACGACAACTAGTCCCCTGGGATACACGAGAATTGATGGTTTGATACTCGAGGGCTAGTATGACCCAATAAATTACAATACAATCAAATACGAGAAATAAGAAAGGTGCAATCAGACCGGCGAGGGAAAGTGCATGGAGGAGGTAGAGTAGTCATAGACTAGGTTCTACAGCTTAGTGTACCATGAGATCAGGGGGACAAGTATATCAAAGATGGCGGCTGGAGGATCACTTATTTCTTGACCACCTGGTCGAAGGGCAGGTCAACCTATGCAATCACAGCGCATTTCAGTTATTTGCATACCTTCTTCCTGCTCGTTGTTGAAGTCGCTGCCTTGACTGCGGGTTTCTTTGCGGTGGGTTTCTTGGTGGCTGCAGCCTTGGCCTTAGCGGATGCGCTTGTTCCAGTTACGGCCTAAGAAATTTGAAAGTAAGTGGCTGGCAAAATGCCTAAAATTGAGCCAACGATCAGACCTTCTTTGCGGCGCCACGCTTAGATGCGGAGGTCGTCTTCTTGACAGGGGCAGATTTCTTGCCTGCCATCGTCTTTTTTGTTGCAGGAGCTGCCTTTGCCTTGGTAGAAGCCGCAGATTTCGTCGCCGAAGTCTTTGCAGCAGTTTGAGCTGCAGGTTTCTTAGCGGTGGCGGCCTTAGTTGTTGGCGCTGTCTTCGCTTTCACAGCTGGCTTCTTGGCCGCGGTGGCCTTTGCGGTTGTAGCCTTTGTAGTTGCAGTCTTGACGGGGCGTGCCTTAGTGGCCACCTTGGGTGCAGCCTTCGTAGGCTTGTTCTGCTCTCGCTATATTAATCACCACATCACGTGGTCAAGTCAGTGAGTGCACGGACCTCCTTGGAGGCTGAGGTGTCAGCGGCCCTTGCGGTCTTAGGAGGCAGTTTCACTCGACCGGAAGGTCCTATACAGTGGTCATCAACACAGAACTGGGTTGTGGACCTACGCAATGATTTTCTTACCCTTGGGAAGGACAAAAGTCCCCTTCTCTGCACCGCTGGTGATGGCCTTGCTCAAATGAGTCAGTTGAGCGTTGTCAATGACGACGTTGTATTTCTCCTCGACGAATCTAGAGCACTCTAAACATCCCTCGGTTTAGCAGAAATATGTGAACTCACTTCTTGATCTGGGGGCGGGAGACGCCAGAGCGGGCGTCCTCAGGATTGGCAGCAATGCACTCCTGTTTAGTAATATCGCATGTTAGAAAAGTTGTTCCGTGGCTGGTAGCACCCTTCACGATATGAAGATGCATGCCACAAGGTCCATTAGGCCATTGGGAGACGAAAAAATAAATGTGGCCCGCGATTCCGTATACTCCCCCTGGAGCCTGCCTTTTATAGTACCCCTGGGTGCGGATGCCTCACCCTTTCTATGATACTCGAAATCGGACCAAGGAGAGGTATAGGATGGAGTAGAGAATGCTAGAATATCGATTGACTGACCTTGATCATATCGACCCAAGATGGGTGATTGGGAGAGGCCCTGGTGGTCTTCTTAGCACCCGATTTCGTTGCAGTGACTTTCTTCACGGACATATTGCGAGCGATTGTAAAAATGCTGTAAGTGTTATTCTTGCTGTCTGTGCTAATTGTGATGCTCAGCAGGGACCGGAGTAACTGGCGGAAACAAACGGATTGGAGATGGTGGTGGTTTGAGAGAGGGATGTGTTGAAACTCCGAGGGCGCGTTGAGCAGTCAACAAACTCAATTCGCGCGAGTCACGTGAGTCCATATTTCAGATACGTTTATCGACCCCATTTACTCTACACAGAAGGTCCCGCTAATTCGCCATTTCGTCTGATTATTGAAGCTGAGTACGGTAGGGGATTCCTGTCTGAAAAAGGCGCAAAATCTAAGGCAGAAGCAGACAGTACATATTGATCCTTGAAAATGGCAGTTATGCTCAAAGAACCGCACATATATTAACCTCGTACGCGCTGGAGTACGTGCATTCAACTGCTGCTTCCTACAGGACCTCAATTTTTCATTTATTCGTCGGTTGGATGATTTATGGGACAGTCAGGGAGAAGACATGTTTTTGTCCTATTCAGCAAGAACGCGACGCGTCCAAAAAAGGAGCGCGTCTTACGCCCTAATGGCTGCTCGGTCCCCGTTTGGAAGTTGTGCTTTTGATCGACGTCGGAACTTCCCGATAGGTTGGTATCGAGTCCGGCCTAGTCCGACGACTTGTTCGACCATGTCTGTTACGCCAGCGCTCAGAGCAGGTGTCCGCTCAGCGTACCGTGACTTGCTACGGGCTTCAGCTTCTACTTTCTATGGTTGGTCATTTTTTCTTTCTTCCATGGACTATCTCACCCTAGTTCATAGGCGATGAGCCCATACAAAGAGGTTTGTACGCACACAATGTCCATACCTCCAGAACTTAGCAATTTGATTCAGCATTCCGACACAAGATGCGGACGGAAACATTGTATTTGGACAACTCCGCACAACATGACGTGAAACTGGTCGAAGAGAAAATCCAACTCGCCCGTGAGCTTGCAATCATGTTACGCAGAAACGTTGTGCAAGCTCGCAGAACACAAACCCAAGATGGGGATGATGCTTGGAGTATGTGGCCTGCGATTAGACTCACTCGGAAGTCGCTAAGTCGCGTTATAGACCTCCGGTTCACGAAGGACACTGAACTTGGCGAAAACGAGAGTATTAAGAACCCACCTCCCATGCCATCCAGCAGACGAGCGCGAAGATTAGAGAAGGGCGAGCAAAGGTTCGTTTTATGGTCAAAAAATTTGCAGTAGGTCACTAAGCTAACTCATAGTATAGAACCTGCTGCTCAGCATAGCGCTCATATGCCACGCAATTTTTCTGCTCTCAAGAGGGCCCACCGAGAGCGGAAGATTCCGGAGTTGCGTGAGGAGGACCTTGAGGAATCGTTCGTTAGAGGTGGGTGAAAGTCAAATGCGGACTGCTTTCAGTTATAATATTTATTAATGTACGACCAAGGCAGCGGTCCTGGCGGGCAATCTATCAATAAGACCGAGAATAATGTCCAACTTCTTCATAAACCCACTGGTTTTCGTGTGGCATGCCAGGAAACTCGATCACTTCAAACAAATCGCATGCTCGCTAGGCGATGGCTCCTGGAAAAGGCGTGTATCTCTGAATATCTTGTGACGCCTACATAGATGGGCTAAATTATTTCTATCGAACACTGTTCCCTCTGATTGAATTCATTTAGGTAGACAAACTTCACAATCCTGGCCTATCTAAGGGTGAACTGCAACGTGCGAAGCAACAGGAAAGAGAACGTCAACGACGGAAGAAGTCGAAGAGGAAGGCGAAGGCACGAGCGCAAGAGAAAGACTGTCTGGAAGCGCAGGAAAAGTGATGAACCCTATGGCCAGGACGTGTCATGTATATGAAAATGACTACCGCTTCTGTCTAAGCATTCGTTGAGACCCTATAGGCCTAGAAAATATAAGTACAAACAGAATGTGCACGCTGCACAAGTTACCAGCTGCGGAATACTCCGGTGTGGGGAAGTCGCGCAGCATTTCACAAGCTTAATAGAATTCTCTGTCACCATCTTACGCATACCATCTCGCAAGGGCACAACTGGGCCTCCCGAAGTTTCCTTTTCTTGTTTGGAACCCACTGTTGGAAGAAGACAAGTTCGGTCGATATGTCATCATCTGCTCAAGGGCTCTACTCGCTGGCCACTCTAATCAAGCGGTGTGCATCATTGTAGCAACCAGTTCTATGGAAGCTGACATCAATGTGCAATTAGGCTTGAAGCAATTACTTCGCGTCTTGAAGACGTGGAAGATTCCAGGAGTGGAGGTCATTCCAAGCGACAAAGTACCAGCACTGTCACTAGCGCAGCTGTTGCTGAAACTCCATCGGCTTCACCACCGCCTGTGATTGATGTGCAAGTACAAGTGCCACGTGCAGTTGCTGCATACGATGAGATTGTTATAGAAGGCCAACTTAAACCCTTCCTCGAGATCAATAAAGCCATTGCGCCTCCTCCACTAAACGAGCAGGTCATTTGCTGCACGATTTTTCTGTTTTTATATATTGAAGATTCGCGGTCCCAGGTTGATATGTTTGCCAAAGTACTTGCAACCCTGCGGTCTGTACTTCTCCAGGCCGCAGCATGCAGGAAGCCCGATCAAAAGGTGTTGATCGAAATTCTGTCGCCACTCCAGGCAGGCGTTGAGGCCGTGACCCGCGCTAAAGAGGCTGGGAGAAAGGAGAGAGACTGGTTCAATCACCTCACTGTTGTCGCAGACGGGACTGCTTTCGTTGGATGGGTCACTGTGGTATGATCTTGACGCGTCGAAAGGCCTTTTGAATGACGATCGCTTGCAGGAACCCAAACCGGCACCATACGTAAATGAGATAAAGGAAAGCGCCGCGTACTATGCAAACAGGATACTCAAGGATTTCAAAGAAAAGTGCGACTGACATCTTGCAGGAATGGTCTAAGTTGACGCCTATCCTAGGGACCCAAGGCACGCGGAGTGGGTACGAGCATTCAATGGAATTCTCGATGGGATGAAGCGCTATGTTATGGAGTTCCACACCACTGGTCTTGTTTGGAATGTCAGCGTAAGTGTTCATTTGCAATTGAATTATAGACCATCATAGACCATTTGCTACAGGGCATCCCGGTCTCGGAGTACAAGACGTCTCGTTCACAACCAGTCAGCGGTCCGCCGCCACCACCGCCACCACCGCCACCACCACCACCTCTAGCTGGATCAGCACCCTCCTCGGCAGCCCCTGCTGGTGGAGTTGCTGCTGTATTTGCAGACCTAAACCGCGGCGCAGAAGTAACAAAGGGGCTACGTAAAGTTGACAAAAGCGAGATGACCCACAAGAACAAAGACCTGCGAGCCGGAGGCGTAGTCCCTGCAAGCAGCGGGGCGGGTGAGTTTTCTTGCACTCGGTACATCAGACTTTCCTCATTATATGAATAGCTGCTAAGAAACCTGTTAAACCAACCAAACCTCAAGCCTTGATGGGCAAGAAGCCTGCCAAGTTCGCGCTGGAGGGCAATAAATGGGCCATTGTAGGCATCCCGTTTCAAATCATGTGACTCATCTGAAGGTCACTCAGGAATATCAAGAGAACGAATCCGCCTTGGAGGTCGCCAATACGGATATCAGCCAAGTAATCAACCTCTTTGCTTGCAAGAACACGACTGTCATTATCAAGGGGAAAATCAACGCCGTCACCTTGGGTCAGTGTCTGTTGGGTTGGTTTGACAATATTGTCACTTAAAAGCATATGACAGTCAATTGCACGAAGACTTCTGTGCTCGTCGAATCTGTGGTTTCTTCTGTCTCCATCATGAAGTCTCCATCGTTTGCCCTGCAAATTACAGGAGTGGCACCTACTATCCAAATCGACTCAACGGATTCGGGGCAGATTTACCTCTCGAAGCAGTGTCTTGGTGTTGAGATTACTACAGCGAAATGCAGTGCGATCAATGTCAGCTTGCCAGTCGAAGGGGAGGAGGATGGTGTCTTTGAAGAGCAAGCCATGCCCGAGATGCTGAAGACAGTGGTACAGAATGGCAAATTGGTCACAACAATTGTGGAACACACCGGCTAAACTACACAAATTACCCATACCTCTACCTAGTTATGTGCAATTGCAATTAATTTCGGGGACCAATGGTCTTGATGACGTAGATCATGCTCCGGGTATATGCATATTGGGTATGGGAGAAGATTCGTGTCAGTGAACACCGAGACGGTAAGTATGCACTCTATATGACGTTATTTAGCTTGGCACTGCCTTTCAGGTTTGTTCAAATTTCATGCGTCCAGGATCTAGCCACCCGACACCATACGACTTGACCCTCCCATATCATGGATATCGTGGGCTGGCATGCTCAGCGCAGTGCCCATAAGGCGAGTCATAGTTCATGCTTCAGGTTTCCCTGGAAGTGATTCACACAAGAGCCTGGCGCTACACAGGAAGCACGACATTTCTCTGAAGCCCAGAGAGGGCCAGACGGGACGTATCTGCCTGTAGAGGAGATTGATCCACTCCCTGATGGGACTAAGCTCGCTCAGGCTGACTTTCGCGTACCACCCTCGGCATCCCCGACTCCTGGTACTCTGACACCTCCTGTTCCTCCAAAATATTTTCCCGAGAATCTTGCCCACAATGCATATGCTTCTACTGGCCTTTCTATTGAGCAGTCAGTCTCTGGTAACTCCAGCGTCTCTTTGGCTCAGATGCCTGCAGTCGAACGTTCTAGAGCACAGAGACTGGCCAGGATGGAACCCCACCTTCAGCTCATGGTCGGGCCCCTTTTGCGTTACGATACAGTTGACGAAAGCGGTCTTTGGCGAGGCGCAGCTCTTATTGTCAGTAAGTGTACCCTTGTGCCCGTGGCCGGGAAATCAGGCGTTGCAACTACAACCTTTCTAGCCGCAGATGCAGGATCTTCCTATGAGCCATTTCCAGTCTTAACTTATCAGTGGGACCCTGAGGAGATTTCCCGACCTTCTCTGAAGACGCAGGGATCTCGTTCGCTTTACGACCTTGGGCCGCACCCTGCGGATCCTCACGCCACTGCAATGGCTGGACCGTCAGCCCAGTCCCCTGACGCGAACGAGGCTTACTTCGGTGACTACAAGGGAAAAGGAAACACGAGAGACGATCAGACCCAACATGTAACTGGTCAGGAGATTTATGTCTATGCAGGGAATGGAGGGTGAGTGCAACAGGTCAACACAGTAGTAAGGGATCTTTGAACACTGAGACTTATACAGCACCTTTACGTTTTGGCGATTCCCCATCCAGATACAACTAGGTATCAATGAAATCTGCATCAAGTATAGTGTCAATGGCGGCATACAACTGTCCTTCTTCGTGCCTGCTCGTCATCAGAACATGCGCTGGGCAGCCCATTCGGTAAGGTTATCACAACCTGTGAGCAGCACGTTTGCCCACTTCCTCTTAGTGTAACGGTTTCAGCGCTGGTGTAAATCCGGACGACTTCAGGGGGCCGGGATTTAAGAGTGGTTATGACCCTATGTGGATTGATCTCTTGCGGAAGCATGTCGAACAACCATTTCATGTGCTTGTGGGAGGAGGCGATCAGTTATACTGCGACTCGTATGTATCTATGCATTCCCATCATCCTGAATAACCACGCTTTTCTGCTAGGTTGACTCGAGAGCCTGAGATACAACAATGGATCTTGGCAAAGCCCTCCGCGAAGAAAAAAATCCCTTTGACTAGTGAAATTGTCTCATGCATTGACCGTTTTTTCTTCAATCATTACTGTAGCTCCTTCAGAATGGGAGCGTTTGCGAGGGCTAATAGTTCGATGTACGTGGCCCAAATAATTTTAGGTATCCCCTCTGTTACTCACGACTACTGCCCCTGCAGTCCAATGTTGAATATGTGTGGTGAGATATGCGGATTGGACATCTTCGATAAAACACTCATATGTTGCATCTGCAGATGACCACGGTAAGTCGCTGATGTGTGCAACGGTGACTTCTTAACCAATCAATGCATATCTGCAGATTTGGTGTGTGCGATTGCGCACCATTCCCTTGTTACTGACTAATCTTGCGCATCTCAAGATCGATGGGTTTGGGAGCTGTACGTGACTTTATAGCTTGTTGATTCATTCATGACCATTCTTTACTGCAGACCCTGAAGAGCTTCAACAGTCTCCTGTGTTCAAGCAGTGGGTAGCTTTCATATCTCGGAAAGCTCTTGTTCATAACACCTTTAGTATCGGAACGCGAGGCTACTTTTTCTATCTGCTTTTTCAATGCTTCATCCATCGTGCGTTGCGGATGGCAATAGATTTCTCATATGCTGATCTCATCCTCATAGCTCATCACGATGGATTGGACGATAGAACAGGGAAGCACATGTTCAAGTCACTTATTTTGGGGGCTCAAGGCCCCTATGTCGGTTTGCCGTCGCATTCGTTTTTGTCTTACCTGGGGCCTGATGTGCAGATTCTCATGTTGGACTGTCGGTAAGTGGTCATCACACCGCGCAGTTTGGAGGCCTATGTGCTAATACATCACCGCTACAAGGGCCGAGAGAAAAAGGACCCAGGTCTGCAGCGAGTTTGAGTACCAAAAGGCATTTGAACGAATTAGGTATTTACCCTCGGACGTAAAACATCTCGTCGTGCAACTTGGTGCGGTCTCCAATGAGATCACAGCATCACCTTCATTTCATGTTGATCCGCAGGCATCCCCATTGCGTACCCACGAATGGTCTTCCTTGAAACTGCGCTAGACTCCAAGTTTAATCCCTTAATTGCCCTTGGACGCAGCGGAACCGCGGGGTTCAGTAGTTTTGTGAATAAGTTTAACGCGGACGCCGAGTTGCTGGATGATCTAGTGTGTTATTTCTCTCACAACGTGGCACGATGTAGCTGATGGTCTGAATAGAATGACCACTGGACCGCGAAGTCGCACAAGGTTTGGGAACGATCTCTCGTGTGGCTTCAACTTACAAAATTACTTCTTATAGAAAGAGCGCAACTGGTTTATTCAACAGATGCAAGGAATTGCAAGGATGAAGAGTCTGCGTATTTCCTTTCTTTCTGGAGATGTGCACTGCGCAGCCGTAGGGGTTCTTAAAACACTGGTCCGCGCCAATGGAGGAAAGAACAACCGGACGATTGATGTTCCGCCCGAAACTGATTATAGATACATGATTAATGTGGTAACAAGTATGTTCCTTTTACTCCCTCTCAAACTTCGTGATTCAATATTGTTTCAGGTGCAATCGTCAACGCACCGTAAGTGATGTGGTCATCTGCTGTGGGCAATGAAGCATATTAAGCCACTCTCAGGCCGCCGAATGGGGTGATCGCAATGGTGTCTACTTTGGCGACTAAGACTCATAGAACGCTGCATCACGCAGAAACTGATGAAGTCATGGTATGTCTCGAATCCTGAAAATGACCTGCAGCGATTCCATGCGTTATTTCCTGTAGCTTCCTATTTTTGTGAAGGAACCAAATGGTAACATTCGCCTCCAAAACAAGTATATAATGGGGCGACGGAACTGGTGTGCGGTCTCGTGCGATCCTCAAACACAAGAACTGGAATTTGACATTCGCGTCGAGATGGAAAAAGGGATTGGTGTCAGTGCTAGGTGAGCTTATAGTCTGTTTTTGTTTGTATTAGAAAGGTTCACCATCGTGTACCCCAGCTATTCAGTCCGAAGTCCTCCCCCCAAGTGGTTTCCTGGAACATAATACTTGGTGTTTCATATTCATGGTTTATGACACCGTTCGGTGTTGCATTATATACTTGGACTGTCGATGGCAATTTTTATTTACTCGAAACTTCGAGTTTACTTCCTTCAGGTGTTCAAGGACAATGATGAGTACTAGTAGAAGGGTTAATTAATAGTACTCAGGTGCAGTAAGCTTAAAGTCACGTTTGCCATCGGTAGACGAAATATTTTGGAAGGCGGTGAAGGTAAACCAGGGGTGTTGACAATCACCCGCTTGAACGCGCGGTGTACAGTATGCATGACGTACATGGCACACTCTTTCTCGGCGATGCTGCAAATTCCTACATGTTCAATTGTTTCGCATCGTCTTTCAGCGGGTGACCCTAGTGGTCTTTAAATCTGTAGCAAAGAAGCGCGTACTGCTACTCTGGAAGTGTACTCTAAAAGTTGTGCTTGGCCAGAGCCCGCGGCACTTCCTACTAATTCACCCACACAAGCACTGAAACATCAATACAGCTCGGAAGCCTTCGAGTTGTGCCCAACGTTGACCGACGCGTGGGCCCGCCGTCGATGATCCAACCATGGAGACCCCTTCATCACACTCACCTTTTGAGCCCTGTCTCATGCCACTCATACCAAGTCCCGTGCTCAGGAAGATAATGATATCAACTTTACGCCCGTCGCGGATCCATCATCCCAGTTCGATGTTGCCGGCGACGACGGCAATCAGCCCATTTCTCGCATGCCACTGAATGCCATTTCTTCCCCGTTGGATAGCCGCTATCATGATGGCTCATTTTATGAATTTGGAACATCTACAGCAACACTCCAGCAGCACGCATCCGCGCCTTGCTCACACATCCATCACATTCGTCCTGCAGAAAATATCCTCTTACAAGACCCTTTGCATCACAAATTTCGGATGCGGACTCCGGCTGTGGCATCTCGTTTTACGCCTCCTACTCCAAGCGTAATTCGGGACAGCCTGAAGGATTTGTTCTCTCATGCCAGGCATGAGCCTGGGGACATGTCACAGAAGTCGGGACCGCGTAGCAACAGTTTTGGTGTCAGTGAGATTGTCATTGCCACTGTTGTTACTCGTGCAAGAGTACGGTATAAAGGCAAAGGACAAGTTTCAGTGATGATGATAAACCCAGTGCGTCGATGCCCTTTACTTCATCATCTGTGGTATCATATTACAATATCAAAGTGTCTCCACCATCCTCGCTACCAAGACAGCGAGGCTCACTTATTCAATTACCCTCTATCGTTTTTTTCTGAAGACTTCACAGAACTCTTGCCTTAACTTCGGCTGCCCCGTTCTGTTTTACTCCAGACTCTCCATTAAAGACCTCAGGTTTAAGAACAGAAGATGTTACCCTCTTCCACTCCGGGACAATTACCACTGGAAAGTTCCTCATCTCAGGATAGTGCTGAGGCACAGACACGCGAGGCAGATGTCACTCCCGTGCAAGATAGCCTCGCCAATACGAACTACACCGAAATGAAGGCCTCAAGACCTCTGGAAAGCAGCGGCCTGTGCACGCCAATCCCTTCTCCGTCGCGTGCTAAATCTCTTCCTTTACGCACCCCGGCACCCCCAGATGCACGGATGTCGACCCGAAAGCAACCCACGATGATTTCGGAAATTAGATCTCACAATGGATCTACTGATCAATTCAAGTTTGGTTCTATCAGAAGGAGAAAGAGCACCATCAAAGTGCGCTTTGGTGTAACGAAATCAGAGGAGTCAACTGCTGAAGTCGAACATCAAGAATCATCTGTGACTACAGTGCGCATATCTGCGCCTGACTCTGCGCCTAATGGTCACGCATCACGGGTGGAGGGCGTCCCCAAAGAATGGACCAATGGTTCCTCTCAAGGTGATGCCGTAGACTGTTTGGTCCCAGCTATGCCTGTCGCTCCTGGGGGCCGTATGACACCCGCATCTCGTGCAAATGCACCACCATCACGTCCACAACACCCAGCGTGAAGGTTGTGGATGCATTCGGTCGAGAAAGGATTGACGAACTTCCGATACCGATTGCGAACGGGCGTGCGGGCGCAAAAGATATAATTCGTTCATCGTCATCAGCTAAAACTCCTCGCACCCTTCGTGCCTCAAGCAAGAGCAAAATTCGCATCGTCGATGCAATGGGAAGTCGGGAAGGGAATGTCACTGAATCCTCATTCGTTGAAAATTCATCAGTCCTACATGACAATACGCCCATTTGTCGCACTGGGACCCTGTCTCAAATACAACAAACGCTGTGGGAGTGGGCTGGTAGGCTGATGAGTGACGAAGATAGGTAATATTGTAAGCGTAAGACTTCACCAAAAAAAAGCGGATTGATAGGAACTGCATTAGGCTTGCTGATGATCTCGCACTGAACACGACCCACCTCAAAGAGCTCGAAGAAGTTTCAAGGACATCACGGCACGCTCAGAATCAATTGGCTCGGGCACTTCGTGTCGAATCGGTGAAAGAGCACGACTTGATGCACAAATATGCCAAGGATGCCATGGGCCGAAGCGGGCTTTTGGTAAGACAAAGTGCATATATATTTGAAATGGTCGCGTCTTATCATTCTCGTAGCCGACTATCACTGGTGGCAGCGGTTCTTTCCACCGTGATTTGGTTTGGTTTGGAGTTATGTTACAGATTATTTTCGTCCTTGCAATGTGGCGGTGGGTTTCTCCACTTCATATGGAAGTTTCCTCACTGATCTTATGAATGTCTACGTAGATTCGTACATGTCCAAGCTCTCCGTCTCTTCTGTACCGTCTATTATGATCCTCTATGTCCGGAGTTGAACCCCTTACCTGGGCACTCCCGCCAATTCTTGCCCCCATACCCCTCATTCCTGTGGTCGCTCCCACAGGCGTACGAGGTCCTGAAACACGAAGGATGGATAGCTTTGAAAGCGGAACTACAGGGCGCTGTGCGCCGCGCCGGTGAACGTGCTTGGGAGAGCTGGACAGAACCCCCTAACGCAGGGACTTGGTCACCTACGCGATTGTGTCGTCAAAACCTGCAAAACACTCCAGACTATCTAGCGCACCTTACGGCCCCCGGAGTCCTTCCCTACTCTGGACTTGCGCCATGCAACCCATGGGGAATGGTTGAGTTCGAAATATAACTGCTCTCCATCGTTGGTTTGTCAAGGTTCAATTTCAGAACAACTTCGCCAGCCACAACGACCCCCTATATGGCGTTAGCATTTTGTTTCATCCTAACCGGCAGTTGAGAAATTTCTATATGTGACGACCTGCCAACTTGGCTTCACGCCCACCCAGTGGTTAATCGAGGTATAAGACAATTTTCCCTCTTGATCTCAGTACCGGCCTTTTCGCACTGCGGTCAATAGAACGAATAATGTATGAGTCACTGCTTCCGCATGTTGCACTTCTTCTGAGTCTTATCATCCTTCATATGCATGTCCGATTACGCATTCAGTATAAATCTATGTATTACAGTAGATCTTCCAGGTCAATGTCAATGGCAGATGAACTATTATTTTGCGTCCGTGATTTGCGGTAAGGACTTGCGGCTTCCCTAAACACTTCGTCGTCGTCGTCATCATCGTCATCGTGATGATCGACGTCTGCCGCAAATCCATCGTGTTGCTCTTCTTCTCCGTCGCCCTCGACGACCTCGGAGTTGTACCCGCTCTCCGCTTCTGGGATGTGATTGAAATCACCACTTGACGCAGCTGTCGGTGCGGGAGAGTGCATCTGGTCCACTCCACGGTCTGTTGCTTGCGATGTCGATACGATCAAGACAGACGACCCGAGGCGGTCATCGATGGGAACTACATGTTCCGTTACGGAGACTTGGGCGCTCGCAACGGAAGACGCTCGTAGCTCCGCGTTTTTCTTCGCCCTCTTTCGAGCTTCAGTTTGCTGTCTGCTTTTTTCCCTCTGCGCTTTCTTCTGCGCCTCGATGATCTCGACCTCTACTTTCTCGTCCGCTTCCAATTTAGCTTGCTCTTCTTCTTGCTCGTCCAGATCCCACTGCTCCTTCATAAACTCCGGGTACCGCTCGCAAATCGGACGCCAGGTCTGATCTTGAGTCACAGGATGATCAGTGCCCTTGAGCACACTGTCTATATCAGGGGGAGGCGGAAAGTCAAAATTTGGGCCAGGATTTAAGCGCACGCGGGCATAGTTGAACAAGGAGATAAATGGGTAATACCCCAGTGTTCCGTCATCAAACAGGTTCTCCTTGTGTTCGCGAGGAGCCCCTTCACGCGCTCGCTTCTTATCCTTTTCCTTCTTCCTCGATGCAGGCGTCGTGCGCAAAGGCAGGTAATCGAATAAGTCTTCGAACGCAATGCCTTGACGTTCGCCATTGACAAAGAACGCGATGCAAGAGTCTGGCAAGGTTGGTAGAGGGCGGAGAACGGGGGCCTCTGGTACCTGTCCAGGACGTGCGCCTCGTTCTGGGAGGTTTTTTGTCGATGCAGCCTTCTTGTTGGAAGATGCAGATGGGAGTGACGCCGTATTGCTTGATTTATTGGAGAAGTCCATAAGAGCAGTCATTTCTTTGCTCTGAGGATACTCCAGACTCTCGAAATACTCTTGCCCCTTGAATTCGATAGCGATGCGTTCGCGTCGGATATGTGCAGGGTCATGAGGGTCACGGAGATCGGGTTTGCGTCGAGGTGGAAGGGATATGTACATGCCGATGATATCCCCACTACGAAACGAACGACCATAAGTGCGGGGGCGCGATAAATAGACCTTATCACCATTGTTATCGCGATACCCATAGGAATATGCATCCAAGCCAACTGGGCCATTCAAAGGTGCCTCTCGTCGTGCCCAACCAAGTCGGACATGACTTCCCTGGCGCATGTTGGTATCTGGTGCATGGGTGGAACGATCTCCTCCGCCATCCTCGATGTGGACCTCCATATACCACTTGCCCTCACGGACGGGTGCATTACACCGTGCACTCCTGAAACCTCGTTCACCGATTAGCCCCAGACCATCAGGGGTGACCTTGACGAAGGAGCTGCGGTCCTCCCAGCTAACTCTATAGCTTGTAGGCAAGCTTTCGATTGTTCGACATGGGAGGGCAGATCCAGGGGGTGAAACACCCGCTGGGACATACCTGAACCCTATACGATTCATAGCGAGCTGCTCTGTGGCATGATACGTTACGGAAGTATCCGGGAAGGTGGGGCAGCGAGATATTGTAAGACGAGGGCGAGAGAAGAAGTCGTTTCGGGTGGGTAGAGCGACATTGGCTGCTGTGCTTGGATTGTTTGGGTCGTTGGGTGCAGGAGATTGTTCAGGATTAGAGGCGACCTTGCGTTTTTTTGGAAGAACCAAGGAAGGCGTAGATGGCCTTGAACTACTTTGTCCGTCTACGTTACTTGAATCTGCAACAACTACCATTGCCGCGATAACAGTCAAGAGCGTTTGGTGAACCTGTCTTGATTTGGTCGAGTTTGTTACAAGCCACTGTAACAGATGTTTCCATTTTGGTCAAGGTCATCATCATCTAGTACTTACCGACCACAGCAAGAACCACAGGTCAAGATGACTGCTCTTAGGTATGAAGTACATAGGCATTTATTGATTCACGATCTCAATAATAATACACAGGCGAATTCAGAAGGTGCACTCCCTCTCCTTGTGGGGATGGAATGAACTTGACTCTCGCGCCCCTCTAGGAACTCCAAGACATCACAAACAGGCCCCTTGAGGTATGTAACTCGTTGTATCGCAGATGCAACGTCGGACTAAAGGTCTCTAGGGAATAACAGTCGAGCCAGAAGCAGATAACCTGCTCATTTGGAAGTGTTCAGTGAAGGGCTCCGTAAGTGTTACTAGGGGCATTCTCCACTTTTTTATTCACATTACATTACTGCGCACAAGTCAGATAGCCCATATAAAAACGGAACATTTCACTTCAAGATCGAGCTCCCGACGAGTTTTCCCTTCAAGGCACCGAGTGTGAGTTATCAGCCTTTATCTTTTACCCCGTTGCATATACATCCATCGAACCCCGGAACGTTCCATCATGCCCATCAGTGCCTCATTCTAGTTCCCCTTCCTTCGCCTTTGCTTCATTTACGTAGGAATTCATCCACGACATCGCTAGGTCACATTTTTGACCAAGATTTACCATCCCGGCATTAACGAGGAGGGTCATATTTGTGTTCCTATTCTTCGCGATGAGGTGAGGTTATTATTCTCTGGACCAGCGTGTATAGTGTAATAATCATGCCCTTTCACTTACTTACTTCATCAAGTGGAAGCCGTCAGTGACGCTATCAACAGGTGAAACTAAGCTCGGGAATATCCTCTGATTGATTCGGGCTGATAGGCCCATGCTTTGTTTACAGTGCTAGCGGTGATTCAAGAGAAAGTGAACAATCCAAGCCCGGATGATCCCTTCGAGCCTGAAATCGCTGCAGTGAGATTCTGCGCCATGACCGTGATCGATGTAGGCCCCTGACCGTTTTCATGTCTAGTTGTTGAAGAACGATAAATCAAAGTTCTTGGCTACCGCAAAGGAGTACACGAAGAAGTAAGTGACGTCTTTACCTCCTCGTGTGTTTTATAAAAGGCTTCCTCCGTGCGATATGAGGTATGCTAATGATCGTTTGCTGGCGTCAGGCACGCAATGTAGGCTCGGGACCAAACGTCTACTGCGCAGCTCCAGTTCTCTTTACCTCCTACTTTTGTATGGAGAAGATAAAGGGGTCATCGTAAATGAATTTCGGTAATTTGCGGGCGACAACTGACCCGCGTTTGTATTATTTACATAGTTTAAGCCAGTTTTCTTCACTTTGCGTGAGGCGAAGAGACCTAGAACGAAGGCACGATAGGCAGTGTGTCAAGTTTATCAGTGAAAGAGGGCACGACATGGGGCCCTATGAAGGACTCCGATGATCTGATCTACTTTGTTGATCCAGTGCTTCCGAAGCGGAAGCACAGGATGGGACTTTTTTTAAATAAATTCAGTGTTTTTTTTTCCTGGACTCTCAGGTCGTTGAAGACGATGACCGGAAGCTCGACATAACTTGGACCATCCTTTACTCGCCGTTATCTTGGTTTACGTGTGGACTTTAGGTTCTTATTCAAAGCAGGTTAAAAGAAGGAACCTGATCGTGTTCCGTAAAGACTACAACTCGTGTTCACCACGTTGTACGGTCGTTTCCCAGAAAAGTCTCAAAGTCCAAAAATTCAAGCGCCCTGCCTCGTGTAGTAAACGAGGGTTCCTGCCAGCGAAAACATGCATCGTTTCCGGTGAGCCTGCTCTACACCCTTTCAATTACACTCCAATATCATTTCGTCACTTTGCCGTTGCTTTACAACTTCTTCTTCGCTTTAACTTTTATTGTTAACGTGCCTTGCTTAGCAAAAGGTCCGACCCTAGCAGGCCCAGCCCGCTTGACCAAGGCTGCTTTTCTCCGACATCTGAACACAACCAATTGCCGCCAGCTAGTGACTTTCGCACATCACTCATACTACCAGAGTGCGTCACGTACTTGTTCTATTAACCCTTACAGCTCTCTCACCATACATCTACTCAGTCTTACTCGCCGTTTCACGCTTCTCCGTTCCTCCTCTGGCGATCCTCTTCCGCTTGACAATCTCAGGTCCAAGTTTGCGGAACAGAGAGCCCGTGGTGTACCAAACCAGATATCAGAGGAGGAAGAGGATATGATCCTTGAGACGCTAGGGCGGATGCGTCCCAAAAATGCTGCGCCCAGTACCACATCGAGCGGTAGACTTGAGGGCGGCTCTGGCACTAATGCCGCCGACCTGGGAATGGAATCCGACTACACCCATGAGCGCACCTCTCATATATCCACCACGACCTCTTCAACTACATACCCCGCTTCATCTGTTACCTCATCTCCCTCACCGAGTTCGCGTTCAACAAAGAGGTACAGCAACAATCTTTTTGCCTCTGGGCGATTTCGGGAGTACAGTTATATCCGTTCTGTGTCACAAAGAAGCGGTTCCAGCCGTGGAGCAGCCTCTATAACGCCATCCGACTCCGATCTTAGTCTCCGAGAAAAACCCTCGTCAAATTACTCCGAGAGTGTGAGACCTGCGACGCCTGAAGGCAGCGGTCCTACATCTTCAGTACCCTCCAGCCCTAACGAGAAGACTCCCTTAGCTCGTTCCACCTCATTAATATCATCTATCGAAGATTTTCCCTCGCAGCCACTCGGGGACAACAACAAAGGTAACACGCATTTATCAAGTAACAGTTCAGCCAGCGTTCAGCGCGTCGAACTTGCTCTGGAGTGTGTTATACGGGACTTCGAAGAAGAGGCCGAGGATGAAATACTCATGCCTAGAACAGCACATCCTGCTCCACGGTCGGGTGATGTAGAACAACCGAGTGCTTCATCTCCCGCCAGTGATACGTCATCAGGAGCTTCGGTGGGGAAATAGGCTTCTTCATGCATCACATGGTATCTAACCATTAATTCCAGGCTCAATCACCAGTTGACTATGAAGGCGGGACTGCAATATCCTCTGATAAACACATAAACAACGACCCCGAGACACAACGCTTATCTCCAATCCCATTTGGTCGTGCGGGTACCATCTCCCCCACTCCTCGTCTTCCAGGTTACATCCCTGGCATGCCTCGTCCTATGACGCCTCGCGATCCCTCATTTGACTCTGATGATGCGCGTGCGCATTCCGCAACTCCACGTGCGATGTCACCTACCCTCCCAAACTTGAATGGAACATCACTCATTACCACCACCTTCACTTCAAGCTTACTTCGTCGAGGTTCAGACGCGTCTCGTAGTACCCCACGGCCCATCTCGCCGTATGTGGCCCCACCTGCAAGCTCGTTTTTGTCACGTAGTGCTGGTGGTCAATATGCGTCGGACAGTCAGCGTGAGAGCGCGAGCAGCACTGACCAGGAAGCCTCTATATCATCTGCCTTTAGGAGGAAGCCCGTGCCCCCATTGACGGGCTCGGCCTTCCGACCTATGGTCGTGTCGTCTCGACCGGGTACTCCCTCGAACATCACTTGGAATGTCAGCTCGCCTTCTAGTCCACCTTCTAACTCCAACCGCACTCACGGCAGGCGGGGTAGTTCTTCTAGTCACAGTAGAAATGGCAGTCTGAGCACGGACAGCGACTTTCAATCTAATACGGATAAATCTAAATCTGCAAACAGGCCAGTTCGCTTGCCTGTGTCTCCTGAGAGTCCCGGTTTCTCTCAAGCGGCCAATGCTGGAGCGTGGAATCGTTCAACTAGTCCTGCTTCTGTAGACTATCGTTCGCCATCCAGCCTTTCAGGTGTTGTCGACTATGGATCCTCACTTCCGTTCTCAAGCCGCACTATGCGGGCCCCCACCCCCACTCAGTCTCGATCCACTACAGCCTCTCCCGCATTCTCTCCAAATGACTCCCCGGGTTTCTCCAACCATACTGCCGTCCGTTCTCCAAGACATCATTCCAAGTCCTCCTCACATTTCTCTCTTGGACTTTCTCAGCCTGTTGTCTTTTCTACATTGGCCAACTCATCTCGGTCGTCACTAGAGTCCACTGGATCCAGCTATCACTCATGGTCTGCTGGGGAGAAGAAAGATATGACTCTCGACTTCTTTAGTGATGTTGAACAATGCTCTAAGTGGCATGATCTGGACAAGTCGAGCTCCGTCACACCCGGTAGCTTGCAGGATGATGATGATTTTGAGGACGTCATACGGCGGTATGCAGGTCTGACAAAATCCGACTTCGTGGTCATTCAAGACAAGTTGGTGAGCGCCGCGCGTGCAAAGGAAAACAGTACGGAGCCTCGAGAGCGGTCCAACTCACTGCGGAGACGGAGGCCATCGACCTCGCAGTCGAACTACTCTTTGAACGGCCGTGATAACAGGGTTTGTTCTCCTCCCTAACTCCTTTTTACTTGTGCACTCACGAGCACCCTGTCACAGGTTGCAAGCCCGCCGCCCAGTCAACCTGCTCCTGCCCAGGTGCCTGCCACCGGACGGCGTTCCCCAGCACCTGATCAAGCTGCTAAGGCTCATGCATTACTAGACTCCGTTGTGGAGAGCATCCCTCTTGCACCTACGATTGGCGTCGTGACCGATACCAAGGTGGAAGTGGAGGATCCTTCGGAAGTCAAGGCGTCCCCTACTACCACGCGTCGCAATAGGGATTTAGCACGCGCCCTTGGTTTCGGAGATGAGCAGGGGACTGCGAATTTACCGCAGGACAATAGCCCGCCTATTGAAGTCGTACCGCAGTCTAATAACCCATCGCAGATCCAGGTACCATCGGCAACAACTCTTCAGCCGGTCGTATCACCGGCTCAAGGTGATATTCAGCCGTCGTCTAATACGCCACCGTACAGCCTCCCATTCCGTTCAGCTTCGATGAGAAGCCCTCGACCATTAATGGACCAGGCCGAACTCGTCGACGAAGTTCGGCGGAAAGCAGAAGCCGCTACTGCTGCTTTGATGAAGACGTCTTCTGGTCAGAAATTTACTGATGCCAATTCCTCGAGCATATCTGTGACCCGGAAGAAAATCACCCCTAGCCAAATATCTGCACCCCATTTAGTGTCAGGACCTACCAGTGTAGAAACCATTCCTCTCCCTCATCAGCCGACGTCTCCTACTCCTACTCCTATCGCCCCCCAGCCCTCTCTAAACATCACCCAGAGGATGAGGCGTTTCCGTAATACTCTGAGAGTCAAACAGCCAGTCGCAAGCAGTGAAGAGGTCACTCCCTTCCCTATCGACCTCCAGCCCAACGCCGCACCCACCTCGACTTCTCTGAACCGCAGGCCGACATTACCCCTTACTAAGGGTTTTGCCTATGGAAGCTCGACGGATTTGGGCAAGGCTAAATCACCAACGTCGATATCCGGTCCCCCGGCCTCAGCTACCCCTGGCCTGCGAGGCTTTATGTCTCGCTTCCGAAAGCCCCGTGCAGCGGACGCTCAAGCTGAAAATGGCAATGGACTTTCGCGAGCTTCGCCAACAACTTCTTCGCCAACCACTTCGTCACATCACGGTCAAGGCCTAGTTGCTTCACCCGTCCATTCCGTTTCGCCCGCATCGGCGCCCATCTCCATTCCCACTTCAGCGCCCATAGTAGGTAGTGGTCGGTCAAGCATTGATGGATCGCCAGCAATGGGAAATGATTCGGCTGCCGTTAAACAGTTTGTTGAGGCAGCCATCAACCTTGGTCTTGATCAGGCGGCAGTAAATGACTTATTAGCACGATCTGCCTCAGTTTCATCGCGTACCGCGGGTTGGTCTTTATCGAGGAATACATCAAACGCCGCGCCAAGCTCATCTATACGAAGTGACCTTTCAGCTATGCGATCTCGATCACCTCTCCCAGTAGAACCACCACCATTCAGTGATGATGGCGGCGTCAGCAGCGGGGGGGATGATAGGACTGTGAGAAAGCTCTCTATTCGCAAAACAGGGGAATCAAGTCATAACCATCAAGGCATTCCTGAGAATCCTGCGATTGTCAGGAGAACGCTTATCTTTCCCTCGGACTTTCGTGCGTCCAAAACCGACTTGAGCCAGATGACGCGTAAGCCGTCGGGTAGACGTCATCGTCGGCCGGCCAGCGCCACATCTGCACAGTCTGGTCGCTCAGTACATGACCGCGCACCTACCCCACCGCCGCCGAAGTCCAATGGAGGAAAGCGATTCTCGACTGATCGGTCACCTCCTATACCTTCGCTACCCACATCAATGACTGCTCAAGCTGAGGCTCTTTTACATCCTTCAGGTGGACCTGTCGAGAAGCCGAGCTCTCCGTATGAATCTCTGTGGGTAATTCTTTTACGTGATTTTTTCGTGTCTAATTTTTACTATCAGATACGATATGTACAGTGGTGGTGAGAGCAAACACCCAAATGCACCCGCTGACGATGCGGTGGACATCGGAAGCTCCCATGATGGAGAAGTTCATCCCGAAGGCACTGCCCTTGAACTGATTGAGATGGCAAACGGCGAAACAATCTGGTGTGTTGCGTTCTCTGATTCTCATGACTACCTGCTCGATAACTGAGATCTCTCTAGGTCAATAGTGAATGGCTTGCGTGACGACGACCTTGAATCAGTTTACGCCAGCAGAACAAGCCTTGGATCCGATTATTCCTTGCGCGATAACACTGAGGGCCTGCAAGTGTTCGTCAAGGAACACGGCAGAATGACATCAAAGGGCAGCAGTAGTTCATCGTTCCTTTCCCGCAAAAAACCGTCTCAGAGCAAGAATCGACCTGAAACCAAGGTGAATGGTCTTACATCATCCAATGATATTTATCGCTAATGCCGGAGCAGGTTTTCTATAGGTCAGTTCTACGCTCGGTACAAAAGTAGACAAAAGTTCGGTACTAATTCTAATCTCAAGCTCCTCCACTCATATTGGTCGTTTGATCGAGTCACTTTCCCAGGGGATGGACGCCGGTTCATTCAATTTTGGTAACCTACCCCCTGACCGCTCGACCCCATCATCATTCCATTCTGACACCGATATGCATTGGACTGTTGAAGAAAAACTGGAACACATGCTGGGATCGATGAGAAATCCTTGACTGCTGGAGTTAATAATCGTTTATGCTATATTGATCTTCTCGTCAGCTTTATCTTATGGATTCATTGTAACATTGGGCGTTTGAGATACCAATACTCATACAGAGGCAGTAATAAATGTACACAGGTTCCTCGTTCTTCCGACTATGCGGTCCAATCCAACCACCTATTGAGATTCAGAGCGAGCAAGGCTTCGAGCAATAAAAGGTCATGGCTGAAGCTATATTGCAGTGTTGCATGGGAAGGACCAATTGGCGTGGCTTGGGTGAGCTTCTGGAACATGGCAATTCTCGTGTTGGGTGCGGCGAAGAGCTTCAGGAAACTCAACATGTAGCAGATAATATTTGAGAATATAATGGGGACTTGCCTCGTACGACCTGGGGTCGTCGTGACACTTTCGCCATTCATAATGGCGACCGTCCGCAGAAGGGAACCTGCGAGCACTGAAAATCGGCTTAGTCGGGTATCATTGGACAGTACTGATGCCGACTTACGCTGCACTGGATCCCGGTTGTACGAGGTGTGCCATTGGAATTTCACGGTCACCAATAGTTGCAACACCGAGGCCATCGTTTAACCAGTCAAACGCTGCGACGGGGTTGCGGTTGCTAGAAATCTGTAATGAAAGCCCGCAAGTTAGGCGTCGTTTTCTGGGGCGCAAGTCTGAGAGAGGACACTGACGGTGGTACGCGCTGTGGAAGGTGACAAGTACTGTGTCTCGAACTCAAAAAATACTGGCTTGGTGTCTTCGCCGATGACAATACAGCCATCGCGAGGATCATCTCTTCCAGTGAAGTAAATTTCGAAGGAGAAGCTAGCCATTGGGAATTTAGGATGCGGGATGATTTTCATGATTGTAAATTGCAGGCTTTATATCCCTGGGTCATGTCGAGCAAGCACCAGGTTGGTCAACTCGTGATACTGAGTCACGGAAATTGTATACTATTTTGATCATGGTGTACTTCGAGGAGTTGAAGAAGCAAGTACTCATGCATCGTTCATCTAAAAGCCGCGAAAAGGTCCGGCGTTCAGCCTCACTAGTTTCGGGATTGAGGTTGACGATTCTAGATCCAATCATCCGGCATGTCAAACAGCGTTCGGAACGGTTCAGCCAATACTATTTTTTTTACTATATCGGGCGATCGGCTTGGAATCTGACGCGCGCTAGCGCGTGGTTACATTCACGTAGAACACTCGTGCCCTGGGGAAAGGTGGAGGCAGGTTTCGGGCTGGAGTTTTCCGAACCCGACGACGCTACCAGAGCAAGTCATTGTCAGTGCTGGCTGTTCTCAGCCTGTAAAAGGTAAGTAATTTTCCACAAGTTCCGGAGCGTTCTGTGCAGCTAAAAGGCTAATATTAACTGCCAAGCGATTGCCTTTCAGGTATACACGATCGACATATCATTCCTGAGCTTTTGCGTGCATGCGATCATATCTGGCAAGAGTAATCAACTAATAGCAAAAAATAGGTCAACTAAGATTGCAAGTGTAAAAGTCACGTAATACGACTTTCCAACAAGATTCGGTTTTTATGAGTTGACCTTCCATAGGGGTCGCTTTCGCATCTTTCGAGTGACGTGAACGGCACTTCCACTAGGATGCCCTCCGCCGAACGCCAAAACCACCGTTTCTTCTGCCCCGTGTCCCCGTGCAATCCCCTTCTTCCTCATCTCTATAACATCCTTCGCGAACTTAAAACGGGTTTGATCAGATCCTGTGAATATAAAGATAAATATTCGGTACAATGTTGATCACCGATAGCAGAATTTACCAATTTCAAACGCCCGTGATTCCACCGCCGATTTGAACATGTCGAAGGGCACAAGGGAAAATACACGCAACAGGGTGTCACGACCAGTGCACTGGCCTTGTGATGGATCAGACTCGGATGAATTAATTTCCAGGGCATTCGGGAGTGTCACCACGAGGAAGTGGAAAACATCATCTCGCAATCTTTGGGCATAATGGCCAAAGACAGACGTAAACGATAGTTCAGGCGTAAGAGATCCATCCGGTGATGAAGGGATCGTGTCGATAAACTTGAGCCATTCATTGATTGTCTCCACGTCGATCGATTGTCTGCATGCATCATAAGCATAACCACACAACTCATCCATGCCTCCAAGTAGACAACCAGCTGCAAGTACTCCTCGTGCATTACCGGGCCGGATGAGACTTAGCGAAACCGATGAATATAGATATCCTAGCGCTGGAAATGTCGTCGGAAATGAGCAAAGACGTGACCAGGACACAGTGATGCATACCTATGGCAAAGCCCTGCAGGGTAATAATAATTCTGTCAGCTCTTGCAGTCTCTAGATGAGAAATTCCGCCCAGCACGGGCTCCGAGGACGGTGGTTGTACACGATAAGAGACTAATAGTAATACCACACTTGAGATGACGGGCGTTTGAGTCAAATATGACCTTCGTATCTCTTCCCCGTGCTCCGTGGCCGGAAATGAACGGAGTAAGAAGTAAAATGGCACACGTACTTCTTGGGTAACCTCTGGCTCGTGTTCTAGCTGTACATATATCACGCGCTGAGCCCCAGTTTGAGGCGAGGTTGACATAAGATGCGCTAGTAGCGGTGATCTTGAAAGAACGATGGCATGAAGGCGGTAGGTGTTTTGATGCACATGCTGAATGGGAATATATATTAGGTATGCCAATCTGATGGACGAATGATGAAAATCCGCCTACAAGTATGGTGTCGGCATAATTCTAAAAGGGTGCGATTAGGTTTCGTCTCTTGAAAAAATCCTGTACATACACCAGTCTGAAATCCCGCATGATAGAGGTGATGTACAATCTCCTCGTTGTGCATTTGGTAAGGAGGACTGCGTAGGTTGAGTAAATTCACGATTGCCACGCGTTCGAAAGGTGGACACAAAGGTCAGAAAGTCGCACGCAAGAAAGGAGAGACATTAAATCAACAGACTCACTGCGAGAATCCATTGGCCACAGCAAAATTCGTTGGCTCATCGTGACTGCCGTCGAACGAGCGTTCTGACTGTCCGGTGAGAGGCGTAGCTCCATTACTCGAAAAACCATTAGCTACTACGGACGTCGATGGCGTTGCGTTCATTGTAATGAAGAAAACCAAAAGAGAACAAGAAGTGAGCAAAGGGTACTTGTTCGTGTGGCACGAGAACGTCGGTATTGGGGAACCAAGTCACGCCGCACGTCACACGTCACGGCAATACACTATGTACACTACTGTGAACACCAACTAACGAGCGCCTCTCGGTTCATCACTGTCCCATATCCTTGAGATGTTGATTCCATTGAAACAAAATGTGTCATGAGGTTATTGGTGAAACCGTGCGCGGCGGCTAGGGGTCCACAAATGATAGGGTAAGGAGGCGGTGGAGAAATATACTCGGGTGATGATGAGTCGGCGGTGGGGGATAACTGAGATTCGGAGCCATCATTAGAATGGGTCCCACGCAAAGCGGAAGTATTCATTCCCTACCATATGAGATCTATCCGATGCAAAAGAACCCCAGTACTCTTCTCCAGATACGACCCTGAAAAGACTGGTGAAAATAGAGGTTTGATACCGAGCAGAGATGACAGGGAGAAAATAGCAAACTTACCTCCGATACTGCGGTGGGATGTCTGATTCTGGTGGGAAGGTCTGCTCAACATACTCTTGACAAGATCCGGGATTAAATGGTCCATGACGCCCATGCATTATTATATATCTGCGTACCTTCCCAACGACTGGGGATTTCTAAGTTAGAATCGAAATCGTAGATCCAAGTTTCTTCTCCAATGAGGCTCGGCGAAGTATTGAGCAACCGATACTGAGACCCCGACCGGCTGCGTAGAACCAAGATGACATGATAGTCCCAAATAACTGCGATGCTTGCAGCGGGTGCCTTTTGTTGACCCCATAGGGCAACCTGCGCTCCGGTGTTTAGTTTCGTCAGATACTAAGTGCACAGATTCATTGGCTGTTCACGATTCACCGTTTTGGTCGCGTTCGATATGAAGACAGCAAAAATGTCCCATGTAGCCTTCACCTGTGCTTGTTCCAGAAACCGATGTACAAGGAAATATATGTTCTCCTCGCAGTAGCAGGAAGTGTATGGACTGTCGAGAGGAGGTTTAGGAAGCATGCTTTGGAACTCCGAAACAGCCGCCAAATCCAAGTCGAGATCTGTGCTGGTTGGAATACTCCACCGGACTGGAGCTTTGTCAATCTTGCGTAATGTCGTCGCAAACCAAATTTATGATTGATATCATTCGTCCTCAACATTATCATCGGGCCAAATCTATAAGACTTGTTTTCAGTTATCATCTGTGGGTCACGCATTGCTTTCTTTCAGCGACACTGACTCCATATCCATAGACCTGTATGCTTGATAAGTACTGTATAGTGGTGGGAAATATTATATGACAATGCAGGGTATTATTATTGGTAGTGAATATGGGGACACGGATCCAAAACCTGCGTTATCGATGTCAGCATGATGCCATGACGTTATGTATTCTGAAAAGCATTCATGTGAGGCAACCGGAACTTTCGACTTACAAAGTGCGAAGCCGTACCCATCGCTACCCTTCACCTGTCGAGAATCATGGCCACAGTGGGAAGTACTATCATGCAACCCCCTTGTGTGCTCAGCGGTTATCTAGAGTCATTGGCTGCCATTGGGTCGGACCGTTGATGTCGACCCGATCAGATCATGATCGATCAATAAGCTTTTGATCGAGTTTCTTGATAGTGAGTCCGGGGTGCCTTAGTCTCACTGTAAAATTAAGATTCTCCCAACGTCAAATCAAAGAGATCGCCAAGCGGCCTATCACTGTGGAAAGTTCGAATCTAAAGTTTGAAGGAATTGGTATGCAGGGGCCCTCGATTCTTGCTGTCAGCAGAAAGTTTGGTGCAAAAATACCTGAGCTTGCTCTCGTTCGTGACATTGCCACTGGCAGTAGAAACATGGTGCCCCTGGGCAAGGGTTTTAACAGGGGCCTTGCGTACGAATGATGCGCTTCTCTAAAACGTCATGCCTTTCAGGCGAACAGCCAATAAATTTGGCCCAGAAGCAGCAGAATGATTCTTTGAATCGTAAGCGATAAGAACGGATAAGCGTTAAAATGTCACAACCCGGAACTCATCACCATCCGTCTGGAGGTCTCTCGTAGGACAGTGAGAATATCCGTCGCTCGAGCCGCATGAGTGAACTGCCTATAGACTAGCAGCTTGGCGACGATAGGCGGCACATCTCGGCATGCCAAAGAAGATTCAAACGTTCTCGCGGGGATGAGATTGATATTTCGAGAAAGTCCAAGGAGAGTCAAGACAGGCGTCCGGACATGTCACGGAGCCGGCAAAAATGGCTGAGGCGGTGGTCACTAACTTGGACAAGAGAGTTTTCCGCACGAACAGTACGGATATTCGATCTATGGTCGATATGGATATACCTGGAGAACTGACGATCAATTAAATAGAAGGTGGATATTTATTTCCACTATCTATATCATGTTCGTAAGCAGACAAGCGGCACTCCCTAACTGTCTGCGGACATCATGAAAATCGACATCGTGGGCTGTAAAATGGTTTGTAATCAGTACCGCCTCGAGTGCATGATGGGAAGGCGATTGCAGGAGAAACGCCTCCTCGAAAAAGAGGGATATCAATGCTAAACTCACAGTCCTCAACCTCTCCCCATCGTTGAATCTGACTCGAGACTTCGACTTGTGCAGCCAAAGCTGCTTCTTCAACAGTGAGATGCTTCTTCACAAGGGCAAGCGCGATCAAAAAAGATTTCGTCAAATATGTCACGCGTTCCATCGCTAGAATGGTCATTGTGGTCCCCTTGCTTCATGACAACTCCAGCGTACTCACCAGCCAACTCCCAGGGATCCATCTCAGTCAAGACGGCGTTGAGCTTAGTTCGCGTTTCTGGCGATTGTGAGTGGAGCAAAATTGAGTCAAAGACTTGTATGTCGATGCCGAACGTAGACCTTGCCCATTCAAGTAATGGATCCCAATACTTATGTTGGAGCTCTACCAACTGAGGTGGGTCGTCGTGATGAAAACTATATGGCTATGATCAAATTGGTCGGTCTTATGGAAATAAACACGCACCAAATTGTATCAGTGTCCAAGTAATTAAGAAGGGCCTCTCGCACTTCTGAGCACGTTTTTTCATCTTGGAGAGCATCAATGGCCCGTGAGGCGATGGAAGTCTGCGCTAGTCAATGACAGGAGTTAGACCACTGTTGAGCATTCATACCATTGGCAGAGCATGAGGTTTCAGTAATGTTTCCTGATTTTCCCATTCATTTGCAATTAGTGTTGCAACCAACCGCTTGTTTCTGGGCAACAGCAGAGTGTTGCCAGATGGTGTTTTCAATGCTCGCATATCAAGCGTTACAGTAAGTCCATCGTCTCTCTTTGAAATTCCTACTGTCTCCCAAAAACGCTTCAGGGTAGCCTCAGCACCTAAAAAGTCATGAGTGGAGAATCTCAGCAACCGGTCCGCAATGCTCACGATTTGTCTCCGACACCACAGTGCCATCGGGAGGAGACGAAGCAGTAGCGAATGACCTAGAGAACGAGTATGTGCTCGAGTGACACGAAAACATGACACGAGCTGTTGAATGTGGAAGTAGTCTGAGGTACATCGTCGGGGAAGAGACAGCCGACGAGAAAATGACAACTTCAAGCAAACTTCAAGTGGAAGCAAACCTGAAAGTTGAAGAGCTTAAATCACAAACACGTGACGTAATAACACTTCCACCAGCGTGACGCGCTCTTACTTACTCTCACTTTCGTTAACTGCGCGACCAGGATGCGGGAAAGACAGTCTGCCAGTAGGTCCACTCAACCCCAGATATCTTCATTTTTCGTCCAAAGCCCTGCAACGAAGAAGCGTGCACCTTGTTTCCTCGGACTCTCCCATAGACTTGACTATAGATGATTCTGACGTCGATAGGCAGCCCCCGATAAAGAAACTGAAGTCGAAACATTCCGAGTTCTCTACAAGTCAATGGCGCTTTGACAACTCCTCCAGAGAGGACCATGCTAGCACTGCGAGCGTACAGGAACATAAAACACGCTCAAGAGTAGAGTTGGAGCGTATTCTTCTCGGAACAGGGCGACAATCGGGGCACGCTGATGGCGAAGAGAACTCGAGCGTGGACGATGATAGTTCTCAGGACGGAAACGATTCAGACCCTGCGTTTACTGAACTCCGAGCAATGTTCTCTCTCAAAACTTCCAAGGGACGCGGGAAATCGCGTGCCAAGCCCATGGTTAGGAAGACGAAAGCAGCTGCAGAGGTTGGGCCTAGTGGGGAGACTTATACACCCTACGAGGTTCAGGTGGGCTGCTACTGCATACCCTTGATCCTCTTGTTTACATTGTTAATGCAGGTTTTGTCATTCATCAAAGACAATCCTGGGACAATCCTAATGATCGAGAAGGGTTACAAGTTTTATTTTCACGAAGAAAGTGCGAAAGTAAGTGAGCCTCGTGGACATTGAGTCCTTCGCGGGTTGCCAAACACAAGCATCGTAGACTGCCAGCGCAGAGCTTGGAATCGTTGCTTATACGAATCGGAACCTTCTCACTGCCTCTATTCCCGTCCATAGGAAAGAGGTACATATGAGGAAGTAAGTCTCAACCCTAATTGTTCTGAATTCACTCTAATCTGAGTTAGGCTCCTCTCCAAAGGTCACAAAGTCGGTGTCATCGAGCAAACAGAAACTGCCGCCCTCAAGAAAGCGGGCGAGAACAAGAATGCTCTTTTCGAGCGCAAGCTTACTCAATTGTACACAGCGGCAACGTAAGGATCGACCTTGCTTCATACTGAGTCGATTAACTTATTTAACGTCTAGCTATGTCGACGAGGTTGGTTCTGTCGATGACCTCGATAAATACTCTGCACCACCTCTTTTGTGTCTTGTAGAGATTGATAAACCCGACTCTACTGAAGGTGAAGTTAGCATTGGCATGATTGCGATTTCGCCAAGTACTGGTGACGTTATTTGGGACGAATTTCATGGTACGGACAAGCGAGTAACCGCCTGGATTACTGAAAACAAAATACCTAGACACGGTCATGCGCGTCGAGCTCGAGGTAGGTCCAACACAGTCATAATCTAAACACTGTCGTATAGCTATATTAGACGAGACTCGTCCACACAAGGCCTGCAGAATTACTGATTCCCGGTGAAGGTCTTAGCAAGATGACTCAAAAGGTTTTGGCGCATTTTGCGAAGTACGCATTGAGCCTCATTCCTCAGGATGGAGAGCTTGTTCTGACAACGTTCTGATCACGATCTCCAGCGTTTCTCACGACCAACGAATAAGGACGGAACATTTCGACTCTGCGCTGAGCGGCTCAGAAGCTTTTGATTTCATCACAAACTTCTACACGACTAAAGTTACTGCCAGCGCGGAAGAGCTTAGCCCAGGTCAGATATAATGTTGCATTTGCATCCTGTGAGACGGACACTCAAAAGGTTGTTTTCAGACAAAATTTTGGCTATTGTCGCTGGCCTTCCACAACTAGTTGCCATATCTTTAGCACACTCCATCAAATACCTCTCGTCGTTCAACATCGCAGATGCATTTTTAGGTGTGAAGTTTTTCACAAGGTTCACTGAAAGGAGTCATATGCTTCTCAACGGCAATACCATCGCAAACCTGTTCGTATGCATCAATCTTCTCCCATATCAATGAACATCCCTGCTTACGACCGCAGTGAAATATACCAGAACCAGACTGATCTCACCACCCAAGGCACATTGATATCGATTTTGGATCACACATCCTACGAAATTTGGGGCGCGGCTTTTAAAGAATTGGATTGGGAAGCCGTTGACAAATAAGCTGTAAGTACTTCCCGGTCATCGCAATTGCAACGTTTACCGTTATTTTACCAGTATCCTGAACCAGAGAATAGATGCTGTGGAGGAAATCAAGTCGAGCAAGTCGCCACAGCTAGTGGAACTTTGCCGTGTCCTGAAAAGACTCCCTGACCTTGCCAAGGGTCTGTGCCGCATCCAGTACGGGAAGGTAGGAGACTCATATTTCAAGGATATTTGTTATAATTGTGCTTCAGTGTACATGTCAAGAACTCGCATCGATTCTTTCGGCTTTCGGCAGTGTTGCAGGTGCATTCCCGGAACATTCAGAGGAGTTCGATTCAAAGCTCTTGAATGACATATTTTCTTCTCTCCCGGAAATAAGAGAACCGATAGAAGCCTTATTGGCTACAATCAACATCAAGAAGGCCAATAGTGGCAGGAAAGACGACATGTGGACAGATCCAGAGCAGTTTCCTGCCTTGGACGAGTATAAGTTGGTCTGCATATTCATCACCCTCTCTCATATGCTGCTGACCCCTAGATCTCAAGCTAATCGAAACTGTGAAGTCAGAACTTGATGAAGAGTTGAAGTCCAGTAAAAGTTTTTCTCTATAAGTGAGAACGTTACCTAACTTGAATGTTCAGTCCGTAGACTGCTCGGAAGACCGTCCCTCACGTGGACGACTATAGCGGGCATTGAGGTGGGTTAATGTAAATGCAAAGACGTTGTACTAAGCGTTCAATACAGTACTTGGTTGAAATCAAGAAATCGGAAGATCGGACGGTGCCCACCAATTGGGTGGTGGTATCTGCGTAAGTATCTTGGTGGGCAAGACGTTCTACACTTACGGCCAACAGAACCAAGTTCCTGCGGCGTTATCACACCCCAGAGATCAAGAAGTTCATTGATGAACTATCTCGGTATAAAGAAGCTCTTAATGCGGAAGCTAACAAGGCTTTTGCATCATTCCTCAGTTCTATTGCTTTAGACCAATATTCCGTAATGCGGGATGTGGTCAATAAGTTAGCTATGGCGGATTGTCTACTGAGTCTGGCGCATGTGGCCCACCAACAAGGTTATGTTCGACCAGAGTTCATCGAAGAAGATTTCCTGGAAATCGTAGAAGGACGGCATCCTATGATTGAGGCATTGCGAACGGATCCCTTTGTGCCAAATACCTTATACATAGGAGGTGATTATCCCAGGAGTAGCGTCATTACGGGACCCAACATGGGTGGCAAAAGTTCTGCTGTGCGCATGGTTGCTCTCATCGCAATTATGGCTCAAATTGGTTCCTATGTACCTGCCAAAGCTGTTAGGCTTGGCCTGTTGGATGGGGTTTTGAGCAGGATGGGAGGTATGACGAATATTTTCTGGTTTGTCGTTGTCACTAATTTCGATGTTCATGAAGCGTCTGATGAACTTGCTCGCGGACGGTCAACTTTCATGGTAGAGATGGCACAGACGAGCGACATACTGCAGAAGGCAACTCACAAAAGCCTGGTAATTCTCGATGAACTAGGAAGGGGTACATCCACTGCCGATGGGGTGCGTTCAAATTTGTCATTCCACTAGATTTTCGTATGACAGCATTCATGCAGATGGCCATTGCAGACGCTGTCCTTCATCATCTAGTGGAACGCGTGAAGTGCAAGACATTGTTCATCACACATTATCCGCTAGTGGCCACAGAGTTGGAAAGAAAATTCCCTGAGGAGGTGCAAAATTTGCATATGAGCTACACAACGGAAACCCGAGTAAATGGAACTCGGGACGTAACGTTTTTGTATCAACTCACCCCTGGCGTTGCTTTGGAGTCATTTGGCGTCGAGTGTGGTCGCCTTGCAGGTCTTCCCGACGACATTCTTCATATTGCATCAGAGCGCTCCGAGCTTTGCAGGACTGTCACTGAACAGCGCACACGACGCTCCAGGTCGCTACATTCTTTTCATCTACCTTTTTCCAGCTCAACACTTTGACAGGACACGCAAACTTATGGGTGCAATCGCTCGCGCACTTTCGACGCAAGATGCAGGGGGACTGGAAGAACTTCGAGCTACAGTGCAGCAATTTACGATCGACTAGTTGATACACTCTTCTTTTTCTTCCGCTTAGTATCAGATGAGGCACCTTCAGCCTCTACTTCCTCGGCCTTCCTTTTCGGTGCTATCGAATTGCATTGTCTGCCATTTCGACCTTGTAAGGCCGATTCCACTTGAGAGCACAGCTTGAGAACAGCTATCGACGAACCGAACCGCTTCGAAGCGACGAGCCGTCCGTGCAGGGTGCACCAAGCCCCCGAGTCCCACGCGTTTTGATTACTGCTATCGACTTTGCTTGCCTGACGAACGCCAAGTATGACTAATTTGAAAAGGTCTTTGATTTGCGCGGCCGAGAGAGAGACTTGGTCGTCGCATGCTGAATCGATAAACTGGAGAACACTTGTGTGAAGTTTTAGAATGAAAGATAAGACATCTTGTGGGTCACCCTATTATTTGTCAGTCTATTTTGAGTGCAATAACAATGGAGGAACGCTCCCACCGTCGAGGTCGATAGAGTAAGAATTACATTGAGCAGTTGGAACGCCTGGCATTTCCTATATGCATTGATAGCTTTTAAAGAAATATCCAATATGCTGTCCCGGAGGCACCACCCTAATGCCGGATAACGAGTGATGAAGTCTTTGAAAAACGTCATGTTCAACGAGGAAGCCTTGCGCGTCATGAAGTCGACTATCGACTCCCTGTATAGCCGAAGAACAGTTTTCTCGTAGCCGATGTTCGTTAACACCCTGCAAATGAAAAGACTGCAGTGACTGAGAGTTGCGAGCGTATCCGACGAGTGCGCCTTCCGAGCCCTGATATGCAGCTCATCCAGTATAGTCTCTGCATATTCTTGATCCACTTCCTGGAGTGGATCCTTTAACTTTGCGAGCCTGTTGTTGAGAATGCCACGAGCTTTGTCAGACAGCTGGCGCTCGTCTTTGCCGCTCTTAGTAGCAAGTTCGATCAACGGCACCACAAGACGCAGGTTATGAGGACTCTGTGGCATCTTCCTCGTGAAAATTTCAACCAAGTCCAAGACTCTATTCTTGAAGTGAGTAGCTTCTCGCTGTGCATTGACATCTGTGGGATTCTAAGCCTATGCGACCGTCGATCATGATGATTTGCCATACCTTTGTTTTGCTTAGTATCACCAGATCTAGAGCGAAAGACTTCTGCGAGGTGTTCATCAATGGCCATCATTTGCTCGTCATCTACCAGTTCTTCCTCAGATTCCTCATCGGTATCACCAATGGCAGCCTCGACGCCATTTGCTTTGAGTGCATCCTCAATTTTCATCCGTAGTGCGAGAGCAGCTTCGTCACTGTCATCGAATTCGGACTCGTTTTCTTTGTCGGAGGATTCAACATCCTCATCGTCGCCTTCACTTGTGGCGCTCTCTGTCTCGTCTTCTTCACCAGCGACCAGATCGGCTGGGTCTCGGCGCTCCAATTGCTGTTCAGAAACAAAGTCAAATGATGCGCCATCAGCAAGCAAGCAGTGATTACTGACGGCAACGATAAGATCTATTGTAGTTTCTGTTGCTGCGCTAGCGATACATGAGAAGGTCTTATTGGCCACTGCACGCAGGTAAGACGTGGACTTTTCAAGGAAACCGATGAGCACATCAACTAGCATGTCTATCGGTTTGGGAGACTCTGGTTGGGAAGTGGTGTGCGATTTTCTGCGTTTTTTGGACTTGTCTGTAGAAAACATGGTTGCGGCAACAGCAAGGCAAGTCTGAACCATCCTAACTATCAGGAAAATACTTCGCAATGCGGAAGCAACACTTGCCTCAAGTACCCCTGCATCAAATTCATCATCATCCAAGTTGGCGCAGCGATGATGGAGCAGAAAGGCTGACAGGAGAAATTCTACTCCTCTAGCTGCCTCTCTCATCTCACCATCAACCTGGTTTTGTGCAATGAATATAACAAAACGTAAGTTGGGAGCGACGAACCTGCCGAAGATTATCCATCGTTTTATAAGTCTGTTGAAGTAGCAGTTGCTCCTCCTGACCTGGTTCCGAGAGTGACGTGACGTGCTTGCTGTCATTGTCTAGATGATTGACTACAGTGAAAATTTTCGATATCCAGGATTCGTCATCAACCTTAATGGTCCCCTCCTTTGGTGCCTTGTCGCCTAATCTCATTGAGTCAGAATCATCAGGAATTGCTATTGCCAAACCTTTTTGTGATGCGGTGGGTGGTGGTGTCAAATCAGCGAGACAACCAAGGAGTTTACTGCGACAAGTCCGCCGGAAATCCTCGGAGGCGGGACTGAAGGGGGTGACACGGAGCTGCGGGATGTCAACCCTAATTGTGTCAAATGTAGGAAAGTCAACCCTACATACCGCAGCAAGGAGCCCCTTGGTAGACTTTCTCTTGACCACGTATAGCCCTTGCACAGCGAACCAATTCAGGACGAGCTGAATCCAATCCTCACGTTTTGGGATGGCACCATTGCGAACAAGGGCTACAAACTGGTCCCCGATCCAAATCTTCTTGGCTTCTTCTGTGGCGGTGTCGCTGTACTTTTGTTATGAGAAGCCTGGGGAGTATGTAATTGCACATACTTGTCAGACCCATCCATTTGTTCGAGTAAACTTTGGATGTACTTCATAATGCCGTCGCCGTCCATCCTCGACAATATTGATTCTACGGTCTTCGTTTTGGTCAGTTTATCAAACTGATGGCTCCCATGGATCCCGGTTAGCTGCAGAATTAGTGTGTAACCAAGCTCAGGATTCTGTTGGACGAAGTTTTGAATATCTTTGACCTAACGTGAAATTAGTAATGCGAGAATGAGTAGAAGACGAGAACCACCGCACCACATCCAGGGAAATTTTGTGAAGGTGACGGTCTTTGTGAGAAAGATGATTAATCCAAGACCGCATGAAATTTCTGGTGAAAAGCATAGGGAGATCGGTGCCGTCCACACGGCGCAACGCTTTCTTGAAGACGAGGAACCCCCAGAACTTCCGTTCAGGAGAAGATGACGCCCCGAACAATGTCTCTGCATAGGCATCGATTGAAATTCAAGAAGCTGTGATAGAAACATACCGTCAACTACTACTCGGAAGAATTCCTGAAATAACGCGTTCCGGCGACGTCCTGGGTCGCTCTCAGGGAGCAAACTGTCAAAAATGACATCCCACACATAATGCAATTGCGCTTTCCATGTCCCCGTACTAGTTTGTTGCCACTCATCCTCGCCAGAGGTTTCCTAAGTCGACGAGAAATATCAATATTTCCATCTTACGGTAGGCATGTAAATTCAAACCTTCAATATGCGCCCAAGGGTCGAAAAGTTGGCGGGGGATAAAATGTCCGCATCTTTGAATGTCGGCGATACAGTACTGTTCCAGTCATGCTTGAGCATTACAGGCTGTAATTTTAACGTTATGGCGACCGTTTCTGGTGTCCAGAGATCTTTGTCACGCTGGTATACAACTTCGAGCGTAGAGGCTAGAGCTTCCTCTTTCCAAGAAACGGATGATTCTATAACAGCGTTAATAGCCTGCCCAATGGACCACCAAGCACTTTCTCGCAGCCAGGACTTTTTCTCGCCAAGAGTAAGAAGATGATCGACGAGCTCTTTGTAACTTTCAAGACTTGATGAATTTGTGGCAGATGAAGGAGATGTCGAGAGCGGGGTCTGCCGTACAAGGAGCCCAGAGTGAATGACAGTGGCAAATCCAAAGAGGCGAGCGAACAAGATATCGCGTTCTTCTTGACCAGTCATAGACCCCTGAATCTTCGATCCATCAACAATGATTGAGATAACTTGAGCGGATGTGACAGTGTCGAGTCGAGAGAGTAACTGATAAACGTAAACTTGCAATCTAGTTCTCGGGGAAGGATGCTCATACCTCGGTGAGTGCAACGCTGAAGCCGAGCCGACTACTCTCCCGAGGACTCGCAAGTCCTCTTATAAGCCGCCGTATAGAGTACGCTACATCATGCGCATTCAAGACATCCAGGCCGTCCGTTGGACCGACGTTTTCTTCATCATCCTCGGAGCCTGGCGAAACCTTGGGAGTGTGTTGTCCTTGAAACTTCTCAAGGGAACTAACAAGCTTGACTGTTGCAGTGATACGTTCTTTTTTTGATGCTGAGGACAAATTCCAGAATAAGGAAAGAGTAGTAACCATCGTCGTACAGGGATTCCATTCCAAAATTTCCAAAAACTAACAAACTAAAGATACAGATTAGGTTGTTGTGACATGTTTAAAACCAATGGCTTCGGCAAACAAAGTAAAACAGTCTATGATGCCTGGGCCCCTTCATAAGTAGTGTCTGAGAGTCCGGGATCCTGTACATAAGTGCTCAGCTTGACCAATGTGTAGAATGAAATGCACAAATCAGTGTGAGTTAAATATTATAGCTCTAAAATTAAGCAAGGTTATTATTCCAATGTCTAGTCAAAGTGCATCCAGTGTCCCTTTACGCCCATTCTGCATTTCAGGCAATCTGCACGTGGTCCCATCGTAAAGCGCTGCTTTCTCCCTGAGGATGAAATTAGTCCTGGATATTGGCTGGTCGGAGGAGGCGGTGGAAATGACATTCCAGATGATGTAGACTGGACAAAGTCATGGTTTTGAGTTGGTCCCGAATGTAATTCCTGCTGGTTTGATGATCCATATGGTGATGTACCAGGTTGCCCATATACCGAAGGATGCTGTTGCTGATGCGCCAAGTTTATGCTTGGTATTAACGGTTGTGCACCTGCCGGTCCCGTAATGATTGAAGGCGAAGACCCGAATGTTACGGGTGGCTGAGATAGGTGCTGAGGAGGACTGATGTACGCTTGTGATGCGTCCAGTTGTGTAGTTGGAGGGCGTGCCCTGAATAACTGTTGTAGCTCTGGTGATGAAAACGCAAGCACCGCGGGGCAAGACTTTGGAGGTTCATCTAGGTCGAGAGCCTGGGACATAGTTAGCTATCGGATGATTGGAGAAACGCAATACGGGTTCAAACGCCACTTACCATGTTCTCATCCTGTACCTGACCACCATCGCCACTAGGCGAAGGAAGAGGATCGAGACTAAGTGGGGTTCCAATAGTGAGGTCGCTGGCTTGCCTCACCCAATCATCTGGGCTTGGCTGATGGCGATTGTCTGCGGTTTGGTTGGTAGAAAGGACACTGGAAGGTGGTCGTCGACTCGGACACGCATCCTGTAAAGCAAGTGCTGAACGTTTCTATTCGCAAAGCAAGCCAGTTATCAGCTGTTGTATCTCGCGAGCTGTTGAGGTTACCTACCGGCTGGCGTTCCTGGCTCGGAGACGCAGGAGAGCGGGGCCTCTTCAGTGAATAATTGAAGGTACGCGTCATCCTTGGGGATGGCGAGTGTGTGTCGACTTCCATCATCTTCGGGTTGTTCTGGTAAGCGACCGCGGCGAAGAAAATGTTCGTGTATGAGACAGAACTTGACCACTATCAACGCAATCCACCTTCAGAGAATCAGGGCTAGCATTTGTCAAGAAGCAAAACAGGATTATTAGTTTGAAGATTGCCACTTTTCTCAGAGTCGCCGACTCGGAGCTACTAAGTACGAGTTCCGAGAAGAGAGTTTTGCACAAATTGCAGCAACTACCGTGACAAAGGGTAACAGTTTGTGAGATATGGCACGTACATCTACTAATAGTACTAGTCTAGAACTACAGGATGTCTTTAAAGGTACAATTTCGTAAAGCAAGCAAATGATCGAATGTCCTTAACCTTGGATGTTCAACCCGCCACGAGGAAGTCTAGGCTCGCCCTCGACGTAAGGTTCCCCAGTCTCCTCTCTCAACATGTCGTTGAGCCAAGCACCATGAGGCTGGATCTTCACACCGCGATTGTACATTACGGCGAGGTACAACCAAGCAGCGGCGTTTCCGACAGTGCTTACTTCATCAGAGACGTGTGTGCGTGCGTACTCGCTCATCTCCTGGTACAACTTCTCGTCGGTATACAAGTTGAAGAGGTACTTGGCAACTTGATTGTTATCGCCGACCTCTGTGAGGTAGCCCGACTTGCCATGCACGATCTGAAGAGGAATACCACCTGTGCGACAAGCCACGATAGGTATACCTGCATGCACGGCTTCGGAAACTTTGACTTCAAAGCCCTCACGAAGGGAAAGCTGAAGGGCAATCTTGGCGTTAGCCATCAGGGCGTTGAGAACTGTCCAGGATTAAAATTAGTTCCTCACGGCTTCGAACACACGTCACTCACGTTGGTCGCTCGGGGGCAATCTCATCACGACAATGTCCTTCTGGTACACCTGGTAGTCAGGCGAGTTGACGAGGTTCATGACTTGGTCGTAGATGATGCTGGCATCAGGGTCATCGACAGCACCGTGGCCACAAATCAGTAGCTGGGGCACCTCCTCTTCGGTAACCCTTCCGGACTCCTTGAGCATGGCGCGGAAGCGAGCGTAAGAGTCGATGACATTTGGAATACCCTTCGCCGGGTCGAAGCGGGCAACTTGGACAACGTAGTCCCGCTGAGGCCACTTGAGCTCGGTCATCTTCTCCTTCGCACAGAGGGCTCGGAATTCGCCCATGTAGAACTGGCTATCCCAAGGGTGGAGGTCCTTGTTCAACCCATCGAGCCTTGCAACCAAACACATCAACGGATGAAGCAGTAAACTTGAACGAGGCTCACCAGTCAGTGGCGGCACCCAACAATGCCAGCTTCTCGACAGGGACATCGCTAGGGACGAACTTGTTGACTGGATGACTGATGAAGAGATCTGCCAACTGGATATTGTTCCAGAGGTATTTCCAGACTCCCTCCTGAGGAGAACCTTTTGCATGCACAAGATCGCTGCGGATCTCGATGTGCGATCGGTATACGATAGGTAACTCGGGTCTGACTTTTTTGATGAGCGGAATAAGACCAGGCATCTGAGGGTCGTCTGAAGGGCACAGCGATGAGTGGCCGATACCTGAGGATGAGAACTATGAACTCACCAATGAAAGCAATGTCAACGCCACCAGGGGCCAGGGGCCCGCCCTCTGCAGTCCATCTAAGTCCATTTTTCAGGATCCATGCATCGAACTGATCTTTCGCCTCCTGGGTGAGGCGAAGGTCTGGAGCAGCGACAGCCTTGCAGGATGTTGTGGTTGTTTTTCGTAGTGCGGAATACGCTCGGTGATGGGTTCGGCACGTACCTAGCAGTCGTCACCGTATATCAGCATCCAGGCACGAGAAAAGTACAAAAAGTGCGGAGATTGGGACGAAGTTACATACCATGCAACATCAACATCCAGAGCAGTAAGGAATCTGACAAGAGCATGTCGCATCTGTCATGGGTGTGAGTAGAACTATAACGGGGAGCCCGCTTAAAGCACGCACCAAAGCAACTCCACCTACAAGCGTCAGAAAAAACCACGTGGTTGAGTTCCGGGATATGTCAATCGACGATAAGCCACTCACCCCCTTGAGGTGTGGAAGAGAAGAAACCGATCTTGACCTTTTTCTCCCGCAATTCGTCCGCAAGTTTGTTGACGGCATTCCAAGTACCTGGTCCAACAGATTTTCTGTACACTTCGAGATCATCGATCAGGTGGATCTTGCCGGCTGCGTCCACGGTAACTTGATTACGGGGACCGATGGTTAGACGAGGGTTATTGTTAGGGCCGAAATACATGATGCATTTTCGGGCGGCAGAATCCGCTTGCTCATCAAGGGTACGCGGGATGGGAAGCTTGGTGGCAACACCCGACTGGAGGTTGTTGTCCTGGTCCAAAAGTGGGGACGGATCAACATAGACTGTGGGGGTCTCAGAACCGGAGGGAACATATGAGCCGGTGGTTGAGGAGATGCGGTGCTTGACGTTGGGACGTGTCAATGAATCAGTGTGGAAGGACTTGATATTGAAGACGATTGGGACGATATCAGTCTCGAGCCATAAAAGAGTGCAGAGGTTGGGACACTAGACAAATATGTAAGCCCAATGTTGGTAAATGAGACAGAGTGGATCCTCGCCTCTTTCAAAAGACCGAGAGTAACACCAGCGCCAAGGAACTTGCACAAGTGCTCCTGAGAGAACTTCTTGATGGTCTGAATAACGTGGTTCGCAATCTCAGATGCGGACTTGGTGGGGTCGTTGGGAGTGTAAGGCATGATGGCCGATGCGAAATCTGTGTTGTAGACGGAGTCGTGTACGGAAATTGCGATCTCAAAACCTTGTCCACCATTCACGACAGCGCCAGCAATACCTGCCCACATGGGCTTATGATACGCAGTCAGCACCGGCATGATGCATTGATAAGGTTATCCTCAAACTTACAGCAAGGGAGGAGTAAGCATGGACAACAGGCTTTTTACCTGCATGGCCAATGCTGGACAGCCTACGCTTGACATGACTGGAGCCTTTGGATTCAAAGTCAACGCTGGCAGGAGGAGACATGTTAACCAATGTTGGGACCAGTAAAAAAGACAGCGTGGTATTTAAGTGAAATCGAAATCAAATTGGCGCTGGTAGTGGGGTAGATACTAATCTTGGTTGAGGAGTTTGCGCACCACAAGCATAATAAACTCTCACTGCATCAGGCACTAGAGACCCTGATCACATCGGGGTGACAAGTAAAAACAATACGATCTATTTGAGGGAGAATAGGAGTTAGCGAGGACCTTGAGCGGGGGAACCTTATGAACATGTTTTGCAGAATGGTCAGTAAAGTTTTGTTGGCAGATGGAGTTGATCTAATCAAAGAAGCACGGTAGCACTGGAAGACATGTCTAAGAACAGAGTTTTCGGGGTCTTAGCCCGTCTTGCCTATTTGGGGCAGCATCTCACTCGCATGAAGACGCTATCAGTGACACTAGTATCAGTATCTTACCCATGACCTGCCTCGACTGTGGGGGAACTTCTGTCTGGGACGACGACGTCTGCTCTTCCATCTGCACACAATGTGGTACTTTATCTGATTCTGCTCAGTATGTACTTGCCTCTCATACAGAATCGCATGACTCTTCCGTGCGCCAGTTTCAACCTGGCTCATGGCTCTCCTCATCTGCGGCACCTCTGAAAAATATTCACAAGCAAGGATGGAATCTCGCTGGGCAGCACAAAGAATCGCGTGACAGGAGGAATGCTGTGAGTTTCTTTCTTCTCTTCTTTTTCTGGACAACTACTTACTCACCTCACTGCACCCCGTTTCAGATCGCCATGAGCATTTTCATCAATTCCGTCTTGACCAAGTTGAAAAATCCCGGTCTATCCCCACGAGCAGAAGCCATTTTCACACAAGCCATGACCAAAGGCAAATACAGGTGGGGACGCAAGGCAAAGTTAGCTGCTGGTGCATCCATGGCTATTGCCCTACGTGAGGCACGCAAATCGGATTCCCTCCGTGACATTGCATTTTTCCTTGATGACTCACCGCTGTCTCTGTCGCGCGCATTCGTGGCCGTGGTATCTCTTCTGGATTTCAACCTAAGGTCATCAGACCCAGTTGTCCATCTTCCCATACTCCTGGCTCATCTTCAATCATTATTACATCCTGAAACCTCGTGTTCTACTTCTCATCTACCCTCGGACCTCGTTTCCATCATCACACCGTTGTCGTCTCATGCGATACTACGTACTGCTACGTCGTTATCGGGTATCATCAGCCGAGAGGCTTGCACTATACCCGTTTTGCAGTCTCCCACCCCTCCTATCGCCTGTGCAATGCTCATTCTCGCACTTGAAGCGGAAACACGTAGCCCCCTCCCACACCTAAGCGAGCTAGCCAACGCGCTCGCGTCGCGCTTTGGCTTTGCGCGTGGTGTAGTTACATCGCGTTACAAAGCATGTTATGATTTAATCGAGGAATGGATCCGAGAAGTCCCTTGGCTCGATCAGTTCATATACAAGGGAAAGGGTCGCGGTACTTCTGCGCGGTCGAAAGTTCCGAAACGCTCCATTGTCGCAAAGGGAATCATAGACGTTATCCAATTTCAAGAGGAGATATGGACGACGAAAATAGCTGCGCTTGGAAAGGCTAGTATTGTAATTGAGGCAGATCCGACAGATGAAGACAACAACAAAGATGAGGAGGCATTTTCAATTAATGAACCTCCTGAGCTTCGCCCTCACCAGCCCCGCAAGCAACGAAAGACAAAGGATCCTAGTGTCGAAAATGCATATCATTTTCTGCTCGATCCTTTGTCCGCGAAATCTTATACTCTGTCGAAGCCTGTTGTATCCGAGGACCCGAACTCTTCGACACCGCATTCTGATACTTCATCACCGATTTTAACTCCACCAACAGTTCCACTTGCGACGCATCTCCTCAGCACCTTGTCGTACGATTCGAAGCATCCTCCTTCTCGTCTCCAGCTACTAGCTCTTAGCCGGGGTGGCGGGTCTGCGGAGCACATTCATGACGACGAGCTATTTGTAGAGGGTGAACTTGAAGAACTTCCTTCGAAACAAAGAGGAACAAGAGGCTCTGAAGCCAGCTGTTCAGACTCCAGTGGCAAGAAGATGTTGACACAGTCGCAGATCACGCAGATCGTGAACCAGAGACCGCCAGAATGGAGGTGAGTCGGGGCTCAGGACGCGTCGATATGGAAGCTCTGGCACGCATTCTAGGCGGGGAGGAGGTCTTCGATGACGAGGAGCATCAGGAAGAAAGCGAGTCATCGGCGCCCACGACACCGAGACATATCCAATCAGACGCTGCCGAGGAGGTAAGCGCTTGGCGGCCACTCTCGCCCGGGAATACTTTTACGAGGCATTGCAACAGTATGGATAGGTACGAAGAGGAGTACTGATATGTCTGTAGGTTAGACCCCGAGGCACCTCCACGGTCGGTGCAAATGTTCTTATTTTTCATGCTACAGCACTTTTACTATCATGTAAGTATTTATGTGAGTATCTCGCGCCCAGAATGGTTATTGAAACTTGCCTCTTTTGCTTGTTCGTTTGAAAGCTGGAACATAAGGCAACTTTTCATTTTATTCGTATCTAGTCTCCGCAATGTGGCGAATATCTCGCCTCCCTGGTTGTGTATAGGCCTGCTGCAATTTGGAAGGCTGGACCCGATAATCAAATTATTGGAGGTAGTACAAATTTGCTTTCGAGACGGCGCGGATCGATTCAAGTACTGAAATACATTGTCATTGTCTTGGCCTAACCCTAACCTGAAAGTAATTTGGAATACATCGTCCTCGTTGCATCCTCATGCCCTGTCAGAGAGAAAGACGCCCTCCATCGCCATCGATAATCAGTGATGCGTAGTTAAAGAACTTTAAATAGCTGGAGTCACGCAGACTTGCAGTGGTGTACCAACGTAAAGATGTCGTCATTTCTCCACTTGCAGGTTAGGCACAAACCCCTTTGGAAAGACCTGTCGGACATTGATATTAACGCGAGATGTCCGCATGTATAATTCATATGGTGTCCAACTCGAGCATCCTTCGTCATCCAAATTTAGGAAGAAGTGATTGGGGAGAGTGTCCTCCAAGATACGAGGAACACCTAGTGGATATGGATCAAATCAAAGGTAAGCGAACGATGTACTCGGACCAACCGTGATAGGCCCGTCTACAAGCAGGTCCTGACATGATCGCAACATCTCCCGAGCGAAGAAGAATCGCCGTTGGTTCCACATCTCGGGTGAGACCACCGATGAGGAAGATAACGGCATTGCCCAGCCTGTCGCGATATCACCAAATCAACATTAAAGATAATGGAGATAAGCCTTTGATAACTGACGATATCGAAACTAGAGGTGATGTTGCACAAACTTCCGAGCGATCTACGTGTGCCATGAGGGTGTCCTGCAGGCTTCATCAAGTCATGTGCTGTTTATTTCGGGGATACAACATACCTTGATTTGATAGTAATTAACAATGCCAGCATCAGGTTCTATACGGGCCGGGGTTAGTTAGGCGTAACCAGTGAGAGCTCAAGAATTAATACCATATGTCTCATGCCAAGTTCTCCAATTTTCGTCACCCCATCCTTCCTCATCCGTTTGACCAAATACCTCTTCCCAGTTAACGCTGCAGACAGCCCGCTTGCATATGGCTCCGATATCATTGTCGATGCGACCCTTGCCTTTGGTGAAGTCGTACTGTTTACTACCCCAATGGTATGACCATCCAATATTTGCCCAGCGCAACTTCGAAATAAGTGCGGTGGGTGAGGCTGGCGAAACAGTCGGGGACGGCACGGCTGGAGGCTTTGATAAATGCAACATCGACTGGAAATTGGCGGGATCGGCCGGTGTGTTAGAGATCAATTGCCTTGGTCCAGAGTATTCGTATTTCGTGTGTGACGACTCTGGAATACATGCTCGTGTTCTGACCAAAGGCGGATCTGAGCTAACATGTGCATTCCACAATCCTTCGTCAGGCAGGATGTAATGAGCATCAAGGTTTGTTTCATTTGGATGCCGTGCATGATCACGAAGAGCCCATCGCACCAGTTGTCGCTGATCATGCGGGGAAACGAAGGAAGGAAGTATAACAAGACCTGGTTCAAAGGTTATTAAATTGATTTCACATGCATGGTGTTTCCAAGTCAAAACTCTTGCGTACCTGGGATGCGGGGGACTGTAAATGCTTTGCCGACGCAGGAGGACGTCGATTCACTCGGACCAAGAAGTTTGATCTCGACCCCGTTGCAATAAAAGCTGTTACCACTGGCTAGCGTCTCAGCATCCCAAGTCATGGATGTTAAATCCAGGACGTGGCTAAGATCGGGCGGGGGGAATCGCGCTTTATATTTTTTCTCTGCTGCTCGAAATGGTGTCCATTCTGCATCTAAGTCTTTACCTCTATTTTTTGTGGTCTTCAGGTATTGTCGCTTGGCCTTCTTATAAGCTGTACTGGAGGGGTCATAGATGTCCATGATCAAGGTTCCTACTACAAACAAGGACAAAGAATGCTTCTGAAGCCTTTTTGCCGAACATACGTTGGCGTCATTTCGTGAATTTTATGGTCGACCAGTAATCCAGCTAGAACTCTCCAACTTTGCTCTTAACGTCCATGTCGGTATGGCTACCGCGCTCTCAGAAAGCTGCTTTTGTACGCTGTTATAGCCGCCAACTCGTCGAAGCACGAACCACTCGTTACATATCACCTCTGGGCCCGCGTTCTAATACACACCTTGTGTTGCCGCGCTCCGCTACTTATGCTCTTACCTCCTACCGCACCCAGAGCACATCAACCTCTTCATCTGCTCCCGCAAACCGTGAATCTACCAGCAAAATCATCTCTAGTGATTCCTCGACTCATGAACCGAAGGCTGCGCCCCCTGCACCCAAGGATCCAGCCTCTGACGCACCGCTCATGACTCGGGCGTGGAAAAAAGTGAAACACGAAGCGGCGCACTATTGGCATGGCTCGAAACTTCTGGTTTCCGAAGTCAGGATCTCCGGCAGACTGCAGTGGAAGATTCTTCATGGAGAGAGCTTGACCCGAAGAGAACGACGACAGGCGAGCATATTATCTCTGACACGACTGGCGGTAATGTTGATAATTTTTGGTATCTAGCTAAAGCGTACGACGCAGGACTTGCTTCGGCTCGTTCCCTTTGCTGTTTTCATCATTGTGCCGTTCATGGAGCTCCTACTTCCTGTCGCTTTGAAGTTATTCCCCAATATGCTTCCCTCGACTTTTGAAGACAAATTTGCTGCTGTAAGGGATTGTAGCATACTTCCTCTTTGCCCTTGGCTAATTCACAAGTAGGAAGAGAAACAGCGAAAGCTCCTTCGAGTGAGACTCGAAATGGCAAAGTTTCTCCAGGAAACTTTGCGAGAGTCAGGCTTGAAGGCTAATGCACACATAATAGGCTCGGATGCCTTCGAGGAGTTTTTCAGGAGGGTTCGCTCCACTGGAGAGCCACCCTCTGCAACGGATATTATCAATGTCGCTAAACTCTTTGACGATGACCTCACTCTCGATAACTTATCTCGGCCGCAACTTGTTTCAATGTGTCGGTACATGGGCATCAATGCCTTCGGCACTGACAATTTCCTCCGGGGTGCCATTCGCTCACGTCTTATGAATCTTCGCCGAGATGATCAAGCCATCTACGCTGAAGGCGTCGAGGAGTTGTCAACCTCGGAGTTGCAGGCTGCATGTCAATCTCGTGGTATCCGTACCACCGGTGTTTCTCCTGCACGACTTCGGGACGAATTGTCTACATGGATTCAGCTGCATCTTCATAATCGTGTTTCCGGTGTACTGTTGATTCTCGGAAGAGCCTTCCATTTCGACCGCAAGCCTGGTGAAGACGAGGACGGCAAAACAACTGTAATTAAGAGCCTTGAAAGTGTCCTTAGCGGATTGCCAGACAACTTGGTCCGTACTCTTTTCACTTTTCTCTCCATAATTAACACCGGTTGCCCTTAGCTAAATGAAGCCGAACTAGAGGTCGACTCGGACAGCGCTAGCTATAAACAAAAGCTCGAAGTTCTACAACAGCAAGAGGAGCTCATTGAGGATGAAGAGGAGCAGGAGCAAAAAGAAGAAGATGCGCGCCGCGCCAAGCGTGAGGCTGACGAGTCAGAAGCACGCACCGCACAGTCTCTTCTGCCTGACACTGAGGTGACTTTCACTTGCCGCCCGAGCCTCCGTGTCTAATTTGCTTTGCTTGGTGCAGCTCCATCCAGAACGGTTCGAGGAGGAGAATGCTCGCATGACTACCGAACAACTGAAGGAGCTTGGAGAAGCGTTGTCAATTTTGTCGGCGAAGTCCAGTGTCCTGAAGGAACGTGACGAGCTTCGCGCCCTCATGGAAGAGAATCTTCAAGCGGAAGAGGTAGTACTGTGGATTTTATCGCAATTTCCATGCTAATTATTCCACTCAGGATCCCAAGTCTCCTTCAGGGGCGCTGACAAAGCGCATCCGGACAATGCTCACGAAAATCGACACTCAACTGCAAGAATACGATTCACGCGTTGGCAATTCTTTGCAAATGTTCTCCGCAGATCCACAAGGGCGCATACCTGTGAAAGACCTGGAGAAGGCACTTGCTGTGATCAAGCACAAGCCTGACGACGTAGTCGGACAAGCAGTGATCCAGAAGTTGGACGTTGACAAAGATGGCTTTGTGGAGCTGGAGCATGTGCTTGGTCTTGTAAAGGAAGAGGGTCTTGGTGAGCAACCCGGTCATCTAATATGGACATGATCTGATGATGAGGCCAGGTATCGAGATCGATGATGAGGCCCAAACGTTGATTGGGGAAATCAAGGATTCGAGACCGAGGAAAGAGGACATCGTCCAGGAGTAAGGCCGATCCAGACATTTTACATATAGACTAGAGCACAACTCTATTATCCACACGTACCATACTTAAGAATTCAGTACTCAGGCTTCGGCCACCAGAGGTGACTCGATTATGTAGATTGCTCTTGGAATCAACGTCTCGTCGTCATTCAAGTCTTTGAACCGTCGCGTTTTATACAATTATCAATGCCGCTCCAATAACTTGTAAATAATACTCGCGCACTGCGCTAAGCATTGATGCTGAACGAATGGCAGCTACTCAGTACCAAGAAATGCGATTCATGGGGATCGTGAAGGGTATGTATCAGATAGTGCGTGGATGTAGACTCAAGCACGCACGAGTGCTCGAGGTATTAGTAACTACCATGGATTTTTCAGCAGACCTGCCTGAAAATATGGGGCTAGAAGGCGACTTTATAGTGAAGTCGGTGGGAGGGGAGTTGATGACTTTGTCTCTTCTCCGAAGTCATTGCCTTCCAATTTTTCAGTGAGATAGCCTTCCTCGTCATCGGCTAGTTCAGCCCACCACCGACCAGCCTGAAGTATCAGGACACCTGTCAGCGCTACGCTGCAAACGAGGTGGTTTGACGCGAGGTCAAGAGTAGGTGTTCTCAGTGAACGCGGAAATGCATCCTTCACATGGTGAGGGGGGATTGCCGTGAATTTATCCATGAGATCTGGGATATATTTCTTTAATTTCATGACCATAAGTTTTGTGAATCGACTGACTGGGAATGACGGAGTACGCATACATGATGACGGTAACGCCATAGAGGACTGGGGAGCAAAGTAAATAATGAAACATGTGATCGAGAACTTGGGAAGGACACATACATATGCTCCCTCCGTCAAACATTAGATTGCCCGCTTCCAAATCATTGAAACTCCAAAAAATGGTCGTTCCACCAAGTATAATGATGGCGAAGAGTACATAGAGAATTTGAACGGGGCCTCTGGTCAATATGGAGTAATACAGAGCTGCGGTCCATAAATGCTCGTCAGTTACTGGTGACTTCCACAGTGTCAGGGAGTCTGCGATCCAATGAGTAAAGAGTGAACCTGAAAGCGGAGGTTAGCACGACACGTCGCCGAAGAAAGTCAGAAAAAAAAGAACTGACCGAGTAAAAAAGAAGTTATGCAAACGACAACACCAGCTCGTACACCCATCGCTGTGCTCTTGCAATACCTGAGGAAGTTGTATCAGTAGAACTTGTCAAAGGACGTCTGAGTTGTCTGTAAGGGACTGTCACGGGTACACTTTGATCCGGACGGGAAGGCACCATATTTGGTAGTTTTGGTCCGATCCCAAGCGGAAGCAATGTCATCGCAATATACAATGATCGAGGTGTACCAATCTATATGTTGCTCCTAAAAGTCCTTTGTTGGATAGGTCAAAGAGCTTGTCACCATGACTGCTATTAACAGCGACTGTGGTTTGCAGGGCGTAGCGCACCTCTGGTATGTACTCTGAGTCGGCTGCTAACAAGTGCTATTTTCTTTTCAATCTCCCCATTTCCACAGCTCCCTCACGGCCGTTCTTCACCTTAGGTTTAACCCGGCATGGTTTGCACGAAGTGCTATCCCTTCTCGGAATCGGTCTCCATCCTTCATCTGATTTGAGATTATGCGAAGACGCTGTTGGAGTCTAGTACTTCCAGTTCTTGATAACGGTAATGGCTGGCAGCGTTCGACACCGGTTCGACACCGGTTCGACACCTTCAGCAACTGTCATCTGTTTGGTTCCTGTCGTCTATTATAGGTAGGTAACATAGAAAATAAATCTAGGAGAAACTGACTAAATGTCCTGGGACTATCAGACGGTCGTGTGACAAGGTATACCGTCGCTAAGATGCAGTCGACCATATTGCAAATGCTACTCAGTCTGACCAGTATTCTGATGGGAAATACCAATGCCTGACCGCCCAGCAGAAGAGCATCAGTTCTCGGTCAGCTGGTGTCACCATATCCCATGCCTGGCGGACCGCAACTCCCAGCTAAGTTTCTTCTCTATGTTCAACGAGTTGATCTTTCCAATCCGGGTCATTGCAACTATCTATTCTCTCCATGTTGGCGAAGGGACTCAGGTAAAGGATAAGAAATGGGATCCATATGGATCCATATTATCCATCAATTGGCGAATGCCCGTGGAACTGCCAGTGGTAAGGAAAGTCAGTAAATTAGAAAAAATATACTTGCGGTTGGTTGATGGACCAGTGCTAAACTGTACCGTAATGTCATCTGGCAGTACAGAAAACCAAAAGTCTTGGAGTATTGCAAGGAAATATCCAGAACTGTAAGTTTGGGTGTGCAAAATAAAGAAAATACCATACCCTCGCTAAGGACGACTGCATGCTTCAACTCTATCGAAGCCGTCTCATGCATCGGTCCGTCGATCAATTAACAACCTTATCTCTGTCAACGTCTTCTGTAATGATTTGAGAAACTCCTGAATTGATTCCCATATCTCCTCGATTGCCAGCATTATGGTACAGGCCAAACAGGACTAGTAGGACCAGACTGTTCTTGTTCGGTAAGACAACCTTGTAAAGGGCTTATGGTAATGAGGAGCAACTTCAAATGGAGACTCCGCCTGTAGAGCCGGCGAAGGATGAGACAGTACTTAGCCCCTATCATGGTGTTCGTTCACACACCCTCGGCAATATCCGACTTCAGTGAATTGGACAGCTTGCCAGTTGCTTGCTGTCCAACAGCTTGCCCATGCAAACTCTTCAGTGCTTTCGTCGTGCGGTCGCAGTTCCATCACGTCTTGGATTCACTTCCAGGAGCATCACCGGGACAACACCTCCTTCTACGCCATGGTTCATTCGATACTGAAGGACCAGTTCAATCAATAGTTAGGCATACACCTCCACATCTTGCTCCAAAAACACATGAGCTTCCCGAAAACATCCCCGCCGGCATAAGGCAACTATTTTTGCAGCTCACTAAATCTCCTTTTCTCGAGCCGTCGACTTTGAGTGTTGAACGACCTGTCGCCGCTCTTCCTGGCCCTCCATTACTTCGAACGATACCCAAGGGTCGCCGGAAACGCGGTCGTACCTACTCTGGTGAAGGTCTTGTTGAAGAGCCTGGAGGTATATGGGACTGGGTAATTACTGCTCAGGTGTGTGTGCTCTGACGCCCTCCGTCTTTCTTGCTGACGACTGTTTCGCCAGGTGAAAGAAGGCACCGAAAATCGAGGATCGATAGAAGCTGTCGTGCGTCAAGTGCGAAAGAATGTGTGTCTGTTCAGCCCTTTTTGTCTCGCAGTAATTGAATATTGTTGTTCAGCTGTTGTCTGTGGACCCACCGCTGCCGCTTCCGCCAAATTCTAAGCGGAGAATGCACAACGGGTGGGCTATGGTTGATGCAGGCAATTTTGCTGTCCATATACTGAGCCGCGATGCGCGACGGAAATATTTTGAAAGATCGGTGTCCGAGTGGTAGTTTACTAACACGTAAACAATTGCTCAAGCTCATTTCATACCTTGAAATTTAGATAACCTTTCTCAAGTCGAATCTACCCTTCTAATATTACAAGATATCGTGACGGCTCAGTTGATTATCCCCTTTTCCACCGCATCGTTAGGTCCTTCCTCTCAATTCGATATTCCCTATCCTTCCTAAGTTTTTCAGCGTATATGTAAGTGAAGACTATCAGATCGAGCACTACTGGGATCCACTGCTGACTCTCTAGCTAGCCCGTGTGTTTCATACAATGCCTCGTTTTCTATCCCGACAATCAGACCATCCTTCAGACCAGCTGAGGACATCCCAATTCGTCTTGCAGATGATGGCGCGTGAAGGAGGGAGAGTGACCTCCAAATAACCCTTCTTCGGGTTATCGATCGGAAGGAAAAAGTTGGTTCGTCGATAATATTTCGCGACAGGTGTCTGCGAACTGATCAAGGTTACTGCGAACGAGCTGAAGCACGCCATCAGTAATATCCTGCGATGAACGGACTATCATACCATGCTATTCATCATCCCCAGGTTCCAGTGATAGCCATTTCCGTCAGGAGCCGTGAAGACGCGTTTCCTATGGACTTGCTCGGTGAGTGCATGTCTTAATTGAGGAGTCAAACACATTTTGCACCTTTTGAAGATGCCCCGTGCGGGAACTGGCCTTGTCTGCCTCAACCTCACCCACACTGAACCCACTTCCTCCTGCACCTCCGAACCATCGCAGACGCGAAGATGTTAGACAATGCCATTCAATTTCGCCAAGCCGAAAAAAACCGCTATCCTCCATGCGTCGTTCGAGCGCTTCATCGTCCATAGAACCCGCAGGTAAGCATGCATTATTTCGCATCGCCTTCCAAACCGTTGAAGTACGCGGTGACCAGAGCGACTTGGAGGGAGTGGTCACTTTTGTACATGACTTGCCCATTGGCGTTGGTTATGGTCGTGTGGCGAACCCAGTCGTCGGAAAATATGAGTTTCATTCGTCGCTGATGCTACAGTGATGAGAGAACAAAGACAGTGCTTGGCGGTCATAGAGCGCATGGATTTGCAAGTTTCTTTTCTGTGGATGCTAGCGAGTTGCGACCCTTGCGAAAGGAATCAAAATTCCTGCGGGAAAACCTTCCACTTCCACATGTACATTTGATCTCCACAATTGGACTTGCCATTCATCTCGTCTGTTGGCTCTGATAACCTGCGGTGACAATGTGGTGCGAATTATAAGCTTCTCAGCTTTCTCGCGGGCCCACTGAGGTGAGCTTGTATCCAGAAAGATAAAATAGAATGAAACATGCTGTCGACCACTTGTACATATAGACTTTTTAGAGGTTGGCAAAAGTACTTCCAGTGCTAACGATGTTCTAAGCAGGATAACACACATTTCAGTCATGATCAGAGCAAGGTCGAATTACATTAAATAAACCAAACATCACCCATACTAATCTGACTAGACGATTGAGACATCCAAATCATGCCGAGAGAAAGCAGCTTCTGAAAAGTATCTCGCCCGCACAGCCCTCCCTCCGAAGTACCTGCCATCCAACTCCCTCACGGTCTTCCACGCACCAGAAGGGCCCGCAAACAATACAAATATGCGGACAGATTCCTCTGGTTCCGCCGGCAGAGGATGAGTCAGATGTACAATAACTCGCTCGACGGTTCCATTCTTCGAGCACTCCTCACCTAAAGGAATTCAGTCAAAATTTAATAAATGGAAATCTCTAAAACTCACCAATTTCATCTCTCAGATCGCCATCGTCCACATCTTCCGGTCCAACCATATTGGTTAGCACCACTACACGACTGGGCTCCCCAAACCTTACACGGTCTTCGCGGCTCTTTGCGTCCTCGTTGTCATTGATGATCCGACCCATCTTTGAACCCATTGCGGGTTTGCCTTTGCCTTGACCCTGCGGTTGATTTTGACCCTTCTTGCCTTTACCTTGGGCAGCGACTTGCTCGACAGTGAGAGCGTTCACAATACCGCTTCCATCGGCGCCAAGACCTTGACCTTCCTTGTGCCCCCACTTAGCCATCAAACGAGCTGCAAAACCCTGCGGATCAGGGCTGATATAATTGTCAGACATATTCGACGGTGGATGTATTTAAGCGTACCGAGTTTGAGCCTCTTCTTGCGGTGGTGGACCAGGTAAGCTTGATCCTAGTCCCGACCCACCTGCAGTTGCGGCAAGCGCACTAAGGCGCGCTGCGATACTTGCAGCAGCCTTGGCCCTGTCTTCAAACGTAGCTGGTATTTGAGAAGATGGTGGGGGAGGTGGTGGTGGAATATTCGCCGGTGGAGCAAAGGGGTTGTATGCCAACGGAGGGGGAGAAGGCGGCGGAGGCACGGATGTTGCCGGTTGCGTTGGCTGCGGGGGAGGAGCAGGTGGCAGGCTTGATGGCTCAAAAGGCGAAGCTGTAGGACGGAGCTTCGATGACATTGCTAGGCGACGTAGGTACGCCTCTTCCCCTGTCTCATCACGATTTTGGGGAATAGACGGCTCAATACTCGATGACAACCCAGGGATGCTGTCCTCGTCATCGGCGCCGCCCGGAGATGGTTGACGGAGAGGGGAAGCGGATGCAGAGAACGCGGGCGGGCGGATACCTCCCGAGGACATGACAAGGCGGCGCTGATAGGCCTCATCACCCGACATGTTATGGTCAACAGGGGCAGGTGTCAGTGACGGTACTCCAACGGCAGCACCAGCAGACATTGCAAGTCGCCGCTGAAAGGCCTCTTCCCCTGACATATTACGATCCACCTGGACTGGGGGAGTAAAGGCACCAAGTCCACGGGGACGTTCGTCATCTGCACGAGACCACTTATCGAAAGACCCGTTGTCAAATCTCCCTGAAACCAGAAGTTAAGCTTCGCCACACATCTAGAGTTAGTTTGCACACCACTCTTTTTTGGACGTTCGCCTTCACTGTCGCTACCTGTGTGATCGCTTCCTCTGTCGAGGGCCTCGCGAGCACGCTTCCTTTCAGCCGCACGTTCGGATGCCCGCTCGACGCGGTCACGTTGCTTCCATATTTTATATTCGTTGTAGTCATTTGGCTTGAGAGCGTCGTAAGACTCCAAGGGATCCCATACCGCCACGACTGGGGCATTCTTATTCTGCATACGAAGGATCAATGACGACACCAGATTGAGTAAGGGAAAATAAAACCTTCTTCCCCTTCCTTCCACCCCCTCCACCGGCCCTGCGTTTGTGTTGAGCCTTGAAGCCATTCACATCTTCATCGAGTACCATGGATGGAGGTTTGACTTTCTTGCCCCAGCTTTCCTTTTTGCGCCATGCAGAGTCCTTCTGGGCGGTGTCGTCCTTGACTTCTTCTTGTTGATCCGTAGTCACTAGTTCTGGGGGAGCGAAGACGACGGCTGTCGCAGAAAGGCCCGAAGCTGACGTGGCGGCGGAAATCGTAGCTGTTGCAGGAGTGGGTAGGGCCGTGGCACCCAAGGGAAGGCGGGTTAAGGCGGGCTTGGGTTTTGCTGGCGCACGACGAACGGGAGCGAACGCAAGCGCAGCGGACCACCCTGTGCGATTTCGAAGGAGTAGCATGATGAATTGCGACGGTCAATATTTTGCTTCTAGACTCGATGTGCAGGGGAGGGGGAGATACCGGCTGAAAGCTTTCCTAAAGACCCAGATTCTGTTCCTCCAATACTTCCATCCTCTGCCTTGAATCCATCGTTGCTTGTGTTAGTTGATGCTGTTGCTGAAACAGCCTCTAGAGCTGCAGGAGTTTCGACTTTCTCTACTTTATGTGCAGGTGTCGGTAGTGCAGGCGAGGCGGATGTAGATGATGAAGAAAGACTGAAAGTTGCGCCAGAAGAGAATTGGATACCGCCGTACAGGCCGCCTGCTCTACTCGACATGGTGGTCAAACAACAACCATGGGAATGTGATACATCATCGCTAAATATTTTTGCAATTTTCGGCAAAATACATAGATATTTTTTCGTGCACACAGGAGGACAGAAATTTTGACCCGTTCAATAAAATTAATCTACCCAACAACCCGCTCAGTATGTACGCTTGAATGGTGGGACTGCCTTGCATTCATTTTCATCCAGAGTCTTGCCAATGACACCACGGTACTTGAGAGTGACGTCGGGCGAGTTGACATTGTTCTGCCACGTGAGGGTGTGCTTCATCCAGTTGTCGTCGTCACGCTACAGGTCCAGTTTAGACAAAAACAGTGAAAGGCGTGATGTAAATACTGACCTCAGGGTAGTCCTCACGAGCGTGAGCGCCTCGTGACTCCTTACGAGCAGCAGCGGCCGTGATAGTTTGAACTGCACACTGTAGGAGGTTGCGTAGCTCAAGAGTCTCGACAAGATCACTAAGATAATGGCATTAGCGAGGAATTAGCATCATATAGATGCTGGTCGTACGAGTTCCAGATCATGCTCCTATCCTTAATGCCAACATTGTCAAACGATTTGTATATCTCCCGGACCTTCTGAACGCCTTCGTCGAGAGTCTGTTGCATGCTGCGAGGAATCGTCAGTATCCCTTTTTCGCACTAAGTTGGCGGAACGCACCGGAAAACAGCGGCATCAGACTGCATAGCTTTTTGCATTTCCAGCCTTATATCGGCAGTAGGCTTTGGGCCATCCGCATTTCTGATCTGGTCCAAGAACTCTACAGCTCTCGAGGCCAGCTTCCTCAGGAATAGCCTTGTGAGCCTTTCCAGGAGTCAATGTCTCCGCAATATGATGAGCACAAGCGCGACCGAAGACCACGAGATCCAGGAGGGAATTTGCACCAAGACGGTTCGCGCCGTGAACGGACACGCACGCAGCCTCACCAGCTGCATATAGACCAGGAACAATCTTGTCCTTGCCATTCTAATCACGGCGAATGAGCGTAGCGCGACGAGGACAACTAGCGCAAGCTTACCTCATCAACAGTCAGCACCTCGCCAGTGTACTTGGTGGGAATACCACCCACTGTCGGGAGGTCAGCTATTACAGTCCAGACAGCAAAAGAGAGACACTAACTGTTGTAATGGACAGTAGGCAGCACTGGGATAGGCTCCTTGGTGACATCAACTCCGGAGAAGATAGCAGCAGTCTCAGAAATACCGGGCAATCTCTCGTGAAGAACTTCAGGGGGCAAATGACTGAGCTGAAGGTATAAGTGATCCTTCTCAGGTCCAACACCGCGGCCTTCACGGATCTCAATCGTCATCGAACGAGACACGACATCACGCGAAGCAAGATCCTTGGCAGTGGGTGCATAACGCTCCATGAAACGCTCGCCCTCAGAGTTCAGGAGGTAGCCTCCCTCGCCACGAGAACCTAGTGCACAGTCAGCTGCAAGGCAGACACCTTATAGGAAAAAAATTACCCTCAGTAATGAGACAGCCGGCGCCATAGATACCAGTTGGGTGGAACTGAACAAACTCCAGGTCCTGCAGAGGAAGGCCAGCGCGAGCGACCATTGCATTCCCATCACCCGAACAAGTGTGCGCACTCGTGCAGCTGAAATATGCACGACCGTAACCACCAGTTGCGAGGACCGTTTTGTGGGCCCTGAATCGGTGCAGCGTACCGTCCTCCATGTTAAGCGCAATAACTCCAACACACTCGCCATCCTGCATAATCAAATCCAGAGCAAAGTATTCGATGAAGAAATTCGTGTTGTGTCGGAGCGACTGGCCGTAAAGGGTGTGGAGGAGAGCGTGACCGGTACGATCGGCAGCGGCAGCACAACGGTATGCCTGACCACCTTTACCATACTTCAAAGACTGACCACCAAAGGCACGTTGGTAAATTTTCCCGTCCTTGGTACGGGAGAATGGAACACCATAATGTTCAAGCTAGAAACAGAGATAAGCCAAGAAAACAACAAGTATGTAAGATATAAACTTACCTCAATGACTGATCTGGGCGCCTCGCGGCACATATAATGAATAGCATCCTGGTCACCAAGCCAGTCAGAGCCTTTGACCTGTGGAAATTCAGCCCAACTAAACAACTGGGGAGCATAACACATCAAAGGACACGAACCGTATCGTACATGTGCCATCGCCAGTCGTCTTCCGTCATGTTCTACAGGTAGCTCATTAGTGAGAAGAGCATAAACACTTCAAGGTATACTTACGCCGAGGGCAGCATTGATACCACCCTTGAAAACGTGTGATGAGCGTGTCAGACACATACTGAACAAGTTGCAACATACCTGTGCCGCGACAGTGTGACTCCGAGTTGGGAATAGCTTGGTGATGCAAGCCGTGTTGAAGCCAGCTTCCGCAAGACCGAAAGCGGCGCGAAGGCCAGCACCACCAGCACCACTAAAGTATACACATACTCAGCTCTGCTAATGTCATAATTGGTCCGAAACGCTGCTCACACGACAATAGCATCGTACTCGTGCTCGATAAGAGGATATTTGCCTGAAGACCAGGACTTAAGAACCGTCAGGATACTGGAAAATAAAACATGGGAACTGTGAGATATACCTTGACCTCCTCTGCCTTGACTGGATTAGTCGCAACGACTCTCCTGACGGGAAGTGAGGTGGAAAAAGCACGCTGAGGACGAAGCAGAGCCCTAGAAGGCAACGCCTTGGACACCGACTTCTTGAACATCGATGGTGGTGTCGTCGTCGTGCGCGAGAAAGAAAAATACACAAGAGACTCCGATGGGCTACGGAAAAGTTGTTGACACCTGGAGGCCTTGCAATGGGAAATCACGCTGATCGGCTATTGGGCAACAAAACAAATGCCGTACAACCCCCGCAATTTGTGTTACTTCTAGTACCAACTCCAAGTACATTAATCTAATACAAACATATGTACAGATATCCATTAGCACGCTCGTAATCTCATCAAGATTCCGCCTATTAACCATCACAGTTATCTACTTGAGAACTCCCAGCGGATCATGCTGCACTTCACTTCGGACCTTCGGAGTTTGATCGCTTGCGACTGCCGCAGGCGGGATCCCGCCTGTCTCAGGCGTGCGTTGGAAAGGATTGTTGGATGATAAGCGAAGGGGTGTCCGTTGCATCGTAATCGGCTTGGTGGGGAACAACGCAGTCGATGACTGAGAGCGATTATGAATCAACGGTGCCGTAGAAATCCTCAAGGCCATCGAAGAAGAGTTCAAAGGAGCGGATGTCGTTGTCCGAAGAATCCCGACCGCGGGTGTGTTTGGAGAAAAATGTCGAACTTCCCGCTGCACTGGTGGCGGTGGGTGCTCGTTTGTATTTGGTGTAACACTGAGGATAGGAGAGGTCGTCATCGACCGTTGTCTTGGTTGAGAGGCAGACGGCTCCCTAGACTCCTGCTCGCTCTGACCTTCCAAACGCCTATTGTATTCTTCCACCCCCCATAGACGGCGCTCGTCGATCTCCTTGACCTCACCGCCTAGGATGTCCCGTATATAAGTCAGTGACCCGAGAGCTTCCTTTTGCTGCATCGAAATCCGCTCAGAATCCTTATTTGTGGCTTCCGCTGATTCCTTGGACTGCAGAACGCTCAGTATCCAAGTAATTGATTCGCCGAGGCGTTTATTCTGCCCTCTCAGCTCTGTTGCAGCACGTTCTGCTTCCACGCGGCTTTCGTGCTCCGAAACATGTCTGTCATCTGTCACATGTTCGTCCAGCAATGGATATGCTGCATACGGCGCCGATGCCATAGACGGCGTGCGAACCAGAGATGCAGCTAATTCGGGGAGATTACGCTATGATATCACAAATCAGGAGAAGGACATCCTCGACGTTGTCTTGACTTACTCTTAGCTCAGATACGGCATTCATTACGGTCTTGTTGATCCCGAGGCTCTCGCCGCGATCCATGAGCCCTCGAGCAATTAATTCTGGTAGTCCCATCTGGAATGAGGGCGATTGACGCATATGCTCTCCTTGTCCACTGGAGGTTCCATGGAAATCTGATGAGGACATCTGATGACCTGGAGGACGAGTCCTCCGCCTCATTTGGACAGGTGGATCCGGTACTTCGAGGGGTATATTTAGGAGGTTGCGGTTTTCAGTCATCACAATCGCGCCCGAGGAGGGTGTACGGGAAATTTCCAGCAACGACGCTTGGCGAAGTAATAGGATTGCGTGATGCGGAGCTCCATCTTCAACCTGAGAACACGGAGGGTATCGCAATAGGTACGTTAGTTGCATACTATAGTCCGATGAGATTACTGCAGATCATTAATATCCGAATACAACTTCGGAGGGTATTGAGACTCACGTTTGGTTCGTATCCGAATAAGCATAGCTACGCATATCCACTGAGCGAGCTCAGAAATTGCAATTGGGCTCGCAAACAGCCCATCCCATAAAATCATCGCGTCGTCCATAGAAATTTCACGCGTGAACAACAGGCGAAGCCATCGTCTGACAATGTGACCGATCAAATCAGCTCAAGACAGTCAGCCGAGAAGATATGTAACCACTTACAAACCATAGATCTGAGGCTCGATGCCTGAGCTCTGCAACGCACCGTAAAGAATGGGATCCACAGATTTTAGAAGACTATTTTGAATGTGGTTGGAAGCCACAGTAATCGGCGATACATATGGCTTAAAGTTCACTTGACCACGCGCGGAGGACGTTTCTACGGATGACGGTTCGCGCCACTCGTACCACTGAGAGATGCCATCCATGATGGCGCAGAAAAGTGCCCACGAATCAGCTGCGATCCACGCCCGCGAGCAAACCTCCCGAAAGACGGATTCATGCGATGGTGATGTAGCATCATCGACAGTAGAGTCATAATCTAAAGCCAAAGATATTTATTCTTCAGCTTTGAAAGCAGACATATGAGCGGACCAAGCAGACGAGACGTAGACTGTGGACACATGGAAGACCTAACAGCGATTGGATCACATACCTACAGCATAGTATACGGGCGCAAGTAGCTCATGCATGCCTTGCCGGTATTCGATATCGGGGTGCATGACAGCGTACAGGAACAGGATATTGGTGAGCTGTTGCTGCACATCCTCGTCACGAAAGTAGCCTATGTCAGGGAAGCTGCAGGAAAAACATCTACCCCAAACTGTAAAGGTCTGGGCAGGAAACTCACGTGCGCTCAACGTCCTGCTGGATAGTCTTCCTGAGATCTACAGCTGCAAACCATTCCCTCCAAGGGTTCTTCAATGCACACCATCAAGACGATGATCGAGTACATGCAATAAAGCCTCGCACCTCATCATGCAAACTGAGAGGATTGTTAGTCTCCAAGTCCGTTGGCGGCTTGGTGTTCCTCCTCGGAATGGTAAGTCCTGGTACAACGAAGGTCTCATCGTAAGATCCATCTGGTGCACGCATCTTCTCCAGCAGCAGCTCGGAATACTGCTTTCGGTGGGCGCGTAAAGCGTCGAGCGGCGGTACCGGCATTTCGTGTGGCGGAGGTTCCAGCGGCACATTCTTCAAGAGGAACAGCTAGAGGAAGTTGGTGTGAGCACGACACAGTCCGATCAGTGTATTCGCCTCGCCTTCCATGCTAGACTTCTGCCTGGTACACCGATACCACCATCTGAAGATTGGAGGAGGCGGCCTGCTGCGATCGCATCTCTTAGCTTGGAGAGGCTCGACCCGCTGTGAAAGAGGTGGTCGTAGACATTCCTAAGGACCAGTCTTGTGCTCAGATTTTCCTGTTGTTGCTATATAACGTACCTCGTTATTTGTTGAGGGGGACGTGTTCTTGAGGGTTGTGCCATGACGAACGCTCAGCGTTCCGGACAAGGAAGGTCCAGCTTAGCGAGCTTAACGCACACATGACATACTCGGTCCATATACTTATCAGATTGTCTTATCTAACGTTTTCACCCCATATTGTGTATGCAGAGATGGAAGGGAAATTCATTCTAGGAAAATGCGATAATGTAACATACAACTGTAGGGACATTATTTGATCATGACAATCGTACTGTGCATGCGATGAAATATGACGTAAAATGCGCAAGACCACTGGACAAACAACATGCGACTGCTTTAGTCGACCTCCTCAACTGAAGGACCGTCCTCGCCAGCGCCAGGGAAACCACCCGGTGCACCGCCAGGGAAACCGCCGGGAGCACCACCAGGGAAGCCACCAGGAGCACCGCCAGGAGGACCACCTGCAGCACTGTAGAGCTTCTGCATGATGGGGTTGGCAATACCCTCCAACTCCTTTTGCTTGCCCTCGTACTCCTCCTTCGATGCTTCCTGTGATGCATCCAGCCATGAGATGGTCTCGTTGACGGCGCTCTCAAGCTTCGACTTGTCGGCAGGGTCGAACTTATCAGCCAGCTTCTCGTCGCTGATGGAATTGCGGAGGTTGTAAGCGTAAGATTCGAGGCCGTTCTTGGCCTGAATGCGAGCAGCGGCAGCCTCATCCTCAGCTATAAGAAAGGAATATCAGGTTATATTCACAAATATCGCAGAAAAGCAGAAACGTACCCTTGTATTTCTCAGCCTCGTTGACCATGCGCTCGATCTCCTCAGCCGACAAGCGACCCTTGTCGTTGGTGATGGTGATGCGATTCGACTTGCCGGTCGTCTTGTCAGATGCAGACACGTTCAAGATACCGTTGGCGTCAATGTCGAAGGTGACCTCGATCTGAGGAACACCACGAGGAGCGGGAGGAATGCCAGACAACTCGAACTTGCCGAGCAAGTTGTTGTCCTTCGTGCGTGCACGCTCACCCTCGTACACCTGAATCAACACACCAGGCTGGTTGTCAGAGTACGTCGAGAACGTCTCGGACTTCTTGGTGGGGACGGTGGTGTTGCGCTTGATGAGGGCGGTCATGACACCACCAGCAGTCTCAATACCGAGCGAAAGAGGAGCGACATCGAGAAGGAGGAGGTCCTGAGTCTTCTCTGAAGTGTCGCCGGAAAGAATGGCAGCTTGAACGGCAGCACCGTAAGCAACAGCCTCGTCAGGGTTGATGCTCTTGTTGGGCTCCTTGCCGTTGAAGAAGTCGGACACGAGCTTAACGATACGGGGAATACGAGTAGAACCACCGACCAGAACGATTTCGTGGACGTTGGCCTTGTCGATCTTGGAATCCCGGAGAACTTTCTCAACGGGCTCGAGCGTGCTGCGGAATAGGTCCGCGCACAGCTCTTCGAAACGGGCACGAGTGAGGGAAGTGTAGAAGTCGATACCCTCGAAGAGGGAGTCGATCTCAATGGAAGTCTGCGTAGCCGATGACAAGGTACGCTTAGCACGCTCGCAAGCAGTCCGTAGACGACGGAGAGCACGAGGGTTGGAGGAAAGATCTGCATCGATGTCATAAGCACCGGAGTAAATAACTAGGTTAGAAGATAGACTCACCCTTCTTGTGCTTGCGCTTGAACTCCTGCGCAAAGTGGTTCACGAGCCGGTTGTCGAAGTCCTCACCACCCAAGTGAGTGTCTCCGGCAGTAGCCTTAACCTCGAAGATACCCTCCTCGATGGTCAAGAGCGACACATCGAAGGTTCCTCCTCCAAGATCGAAAATGAGGACATTGCGCTCGCCAACGACTTTCTTGTCAAGACCGTAGGCGATGGCAGCAGCTGTAGGCTCGTTGATGATACGGAGGACGTTCATTCCCGAGATAGTACCAGCATCCTTGGTTGCCTGCCGTTGCGAGTCGTTGAAGTAGGCAGGGACGGTGACGACGGCGTCGTTGATGCTGTACCCCAAGTACGACTCGGCAGTCTCCTTCATCTTGAGGAGAACCATGGAGGAAATCTCTTCAGGAGAGAACTCCTTAGACTCTCCCTTGTACTCGACTCGGATGTAGGGCTTCCCGCCCTTGTTGAAGACGACGAATGGGAAGTGCTTGATGTCCGACTGGACCTCAGCATCGTCAAATTTGCGACCGATGAGACGCTTGGCATCAAAAACGCTGTGGTGACGCGTTAGCGCGAGACAAATGCAAGGTACATATGGTGACTTACGTGTGATGGGGGTTCATGGCGACCTGGTTTTTAGCAGCGTCACCGATCAACCGTTCGTTGTCGGAAAACGAGACATAGGAGGGGGTAGTCCGGTTACCCTGGTCGTTGGCAATGATCTCAACACGATCATTTTGCCAGACACCGACACATCTAGATAATTTTCGATGACGTTGATCAGATATACAGTAAAAAATTAAACTCACGAGTAGGTGGTGCCCAAGTCGATACCAATAGCTTTGGCTGGCGACATTTTAAGAGATGAATCTTAAGTGGGATAAGGCAAAGTTGATTTGAAGAAGTTCTACGCTCTGCGAGCTCACCTATAGAGGACTGAGGAAAAAGATGACAGTGAAGAAAGATGATGGCGAGTTTACATCTTTTATATGGATGATATTCTTCGTCATTCCAGGACGTTCCTTCAGCATTCTAGAGGGTTCCTTTCTGACGTAGTTCGATTACATAACCACAACATATCTAATTAGGAATATTCTCCTAGCTTCGCGAGACGCCTTCCCCGCAGCCCTGGCTCCATTCTCACTCCAACCCTAGAGACAAATGTGGTATGTTGGTCACGACAATGTCCAAAATATACGTCTAGAGGATATGTATCGTACGGTAGGGGGTAAAAGGAAATTTCGCAGTCAAAGAAGCATATAACGAATGCTGTACACGCTCCAGGCTGGCTCATCAGAACATAAAAGTGACACACTGTGTTACGAAGTAAGATAGCCCTAATGTCGGTCGAGAAATATAAAACAGACAGAAATGAGGCAGCGCAGAAAACAAAGCGGATTGAGAATGTCGTCAGTCATGAGGTTTTGAAGCTCAGCTCTTATCTTTGTCAATTCGCAGTCATGATCATACGAGGGAACATCGAGGAAATACGCGATGGGCAATTATGCCCCATTTGTATGATGCCCCCCGATTCCAAGAGTATCGTCCAGGCTCCGATGGGCTTGCAGGTCGCGAATGACAGATGGATCCACTGAACACAAAGTAAAAACCCAAACTGCGGATTAATAACAAGAAAAGGCACGCACCAGGAAGGACGCTCTTTCGTCGTACATGAGGACTCTGAGACACAGGCGAATGATCACCCCCGACTTGCGGAAACTCGCGCTGAAACCACGTGGTAAACATGTGCACCCAGATTGTAGATAAATAGAGATACTACTCACATCCAACCCAGGATCAGCCATGGGCACTCGTTCGATACCAGATTCGTCGAGATCACCAGGAATATCACCATCAAGCGACACTGCGTTCAGCTCCATCGATAAATCCAGAATATCCGAATCATCACCGGGCGATGGAGGAGGTGGGGGTAGACGTTCAACCTCTTCAAATCCTGGAGGCAACTTCCCGCCAGCGTTCTGTATTGCCTTTTCACGCACTCTCTGCCACTGCTCATATCGCTCAACAGCATGTTGTTGCTCCCTGCGATTATCTGGGATTCATATCAAGCCAACGTGGAATGTCAGTCTGAACTTACTCGATCTTCCGTTGTTTGTAGTGTTGCATCGTTTCGTCAAACAGCTCTGGGTTGATCTCCATAAACAACTTCAGTGCATTATACACCATCCCGTGAATAGTCCTGACCAGACGTGAGTAGCAGTCTAGTGTTAGAATCGGCAGACGCACCGGTTCCAGTGGCTCTTGGAATTCGTATACAACGCAGGAAAGACGAGTGGCAGGAGGACAGGTAGATTATCGCTCATGAGATTGACTACGTATTCGTTGTTCCAGTACAGCAGGGCTCGCTCAGCAACCTGGAAGTGCTGGCTGTTGATGCATCGCGCAAGTTGCTGGAACAGCGGGACCTGGATCTTCTGGAACTCCGAGGGATCGGTGACATCAAGTACTTCCTCGACTTCATTCAGGAACATAACCTCTTTTGGAGAGTTGACCTTGGGCCAGTATTTCAGCAGTCCGAGCATAACTTCCTCCGCCAAGGTTGGATCCTTCTCGAGGAACTGCACGACACAGTACGCAAGCTGTGGGTGATAAAGCGAAAGACTCTTGACTTTATGTAGGGGAAGGAGCACCCGGGTTAAGAAGGTCTTGTGCTCATCCTTGAGAGGTAGGGCAAAGCCGTTGATGATGGAACCCAAGATCTCAAGCAGCTCGGCGATTCCATTATGTCTCTCGGTTTCGTAAATGAAATGATAAAAGACGTTGTTTATCGACCGACGGATAAAGGCCCGAAGGTTAAGGAATTTACCGTAAATGCGGTGTAGCGTAGTCTTGAGAAAGTCGCGTTCGCGAGGGTCTTCAGAGTCAAAGAGCTCGAGGAGATTTAGGACGAAGGGTTGATCAATGTATCGCTTGGCGAGATTGGTGTTGAAATCTGGGCTCTCGACGAAGCGAAGAAAAAATTCATAGACAATCTGGAGATGAGGCCAGGCGAGCTTCCAAGACAGGCTCGTCTTCCTCGGGGTCAAATGCATCACCGGTGGGATTGACAGGTGGGGGTATCGATCGGAAGAGGTTGACAGCAAACTGGTGTTAAAAGTGAGTATAAGACTACTGGGTGGTGGGGGATGAAGTACGAACCATGTTGACAACCTCGGGGTATATGTTTTCAGTGATGACAGTTCCTCTGAGTTGTGATATACTCGAGCATTTCGTGCAATGTCTGTGCCTTGATTTGTTTACCTTTAAGCTCAGCGCTCGCGTCATTGAAGTCGAATAATACACGGCATTGATTGAGCTTCTTGATAAATAAGATAGAACGCTCAGTGGGAGGAGTTTCTATAAAAAGACATGAATAGATGACGCGACATGGGTTGGTACGGGATGAGTGATTACCTGCGAAAGGAGGCAATTTTTCAATGTCGACCTTTTCTGTGACGACAAAGCGACTGCTCCGTTGTTTGCGTGGAGGCTTTCCGACGATAGGGATTGTATCGCGTGGGCCAGAGCGTAGACGGTTCAAGGTATTTGCGCGTGGAGGAGTTGAATTACCATCTAATCCAATAGTGCTGCGCTCTGGAGAATTATACGAGGCTGAGCGGGGCGCTAGGTCAGACACTGGGTCTGAGCTAACTACAACGATTGGTGGAATGGGAGAGGGGTTGCCTGTAGAATTGTACCTACGATCTGGGACTGATGGTGCGATTGAAGTAGAAGAAGGGGGACGACCAGAAGATGAAGCTCCTTGTGAACTGAGAGAGTGATTGCTAGAATTGTTGACTGATGCACCTGGAAGACCACCGGAAGCAGGCTGAGGAAGTGGCTTGCCGGTGTTCGGTGGTGGTGGTGGAGGTGCTGCTGTAGCTGGAGTTGTAGATTTTTGATCTTTAGACTTTGATGAGGAAGAATCTTGAGAACTCTTCCTGTTGAGCTGTGCAAGGAAAAGGTGTAAGTATTTAGTGATAAATTAGATGATAGATAAACTAACGAAAGATTTCTTGAGTCCCTTCATAATTGTAGCAGAACTGAAGTCTGCAATACACTAAATCGTTAACCAGCTGATTAAAAGTTGTTGATAGAGTTGGTACTGCGACTGCCACTGACGGGATCGATGGAAGGTAGTACGTCGTGACTCAACATCACACATTCAGTCACAAGTCACGACTCTTTTAAAACATATCAACTACAATTAAAAACTTATTATCCACCGCGTCCACATGTTATAATATAATAACATATATATCATTCAATGATAGCAACATTGTGATTCAAAAAAAGAATGAGACTAAAGGTCAGCTCGTGTGGTCCAGGCAAAAGTTTCGAATTGGTTCCTTTTTTGGAAGTCACGAGGACAGGTAACGACCATCACGTTCCCTCCCTTACCTTCTTGTCCCTATACCACTCCTTCACTATGGCTGGTAAGTCTCCCAATCACACTGAATTCATTGCTATCCGTTGATTTTCAGTGGTTTAGCCATTTACGCCGTATATACCTCTCCTACACACCCGCCTATACCAAACCACCTTCCTACTCTCATCGTAACTCCTCATGGCAAGTACCTAGTTTCACAACAATTATAATCTTTAATAATCCACAACAGGTCAACCGTCTAACATTCTCTACTCTTACCTTCATACAAACTTTGTATGTTCTTTATCTCCACTCCTCATAATTTGATTTCATATCTCGGCTATTAGAACACGGAGAATTACCTTTTGACTCCTTCTCCCCAGGGTGACCTTTGTGTCGCCAAGCTATTCCCTCCACGTCAGAATACCGGTAAAGCTACTGCATCCGACCCTGGCCATTCCTCTCCATCCGCCGCCCGTATCGTTCGCTGCGAAGCCTCTCGTAATCTAAAGTGGTCAATCGCAAACACAGGTGTGATATCACCTATCTACAAACTCTCCCTACCCTCTCCAGACTCCCCCGATCTCCCCCTCTTCCAAATCTCTAAACCGAATCCTAATGCTGCTTTCTGGAGCATGTTCTACTTTGCTTATGCTGGTCATAATATACCCCCAAAGCGTATCGAATTCGGAAAGATACAGAAGAACCCTCCAGGTCCAAACGGTGGTGGAACTAGAATTAGCATCACTGGGAAATCACCCGAGGAAAAAGCCGTGTGGCAGACCTTGGGAGAGGGAAATGAGGACTGTGTCGAATGGGTCGTTCTCTGCGCAGCACTAAACCTTCTCGAGTATGTCATTCATTATCTTCTCACATCCCTTATTGCATCCTGACTTTACACACAGCGATGAGATCATCAAGGCCGCCGAGAAAAACCCCCCTCCACCTGCCACCCCTGGTCCCATGCCAAACGGCGCGTCCGGTCCCATGCCAAACAGTGCGCCTGGTTCTATCCAGAACGGCGCGCCTGGCCCTGGCGGTAGACCGGCACCTGTTGCACTCCATGACCCCGGTCCAGCCTCCGCACCTCCCCCAGGTCAGCAACGCCCTGGCCCATCACAGCAGCATCCACCCCGCGGTCCGCCCCCTCCTCATGCCCAAGGAGGGCCAGGACCTGGCCCGGGTAGTCGCCCCCCACAAGGGTACCCCCCTCCAAGAGGATTCGCACCTGGGCAAGGTCCCCCTCCAGGGTCCATACCGCCTGGTCCTGGTCCTGGTCAGGGCGGTTATCCTCAAGGGTACGGTCCTGGACGTCACCCACCACCGCAACAGCACCGCATGCCGGGTCCTCCTGGTGGTCCTCCCCCTGGAATGCTCCCTGGTCGTGCGCCACCCCCACAGCAGCAATATTCTCAACAGATACCTCCTGGTCAACAGCAACAGCAGCAGCAGCAAGCAATGCCAAGACGTTTCTGAGACTTTCGTATACCTGGATGGTTTCTCACTACGAAACAGACTCTAATTTACCCCTTTTACCCCTCCCTGACGTTATCTGGTACCCGGCGTCTTCCATAGGTGTCATAACCCCACTGACTCTTAATTATCGTGCCTTTCATTTTTAGTGATCGACGTAGTTTGACCTTCTTGACGATATTATCACTCCTTCGAGCCTCTCAAGTGTACGAAGTATCGCGTTCTATTACGTTTCCATATTTTGCGGGATATAAATGTGGTTCCAATAAAAATCATGCCAGTAAAATCATGCCAGAGACCCTTATCAACAACGAAAAATCAGCAGCAAAGCGCATATCATACCCATAATGGACGTCTTAGTCTCTCTGGCAATCTCCATCTAGTTCTTGATGAGCTTCTGGAGGGCGTCCATCGAATACGCTGAATGAGTAAAAGTATGAATCAGCTGCGGTCACTCGTGCTATTTTCATCAGATACGCACATTTAGGCCGCTCGAGAGGCAGTCCCAATGCTATATCCACCATATCATTAGAACCCTATAGCTATCAGAAAACTTGTTATCAATACTGACCTCGTGCCCAGACCAGTTGGGTCAGAGCTCCCAAAGCTAGATGACACATGAGCGGTATGAAAAAGGTTAGTAGGTGGTGGCTTACCTCTGGAAACACCGAAGATAACGGTGTAGTACTTGAACTCAGTCAGACCGTAATGGTACAACACGCAGCCTTTCATGGTGATCAGGATCCAAGATTATACCACGTAAAGCAGGACTTGCCTGAAGTTGCGTCGACATTCGGGTAAGGGTTCTTCGTCTTCATCGTGATAACGTCAGAAGATTACTCCACTCCCACCTGAGCACACATACCTTTCCATGCTCCTTCAGAACATCGGGGGCTATCTCAGCCGTCTACACGGATAGATAAGTACAAATTCGAGAGGACGGAAATAGTAATTCTGACCTGCTGTACGAGCTGAATGATGGGGCTTGCTTGCAGATCCGGGCGTGTCTTGCAGAATTCCTGAAGAGCAACAAACCGAGGATCGGGGTTACGCAGGACCCCGTGCCCATATCTAAGCACCAGGTCAGGGCATGTCCCATCAGATTGATCACACGAGTACGAACCCAGGAACGACTTGACCACCCTTCAACGTCTTCCAGAGGTACTCCTTGATGTTCTCATGCGTTATGTTGTCACCAATCTCCTTCTGCATGGCCATCTGCCATCTCAGCACTTCCTGGTTCGCTAGGCTGAAGATGTGTTTGAGCGTTTGGACTACACGTGCAATGACTGGAAGCATACCCGTGAAGAGGTCCAGCGAGTGCAAAGAGAGCCGCGGAGTAGGAGATATACGGGTCAGAGAGCGTCGATCCAACAAGGTCTGGCCATTCTCGTCAAAACATGGACACAGGCATCGGCGAAGAGGGGCACTCACGAGCAGTGTGAGCCGAAGCATTACCACCTTCGTGGTCACCGTGCAAGGCGATATACAAACGGAGATACTCCGTCAAGTGTTCATTTTGACCAAACCCGAGCATGTGGGAGTAGTTACCTGTGGACACACTGAGCATGCTTTTACGGATACTGGTACAGATACTGACCGACAAGATCCAAATTCTTGTTAATAGGTACAATCGACCTATCGGGGTGGTAGACGTTGCGGTAAATACGCGCCGCCAAAGCAGGGAGCTTCGCAATGAGGTTCAAGCAGTCTTCAAGAGTGTACGTCCAATACTCCGGCTTCTTGATTCCACGCTCATATGCTTCCTGGAACACGGAGTCATGGTTCAAAGCTGCAACACCCATACCCAACTGCGTCATCGGGTGGAGAGTCTTTGGTAGGCTGGATAGCAAAATTTTAAAAAACTGAAGACCAAGACCACAGCAGGGACATACGAGTCAATAAGCTTCTCGACAAAAGGCGGGAGTTCTCCCTTCTCTGCGAGCTCAGCGGACAGTTGACGGCTTTGCTCCGCGGTGGGAACTTTGCCAGTGAGGAGCAGCCAAAGCATGCTCTCAGCTGTCATCTCCTTACCACCAGGTGCCGAGGGGAGCACCTTTTGGCAGTCCGGGATGGTCATTCCGTGGAACCGGATGCCCTGAATAACGCATTAGCATCGGGTCGGCTGTAGTACGGAGGTTAGTTCGCGAACCTCATTCGGGTCCAAGACAGAGGCTTCCCAGAGCATGGCTTTGAGACCGCGCATGCCACCCAGGATGTTCTCCACCTATGTGACGCGTCAATAAACCTTACGGTCGTGACTCCTTGTTCAAGACTGACCTTGACTTCTCCGACTACTGCTTGACTATGTTCGGCTTTCTATTACAGGATGGTGACTAATGTTAGTCCATTATATTTGGAAGGAGCGACGCTGGACTGACTAGTTTCTTGAGTTGTTCCTGCTTGGCCGGAATGACTTCTTGCAGGGTTTCTTTGAGAGACTTGAGAAACTTGGTATGAGCAAAGACGTCATCGAATAAGGTAACGGTAATATACCTTAGTAGAAGCCAGACGCCTGAAGCCATTGGTGGAGATATTTCTCGCGACAGACTTTGCCAGCAAAGAGGAACGACCGATCATGGTGAAAGTGGTGAGTTGGGGTGAAAAGAAATAATCGGACGATGGCGTGTTATAAGTCCGAGCGAAACTTTTAGGCGCCAGCAAGTTCAAAATTCAAATGCATGTGCTTCGGGACTGAGAAACCGGTTGTCTTAGTTTGGCAATTCCGAAATTCCGGTCATGCCGCCGGCACGGATACAAATATGGACAAAGCATGGCTCGAGAATGTTAAGCAGCTTCAAGCTTGTTGGTACACGTCTCAAATACTTACGTCCATCCCATGGCGTCTGTCCTGGTCCCAGTTTTATACGTTGGAATAGTCATTTCAAGTCTATTGCTATTCAGCCATTTCAATAGAAAACGCAACGCAGGTAAGTTGACCAGCAGTTTTATCCTCTTGCGTAGACTGAGGTGTAACAGGCAAGATATACGATCCATATTTTCCTTCGCATCCAGAGCGCGATGTCTACGTTACCTTGCTGCAGAAGAGCGACCCTCCAGCTCATGAAGCCCTTCTCAAAGCCGCTCTTGTTCGCCGTGCAATGACAGACGTCTCCCGCGTGGTCAAACTGCGTGAAGACAAGCCAGCTCTACAAAACCTACTACAGAAAGGATCAATTGGCGATGACCTCTGGAACAGTCTCCTGCAGGCAGAAAAAGAACTGGAATCAGAGATCATGGAGGTCGTTGCAGAAGCTAATACCTTTGTTGAGGGATGGGGAACTATAATATTCCAGTCAGCAGGCGAAATGATCGCGAATGAGAAGATGCGCAACGTCTATGAGGAGACTGCAGCATCTAGAACGGCAAAAGGTGCGTTGCTTCACGCGTATTATTAGAATGAATATCTAAACCTATATCTGCAGAACAAAAGTATGGCAAAGTAGGAGCCAAGATCGACCTCCCTCTACCACAGTCACTCCTCATGTCGGGACCGCCACCACCTGGTCACCCTGCTCATGCTGCCGCGCTCGCGGCAGCTAGAAGTGCTCCTGGTTCTCGTCCTGGAACTCCTGTCAAGCCTCCAAACAGTCTTATGCCACCCCCCACTACAAAGGCGGAGAGCGTGGCGTCAAGCGATGGCGAGAGTCATGATACCGTGTCTCCTTCGAAATCTGTAAGTATTACTTCCATCACTGCATGAGACGACTCAGGCCACGTCACATACAGTCCAAGAAGAAGGGCAAGAAACGGAAGTGATCCCCTCCTTACATAATTTACATACCTTGTCAATTACATGCGATGACATTTCTTGCTGGAAGTTAATTGTCGAATCTGCGTAAATTGAGACAAAAAGTACAATGTGCTTAAGATAAAAGACGACACGCAGAACACAATCCAAGTCCAAACCGTACACGTCACTTCACATCAACCTCTGATGACGATGGCTTTCTCGCCTGCTGTTCTTGCCTTGCCTGACCTGTCTATGTGGTCCAGTCCAAGGACATCTTCGGGCGCGAATTTGTGATCGTATATGGTATCCTCTGCATCGTCGTCAGAGAACACATGTATTGATGACCAAATTAGACGCTCACCATCCTCAATGTATGACGGCTGCTTAAAGGTAGCCACTTGGATAAGGGCAAACCGATACTTCGCAAAGTCCTTGTCTGTTGCACCTATTCGTGCCTGCAGACGCTTCTTCGTGTCTGCGAACTTTTCACCCTTGAATCACTTGTCAAAATAAAGCCCTGGTCAATCAAGAAAAATAACTCACAGATTTGACGACGAATCGGAAGGGCACGCCATGTGTTCGTGCAACCTCCCTGTTGAAGTGGAAGACACTGATGGTCTTGCCAGATTCGTCCGCTTCAAGTTCGTCTCGAGGAATTTCCTGTTTAACGAATTAGATTGCTGATAGGAGGAAACAACCATCGGTGGCATACCTCCGCATAAAGCTCGACGGGTTCAGGGATGTTACCGATCATTTCTGAACCCGTAAACTCCTTCTGGAACTTGCCATCTTTCGACACTTCAAAGACACGAATCTTGCCAGTTCCTCCAGGGGTCAGCGTCACTTGCTTCGCCAGGTGATCAGCAAGATCATGGACCGAGCTCGTCTTCGGCAGCAGGAACGGGTACGATGCCTCTTCTTTATTATGGATCCCCGTCCACATGATTTTGAGGCTTCGCTTTGTCTCCAGCTCCACGATACTTACATCCAGCTTCTCGTACAGAATGACGGTCGTCGTTGGATTGATGTAACTCGGTACCATAATTTCCTGAATGCTCTGGTTTAGAGATCGTTTCAGGACAGATTTCGGTGATCCGTTCGTAGCATGAGTCGTTGTGAATCGAAGCTTGATGGGATCATGTCTCAAAAACTCGCCAGCTTTTTGTGACATCTGAGCAAGTTGTCAGCTACCCAAACCAATATAAGGTAACAAAGAACACCAACTATATCATAATTGTACTTCTTGCTCAGGATTAGACTGAACTCTGGGTGATCATGGTCTGGCTCCTCAAACTTCGGTCGGAAAATGATCATGACGCGGTTCTGGAGGAAGTCATAAAACTGTATCGGGTTCGAGTACAGACCCTGAGCATCGAGGTCGTGGATCCTGCACAAGGATTGAGCACATAGCATTTAATCAAGGTTCGCACACTCACTCTTTCTCAGAGTGCTCGACCTGGAAACAAATGACATCACCATCCTGAATCTCACTCTGAGCAAAAGTGAGCTTCTGCTTCATGAGCTCGATCATGCCAGGCTTGATTTCCTGCAACCGTGAAAAGTAAGAACTGAACCTGGACGGTGATTCTGCCAGCGCACCTCGAAGAGTCTCAGGGGCGTCCCTGGTACCCAACGCATTCGCTCATTAACAAGGGGGTGCAGATCTTGGACTTTGCTGTTCCTTGACACGTACGCCTTACCAATACCGTACAGAGTCTGCTTCGTCATGTCGAAGTGCTTCAGGAAAATCATGATAGATCCCGCTGGAGGCTCAGGCTGCAACATGCGTTAATGAACTTCCTGTAAAACAAAGAAATAACATACCTTGCTCGGATCGGGTATTATATCAAGATATAAGCGAAGGTCATTCTGCCTTGCTGCCATGTTGTTGCGGATCACCTCGACAGCTGGAACAAGCGTTAGTATTCTATGGGTGTGAAAGGAGAAGGACGTACTGAGCGTCGGTTCATTCTCAGGGATATGAGTATCAGGGCGGACAGTCTTGTTTTGACGGTTAACCAGAACCCAGAGACGTATTTTGTTCTCCGGAAGGTTGAAGTGGCTTGCTACGCGTGACTTGAAGGTACTGTATGTTTCTTGCTTCAAAACTCGGAAACTCGGTAGCTCCGACGGTGGCCAGTTCTTTTCATCAAATGTGGCAAGATCAAAGCCTTCATGATGAGCAAATGTGTCATCGGTGATGACCTAAGCTGATGTGAGCAGGAGGACAGGTGAATGACACAAAGGCCATCACGAACCTTGGCTGTAAGGAACAGGTGCTGCTCCTCGCGTTCTCGCTTCTTCGCCTCAATCTGCAGTCTCTCATCCTCAAGTCGACGTTCTATGATTCTACTCAGTAACACGTGTTATTACGTCAGAACCGGACTCACTGAGATGTGCCGGGGTGTCCTCGTCCTTCCAAGGCGAAAGGATCTCGTCGATAGCCGACTCACGGACGTAGACCAACATGTATGCATTGGTAAACCTTTTCATCGCTCGTACTTGGTTGCGTTGTAGTGGAGGAGTGATGCCATTCAGAGGTTCACCGCCATAGTTTTCCTCCAGCACCTCGCGATCAGTGACTGGGGTGACTTTATCATCATCAAATTTCAGCCATCTCGTCTCCCGATCAGGTTTGATGAGTGCAAAGTAATGTCCGCCATATCGATCCCCAGAATGTACCAACACGCCATGCAACTTGTAGTTCCATGACTGCGAACGATCGGCGTCCTCGTCCAGGAACTCCGCGAGGTCGATTTCAAATGGGAATTCATGGCGATCGTTGATCTACAGGAGATTAATCGATGAATAACACGGCAAGGCCTGTGCCACGAACCTTTGCCATTGCATCGCGCTGGATATCGTATTCGAAACGCTTCAGTTGCAGGTGGAGCACAGGAGGGAATGATTGGAAGAGAATTCCCTTCTTTGCATCTTGGAGACCAAATCCTTCAGCTTGATACTTGTTTTCACCCTCCATCATCTCAACAGCGACATAGTCCTTGAATGACTCGTGCAAGTTTTTCATTCCCTTGACGTTGAGAGAGATGTCTGCATCAAGTGACGCGTTAGAGAATACTAGATCTGACAGATGCTAGATTACCGTTAAAGTCCTCAAATACAGGATGATTCATAGTCAACGTTCACGCATTTGATGTAACTCTTCATCTTTCCAACGAAAAGCTTGGAAATTGCGCCTTCGGCTTTAGTTCCCTAGGTGAAGTGAGACGATGCCTGACATGTGATTCGAATTCGGATACCTTCATCTTAGTCTCTAACTTGTCTTGGAGTACGCGGTTAAACTCTTGAACGTCATGTTGCTGGTCAGAGTCGAATGACTTCCACCCAAACGATTTCGTCAATTCCGTAGTCCCTGAGTGATTACAGATTCGAACGCAATCACGGAGTGAATGAAGATGACACGTACCAACAGGTTGATCGGATGTCTGCAGATGATAGAACACTCGTTGCAAAGCGAGCGGTACGCTTTCCGTGGGGTGCTCATCTTCGGTTGGTATTTGGTACACAGCCTAAAACCAACATCAGCTGAATAATGGCTGTTAACGCCACACTCACCTTTCGGAAATAACGCGTGCAGAAAAGGGATTGGAGAAGAGAGTTCATGTAACACGTCGCGCCCTGGTTCTTCAAGCCAACATAGCCAGTCTCTTTCTTTGAGTCATAGCTAGACTGGTATTAATGAGGACACGTGAGATCAGCAGGATAAAATCACGAGTACGCACTTTACAAAGTTGTGCCACAACACGCCGGTAGGATCTTCCAGCACGCGAACGAATACAGTAACATCGGCGGACTCGTCCTCGATAGTTGGCCGCGAATGGCCTTCTTGAACATTGAAAAGTTTGCGGCAGTTCACTGAAACGGGTAAAACCCCAGTCGCATTCCTCGGCGATAAAGCGATGGTGTGCATCTGAGTAATAGTCTTACTTGTGCCCGAAGTGAATTTGAATGATAGGACTCACGGCTGACGGTGAAGATTGTGGGGTCGTGGGGATTAGATATTACGAGAGCAAATTGGGCACATGCATGCCAACCCTCTGGGGACTTCTTTGGATCAGCGTAATCAAGGTAGACGGAAACAGTGTCATTAGGTGGCGCGTTAGAATTTCCAAAGGGGAATAATAGTATGCGCCTGGAAAGAATTGAGAAGGGTAAAGAGAATAGCGCCTCTGATAATCTGACCATTTGTGACCACCACATTCAAAGTCAGGACTTGTGAGCCTCTTGTCCAATTTCTTCCAGTTGTTAATGCGCCAAGTGGAGACCTGAAAATCTTTGACATCATGACCTAAGTCTGGCATGTGCTTTGCTGCAAAGGCATCGTCTGAGGACGCGTATGATGATAGTTAGCGCTATATGGATAGGAAAGAAAGAGCTTACGATCGCGGACAGATACGACCTCATCAATGATCTCCATGGAAGGACCGCCGTTTACTTTTTCGTCCACAAGATCCATGGTATCACTCTTGTGCGGCTAGACATGAGTTGTGATGTAAAGTTAGGATACTCGATGATTACATACCATGAAACTCTGCAAGTGAGAAGTTCAGAGATGAAAGACCTTGGAGCTAAACGAAGTTGTGGGGCAGATGATAACAATTGACAATATGGGCTTTTCAGATGAGTCCTGACCAACGGTTGACAGTGAGTGAAGCGATGAGGTCGGTGGGAATCGGTCATGGACAATCGCTCTCGTAAGCAGACCCCGCCCCTACTTAAAAACGTCAGTCCCCCGAACCTTCACTCTCTTGTTTGTTTTTTTTTCACTTCAAACGACGTTCTGAACTTTGCAATGCTGCTTTGCGTGATCTTTTACATTTTTTAACCTACACGATCCTTAAATTGTCTCGACAGGGTTGACCTTTGTGTCACCACCAGCCTTTCCGCTGTTCTACTGTCGGTAATGAGTCAAAATCGTGTAAAAGCAGGTCGACGGACTTTTGGATTCTTTCTCAGTCTCGTTTTGAGGCTGGGGGGAAAGGAGCAATCCTCCAAAACTCCCTGATGATGCCATGCCCACTGTATCGACGGTCTCTTCATGTGATACCATCGTTCTGCGGTTTGGCGGACATCAGTTGTATATATATATTACTAGTTTTGTCTCAATGAAATGACAGGTTGTTCGCCCCATGCCCTGCACGTTGCGTGTTTATTAAGATTGATGCTATGCTTATCGTACTGGTTAAACGGCGGAATCGGAGAACCATGCCTATAACGTGTTGTGAACTTGGATAGCCTGGTTAATGTTAACTTTGATTAGCAGTACCGTGTCGGAATCAACTGACTTTGGTAGTCTACTACTTTGTTCCCACCATTGTCCTTCTAAGCGCTCAATCATCCTCTAGAACGTAAGCAAGGAAGTTTCATAGTGCCGGTGGTGCAATTGCCTCATGTCTAACGGGCGACACCTGTCTTTCTCTTTCTTGCTCTTCCTTTTCTTTGAATTGGATCCCCCACTTCAATTATTCCATTCTGGCTCATTGTCTTATACACTGAATGTCCTCGAGAAGACGAGAAGACCGTCTTCAAGACGATCGCTTCAAACTTTGGGTTCCACAAGAGAAGCAAAATGACCGCGACTATGAACACCGCCGTCATCGCTCATCTACAGTTCCTACTACTCAAAACAATGAATCTAGGTCACATGCTCCTCGTTCTTATAGGCAGGAAACACAATACACTTCCACTGCACCCTCATATCACTCTGCTCCTGGGCCATCAACCAGCAGAACCGCTCCTCGGTCTTCTTCTGCCCAGTATCCATCCACGGGCTCTCATTCAGCCACACCTTACCAGCCCTCTGCACCCATTCAAACTTCACAGCCAAAGGGTTATCCTGCACCAGCACCATCTTCGCGACGGGCCCAACCAGCAGACGCCCAGGACTCCAGATCTTACTCGCATCGACGACCTGCGCCCACCCCAAAATCATCATATGAGCACGTCTCCGGTGCAGAAGACCTTGGAAAGTCCTCCAGGCAGCCATATCCTTCGCGTGCCGCCCAAGGTTCAACACAGACTACAGCGAATGCCCCCGCACCTTTTGTAACATCTGCACAAGATATCTACTCTAAACGATCGAAAGATCGTGACAAGGAACGTGATAGATATCGAGAAGCGGAGAAGGAACGTGACAGGGAAAGGGCTAGTGCTGAACTCGATAGGGATAGGTATCGTGAAAGACTCAGATCTGAAACCCATCGGGAGAAGGATAGACCTATTGAGACCGACAGGCAGAGGGAACCATCCCGACACAGACGCGAGAAAAGGATCGAATCAGACTCTGAAGGCCTCGTGTATTCAGACAATGCCTCCAAGGCTTCCATATCTGCCAGGGAAGCATATCAGCCCTCTATTCGGGAGTCTATCGCCGGTCACAGGCGACATCGTACAGAAGACGGAATCTCATCCTCAACGGTATGTCGATTTGATATTATATGGGCATGGTGTTAATAATGTGCCCAAGGCCCGCCGACCTCATGCTGACACTTCCCATAACCCAAGTTCTGCTGTGCATGTGCAGTCTACAGGTCCTCAGGCGGAGGTTATAACACAGAGTAATACCCAAGGGGTAGGGAGTAATCCACCTCCAGCACCCCGCGTAATGCCTGTCTACCTTCCTCAGAAACCCTCAAAATCGCACCATGAGCGACATACGTCCTCAGCTGCGCACGGAGCTCAATCAGGCAGTGATACTGAGCGTGCTTCTCTGAAGGTAGGACGCCCAATCAACCCTTTTTCATTCCGTTGACCTATTTTTTTGCCAGCACCGCATGGAGAGAAATCACTCGGGAGGCCCCGTCCAGAGAGGCGATCCTTATACGTCCAGTGCCGTAAGGGAGAGGCAGGGTCAAGATGCCCCCTTGGGACCGCGGGATGATACCAAGTCCAAATTAGAGGTATATTCGACAATCCTGACTACTGAATGGTGGAGCTGATTGTGATATTCACCTAGGCCAAGTATTCCACGTCGCAGGGCGCATATTATGACTCGCGGCAGCCCCAAAAACCTCCATCAGTTCACACTGTAGACATACCTCTTATTACGCCAGGCTTCAACTCGTCACCTTTGCCGCATGAATCGCGGGGACATGTGGGTACTATACCTGTTCTGGTCGCCGGAGAGGGCCCTGCCGATCGCCAGGCTCACGATACACTTTACAAGTCACAATCAGCTTTACATAAAGACGAACTGCAGGGTGCAGGATATCCTCATGCATCCCTCGCTTCCGCAGTCAAGCCATCTCACGGCCGGTCTCAATCCTCTGAAGTCCCCCGTGGCCGCGTGGAGCAGCCCCCGCTGGACCGTTCTCGCACAGATCCTGCAGCAATTGATCTTTCGCATGGCCGTCATCATCGACCCGAAGACCTTACATCACCCCAGAATGTTCCACGATACCCTCAAATCACGAGTACGGTAGTAGAACAGCAGTCCTCCCAACCGCGCTCACACAAGACGTCATTTTCCATCCCCCCGGCTGTCTCTGGTCCCAGACCTCAACGTTCGTCTTCTAACGCTGACAATCAGAATGAGTTGACCAGATCGATAACAGCTGCGACGCCCGCACCGGCTCCTATAGCGACAGTAGCTTCTAGCCAACAGCCTGTTGCTCACAAGACAAACTTGAGTCCACCTAAGATTGGCTCAGCTTACGGATCTCTCCCTTCTGCATATCCAACCCCTATGAGCTCACACACTCACCTCGTCTCTGGAACCCATGGCAGTAACGCGACAGGAACCCAACGATCACCATCTACACCACCTTCCCATTCAACATCGATGAATACCTCACAGACGATGATGACCGCATTACAATCTTCTCGTCGTCCGCCGAACTCAAATGAGCCTACATCACGAACTTCACTCGATCGTCCAGAACCCCACGTCGTTGCTCCTCGCATGACGACTGCTCAGATTTCCAATGGGAGTACCGTCAAATCATCTTGGCTCGTGCAAACAGCCCAAGCGAACGGTCAGCTAAAGGACAGCTATGCAACTAAGGAGGAGAAGTATTCGGCTCGTAACGGCTCACATCAGGTTGAACCGCCTGCACTAGCTCATCCGCAGCTGCGGGAAGTCCTTTCTCAAGACAGCCACTACACACCCACCGCAAACCAACGTCCAGCTCCAACCCCACGTTCATCTCCGCGGTCGTCGCCTTATGGTACACCAAAGGATGCGTATGCTGTTGGGATGCCTCGGCGCTCTCCAGATAGTTCGCCTCATATGTCGAAGGCCAAAGAGGTATGTAGATGTAAGCCATCTTCGCAGGCATCACTCACATGTAGAATAGACAGCCACGCCGGAGCGATTGAAAGTACCTCATTTCCCCGCACCTCCACAGATTGCTGTAATAGGAGCTACGCCATCGTCCGGTGACCCAGGAGTTGCCCCATAAGCCTCAACATAACTCCAGTCTCCTCGCGCCAGCTTACCCAGCGCCTTCGCGGGTCTCGAGGACGACGTCTGGCAGTCGTGAGCAGCCCAGTCAAGTGCAGACACAGGCGCAGACGGTTACACACTCATCCTGTTGCCTCCGCTACGTCATACCAGCAGACTCCGGGACCACCCTCTACCTGTGGTGTCGCAACCTCCAACTCCGTCAGTCCTACGGCAGTCTTCCAGCGCAATCTTACCCAGCGCCTTCGCGGGTCTCGAGGACAACGTCTAGTGACCGTGAAAATCCTCAGGTGCAGACGCAGTCGGTTGATACGCGTCCTGTTGGCTCTACTGCGTCATATCAGCAGACTCCTGTACTTTCTTCCCAATCTGTGGCGCCGCAGCCTGCAACTCCGTCATCATACGGCAATCTTCCTACTCCATCTTACCCAGCGCCTTCGCAGGTGTCCAGGACAACGTCTGGCAGCCGTGAATCATCCCACACCATCTTACCCAGCACCTTCGCTGATGTCGAGGACAACGTCAGGCAGCCGTGAACCTCCCGCACCATCTTACCCAGCGCCTTCGCTGATGTCGAGGACAACGTCAGGCAGCCGTGATCACCCTGCACCTCCCGCACCATCTTACCCAGCGCCTTCACAGGTGTCGAGGACAACGTCTGGCCGTGAACCTCCCGCACCATCTTGCCCAGCGCCTTCGCAGGTGTCCAGGACAACGTCTGGCAGCCGTGATCATCCCTCACATCCCACACCTATCTTACCCAGCGCCTTCGCAGGTGTCGAGGACAACATCTGGCCGTGAACATCTCCAACAACCATCTTACCCAGCGCCTTCGCAGATGTCGAGGACAACATCCGGCAGTCGTGAGCAAGCGCAGCTGCAGACAGCTCATACACATCCCGTTAGCTCTGTTGCGTCACACCAGCAGACTCCTGAGCTTCCATCCCAATCTGTAGCGCCGCAAAGCCCGTTTTCCCCATCCTATGGCCAATTTCCTTCTGCTGGACAATTCTCTCCTCCGCCTCTGCCGGTTCCGCCACCGAGAATACCGGGGATTGACATTCCCGAGGACATCTTCCCCTATCAGGCTGTCACCCAGCAGTCCCGCTGCAATCAACCCTACGCCCAAGAGCTCCGCTGTTCCATTGCAACCCGCTCCAGCTCCAGCTATTACCCATACGTCAGCTATCGCGGCCTTCTGCTCCCTCTGTTCAGCCTTCTTTGCCCAATGTACTTGTTGATTCACACAAGACTAAGCCTTGGACAGGTGAGGGAATGGGTACATCTGCGACCGCAAGCTCCGCATACCAGAAGGCTGCTGCTCCTGCGCCTCCTATCTCTCGCGAAGCTTCTCTTGCTGCACCAGCATTGCCAATTTCTTCATCAGGGGCTACGGGTCCTGCTAGTGTGGTTAATCAGGGCATATCAGGTTCACAGCACCCTCCGGCGAACCAGGGAGCTCCTGCGGGCGTATCTCCACCCACCTATCCGACTCCTCGGTTGACACGGCCCAAAGTCACGATGGAGGAAGTCCCTGAGTCTCCAGTCTTCGCGAATAAGTGGTCCTCAGGTCCTCCGCAGACATATCCGCAGAACAATGCGCCGACTCAGTCTTCTGGGGCTCCTGTGCCTTCACCGAGTGTTCCTGCAGCCAAAGTACAGCCTTCAGATTTGAGTGCTCCTACGAAAGCAACACCGCCATCGAGGCCGAAGGATTTCATTGTCCCCACTGTGCAGCCTACCCCCACCGTGCAGCCTACTTCCACCGTGCAGCCTACCGCCGTAACTTCAACTCCATCTCATGCTCCTCCTGCGCCATCAACTCAACACCATACATACACTCCTGCATCTTCTCGTGTTCCGTTCTCCGCTCCGCCAACGCAGTCTACTTTTGCTCCGTCGCACCAAGATCCGGTTCATCGGTCCACTTCACATCGAGGCTACCAGCGGTCGATTGATGTGCAACCAAGTGCGAAAGCAGCACCTACATATGCCAGCGTATCAGTTGCTGCAGTACAAGGTAACCGACAAGCTGTTCAGTCATTGAATGTTGCTCAGAGTTCTCCTTTAGATGCTGCATCCAAAGGGAGACAATACACTACGACCCCTACTGCGACCGCGACAGCCCATCACCCTCAGAGTTTGCCGACTGTGGAGACCCACGCAAAACCTTATTCCTCTCGGCCTCTTACCAGCGCATCAGTTGCTGCAGCGCAAACCACTCGACCGGTTGCTCAACCACCGAATATTGTTCAGAGTGTTCCTTTTGATGCTGCGTCGAAAGGTAGACAATACGCTGCGCCTTCTGCCGCGACCGCTGTCGCATCTCACCCTCAGAATCTGCCAACCGTAGAGACCCACACGAAATCTCATTCCTCTCGTCCTGTTGTACCTCCCGTGACTATTCCTCAAGGTCCTAGTGCCCGCGCAGCTGTCGGCACTCCGGCTGTGAAAAGCCAAGTGCTGGACGCTCCCAATACCAGTGATTCTGCTGGTTATCGTGGCTTGCTTTCTTCTGCTTCTCGTTATGCATCAGCCATGAACCCATTATACCCTGCATCGCATCGTCACGCTACCCCAGCAAGCACCAACCAGCAATCCAAACCCTCGCACTCGGCACATCCTATACCACATCACCGAACTGTATCATTACCCACTTCACAGCCTATCACCACATCTAACGCCAACACACGTCCTCCTTCCCCTCGTAAAACTTCTCAGCCTTTGCTCAGTTCCAGTGCTACGTCAACACAGCCTTTCCCCAGTTCATTGCAGGGAAACGTTTCGTCTCGTCCCACCAAGACGGTCGAACCCTCGTGGGCTGCCCGTGTTGCATCTACTCCTGCTCCTTCTCGAGCTCATCTGCCCTCAGCCATGAATCGCACATTCTCCCATGAGTCCGAGATCTTGAAGACACCTTCCTCTATTGCACTGTCACCTAAAACACCGCAGACGAGTTTTAACGCTTCGATACAAGTAACTGCGTCCCCGATGAGGCAGAGGCAGGCGTCGACGGAGTCTAAGGAGTCGAAGAAGAAGTCGGGCGGGTTCCTTGGAGGATTGTTCAGGACTATGTCAGGCTCGTCTAAACCTCTTGAGAGTCCCGTTGCTGCATCTCCAAAGCTATCTATGGAGCAGCATAAGCCCCCGGCGATTGTGGCACCACCCGTCCAGCACTCCAAATCGTCTTCGTCGGCTAAAGAACCGAAGGATAAGATGGTGGCTTCTGCAGTTCCTGCCCACATGACGCAGACCACCGCCGTTCCGCTTGCACCAGCGTCGGTTCAACGAAAGGCGTCAAAAGCCAAGGCTAAGGGCCCTGAGATTACCATTCCATCTGCACAGCCTACTCGTGACCGCAAGCAGCCTTCGACCAATGTGTTCTCTCCGTTCAGTTTCCTGACTAGCAAGAGAATTCGCACCATCTCTGGAGTGTCTCTTGATGTATGCGATGGAAATACTGCAGTACGCATGATTTTCATGTTATTAGATGTCGAATCTCATCATAATTCACAGACGAACACTGTGATCGGGTCTCCGGCTCTATCTACCGTCAGCCAGGTTCATCCTCTTCCACCTATAGTGCCACCTGCGCGCGATCCTATGATGGCAACTAGCCAATGGAGGGATAGAGAAGAGGCAGAGCAGAAAAGGCGGAAGAAAAGCCGTCCTCGGCCGGGAGTGACCTTCGACGTTGCGGAAGACCCACCCGACCCTTTCCCTGGGGCTGTAGGCAGGCAGAAAGCTGCGCGGCTGGTTCGGCGCAAATCTGGCCGTTCTCAAACTCCTGGACCTCGCTGAAGATGATATAGCTGTTGATATTTGTTTGAAATTACCTTAGTATCGTCTCGTATTATGTTATATAGTTTATGGTCCTATAACAGCTATCAGCCTCCTTGTTGTGCTTGTATTGATGTGTATTATAATCAGATGGATTCGAACGCTACGAGAATAAACCGTAGAAACAATGACAACCTGGTCACCATTGTGTATCGTGACAATTTGCAGCGTGACAGACTCTACGCGATTGTGACACCTCGTGTCTCGACGCGTCTCGTCTGCAAGCTAGTCCTGCACTACCTACCCATCGTTTTCACGCAATGTTCAACAATCATGAAAGGAAGAAATTTGACCCAGCGAAATCAGCGAAATCAGAAAATGAGAAAGAGTGGCCTTTCCGCCTCAACTTGTGCGTATGTTTATTGCTTGCTTTCAGGAGGCGGCCTCAATCCATTTCAAGTTACGACAAATCCCCATGGTATGAAGTTAGTTTAGAGGATTTTGAGAGACACGCCCTTGATCGCCTTCGCGTTCTTGCGGAAATCGAGTCGTCTTTTGCGCGCAACAGATCTTGGGAGGAGTTGAAGAATGTGACCACGCGGCAATGCAAGGATTACATTCCTCTCAACAGCACCAGTGCCTCGACCGTGGATACGCAGACTGAAAGGATGCACGACCACCTGGGTCATTTCGTACTCAGACTTGCTTTCTGTCGATCGTGCGTCATATTCTCATCATCGAACCTCCCTCTGGTAATCGATTTCTAGGGAGGATTTAAGGAGGAGGTTCGTGAAAGCGGAGACTGCTCTCTTCCGGGTGAGATATGAGAATGATGATACAAGAGAGCGAGAGCTTTTCCTGAGGTCCCGGGACTTTCAATGGACTGAGGTAAGTCCATGATAACACACATTCTTCACACTAACGGTACTGCTAGGTCAACTCCGATGAGAAGCAACGATATGCCAGTGAACTAAAGGCATTGGGAGTGAGCGTAGAAGAAGGGGTTCCGACAGAGAAGCTTTACAAGGTACGTCAATGATTTAGTCCACTCATCCTTATCTTTATTCATTTGCTACGTCAGGTGAGATGGACTCAAGTGCCGGATCTCGTCAATAAGCGGCGTGTCCTGCTAAAAGATGGCTGGGCGTACGTTCCTACTAAGGAACAGCTCAGCATTATTCTGCGAGCATTTGAGGCGAGCCTTGAGAATGCGCTCGATGTTAGTTAGTATTTCGCCAACCTACAGAACTTCTCTGATCTCCTATAGTCCACCGCTCGATCGATAATGCGCATGGACAACGATACCCGCCTAACTGAAATACTCAATCATATGTCTCGAGGATTTGTCGCAGGGGTGGCCTCAGAGTACTCTGGTCCAGCCACGGGCGACGACATTACAGCAGACATGGTGGACGACCTCGCCAAACGACACTTCCCCTTGTGCATGCGGAACCTACATGAATGTCTCATGCGGGATCGTCACCTGAAACATTTTGGTCGACTGCAATACGGCCTGTTTCTCAAGGTTGGTCATTTATTGCTCGCTAACTGGAAGCTTCGCCGACCACAGCTTATCAGGTACTTGGTTTGTCGATAGACGAAGCAATTGCGTTTTGGAGAAAGTCTTTCAGTAATATCACGGACGACAAGTTCAATAAAGAGTACAAGTACAATATCAGACATTCATTTGGACTGGAAGGGAAGCGTGCCAACTATCCAGCGAAGAGGTATGCACGTGTCGGATATCTATCCCAGCTCCGGTAATCTCACACATCCTATGCAGCTGTCAGCAGATCCTCTTGGCAGACAAACCCGGTCCTTCTGACTGCCATGGATGTCCATATCGGCATTTCGCACCAGACAACTTGCAAACGAGCCTTCTAGCAACTTATTCCTCACAGGGACTCACATCGGCAGATTTAGCGGAGGTCATGCGCACTGTGAAAGAAGGACACTACCATGTCGCCTGTACGCGAGTTTTTGAGATTACTCATGCAGCAGCAGGAATCAAGAAAGGTGATGGGATCGGAGGAGGGGAAAGTGTCACGCATCCTAATCAGTATGCCGCAAAGAGTATAGAAATTGAGAAAGCGCAGCAAGTGGATGCGATGGCTGTAGAGTAAAATTACTACTTGTCTCCAATGTGCATCTAGACTGATTGTTGATATGATCTCATGATCTTGTATTTATGGAGTTGTAGCTATATGCGGTGTCTGGTGTCCTTAAACGACATATAATAGACCCCGAAGCTTTTGTCACTCGTCTGCCTCGTCTGCCTCGTAAATCTCGCCCACCGCCCAAAGCTAGCATGGGCCGAAGCAAAGCCAGCCGATTGAATAGCAACAACGAGCACGACGGTAACGCTATGCAACAGTATAATGATAGCGAAGGCCACTTCTCCCTAGTCAGGTGCATAACCCTCGTGTTCTCCCTAAAATCTTGACTTGCTAAGATTCTCATTATGTTTCAGAAACTTTCGTCTGGCTGATCTTGTTACCATCATGAACGGTGTCTGCGGCTCTTTCTCAATATTCTCATCTGCACAATACCTGTTGACGAATGACTATGATTACTTGTGGTGGGCACTTGCTCTCCCACTGGCCGGATTAATGTTCGACTTCATGGACGGCAAAGTTGCACGGTGGAGAAAATCGACAAGTATGCTGGGCCAAGAACTTGACAGTCTTGCAGATCTAGTATGTGTTTTTCAGTGACCGCTGTTCATCCCTAATTTAATTGTCCCGGAGGTGTCATTTGGTGTTGCACCAGCCGTGGTCGCCTTTGCTGTGGGCCTTCGGACATACCTTGACACCGTATTTTTGACTGGTTTCATATGTTGCGGTCTTGCACGTCTTGCACGTTTCAATGCAACTGTTGCATTGATCCCCAAGGATGCAGGGGGCAAGGCCAGGTACTTCGAGGGCCTTCCAATCCCTTCGTCTCTTGGACTCGTCGCGATCCTGTCATACTGGGTTCGACAAGGTTGGGTTGAGGGCAAACAGGGGATACCAGGAGGTCTTATTACGTTGTGGGGACCACCAGGTGGCCGTGGGGACATTCATCCCGTCAGTGTTATTTTTGGTTTATGGGCAGCCGCGATGGTCAGCAAAACCCTTCGAGTTCCGAAGTTGTAACGTTGATGACTTGTTACTACTCCTGTTTGAGCACATTACGATAACGGACAATACACTATAGGTATATAGTATCGGGGAAGACTACCTGACCCTGATAGTACACGACGTGCAAACATTTTAGATTTTTTCATGTTGGACCCGACTCCTGAGTCCTGAGGCATGAGTTGAGTTTCCGGAAGCCACCGACGCGACGCGATATAGTAATTGACGCGTCTTACCTCGACCACGATGGTATCTTCAAACGACATCCAGCGTCTCTTTCTCCAGGGAGTATTTTCACGCAGCATCCTTTCCTTCAAACACGCCCAGGTTCTCTGGGAAAAATGTATTGATGCTGTCAAAGGTACCTACACAGCTCTCACCTTCTTTCGCTCAATGTAGACATTCGACTTTCTGCAGCTGCAAACCCGACCGTGGATATCCGCTTCTCTGATAAAAGAGAAGACTGGGATCGCTTCGTGATCAATATCAATAATTCTCTCAATTGCCTGGACCTTGAATTTAGGCATCTGACAGATGAGCAGACTGGCCGGGAGATGTATGCTATGGTCAGTGATTCTGCTCATCAGCAGTTCTAGCAGCCCTCACAATATGACAGGTAAATAGCAAAGATGATGAAATCGCACAGATGGCTACAGACTACGCACCCATCGAGATCACCTACTTCAAGGCAGTCGTGAGTACCCATACCAAATTTATTGTCATATTCCCTATCATGGTCATGTCCCGTCACAGGTAGAGCAAATCATGCTCGCCCCGCATGAGGCGTACTCTGTATCCTCATTAGTTGCCCTACGCGAAGTCAACTCTCTCAAGACAAACATGACGAAAGCACAAGCTGAAGTTGTGCTCGGCAGTTTTGTTGCCAGCGGATGGTTATTGAAGAGCAGGCAAGATACTTCTGAATCTCTAAAATGTAAGAAGACTGACAGCTTCAAAGACGAGGCCGCTATTCACTCTCAACGCGCACGTTGCTAGAGCTTCTTCCATACCTCAAAAGTACATATCCTGAAGAATGTCTTGAATGCGTCATCTGCTACGAAGTGAGTCAAAAACCACTCGAATGGATTTCGGACTTCATTATTTAATTATATCAGATCGTTACCCGTGGCGTCGCCTGCAGCACGCCGAATTGTAAGGCACGTTTGCATTACCACTGTTGCAGGAAGTACCGCAGTCGGAATGCCAGATGCCCAGCTTGTGCGCAAGATTGGCCACAGGACCCCAAGAACATGACCCCTGTCGGCGAGGAAGCCATCAAGGACGGTCAAGACGAGGGACGCCGTACACGGAGAAAAGATAGTGATGAGGAAGACGATGATGAAGAGCTGGAATTAGAGCCTTCGCAGCGATCGCAGACTCAGACTCAGACTCAGACTCAGCGAAAAGGCAAGGGCAAGGGCAAAAAGAAAAAGGCAACTACAGATATGGATGTGGATGAGGATGAGGATGAGGACGAGGATGAAGACGAAGACGACGAAGCCCCACAGCAGACACAAGAAAATGGGCGCCGCCGCTCGACGCGCACTCGGTGAATTCACGAGTATCATCTATCGTGCTCTACACCAGCCTAGCCTACTAGACAGTATTGTATTGCAGTGTGCTATTGCTCTATTGATGGGTTGCTCGGATGCGGTGCACGGTTGTTCGTCACTCGCCCGTCTTCTTGTGTTGGCGCGGTCTTGTTGATGAAGCCGAACCTACCCTTCCCCCATACCTGGTGTCGCTTCTTGTCTTTTCGCCCCTCCCCGAACTCCTCGTTCCACTTGCGGAGGTCTGCTAAGCTACCGAGAGACTCGGATGAGGAAGGCGTGATCTCCTTGAGTGCCTTGGTAAAGTGGCGAACATGGATGACGCGAACATGGGGTGGTGGTTCAGTAACCAGTTCTTCAAGCAACGATTCTTGGGCGTCTGCTTGAGTCTCTGTTGTCGGTGTCTGCGAGGTAGAAGCAGTGTCAAGCGAAGCCACCTCGGGAGAGGTGATGAGCTCGCTAGTTGGTGATAATACGGGGGCATTAAGCTTCCACGGAACTTCAACATTCTCCTTGACGGCATCCAGGGCGGCAGAGACACAAAGATCTAAAGGAAGGACGTCAGATTGAGAGACACAACACCCGTAACAGCTGTTCTTACGTTTGAGGTCTGATCCAGAGAAACTCTCCGTCTTCTTTGCGAGCGCTCTGAGATCGATTTCAGCCGCCAAGGTTTCATCCCGAAGCAAAATCTTAAGTATCTCTGAATAAATATCGATAGTATCAGATGGACCAGAACAGAATGAAAACAGCAAAACTCGCCTTCGCGCTCCTTCTCCCCAGGTAAATCAACCAACAGACGCCTCGGTACTCTCCTCAACACCGCATCATCCAAATCAAACGGCCTGTTCGTTGCCCCAATCACAATCACCCTGTCCTCTCTCGACGACTTCAGCCCATCCATTTCCTGCATGAACTCAGTGATGACCCCACGCTGCGCAAATGCTCCACCGCTCTCGCGCCCAGACATGCGCGCCCCAAAGAGCGCGTCCATCTCGTCCAGGAACACGACGCAGGGAGACAGACGGCGTGCGAGCGAGAAAACTGCTTTCACGAGCTTTTCGCCTTCGCCGACGTACTGAACCAAATATAATTAGAGAGTTACAGGTGATGGGGATGGGGAGGACGTACCATGTCCATGACATCTGAGGGCGATATGATCAGCATCCGACAGCCAGCTTCTTTTGCAAGGGCACGGACGACAAGCGTTTTGCCTGTGCCTGGGGGTCCGAAGAGGAGACATCCGGTCATACCGTGCTCCTTCAGAATGCCTTGCTGGAACGCCGCTGGGTGGAGTAACGGCAGGGAGACGATCGTGCGGACAGCATCGACGGTTTGTTCTGGAAGGTGCACCTGGTTGAAAGTCGTCGATAATGAAGCTGGATCATCATGATAAACAAACGGTATAGACGCGAACACTAGAGCCACTCACTAGGGTCCACGATGCAAGATAAAAGCTTCTGTTCATGCTGCTCCAAGTACGGGTCCTGCCTGAGACGCTCCACAACCTCGTCCACTTTCTCCGCCTCCGCCTCCTCGCCGTCAGCATCCTCGTGCTCTTCTTCCGCATCCTTCTGCTTCACAATCTTCACCGCAGAATCGCGCATGAACGACTTGCGCAGATTGTGCGCTGAGCGCTGAGCTACCCACGCATGGTGTACAGCGGCCCACGGCACAGGGGTTGGCTCGAGCCCCAATGTCTTTGCCTTGGGAAGTCCAGAAGACACAACGCTCCCCACTACCCGATCTGCGATCTGCCGCACACTCGTCCACGCCTCGAAGTGGTTGCTCCAGTCTTCCCACATATCCTCCTTGCTGCCTTCCTGGCGTTCACCTTCACCTTTCTCCTCTACCGCTTCCGCGGGCTCAAGAACACCTCCGACTGCACCAACCCCCATGCGCATCGCCAGTTCATTGATTTCTCGCCGGCGGCTCGTGCGACAAAGGTGCTCCTCCACCTGTAGACGCACCCCAGGTACGAGCACCGATGAGCGGAAGAAAGGCATCGTCACCTCGCCCCCATCCGGTGCGCCGCTCCCGTTTGTCATGCCGCGCTGTGCAATCATAGACTCAAGCATCGGTGGGATAGATGATCCTCCGATGACGACGACTCCCCGAGCACCGTTTGTCCCCTCGGGTTCTACAGGCCGGGCGGAGAGCACAGGGAGATCCTCCAGTAGAGCGGCGTCCCCATCTTTCTCCCACCGGCGCAGCCGCTCCTTGAGGCGTTTCTCGCGGGCACGCTCGGCAGCGTCGTCTTCCCCCCAGTCAGCAATACCTGAACGGGGAGGTGTAGGGGCTGCAGCCTGTGGCCTCCGACGTGATGTCAAGCCCATGATACCATATTGGCTCGGGCCCGTGGACGACGCAGAGGCATGTGTGGGCGCGATAGGCGGAGTGATGCCAAAGATGATTGTGATAGGGCTGTTCACTGGGGAAGACGGGCGAGCCATAGAGCCGATGCGGCGCTGGCGGACGGCAGAAAGTAGATGTGGGTACCAGGTTGCAGAGGCAGACGCGAGGACAGGAAAGTCGCGGACGTAGATGATACGTGGGCGACGGGTGGTACCAAAAGTGTTAGCATCGCTCGGAGAAGGCATATTGACAAGGTGATCGAAGAAAGCTTTAATACGGTTTGGAGTGGGATTGCTACGAGAGGCAGTAAGGACGGAGGTGCGTCCACGTGTTGAGGTGGGTGCGAGGAGGTGAAGGGTCATTTGGGAAGGAATGGCGATTGGAGACATTATGTCCACCTCATCTTCTTCTTCCCATGAGATAGAGTGGGAAGAGTTGTGTGGCGTTGAGGCAGGTGGGGGCTGGAAATGAAGGGGATTACGGGGGAGTTGGAGGGCATTTGCAGCTGGTCGAGTCAGTACCAGAAACACGCACGCTCGCTATACAATAGATGCGTACCTTTGCCAAAATGGCCGCATTCACCAGCAGCAAGCTGGACGGCATCGATGACGAGGACTTCAGAGCCTGTCCTGTGAGCAAGCTCTTTTACGGTAGCATCGATTATATAGTCCCCACCCTCTATTGGGCAATATAGGGCAAGGGTGGGCTCTAATGGAGGGCCGGAAGAAGATGAATAGGCAGCTCTATGCTGGGTCTGGGGATGAAGGGTAATATGTAGATTGGTCAGTGCTTCTTCAAAGAGCTCTGGAGGTGGTAAAGCATTATTGCTCAAGAAATCAGTCTCTGCTTGACTGTCGTTCGGAAGCCAGAGGATGTTCAAGTCATCGGGGAGCGGGATGGAATCCTCGGGCTGAGTAGACGGAGTGGCAGTGGCAGAGGAAACAGTTCGGGTCCGTTTTGCTGGTTTTTCTGGTTCTTCTGGGGGTACAGAATCAGCAGAAGGTGGTTCCGGTGTATCTGAAGTGCTAGCAGTTAGGGTAGACGAAGCAAGACGCTTGTATACACGGGCAGTAGGTGGTGTGCCGTCTTTTCGTGATACACGGTCTTGAAGGCGGATAGCAGGATGATGGTCGATATTCTTGCGCGGCGCCGTTGCTTTGAGCAGTGACCGCGACCTTCGAATAAAAGTAGGCGTTCTCATCTAACCTGGTAGTGTATGTAACTGCACAAAGTACGACTTTCCCTTCTGAGTCATAACACCAAGTAATACCCGCACACTCGTCACCGTGCTCAGATTTCATTGCACTACATGCTAGTCCGTTCCATGATTCCAACAGGTTCCAACGCGCATCAAAGGCACATATCTTACGTCTCCAACAAGCCATATTCCGTTTTACTCATACCATTGTACGCTCCTCTTGTCAGGGACGTGGAACCAGAGCACTGCGAGTCATAGACTTGAAATATAACAGTACGCCAAGAGCGTGGATCCTATGCTTCTACATTACTCCTAGTAAGACGCGCTCCCTTCTCTGATGTCTGGCGCAAGCTCACAGTCGCTAGTTTGCACCTCTTTTCGCAAACACATCCCTTGCCTCCTTTCTGCCTGTATCATTGCGACGTACTCTTCTAGTACCGAATGAGAACTCAAGACAAGAACCATGAAATCGACGTCCTTATTGATATCTGCACAAGTCTTTTGATCCGTGCGCGCGTGCCGCTTTGTAGGCCGATCAATTATTCGTTTGAACTGATGATGATCCCTTTAGACTTCGGGGCCAAGCATAGGCTTCAGCGGCATCGAGGGTGGCGGAAGCCGGATGGTGGCGTTAAACCACAAGTTGATATGAATTATATCAATCTACTGTTCGCTGACCTTGATATCATCACTTTTCGAAAAACATTGACAATCCACTATGCGCCCCCAAGATTTTCACCGCCCCAATCACCCCGGGTGGAAACAACCGCATTCTCCGTTGAATATCACTGGGTACCAGTTCTAACCGCCCGTCCCGTAGGTGATTTTTTATAGTGCTAGGAACCGTTTTTTGTTTGCCGGATTCACCACCTCGAAAACGAGGACTCGCCACAGGTGCATGCACCGTTACATTTTATGCCTTCCGCCCAGTCCCCAATCAGGATTCCACATAAGCACTTAGTCTCCCCTAGACAGATATAGAAAAAGCTTGGAAGACACTCCTTCCTTCTAATACATACACCAACCTTTGAGCAGTCGATAGCGTGCACTATTTACTAGTCAGCAACGTTTAGTGACCTTGCCAGGAAACCAGATGATCCAGGAGCGAGTCTGACAAGCTCAATAAGTAACATGAAAATGTGAAGCGTTTAAATTTCTGCAGCAAATTTACATCCCACTTGATTTATGAATAATGATAACTCTTCCAAGGCCCCGATGACCACTCTCCTCCCCCAATGTATTCCTGAATATGTGCAGTGAGCAAGTGGACAAGTGGTGCGTTATTCCTTAGGCATCACGACGTAAGGGAGAGGGGAGGTCAATCGTATCTTCTAAGCGAGTAACCTCCGATTTATCGATATGAACAGCATGCTTCATACCCCAGTCCAATATTTTCTCGAAATTCCTGCATTGATGACGGGTGTTAAAGTTAGGGTAAGGAACCTTGTGTCCCTTCACCCAGTCCCATGTGATCATCGTCACGTCGGCATTGCACATGATATTCTGCCTAATCATTTCGATGCAGTGGTCTGAAGTGTAACAGTATATCATAATCAGGAGTGCATCAAGCTAGAAATAACACTTACCAAGATGCATACGAACTACTTGGGGGCTGTCCTGGAACCCAGACTCTATGGGCTCATAATACTCCATCCAGGAGGCTTTGCGAAGGAAGTTCTACACAAATGTGAGCCAAGAACGACCAGACTGTCGGTGTAATATAGCTTGCCAGACAATGCAGTTGGTGGGTGACTTCCATAGATACCATGAAACCTCCACCAATTTTGTCCGGATACCTCACTTTCGAACGTAAATCCGTTTCGCCGGCTTTGTGCATCTCCTCAAGCGTCATTTGAGTTGGTCGCACTGGGTTTCATGGAGGTGAACAATTACTTACTAGTATAACAGGATCAAATCTAACGACGTACCATCACGAGATATTTTGTACCAAGCGGCATCGATTTGTGGAGAAGGGGGGCCACGATAGATAGAAGGAAAGTTGAGGGTTCCGTTAAACCTTACAATCATGGGCTCGACAGCAACATTTGCTGGAGCTGTGATGGATCAATTACTACTATGCCGTTCGACGCTGTCTGTCCACTCACAGTAAATAAGAATGTCGTCGCGCAAGCGAGCTGAAGGGGTGCCCATCCACAGAATGAAGAAGAGCATCGATGTGCAAATAAGTGCGCCATGGCTCAACCATGGCCGGCGAAGGATACGCGGCTTGGGATGAGGTTCTAAACCCAACCTTCCTGCATCACTAGATAATTTCTCGTCGTCGTCGACGGTATCAATAGGAGAGTACTGCGAGAAGTCTTTGACCATGGCGAGGGTGTTGGGGACAAATGAGCTACTTGCCCTGGGTCTAGGAGCCTTTTATGTGGAATGGGGCTATCGAAAAGACGCAGGACCTGTTCTACTACTAAGTACTGACATTGACGTGGCATGGTATCGGTGAATCGCAGGCCTAGGATATCCATGGCGCTTCGAAGCGCTTCGAATTCGGAGCATTTCGTATGCGGGCCAGCGGACCATCATGACAACTTCATGACTCAATTTGCCAGGTCGTGGTGGGTGTACATTAAAGACGATCTTATCCTAGTAAGTACAGCCACCGTGACAGGTGAGCTATCCAAATGCAGTATCAACTCAGACTGTCGCACCACGTCACATTGCACCCAGAACGTTTATTTGGGCCACTGAATCACTGGGTATGGAAGTGCACAAGCACATCCCATGATGATGGCGACAGAGCTTTGATTCATCTGCCACGACTGAGCAATGTCACGTAACTCATCGCGGCTGTGCCACGCCTGGAACTTCATCAGCGATCACCATGGCAAGTGTCAACGTTCTCAATAACTTGCAGCTAATTCCATCTCGAAGAAAACGAATCAATAAAATTCTGCCACTGCATACGTCAAAGGGCCAATTGTGGACGCTTGCCATCCAAGGATTTTTTTTGAAAACCGAATGTTACAGGGAGCAGCCGGGAACGCAATTCAAATTTTGAAAGAGGGGCGACGTAATTATAATGACCTTGTCCTTGTGAAACGTGGCGTTTGAGTGCAGCCCCACTGCAGGCCCTGGGTGATCCGATAGGGTTCTAACTTTCCTCTCTTACTGTGAGAAAAGTTGCTCCAGGTTCTCGTGTGCCAACTCAAGCCTTCACGGACACTGTTGCGGCTTCTGATACGAATAAAACAAGTTCTCAAATGTCCTGACTCTCTGGTTCATGTATCCAGCCCATCGATTACAAATCTAGATTTTTGTTAACAAATTATGCGCGAGGAATATCATTCCCCTGTCGATGGGGTGAACGATGATGAATAGTAGTATAGCAACTACTAGACCTCCACCGAAATCCCGCTTCCTTCACCTATGGTCACGGCTACCTCACGCTATGGGCACGGGCGCCTTCGATAGATGATATGGTTATGTATTGTAGGTGGATAATAAAATCAACGCACAGGACCTTACTTACCCCTTACAGCTCAAGGAAACGAGCTCTCGAATCCATCGGCATCGTAAGATTCAACGGAAGTTTTAGTGCTACTTCCATATACCGTGGTATTCCATCCCTAGAAATTGACGTCATTTGGGATAGAATATCTCTTAATGGTTGCGCCCGCGCTTTTCTTCCATCATAGGCGATTACTGACGGGAAATTTTTTCAGCGGCGCCGCCCAATTCGTATGACGCTTGAGCAATTGATCAGAACAGGGGGAAGACCTTCTCCAGCCATGGCTAGGTATCCGGACAAATACGGCGGAGGCTACGTGGCAACAGTAGAAGTCATTCACCAGCTCCATTGCATAGTCAGTTGTAATGCAGGGGGGCTGGTGTATATTGCATGTACTGTTGACATCGGGCGCTGCCCTGAAACGACAATAAACTGGATTTTTTTTCAAATAAAAGGGAGGCTGGTCGACCTTTGGTTACTTGCCTTCAGGACATGCTTCGCAGTGTCAGCTGGGGTGCCTATCATCATGGTGACATGGCACACGAATCCCCCGAAGACTTCCGCACCCATGTCGGTAGGTATATTGTTTCCTGCACTGTCCACGTCCTGCTTATGTTGTACCTCATACCACTGCATTGTGTTGGAATACCCGCACGGCGCACGCTCGAGTTGACACCATCACCGAGCTTGGATTTCATTGCATCTCGCAGCTAGGCCAGGGGCGCCCACCACATGATACCAGTAAGAAGGAACGACTATCTTCATTCGTCTATGGTCTGTCTAGGGGAGACTACATGATACCGTTCGATCGTTCCAACAGGCCATCAACGGCACATCTCAACTCTGTATCCAGCGAGCCACATTCAGTCCTTACCCGTACCATTGTACGCTGTTCTTGTCAGGAATGCGGAACCAGAGCACTGGTTATTTGTAGCTCTGGGCTCCGCCGGGGAGTTTTCTGAACTGGCAGAGCTTAAAGTCTGGATGAATAAATTCATCGTTCGATTACCACAAGCTGACGGAGAAAGTTGTTGCAAGTTTGGTATGTGTTCTTCTCTGCGAGTCATTTAAATGTAACGGAACGCCAAGAGGGATGTGATTCTTTTACATTACCCCTAGTAAGGTGCGCTTTCTTCTCTGATGTCTGACGCAAGCTCACAGTCGCCGGCTTGCACCTCTCATCGTAAACACCTCTCTTAACTCTATCCTGCCTGTATGGGACGTACTCTTCTCGTACCCAATAAAATCGATGTCCTCGTTGATCACATCCAACCTCGAGTGCAATGGCGGAAGTTGAAGGGTGGTGTTAAACTGCAAGTCAATACCACCAATGGCATCCGCGTCCCGTGCACTACGAACCCCTTGGGAAATTTCTTTACGCGCGCCTCACGCAAAAATGCGCGACCCACTACATAGAACCCGTACCCGGCTCGTTGCTGAAGAAAGTCTCAGTCACAACGGTGTTATCTCCGCCTATTCCTCCGACACCCTATCACTGCCGTTCTCCAACGAGCTCCATCAGCGAAGATAGTATACCCCTTAGGCCACCCACACCAAACAAGGTTTTGCTACGAAAGAAGTCGCCGCCGTGTGTACGACAAGATACGAATTTCTGGAGGGCATCCGGCCTGCGAATTAGAGTTGTCCTCATGCTGGGCTCAAAGTGCCACCTTCCAAGACTCGGCCTGCGAACTCGCGACAGGCAACCATCGGCCTCCTTCCGTGGCTGAACACAAGAATGTGAGTGTCTGTCTGCGCCTTGCCATCTCATGTGTGCTCCACGTGGACAGCCACCTAGCTGCCTGCCGCCCAATCTATTGATCCTTGCAGTAGTGCAAGTAGTACATTACAGTTTGTCATGTAGGCGGTTGATTAGAACATCCACTTCCCTACGTAGAGCAGCCCACTCCTCCATTAACATTACGAATTCAGAACCACTGCGAGGTTTCCATCAGCGACTTCCTGAGTGCAACTTCGAAGTGCTCTTGCAACCAGACAAAACGATCAGGGCGCTTTCGGCTGCTTGGAACTTCTCATAATCTTTGGCCTCCTCGGTAGTCCATTGACTTACGTGTTTCAGCTGCGTATTCCTTCATGGCAGGAATGACATCTGCTTCGAAACGAGTCCTGTCGTTTCGTAGCCTCTTGAACTTGAGTATGGAAAACGTATAGACAGTGCGCCGAAGCTCCTGTTCGAGGTGGGCCGTGTTATTACCTTTGTCAAGTCCGGGCGTGTCCATGTTATCCTTCCCTTGCAGAGGTGAGCGAAGGGAAGAGCGTATGCTTTTGAGCTGGGAAAAGACGTCCAGTAGATGTGATAGAATTTCTGAATGAAGGACCGTCGTTACCCGCGATGGGAAGGACGCAGAATTTCGGTTTCATAGAGGGAGACAGTGAAAACTTGTCCACTAGGCTGATTGATGGAGATAGCGGCCACTGCGCGTGCAATACAGCAATAATGCGCTTGCAATTTCTTTAAGTGAAAATCAGGAAGGCTGAGCTCATCTCGTCTACTAATAGAGGGTTATAACGTGTTTTCCTTTGAACACAAGACTTGCAGGATTGCCAGCAGAATCTCCGGTACCTGACGGGGGTCGACTAGGAGCGAGTAGGAGAGTCAATTGGCTGACTAAGCCAGTGAGGAACCCCAACTGCGCCTCATTGCAACGAAGTCCACGGTGTAAAGTTTAAACTGTGTTCTGCATCAACCACACTGGCCTATCTCTGATTTTAAATGGGTCGCGACAGACTAGCAGCTCTCAGGGTATTCACCTTTCTAGTCTTCATGATTAAACATGCTGATGGACACATACTCAGGCGCAGCGGCAGGGTGCTACACCCGACCCAGGACAGGGGGACTATGAGATGCAAACCGACCCTTCCCCTTCTACAAACTGGGGCTGGTAATGGTGCAGGAACTGACGCTTTGTCTGCTTTCTATGCCGAAGTGCGTCGATTTATTGTCGTATTTCTCTCCCTTACACACCCACATTTCAATTTAGACCACCTCCATCGAAGAATCTATCCAACAATTTGATGCGAATGTCACTCGCGTCGCTGAACTGCACTCGCGCTCCCTGAACGCCCTTGATGATTCAGCAACGCAAGCGAATGTAGTTCAGCTCGAACGCCTCACCGACGAGACCAGGCAGCTCAGCAACGGACTCGCTAACCGTATTCGTGCCCTCGAGAAACCTGCTGGAGCTGGCCAAGATGCTCAAATTCGCAAGAACAGAGTATGCCACCCATCCCGTTTCTACAATCCAGTCGTTGACATGATTGCCAGATTGATTTTGTTCGGACAAAATTTATGGCCACCTTGCAGCGCTACCAAGACGTCGAGCGCCAGTACCGCCAGCAGTACCGCCAACGTGTGGAGCGACAATTTAAAATAGGTATGCTCAGCTCTCATTCTCTTAATCCCCAAATTTCAATTCACATTCCAAGTGAAACCCGATGCGACGCCTGACGAAGTTGCTGCCGTGGTGAATGATGATCAAGGCGGAGGAAGCCAAATATTTGCGCAAGCGGTGAGCCTCTATTCACTTAGAAAAGGATCGTGGCGTTCATCTATACTGCGCAGCTCACTTCGTCGAACCGATACGGGGATTCAAGGGCTGCATATCGAGAAGTGCAGGACAGACACCAAGACATTCGGCGCATTGAGCAGACCCTCGGAGAGCTGGCTCAATTATTCAATGACGTGGGTGCAACACCTACGCGCATGATACATTTGTTAAGGATGTTTTTAGATGGCCACCCTTCTAGGCGAGCAAGAAGAGAAAATTGACGCTATCGAGACACAAGCTGCAGGTGTCGCACATGACACCGAGGGAGGGTATGCAGCTCTTATCATTACATATGCGCACGGTCACTAACTGCCTTCAGAATGAAGCACACCGAAGTTGCAGTAAAACACGCCCGCTCTGCCCGACGAAAACGTTGGATCTGCTTCTGGCTCACCATCATCATCATCCTCGCAGCTGTTGGCATCGGAGTGGGTGTGTACTTCAGCCAGCATCCAAAGTCGAGTTAGTCTAGTGGTTGAAGAAGCTATGGAGTATTGACGGGAGTATTCGTGAATGAAGACGGACATGACTGAGTTGTATACCCCTTACTTTCCTTTATGATGGCCGCTGCCTCCATGCTTTAGTGGTACATAGTTATTGCATAGTTAAGTTAATACGGTCTGGTATTTGGTTTGCCGATAAATATAGCTGGTACAAGCAAGATGACGATAGCAATATTACGTCACGTGCGTTTTGCCGTCAGGACCGCGCAAAATTGGCACAACCTCCGTTCACGGCGTCCTCTTTCATTGAATTGCCTTGACTTTCCTTCAAGTTCTCCCACTGCAGCGTGCGCCTGCAATGACGAAAAACGGTTCTGCAAATCCCTCCCGCAAGGTGCGCCGGCGTGGCTCAATCGACGTCGTCGACGCAAAGGTCGCAGTCGACCTTGCCACAGCTCAGACATACTCTGAAAATGTCTTCCTTTTCGTGCCCAACCTCATTGGTGCGACAGTTTTGCTGCGTTAATGTTGGTTATGCACTGATTCGAACCCTTTGGGACGTAGGGTATACGCGTATCATCCTTGCGGGGCTTTCGCTCCACTTCATGAGTTATCACCCCAAATACTGCACTCTTGCATACGTGATATCATGTCTATTGGACGCTGTGGATGGTCAGGTCGCACGTGCCCTGGGACAGACGTCGAAATTCGGTGCGGTGTTGGACATGGTCACGGATCGGTGTGTCATCTGTTGCAATGTCACGGTCAGTTCCTCTTACTTATCTTACCATGCGCGCCTCCAGGTGTACGACGTCATGTTTGCTCTGCTACCTTTCTTCCGCATACCCGGAATTTTGCCATGGTGTTCCAGTTCCTTATCGCGCTTGATTTCGCCAGTCATTACATGCACATGTACAGGTGCGTGTTTAGTTGACCTTCTTGCATGTCGAGTCCTTATCAGGCCTTCGTTTATACTTGTTCAGCTCACTCGTCACTGGTTCGCGGAGCCACAAGCTCGTGACGAGCGAAGTCAGCCGTATCCTAGTGGTATTACTACAACGATTCCGTGAGTCTTCCGTAACACTCGCACGGTAGCTTAGACTAATCCAGTGCACAAAACAGCGTACCCTGTTCTTCATGTGCGCAGGCAATGAGCTCTTCTTCGTCTCTCTCTACCTCATGAAATGGGTGCCCACACCTATTGGGCTCGGCAGTCTACTCCCCATGGCTCGCGCACCTCACCTGGCCCGAGCTTGTTGCCATCCCCAGCGCATTCGTCTGCGTAGGGAAGAACATTATTAATCTCGTACAGCTCTGGAAGGCCTCGAAGATCCTCGTAGGGGTGGACCTTGCAGAACGTGCAATTGCGCGTGAGGTACAGGCCAAAAAGGAGTGATGTGGGCCGTGGACGGACGAATATCATACATACTACATATGCTGCTTCGTGCATAATGGGACGGTGTAATGCATTCCTTGTTTTTTTTTTTTGGTATATCATGATGTAAATATTTACAGCATAACGCAAATTTGAAACTAGCGCGACAATAGCCTGAGTGCGGGGGCGTTACTATACTAGCCTAGTATAGCGTCAAATCTCCTACCAATCATAGTAGCCCTGTCCGCCCTCCTAGTCTCTTGTTTGTTTGAAGCAGTGGCACATTAGTGCTGTTAGAACTGCGTGAGTTTTCCTCTCCATCAACAACTTCCTCAGTCTAATGCTAAAGTGGTTCCTTCGCCAACCAATACCTGATAGAAGAGTTCTTTTCTCCAAAATCTGGAATGCTCCAGGATGGATACAACTTGCCGTGGGATCCCTTGGCGAAGTACTTCTGGTCTCCTGGACCAACAGAACTGTTGTAAGCGCGGAATAAGGCATGGCACGGATAGCACGATAATTTCGAAACCCCGATATAATTAAATGGCGGATATGAGTTAATGAGCGAGTGATGCCGGAGGAGTACTAGTAGGGCTTCACCATGAACACACGACTTCAAGGTGTGTGTTGTGCGTTGTATGAGGGAATTAGTGTTTGAGATCACATTTTCCACGATTTCTTCGTCTGATATCTAAACTAGCGATGGTCTGTCGGATGATCAATGGCCTTTGAGACGTGAAAGGTAGGAGTTTGAACTCTGTCGATTAGCTCTATGCATATGGTGAGGGAGCCAAGAACATTTCCTATTCGAAAAGGGTATGCGACATTCTCGATGAGTGTATCAATGTGATAACTACGTGAGAACACTTTCGAGAAGAATCTCTTGAGTGGTAATACAGTTTCGATGGTAGTTCAACGCGCTAGGCTCTACATCAACTTCTGTGGGCACGGAGAGGGCATAATAACTTATCTATTTCCCTCTCCCACATCTTTAGCCTCGGATTATCGGAATCATCTCCTATCATGCTCCGTAGCTCGAGGGCCGAATTGCGAATTATCAATGCAAGTAGCTGCAGCCCAAAGTAGCCTATCGTAAACAATCTGCAACGGCGTTTGCGGCTCTCTGGAACTTTTCATACTCTTCGATCTCGTCCGTCTTCCACTGGCTTTGTGTAGCGGCTGCGTGTGCCTTCACGGCGCGAAGGACGTCAGCTTTGAAACGACTCAGAGCGCGTCGTTTTGTGAGGCGATGTTTGAATTTGCGCATCGAATATGTAAAGAATGTCTTCGAGCTCGAGTGTGTTATCCCCTCTATGTGGTCTCAGGGTGTCCTTCTCGTCGTTCCATTCTTGCAGAGGTGTTTGAAGGGAGGCGCGTATGGTTCTGAGCTGAGAAAAGACCCCCTGTAAATGTGTTGGAAGGCCTTCAGGAACACCGTCGTCAGCTGCCATGTGAAGGACGCAGGCTTCCTGGTTGGAAGAGAGAGAGAGACCGCGATAACTTGTCCGCAATGCTCGTTAATGGAGATTGCGGCTACTGAATCCAATAGAGTCATGATCTGCTGTGACTTCTTGACGCTGAGATCGTCGGGAATTCGGCTCAGTTCGTCTCTTGAGGAGTCCGCCATATTCTTGCTCGAGTACATGGCTTGCATGATGGCTAACGGGACCTCCGGTGATGCATGTGCGAGTTCCATGGCAGGGGTGTGGTGAGTAATTATTCGCGGGCCTTCGGGGACGATCTAATAGACAAGTATACTAGGGACTCGTCAGTTCTGGTCTAATTGATACGTAGAGACTATTAACTCACATCTCAGTCTCTTGAAAGAAGCTGAAATGCGCTCGTGGTACTGCTGGCGTTCTTATAATAAGCTAGATAGAAACGAAAAATATATCAAACGAATAAGTAACTTATTGTAGGACGCGAGCCGACGTCAACACGTCGCTCGACAATGTCCTTTTTGGCTTGGGCTCGGACCAGCTGTCACTCTCTCTCCTCAACCATCTCGGATCGGTCGGTCTTCTTCGTCTCTGATCGCTCGGATCGTTCGGACTCTAACATGGGGTGCGTGTCCTCGACGAGCAGAGGTCCAAGAGGGGTAGTACTAGTAAACAGAGTCGATTGGCTGACTAAGACCAAGCTAGTGATTCCTCTACACGGCGTAAACGTTCTGGCCACGTGGTAGCAGCTGATTATCGCAACAACTTGTCCAGGCTGGTTAATGCTACTGAGTTGGACTCAGTGGCCGCAAAGATCATCAGGAATTCGGCTCAGTTCGGCTCGTCTACCAATTGTGATACTATCTTGAATACATGGCTTGCACCATCATGATGGCTAACAGGACCTCCGGTGATTCGATGGGCACTTTTTTTTTTGAATCGAATTATTGCCCTTTGGGGTATGCTACCCTATGTTGGACACTAATAACTAGTCTAGGGGGCCCCTGTGCCCCGCGCCTCATCTCTAAATTTGCAAATGCCCCAGGATAGGACGTACCCCCTGGTCCGCCGTTCCCCCCGGCCGTTTTAGGTGCACAACTTATCAAAGATGGGCCGACTATTCTACAAGAGCGATAATGAGTCTTGAGCAACTGCGAGCGTTTGATCGTCATAGACGCGTACTCGGCCGCCGAAGCGGCCATCGATGGGCACTGCGAGGGGAAACGGTAGTGAACGGAGTCAGACTGTCAATTGGCTGATAAACTTGGACCAAGCTATGTACTGATGGCATGATGAACTAACCGCAGTCCTCCGCAGTTGAAACTATGCAACTGATCAATAATCTCCCTTCCTGCCGCAGACACTGCGTAATAACTGTTTGTCTCAGTCAGGTTGTCTTTTAAAAGCGGTACATTTCCTAGACTATATAGAGCACTTCAGCTTCCTACGATCCACCCACTAACAGATCTATATTCCACCTACCACCCAGTATGACTATTGCTACTACCTCGCTTGGCGGTACTGCATCTAACATCACCATTGGCAAAGTGGCTGTATGTATGCTACTCCTCTTTCTAAAGTGTTTGCTAACTTTCCTTGCCAGCATGGTTTGATGATGATGACGTGCGTTTTCTTTCGATACCGTTCAAGTTGGATCACGTTAACACTATTCATATAGATGGACACCCAAACCAGTCCCAGACGAACAGTGTTTTGAGGCCATCAAGGCTGGCGTGGACGCACTTCCACCCGGCACAAAGATGTTCATCAACGGAGGTAGGTCGAAGTCCCCCATATACACATACTACGTGCTAACTCCAACCATAGGGGAATTCTACGGGCAAAATTTATCAACCACGAACCTTGAGATGATCGCTAGGTTTTTCGAGAAGTACCCCGACTACGCAGACAAGACTTCTTGTCCGTCAAGGTTCGCTATATCCATACTTCCACCTCCTGGTGATTGACTCTTTACCTTTCAGGGAGGATTAAAAGTTGGCGGAGTACCAGCACCCGATGGCTCGTAAGTTTATGTCACACATTATTGTAATGAGACCTTAAATTTGGTCGTCAGGCCCGCCAACTTGAGACGAAGTGTGGAGCTTATCAACGAGAAGCTTCGCGGCACCAAGCGCCTTGATCTGTTCCAGAGCGCACGCGTAGACCCCAAGGTTTCTTTGGAAGAATCGATCCGGGCACTGGTTGAGCTCAAGAAGGAAGGTAAACTAGACCATATTGGCATGTCCGAATGCAGCGCAGATTCTCTGCGGCGTGGTAATGCGGTGCGTGCATAGTATGACCGTCAAGACATCCGCTCAATACTCTCCAGGTACACCCCATTGCTGCTGTCGAGATCGAGGTCAGCCCATGGGCATACGAAGAGGAGGGCAAGAAAGGTGTGAAACCAGACATAGTGTTTCGTTGGAGTACTTAACTTCTCTCCTTCTTGTTAGTCATTGCGACCGCTGAGGAGCTGGGAATTGCTGTGATCGCGTACTCGTGAGTGTCATGCTAGTACGCGCCTGTTCTGAGCTCACGTACAAACATTAGCCCGCTTGGTCGTGGATTTTTAACTGGTCAGATCAAGAGACTTGGGGATATTCCGGGTAATACCATCGTTTTGTGACATTTATCTGCTATGCTTATCAATTTTTCTTGTCAGAGGGAGATGTCCGCCGCACCCTGCCCCGTTTCCAAGAGGATGTAAGTTCCCCGACATCTGCTTGATCGTTACCTTACCCATAGCTCTACAGAACTTCAAACACAATTTTGCCATCGTAGATGCATTGACTGCAATCGCGAAGAGGAAGAACGTGACCTCTGCTCAACTCAGCATCGCTTGGGTTGCGTCCCTAGGCAAGCATGTCATCCCCTTGCCAGGTTCCTCGTGAGTTGCTGTTCAGACATAGTCTATGATTGTGGGTCCTAATTTTTTTGGTAGGCATGCTAAGCGCACTCTCGAGAATTGTGCTGGAGGAGACGTCGAGTTGTCTGCGGAAGACCTCGAAGAAATTAACAGTGTTATTAGCACTGCCGAAGTCAGGGGTGCTAGGTATCCCCATCAGGCGCTCCTCTGGGGTTAGATGGCTTCCTCATCCTTGAACGTAAATTGTGAAATGTGTACTTTTATTAGCCTTTCGTGATCAATATTTTGATATCGCTCATGCGCATATTCCTCGTTGTCCTACTGGCGTTAAGTGGTTCCAAGCAGCAATTCATTCACACATTTGATACAACGAATGCATAAGGCTCGAAATATGATTATAAAGTGACCACTAGTGAAACTTGAGACTCTTGGGAGTGACTTTGCTGGGAACAACTGTCAGCTTGACAGAAAGTCTGCCAGGATTTGGAGATTTCGCCCCGAATGCTATTATCTGGTGGACCCAATCCTAGTATTACTTGTCACAAACAATGTAATTGATTTGCGGTCAGATTGACAACATGATATCTAGGAATGTTTAAAAAGAGGGTGACAGATGCTTGTGAAGCTCAGCTCCCTCCCTCCCTACCTCATGAAATGGGCTCGGCGTCCCATGGCTCGCGCCCCTTACCTGGCCTGAGCTTGTTACCATTCCCAGCGCGTTCGTCTGTGTAGAGAAGAATATTATTAATCTCGTACAGCTCTGAAAGGCGTCGAAGATCATCGTAGGGGTAGACCTTGCAGAGCATGCACATGCGCGTGAGGCACATGCCACTACATCAGCGTCTGTGGGCACGGGGAGGTCATAATAGCTTACCTATCTCCCTCCCCCACGTCTTTAGCCCCGAATTATCGGAATGATGCTCCGAAACTCGAGGGCCGAATTATGAACTAGTAATGCAAGTTGCCGCAGAACGCAGACGGACTTGGCCTCCTCGTCGGGGCATAAAGCGGCTCATTTGACGCAACATGCGAGGGCGGCTGCAGCTGTCTGGAACGTCTCATAATCTGCAATCTATTTTCCACTCGCTTTATGTAGTGTTTGCGTATGCATTCATGGCGGGAAGTACGTCATATATGAAACGACTCAGACCGCGTCGTTTTGTGAGGCGATGTTTGAATTTGCGACACATGTAAATGTTGCCAATAAGCCTGTCTTTGAGTTCGAGTGTGTTATTCCCCCTGTCTGGTCTTGTGCCGTCTATCTCGTTATTCACGTCTCGTAGAGGTGTCTGAAGGGAAGCGCGTATGGTTCTGAGCTGGGAAAAAGACCCCCTGTAAATGTGTTGGAAGGTCTTCAGGAACACCGTCGTCAGCTGCCATGTGAAGAACGCAGGCTTCCTGGTTGACAGAGAGAGACCGCGATAACTTACCCGCCAAGCTCATTGCGGCCACTGACTCCAATAGAGCCATGATCCGCTGTGACTTCTTGACACTAAGATTATCAGGAATTCGGTTCAGTTTGTATTTTGAGGAGTCCGTCATATTCTTGCGTGAATGCATGGCTTGCATGATGGCTAACAGGACCTCCGGTGATGCACGTGCGGGATCCATGGCAGGGATGCGTGTCCTCGATGGGCAGAGGGGTAGTAAACACTCAACTTGAACAAGGCTACCGATCCATCTACATACGCCCCTTTAGCGCTTGCGGAGTGTGTTCAACAAAGTTAAGTTTCATTACCTAAGCATCAATTTTCTGATATGATTTATCTTATCTGGTTGAGTCACTAGAACAAAATGTATGTAAGTAGGACAGAGATCAAAGTGTTTTCTCGTCGTCTTCTCCAAAATGTGTGGTATACTTGCAGTTCATGGCATAGAAAACCCAGGAGCCGAGCGATCTCGGTTTTTGGCTCTCTCAAAACGTCTTCGTCATCGCGGACCTGACTGGTCCGGGTGTTTTGTCGGAAAGGAAGGTATACTCCTTCACGAACGCCTTGCCATTGTGGGCGTTGGTGCGTGACTTACTTCTACCATCTATTCTATTCTTATTCTTGACCCGTCGCGACTCAAGACACGGGCGCGCAACCCCTCGTCAGCGAGGACGGTCAGGTCATACTCGCTGTCAATGGTGAAATCTACAACCATCTCGCACTTCGTGCGGCCCTCGGTTCAACCGCCAAGTTTATGACACACTCTGATTGCGAGGTTATTATTCCTCTGGTGCGATATTCCATGCATCCGCCCATAGCAATTACTGACAGCCTGCAGTACAAAAAACATGACAAGGATCTTTGCAACATGCTCGATGGCATGTTTTCATTTGTACTTCTGGACGAGTCTGTGACTCCTACCAGAATAATTGCCTCCCGCGACCCCATTGGAATCACAACATTGTACCAAGGGTGGAGCTCGAAGCACCCTGGTGCAACATATTTTTCATCAGAGTTGAAAGCTCTCGTCGACGAATGTGACACGATTATTTCCTTCCCCCCTGGTCATGTCTACGACAGCCGTGACCAGTCCACGACGCGTTATTTCCAGCCAACCTGGTGGGATGGAGATGCGGAAACCGCTGTGCTTCCGACCACACCTGCAGATTATACCCTCCTCCGGGAGACCCTGGAAGCTGCAGTGCGCAAGCGGCTTATGTCCGAAGTGCCTTATGGCGTTCTCCTTAGTGGTGGACTGGATAGCAGCTTGATTGCTGCCATAGCTGCAAGGGAGACAGAAAAAGTTGTTCGAGCTCAGTACGAGGCTCGGCAGCGCAAGCTTGCTGAATCCATCAGCGGCCCTCCAACACCAAGGTTAGATGATCTGGCGCAGCAGGGTAAGCATGCTGAATTTCGCCCCTTATTTTCAAACTGAACAATCACCGTAGCTATGCTGACTTCTTGGCCACAATTGCATTCATTCTCCATCGGACTGGAGAACTCGCCCGATCTGCTTGCTGCCAGGAAAGCAGCCCATTTCCTAGGCACCGTGCACCACGAATATGTTTTCACAGTCCAGGAAGGCCTGGACGCCATCCCAGACGTCATTTATCACCTTGAGACCTACGACGTGACAACCGTTCGTGCAAGCACACCAATGTACCTCCTCAGCCGGAAAATCAAGGCGATGGGTGTCAAGATGGTCCTCAGCGGAGAGGGTAGCGATGAAATTCTTGGCGGTAAGCTGCGTTGAACCTGTTGCCGCGCGCTTGATTAACGCGCTGTTCAGGCTATCTGTATTTCCATGCTGCCCCTGACAGTAACTCTTTCCATCAGGAATGTGTTCGACGCGTCAAGAATCTTCACACCGCCGATTGCCTGCGCGCCAACAAGTTAGTAAGAACATACTTTTCCTCGGATCACTGACAGATCTAACCATAGATCGACAATGGCGTGGGGCCTGGAAGCCCGCGTACCCTTCCTCGATAAGGCCTTTTTAGAAGTCGCCATGAACATCGACGCGAAGGAAAAGATGTTTACTAAGGGTTTAAACCAAGCGGTCGACGAAGATGGACGTCCAAAGATGGAGAAGGTCTGCTACCTTGCTGCGTATTTCCGGACTTGAATGCCTCATCGTTTTCGCACAGTATATCCTTCGGAAAGCATTTGACTGTGCGCCGGAGGGGACGGTCTGTCGATCCCCGTAATCTCCAAAGCTGCCCTGCTCACCGACAAACTTTAGGCATATCTCCCGCGGTCTATTCTATGGCGCCAAAAGGAGCAATTCTCAGACGGCGTTGGATATTCTTGGATAGATGGGTTAGTCTACACGTTTTTCTGGCAGTGAGACGCTCTGGCTGATTTGGACTTCAATCACAGCATCAAGGACCACGCTGCGGCGTTCGTTTCTGATAAAGATTTTGCGAAGCGTGCAGAACGCTGGGCAGTCGATACCCCAGATACCAAAGAAGCCTATTATATTCGAGAACTATTTGATGGTAAGCAATATTTGGAAATAAACCGCCTCGAAGTACTGTCCTCATGTTCGTCAGGCCTTTTCCCTTCTGAGGCCGCAGCGAAGACTGCAGTGCGGTAAGTTTAGGTCAATGCTCTTTTGGGGGGGATATTTCTGATCTCCTGATCCAGCTGGATACCACGAGGCGACTGGGGATGCTCCTCGGACCCAAGTGGCCGTAGCGTCAGCATTCACAACGCGGCATATGAAACAGACTAAATCGACCAAAGCGGTGTCATACAATCGATAGCGAAGAAGCACAAGGGTGTGCGATTAAACTGTATATAGGTGGTGACTGCATCGTAATACCTGAGAGCATAAGCGAGCATATCTCAAGTACTTTAGATGGAAATCAGGGATGATTGGATATCTGTCGATTGTTCGATGTTTGTGTTCCGAATAGAGAATGTGATAAAAAAGATTGAAGGAGCATGAGTGAAAGAACAACGAGAGTGATGAGGTATCGTCAAATAATTGGGCACCGACTCTGACATAGCAGGATAAGGAGAGGAGAGACGCAAGAGCAAGATGAATGAATGTGTGTGTCGGTTGCGAGACGAGGTAAGGAAGTAATAAAGTAAGAGAGTGCAATATGCGATGATGAACGCCGTGAGTGATTGTAGAGAAGATGAACGCGAGGAAAGCTAGCGGAAGTCTAGGCTTGATTGACGATGGCAAGGGTTCAGATTACTGGACCAATGATGGATCCTGGGCCACTATTTGGCGGTACAAGCCCACCCCCGAGTCTTCTGATGCAACAGGCGAGACTTGCGGTTTGTTCGTGGTGGTGGTTGCGCGGGCGCCTGCACTCGTTTGTGAGGTCTGGCGTGACCGCTTCATGCCAGGCGCGTGTGGGTTGCCGCGTGTGCTCATGTCCCAAGCGGGTCGCGTAACAGTAGCCTTCATAGAATGACTGTCCTCTGAAGGGTTCACACGTGTGCGCGTGCTAGGTGTTGTTTGCGTTCGCCGGCTCATGGGGCGTGTAGAATGAGAGCCATTGTCGCCCGAAGCTAGACGAGTCCCAAACTTAGCGTTTGCAGAGGACTCCCTGCTATAGGATGACGTGCCGCCTGGAGATACACGACGTGTCGAACCGACGACAGTGTGTTGCTTGGGTTTGAGGACTGGTTTCTGGAGGGTGATCTTGTCTGCACCCCAGTATGAGAAGCTCATTTTGCTCTTCTTGTCTGAGTCGTCCGACTCTCCCTCGCCATCTTCATCATCGTCAGCAGGGAGAGGGAGGATCCGAGGCTGCGCTGCAGACCGTGCTTCTGCTTTCGAACGTACAACGCTATAAAGCGCTCAGCAGACATCAGTAAAGGGGATACAAAGCACATACTCTTCCATAGTAACAACCCCTTCTTTGGGCTGGACGACATCTCCTATCGCCCAAGTCTCGATCTAAGCCAGGGTGAGAACAAGTCAAACGGTGCCATCGCGGTGCTTTACCTTAATAAATTTGTACAGGTTCCTCGGCCTCGTATGCGAATTTCTCCGCCCTGCCGAGGCATACTTTGACTTCCCCTGCATTTCCGGCAATGAATTCGTCCTCGAGTTCGACCCCGAAACCAAAGGTAGCGATGTTGTCCCTGTGCGCTGGCACCGTAGGACAACATCATTGAATACCACAAGCCACAAGTCTTTCTTGCCTCCCAAGCCCGAGCCCGAGCCCAGCACATCACTCAGCCGGCGGAATGACGTTTTACCCTTTACGCCCTTGGCATTGACAACCGGCGGCGGGCTCGACCCTGGGCCTTTCTGCGAACCTCCGTGCATAGACCCAAGAATCTGCCGTTCCTCCAGCAGCAATCTTGACGGCTTCGGAATGGCAAGCTGCTTCACCTTGTCAAGCCCCTCAATGCGAGCAAACACATCGCGCGTTTTGTCACGGTCCTCTTTCTGGATCTTCTCGTCCTCGATGCTGCGCACGATCGTCTCGACTTCTGCGACCATCTGCAGAGTACTCTCATACTCAAAGGTACTCGGATCTGTGTGGAAGAGAAGGTTTTGGAAGAGAAGAGGGTACTTGAGGAGGCGTTGGAAGGGCTTCGAGAGGGTGATAGCAAGTCCTGTCTCGCCTTTATCGGCCGCAAGCTCTTCCAGCCGCTGCAGGGACTTGCAAACCTTGAGCCATTCAGCGGCATCTTGGTTCTTGGGCTTCTTGGCAGCGCTGGCAGTGCTCAAAGCGTTATCCACCTGCTCAAGAGCACGCTCGAGATGCAGGACGTATGTTGCGTAGCCTTGGAAGATATGGGACTGACAGTAGCATGAGTATATTGCGTCGAGGAGGAACTGTAACACTCACACTTGAGACAAATACGTCCGCGAGGGACCGGACGAGAGGGTATTGCTCCTCGTACCGCTTTAGCAGACCTTCGCTGAGCTTAACGTGCCCATCGAGCACGCCGCTTTCGATGACCTCAAGGCATATACGCAGATCCTCGGGCAGGAGCTGTGAAGGAACAGCACTCTGGAAGGGACTATGGGACTGCGTTGTCGAACGCTTGAACTTGCGCAGTACCCGAGCACCTTGTGTAGGAGTAGTCTTGGCACTGTCTTTGCGCTCCCGCTCCCTATCCTTGTCTCCCAGCGATTGTGAGGACGAGGCAGCGAGCTTACGCTGAGGTGCAGGAAGGGATGCGTGCGAACGTGAAGGGAAGGGTAGGACATCGCGTATTTTGGTTATCCCTTTGCCACCACTGCCTCCCCCGTGATAAGGCGAGCGAGGGTGGTTCGGATTTGCGCGATTAGTTTGCAGTCCCTCGCCTACTACGTCATCAGCATCCTCATCACTTTCGTCATCGATTTGAGGTGTGGTAGTAGCGAGGCTGCGACCATCTGCGGGTTTGGAGGCACTATCTGCGGGTTTGGAGGCACCATCTGCGGGCTTTGAGGCACCATCTGTACGGAAGCCAAGAGGGCTCATGAAGCGTGCAGCAATAGGTAAGACATCGATCGATTCCTGCGGTGACTCGACCCTATAGTCATCGTACTCATTGAACGGAGTCGGTGTAGGGCTGACAGGCGGAGACATGGCATATGGGTGGAGAAGCGGTTCGATGAAGAACTCTTTCATTTTTGTGAGGTCATTTACATATCTGTGGCAAAGGCAACGATCGCATCAAGATTAGTGGATCAGGGCGTGGGGGAGGAGCAGCGCACCGCTCTTCAGAGGCCACGATCTCCCATAGGACTTCTTGGCGGGTACGTTCACGGGGACCAAGGTTACTCACAAGGTCTTCTTCTGCAGCCTCGCTCCATGAGGTGACTGCGAGAATGCGGCTGCTGGCATTGGACATTTGAGAATAGGGCGTGGCGGAGCGCATTGAGCCTGGGTAAGGGGAGACTGCTGTGCGTGTACTCGTGGCTTTGGCAGTATTGGTGGATGACGCAGGTGTTACGGTGGTAGACGCCGTTGGAGTGGTGGTGGAGGTGGTGGTGGTGGTGGTGGTGGTGGTGGTAGACTTTGTGGCGAGGTCTGTGCGTGAACTCGAGGCGGTTGTGGAGATAGAGCCACGCGTGTCCTTGCCATGTGTCGCCTGAAAACGCGATAGGGTTGTTTTGAGCGGGGCGCCCGAGGGCGTCTGGACGATTTGAGAGGGGCTGGGTACGGATGCGTCCGGGAGTTGGGAATTGAGAGCCGAGGGCGTCGGAGGAGGGGAAAGGAAGGCAACCTTTTTCTGAACATCAGAGGATGTGCCATTAGTAGTAGTACTACCGTTTGCCTTGCGGCGGGTTGCGGGGTCCGGGTCGTGCGGTGTAATGATGAGGCCAACGCCACTGTCATCGTCATGGGGCTCCTCGATTGGGGGTAAAGGTCTTGAACAGATATCTGGAAGGGGTTTATGGGAAGAAATCGAAGTAGGAGTTCCTGCACTGGTATTGACTGTGCCTGCACTAGTGGATCGTTGTATCTGGATCAAGGCTGGAGAAGTGAGATGTCTACTACTAGTGTCTCTAATCACAGGCTCAATAGAGAGCCTATTTTCTGATGGAGGCCATCCTGGAAGCGGGGGAAGTTGAACGAGCTCACGCTTTTCTCGGTTTTGGGGTGAGTGGGAGTTGGTCGAGGAATTGTCGCTACGGTCCTTGGTAAGTATAGAGGCATTATCTTTTTCTTTTTCCTTGTCCTTGTCTCTGTCTCTGTCTCTGTCCTTTGATGACAGGCCTCTGTTGAACCTGTTCAAGAATGCTTTCATTGTCCCGACGTGGGTGACGACGAAAGATAGTGACGAGGATATAACAAAATTGGCGGTGCGAACGGGTGACTATAGACTGAAAAGTGATTACAAGCAAGCGGTTTACAGCAGAGACTTGATGATAGCTGAAGCTGAAGCGCTGGTCGGGTTGATCACGGCTGTTCAGTGACCCACATGTTAGGCTCATGTTAACTATTCCCTTTCATAGCAACCCTTTACATACAAAATACACTAAACAGTACTGCCTTCTGGTGTCAGCATCAGGGCCTCTACGACTTTAAACCTAGTGTTTATCATCTCCACTGCTAATATCACGAGTCGAGATCGATCAAATGACAGCGGATCCAAATTCCTAGGACTCGCGACCTATGGCGAAACTCACTGTCGGAATCTACTCGGAATCCTCCGCGGTCGTCACGCCACCTTCCCGATCCCCCTAAGGCCATCTGCAAAACCACTGAAATGAACGCTTACGACTTCAGCTGTAGCGCACTCATGCGATTGGTGGAGATGCCAAAAATGTGTGCTTACGAACGCAAACCTGAACTAAACCGAAAGCGAACTGCTCAAAAGCACTTTGAGAGGAACTTCGGCTCTTTAGATGAAGTACATACTGTCACTGAACCCATTCACATTGGCGATATATTTCAAATGATCTTGCCTTCAAACAAGTCACTTTGCCGGAGTGGTTAACGGGATCGCCTGCTATACACAGCTAAGCGGTTGGGCTTTGCCCGCGAGTGTTCGAATCGCTCAGGTGACGCTTTTTGGTGGTAATTTCCATACCCGAGATGTATGAGGCTGATTCCATCACACATCTCCCTTTCGCAAAAATATTTTTCATACTCGAAGTATCACTCGAACGTTCTCTGGGCTAGAGTTCTCCTAATGACAGTCGTTTAACTCGCATGTCACTGGGCGCGTGTGACGGAAGGCGACAGAGGTGACTCATTGTAACGAAGATTCTGGGTGCTGATCGCAAGGATTCATGTTGCCATAAAAGTAGTTGGATTTCATGTGCCCCATGGCTGAGTTGGTTACAGCGTCCGACTGTTATTATTCATCTGACATCGGAAGGTCGTGAGTTCGAGCCTCACTGGGGCAGTATATTTTGCACCTGTTTTTTTGCTAAATAATTGGCGCTATACTAATTAGGCCTTTTCCAAGACACACCGCACCTTCCTCAGCCGTTCATGCACAATTCTGCTTTCAAGTGTATTCGCTCGCTTTTATTCGACCAGCAATATTTCTGGATTATTGCATCTCTCGTCATTCTCGGAGATGCTATCCTCACTCAACTCATAGTCCGGTTCGTTCCCTGTTAGCACGTTTCACTAGCTTGCATATACCATGACCAACGTATCAGGCAGATACAGAAATCGATTGGAAAACATACATGGTCCACATTGACCTTTACCTGAAAGGAGAACGCAACTATGTTAATATCACAGGGCCAACCGGTCCTTTAGTGTGCGTGAACTTGAATTGAACAAAAGTATACCGCACTTACCAAACTAGTTATCCAGCTGGACATGTTCATATTCATCACCTTCTTCATCGTATCACAAATGCCGGTCGCAATGTTGCGCAGGCCCAACAGATTTACGCCGGCTTATACGTACTATCCGTCGTACTCGTATGCGCGATATATAAGAAAGCGAACATTCCAAATTGGACTCTTCTGCTGCTACCACTCAGCAAAAGGCTGCATTCTATCTTCGTTCTCCGCCTGTTCAATGACTGCTGGTCTATAATCTTCGTCCAAGCGGCGATTCTAGCCTTCCAGAGCGCTTGGGATGACATAGGCATCTTGTTATTCAGGTGAGCACTATACTTTCTTCCTCAGAACGTCCATAACTGTACACTTAGCCTGGCTCTCTCTATAAAAATGTCGGCAATATTGTATCTGCCAGGTCTGCTCGTCATCATCTTCAAACGACACGGCTTCTTTGCGACCATTCGACACATGCTCGTCTTGGCATCCACTCAGATTCTCCTTGCGCGCTCTTTCCTCGCTGCAGATGCAAAGTCCTACATGCAGAATGCGTTTGATTTATCACGCATTTTCCTTTACAAGTGGACCGTGAACTGGCGTTTTGTCGATGAGCGTACATTTTTGAGTCCCACATGGGCGAAAGGCCTACTTCTGGGTCACGTTACGGTGTTGATTGCCTTTGGATTATTCCGATGGTGTCGTAGCGACGGTGGCGTACCTCGGGTTCTTCAGAGAGGTCTCCGGCGACCCTCTCTACCTGCTGGTCTGGCGCCCGTAGGTCCTGATTGTGAGTCATTCTGGGTGTCCCTCAATCTTGTCTGTTGACGTGTGCACCTAGACGTTGCTACTGTACTCATGACGTCCAATCTTATTGGCATCATCTTTGCACGATCGCTGCACTACCAATTCTACTCGTGGTATTCGCAGCAAGTGCCTCTCCTTACTCAAAGAACGAGGTTTCCTTTCGTCATGCAGTGAGTCTCTTCCTGCAGGAATAAGTATTTGCGTTCTAATATGTGTGAAGAATGGCACTCATGGGCGCAATCGAATATGCCTGGAATGTTTATCCATCCACACCACTTTCATCTGGCCTTCTCCTCGCAGCAAATTCCTTGATGCTCCTCGGGATTTGGTTTGGATATCCAGAAGGAAAGTTGTCCGGCAAACAATGAAATGCAAGCGACGACTGCAGTGGAATCGCAAGAAAGAAATTATCCCTGAAGTAATAGTAGTACATTCATTCGTTTTCGCCTCCCATACCTACGATATATGTACTTCTGCCACCTCTGGGCAAAATCAAAACCTTTTCAGCCCCATGGACCTGACAAGTGTCAGCGCTTGGCACCGTAGATCTCATCGAGCCTTGCGTTGATATTGGCAGTGGCCGGACGTCGACCTTGGGTAAGGTAATTTCGCCGTGGTGAAGAGCTATCAAAGTCAAGGGTACAGCGAATGAACCACCGTCCTAAAAGTGGTTTAGATCAGCCTTGAGAACGAGCTTACACCAGTGGGACTTACGGTTGCGACGAAATCTCCGCGCTTTCGTCCACACAAAAGCCAATCCTTGACACGTTCTTCGACATCGTATCGCATCTTATAGCTGCGTTGTTTACCTTCTTTCTCAGCCCAATGAAAAGAGGTCTTGAAGATGAGGGTCGCAGGGATTGGTTGGCCTGCGTAAATTGGCGGTAGTTGATCTGATCGTGTGTCACTGGGGAGTGATGGTTGAACAGCGATCTGTGCTGCGGTCACGATCTATCACAGACAAACCAAGTTAATTTGGGTGTGCATGGTGGGCAACTGGGAAACACCAACGTTCATCCTTGGGACGTCAACCGGTATCTTGATCTCTCTCCAAGGACAGGGCGATGCAGTCTCTGAGCGACATTGCGCTAATGCCTAAAGGTAACGCGCGGTGAGCAAGACCAACAGAACGAGGAATCGACAAACGAACCTCCCGAATAGGTCCCTGGAAATCCCCGCCATCTTCAAACGAACGAGGCAAGACAATTTCACCAGTAGCCCTGTACGTTTCTACCCATTCAGCGTCACTCTCTAGGTGTGCGACCAGCTTGTCAATGAGTATGCGTCGTAGTGAGCTGTACTGGGGCTTCTCATCTGACATACTTGACAAAACAGCTTCCACCGTTTGTCGAATTAATGCCTCGACCTCTGAATAACTAGCTGCAGTCGAGGTAACACTGGATGTGAGAGAATCCTTACCATCACGTAGTATGCGGTACTTAATGACGAGGTTCAGTGGCTCCAGAACTGTGTTTCTTTTAGCACTCAACAAGCAAACTGACTAGCAACGCACCAGGTCCATTTGAAGACTCTATGGAGAACAGGAAGTTCACGGGATGTTCTGGCGTAACGGTCTACATAGAATCTAGTTTCTTCAGCAAACAACAAAAGGATAGGAATCTTACCACAACAGGACGGCTCGGACGACAACCTGAGATCTTCACGCCATCGAGACTTGGTGGACCCTGCAGCTCCGTCGATGATATTCGAACATACTGGTGGGAAGTGGTCGAGATAGTAAACTTCGAAAACAATCTAAAAGGACTTCAGAACAAAGTGCGAGGCGAGGTAGTGGTCGAACCTTTTGCCGCGGAAAAAGTCTTCTACGTTCACTGCTATAGGCAGTGAGACCGTAACAACTCTTGAGGTTTGCAGGGTGCGGATCACACCCGGCGAGGATTGCGTGTTATACGTCACACTTAGTCCGATTTTCTTCAGTGCAGCAATGAATAAGAGTTCTCCTTTGAGGAAAAACACCTACCATTGTATGATATCTCGAAGCATCAGAGTGAGGAAGCGAAATTACAACGTCCGTGTCGACAAGAGCATCCAGAAGGATGACAGCATTGTCAGAGACTTCAAGGGTTCCCGTACCTTTGTCTCGGTTCAGAAACATATCGAAATGGATGAGAAGCACTGACCTTCGGCCTCCAAGCGTGCCTCGGAATAATTGAATTGCACTCCAGAAGGCGGAATTGGCTTAATAGTCGCCCGCGAGATGTCGTTCTGGCCAGTTGAAATAACAAGTAAAAGGCGCGATGTCGTTCCAAGCTCGGCTTGAAGCCATAAGTTAGAATTATTACAGAACAAAAAATCACACTGCTTACTTTGCTGAGGTTGTCGTGTTTGTACATCTAAAGCGCGCAAACTACGCGGCACGCGCACCAATGAAACATGATTCCTCTTCGAAGTAGTGGCCGTGGTACCCGTATATTGCCATCGAAAGTGGAGATGGGACATCACCACTTCGCTGCTCTCAAGAGCATAGAGACCCCAAGAGGATGTCTGTAATGATGTGCTGGTCAGTTCACGGAGTACCCTCGAGATGGTCAGACGCACTGGGCAAGATAAAGTTACAGTCGATTGGCCAGGAGGAAGTGTATCCACCTTCGCGATGAACTTCAGACGTTCAGAATCTCGACCACCCATTGTCACGCTAACTTCGTCAACCAGCACGTCCTGAAAACAACATCAGCTCTAGAAATAATGTTTGAACACGCGAACACGCACGCATGGGAGGCGGTTTGAAATTATAGCATCAACGAAGGCTAAGTCTTCATCGTCACTACAGGTAGCATCGCTGGATACTTGGACTGCCATGATAGGATGATCTGAGTGAATCAAGTCTGCAATTTGCCCAATTATTGATCACGATCAGATTGTCAATGCGTTCGGCCAACACATACCTGAGTCTAAACGCATCACAGCAGTGTGAAGTGCTCCAACAAGCTGCGTAACACCCATTTCCCCATTCTCTTCTGTTACTAGCTCTGTGCTCACGTCATTTGTGCATGTCCTTAGAAATGCAAGCAAGATATGTATCCATTCTCGGTCTCGGGGTTTCTCCAGCTCGGCATGTATGTTGATTGCACGAGAGAGCATGAAGGATTCTAGTGATGTCCACATATGAGGTGCATAGTGAGCAGGCAAGGATGTAAAAATTGCCAGAGCACTCTCTAGGCGTCCTCGATGACTATCCTGCAATGAGAAGGTGGATCGTATGTCAAACACTATGCTTACATGTCTAGAGCGGCGAGGAAGCCATGCAGCTTTAGCGCGAATTTGCGACGGCCAGCCTTCACGTACATGTCGATGGCACGATTCGAAGTTGCGCAATACAAGTCATAAAAAGGTTCCTCGTTCCCAATAGCTAGCATAACCTCGTGATTGCTTATTCGCTGCGTCGATGAGCGTTCACCAATTCGTTGGGAAGGCAGGGCAGGCGTTTCTTCCATATATGTGGTTGCAAAGGGCGGTGTTTGGGGCAAATGACCTACTTTGACGCCAATGATGTCAAGCTGCAAAGAAAAATCAGGATGTGATGAGAATCTCAAAGATGATATCTGACCTGAGTCTTGGCTAACTCAAGTAGTTCACCTTTACTCGCACTGAATCGTGCGAGCTGGACGCTGTCCAGTTCTGTCGGAGGAGTCCACGTATCACATTGTTCGACAACGCTGAGAGCAGAAGAGAATATCCATGACTCAATAAAGTATTCTGGTAACGAGGCCTATAGAGGGCATGAGCTTCTACAATACAGAACAGCATGGTGTGACCCCTGACCTCAACTTCTCGCAATCGTCTACCAAACGTTCCCAAAAAGCTGGTGACCTTCTGGCAAATCTCGAATGGGCGACGCATCTTGTTCAGCAGAGAGCACTGGCGAGCAAGCAAGTATATCCGGAAATCAAACACTGAGATGGAGTTTGCAAGGATGAGGTCGCGATAATGTTTCTTCGTAATCGAGAGTAGAGGCATCGAGTCGTCCTTGTACACAGGCTGGATGAGACTACCAAACCAGGACATGTTCTTCTCTCTCAGAACCTGAATGAAAGATACCTCCAGCTCATTGTACTGCTGTAGGGCATCTTCGAAAAGCTTCACTCCTTCAAAGGAGCTGGCAAGGCTTTCCTAAAAGTCAAAACATCTCAGCCAAAATACGTTTGAACATGTCATGCGCGAGACATGCCTTCAATATGAAAAAGGTGCAAAAATTCCAACCAGGCATGTGCCTCTGACTTTCAGAGCGCCTGACCTCTTCCTCACGTTGAGAAACGGATGAATCTAGAGCAAATAATAACCCGTCCTTGATCTTGTTCACGAGATCAGCCCATATTACAGGACTGAAGTCTCCCGCTGTCCAAGACAACTGCACACATCTTATGAATGTAAGCACGAGGAGAGATGAGATAGGCGGGGAGTCGCACCGATCTCGCTTCTCGATATTGAAATCTGCCTTTATCTTATCAAGGACGGAGCTCTTCATGTTAAAGAACTTGCGGTCTGCTGTCTTGACATCAGAACGAACGACATGCACAATAATCCATTCCTGATTCTTCCGCTGAGATATGGCATAATGCCAGTCTTTGATCTGTTTCTTCACAGTTGTTCTGTACAAGTCGTTATCCTGAATACCTTGTCAGGTTACCGCTACAGTCTGTTCACCATGTTTACCTCGCACGTCACAACGTAAAGGTTGAGTAAGGGCTTTTCTAGCAGTGTGACTGGCACTTGCGAGGTGTGTTCGTCGCGGAGAGAATCCAAAGGAACGAGAGTAAGGTCGAGTTCCTGAATGGTTTTAAGATTTGGTCGGGAGGCCGACTTCCAGTGAATGCTCCGAAGCGGTAGCTGAGATTGTAAGGCTGCCAGCACTTGCCTCCAACTTTCTGAGGCCAGAAAAGATACTGGTGCAGAGTATGTCACTAGGACATTCTGATTAGACATTCCAAGCTGCCGGATAGGTATCCAGTGGGTGCAGCGAAGAAATGGTACATGTAGTAATACAACTGGTGCCGGGGATACTACTTGCACAGTCTTAAACGTGATGGTGAGAAAAACATTTTAACAAAACCTTTGGTGAGTTTGCTCTGGACCACTACACTTTTCCTGGTTTCGACCACAGCCAGACAACATGCCTTCGCCAGAAGAAGCAAGTACATCGGCTACGCCACCAGAGACCTTCAAAGAATTGGGCCTCATAGATCCCTTGCTGGAAGCTCTGGATAAGATTGACTTCAAGAAACCTACCGAGATTCAGCAACAAGCACTCCCTTATGCATTAGAGGGTCGAGATATTATCGGTGTAGCAGAAACAGGATCAGGAAAAACTGCAGCATTCGCTCTTCCTATCTTACAAAAGCTTTGGGACGAGCCAAAAGGCTTGTTTGCGTGCGTTCTTGCACCGACCCGCGAACTTGCGTACCAGATCGCACAGCAGTTCGAGAGTTTGGGTTCCGCCATGGGGGTACGGTCCTTGGTTCTCGTCGGAGGAATGGATAGGATGCAACAGGCTGTTGGCCTTGCTAAGCGGCCTCACATCATAGTGGCAACCCCTGGTCGTTTGAACGATCATCTCCAGAACACGAAGGGGTTCAGCCTAAGAAGCTTAAAATTCTTGGTGCGTCTTCCCCGGTCCTTAAGCTTCTAGTATTTACAGTGGTATAGGTTATGGATGAAGCAGACCGTCTCCTCGACATGGATTTTGGCCCTGAAATAGATCAGATCCTCAAAGTCATACCCAAGGAGCGTACAACATATTTGTTCTCCGCCACCATGACCACAAAAGTTGCGAAGCTACAGCGAGCCAGTCTAGTAAATCCTATACGGGTCGAAGTTTCTTCAAAGTATGGGCAAATCGTCGGCATCCTCAGCTGTACTGAGATCATTCGTGTAGATACCAAACCGTGTCCACCTTGCTGCAATATTATCTTCTCGTCCCCTTGGTTCATAAAGATGTGCATCTCATATATCTTGCCAATCATCTTGCATCGAATTCTATCATGATTTTCACTCGGACGGTGCACGATGCCCAGCGGTGGGTGGCGCATCGCAATGATCTTGTCATCTTCAGCTTATCTTCTCCTACAGATTGTCAATTATGTTGCGATCGCTTGGCTTCCCTGCCGTTCCGTTACATGGTCAGCTGAGCCAAAGCCAACGCTTAGGCGCTCTGGGTAAGTTCAAGAGCGGAAGTCGCAAGTTGCTCGTAGCGACAGATGTAGCTAGCCGGTTTGTTCCTTATTTGTTTCTATGCGTATGTGCATTAATTGATGTCGCCCTTCTTACAGTGGCCTTGATCTGCCTTCAGTTGACATTGTCATCAACTTTGATATTCCAACCCATTCCAAGGATTATATTCATCGCGTTGGACGCACTGCGCGAGCAGGTCGATCTGGAAAATCGATTACTATGGTGACGCAATACGACGTGGAACTCATTCAGCGGATAGAAAAGGTGATAGACAAGAAAATGGAACTTTGGCCCACAGACAAGGAAGAAGTGATGTTGCTGAAAGAACGTGTGGATGAGGCTGCCCGATTGGCAATCAATGAGCTCAAAGAAGAAGCTAAAACAGGTGGAAAGAAACGCAAGCGTGAGGATGGCGTTGGAAAGGACGAAAGAGATCGTGATGATGATGTCGTGGAGGCAGGTGTCCCGAGAAAGAGACATTCAAAAAAGGGGCGATAGTTTTTTCTTGTGTTTGGTACTTGCGGAAAACCATCTTGTCAAAACAACTTGGTGGGTGTTGCATCGAGCGTTGGCCTCTGTATGTCAGCACAGCGGTTCCGCTGAGACAAGGTAATGTACATCCAAGCGTAGCTGAGGGATTGACAAAGGTAATCGCGACAAGGATCGGATTGCTCGAAAGTTCGATCATCGTATGCAAAGTCTAAAGTTGACAAAGTGGGCTGCAAGTCCGACCAAGCCCTGGTCACCAAAATTCGCAAGTACAAGAGTGAAGAGTATGGCCCGGGCGATCACCTGAACATGAGATCTGAGCGGAGAATGTACTTAGTGCCATTGCGGACCAGGGAACCCTCGTGGAGTAGACATTCATTTCCATGGCTAGTCAGACAGTCTCAGTCTGCAGTCATAAAACAAAGGTGGAGACCACGGACCGATGGAGGAGAACAGTTCCACGCGTTAGAGGCGCTACAATGGTTTCGCGTGGTTTCCCCCGCTCATCCTTGTAGAATAGTGTCTTACACACGATCAGCATCAGAATTTGCAATCAAGTATCGTTATTATTACTTCACCACCTTCAACTCCATCCTCGATTCCAGTTAGGTAAACAAGTACTGTCCATTCAGATTTTGCTCCTGTCTCTGGGTCACGGACAGAATCGTCATAGTGGGGACCAAAGTACTGGGATGGCGTGTATTTGTACATGCGAACATTTGAATTACAGGAGTGAGGCAAGCGCTTCTCGCCAAGGGGAGGGCGCCGCCTTGCTGCAGTCGGAGGAGGAAAAGATGGGAGATGCTGCAACAGGCGGGAATGTAACTTCTGAGCAAAGGGGACAGAGGCCACAGAAAAACGAACTAGATTTTAAGGAACGTGGGTGAGCATCGAACTGCACACACATTACAGAGGTGAACACTTGCAATTGACCCTCTCAGCCTCTCCCTTCTTCTTGGGAGGTGTTAACTCCAAAGGAACATTGTCAATAAACTTCACAAAGCGTTTACATTCTTCAACAGAAAGAAACTCCTGTCTATCAATTCAGAATGCGCGATTACCCTGCAGGAATGAAACGGACATCAATAAGGATGATCTGGTCTTCCAGCAGCACACGACATTCGAGACCTTCTTTCTGCGAGATGTCTGGGAATGCAAGACCTGATGGCACTGCAGACTTGGGTAATGATTGGACAATATTGTTCGATGCTTTCGATTTCTTTGGCATTGATCAGATCTAGCTGCAGCAGCGGTGTTACTTGGGGGGTGTACGTAGTGGCTGAACGGAGACACTGTACGGACAAATTGGACAATGAGTCGTCAACAAGACATGCCCCATGGCTGAGTTGGTCACAGCGTCCGACTGTTACTAACTGGCATCGGAAGGTCGTGAGTTCGAGCCTCACTGGGGCAGTTCTTTTTCATATATTTTCAAAATATTTGTTTGTTCAGGTTTAGTGGATCTGCATTCCACATTTGAATCCGCTTGCATCCTTCAACGAACTCGATGAATGCAACAGACTAGACCTTTACCCGACTGTCATCCTGAGCTGTTTGTCACAGAATGGCCCAGTTTTCGGGAGTATCGCGTTGAAAACTGGCGACTTGCTCGGGATGGGAGCGGGAATGTTGTCCGTGGTGCGACATCGGGGAGGTGGATCGACCTTTGTCTACCCGTGGTCATCTCATTCATATGGCCAAGAGTCAGTATCCTGCTTGAAGTTACGCGGCTTACATGTTGACACTCCAAATTTTTTAGGTTCGCGGCAGCACCATGCTGTGTGCATTCGCAGTCCTCACAGTTGGGTTTATAATCTACTGCCGCTGTACGCAAGTCATTCATGGTATATTTCAAACAGTTGTGTCTATGCATTTCCTCATTTATGGAGCAGAATCTGTGCTAGTTTTTCCAGCCTTTGGTATACAGCTCGAGACGCATCGGGGGTACCCTTTGCTAAAACCGCTCTTCGTGTCTAGGCGATTTATTCACGCATCCCTTTTGGAGGACTTCATCATAAATGAAGGTTTAAGAAGATGGAATGTCCGATATTATCTGGCTGCTGTGCACAGATCCAGTACGGACACGATTGCTATAGATGTCGTATTTGAGGTCTGTGAATTGTTTACTCCCTTTTCCTTCCGTAGTCTGATTTTGCCTTGATTCAGAATATTTTGCCACACTTTTCTGTGCTCCTGGAGGTTTATCAGGGAGTGCAAGAGCTCATGTTCCGCAACCACATAGACAATATTACCCGCATTTAATATACCCTCTATTTTTCGATCACGAACAGTCGAAGATATCTACTCCCTACTACCTTCCTCACTCTCATACGCACTCAGAATGTCATCGTAGCCTTCATCGTCCCCTTCTTCTGCAGCGCTATCTCTAGTTTCCTGCGTCTCGGCGAAGGAAGATCTACTCAGCCGAGCAACTGATTCCCCTGACATTTTTCGTGAACGCCCCAATGTATCCGCTGACGTCTTCCGCCTAGGACGTGGAGAATGCGACGAAGTCGTGGATACCGATGTGGGTTCGTTGGAACCAAAATCAAGAGCCCGAGGTGTCATGGCTAACTCTTGCTCCTCGAGTGACTCGGGAGGGGCAAGCGTGTTGGGGCTCACATTCTTGTGCTCAGCCACGGAAGTAGGCCGAAGGTTGTTATCGCGAGTTCGCAGGCTGGGTAGTTTTGGAAGGTGGCGCTTTGAGCGCACATGAGGATTCCTGGAGGGTGTCCGGGCCTGCGAATCAGAATTGTCCGTATCTTCTTGTAGAGGTGGCGGCGTCTTCTTTCGTAGTAAAAGCTTGTTTGGTGTGGGTGGCCCAAGAGGTATACTATCTTCGCTAATAGAGCTCTGCCGGTTCTCACCATTCACCCGTACTTTCCCTGCTTCGACATGAACTGCAGTGATAGGTGTCGGAGGAATAGGCGGAGATGACACCGTCGTGGGTGAATCAGTGGCCGCGTAACCGCGCCAGCCCCTTTCAGATGAGCTGTCTTCAGGGACGAACTTAGTATAGCTATTTGATGGATCGCGCATTACTGCATCGGATGTGCTTAGAGGAGAAGTTGCCCAAGGAGTTCGCAGTGCACGGGATGCGGGTGCCATTGGTGATATCGACTTGCGGTTTAACGCCACCTTTCGACTTCCGCCATCGGATTCGATGTCGGATCTGGAGCCTAAGCTCGGCCTCGACCGTGGTCTATTGAAGGCTTCAGAAGGCGACAGCGATGAAACCGAAGACATCGACTCTGTGTGCAGTCCGTGTCCCCTGGTGCGCGTGACATCTGCCCAATCACTATGTCGTGTAACCGGCATCCCGCCATCCGAGTGTGCGGACAGCGGAGGTTTCGCAGTGATCAAAGAACTTGAATTGAGCAGAAGAGGGCGTGGCGCACCCCTGGGAGATTGGGATGGGATTGTTGTACGTGGGTTCAAAACAGCCAAAGATGCCAGAGAGGCCTGCGCCTTATGCATGAAGTTATCTTGCTGCTGAGGTCGGATCTGTGGGCTTGAGGGGGCGGTATAAGTCTCTCTGCGAGGTAATGGCAAAAAGCTGTCTCGGGGTGTTCGAAAGAATGCGGGGCGAGGGGGTTCATCAAAAGCAGCCGCTCGAATACTACCAGGAAGCGAGCCCCGTCTATTCCCGTCTCTAGAATTGCTAGGGTCATCGTTCTCTGGTGACCAGCTATTCAAAGCTGAGGGCGGTAGCTCAGACTTCACACTTGTGGGTGACGATGTATCTCCATTCGACGCCGAATCACTGTGTCGACTGCCCCATGCATTCATCGCTCTAGCGCGCCAATTTGTGCTAACTTTCGCGAAAGTCGCGACGGTGTCAGAGTCTTTGAGTTTCCCAGCATAACCCCAAATACTTGATGGCGGTGGGCTAAGAGATATATGTGGGGCAATTGGCTCTAGAGGACTCTGAGGGAGCGGTGGTGACTGTGATTGTAGCGGGGAAGTTGGTGACGGCGGAGATGGAGAATCGTCCATAGAACTTTGGTTGGTAATCCCGCGCCACACCGTATTCGCGAGGCGCGAAGTCAGAGTTGGAGCAGCCGGAGTTTCTGTCTCATTGCCATCTTCGTGGGAGCCCTCTTCATCTGAGCTCGAGTCTTCCTCCTCCTCTTCCTCTTCCGTCCCATCAGCAGCGGTGACTTGGTTTGTAAACCCCTTCCACATAGTGGCTTTGATCCGAGCGCCGAGGGTAACATTATCCGACTTCGATGATCTACTTTCCTCTATGCGCCTCTGGGCCAGATCGTGTGCGGTTTGCAAGACTCGGTCGATACCACCAGCTGCATCAATCGGATAGGATTGCAGTAGAGTAATGCCCTCGAGGAAAGCATCGCTCAGCTCCCATGGTCGAAGCGGCGAAGAAGGGCGAATGGTAACATGCTCTTCAGCCCACAGTCCCGGAGACTTACCTCCAGGCTTTCCAAGTCTAAAAGGATTCAATACAATCGTCAGTTCAAATAAATGATTGACCGACCTGAAAAGCGGCGCGCGAGCACGGATCAAAAGACTTGTGCAGATATCAATGAGGACATCCAGTTTATGGTTCTCGTCTCGAGTTCTCATTGGGTACGAGAAGAGCGTGTCCCATACAGGCAGGATGGAGGTAAGAGGAAGTGTTTGCGACAAGAGAGGTGCAAGCCAGCGACTGTGAGCTTGCGTCAGCCATGAAACTTCAGAGAAGAGCATCTTACTAGGAGTAATGTGGGAGCATAGGATCCAGGCCCTTGGCGTGCTGTTACATTTAGAGTTAGAAAAAGTCGATACGATAAGTCATTGAGAAAGGCACATACCAAACTCGCAGCAAGTTCTCCGTCAGCTTGTGTTAATCGATCGCTGAATTTCTTCATCCAGACTTTGCCGCCCTCCTGATCTGCCAGTTCAGAAAACTCCCCGACGAGAGCTTCAAATAACCAGAATGTGTCTGCTTCAGCATGGGCTAAATCTTCTGCTTCCACCTCCCTGACAATAACAGCATACAATGGTACAAGTAAGGAAGGAATGTGTGGAGATTGGTTCCCTGGATTTATACATGAATGCAGATAAAGTAGACGGAGGAGGGCTGAGATGTGCTGTGGATGCGCACTGGAAACATCGAACAGTTTGGCGGGTAATAATGTGGTGGGTGCCCCTGGTCTACGGGATGTAATGGAATCCGAGTCCGGTGATGGTGTCAGCTCGAGCGTGCCAATGTCAGGCTCTAGGCGAATTTCGGGAATACCTGCTGGTTTCGATGTGGAAATTTGTCCACGGAGGACCAGTAGTCGTGCGTCAATAAGATGAGCACACCCAATCCTTTCAGTGTCATCACCATTTTCATCTAGCGGTGACATAATTGGACAGCTCGGGTCACTATCGAGTGTGCCGAAGAGTCCAGGGGGGAGACGAAATAGAGATTCGGATATTTTCATTAGGGTCGTATCTATGCTGCTCAGAGGCTTTGTTGGTGATGGCATGTCTGACAGTGGTGACAGCAAACGGCGAACAAGATCCTATTGAACATATCAGCACGCGTTCCGAGACATGAGAGGCACGTACATAATAGCTGTCTCGTTGTTTCCGATTTTCCTTTTTCCACGTTGACTTCAAGACTGGAAGAGTTCCCAGTAAAAGCCTACAGTGCAAGTTAGGCCAGTCAGAGATCAGCCACACCGACTTCCACGTACTTCCATATCCTAGGCCTAAGCCATGGAGGTTCATCGGGTAACCCTGACGATACAGATTAGATATCACTCCTTGACAATTTGGAGCTTCTTACCTTGTGAACATAGCCTCCGCAGACGAGGTAGGTCGACAATAGGTGAGCCTTCTGGATCCAAAATTTCGGAGATGACATTCAGGCTAACTCAGCCGTTGAGCTCGTCTCATAAAGGGCTGAAAAACACGCACATATCCTGCCGGGGAGGGTCAGCAGCCCAATTTACACCATACGTCTTTGCTACATTGGTCAGCGTGTGATTCATCTTGGATGCAGAAGGGGTTGGGGAATACAGTAATTGCATGACCTAATAGATGTCAGTCAACAGTCAACAAGTGCGGATACTAGAGAAACACTTGCGCGCAAAGGGACGTGCTTTTCAAGGCTATTAGGTGTACTAGAGAAATGACGATGCATGCGCTGAGTCAACACATCTCGAACTACATTGAGTTCTTTTTATTCTGTGAGTAAGATCGCATGAGATAACCTTTATTTCACCCTCACCCTTGATATTAGCACTGGGAGCTGCAGCGATGATGGAAGCTGCAGCCTCTGTAAGAACCGGACTTGGTGTTCGCCTAAATGATCGGTCACTCTCGAGTTTCATAATAAGGCTTGGAAACAAACCCTTGATCCAGTTCGCCAAGATGCTCAATAACCACGCCGACGTGCATTTCTAACACTTCCAACAAGTCGCCCATCGCATCATCTTGTATGAGATTCTGTGCCTTAGCGCGCGCAAGAGCAGTATTATTCTGTTGTAATAATGTTGCAATGTCGCGTCGGGTGATCTGTCCTTGAGAGTCTATTCTCTCTTGAATTTGTCCGAGGCGCTGCGATGTCGACCGTAGTAAGACCTGCAGGGAATGTAAAGGATAAGGGCATGTTATTGTGGACGTGTGGTGAGGACAAAGAAACAGTGCATACTTTAGTCGCAGTTGGGTCCCAGTTCGTCATGTTCGTGGTCCCGGGGTTTCTTTGCGACGGACTCACTTGATAGCGTATGAGCGAGTGAAGCTACAGATCGGAGGTCATGAAATTTGAGTGGGACAGTGATTAATGAATGGCGGTAGTGCTGCGCGAAATCCTCAGATCTCAGATTTAAACGCTGGTGACTCAATGGAGAGGGTGACTGAACAAAATGCGATCATTTACGCTTTGCACAGCCGAGTGCAGTTGAAGCTTTAAATAAACCTTCTTGCGGTAGGGCTTTGCCTAGTGGGCGGGATTATATATTGATACATTAATGCATTGAATCTAAGTAGACTACAATAGTTCTAGATACACCAGTGTGGTAGGGGTTTTGATAATCGTCCTGACTTGCGATTGGTACCGTCCATCTGTACAACTGAACTCATGGAGTCAGCAAATGACGGCGCGAGAGACACGTGTCGCTGAGGTGACTGCGAATTACGTTTATCTAGCGCTCTTGGTTGCAAGACAACGGGATGAGGAATACGAGAAACAAGGGGTGGCAAAGCAGTGATCGTGAGTGGAGATGCAGAGAGTGCCTCCGGACGTGAGAACGGCGAAGAATCGGACGACAAACTACAAGGAGGAAATATGGAAGCCCGAGTATTGAGAGCAGGAAGACGGGGGGAAGTGATAGCCATTTCTGGGTCTACCACGACAGGTGATACTGATCCTGTTTCCATAAAGGCTTTTTCGCGCGACTCAACTACGACGGGTATCCGTGACTGGCGGTAAACCGTGGCAGCAAAATAACTGGCATATAAAACAACTGCTCAGGCTGTAAGCGGTTGTACTCGTGAAAAATCGGTTTGCAACTGACATATGGCAGGAACTATCCAGCAGCCCATGAGTGAATAAATGTTAATCAACTTGCAGACAGCTAGCTGGTCGGCTGCTGAGATCAAATTTAGAACGGTACATATATTTTGGGGAATCGTTACCAGACGTACTTTGATCTGGACATTGTATTTGAGGATTCCAATAAGTGAAAGCGGCGGCAGATCCTAGCGAATTGGTGTCACACAACCGCTTACAGAAACCCAAAGAAACCGACCTATTTGTGCCACCATAAGTAACAATATTCGAGCGGCATCTAACCACACTCGGAACTTCAGGAGTAATCTGGAATGCAGCACTTGTCAAGTACGACAGATCTGGCAAATATTAAAATGACCCACAGGAAAGGTAAAATTAGTATAGTTGTTGTGTTGGTCAAGATGAAGACAGCCGTTAACGACCCTGATTGAAGAGTCTCATCTCAGCAGACGATTCAGTGGGATGAATGTGGTCAAATAGCTCACGACTGCAACGGTCAGATATATCCCAGCGGGTGTAAGCTTCCACTGAAAGAAGTACAACCCAAATAAAGCTAATGAGGATGATACAAGCTAATTGGATTGGTGATCAGAAATTCACGAAGTGATCAAATGAAGGTGATACGCACTGAAAGTTATAGCCCGAACCTTGAAAAATACAGGAAAGGATTCCATGATAGATACAAGCTTTGTGGTAGCCGTCCGTACGATGAATAATGCAGGATATGAGAAGTGGATAGAAAAACAGGAGTCGTGAATGTCAAACGTAGATTATTAGATGTCGAGATCGATATAAGGACAGACGAGAACACCTCCAGAGGTGACTCGAGGGAGAGATTTTGGAAAGCACGGGAGCAGCAGGTAATACCATTGTAGAATATAAGAAAGATGGTAAACAAAAAGCTGTGGGACTCCCGAAGAGTGGCCGCATTAAGGGAAGCTGATCAACGTTACTTTTACTAGTTTCTTTTGTTGTATATACGTACATTGCGTGTTGTTCCTTATTTGTATAATAAGTCATAGGCTGACGTCGAAGAGCCAATTGTACTTATGTGTAGGTGTCCAACGTTTGAACCATTCTGTGTACATAAAAGCTCTACCGATTTTCATGAGATGAAACCTAACACATACGCTACGGAATTTTCCGGATTGAAGGAAGTCTTTCCCCATACCGACCCTTCAGGCTAACTATCACGTTCAAATAGCTCAGCCTACGTTTCATGCAACTGAACAGCATTCTATAAGTTTTTGCTATGACTCTTTCTACACAGTCTCAGTCTCGACGGACTCATTTGCGTCGAGCCCGGCTTGCCCTCGCTTGCGTGTCCATTGCTGCCAATGCGTCTGTCATACCGTTGTGTCCAGACTTGGAGCTAATTTATGTCATTCCAGGCTTTGTGGTGGAGGCATTTTCGCGTTTTCTCTCATGTCACCTGCTTTGGTCGATCACTTAAAGTTAACTCAGCCTCAACTGACCACCATAGCCTTGGCGTAAGCATCTTTCGGCACACAACAATGATTGCTGATCGCTTCGCAGCGGGATGATGGGCCAATATCCCTTTGCAGCTATGATAGGCAAGGTCGTCGACAAATATGGTCCTTGGGCCTGTTCCGCCGTCGCTAGTTGCCTATTCTTTACAGGTTTCGGGTTGTTTGCGAAGGAAATTGCTAACACGCCAGATGACATTACTGTACCTTCGGCATCTTCATTCCATCATCTTACTGTCTACTTCTTTATCGCGGGACTTGGAACTGCCTTCTCGTCAGTGGCTCAGTTTCTTGGGATACTCGTCACTCATTGTTGTCTAGATATTTCTCTTCCATATTTGCTGCCTGTAAGAACTTCCCAGAACTTATCGGCATAGCATCTGGAACGAGTATCACCTTGTTTGGCTTATCGCCGATGTTTATATCAATACTGGCCTCGAGATTCTTCTCGCATCCCGACGAAGGACTTGATGTTACGCACTTTTTACAGTTCCTTGCTATTCTCTGCGGTGCCGTTCATTTATTCGGTGCTTTCACTCTCCACATCATACCTCTTCCCGAAGATCTTCCAAGTGTTGTCTTGGAGGATTCAGAGAGTCCGGCCCACGTCGACGAGCAAACAGCTCTTCTCCATGGAAAGCGCAATCATGCTGAAGTTGAGGTTGGCGCCGTCGCTGTTTCTGCCGTCAATGATAGTCCGGTGATCGACCTTGTCAAAGACCACAATTTCTGGGCTCTGGCGTTCGTCTTGTTCGTGATACTAGGCTCTGTGAGTTTGCTCTCTCATATCACGGTTCTGATTTTCTGACTTTGCAAGAGCGAAATGGTGATATCCAACATTGGTACAATTGTTCTCTCTCTTCCATCGTACACTTCCAGCACAATCTCAGCTCCTTCTACTGAGGTGGCAACTGCAACGCAAGTTCGCTTACTAGCTCTTGCAAACACGCTTTCTCGACTAGTTGTCGGACCTTTGGCAGACTTGGTATCTCCCGTTGCAGCACACGTCCTGCCCGGCGCCCAAAGTATTCCACGCAAGCGCCACATCAGTCGTGTGGCATTTATCTTCTTCTCGATACTGGTGCTTGCGTTAACCTATTTCTGGATGGTAATCGGCGTCAAGTCGCAAGTAGACTTGTGGGCTCTTAGGTCAGTGACGGCGCCTTGAACCTGATCATCACTCTCATTAAGTCATTAGTATCGGCGCTGGTGTCGCTTACGGTTCAGCCTTCACAATTTTGTATGTTTCATTAGCTCCTTGTTCCCAGTGATTCCGGTTGACTTTGTCCGGCTCGTTCTATAGACCGAGTCTGGTGTCGTCTGTGTGGGGTATAGAGAACCTCGGGCGCAACTTCGGCATTCTAACTTATGCTCCTTTCCTTGGAGCTCCCGCATTCTCATACTTCTATGCCTTCAATGCCGCTAGTCACTCAAGTAACGGCGGGGTCTGTAAAGGCATCGAGTGCTGGATTATGACCTTTTCATGGAACACTGCTATTGCATTCGCTGCGTGTGGTGTCACTATATACCTCTGGCGCACGTGGAGAAACCAGGTCTGATACACATTACGCTACTGGTAGGAGCAGGAATAAGGACATCCATCTAATCACATTCGTATGTATATCACGCTATGACCTATCACATTCAAGGAGCTTAAGTACGTTGAAGCGCAAAGACTCGGAAAGTCTGGACTAGGTGAAAATGACGCGCCTGCCACGGCTGTGATGTGGCACTCATGCCTTTGAACTACCTTCAAATATCATGTTATGTTGTTCGAAACACTTTCATCTTTCATTATCCATGGATATCCATCCGCGTACAGACCCTAGAGTGCTAAAATGCACATCTCAATTTACAGTGCGTCATACCCAAACTCCACGATCATACAGCATGGGGAAGTATCAATTGCAAATTGTCGAGTACGCCTCATGTACTGTCTCTAATGGTGGTCTAATGTGAGCTTTGAGATGATGTGTTATCCAGGCTGTATCAGCCTGCCAGGCCTCCTCATCCCCCCATCTTGTCGAGCCACATGCACCCTCGGTACCGGTGCTTATGTCAAGTCCCACCCATGCTGACTCAAGCCAGGTCAAGCCTCACGCATGCTGCGTCAAGCCACATGTTACCATGTCAAGCCCTACCCACGCTGCATCAAGCCTTAAACATGTCGCGTCGAGCTTGACAACATGCATGCCACGTCACTGTGCTTCATGCAGCAATGATTACCATGTCATGATGTCCAGCACCGTGTACACTGTAGGTGCAGACACTACTTATGCTGTCTGTCGAGTAAGAGTTGGCGAGGAGTGCGATATCTCCGGAAGACAATAATTATTTTAATTTCTTCCACACAAGTCTAATTGAGCAAACAGTCGAACTAATTTACAGCGCTTCCGCGGCTCCGCTATCCTTTCACCTGCCCCTAGGGAATCTTTGCTGGGGGCCAGTCCTTCTCACCTCTTCTCACTCGCCCTCGCCGTCGGTACGTCGTGATTATTTTTGAACTCCCTTTTTCCCTTTCCTTCTTTCTGGTATTCGGCACACGAACGTAAGGTCAGAAGGTCCCGTTCCTTGGTTGTACCATAGCTTGGTTCTGGCAGGTTCGTGTACGATAGCTGAGACGAAGTTTGTTTTCACCTTCAAGTATACCTGCTTCTGGGGCTATTGGATCTCCTAGTGGAACATACGGCTAAGAGATCCTTCTGCTGGTTAATCATCACGGCGTGATGATTAGCCAGCACATCTGTACTCCCGCCAGACCGAGTGAGATCAATTAGGTCACTCTTGTAAAGGTAATGTTCGCAGACAATATTTATTTAGATAAATATAGTGAAGGCGAGGCCTCGTAATATAAAGCCACAGTGATGGCCATAAGAGTAAGTCTAGCTAGGTTTCTCACAGCGTGTCATCCCCGACTTTAGCCTCACAGCCCGTCAGCGCTTCAGCAACCACCGTGGCAGGACTGCGTCAAAATGGCCACGCCCGGAAAGTTTCGGGTGCAGTAATTAATATTGGCCTAGCCCAAGCCTAGCCTGCCTCGCTTTAAACCCTCCTGAGCTTAGCTGGAACGTTCACAAGCTCCCTGCTTTTAGTTAGAGCATATACCCTCATAGACATCATGCCTCGTCCCGCAGCGTTATTTTTACATGGAGCAGCTGTGGGCGTGATGGCATACGGCTTTCTTAGCCTCAAAAAACTACCTATGGACGCCTGGATCAGAACACAAAAAGGAGGGCACTTCCAGTTTCTGACTATACAAGGGTGAGTGCTGCCTACCCCGGAACTTCCAAGCTAACCTACCTTGGCAAGGCTGGCCTCCGCTTGGTTAACCATGGCTCTAAGCCTCGGTTGTGATATACTGCCTTCGTTCACCGGTAAGTGCGACAGCCAAGTAGCTCTCTCTTGGATTTATGACACGTTCCCCAGCCCTTCGCACCGCTAAGCGTGCTTCCCTTATGATATCTCTGCCTGTAACATCCCCGTTTTACCTCTCCGATGATCTCGTTCATTGATGAATCCATTCCAGCTAGCATTTGTGATATCCGCAGTGTACTGGTCACTCCTCTTGTTATTCCCATCATTGATTCTACAGCGCCCGCTGTTGGGCTCCGAGCCCTCTTCTTCGCTGGCTGTCCCTGAATTGATATGGATTCCTCTCAAGATAGATTTGTCTCTACATCTCGCTCCTCTTGTCGCCCTCCTTGCAGATTTTACTTTCTTCGAGAAGAAATATACCCGAAAGCAAGTTCAAATCGGTGCACCACTCGTCGTTCTCGTCTGTGGAACATGGTATACCTGCTGGGTAGAATATTGCGCTAGCTACAACAACACATGTCAGTATCCGTATCTTCCTTTGGCTGCGTATCACTGAAACACTTTGGTTGTCCAGTCCCATACCCTTTCCTAACGGAGAACCCGTTCAACATCCGCATTGGCATCTATACATTTGTCTCCTTCCTTGCTTGGGGCTGTTTCTGTCTCATAAACGCGCTGCATCCTTAGGAGGGTTGTATCATCCTTTATCATCTGTACCTTCGTGTAGAGCTGGGTGTCAACAACACAATGTCAAGTATTAGCATAATAGATAAAGATTGTGATCGGTAAATTGTTCATGTCATTGGAAAAGTGATAATACCAAGGTCAGTGCCCAGATTGTTATAGTAGAAACTGCTGGTGAACCCAACGAGAAGTTATCTAGTGTCCAGTAGATTGATAGAAGAGAGAGATGTAGTAATGAGCGTGGGGTGCAGCCAGTAGTTAGACGACAGGTGTCCAATAGGTAAAGTGGTGGAATAAGCATAAAACGGCAAGGCACAGACAAGTCACAGACAGACGTTTACTTGGCACTATTGTTCTTGACGACTACGACCACAATGATGACAATGATTGCGATGATGATAAGCGATAGGATGAAGCAAATCCATCGCTTTTTGCGGGCTGAGCGAGCAGAGACAACAGCTTTTCCTGTGTGCTGGAGGCTGTGGAAATGTTTAGAAACTGCGCCACCATTCCAAGGGAAACATTTACCCCGCTTCTGTGTCTTTCTCGACCATTTCTGCTGATGTTTGAATCGTGTTGATGGTTTCGTCTTGCTGCTCAACCATCATGCTCATCTAAAAATATTGAGGGTGAACATCAACAGACAGCTTGGCTAAGCGTTCTGAAACGCACATCATTGAAGAGCTGAGCAAGCTCTGAAATGGTTTGCTCAATCCGCTTAATATCCTGGTGTCGCTCCTGTACCTCCCGGTATGCTGCTCTTGATTCGCCGTATCGGTTGGAGCTCATCAACTAGGTCATGGATGAGATTCTGTTTGAAGGAAGGACTAAGTTCGCCTACAGCTTGGCTGAATATTTGCCCCCCATTCTCGTCGTTCACAATAGCCCGAACTTCTTCAGGCGTAGCATCTGGCTTAACTAAGGGATGACCATGAGCGATGGACATGGACAATGAATAATGCATTCGTCGTACCAATCTTGAACTGTCTCTCCATTCGCTGCTTGTACTTTTGGCGGTACTGCTGCTCGACATTCTGATAGGATTGGATGGCGTCAACGAACTTCGACTTGACGAAAGCAGTCTAGGCGCTAATTTAGTCACTCCTCTGTCACTGTGTAAAGAGCTACACACTTGTTGTTTGCGAATCTGGCCGTCACGCCCACTGCCTCCCTGCCTCTCTAATGCCTTTACACGGCGCTTGAGTGTTGTACTCAGAGTGCTGGTTTCCTCCACAAGCTCCTGCAGCTGAGAGGCGTTGCGTTGCGCGGCAGTATCATCTGTGTTGTTCAGTGAACGAGAGTGCAACTCGTCGATATAAGAAACATTGGCGTTAAAAGTCTTGATAGTGTCTTGAAGGGATGAAATCTGATTGACAAGCATGTTTAATTGAGCGACTCCCGCGATAACAAGAAGCGCCTACCTCCGCATAAAATTCTGCCATACTGTCGCCCCCTGATGTCAAGTTTGTTGAACTGTCCCTCACGTCAGCCATCTCGTATGCAGGGTCGTCTTGCCTGGTATATGGATTTTGTCTTTGGCCGTATGAATTACTGTGATCTCATGAAATCAGAGGGACCCGTCATGAACATGAAATAACATGCGAACTCACCCGCCCTGTTGCTGGGCCTGTAGTCCAGAAGACATCAACTTCACTGTTGATTTGAAAAAGGGATAAACGCACTCTCATTGCTGCCAACCTATCCATTTTATGTCGTGAAGATGTGTTGAAAGAAGGCGGAGGGTTGGAAAAATAAAGATTAGGTCAGATTCAAGTTGCTTGATATGTGTGTGGATAGACCGCTAGATAGTATTGCAGCAGTGTCCCAGCTTAGCGAGTACTTGCTGGAAGAAAGAGTTGTACTATAAGTTTTAGAACGAAGCGCGAGTAAGGGACGTACAGCCACAAATCGCAGCAAACATACGGGTCCAATTCAGAAGGCTGTAAATGCAGTACCGCTACTATGTCACCCTGTACTGCGCTCTCTCAGACGCAGGTTGTCGTATCATGCCTGTGAATTGCGAGGACGCTCATGTGCATAATTTATTCAAGTTAAGCAAACAAATTTCGAAGTTAATAGTAGTATCAGTACTATTTTTAGCCAAGAGCAGCTCGCAAGACCGCGATCTGCCTGTCCAGTGTCTTGTGACTTGGTCCACCAATAGATGCCCTTCTCTCGACGCTGGCTTCGAAGTCAAACACTTCCACCACATCATCAGAGAACTTTTCGTGTAGACTCTTGAAGTCCTCGACAGCCAATTCATTCAGTTGGCATTTTCTAGCCTCAGCCAAAGCAACGGCACGGCCGGAGACGTGGTGCGTCTCACGGAAGGGTACCTACTCACTGGTCAATAACCTATAACCGTGAAACCATAAGAATACGGACCCCTTTCCGGACGAGATAATCAGCAAGATCAGTAGCGAGGACATCCATAGTCAGTGCCTGTCGCATCTTTTCGCCATGGACCTATTTTGGCCAGGATGTCACCGAGTGGTATATAGACGACGGATTCGAACAGACCTCCATGGTCGCTATGACACCCTCTGCGATCTTGAGCGATGCGGAGATGTTGTCGACAGTGTCAAACAGCGGCTCTTTGTCTTCCTGAAGATCCTTATTGTATGTCGATGGTAAACCCTTGAGCGTCATCATGAATCCCGCCATCTAGAAAGGAGTTGACGCGTGGAAGTTAATAGCACCACACCACTACACGACGTACATCGCCAAATATGCGCCCAGACTTCCCTCTCAACAATTCAAGAGAGTCTGGGTTCTTCTTCTGGGGCATGATGCTCGAGCCTGTGCTAAAGAAGGGTCAGATGACACCTCGACTGTTGTCCGTGCAAAGGCATACCTGTATGCATCGCTGAGCGTGACAAAGCCAAACTCGGCTGTAGAATATATGATCAAATCCTCGGCCAGACGGCTCATGTGGGTCATGGTAAGGCTCGACCACATCAAAAATTCGGCGATGAAGTCGCGATCACCGACCCCCCACATACTGTTTTCAGCAAGTGAAGCGAACCCCAGCTCTTTGGCAAGAAATTCGCGATCAATTGAAAATGGGTTACCAGCGAGGGCGCCGCTTCCGAGCGGGAGTACGGAAATGCGCGGAATGAGTTGCTGAAGTCGCTCGAGATCGTTACGGAACGAAAAAGCATGCGATAACAGAAAATGTGACCACCGAATGGGTTGTCCTCGCTGCCTCACGGTGAGTGGTCCCCTTATAGGAGAGGCATGCACCTACTTGGAGATGTGTATATCCAGGGAGGAGAATATCTCTCTCCTTGTCTGCACGCTCCACCATTATGCGCACAAGACCTTTGAGACTGGATTCAATATCATCCACTTCATCGAGAAGCCAAAGGCGCATGTCAGTCGCCACTTGATCATTGCGAGACCGTCCAGTATGAAGTTTTCCGCCGAGTGAACCAATCAGCTCGCTCAGTCTGCGTTCGTTTGCAGTGTGAATGTCCTCATCATCAGAGGCAGGTTGGAACTGTAATGTAAATTTATTAGACAGGATGTCTGGAATAAACGATCGTGAACAGAGGTACGTACTTGTCCATTTGCCCATTCTCGACCTACAGCATCCAAACCTTGGGTCATTCTGACTTCCTCTTCCTCAGTAAGAAGACCAACGCGTCGGAGAGCTTTTGCATAAGCAATGGATCCACGAATATCGGCGGCATGCATCCTTTGATCATACTTGAGGGACTGATTAAACGCGTGCATCCTTCAAGCCATCAGAACATCAGTGATGATGTATCGCGAACCATATGCGTACAGGGGATCCGTTTTGCCCGTAAACCTCCCGCCCCATAGTTTTTGTTTCGTAGGTTGATCGGTCATCGTTTGTCGACGGTAAGAAGGACAGCTCACAGTAGTTACTGATCAAATACTGATCCGAGAATCAGTCCGGTGCACGTTACGGACTTCATTAGTGCAATGGCGGATGATAATGACATGTCGGATATGGTGTAACGGTTAACATTGCTGTCTTTCACACAGCGGCCCCGGGTTCGACTCCCGGTATCCGAATTACTTTTTGGATTATTTTTTCGCAGCTGGGGAGTAGGAGTACTAGTACTACTAGTATGTAGTTCGCGGCGTCTTTAATTTACACGGGCTATTAGTATCACCGCATCTTGTTCTCATGCGATAGCAGTTGGGCGAGCCCTTCGAGATGGCACACTAAATCTTCAACGTCTATGAACATTTCATCGACTATTCTTAACTTCGTCTGTCAACTTTTTGCTGCGGTCGATAGTAACAAATTTCAATTGTGACTGGTACCAGCCATGATGCATGAGGTACGACCCTAGAGCGCAAGGGGGCCTTACCGTCAAAAGGTCTTCGATTGAGTCTGCCTAGGGAGACCAGGGCCCTTGCTACAACTCGAAGCCCTAATTCCTGATACTTGATAGAATCTAGATGCGACTAAAATCGACATCTGGATTGCCACAAATTGCTGAACCGTCTGGCTGGACACGAGGAATATTTACTTGGGTTTCTTCACTCTCTCGCTACTACCGGTGGCTCTCAGCAAGCTCCATTCGTGCTGTCGTTACGTCCCCATGCTCGCTCGCTCGAGCAAAGTCGCCGATTCGGACTCCCGCCGGGGACCCGGAGTAGGGGCTAGTGTCTCCATTCCCAGCCACGTGCTGGTGACTATATTTGGTCAACTATTTTTGGTGGCTTAGCAGTTACATGGCTGACGCGTCGTCGAAGCTGTGCGCCTTATAAGATTGACACACCTCCAGCTCTCCTTCCCCTTCTGCCACCACCATTGTTTCGCATTCGACCGTCTCTCCACTCCCCACAGTATGTCTCCCCTTCTGAATCTGATCTGAAACTCATAATCGATGTAATATACAGGTATTCATTCGCCTGCCACCGTCATGGCTGCCAAGAAGCGTTGTCAATTCCAGTCCGATACTCCTTGTAATTCTGCGGCGCTTCGCATAGTTGGTCAGTGTCCACATTGCAGGGTAGACTTCTGTGGAGCAGTGAGTAGATTGCGCATTCCGTCGTGATATTTAGTAATCTCAAACCTTACAGCATCGCCTACCTGAACATCACAATTGCAATAACCTGGAGGATTGCCGACAGCAAGCCTTCGAGCGCAATAAGGCGAAGCTAGAGAGCGAACGCACTGTGGCTTCTAAGATGGCTACCGCATAATGGTTCCCCTCTACGTGCCGACATTCTGTTTCTCCTCATTTCTCTTTTACCGCTGGCCTCTGCACTCTCAGCATGCCCCACATTCTGCTACTCTACATTACTTGATCTTCTATTTATTGCGTCCCATCCAACCATCCCGTCCCATCCCACCCTAGTGATACCTCCTGTCACCTCTCCGTCAGCTATAGGACACTCAATCTGTTGTGGGTCGTGCTGCTTGTAACTTGGTTTGTAATAGAATTTTCACGTACGCTGACAACGAGAGATGTCTGTTCGTATTATTGTGGCATCTCCGGCCGCGGCTGGGCGGGGTTTATTCCGGACTTTTTGTTTAGGTATCTTATGGAGTTGCCTTCCTCCACATATGTATTTGCCCTGTTTCATCATCATGCATCATGATTTCAAGGGGAGTTTGTTATCCGATTTCCTCGAATATGTATCTCTGTTATCGTCTGTACTATGATACACGGATGATTGCAGCAACACCAGTAAGCAATGCGATTTTTTGTCGGAGAATAGCTGATCTTACCACGCAGGCGGAGTCTGGCCAATGGCTATAAGTTCAGCGGTCTTTCATTGGCACCGGCATAGCCGAGCAGCATACTCAATCCTGCTTATAACTAGGCCCTTGGGCCATTCGCATCATGAAACAAGCCACAGGTTCAGATAAGATCTAGATCTAAGACTAGTCGTCACCACTCCTTCAAAAACCCGATATAGTAGTCCGTCAAGTGCCTAGTTGTGATCTTCGCGCATCGATTTTGTTGCCCTACCCACTCGTTCGCATGTGATCTTAGCGAGGGCATGTTGCAATGTCGCACATCTGTTGCTCCTGCCGCATGTGCGACATGCCCATTCTGCAACATCACTTACCTCGGAATAGAACCAACATGGTAAACAGTGCAAGGCAAGTTTATAATAATATCCCAAGTTTAAATGCGATGTCGGCAGGTGAGCACCACCACAATCACGAGTGCATCACGGCACACGGCATTCAACCCCTTTCATGTTTCAGAACCATTGCGTGTTCCCTCGCTCCATCCGACAGGTACGTATCCGCGACAACTCCGTCCTATTCACTGATATATGTTCAGATCGACTGCAGCGTATAAGGTGGATACGTACCCTCAGAAGATTCAAGAGGAACCGCGTACACAAGCCTGGAGTCCTCCCTGTCATCAAAGGTGCGTTTACTTTACCTCTTCGCCATGCTCTGAACTTAATCACTGCGCTACCGGAGGCCGCTCAAATTCTCTAAATGATCTTACCCTAACCTCGATCCTGAGTATCTCCCCACCACGGGATTACCGGAGTTCACGCTGGCGCGGCAAAGCCTGGCAAAGTTCATTCGTGACACCCGATTGACGCCGATTCGCGCGTGCGGACCATCTCCGGAAGTGATGCAAACCACCAAGAGTCTTGTTTCTAGCCCTTTTTACCATTGGGATAGTCCCCAAGCATGTTTAGTTGAATAATAAATCCCACGTGGGGTGAGTTGACGTAGGAGTGGTTTCGGCGATAGTTACTCAGGCATTCCTACAGCTAACCAGCAGGCCATTTTGAAGAATATCGGCATCAAATTACTGAGGTCATCATTTGACTGCGCATACCAGGGCCTTGCAAGTGGCGACCTCGACCACGACGCGTGGGCAGTTAGGTACATCGTGGAGAAGGATATGCTTGTGTGTCAGGTCAGTGTGACGTTGAACCCAAAGCACAGCGAATTGAGGAACGTTGGACCGGAGCTTCGCCAAGAATACGGATGTATTGCACATCATCCCCCTACGAAGGACGCTGGAGACCATTTCACGGCGGAGTAAACAAGTAACTCACCCTCCTATTGTACGTCTGGCGAATCAATATGAACTAAGAGGTATTACTTACTGTGCTATTTGATGAGTGAAGTGGTGACATCGGGACCGTGTCGGAGTATATATTATCAACGAGATTGGCGTGTTCAAATGAGTTTGTGCTTTTTGGTCTGCGTATGCCAGGCAGTTGTACTCATATTATCAGCGAGATTAGCACGTTTGAGTTTGTACGTATGATGCTGGAGCATGCCGTTGACGCGTGGACGGGGCGAAGCGGATGCTGGGAATGAGGAACGGACTAACGATATAGCTATACGGGAATCAAGTAGTCTACTTGAGGGATTTAGATGGCTACAGTTAAGATACTGAGAGTAAGTAGATTATTATATATATAAAAATTGAATTTAAATTATACGTGGATCATGGTTATGAGCGCGGGATTCGGAGAGCGTGGGGAAGGAAGGGGATCGAATACCGGGGAACACAACTTGTGACGTCAATGTGCCTTATAGCCGATGACATCACAACGAATTTACAGTGCTGTTCCAATTCTGGACTTGTCCAAAACCTGATCCCATTTTCCGCGGTGTCAATTATTCTCTGCAATCTTGTACTCCTCAGTCTCCCGTTACCGGTTCCTTCTTGTTCTTTTTGGTTTCGTTTCCTTATTGCCCTTTCTTGTCTACCTTCACATTTTTTCTGGTTCTTCGCGTCTTGTCCCGGCACCCGCTGACAAGCTTGTCTAGCGCCTCATCCCGGCCGGGCCACTGGTTGCATATTTGAAATTTTCACCGTGAATATTGCTATTCACCACGGTGTAAAGTCTCATTTGCAGTTCTTCAGTAATGCGTTTGTATTGCTCTGTAATGAACTTGTGCTAAACTAACCAGATTGACTTGCTGCATTGTGGCCTTGCGTCATTTCTTAATTCGCTCTTTTGCTGGGCAGCCCGTTGTCCTCGTGTCCCCCTCACTTCATTCCCCGCGGTCCTTCCTCAAGGGGTCTTATAGAAAGGCCTCTTCCCAAAGTCCGTCCCCCCATCTTTTTCTATTTTCTTAACTGTACCTGATGCCAGCATGGGTAATGTAGTGTCTCTTGTCGATATTCAACACAGCAACCCTGCCTCAGAGGAAGTTGCCTCGGAAGAATCCGTCTCGGAGGCTCATCGACGTCCATCGGCTCCTGCAAGGACAACCACTTCTCCTTCGCATATACTTCTGACTTTTCTACAGGTGCTGGGCGCCTTCGTACTACCGCCTGTTATTTCGCCTTCTCCGGGTGAGAATCCTTTTGATTCGCCTCCGTCGTCGCCCGCGCTTTCCTTCCATACCGCTCCTTCCACACCTGTTACTTCGCCGCAAGGCGAAGATCCACCACCAGATCCACCACCAGTCCCTACCTTTGATAATTCCAGACCGCCATCACCACCGCTCACCGATCATCACCCAATAGCATCTGTTGAAATCGAAACGATACCATCACCCGAGGCGCTTTCCTCGCCTGACTTTGCACTAGACTTCACCCTCGATGACGAGGGTTTAAGTACCCTTGAGAAGATATACCTTTTTTCTCGTAGTAGATCAGCACATCACAGGTAGGCTTTGGGTAATAGTAGCACCTTAAAACCGCTGAGAACTAAGTATTGCGTACAGGGTATTTATTTCACATGCTCTACCCGCCTTCCTAGCGCAGGTATCGCCTATTGAGGCTGTCGAGTATGTCCTACCGCTACTCCCGAGCTTGTCTGTAGATGAAGGTATGTTCATCGTACATCGTCCGGGGTTACCCGGCTTTAATGATATTTCTAGACGAGGCAGTGAAGGAGGCTCTATCAGCGGAGCTTGTTTCCATCATGTGGTGGTTTCTAACGGTCGGTTTTATCTCATACACAACTTTGACCCTGTGTCATTGAACTCGTTCCATGTGCAGCATTGCCGCTTGGTTGAAGAGCCGAGTGACCTGTCCAATGCTGATTTTGCTCCTCAGCATCAGTCTGACGATCAAATAACATTAATTTCAGTCCAGGCATTCACTCCTATTTTAGCAACCCTCCTGCTGAGCTCCAACGGGGTTGTCAGTGGCTCTGCGAGATTTGCCGTCGTTGAATTACTGGCCAGAATACATAGAGCTGATGATCTTGGAGACCAGCAAGTTGATGATCCATCTTATGGATTATTCGAGAGGCACGAAAGGAGCCTATTCGAAGAAGAGGTTATACAGCAACTTGTGATAGGAATGGGACGCCTTGAATCAGGTGAAGATGAAAATGATGCGGATGTGTGGTATACTCCCGCGATAGAGCATCCTCAACCCGATCATCCTTTATCAAGGAACGGTTCTGTCAATCCGTATTTTCCGAGCACTCAAACACCGTCGCCTTCAGCGATAAGCATATCTGCGACGGCCTTAATCCCACCGTTCGTCCCTAATCTCCCTAGTCCACCAGTTGGTGTACCCCCGCCACATCATGAAGTCGAACTTATTGTGGTGGACCCATCACCCCTGGCTATCTTATCTCTTCAGCTAGAGGGTCAACACAGCCCAATCCAGCCGAATGCTGAGGGATCGGGGGAGCGCGAAATTATATCTGGCGCTACGACCTACGCTGAATCTGGACGTTCGGACTTCGAGATGGACGGCCAGGAAGAGGAACAAGAAATGGATCCCAGCGAACAAGCCGCTGTTGGACGACTATCAAGCATGAGTCTGATTGCTGCCGTAGTTGCTGGGGGTACGTATGATGTCGCTTTGTCATGATAAATTTGTCAACAATTCTTTCCCTGCAGGCACACCTAGAGTCGAAACTCAACGTACTTTCGTAAGAGAAGTCGAACGAGTCGGCAGAGATCCTATCCACTGGGTCAGAAGAGAGGCGTCATTTGCGTTGGGTGCTCTTGCAAAGGTTGTTCCCGATGAGCTTATTATTGGCTCGCTCGTGAGTACACCGTACCCAAAATGCACCAAGTCCTTACCACTGGTCCCCGTAGCTTCCATTGTTTGAATCTCTACGTACCGATCCCGCATGGCACGTGAGGCACTCCTGTCTTTTCGCTCTGCCAGCACTTTTGTCACGTTTGCCGTCAGGCTTACGGCGATCAGTCGCTGTCTCAACCATTCTTCCTCTGTCGCGGGACGAATCTGCTCCGGTTCGCTCTGGGGTCCTGGAGGCTCTCGGAGAAGTTGTCTACACCTTCCATAGCGATGAATGTGGACCGCCCGATGATCTTCTGAGTTTGTTTCTTGGCAAGCACAGGAACTGTCCACCGCGAGAACGTTATCCATATCCTACTCTCCAATCACCGTTTCAGCAACTGTCAGGTGCGTATCAGTGATTCATTAACTGCATGTGATCATTAATGAAAACTTTACTTTTTTGTGCAGCAAATGTCGCGATGCAGCTATTCGACGACGACCCGGCTCGTCCGCTTGCATGTGCTTTCAACTTTCCCGCAGTAGCATATACCCTTGGCCGAGCACGATGGGGAGAGCTACGGGGACTATACCTCACACTCGCACAGGACCGCTCGTCTAAAGTCCGGCGGACATTAGCTGCAAGTCTGGGCGATCTAGCAAAGATCGTCGGACCAGAAAATGCCCAACGAGATATGATAAGCCTGTGGTGGGATGTAATGCGATCTGATGACGACAACGAGATTAAATTCAAAGCAATTGAGGCTGTCCCTCTCTTTGTAGAGGCTTTAGGCGAGGGACAAGCGAGGGAAGAGGTGATCACAGGTCTGCTCGACGTATGGGAGGAAGGCTGGTTGCGCAATTGGAGAGCACGTGAAGGCGTTATCAAGATCATCCCTGACCTCACTGGCGGACCTGAACGACCTAACAGCATACGCGCACTTTTACGAAAAGGTCTTGAGGACGATTTTGGTGCAGTGAGAGAGACTGCAATATCTGTGGTGCGTGGAGGCTTGGCAAACAGTAGTTCTGATTAACAAGGGCTTCGTCTTGTTCTGAAGATCTGTCGAATAGCCCTCCAAGACGTCTGGAGACCTACTCTCAATATCGTTCACCAGGATATGCTTTCGCTAGCTAACTCTCCGATTTTTCGAAGACGGATGACGTAGGTGTATCATCTACTTCATTCAGCCTTTTACATTGTTCTGTAGGTTTGTCGCATGTCAGCAGGCTCTAGCATCCTCAGTAGGCGGGTTATCGATCTTAGTGGATGACGCAAGATGGCGCACTCTCGAACGGTTAAGCAACGATAGCATAGTGGGCGTTCGCATTGGCGTCGCTCGTTTAGCTGGGTCGATATTTGGTCAGTTTCTAATTTTATACCCTGCCCTGCATTGCTTACTCTGCACTAGAAAACGCTTTGCACGCTACATCCGCGGTGCCCCATCGAATTTTTGACATGATAGATCATTTGCAGCAGGACTCCTCTGCAGAGGTTCGGTCTTATATTCCTAGTGTGGCGAACCTTCAGCAGGGCCAAAGAGTATTTCCCTCCCACTCCGATAGTTTCTTGACATTTTCCCGCCCACCCCCCTTGTTGTGCCCGTAGAAGAAATATCAAGAAGTCACCAGCCGTATCTTAATGGCCTCCTGGATCTGGTCGCAAGCACAGGCTCTTAACATCATTTCCTCGAATTCACCATCGGTGTATAATAACATTATTCCTGGACTCTCATCTGTCTCCCTTCATTTACCTTGTCATTACTCTCAATCACACTTGTATTCTAAACTGCATCTGTCGTAACAGTCATATCAAATGCATTTTCATAGATCCTTGTGAATGTTCGCAGTTTGAACGTTAACGCGTTAACAGTGGTGCCGCGGACTTTGTAAGCCCAGCGGGCAGTGCACAAGCAAGTTGGGACCTAACTTTAAGTAAATGTGAGACGGCCATTCTTGCACAGAGCTGGGTCTCCGTGGCTAACTTCTTACCTTGTTTTATCTTCCGCCGTGCGGTTTTTATCTCCCAGGCTCTTTAATCCGCATATGTACTCCTAAAGTTCTATCCACATCGAAAATGAAGTCCGCTCTGCTTTTCGCTCGTTATGTTTTGTTCGGTAAGGTTTGCTTTCTCACCTGTGAACACTTTGTCACATACGCTTCGCCCGACAGGTCTTTTCGTCGTCTGTAATGCCATTATATGCAGTGTTACTGTCTGGAATCGCAGCCTCGTGCAGGCTGACGGAGGTCAGACTTGTACGTAGTCTTTCGTATGAGTCGTGCCATCACTCCAATCTCCATCAACAGTGCAAGTCGACCTCTATCTCATAGTCCTGGGCGCCTTTTGCCTTGTTTTCATATTGCCAATGCGAGTGTCTTATGTCTTTCTCGTTCCCAGATACTGACATCTTCTGTAGTATCTTCGCAGACTTACTCTGTGATGATCCGCTCTCAGCGCGAGTGTGGTTCGAGTGTGCATGGGTAGCACTCGTCTGGCTCATGCAATTGGGTGCGTCTGTTGATCCACATCAGAATAAGATGTCTCATTTTTATCTTAGCTGGCGCGGCCGCCGTGACTGCAATCGCGCCACATGCGCAATGCACCGCCCAAGGTTGAATTCATCATCATTTTTCCGGGCAATGTGCTGATTGCGTGTGTTTAGCCACTCTAGTGAACAATGATGCCTGCTCGTCGACCCGTGTTCTTCTAGCTTTTACTTGGACTTGTACTATCATATGTATGCGTCCCAGACTACTTCATCTAACCCTGCTCATTAGCTCCGCTCGTTGTCAGTGCTTCTTTATCTGTTCCTTCTAGTCGTAACAGCGGTTACGACACAACGGATCGATCCCGACGTATGGCATCACAATGTTCGTTATCTCCGCATCGAATCTACTCGGCAATGCCTGTCTAGTGCCCAGAACTCGCCAACAACTCCTCGTTTCATACAAGCACGTGGAACATCGGAACCGCATCAACCTCGACCGCTTCGCCCAGTTCCTCGGCCTGCGGTCTACGAACATCGTGCTGGACTTGATTCTGAGTACGAGATTGAACATTATCGTCCATATGCTCCAGAACAGACGGCTGTGGATTCAGCCTCATCCTTGCGTGAAGCTATACATACTCCCTCTATATCATATCCTTCCCCTGCTCTCGTCTATTCGCAAACAATTCGCGGTTTGATTCCTCCGCAGATAGGTCCTCAAGCGACGCCTTCTCGACTTGATACGTCCATCGTCTATGCCACCCCGGCCCAATCATCAATACCGGCGCAGCAGGCGCGAGCATCACCCCCATCTCCATCACCCCCATCTTCATCACCGTTTGACTGGCCGCGAGCAAATATTATGGAACGACCAGTTGGGATAAAAAGGAAACCACCACCCAGTGCTTTCGAATTTCCGAGACGAAGCGCTCAAGAGCCGTCGGAGCTCCCTTCTAATCATCCCACTGATTGGTTATCACATCCCCGCACTCGACGGCCTTCAGGTCCTCGCATGCGCACATCATCAGGTGACGAGACACGGCACCCTATTCCTCATTTGGTTCATTCTATTGATAAGAAGGCAGCGTGAAGTTAGGAAGCAGAGTATATCTATACGATACCAGATCACGATGAGATCGATAGAACACTACTTAGTACTTCTCAATCTGAGTTTTGTCAGCTGTCTGAAGGCCTGCCAAGAGTGGAAACTAAATTCAGTGCACATCTCTTTCGGCGCCGTTTGCTATTATTACAACACAAGCCAGTAAATCATGGAGAATCCTCACGCTGAACGACAGGCAATTTTGCTTGAGCGTATTCTCAAGAACGCTGTGAGTCTGTCTTGTAATACATGATGATTCGGCTAAGCTCACAAATCGCCACTAACAGTCAGCGTGCACGGAAATGATCCTCGAGCTGAACCACTGCGTGGAGGTGTGTATTATCGCGATTCAAATATCCAGTACCATTAAGAAGCAAATCGGCATCTACAGGAAATACTTCGTGCCAATGCCTCTGTGAAGATTGCAGCAGATTTGGCGACCAAATACCGCAAAAATGTCCAGTATAATCTAGCAGCGACAAAACACGAGGCTCCATAATCATCCAAGATCCATTTCATCGAGGTTCGTCTAGACATTGCTCGGTTAGAAAGCATTTCCGATGTCCATAAAATAGTGACCATGAGTTGATGGTATCATGTGGGGTGTTCGCGTCGTTCATAGTTTACACCCGCAATGTTCACGAGACTCTCAACGTCTTCACTCAACCGCGCAACTATACGGAGTCGCTGATAAGAGAATAGGCTCGGGACCACAGCCATTCCTAAAATCTTCTTGCGCTGTCCAAGTCGGTGTTACTGTAGCTTCCTTATGTGGACAATGTACTTGATTCTTCTTATTGTTGCATGCACTCTTATTGTTCTATAGCTCTCGCCTTCTCTCGTCTGCCACGTTAACAATGCTCGATATTTAACGGGTTCCTCGACCGTGGGCCGATCTCCTTTGTCTCTGGTGGACCGAATAGTGCTCATAGAGTGGTGTATTAACTCATACGCATTAATTCCCGCTCGGCTTCGTTCTTTACCTTCCACAAGTCCACGACTTTCCCTACCATCACTCTCTCTTTCACGACCAACAGCGCCATCCAAGCCCACGAAATGCAGAATTCCTTCCTGATCGTTCGAGCCATATTTTTCAGTAAGCACGCGATGCCAATGAATGTCCCGATACAGCCAGATACTAACATCGATGCAGCCCTTATCCTATATTTCAATTTACTTGCAACTATATTTGCAGGTTGGAATATTGCATCCTTCACGGCTTCTGGGATGTCAGGTGTGTTGGTCACTGTCCTGGTGACAGTCATCGACTAACATGTTGCAGTGCCTGGTGCAGCGGCATTCCTTGTTGTGAACTCTGCCTTGATATTCATTCTTACAACCCTGTAAGTGTCGTGTTGTTGGCCCTACATCACCCCCTGACGTCCTTCATTAGAGCATACTCGGCGGAGGCTATATGTGCCAAAGCCAGGCCTGCCCATGTCAGATTTGAGTGTGGCTGGACTGTGCTGATGGGAATACTTCAGCTAGGTAAGCTATCGCTATCTGTAACATCTATGACTCTGAACATACCATCATTCGGATTTGAAGCTGCCAGCATTTATGTCACAACCGCTAGTCCCCCAGCGTTATGCCAATCACAATGTAAGTGTGGTTTATCAGTGGCTTGTTGCGTAGCTGACTTCCTCTTTTCCTTCAGCTACGTGGACTATCTGCGCTTCTGCAGCATTGCTTATGCCGATCAGCTGGCTGGCTACGTTCACCAGTATGTCCTGATCGCATGTTGCTCATAGCTGGCACTAATCAATCAACAACAGTGCTTGTTTATTGTGTTACGCTATGCGTAATGGCAGCAACTCATGTCTATTTCATGCCTACCCTTTGGAATATGCCTGTGACGATGGTTCCTTGGTTCAATCTCACCGAATCGATGCCTGTCTCTTTTCCCTCACGCCCATTGTCAGAAGTCTCATCGTCTGCCTCTTCTCAAAGAGACAGTTCTTGCAATATCTCAAAATACATTGCAGACACTTGGGAAAAGCTCTCTAGAGCCGAAGGACGCGTCGTGGAGCCCTCAAAGCCCATTCTGTTTTCCCGCGGTTGTCCGTCCATCAATTCCACTCGACCTGCGTGGGCGAAGCAGCTTGAACTTCAGACACGACGTGGTGTGGACCAACCATTTTTGACACAACATCCATTGCCATCCAGTTACTCCCCCAAAGTACCCTTACCACCTCCAAAAGCCCGTGCTAGAGAGGTGTCAGGTCCAAAAGACTTCAACTACGCAGAGACTCGCACAGAGTTGCAGCTGGATAAGAATACGTTCGGCTCACCCTTAACGCCACAACAGCCAACCATCTTCCCAAACAGGATTGCAAATCCTGATTTGCCCATCCCGCGCCCGCGATTGTCTGAATGGATACCCGCCGACGCGGCCACCGCTATTGATCTTTATGCTGAAAACCCATGACTCCATAGAGCTGGTTCTTGAATGACATTCTTGGACTTTTATCCTGTTGCTCAGCTTTCTTGCCTCACCAACACATCACATCTGTAGCATATATACTTGGTTTTCATTTACACTGGGGTATCACCACAATTGTATTGCATTATATATCCATCATCGTAATACGGATGTAGCATTCCGAAACCAGAATCCTTAGCACGTGCTTTCAGAGGGTTAGATGAGAAGAAAGAATTGAAGTCGCACATTCAAGATATCCGCCCGGCTCAGAACTCGGACCCCTCGGATCCAGCCTGTCTCTAACCAGGCCACCCGGCCACGCAGCTTGCGGTTCTCATCACGGGCCTTTGCAAGTGCAGCCGTGGTACCTTCAAGCTGCCTCCTGGTCTCTTCGAGTTCTTTTGCTGTTTCTTCTTGTAGTTCCGCCGCTCCCACGGCAATTCCTGTTGGAGAGCCCATGAGACGAGACGAGAAAACTGGCTCTAGCTTAAAATTACCTCCAACAAGCTTCACCAGTCGCCAAAGACGAAGAATAATAAGTAGTCCAGCCAATTCACGTTCGCGTCCCTGGAGGACAAATTCGAGTATGAAAGTCGTGACGATGATTGCGGCATCAAACAGATGTAAAGCCGCGTGTGTAATACCTGAGAATGGGATGTAGAAGCGGATTCCAAAAGCCCAGAGGGTAATTGGTATTTCGATAAGAAAGAGTGTGGTAATGGCAAGTGATACATTTGCCAGAGCTTCGAGCCATGCCGGGTTCTCATCTGACGGGGCGCATTCATCGGATAAAACGGTGTATCCGAGGTCAACAAGGACACATGTAGCATCAATAACAATCTAGAGTAGCTTAGCACGTCAAAAGGGAATGATAATATGTAAAACCGGCTGCTCACCAAGGCAATGACGAATGTGTGAAAGCGCTGGGACTCCACAATACGCGAGACGTTCTCGCGCCAGACACTTATTGTCCCTTTAGGCCGCTCGGGGGACGCACCGACCTCATCGTAGGGATATGGGAGGAGAGGTTGTTGTTCTCCTGAACTCGACATGATGGTTGCAACTTGGCAATTTCTGTCAATATTTGTGCCTCCAGTGTACATTTCTACTTTACCCATTACGGAAGTGATGCGCACCGCTTACTAGTACGTAAATCGATATCTATGTCAAGTACAAGCTGCCCCTCGTGATTTACATACTTCAACTGTCACGGTAAGTTTGGGAACACGAGGACTACGCCAGGCAGGTACTAGTCACCTTTCTTGTTAAAAAAATACGTTTCATTCCCAGAATATCTGTTAGTGCTGTTACGAGGCAGTGTGACACGCCACGATCGTCAGCGCTGCCAGTACAGGCTGCGCACCGCCTAGTACATACGCGACTAAATTTACCATGCCCCTTCCCAGCTGCGCTACTAAACATGTGGCCGTGAAATGACAAACCAAGGCTGGTCCCATCCCCGTCTGGTACTGACTGCGGCTAATTTGTTTCATCGTGGCAGCCCCATTTTGTATTTCTGTTCTTCTTTCTTACTTTACATTCAAGTTGTTCATCCTTTGACTTCTGTGGCTACGTCAGGAGTCCAGGACCCCCTTTTAATGGCTCCAAGCACCCTGCCGAACAGATTTCGGAAATTTCGTCTCATTGTTCTCGGTGAGTTTCATAGGTATGATCATACATTTGACTGCGCCTGACTTTTCTCGAAGCTCTTGCCTCGATTATTTCCCTAGCATGGTCCATCATCATTGCCGTTTATATGGCCAACAACTGGTCAAGCTACAATTCCGGCCAGCGTCCGTAGTATCTTTACACAACGCGATTACCTGCACTGACACTGTCATTGCAGGCGGATTACTCTTCGGTCTCATTATTGTTGACTTCGTTGGTTCGATTTTGTTGTATCTCATGTAAGCATTAGCATTTCACTTCTCTCTGCAGTGTGCTTACGGCGCCCAGGATTGTTGTACAATATCGATTTTGGCCTGATGCTGTGCGAACAGCAGTACTCCTGGGTCTTCACGTCGGTCTGTGTTGACTGCTGCGCATGCGGTAATAGAACTTACGTGTCCTTCTCCAGCCGGTGCCGTGGTTTTCATGATGCTCAGCCCCAATTTTCCCTGCCCCGCTTTCGGTTAGTTTACTTGACCGTGTGTATGATTCGCAGGCTGAATGAACTTAGGCTCAACTGAAAATTGTCACATCATGACAATAACCGTCATCACAGGATCTTGGGTTATTTCCGCACTAAGTAGGTGCTCGTTCGCTCCATCCTTTTGCGCATGATGATGACCGTAATGATAGTGCTTATGTATGCCATCTGCCTCCCTGTTGTGGCCTTCATCCCTCGCACACCCACCCCAACTCAAGCTGATGATTTGGAGAATCGGCCTGATATTGCGGAGGTCAAGGACGATATGCGCAAATCTCACGCGTCGTCCGCGTCTCACGCAGGGCTCTTGAAAAACCAGGAGGGGATGTCTCCTGATGTCTCTGCATCCGAGCTCCCAGGTCCCCTCGAAAAGCCCGCCGCTCGCAATGTCCGTAGCAATACATCGTCATTTTCTTCGTTGCAAATTTCACAACAAGCAATGGGTGATGGTCGCATCAAATTGGAGACGCCGATCACTACTTCAGTCTACTCTGACGCATCTCCCCGGTTTAGTGTTGCGAAAACAATTCTTGCATCAGACAACGCTGATAGAAGCCTGAACTCATCTGGCTCATCATCTCCGGCACAATACCCACGCCGCTCGCATTCGATTCAGTCACCCCCTTTGCCTGACCGCTTCATCGGCGAGTCTTTAGATGCCAATCGTGATTCAGTGGCCAGCAGCTTCTATGGGTCGACTTATGAATTCCCCATGGTTTCCGAACCCCTTGCTGAGGCACCTCATCGAACCCCGAGTATGATCACCGGAAGTTCAGCGTCAGTGTATTCCCAAAGCACAATACCTGCTCGTGCCAAATCTACATCACCTAATCGGCTGGCATACGCGTCGGCCGCCAACGCAAGTCAGACTCAGCAGAGCAGTCTGCTTACATCATCGTCGATGCGACACTCCCCCGGTCATCTATCTGTACATTCGATGATGACCACCGTCCACGATCATGGGGAGCATCAATTTGCAGGAGCTGATTACAACACTTCGAGCAATGGCTTTTTGTCCCCCCCGCTGACTGCCCTTCCTACTCCACGATTCTCCGCAGGGTCAAGTCAACCCACATTCGAACTTCACCTTTCCGATGTCCCCAAGAGAGATTCTAAAGAAAAGTTAACAGATGTTCCTCGGGATGTAGTGCGAGATCCTGTTCAGCCTTCTCTCCTAGCGCGACCCAGCTTGCAACACGTTCGCACTGATTCTACGAATTCTATTGTCGATGTGGACGAGTGGAGGAGGCTTGTGCTTAGTGCTGCTGGACGGTAGCCATGATGATCTTGGACATTCACTTACAGTAATCTACAAGAGGATTGGCATTTTAGGGTCTGTCTATATGACCTGCCCAGCAAGTTTTTAGCGCTGTCTTGTGATCCATTACTGTATTGGTTTCCTTATGAGGATGACGTCAGACGCTTCCTTATAATTATGGACTCTCTTCGAGCTCGTACATAATTACCCTTTAGCACACGAACAATTTGTAGTGTTATTCATGTCGTTCTCGCTTGTCCGGCCATTGATTGGGTTCAGGCCAATCATTGCACGTTCGACCTGTTTGGACACTATCCAGTTCTTTCGCCATCGCTCACTCTCTGTCGTTTGTCGACAACGTTTACTTCCCGCACGCGCGCATGTGCCTCTCTTGAATCGACTGGGCGTTGCACGCAGAGGGCAGATCCTCCTGCCCAGCTTGTTGACAGCTACAGGGATTGCAGGGATCGCCCTTGGCATAGCAACATACACCGCGTCAACCATCCACTGTGACAGTAAAGGTACGTATGGATTGTTGTAGCTTAACCCAGCTAATCTTGAGACATCCAAGCTTCCGCACCTACTCCGCCCCCTCAGGCCCCACCTCCAGAGTCCGCGGTCAATCTGTACGAATTGTCATTTGGTACAGTGGCTGGCATCTGCGCTGGTGTGTTCATCAAAAAAGGTGCAAAGATGATCGCGTTCTTTTTGGGTGGTGTATTCGTCCTCCTTCAAGTACGTAACATGATTTTTTGGTCAACGACGTTTTTTCATCGATTCAACAGTACCTTGGTTCGATGTCACTCGTCCGTGTTGATTGGGGTCGCATGGCTTTTCGATTCGAGAACTTGTTGTATACGATGGACGAGTCAGGTAACAAGAAGCCACCAACTATTTCGTCACTGTGGACATGGGTGGTGGACTTTTTGACCGCAGACTTTCAGCCAAGGGCGGCTTTCATTGCTGGACTTGCGTTGGGGTTGCGTGTTGGTTGAAGCAAGGTTATAAGTGTAGAGGGGGAAATCATCTAAATCAGGCAAGAGGAAAAATGGCTCGTAATTTGTCTGTCTGTAGTGTTTTCTACTATCTCCTCGCGCGGTCCACCAATCAACTAGCCTACCATGGGAGGACGCCGAGCAAAGTACAAACAAGGGCCTCCAGCTCCACTTCCCAATGCAGATGAAGCTCGACCTTCGACAAAAAAGCTCGGAAAACGGAAGGCAAATGTAGATCATGAGCCTGAACCATCTACCAACAGTCGTCCTACGAAAAAAGCTAAAGGAGATCTTCTATCAAAACCTCCGGCCCAAGAAAAGCAGGTGAAGGGTTCCCAGAAGAATGTAAAGATTATCTCCAAGGCCACTCCTACCGGGGGGGAAAGTAAACCGCTCTCGGAGGAAGGGGAAAGTGATGGATGGGAAGACGCTAGCGATGTGGAAGATCTCGATGGTTTCGCGAATGGTCTGGATGACTTAGATATCGATGAAGAGTGAGTTTCGCCCCCAATCATATGCCTAACTAAAGTCTTTTGTACCGTAGCGATGACCTTTTACGAGGGGTTCCGGAAGAACTGGATCTTGGCTCAGACGATGAGGACGAAGTCGAACTGTTCCCCAAAAAAAGCCGAAAATCTAAGCAGGCTGAACGTCCTACGAAGATTATTCCGACAGTCTCAGACGATAGCTCTGATGACGAGGGCGAGGACTCCGATGGGGAGGACGAGGACGGGCCAATTACTGCCAAGAACATGGAATCCCGCTCTCGTGCACTCGATGAGAAGGCTGCTCGGGAGGCGGAGCTTGATATCGAGGAGATGCAAAATGCTACCTTCGAGGGCAGTGACGAGGATATCGACATGGAAGGAGAAGGAGAAGACGCAGAAGCATTTCATTTACCTACGACCGAAGAGAGAGCGGAAGAGAAGAACCATGTTGCTGATGTCCATGTCGTTCAGCGAAGGATGCGAGAATGTGTCCGTGTCTTGGGCAATTTCAGTAAACTAGGCGCGAAGGGCCGGTACGTCAGGCAGCTGCTTTTAATTCGATCTGTATTTTGAATGACATATACAGGCTACGGTCAGAATATGTAGAGCAGCTGGTCTCCGACATTGCTAGTTATTACGGGTACAATGAGTTCCTTGCCGAGAAGCTATTCCAACTTTTTCCTGTTTCTGAGGTCTGTGCTCCATCTCTCTCTCTATACAGTCTCATGCTTATTCTGCATTACCCCTTCTACAGGCTATCGAGTTCTTCGAAGCGAATGAGGTATCAAGACCAGTGACTATTCGAACAAATACGCTCAAAACACGAAGACGAGACCTTGCGCAAGCCCTCATTAACCGTGGTGTCAATCTCGAGCCGATAGGCAAATGGACCAATGTTGGTCTCCAAATTTTCGAAAGCAGCGTACCGATAGGTGTATATGTATCCTTTTCTCCCGAGTTGCATGGAACTAATGTTCTGTGATAGGTGCGACACCCGAGTATCTCTCTGGTCACTATATGCTTCAGGCTGCGTCTTCTTTCCTTCCTGTCATCGCATTATCGCCTCAACCCAACGAGCGTGTGCTTGACATGGCCTCCGCCCCTGGAGGCAAGACGACGCACATCGCTGCACTCCTACACAACACGGGTATTGTTTTCGCTAATGATGCAAACAAAGCACGGACGAAGAGTCTGACGGCGAATGTACATCGTCTTGGGTGCAAAAACGTCGTTATCTGTTCATACGATGGTCGGGAGTTTCCCAAGGTAATGGGTGGGTTTGACAGAGTTCTTCTGGATGCGCCTTGTAGCGGCACTGGTGTTATTAGCAAGGACTCGAGTGTGAAGGTCAACAAGGTGAGGTTTCTACCTCTAGGTTAAAACTCTTCCCTTTACTGAACATTCTCATAGTCTGAACGTGATTTCCACCTCCTATCGCACCTCCAAAAGCAGCTTATCCTCTGCGCCATTGACAGTGTCTCTCCTGACTCCAAAACAGGAGGATATCTGGTCTACTCCACGTGTTCCGTCACCGTTGATGAAAACGAAGCTGTGGTCGATTATGCGCTGCGAAAGCGCCCGAATGTGAAACTTGTGGATACTGGTCTCAGCTTTGGCAGAGATGGTTTTACGAAGTATCGCGGAAAGACCTTCCACCCGAGCGTGAAGCTGACGCGGAGGTTTTACCCCCATGTGCACAACATGGATGGGTTCTACGTTGCAAAGTTCAAGGTGGAGAAGCGGGCTAAGATCAAAGCCGGTGCACAGGACGTCGAGTCAGCTAATGTGAAGGATGTAGACGAGCAGCAAGAAGATATCGGATTTGATTCAGAGGAGGACAGAACGTTTATCGAAGGTCTGTCCATTGATTTTATTCCTTTTTATTGCTTGTTCATGTATCTTTTCTCAGAGGGCAAACGTATACAGATGAAGGCCAAGGGTTTGCGCGTACCTCGCAGACGACAGTCAGATGTAGCGGGCAAAGTAGTGAAAGCAGCTGCATGATATATGACAACGTTCCGTGTTCTCGTTGCATATACCTCCGCCGATATTACATTTGATTTACATCCAAAAGATATACGCCCTTGGAGTCACTGCTACTATAGGACGGATGGTATATCACTCGAATCACCTTTTAGACGCATAATAAGACATTCAGAGTATCTCCGGTGCGGGGCGGAATGCCGTACAAGGAACCTAAAATGAATTTCGCAGCTGGTCTACCGCCTGTGCCGCTGTGTGGTCGTGCGCGGCTGCAGGAGCTGCCAGAGAGCAAGGTTGAAGGGAGGACGCAGGAGGTTGTTAGAAAGTCGCAGACGTAACGGGTGGTCACAAGAGGGCTGTCATGGGCGGTAGGTAGCTGCGGGCGGTTGTAAGATTGCTGCGTGGCCAGTGACCGCTGGGAAATGTACGGAGGGAATGATGGCCGCGAAGACGCGAACGGGTGAGGAAGGGTGTGACTCGAGACTAGTGTATAAATGGCGGGAAGTGCGTGTGGGTCTTATCAAAAGGATCATGGTTGGCAGTTGCCTACCTGGACCTTCGCCTACCTTCCACCTAGGCTGCCGGGCTCCACATAATAATTCATATCTCCCAGAGTCGCTCCAATAACAGGTTTCACAGCCCTTGTTATGTATAGTACTCGTACTCGATGGTACAGTAGACCTGCAAGGTCGTGAGTGTCATGTCTGCGGTCCACGCGATGAGATACCTGCCTCGGCGTCGAAGTTGTTACAAGCTACAACCGTGGCCGGGATTGGGGTTTGGCTTAATAGTCAATAGGATATCACAGATCAAGCGGGACGACTACACGCATGCATGATGCATCGATGAGACTTGCAAGACATAATTGATGTCCCTCGATATATATAGCATACTAATTACTATACAAGGGTGAGAAACTCTATCCATAAACTGTACAGTCACATAAAAAATTCATGCATGAATTTGATATTGATGATGCAACGATGAACCCTCTCACCACCAACCATATCAGGGGATTCCCTGCTCGGTTCATGACAAGGGCAGTGCACAGTGTGGTGTCTTGTCTGCTGTATACCACATAGTGCAGGTTACATGTTTTGCTATGCAACTAAATCATGCCATGGCTATCTCATACAGTTGCATAACAAACACGTAACCTGCATTATGTGGTATACAGCAGACAAGACACCACGCTGTGCACTGCCCCTGTCATGAACGTGGCATGATCGAGTTGAAACACGTAACATGCATTATGTAGTATACAGCAGACAAGACACCACACTATGCACTGCCCTTGTCATGAACGTGGCATGATTGAGTTGAAACACGTAACGTGCATTATGTGGTATGCAGCAGACAAGACACCACGCTATGCACTGCCCATGTCATGAGCGTGGCATGATCAAGTTGAAACACGTAATGTGCATTATGTGGTATACAGCAGATAAGACACCACGCTATGCACTGCCCTTGTCATGAACATACTCATGCCTTAGAAGAATTCTGATTTTGAGCAGGGATTCAAGTACTGTGCTATTTCATTCAATTTGACACCCCCTGTGACATGTGACAACCATAAATTTTGGACACCCACAGAAGTGGAATGCTGCAAATATCAGACCACATGAGCCACATTGAGATTGATTCTAGTGACATGATAGGCAGAAAACACACTTTTTTTTTTTTTTTGGGGGGGGGGGGGTTTCGCAAAAGGGCAGCCTTGTAAACAAAAATTGAATCTGACATTGTAAAGTCAATCCAACATGACGGCCTGTGACCTGTGACAGACGCCCAAATTCATGGGTTACTGTGACGCGTGACTGTTGCGTAATTGTGCCAAGCATTGCATCACAAATCTTCACAATTTGATTCTACCAGTTCTGTTTTCCGAAACTTACCAATACCACGTACCATCAAATAAACTGACATAGCTCTGGAACAATACGTCGAAGTTCAGAATTCAATGTATTCATACTATCTACAACATTGGGGGCGCTTTCTCCAATGGCCAAATTGTTGGTTTGTACTTGGATGCTGCGACACGGCTTCGCAACCCCTCGGATACGTCCTCTAGGATGTGCCACATACGGTCTACGAGACAGGTGCCGTCTCAATATGATATTACTTATTCATGGGGATCGTCTCCATCAGAACCTACAGGAAAAAAAATTGATTGCAGACGCCTTGTATCAGCTGTTATCTGTAGCCTAATTGGCACGATCACCTCGCTACATTCGCTACATCAACATTCTACTATTGCCTTCCTCTGTAATGTCCCGACCCAGCCCCCACTTCGGTCACCGTGCTGTGCATGCACCACAGTAATGATATATATGCAGGCACCTGTCAACGTGCTGGAAGACAGTAAATAGGCTACGATCGCCCCTCCACTTAACAGCACAACACTTTCTGCTGAGCGATGTCTATGGAACCCTCTGCCAGCTCATCTCTGCCTGATTGTTTTTTAGAGGCGCCTGCTTATAACTTATTGGCGGTCTCTGCCCACCAACGTGCAGGTTCGCAATATAATTTTGTTTGATTACCGAGGACACCCTTTCTAATAGTGGTGCTTTCATCTAGAGTCTATAAACACTGTGGGACTGAATATCTCTCGACCCCAAGCCCCCCGTCCCATTCTCGCGATGCAGGGCAACTTTCTTCAAGATTTCCGCCACATCTTTGATGATCCATCACCCCCCCTTCCTCTGCGTACCTGCAATAACAGTCGTTTTGAGCCATACTACATTGGCCGCCCCAATGAGCACCATGGCACCTTTCTTTGTCGGTGGGATAACGAAGGAACACTTTGCGGTCACGAGGTTCGGGCTACATCCAGGGATGTTTTCGCCCATCTGCGCGAAAACCATCACATTGGCAAGGAACCCCGCTGCCTTTGGGCTACGCCACACGGCCGCTGCGGGAAGCAGCTGAGGATCCCGAGTTTTGGGCGTCATGTCATGACCCACGTCGGCATAAGAATCAAGTGTTCCGTCTGCGGCGCCACAATGGCCCGTGATGACATCGCCGCCAGGCATCGTCAGCAGCACCCCAATTGCTCTCAAGCAGATTTTGAAACCATCCCAGGTTGCAATACTCAGGTGCCTTTTTGACAATGGCCACCTCCTTTGCGACGTGGTAGATTGCTCGTCGCATGCTTACCAGTGATAGGTGAGTATTCGGCCGTTCCGAAAGCCCCATCACCTCAACTGTAGCCACTCTTTCATTTTCTAGTCAAGTCCCTCTCAGCTGTCCGCGCTACGTGCAAATCTATCACTTTTGCTCGTGGCTCAGTAGAATCTTGACATTGACGAGCCCCGCCTCTCGCCTCCGGATCCGCCTTTCCAATGGGCTTCTGAACTGGGACCCTCCCCTCGCATGCACCGGTTGCCTGCTCGGTCAAGTCGTCACGGACATTGGCTTCACTCATACATGAGTCATTTGTACCTCAGCGTTATAGTCGATACACGGCTGAGGTATAGACTCCTTCATTCGCGCAGTCTCATTCTCAGGATATTTGAGTCTCCAGCACGTTTGTACAGTTCTTGGTCTATATTCGACAGCAACTAGTCTATTACAGTGTACACAGCGGATTCGGTTTACTTTTGCACAATTTACTATTTAATAGAACCCCTTAGTTTGTAAACGGATTAGCCGTGCTCCTCGAATTCCCCTAAATCCAATAAGCGTAAACTTCATAAATAGTTGTATCATTGACCACGATCTTGTATGTGTTTAAGGATAGGAATACGTCAAGGATGTACGATCCGACCCATCGCCTCTCCAGAACAATCGGATGACGAGATGATGGGTGCTAAGATATCCAATGGTCAGGAACACGACCCGGCACTCGAACAGTTGCGTGGATGGGCAGCCACGGGCAACATGGGGAAGTTTTGGTCGTATCGCCGCCCAAGGAGAAAACAAAATTATATGGGGACCGTGAGATCAATGGATAGCAGTCAGGGTGAAACGCGAACGTGATTACGGTGTGAATGCCGTGGCCAGTGGGGAGTTTATGTGGAAGTCAGGGTGTGGTGAACCTGACGGCGTTAGTACTTTAGATAATTGTTAAGCGGGTAAGTAGTATCGCATTTCTTTTGAGATGTAGGAATATTGTGGGAAGTGGTGCTAAGGAGCGTAGTGGAGGAATTAGCGATAGCTTCAGCTTTGTTTGATGAGTGTTGCATGCATGAGCTATGCAAAAGTCACAAAACAATGCTCAAGTTGAGAAACATTGTGGTCGCTGTTGGGGTTTTCCAGGGTGCAGTGGAGCAATGTTCGGCGGATGGTATGAATTCCGATGATTCCGTGCCCTACGGTGACGGAGGATGATCGACGATCAGGCCTGCCCAGAGTATCAGAATCAGAGGGTCTTGCGATCGCTACCAATGCACGTTCCCCACCTTTTCTGATACATCGTTGACGCGAAACACCTAGAGCGTAATTTCGGAGCCATAACGCCGCCGGGTCCTAAGGCGTAAGGCCTAGACTTGAGTCCGCCACGCATGCTAAGCCACCACCATTCGGAGATTGATAACCTAATCAGTGTTCCGCACCATGCCATGTGCTCACCACACAAGTCAGTCGCGGCCAACAATGAGAAACACGCGAAGTCAAACAGAATCACGGACGACGACGTAGCTTGATCTACGTCGTTATGGTCCGCGATCCAGAACGAAAAGTGGTAACGTCGTGGCCAACGGCAGAAAACACGACACACTGGTTGGACAGAAACACGTTTTCTGTTGTGAACGACGAGGGCCGTAGAAAGAAAGATAACACGTGTCTGCGACCGTCGAGTCATTAGCATAGATGACTAAAAATATAGTCACTATCATTCGTGCGTATGTAAACGATGCTCACAAGGTTGTGGTCTGAGTTGTATTTTCCATGAATTAGTGAGAGATGAACGGGGGCGTAAAGTTGACGGAAGGACGATGATGAACAAAACGTATACCACGCCACTGGCAACGGAGCAAAGAGGAAACATATCAGCAGGGTCAACGTCCATAGTGACATCATGAATACTGCCGAATGGGCTCCGCAGCATATGAAGCAAAGCTTAGCTCTATTCAATGAATTGGCAACCCTGTGCCTTGTGGATTGCTTGCTTTCCACCTGTGCGTGCCGTCATCCAATAGTCATGAATGGCATAGCAACTTCGAGATAGCGAGCGAATCGCGATCCAAGCAACATGGAACAGGCAGCAAGACAGATCATCGAAGTACAGACCCCAGACGTGAGGACAACTGCTTTAAACCTCCACGAGATTGCAGTTGACCAGAGGTAGTTCCTAGATGTACCCACGACCAAGTCTGTTAACTTTGGATGAACGCTCATCACATCAGAGGTACGAACGAGGACATCTACGTCGGGTTTCGAAATGAAATCACAAGTAGTCTCCGTGGTGTTTGGGCGCAGATCTACGATGATCCAGAAAGTCCAGGAGGCCCATCTGATGAGCACAACGGCTGTGAGGGCAGTGATAATGATCTGTGATAATTGACGTGCGCAGTCCTTCCGGGATAGGAGGTAAAAATACTGATTTCTTGGTGTGCGAGCTAAAATCTGGGATTGGAAATTCCCAAGCGACGAAAAGATAGTACGCTCCATGACCTTGACAGGTGTATTGACACGCCCGCCCCTGCTATTATCGAGTACGATGTATACTTACCAGGTGTTGCCTTTTATTAATCCTCTGGCAGAGTCCTTAGGACGCTTCAAGTTGTCGTGGCACATGCACTGAGTTATATCGAGAACGATCTCTGTTTGGAAATTTGAGATGATTCGAATTTCAGACACACTCACGCGAGCCATCCAAACTTGTATCATCTTCCGCCATTAGTACTAGTGGCCATGATAAGTAGTGATCAGGGGAGTAAGAGAGCCGCATAAAATTTCATTCACGGTGATGATAACCCTGTTGTAAGAAACTTAGTAAGCGATTCTCTGTGATTCTAGCGGCTAGTCGCACCATCATTTATAGCGAGATGTTTACGTCCTCTGGTGGTCTACTGCCGTGCATATTCCACCACGCATAAAATTACTACTGAGGGAAAAGTTAGTGAAGATCGATACTTTCCAGAGCGAGTGCCGGTGAGCTCACGCCGTGGTATTGCAGACAATGAAGCCGAAACAGTTGACCAACGCTAGCCAAACTTGCTGCTTGCAAATTTGGTGCTGATCATACAAAAATAGAAAGAAGGGGAAGCATACGCTGTTGCCCAATTGCACCATATCTGAAGGTTTTATTCAAGATATTGCGAATGCCAGCAGCGCGCGATAGCAGTTGATAGCGTCGACAAGAAAAATGACTGCTGTGCCAATTGCCGCCATGAGCCCTCATAAAACTTATGAGAATGAAACATCCCCTGAATTTGTGCTTTTGCTTGTCGCAGGGTTCGATCACTTCAGGCCAGGACGCCTGTCACCAATAAGGCAAACTCTTTCCTAGTAGAGCGGAGACTCACTGGGAGTACTTAGTAGACATTGTCTGTGGAGAGAATTATGCGCACGCACGATACGTCAATAGTAGGCTCATACGCGGTAGGTGTGCATTCAATCTGCAGCGAGGCGGAATAAGATACACAGTGCACTGTTAGCAATCAGCACAGATAAGGGGACCACAAGGAGCAAGGGAAAATATCATCAAGAGGCGACGTCAAAGTCACGATTGGGAGACGTATGTAGACGTATGTCAGTCAGTTGCAAACCAGTTACGGCTCCAATCCACAATGGTACAAATATGAGAAGTAGTCCAGGCTACATATTGTGGGAAAAAGATAGAGGTTGCTGGCAGAAGGTACCATGAACTGGTTAAAGGAGAGACGAGGAGAAGTGTAAAAATGCATCTACCGGAGATAGCAAGCTACAAAGAGCAAACTGCATCCGCGATGACGACAAGCGGGTCTAGGTTGTGCGAGAAAGTGCACATGTCGCCATGGCCACATCGTTCTTTTCTAAGGGTGACCACGAGTGAATATTGTGCACGCCACGGTGATTCGTGGCGAATCCACTCAATTGCAAGAGTCCAATGAGTCTTCGTGTGGAGTGCGTATGAGAAGCAATCCTAGGCAACACTGATAGAAAAAGTATGAGCTGAGTTGAGTGATTCGACCCCGCGGTCGACGTAAGAAACTCATCCTAACGTGGGAGGGCGTGTCGTACGAGTCGATAAAGCAGGGCTGCGTCGAGGCGTAACCGGTTGTCTATGACTCTACCTGTCCTACATGGCTAAAATGTTCGTTGTTCAACGGCGTCAGTCACTAGACATTATCAGACTAGTATAAGTACCGAGTGAGTCGTTCTGCTCAAACTCAACATGAGTTTCATCGTGGTCGGCGGATGTGATCCGTGATTTCGCTAGCGTAGCGACAGTGACGTGATCCGTAAGCATCAGTCACTGGAACCTTCCTTTGTACATCTGAGAACGTCCTAGTTTGGGTTTGTCTCCTCCTTTACACCCTACGCCCACCTGCACGGGCCACAGCTTCAGACCCTTCTACGAACTGAGTCTCCTTATTACATTATTCTTTGTTGTGTTTGGATGAATTCTTGTGATATTATGACACAACCTCCTAAGCGCCGTGAGAGATAAACATGTACCAAAAAGGCAATAAAATGTATAGGAAGAACGTTGAAAAATTAGGTTAGCTGCTTTGTTTGGCGCGTAAAGCGGAGCCAAATAGGGATAAGAGAGGCCGAATTTCTTGGAAACCGTATCTCTTCCTCTCTCTTCCTTCTCCTCTCTTCTATCCTTTGCGCCCAGCGCTGCGTAGCACGCTCAGTTCTCTCTCTTGTCAATTTATTGTCTTTTCATGTCAGTATTTTTTCTTTCAAGCCTCGTCTTGAACCGTCTGACTCCTTTACACAGCTCACATTCGCGTTTTTTTTGCAATAATGTCTGCTCCTGAAGTCGTCGCTGCTGCTCCCGCCCCCGTTGAGGAAGCGAAGATTGTTGAGGCTGCTACCACTGAACCTGCTCCCGAGGTCCCCGCCGCTGAAGAGCCTGCTGCTACCACTGTAATTTTTTACCCTTTGTTACCTCGCACTCTGCTAACCTTATGTACAGGAAGCACCAAAGGAAGAAATCGCGGCTGAGGTGACTAGTTTTCACATTCTTTGCTTTTGTTTCGTCGATTGATACGTCTTTTTTTTCAGGAGGCTGCTCCCGCCGCCGATGCTACTCCTGAGGCCCCCGCAGAGTCCGCCAAGGAGGAAGCCAAGCCTGTATGCGTCTCTCTACCATTCCTCGATGGGACCTCTAATGTGATCGTAGGAGGTTAAGAAGGAGGAGCGCCCCAAGAGCCCAGGCCTACTTGCCAAGCTCCTTGCCCCCTTCAAAGAAAGCAAGAACAAGGTAGAGAAGAAGGTCAAGGCTCCCAAGAGTCCCAAGAAAGACAAGAAGAAGGAATTGAAGGAAGAGGTCGGTGTTCAATTTCAGCCTAATAATGTTGTGCTTGACATATTTTAGGCCGCTCCTGCTCCCGCTCCCGAGGAGCCTGCTAAGGAAGAGGCGGCTCCTGCTGAGGCACCAGCTGAGGAGACGCCTGCTGTCGCTGAACCTCCCGCCGAGCCCGCAGCTGAACCTGTCAAGGAAACGTACGTGTTGTGTCGTCGAGAACTTCGTTGACTAACGAATATCAGTGAGACTGCTGCCGTCGAGGTCCCTGCTGCAGAGCCCGCATCTGAGCCTGCCCCGGAGTCCACGCCAGTTGAGGCCCCCAAAGAGGAGAAGGTATGTTCGCATCATTGAAAGTGCTGCTAACGCTTACATTCCTCGTAGGAGGACAAGAAGGAGAAGGAGAACAAGGCCGCCAAGGTTGGGCGCCGCTTGTCTGCGCGTGTGGGCGAGCTCTTCAGAACCAAGCCAAAGACGGAGCTATCCACCCCTGCCAAGGTAGATGAGCACCCTCCCAAGATTGATGAGCCGGCTCCTGTGGCTCCCCTCGAGAACCCTGCCAGTTCTGAGTCTGCTCCCGCAGAGGCTGCTGCAGCCCCAGCTGAAGAGGTGATTTCTGCTGAGCCTGCAGCTGTCGCCACACCCGTGATCGCAGCTGTCGCATAAGCGGATAATCCGATGCTGTTGGTAATTTCATGAACGACACGAGCGCACATTCATCTGCTCTTCTTCATTCCCTTGGTATATTGAGCGGCCTTCTCGCCGCATGTGATATTGGCAATTATTAGGGATCCTTTCATTCGCCCTCCTCATGTCCTTTTACTCTCTTCTGCTATCATACTCGTTGGATCTGGTCTGCTTTCTTTTCACGACCTACTACTCATCATGACTACACTCCGTGTTCTCACTACCTAATGTTGATCTTGATCATTGATACCCCTTACTTTGCTGTGGTCGGATCAGTTATCCCATGTCATTATAAGTTTATTTTTGAGGATGCATGACACCCTCGAGTACAAGTTTTAGTAACCGTTCGGGCGAGTTAAGTTGTGACTCGACTCAGTTCATGATAAGTATTACATCAACAAATTGATTATTGGGCACCTCTTAGCTCCCCTTAAGATGGCTCCGAACTTGGCTTCCTCTACTGGCAAAGAGAAACTGATTACAGATGAAGAAGAGGTCTTGCAAGCCGTTATTCTGGCAGACAGCTTTAACAAGCGGTTTAAGCCGCTAACCACGCATAAGCCTCGAGTCAGTCCAGTTCCTGCTGCACGACGAAATCACACACTGATCTCATTCCTCGGGACACAATCAGTGTCTACTGCCAATATGTAATGCTCCATTGCTGGACTGGACGTTCGAAAGCCTTGCTCTAGCTGGTGTCCAAGAGATCTTTGTAATATGTAGATCGCATGCAGAATTGGTCAAGACTGCGATAAAGTGAGTCTCTGAACCGCCACTTTCCTGATCATGATGATGGTTGACTGTGCGATTCAGGAATTCAAAGTGGTCTAAGCCCGGTACAGGCCTCAAGATCGTCCCAATTGTGACTGCCAAAGAGACGTTCACGCCAGGCGATGCCATGCGCGACATATACACACATGGCATCATCACTTCAGATTTCGTCCTTGTCACTGGTGACCTCGTGAGTAACATACGTATAGGTGAGGTTGTACGTCAGCATAAGGAGCGGAGGAAAACAGACAAGGACGCTATAATGACGATGGTAGTCAAACAGAGCGGCGTAAACCATCGAACGCGGTATGGTTTTTGAAATGAGTTATCACTTGACCTAGACTCATATATCCTCTAGTTCGAAAGGCGACTCTGCTGTGTTTGTTATAGATCCAGAGACATCAGAGTGCCTGCACTATGAGGCGGTGACTGGATACCCACCGAAGAAATACGCAAGCATACCACGTGAACTTCTGAATGAACACCCTGAGGTGGAGATCCGGAATGACTTAATTGATTGTTCGATAGACATATGTTCTGTGGAGGTGCGTCTAACATCATTTTGCCTCATCCACTGTAATTGATTCGATATGTTCTGCGCAGGTGCCGTCACTGTTCCAAGACAATTTCGACTATGGGGATGTACGGAGGGATTTCGTCCACGGTGTCCTTACGTCTGACCTACTCATGAAAAATATCTATTGCTACATCGCCAAAGAAGGTTATGCTGCCCGTGTCAGGGACACTCGGAGTTACGACTCCGTCAGGTTAGTGTCCAGGCCTTCTCCGACGATGCATCGCACTCAACAGAAATCAGCAAAGACATTCTTTCAAGATGGACATTCCCTCTGGTGCCTGATGATAACCACCCTGGTGGCCACTCCTATGAACATCTGCGGGGAAACAAATACATCGCCAAGGATAACTCTGTCACACTCTCCCGGTAAGGATGTTTTCAAATTGTTGGTCATTTACCCACCCGTGGAGACTTCAGGACATGCAAGATTGGAAACAACACGCTGATTGGCTCAAAATCGCAGATAGCTGATAATGCTCAGGTCACGGCATCTGTTCTTGGTCAGGGATGCACCGTTGGTGCGGGCAGTATAGTCCGCAACTCTTATCTCTTTGATGGTGCGATCATCGGTCCGAACTGCGTCGTCGAGCACAGTATAATCGGGTCAGGCGTGCAAATCAAGGAGCGCACTCGTGTAGAACGGGGATGTCTGATCGCTGATGGTGTCATTGTCGGTCCACAGGCGAGACTTGCGCCATTTTCAAGATTATCCAAGCGGCGGCAGGACAATGATGAAGAGGATGAGGATGAAGAAGAGGATGAAGAAGGCGACGAGGGCAACGAAGACGACGACGAAGATGAGGTCGACTCAGAGCTAGAAGACGTAGAAGCAAGTGAGTACAGTCGATGTCCACTCGGCAACCCGACTGATGGTTTCTCCCAAGACCAAGATCCCGAAGCTCTTGCAAAGCTTGGTTCTGGAACTAATGCGATAATCTGGCCACCTCCAACTGTTGACGAGGACGAGGATATTGATGAACTGGAGCATCCTGATAACCAGCGCTTGATGCGAATAGGCAGGTCTTGTTCATCAAATCGCATCATCTGCTTGACTCGGTATTTGTTACAGGTGACAACGCATCAGATCTTGTTCTCTCGGATCCTGGCTCTGTCACTGAGTCAGAGTCAGAGTCTGAATCTGATTCTGACGATGATGACGAACGCTTTGGCGGTTCCAACCCCGCTTCTTCGACTACTTCACTTCCACTCAGCACGCCTTCGAATCTGGTTGCACAGGCGGACTCGGCAATGATATCAGAATTTCAGCAGGAAGTCAAGCAATCGCTCGATCGTGCATTCGCCGAAGGTCATTCTGTCGATAACGCTGCTGTGGAACTGAAGACGCTGCGTATGGCAAGCAACGTACCTCTTCGCTTGGTGCGGGAGGCCGTAATCGCGGCTGTTGTAAGCCGTATCAAAATCACGGTGGGCGGAGCTATTCCGCAACGGAAGGAGATTACTAGTATGATCGCTCGATGGGGAGGGCTGATTGACAAAATTGGAGGTGTAGATGCGGTGGAAACTGTTGAGATCCTTCAGGTAAGTATCTCATGAGTGTCACTGGGAGCAGTTCTGAGTCGTTCATCACAGGAATGCTGCGCTTCATCAGATCGCTTGCCCCTGTTTGGCCAGATCCTTGCTGCTCTCTATCAGGACGACATAGTCGACGAGGATGACATCCGTGCATGGCATGCAAATTCCAAGTCTCAAGGCCAGTGCGTTAAACCTGCGTCACTGCAAGACAACTACAAGAAATGCTGGGTCACTGGAGCCCATATGATAAAACAGTTTGATGAGCAGGACAGCGATGAAGAATCGGAGGAAGATGCTGACGATGACAGTGAATCGAGGGAAGGGAATCCTGCTGTCCAAAATGCAGTCACACAGGAGCTTTCTTCGATAGGTGCAACTTCTTCGGAAGAGGATTCAAGCGTCGAAGCCTCAAACGAAGAGGATGACGAGGATAACACTGATGAGGATGACAGTGAATAATATAACTTTTTCTTGTAATCCTGTGGAACGATAGAAGGGATTGAAATCTATTGCGAGGTTGCAACTTCCTGTTAGCTCATTGCAACAATAGTACTGGTAATGTCAATTGGGCTGATTCGACGTTTGGTTGGTGACACATGTAGGTTCAGAATATCTTATAGGCAGTTCCGATTACTTTGATGGTAACTTCGTGACTGAAATATTACAAGACCAAGGTATGTATGCTGTCAAAGGTGTGGTTTTACATATTTGATCATGAAAGTATCAACTTGAGGGTCCTTAGGAAAACGTGTCTTATCCTCATCCCTGCATATCTTCCACCAAATGGATCAACTTCATCGATGGAAACGTTCAGCTCTGAAATCGAAGCAGGAAATTGATGGCTGTAAGATAGACGAAAATACGTGACGCACTAGTAGGCAACTTGCCAGTCGAGGCCGCGTGGGCGGGTCTTCCCGCTCAATACTTCAGAATAATGTAGAGTGCTACAGGTGATACTAAGATGAGTAGACTCACGGTCAGCAAAGAACGCTGACATACCGTGGATAATTCCTGGACTGAGGATCCAAGGGTAGTCAGTTAACTTAGAGTCAAGACGGTCGACGAAGGAGCAAAGATATCTCACATATCTAAAGTAAAAACGGGTTAGCAGCGAACACAACAATGTATTATGTGAAAGACACGCACATCCTAGTAAGGAATTGCGGGCGGTTATAGTCAGATTATATGCAGTATTATGCGACGTGCTTACCAAGGATAGTTAGCAGGCAATTAATGAGCTATACACAATAGTCAGGCCGATGAATTGACATGCGGAAAGAACCCACCAGGTCGGCTCCACACCCTCGTTCTAAGAACACGCCCACAGGAGGAAGAATAATGGCGAAACTGAATGGCGGGCTTGGGATCAGTTTATTGCATAAACGGTTCGCGACTTACATTATCTAAGTGTTCGTAGAGGATGGGGTCGTCCCGACTGTTTAGATTGAACCAGCGAGAATAAGGAAAGTAAGCACCTTGCAAATGTCGGACGCCGTGAATGGCATGTTGGTTTATGTAATTACGATATGAGTTACTAGGACACGAGGAGAGGGTTGTATGAATATTTGAGACGAGTCGTGCCGTTATATAAACTACAACTACGCGGTGACGTCAGATAGAATTGTGGCGCACACTGCGTTGTGACGTCATGCAGAACTATCTCCAGTGGCGTGAAAGTCATGAGGCACTGGGGCTATTCCACATAGACTTCTGGGGTCAATATTCTAGGCAAAGTCTAGGTCCAGTCTACTAGCGCCTTGGCGGCAGGTTCGAGCGTAAACACTTATCCTCATCGCCATCGCGCCTTCCGCCGATCTTCCCGCCCACGTGACCACCCGCTGTTGACATTCGCTCCGCTCAAAGTACGCCTTATTACGGGACCTACCGCCTCACACAAAGATTCGGGAAGAAATCACTTGTTTTCGCGTTATTAAGTGTAGCTAGCTACTATTATACACTCTGGCGTGATTTTAAATCTGTTTGTCAGACTCAAGTCTCCTCACGATGGTTCACGTCAGTACTAGATGTCCACTAGAGTTCGCGCATTCTCCACAACGCACAAACATAAAAAAATGAATTCTTTGACAGTTCGATAGCCTGACATCGAAAGTACAACATCTGCTAGTTTTTTTCTTGACGTGTTGAGTCTAGCGGAGAGTTACCGCGCAGAAAAGTGCATTTTCCCTAGAGTTCGCGCACTTTGTCGCACCATGTCACACGTCTGCCGCAATGCCTTTTCACACTCCGCAGTGTCCGCAACCGTTCGTACGTACTACTTTGTTGCGAGGACTTCAATTTGGCATTGGTGTTTTTGTGCCGCATTTCGGCATTGCGGAGTTTCGATTTACACAGTCTCGATGTAACGCTTTGGATAGATTGTCACGTCTGAGGCATATTTCTTTTATTGCAGATGATCCTGACAAGCATGTGGCCCCAGAGAAATTTGTTTTAGTATTCTCTCATCGTGTATAACCATCATACCGCATTCCATAATTTTATGTGGTGATCTAACCTTTAGAGCGAGCCTTCTATGCACAAAACTAGCCTCCAGCACCAATAAGTTGGCCATGGGATGAGATCTACTTCGATTTTCTTCAAACAAAAAACATGGCACTGTGTATTATGTTGGGGGGAACCTAAATGCAACATACATAAGGATTCCGTGCAGAATTGCGTGTGCTAGAGTCAATGCGCGAACTCTTGGGACCCACGGACTCGTGGGAGCACGGTGGGACTATCTAGTACCTTTTGCAAGTGTTCTCACAATGGCGACAACGTAACAGGTAATATAACGCTCGGGTATCTATTCTAGGCTAGGCTCTCCCCTCCCGCTGGGTTCCTCAAGGCCTCAATGCTCATGTCGCCAACCACGACGAGGGTTGTTTACCGGGGGTCACCGCACAGCCGCCGTGATCTGGGGCACGCGCTTAGTCAGCCCGCCCGCCCTGTTATCGAGTCCCTAGACTCTACTAAGACTGGACCAAGTGAAATAGCTCCACTAGGGTGACCATTTCCCCCCCAACCATCCACCTCACGCCAAACGTTATGCCCTAAGTGACTGAGTGAGTTTATTCGGTCAGCATGCATCACACTCATTAATATCGCGTAGTTCTCAGTTGTAATGGAACTTCTGGAGGAATATACAAACATATCTTACATCCCGTCTGAACCGTGCAACAATTTCCATAACTTCGACATCTATATTCCGAAACAATACGAGCCACGGAATACCTCGGATGAACAACCTCGTGGTCCACACACCATATCCCCTCTAGTTTGTTTCATACATGGAGGTGCATGGAGAAGGTGGGTTTCCTCTCCACGGAGGATCTCATTCCTTACCATGCCTCATCCTCCCCTTTAGCGAAGATAAGCTCGATCATGCCGGATTGGCTCGTAGACTCGCGAGTTTCACTGGATACGCCGTGGCGGTCACAAATTACCGCCTGTCCCCTCGGGAAACGACAGAAGCCAATGCAATCCACCATCCCGATCACGCGAAGGATGTTCTTCGCTTTCTTGAATTTGTTATCACCTGGAGAGGCCCGCATGACATCAGTGTCTATGACTCAAACAGATTGTGTTTGATGGGACATAGCTGTGGTGCTCATATATTGTCATCAATCTTCCTCGAGGCTAAGCGAGGCGAGGACCCTTTGTGCCCATCAGCCAAGCTTCTCGAAAGTACAAAGGCCATAATCACATCAGAGGGGATATATGACATCGATCTCCTTCTCTCGAGTTTCCCTGCTTACAGGGCTTGGTTCATCGAGGCCGCATTTGGTCGGCGGAGTACTTACGAGGAAGCTTCAGTTACGAAGATGATCCCGAGGGTGGCATACCGTTATTTGCAGTGGTTGATCGTGCATTCCTAAAGGTGATACTTTAATTGATGAAGCTCAGAGTGAAGCAATGTATCAGCATTTACTTCACAATATTCCTCGTGTCACGAGGAACTTTGATGAACTCAAGGAAGAGCATAATGCTGTACTAACAAGCGGAGAATTTGTGCAACTCGTCGGACAATACATTCTAGATATAATTCCTCTACTTACTTGATTTGGTACTTGTGGAACGATATTGTATCTAAACCGCCGTTCTTACAATATGGTTACTTTCGTCAAACCTTCGAATGCGTCTTCAAGGCACGAGGCAGCTCTCTCGCAGTCACCTAATGTATTGTACAGCGGTGCGGGTGTTAAGCGAATCACGTTGGGTTTTCTCTCGTCTCCGACAACGCCCGTTGCAGACAATGCATTAAAAACCGTGTTCATCACGTCTGAATTAGGTGGCAGAAATAGAAGCGATAACTGTGAACCTCGGGACTCGGGATCACGGGGTGTGATGATGGTGAATCCGGGTTTGTCCTGTTGGGCAGTGTCATCCTTGTTGTTCGTTCCATCCTGTGATATATGGCATCGTGCTGAAACCTCGTTTACGGGGACATAAAACCTTGACTTAACGAGTCTCGCCTCCAGCTCGGAAGTCAACTGAAGCGATCGCTTGCGTAGGGGAGTCATCATGCCGACTTCCTTGAAGATCTGCAAAGAACCTAAAAGCGACACAGTTGCAAGGACCGAGGGATTGGATTGTTGGAAATCCTTGTGCGCCAGGGATAGCTGAAAACCGAGGAGGCATGGCAAATCTGGTGGCTGGATCGTGCCCCCACCACCCTGCATACCTGGTAGTAACGCCGTTTAGAATCCCCGAAAGAAGTGGTGAATGCAACGCATTTGCAAAAGAATTACGCACTGGGGCAATAGGCTGTTTTCCCATTTTTTGTGCACAAAAAGCCCGCCAATTCCGCCGGGGCCTGAGTTCAGATATTTGTATGAGCACCATACAGCAAAATCGGCACCCCAGTCGTGAAGCGCCATGGGAACATTTCCGATAGCATGAGCGAGGTCCCAGCCGCAAATACACCCCTTAGAAGAACGAATGGAGGTGGTCAACGCATGTTTAACAGACAAAGAGAAGAAGTAATGTGCGGGGTAATTGAATGTAGCGGATCATCGCCTGTCTTTTCACGTCATGGCGGGTTATGAAAATGTACGTAATAATCTAAAGAAGAGGGCGACTGGACAATATTTACCTGTGCCTTGGCTGCAGTGGTGATAGCCTCCATGGGAAACCATTGACCAGTGTAATACTGCACGCCACTGAAAATCACAAGAGAAATCGAGGGACCTTCTTTGGCGATAAAGTCCAGTATGTCGGACTCGCGTAGTGTAAACTCGCCTTCCCGAGGGCACATTTCAATGATCGCTTCGTTCGGGTCATACCCGTGCAGACGAGCCTGGGAAGCAAATGCGTACTATGCCGCGTGTAAGAAACAGAGGAGGATGGCAAACTATTATCCATTAACCTGGTCCGAGGGAAAAGCTCTGCCTTCACATAGAATCTTGAAACGTTGAGTAGTAGGTTTGTAAAATGCGGCCATCATCAGATGCAGGTTCGCAGTCAGAGTGCCCATGCAAGCTACCTCCTTCTCCGAGGCACCTAGATCAGGCACCGTATCAGGACTTCTCGATCCTCTACAAAGAGTGACAGTTGATAGTAACTTACCCACCAATTCAGCGAGTAATGGGGTAACCGTATCGGCAATATTCATCCACTCGCGGCCATAAGGGTGCGCAAAGTGTCCTTCGACGGCTCTGTAATGATATTTTGTACGCAAGAAATGTCAGCAAACAAACGGCCATCATGATAAGGGACCGTTGCCTCGGCACGATACGCACCGTGTCCCCCAAACATGTAGCTCCTCCTGCAGGAGAGCCTTGGACCGTTTGGTTAAAGGACCAAGAGAATTTCCGCAAAGATAAGTGCATCTCTGGTCAGCTAGATAGTAGTTCGAAGCTTCAGTAATCTGTGTAGTTACGTAACGAAGTTCTCTACCAATTTCTTCTGGAACAATTTTAGCCCCGATATCTCTATTTGATGGGATGAGGAACTCGTCAGAAAGTACAATGTCAAGGTCATTATACTGCGGAAGCATCTGGGCTGTCGACTAAGTGAACAACGAGTCGGATCAGGGTCGGGTAAAGGAGCTGATCTGAGATCTTTACATAAGTTTCATTACTTCCATCTTTGGATGACTAGGAATATGTGAGGTCACCCCAAAGCTACCCTAGTACTGGTCACAAAGTCACTTGTCCATAGTCAGCCATGAGCGAACCCATTCCGCCCCTCAGTAACAGCCGTAAAGTGGTTGTCATTGGTGCAGGCCCAGTAGGATGTCTTGCGGCGATTGCCTTCGCCAAAATGAATTGGCAAGTCGAAATCTACGAAGCGAGACCAGGTAAAGAGGGACAATGTCAACATTCTCGTCATCCAATGTCTTGATTTTTTTTCCAGATTTACGGCTATCATCTTCGAAAGCAGCAGCTCAACAGCGATCTATCAACCTCGCCATCTCATCACGTGGCATCGCCGCTCTACGAGCTGTGGATGCCTCTGCAGCTGAGAGGTTTCTGCAGACGGTCATCCCTATGCGGGGGCGGATGATTCATGACAGACATGGAAATTTACAAAGCCAACTATACGATAGGAATGGTCAGGTATGTTTGTCTCACCCCCCAATCGCACGGTCCCTGTATTTTGCCACGACTCTGTGCCAAGTATATATTGACGTTCAACATTGTTCCATTTTTGCTCATTTTCATAGTGCATCAATTCCATAGATCGCGCTCTTCTCAATGAAGAGCTACTGGAGGAGGCTTCGGCACTGCCGAACATCCGTTTGACCTTCAAGCGTAAAGTTATTTCAGCTGATTTTGACCAAAGAGTGCTGGTCCTTCGCGATGCCGATTCGGGAACAGATGTCCGAGTCAACTTCGACCTGTGTATCGGCGCGGATGGGAGTTATTCCACTATAAGGAGACAGTTAATGAGGGTCGTGAGGTTGGTGGACAAGTTTCCGTCCTCAAGATACCAGTGTGCTGATATTGATGCTTCTGCGTAGAATGAATTTTCAGCAAGAATATATACCTCATGAGTATATTGAACTTAAAATGCCGGCAGGACACGACGAGGACGGCAAACCTACCTTCCTCCTTGATCCGAATCACCTCCACATATGGCCTCGCCACTCCTTCATGCTCATCGCTCTGCCAAACAAAGTAATCACGCACGCAGCTTCTATGTGCTTCCCACCTGACCAAATTCAATTCCAGGATAAGACATTCACTTGCACCCTCTTCGCCCCCACTGTCGAGTTTGATCGTTTGATCACTCGCGAAGACATCCTGTCATGGTTCCAGAATCATTTTCCGGATGCACTGTCACTACTTGGCGAAGACAAATTGCTGAAAGATTTTGAGAACAACCCCCGTAGCCCCCTGATTACAACGAAGGTGCGTCTCTTTCGTATTTCACACAAACAACAATCGGAGAGCTAATTGTCGCTTTGGTGTGGCAGCTGATGCCTTATCATTACAAAGATCGGTGTGTAGTTCTCGGTGACGCTGCCCACTCGATGGTGCCTTTTTACGGACAAGGGCTTAACTGCGGTCTCGAAGATGTTCGGGTGTTGCTCACACTACTGCAAGAAGAATGCGTTGTCCCTTGCGGGCCCGTGCCCAATTCTGGAGACCCTGAATCTGACCCCATAGACCATAGGCTATTCAAAGCACTGTCTCGTTATTCCGCAAGCAGGCACGAAGATGTCGTTGCCATATGTGAGCTTGCGATGGACAATTAGTAAGTGAAGTGACTTATGATGAGTGTTGTCTTTACTGATTTGGCCACACGTCAGCGTTGAAATGCGCCACTCCGTAACAACGCCTTCATACATCATCAAAAATGCACTCGAACACATTCTGTCTTCATTTACCTCTCGCCCAACGCCCCTTTCGTCTCTGGGTGAATCATTATCTCGCATTGCCTTTCCAACTGCCAATCCTCGCGGTTGGCTGCCTCTTTACACCATGATTACATTCCGTCCCGATATTAGCTATGCTACAGCTAAAAGGAAAGCAGCCCGACAGGCTATCATCCTCACCACTATAGCAAAACTCGGAACCGCCGGCATGTGCGCTGCGAGCTTCTACTTTACGTTGAAAGTCTTACGTTGGCTGCGAAGTCAAAGATGATGTCCTGACTGTTGGAAATTATTGGACCTCGTGCTACCTACGGTGAAATATAAATATTGGGCCGAAGCCCTGATTTTAAATCTAGAATTTTCTGCGGTCTTGAGCGCAGAACATTTGAGCGGTGATTAATTTGGGCATTCCGACATGGAATTAATTCGCGAAACATGATGGATGGGAGCGCATGTTCGTCTGACCCGATTCGTCCAAGGAGAATGCCAGCTTTTGAGTCTACCCGAAATCTCTCTCCGTTCACATGCAGATAAAAATAAGTATGGACGTCAAATGGACGTGTGTACAGTGATCTGCAGCAGAGATTACATGACCTCCGGTTAAAGTGGCATTACATGGTCTAGATATTGTGCGCCCTAGTAAAATCATAAAAGCAAGAAATTGGTACTAAACATGTTAAGTCGTAAAGAGAGTACAGGAAAGCGATAGATCTAGTAGGTGCGGCAGAACGAGAGCGGATAAAATCATATTAGCAAAGCAGAGAGACAGATATTGAGAAGGCCAGTGTCTCAGGTCTTCTTCGGTGGCCGACCGCGCTTTTTCTTTGTACTTGATTCTCCAGCGGCATCAGGTGCTGGTTCTGAGAGTGTGTCAGGTGCTGACTCCGCCTTTGCCTTAGGTGGGCGACCGCGTCTGCGTTTGGCAGGCGGTTCGCCATCAGCAGCTTCCTCTTTCTTCTCCTAGTACCATGAGTAAGCACATGAAGAAAAGGAGGAACGAGATCTGTACCTTCGGGGGCCGGCCGCGTTTCCTCTTAGCACCAGCCTCTGCGGTTGCTGTGGTGGTAGAAGTCCCCCCTGACTTCTTGTTCTTGCTTCCCTTAGGACGCCCGCGTCCCCTTTTGACAGGCGGAGCATCGTTGGCATCTGCTGCGCCTGCAAGTAACGAAAATGAGACGCATTTGACTGAGCTGACAACGATAAAGTAGCGGGTAGCTCACCCTCAGTATCTTCAACTTGCTGTTCCTCTTCGAAATCCTCCTGAGATTTATCCCGCACTTCCTCTTGGTGGGGCGAGGCAGACATCTTGGATGTCTTAGTACTAGGTGGATAGATGAAAGTAGGGAGCGACGGTATGCAGGAAAGAACGTCCGCGTCGAGGTAAAAGAAGAAAAGGCGGGGAAAGGGTGTGTGCCCTTGTTTTATCGAATATTTCCCCCTACCGAATATAGTGAGCATGTATTGTTTCCCTCGCGTGGAATCTGGGCCAAAAGTGGGTTATATTTATTATATCGTTCAGCATCTTCTGTGCATTTGCCCCTGATATTCGGGGACATACGTACGTAAACGGACGACTGAGGATTAGAGAAATTCATTATTACTGAGAGGAATGAAGACGCTCTCAGGGAGATTGCCACCGCCTGACAGCGATGCGGTTGTCGCTCGACATGCGCTGTTGATCGTTGTTGACACAACGCGGTTTATTCCAGTTTACCTGCCTCCGCCAACTTGACAACAGATTGATCTACCGTGAATATTCATGTTACATACGTACATATTTCATTATGTTAGGAATATGCACTTATGCAACACCATATGTCGGATATTTCTACCCGCATAGACTTTCAAGGATGGTAGATACTTATGACGGAATCGACTCCTTCAGGCCGCCGATCGGCGATTCGCGGTTTCAAGCGCCACTCAGGAGTCGAATCCATGGCACCAGAACGGAGAAAAAAAAACAAAAAATAAAGACGAGCAGACAATATTTCTGAAGCAGGAGTTCGCGGTTCCCCGCGTGCGCCGCAACAGGACGTTTGACTGAGCGGGCCGCGGAGTGAGTTCAGTCGCCGATATAATTAGAAGTTCTCACGGTATTCAGGTGGAACAGTCCATTTGGGTCTACGTCACCATTGACATTAACTGATCCATGCAACCTCCTCGAGCTATCGCTTTCGCCCTATTTTATGGCCTTTCCTTGACTCAGGCAAGACTACTTTACTCAGGCCCAGAAGATCTCTATGCCTTCCCAAAGCACCGCGTAACGTTTCTGAACAATCTTCCAGTCCATAATGAAACAGCTGAACGCTGGCTTACCGAGGGACTACGAGGTGGCGAAAGTGAATTTTTAAATGACCTGTGGGATGAGCCTGCGTGGTATTCCAAACTCCCATACAAGGAGATAGGTAGCTCCGAGCTTGAAAAGTCAAATGACGCTTCGCAGATTTGTACGTCCCCTCGTGTCTAATTGTACTTGATTTATTGACAGTCGCTTTTGGGTCTAGCACAGTCTCCGATACCAGATAATTCTGGATATATGTTAAATCATATGAAAATGGGTTCAGACAACCAGTTTATTTGTCTGATCCCCCCTGCCCGTGATACTCCAATACAAGCTCAGGATAATATTGACCACGATGCAGTCCTACGCAATGGCTGGTCACTGCTTGAACCTTTATCCGGAAAATGTCTTTACGTGCGACATTTAACTCGTCATCATTTTAAAACATAACTGAAATATTTCCGTACAGCATCGCCAAACGTGGTTCACTTATTCATACTGCCACAATCAAGAAATAAGACAGTTCAAGGAACTCGCTCACACACAACCTCGCCCAGCAGGTAATTTTTTCCCATTCGGCGGTGCATAGTTCACTCACACGTATCTAGGAGCTTACGAACCCACTGAGGACCCAGAAGTATGTGCAATGTTATTTCAATATTGCTTTCTAAGTGATTGCCTAGTGGGAAGCTTTCACCCTGGGACGTGCCCCCTCCACACAAGAACCAGGAGCCGATGTAGCCGTCACAGATCGCCGCGCTCAGGTTGTAAACCTCGAGGTTGCTCATGGTCCAGGCTCCCGTTATCTTGTACAACGATGGGGTGATGGCACATTCTGTGATAAAACGGGCAAACCTCGCGAAGTTGAAGTTCAGGTAATATTATTTCAATTTTTTTTTCAGATGCGCGCTCAAATAATTACTGCAGTTCCATTGCTCGATGACGATGACAGACTCTATCCTTCTCGTACGAGAGGCAAAGACTTGTTCCTACGTACTGATTGTACAAACTCCGCGTCTTTGTGGAGAGCCCGGGTTTAAATCGCGGATGGAATTGCCGGAGCAGACCTTTATCCGCTGTCGGCAAATTATCAACCCTTCGCTAGACTCTACTCCTCAAGCTACCCATCTCGAACAGCGAAAACCTGACGACTACCGAATACCACATGATTTCGATCAGCCTTCGCACATAAACCGTGAAACGCGTTTCCCCGTGCCATCGCCCGCAGTTAAGAGCTCACTGGGTCCTGGCGCGGGTCAAAGCGAAGATCCGTGGGATGGTATATTAAAACGCACGGTAGAGGCTACCATGGAAGCGTTGATGAATAGTCCGGAGTTTCAATCATTGTCAGGCGAAAACTCCCAGGTCGTGTTAGGGCGCGGCCAAAACGGCGAGATTATTATCGATATTCTGGAAGGGATTCCATTGGGTAACCTCGGAGAGCCTGATTTACAGGAAAGGAATATAGATAACTACGCTCATATCACGGAATTCCTTCGAAACGCCGGTTACCAGTTGAATGAACAGACGGACGAGAAGGACCAAGAGGATGGTGAGGCCATGGAGGATCATGGGGAAGAACCAGAACAATCTCATAAAAGCAGAGACGAGCTTTGAGGTAGGCATGCATATTACCGTTGGTTTAAGCAGCTAGTTAATTTGGCTTCTGCACTAGGCTCGAGATCTGACAGCTTTGAAATTTTCTCTACTTAGACAGTCCGTGGACTACATTGGACTACAGAAGAGTGTTTATTTTGGTTGATTGGTCGACGATCCAATCATCACAACCTGGCCATCTTATTCCTGCTTCTCACGCAACTCTATTGTGCATGCTATGGCTAGCTATCATGATACCTCCTGAGCCTCATGTCTTGATGCAACATGCTACAGACTCATTAGCGATTCACAGTCAGTAATGGCATCTCAAATACTGTTAGGTGTGTTCCATTTCAAGTCGCCTCGGACCTTATTCACAGTTTAATGTACGATGTCGTATCTGAGGCCGATCGAATCTCTGAACTCTATCTTCGCATTCACAAGTCCTGTCGCTTTGCTGACTACACAACGTCATCAGGGACAACTGAGTGTTTGTCGATACATCCGGACAGATCTACTACAACCGTCATTGGACTTCCCGATGTTTCCGAGCCGCTGCCCTGGTATCTTAAGTTTATTTCGGAACAACGAGAATCCTGAATAATACAGCGGATGACATTTCAATACAGCTTCCACGGATCTCTGGCATACCATCACATTATTTCCCAACCCCAAAAATCCAGGGAAAACCCACGTTAAATCGCACCAATCAAATCACTTGGGTCGTCTACACCAGCTTTGTCGTCCTCTGCTTTTCTGCTGCTACCGCACCTGAATCTTCGCGGCACGCAGGCGTGATATAGAAGCTTCCTTCGATTTGATCGATAATCTAAGCGCTTATCGCCGCTGTCTCCAAAAGTTGGCCTCTGCATAACCTCTGCAAGTTGAGTTTGCGCCCTTGTAGAGACTCAAGATTCAAAAGAAAGTATATATTCGTCAGGTGCGATCTTATGCAATTTTCCCCCTGATTATTTTTTACTCGCTCCTAGACCCTTCGCAGTCCAGCGTTTGTTTATTGGGTCTAATTGTTGGCAGGTGGCGGCCACTTTTGAGTTCGTTCATTCAATCCGTCAACAGCATGCGCTTTTTGGCGGCGGTGCGCCCAATTTCCAATCTCTCTCCGTCGTGATAACGCCTCTTTATTATTATTTTCCGCATAAACGTTCGTGATTTTGATGGTTGTGCCATATGCACCACGAGCATGTTTCAGCATGCGTTTTTGTGATGCTTTCCATTTCCGTCGGGTATTGCAGCACGAGCCCATCAGCGAAGGAAACTCAAAAGGTGGGGCTCACCGTCGGATCTGATGTATCTTCGTAACAACCTGACATTCTCCCGGTTATCGTTGCTCTTATTGACACCCCTAGATAAAACATGCACAGGCGGTAGCCTGCTGGAGCACGGCCTTGCTCGCGTGATCCTTCGATCTTACCTGGAGGTAACGACGTTCATATGCGAACCTTCCCTCCTCACATTGCAAGAAGATCACGACATATATGGGTCTACAAATGCAAAACCCGATTTTGCATATTCTGCAACTCACCGGAAGAGTCCTTCGTGAGCGACGGGGGGAAGCACTTCAACAATGCAGATCCACGACTTCCAAATCGACCTGTCGTCGACAGTATCTTGAACCTCCAGCAACGCCACGTTTTCCCGTTCAGCACCCAGTCGGTGCTCATCCGCGCCAAGGAATATCCGCCCATTTCTTCCATTCATTGATTGACCGCAGCAATCGTTCCCCTAGGAATACCCTAACTTCTGATTAATCATTTCTTTCACCTGTGCTCACACTCGGGGACGACAGCCCGCTTCTGAATCCCTTAAACGCCTATAGAGCCATCCTCACACGCGCTTTTCGAGCACACGCCTCTCTCAAACTCCCTCAGCGAGTTCTGCTTCAGAATTTGTTCCCACCGATTTCTTGGCGTTTAAGAGCCCCTTGCCTCCGATACGATACAATAGTACAGCGAGGTGTTCGTGCTCGTTGACCTTGTACTTCTCTTTCGCTTTTCAGGAACTCGTAGTTGCCTAGTGGATGCACAGGACAATTATCAATTTCCTGCTGCGCATGCATGGGACGAACATCAAATTCCCACTCACCATCCAGAACAACGCAATGACCCAGCGTCCGATAACAAAGAGCGCCTACTCCGGACCTTGGATGCAAGTGTCTTCTATACATGGACAATTACCACACCTCGGCGTCCCCGTTCCGATTTACAAGGCAGTACCTCCTTGCAAAATCCCATAGAAAGTTCAGGAGACCACAAGAAGTATTTTATTATATTATGGTTCAGGGAGTATTTTACCGACCACAAGTTCAAGTGGAAGAATTAGATGGGGGCGCGTAGCACCCCACATTCTTCGAAATTCATGTCACAAACTTCTCCCACGCATACAATGAAATCAATGATCGCTATGTATTATATTATGGACCTTGCGTTCTATCAAGCAAAAAGGCACAGCACGCTTCTGTAGGCGTAAAGTAAAGCAACGAACAAAGAAAATGAAATCAAAATCAAGAGGGCGAGACGCATTGGTAAAACGCAAAACGCGAGGAATGAACGACGACCATATAAAAAAGAGATAGTAAATGGACTAGTTGGACGAGAATAAGATACCAGATCGTAGGTCGGATCGTGTCGTGTCGCCGTGGGGAGGGGGGGCTTGGGCGAGAATGGAATAGAATGGGAATGAACGTAAAGGATGGCCTTTTTAGTGTCCGCTGTATGTACCGAATCGTGCGTGCTAGGTGTTGTGCTGTATATACATGCGAGGGAAGATGAGGTGTATATAGATCGAGATGGATGGGAAGATGACATTGGGAGGGCGGCCATGGGTGGGAAGGCGTTGTGACCGAGGGAAGGGAGGAATAAATGAAAAAAAATTACATGGTAAGCGAGGTGGAAGGGAATGTAATGGAAGGATAATGAACGAGGGCATGCCATGGTTCTGGCGCTATGAGTGGTGCGTGAAATGGATGCAGGAATGCCGCTAGAACCAAAACACGAGGGTGAAGCTGTGGATATGGCACATGAACGAGCGAGGCGATGATCGACGTAAAGGTGGATGATGATCAGCGTGAAATGTAGATGATGATGATGATGTCGGATGATGATCGTGGCGTCAAGATAAGAGAGGGTAAAGGGAGAGAAAACATGCGAGTGGCGACAGGGCGGGGGCGGTTGAGGAACAGCATCCCAAACATGGCTGCCGCGTAACAGCTCCAAGGCTCGCACGTAGCCAGAGTAACATGACTCCCTCAAGGCCACCGCCCACCCGCCTCCCCTTTCAAAAAAACCTCTTCTTGAAACTCTTCTCCTCGTTCTGAATCCTTACATGCACATGCTTCGGCCCACTGCTCTCCGTGCACGTCTCTATGCTCCGTATCCACTCGTCCCCATCCTCATAGTCCTCCAGGAAGTCTTCATCCTCATTCTGCTGCTCTTCCGACTCGGATTCGCACTCCCCATCCTCGCATTCACATTCATCTCCCTCTGCTAGCGCAACGATCCCGCCCATTCCTCGTCGTCCCCACAGAAGTTCACCCATCGTTGTGCGCATCGCAGGGTCTACGCACAGCATCCGCCGTAGCGCAGGCCGCGTTTCGCGGGGCAGAAGCCGGAATATCGAGTTTGGCGAAGATGTCGACGTCGAGCGGGTGCGTCTTGGGGGCGCACGCTTTGGTGAGGGCACTTGGGGCTGAGATGCAGGAGGTGATGATGATGATGCTTGCGTGGAAGGCTCAGGTATCGACGGCGCCTGTGCACCATTAACCTTTGCACCGTCACTCTTCATACTTTGAATCGTGGGCGTCTGTGACTCCCGTGCGAAATCACGCTCCTTGGGGGTCTTGCCCTCAATAAACCCATTAACGCTCGCACGCTCGATCTCCTCTGGGCTGTCTGCCCTCAGAGCAGGCAAACTCTCCGTCGAAACTGAAGGGCGGGCAAACACCAAAACGCTCTGATCCACGTCCCCGCCCTCGGCCACACCGGGTGTACTTGGCAACATCGCAGGAAGCGTGGCCGTCCGTGCCCCAGGACTAGGCAAACCTAACTCAATCGCGCGCCGGCGAGGCGAGTGTTCGCTCCCCGTATCGCTGGCTGGCGATGACGACGACGTGAACGTCAGCGTACTCGCCGTAGCGGTGTACAGGGACACATTTGACAGGACCGACTTGACGTCATTAGCCCCATCAGCGTGTATGCTCGGAACGTCCAGGGACGTGCTCCGTGCGTCTGGACTTGAATCGGGACTGGCTGGAGCGCTTATTACAGGGCTCGGGGGAACGGTTGAAGGTTCTGAAGGAGCGGGTTTCGGACCCTTGGAGCGCTTGCGCCTCGACGGGCGCGGAAGAGGGGAAGAAGCTTCGGCTTCGATAAACGCTTTAAATGAGTTATCCCGTTCGCGGTCAGGGACTGCCCATGGGAAGCGGCGGAGGACCATGCAGACCTGTGTGAGATGAATGAGCCTCTAGGCAAAAAAGATTGGGCGAGGGAAGACATGATGCGTTGCAAGAATCGATCTAGAGCGACTTTGCCTTATGGCTCATCGGAGCGACTTTCCTCGGGATTGACCGCCTCCAGCGGCAATTCTCCCTCAACCAAATACGAAAACATATAACCAAGTAGAGGAACGATCACTCACAAAGATGACGCCTACGCTCCATACATCGGTCTTTCTAGGATCATAGGCACCGCCACCAAGGACTTCGGGCGCGAGGTACGGATCGCTGCCAACTATGCCGGTGGCAAGTATCAAGCGAGCATGGGAATGCGGACCGGATGGGGGATCGTTGGGATGTGGAAGCTTTGGGCATTGGAGGGAGCAAGGGGGGTTGAGAGCGCCACTGACATAGCCTGTGACTGGAGGCAATAACGTTCCGTTGGGAGTTCCGGTTCCAGGGTAGGCGAATACTACTGCTGTTCCGAAATCGATGAGTTTGACGACATCGCCTTGTGTCATGACACAGTTATCGAGCTTTAGATCACGATGTGCTAGGCCAAGAGAGTGAAGGTATGCTACGCCATTGCATATTTGGCGAAATACGCAGAAAATTTCTGGACGTAGCATGCGACCAGACATGACGACGCTGAAGAGGTCGTAGGGAGCGTACTCCATGACCTGTTGGGGGTGAGGGGATGAGGGAGATGATGATTTATTCGCTGACCTCATAGTAATGACCATGATCGCAGACGATGTCGACAGTTTCGATGACATTTACATGCTTCAAACATGCACCGACACAGAACTCGGCCCTAACTTTATTCTCGTACTCACGCTCGGACTCGCCGGTACGTCTTGGGCGAAATTGCTTTACAGCGTATACTGCGCCTCCCGCTTTAGTGCGTGCGCGAATGAGGCGAACAGTGCCACCTGCGCCGGTGCCGAGAACGCGACCCCACTTGCCATACTTTTTTGAAAGGTGGGCGTGAGTTGCTTCTGAGAGGGATTGTATTGGGACGGCGGAAGGAGTTCCTGGAGGAGATGGGGAAGGACGTCGGGGAGATAGAGAGGTGGATGGAGGGGAGGGAAGTTTGCCCTTGTCCTTGCGGGCCTTGTGAATGAAGCTGAAGGGGGACTTGCTGTTTGATATTATAGGGAGTGGATTTGTGTCGAAGTCGTTACCTCTGCGCTGATCTGCGGGTTGAAGATGTGGTTCAGGGGGTGTGTGGGAGGATGAAGCGTTTGAGGAAGGAGAAGCGCTAGAAAAGTTTGAGGAAGGATTGTGATGGGGTATGTGATGGTTAAGGAAGCGTTTAAGATCATGAAGGGGACCATGCTTGACTGGGGTGGAGGTACCGGTATTCCGTTGTTTAAGTGCGGTTGTAGATGGTTTTCGGGAAAAGCGGAAGCGAGAATGGGTTGTAGTATCTGGAAGCTAAGCGGGCAAAGGGTTAAAGTAATTAAACACATTTATTTTGAGTACTGACCTGGAGTTTTGAAGTAGCGAGACGACCATTGTGGTCAACGTCGGGAACAGTGAGGAGATTAGGACTTGGTTGTCGTTCGGCGACGGCTCGAGTATCACAATCTGGACTACTAGGCGGCGACGACGAATCGTCACTTGGAAAAGCGAGTTGCTGCATTGGACGTGCAGAGAGCATCGTCGTCGTCGTGTTGTCGTCGAACTATGAGAAACAAAAGTTGGAATTGAAAGATTGAGTTGAAGACTAAAACTATCGCGTCAGAAACTCACCACAACCCGATCTCGGTCCGATCGGCATCAACTCGGCATAATATAATTATTGCTTACTCATCATAAACCCGGCATTGCCACTAGTTGGAACACGTGCACTGCTTCTTGTTACCGTATTATTCCGCCCAGACAACTTGACCCTGTACTCCACAATGCCATCTTTCGGCATTCTTCTCGTTAATATCCTCCACGTGTAACATTTTAGCCTGTACGACTCCCAGGCCTAGTACATCTAGAGCAGTGCCAAGCTGCGTCCAGTGTACCACCTCCGTCATGATCCGTTGATATCTTCAGCTCACGTGTCACTCCGAATTTCATTCCGTTCAGCTAGTCTCTTGCCAAGACCTCTCGGACTAGCATCTTGTATCCTTATACTCGGCCAAAGTAACTTCATAACCGAACAAGAAGCAAATCAGATTCCCTCTCTATCGTCGTATACTTTTGTAACTCAATTCCTCAAGTTTAAACGCTCCCGCTCCAATAGAATTAACATCCAACCCCACCCTTACACGTCATCCTTTCCTTTGCTTACTTTATCTCCCCGCATTCATCGGCAATTCGTACGTGCGTATTTACGAAATCGCGGGAGCAGGGCGGGCATTTCACTCATGCGCGATCGACGCAAGGCGGCATAGGCGGCAATCCAAAAAAGGCAACTCCAATACCGGCGCCCATTAATGATCAGTATGTGTAGTCACTTTGTAGTCATTCTCACACCGAGGACTTGCTGTAGTCCTTGGCCAATTAATATTAAATATCCTCCACCAATAACCTACCTCCAAGTCTTGCTTGGTGCACACCAAGCCAGTGCTAGCCTTGGGGGGTGAAAGTTGTCCATTAGTTCAGGTAATTACATCCACAACTTTCACCCACGCTTTGACCCCACTTCCTCATGAACCCATACGATCGCGACGAATGGTCGGCGTTTCGGTGTTATCATATAACAACTTAGTACGCTTATTTGCAAATCGTCCAGTAAGCGTGGAACGCGGTCAATGACATGCTATTCTTGACGCTGCCCCTGTTCAGCCCAATCCTGTCCCCGTAGCAACAACTACTAGTACCCGTTGGAGTGGTGTGGCGTTGCGCTCAAGCTTGAGGTACCGCAGCAGAGCACATTTCACAGCATGCTGCTACGCGCTTGATTAGCCCAACCTCTGCGCCAGTAAAATATAGTTAGTCCAACTCACTTATATCCAATCATCTTACGTACTGGCTTCGCCTTGTTGGCGGTACAGATCCTCAACGATCCCAGTGCATTGATTCGTCAGTACTGCAACACTTTCAACATCAACATCATAATTAACAGCCTTACATACACAATACTCAAGGCTACTCAGCCGATATCATCCGCATCACGCTTCCTCTTCATCTCTCGTGAAACTTTGTGCTGCGCTGATTCATGCTTTGCGAGTTCAGGCGACACTTTGGACACGGGGCTTTTGGATATTTCTGTGCGAGAAGCCGGTCAATATAAAGATTAACGGACGCCATGAGTCGGGAGAGACGGAAATAGGAACGCAAATATAAACGCAAAGTGGCCTTCACTGAGTAGAACAACAACAAAGGTGCCGAAGAAGCACATGCGACGCCACCTGACGGATGACAAAAAAGATAAAACTGTCATGTCTGACAAGAAAAAGAGCTAGAACTAGCAGAAAGAGAAAGTCGGAGAGAAGCACGGGACAGCGGGATTAAAAAAATTGCAAATGGATATGAATACAACAACCCAGGAAGTCAGCTCAACACCTCAGAGGAGCAACGCTGGTCATATGCAAGGACACCAATGGGGTTGAGCGATGGTGGGACGACACGGACACGGAATCCCGGGTTCCCGCCAATGTCGGAGGCCCCAATCACCTCCCACTGTAGGCTGATGATCGACCAAGCGGCCACATCGATAAACATATCCCGCATGATAGCGAGCCGTTAAGAAGAGAAATCGCCCGGAAGAAAAAGGAACAATATATAGGGGATTGCCACACGAAGATAAGGATAGAACCAGAATCCCAAGGCAGCGTCGTGGCAGCGGAAGCAAAGTATGAGAATGGAAAAAAAGGTCGTACCTTGTTTGAGATCGTACCTACAGAAGCAAATAGTCAGCCGTGTTCCGAGCTTAGAGAAGTAAAAGAAATTCTTGGCCAGGCGGTCATCGGTTTCCTCCCCGAGGGAAAGTCAAAGCCAATGCAGCAAGAACACAACCAAAACAAAAAAAATAAACAGATACGTACATAACTTCGTCGTCATCATTTGTCAAGAAGGTGATCGCCGTACCCTGTTTGCCCGCACGACCTGTACGACCTGCACCCCCGTTAATCACTTTAAAACTTAGATAAGGGGAGATAGATTACATACCGATGCGATGCACATATGCCTCAATGGTACCTGCCATTTGGTAGTTGATGACGAGACTGACATCCTGGACATCAATACCACGTCCAGCAAGATCCGTGGCAACAAGAATATCGGCGTCGCCGGAACGTAGTGACTGGAGCGAAGCCTCACGCTGTTCTTGTGTCTTTCCAGAGTGCAGAGTTGCCGCAGACCACTAAATTCAAGTACACATGTCAGCGAACAACTGTGGAAATGACAAAAGAACATACCCCAGCGCGTGAAAGGTCTTTTGCCACCATGTCTGCTGTCTTCTTCTGGTTGACGAAGACAATGATCGGTGACGGATATTGGCCGCTGTTGAGAATCTCCAGCATCACTTGCCTGTAATTGCGCAGAATTAATATTGTGCCACGAAGAGCATCAATGAAATGACAAACTTCTTCTTCTCATCTCCATTGACAAATTCGACTCTCTGATCGACGGTGTCGACCGCACGACCAGCTTCACCGATAGTGATGGTGGCAGGTCTCTTGAGATATTTCCTCGCGAGTCTTTCAACGGCAGGCGGCATAGTCGCACTAAATAGGGTCGTTACCCGAGTGCGACCCTTCTTTACTTCCTCGCCGTCGACGTCCATTGCTCCAGTATCCTCGCCTGCCATTGTCTCGCTCGGGAGCTTGTCAAGGATGAACAACAAGTCCGTTTCGAAACCGAGGTGCACCATGCGGTCAGCTTCGTCCATGACGATGTAACGACATTGAGAGAGCACGAGCACATGCCGCTCTAGCACGTCTTTGAGACGTCCAGGCGTAGCGATGATAATCTCGGCTCCTTCACGGAGGTTGAACTGTTGTTCTTCCACTGCGCGCTAAACACATGAGAATCAGTACAAGCTCCGAGACTTGAGAGGATTTGAGACGACATACACCACCGACTATGGACACACAGGTGAAGCCCAGTGGCGACGCAAACTTGCGTGCCTCAGCCTCGATCTGCTGGGCAAGTTCACGCGTAGGGGCGAGGATGAGTGCATAGGGACCGAGGTGACGGTTCTCGTCTGTGAAAGGTGGCATGTTGGAGATGAAGGTGAGCATAGGGATGACGAAGGCTGCTGTTTTTCCGGAACCTGTCGCGGTATTAGTGCATGAGGTAGGATAAACAGGAAAAAGCTGTACCTGTCTCTGCAATACCAATGATGTCGCGGTTCTGCAGTCCGATGGGAATTGCTTGTCGTTGGATGGCAGAGGGCTCTTTGTAACCAATCTTCTCGATTACACCTAATATTTTTTCTGGGATCTGTGACTCTGTCCATGAACGCAGGGGGTGGGGTATCGAACCACCTTAATATTATCGTTAGGGCCTGCGGCCTAACACATAGGGATAGCCAGACATACCTCGAGCAGCAATGCTAAAGTCCTCCCTGAATATCCGCCAGTCACGCTCCCTCATCTCTTCCAACGGCTTCTCCGACCAATGCCTCTCATCAATACCGGTCTTCGCTGCCTTCCTTCTCTCCATTGCATCCGCCAAGTTTGCAGCCCCTCGACCAATCCTCTCACCACCACCATCGTCAAATCCACCAACGTGGCCACGACCAAACATCACCTGCGCACCCTGACGGTTCGCACCAACAGCAACAGGAGAATCGCTCGAAAACGTGTCTTCTTCTACATTCCAGTCAAAGACGAATTTCCGGTCGTTCATTTTGCGGATCTTGCGCTTCTTGGTATTCACACCAAGATAGCGATCACGTACGGCACTGAGGTCGCTCTCAGTCATGGGAGGTACGTAGGATGTACTGGGCTCGGAAAGAGAGCCGTTCCCGTTCCCATTACCGGCGCTATTACTATTGCTTATGGGTGCAGGGGAGGCGGTGGAGGAGACAGGGCCAGAAGGCGGGTTTGAGTTTTTGAGACGATCAGCCCTTGGACCCGTCGGAGCATTGGGTATGTGTTTCGCTGGGGGCTGCGTGCGGCGGTCATCTGGAGGTGGACCGCCTCCTCGACCTCTCCGCCCATGGCCATGGCCATGTCCATGTCGGCTATCCTTTTCGGGATGTCCATATCTTGACTCTCTGTCGTCATCTACATAGCACATCATCAATACAAGTGGCTCGGAATGAGAGGAAATCATACGTCGACCAGGAGCACTGCTGTACCTAGCAGCACGCTCCCTTTCTTGGTCGCGCTGCCGCACTTCCTCAGCTTCACGTTCTAGGCCTTCACGGTCCATTCGTGTCCTCTCATCGCGTTCTCGTTGCTCTTTGAGCTCTCCGGCACGTTTCGCAATAGCGATCTTTGCACGCTCTTCTTTTGAGAGGAATTTAGGCTGATGAACTAAATGAGTATCTCTTGTTTTAATGACACGACCAGACTCGCCTTCGAAGCAGCCTCACGCTCCTCCTTCTGTTTCTGCAGCAAGGATTCTATGGAAAGTGGTTCTGCTCGTGCTGCCATTACAAAGTTCTCCTAGATGTCGGACTCAACGACCTCGACCGTACTTGAGAAGAAGCGTTAGGGTTCCGAATTGGGCGATGGAGCCCTTTGTCGGGGCACGTGCAGCACGATGAGCACGCGCTCATCTATTTCAGTGATTTGATCCAAAGTATCAATCCACCATCGAGCTCTAGGACAGTGATGGCACCCAACGGATTTGACTTGCGTATGCAGTCCCCTCGCCCGGAGACGCCTGAGCCATCATCCAAGCAGGGCAGGCGAAACCCCCAGCTTGATGCCCAGTTGCTTGATGCTGACGGCGCGATTTCTGACAAGGTATGTTTTTACTCGCATTCCGAAATTGCATGACGGTGCCGATTGATATTCATGGTTTCTGCAGCTCGAACGCTGTCTTCGTCATATCTTCGCCAAGTATTGCACACCATCCCCAGCGCGTCCCCTAAATCAAGACTCCGTGACTCTCCTCACACCTCCTGATGGTGCTATTCTTGATACTGCAGGGCTAGACGCGTGGGCACAAGACACAAATGGTGCACCGTTTAGTGAAGAGACCAAAGAGGAGCTCAGAGAATTTTTGGACGTCAATGAGGAAGGCGAGCTGACGTGCGTGATATCCCCGTTCTTTCATGCCTCACGCTCTTCTATCATACATATGTGTGGTCGTGTCATTTGATCGATGCTGATTCTCGCATTTTCTGTAGGTTCAGAGGCTTCGTGCAGATATATCAGCTGCAGACGGAAAATGACGAGGAAGAAACATGGAGAGATCTGGTACGTGCAGCGATTTCTCCAAAATTTCTTTCTTATACGCATCCTCTTTGTTCTGTCAACATCGGTTCCGTTTCATTTCACTGTTCCTCGCATCCTATTTCCATCCTCTCGGATCCTTCATCTTGGCCACTCTGCGTAAAGGGATAAAATCGACTCAACCCTGCGTTCTCAGTCAAACCATGGATTTGATCGTACACTCACCATCGTCTCAACGCGTCGGGAGGGTGAGGCAGAGGGCGGTCATACGCCTCTGATAATGTCATGTACGTCAGGTTGCTCTCATTCCCTATCTGTACGCGAATACCAATCACTTCCACGTAGGAAGATACCACAAAAACGCGTACAACCTTTTGATACGCGGTGAAAATACTAATCACAGACCAACCATGACTTTACGATGCCCATCCTTTGATTGCTTATCTAACTGGAGATACCCTCCGTACTCATGACTTTGTCTGACCTTACGAACGCGACACTCCACATCCCTCCCCCCTGCTGGATGATGTTCACATACTAGACATAATCACATCTAGCGTCTGCTTGTTTTCATTCCAACTGAGTAAGAGAAAATTTAATAACAGAGGTAATTGCACCAACAAAAAATGACATAGCATCAACCGGATGACGACCAATAATCCCAACACCCACATTTCTGATCTTTCATACAGCCCATTGTCAATCTTACTTGATAGCCCCTGTGACCCCATCCCACCTTCCACGCCACACCTCCACACCCTCCCACTCCCCAGCGTCCCATCCAACACCAACACCGGCGCGTCTTAGCCTCTTCTCGGGGATGCGCTGGAACAAAAGTCCCCACTCTTCACCGGCACGTGTAAACGCTGTCGTGATGAGTGTGGGGTCGCGCCTCTCGACGGCAAGGTAGATGACCGGAGGCTTGCTGATCGGATTTCTGGAGGAGTTGGGGGATATGGAAGGGATTGCAGGAGACGATTCAGTTCGGGAAAGTGACGATGGTGGAGAGTGAGCGGGGGAATATGAAAGAGCAGACAGCGCGTGGATTGTCTCGAATAGAGGAGCAACAAGTGCCGTATCATAGATCGTATCGCTCGATACAATCAGATCGAATGGCGGGGCGATGACATCGCGGCCATTATCGTCCCTTCTTGGCAAATGTGCTGACGATGTGATCGACGCAGGATCGTCCCATATCCACCCCGTGGGGTCAACGCCCCAGTCTAGCTCACGCACATGGATATGCCCAGGGACGAGGTGCGCATTGGCATTAATGTTGGTGCGCAGAACGGACGCGCAGACGTGCGCGGTATCCGTGGCAAGGACATCATATCCTAGAGAGGCGAGCACAAGACTAGAATCCACGAAGCACCCGTCACATGAGAGGCGTTAATGAGGGTGAGTGATGCTCTCCACACTCATCCATGGACAATCAGACGCACGCCATGAGGCCGATTCCGCTGCCCAGTTCTATGGCCTTGGGGCGTACTGTATCATACAGAACCGATATATCACTAGTCATTCCAGTTGCAACAATCTTCCTGGATTTGCTCTTGAATTCGGCAGCAAGGTAGATAGATAGGACTTGGGCACCAAGCCATAGAGCCGTCCCGTTGCTTGCACCATCATCTCGCTGGACGAGGTGAAATGCAATGTTTTTAAATGGGTATGCAAGGACAGGGAAGTGTTTGGTGTGGTGAGCTGGTGGGGTATCCGACATGGAGTAATTCGGTTCCAATAGGGTAGTCAAATTTTTGCAATAAGGTGAATAACGATACTAAGTAAAAGTATAGAATGACCTCGTCCTCCCGTACTAATCTGCCAGTGCTATGTCAATTCCATCTCCAGCCTTGCATGTAGGGTGCCATCGGAGTCTACATACATGGTATTGCTACAACAACAGGAGCCAGTTCAAGTCGTCAAAGGAGAAGAGTCACAAAATATGTCAATTGACAAGATAAATGCACCGGGAAAACACTTACTCGTACATCAGCCAATTGCCCAACGAAGCATCGATGGACGTGCAAGTTCTGTGAGAATTGCTCGTGTTGCTTTGAGATCAACGTAGCCAACGGGGGAGCAAATAAAAACCAATCAGGACGTCTTGCCTTCGGATGACTCGGAACAAATCTGCACTTACCCCTCAGGTGAGAGCAACATAGTCTCCTCCAATTGAAACTTTATCAGCAGACCCTCAGGTGGGGTTACACAGTCAGGTTGCTCCTTCTGGGCCTTGATGAAAAGTGCGGCATTTGGACGCGCTGGCAAGCTATGCCAAGAAAGACCAAGCCTGACGCGCAACTTCGCCTCATCCCCTGTATAGAAGAGTAAATACCATATGCGTCCTGCGGAGACTGGTACGTCATCATACGAGTGCGAAGAGATATGAATTGCATACCTTTCGCAATCAATTCTATGCGCATGTTCTGTGCAATGCGCAAGCGTTTCTGGAACATCCTGATCCGGAAATTGGCAGTGAACTGATTCTCGGGCAATCCATCCCCTTCATGCACTTGGATTTCATCTGGCGGGCAACCCAAAGAGCGGTTCAAAGGTTCATCCTTGCCTGGTTGGTGCTAAATGCTCAATGCTCTCTCGGAAAGGGCATGACCAGCGCTTACAATTACTGTTGCCTTTCAAATTCAACTTCATAAATAATGCATGATCGCTCGTTGTCATGCACGCGAGACGCACGTCGGATGCAGCAGCAGACGTGTATCTTGGAATGAATTTGAATAACGCCCAAAGGACTTGTGGCCGATTATTCACGATTGCCCAATACATTGCTGTGTGGCCCTCGATATTGGGTGTTTGCAGGACGTCGGTAAACTCTGCAGCTGGGAGAGCAGCAGCGCAGGCGTTGACTATTGGGGTGATAGAGGCAGGGGTAAAATCGGGAGTGGAGACCATATCACGGATGAGCGATAGAACGGTGGCCCGTGTCTGCTTGATTCGTATCTGGGAAAATACAGGTGGCGGTCTGCATTGGACGGAATCTGCTGATAACGAGGACGTAGAGACTGCGTCGTACGAGGGAGGTGCGCTAGCATCGGACTTGTTGTCATTTGCAAAGAGTTCGAACTTGGTATTCATTGGTGAAGCGAGTGAGGCGAAGATGAAAATAGGGGCCTGCTAATGATGACATGAACACATGCACGGATGGACACAAAGGTAAACACTGGACTCGCAACATTTCACCTTCAGGCCTCCCTAAAACACGTATGGTATTATGCAGTGATCATTGCGCGATTGGTTGTACGGACCGTATGCTTCGGACTGAGAATGTCTAAGGCACGAGAGGCGTGAGATGCAGTCGCCGTTGCTTTTCGAAGAGAGGGGCATCTACCCAGAAGATTGATGCCTCAATATATTGGGAAGATGCCCCTCTCTTCACGCCACAATGACAAGCTTGAAGCTTGTAGGGTTGTTATCTGAGGCCACAACAAGGTCAATCAGTCCCTAGTACTCAAGCTCAGAGCGACTCGTCGACCTCGTCTTCGTGGCGTCAAGGGCCTAGAATACAGTATTTCGGACCTCAGAAGTAGGACAGCTACGCCTATCACTGTCAAGTAAATCTTGCTGCCTGTGCTAGATCAAGGCATATGTTCTAAATCAAATTACCACCATGCAGTTGAGGCCTGGCGTATTCTCTGGTTGCTGGGAATACAGATGGATAGCTGCGTAGTCGTTAGAAGTCCGAACCATGCACGTTCCGAATTACCCATGATTGTCCTACTAATGCTCCGTTCACTCTTTGTGAGCCTCGTGCCGTTCTGCGAATTGCTCCATATATGCGATGAGTTGGTCCGTCTCTTGTTCTGTCACGGCGTTATATATGGACACTCGGACACCTGACGGATGAAATGTCAGCGACAAACTATAGACAGGGGGATGATACTTCATACCTCCTACGGAACTGCATGGAAAAAACAATGAAAACGGGTCATGGACGACACTCGAAGGATGTACTAACCGGTGACCTTTAAGACCCTTCATGGCTCTCTCCTCTGCACCAGCAATGAACTTGCCTAACATCCCTTCCCCAAGGACATCGAAGACAACATTCATCTGACTGCCAGAGCCTTCCTTCACTTTACTTTTAAAGACGCCTTTGGTTTCACCATCCTTCAGTGCATCATAAATCTTCTTTGCTTTACGGTTTGTGAGGCCCGCATAATAGTCCAACCCTCCCAGCTGGACCATGTGCTCAAGAACGAGACCGGTCACGTATATGGAGAGCACTGGGGGAGTGTTGTACAGGCTGTTATGATCCGCGAGTGTCTTGTACGAAAGGCATATCGGAACTGGAATCGCCCCGAGCCTGGCAGCGGCGTCAACGTCGACGATACAATCATTTCTGACGATTAGGATGGTGAGACCGGCGGGGCCAAGGTTTTTCTGCGCGCCAGCATATATGATGGCGTGATCTGAGAGATGGGGAATTGGTCGTGACATGAAGGAGGAGGAATGATCCCCGACAAGAGGAAGAAGTGCATCTTTTGGGAGAAGGTGGAAGGGAAAGGAGGCTGGTGAAGTTTCGTCAGGCGAAAACTCCACGCCGTCCACAGTCTCATTTGCGCAGTAGTAAATGAGAGCTGGGTCCTTGGAGAAGGAATACGCATCTGCAGTTGGGATGTTATCAAAGGCTTTCTTATCTTTAGAAGATTTGCGAGAATCGGCTGCAATGTTGACGCTCCCTCCCATGCGCCTAGCCTCTTCGGCTGCTTTTTTGCTCCATGACCCTGTGACGACATAATCCAGTACTCGGTCTTCGTCTTTCAACTCAGGGTGGAGGAGGCGGTGTCGCGCCAGCATGTTCAGCACGACAGCCGAGAACTGCGTGGACCCACCCCCCTGAGTGAACAAGATGGAGTGCGTGGGCTGGACGTCGAGAAGCTTTCTGATGTTGTGTTCGACGCCTTGTAGATACGTAGTGAATTCTTTGGAGCGATGCGAAATCTCAGCGATACCGATGCCAGTTCCGTTGAAATTTAGCAGGCCTTTGGTGACTTCCTGAAGCACGGAAGTGGGCAGAGCAGATGGGCCTGCACCAAAGTTGATGGCTCTCGATTCCATGATACGAAGACTTCCTTGGAATAGTTAATGTTGTGCGCCGAGTATTTTGACACGTCGAGGTCAAAGAGTAACCTTGCTTGGGGTTAATATGACTCAAACGCTTCACATAATGTCCCTGAGTCAGGCTTGAACGAAGAACACGATCTATGATGAACGACTCCGATTGAAAAAGGCGGAGTTGCTCGACGCAGAACGGTTCTTCCTTCATGTCATGCATTAAAAAAAAAGTGATTACGGCTATACAAACAGTCCAGTAAAATATAATGGAAGAGTCATGGAGGAACCACTGAATTTCAAAAAAAAAAAAAACACTCAAATGCGGGCTTCGCCACCGTTGACCCCATATTCGCCCCGTCTCTCAGCGAAAGCTGGGTCAGGCTTACGCACATCACCGACCAACTCTACTTCTTCATCTATGCCATCTGTATAGGACTGACCGCGGTCAGTTGCGGGGTTGACAGTAGGTAGCTCCTCTTCACGTCGTACTCTCGGGGGGTGTGGCTTATGAGACATCGGTGATGCTAGCGAAGGAAAGTACTGGCGATATGCGAAATATGCAACAGCCAGTCCGAGGATGGCTCCAGCTACAACATCGTGCCAGTGGTCTGTGAAAAATTAGATCAGGTCAGAAACAGGTAATACTGAAAATCGACTAACGTCGGTAGTCCATGGTGCGGGAAATGGCGACCAGGATGGCTCCGCAGATTGGAGTGACGGAAATCCAAGCTTTGTGCTGGGGGAAATATTTTAGTGCATCGCTGGAGTGGAAATCGTTCGTTCACTTACAGTGTGGCCTCTGGTATCGAAAAGGTGCATCTTCCCGGCCAAATAATACGAGAGGAAGCCAAGTCCGGCGTGGGACACTGGAAATATCTCACAACCTGGTTATATGCGTATTGACATGACGACTTACAGCTGGAATGACCGCTAGGGAAGCTGCGCCAACCATCGATCATGATAGATTCGTCGGTGTTTGTGCAGATCGCATCTGTCGAGAGTCCAAAAGTGGGGTCATGGGAGCCTGGAATCGGCATGCATCGTGAAAGCAGATCTACAGGTCCGCGTAAAGATGTGCACGATATGAGGTGTTGCATAACACTGACCTGGACGAGGGCGGCCAACAGTGATCTTTGTGAACTGAGTGATGGCCCCTGTTATTGCAAGTCCCAGGATGACTATGCATTCGTGAGTATTGTCAAGATTTCATATATATATAAAGAACCTACGACCAAGTGCGCTGCAATGGTAATCCCAGAATGACCGAACAGTGAGTAAATTCACCACCAACTGAATGACGAGTGGCGCTACAGCTGCAATGAAGTACAGGGCAATATCCTGTCCACAAACATATATTACGGTGGACTTTGAGGAACTGATATGAAGCTTACCGGAACACGTTCCTTGACTGCAAACCTGGAACCACGAGATCAGGGCGCCTGACGCAGGTCAGAACTATGTTTCAACTCACGGGAAAAGTATGCTGCGTTGATCAAATTAGCAATCATTTTGTGTGAAAAGAGATAGGATCTCACGTTTCATCGTTCACTGAAAACCCCCGTCGAAAGCCGTGGACGCCGTCGAGGGCGAAGAAAACAATCCTGGTGGAAAGCCGTCAACAAAACTGGTTAATTCGTGTACGAGCGGGCGATCTCACGCCAGAAGAATTGTGATAGTCCTGCACAGAGACGGGACACATTATGAGTATGTATGGAAAGTAATATGAAATTGATGGACGGACCAATCTGGAGCATAGGACCTGATTAATGACATGCGCCTCTTCTTGTCAGTTTGCTTGGTAGTCCTATCATAATTTGAGTTATTCCAAAACTTGAGGGAGGCCATCGTTGTTTATCGTAAAATTGCTCGTCGTCAATGAGGGTCAAGGTAGAGGACGCATGGGAGTAGCAAACAAATAAGTTACATATAAGACACCCGGCTTGGCACTTGGCATTAGAGAAAACGTTCCGACGGCACAACTTCTTTTACTCCAATCGAGGTCGACTCGCACACTAGTACCTTCGCACACCTTGTGCAGCATATAACTGTGGAAAATCTGGAGGCACTACACTAGAGCCCAAGTTCGATCACAGCACCGCAGCCGCGGCTGTCCAAAATTCCAAAACACAGCATCACCTGTCTCGATAATTCAGCATGACGTCCATAGAGAGCGCATACGACATATCACAAGACTTTCGTTGGAGCCCAGGTGAACGCGTCGTTCACGCTTTACTCAACAGGACTCACACCGTGGATCTAGATTATGACACAGTTTTAGAACAAATTGCTGATGCTGATGTAGTAGAGCCCAAGTGCGCTCTTCTACCTAACCAAATCCACGCGTGTACGACTCATCGTGTTTCAGGACAGAATGGGACCTGCTACGCGACATGATCAAATACAAGGTGGATAAGGTGATTGAGCTCGTTTGATGTGAGCTCTTTGAAGCTTGACTTCGACACCCAGAATATCGCCCTCTTTCTAGCAGATCCGCCGCCTCGCAATGTAGAGGAGTTTCAACCACTGTCTGAAGATCTCCTTAAACTCGGTAACTTGAAGTTACCACCATTCCCGCTTCGCGAACAGAATGATCTCAACCACAACGAGGTTCCGAAAGTGTACATGAACCAGCAAGAAGCAGACGAGATCAAAGCTTTCATTTTCAGGCAAATGCATGAATTTGATGAGTATGCACACATCTGCGGTCATCGTCGATCTCTAATCGCAGATCGGTTTAGTGATCCTCCTTTCACAATTCAACGCGTTTGTGAGCTCTGCGTACGGCCAAAACAACATTATAAAGCTCTCGGGAAGTATCTTCGAGCGGTGGAGAAATCATTGCTGGTTACGTCCTCGTGGAACGCTTTCCCCGCGGAGTCCAGCCAAGAATTCCCATCAATATCTTCACTATCCATGACAGCTGGCTTACTATCAACTCCGACTACTCCACTCTTCTCTCCCATAGCCTTTTATCACGAAGATGCACGACGCTCAAAGTCACAAAGTCCTCCTCCGTCACCACTAACACTAAGTGGCATGGAATCTATGGGGCACGTCGAACCCTTGGAAGGGATGCCACCCAAAGCACTTGGCCTGGTGGATGAATTGGACGACCCAAGCCCAGGCCACTTGAGTAATCATCCAACAGCTCTTACAGCTGTGACCACGGTGAGCTCGAAGCCTTTCTTGGATAGCCTGGAGGCAAGGTTTGTGAGAGGAGAGGGACAACATGATATGGGGGGCAGTGATCAAAGAATGGCAGACGGAGTAGGGGATAAGGAAAATAAAGGCTGATGATGTGTTTGCATCTGAACTGGGAACAAAAGAGTAAGAGCTGTGACATATACTCAGCGTGAATGTGCGCACCACGATCAACGGGATGCATCTATCTCATTCAAGTGAAATCGCGCTTGATTTTCTCAAGCATGGCGGTCATTCGAAACTTCATATTGGGTTGCCCCTTCTCGTGCCCTCGATCTCCAAAGGAAGCACCGCGCCCTCCTCTGATGTTCCCTCGGTGCGGATTGGCTCCGCGAGAAGGTTTTGAATCGTGTCTTTTAGGATTCGCCTTGTACGTATGAAGGGAATTGCGCGAGTAAGCTTGTCTGCTGAGTTCTCGAAGTGAAATCCCGTCATCCGCTGAAGTACTTGAGGCTGGTCGCTCCTTGCGCTCGGGAGTATTTGAGGGACAAGTGTCTGAATGTATTTCTTGATCCTTGGAGTTTGGGGAATCAGATTCTTCTGAGTCACTGCCATCACGGATTTCGTTATGTGCGGGGGGTGGGCCGCCATCGGGGAGAGCTTCAGGTTTTCGTTGAAGAGAACCTTCCCGTTTTTTCTGGGCTTTCCACTGAGACTTTATCTTCTTGCTCTCGACCCATGACTGCTTAAGCTTTTTGGCTGAACAATAATCTCAGTATAATCATGAAATGAAACTCGCGAAACCCACCTCTATTGATTGGAAGGTGACCAAAAGTCGGAGGCTTTTTGCGTTTAGTTCCTTCCACGATCATCGTTGCACCTCAGATTTTTGACCGGGCACCCGCTGGAGTGAATCAGATGCTGACTAATCACTGATTATCCAAGTTCGGAGCCGCACCACACCTATCAAGCGCATTCTTTCTCTAACGACCATCTTGTCTCAATACATCCCCACTCAGTTCTCAAATCTATCTATTTCTTCACATCGCATGAACGTGCAGAACCTCAACGCTTTCGGTGAGTCTGCTTAACAGATTTTCTCCATAAGCTAGTTGGCTAACTGGGCGCTTTTCAGATCCTTTTGCTGACGAGGGTGATCCTCTCGGAGGCAACCAAGACGTTGGGTCCCAGCAGAATTATCTTCATATCCGTATTCAGCAGAGGAACGGAAGGAAGACTTTGACCACGTTGCAGGGATTACCCAAAGGTGAGTTTGAGGGCTTTTTGCCAGCGCATCATCCTCTGATTCAGCTGTTAACAGAGTATGATCCCAAAAAACTCTTGAAGGCTTTCAAGAAGGTAAGTTAATGCTATGCCCTCCTACAGGTTGGACGCTAACAAATTGTCATAGGAGTTCGCTTGCAACGGCACACTCGTCGACGACGAGGAAATGGGACAAGTCATCCAGCTTCAGGGTGATCAGAGGCTTAAGATTGTTCACTTCCTTACGGAGGAGGGCATTCCGAAGAACACCATCAAGCTGCATGGGTTCTAGTTCATGTCGTTGAAGGAGGTATCCAAGCTTTTGAAGTTGACGCCAATGTTTCTGTCAGTACGGTTCTCCTTTTTCACTTACTCGTGGATATGTATGTCGTTTGTACCACCACCAGTTGTTGAACAATTAGATGTTTTCTCATGTACTAAGTTTTCAAAAATCTGGACTTCGCGTATATTTTCAAAGACATCAGAAAAGATGAAGCAACATCTATAAGGCGTACTGCGTCGAAGTGAAAGTTGTCTCTCAGACGCGGGAAAATGCAACTTATCTTGCGCGAGCTTGAGTTGTGCTACTCACTTGACTTTATCCAGTGGCCTGTTGAATCCTCCACGACTAAGAGAAGGTACATATGAGTGAACGAAACTTGAGATTGCGAGCGTACACGTACCGATTCATGTACTGACGCCATGTCCTTATCTTCTTGATATCGACGGTGCCTTCTTGGTTGCCCTCGACGTGTTTGCCCTGAAAACAATGTAAATCTTAAATCGTAACGAGGTAGAAGACCAACATACCTTTGTCGTACCAAAACCTTTGAGTCCCATTGCAGCCATCATAGCCTCTTCATCGGCGTCAGTGGCATCCATGGTCTCCCCTTCTTCAGATTGGGCATCTGGATCGAGGTTGGGTCTCCTTTGAGAAGAGGAGGGACCAGCATCAGTAGATGGGCCTGAAAATGATGACGATAATGAGAAATGCTACCGCAGAGTAGTATGAATGTAGTCTAACCTGGAGGTGGAGTTCTTGCTTGTGAAGGCTTTTCTGGAAGCCTCTCTGCATCATGCCTGCCAACTGGTTGTCGGTGGTCACGTTGATGCCCTAGGTCCTTGTCTCTTGGCTCCTTGTCCCGAGTGGTAGGCTCGCGCCTCTCATCACGTCTGTCAGGCCGCCTATCATCTCGGCGGCTGTCGCGGTCGTAGTCCTCCCTTCGCGAGCTCTTATAATCTCTATCTCTGTGATGGCTGTCATGATCTTGTCTATCTGGATTGGTGGGATAAGCTGTTTATGTGACGCTGTAATACAACTTCGACGTACCCCTCCTTGGACTGCGGGACCTATTGTCTCGTTTACGACCGCCATCCCTTTGACCTCCAGCTCTGCTGCCTCGTGACGAACGATCCTTCCCCCGGTCACGGTCCCTGTCATCTCTTTCCCAGCTGCGCTCCCGCCTTCTTCCGTCGTGTCTGCTTGACATGATGGTTAATGTCTAAAGTACATGTGATCACGTGGTGTCTGTACTGCACAATTTCTCGTACTCTAATTTGATCGCTCTTGTTCTGCGATGTTCAAGTCAACAGCAATTCGGCGCACGAGTGCTGCTGCACGGCGAGTGGATGGTATGTTCAAATACTCCTATCTTTTACCTTTTTCAGTAGTGTGATTTTTCTCAGAGGGCAGAATACATATACAGCTGCGAGAGCTACCGCGTTCAGCTCTCCCCGCTGACGTGCGCAGACTATGCATTCGCGACAAACTTCTAGGTGTAACAGATGGTAAGTCTCGTTACCTGTAAAATCCGACGCATATAACGCAGTTCATTTCACTAGTCGCCATCGACTACCACCGCTTCCTCCCCACAGGCCGAGCATACCTCACCCTCACTCATCCTGAGCAGTTGTACAAGAACCTACAAGCCCTCGACAAATCGTCCGTGGGAAGTCTACCAATTCACGCCGTGTCAGCCCCTCCTCCACAATCCAACCCTGGACGAGTGAACAGGAACGGAACGCAAGGCAAAGTTTTCTCTGGCAATGGTCCTCATGGCGCTATTCACTCTCGCATGAAGCATGTCGTCATCTGGGGCTTTCCGGGAAAAATGTCTGAACAAGCTGTTGGAAATTATCTGCGTGATTTTCGACTGGATGGTGTGGACGGTAAGAGTGGGGCCGTGAAGGTGGAGCTGTACGTTTAGTCTCATGACTGCCAACCGCGACTGACACATGATTCTACTTCAGGCCGACCAACACATTCTCCTTGTATTCGCGGTACTTGGTTCGGCCTACGTCAACTGCTGAAGCTCACCATGTTGTCCGGCAACTACACATGACATATTATGAGCCAGAACACTGGGGAAGGAAATACCAACTACGTGCTCGTGTCGTATACTGAGCAACTGTATTATCCTTTCGGCTCGGGTTGATGCATCTTATAAATTAGTATTGCATAGTTCACATTTTGATGTCTGTCTCGCGGGCAAGAGTAAGAGTGTAGAGAAATCAAACCGTAATAGCCAGTACGTTCACATTCGTTCAACTTCCATGTCGTCAACGCGTGAACGAAGATGACCCTGCAACATTGTCAATGATTGGATCACCTGAAACCGGGATGAACATACCAGACGACCGTTATCCCCTTCATCATCTGGTGACCGTCCGCGTTTCCGTGAAGGGACCACCGTTTCAGTTTCTTTCCAGTCGCCGCCTCCACCAGCAACAGCACCAGGTCCTTCTTGTGCATCCGCGTACCGTTCCTCCACTTCTCTCCGACGCTCCGCCTCAGCCCTCTGCGCTTGTGCACCCCATCCACCTCGTCCAGGATCATAATCCTGGCGGTGTTCGTCTCGTACCTGACCACCACTCTTCCCCCGTCCAAACTGCCTGCCCTCCTTATAGCCCAGGTCCAAATCACACCGGATGATACGCTCGTCCAGCTTGGTGCCGCTCACGTACTTCATACTGGCAAGGGCTTCTGCATGGGTGTAGTACTCCACGAAGCAGAACCCGCATGGCGTGCTGGTCGGGTCTGAGGTCAGTTACTGGTCGACTGCATATAATGACTATGGATAGACAAACCGTGTGTTTCGGTCAAGACCCATGATAATTCGCTTGATACCCCCGCCGTCCTCCGGGCTGGCACATTTAGTGAACAACTCGTATATTTGCTCTTCTGTGGTATAGAAACTTAAATTACCAATCTATGTGGGCAGTGAGTTATGCTGAGGTATATGGAGGAAAAAACCTCACGTATAGTGTTGTAGATTTGGAGAGGAGGTCATTCTGTTTCGCTCGTTCTATTCTGCTCTGGGAGTCCTTAGTAATTCGAAGGCTGATCCAGAGCCTGAACGACGTGTGCCATGGTCAGAAAGCTAAATGTCAAGAAGACCAACTCAATTGGGAGTTATACATGTAGATGACCAGAAAGGAAAGGGTTTGCCACGACCACCAACGCGTCAGCTTCATCCAGGGCTCGCATCTACACCATACGCCAAAACATTTACTTGACATCATGGAGGACGTAGGAATGGAGATTCAGAAGGAGGTACGTGTCTTAGTGATCAAGAAAGATACTCAGTCTCATGGAATCATATCAGGAGCCTACCTTCGAGTCTGTCGTGACCGAGAAGGCCGCTTTCCATAAAGAATTGCAAGAGGAAGACTTGTATACCAAGTACAAGAAGCTAGCGCGTCATCTGGAGCTCTTCGATATTCAAGAAAGCTACATAAAGGATGAGCAAGCGAATCTCAAACGTGAGCTCATTCGTGCCCAGGAGGAGGTGAAGCGCATCAAATCCGTCCCTCTCGTCATCGGGCAATTCCTGGAGGCAATTGACCAGCACACTGGTATCGTGGGTTCGACCACTGGCTCAAATTACGTCGTGCGCATTTTGTCGACATTGGACCGAGAGCTGCTCAAGCCCTCGTCGTCTGTTGCCCTTCACCGACATTCAAATGCCCTTGTGGACATTCTTCCTCCAGAGGCCGACTCTTCAATAGCTATGCTTGGAAAGGAGGAAAAACCTGATGTTTCTTATCAAGATATCGGCGGAATGGACTTGCAGAAGCAGGAAATACGTGAAGCGGTGGAGCTTCCCCTCACGCATTTCGACCTTTACAAAAAGATTGGTATTGACCCGCCTCGCGGTGTCCTGCTTTATGGGCCACCTGGTGTGTTACTTCTAAGTCCGGGTGGCTGGCGTTCTAATGACTAGTATACAGGTACGGGCAAGACTATGCTTGTGAAAGCAGTTGCACATCACACCACTGCGTCTTTCATTCGCGTGGTTGGCAGTGAATTCGTGCAGAAATATCTAGGAGAAGGCCCTCGGATGGTCCGTGACGTCTTCCGACTTGCCAGGGAGAACGCCCCTGCCATCATCTTCATCGATGAAATAGATGCCATTGCAACCAAGCGGTTCGATGCTCAAACGGGAGCGGACAGAGAAGTACAGCGTATTCTGCTGGAGCTTCTCAACCAGATGGATGGTTTCGACCAAGGAAGCAATGTCAAGGTAAACATCTTCCCAGTTGGATCTCGGTCTTCCTAATTCTTTGCGACTATGACAGGTCATTATGGCAACGAACCGTGCAGACACGCTTGATCCTGCTTTGCTTCGTCCTGGTCGGCTTGACAGGAAGATTGAATTTCCTCTACCATCAAGGCGCGAAAAGCGCCTCATATTCCAAGCCGTGACTAGTAAAATGAATCTTGGTCCAGACGTAGACCTCGAGGATTGTATGCAGACTTCTTGTCAATAACGCTACCACTTTGCTGACCATATCATCCAGATGTGTCAAGACCAGACCGGTTATCCTCCGCAGAAATATCTTCCATTGCACAGGCAGCTGGTCTCCAAGGTCAGCTCAGCTTTTTCTGTCAGCTCCATCCTTAGTAATGGCTCTGGGTCCAACAGCTGTACGGAAGAACAGATATATTATTCTTCCCGTTGATTTCGAGGAGGCGTGGAAAGTAAGTTGTTTGTGCCTTGTTTGGCCCTATGAGTATATAAAACTCTCACGCTTTTTCTCTTCAAAAGCAAACCGTCAAACGCTCAGACGACACTCACGAGTTCTGTGAGTCCTCGATTCATCTATTGCGACAAACAATACTGATTCGCTATCGTCCATCCAGACCGGTAGTATATTGCATCGTAAGCACATTTTGCATTGTTTTGGCGACGCGATGCTGACCTGGACATGCAAGATACCACTGTATTCTACGATTGCAATCACATTTATTCTTCGCCTTCGCGTTTATGTCCGCAAAACCAGAGCTCTGTCACTTTAGCGTCCCTCTGCTTTCATACGGAGAGGCGCTCATTCTTATGAGCGATATAAAATTCCATCCTGTGCCAATTTTTGCCCCACTTGCTTGCCCTCGTGGAAGAGCTTAAGGCTCAGAGAGCAGTGAGGTTCACACGCAGGGCATATCCTCGGACTAACATCACTATCCCTCGCTTAGCTGACTCGGATCGTTGAAGCTAGTTAGTCAAGAGGTGAGTGGCAGGTTATGACTGCGAGGACTATATGCTAATCACACCTAACCACAGTAGCTGAAGCAATATATTTTGTCTGATTGCGTGCGAGATTTATCAGTGCATTCTTCTGATGCTCTTCGACACTCTGGGCGGCGTCGCTAACACACGACCGTCCTCATTTTACAGGAGCAATAGGTAAACAATGACTGAGCCAGTGTGCGCAGCCACCCGCGCACTCGTCGATCCTCTACATTCGAAACAGAGGTCTCGAAGACGTGATTGGGATACATGATGTCTAAAGTACAACATCGGACACTTTTCGTTTGCTACATCTACATGCAAGTGACGAGACCAATGTTGACAATAAAAAATTATTTTTTCACGGGCTGTCCGAGTTCGCTGGCGCGCTTCTGTAGCGATCTGAATTGCACGAGCGATAGGTTGAGCGAATTCTTCCATCTTCCATGGCTAAGAGACCCGCTATCGTGCATCCGCCGGGAGCTGTCAGAAAATAAAGCAACTATGAGCACAATCTATGACTTTGGGTGAAGAGTTACTAACTTGTGACCGAGTCCTTTATTTGAGCTGGATGTGCTCCTGCTTGGAGAGCCATCCGTGCCGCGCCTTGCAGGGCTATGGGAAACAATAAGCCATGATACATCGTGCGACGAGTAGGCTCACTTTGTGCAGCCAGTTCGAGGGCTTCCGCCCGCGGGAGGCCCATCATGACGCCACCGTCCGCCATAGCCTCCAAGAAAATACACGCAAAGGCGGGACCAGACCCAGAAAGCGCAGTGCATGCGTCAAAATGTTTTTCCTCGAGAAAACGACAGCGTCCAATGGACGAGAAAATATTCAAGATAATTGATCGGTCGAGCTCGGTCTCCTCTGATAGTGATAGGTTGCTGACGACAGTCATACCTTCCCGGATCTATGTGCGTGCTTAGAGATCGTTCAGAGGTAAAGCACCAGAAAGACACGTACCCTGCATGGGGTATTGGGCATTGCACGGACAACCCTGGTTGTCGGGGGAACCCATCCAGTAAGCTGGTTTATGGTCACACCGGCGAGAATGCTAATGAGTAATTTGCCAACCAGAGCTTCCTGCATTCCACTTTGTGACAGGATAGCGTGAGCCTGATGAGGCTTGCAACTAGAGATCCATCAGAAAGACGAAATATTCACGAACTGATAATACACACCATAGAATGACAACATCTGCTTGTTGAACAGCTGAAAGGTTCTCGCCGACAAGTACTTGCACAGAAGTACCAAGACCTCCCAAGAGTCCAAATGTATTTTGCAGTTTTTGCGCACTCTCAAGCCTTGTCACAGTTGCATTGAAAAAAGAGGGGAGAGAAGGATCGGGAAAGTCAGCTGTGGGAGTGGATGTGCCAGGCGTATGTGACTCCCACTTGGGGAACTGATGTGTGTTCTGTCTGGACTGCAAACTACTGATCACCCCGGAGATGATTGCGACCCCCATAGTTCCACATCCTAGCAAACTGTTCATGAAACGCTACATCATGATATACAGTCTTCCACTTACCTAGCACACAAAGGGTGTATCCCATGGTAGAGCACTGTCAACTATAGTGATCGCAGTCCGGATAGAAGGAATTAGAAAAAAATTCGAGTCATGATGATCATTTGATCTAAATTCAGTTGTGCCCAGCGCCAATCAACCTGTACGTACAGAAAGAAACGTTGTCTTGCGTCTAATATTGGTCTATTGGGGGAGACCACCTGAAACTACACCCTCGAGGGCCTACCCTCCAGAACCATCTCATGCTCGTATTCGTAACGGTAGGTTCAACCAGGTTCGATGCTCTTGTAGAGGCCGCTATATCCGAACCTGTCCTCAGCACACTTCGTGACTCTGGGTACAATCGCCTCATTCTTCAGCGCGGTGATTCCGACATTAAATCAGAAGAGTTCGATGGAGAGAGTTGTACAATACAGCGACACGGTGTGGATATAGATATATGGAAGTTCAAGCCTTCCATTCAGGCTGAGTGCGAGCAAGCGAACCTCGTCATCAGCCATGCTGGTGAGTCATCTGCTTTCCTCGAACAAACTGTAACCTAAACTTTAGAGAAGGATCGGGGACGATTCTTGATGTCCTGAGGTTAGGAAAGCCACTCATTGTCGTACCCAATCCGACCCTCTTGGACAACCACCAAGAAGAGTTAGCCTCTGCCCTTGACACCCTGGGTCACCTCAAGGCGACGTCAATTCAGTGGGCCTTTTCATTTATCATAACCAGGTTGTCCAATGAACTTGACTGCCAGAGACCTCGCATCAACAATCTCATCATTTGAACCTCGCGATCTAGTTCTGTTTCCTCCCTTCGACGGGAGTAAATTCTCTAAGCTGGTGGATGAGGAAATGGGGTTCATCTAATGCTATATGAAGAGGTGTTGGGTTCATGTTGATGAGGAAGTGGATACTGCACTCAGTACTTGTTGGGTCATGCCTGTTCTTTTCCGATATCCATGTCGTACCCATACCACGACGATAATCCATAGGTGACATGAAACCCGTAAAAAGCGTCACGATTATCGACGATCCCCAAGTACATGAAGACCAACATGTCCATGCCGTATATGAATCAGATTGCTTCTCACTTTTCATCCACTCGGTACAAGGTGCTGGAAAGGTGCTCAAACAATATCTATAACGAATTGACCGTGTCTAGTAGCCTTGGCCGATCATAGCCAAATTTCTTTCCGACCTCCCAACTGGCTGGATTGGCCTGGATTCGGGAACGGGGAACGGGAAATATCTTCCTCTACCTGCAGATCGCCCCGGTAGTATACTAACAATCGGTCTCGATCGGAGTCGCAACTTGCTCCAGATCGCTCGACATGCCGGGAGTGAACCTGGTATTCTGATCACTCGGGAGGTTGTTTGGGGTGATGTCCTTGGGAGCGGTTGGAGATCGGGCATGTTCGTGAGTAATGATGGCTGCTATTCTTCGTAACATGACTTTCTTGACCGATGTCTGACAGGACTATGCCATATCTATAGCTACGATCCACCACCTGGCATCGCATGACCGTCGAAAGCTTGCCGTTCAGGTGAGGGCTACCTTTCACGCAGGGCCTACCACTAACTCGACATGATTTGCAGCGTCTTTTACAGGTTGTCTCTCCAGTCCATGGACGCATGATGATCTATGTGTGGGCCATTGAGCAGGATGAGCTATCCAAACGGTCAATCCCAGCCAGTGACACCGACGGATTGGATCACTACCCTACGGCTGGCGAAGATGTCTTTGTGCCCTGGGTAATGTCTCAGCAGCAGCACACCGCGAAAGGGAAATTCAAAGGCGATGTCACGTCCTCAGCTATATCGAAGCAAGACGCATCAGCTGTTCCAACGTTAGCCGTGGAGACTCCCGTGTACAACAGATACTATCATATGTTTGCGAAAGGCGAACTCAAACAGCTTGCGGTTCAAGCAGCTGAAGAGCTTGGACTCATCGTTGGACCGCAGGAGACTGCATATACTAAGGGGTGCAGAGGTGTTGAGATTATCCAGGAAGGGTGGGAACGGTCAAATTATTATGTCGAGTTGCGGTGCTGGGTATCTTGAATGTCTTATCACCGTTTGTGGAAGTACCTAATGTGAATTACTTGCGCGAGCAAAGTAGTGATATGATACAGTGGCAAGAGACCAGAGCACTGAGCAAGACAGAAGATCACTCGCTTGCTGCCATAACTATCGGCAATATTAAACCAGGATGGTCCAGGGATAAGCCAAATCGACTCACTAGCATTAATCAGATCTCCTCCGCTCTCTTTCAACACTCTGACGGCCTTAGCCCTCGAGCAGTTGACTTGTGCCATAACTAACTCGATGTCTTTAGGATCGACGCCCGTCTCAGTCGACTGGTCCGTCGTCTTCTGGCGCCTCGAGTTCTGGTATATCATCATCATCTTCACCCTCACCGCCTGCACCAGAGGTTTCAAGGTTCATGACACCTGGACCTGCACCGGCGCCAGAAGCAAGTTGCTGAGCAGCAGACATCTGAGCTTGCGAGTTCATGTCCTCAATCTACGGTAACGAGACATCAACATCAGAAGATAGACATCCGCCCATAATACATACCTTCGCTTCACCGAACACGATGTAGCAGTCGCTGTTTTGTGACTTGTAAACATCGGGGGAAGAGAGAACGAACAACACGTTCTTGGGTCTGCGGAGAGTCACGCGGGTGATGTTGGAGACCTTCTTCAAACCCAAACCAAGGAGAGCCTTCCGGGCCTTTCGCTCGGAACGAGACTGAATTTTGTCGAGGGCAGCCTGAGAGGTGGGGTCCTCCTCGTGGTCAGAGTGGTCTGAAGGGAGTTCCTCGATGGTAGCAGACATCTAAGGGACACGTCAGCGCTTGTTCAAGTACATCTGAAATGATCATTGCTAATCCATCCAAAGATTCTGGATTCCACACGAGTAACGTGTCCTGAATCTTTTAATGTCTGAAATGACGCTTACCTTTGATTTTACGAGGATTTTTGGATGGATGTGTACTCGTTGTTGTCAACAGCGAGCAAGCAGCTTCCACCCGGGAAATCGGCATTTGCCGAGAAAGGCAACACCCCGCCCGCACCGCGCGCTCGTATCACGCCGACCCCCGACTCATTGACGTTAACGCCATATTGTTTGTACATCGTTCGAGAGACTACCACCTTCCGTTAGATAAATCAATAGGACGGTGGTTTCCACGGCGTTTCCTTTCCTTCCCTTTCGCTTGAAATGATCTTATGATGAAGTCACGACGTCATGCCCAGCAACTCCTCACTTGAGCGCACCCTATTTCTTTCACTTTCGCCATGAGCACAGAAAAAAAGCAAGAGGTCTACCACGAAGGTTCCAAGGTGTACGATGCGGCTGGGGCAGCAATGATGACCTTCACCCCTATCAACCACATTCACCAGCATCTTAGTGCATTCCACGTATACGCGTGCGCATATCGCTATCATGTTAATTCTTTCTGCTGAAAACCTCTCAGACAAGACCGCACGCGTCCTGTAGAGGCTCACCATTTTTGTGGCCGCCGCTCGAAGGATTTTCATCAGGTAGGGAGACTTTGAGTGCGTGCGATAACCCGTTTTGTTCATGGTTCATTAGTGCGTAGTCTACGACTCCGACGCGCCTGATGCTAGGTTGATCGGAATCGAGTACATCGTGTCTGAACAGGTACCCAGGACATTTAAGCAATAATTCGTAGTCCTCTGATTATTCTACAGATTTTTAACTCGCTCCCGGAAGAAGAGCAGAAGTATTGGCACTCTCACAAGTATGAGGTCTGTCTTCTGGCCAGTATTGCTCCCTCTACTCAGCTTATACATTCGCCAGGTGGAAAGCGGGGTTCTTTGCCTTGAGGTGAGCTTTGGTGGTGCACGGGAGAATAATTTGAATAATAATTTCTGTTAGACGAAAGGCATTGTTCCCAGTGAGTAGCATGAAGTGTTTATACCACACCCCGTCATAATTTTTTGTAGGTGTCATGAACGATACTGCCGAGCAACCAGCTATGCTGGAATTGCATCAGACTTATGGCAAGGCGATCCATACGTGGGCTTTCGACGAGTTTCCCGAATTGCCACTTGGACCCCCTCAACTTATGATGTCTTACACTGGTGATAACCAGGCCAACGACGAGTTAATCCGTCGCCGGGATGAGCGCTCCAAGGTCTCGTCATCGGCGAAGAGGAAGCTGCGTGAAGGTTATTTACCGCCGTATGAGAAGCATAACAAAGCGGATCAATGGGAAAAGAGTGATACAGGTGTAACGTTTAAGGGAGAAGAAGTCCAAATTCAGAAGTAAGCGACCGTCATCGGCGTACGACTTATATTAGTAGGCATGTAAATCTGACAATGTGTTGAAGTCAAAGTGAATTAATGGAGAGCGCTTGTGACGACTTGAAGTTTATGTAAAGCTAGTGATAGCCTAATCTCACAAAGGTCACTTCGCTTATGTCGATAACAGCTCTGTCCCACCAGGTCCGCATAACATTAGAAGAACCTTCCGACGATGCCCGACTAGAACAAGCTCTCCAGGCTGTGGACGAGTTTATCCGTGAATGCGCTACATCTAAAGAGCCAGATGTTTTACTCTTCCAATTGGAAGAGGAACTCCAATTATTCCACAGCGATACAATTACCCACAATTCCCTCCAGCATACCGAAGTGCTGTTGACCGTCCTATACCGTTTGCGCCCCTTGTTAACATCAACTTCGGTCATCTCTACATGGTTCGACCTTGTTCTTCGTCCCGCCCTGCGAGAACCACGACTCTCCACTCCGGCTGTCAATCATGCCAAGGAATTAATTATCTCAGCGGCAGACAGAGGAGACGAAAGGTATCCAGAGAAGGTGGGCGAGTTTCGACGTCGCCTCCTTGACCTTTATGTTCTAGACGCATACAATGAGGGGTCTGGTGATGACTTGCTGGAGTGGGCGGAACTCGACCAGGATCAGAGGGAGAAACGATCGCTGTGGAAGTTCAATCTAGAAGATGTCCTCGTGAAGTCTGGGTTGCGTCGGCCTCAGGTATTCCACAGATACAGTTTATCTTCTCCAGACGTGCTGAAGAACAGACTTAGGATTTCATGTCCGCAATAAACTATTCCTTTACAACGCCGTCGTCCCGTCTACAACTTTTGATCCTGCTAAACCGATATACTTCAGAGCCCTCGTTCCAGTCACTCGCCGCAGCATTCGCCGATCATCCATTGTTAGATAGCCTCCTCAACTCACTGCTGCTGGACAATTCTTCGACGGTGTGCACCATTGGTTTGACTGTCATAGTCAAGCTTCTCCCCATCTTTGCTGTAAAAGCATGTGAGGAGCTGAAGATGCTGCTTCCTCGTCTTCTTGCAATTCTTGCAAGAATTATATGCTGGAAGGAAAGATCAGTTCCGCAACCACCATTTGAGGAGGAAGTTGATGATCCAGACGAAAGTTCTGCAAACAACGGTGCGCAAGAACCAGCGTGTAACGAGTTCACCGCATCCTCCAATCTACCCTTGCGGCCTGAGCTTGGTTGGGAAAGGCTTGAGCTCACGTTTAATGCCGCATCTTCCGCCCCGCCGCCTGGGGCTTATTTTTCCTGCCTCTACTATCTTTTCCCATGTAACTTGCTTCGATTTCTACGTGGCCCCTCAGCGTACCTTAACGATAGAGGCTATGAATCGCCCTTCTCCATTAGTTGGGAAGATGCCCTCGATGAGGACAACATAAGGAGTAAATCAGAGGTGTGAAATTATCATTGGTTTTTTTATTCTTATGACTTAGTGCAACTTGCAGTCGCTTTTGCGAGGAAGAATCGTCAATTCAAGAGTCATATGGCGAGATTGGACAAAAGAGCTCACGGAAGCCGATACGTGGGCGAATTATAGCGTCTCTCGCATCGCGAGCGAGTGCACGATGCTTGACGTGCGCAATACAGCTCTAGGCAGCAAGCAGTTCTCTGTTGACATCGCGTCGGCTGCTGCTGAGCCATCGATCCTCGGGTTAACTACCATATCTGAAGGAGACACTTCAACGTCACCGACACCTCACCCTGGCTATGCGGAACTGCCAGGTACGAAGACCCGCGTTTCATTAGAGAGCATGATCACAGCATCCGTTGCGCTCAAATCCAATCTGGACGTGGAGATCGAGGCCCCGACGGCCGCCTGGTCGTCCCTGTTGTTCCCTCCAGGGAGCAATTCTCCGACAAAGCGATCGTTCAATATGCCATCAGAGCCACATATTTGCAACGAGGACAAACTTCCATCTCACGTTGCACAAGCACTTTCTGGTCTCCAGCGCGAAGTGCTGCTCCTGCGCAATGAACTAAACTTTGAGCTTTGGCTTTCGCGCGAGAACGTGAAACACATTGGACGCCTCTACCAAGATCGGATTTTGTCCAAAAACGCAGAAGTTGAGCAGCAGGGGCTGGTGAGTGTTTTCGTACCCGCATTATTCGTGTGCTAATCATCATGTAATAGTTCAACAAGCTACGCCACTACCGAGCCGAGGTCCAGCGGTTAGACCGCCAGCTGAGGGAACACCGGGAACAGTCATCGTCCGCAAAAAACAAATATGCTGATTGGAATACGGAACTGCAGAATAAGCTGAAAGAATTTCGAGAGGAGAAGAAGGCTTGGGTCTCTGAAGCTGCTTCGCTACGGACGGCGGAAAAAGAAGCTCAGGTAGAACTTCATTTGATACTACGATTGCCTACTAATTCTTACCCAGGCTCTTTTCGCTGCTCAAGGCCAATTGCTCGCAGATGCGGTAAAGCAAGTATTTGAGCTCGAGACTCAGCGGAAGGAAACCCAGCACAAGGTCGACCGCCTAAGGGACTACGAGCGGCAGATTGAGCAGCACATTCGCATGCAACGTCTTTGGTTTGGACTTTTTCATGTTCGGTTCCGTCCTGATATTCACTGACTGTTTGTAGGGATGCGGACTTCCAGAAATTCAATGACCGTGCTGAAGAGCTCCAGCAGCTAAGAACACAATTCAAGCAGATGGAGCTGCATCTAGAGAGCTATCAGAAGACATTCGAACAAATGAGCGAGGATGCTCGGTACGGGGGTTTTACCTGCTTTACATACATACTGAATGATATTGTTGTAGGAGCCATCGACGACAAAACCAGGCATTAGAAGCCCACCTTTCTCTACTTCAAAAGAAGTGCGATGCCTCCCGACGCCTTCCCGAAGCTGAGATAGCGGCATTTATGACGGAGAAGTCTGAGCTCGCCACAACCAACGCCAGGCTGAGGGAGGAAAATGCTGATTTAAAGGACGAGATGGGGGAGATGAGAGCGAGGATGGAGCTTATGAAGGCTCGAATTGATGGACATAAAGGTCTGATTGCGGAAACGCGATCGATGCCAGCATTGTGAATCCCCGACTGGATGGATTTTGTTGGCACTGGCATGGATCGTTGTGTCGGTGACCACGCCTGTAGGATGTTCTGCCAGTCGACGGTTGTGTTTATATTGAAACTATGTTACACCAATTACTTTGCTCCGTCATCAATGAAGGCATCGTTAGAGATCTAGCCTGTGACTAATTCCCGAATACCGTCATCTTTCAGCTACTCACACCACCGCCAAACCACCGGCTGCTTCGTTCCTTGGCATGCCAGTATAGTCTGGGGTCCACGTTCCCGTCGTCTGGGATTCATTTACGGACGTGGTCGTGGAATATCCTGGTATGTATCTCTACTCCACCCTTGTTCATAAACTGCGTTAAATTCTCACCAAACATTCTGTCCGCGCGCATTGGTAACACAGAAGCCATCGCTACCCTCGATGACTTCTCCGTCTCCGGATACACCATCTGCTCACCCGTAATATGGCCCTTAGAATAGGCTAAACCGAGCCAGACCAGGATCACGGCCTGAGAACGGGGCCTGCGATGCTTGAAAGCCAAAGGCGACGGCCCAGACCGTGGCTCATAGTAAGCACATAGGACTGCGAATATATCACCACCTGACGGTGAGGACGGTGAGGTTGCCAACTGCGATGTCTTTCTAGCTTTTTGACTCGTCGGTATTTGTTACAGACTTCCGTCACTACTCGCCATCTCCTCCGTCCTGGCTCGTCCAATTACTACAATTGACCTCTCATAATTTACATAATACACTATGCCCGTCATACCACTCACTGGGCTGAAGAACTCTTTGAAAACTGCGCATCTACTCCAGGCTCGGCGGCTTCCGCTATCCAAATGGAGGCACTGAAGAAGTTGACCCTTGTACAGTTGATATACTGTGGAAGGGTACGCCTATCCTGCATGGGTAACTCCTTATTCAAGTTTCATGGATGCGTATCCTCTGCAATACCACCAGCTTCGCACGATAGTTGAAAATGAGCAGCGGCTATTTGTCGTACAACATTGAAAGCGCGTAAATTTGTGTAGTAGTTGGCGCAAGGGGGAAGGAGCAGTGGAAAGATGGCTGCCACCTACTTCACGTCTTTTCGCCATCACTGTTCTTTCTCCTCTTGTGGCCTCTCAGCCTGATACAGTGTCTGATGAGTAGTACCAATGTGTCCTGACTCCATGCCCAACACCACACCCTCCACGCACTCGAGCATCTCCATTCACCTACTCGCGAACCTCCCGACCATCTGGAATGTTGGTATCTTGGTCCTCACATCCCAGGTTACCAACTCTTCCGAGCTTCTTGTTCAGCTCCCAAGTACAATGTGAAGCACTTTGTTTTCGCTCTTTCTGATCATCCAGCACTTTTATTGACCCATTTGCAACGTAACACATGCGAGAGAGAATGGGAATTACTAAACTTGTGTGACGACAAATAGTATCTAACGTTTGTCTAAGGTAGCGACATGTCCATCTCTTTCCAAAGTGTCTCGTGGGTAAAGTGAGTAATTGATACTCGTTGCCCATCTTCGAATGCCAGCACTTCATGGGGTAAAATATGTCCCCGTACGAAAATGATAGTGCCAGGTTCATAAAACAATAGTAAGTTTAACCGGGGAATCCAGAGCTGACCCTTGGTAAAATCACCAAGGGCGACCAGGGCTACCCATGCTCTAGGTGGGGCTGTGCTATCAGGATGTAAAGGAGTTTGTTGATTGAACTGAAATGATCGTCCTTCCCATAGGATGCCATCGATAGAGTCCATTGCCCGTACATGAGGGTAGCGGGCACGGAGAGCATGTCGTAGCTTCTGCATGGCATGATACTGCGGGGGATCCAGGGCCTGTAAAGCGGAGTTGAGCCTTACGTTAAGGTACTTGAGGTCGTCTATCAATGCAGACGCCAAGGAGAAGTTTCGAATTATGTCTCGAGAGATGACAGGGCTCTCTTTCTAACACACCATAAGTCTCAAAAATACAGCGGACGGTAAGAGACTTACCGAATGGCCTACAGCATGCCACGCAGTCACGAGTTGTATGTTGCCAACCAGCTGTCCTTCGACGACTCTATAGGACTCCTTCGTGTTTCTCGTCTTTTTGTCGGCTCCCGCTCCCATAGCTAAGGGGACTAAACTTCCGAATTTCATCACGGCGCTGTACAGCTTAGCATGTCCTCTATCTTGTATGATGGAAGGAAGGTGCAGAACGATGGGAATGCCTTCAGCGCCGGTACCCAACCGAGGCACATCAAGCCATTCACGTTTGCACTCTGTCGATTCGTTCCAATCCGCAGGAGCTTGATATCTCGGATGCGCTCGAAGTGAAACGTATCAAATACCTCTGACCAGTGACAACATTGCGTTAATTGGGTTGAGAAGAAGAAAAATAGAAGAGAATCCAAGTTCCCTGACCTGTATTCTTCCTTGCCTCGGCAACGGCTTTCTCGATCAGCTTTGCAAGTCTCTTGTCGTACTTTGCAGCAATGGCCCCGGCTGACCGCTTGTGCTTCCTCTTTCGAAGAGGATGTGAGTCGGTGGGCTGCTCCCCTCCATCACAGTCTGGACCAGCCGGCTGGGCTGGCATAAGGTCTTCGGAACCTGAGGATTGGGCACGGACATCCGTCTGATCACCGTCGATATTCATGGGGACATCACTTGGGCGCATTTTTTGAGCGGGGAACAGGTTGCGAATTACGAAACTCACCCGATTTAATATTCCTCGATCCGCACTTCGCCCGTCGCTTCGGCACCACTAGTACTAATGGGCGTTCAAGTTCTCGATAAGGTCAACTGGTTACTGCATTGACGAGTGGTGCAAGAGAGTTGCAAGACTGCAACAATCTGCAAGTGCCAGGAAACAAGCAGCGGTGAGTCCGACTGTGTCACGGTGTCGTGCACGTAATTGAACCTGCAGGTGACTCTGAAGTATGTTCCGCGTGGACTGCAAGTGAGTATCCTGAGTCAGACCTTGAAAGAAGGAAGACAGTCTTCTTTTCGTGCGTTCAACTGCTGGACTTAACGATTTTCAGCTTGAGACGGGGCCCCTCAAGAGTTCGAGAGTTCGAACGTTCACAGCGACACTGACTGGCAAAACAGAGCAGTCAAATCTGTGAATTATTTATGTAAATTGGAAACTCGTGCAAAGGTTGGCTGCGAAACCGTCACGAATTTTTTTGTCTGCTCGTGTCTGACGGTCAAAAAATGGATCGGAGTCCTCTGCGTCGATGCCGGATCGTATTCGAGTCCTTTGGCCAACCTTCAAACCTGCTAACTAAAATCCCATAGGATGTTCAGCGGCTGGTGAGGTGTGTCATTCCCGTGGCACAGAACATGTTCGTGTAGTGGTCAATTGAAATTTATTCAATTATTGTCTGCACTGGCGTCACTTACCAAGGACCTCAGGTCACGGTGGTCAATGCGATTTTGAGTGCATTGTTGTCAGTCGCTTCAATACTCAAGGCGCCGCCACTGTTCTGACCACCGCATGATCAATCCACAGGCCCTCATGTGGCGATTAACACTACCCGTTCCATTGTCCTCCGACAGCGCGACGGCGCTTTGGGTGCCGGAAGACAACTACAAGATGGTGCGTCCACAGCCCGCTCCAATGTACTTAAAGGACTCAGGTCCACAAGCTAACCATTAAGTTCGTTCCACTGAACACTCCCTGACAGAACAAAACCTTCCCCCCCTGTCCTCAAACCCTCAATCATGATTACGGACGGCTGCCTTCGTATCAACGAATATATCACCATCCGACTGGCACCAAAGTTGCCTCCAGGATATCCGGATGTTAGCAAAGGTACACCAGTATCACATCACCAACATACCCAGCGAAGGATTCCCCCAAAATTCGAACGACTTGATAAGATTCAGCAAGAAGCAGTCCTTCCCGCCAAACTGCGACGGCTCAAGCGCCGTCAGCGAGAGTCTCAGTTAGCTGCCGTCCCAGTCGCGTCAGGAAGCCTGTCTACCATACCGCTGAAGCGCAAGGCCGAAGTTGACCGAGCAGACACCCCTCGGCTTATGATCAAAATCCCTGCGTCGAAGCGACGGGCCCTGCTGGTTAGGCACGATTTGGAGAATGCCGCTAACAACATTCCCTCCGAGACAATTAATTCGGACGTCAATTACTCCCAGCGCAAGGACGAGCCGGTGGGGGTGGCTACAGTACTTCTAAATCTTCAGGCTGTGTCGGACCGGGAGGCGTCTCAACCTCGCGCGGCCGCTGCCCCTCAGATGTTGATGCCTGCTCATACATCAAGGTCCTCCACTCCACTGTGACTGTCACTCCAATACGACCTGGATGTGCTCTACTCCCACGCGTTCGATGTTACGGTTCGTATTTCATGCATTTTTCAACGGTTGTGAGCTGACTCGATATGTCATAGAAATATTTGTTGTGTATAGATGTAGAAAGTTTCGGTGAAGAGGTTGGGGAGCTGAATATGTACCATACTAGACTTGTGTGGAGCACTTTACGATACCTTTACGAACAATGCATGATCACGTCTGTTTCAAACGCGATGGACCGTGCAAGCCTTTCAGACGCTTGGACTTTGTTGCTTGGTTTATGCTTGGATTTTTCGTACCGCTTCGCAATGGCTCGCAGGTCGACTAGTACTGGTAAGTGGTTGCCCCTGCTAGTTTTGTACAATTTAATCCCTCTAATTCTGGCTCTGGCTCTCCATGCTCCTCATCGCGCGAGCGTCATCCACCGCGACGCAAATAATATTCCAATCGGGAGATTTGCAGATTAGTCTTCAGAGTTCGACTTATCCTTACGTGCCCTTACATTGATGGGGGGCTTGTGTGCACTACGATGAACCGGAGGTCGTGAGCTCAGTGGAATGGTGCGCGGAGTTACTTGACCATTGCCGCGGTCGAAGCGCTCCCAATACGGGCTTGTGGGTTTTTAAGCTTTGAAGGGGGTGAGGTCAGATGAGAAGACCACCAGGAGAAGAACGTCAGATAGGCCTTCATGGATTTTGGGGACAAATTTAATTGACGTAGATGTCACCCCAGAGCTGATGAGACGCAGGGATGAGACACGTCTTCCCTCTGACACAAAGTGATTTAACCACTCTCGTTCCCGTCTTGTTGTTCTTGATCTACATCTTGTGGTGAACGCATTTCACCGTCGAGCTCAAATATTGGACAGGGGGGACACCTTCCCTCCTATATTGATAATGCACAATTGCTATCACTGGTATACAGGACTCGCATCTAGATAAGCCTTTATTTTGTGCAACAAACGTTGCTTTTGATCGCCCGCGTCAGGGCACCCGACACCATCAAACACTTACATCACCGCGAACTGTTCTACAACGCCCTTCACAAGCTCCACGTCAGGCCTTTCAACATCAATCACGCGGCGCTCCATCGTCAGCAGCGTCTTGAACGCCTCTGGAAGCACCGCGTCAAAGTCGAAGCCAGGCACGCCAGCCAGCGCGCTCGTAACCGCCTCGGAAAACTTTGCGGGGTGCGCGGTGGAGAGGATGATTTGGACGGTGTTGGGTGGGGGCGAGAGGGTACCTGCGACGTGCAGTCCTACTGCTGTGTGTGGGTCGGCGGTGTAGGATTTAGGCGTGGAAGTGTAGTACTCCCGGATTGTTTGACGAATCTGCGAGTGTGTCGTAATGTCAACTTAGCTCACGTTATAAAATGTATGAGCGCACCTGATTGTCATCGACTCTCTCAGCCGTGAAATCCCTCCTTGCCACCTCAAGCACTGAATCGGGCACGACGATGCGCCCTACAGACTTCACATTGTCCATCCAGTCTTTTACCGTTTGGCAAGCCTTCTCGCGCAAGTCCCCTCCGGGGTTGGTGTTCTGTACGTTCTCGAAGGCCAGGTACCACAACAGGCGCTCGAAATTGCTCGACACGAGGATATCCATGGCAGGCGAGAGTGTCTCTACCACTCCTCCAACCGCGGCCGAGGACGAATCCGAGTCCACCTTCTCATATCGCCCCGTCTTCCAGAAGCGGGTGAGGATGTCGTTGGCGTTGGTGGCGATGACGAGCTTAGCCATCGGCAGGCCCATAGCGCTTGGCATAATAGCCTGCTAAGATGTCGCCGAAGTTACCAGTTGGAACTATGAATTGGAGCTCAGCGTCGATAGGGAGGGTGCGGCGGATGGCGAAGTAGGAGAGGAAGTAGTAGACTGTTTGGGCGAGGATGCGAGCCCAGTTTATGCTGTTGACGGCACCTAGGTGGTGCTTCGCGTTGAAGGCGGTGTCAGCAAAGAGGGCTTTGACGATGTCCTGCCAGATGTGGGTATGTGAGTAAGCTATTGGTGCAAGAATTGGATATGAAACAAGCGCACCTGACAGTCATCGAAGGTTCCCTTCACGGCAATGTTATGCACATTCTCATCCGTGACGGTCGTCATCTGAGCTTCTTGGACCGGACTGACGCGACCCTTTGGATGCAGAATGAATATGGACACATCGGGCTTGCCCCTCAGCCCGTATATGGCCGCGCTCCCAGTATCACCACTCGTTGCGCCCACGACGGTCAGCTTCTCCCTCTCCTCTCCAGGAGATTTTGCTTTATTGCGGCGCTGGAGGAAGTAAGAGAAGAGGTTGCCCAGAAGCTGGAGAGCGACATCCTTGAAGGCATATGTGGGGCCATGGAATAGCTCTAGGACGTACTTGCGGCAAGGCTGGTGAGTGGTGAGTGGTTGAAGCGGGGCTATATCAGGATGGCGCCATGCAGAGTCATTGTACGTGGCATGGACGAGTGCGGAGAGATCTGATGCAGAGATTTCATCTGCAGAGATGAAGAGGGAGAGGATCTCGACTGCTAAGTTCGGGAAAAGTCTTTTGGGCCCAATCTTGCTGCCAGTTAGCTGGAAGCTGTGGGATGGATGCTGGGATGTAGAGCCCGCCGTCTGGGGCAAGACCAGCCAGTACTGTCTGTTGGAGATCTGAATCAGTGGATCGGGTGTTGGTGATTTAGCTTACCTCCTCGAAAGACAGCTCTGCTAAGCCTCCACGGGTTGAGAAGTACCTCATTGCGGGTAGAGATGATGGAGTCCGATCGTAGGCTTTGTACTACATATATGATCGAGTCACAGCGAACATTAAAATGATCTGATCGTCAGTCATTATCATATCAGATAGGCTGCGAGTCTACTTAAGTCTGGCCGCGATATCAGGCTGCCGTGGTTCGAGGTTAAAATCTTACATGAACAACAAAGTATGGACTACAATAAATGACGTTTAGAGTACTAGGCTATGTCGTAGGTAGGAGACTGTAAAAGGGAAGTGGTCGAATGTTCTGGAAGATTTGATATTCTGTCCATCGAAGGTTCTCGAATATCAAAAAAATCAAGTACTTAAGACCATCGCGATAAACGCGTCGTTGCTGTAGGCATTCCCCATCTTTTCCCCCATAGATCTTTCTTTCATCCTCCATCACCTCAATCAGTGAGCTTTATTGTTCAAATCATCTGACGCGTCTACTTAACTAGTAACCTTATCCCTCAGGTACAAATGGCAACCGAGAGCTTTGGATTCCAAGCTGAAATCAGTCAACTCCTTGACTTGATTATCAGTTAGTCTATCGTATCTTACATACCCTGCCTCATGTTAACCCTCTTATCTAGATACTTTCTACTCGAATAAGGAGATCTTCCTTCGGGAGTTGATCTCCAACGGCTCTGATGCCCTCGACAAAATTCGTTACGCCTCCTTAACCGATCCTTCCGTTCTCGAAACTGAGAAGGATCTCTACATTCGTATCACCCCAGGACAAGGAGAACAAGCTCCTCACTCTTCGTGACACTGGTGTTGGTATGACCAAGGCTGACTTGGTCAACAACCTTGGTACAATCGCCAAGTCTGGCACAAAGGCAAGTTCTGCAATCATTCCTGTTTATTGATTTTCTAACCCATGCGATCAGGGTTTCATGGAGGCTCTCAGCTCCGGTGCCGACATTTCTATGATCGGTCAATTCGGTGTCGGTTTCTACTCCGCTTACCTCGTCGCCGAGCGTGTCCAGGTCATCTCAAAACACAATGATGATGAGCAGTACATCTGGGAGTCTGCTGCAGGTGGTACTTTCACTATCACCCCTGATACCGTAAACCCCCCTCTCGGACGCGGTACCGAGATCCGCCTTTACCTCAAGGAGGATCAGACCGAGTACCTCGAGGAGAAGAAGATCAAGGAAATCGTCAAGAAGCACTCCGAGTTTATCTCATACCCCATTCAGCTCGCTGTGACCAAGGAGATCGAGAAGGTATGTCGGTTTGATGCCCTTGACTTTGATTGTGGCTCATCTACTTTCAGGAAGTTGAAGACGAAGAGGAGGAGGAATTGAAGGAAGAGAAAGAGGAGTCCAAGATCGAGGAGGTCGAGGACGAAGAAGACAAGCCAAAGGAAAAGAAGACTAAGAAGATCAAGGAGCTTGAGACCACCAACGAGGAGCTCAACAAGACAAAACCTATCTGGACGCGTAACCCTCAGGAGATTACTGCAGATGAGTACGGCGCCTTCTACAAGTCGCTCACCAACGACTGGGAGGAGCACCTTGCTGTCAAGCACTTCTCTGTTGAGGGTCAGCTTGAATTCAAGGCGATCTTGTATATCCCCAAGCGGTCAGTATCTTTCGTTCATCTTGAACGTACTCTCCTGACTTTGTTCCACAGCGCGCCCTTCGATCTCTTCGAGACCAAGAAGAAGCGCAACAACATCAAGCTCTATGTCCGCCGCGTTTTCATCATGGACGACTGCGAGGACCTCATTCCTGAGTACCTCAACTTCGTCAAGGGTATTGTCGACTCGGAGGACCTCCCTCTGAACATCTCCCGTGAAACCCTCCAACAAAACAAGATTCTCAAGGTCATCCGCAAGAACATCGTAAAGAAGTGCATGGATCTCTTCACCGAGATCGCGGAGGACAAGGACAACTTCAACAAGTTCTACGAGTCTTTCGGCAAGAACTTGAAGCTTGGTATTCACGAAGACGCCCAGAACCGCAGCAAGCTCGCTGAGTTCCTCCGCTTCTTCTCTACCAAGGCGCTCGAGGAGCAGACTTCGCTCAAGGGTGAGTGCATCCTGGCGTGCGCCGTTAGAACCACTTTCTTACGTTTGTTACAGATTACATCACGCGTATGCCCGAGGTCCAGAAGTCGATCTACTACTTGACTGGTGAATCCCTGGGTGCTGTCCGCGACTCGCCGTTCCTTGAAGTGCTCAAGAAGAAGGGCTTCGAGGTCCTCCTTCTTGTTGACCCCATCGATGAGTACGCCGTTACGCAACTCAAGGAGTTCGAGGGCAAGAAGCTCGTCTGTGTCTCGAAAGAAGGCCTTGAACTTGAGGAGACTGAGGAGGAGAAAAAGACACGCGAAGAAGAGGCTGCTCAGTTCAACGACCTCTGCCAAACCATCAAGGAAGCTCTCGGTGACAAAGTCGAGAAGGTTGTTGTCTCCAACCGTATCACCGACTCCCCATGTGTTCTCGTTACCGGCCAGTTCGGTTGGTCATCGAACATGGTACGTATTGTCTTTGAAATGCGACGTTCATTAATTATCATTCGTATGTCTACAGGAGCGTATCATGAAGGCACAGGCTCTCCGTGACTCCTCCATGTCATCATACATGGCGTCCAAGAAGACGCTTGAGCTCAACCCTTCTAATGCCATCATCAAGGAACTCAAGCGCAAGGTCGCTGAGGACAAGGCTGACAAGTCTGTCCGCGACCTCACCTTCCTCCTGTTCGAGACTGCTCTGCTCACGTCTGGGTTCTCACTTGACGACCCCACGTCATTTGCCAAGCGCATCAACCGTATGATCAGCTTGGGTCTTGACGTCGATGAGGAAGAGGAAGAGTCGGCACCCGCTGAGAGCTCGAGTGCACCTCCGCCATTGGAGGCTGTGTCGACATCGGCGATGGAGGAGATTGACTAGACGATTGTATCTTCTGTACTTTAGCTTGCATCATATCATGGTAGTCGCTGCATTTTTTCCCGTCTTTTGGTCGCATTTACGAGACAATAGCTAAAAGTCCCCTAGTAGTTCACGAATCAAAGCATTTCACTCGCAATCCTCCTGTGTGATCTTGTGAACTCCATTGGGAACGTCTGATGGATCCTATCTGTCTTGCCCACGAGTCATAACAACGACAAAAAGTTGCAGTTGCCAGTGGACTGGTTAAGTTAAACCTACAGACGTAACTGTAATTCTGAACACACCCACCATCAACACCCATCCTCCACGTTCAACGTTCACCCATCACTTCACGTTTAGTGGGTGTAATCGCCACATTAAAATGGAACAGGGTCGCTTCGATGAAGCGAGGTCGAATGTGACGGCAGAGAATATTCCTTCACATATCTCTTCACATGACTCATCAGGGTGTTGCATTGTGGGGAATCGGCAGGTATAGTACAAGTAAAAATATTTTTCGATGGTTTATCTCACAATCAACGATTAGCGGACTGTTGGATGCTGGGGCAAGCCTGGCAAGGGAAATTTATCGAAACGGTTCCCATCGAAGCGTGTGGAAGGAAAGCGAGTCAGGTTTCCTTTTTAGGTAAGCTTAGGAGCAGTGACCTCGAGGCTCAGGCGCACCCTAATCGCCTGTTTGTTTCCAGCTGGGCTTACTTTTTCCATTGTTCCCTTTCATTTAGTACGACAATAATGGTCCATTTGCCTTGCACTGGCCAAACATAAACATTTGCCACGTTCTTTCGTCTCTGTATCATTATTTGCTCTCAATCGACACACCAGCTCAAGCGCCCCCATTGTCCACAATCCACGGTCTCCAGTTTCAAGAATGCCATCTATAATTGCCCCATCCCCGAGACGCGTCGCAAACGCCTACTTTCAAGACGCGTTGCAATCCCCTTCTCCAAATCCCGAGACGCGTCACTGCCAACAAACCTCTGTAGGTCACCCAGTAATGATCCAGGTCTCACGTCAAGCTAATATGCATGCGTCAGGAAATCGCACCGTCGCGGATGATTTTAAGTCCGCCGCGACTGTTGTCGCCCATAACACTCAACGAACCTCGTTTTCGGTCTATGGTCAGTTCCTCCCGTAAAATGCTTTGATTCAAACAGGCGCTGAGATACATCTCCTAGAAATCAAAGTCACCAATGCCTTGTGGTGCTGCGTTAAGGCGAGGGCCTACCCGTGCCACTCGCTCGATGAATAAACGTCGTCGATTCCCTCCTCACATCGAGTCCCCTCTCGATGCAATTGGGCGCACTCCCATGTTTGATCGTCTACCGTGGATTTCCACCATGGATTTCCCCCCACGATTCGATCTCTGCGATACTGCGGATCTGTCTCAACTGCCCGTACTAAGCGTTGAAGAACCCACGTTCTCAGACGCGATCCCTGCGTCTGGACCTGTACGCCGTCGCAAGACATCACTACGCTCAAACCCTTTGGGAAATAATCCGGAGTCAGAATTACCATCAAGACAACAATTTCCTTTCCAGTACCCCAGCTGTGAACGGGATTGTCCCAAGACTCCACCACCTAGGATTCCATTCGACCCCACGCGAGTCACTTTCCACGATCTCATGCCAGTCTTTCCACACGGTACTGGCAAGTATAGCCCATCGTAGACGCGTTGACTCACGCGTGGCCACACGTTGACGTCGTCGTCCGATTTTCTACCATCTGCAAAACACTTGTACGCCATCTTACCTGCATCTTCCTTGTAATAGCGAGGATTACTCGCGCCCATCACCATCTCTCATTGCACCATCTCAACGAACGCCATGTATCCTGCCACGAATCTGCTCAAACATCCATTGCACGATCTTTATTTTTTCGCTTTCGCTACGGACCATGCTCCGCCTGGATCAGCAATAGCTGTTCTTATGGCTTTCTCTGTATTCGATTTGTACTCCCTGCTCGGACTGATGCATCGCAATTCGCTCATCTCTGCTCGTTTGTCCTGCTTTATCAAGGTCTACTTCGATGGTTGCATCTGATATATTTGTTACTATTAAATCTGCACTACCATCTTTCGATTTCTTTTCTAGTGTTATCGTACTTCGAGTTCTCATGATACTCTCCTGCTTCGTCATTTAGCTGCATATCATCTTACCAGACAATACATGTGTCTGTTTCCACCTACTTATGTTCAAGTCGAATGTCCCTTCGGACGACGGAGGTCCGTTCGCCGTCCTAAAGAGAAATCTTACATAATCACCGGCCCCACGTGCTACCAACTGTACAGTTGCATCTTGAATTATCCCACAGCATCCTCCCTGTAGATTGCACATCGCAAACCATAGCCAAAATCTTAATCTCGCAATGGAAAACGACCAGGTCCGTATTGACGTCGCCGTGCTGCATTCTAATCTCACCATTCTCCTTGCTTAGGGTGTTCTCGTCGACCTTTATGTCCCCCGCAAGTGTGCGGCCACCAGTATGTCTTGAGCCATACACAGTGCTACAGCATTAACCCATCCATTGTTTAGACCGTCTGATTACGTCCAAGGACCACGCTTCGGTCCAGATCAATGTCGCTGATGTTGATGCTAATGGTCGTGCCCAGAGCACTTACACCTCGTTTGCGCTTTGCGGACAAGTGAGATCACAAGGGGAGAGCGATGACTCCGTTAACCGGCTAGCAACGAAGGCGGGCTGTAAGTCTTGTTCTCTATGAGGCATACGTCTGGACTGATGGGTTTCGTTCTTACAGTGCTCCGGAATGTGTGGTCGTACCAAAAGTAAACGTCGTTGTGTTAGACCGTTCTTTATATCATCATTTCACTTACTCTTTTCATGTTGTGGTATAAACACTTGTACGCCTATATTGAGTGCAAGTAAATTGGCCATCCAGTGTTTAGCAAATGAAACTGCCAGTTGTGATATTGCTGTACTTGGCAAACTGCGGCAGGACTACAAATGGAGCGGAGTATTCACACTGAGTCAATTACCTGTCAATATCACATTCCTGCAACACGCAGCACGCAGTCTGAATAGCAACTATAGACGAAACTGACCCATGTTTGTGGGCCAGAGCCATCGCCCTTGTTCCTCTGACGGTTCCTTGTCCTTGTCCATAATTTCAGTGAGTCGCTGTTGAGTCCACTTGTGGCCCTCTTTACCCAAGCCCCTCTCATTAGTCCGATTCCATGGTCGAGATTCAGCATACCCAAAGCGAGAACAGTAGTCCTTCTGGAGAGGAGGAGAGCAAATACCGCCTTCTCTACAGTAAATCCAAGGTCTACGTTAATCCAACCGCGTACGCCAGAGATAACATCCCGGGTTTCGTAGCTCTTGTTAAGCGCGTGAGCTGCCATGACAGTCTTATCTCATATTTCTCGCTTATGCGTGTCTGCCATCTAGGAAGCTGTGAATCCTACATACTTGCTTGCATGGATTCCAGAGACTTTGCTCAACGAGAAGGGAACCGACGAATGGGACAAGTTTGTGAAGATTGAGGAGAAGGCGACTCTGGACGAGGAGGACGAAGGTTCGCAGCTTCTTCTTTAGTTTTAACCAAAAAATCTCATGCCATTCGAAGATGCGGTTTTGATTGATCTTCCTACTCAAAGACCAGAGTCCTATGCATTCTCGGTCCCTCTGACTTCGATATACTCTCTTCTTGTTCATCCGCCCACCCTTTCATCATGGTGTACGTTTCTATGTTGAAGACTTTGGCAGGGCTAAACAAATCACTAGCAGATGGTACGATTGGTATAAACCTCATCAACAGTTCGACGCTCCCAACGCTTCACTTCCACGATGACGAGTCGCTTTCGATGACGCTACCGTCTCGACGTACTAGGCGTAACTCCACTAGTGCATACCCTGCTTCCACGTCTTTACGACCATCTTCTCGACCCTCGACTTCATGGGGAGGCGAGGATTTACTCTCTCGTCTACGATCTTATGCCCACCTTCTCCGCTCCACCTTACAGCCTTCATTATTTATCGTTGACCCATCTAAAGCTGACATAGACACGCACACCACTCAGTTATTTGACGATGACGCCGTGGACGATATCCTTGGGCAATCATCCTATGCTTCTTCACATTCACCTGTACCTGCTCACAGGCGACCGCGTCCATTATCTAATGCCTCTTCAAATCCACCTCCCAACCCATATTCCACTCGTTCATCCGTTCTGCATCGCTCTCTTTACCCGCCCTCCATCTCTACTACTCAGTCCAGCTCACAAGCACGGATGGCGCTGCTGCAATCCTTTTCAAATATCACTAGAGCAACACGCCACGCTGCGCAAAACATTCTTTCACATCCTCTCGCTAAGCCAATCGTCCCGCACCTCCCGGACCCTGTCAGGAGTCTAGTCAATGTTAATGGCGACTTGGAATGGGGTAGTTGGGTGGAGAAAGGAGGCGTTGGCGAGTTTGAGAGCGCAAGGGTGTATCTTGCTCGTTGGGCCCGCATAGTTGCTGAAGAAGGCGATCGAGCGCGTAAACGAGAGGCTCAGGCAGCTTCCCTCCTCCTCTTCGAATGTAGTTGAGGAGATATCTCCGTTGGGTGTGTTCGAGCTTCTTCACTCTACAATCAACCTTCCCTCTCCCAAAACGTCTCGAGACCCGGCACACCCAGTAGACGAGGCGCTTTGGGCGAAGTGGTTTGCTGCAGATGGACGGCCGAAAGTCAGGCTTGAGGAGATGCGGCGCCAGGTTTTCAGGAGGGGCATCACACCTCATGGAACCCTCAGGAAGAAAATATGGCCCTTCATACTCGGTGTCCACGAATGGGATATCACTGGTAGTGAGAGGGAACAGAAATGGGAGGAGAAGAGGTGAATGTTGCCTTCGCTACCAAATCCATGCCTTCTGACCCCTTCTGCAGAAAGCTATATAACCAGATCAAAGACGAGTGGTGTGGCGTGCCTGAGGTCTTTGACCGATCGGATGTCCTCGAAGAACGTCATCGTATTGATGTGGATTGTCGTCGCACAGACCGCACTCAGCCACTCTTCTCCACCGCCTATGAGGATGCAGATGTCAACGGCGGAAAGGGGAATGGGAATCGCCGGTACACGACGATCTCTCCTCAGATGTCGGACATTGGTGCGCAATCTCCCAGTAATGAGCACATCGACCGTCTCGCAAGCATTCTCCTCACATACAACTTTCATAACAAAGAGCTTGGTGAGCGCATTTGTATTATCCGTTCATATGCGGTATTCAATGAGAGAATAGGGTACTGTGCAGGGGATGTCGGACCTCTGCGCTCCTTTGTACGTTGTGATGAGTTCCTGACGAGAGAATGACCTTCTGGTGCTTTGTGGAGGTAATGAATCGCATGGTGAGTGCATCTGAAATTTAATGATGCTTCTGTCTCTTGATCTTTTCATCAATAGATTCAAAACTTCCTTCGAGATCAGAGCGGGATGAAGAAGCAGCTCTCGACGCTCCAAGAGCTGATCAGTGTCATGGATCCCGATCTATATCGACATTTAGGTCACTGAGCCCTTATTCTGCCTTCATAGTCGTCTGACTCTTGTCTGCTGTAGAAAAAACTGACGGTCTCAATTTGTTCTTCTGCTTCCGGCAAGTCTTCAGCCAACTTGCTTACAAGGCATTCCTGACGCTGTTTATTCCAGATGGGTCCTCATTGCTTTCAAACGCGAATTCCCCTTTGACGACGTTTTGCGTCTATGGGAGGTTTTGTGGACGGACTATTACAGCAACGATTTCGTTCTCTTCGTCGCCTTGGCAGTGTTGGAGTCCCATCGGGATATGATCCTACGATATCTTGTAGAGGTAAGTGTCCTGATTACCTGCCATGAAAATTCCTTCCTAACCAGGTGTTTGACCAGTTCGACGAGATTCTGAAGGTGAAATCCACGTTTATTAGCCTTGCCGAAAACTGAGTCCAATCTCTTTAGTATTGCAATGAGCTCAGCATGACCATTGAACTCGATTCTACTCTCGCCCAGGCCGAGGTCCTCTTTCTGTCCTTTGCTCAGCTCGTTGCAGACATTGACAGAAGGAGAGCGGAAGAAGCCACTGATTCCACGACTAGTGTGCTACGACGACGAGGGACGACTAGCTCCGAGGGAAAAGCGTCTCTGTCAAAGGTAGCCATGCCTACTCTGAGCGACAACCTCAGGGACCTGTTAAAGGCTGGGCGCTGAATACTGCATATCGAACGAGTGCGTCTTGGTAGGACATTGGTTTAGCACAGCATAACATATTGTATCGCATACACGTGTATAATACCTTTGGCTTCGCAGGTACCTCGTTTGAATCTGTCACCCCCTGCAATGCATACTCCTGTACACATACATACCAACTTTCCAGACGCTATGAAACTGGAAGGAAGTTCCAATTACCACCAGACTCAGAGTGAAAGGATGGAGAAGAAGGCTATAGCTTACGGCGTCTGGCATGATTCAGAGGGCGGGGAGACTGGTAGAAATGTCATCCTAGACATGAGTTCAGGAACCCAATCACCTGGAGTGCGTTTTGACCGTGACGGTACCGATGCCGTGGTCTTCCGTCTCGTAGAGATATCATCGCAGGTATAATTTGCTTTCTCACCAGACAATGATCAAGTTATTTAATGACAAGTATTGGTTGTATGAGTACGAAATGCTACACATGGTCGTGCACTCGCAGACAAACTTTGAAGCAATGAGTAGTTTATAAGTAAATGCCTTAAAACGCATCTCGTAACTGTAGGATGGCCCAAATGCTGAGCCAGAATTAAATTTACTGCCCGTGGTATCTTTAAGTAAGGGGAGTCTGAACATATTCTTTGATAATGACTGGATTAATTCGAATCGCTAGCGAAAATAAAAAGTCAACCATGGATATGTGACCTAACGCGAAGGACTCACGGGGCCTCTGCATTTTCTTGCTCCGTGAAGAACGCCGGGCCATAATCGATGAGAATCTCAGATCCAGGGTCAATGTTTATGGCTGCGTTTCAACATCAGCATTCGACCTCCCGAATAACGAGGAAACGATCTAACTGGCAAAGATTCCTATACGATGCTCCCCATTCACAAGGCGTGCTGTCGGAGGCTTGGGTTAGTCATTGAGATGGGCATCAAGATACAGACATTACATACCAAAAGCACGGCAATTGCACTGCGTTTCGTTGCTGGCATCAGTAGGACCCGAATGGTTGATGAGCCTGGACGAGTTGCCTACGCGCGAACCATCCAGGGATATCGATTCGTTAAGACCAAAGACATAACTTCGTCCCCGGTGGTGTGCGACCTCTCTGTCAAATCTGTGAGCTACCGTCGAAACTTCGCGGATGAACGTCGCTCACCCGCGGCTGTCGAATGTCATTTCGTAGATTAGCTCCCCGACGTACTCCACGATCAAATCGCCCTTTTTGGCTGGCTCGAGGAGGAATACGCCTAAGCCCCATCGACTTTCCTTGACCTCCAGAGTCTAGAATCATTCGTCCAGATTTATTCATGCGATTTGAGACGCTGAATATCATATACCTTGAATTGCCCTTGTTGAATTTGGGAGTTCCCGCAGACGCTTGTTTCCGGGTCTTCGGTCTAGAGTTAGATCCAGCCCCTGCTAATTGCCACGCAACATACCTCTGTCGAGTGCAAGATATTAAAGCACGAATCACTACTTAAGAGATAGCCGGTATTACGCACCGACATCCGCATTTTACACACAGCTCCGGATCGCACTCGCGTCGAGCTTCGACGCAAGGGCATCGCTTTACACTCCCACAGCTCATTCTGTTGCGAGTTTTTGCGCAGCGACAACCTTTCCATCTTCGAGCACCTGGTATATGGTGGCATTCAGCCTCGTACTGGTGGCAATGTACATATACCTACATTTGGCGGGGCAACGGCAGTTCCGCTGGCAACGAGCATTGTTCTTGAAACATAGACAGTTGGACGAAACGTCACATGGCCCAGAGTGATAGCAAGGTTCGTTCCTGTGAAAAGCATCCAGTACAATCTTCGATTTTGGGGCATTAGGGGTACACACGGCGTGAACTTGAGCGGGTCATGATCTATCTCGTGTGGAATCAAGTAATACGTGTCCACATGTATTCATCCCTACCTTGAAAGTCTTGAAATCGCAGCCTCTCTTTGTGTTCCCCATTCGGATGCTCGATTTGAGGCTCGTTGAGATCAGGACATAATAATCTGCGATAATAAAGGACCTGAGCCACAATCAGACCAAGAAAAGCCCGTCAATCATGTTGAACAACCTCGTGGCAAGGTTTAAAGCATAGTTCAGCATGGTCACAAGGTATCATATCTGGCTCGATGTCTAAGATGGTCTTGAACGAATTGATGTCGTCTTCACTCCATCGAGGGTGTAACTTGAATTCAATATGAACATATGTATTGCTTCAAGGATCGGAAAACTCGCCTCGATTGTCCTGGTCTGCAAGAAGCAGCCAGCTTCGCAGGGGCGTTCTACACGTTTCAGTAGCTCTGACAGCCGAATGGTTGGCTTACGGGGTGGCGGCATGGGGTTGAATTCAACTGTGTATCCTATTGATTGGGCATCAAAATGGAAACAAAACTCGAAAGAAATACCATGAACGGTGCACAGGGACTCAATACAGTTGAGGTTAGGACAAAACAATGCGTGGGCGCGCCCAAGCCGATATTGAAGGTTACTGTGAGACGGCAATGAAGGGGAAGGAAAGCTGTGGGAACAAGGGATTATGGTTCCCTTCCATTCGAGCAGATCACTGTATATTAATTTGGATACGAGCACGCAAGATGATCGGATACCCATACCGACGATGACTGAGGGTAAACAGCCCCGGTTTTCCTGGAGTTGAAAAAAGCTTGAAGGGAAGCATCCCCGTGTTATCTATGTCCTGGTAGAGTAGACTGTGAACCGTACGGAGGCGGTAGGCTGCCTCTAAGGATATAACTTCTACTATTCACAAAAATGATGTTTCGTCACATCCAGAGTGAACGGTAGGTACTCACAGTCTGGATCATAATCATCCTGCCACGCAAAGGAGTCATAGCACAGCGCATGATCTACGTGGTCGAAAGTTGCATCATCTGCGTATGGCATAAATGCCATCATATCGTCATCGTCTCCCCTAAAGATATTCCTTGAGATGGGAGAGCAAGACTCATATGGTTTGTGTGGCTCAAGCAGCTCGGCGTGTACTACCTGAAGTGATATCGTCGAAGTAGATATTGGAGTTCCGTCCTCTGAGTAAGAGGTCACTGCAACCAAGCTTTTCGTGTCTCTGTCCGGACTCCCACCGACGTTACCGACGATGTTGAGAGGCATCTTGTCGCCATCTAATATAGGAACATGTAACGGTGAACTTCGTTTGCCGTGGGATAGAGAGTGGAGAATATGCTCGCAGTATTTGACTTTCCAGTCGCGAAACTCGGTCAGAACCTCTGCAAAGACTGATTGCACCAGCTGATGAATTGGTGAATCGTCAGTTGGCTGCACCATTTGTTCGAAAAGTAAGTCGCTTGTCTGCACAATTGGAGTGACCGGCATTTGAGTACTTTGCTAGCAGTGTGTGGTCGAGGGGAACATTTAAGCTTGTCAAGACATTAATTATGTCACGGTCACAGCGTTCATGGGTTGTGACATACGCGTCTTTGTGACTGCCAACTCCCCTAATTGCACCGTAAGTACTACTTGAGAGGTGATCATGTCCAGCGCCAACTTAACAATTTTTCGCGCGTACGCGCAGAAGTCTAATCCCGCGAGTCTGCCACCATCAGTCCTTCTCTCACATTCCGAGACGTGTTTGACAGTTTTTGACGCATTTCCGAAATCGATCTTCCATTTCCTCGTCATACCTCGTGTCAGGCCGCCCTTCAATGTGTACCAACTCGCTAACCTACGTTCATTGTTCAAATGCGAGAAAAGTAGCGCAAAGGAGCTCCTCACGGATCTAAGCCGAGAAGCGGACAATGTCAAAAAAATGATTGAAAGCGAGATGCTCAAGAAATACGGATTCAAGTGGGAAATATGGATGGGCTTCCACGCAATACCTAGCATGGAGTGAGTCTTGGTTGCTTGATCTCCTGATGCACTCGTATATATACATTTCTAGACACCTCCACCTCCACGTACTTTCTGCTGACCTATGTTCCCCGAGTATGAAGTTGAAGAAGCACTACAACTCTTTTCATCCACAACTCGGATTTTTCATTCATTTGAGCGATGTTCTTTCATGGTTCGATGCAGACCCGTCGTATTATCAAACAGTAAGTCGTTCATTCTTCGCTCCACTGCGTTGACTGCTACCACGACTCTAGATTTCTCAGCTCAAGAAGAGCGAGTATGAGCCTTTACTCAAGGCCGATCTTTCTTGCTGGAAATGCGATCACAGCCTTTCCAACATGCCTAAATTGAAGTCACATTTGCAGGAGGAATTCGACAAAATGACCGATCGAGAGAAGGCAAAGGCAGGGAAAAAGAGGAAATGCGCCGATGATTCCATACAAATATCTTCCCCACAAACGTCATTGGACAATGGCGAATCAAGACCAAATAAATTAGCTCGTGAGAGCGAGGAGGAGCGTAGCGATAATTGAGCCTCGCTCTTGTGTGCGCCAATCCAGTGAGCTTGGTTCTGTCATTGACTTGAAATTATTTGTACCAGATGTTGTCTGTAACTCCAATTCCATGATATCCCGACCTTTGCGCGAGACATCATGTTGGATGAGGTGGTACTAATATCATCCTTCAAATTTCGATTTCACCGACGAAATCTATTTTCGCGAGTCCGGTCCGCTGAGGGCTGTCATGGGATGCTCATGTGCTCCGCCTTCCGACAGATATATAATCTGGCTGTAAGAGAAACGAGCCGACATTGACTTTTACATTATGGCACTTTTCACACTTCGTTGGGGGATCATCTCCACCGGTTGGATCGCAGAACGCGTTGTTTCGGTAAGAACATATAACATTGTGTCATGATTGGGCGAGTTTGTGACCCCTTTTCCCCCTCAAGGATTTGCTTGTTGATCCTACTACGTATGTGCGCCGTGCTTATTTTCTCTGAAATTGATGCTCATGATTGTCCTCAGGCGTGGTACCAATGATGTGGTGCACAAAGTAACCGCTGTAGGCTCTCGAAGCGTTGAGAAGGCGCAGAAGTTTATTGAAGAGTTTGTGAACGGCGACAAGACCGTGAAAGCATATGGAACGTATGACGAGGTGTATGCAGACAAGGTTCGTGGGTCAGCTTCGTTGAGTATGCTTTGCCATTTGACACCATTCAAGAATGTAGACGCTATTTATATCGGTATGTAAGCTTGACTTATCATGACCATCATAATAATTTATTTTCGACTTTACATAGGTACACCCCACACATACCACTACACCAATGCTTTGGACGCACTCAAGGCAAAAAAGCACGTACTATGCGAGAAACCAGTGACCTGCAACGCCGCCGAGCTGCGCTCACTCATCGCAACGGCGAAAGAGAATAACGTCTTCTTCATGGAGGCATTATGGACGCGTTTCCAGCCACTCGCAATGGAAGTCAAAGAACTTATCGACTCCGGCGCACTTGGCCTGCCTGTGGTTGTGCATGCTGATTTCTCTAACGACTTTGGCATCAATAGTAAGTAGCCCTGCTCGCATCTCAATATCCCTCTGAACATGACTCCTTGTAGACTTGCCCCTGACTCATCGCATGCTCGATCCCAAGCTCGGTGGGGGTGCGATTCTTGACCTGTGAGTGTGATATGTTCCCCTCAAGCTGCAGTTTATCCTGAAGTCACACAGCGGACCGTATCCTCTAATCTGGGTATGCGTTTTTGACTACATGACATCCTCTGCTTATGATTTATTATACAGACAGTTCTTGCTCTCTATGAACACCCCGCCAATAAGCGCACGAAACCTTCCAACGTCACCGCCACAATGTACAAAACACCGATCACGGGTGTCGACTGCAACACTTCATACATCGTCACCTTCTCTCCCAACTCTAGTACAGGCTCTACTCTCGCAGCACAGGCAGTCCTAAGCTGTAGTATGAACGTAACGTCCCACAACCCAGGGGTTACCATCCGCTTTGAGAAAGGGACTATCGTCATCGACGCGCCCGTACCTTGTCCACTCAGGTATACTGTTCAATACTTCCAAGAGGGCCAGCCAGGCAAAATCGCGCGCGAGGATATCCGGACGTTTGAATACGTTGGTTCGGGCTGGCATTTCCAAGCCGATGAGGTTGCACGATGCGTCAGAGATGGAAAGCTCGAGAGTGAGCTTTGGAGTCATGACAAGAGCATTTTAGAGATGGAAGTTTTCGATGAGGCGAGTTTGCATAATTGGGTTCACTGTCTAGGCTTTAATCTGACCCGTGTCGCAGGTTCGCCGCCAAGGAGGCTACAAATTTCCTGACGGCGTTGAGAAGGTGGTATAGGATCGTCATCAAATCAGACGGCAGAGAAGCCAAGAACAACAAATTCAGCAAGACATTATGTAGGTTACACACACGACCATCTATACTATTATACAATGATTCGGAACGATCTCTTCGCCATAAAGTCCCGACGCAGGTATGTGGTTATCTCATTCATTCCTCAGCCTCACCTTCCTCTTCAAACACTGTGGCAGCAGCTTGGCTTGCTGCGAGCCTAGCGGCGCGAGAACGCTCGCTGGCCTCGCGGATGGCCCACGTAAGTTCATATGTCCTGCAGGCATCTGCAACGAATAAATATCAAACCGTGAGTGAGTGACAAGTATATCTGAAAACACACCTTCGTAGGAGCTCAAGATCTGAGCAGCATCAGGATCCTCTTCGATGTCCTCGATGATGTCGATCCAGTTGGATACCTGAGTGATATGTTTGCTTTGGGCTCATCTTCAGGGATATCATCACTTACTTCGGAGAAGAATGGGTCGTCGTCAGGGAAGGTATACATTTGTTCGTGGTCGTCGCCGGGCCTGCGGACGTACAACATAGGTTGGACATAAGGGTTGACGAGTCTAAGGCGATCATGAGCAGGCGATGCAGTAAGTTTGAATAGGAGCATACTTGAGGGCGTAGCCATCGGCATGAACCTCGAGCTCACAGCTATAGTTGTGCCCCTGGAGGGTCGCGGTGTGAATGAAACTGCCGACCGCGCCAGAATCGTATTTCCTGTTACAGCATCAGCATCTGGCTTATTGAACGTAACTACCTATATTCACCAAGTGGCTGCGGTAACACGAGGAATCCTGTTCTCCGGGGCAATCTTGCTCTCGTCGATGCGCACCTTTGAGAGATGGCCGGCATTCTCGTCCCAATCAAGGGAATGTGCGGTGACAGAGGCTATATCGACTTCCCCACCGAAGTACCGCGAGAGATCGCAGAAATGGGTTCCTTGCTCGATAACGGGACCAGCACTGATTAATCAATACCAGTCAGTAACTTACCTTCTAAAGTAGAAGACGACTCACCTCTTGGATTTATCCCACCAGTCAGGTTTCGCGATTGACTCGTAAGCACATGCATAACGAGCAATTGTTACCATCACAGTAAGATGATTCTCCTCGATGATCTGCTTCATCTTCTGGACGGCTTTCAGGTACCTTAGCATGTACCTGTACAAGGCAGATTCATTTCTATTGTTGAATGAATTGTCAATAGGCGTACCCGACAGAGCAGATGGCCTTAGAGTCTGAGATTGCCTTTGCAATCTGGAAAGACTCGTCCAACTCGTGCTTCGGACCGGTCGCTATCGGTTTCTCCATGAAGATAGCTACGCCAGGGAAGTGCTTCAAAATTTGCATCTCGATATCGCGACCCGGCTGGAGGGTCCCGCGGAACATTGGAGGAGAACCGACGACAATAGCGCGCGGGCGGTCCGCAGGAGACATGTTCTTAACAAAGTCCTCGAGGGTCCTGAACACGCGTGTCGCCCGGTACGCCGATATGACGAAGGAGTCACATTTCTTTTGGAGTACGGCAGTTGCACGCTCGATCGCGGGATCGATGAGGGCGACGACTTTGAGACGAAGACCGAGCTTACTGCATTTATTTAGGCGGCAGTGAGGATGGAGACAAAGGGGGGCTTACTGCTCGAATCGGAAAGAATGGTTCCAGGGTCCCTCATCGGATCCTGGGGTAGCGGGGATGAGTCAGGTACCCGCACGGCACTGACATGATACTAGTGGAACTCACCGAACATGATGTTTCCAGCTCCGATAAAGACAACATTGAAATCATCGTGGCCACCGACGTGCGTGGTTCTATTGGGGAAATCTCAGTAATCGGATCCTACTATGAAGGAAGTGGCAAGGGCACTGACTTGTCCATCGGGATCAGCCTCGATGGATCGATAGAAGGACGTCTAGATGGAATGCCAGACGAATATCCCGATCCACGCCGGTCAGTGAGCCTTAGTTCTGAGCCCCGACGAGAGGCGGGCTGTTTTGAGGAGGTCATCTCAAGGGTTGATGAAAGTCTACGTGTGGAGGACATCCTGTCGGTTTGAGATGACAAGGGGAGAATGTGTGGAGTATTGCAGGGCCCGAAACTTGGACTCTTTATAGTGTGGAGAAGATCGACCAATTAGTAATAAGTTTTCAGATGTGGCAAGACGAACTAGAACTTGGGGGATTGCAGGCAGTATGACCGGTACACACACATCGCTGCTATTTCGCACCCTGTCATCGGGACCGTGAACTGATTTCTGGACATCGTACCATCATGAGCGTGGTGTCATTGTCATGCACGTTCGGACCATCAAGTGTGCACGCTTCATGTGTATCTCATCGGTTGTAAATCGGATAGAATGTCTAAATAATGCTTATAACAAACGACAAGGCAACGAGAGCAAAAATGTGGGAAGGAATGAGGGGTATCAAGGGGGTGAACTGAGTAAAATAGTCCATTTAAAGCGCGTCTTGCCATGCAACGTGAATGAGCGGGATCGTGATCATGACCGACCGGGTTGTTGCTGGAATCTGCTAGCTAACTCCTGACGTTTGCGTTCAGCGGCTTCTAACCGAGCAGTCATTGCTTTCAACTCTTCTTTCAACTTCTCGTTCTCCTGTGTCAGTTTCATCACGTTACTTGCACGCTTCTGAACTTTCTCGGCACTGTATAGGGTTACCATGACCGACTGTCCCTACTTTTAGGCAATCATGGATATGATCCGACTCACTGTGGCTCTGAAAATTTGGAAAAACCCAAGATCGTGTCAAACGAAAGAGTGAGATCAAGTTCCGCTGCTGGAATTTCTGGGAGAGTGGGAGAAGGAGTCTGAGAGCGAGGGTGCCTTTGAGAGGGTGGCTCAAGGCGATTAATTGAAGGGCTGGGACGCGGTTTAAATGAGCGAATCGATAGACTCGCTTATGCTCACTTTGCCGCACCTAGAACTGTTTAACTGAGACGACGAATCCATGACTTTTCGAATAAAAGAGAAGAAAGTCAAAGAATTAATGTCTACAACAGCCACAACCCTCGAAACCAATGACGGTATATAATTCTCACGTAATATATAAAAGGAAATTTATTCTCAGGATTAATTGTTATTCGGGGTTATTACTTCAGTGGGTGAATGACATTAACCTGCTCCCTTCTTGCTTAGACCATTTACTAGCCTTTCTGTTCGCTGGCGCTGTCGTCGACGACGACCACATGCCCAATCTGATGTCTACCGTCATCGACGGTCACGACGTGCTAGCGACTAATGACCATATTCTAGGCCATCATGACTCTCACACAAATGACGCCGACATTCACGACCTCAGCATCCCGGGTGCTCACTTTCACAACTCTATTGCCAGCAGTATCCCTGTATCTATTAATGGTTCCCACAATGTGTATTATAACTCTTACGCTGATTCTTCCTGCGCTTCCTACCCGGACATCGGTCCATATCCCTACCCCTTGCAGCAAGGTCATGTACCGGATACTCAACTCGACCTTCAATATATCCTAACCTCGGATATGTCACATTCCCACTCCAATGATTTCGTACATGACCATTCCCAGTTGCAAACAAAGCAATTTCACCAATCGCAGGATATCTCATCCATTGGTCCACCTTCTGACCCTGAAGCTCAGTCCTCTCCCTCTATTTCATCTTCAGCCAGCTTTGCACATGCTCTACACGATTTATCCCGTTCCCCAGATAATGCCCAAACACCATATACTTGTCCATCTTCACCCCCAAAAGTTGCCAGATACGCTCACGCCATGCTACCACCTATTGTCCACTCAAGTCCCTCAAATGCTAGAAAGGACGAGACAGATGTGCGTTCTAGTCCTTTTTGATGTGCCTGTTATCTGATGGTTTCCTTAGAGCCGTTCCATTAACAAACGCCTAAACGCCGGCTCTGCATCACAAGTAGACCCCTATGCATCTGCATTTTTGCGCGACCAACTTGGGGAAGCAAAATGGAACACGTTTTATGCGCGGTTATTCGAACGGAGGCTCGGTCCCATCAAGTCAAAGATGCGAGTCAAAAGCAATAAAGGTACTGGAGGCGGTGAACTCACTACTTCCAGTCCTGGCGCCACAGCAATTGATTTTCTCATCAAAGTCGAGGTAGTCAAAGAAGTACTGCGCACATACGTTCCGTGAGTGGTGGCCGTTTTACCGGTAAATTAATTTCAACTAAACGTTTCGCTTTGCTGTGCACTATCTATCAGACATCCGTATAACCCGCTCAAGTCCCTAACGCATCCATTTCAGGGATCTCCGTCAGGATCCGTTACCCTCACTCGCTCCACCATCCTCGCTTTATCTGGTTGGTCTAACACGCAGTTCTCATATTGGGCTCGTCGCTCTGAAGGCATCTCTGTCCTAAGAGATCACGATGAGCGTTTACACGCAGTCGCAGTCGCCCTGGAGAAGCGCTTGAGGCAAGGCGGGGTCCTCCAAGACTTACCCGAAGATGATACCCTCAGTTCCCTTACCTATGGCCACGTAGCGGAGTCCTCGCCAAACGTCACCGGCAAAGGTCTTGACATCATCGTTGAGGATGTAAAGAAACGTACAGGACTCAGTCCATTCCTCCGCGGCAAGCATTCTTCCCTTGATCCGTTTGGTTCTACAAACGGTGACAAGGATACGGGACCTGGTCCCCCGTCTGGCCCTCCTTCGGGACCTGTGTACATGCCAACCTTCCAGGCAATGGAATATTCTCATTCTCCTCCAGTGTCTACCGAACCTCCTCGTCGACCCAAGAAGAAGAGGCGAACGAGCGCTGCTGAGTCAATATCTTCGCATGCCGGTTCTAGCGTAGCTCATACTGAGCTGGTGGCCGGCCCAGGTCAGTTAGGATACGCGATGGAGTCGGATATCAAATCCGACATAGTTCATGCGATGTCACCTGATGCGGCATCGCCAGCTTCGCTTTCGGCATCTCGTCCGCTCCCTCGCTCGCTTGGCACCTCCGTCATGGATGATGCCATTGGTGCCTATCAACTTCCACTCCAGAGCAGCATGATGGATGACGTGGTGGAGAACGCCAATAGGGAATATTTCCCTGTATCAGATTCTCGTTCTGACCTTGATGGGTTGCGCCACAAGCGACCATTTTTGTATTCTGACCTATCCATGGAGACGCGACAAAGACTCAGCGTCTAATTGTTGACAGGTTCCATGCCACGATGTGCATGCTGTCTCCAATCTTTCGGCTTATGAAGTTCACGTGTCTCTCAGGACTCTTCCAGTGCATGCTTCCCTTCTCGCTTTGCTTTATCAATGCCCCTCCATCATATGCCCATCCACTTTACCTGATCAGTCTACCTCAGCTTTCTAATTCTTGTACTACCATCAGGAACCATGTTCAGAAAATTTATCAAACACCACCCTAGCTACGTACGATACGGATCATATCTCATTGCAGTACCTTTTCTGTGGCTTGCCCACTTGTAGTTTCTCGTGTAGTTTTAGAGCATCGTTCGGCAAACCCCCAGTTGTAATAACCACATACAAACACGTCACCACCTTGCTTCTCACCGATATCATAGCATGTTCACCGTGTGATGTTGAACACTGGGCATCTCATAACGACACTAACGGCCACATTCTTTGTCGTCGCAAGCTATGTGATCCTATTCAATACGTTTCTTCCGCGGTCTGGTGTTTATGTGCGTACTCGATTCTTCAAGAAAAGATGCATCGTGGCGCATATATGAATCGCTGACCTGTCAGGCCCTTGACGTCCTCGCGCAAGACACCCATTACAAGTACTTTGCCCTATTCATCATTCCAACGGGCGCGTATTTTGTGATTGCGAACTGGGTAGGTTGGCAGTACTATCAGAATTCTTGATCGTAAGTGCTGCTGTGTTGACTCTGCTTCCTTCGACTCATTCCAGGTCTACAGCATACCTAAAATAAAGTAGAGTTCCGGTACGCGCCTCACATGACGCCAGGTACTTGAGCATGAATGAGCATTCCATACAGGTGCCGACGATGGTGTACTGTGACTACATAGGTGTGCATGAATGGGTATCCAAACGTGGTGCATATCAAGGAAATCGCATGAGGTGAAATAAGAAATTCAATAACTTATAAGTAAGGAGGACAACATGCCCTCATCAAAGAGGTTCAGGTGTTCGTGACTTTTCCGTAGGGGGTCTTGGCCTCCTCTGCACTTGTCTCAGCTCCTGCCAGAGTCGACTGCGCTCGGGCTCCTCCCGCGGTGCAGAGCTGTAATTTGACCTCGTGGGACTAACTTCCCTTGCGTAAGAGCTCTTGGACCTTGCGGGACTAATAGCCCGTCTCGCCGTGAACCTGGGTCGCACTGGTGAGGGCGGTGCCTGAGATGGTGGTATAGAAGTTTTGTTCGATCTCGTCGGACTGGGATCACGAGGCCCCCGACTTGAGGCCTTGGCGCTGTGGCGGCCAACAGGCTCATTACGCGTTCGGTTTGCAAGAAGACTTGCAATGCCAGGTCTGGTTACCAGAACAGAAGATCGAGTAGCGGCAGGGCGGCTTGGTCTTGCATCCGAGTCTTCTGTTTCACTGTCTACACGAATGTTTTGACGAGGGAATGGGCTGCGACTAGTGCGCATTGGGGGCTTGGGTGTTGGGTTGGCTCGCCCGGGACTGACGGACGGCAAGCGAAGATAACGAGCGCGACTGTTTGAAAGGATTGAATAAACTTGCACAGTCATCTAATGCAACGAACTCACGCTATTTCCTTCAAATGCGTTTTTGTCTTGAAGGCTTGGTGCCACTTTTCAAATGCTCGATCTGGGCACGAAGGTCATCACTGGATACGGTCGTCAAATAAGTGAAATCATACTGAGCACAGCAAGGTTATGAGTCTCTCGCGCTCTCTTAGCCTGAAGTGCCTGAGGCATAGCAGCTCTCCAGATAGCCCAATATCTCATCTTGGTCTGTGAGGCTTGGAAGCGGATGGCTGGGAGAGACTGAAGGAGCATTAAGCATTTATCGGATATTCGAAACAAAAAAACATACTCTGGTCTTCGAATGCCAAATACCAAACGCACGGAAGAGGCAATTCTTTTGATTCTGAATGGCTATCTGGCATAGCTATGATTTTTTGGAGTTAGAACGGTATGCGCCGTCGGGGTGTCGCAGAACTTACGAGAGGTCGCAGTTTCTCATCCATGTAACGTTCTCTCCATCTGTTCCATGCAACCTGGACACTTGCCTGATCGAATTCGAGTTCCTTTTCGCGCAAAGTAATGCGTTTGTGACGTCGAGCACGGGCCGCCGTAAGCCAGCGATGGAACATCCTGCGAACGCTCTCTATAGTGAATGTTAGATGAGCAGCTAAATGACACCAGCCTAAGTACTGACCGGCCCGTTTGATATCAAGATGACTCTCCATGAGGCTAAGGTCTTCGACGTGGCGCAAACATATGTTCTTCCACTTCTTGAAGGCGAAGCTGGGTGAAAGGTCAAGTGCTTTGAAATTATGAAGGTGGAGATGGTTGCGCACATTGCTAGCGCGTGGGCATTCTTTTGGCTGATTTCCAGTTCCCGCAGCTTAATTTCAATGACACGGTTGGTCCAGAGTCTTAGAGCATCCCGCTTTATTCGCTAAAATGCAATGAGACAGGATATCAACGCATTGAGGGTTCGTTAGACTTGCCAGAGACACGAGATCATGTATTTGCTGCCCTGCCAACCGAAGGAACCGTTGTTTTTGATATTTCTGATGCCAGGCTTCAGGTGAAATGAAATCATCAGAGACTAACAGATAGATCATAAATGCATCAATCTTACCTGTTGCAAAAGCGCGAAGTCGATGGATCTCAAGCTCTTTTAGTTTCTTCAGCCTTTGGCGTTCCTCAAACTTAGCCTTCCAGACTTTCAAAGTCCGTCGCTGAAGGATGAACTTCTCTACGAATCGAGCTTGTTTCAACAGCTTCATCTTTTCCCTCAGCTGGATGCGCCATTTGAGTAGCGCATCATACTGCACACGAGCAAGGTGGCGTTGGACAGCAAACGCGCGACGATTTTGGTAAATTGTATAGACCTGATGCCAAGTTCGTAGAGCTGAAGAGACACCATATGAGTCGGAGCGCATGGAGAATGCGAGAGCATAATCTGCCATGATGTTAGAGTTTTCCGGAACAGTCTGATTGCCAAATTATGCCCACCTTCGAGATGCTTGCGAGAACGCAAGCAATCTTTCCAAACAGCCATCGAATTTTTGACTAGACGCATATCTCTCACCCTTTCGAGCAGCTTGCCACGTTCGCGAGCTTTCCAAACCCTAGCGACAGCTCGGATCAAGAAAGCATCTTGACGAGCAAGATATTTGTCGGCACGCCTTTCCATGACCTACTCAAGTGAGTATTTATTCGATGTTGTTGAGACAGGGAACGCACTCGTAAACGATCCCTGGCAGATTTCCATGATCGTACCGTTCGCTTTAAGATAGCAACATCGCGATAAGCATCCGCCGTCTGACGCTCACGGCTACCAGAGGTGTTAGCTGTCTGAATGTAAAAAAAAAACGACATATAACTTACGTCTGCTTCTTCCACAAATCCATCACGATTCCTTGGATCCTGAGTGCCACCTTGTGCGCAACAGTCTTCTCAGCATCTCTTGCAGCCATCGCTTTTTGCCAGCGTTTCCATGCCCTGTGAGCAGCGCTCCCCTTGATTCTCTGAGAAAAGTCATCTGCAGCAGAATCCATGCGATCTAGCTTCGATAGAGAATTTTTCCATCGCAGAAAGTACCGTGTAACTATGCGTTCATTGTACTGCAGCTCGTTCAGAAAGGTGCGGTGGGACTGTTGCCATTTGACCCATGCATATTTGATGAGTTTAGTTTCATGCCTTTCGCGAACCGTCTTCATCTTGGCGCGCATGTCATTACGCCACTGTAGCTGCTTTTTCTGCTTATGCTTTGCCCTCCAAATATCAAGGGCGAAGCGAAGGCAGCGCGCATCGGCGATGGAGGCAGCACGAGCATGCACTTCAAGGCGCGAGGCAGTGGCATTCCGCCAGGAGCGTAATGAAGTACCTAGAATTACATTATCTCGAGCTTGAACAACTTGTTCGTTCGTTGTCTGGATTGAAGCATCACCACCTGACAAGGTCACAATCAGAAAACACCTACCACCAGCCACTGGTAACCGAGGACCCAGATCTCCCAACAGCGTTCGAGGAGTTTATCTTCACGGAACTTATCCGCATCCTCTTCGTCTCGTGACATTTTAATTTTCTTCCATGCTTCATCTTCATTTATTACGGCTCCCTTGCGCTCGCGACCTTTTGCAAATTCAGTCGGATTGACTGTTACGGGGTATTTCATCGGTGACATTGCGCTCGGGATCTGCTGACCCCGTGCGCTCACAGGGACGGGCGTGGCAAAGTTATTGCTCCCAACAGCAGCGCGATAAGATGGTGGAGTGGTTGATAAGGAGCCTGGTACATCACAACCGTCGGTGGTGTCTGACATTTCTTCCCATACAGCTGGCCGATGACCAGCGACTGTTTGAGGACGGGGTGTAGATACACGTGTAAGAGCAGGTGGAAGAATGTTATTCGAAGGGCGGTTGGCAGGCGTCCTTGTCACCCGCGTCAATAACACTGATGCGTTCGGGCGTGTGGCCTGGTTCAGGCGCGTGAGGGGCCGAAGAGGGGTCTGTTCGGACTCGGCATCAGAAGAAGGCGTTTCTGTTGGAGTTCCATCCTGCTCTTGGTCTTGGTGTGAGTGAAGGGTAAACACATCGTCATCTTCGTCGCGGATGGGGGTTGCTAAACGGGTAGAGGATCGTGCAGGCTTCGTCGGCGGAATGGGTGCTTTGGCAGACATTGTAGGGATTGGGATCGTCGAGGGTATGCCGCAATAACCATACTGCTGTTTCACCCCCTCCCATTTGTGATTCCAGCTTGGTCCCCGGATTTTGCAGAGCTCCAGCAGCCTCCCGTAATGCACTGTTTCCGTCTGGCTATCCCAACCCCGATCGTGCAGTTCATCGTTGTATGCCTTGAGTCCGGAGAGAAACGAGGTAGCGCCTGGGGGTATTCGTTTGACAACAGCGTCAATAAACTCGACTTCCACAGACGTCAGGTTCTGTAGTTCAGATTTTGAGGCCGCCGACCCGCGGGAGACATCAGATATTGTTGCCTGGGCGGAGACTGACGGACGTTGAGTTGGAATAAGGGGCTTCGCTGGCGAGGACGCATTAGTTGGCCTGAAGCCGAGCATATAGACAAAATGGAGGTGTTAGTGGTGGTACATCGACCAAATTATGTGGCATCCGATGATGATCAACAGACGAGACGCGTTCGCGACAGACCACGTGCAACTTCACATTTACGTAACGATGTTTCATTGATTGTGGTGCCACTGCCTGCCTGCCTTGTGTATTTCGTGTACTTGTGGTCATTGTACCTTGTCTATTGTGTAGACCGAACAAAACCAAGTGTGCCGAGTGATGAAGCTAGTAAATCCAACACCCGCCCACTCTCTTTCTTCTGTACTTTTAGCAGCTCCTCCATCTCAGCTCGCAGCTCCTCACTTTCGATAATCACGTCTGCATGCATTCGCAGGACGACATTTTGTAGTGTTTGCACAGCTTCAAAGTCAAGATGAGACTGCAGGCGTCGCTTGATGGCGCGAAGAAACTGTTGGAGGCTGTCGAACGAAACTAACGAGCGCAACTCTACATCAATTGCCGCCGGCGAAAGGCTCTTGATGTAGTCGAACAATGTGTCAGTCGCTGAAAGAAGCCCTTCGTGATCAGCATGAACAAGTCGCGAGCGGAAAATAATCATACAATCCCCATTTTTCTCTAGCTCGGCCAGCAACTTTTGCAACGTGCTTCGTGAGCTCGCAGCGTGTTTGTCCAGTCTGCGGGTGTGTGTATCCTGCTTTTCTTGCTTCTTCTCCTCGATCGCAAAACGGTGCTCGACGCCCGGCAACGTAGGCAAGAAAAACGGTGCATGCTCGGGTTTCTTCGGCGGCTCTTTGGGTTTATTCCGTTGCTACAAAACAATCAACTCTAGCGTAAAACAACAAACGGATGAGTGCGGACCTGAATGACCTCCAGATTTAGCAGTGTTTGCCAACGTGCGCGAGGAAGCAGCGTTAATGTCACAAGGTCTCCATCTAATTGAGATGGCGTCGAGAAGACGTCTGGGGGTGTATCCTCAACTCCTAGGGCTTCCAAAGCTTGCAGCGCTGGGTGTCAGTCAGTGATTGTGCATGTTACGTGAATAGTGAACCTACCTTCGTCTTCCTCGGACCCTTGCATCGAAGGAAGCGCAACTTCAGCAATACTATCTTCTGAAATTGCACGGAACGCAACCTCCGCATATTGGGACCGATTTGCCCTATCAAGAGTTATGAACCAAGATAAGGAGTTGGTACGTGGCATCTCACCAAAGGAAGATGCCGACGCTGTCGACATGGGCAGTAGCTAAAAAGTCATTTGCTGGCGAGAACGCAATGCTCGTCGCGACACTAGGCGTGCGAAATGCATTAATCAGCTGACCGGTAGGTATATCAAACGTCCGTATCACAGAGTCCAACGATGCGGCCACTATCCAGCGCGAATCTGACGAAAACGCCTGTTGCTGCTTTAGCATAGCTCCGAAATTCAACGCAAAGTCTGAAACCCACAATGTCCAGTATTCGACCGTGGTCGCCGCACGATAGTTCTCTGACGATTCTGCGAGTCTCAATATCAATGATTCGAATGACCATATCGTGACAGACGACCGCAAGCAATCCAGAGTCTCGCTGCAACATTATTGAACTAGCTGAAGTTGGTAAAATCATTATTTGGTCCAAAGTGCATGTGTGAAAGTCGAAGAACTGTTACGATCAACCATCGTGAGTTGGGAGCGGCGAAAGTAACATGAACGCTCACATTAGCAGTGCCATCTGATGTAGTGGCAATGACGACCCGGTTCAGAGCATCTGAAGCCAGGCCAGTAATGGCACGCTCACTGGCTTTCTGTTTCGTCGTCGACGAAGATTCAAGGCGGTCGATTACAGCCTGAGGGCAAGGTCCAACCTTGAACGATTTTCGTTTTAATCCGGACTGCATGTTCCACATGTGTATCTCCCCAGTTGAAGAGCCCGCAAGACCGAAGTTTCCACAAGCGGTAACACAAACACACTGGACAACAGGATGAGAGTACATAAGGAAAGAAGGAAGTCGATGTACCTTTACAGTACCTAAGGGTGACTTCCTTTTGGAACTTTCAGCGGAGTTGAACGTGTGCTTTCCAAGACGCTTGTTCAGCACTGTCCAAGACCGCACACACATTTCGTCAGTATGTGCAGTCAAAACGTCATCCCAGTCCTTGGATCGCGTCGACGAATAAGAAATGGAAGTTATGGGAGGGAATTTTAATGAAGCAAGAGGTTTTGATAGAGTTGTGGCTTTCCGCGCTAGAGACCCTGGGCGGATTCAGGTTAGCAATCGATAACACTATTCTGCACCGAATATCCACCTTGCGACATTTCGTATGACCTTGAGTCTCGAACAACAGAAATACACCGTAGGGTACGGTCTGCCGACGCAGATAGTAGTTGTTTACCATCTTCACCATAAAACCGAATGAGATGTGGGGGTGCATGATGGCCGGATCTGAATTTCAGAAGTCTAGGAACAGCGGTGGGGGATTCGTACAACCATTGCTATTTGACGACTATCAGTGAAAAAATGACATTGCTTGTTCTCACAATTACCTTGACACTGTTATCCTCACCTGAGCTGATGAGGACAGGCTGTCCAGGGACCCACTCAAGTGCACTGACAGCACCATCATGTGCACCCCGGATGAGATGCAGAAGTCGACCTCCAGAGTCCAGGTCCCAGAGAGCTATATGTCCGGATGACGACGCAGATGCAAGAATTGGGTGACCATCTAGTATACAGCGCAATCAGAATTGAGTTCGCTCATGTCTGCAGCGACATACCACTTCGGAAAGATAAAGCTTTAATTCCCCCATTGTCCATGTACAATCTCATGAGCCGCTCGTCAGCACGAATGTCGTACACAGATATTTCTCCTGACATAAAACCAACGCCAACGACGTCAATAGCAGGGGACTGCGTTAACGCTGTGATGGGACTCGACGATGTACTCATATGTGGCTGAGACGGTAAGGTGCGCAATTGAGAATGAGAAAACTTGTGTATGCAAGTCCTGTAATGGCGTTGAATTCAAGTAATGGATTGCAGATATTCAACGCACTGTGTACGGATGTTCCAAAGTTGCATATCGCCCTCGTTGCTCGCAACTAGAACTTTGTTCAGATATGTGGCAGGATGGAGAATTGATGCGGCGGTAAACCCGATATCAAACTGAATTGTTGCGAAGAGGGCTCGTTCTGGAGTAGTTATTGAACGAAAAGTAGAGATAATCGAGCGTAAAGCGCACCATTGGTCGATACCTCCCATATTAGCATCCGCCCACCATCTTCTGTCAATGCAAGCAACTGAGAACCAAATAGAAGAACAAATGCTAAGGGGGTCCGGAGTGGATTCGACACGCGTGCAACCTGTAACTAAGTTAGCAACAAGAGTACGCGAGATAGTTGAAAGCTCTTACCTCCTTGCCTCGGAGATATTTGATTACATGCATACCCGATGCTGCCCAAACAGCGTCTCCATCCATAACTAGGCATGAGATGGGATCTTGAACTTCCGGACCTGTGGACCATTACACAAGAAAATTAGAAATGCCTTCGACTTCAGACATATCAATAACTCACCCACAAATAACAAGCCCATCTTACATCCCTCCCATAACGCCCATGATCTGCCGAGACAAGTTAAAATGTGTATCCGGGGCCCCTCAGTTGCATCCTTGTGAGAACGGGTTTGCATATAAAATGGTATATGGTTTGTGATCAGCCCGAGAGCGCGGAAGGGTGCAAACAATTGAGGCACTCTGGGCGGGTGAGTGGAACTCGTCGCACATTTGCGTTTTGTGCTGCTGCGAATCTTTTTGCGGGGGCGAGTTTCTACCATCTCTACATCTTCGACGTCGTGTGAGGCCATAGACACGCGCTGATCACCTGAGCTAGGATGAGGAAATGGATACAGGCCGACGATCGTGAACGGGAGTGAACGATCGCAAAAATGTATCTCTACACGAAAAATCATTTCACGTGACCTATGAGTAACTTTGATATGACGGACTGCATCGTACTGCGTCAGTGGCAACCTTGCTTTCGACTTGCAAATGCTAGTACGCCTAGTGTATTTCTGCGTTGTGGACTGTTTCTCCATAACATCCATCCAGTGAGCTAACATGGATATGTCGCCGTTCGTCGCGTGTCAAGTTCCTGCACTGATGTTGGTCATTGCCCACTTCCCACTAACCTTGCTCCTCATCGAAAATCTTCGCATATCAGCGTGCTTCGATTGCCACCATCGTAGCCACTAACATCGCCAAGACTTCATCGATGGCTGATGGCATTATCTACGTGGTCTTAAGGCATATACTTAATCCGAAGGTCGGCATGGATGCCCTGCAGATCACACTGGTCAGCCAACGCCAACCTGCGGACTGGCCGTTCCGGCTGTACAGGCAGCGGGTATGTCTTCATTTTCACCGCACGATATCAATTATCCTAAATGTTCCATAGATTCTGCTACCGTTGTATGCAGAGAGGGCCTATCGCAATGAAATGTTCCCGAACACCATCCCAGAAATTCAATTCCTAAAGTTTCTCGGCGTCAAGAATCTTCTCGAGTTCAACTTCATGGACCCTCAAACAAATATTATAAATTCGATGTACCAACTTGGGTCTTGGGCGAGCTGGATAACCTTGGCGATTTGACGCCTGTGGGTAGGAAAATGTCTGAGTTCCCAATGGAACCCTCCGTAGCCAAGATGCTCATTGTGTCCGCGGAGATGAGGTGCTCAGCAGAGATGTTGACCGTTGTGTCTATTGCCAAGCCTCTTCTAAAAGGAGAGGATGGAAGAGGCCAATGTGGCACGGGAAAAGTTCAACGTACCATGGAAGAACCACGGGTGAAGTTCTTCATCTTGTCACTGCGCACAGACTTCGACGTCGTCAGGTATTGTACTGTGGCTGCTCAATTATGTTATATTGACCTTTTTGCAGAAAAGACATTGCTGCTGGCTATTTCCACCAATATGCACGTGTGAAAGGCATTGGACAGTATGTGGAAATACGCACTGGTCTGCCGACGCATCTGCATCCTACGAGTGCACTGATGGTGGTCTTGGATGTACGTGGTTGATTTCTCTTTTTCTGAGTTTCGCTGACGACGACGACGATACCCCCACGTACGTTGTTTATCACGAGTTGGTACAAGGACCCCGCGATTGATGCCATGTGGCTAGGTATGAAAATTTGTCTTGCACATTCATTCTGGCGTAAACTAATGTATGGTTGTAGCTGCCAGTGGGTTTGGTTCGGTGTTCCACTCGGTCAAATTCAAGACCTTCGATGATCGTGGAATGAGGCGACAAGCCGATTGAGAATTCTCAAGAAAAGCTGAATTGGGATCTCAGATTGCGAAGCAAAAGGAAATAATAATAATACGTAATTATAACCGATGATCTCACTAAACGGCCTTTCCCTTGACGGCCATCGCAGGAATGCACAGCAAGAGGCAGAGAAAGCTCTCGCGGTCAAAGTGTTGAGTGGAAGCAGCTCGAAGATCATTGTGCCTGGAACGCCGAGACATCCCGGCATTGCGGGCAGTCGCGCTGGTCAAACAACTAGGAGACGGGTGGGGATATGATGGATGTACGCATCCGTAGATTGCTTGCATGTTTATGGGAGCTAAATGTGTGTACAATCGTTGTGGAGGACAAGAACAGACACTTAAGGTTCGTCAGATGCCATAATCTCGAATCTGCCAAATGTCCAACACAACATCGAGTCGGACGTCACTGAGTCTCAAGTGTTACCAGTTGGCAGCAGTGCTCTCAACCTGCGCCTGACTCACTCATCGTCGCTAGACACCGTGGTTCGTGCAACCGAATGAAGAACACGTGACACGTACGCAAATCAGCTCCAGTGCCATTTCAGAACGCAGAGAAACCCGATGCGGATACTAACCGGATCTCATCCATACAGTCCAAATGGGATTCTGGGCACACAAAGTTGACGATATGCGCAAGACTGCATGAGAGATTACTTGTGTACAGAACAATCCTATATGTCTATTGCCTCTTCCTTCGTCATGTACCCGTTACCGTCAACATTGATTGAGGGATCGTCCAAATGCTCTTCATGCTCCTCTCTATTGTTGCCTCCATCGCCTTTCTCTCGAGTGACCTTTGGAGACCTTTCAGTAACATCCTGCAGGATGTGCTTCAAGTACCCGAGGATCTTCCGCAGCTCACTCTGCTGCGCGACGATAGAATTCCTGCTCACCCTCACCATCCCAGTGTGAGTCATGGTGATAAAGATCCAAGTGTATCCGTCAGAAGCGACACCATAGGTGTTTTGGGCGCGCAGAACCACTGGAATCTCCAGGTGCGTGGTGGGAAGGAAGTTAGGTGAGCCGTATGTCCTCTCGTCTCTATCACTTCAGGTTGATCCGGGCTCACTGGTTACCCTCGCACCATCAGCAACCCTGTTTATTACTAAATTTCTGACTAGTATATCTGCAAACCGTCATCCTTATTGATGATTCCACAGATCAAGATGCTGCAAGAACGCTCCAAGTGTCAGATGATGAGCTTTCTGACCGCTACAAAATTCGGGTGAGTCTCGTTTATGGTTGCTCTTGCATGTTTTCACTCGTGACTCTTCAGGACATCGTTGACGCTACTCCCCGTCCCATGCTCGTGCAACACCCCTACAGCACACGCGTACACGATTCCCAGCTCGACCGTCATGCAGCACTAGGACTCAGAAATCACGTTTCAGGTGTCGACGCAGCGGCTTATAACCACCCCCGTACGTGATTACTCATGATGATAGTCTACACGTCTATTCTGGTATTCAGACAAATGATAAGTCTCAACGAGATGCTTGTGAGGTTCACGAGATGCCTGAGGACGCTGAAAACACCAACCGAGGTCATATATATATAAGTATATTCAGATAATTAACAAGTCTCAATGAGATGCTTGCAAGCCTTATGAGGACGCCTGAGAACACTGAGAAAACCCATTAGAAGCTTTAAAGCTGTAATGTAATACAACTGTTCTAAGACAGCATCATCTTACGAAGGACATCTCATACACGACGCGCAGGTGAGAGAAATACGTATGCTATGTAGCTTTCCAGATCTAATACAAGCTACACAATTTACCAAGTTCACTGGGTCATTGTCAAGCGCCAACTCATTGAGGTCTATCGACCGAGATGCAATCAGGTATCACCTATCCCTCCACCTGCATGCCTAAGACACAGGGGTATCATCCTGTCTAACTCTATGCTTCCGTCTTCTGGTTGCTAGAATCTTCAGCCAAGTCTCTTCGTGTGTATTCAGTAGCGTCATCACAGGAGGCTGGTCTCTTTTCGTTGTCCAAAGGCTCAAATTCCGTGGCTCGTGAGCCTTCTTCAACTGTCGCATGCTCGGCACCCTTCCCAACGTCGTCTACCTTCTTCTCGCTGTCGCGGATGACTGTGCGCTTGAGCGTATAGCCACGAATAAAGAGAACCAGAAAGAGACCGAAAGCAGCTAGCAGCGTGTTGACCAACCAAACTGTGCTGATAGACTGCGTGTAAGCACGCATGACCTCATTACGCACTGTTGGGTCCTGGTGGGACAGGTAAGCAAGCCAACCGAGATTATATAACCATTCTTACAGAAATGGAAGAAATCTGCCTGACGCTATCATTCAAAGCCGCAGCAGACGTGTCGATGGTGAGGCCTTGGATACCCCGTATTTTCTGCTGGAGGACACTGGAAATGATAGCCTCCCCGATCGTAATACCCACCGTGCCCCCAAGAGATCTGAAGATTGATCAGTACCTATGAGATATAAATCGTGAAGTCACTCACCGAAGGAAAACAAAAGCACCTGTACTGGTAGCCATATCCTTAATGGGCATGGCTGCCTGTATGCCAATAATCGGGGTCTATCACAGAGCAATGATGAACGCGCATCGTTAGGATGTGGTAAAAACTCACCTCGAACAAGCAACCGAGTCCGAGGGCACAAATAAGGGGGTAGATCTCCTGCTCCGCACTAAATAAAAAAGCTCTAGCGATCAGTTGACTTCGACACTGATTATACACATACATAGCGGTCGCGTTTTCCAGCGTGATCATGAGGCCCGAACCAACAGTCATGACAGTGCATCCAAACCACATGATAGGGCGGTAGGACCCTGTGTGAGCCACAACAATTCCAGAAATCGCCGCCACAAGCGCACTGGTCAATGAATAAGGAAGCATTCTGCGTACATTAGCGAAATTGGAACAACAATACACGGACTCAATGCTCACTTGATGCCAGAACTTGTTGCTGATGCGCCAAGAACTGTTGTCGAGCTCAGCCGACTGCAGACTCGAAGGCAATAAGACACTTTACCTTGGTAGTACATTGGAAGGTAGCTAAGGAGCCACATGAGTATGTCTAGTACAATCTGTCTCTAAAGTACTCACTAAGAATCTGGAGCAGTCGTATGAATGATCACTACGACCCAAGACAGATTTGCATTTGTGGCGTACCTGAAACGAATACCACAGCATGCAAGAACGTAGAAACTAATATCAAGCCGGTTGTACGTGTCTGAAAACCCATGAGAGACAATATGAACAGCTTTCCAAACGACACACCTTGAAAAGACGAGGAGGAATAATGGGTGACCGCTTTGTGAAAATCTCATTGATACCACCAATGATGAGCAACGTGCCTCCCACAGCAAGGAGGGCAATGGTTTCGGCGCTTTGCCCTGAACACCAGTAAGCTTTCTTTCTTTAGAGCAGAAGAATGACATTACATGTCGTTTCGCTCGAGTTGAAACCTACAAGCAGACAAACGACACCTATGATGATCAAAAAAAGCCCAACGAAATCAAATTCCTGGATATGGTCGCGGAATGGCCTTCCTTGGTGGGGAATTAAGTTCAAGAAAAAGAATAAAAGTACCCCAGCTACGCCGCCAGTCGGTCTGTCCACGAGTCATATCAGTAAGAAGCTTCTGATCTCAGCGAAACCTTTGAAACAGATAAACACACAAATTAATCCAGAAGCACCTGATATGCGTCAGTTGGACCATCGACCAACAACGGAATCTGAAACTCACCACCTCCAAGATATATGATCGGTGAAAGCCTAGAGGTTAATCATCAATTCTCAGATCCCTGTAGAAGATGGGAGACCTTACGCCGCCGAGTAACGGTCCGACAACACTGAGAAAATAAATAAGGTTTTGGAGCTTGACGAGGGCGTTTTATTTAATCTTACTTTGCTATGCTATAAGTGGCACCAATGAAGCCACCATACTTGCCTCGACTGGAAAATAAACAAGGTCAATAATGGACCAGCGTTGATAACACACACTCACTCTTGCAATGAAACAATGTCGGAAATAGTGATCTGTACGAGCTGTGTGATGCCCCCACCGCCAATTCCTTGAATTGCACGACAAACAATCAACCATGTCATATTCTGAGCTGCACCACACAGCGCTGAGCCAATCTGAGATACGAGGTCAAAGCCGAATGAGACCCGCGTGCTAGTAACGTACTAAAAATATGAGGATGCATCCATATAGCATGGGTTTACGGCCTGCAGATCCCATTCATTAATTTCAGAGTAACGGTGTAAGTACATGAGCATTCTCAAATGGCACTCGCCTATAATGTTAGACAGCTTGCCATATACCGGGCCCAAAGAAGCGGACGCCAACATGTAAGCACTGAATGGAAGATATTGAAGCGTATAACTCCCCAAGCAACAATACACATACCTTCCCACCCAACTATAGTTCTTACCCCCTCCAAGTTCAGCTACGATTGTCGGTAAAGCGGTGGCTACAATAGTCTCGTGGTGTGTCGGTCAGACTTTTGCGAATAGAATAATAGATTGCGCACTTGATCTGAAGCTGCCAAAAACGTACAGCACATCAAGCCAAAGAACACAATGCCTATGCGATTTTTGGGGACGACATGCTCTTCATCCTTTTTCCATGATGCGCCTGGCTTTCCTTTGGCCTCCTTGACTGCTGGAGATGGCGGCTCCGCCATCGCTGTCATTTTGTGAGTCTCGTTTACCCGGGCAGCCAGTCAAAACAGACTGACAGCGTCAACAGAGAACAGGCACAAAGGAAGTGGGTCATGCCCCAGGATGAATCATTATGTAGACTCGTGACCAGTCCTGTTAAACCTATGAGGCAAGCCGTCGACTTGCTTCATATGTTTAACAGCACTGGTCACGAGTCTAGGACGAATATGTGTAATACGTAAAGGGCGGAGGTGTGGTCGAATTCTGCCGAGTTGCCAGTAGTAGATGGCGTGACCGGCAACGATCTGGCAAAAACCAGTTTCAACCTGCCATGCAGTCTCGGGACAGAAAACACAACAACAAACGCTTCTTGATCCCACACTAATTGGCACCTTGACTAGGACCCTGAAAAATCCACGTCAACACAGCGCCCAATGGCGTCAAAGTTGGACCTACTTTTACCCAGAAACCTCGAGTCTATCTGGAAAATCTGTCCCCTGATACTAAACTTAAACAAATGGCACCCGGTAAACTACGTAGCATGAGCTTTGGCTCCAAATCGCCTGTTTCCCAGAACCCCTCCCCCACAATGCCAGGAGGACCCTCTACAAAAAGAATAACGAGATCTACAAATATAACACTAACCTCACTAGAAATTGAAGCACAAACCAGCACTGTAACAGATGCTGCCAGTGCACACCTATACCTCAAAAAAAAGAGCCTCTGCCATGTGACTGAACTGTACACTACAGTCGACTCCCTCCTAACGCATACCTCTCGGGATAGCCCCGGAGGTATGGCTTATTAGGGAGTATGGAGTATTCAAGAGAGCCATATTTCACCGCTCTGAGGACACAAAATTTATGCTTGCTGACATTAGTATTGCTCTAGTAGGTACTATGAAGCTATTTACAAGAAAAATAATCAGTCAACACTGTGTCTTTCATGCCCTGCATTTCAACTGCAAGAGTCTGCTGTCCAAACGACCCTAACATCACCTTGAGCTTGTGGGCAAATGGTTCATTGAAGGTCCCAAGGTATTTCCTCAGTGTTAGGGCTGCCTGTAGCGCTTTGTGATGTGTCGGGCCTGGTGCAGCCATGTCAATGTCCACATCATCATTGTTGTCATTGCCTCCAGCAGCCTTCTCCTGCAACTTCTTCGCATCCATCACAGACTCAAATATATCCTCATCTGTTGCATTGAAAATGTTGGTGGTCTCGACTGCCAGATTCAGAAGTCCTGCAATATCCATCTGATTTGAAGATTGAAGAGCGCCAGTCGCCTCAAGATCATCCAAGGCATTTTTAACAAGAGTCTTGGCATGTGCAGTGGGGTTGTTCATGGCATCTGTCAGATGGACAAGGGACGAGATTGGAATGATGGGTTGAGTGGGTGATAATGTTGACTCTAAGTCAGGTAAAATGCCAGTGTTTCACCAACAGTTTTGGATTGTTGTAGTGTCAATTTCGTTCCATGCATCTTGGGCGAGTCTCATTGCCTCGAGTTGGTCAATGTCATAGATTTTGGAGGGAGTGATGCCAGCTTCAAGTTCATAGTGGTCAACTGCATGACAGATGAACTTGGCGCAGTAATGTGCCTTAAAACAGCGAATGATTCCCTGGTCATTAGGCTGTACATGCGCAGTGAGGTTTGGCTTGAAATTTTCGACTTGAATGTTGGTGAGGGTATCAGGAACAATGTGCCCCAAAAAATTGTCCTGTAAAAGAAGAATCTTCCTCCTCTCATTTTGCATCTTCTGATCCAAATCCAACAGTCATTCTTGATAGAGCGAGGCTGTCATCCATGCCTTGGCATTGTTCCGATAGTAAAAGCCAAGCTGTGAGCCTGTCTTGTTCTTGAATGGAAGAGGTTTTTGTGCTTTTCTGATGATTAGTGGAGGCAGTTTCTGTGAGCCATCTGCATTCGTTGTGAACAAATAGGTCAACCAGACTTTTTTTCCTTTGTGTCATATACCTGATCTGACCACTCCGACGATATTAATATCCGCTCCACCCGACCTCACACTTTCCCCGCTATCCAACCACCTCCGCTCTGTCTACCCTCTGCTCAACCCATTCAGCTCCTGCATCGGCTCCTACAGTTCCACTCGACCGCCTAGTCGGTTACCTTCCACATTGTTTCCACTCTACTGTAAACTCCTTCCCCATTTAGGTATATACTTTCCCCATTTGCACATAACACTTACTTCCCAGATCACCAGTACTTTCTATAACCACTCGACTAACTGATCCGACGTGTACATATTGATATCCACCCTGACTTATGTTTTTCACCTGTGTATACTTACAAATTATGCTCGGTACATAGCCTCATACCAAGGACTACTAGTCACTGCCTCCTACATAGAAGTATATAAAAACATATCCTGTACATAGCTACTCCCCAGTCTTAATATTACTGGTCTTCCTGCTGTCTCTACTAGTGGGAATTCTCCATAGGACTTTGCTCCCCCTCCAGACACAAGTTTACCTTGTCATCACCTCTGACCTTCCACTCCGACTTAGAGCCATGCTCTAAGTATTCACTCTTACCTCTCTGACCCCATCAATCAATCCCCTTCAAGTTACTCCCCTCCATCCCAATAAACTTCCTCTGCCTCCCTTGCTCTGCTCCTAGTTGGATTACTGCTAGTAGCACTTACCTCCTGACCCACAAAGCAGACCAAAGTGGTCTGCCCATCCTATCATTGGACATTGTCGGACCCACTCTAAATTTGGGGCATGTACTTGGCTAAGGGCGCAGTGCAAGAGCTGAAGCCAAGCCCCAACCCCTCCGCTTCTCCATCCCAGCACGGTCTTTAACACTTTGATGCCAGACTGCTGCTTGTCTAAAAGACCACAATCAGGAGGCATGCTGGTCAAATTTGTTAGGGACTTCATTACTGTTCAAAGAGGAGATAACTTACGCATAGAATAATGGAGATCCATCTGTGTTGAAGATGTCACATGGCTGATATCCATGCTTTTTGATAAGCTCTCACACACGCTGTCGTTCCTTAACAACAGTCTTGGAGGCCACTGAAGCAGCTTCACCATGACATTTAATTTCCTTTAACCCAGTTCTCGTCTTGTACCGAGTCAACCACCCCTCACTAAGGTTTAATCGCTCATCCTCTGGCACACCAACCAAGTCTGCAAATTTTGTCCATTTTTGGCAGAGAACCATGCCAGTGAGAAGAATTCTGTCAGCCATTGCCTTTGAGACCCACAGGTCCAATATTTCGGTAACCTCAGGGTGCTGAGTCTGACAGATCTGTTTTGCTGAATGAGCCGAACCTGTGCTGATCTCGTATTCCTTGCGCCATTTTTCTTCATTCTTACACCAGGCAGATATTCTTGGCTGTTTAAGTTGAAGGTTTGGATAAATCACGTTGAAATGCTTTGCTGTTTTGCTCTGATTTTCTCCATTAGCATGGTGCCAGTCAAGGATCTTAATCCTCTGCTCCAATGTAGCATTTTCTTTTTTCATAAATGCTGGTTTCTGCGTGACTTTTCACTGGTTGTCACTGCCAGATGTTTTCACCGGTACTTCGGGACCTGCAAATAGACTCAGTATAAACCATTTAATTTAGGAATGCCATATGCTTGCGCTTCAAGTTCTTTGCAGGAGCATGACTCTTCTCACCACCTCCAGCAAGGTTCTGTAGCTTCTCCACAACAGATCTGTCATGTGAGTTCAGCCTATCAAGCCCTCGCTCGTAGTTTGATGCATGGTCCAAAGCATCAACAACTTGTTCTTCATCCACCAGATTTCCTGCATTATCCAACCACTCCTGGTCACTGTCTGATATGGGCCGGCAGGTCTTTAATTCACCATCAAGCCTTGCCTTCCAGTCTTGTATCTGATGTTGAAGCTTTGCTAAGCCCTTTTTTAGGATTTCCACAGGACAAAGAAGTTGATGTTTCAGAGTTTCAGACCATTGTTGCTATCCTGAGATATGGATTACATGATAAATTTTCCTATTTTGGTGCTACATTGGCATCATCTGACCCAAGGTATGGGTTATGATTGTCAAAAATACCTATAGGTTATGCTCACAAAATCCCCGCAAACCAACTTGGGAAATCCAAAAATGTATGTCCTATGAGGGAGTATGGGTTATACCTGGTATGTGTTAGGAGGAAGTCAACTGTATAACTCACTTAATCTCAGTCCTTTTGCACATCACAAAAATTTCCAGTTCCACTTCTCTACCAGTACTAACAGCCACTAGATCAGTTGTATTCCTCCTCAAACAGCATGTAATAGATGAAACTGTTGAAGTTAGGATTGTCAGAAATGTTGGAGGAGATGTCAGAAGTAATATATGAGTAATGAGTTGTGAGTGCAACCAAGGGTATGAGAGGATGACACTTTGACGTTGGTCCAAACCTACCATATTGCAAAGTGTCAATCTCTATGCTAGCTTACTATAAAGATACAAGTAGTATTGTACAAGCATCTTAGTTCTTTCTAGAGACTGAGATGTGAGTATTGTTGATTGTTTTCTATTTTAAATTATGCTAATGAGCCAGTAGTTATATTGTTCTACTAGGTACAACACTCAAGTAACAAGTTTTTTCTAGAGACTTAGATTTATATTGTTTTACTAGACTGATTTCTCCAGTGTCTGCTTGCCTCTGATCACCACAGGTTATGAGCCATGCTGTGGCTATGGATACTATGCTCCCCAGCACCACTTCCTCTCTGTTCAATGTTCCCAAGCTTGCTGAAGACGGCATGAACTGGATCACCTATCATCAGTAAAACCCTAAGATAGGTGTCACTCTTATCCAGCATTGCTTACATCAGCACATTGAGAGCCTCACCATTGCTCAAATTATGGGTATATAGATCTGTTTCTGATGTAATTAGATCCTAGCAGTTATCTAATAGTAGTATAGCTTGAATTTCCAGGAAACAGAAATAAAAAATATTCAAAACTGGAGGAGATTTTTATTGTCCAAATTTTTTTGTTCTATTAAGTCAGAAAGTGGTTTACAAGGCCATGGGATGTAAGGAAATGATTTTCAAGTTTTTGGCACACCAACATTTGGCTGCTTATATAATACATCACATGGCATGTGCCTGGGCAGGACTGAGGAGGAGAAGGGAGCAAAAATCAGTAATATTACCCACATAAAGCATCTCTCAATGGGTGTAAAGTCTAAAGCTAATAAGGCTTGTCTCAGGAATATTCAGTCTGCACATCAGGAAAACATGATTTTACTATTTTTGGTTTTATTTGACTCTATGTACAAATGGTGCCACAATGTACACTAACGGGATATAATTGATTATAGATGTCATATAGAAGCATTTTTTACACTTAGTGTAGGTGAAAAGAACTAGTATAGTCACCAATAGCATGTAACTAGCACTGCTACCATAGGGTTTGATACACATACTTACTAGACCAATTGTTAAGCAAAAAAGTGGAGCATGCATCAAGTACACTATTAGATCTCCACTCCTCAGGCCATCCTACACCAGCTCCCAAGTGTGGTATAAGCTGACAAGACTGTTGTATAGTAGAGAGAGGGACAATATCACCAGGCAAGTGTCCAGTAGTGTCCAAAGGGAGAGGCTTGGTAACTGAGTACATATTGTGATGGGCACCAGGTGAACGGGACACAGTTAGCCACTCTACATATGCAAAATGGTGCTTTGGCCAGACTGCAGGAGCTTCATTATAAAGGCCGATTATTTCTGGAAGGCGGAATATAAGCCTCAGCCTACCAACTTTCATTCCTAAATACAATAAAGAAATGCCGAGCTTTAGAGCTATCAAGTATTAGAAACATATGGAGGCGCACCATGAAGTCCAGTAGACTCAGCCCCATCCTTGTGAGTGACCACCACCACATCAAACCTCCCTGGACTCTCTCCTCTACCTGGTTGTGCCCTGACTAAATCTATACCTTTCTGGCCATCTATGTCGTTCCCAAGAGTATCTAGTGAGAATTTAAAAGAATGCCAAATATCTAGCTTATCAAAAGGAAGAAAAGCATTGCCAACTTGAGTACAAGGTATAGAATCTCCTCTAGTAAGAAATTTATTAAGGAAAATGCACAAGTGATATGAAAAAGAGGGACAACCATGCTTGGTTTGGATGTTGGAAAGGGTCTGGGAGGGAGCAGCTGGTCTCTTGGCTGTCACTACCCCAATGTCCTGGTTTCTTCCATCCACAGCTTCTTTGACCTCCTCTTCCCTCTCCTCCTCTGATTGATAGTGAGAGATGTAGCTCTGGAACATGACTATTTTCTCCTGGCGACTCAGCTACTGAGTCATCTGAGGGAGCTCATTGCGGAAGTTGGATGCTCTCCATGCTTCCTTGGCATAGTCTATATGAAAATGTTCAAACATTTCAGTATTATAATTATCGGTAGTTCCAAAATTACATATGCACTCCTCATAGTGCAGCATCGAGTGAAACTTTGGTATGTTGAAGTGATTGCGTATTCCAAGATCCACCAGGATGTCCTTGTTTGCATGAAATTCGTCCAGGGCGTTGGTGAGATACTGGAGGGTAGAGTCATCATGTGTGGGATACTGGGCCACATAGATAAAGTCAAGTAGAGCTCTATAGCAGACTATCACCTGAAATGCACAGGAAAATTAGTGAATAGTGTCATCACCCCAATGTGTCATATAAGGTAGATGTAGGACTTGAGGAAGGCGAAGCTAACTTACCTGGAATGGAGCCTTGCCCATGATACATCCAAGAAGGATGCGTGCCATATCTTTCCTCTCCTTTCCTGAGACCTGTGATAGCTGAGACCAGCCATTCTTGAAGTGTCATACCCCGAAATAAGGTGAAAGTGATCTTATGCAATGGTCCAACTCTGTGGTTGTCATTAGACTGGTGCACCAGTGTTCCAGGTGCTTGACAACACCCTGGTACAGCTGATGAAGAATATCTGAGGTGATACCCATGTGGATATCACAATGAGGGAAGTCCTCCCAAAAAGGATGACGAACTCCTCCTGATATGTTGTCCACTTTGCATAGTTCTTGAAAGTTGCTGATAGAGGTCGCCTTCTCCCTAGCAATACGTATGAGCTTTGAAGTCCTGCATTGAGTCCTCCAGCCTGCTGCTTCTCTCCCACCCATCTCATCGTCATTTACTTGGCACTTTGGACATGTCCCATACTTGGTGCATGTTACCAGACACTGTTCTGGATAATCTGCGACATAGCAAGCCAAGATGGGGTACATTATCCGCACCTTGCCATCCCCCCCAGTCACCTCCATCCCTTTCTTTCCCGCCTCTATCAGTGGCTCCAGGACGATGCACATTGAGTCATGGAACAGTTGTTGAATTCTCGTTGACTTCTGCTTCTTAGTGAGCTGCTTGCCTACCATCTTGCTGATGGACAGATAGGCTATGAGTATGCAAGCTTGTTGCAATGGTTTGCGACGGATAGCTCGTGGGAGGTTCCCAAGAGTCAGATACACAGGATATGTAGTCTTGCCACCCGTAAACTGCGTGAGTTGAGTCTTATCTGTGGCTATGATCACAGGAGCAACACATGCTCCAGATGGTAGCCTGTCCTGAAGAGAAAGCTAAAGTAAGCATTTAGAATGTGTAGTGAACTCAATACTCCCCTGTACCGTGTTCCACCAGTCCCCAGTCCACATCTCATTATATATCCTCTCACTCTGAGATGCGTCACTAAATATCTTCTTTGGCCCATAGACCACATGTTCAGCATGTGCCGGATTACCCAATAATGTCTTGATAGCCTCCAGGGGATCACGGTGATGGACTATGTGCTTATCTTCCAGGGTCATTCTTGAACCATAGCTCTCGCTTCTTCCATGTAGCACGAGGAGGTACTTCATCAACAATCTTGTGTAAGCCACGTATGTTCTGGTATGACAGACCAAGCTTCTCAGTGACCTGTCATAGAAAGTCAGTAAGATGAACTCAATACCACAACTAACAGCACGCACTCCAGGTATGGCCATAAGTCTGTCAAAAGACTTGTGCCCTATGCCATCCCAAATTGCCCAGTAGGCCACCCTCCAGTCCAGCTCAGAAGCAAAAGGTGTGAACCTATTGACTGCAGCTGATGATCCCTCTCCGAGTCTGACATCCTCCATAGACACATTTCCTTCCTCATCAGTTCCAGAAAACTCCCTCCTCCACTTCTGGTGTACTGTTTCATCCATACGTATAACTCGTCCAGCCATGGGGTGGGGGACTTCAATTTGCAGGTCGATGTTTTCATCAAGATTGTGTCTGGGATGTTGTAGGTCAGGAGAATGGGATGGTATAGGAACAAGATTGAAGAGCCAATCTTGGAAATCCTGTATGACCTGTGTGGGATCAGCTGCATCAATCGTCTCATCCCCTTGGGCGAGAAGCGGTTCATCCCCTTCAGCAGGAAGTGGTTCACCCACTTCTCCCATCTCTACCTCATCATCCAGACCAAATTGTCCTGGAAGGGTCAATGCCCTCATTTTACCCTTCTTGTACCATTAACAGGACCTAGCAGTGGAAAGGTGAGCTGCAACTCCTTGTGAAGAGCCTAACCGTTTATGACAAGCAGGGCAGATTGATGGATTGTCATCTTGTCTATGAACACATTCAATGTTGAGATTCAGAGCATGGAGTGCAGAGCAGAACACAGTCATAGCCAAACCGATCAGGTGGAAGTGAATAAGAAATGGACGCGTCTTGTGAGTGCGCACCAGATCATTGATATTGCTAAAAATATATCATGTCCAAAGATGGAAATGCGTCGGGCGTCTTGTTCCAGGCCTTGTACCGACCCTTTGCTCACTGTTACAGACAACTGACAGACTAGCATACACATTGTTACAACAAAAACACATAAACAGTGTAATCTATGAATCGTCAACATATTGCTCCCAAAAAGCACAGCTCAAATTGACCTTAATCAAGACCTGCGACAATGTTTGTTCTCATTCTCAGTGTCGGACACTTGAGTGACTCCAGACCACCTAGACCCAGACCCAGAAGTATGACCCTCTGTCAATGTACTGCCAATGGAAGGGTCTGTGAAAACATGAGAAGTCCCAGACAGCCCTCCAGACCAATGTGCTGAGTGTGTAGACTGATGTGGTGACTGATGTGGTGACAGCACAGGCGCAGTAGGTGCTGCCCTGCCTCGCTGCGACCCACTCCTGGTGCCCATGCCCACGTGTCCACTGCGGCGCCTGCTAGAAGTGTGCATTTTGGATGAAGTAGGTGGTTGCATCTGAGGCCCTGGGACATTCATGTTGGGCATGTAAGGGATAAATAACAATGGCTCAGAAGTGGATGAAGAAGGTGCAGCCTGCAAAGGGTTTGATGATGGCGGTGGTAATTCCTGACGAGATCCTGAAAGGTATTCAGCCAGATAAACACTGACAGGATGGAACTGTCGGATCTTCAATGTCTGCACATTTACCAGCCGATTGATGGAGGCAGAATACCTCTCCCAAGCATCCAAGACCACCTCCTGGCTTGGTGCACCATCAACAGCAGCGGGTATGGTGGCTATCATCTCTCTTATCATGGCAATGAGCCGTGCATGGGTCAACTTTGTGCGCTTCTCCTCCACAGCCCGGCCATCATTGTCCGTCAGCCACAGCAGGTTGTACAACTTGATCCATCCATCGCAAAGTGTGCCAACCTTCCAATATGGTTGAAGCACTCCCATGAAATCCAAGGAATCCAGACATAGTTTGTCCATCTTCACAGTCTCTGTCGTAAGGTCGTAGGTACCCACTTTTGCCCATGCTGGGACTTTCCTTTGACGAATCCAAAACTCTTTGTCTTCCTCACGCTTGGGAAGAATGCGTGTTGTTCCAATCTGTGTAACACCCATGGAAGGAGGGAAGCACTTCTTATTGATAGGAGCACAGCCAAATTTCTTGGCAGTGAGCCTGTTTGCCTCCGACATAGACACTGCATTGTTGGGGATGGGTCTTTGCTTCTCGACAGGAGGAGGCCAATGTTGGATGTCATTGTATGGACCCTTGAAGTTCACCCCAATGAGCCATATAAGGTAGATGTAGGCCTCGAGGTCGTGTGTGACGCCAGGAGCCTCATTTTCCACGCTGGTGTCATATCCCGTACCTCTGGATCCAGAATTCCAGATCTACTTCATTGAAGTCCGGTCCTCCATCTTACTATTCCGCCCGGCACTCCGCCTTCATCTCCGCACTTACCCCTAACTCCTTTTAGATTAGCTATTGCTCCAGTTACCGGTTATGTCCTATTCCGCTATGCTTACTGATCCGTCCATTCTTACTTTATTTCCAACTTCACTGCTTTGATCCATTAAACTTAGTAATAGACTTTCCACATGCTTCATACATAGCCCTTACCTTTGCTGACTGATTTACTTACATGATACCTACAGTATATAAACCCCTGTAATACTCCAAGACTCCTTAGTTCGAATATCATCTTAGTTCTGCTCATTCCTGCAATCTCCGGACTTGAGTCTCATCTCTTGTCCACCTCCGAGTCTTAGGGGTTAAACCTTAGGACTACTTCTCTGGCTCTACCTTAGGGTAGTCTAACCTCTGTTCAGTTTCTACTCTGGACTTCCATAGTAGCCTTACTTCGTCCCCACATAAACCCTCCGGAGTTCCACCAAACTCCACCGACACTAAGTCCTCCAGAACTCCCCGGACTTCTGTCGGACTTCCCCTCTGTCCCCTGGAAATTAAAGGGCACATACTCGGGTAAGGGGCACAGCGCACGAGCTGAAGCCGAAGCCCTTTGAGTAACCTCTCCCTTGAGCACGACCTTAACAGCTGGTGCCAAAAGGGAATGTTCCCTGAGAAAGTGAGTTTATGAAGAAGAAATAGTGGGGTGAGGACACACAGTGGTAACAACTCCATTGGCAGTGCTCTTACTCTCCAACATGTCAAGTGCTAAGCCAAAATCACCAGCCACCCCAGGACGCCTAGGAAACCACTCTGGGTTGACCACCACCATTCTGAAGTGCGTTTTGCCATCTTGTTCTTTTATCCACTCAGGAACTGCAAACCACTCATCAATTTGAGGAATCCACATCCAAACATTGCTATCACTGGTGTCTCGGTGTATAATCCCACGCCTGTAAGCTTCAAGATGACCTGGAAAGATTGATCAGTGAGGCAGGTTCAGTGGCAAACATATATGCTTGCCTAGCAGTGCTCCTAGTATACAATGAAGAAGTTCCCAGCAACACAAGAACCAAGTGCATTTTACGGTGGGGGTGCGAAAAAAAGTGCGAAGGTGGACCAAGGGGTCAACCATGCCAGCCATTCCCCACAAGATAGATCCTGTGGTGTCTGGGAGCGATTCACCACTCTTGGGGTCGGTGAATATGACAGGATCCAAGGAGAACCGTTTGTCACGTATGGGAAGGTGCAGGGGATACTTGCTGCAGATATCAGCATCCCATCCGGGAGATGCGCTCCAGAGTGTGTACAATGATTTTGTGAGCTGGACTTCATGAGCAGTTTCCTCTATAGTGTCAGGGACATCTAATGACTCATTGAGATCAATATGTGATTGTAGGTCTATGCTCTGCACTCACCAATCTTCAATTTAGCCTTATCAACATGTTCACTATCCTCCAGCAACTGGTGAATTTTGGCATCTGAGTAAAGGTTTATATTCTGCCACACGTCTTTGCAAATCAGGTGCTCAACTTGGGGAATTGAATGTTGCGAACCGGGGGGCGCAGGGGGGATGTAAGAAATTCCCATGACCCTGGTAGATTGTCCAATGCCGGATTGGCTGTTGTAGATGACTGATACAATCATAGCGGCCAGTTCTTCTGCATCTGACTCAGCTGCCAGCCACCTCATTTCTATGCCGCTGTGGGTGAGGAAAATAGACTCTGTGTGGATCAGAAGTCTAATAAGGGTGCGAGGCTTATACTCGTCCCGAGGGGATTGCTACTGGGTAGCAAGTCCTCAAATAAGTGCGAGGAAACAAAGACTAGACTCTGTCTAGCGACCTGAAGGGTTCCGGTCCTTACTAGGACTGGGAACACAAAGATGTGGAGGGTTCCCAACGAGCGGAACTCAGCATGTGACGAGCAGAACTAATGCGCGATGAACGGAACTAACGGGGAACAAACAGAACAAACGGGGAACAAACAGAACTAATGGGGAACAAACAGAGGGAAAAGAAACTACAAGCCTGCAGGAGGATGATTGGGCAAAGTCAGACCAGGCTTGTGTCTGGTACTTGCTCCAAGTCGTCGGATCCGATGTCGGGCGTTTCGAGCGGAACTCACGAGGGCGGGAACGATGCAATGTGATCAGGAATAGATTCAGGAAGATATTTTAGACAGTGAGTGGAGTACTGGGAAGTACTCTGTAAGTAGAAGTGGAGTCGAGTCTATCAGAAGGTAAAAAACTAAGATCCCATCTATTGCCACCTATATAGGAAGGGGTTCTGAAGTGCGCTATGCTACAACCAGGTGAGGCTGTGAGATAAGGAATCGGTCCCGAGTAGCGGAAGGATCCATATAAGTACCATAACACATGGGAAATGAGATAGGAACATGTTAGTGACACTGGGAATGTAGCCAGTACTCACCAGTGAGGATGGAAGGACAAGGACAGGACGGAGGAGGACGTTCTGAAGGCTAAAAGGATATGATGTGTATAGTACGCGATTGTTCCGCTGGGTTCCACTGGGTTCTGCTTGGTTCCATGTAGTGGACGGCTTGGGGAAGATGCGGATGGGTAGTGGGATGGTAGCGGAATGCACGGGAAAATGGTGGGAAGGCATGGGAATTATATGGGATACGGGCCTACAGTGGGGACGTTCCCCACACCTGTGGGGGACTCAGATACTGACCGTCCCCAGTCAGCACTATAGTAATTGACGTACTTAGCAGGATTTCATCTAAAAGAGTCACATGACGTGGCTGTAACGGACCGAGTGGACGGAACGCGGCTGAGGAAGCATGATGATGATGATGTCGCGCGAGAAGTTAATGGAACGATAGAATGGAATGTGATCGAAGAAGCTCGATGGGAATGATGTTGTGTGAGAAGTTAATGGAATGAAGGGTCGGAACGCGACCGAAGAAGTTTGATGGCAATGATGTTGCGCGGGACAGAGGAACGAAGGGTCAGAACGCGGCCTAAGAAGTCTGATGGTAATGCTGTCGCACAGGATGATGGAATGAAGGGCCGGAACGTGACCGAAGAACTGGTTCCTCAATGTAATGGGGAATGAAGGATAAACATGGGCACTCCTTGCATCAGCCGCTTCTTTCTGTCAACTTTTCACCCCCAATTGCCCACTAAGTCCCCTCTCACAACTATGTCTTTTAGCTTTGCTGCCTTCACTCCTCCTGCACCCCTCGACTCGGGTAAGGATTGGATCCTCGCAGAATGGAAGGAACTGGAGGATAGGGTGATTGCTGAGGCGAAGTGCGTCCCGGATGATAAGGAGGAGCTGCAGGAGGAATGGAGGATGTGGTGTGAACATTGGGCCGATATTATGGTGAGTGATCCATCTATTCCGCTTGATACGGTACGTTACCCCTCCGCTTCTAGAGAGCACTATCCGACTGCACTGACTGGGGCGGTGCCCAGAATGTCGTCCTCACGATGTCCAGTGAGGCAAGGGCCGTTGGGGTCAGGGCTAATGAGCAGTATGAACGATGGATTCGTGAATGCAGTGCCCTCGAAGCACGTGCGAAGGATTGTGAGTCCTGTGAGGTGCAGATGGGTATTGACTCCCCCCCGCGCGCCTGCACTGGATCCGCCCCTGCGCAACCACCTTCAACGGACGGGACAGGCGGGTCTGCATCCCTCACCCCCCAGATCAACCGTATGAAGATGAAGGTAGCTATCCCGTCCAAGGTAAGTCTATCCTGTCGCCTCGTGTTCAATGCTAATCCGACTTAGTCCGCTGTTGCTCAGAAGACCGTTACTCATGATCTGCCCTGCGCGCGTTGCATCAAGGTAAAGAAGGAGTGTGTAGGTGAAGAGAAGTGGTCCTGTAATGGGTGTAACGCGGTTCATCAGAAGTGTGAGTATGCTTCGTTCGGAAAGGCGATGGGTATGTGATCTGAGTTCCAGTTGTGTTCCGGTTGTGCTGATGGAGTGTGCGGATAGGTCTTAAGGGCAAGGTATCGGATGCGCCCACCCTCTCTGCTAGTGCTAGCGGATCCCTCCACTGGTCCGTGTCATCTCCCAGTTTGGCTGTTCCATCTGGCAGTGAGCTGGAAATTGTCGAGGCCCCTGTGAAGCGCACCACCCGCAACACGTGCAAGGCAGCAGAACCTAAGGGTAAGGGTAAGGGTAAGGCGAAGGAGGTCGTCCCTGCCACCCCTACAGTCGAGGAGTCATCTGATGAAGTGTCGCACTATGAGAAGGGTGAGATCGCAAAGGTTCAGCATGAGTTGCGCGTCCTGAAGGGCCAGCTGATCAGCCTCTATGAGTCTGCCTACAAGATCTCCACTGAGGTGGGTCGCTTGGAGAGGTGTCTTGGGGGTCTCCTCTAGTTAGCGGATCCGCTCCCTCCTGTATATACAATGTCTTCGAAATGTCTGTCCATCATATCTTGTACAATGTATGCGTTTTCTGGGTGTTCCGTCTGTGTTCCGCATGGGTTCTGCATGGGATCTGTCCTGGTTCCGTCTGTGTCCCTATCCAGATCCTCACTGATGCTATGGGATAATGGGACTATAAGTAACATATAAGCAGGTATGAGTTGGGAAGGAGAAATATAACACTGTAAGCCTGCGGACTACATGTCCGACTTGTCTTCATTGATCCACTTCATTCCTCTATTCCTTGCCCACCGTCCGCAGATCCGACAGGCTTTTGTCTATTATCGAACAGAACACTTGGGAACTACAAACGTGCATGGTGTGGCTTCATGCGGGAGAAGTAAAATGGGTCCTTGTGGTTTATGCGCGCACATATACTCTAATTGGATTGAATGGCGAATATATAGCGGGAATCTGTAGATATGTAATTTCTTTCTTTTTAGTATGTGGGGCGGATAGAGACAGAACTGAACGGAACTGAACGGAACAAGAAGGATCGAGAGACAGATCACCGGACGAAACCCGGGGTAAAACAGAGAGTAGTACTTCTATGATATATTTTTGTTTTGACGGTATTTTCTTTTTCTTGGATATAGGATGCAATCGGGTCGGGGGATATTTACTGGTATGAGTGTCGGGTGGTATGGGGATGATGATCGTTATGTGCTGGGGTCAGGCTCGGGTTCTTCTTCATCTGGCTCGTTGACATCTCCTTCAGCCAACTGGTCTAATGTGTCGTCCTCTAGTCTGGTGATAGTAGTAACGGAGATGCGGATTGCACTGCACAGGTGGTACGGGAGTATGCGGAATGCTGCGTAACGAAGTCGCGATACGGACCCGTCCAGTTCTGCCAACAGATACGATCCTCCCGTCGTCCTACGAAGGACGACCATTGGTCCTAGGTACCAGGGCTTCGTCTTTCAATTCAGCTCTGACTCGATCCTTGAGTTCTGGACTAGTACTAAACTACCCGGGAGGAAGTTGTAATCCTTGATGGAGGTGCGGAACCTCGCTTCAAAGTCCTTGACGGATTGGTACCTCGCTTTGAGGACTTTACCCTTAATCGCATCAAGGTCCTCCCGATGCTTCTGGAGTTGCATTGCGTGCCATGCTATAAGCTCTGTGGAGGAAATTGAGTCTTTCCCAGGCGGGGATATGAGGTAAGTTGCTTCAGCGATATCAAACAGAAAGAGGGGCTCGACCCCATGTACCATAAAGTATGGGGATAGTCTGGTGGACTTCTGGATAGTTACCCGCTCTGCCCAGAATACGCAGTGCGCGGATTGGTACCAATGTGACTCATCCCCCTCGCAACTTTTCATGATGGCCTCCCGGACATCGTAGTGCCTACGCTCCACGATCCCATTCGCCTGCGAATTATAGGGTGAGATCTGAATGTGATGGATCCCGTACTGCTTGCGTAACGAGTCTACTGCTGTGATGAAAGGAGTTCTGTTGTCAGTAACGATTTCTGCTAGAGGACCCCACCAGCAAAGAATGTCCTCGAAGATAAACGCGGCTAGCGTCTTCGTGGTTTCAGTGTGGAGCATCCTCCATTCCGGATAGGAAGTCAATGTGCAATGCGCTTGGACTATATGTGTATACCTGCCCACTTTGGGCATCATCATGGTATCAAGGTGGGCCTTGCAGAACAGGCCCCCGGGTATCAGAACAGAGGGTGGGATATGTAACTTGCGGGTCTGGCAGATCTGGCATTTGTGACAAGTCTGGAGGTACCACTTGATATCGTCGACCAAGGTAGGCCACCAAAAGCATAGGAGAAGGCGAGTCCAGACAGTGAAGACACCCTTGTGCCCAAGGTTATCATGCGCCTCCTTTGCTATCCGATACCTCTTCCTTTCCGGAACAACTAATTGATGCCTCCCGTGGGGTTCCCATCGCCACATTGATCCTTCGAGAACGAAGAACCGGGATGCGGATGTCACAAACAATGTATATTCCGTATCTGATAGGGCCTTGGGTTGTTCCCGGGTTTCAAGGTATAGGCGGAGGGAGTCGATTTTTGCATGCTTGGCATTTGCTTTTGCTGATTGCGGAAAGGCTGGTTCCTCTTGTTGGGGGCCGACAATATCTAGGAATATGAGTAATGGGAATGCGCCGCCGCTCGTAACAGCAGAACAATTCATATAAGGGGCCCAGATGGGCTCATGGCCAGCGGGCGGAACGGATAATATTGTGGGTAGAGTCCTATCATTGAGGAACTCGACCCTGAAGGAATACGCGCAGTCTAGCCAATCCTCATGGTCATCATCCTCCACGGGATCCGCGTCAGCGGGCGGCCTCCTTGAGAGACCATCTACCCCTGTGTGCTTGGCTGCGGGAACATGAACGAGCTTGAAGGAAAAGAGCAGGATACCCACGATCCATTGATTGATAGTCGCATTGGGCTGGAGATCCGGATTATTGATCATACCTTTGATGTACTTCGCATCGACCTCTACAGTGAGGTTCATGACCCCGAAAATGAATACCTGGACCACCCACAATGCGTGGAACAGTCCGTACAACTCAAGCTTGGCTTGTGAGTAGCGGGACTCGACTTCCGTCAGTGTGATGGATTCGAAACGATTCGGGTATCTTTTCTTATCTGCCCCTACCTGAAGCAGGATGTACCCGATAGCAATATTGGAGGTATCGATGGCTAGGATGACTTCCCACCCGCACTCATAGTCGATCCGATGCAGTGCGGGGGACTCTAATATGGAGTCCTTCAGGGTCTGCATGGCGAGTTGATGTTCCACTTCCCACTCAAATACAGCATCCTTCTTCGTCAGGTTGATGAGTGGGCGGGTGATCTGGGAGAAGTTACGGATGAAGATCCGAAGCACCCCACAGGTTCCTAGGAACCCATGGACGTGGGTTGCGGTCTTGCACTCTGGCCAGTCGCGGATCTTCTGGACCTTGGACTCTTCTGGGATGCGACCCTCAAAGGTGCACATGTGTCCCACAATTACTGCTGACGGAGCTGCTAGTACAAATTTTGATGTGGAAACCATGACCCCGACGTTCTCGAGATGTTGGAGGATCCGATTGATGACCAGGCAATGTTCCCATATGAAGCGACGGATCCCCGGGTTCCTGGGAATGGTTTCGTAGGATCCGTCATCCTGTTGGTACTGGGTCTTAACTGATTTGATGGGTACGTCGTCGATGAAGGGGAAAGTATAGTCCGGGATTTCGTGCTGGAGGATGAATGCGGTATCAGCTTGGTAGACTTGGACTGCATCGGCATGTCCTTGCGGAATGGTAGTGAGTTGATGGGGGCCAAGGGGTGTTCCAAAGGTAGTGAGGTCCTGGGACTCCTCATGGAGCGGATGCTGGTCGTAACCCGAGTATAGGTCCATCATACCATATACTGCATACCCAGCAAATGATTCCGCGAGATGCTCGACGAACGGAGGGACGGATGCATCGCGGATGGTTACTGCATTCAGGGGTTGGAGGTCGTGGACAAGCCACAATGACTTCCTGTCCTTCTTCACGACGCAGAACCAGCAGGAATGGTATGCGGCTGTGGATGGCTCGTATACACCCGAATCGATTTTCTCCTTGATGATGCGGATGACTTCCGTTAGGATTGCGAGAGGGATGGGGATGTTGCATTGAACCCATGGGATATGCGGAACTGTGGGGATTTTATATGCTGGAAAATAATCTTCGTTAAGGCACCTGCATTCTGCAGCACCCCAAGCAAATGCCCGTTCATGGATGTGGACTAGCCAATGGATCAGTTTGAGTTCCTCTGGCCATAACCAATTGGCCGGATCAAGGTCTAATGCTCCCATCCGCTCTTCCATATAGTGGACCCCCGGAACAAAATCGGGGGGGAATATGGGTAATTCAGGCATGCCTGCTAACGGATCATCTGGGAGCCGATGCACGACCCTAAATTCTTTGGGCATCGTGGTGGGCACTATCCGCACTTTCTTCACAACTGGTTTGTACACCAGCGCATGACGGGCAGAATCATAGGAATAAACAGAATTGAACACATCAATGGCTGCAGGATTGAACACGGACTGGGTCGATGTGAGATACGAATACTTCTCAGAATGCGGACTCGTGGATTCATAGGAATATGCATGGATGGATGAGCTCCTTAAGAGTGACGGACGGACAGAACGAGAATGAAATGGAGACAGGGAAAGTGGATGTGTAACTTCGACTATTGGATTTGAATCTCCCCACGGGTCTAGCAGCTCATCAAAAATCAAAAATCCCTTTCCCCTCATTTGGGATGCTCGGAACAGTGCTGTCCGGAACCACAGCGCGTGCAGGGCTTAGACCACGCGCGGGTCGGAAGCTTGATCTCACAGCTTGTGTTAGGGTCAGTAAGTGTTACGTCCTGTTCCCCGCTGAGGAGATCCGTAGTATGGCAACTCGTCAACTTGAAGAATGGACGCCCCAACAGGACCTTAAAGTTAGCCTGCTCGACGACTTGGACTTGGAAAAACATTTCCCCTGCCCCAAAATCAAAGGACAAGTTTTCGATGACGCCCAGGGTAGCGTCCTTTGAAGTATTGACGGACTCCATGGTGGTCTGATGGTCAGAACGAAGGGGTATGCCTAGCGCCTGCCAAATGGACCAGGGCATGACAATGACTTCTGCTCCCTGGTCCAGGACACAGGTGAGGACCCGCTTCCCATGGACGGTCACTTCAATGCATCGCAGGGGCTCAAAGTGCTCGCCTACTACATGTCCCCAGTCGTCGCGGGTGACGTAGTCCTCAAATCCCCTGACAAACTCCTCGTTTTCCGGGCAACTAGTGAGCCCGTTTACAAGGACGGTCCCATTCATCACCTGTCGCGTGGTAGTAAGATCCCGGAACTGTTTACGGAAGTCTGGTGCGATTGCGAACAACTCCCTGACAGGAACAGAGACAGAGGAATCGAGGACCCAACTGAGGACCCAAGCGTCCGTGCCCTTGTCTTCTAGTTCAAATGCATACCTATATTGGCTCGACGACGGAACGGAGGAAGGTGTGTTAGTACGTGTTGAATCAGCAGGAAACGAACTGGTAGATGCGGATGGTGGCTGCGTGATGCAGGGAGTATTGACTGGCTTCGGGGCAGGCATGCTAAATGGTAGTAATGCAGCAGGGGCGACTGCTGGTGCCTTCCCCTTGCTGGTCGATGCTTGGACTGCAGGAGATACGATCTCCTCCGTCACGGTAGGCTGTTTAGAGGCGGGCCCCACGCGTGACCACATCATGGGTATGTCGACTCCGTCAAAGCGGACGGTCTTGCCCTTCTTGTCGGACTTGGGGGCCAGCCTGGAAGACTGGGTTGCGGCCCATGCGAGGCTGAATGCCTTAACAAAGCAGGCATCCTCATCATTGTCGTCTGACTCGGGTTCCGCCCGAGTGGTCAGATACACAGAGGGTTCTACTTCCAACATAACCTCTTCGTCAGGACCAGTGTGACAAAACATTCCTGTGGTTACATTCATATGGGGTGGCGGATCGCGCTGGCTCCACGGGATATGGGGTGATGTAGCGGATGCAGGGTCCTGTACATGACCGTCAATACATTCCTTTAGGGTTCTACCCTCGCTCAGATGCCCAGGGATCCATCCCCTGTCTGGCATACAAATCTGGCCACTGATTGCGTGGTGTTTACACTTACCATCACAGATGTATGTCTCCGCTTCTGCGCATCTCCGTACAAAATGATCGGTTCCTCTGCAAAACATGCAGGGCCTAGGCCCTTGGGCTTGGCAGAATGAATACTCCTGTTTAATTACCGTTCCCAGACTGGGTTGCTGATGGATCGGCAGAGGTGGTAGCGTCGGTTGGGTCGGTTGCGCCAGGGGTGCTGGAGCGGCCGATCGCTGCGGAACAAACGGGGCTTTGACGGGTACTGGCGGGGTTGATGGGGTGGTGCCCGGGAGTAGGAATTCTCCTGCCTCGATTGCTCTTGCTACTGGGTAGGGTTCGTTGGGGTGGTGGTCGGGTAACTTGATCGCTAGACGGGCGTGGATAAGCTTGTTGACGTCCTTGCAGATCCCATCTAAAAAGAGACAGTCCCGCTCGGTCTCCGCTAGGCACTTCTTGTCTATGAGGAATGTGGATATGCGGAGGAACTTCCTATAATAATCCCCGAGCTCTACCTGGGAGCGCATGGGGGTGCAGGCCTGCTCGGCTGATAGTCCCGTGAGGTCCGCCGGTGTGAAGTGTCAATCACCTTCACAACCCGGATATAACTTTTTTACTGCGGTTACGAAGTCGATGAGGAGTAATCCCTTAGATTCGGGCAGACAGGCCCATGTTTCAGCATCATCTAAATTAGCATACCACATCACAGCTTTGATGTGTTCCAGTTCAGTCAATACGGCCTGATCTGCGAGATAGGCGACATCTGCAAGGAAACAGCTGAGTTGTGCTGCGGTTCCGTCAAACTTGGGAGCGGTGCTTGTGCCACCAAGGGGCATCCTGTAGGGGATAGCGGCCATAGGTACCGGGGGTAATGGGATAGGAATAGATTGTTGCGGTTGCGGGGGCTGAACGGGGGTAAGGGAAATGAAAGCGGGTGCGGCTGGGGGAGTCGGGACCGAAGGGTCCGTATGGGGATTGGCTGGATGGGGACTTGCGGGGATATTGTTAGCTGGGTGTGACGGGAGCGGATGAAAAAACAGGTCCAAAGTTTGCGGGCTTGGTAACTCTGGTTCCTGCCCTGGAATGGAAGTGGATGTAGAAGGCAGAGATGAAAGTGCAGATGAGGAGGAATTAGACGGGGTAAGATGCAAACTTTCATCGCTTGACGACAGGGTAATTGGGGGTTGGGAGTGTTGCGCTAAGTCATCTGGGACTGAAACAAGGATATCTTCGGGTGATAAGTGAAGGTCTTGGAATGCTTTTCGTAGTTCCGTGAGGTCTAAACGAGCCAGAGTGGGTCTAAGTGACCTGCTAGTCATTCCAGATGGTCCCCTCGCGGTGGGCTCCAGTTGTGGGTGAGGAAAATAGACTCTGTGTGGATCAGAAGTCTAATAAGGGTGCGAGGCTTATACTCGTCCCGAGGGGATTGCTACTGGGTAGCAAGTCCTCAAATAAGTGCGAGGAAACAAAGACTAGACTCTGTCTAGCGACCTGAAGGGTTCCGGTCCTTACTAGGACTGGGAACACAAAGATGTGGAGGGTTCCCAACGAGCGGAACTCAGCGTGTGACGAGCAGAACTAATGCGCGATGAACGGAACTAACGGGGAACAAACAGAACAAACGGGGAACAAACAGAACTAATGGGGAACAAACAGAGGGAAAAGAAACTACAAGCCTGCAGGAGGATGATTGGGCAAAGTCAGACCAGGCTTGTGTCTGGTACTTGCTCCAAGTCGTCGGATCCGATGTCGGGCGTTTCGAGCGGAACTCATGAGGGCGGGAACGATGCAATGTGATCAGGAATAGATTCAGGAAGATATTTTAGACAGTGAGTGGAGTACTGGGAAGTACTCTGTAAGTAGAAGTGGAGTCGAGTCTATCAGAAGGTAAAAAACTAAGATCCCATCTATTGCCACCTATATAGGAAGGGGTTCTGAAGTGCGCTATGCTACAACCAGGTGAGGCTGTGAGATAAGGAATCGGTCCTGAGTAGCGGAAGGATCCATATAAGTACCATAACACATGGGAAATGAGATAGGAACATGTTAGTGACACTGGGAATGTAGCCAGTACTCACCAGTGAGGATGGAAGGACAAGGACAGGACGGAGGAGGACGTTCTGAAGGCTAAAAGGATATGATGTGTATAGTACGCGATTGTTCCGCTGGGTTCCGCTGGGTTCCACTTGGTTCTGTGTAGCGGACGGCTTGGGGAAGATGCGGATGGGTAGCAGGATGGTAGCAGAATGCACGGGAAAATGGTGGGAAGGCATGGGAATTATATGGGATACGGGCCTACAGTGGGGACGTTCCCCACACTGCCCCCAGGCTTTTCCGAGATGGACATATTGTAACCCAAAAGTTCCAAATCTGTGTACTTGAACCAAGCGATGATTTTCAAGTACTTCTCAACATCCCGATAGATGTCAATGGGCTCAGTGATGCTCGATCCTCCACGGGTGTGCACGCAGATGGAGAGATTAGAACCCAACAAGTTCAAACCCACGAAGTATTGTCGATTGATTTGGTTGGTCAGAACAAGACGTGCAATTTCACCCATGTAGCTGATCATATTGCTGTTGAGCTTCGAGTTATCACGGTACTTGATTTCCATCACAGAGATGAAGTTGGCCCACTGAAAGGTGTCCGTGTGAGGTGCCTGCTTCATCAAGACAGTGTTGGGCTTGCAAGACCTGGACCCATGGCGAGATGTGATGTTGGCACCACTCAAGGGGAAGACAAGCGTGGTGCTAGTGTCGCGCCACTCCCGTTCATCCTTACTGAGCGTTTCGACCATGTCATAGCCCTGAACCTCAACAATCATCTTACCCATGGCAACACCAGTCTATGAGACACGCATGAATATCAAGTCAAGCTACAGGATCAGATATTACAAACATTGTTAAAAAATTTGACCACATCTTTCTCCCTAAGCTTGTCACCCCCAAGCAAAGCAGGGCAGTATCTGGTTTCCCACCAACTCATCATACCTCCTTGCAGCAACAGCTTATCGAATTCACGACCATTGTTTCTGGAGTAGAGACGACATTCAACAACCTGTCAAAGTAGTAGTTTGCATCAATGGGTCGCAAACTTATCGCCAATGGTAGGTACATACCTCATCATACCACTTTGTTGTCACCACTCGAGCATCATCTTCGGGGATGTCATGATGCTCAACAAGGTAATTCTCCACAAACTTCTTCCCCTCCTCGATGTTGGCACGAGTTTCCTCGCACAGGGATTTGGTGCCCCTGTCCTGCATAACATGGGCTATGTCCCTCAGGTTGGTGTCCGATAGCCTGGCCACAGTACTGCTAACAAGTGCCTCCCTGAGCACAGAAAACGAATCGTGATACTGGCGCTCCTGACAAAACCAGATAATATCCCACATCCATCCGACCCATCCTAAACCCATCTGCGGGTATCCGTCTCCCATCCGATGCTCGCCCATGCACGCATGGATGATCTGTCACCCGCATGCATGGCCGGATGCAAGTGCATGCACTCGGATACGTAATAAGGTGCATTGGATTGTTTTGGAATGTTTCGGGTGTACATGTAATAGTGAGTGCGTTCGATACAAGTCATGGACTCATAGGCAATACGCATGGTCGGTTAGCAAGCGGGTTTTTGCCCATATATCAGAGGTGCTTTGGTACATACTTTCCCTCAGTCATTTCTATCGCCTCCTTTGGCAGCGGCTGAGGTATGTCTTCACTTACATTCATTTATACCACAGTGTGGCTAATCTAGAGTAGTGCGGATCCTATCCACTTTACTTAGGTGAATACAGTCATTTCTATTGCCTCCTTTGGCAGCGGCTGAGTGCGGATCCTATCCGCTTTACTTAGGTGTATCTGTGGACCCGATCCACGTCACTTAGGGTACTGACGGATCGCATCTGCTTCACTCAAAGTTTTGTCAGCTCCTTGATGAAGGTGAGCTTCGTTTGGTTTATTATATTATCATTGAGGAATTTGGGATTGGAAAATGGACCATGCAACAGGAGACACGAATCCCAAGGACATCTGTGAGCCCCATAGTGGCCGAACTGCAATTGCAACTGCAGCATGATGGGGTCAGAGACTTGGGGATATATGAAGTTTGTGGCTCCATATCCCCAAATGGAGTCATGCTGGTGAGCAGAATGTCAGTTACACTGCTAGAAAGATCATAAGTTTGGGCCCTACATGATGTTGAACTCAATTTTGAATTGTCTCTTGGAGGTGGGGTTGGTTGGGCTTGTAAAGAAAAGAAATTTCCCATGCGTGAGTTTCATCACCGCAGTCAAACCACAGTTGAGCTGTTACTCACCATGTTCTACTTACACGTTGTATGCTGTGAAGTTGCAGTGGATCATATGAAACTTCGCTGATCTGATGGAAGGCTTCAAAGCTTCAAGTGGGAGGACTTAGCCTTGCACACTCAGCAGCCATCATTTCAGCTGGCACTGATCCCATTGATTGCAAAGATAGATTTCAATTACAATCAGTGCAGACCAGGTCAGGAAGACTAGCTGGTGTTACAGGAAAGCCTGGCTTTCCAACAGTGCACTTGATAGGGTTGATCCTGTGTCCACTTCATGAAGCACCAGGACGATGGAAGACTGAATGGAGGCTATCCATCCAGAATGACTGACTGAAGTTTCAATGGTAGAAGCTAGAGTCATATATCACAAGTGAAGATCAAGTTAGAGAAATACATGGTCTAACTACAGTGGTATATATAGGTATCATCCTATGAGTTCAGGGTAGGCTTGGGTGGCCAGAAAGCATCCCAACTAGGTAAGCGTCTATGTGAGTCATAAGGACTCAGAGATAAGGGTACCGGTTCAACGGTAAGGGTCCAGGGTATGGTACCGGCACAGCAGCAGGTGTCCAAGTCAGATAACGCTATCTGTTATGATAAGCGATAGGATAAATGATAGTCAGTACCGGTGTATTGGTAGGGGCGATAAGGGAGAAGCGCGCGGCTTCTATTGATCCCGGTCTAGGTTCAGTCTAGAGCTGTCATGCTCCAACAGCTGTCATGCTGTGCTCTGTAGTTTAGTCACGTGCCGGTGATGTCATCTGTCATGTGTTGTGATGTGGTTGTGACAGTGATGTTTGGCGGAGATGATAGGGGTCTGAGGGTCCCTGTAACAGCTGGCAAAGACTCTGACCTATGTTGAACTTGGGAATGCACGGTATAAGCAATCCATGCTATAAGTGTGGGAATTTTGTGCTGGTTGGGGGCGCTGTGGGTACAACAAGTGCAGCGGAGTGAAATCTATCTACTACACAGTTGGGTCTTTGCTGCCTGCTGCCTCGCTTGGGAACAAGTGCGTTCGACCCTTAAGGGGATTGCTACTGGGGAATACTAGTCTCTGTCTAAAGTGACCCTATAGGATGAAAGATCCGCAAAAGTGGATGAAACGGATAGGATGTGAAACGTACGGATTCGTTGGATGGAGCGGATGGCACTTGCAGATCGGACAGGATGCGAATCAAGGTCAAAGGAAGTTCATTAAATGTTGGATGGATAGTGGGTATAAGTCAAAGTGACCTTCTGGTAAGGTGCAGGAAAAGTGGGAGGAAGTTACATGAAGTAAGTATTTTTCGAAACCCTCCATGCTTATAGGGTACAGTATTTTCAAGGAACATAGATATATAGGTAGCGAGTCTAGACCGTGCCATAAGCTATCCAAAAAATACTGGAGTGTGAGAGGATATGTCTGTGTTCAGTCAGTAACAAGAAAATGCATGTGAGTACGTACCAATGAGGTAGAATGGACGTGGACAGGACAGATGCAGCGGATGCACAAGCTATAGGGGGAGATCTGAAGGTATCCGCATGTCGTCCGAAAAGCGGATGTGTATTGGATGGAATGGATAGGTGTCGGATGGATGTCAGATGGATGCCTGATGCATCGGAAAAGTGGTGGATACGAGCCTAGCATAGGGATACTCCCTACACCTGCTGGGGACTTAGATACTGACCATCCCTGGTCAGTTGGTACCAGTGTGAATGGACTTATCGATTTTCTGGTGGAAAGGTCACGTGATGCAGATCAGATGAACCGGATCTCCAGATCTATGACAATGGAACCCAAGAACGCGGCTGTGGACTTCTGATGGATGTGAAACACGAGAAGACGGATAAACATGCATGCGCAAGGCATGTAGTGCTTCTATTCTTTCAACTTTTCCCCCCCTTCCTTTGTCTCTCAACATCTCTATCGATCTTTTGACATGTCTGGCTTTTCCTTTGCAGCTTTAGCAACTGATTCGAATGAGGATGAACGTATCCGACACGAATTCGATGCGATCCATGAATGGCTAGTGGGTACAGCTAAATCAGTACCGGATGATAAGGATGAGTTGCTGGAGGAGGAGGATTGGATGCGGCTATGGGTAGATCTGACAGTGCGTCCGACTCTGTTGTGACACTCTCTAGTGCTAATTCATCGGATGGTAGACTCGCTTGGAGGCATGCATAACAGTTGGAAGGGGGAAGGGCATTGTCCTTGGGCTATCCGCGGATGAAGTGATTGCGGGTGATGCGGGTCAATCAATGTATGAGCACTTCTGTGGACAGGTCAGTGCGTTGAAGGCAGCCGCTATCCGGACGCCTGAGCCAATTCAGCAGGACACAATGAGTGTTGCGACTGGGATGGTGACTAGGAAGAAGTCAGTGATGGAGGTGAGCGTCCCGGATATACCTGGGGTTTCTCGGGCAACTTGATCGAAGTTACCACCAGTGAGTGAATCTCTATGCATCTAGGCTACCCGCATTAATCCATACTCATTCGCTAGCGCATGAGTGCTAAAGCTCCGATTGATCCGACGCGTATTATACATACTCCTCCATGCGCTCGATGCCAGGCAAAGGAAATCGTCTGTGAGGGTCCGAAGGGTCAGGGTTGCACTTCCTGCCGCTCTGCAAAACAAATGTGTGACTATGCGACAGGTTCTCGTTCTGCAGGTGAGTGTCGGATGGGCATCGGATAGGTATCGGATACTACTGGCGGATGGCTGACGGGTTTGTGTGTAGCGTGTAGAGAGAAGGCCAATGGTAGCAGGGCATCTGCAGTCAGTGCGTCTGTGGGCGGGTCTATCCGTCGCACGGTCTCGTCTCCTACTCTGGACTCTGCTGCTAAGGATGCTTCGTCGGATGGGGAGTCTGAGGTTGCAGCCGATCTGCCGCCTCGTCATATTCGTCCCCGTCCTACTCGTCAGACTAACAAGGGAAAAGGGCACGCAATCAATGTCGATGAATATGAGGATGAGAAGTCGAAAATGCGGATGGAAAATGAGGAGCTTTGTCACGGATTGCGCAAGGTGCAAGGTAAGCTTTTGAAGATGTATGAATTGGCATATGAGTTGGCGGATGACCTGAGGAAGATGGAGGCGAAGTTGGCGGATCGCATGTAAGGTGTTCGTGTCGTATCCAATGAATTTGTGGATGAACTGTAGAATAATCCGCTCTTATGCTACTCTTTGTATAACTGGTTGTACTTGATCCGATGTCCTTATCCATGTCCCTGTCCGATTCTAATCCCCATTGGCACCTAAGTAGTGTGAGTAAACAATTGTAAGTAATGTTGTATGCGGATCCGATGAAAAAGCGGAAATGATATGAGTGGTCTGCGGATAACTCATCCGACTTGTCTTCGTTAACTGTTGTTATCCCTGTTCTTCTTGAGTATCTGTGGATGGTGTGCTTCGGATGTAACAGATGAATATGTATAACATGAAATAAAATGTGCATGGTGCCGCTTCATGCATTCGAAGTAAAACAAATCTTTTGTGGTTTATGCGTGCACTTACTGTCTAATCGGATCGGATGGTGAGTATATAGCGGATGTCTATGCGGATGTGAGTCGGATAGGGGACGGATCAATGACGGATCAAGAACAGATCGAGAAAAAGATCACCGGACGAAACCCGGGGTAAAACGGATACTAAGTACTTGTTTTTGCGGTTGTTGTTCTATGATTTCGGGTTAGTGGATATGTACTGTAAGGGTGTCAAGTTAGATGCAGGAATTGAGCATGAAAATGCGCAAAATTTGTGATCTGGTTCTCCCATGTATTCCTCCCTCGGACTTTGCATGATGACCTCCTGGTCATCTGAGTGACGTGGAAAGTGATCAGGTAGCTGGGCATATACGAGTGTGATCGGGTTGTCAAATTGGATCGGATGGTGGATGGATCAGGTGATGGATGGGTGACGGACGGATAGCATGGGTGGATCAGATGGGTCAGATGGGTAGTGCATGAGTGTCGGATGATGAACAGATCGGACAGGTGGCAATCGAGAACAGATCGAGAATGCAATGAGGAAAGGATCATTGGATGAAACATCAATGTGGATGATAAGGGGATGGATGATATGGACGGATAATGGGCAGATGATGGATGGGTGATTGGCGGATGACAGATGGATCGGGTGACAGACGGGTCGGATGGGTAGCGGGCGATGAATGGGTGATGAATGGATGATGAATGGATGATGGTTGGATGATATGCAGGAAATGATTGTTTATGCGCCCTTGTTGGGATCGGGTTCCTCTTCGTCTGACTTGTCAACATCCATTCCTACCATATGATCCGAGATGTTGTATTCAGATGGCAGGCTAGTACCCGGCGAGATGTACTCTTGTGTTTGTCAATCTGTGCTCAATGTGTGATGATGAGGGGCAATGCGAATGATGGGTGTAGCGGATGGGTGAACTTGGTACCAATATGACTGTTGGACTATACAAGGGATCCGCTCGTTCAGATGTATCCCAGTATCGGATGTATGGGAGCGGGTCGTATCGGATGGTGCGGGTGCATGCAATGGAGGTTGGTCATGTGCTTGGAATGCAGTGTGCATGGTTTCCTGTAAGGTTTGGATCAATGCTATCTGACGTATCCTAAGTGCAGAAAGTGCGGATGAGATGTGTGATGGTGACATGTGCAGGGTAGACACAGATTGATAGGCTTTGTGTGACTGCGGGTCGGAACTGAATTCTATCCGATGCGGATTGTTAAAATGACTGTGTGGGTACGATGCTAATAACCCTATGCGATCATCGGGAATATCCCGGATGACCCGAAAATCATCGGATGGAAATGCGGAACTAAACTCGAGATGTCTCCTTGAGAGACCCGGACGTAAAATAGACAGAACCCGCAATATGAATGCAACGATTAAAACAGCGGATGGAAAATCGACATCCATGACACCTGCCTCCTCAGTAACTACACGGAGTACTGGAAGCAAGCTAGGGTCATGCAATGCAAAAACGGCGGATGGAAAATCGACATCCATGACACCTGCTTCCTCAGTAACTACACGGAGTACTGGGAGCGAGCTAGGGTCATGTGATGCGAAAACGGTGGACGGAAAATCGGATAAAGCGGATTCGTTAGTAATATGTGCAGTTTTGTCGGATGGATTCAAGTCTACAAGCAGATGGGTTGAGCTGGCTAGTGGCGCGATGATCTGTGGGTAAGTATCTGATCCGCTATCCGATGCCTGTGAAATAGTGGATGGTTCGATGTCGTCAAAGAATGGTAGTTCGTCAATAAATGTCGATTCATCTGTAAAAGGGTCAAATATGTCGCTCCAATGGACGTATTCCTCAGAGGGTAAATCATCCGTGATGCATGCGGATACCTCAGCGGATGGGTCGGGTGCAGGGGACTTAGCTTCCGATGCTTCGTCGATGATGACTTCGACTGGTTCCTGTCGATAGTAGCGCGTACCCCGGAATCCTGGGTAAAGTTGCAAGACTGCATTAGCGAACTCCTCATAGTTATCACCGCGTGATTCCTCCTGGTAGGTCCATAGGTCTGCCTCGTCCTCTTCTGTGTACCGCAGGGCTGCCTTGATGTGAGCCGGATCCAATAATCCAACGATATCTGCTAATCGTGCAACTTCATGGAAGAAGGGGAGTAGTTCTGAAGTGATACCAGTAAATCGTGGTGCGATGTCCGATGTGCTCGGAGGCATGAAGCTCATTGCGGATGACATTTCTATGCAGGGTGCAAGTGTTAGGCGTTAGGACCGGGTTGAGGAACGCTATGTGCGATTCCTTGACAGTGAAGTGGATCGGAACAGATAAAAGACGGATAAAAAGTGGATTGGAACAGATAGAAAGAAAAACGGATAGAAAGCAGATAGGAATGGGTCTAAAGTGACTGCTAGCTTCCCAGATGATCCCCTCGCGGTGGGCTCCAGTTGTGGGTACAACAAGTGCAGCGGAGTGAAATCTATCTACTACACAGTTGGGTCTTCGCTGCCTGCTGCCTCGCTTGGGAACAAGTGCATTTGACCCTTAAGGGGATTGCTACTGGGGAATACCAGTCTCTGTCTAAAACGACCCTACAGGATGAAAGATCCGCAAAAGCGGATGAAGCAGATCAGATGTGAAACGTACGGATTCGTTGGATGGAGCGGATGGCACTTGCAGATCGGACAGGATGCGAATCAAGGTCAAAGGAAGTTCATTAAATGTTGGATGGATAGTGGGTATAAGTCAAAGTGACCTTCTGGTAAGGTGCAGGAAAAGTGGGAGGAAGTTACATGAAGTAAGTATTTTTCGAAACCCTCCATGCTTATAGGGTACAGTATTTTCAAGGAACATAGATATATAGGTAGCGAGTCTAGACCGTGCCATAAGCTATCCAAAAAATACTGGAGTGTGAGAGGATATGTCTGTGTTCAGTCAGTAACAAGAAAATGCATGTGAGTACGTACCAATGAGGTAGAATGGACGTGGACAGGATGGATGCGGTGGATGTGCGAGCTATAGGGGGAGATCTGAAGGTATCCGCATGTCATCCGAAAAGCGGATGTGTATTGGATGGAATGGATAGGTGTCGGATGGATGTCAGATGGATGCCTGATGCATCGGAAAAGTGGTGGATATGAGCCTAGCGTAGGGATACTCCCTACAGTGCAAAGGTGCTACAAGGTCTAGAATTACCAAATTTGGGAACCCCTGCTCAACGTCTACAACATCCACCCGAAATCTGCCTTTTTTGGAACACAACATCTCCCATGACATTTCCACTGACCAAAGAGGATGTCAATCTCATTGTGAATGCCCTGCAACTGATAAGTAATGATGAGGCCTCCTTGTTGAAGGACCGGCTGTTATCGCATTACTCTTCCTATTTTCCTGCTCGCAGATTTGAAGAAGAAGTTCAAGAAGGGCAATCACCTACAGATCAGGTGAGTTCTTTTTCAATTTGTAATTTGTAAAACCAGCCCTCACCCATTTACAGCTCCACCCTGCAACCAACCGTGCACGTGCACGTGTTCCATATGATCTACACTGCCCAAGGAGGGGTGGCCCATTAGTCCCAGGAGCACAGTGGACCATTGGAGAGAACACTGCACGTTCCTCCAACATTTCGGCTGAAGCGATCATCAGTTCTATAGCATCCTTCAACGCTTCTCATAAAATGGATCTCACCTCATGGATCTCCAGTGTGCTTGGCACCCTCAAAGCTAGGGAGAATGATCCAAAGACTGGAGCTGGACTGCTATGTCTGGTGGAACATTGTCGTACATATTCTGGGATGGGAGTGGGATGGAGCTTCATGACTATGGTGAGCCGACTGCAGCTAGCAGTGAATTGTCTGAGGTATGTGTTTGGCATGCTCTTGCATTACTTGTGCTCACGCAATAAATTTAATTCAAAGTACCATACGATTGCACCCATCGATTTCTACGATAACAGAATTCTACGATGCTAAGATAATGCCTTTAGAACCTGGGTTGAGACCAGCGTGGAGCAGCTTCTTTTTCTGGATCTCATCCAGGGTCAAGTTCATGCTTTTGGCAGGTGGCGGTTCCATTTACGCATTAATTCTGATCACAGCCAAAGACATGCACTGAAGCATCACCACCACCCCTGCAGAAGTATCTTGGGAAGTTGGGAAGATGTTGTGTCATCCAGATAAATGTGCTGGTATGTCATACATGTTGTGTTTTGCGTTAAACCTGGAGTCTCACTAGTAACACAAGCTCCGGAGATGCAGTGTCTTATTCAAGGGAAGATCATACCTATTATTGCTGCATTGAGGAAGTGCTTTCCCTTGAGCATGCCCAATGTGATCAATGGGTCCATCTCTCTCCAGCTGGACTGTACATGCATCAGAGATGTTGACCGCTTCATTGATTCTGTACCAATCAAGTGAGTATCATTGCCAGGAATGTTTCAGCATTAGACTCATGTGATAACTTTCTAAAGTAACTATACACTTCCAAAGTGGTCAAGAAAGTACTGGAACACCTGCTACATACCATGTTGGGAGGATACAATCAGCCTGGAGAATGGTATAAGTGGGACTTGCATCATGCAGCAGCCTGAGGCCCCACTCTTCACGTCTTTTGCAGCATCACCACCAGCACCCATCATCCCTTGTACAGGGTCTACGCCCTCCTCCGCCGTTTGTGTTTCAACCACGTTCAATCGTAATCACCCTAGCAACCTTCACTTCCCAGGAAGTCGCGACAGGGTGAAGAACTTATTATGGATGATAGAGCAGCGCAGGATAGTGGAGGATGGGGGCATGGTGATGAGGGACATAGATGAGCTGAAGGAGAAGGTGAGTTCACTTGTTCTATTGGCGTAGATATGCTCATGTAGATTGAGACAGCTGTCTACTTTCTATCCTGGGGGCGTCAAAACAGCAGATACTTTTCTAGTGGTTCCAATGTCGATCATTCCAGGGGCCTTGGATATTCGCAACTCAGATGGCAGCCTGATGGTCCTTATCTGCACCAGTATACCTTCTAGCATGTGATTGTCCTTATTTTTGATGCTCAAGTCGGCCTTTGATGGCCTGGACATTTTCAAGGATCGGACTGTTACGTCTGTTTCCGAAGAAAGTCAAGATCCGGAGATCATTTTGCAAGCAGAGGCGAATGAGCCTTTTAGATGCACACACTTCAGTCACTGGAATCGCTATGGACTGACGGTAAGTTGAAACAGTATACTTAAAGTCCTAGATGCTGATGCTTCTTGTAGGGTCATACTGCGCCGCAGGGTGTCCATCCTCATGACCTAGAGGCTGCTGGAGGGAGAAGAACTAACCTTAGACAGACTTTACCTTACACGTCCAAAGAGACGTTTACTCAACAGCAGCTGTACCTGAACATCCAGGCTAATTTTGGCGAAGTATTCGAATGGATCAAGGAAGAGGTGAGTCGGAATTTGACTCCAACAATTATTTATTGATGGTCAATCAGATCTCGCGTCTCCTTCCTGATGAGTACAAGGTTCTGGTCAAGCTGGTAGACATTCTGCCTAATGCTGAGGGATCTCCAGTCAGATCTTTCCTCTCATTGGTGGTGAATATTAATGTGTGCACGGTGGCACATAGGGATGCCAAGGACTTTGAACTATGCCTAGTGCTGGCAGTAGGGGAGTTCACTGGTGGTGGACTAGTGATGAGAGAGCAGGGGCTAATTGCAGAACTCAGGAATGGGGACTTTGCTATATTCAGGTCAGGAGAAACTACTCATTTCAATTTGGATTATTTGGGTAGGAGGGTGTCTCTGGTGATGCATACTGATGGTGGGTTTAAAACATGGGAGAAAGATCACAATGGTTGGAAAGATCACTCCCACTTCACATATTTATGACCTACCCCTGCCATTATTTGATACTTTACATAGATGCATGGGCAAAGAATGATTGCTAGTATGTCTGCTGTGGCTGCTCGGCAAATTTATATTTAATAAGTTCATTTCGCTTGTTCAGCTTTCCATTCCAACCTCATCCACCCATGGCACCCAAGAAGACAACTTCAGCTGGCCCTTGTCCAGCTACTCGTGCCAGCACTGGCAGTTCAGGAACAAGAGTCAAGCCTACACCTCAGGGTGCCTCCAAAGCAAAAGCTACTCCTGCATCCACTGGGAAAGCGAAAGGTAAAAATTCAGTCAAAGGCCCAGGATTGACTGCAGGAAAAGAGAAGCTTCTCAAGGATTTGGCTCAGAAGAAGAAGGTAGCTGAGGACGAAGCTGAGGCTAAGAAAAAAGGTAAGTATCCTAGATTTGAAAGACTATCACTAACATAAAGTCTCAGCCTCCAGAAAGCGCGCTGCTGATTGTCTCTTGGATGAGGCAGGAGAAGACAAGGAGAGGTCTGACAATGACTCACTATATGACAGTCCTCCAACCAGCCATCATCGTCACCTACATTCCCCTGTGGAGCCTGAAAGGAATGATAAAGGTAGTAATATGGTAAGTATGATTCTAGATGGTGGCTCGAGTAGCAAGATAGAGGACAATAGCATTGATGACCAGGTTGGAGAGGGCGGGGATGAGGGCCACCAAGATCAGCAAGGGGAGGAGGTGGATGAGGGCGTTCAAAATCAGGAGGAGAAAGAGTTTGCTGGAGAGGAGGTAAGTGTACCAGCATACTGGAAAGGATTGGACTGACTTTTTGAGGATCGCACCAGACAGTTGTAGGCCTGAAGGAAGAAGACCAAGAATCCGACAAGCACTTCAGCATCACTAGCGTTCCAAGGAGCAAGGTGAAACTCAGCAACCTGAACAGCCCATGTACCAAGCATATAGCTATCTCTGCTCACAAGGCAATGTGCCTCTATGTAGCCACAGTTAACAGCTTTCCTTCAGCTTTTGACAGGGAGGAGCTCTGCTGGGACCTACTGGTGTCTAGCACTAGGGACAACGAGGTGTTGTGGGAGAAGATGGTGCTCATTCAAAGCGATGATGACTTGAAAGCTTACTTGATAGACTATGTGAGTATTTTTCTTTGATGCGCCTCAGTTGCTCATTCTATACTATAGACTTGGAAGGCTGCTGGCCAACTCAGAGGGGAGTTTGCCTCCAAAGCCCACATCAGTGTCCCCAGTACCTATGGAATAGGAGAGCTAAAGCATGAGGAGTTGGAGAATGCTCTCAAGTGGTTGTTGGAGGAGGTGAGATTCATACACGCCGGAATTGATGTCAAGGTAAGTGTCCTGTCTATTGAAAGGCTTTAGACGTATTGAAGCTTAAAATTTCTGTACAGAATCTCATCTATGATGAAGCTTCTCCCCTCCAGAACACCATCTTCAGGCTGCTACTATCTGCCCAATGGTGGGGTCCCAAGGGAGAAGGAAGAAAGTGGGGGCAGAAGAAAAATCCATTTTTCAACAATATACCCATCCTGGCATTGATATCAAGTGCAGTGAGTCCTACATCTACTGTCATATACCAGATCCGACCGCTCTGATACTGATATCCGCTCCGCTTTCCAACCCCCTCCACCCCACCCATCCTCCACTCCGTCCTATCACAAACACGCATTCCGCCCTACGTTTCTGCTCAACCACTCAACCGGTCCCCTTCCATAAACCTCTCCATTCAACTGGATCCCTTTCCCCTTTTAGACATACACTTTCCCCTTCAGTACATAGACTCTTACTTCCAGATCACCAGTAATTCCTATTACTGCCCGATCGCTGATCCGACGTGTACATATTGATATCCGCTCCGACTTATGTCTTCGCCTATGTAAAAGTACTTCCAAACTATATCCTTGGTACATAGCTTTACTATAGTGGCTCAAAAAAGTGTCTCAATGTTTACACATTTTCATATAATTGCATCATTGTGAGCCAGGGTGTAGGAATATAATAGGGCTATAGGGACATGTCTGAATCCCTCGTATCCAGGCTTGAATCTGAGATATGCAGCGTGGGAAAGCGATGTCATGGAGCAGAGATATGGCTATTCTAGTTTAGTGACTCATTGAGACACTTATTTGACTTTATATCAAAATCATAGAATTAGACCACCTACACATGATGTGATCAATGACACATGTCTTAGAATATCATATGGGATGTGAAAGTATAAAAATAATACAAATAAAGCCAAACATCAACCCTTTTTGGTATCTTTTATCACTGACTACACAAAATCAATTCAACACTCTTTCTACACAATTCAACCAAATTTTTATAGAATATCTCACATTATACTTGTGTCCACTAAAGTATTATAAATAAAACTTACTGTAGACACTATACAAGCCTTCAGAAGTTCATTGGTGATTACCATTCTATGCTTTTTACCTCTACTATTTAGTATGCTATTTGCTTAAACAGTACTGACAAGCCTGCAAATGCTGCTCAAGTGACAAAAAGACTGTATAATATCTAGAAGCAGCTTATTACATTGCAGACACCATGTTGTGACCTGGGGGTAAGTGATATCAAGGCCAGAATTAGGCAAAAACATTCCTTTCTTTTCTAGCACTACAGAAGAGGAGATTACAAGCTTCACTATTGCCATCTATTTGGCCTCAGATGATTAATTCCAGTTCTATCTGCTAATAGTATGATTTTTATTCAGTTATTCATAGTACAGCACTAGTGATACATAGCAGTGTTTACTCTTACTTCTATAGTGCTAGATAAGAAAGGGATGTTTTTACCTAATTGTAGCCTTGATATCACTTACCCCCAAGTCACAACATGGTGTATGAGATGTAATAAGCTGCTTCTAGATATTATACAGTCTTTTTGTCACTTGAGCAGCATTTGCAGGCTTGTCAGTACTGTTTAAGCAAATAGCATACTAAATAGTAGAGGTAAAAAGCATAGAATGGTAATCACCAATGAACTTCTGAAGGCTTGTATAGTGTCTACAGTAAGTTTTATTTATAATACTTTAGTGGACACAAGTATAATGTGAGATATTCTATAAAAATTTGGTTGAATTGTGTAGAAAGAGTGTTGAATTGATTTTGTGTAGTCAGTGATAAAAGATACCAAAAAGGGTTGATGTTTGGCTTTATTTGTATTATTTTTATACTTTCACATCCCATATGATATTCTAAGACATGTGTCATTGATCACATCATGTGTAGGTGGTCTAATTCTATGATTTTGATATAAAGTCAAATAAGTGTCTCAATGAGTCACTAAACTAGAATAGCCATATCTCTGCTCCATGACATCGCTTTCCCACGCTGCATATCTCAGATTCAAGCCTGGATACGAGGGATTCAGACATGTCCCTATAGCCCTATTATATTCCTACACCCTGGCTCACAATGATGCAATTATATGAAAATGAGCAAACATTGAGACACTTTTTTGAGCCACTGTACATAGTTATCCTGATCACTGCCTCACATAGAAGTATATAACATATCCTGTACTTAGATATTTTTCCTTAGTCTTAATATTACTTGTCTTCTCACAGTTATATCCTGTGAGGATTCTCAGCAGGACCTTGCCTCCTCTGGACACAAGTCTCAACTTGTTGTCACCTCCAACCCTCCGACCCTCCGCTCCATCTTAGAGCCATGCTCTAAGTCTTTCCCTTATCACCCCGCCCCTATCAATATCCTCCTATCACCCCTTTCCCTATCCTCTGCATTATCCTCCGACACCTCCGCTCCTATCAAAATATCTCCCTAGTTCCTATCCACCCTCCACATCGTTCCCCGCCTTCTCCGCTCCGCTCCTAGTCGGTCCGCCGCTAGCAGCTCTTACTCCCTGACCCCCAAAGCAGACCCAAGCGGTCCACTTGTCCTACCGTTGGACAACGTCAGACCCGCTCCAAATTCAGGGCACATACTCGGCTAAGGGTGCAGCGCAAGAGCTGAAGCCAAGCCCCAACCCCTCTGCCTCTTGAGCCGGCACGGTACCTAACATCTACCTTATATCCCTCCCACTCATCGCTGATGAAACTTGAATCCACAGGTTGAATGTGTTTTATTAGGTATCATGAGAGGACATCCCATGGACTTTTCTGAAGCGCACTTCAAACCTAGGTTTGATTTTTTTTTTACTTGCAACGACAGTCAGCAGCTCATTTTACCATTGGTTTTTTGTTAGATGGGATCACTATGTGAGCCTCCTGGAGAACTTTGAAAAGGAATGTCCTAGCTACCTAGAGATGATTTGGGATGAATTGAAGGAAGGGGTTTGGTGCACAATATTGTTTTTCCACCTTGATTTGACTGATGGTTTGAAATAGGAATGGTAACATTCCTGGTGTGGCTGAAGACGCTCCTACCATCACTTTCAATTTCTCTGCTCTGGAGACTGCTGGACATGCAGCAAAGGCTAGGAAATCTGGCACTGAGTAGGAATAGTGTTTTTAGTCGTATTTGATCTCTCAATATCATTGGCTTTTGTTGGCTTTTTGTTGGCTTTTTTTCATCTAAACCCAATTTCTAAGTGAAAAATAATACATTAAAAGACAACTATGAATGGTTCAGAGACCGCTCTGATTATTTTGGAGCACATCGCTCTAAGAGCACTAATTGCAAATAGTGTGAGCTCTCTGCACTAATTGCATTAATAGTCAGGTTTCTTGATTTTTGAGGGCATCTCTCTAAGAGCAAGAATTGCAATTAGTGTGGAGGCCCACAATAATTGCATTAATTGACTCTATATGTCATTTAGAGAAGGGGACTTGTCTTTTTTTGCCCTGAGGGATATAGATGCTATATTTGCATAAATAGTGCTCTATTTGCAATTAGTGCAAATACCACTTTTCCTGATGGTGAGGCAGAATATGTCGCAGCATCTGACGCCACTAAGGAAGTTGCCTGGATTCGCACCTTACTTCATGAACTTGAGTTTGTCCAACCAACAGCCATACCCCTTCTATGCAACAACACTGGCGGTATCACTCGAAAGTTAAACATATCAATATCAATATCCACTCCATTCGCAAGCGCATCACCCTTGGACAACTTAAGCTCCACTACGTCAAATCAATCAATAATGCTGCCAACATCTTTACTAAAGCTTTGCCATGGAAAGACTTTGAATGGCTGTGTGTATGCCTTGGTTTGCAGTGAGAAATCAAGGAGGAGTTGCTTATTGCATTGAGGAGGAGTGTTGGTGCTAGTATGCATGTGGTTGACGCGACAAGCCATTGGCAGTGGAGTCGAACATAGGAATACAAACCAACAGTTATATATCTCCCCGCCCTGTCTTCTCCCCTCAGTCAGTTCCATCATAACTGAGGGTGAGCTCATTACTTATCCGAACCATACTTAGATACTGATGGACACTCATAGGCTAATGCAATGTTTAGGTACAGAATAATATCAGTCAGTTCCATCATGACTGAGGGCTAACACAGTGTTTAGTTTCTATATGGGATCTTGAGGAATCTGTAGCATGAGTACATGTGTGGTGGCAGCGAGAAGGATGTTGATAAGAAGTGTGATATAGCAAAATATATGCTGGCGAACTTGGGCTCACAGCAAGTGATTCTGGTCTGGCGGTTGAAAAAGCTGGGCAGCAATGATACAATCCTGGGGGATCAATGGATTAGCAAACAGCGGCACACACATGAACAGCAGTTGAATGAGTGTTGGATCCATAGATCTTCATAACCTTACCAATCTACAGCTTATCGACTTGCCCATCACTTTCAAACTCCGCTTACATCTCGACACACTTGTGCCACCCAAAATCATGTTGCGTTTCGCCCAACACCGGTTACCGAACTGGCTCTTAGTAAGCGTGCGATTCTCCGCGAAATTCTGACCGCTGTATCTTCGAGTCGAGAAATTGAGGGTCCCAACTCCGCTCGGGTTTACAGTCCCAATATTAATGCCAGCAACCACATTTTCACGGCAACCTTCCTGGCAGCGTGCTCACCTCGCCGGCACTTACCATACATTCTCAGGCATTTTCTCGTGCTCATCCTGACCTCCCAGACACATTTTATTGAGTGTAGATACTTCATGGATACATCATTTCGCCCATCTCAGGACTGTGTCCAGGACTGCAAACCCCACCAAAAGGACCGTCAATTTTTCATGCTAAGCATATATTCACATATATGTCGCAATGTAAGACCTTGTGTACAACTTGTGTATGTCTTAAAATTATAGCACGCATGTCTCGGGCTCTTTTGTTGATGCGTGTACCACTTACTGAACCCCGGGATATTGTAAAGCCAACATCTTGATGCTTGACGCTCGTCTTCGATGTCCTAGCACACATGGGAATTTTTCTCGTTCTCGGGGGCGCAGGTGTGTATCTGGTAGGTGAGTCTGAATATCTTCACAGCCTCGTCAATCGAAAGTTCAGCAGCAGGCTTGTAAATCACTTTCTTTTGCCACCAGGTCGTATTTGATTGCTTGGACCTTCTTAGCGACATCAGGGCCCCAATCGGGCCAGCGAGAAATTGCTTCGATCAAGATATTGAGGGCGTCTTCCGAAATACCAGCAGATTTTGGCATGATGGTAAATGAACTATCTCTGACCCTAATCGACTCCACGCTCACCTAAGTCACTCCTATCCCTCCTCGCGGATGAACGAGTTCTTACTCAATTTTATTTTCCTCTTGCTCTGTCCATCGTCCATGTACGCTGATATTGAACTTCGTCATGCACTCAGGATCGATGACGCGTCTCGTTTCCTTTTGTCTATCGTACGCTAGTGCTAGCACAGGAGTCTTTTCATGAAGAAGTACGTCTTCACTGGCGTAGGCACCTCCTGCTCTCTAGGCTGGGTCGTCTCCCAAGTCGAAGCCGCGGCTTCGAAGGCAAGAACATTGACGTCCTTGCCACTATCTGGAGGTAGTACTTGAGCTGGGTGTCCTCTTCCTCGCCTCTTCCTCACCGCTGATGCGCATTTCTCTGATAGGTCATACAGAAGTACAGCGAATGCTGGTACAAAATCTGAGGCTTCTTCAGCGCTAATGTCTTCCAGCTCACACTGCATTCTCAATGCTTATCACCGTGTTTTGGGCGCGCAGAACCACTGGAGTCTCCAGGTGCGTGGTGGGAAGGAGGTTAGGTGAGCCGTATGTCCCCTCGTCTTCATCACCTCAGTTTTGATCCGTGCTCATTGGTTTCACCCTCGCGCCATCAGCAACCCTGTTTATTACTAAATTTCTGACTAGCTAGTATGTTTGCAGACCGTCATCCTTATTGATGATTCCACAGATCAAGATGCTGCAAGAACGCTCCAAGTGTCAGATGATGAGCTTTCTGACCGCTACAAAATTCGGGTGAGTCCCCTTTATGGTTGCTCTTGCATGTTTTCACTCGTGACTCTCCAGGACATCGTTGACGCCACTCCTCGTCCCACGCTCGTGCAACACCCCTACAGCACACGCGTACACGATTCCCAGCTCGACCGTCATGCAGTATTAGGACTCAGAAATCACGTTTCAGGTGTCGACGCAGCGGCTTATAACCACCCCCGTACGTGATTACTCATGCTGATAGTTTACACGTCTGTTCTCGTATTCAGACAAATGATAAGTCTCAACGAGATGCTTGTGAGGTTCACGAGATGCCTGAGGACGCTGAAAACACTAACCGAGGTAATATATATAAGTGTATTCAGATAATTAACAAGTCTCAATGAGATGCTTGCAAGCTTTATGAGGACGCTTGAGAACACTGAGAAAACCCATTAGAAGCTTTAAAGCTGTAATACAACTGTTCTAAGACAGCATCATCTTACGAAGGACATCTCATACACGACGCGCAAGTGAGAGAAATACGTATGCTGTGTAGCTTTCCAGATCTAATACAAGCTACACAATTTACCAAGTTCACCGGGTCATTGTCAAGTGCCAACTCATTAAGGTCTATCGACTGAGATGTAATCAGGTATCACCTATCCCTCCACCTGCATGCCTAAGACACAGGGGTATTATCATGTCTAACTCTATGCTTCCGTCTTCTGGTTGCTAGAATCTTCTGCCGAATCTCTTCGTGTGTATTCAGTAGCGTCATCACAGGAGGCTGGTCTCTTCTCGTTGTCCAAAGACTCAGATTCCGTGGCTCGTGAGCCTTCTTCAACTGTCGCATGCTCGGCACCCTTCTCAACGTCTTCTACCTTCTTCTCGCCGTCGCGGATGACTGTGCGCTTGAGCGTATAGCCACGAATAAAGAGAACCAGAAAGAGACCGAAAGCAGCTAGCGGCGTGTTGACCAACCAAACCGTGCTGATAGACTGCGTGTAAGCATGCATGACCTCATTACGCACTGTTGGGTCCTGGTGGGACAGGTAAGTAAGCCAACCGAGATTATATAACCATTCTTACAGAAATGGAAGAAATCTGCCTGACGCTATCATTCAAACCCGCAGTAGAGGTGTCGATGGTGAGGCCTTGGATACCCCGTATTTTCTGCTGGAGGACACTGGAAATGATAGCTTCCCCGATCGTAATACCCACCGTGCCCCCAAGAGTTCTGAAGATTGATAAGTGCCTATGAGATATAAATCGTGAAGTCACACTCACCGAAGGAAAACAAATGCACCTGTACTGGTAGCCATATCCTTAATGGGCATGGCTGCCTGTATGCCAATAAGTGGGGTCTATCACAGAGCAATGATGAACGCGCATCGTTAGGATGTGGTGAAAACTCACCTGGAACAAGCAACCGAGTCCGAGGGCACAAATAAGGGGGTAGATCTCCTGCTCCGCACTAAGTAAAAAAGCTCTAACGATCAGTTGACTTCGACACTGATTATACACATACATAGCGGTCGTATTTTCCAGCATGATCATGAGGCCCGAACCAACAGTCATGACAGTCCATCCAAACCACATGATAGGGCGGTAGGACCCTGTGTGAGCCACAATAATTCCAGAAATCGCCGCCACAAGCGCACTGATCAATGAATAAGGAAGCATTCTGCGTACATTAGCGAAATTGGAACAACGATACACGAACTCGATGCTCACTTGATGCCAGAACTTGTTGCCGATGCGCCAAGAACTGGTGTCGAGCTCAGCCGACTGCAGACTCGAAGGCAATAAGGCACTCTACCTTGGTAATACATTGGAAGGTAGCTAAGGAGCCACATGAGTATGTCCAGTACAATCTGTCCCCAAAGTACTCACTAAGAACCTGGAGCAGTCGTATGAATGATCACTACGACCCAAGACAGATTTGCATACGTGGCGTACCTGAAAAGAATACCACAGCATGCAAGAACGTAGAAACTAATATCAAGCCGGTTGTACGTGTCTGACAACCCATGAGAGACGACATGAACAGCTTTCCAAACGACACACCTTGAAAAGACGAGGAGGAATAATGGGTGACCGCTTTGTGAAAATCTCATTGATACCACCAATGATGAGCAACGTGCCTCCCACAGCAAGGAGGGCAATGGTTTCGGCGCTTTGCCCTAAACACCAGTAAGCTTTCTTTCTTTAGAGCAGAAGAATGACATTACATGTCGTTTCGCTCGAGTTGAAACCTACAAGCAGACAAACGACACCTGTGACGATCAAAAAAAGCCCAACGAAATCAAATTCCTGGATATGTTCGCGGAATGGCCTTCCTTGGTGGGGATTTAAGTTTAAGAAAAAGAATAAAAGTGCCCCAGCTACGCCGCCAGTCGGTCTGTGAACAAGTCATATCAGTAAGAAGCGTCTGATCTCAGCGAAACCTTGGAAACAGATAAACACACAAATTAATCCAGAAGCACCTGATATGCGTCAGTTGGACCATCGACCAACAACGGAATCTGAAACTCACCACCTCCAAGATATATGATCGGTGAAAGCCTAGAGGTTAATCATCAATTCTCAGATCCCTGTAGAAGATGGGAGACCTTACGCCGCCGAGTAACGGTCCGACAACACTGAGAAAATAAATAAGGTTTCGGAGCTTAATGAGGGCGTTTTATTTAATCTTACCTTGCTATGCCCCAAGTGGCACCAATGAAGCCACCATACTTGCCTCGACTGAAAAATGAACAAGGTCAATGATGGACCAGCGTTAGTAACACACACTCACTCTTGCAATGAAACAATGTCGGAAATAGTGATCTGCACGAGCTGTATGATGCCCCCACCGCCAATTCCTTGAATTGCGCGACAGACAATCAACCATGTCATATTCTGAGCTGCACCACACAGCGCTGAGCCAATCTGAGATACGAGGTCAAAGCCGAATGAGACCCGCGTGCTAGTAACGTACTAAAAATATGAGGATGCATCCATATAGCATGGGTTTACGGCCTGCAGATCCCATTCATTAATCTCAGAGTAACGGTGTTAGTACATGAGCATTCTCAAATGGCACTCGCCTATAATGTTAGACAGCTTGCCATATACCGGGCCCAAAGAAGCGGACGCCAACATGTAAGCACTGAATGGAAGATATTGGAGCGTATAAATTCCAAAGCAACAATACACATACCTTCCTACCCAACTATAGTTATTACCCCCTCCAAGTTCAGCTACGATTGTGGGTAAAGCGGTGGCTACAATAGTCTCGTGGTGTGTCGGTCAGACTTTTGCGAATAGAATAATAGATTGCGCACTTGATCTAAAGCTGCCAAAAATGTACAGCACATCAAGCCAAAGAACACAATGCCTATGCGATTTTTGGGGACGACATGCTCTTCATCCTTTTTCCATGATGCGCCTGGCTTTCCTTTGGCCTCCTTGACTGCTGGAGATGGCGGCTCCGCCATCGCTGTCATTTTGCGAGTCTCGTTTACCCAGGCAGCCAGTCAAAACAGACTGACAGCGTCAACAGAGAACAGGCACAAAGGAAGTGGGTCGTGCCCTAGGACGAATGTGTGTAATACTTAAAGGGCGGAGGTGTGGTCGAATTCTGCCGAGTTGCCGAGTTCGTGAAAGTAAGCACAGTCCATCTGAATCGGTCATCGTCCAAGATTAGTAACAAGTAGTCCCTTTATACGGTAGTCCGTGTCAGACCGTACCTGTGAGTTTAGTTCGGCATGATGTCGCGTTCAGCGCTCACGGTATAAAATTCATCCGCTAGAGTCTGGACACGCACTATGTTAGGTCTTTGTCAGACATCCAGAATCAAGTTATAATTAGCTTCGGGTCTTTCTCGGCCGGCGAAAGCTGAAGAATCGGTCAGTGTTACAACGTTAACAGGCAACACCTCTGACTTTGACTGAATCCATACTTACCGGCCGTACTCAGCCGTTCCCTTCCACGAACCATAATAGCTAGGCAAGATAACAGTAAATCTGTGCTGGTACTCTTTCGCCACTTTGGAAGGTATCTCGGCTCGTGCACTAAAAATCCACTTAGGGATTTTAGGAGGATTTATTATAGCTCACTTTGCGCTCATTGTATGGGTCTCCCAGATTTTCTGGATCACGGTCGTCGGTCACTATCTTAGACTCGTGAGCCTAACTTGCGTGGATATTCTTGCCAAAGATAACCTTGAATGATTGGGGTGGGATGCCGAGCTCGATCTCAATATAATATTAAGCGTTTGTAGAGTCTGATGACTCTGATCCATGTGAATCCGACGGCAAAGGACGGCAAGGGAGGAGAGCAGTACATGCTGGGGACAAGTTCGCAAGCAATAATTGGTGTGCCAGAAGGTGTCACAGTTATCGTCCCTGGTTATTGATTGGTGTTGCTACTGAAATGTTCGTGCTGGATCGAAGTCCCTAAATCACCACAGCAAGATTAACTGCATGGGAGTGGAAGTTGTTGTCGCCGCATGAGCAATGTTTCAGCGGTTTTCACTGGTTATCCGATGAGCGGGACGTTTCCGTGGAGGATCGGAGAAGTACTGGAATCTAGCAAAAATCACAACTACAGCCAGGCCTCGCGATCCAGCGGCGTATGCGAAAGTACGTGTATCTTGGGGTTGTCTTTGGACCATCGCTGGTGAACTACCAGTCATAGTAAAGCCGTGGCGTATATGAGGCCACGATAACCAGAACTTGTGATTAAAATATTTCCCGAGAACCATGATGTGATGATATAGCGCCATGTCTATGTAGACTCTAGATGCGTATTGGGCGCGCTACTTCAAGTTGCTCTGTTCAGTGAGGCCTGAGACCTGAGACCCCGGATTGAGAAGCATGGCTCCCCGGACACCTCGGAATACTACTGATCTTCTCTACAGACGTCGATGAGCTCGTCCATAGGAGAGCCGTTCCAAGTATCGAGCTACCCTGTTCCAACGAAGAGAACGCACGAAAAAGTACACCATCCCACATATGTGTCATATAGCTATAATTTCTCCAGGCATGCAACAGTGACCGTCCAGGCAGAAGGCATACATATCGTTGATGTGAGTTTTCTGGACTCCCGCAGGAGATGCGTTGACAGAGATTCCTGTTGTCAGCTATCTGAACTTCATACAGTGGTCTCGCACACTTGTGGATCTAACGTCACTTTTTCTGGACCTGCGAGCAGCCGGTGTACGTCGGAGGACGGTGGACGCATATGCACAACATATGCAGTCGTCTCTTCCGCACCGGAGGTTGCTGTGAAGAATAGGGATCGGACGGTATGGATTATGAAGCAGAAAATGTCAGGCGGTGCCTTGGGTAAAAGTGAAAAACGCGAAATTGTGGTGTGTTATGCTGATGAAAACAATCGAAGTCATGTTCTACCCTGACACAATCGCTAGATGCCTCACGAAGTCGCGCGTATCTACTCAGACGATCAAACCTCAAACATTCTACTCGTATCTTCCACTGGTGACGTTAGCGTCGCAGATGACGAGTTGAACATTATGTCCACTCTCATATGTGCGCATGAACAAAATTTTCTCGACGTGTTTTTCTTCCCTGGCGCGTCGTGTACCTTTTCTCCTCGTGAAAATCTCCCAGACACCATGATAGTGTTCTGCTCGAGCACCGACTCGACGCTGCTTCTGTCCATCGTATCTGTCACCGGCAACGACCTGACCATTATCGGCAGACATCAGTTTTCAACCTGCCATGCAGTCTCGGGACAGAAAACACAACAACGTGTCGTTGCCCTTTCATGTAGTCCCTGTGGGGTGTTGAGCTACATAAGTGAGTTACGTATTTGTTCTGACTTGAAGATTGCTGACATCGTCAAGATGAATCTCATACTTGGGCCGCCTACCAGCTCGGGCTATACAGTCCATCAATAGCTTTAACACAGATTGGCGAGACATTAGCTCTGGCCCAGTTATCGCGTTTGGATGCTAGTTCATTTGGAAGTGGCATCTGCCTCCTTTCACTGGGTTCTTCATTGGTTCTCCTTGCCACCCTGAATGGTACACCAACTTCAGAGGTATCGATTCTTCTCTGGGACATGCGCTACGGCGTAGTTCTTGCATCGCAGGCTATCCCAATCCCTTCCTCCCTTGCGCCGAGCATCAAACTGGGAATTACTATGAGCCTACTGCCCGCAGACGCAGGACAAGTATTATTAATGTTGTGTCCTACAAACGTCTCAACGACCGCCCCATTAACATCCGAGTTTCTACATCGATCGACAGTTTACATCATTCCCCTGGATTCGAACCTGAAGTCCACCATTGCTGGTGCGATCGGGAAAGCCCCCGCAACTTCTGAATGGCTGGTACCAGATCCTAAAGCTAAATCACTAGCGGCCGATGACCCTAGATATAAACTGCTTGTCAACATGGCGAATCATTTGCAGCACAATGAGCCCCACAAGGCGGATGAAGCCTTCTTCAGATGGGTCAAGGAATACACCTCAGCGAGTGGGCCGTCGTTAAGTAATTCGCTATCAATCTCGACACCGGTGCGCAGTTACAGTCTCGCTCGGAGTTTCTGATGCCATATTTGCCAATAGGACGGAGCGGCTTCGGAAGCTCTTTATGGCTATGGTTTTGTCAAAGAGCTTCTAGGCCTCTTCTTTGCGCCTGCAAAGGAGTTCACTGGCAAGCACCAGTACTCTCCACGTGTCACGCGGCACTTGATCGAGAAGAACGTCGTCAGTGCAGGCATGGTAGAGGGCAGGCTTTTCACAGCACTAAAACAACACGACGATTGGGTGGGTAACTACCGTCTCTAGCGAGCTACAAAGAATAATAGCACGTCGTACAGGAAAGTATCATGTTGGCATTCAACTCGGTGGTCGACATCTCCGAGGACGACATGATCTCCCTAGCGAAGGCACTTGTCGCTAAGGAGCAACAATCACAGACTAATCCCGAAGCTATGGATGTGGATAGCACGCAGGTCTGGACTCCAACTCTATCGGCTTATATGCTTGCGTGCGTCTCGTATCCAACGTCTTCCGCTGCACTCCGCCTGGCGATTAGAAAACATCTGCCGGATGCACAAGATCTCATTCCGATCTTGGAGTTGTTAGATGGCTGGACAATTGGTGGGACAGAGGAGTATATTCGTACTCTTTTGAAATCCGTGGCGTCGAACGTCGCGATAGAACACCGTGGGGGAGCAGCCCCGCCATATGATAAGGTATGTTTGCGCCAGGTAGGCAAGACATACACTGACACACTACAGACGATATCCTTCCTGCAAGTCTTGCTGGACGCTTCGTTTGTTTCCTTATTGCAATACCCTCCGTCGCACGAATTGCTTAGGAATATTATGTCGCATGTAGAACCCGAGATAGGACTTCATGAGCATATGGAGTACCTCCGAGGGGCGTTGGAACCCTTCGCCAAAGCTCAGAATCGAATAGTGAAGGAGAGGGTCGAGGGAGCATCCAAGGAATCCCCGAATGAATGGAGAAAACGACGGAAACGTCAAGAACAACAAGTTTCACTCGGAGTTGGGCTGTACAGATTGGAGGAGCTTGTTATCTAGAGTAAATCTGTGTCTTTGAAATTCCTGGGTTCGCAGTGCTGCGATTAATATCACGTCCATGAACAGTGTTATTACAGTGTTAAGTTAAACTCAGCTCCTGAGGGAAGCGACATTCCCTCGATAATATGTGAAGACAAAGAAAACAAGACGGTAACCAGTTCGAAAGATAATATACTTGGACTTTAATATGTAGTTTGGGTCATATTCTTACCCCTACCGAACGACGCTTGCATGGGCCCGAGCCCTATACAGAATGTAAACTGCGCGCCTCCCGGAACCTTGGAATTTCAGCGTCGAACCTAGTATGTGAATGATTTGAACCTTGAGCTCCATATTCTCTTTGTCCGCAGCCACATTTTGCTCGAAGGTGTAAACAGCTGCGATTTGAGGATACCACGTTGGGTCTCCAAGGTCGTTTCGGTCCATTCTCCGCGCTGTATCATCCCACTCAGCCGAAACTTCATTGTGCCAGTCCTCATCTTGATCTTGATTTGAGTCGGGTTCGAAATTGTACCCAACAAACTCGAGCCACTCCATCGCCTCGTAAACATGACCAGGATGAGCGTAGAGATCAAGATCTGATTTGGGATAAAAGCTCCTATCAAGGAACTGCAACGCATTGGAGCCTGAAATGTCCAGTCCAGTGCGTGCTTGAAGGGAGCAGAATTCGAGGGGATCGGGGAAATAACGAGATAAATGTCGGTTGATGTTATACGCAGGGCGATAAAAGCGAGTTACTGCCTCAGGAAAAGATGACAGGTGCACGTAAATCCCGCGAGGGTGCGAGAGCTCAGATGACGGAAAATAGAGTCGTAAACCAGTGCTATGGAAAATACTTGCTGTACGAGGATTACGAGGATTTCTAGCAATATTGGTTATGCTTCGTCCTGGCTCCCACATCATGCAATGATTTAATCAACGCACTAGTGATGATGTGTACTTAGGGGTAGAAAGAGCGAACAAATGCTTACATGAAATTCCCGCGACCGCCAAGCATCTCTTGGACAGAACCATAGTCAAGCTTTAAGTTGGATGTTTGAACGTCGAACGAAGGAAGATGGCAAAAAGCTATGAAAGTGTAACGGCGCTTACGCACCAACTCCCCGACTCCAATAACATTGGTATACCCTACTTTACCAATACAGTGAGTGTCAGCTAGTGGTGCAAGTTCTCGCGGTCAAAGCACACTCAGCAGACATTCGTGCTCATCCGTCCATGTGATCGTTGTCTCCGCGAGCTGCCTGGCCTTGCAAACGATGCGCAGACTGAGGCAGGCTGGTCCGAGAAAATGACCCATTTGATTCGGAATTGAGTTAGCTTAACAGCCGCAAGTACTGCATCCTCCCATCCATCCGCGTCACTTCCAATTCCATAGACAGCATTTGTCACCAGTCTGTGATCCTCCGCACATGGATATCACAAAGAATGAGATGAAACCATACTAGGCTTGAAGATGGTGATCCACGATCGTCTTCGCTCTTGATATGGAGTCAATACCGCAAGAGCCGTATAGGTGGTCTTGTTCCAAACAAGCGGCGGGTAAAGAGGGACGTGGTCTTTGGGGGATGGTCGAAGCCGTGGTCACCCAGGAGCAAGGTCCATCGGAGGATGGGCAAGTACATGTTCGGTCAAAGGTAACCCATTGGGCAAGTGATTACCCATAGCAAAACTTGAGAGGAGAAGTTAAGCAGAGCTCGAAAGGACCGCAAAAGCTTGCAGGTGGCCAGATTCCAAAAAAAAACATCAGGCAAACCAGATTGTAATGAGAATTCAATGTCTCGAGGAAGCAAAAGATGGGAGATCAACCCAGCGGGTCTAGATGAGTACCATGCTCGCCTCAGTCCTCAGTGAAAAACCCTTCGGGCGAGTGGACATTAGGACATTGTAAGATCCGGGATGATTCGGAAGCAAAAACATCCAAAATACGATCTCGAGAAGCGGATATCGACGACGAAACCAAGGTCGAATCGATCAAAACGTTGAACGGGCCCATGACAAACAACATACGAGGTGACAGGGCTGATCCATCAGAGGAGGAAATTCGCGGAATACTCGGACCAAATAGAGGCACGATGTTTAGTCGGGTGACATCCAAAAAACTGGGACACAAGCATCTTGAGGTCCCCAAGGATGGTGTTGTCGTCGCATAGAAGTGAGGTCCGTAGGAAGAAGGGATAGGGCCCGTCAGCTGAGTGATTATTTAAAATGAAACTAGGTGGTCGAATCTAAAGAAACAGTAAACAAATTTGTCAAAAGAGATCGGGTATGAGATCGGAGGGCCTGTCAGCCGGGGGGTCTCGAGAAGAGATCGGCTGTGAGATGGACATCACCATCTTATCTTATTTTATCTTTTCTTTTCTTTTTCTTTTTTTTTTGGGGGGGAGTGAAAGCCATTGTCGCCCACGAGCATGGAAAGAATGAGCGAGTAAAAGTTCTATTGAAAATGACCCATCGATCAAGTTAGCAGGAACTTGAGAGGGGAAGGTCAGAGCTTGAAAAAGGAGGTAGCCAAAATCCCGAGAAAAGCGAGATCGAAATCGACATCGATGAGAAGGCAAAGGCCCATGCTCGCCGTCCTCAGTGCGGGAAACCTTCAGATAGCAAGGATAATCCAGAAGCAAAGGAACATCCAAAATAAAGTCTCGAGAAGCGGAGATCGACGATGAAAGCAAGGTTGAATTAATCACGAACATTGAACGGGCAGATGGCAGATGGCAGACGGCAGACGAGGTGATAGCGTTGATCCAATCGAAAGTAGGTCAAAGTCATCGTCGCACATGAAAGGTCCATCGAAAGCAGGAATACGTATAAGTTAGCTCGATTTAAGATTGTGACCCATCGTCAAGTGGAGGAAGTCAATAGTAGCTTGGAGGGGCCGGAAGAGCCTTTGTGATCGGATTCCAAAGAAACACAGGGGAAATGAGATCGTCAAAATAAAATATCGAGAATCAGAGATCAACTATGAGATCGACATGGGAAAGGTCGTGGGTTAGGCGGGAGAGTCCAGTCGAGGAAAAGACGGGTCAAAAGGACAGTCGTCGGAAATGGGCACCCGACAATTGGGACGGTCGTCTCAGTCGAATCCAGCCGTGCGAGCAATTCCAGGTAGGCAAGGTCCCATACACCAGGCTTCTTAAATCGTACCAAATTCCTGGTTTGGCGTCGTGCCATCAAATACACAAGGAATGTTGTATGAAGTTGCAGATCAAATCGAGTGAAGGAAGTGGAAGTAGAGAAGGCCTTATATATGCGGGCGAACATCGAAGGCATTTGTGGAACATCATATGGTGGACTCGTAAGCGGATGTTTCACAACTGTCAGCCTCTGCTATGATGTCATTTCAATATTGTTCTGCGAGGTGTGACGTCAGCGAGGACGAGTCTACCTATTATCATGATTAATAGGAGGCTGACCATGGCTGAATCTCAAAGTACTTCGAGTCCTAGTGGACCAGCTGTGGAAAAGAACAAATTGGTAACTATCAATTGGAGTTTCAAACGTTCTAAGATCAGGTTAGGGGCTACTGCTGCTTGCAATTAGGACGCAATTCGGGCAGAAGGTTAGCATTCGATAGAACCCTCTCTCCACTACTTACGCGTCGGGGTTTGCGTTTGGAGAAGTAGAGGGTGGGAAATTTGCTTCCTGCAAAGTTTTTGGGCGATGGGAATCCGTTTGCGTTCGACAAAGTCCTTGGATGAGTCCACAGTCTTCACAATCTCAGCTCAGAAGGGAACTTACAAGTGTCGGCTTCGTTTCAACCCTAATCTCGCATCGCAGGGTTATCCTCCTCTTGTTGGGCGTCGCACTTCCTCTCCATGTGCTGATCACATTGCCAGAGATGCGCGCATTTAACGTGGAGCTGGCATGAGGATATTTGTGGCGCTTACATAAATCCCATCAGCAGCTCCGGACTCCGTAATATCGGACGCGAAGTCCACTACTGAGGTCTGATACTGGAGTCGATTTCTACGACGGCTGTCCGACAAGTTATAGATATGCCTATGCCGTGAAGTCGGCTACTAGCGGGCCACATGCTCGACGCAGATGCTATGCTCCGCGAGATGTGCCTAGCTACTTTGCTACGCGTGTGTATACCTGTTGCATATGACTGTCAACATCTGGCCCTGTAAGGTCGTTTGAACTTCACACCTAACTGATGTCCTTCCTGAGTGATCAATTAATTCGGGAGGGCCCTTACCAGTAGGAATGGATACGGCGGCCATGGTTGAAGACACCGAGCTGGTATCCAGCATCAACGACATCGAAGCATGAAGAAAAAGGTGAAACCCCTCGAACAGGTCCAGCCAGATTACGACGTCCGAGAACCGGCCTTTATCATGTACAAGGCAGATCTTATGCTTCAGTAGAGGTTCTGGCAATCCCCCGGGCGAAGTTAAGACCCTAGCATTTGCCGACACAAAGACGTAGGTAGACAATTGAGATGTGTCAGTGCAGAGATAAACTGGTAAGGTTAAAGTGCGTCGTAAGCTCATTGTCGCTATTCTGTGTACAGGTAACGAGCTTTCAAACCTCAAATCCCCTAACCCAGTTCCCTCTGACGGTTTGGAAGGCGTTTGGGATACCAACCGACCATTACTGTGGGCAGTTCTCGAAGGAATGGAATACGGTATCGATGACCTTGGGAATGTTGCTGACGAATGAGACGCTAGTTTGCTTTTACCTGAGGAGGCTCTAGCATTGACGCGCGTGCAAGAGTCTCGAGAGCTAACCGGATGGTCGCGACAGGTGGAACTCCGTTGGAGCGAGCGACTTTCTCAAGCCTGTAGTCGAACACCAGGGTGGAGGCACAGCAGATGTCGGGCGATGTCAATGATATGCGGAAAGCCAACCACGTTCGCAAGTACCTACAACACAAGAAGGACATAAGAAAATATTCATGTTTGCTTCCCTGGTAACCTGCTCCTGCCCTATTCAGGTTCTACATCTTTGTCGTGCCAGTGTGGCGCAACCTTGGTGGATGGCCTGAGATGCGATCTGCTCCGCGTGCGTGTATCCTACTTTCAGCAGGTTCTTTCTTGGCGGCGAGAGATACATATGACTGAACCCTTGCATGGGGGAAGGTTTGCACGTAAAAGTCGAGAAGAGTTGCAGGCGTGGGCGAAACGAATGACAAAGGGAAAGTGGGCTAGAATAGTTGTAAACCGGGAGCTATGCAGGCGCTGTGTTTACCGGAGAGCCGAGTTGCAGCTCTGAGATGCTACTAGCACTCCCAGCGTCGATTGCAACATTCTTAGTCGAATCAAGTCCTCTTAGGTTTCTTGTGTTGCTAAAGGTATGGTTCAATATGGTTCACTGCTTGAGGAAATGTGCATACCAATGCCAGTATCTCTGATTCCAAGACTTTTACTTCATCTTCAAGTCTGCGACGTTGCTTTGCGAGCATCTGGAGGCGTCTTTCTTCACGCTTATTTGAGGTGGGCGCCGTCGCGACTTTAGACTGCATAGTCTGTGCGACCTCAACCTGCGTACGTTAAGTCACATCGTGCAAGAGCAGAGGTGACTTGCGCACCTTGCTCTGAATCAAGCCCTCTCGACGGCTCAGAGCGTTGAGACCTTTCTCTGCACGGTCAATAAGCTCATTTATCTGAGGCTCGATCTCGTCTGCGAGATCAGCTTTATATCTGCGCACTGTACCCTCATCGATTAGGAGGAATACCTGTATCATAAATATAATGTGCGCTCACGAGGAGAGCTGATATGGTCTCACCCTCTGGCTTTCAAGGACCTTGCGCATGCGGGGCAGATCGAATGTTCCATTTCGAAGAAGCTGTTGGGCTTCATGCGCCTGATAATGGTATGAATTGTAGCGCATTATGATATCCACCCAGTCTCATACCTCTTCGCAGCAGTCTTCCATGGCAAGGACGCACTCGTGCAGGTTTGGCGGACAGATTGCATTGGCATCACCACGATACGGGTCGATGCCACCTGCAAATACAGATTCCCTTGGTCTTGGTAACGCCGACAACCTTGACATCGAGGCTCTCCCGCTCTGCAGGATTGTTGCGCAAGGAAGATCACACGATCATAACGCGACAACGGCAAATCGGCAGACGCGAGTCGGCTGTCGGAGTTTTAATAATGCCCATATAATGACTGCAATTTTTTGTTGTGAAATCCTGCGTGTCCATTCAACCGCATGAAGCGTCAGCTAACGGCACAGAGGTTTGTTCTTCTGCATGGCGTTGTTACTTTCTGGTTGATGGAGCGAGGTGCTCTTCGGGGTGCTCACAAGATCGAGCATCGTTGTGTAGCTCGCTCTTGCCATATGAGTCCGCCTTGCGGTGTTGATTCGTTGTGGTAGATGAGGGCTATTCTGATGATGCGGCGTCATATTCCTGTATCTTCCGTACCCGCTTTCCTTCGGGAGAGTTGCTACTATGTGGCCTTGACGGTTGGGTCAAACCATGACGCATACATCTTTTTAGTCGTTGTACCTACTGATCAATATAAAAATTTGTGGATTGTTATACTGTCTGATCCGCTACGCAGACTCGCACGGAAGATTTTCTCTTGATAATTAATCAGCACCTCGCTCGTGCAGAGACTAGAGTTGCTCGATTTCTACGTCCTCGAACGTGGGAAAGTCCATTCGAATTTAACTCAGCGGCCCCCCGATTTAGGCAATTTCAGGCAATTTCCCGCCAAAGTGGCAACCAAACCTTATCTCATCTCCTGATTTCTGCCCTTTGCTCATCTTGTTCATCGCTTTCTTTCTCTAACGACAACAGTCTTACCATGACACAGATTCCTACCTTTAAGCTGGTCCTTGGTGAGTGATCTCATTATCTTGCTCACATTGACAATGATGCTGATGCTCCGTGACTCATTTCTTTCTGATCTCGGCTTTGTATGTCTCTCAAAAATATCTTGCACCTCGTATTACGCCATCTGTCGCGTTGTCGTTTGACTGGACCATTCAGTCGGTGATGGTGGTACCGGAAAGACCACGTTCGTGAAGGTGAGAGAGTCCCGCATCTGTGCGATCACAATCTGATTTCTGCGATATTTAGCGCCATCTTACTGGTGAATTCGAGAAGAAGTACATCGGTAGGTCATGCGCCTTACAATCCAGCGTAATCCAGTTCCTATCGATATTCTCTTTGTATAGCTACTCTTGGTGTCGAAGTCCACCCACTTTCCTTTTCCACAAATTTCGGCACGATCTGTTTCAATGTCTGGGATACAGCCGGGCAGGAAAAGTTCGGTGGTCTTCGCGATGGATACTACATCCAAGGCCAATGCGGCATTATCATGTTCGATGTCACCTCCAGAATCACGTACAAGAATGTGCCAAATTGGCACCGCGATCTTGAGCGCGTTTGCGAGAACATCCCCATTGTACTGTGCGGAAACAAGGTTGATGTTAAGGTTGGTCAGGATTCCATCTTCTACAAGGCCACTTTTGACTTCATCATTCAATTCAGGAGCGCAAAGTGAAGACAGGCGCTGTCACGTTTAACCGCAAAAAGAACCTGCCTTACTTCGAAATCTCTGCCAAATCTAACTACAACTTCGAGAAGCCATTCCTGTGGCTTGCAAAGAAGCTGGTTGGGTGCGTGTTCTTCTCAGCGAACGCATATTTCAATCTTATTGATGAACTTTGCGCAGCAACCATGACCTAGAGTTCGTAGCGGCTCCTGCCCTTGCCCCTGCTGAGGCTCACGTCGACCCTGAGTTGATGAGACAATACGAGGACGAGTTGAGGAAGGTTTGTCCCTGTTTTCTGGTTCATGGATTGCTCGTTGCTCAATTACATGTGTCAGGCTGAGAATGTTCCGCTTCCGGAGGAGGATGATGACCTGTAATCTCATATACTTACGCTTGCTACGACCGTCCATTCATACTGTGGTTTTCATATACAATCACTCATCGACCACCAATTCCATCGATACATTCTTTCTTAACTTCCTTTTCCTGCTTTGTGCGAATGCAGTAACCCACCATTCATGAAGCGTTTTCCGGAATACGCGCATGTTTACTTCCTGCGGATCGTGGCAATAGAACTTGCAACAAGACTGTTAGGAATACAATTGTGATCATGCCCCCTTGCCCTTATCTGACAATCTCTCGATACCTAACATCAAACCACGAAGCTGCAATGGAGTGAGTCGAAGATACAGATTTTGAGAGAAAATACATTCTTCCCGTTCTAAGACCTGCCACCGGATGAGGGCATCCAGTGTGTTTTTCCCGTCGATACCTATTTTCTTGAAATCCTCTATTTTTGCCTCCAAACTTGGCCGCAAGGAGCCGAAGAAATTCCTTAAATAATCGTCAACAGTCAGGGGCTGTTTTGCCGCATGTTCTCCGACATGGCTTCGTCCTCTCTGTGTGGACGGAGCGTTCATGCATTTTCGACATTATGCGCTTGAAATCGTGATACTACATATATTTATATTATCTGAAGACAGCTGGAGGTGGAAAACAAGTTACTTCACTGGCTGTGGGCTCTTGTTGATCAGGAATCATTGCAGTACCGCCCTGCTGTGTGCATTGAAAAGCCATCAGATTAGCCATTTGTTTGACGCGCAGTAACCAACATACCCAATGTATAAGATCTGAAAAAACCCCGTTCCCCTTCAAGTTCTCTATGTCTCATGGTGTTCAAGATACCCTGCGGGGACGCTGAACGGATTGCCGACGGGCGGCACTACTAGGAGCTACCTAAAATCATTAAACATTATGACTAGCCACTCAGTTTGTGCGAACTTCACTTGAAGCGGCACCACACCTTGTTGCCAGTGGTGGGAGAATATGATGTGGGAATTCGACGTGTAGGTGACCGACGATCACAACGGCGCATCATTGTGACGACTCGGAGCACTAGTATGCAAGGGTGGTTGGCGTTCGAGGTCCTCTGTAGTATCTTTATGAACGCAACGAACTCGATTAGATAAGAATAACTCACAAGGCGATATCGTACATCAATCGATGACTATGATTTTCATGCTATAATGCTCGGTTCCTTTCCAGAATCATATCGCCCGCCCCCTTCATCACTGCATACACTTTGCCCGCATGCGTTTATTCCGAGTGCAAGCACCGTCGGCGCTGCGAAACAGACCAAACAAATTGCCGCATTTTTACAAGACATGCTGGCAAACCTGCGGTTCTGCTTCTTCGAAGACTGTATTGAACCGCGAAGTAGTAATTTCCCGTACTGCTACCGTCCCAGCAGCTTCCCCCCTATACGCTGCAGTTTAACATAAGTCGATGTTTTACGGACTTAAGAGAAAGAAACTTGCTTTCACGAGTTCAGGGTATGATGCTGACTCATATCAGCTCTCAAGTAGGCCGTTGATTTGATCAAGTGCCAGCACGTTCTTCGGAATGCGTTTTTGAATGAGAATTGGAATCCTAGTATAAGGAGAAGAAACTACTTGAATAAACACCCAAAGCCCTGTCATCATATTATCATGATGTTAGTCAACGAAGAAACGTTTTTGGCACCAGCAACGACAGGTCATAGATGTCAGATGCCCATGTTCGTTGTGCAGGCAGGCCATAGATACTGGCCACGAGAGCGCTGTACGATGAATAGCATAGGATCCGAGCGCCAGCCACTACTACTATCTCCCTTCTTCTTTAGGCCTGGCAGTGGAGAACAGGCGCCAGGGGAGATATATTACGAACACTGCGTGTTGCAATGCCAGGTACTGTTACCTGTAAAGCAGTCGACACTTACAGTGATGTATGAGTGGCAGTTGCAATGAGTATCGTTGACAGTTACCCTGCACATAGATGAATCTGCTGCAGAAGCGCCGCAGCGAGTTGTTGAAAGTTTGGCATCATCATAGTTCGGGTGGAAGTTTGTAATTCAGAGCGCGGTAGTACAGCCGCCACATCGCTAGCTGTGTAATGTGTATGAAAAGCTACAGTTTATCATTTGTGAATTGCATATGACGAGTGTGCATCAAAGGAGCTTAACCTCGTAGTTAATGACTGCGCATCGAGCGTCATATGATATGCTAGCAAGCGCCAACGCCGGTCGCAAATGAAAGGGACACAAGCACGATGCTAGTACGGTAACGCTATAAGGGTTTGCTGTTCGGGAGATGTACGGCCAAGAACTTTTTTTTGAGAGGCACGTGAACGATACCTTTTGGAAATCCTTACACATGCCAAATTCGAATCCCAAGTTGCCAACCAAGTATACGTAGTACCTGTTGTCACTGCCCACCTCAACTTTACCCAAGTAACAACAATGCCAGTTGAAAACACTTATCCTGTCATCACAGATCAAATACAAGCAGAACCTGCACAAGCCATCAAGTATTGCTCGTCTTGCGACCACCCGCTTGACTTCTCCAATGCTGTGCTTGTACAGGACGACCACGATTCCAACACCATTTGTGCTTGGTGTCGCGATACGCAGTTGCAAATGCAACAAGATGACAATCTTTTCGCATTTAATGATGTCGGCCCCCCCGTTGTCCGACCTACGCTTCCTACAATCGCCCCCCAGCTGAATAGCGTACCGCTCGTTCATATTCCAGACGACGGCATTTTTGGCGACGATATGGATATGGACGAAGTTTCTACACCCAGTCAGACAGCCTCCTCTCCTTACACTCCAATTTCTGTGCCATCTTGCACCCCCTCTATTTATTCGCAATCGAGCATACCCGCTACCCCGAAACCCTTAGTGCTATCCATTCACACCCATGCTACAACACCTTCAAGACCACTTTCCCGCCAGTCCCGCAATCACGCCTCCACGGATTCTCGCTCTCCCTGTCTAAATACCTCCTACTCTTCTCCGGATCCTCTTCTCGACATTACCCATATTCGCGTGCGCCCGCAAGGCCATCATTGCTTATATCCTGGCGCTGTGTTCCAGGGTACACAGAAAAGTGGCAGGAATAGCTACGACGTGAATGTCAATATCGTTGTACGTCGAAACGGAAGATTAATCATGGCGTTCGGTGAAGCTCATTTCCCTACCAGGATGTGGATTTCTCTTCCTCGTTTCTTTGCGGGTACCTCCGCATTCGCGGTTTGACAGATGACTGGCCTGAATTGACCACTTACTTTGACGCAGAAATCATAGGCAGCCGCTATGGATTCTTGACACAAAACTGGGGCGCCAATGAGCAGGAGGACATGGTCCATTGGCAGCGGTTCCCTGCTTTCCGGCATGTCAAGAACGAGTTGAAAAAGCCTAACCTGACCATCCCCGATCGCGATCGTGGTGCAGTCTTTATGAGATGGAAAGAACGGTTTTTGGTACCCAACCACAGAGTACAAGATATCAATGGCGCAAGCTTCGCAGGTGCGCGACTGGTTTTATGTCGGGTGCAGATCACTATGTGGTCGGCCCGACAAGAAACCACAAGCTTCTGACGCGGCAACTGGTGTTTTTACTATGACCAGGCTTCTATTATGTTTGTGTCGATTTCAATCCCCAGCCGCCTACATCCACATCCACGCTTCGCCCAGTGACGCAGTCCGTTCCGCTCGAGAATGACGGAATTAATGACCTGCCGTTGCCCCATTCACCGTCCCTCGGGAAAACAGAGACACTCCCTACTGCGCGGAAGCGGAGGGATTCCAGCGTCAGACGAGGAGGTCGAGGGGTGTCAGTTGGACCACGGTCACATCCTCCTGCTGCAACAATGAGCGGATTTTATTTCCATCAGAACTCAGAACCGTATGTATATGTTGTATATGAGTTTATACTTCTAGCTAACTTTCGCAGATATCAACAGCTGTCTCTTAGTCACGTCCCGGAACGCTTTAGCTCCAGCTTTGAGTTTCGTTGAGAAGCTCGGGGTTGGAGCGCTGCACCGCTTGTATAATAAAAACGCACTATTGACAATATTGGACTGGACTTAATTCATCTGTGGCAAAGCTTTGTCTGAGTATGTTAATTTTAGTTACCCTCCTGTTTACTGTCCTGATATCATCTCTCATTCATACGCTATCTCTGTATTTGATGTGTTTTACATGCAACATGCAGTCTTATCTTTGTCTCCCATGTCTCGGTGCGCAGGCCAGCGATGCCGTAACAGACAAACATCGCCAATTTCAAATTGACAAGCATTGCCCTATCTAGAATTATTCCGGATTTTGTGTGCAAGCAAGGAACTTGTTAGGCAAATACTTATAAGATGCAACATTCCCGAAATGTTGTGTTGATCCATGACAAAATCTCGGTGGAGAAGAATATTTTTTTCCGGGTGGGATACTAGATCTAGAGATGCCCCCCCCCATGGCCTTGTCACGGAACTACACTTCCTTCCTCTTTCAACCGACGAGCTTGACGCGAAACATTCTGCTAGATATGCATCGTGATACACCTCGAGTGGTCATAGTTGGTGCTGGGTGCGTTCTTGCTATTTTACAAATGGCTAATGGGGTGATACTTGATCCAACATAACAGCATTTCCGGACTTACCATGGCTGTGAACTTGAGAAACAAGTTGCAGCATGATAACTTTGTGGTAAGCCAGCTTGAAATTTTGTAGGATGAAAACTTGACCTTTCCAGGTTTATGAACAAGCAGGATCCATCGGTGGGACATGGCGAGTACGATCGGAATCATTTCATTCCGCGTATAGTCAATGCTAATGTACGTTGGAACATGCCAGGACAACACATACCCTGTATGGCCATATCCACTCTTTGAACTTGATTATTGAATATTTTGATCAGGGGTGTGGGTCCGATGTTCCCGGGCACTGGTATTCCCTTTCAACGGAACCCAACCCATACTGGGAGAACTACTACATTACGCAGCCCGAGATACGTGCGTACTGGGAGGAAATCTATCAGAAATACGACCTGGCTTCCCGCACGGTGTTCAATACCCGCGTTGAGCTTGTCGAATGGGACGAAAAAAACGGCGTGCATAATTTGACGCTAGAAGACGTAGTGTCTGGCCAGATTATGCAGACACAAGCGGAAGTTGTTATCCAGGCTGTCGGCCCTTTTACATCGTCGATGTTTCCTCAGGATATTCCCGGGAGGGAAAAATTCACAGGGCCACTCTGGTATTCTCTTCACTGGAAGCATGATGTAGACCTGAAGGGCAAGGTGGTTGGCGTCATCGGCAACGGCTGCTCTGCGTAAATCATGCTCCCTGTCTATCTTTCGGAGGCCACGTGTTAATCAACTTTCTAGAACTCAGTTCATACCGATTATCGCCGCCGAGCCTACTACTCGAATCATCAACTTTTGTCGTTCACCACAATGGTTCGCAGAGAGGGTATGTTAACACTATTCTTGTGCTGATCGTTCGTGCTGAATGAATGGTGAAACGCTGAAGGGAAACTATCGCTACCCAGAGTGGCTCAAGTGGGCATTTGCTCATGTTCCCTTTCTCATGTCCGCATACAGAAGTTTCATCATGATTCAGGTACGCTGCAGAGGTATCTCGCCCCGGCGGAAGCTGAATTCTTCAAATCCAGTCTGATCTTCTATGGAACATTTTCTTGACGAATTCACTCGTTGGTGCAGTCGTCAAGAAGGTAACATCAGCTTCTCAGTCTACTTGGCGTTTCTAATGATCAATAGACACTAACATTGTACATGCAACAAACCATGCCAGCAAAATTCCACGATGATATGATTCCCACTTACCGTGAGCAATTATTGTGATATCGATGATTGTGACGCGCCCAATCAACAACTGCTAAATAGCTCCTGGGTGCAAACGCTTGATCATTGATCCTGACTACCTGTCTGCTTTGCACCAACCCAACGTTGATCTGGATTGGATTGGAATCCAAGAAATTGTCGAGGGCGGGGTCGTTCTCAAGACTGGTGACAAAGTACCACTGGACGCAATTATTTTTGCCACTGGCTTTTACCTGGTAATTTTCAATTCAGCCATGAGTGCTGGTCCTTAGCATTCAATATTGCACAGGTCGCACGAGACATAGCTTTCCGCGGAACCGGTGACCTGACTCTGACGCAATATTTCGAATCAGAAGGTGGAGCGACGGGCTATTACGGAACGGTTTTCCCTGGGTTTCCAAACATGTTCACAATCGTGGGTTAGTGGTTGGCTGATTCAAGTTGTGTAATATGACTTCATTCGATAACTTTGTCAGGGCCCAATAGTGCTTCGGCTCATGCTTCTCTTCTTTTCACCATCGAGACTCAGGTACGTGCTTTTAGAATTTTCAAACTGCTGTAATAAAACGTGAGGCCGCATAGGTTAGCTATATTCTCAAGCTGATCAAGCCGATCATCGATGGTAAGGTGAAATCACTTGAAGTCACTCAGAAGGCCACAGCCTCTTACAACACATGGATCCGAAAGCGCATGGAGAACACGATATTCTTGGGCTGTTTGTCATACTATCGAGGTGACAGTCGGAAGGGCGTCAGAAATGTAGCCACGTTCCCTGGTATGATCGCACTCTACTGGTGGATCGTGCGAAAGCCGCGCTGGGATGATTTCAGGGTGGTGGGTGGAGAGCAGTGGTCTTACCAGAGAAGGAAAGTTGCTCTGATAAAATATGCACTCGTGGCTTTGACGATTTCCGGTACTATTGGCTACAATTCCTCTTTGCTCTGGACATTCGTTGTCGGACTCAAAGAGAGGCTTCTTTCAGGGTGGTGAAAGATTGTTTAGTCAAACACATTTTTCTTCGTAGTTCGCGCTGTCATATGTATGGACTTAAATATATTTGCGTTGACTCGATCTTTACACAATACGCGAACATTATATTGCAATGGAAGGCATGCACATGAAAGGATTTAGTCAACACGCATGCGGCTGCATAGGGACGTCGCTTGTTTTGGTAAGCTCGGTTTTGACCGAGTAAACTGTACCCTCAACGTTTGTCCACCGCCGCCGCAGAGGCAGTAGAAGGCCTGGAGGCCTTGTCCTTGCCCTGTCCACGGTCTAAGTTGTTTTCTCTGCCTCTCCATCTTTCATACGCCTCTCATGTCTTCCAATAACTCTGGCACGGCAAACGTAGTTGGCGTGCATTACCGTGTTGGCAAGAAAATCGGGGAAGGCTCATTCGGCGTTATCTTTGAAGGTTCGCACTTCTTTTAAACGTCTTTTTATCGGCTTTCGGCTTGAACTGACCATGGCGTCTAGGAACGAACCTACTGAACTCCACGACCGTCGCCATCAAGTTTGTGGGTCCTCCACTTCACTGACCTGCGCCTTTGTTCCTTATATCTTCTTTGGCTGCAGGAGCCACGTAAAGCAGAGGCACCTCAACTTCGAGATGAATGTCGTTCATACCGCATTCTAGCTGGCTGCCGTGCGTATATTTGTTAGACTCGCAAGTAGACGAAATTCATTGACGCGCATTCTTGTAGCTGGTATTCCTCAAATATATCACTTCGGGCAGGAAGGTCTCCACAATATTCTGGTGATAGATCTTTTGGGCCCGAGTCTGGAGGATCTGTTTGATATGTGCGGGCGTAAGTTCTCTACAAAGACGGTGTGCATGGCAGCTCGACAAATGGTGCGTGTTGCGCCTTTGTAGTCTTCTTCTGCCGGCTAACTGTTCGCAGTTGTCCCGGGTGCAAACTATCCATGACAAAAACCTCATTTACCGGGACATCAAGCCAGATAATTTCCTCATCGGGCGTCCTGGCACAAAGGTGGCGAATCGTAAGTTTCCTCCGTTCATGGCGGATATTACATTCACATATGTCTTGTAGTCATTCATGTCGTCGACTTTGGGATGGCCAAGCAATATCGCGATCCTAAAACCAAGCAGCACATTCCTTACCGGGAACGGAAAAGTTTGAGCGGCACGGCGCGATACATGAGCATCAATACTCATTTGGGACGAGGTATGTGTTTTTCTTTCGTGATTGGTCGCAATAACTTATTTCTTCAGAACAATCTCGGAGAGACGATCTGGAGGCGCTCGGACATGTCTTTATGTACTTTTTGCGTGGCAGTTTACCTTGGCAAGGGCTGAAGGCTGCTACCAACAAGCAAAAGTACGAAAAGATTGGAGAAAAGAAGCAGACAACACCTATCAAGGACCTCTGTGAGGGATATCCAGGTTTGTTGATTCATAATTTGTCCTCTAAATGCTCAGTAACTCTTGAACAGAGGAATTCGGTATCTATTTGAACTATGTTCGCAAGCTTGGATTTGAGGAGACCCCGGACTACGATTTCTTGAGGGAGCTTTTTACCAAGGTGATGAAGAATAATAACGACATAGACGATGGCATTTTTGACTGGAACCTACTGAATGGTACAATTTCCCTTGCATCTTATAACCTTATTGTTGATCTTTTGACTATACAGGGGGTAAAGGTTGGGAAGCTTCACAGGTGAGTCAAGTTTCATTTACCCAAACGCAAAGACTTCATCTTGTCGCCACAGGGGCAGTCGCAAGTACTTGCTCAAATACAGAATGCGGGTATGGCACCTGCGCCGCAAGACCGTCGAAGGGATTTGGAACGACGTCGGGATGCGGATTGGCGCCGAGCATCTCAGGTTGGTGGAGTCAACCTGCCTTCACCAGCGCTAGTTAGACAAGGCTCGAAGCAACGCAGAGTCCCTAATGCGCTCGCTCCTGGAGCAGGAAACCCACCTGGCGCTTCCACCCCTCTCTCTGCTGCCGCTCAGATTAACGTTCCTGTCTCAACACCGCAAAACAAATCCAATCATGTCAGTGCGCAGCAACATCCTTACGCGAATGTAGTTACTGGTGATTACGGTTGGGACACAGGCGATGAACCGTACGGATCTCAAGCATACGGACGTGCATCTCCCATGGTGTCGACGGTTGGGGCCGCTCCACCTGCAATAAGCACAGTGCGTGCCCACGGCAATGAGGCAGGTGTTTCTCGCGGCGAGGACTACCGCCAGCAACAAGATGATGACCCTCCGCAACCGAAGTCGAGCATCTGGAGAATCCTCACGTGCCGATGCGGCTGATCGCTGCTAACTTCTGGCCCTTTCCCTATATCTGTTCCATGCTACCATCAACGTAAATCATCCATCGTCAGTCATTACCTTCGACGCTTTGATATATACCCATTCATTACTTCCACCTAATATCCACTTTCACGGTTTATGTTTGGACACCCGCCATAGCTTTGGTCAAATGATCGAATTTTGCTCTCGACTATCTTTGTACGGCTTTACAGACTACCAGGGATGTGTAAGTAAATTGGCGACGGGGTGGTATACAGGAGTAATTATGCTTGGGATATGTGTAGTAAAGTGGTCGGTTGAGGCAATTATCAATCAGCTCTAGTCATTAAAGGCGAGATGGAAGCTTAATATAGAAGCTTAGTACTCCATGCCGTCGGAGATTGTCAACGAAATTTCGGTTCCCAGAGGTGAGGACAGATTGCCTTCGTCAACAGAAGCGCCAAGTTGGCCTTGAGCTTGGGTAGGCTTGGCGACGGGCATCACAGGCGAATAATTCTCTTCATCAGATGGGGCACGGGGTTGCTGCCTTGTGTTCTTACGCGGCCCTCCCTTCTCCAGCTCGAGGAGCGGCATGTCTTGAACGGGGGGATAGTCCATAAGCCGTGCGGGGAAACGTGGCTCAGTGGGAGGTGCTCCTGCGTAGGACACAGTGTAAGTAAGAGGATCTTGACGATGCATTGCTTCCTGGTGCCTGCCAACTGGAGGAGCGGATGCGGAAGAAGGATTGACGAATTCTTGTCGAAGAGCGTAAAGGTTGTCGCGAGCCTTGCTGTACTGTGCGCGCAGGTACTGGTTCACAGTCATCAAGTCCTCGTTGCGTTTTCCAAAGTCGTATAGCTGGTTCTCCATTATTTCTTTGTCTTTCTCCAATTCATTATTAGTAGTCCTCAGCTTATCATTTTCGGCCATCAGGAGATCTAGCTGTTTCTGAGCCACTGATCCAACGTCACCAGATGCGTCTATGAGACCTGAGTAAGGTGTTGCTTGAATCTCCACTGCTTTCTTGGCGGGGTCATGAGGGTCGGGAAGCAATTTGACGGGAGAATGAGGTTTGTTCGTCATATAGACTTTGCCGTTTGATGCACTATGTAGCGATCCGCTTAGTCGTGCTTCCCCCTCTCGACGGATGAACCACTCACCGTTTCTCAAATCTCACGGAAGGCCTTCCAGTTCTCGAGAGTTTGTCGCTGGGGGGAGCAATACGCTGCTTCTTTGGGGGCCTACCGTTCGAACCGCCGGCAGAGTCGCCAAACTGCTCATGTTCCTGGTCGCCATCCACTCTTGAGATGCTTAGGGATGTGCCATCCTTATCTGGCTAAATACACTACGTCAATGGGATACGTGGACAAAATGTGGAGCAAATACCATAGATCTAATATGAATTGCTGGGGTATCATCGGACACACTGGATGAAGGGCCATTGGATAATGCGGGCCTATCATGGGGAATGAACACACAGTCCATAACAAATCTACGTCTCTTTCCATTTGCGGGTGCTACGCCAGGATGTTGTCGAGTTGTGGGAAGTGATCGATACGTGTTTAGAACACTAGCCACGCAGTTGCTCGGTGAACTAGTTTGAAAGTCGCTTGGAAGTGATGTCAAATCACTAAGACTTTCTGACCTGCGAAAAAGCGACGCTGTAGACAAAGCAGGCGTCCCGACTGAGCTGGACGTTGTAGCCCCACCGCGTTGGGGACCCTGGGAACGAGATTTACTGATCGCCTGCTTCAATGGGGATGATGCAACCTTGTCAAAGTGTTAGTTGCTTCGTGCAAACAATGGTAACGGAGGACCCCTTACGGACGCGCTAGTCAGCTCTACGCATTTGTCGTACCACCCCGGAATAGTTGCATTTGGGTTGACAGATTTGCATGTACGAAATTTGGATGCAACGTATGCCAATTTCATGCGGAGATCTGGACGTATACCAGTCTCTTCGTCGTGCAAAATACGTGCATGTGCATCCTTGAACGCTACCTTGGATTGTTTATGATAAGCATGCCAATTAGACATGCCCCCTTCTGGACCATCTGACATCAGGATTGCCGATGCAGAATGTATATGGTAGGACTCTAATACATGAGTCGTGCATCGTCCGCCATGGCAGGTTGCGCAGTAGATCATCGAACTCCGAGGAGCTTGATGCTTTGTTACGCACATACCGAACGGCTCAGCTATGACTGATGACATTGGCCGCCGTTCGTGCAACATGCAGGCCGCCCTGAAGACACCGACATGGCGTATTGCTATAATAGAACTAGCCACGCGATTAAGTAGCAGTCTCCTGAAAGCAGGAGTAAACCTACCTTGGATGCTTCAGGAGAGACTGGAAGTCCTTTACGATGTCAGGACATACTGCCCGAATGGTGCGCAGGGCCTCATCACGCGATCGTAGCAGATCGCCAAAAGGCCGGCACTGGGTTGGATTCATAGTCCCGCAGTTGCAACCCCGACCCTCAACGTAACAAAGCGGACAAACCACAATACCATCTCCAATCCTCATCTCTTCATGGACTACAAGTGAATGAGGAGCACATGATATGCATTCAAAGAAACTCTGGAAGATGTCTGCGCCGCAAAAGTCGCAAGTGATGTTGTTTTGAAGGGACGTATCGGATTGCGAAACATGCGGCATGTCTTGGTGCTTTGGTGAGTATTCTTCCCCGAGGACATCATCGAGCAACTCAAGTAAGTGGTGGAGTTCATGAGCGACTCCCTCAAGACTCGAGTTTATAGTGGACGATGACCGGTCAGGATGAGGAGAACCTGTCTGCTGTTCTCGAAGTTCCTGAAGTCTCTGTGTCTGGCGGTGAAGGGCGCGATATATATTCAATTTGACCTTGTACGTCTCCGGTCGGCATACGCTGCGAAACGACGTCACTGCTATTGCAAAATGCACTAGCATGATAACGGACGTACCGATGATATACGGGAAGTTCATGATAGAGAGAATTCGTCAAGCCTCTGAGAGTCATCCGCGACCAGGATGTTTTCATCGTGATGCCACCGTTGTTGATGACTTGGTGACAGCTTCTTGGGGGAACAAGCACCAAATCGCCGAGCTGCTGTTCCGCAATGTAGATGTTAAGCCTCGACTGCCCCAACTCTCTCAGGGTCACGACATGTGTCTCAAAGTCCAATTCCTCATTTATCTTGTGGAAAAATTCAGCCATGCCTGGTGCAGCTGAACTCTCTGTCATGAACCAGAAAGACGATCCGCCATTCTCGGTATAACACATTAAATTCTGACCGGAAGAGGCGCAGAGGTCCTTATGGAAAGGTGTAAAGGTGTCCCCTACTCCGAGGTAGCACATCAAAGTCTGCACATCGTTCTGATCCAAGATGATTATCTGTATAGCCACTAAGCATATCATGAAACGAACTGACCGGAAGGTACTTGAGGTAATCATTAGTTCTGTGAGGCAGGAGATCACTTGGAAGGACGCCAGAAGTTGACAACCAAGATGCCCACTCATGCGGGCATTCCGCATCTTTGCCATACAATCGCTCGGTTTCTGATGAAAAGTGAGATGACACAAAAAGCGACGTGATAGACGTCCTCACCATGTTCGCTAGCGTATCTTGGGGTCGCACGAAGTTTATGAATGAGTTCGGAAAGGGGCAAGTCGAAATCAGCCCAGTTGTGTACGTTACGGACGGACGCCCCTTTGAATACCGGCATCAGTCGAGTGGCAAGTTCTGCCATGGAAAACAGACCCTTACCTTGTTTCCCATGCTCTCTGAGCCAATCCAAGGTGAATAGATCAGCGGGCCAACTCTCGTGTTCGTGAAACCCTTCGATGATCAAGGGGTTACCAGAATCCTCGTGCATCCGAATCGTCTGTGTCAACGTGGGATCTTCAAAATGGACTCTGTCCACTGGACGGAAGTTAGGCGCCTTCTTGACCAACTCCGTAAAGGTCCAGCCCTTGGTGGTGATCAGCGCTTTGGTTAGAAGATGTTTAGTAGTGGTGCCATCGTTGACGATAGTGCTAGTGTGGCGTCCACTAGTATCAGTACCGAGTATCGGGCTACGCGTAGCATTTGGTAACAGCTCCAACTGTGAGTTTGGAGCTGTGATATCTGGCATGGTATAGCGAAGGATGGCAGTCCTTCGTCTTGAATGTCACCTTGAGCACTGGAAAAGAACTATAATTCTCCTTCGCGTCCCAATGAAATTACATAATATGGGCGTCTATTATCGAGATAAGCATCGTAGATGTTCTGACCTTCCACTTAGACGATACCATGTCCAACAACGGAAACGCGCAAGCAGAACAGGAACCAGAGTTTGATTTCTGGGACTTCGTCGACTGCTCCATATGCCATCTTCCTTTCATATCGAACGATCGGGGCGGACCTCCTCCTGTTCCATTTTGGATCACAGAATGCGGCCATGTTCTTTGCAACAACCATCTCAGTAAGATGCCTCGAACTTTGTATCTTGGAAATTCGTACTGACTTCTTGACTCCCCCAATGAGAGCCAGATCAGAGTTGTGCACAATGCAACGGCCAGAACATACAACTGGTTCCCCTACACCGAGATGTATGTTTGTTTCTTCACTGGGACATGTTTGGCTTATTTTTCGTATCAAAAACACAGCTGGAGCCCCCGATGTCAGACTGGTTTAGAACTCTTCCTTATTCACTGGATTCGATAGCAAACGCTGTAAAAGTGAGTCTTGTTGACACAGTTTCGCTGCTGTTCAGACTTCAACCTGCACAAGTTTCAGCAAGACACATTCGCCGGTCTCATCCGCTACTATCGGCAAGCTTGTTCCCAGCTTAGCCAGACGTGTGAACGTATTCGAGCGGAGAGGAAGGCTCTTCGAAAGTTCGTAGCTTAACAGTTTGTAAGACCGCTAATCCTCAATTGAGAGTACAGAGAAGTAGACAGCTTGCGGCGAGAAGTGGAGCGTCTACGCCAGTGCCCTTCTGGCTTCGGCCCTGCTCATACTCAGGAACCCTCATCTTTTCCCAACGCGAATGGCAAGCGTCAGATGACTGATATGCGCGAGTAAGTGAAAGATCGCATTTATGCTGGAGATCTAACCATTGGCGACTACGGGGCCAGTTTCAAGGCAAGCTCCAGCCCAAGGTCCATCGTCACCCCAGTCGGACCAAACAGAATCACCTTGCCGCTCGGGGAACAACCAAACTTCACTCGTCAAGATCATGAACGAATTTCAAGCCAGACACGTCAGCCGGAACGACCTGGAACGAGTCGTTTTGCGGAGTAAGAATATCGATCATTTTACCTCACTCGTTGATTTGAATGGTGCATATCAGACAATATGCATATAATGATGAACAGGGATCACGCATGCAGGCTGCACAGCTCTCTCACGAACAATCGGTACCTACTCGCCACCTGCGATTAACGTCCGGCGAACAAGGACATCGTTCTATGCCACCTCCACCCCCACCGATACCAGGTTCACGAGGTCGTTTCAGACCCGCGATGGGCTCAACGGACACAAGAACCACAAAGACGTCAAACGCCCAGACTGCTGAACCACAAATGGCCCACCAGCGACCTCCGCCATTGGCTTCCAGGCCTCAACAGCGCTCATTCGTTGTCCCGCAGACCCCACATCGCGCTAGTGGTACCCACTTCACTGGTCAGACATCCGACCAAATGCGCTCACTCCAGTCCAACCGTTTCATACCACCATCTTCACATGGACGTTCGAATACTGGCGCAGGTGCAGTAACATCCTCTAACGTTCCAGGGACCTCGTCTGGAGGACATAGGATGCCATTCGTGTCAGGGGGTGCTAATGGATTCGGGTGACCTTATATACTCTTATATATCGTACAATCCTCTCCATCGGGTATGCAATGAAATGTCCACTTGCGCGTTGCTTGAGTACTCTTTACATAAATGAGATCATCCCCGAGCGAACCCCGTGTCCAAAACCTGTCCAAAAGTATCCCCGACTCCTAAATAAGTAACACTCCATAGCAAATTGATGGCGCCACTTTGCAACTGCGCAATTGTGAAACACAGCCGGAATTTGGCCGTCATAAGTCTTACCGCAGCAGCTCCGTCTTTGCATCATACATCATCCGTCTACCATGGCCCAGTATAGAGACCCATATTCTGACCAGCAGCGCGGCGGTTACAACCAGCAGTATGGTGACGCCGCCTATGATAGCAGGCAACCACACCAGGCATACGACCAAGGCGACTTTGATCCACAAACAATGGGAGAGTATAGAGATGACCCCAATGCGAACCCACGAGTATATGCGCCAGCAGCACAGGGAGCGATCCCTCATGACCAATCGAAGTTTCCGAAAAAAACTGGACGGTGTGTTACTAGCTCTTGGAGGATTTCTGACGCATCTGACTGCATTTCACAAGCCAACCTCGGGATTTCAAGAGCTGGAGATATGGAAACACCGGTGGCCTATGGACAAAGGTGAGTAATACGATGTCTCACTCGTTTGGGGACTCCTGGGGCTGAGCATCGTTTATAGGGCAGCCGAGGTAGCTGCATAGGGAGGTTCTGCTGTTGCACGTTGATGGTCGTCGTCTTCTTCATTGTCAGCATACTACTTGCGTTAATTATGGTGAGCCTTGCATAAGGGAAATATCGACGATATACTTAATGTTCTTGCAGTGGGTCCGTCCTCCAGATGCAGTTGTTGGCACCGTAGGAACATCTACCAATCAAAGTGCAGTAAGGCAGCCTTGCTAGATGTTTGCATACTTTTCTCATTTCTGTCAGGTTCAAACGGGGTCGGGAAGCATCATAGTCAACCTGGGCGTTGACATTGCGTAAGTTGACCGTGCACATTGTCTCATCCATTTCATGACCGAAGTACAGTGTTACCAACCCAAATTACTTTTCCATATCTTTCACGTCCATAGACGCAAAGGTAGGTCAAGTACTGTTCCCTCGTATCATCGCTCACAATTTATCAGGCATATTACCCCATTAACAATACTCTTGTCGGAACCGGCAATCAGACTGGCATCACATTCAATGCCAACTCACAAACCAACTTCACATTCCCATTTGCAGTTGAATTCAGCACAAACATGTCTTCAAGCACACAAATCATATCTGATCTCGCCACGAAATGCGGTGTGAATGGAGCAGTGCAAGATATCTCGCTCACCATTGATATCACGGTCCGTGCGCGCACGATGTGTTATTAATGAATGATGTCCTCACTCTTGTTTATCTTTTGTTCAGCTTGGATTACGCATCCTATCTTGGGTGGTTTATCCGACGGTGAGCATTCCCGCCAGTTTCACGTGTCCGATATCTGCTGCAGACATCTCGGTATGCTCATTTTTTCCCCGATGTAATTCTTGTTGACCGTGTCTTCAGAGTTTGCTTCCATCCATTACTTCACTAACTTGATCCTGCTGGGCGAGAGTGCAGGGGCCGGGGAGCTCCTTTCGTATCTCTTCTTGGACATAGACATGTACGAAATAGCTACACACACTCTGCCAATCTTGTATGAGGGACAGTCGATATCTTATTACTTGCTGGACAGCTTTCTCAGACACATGATCTATCACTTTATGTTATATCGCTCGTTCGACAACGACCATATCATCCTAAACTTCATGAGGCAGGGTGTCATTTGTGCAATCAGCATTCGGTGTGATCACGGACTGCGGTCCTTATCTGTACTCGTTACGCACATCATTACTTACCTTCGCGCAGCCTCTCCCAGAGTGCTAGTCAACGATATGTCGACTCAGAACCTTGCATCATCTGGGGTAGCATCGACAGATCTCAGCGAGTCCGAACAGGAAACAGTCTTCCTGCACTTTTTCCGTCGCCTGGCTGCATATCGCAACACGATAGAACTCTATGCCTTAACGGAAGCTGCGCTTCTACAGCCCAGTGGTCGTTTCAACGACAGTAGAACTTTGGAGTTCAGTCAAGCGCTAAATACTTGGGGACAGTCAATTCTCAAGAATGCATGGGTAGTGTGCCAAGAGCCTGGTGGCGGAGGTGAGTGCATGGTCACTCCGACTCCCATGTTTAACGTTACATCGGCAAGGTAGAATGTCCAACGTTAGACCCACTTGCCGACACTTCGGTAGGGGAGTTACCTAAAGCCCCTGATCCAAGAGTCCTCTCGAAGATCATGAACACTGTTCTCTTCCTCCACATTACCACGTCTAAGCAGTATTCCGCATATACACGGGCTTTTCTACCCACCTTGGCACCTATAGACGAGCAAACAGTAACCACAACTTTCAAAAATCCTGAAAGAGCCTTGAGGGAAGTACATAAACAGGCACAGCGCGTTCGCGAGCAGCATGCCGAGAGGGGACGCGTTCTACGCATCGCCGGCCTAGGCTTCGGGGCTGTTGCAGGTGGTGTACTCATTGGGATCACTGGTGGACTTGCAGCACCGCTAGTTGGTGCAGGAGTCACCGCCCTTCTTGGAGGCCTGGGTATTGGTGGGACTGCCGCTGGTGTATTGGCATCAGGGCTGGCGAGCTCATCCGCTGTATGCGGCGCGCTTTTTGGTGCTTACGGCGCACGCTCTACGGCGAGAATGGTTGGGCGTCACACGAAAGAAGTCAGCGACCTTGCAGTACTCCCAGTACGAACGCAGATGAGTGAAGAAACACTGGCGGTCAGATTGTGCATCAGCGGATGGATATCCTCTCTTGAAGATGTCACAACTCCGTGGCAAATATTCGGTGGAGATGACACATTTGCTCTGCAGTGGGTTAGTCAAAACATGTTTCAATAGTCGTTTCGCAGTTGACACGATTGGTACAGGAAGTAGAGGCCTTGCAGGCTATGTCAAGTGCCTTGAGCGATCTCATCGAGTCTCAGGCCATAAATTACGTGGGAGGACAAATATTGAAGCGCACAATCCTCGCCAGTCTTCTGAGTGCATTGTCCCCGGTTGCGTTGCTGAAGATTGGGAAGATCATTGGTATGTACGGCTGACGATAATGCACTACCCTCAATCTCTGACCCGCTGAATCAGACAACCCTTGGATGAATGCTCGTGCCCTTGCACTCAAAACAGGTGCTGTTCTAGGTGAACTACTAGCTTCTAGGGCATTCGGAAACAGGCCTGTCACCCTCACTGGTTACTCGCTCGGTTCTCTCGTCATCTTTGAAGCCCTCAGATGCCTAACGGAGCTGTCACCTTCGAAGACTATAGGTCTCATACAGGACGTCTTTCTCTTTGGGACACCAGTCTCCATCAACTTAACGACATGGAGCTCGGTAAGACGGCTAGTGTCTGGACGGTTTGTCAATGGCTACTGCACGTCGGATTTTATCCTTGCTGTCTTATCACGTGCATCTGACGCGACATGGGGTATTGCTGGTCTACAGAACGTAGATGTGAAAGGAGTGGAGAACATACAGTGTGAGGGTGTTGAAGGTCATCTCCAGTGGCGGGGGATGATTGGAAAGTGTCTCCTGGACTGTCACGCTCCTGGAATTGTCACATCAGAGGTCGATGCCCAGCTGAAGAACATCGCAGAGCATATGCCAGAGCTAGCGGAATCTGACGACCTCTGAAAGGGTTACAACGAGCTCAGGCAATGCGGGTGATCTCTGGAAGTGCCCCACGGTATATACCATATGATTGGAGCCCGGGGCTTGGTTGGATTCGGTTGCTCCGATCCTACCGATGCCTGTGGATAATATTTTTGAGGTTGGTTACAACATGCGCGTCGAGTATTACCTGATGTGCCTTCCTTGACGGGATCGTTGTCTCGTCGATATCCCCCTTTTCTGGTGTATCTGCCGATCCACTGATTATGATATCGTAACAGCTCTCGGACGCGCCAGTCCAGGCTGGCCTCGGACTCTTTCGTACTTCTATTTCAAGAGCAAGTAGTGTGTTCTTTGGATCAAGTTCCAACGACCTGCATGGGCATTGGGCATCAATGTCATTTCGTTCGCCGTTGTCGTCTCTTTTCTGTATCCGAAAGAGCATAAGGATTCAATATTCAATATTCAGTTGCGAAGTGGGCCCCGAGTTGGCCCCGAGTGTAAAAAAAAAATCATTCACACGGACCCACAAGCCAATACACAAATAACTGAACAGCATCAATCAAACGTTGAGCCTAAACAGACTAATACTTATCAAACCGAGATGCGATAAAAATCCGACTTCAAGCCCTGTTCACATCGACAAGTCAAAATCCAGCAGGCCTAGGAGTGCTGAGAGCCTCGCGGTATTTTTTCCCTCAATTATGTCGTTATATCAGATCACGGAGTCCCATCCCAAACCACTGCAAGCCCTCTTAGGGGGGATTGGCATTGCGTTGTCTGTTCATTCTCTTCTGGTGCTTAATGGATCTGTCCTTGGGGTTTCTGGCTTCGTTCATCGCTCATTTCGAGGAGATAAATCAGCAATGGCTTCCGTCATGGGTCTGGCTCTAGGAGGTATTGCAGTTGGTATCATCGGTGATGTGGACACCCCGGAGCCCCAGGCCAGGTCCTCGCTTCTTAGAATGGCGTTTTCTGGGTTGCTCGTCGGTATGGGGACGAAGGTATGTGCAGCGTGTTTTCAGAAGGCGTTCTGATTTATTTGCCTGTAGCTAGCCAACGGATGCACCTCAGGGTTTGCCTTCTCGGTCTCTCTGTCACGCGCATGCGTCTAATTGTTTCTCAAGCCATATGATCTGCGGATTGTCCCGTTTTTCTCTTCGGTATGATCTGAGCTCGTCTTCTCAACTTCTGTTGATTCAACGCGTTCGAAGTTCTCTGGTAGCAACGGCCACGTTCTTTGCAAGTGCCGTAGCCACAACCCACTTCGTCCACGGAGATGCTCTTGGAATATCTGGGTCTTGGGATTGGGCTCTTGATAACCAGGGACGACAATTCGTGGGTGCAACTCTTGCCCTTTGCATTCTTTGGTTTGCATACACGTGCACGGCTCTCAACAATGACACTAGCGACAGTTCGAAACTTGTGAGCTGGCAAATCCATTCTTGTGATAAACTTGTGCCAAATATGCCCCAGTTCATTCTTCGCTATTTGACGAGCTTCTTATCATCGTTAGCTTTTGCATTCTCCATCCGCCTGGGCAATATGGTCGATCCACACAAAGTTCTAGCATTCTTGATCTCACCATTGTCTTCGGCATTCGATCCAACGCTCATGTTCCTTGCAGGCAGCGCTCTGCCTCTGGCTACCCTGCTATATCGATATGCACGCGTAGAGCAACCTAGGTTCGGTGGCAAATGGAACATTCCGACTTCGACCAAAATCGACCTGAGGCTCATACTTGGTTCATTAATATTTGGGATGGGATGGGGGATCGGTGGTGTCTGTCGTACGTTTATCGCTGGCCCTTGGCAGCAGCATCACCAACCTCTATTTCAGCTGGTCCTGCTTTAGTCAATTTCGGACGTTTTCTGTTTGCTGGCGTTGGTTTCGCGGAGTATGTGGTTTGGCTTGTATTCATGGGCCTCGGTGGCTTGTTTGTTAAGTGATGTGGTCACCACAGTCGCGTCGGATTGGAAGCTTCAACAACCAAGGATTATTAGGATTTTGTCTTACATCACGGCTCGATCAATCACACAGCACGTCTCTTCAAGACGAATAATGTATATCATACACTAACTATAATATAACAAGCCAGGCCAAAGTAGCGTTTCTATAAGATCTCACAACAGAATGCTACAGACGCGCTCATGTCATGAGGGTCGATCTGATGGACATATTCCCTCCTCCGAGGTAAACAGGTTTATGCAGGTGCAGGGACTGCTGATGGTCCCGCCGTAGGCGCTACAGATTTAGGAGAACCCCTACTTCTTCCCCACTTCACATGAACTCGTTCGCCATCCATGTCTAGGCCATTCGCCCAAGCTTCTGCTGCCCTCTCAGCAGAATTGCGGTCTTTGAAGTTGACGAATGAACATCTAAAATGGGTCTTAGCTCTGAAACTACTGAAAAGTAGACATACTGGCGCACCTTGATTTTGCGACATGAACGACCGACCGCAACTGTGAAGAAGGAATTTGAGGTAATGAATTAACGACATGAGTCCGTATGCTAAGTTCCGTGGCAGACGCGGGAAGAGAGGAAAGGAATAGAGAGGTCTGTTGTGCCAGACGGTCAAACGATTTATCAGAGGGAACATCTCACTCACGATAGTCTCGTCTTCTGGCGGCTTCAAACCTTGCGCTTCTGAATGATTGGCCATTATCTTACGTGCAACTGGGTCATTGTGACCATGATATCTGTCCTGAATATTTTGGTGAGAAAGCTCGTTCTCAACGGGGTTTTCATGTCTGACAAAGCAAGTCTTATCAATGATTGAGACCAGATGGACATTGATTGTGAGCTCACCGGAACGGGCACTCGTTTCCTCTGTTGCACTCTCCTTTTACGAAGAAGGAGCAGATGTGTGGGCGGTTGCGCTTGTAATACGGGTTTGTCCGAGCTAGCTGCTTCAACATTTCCTTCCCAGCAGATGTAGCCCGCGTCCCAACTTGCATCAAGGATTGATTGCCATCCTCCATCTGAGTGTGACTTAGCCAAAGGTGTGCGAGCCGATGCTAAACATCAACGCACCTTGTTCTCCATGTTCTGCGCGTAGTATTCCCGATTGATGTCACTAGTCGGTGCTTCATTCTGAATGGCAAGGGCAGTGTCGCGAACTTGCGTCGGTAATCCATACTCAAGGTCAAGAAGGCATGTCTGGCAGACGTTTTTCACTTTGGCGCACGTCTGACATATCACAGTGGTTTTGTAACGTGCACCGGAGCCTGGATTCCATCGGAAAACCGTGAATGGGCGAGCACATGTACCACATGAGCGACCGAACTCTTGCTTCGACTAATCATAACGCTAGGCCGTCAGTATACCGTCTTGATATAAATGTCAAGACTAACCATTCGGATGAACGGGTTAGGTCCCAGACCTGGTGAAGAGCGTCAGTGTCTGGTATGGTCAGTTTTCCTAAAGGACAACGCACATGTTTCACAAAGAATGGGAAATTCACTTTGCTCCCAACCAGCCTTGTTGATATCTGCCTTAGGCATTTTGTCTAGTGAATGGGGCGAGGATAAGTAATGAAATTCAGAGAATGAGCGTCCCAAGTATGTTACATAATCGCAATGTCAGCGTGACTGACTAGTTTCGTTTGAACTAATGTTTGAAATTGAATGTCTACTGCTACATTGCGTATAATCGTAAGATATGTATCACGTGTAAGTGATGATGAGCGACAAGCTGAAAGGGAGAGTCGAAGCAGTGACTATAACTTCTCCTCCATCAGGGACAAGTTCCGAAATTTTCTTCTCCAAATTCTGGCGCGTAGCCTGTTCCAGCTGGGGGGGTTGCTGGAAATAAATCGGTTTCTCTGACGTGGCGAGAGATGGTTTCTTGATCTGACTGTGCCAGGGTGAGTCCTGGATATCAATGACAAACGAGTACATACATGTTCTGCTTCTCCGTCAACAGTTCAATGAGCTGCTCGACAGTCCACTCTCGACTTATTGACATCTCCAGAGCTTCACCTCCGCAAACAGGGCAATGATCCCGCTTTTCATGCTCAAAGGTGTACGAATACACTCCTTCGGTCCCAATAAGCATGAAATAGTTGTTCAGATAAGCCGCTGAACTTGTCGCAATCTTGAAAGCCTCGTTGCAACATGAAGCTGCGAACACTGCCATCAGACAATCGAATAAGAGTTGGCTGCCGACATACCGGCAATGATGGCATTAGTAGATGCAATTGCAGGGATGACGTTCTTGACGACACCCTGAGTAAGTGACCAAGTCACACCTTCAATCTTGAATTCCTTTGCACGAGCAACAGCAATTGAATACAACCATCCGATGTGCTCAGGATCATCAGTGTCGAGTTTCTCGTCTACTTTCGTGTGAAATGGAAGAAATATGGGACGTGCAGCGAGACTGACCTCCACGCACGCGAGGCCATTCTAGCACAGAGGCCCATTCTATACAATGTTCAGGGAGACGGGGTGTGTTCGCGATAGTGCAAATAGGGAATGTAGTTGGCTTGTTGAGCATATCAAGGGAACACTCATAGCATGATGATACAGTCGGAAGGATGACTCGAGCCTGCCCCTTAAAACCTTCTCGTAGCTATTGAGGTCGCGCAGAAGGTAAAAGAAACTTACTCACCTTCGGTACCACCGTCTATAAGAGGCTTCAAGCTCTCAGGATTCTCAGGATCCACTAGGTTAACAAGAGTTGCATTTATCCACCGGCGCGCTTCCACAGAATCTAGACCACAAATCACGAGGTTAAACTGCATATAATAATCGTCGCCCTTGTCTTGTATCTTGCCGTAGTACCTGCACGCCTCGCGTCTCAGACACGGTGCGCGAGAGTGTGTCAACTTACGGAGTGACCTTGACTCCTGATACTCGTTTCATCACATACTCTGCAGCAACGATGGCCTTTGGTCTTCCGACGTCCGCAGGTCTTAAGGAGGTTGATCCCGAGTTCGTGTCATCTCACAAATGAAACATACCTGAAGAGAAATTGACGATTAAGATTGCTGATATCGATGGTGTCCATGTCGATGAGATGGATGTCCTTGAACCCAGTCAAAGCAAGATTGGCGAGTATCTCGCATCCTAAACCACCAGCGCCGATGACAAGAATCTTGCACTTATTCCGTAAAAAGTCCTTCACCTATCGAACATCTTTCAAAGACGAGTTATCTTGAATATTTTGGGGATACGCACCTCATCCCCAGCCAGGAAGGAAGGATCGGTTCGAGGCCCAGGTCTGTCAAGGATCTGGTCAACATGGTAATACCGATCTTGCCAGTCGCTTGAAGTCGCTGAACCATTCGCATGTATTTCCGTAGTCATTGAGAAGAGTGAGCTCGAGGAGATCAAAGGAGAGTCCAACCAAAATGTTATTGACCTGGCTGGTAGCGTCAGGAGACGCCCACTAGGATCAATAATTCGTTACGTAATACAAAAGTTCTCCTCGAGATTTACATCCATGGACTCGAGATCATCGGTGAACTTCAGTGGGCACCAATATTTGCGACAACGTCTAGTCTTCTCCATCCTCACCGGAAAGCATGTCAGAATTGATAAAATTCGCTCCGAGGACAAGAATCCTGGTCTGAGAGGTGTGTTGAGTTCTTTGCGGCCTGAGGTTTCTTGACAAGCAGCGTTATCACTCAGACTACGAAATTAGCCTCCTGCGGCTGCTGGAAAAAATTACTAATGGGTCCGTCATTGAAATCTCTGTGACCGGTACGATCGTACTTTACCGTCCGTGATGCTGCAATTCACTCATACCATCAAGGTACCGCTGTACTCCTCAAACCAGGAGTCGTGTCCGGTGGCCCTATTACCCATGATTGTCCACTGTCGCGTTCAATAGGTTATTTCTTGGAGCCGCTGATCATGATCGCGCCCTTCTCGAAAAAGCCATTCCAGTTGACCTTGCGAGGCATAACAACAGATGACAATGATCTTTCTGTAAGGAATACCTTGTCGAAATCACTAATGCTTGCTAACAGCTTCAGGTCGACCTCATTCGCACTGTAACACTACCACATCTCCAACTTTTCGGTATCTCTGATGGATTGGAGCTTCGGGTGAGACAGCTGTTCCATTCATGACACGCGCCCTCATCCGGCGACCCAGATAAAGAAACGTGGTGCTCCTCCAGAAGGCGGAGGGGAAGTTCAGTTCCTCTGTCCTGTTGTTAAACAAGTAAAAACTCTTAACTTTGTTGAACCTGGAAGCATCAAACGAATCCGAGGGATCGCGTGCGTCCATATTGCCTTTTCGTGTATAGTATGCTATATTGAAGTATTCTCCCAGACATGCCGTCCGCGTTAACCCGCAGTTCTCTAGTCGCATGATCGACGCATCACGTTCAGTTCTCAACCGCTTCATTCCCGACATCTACCTGTACTCCGACGTCTACAAAGGAGATGAAAGCGGAAAGTATGTGGGCTAGCTAAACTCGCTTCTTTTGCTTTATTAATTCTGCATGAAGGTCGCCAGGATACGCACTAAGCTTACTTGCGGAGTCCACTACGTCTGCCATACATTGTTCTGAAGCTGTATCCACACCAGGCAAAACTCCCGAAGATATAGCTCTATTGGCAACTAGGACCCTTTTGTCAGAAATTAGACATGGAGGATGTGTTGATAGAAAACATCAATCTCTAGTCCTGTTGATGATGGTACTAGGTAGCGAAGACGTCGGCCGATGTAGAATGGGAGAGCCCTCTGTTAGAACGTGCGCGATGATTGACTCTCCTGTCTCTATCGCTTGCTCACATCATGACAGCATACAATTTCTCCGTGATATCAAGATCTTCTTTGGCACCTTCTTCAACATCGCACCCGCAGATCCTTCAGATCCTTCCAGCACCGAGTTGCTTTACTCGTGTCTTGGGACTGGCTACGTGAATGTGAACCGGACACTCGCGTAGCGAACTGTCCATCAAAAGTATATGTATTCATGCTTTATAACACTATGCAATGGATTCGTGTATTAAATGGTGCATAACGGACACCCTCAAAATATCCACGACAAAACTCCGAGGAAAATTCTTGTCGTGTGAGAATTTTATTTGGGATTCCGTCGTAGAGAAAACATCATCCATATTTGCACGAAGCTGAAATCATGCGGAAGGCATAATAGGAGGAACGACTGTCTTCCTTCTATTAGGGGAGACTATGCGGAAGATGTGGCAACTGACATCGATCCTGTATTGTCGTGCGGACACCGACAACGGTATACGAATTAAAGCGGGTTCAGGAGGCAAACATGTTGTGGATACATCGCCTGTTACAAAATAAAATGAACCCGTGCCAGCAAAGATAGAGATAACGCCGTGCAACGGATTCGTATATGTTAGACACATCAACGATAAATAATGGACACTCTCCCGAAATCTTCATCGCCTTTTCCACCTCCGATAGTCACTAGCCATTGTTGTAGCTGAGGCCATCCGACCTCGAAGTGCGTACCAAGTTCGTCCGTGTGATGATCTCCGTCGAGAAGCGGCAACAATTCAGGGGGTGGAGGAATATTCATTACACTCGAAGAGCCCTGTGAATTCAGGACATGAATGTGAGAAGTTGAAGTTGAAGGAGACCGTGATGGTCGTGGCCTTGCCGAAAACGCGTTCTGCAATTCCGATGAATTGCGATGCGCAATGGTTTGGCTCCCGGCAACATTAGATGATGGCGCCGTATAACTTGCAGGCTGTTGAAATACTGAATGCCTTCGTGTATCAGACAGGACACGGCTACGGCGCTCGTGATTGCGCTCGTGACCCTCTGGGGAAAGAGGAGGTTGCCGCAAGGTAGGGTTGGGTCCAGCTCGTGGGAGTGTTTTGGAGCGTAGCTGCTCGAGAACCTTTTCTGCTGCGCTCGTTCTGTGATGGGCTCGTGTGGCTTCCATCTGGTTTATGGGGGAACCGAGCACCTGTTCGGCACCCACAGGCGCAACCCCAGAAGACGCATCAGGTCGGCCATTAAATCGAGAAATCTCCCCAATTGTAGCCGAAGGACTTGTGGGGCTCGCGTTCAACACGGAGGAAGAGAGGCTTTGCCTTCTTCTGCGGGTTGGCGACTGTACATCTGCAGGAAGTAGAATTGGCCAACGATGTACCCGTTGTAAAAACCCCTGAAAAGACCTCAAATGAAAGGCCATAGAACAGTTGCTGGAAAATACCTTGATCACCCCGAAACTTGTGAATCGTCGAACGTCAATACCAAGTTCATGGACATTGTAGGTCTCCATCCAATCCAGCACTGTTTTTCCCGACTTAAGTCGCGAATATAAATGCAGAAGTTTCGGCCAATCCGGCACGGCCCTTCCTACTCCCCAGGTGAGCTAGGCATTTCCCTGAAGCTATGTACGAACCGGGCTTCGTGACGTATGGTCCACATTCGTCCTTGACATGGGACTCGTCTGCAAGCCATTGTACATTCTTACGAAGAGTGTACATGTTGGAGTATTGGAAGATGTCGACAGTCATGATGACTTGATAATAACTGCAAGATCTGATGAGAGTGAGATTTAAGGTCGGGACGAAATATTTTACAGTAAGTGAGATATTGCTTGGCGGGTCAGCTCAAGATCACAGTCGGCCAGGTGTGCAATTCGACTAACGTGGTTCACACCATCAATATATCTGCACACCTTGATGCATGGCTGTCAGGACAGTCAACCTATAAAATCAACTCGGCCTACCTTGCTCATTGTTAGATCCCAGTTGTCTTCTATGCGCTTGGGCAAGTTGATAAGGGCCAGAGGCACCTGCCAATCTTTTACTGGTGGTGGATTGGGATAAAAGGGGAAGATCTTCAGCTCTATCGAGTTGAAGGCATCGATCGGTATCGATGTTTCAGAATAAGAGTTCAAATCCTCGTATAGCTGCTCAAGGATGGCATGCATAGCTGGCGATGATTGTGAAGAGGAAAGAAAAAAGGATTCTTCCTACAATTTCATGAATATATGTTTTTATCGTGCAGGGTAAAGAGCTGACCTCGCAAGCCGTCAGTACACGGCTGACCTTGCGAACTATTGGTTCATAGCAACTTAAATCCGCTGACCGCTCGAAGACAAAGCAGACGTTGTACTGGAAGTAGTTCCGCTTGTAATTACCTGGAAGCAATACAGGAAAGCCAATGATACGGTATCTCCGCGTAGCGCAGATAACCAGTCGCCCGCAAAGCTCTCCAGGAGGTATCACATACTTTGAGATGTCATCAAAATTGAACAGAACGCGACTGGAGGAAGCAGAGCGCTGATGTGGTGAAGGGACGTTGAGAGAACTCGCACGTCGACCTCCATGGGAATTAACAGACGAACTCGACCCTCGAGAAGGCGTTACATCCGGTTCTAAAACGGCAGGTATTGATGGAGATGGGGAAGAAGTGACCGAATGATTGGAGTTTTGATTTGCTGTCGATCCTGCGATGAGACCTTCTGGAACCTGATACACAATTTTTGGTCCCTTCTGTAAATCGAATACGGCGTAGAACACGCTTTGTATTCTGGGAAGAAACGTATCTCCTTCGGAAGGCATACGGAGTAGTACTTGATGAAGGTAAGTAATATATTGGTGCGGTGGCTGTAATTCCGGTGTTGATTTAACGTTGATTGTTAGAGTCACTTGCCTCAATTGACCAATAACCGCGTCTGTGACTCTGCGTAGGGGGGGAAATACCATAGTATGTACTAGCTACCTGGTCAACTTTGCCAGATTTGTTTCAGTCGTTCTCTGACCCTTGGCTTCCAGGACAACTTAAGACAAGTACTTGTCTGTTCTTTTAGCTTCTTTTACCAACTTTAGTTATGGCTGTCACAATTCCTGCTGGGTTTCGCGCCTTGCCACTGTCAGCCGTACAGCTATCTCTAGCAGCTGTTTTGAAATGCGGCCAGTCATTTCGCTGGTCAAGTTATTCCCTGCCCTCGTCCCCTGCCGCAGAGTCGTCTCCTACTCATGAGTATCGTCTGTGCTTGAGGGATCGCGTAGTATGCTTGAGACAGTCTCCCGACTATCTTTTCTACTGCTCTGTTTTTCCGGGAGAGCATCTCTCAGTGCAACAGGAGGGAGTTAAGAACGAAGAAACGTTATCTTGGCTCAAGGACTATTTTCAGCTGGACGTAGACTTGGTACAGCTTTACGACCAGTGGAGTGACCGGGATCAAGTCTTTAATAAGCTAAAGTCTCGCTTTTCTGGCATCAGGATGTTGAGACAAGATCCTTGGGAAAACCTAGTATCGTGCGTAGCCTGCTTTCTGAATTGGCTCCACTCTGGCTTGACAGGTTTTCGTCTTGCCAGATTCATTTGCTCTTCTAACAATAACATACCCCGGATCACCAAGATGGTGCACGCTCTTTGCAAACAGTACTCTCCTTCCTTGATTTCCCTGCCACCCCCCGCACCCAGTGAAAATAGCACCCAAGGTCCTACGACGTATCATTCTTTCCCCCCGCCATCTGTCCTTGCTGCTCCTGAAGTCAAGTCCACTCTTCGGGCTTTGGGCTTTGGCTACCGTGCTGATTATATTCAACGCACTGCAAAAATGCTTGTGGATACTCACGGTTCCTCAATATCCCAATCAGGGTTACGAGAGAACTGCGAGGAGTGGTTGATTGGATTAAGAAACATGAGCACCGAAGCTGCTCGTGAAGAGCTTCTGAAATTTGTCGGCGTAGGACGCAAGGTAGCAGACTGCGTTCTTCTCATGAGCTTGGATAAGGTCGGTTGATTCCACTATGCTCGTCTCCGATCCTGAATCTATACCGTTCTAGAGAGAAGTCATACCAGTGGACACTCACGTTCACCAGATCGCTATCAAACATTACGGGCTACGTGCCTCCAAAGGGAAAGGTACCATGACCCCTCGAATTTACGAGGAAGTGGCTACAAAGCTTGCCGACATTTGGGGTGATCATGCCGGTTGGGCGCATTCTGCATGTATCTATTCGAAGTTCCCTTTCTTTTTGTTCATGCCTCCTTTTCTCAGGTGCTTTTCACCGCGGATTTGAAGGCCTTCTCTTCGTACGGGATTCAACCCCCGACGCCTGCTACAACAATCGGGGATGTGGGTCCCTTGGCGTCGTCGTCATCATCATCATCTAAGCGAAAACACGCTGAGATTCAGAACAAGGTTGAGATGCAGAGAAAGACCATGATGATGGGTGCTGCTATAGCTGCCATGGCTGCTACCGCTACTGTTCTTGCTGCCGTGCACGATGACCCGAGTTTACTCGAGGATTGTGACCTAAGCTCGGTTGAGGAAGATGATGCAAGTCCGCCCAGGCGAGGGAAGAGGAGACGACGTTCTGATTGATAGATGTTTTCTATATCCAAGATGGCATATAGCGCGTCATCTAGATGCCAACCGTGTCCTCTGATCAAGTTCATCTGTTTCTTATCGAGAATATTATTGCGCGGTGCGAAGTACATAAAATGCATGTGTCCGATGGTATACAAGTACTAAACGCAAATGAGGACGAGATGTTGGAGAGGTCTGACACACACTGCACCATGCGGATGAGATGCGTATGTTCATAATCCTATCCGGAGTGCTCTTCGCACTACCGAATCGCCATCGTTCTTCCTGAATGATGGCAGAACGGGCACTGTCTAAAAGGCTGCGATGTTTAGAAAGGTCAACCAAAAATTGAACTCGGCTTTTATACCGTCAGTCTGTTTGTACATATGTACGCTGGTTTAAGCACCCAACGCGCTTAGTCAGCCCGCCCGTAGGTTGGTAAGTACTAACATTTTCGAACTAAGTATGTACTATGCAGATAAGTACCGTCAATTTGCAGGTGATCAGTACTAGTCCTTTGTTGAAGCGATCGCATTCCCATAGATACATTAGGATTGGTCCAGGGTTTTGTCATACACCAGCGAGTGTCTTCTTGTATGCGAATAAAATCACGGTCATAGTGAAAGCTGTTCCAGCCAACTACGCAACGAGGCCAGGCCGTCAGTGTCTGTTCCTTTTTCTTCATCCTTCAGCTCTCCGACATTCGCCCATGTGCCTGCGAAGTCAACTTCTCCACCTTCCCAATCGGCAAACTTGAATATTCCACGAGGACTACTGCAATCCAAACCTCCCATATCCGATCGTTCGCCTTCCGCACCCAAGCCTTCAACCCCCATACCACTGGACTGAGCCTCTCGTCGCTTCTCCAGCTCACGCTCAAGAATCGTTCGAACCCGTGAAATAGCAACATCGGTGGAAGAGCCTGAAGACGCAGCTGTCTTCATGAGGTCGCACTTATGGGCGAGGATGAGGAGTGATGGTGCTAGGTGTGAAGGAGGGAGTGATGTTATGGCATGAAGGACGTAGTGGAGATGTCTAAATGTTGCACTTCGTTAAAACTAGCGATAAAGGAATCGAATATACGCACTCTGCTACTGTAGTACCGTTACGCGATATAGTGCTTGCATCCACTACGAAAGCAACTGCTCTTGCATTCACTAAGTGCTCCTGGAACTGATCTCTAATGCGAGGATGCCCGGGGATGTCAACAACCGGCAAGAACCGCGCTGGTGAGAGAGGTACGAGAGACGTATTGACTTGGAGTGACGTGTGCGACGGTAGTGTTTGATTATATGCAAGCTGGATATAATTTAAGTGAAAAACGAGTGTAGCATCATTGATGGACCACCAACAGTAGAAATAATTGCTGTTTTGCCAGAGTCTTGGGGACCGACCAGAAGAAGTGCGTTACCTCTGAACCTTGCTTTTCTTCGAGAGAACGTGATAACTTCAGAGTATAAGAATGCATTGTAGAATAAAGTCGGCCGAAACGCACCAATCAGCAAACCCACGACCAGCACCAAAGAAAGCAGCAGTAAAGTCGGGGGTGAAAGACCGTTGGTGAATGGAACCACCTCAGGCGTCACTGACATAGTCCCGTTGCTCAGTGAATCGACCTCCGTTTTATATTAAAACGTCCTTGAGAAATAGATAAGTGGACGGAACTATGAGAGTATGAGTACTAGTGCTGTGGTAGGATGTCGTAGACGAATTGCTAATTGCATCAGGCTGTTCTTGTTTGGCTTTGTTGAAATCGGAAGCTACACTGGAATTGAGTAGGGGAGCAATAGCTACTGTACAGCACAGTATATGTAACGTCGATCTAGCCACTACATATCACTGGGGCCACGATGCCTAGAGTTCAACACCATTAGTGATGCTCCCAACCCCAACGCGTTCATTCTAAATGTCTTGAGAAGAAACTTGCGTTGAGCCTTCTCGGGCCATGTAAAGAAGTCCTCCAGATGATTCTGATCATAAATTCCAGCAGAAAGGAATTCCGGGACGAATTTTACTAGGCTGGGTGTCGTGGATTCAAGAAATTGAAAAACACTTTGAGTGCTTTGAACGGCTACGCTGTGCGAGTTTGCTGAGACAGGCGAAGTTGAGCTCCCGCTGTGCTGAGGAGCGATCACAGTGGAACGAAGTATCGCGGGTCGCGTCGAACCAGATTGAGAGTCAGACTCGTCACAAGCAGCGAAATTCCTCCCCGAACTGCAGTGGCTACACCGTTATTTGAAGCATTAGTGTTGGATGTATTCTGCAAGGCGTTTTGAGATTCTAATCACCTGGTGATGTAAAAGCATACTTGTATACAACGGTGTTGAGGCTGTTGTCGGACTTGACAGCCCTCTCACAAGGAACTTTATCACACCACCGTTTCCGGTATACCTGTTTCAATAGGTAAACCTTCAGATACCACACCAGAACCCATGACATTTGATATCTTTCTGCCACTTCTGGCCACATAGAGTGAAACTGAAAAGTTGAAGCAATGAAGCAATGCGACAGAAGATTGAATTGCTCACCGTCTGGTAAAACAAACGGACCATCTCGGGATCCTGGTGCTCATGCCTATCTTGTGTATTGAAGAACTTGGCGGCTATATCCACGACGAGAGTCTTTTCCTCAGAGTCAGTCAATCAATATTCAGAAAGCTGTATGACACACGCGCAGTCTCTGCCACTCCCGTTCAGTCATCTTGGATGCTAGCTTGATGCCCCGAACACCAATACTTTGCCTCGCGGGTGGAGAAATAGGGAAACGTTCTGCGGACATATCTGGGGCTGACGATGAAATGATCAAAGGAGACGTCTTATAGGCAAAAGTAGTGACTCCACCTTTGCATGTCACTCTGCAAATAGTGTCACAGGAAAAGCCCCGTGATTAAATTAAGAGTAGACTAGAAAACACAAGAGTCCACGATGCATCATGATAACGAATGAATTGGATTTCGCCACAAGGTCTCAACAGAATCGATCACTGTGGTAAAATCAGACGATAGATACATTTGGAGTGAATCAGAACGTACCTCTTCAACTTCGCTCGTCGATCCAGCAAAGCTTCTGCCAGGCGACCTTCTTTGCGTGCTCGCTTGAGCTGAGAAATTGGTCAGGATGTTACTGATAATTAAAGATGAATTATAACGAACCTCTCTCTTATCCTCTTTTGACACTACCGAGCGTCCCGCTCCCCACGCTTGGTGCATGTGGCTTTGGGATCTTTCAGATCACAAACCAGTTCATCATAAGCTGAAACGTACTTCGTGGAAGTTTCGTCTATGATTGTCAACTCTGAGCCTGCTTCTCTTTTCTTCTTCTCTTCATGGGCCTCCTTCTTGTATTTGCTCTGAATTTTTACCCAAAACCGCTCCCGAAACCCGACTTCTTCGCTGTCGCCTCGCAACTGGAGCGAACCTCCTGCGACCTCGTCAACACTGAGATAATTCTCATACACGTTCATGAAGGCTGCCATGCCATCGGGCAAAAGAACAGGTGTCCACTCCTCCTCGGGCCCTCGCGCTTCCCTAAAAGCGCTCACGATACCATGCTTGTCACAAGACAGGAACTTTCCTTCGCCAGTGCCCGTCCGAAGGTTGATAGTTGCCGATCCCGCGACGCGGGTCGTAACCCAGACTTGAGCTACCTCCGTAGGTGTGCGATCGAGTAATGGCGGGGTATCAGATGTCGAATCCTTGTCGAGGGATGATAATATGATTTTGTTTCTGGTCGAATCAAAGTTCACTGATATGGGCGAAGGATCAGAAGGGTGTATGATGAAAGTAGGCCCGCGAATTTCTGTTGCATTCTCTGGTAGAACCCAAGTTTCTGGGTCCTCATCTTCCTCTACACGTTTGCTCGATAAGCCTTCTTCATCATGGTGTTCTCTCTTGCGCTTCTTCTTGACTTTGTCTCCTTTGAATTTGAGTTGCGTGGACCGAACTTTATCCATCGAAGCACGACGCACTAAGTTAAGAATGAAATGCATCATATGCGTGGTACATCCGGCAGTTGCCGACGCGCAAACTTTGAACCAAACAATTCGTTCCATACACCCAAATCGAACCGCCCGACACCGTTATCGACGTCCTCAAGATCAAGATGAAGTACAACCCTGGTCAGTTCTGTCTCTGTACCCACCAGTGTCTGTTTCATCCATGTGTCCACTTTGGAGTGAAGTTTTTTAAACAGGAGAAGTTGGATGGAGATGCTAAAATTTGGATGAGATCTGTTGGGCGAATAACTTACTGACGGATGTCTACATGTCAGACGTCTCCTCCTCGCGGCGCAAGAACCGCAAAGCCCATTTCAGCGCACCCTCCTCAGTGCGCCGCAAGATTATGTCGTCATCCCTATCCAAAGAACTTCGGGCAAAATACAGCGTACGTTGTATCTATTGAGAAACAAGGCGCGGGGTGTTTATACTACTCACTAGGCGCGGTCACTGCCGATCCGCAAGGATGACGAAGTACGGATTGTGCGGGGAAAGTACAAGGGTCGGGAAGGAAAGGTTACGCAGGTGTACCGCAAGAAATGGGTCATTCATGTTGACCGTGTGCAACGCGACAAGTCTAATGGAGCTACTGCTCCCATTGGTATCCACCCCAGCAAAGTCGTGATCACCACCATCAAGCTTGACAAAGATCGGTGGGTGATATCTGTTTTTTTGCGTTTCTCGTTCTCAAGTTCTTCGACCAGTCGGGCAATTCTTGACCGCAAGGACAGGTCAAAGACCGCACAACCCGCCGCTCAGGAGGATGTCGAGATGGTGGACGTAAGTGATCACCATATCTTGCAGGTAGCCATGAATAATGACTCGTTCCGTCTTCCAGTAATTTCCTACAGGCGTACTGATTATCTTTGGCTTTCATTGTTGCATTCACAAAACCACCATGTATCTATGCGCACTATCGCACATGATATGCACCATGACCTTCCTGCTATGCCACTTTGAGACAGCTGCATCAGGCCATAATGTACAAATCGATGCAAGTTACCGTTACCTTCGCAGCTGGCATAGAACACAGATAGTACAATGCGGCATTGACTACAAATCAGAAGATGACATCCTCATCCTTAGTACTCAGCAAGTCCATTGTTGGTTCTTGTTGTTCATCCTGGCGTTTCAACACTTCCTCCTTGTCAGTTATAGCTTGCATCTCTGCCTTCCCGGCATCTCTCTTCTTCTTGCCTTGAACTTTCTTGAGCCTACAAGCATCATCGACATTTAATATTGACCAGGAGACTCAAGGCTCTTACCTGAAGAATTCCTCGCGATCCATTTCGTCTAGCTCACTCATGATATATTTGATGGTATTGTCCAACCGCGGAATGATTACATGTTCAATGGCGTTCACTCGCCGGTTTGTGGCGCGAATAACTTCATCCAAGATAGTGAACGCCGTTTGTAGCGACGCAAGTTCCACCAGCGTTTCGAGAGCCTTTGCATACACCTCCTTGGCTCGTAGTACCTGTTGGCCTCCTCGTCCAAGACCAGTCAGATTAAAGTCTGTGAGGGGCAACATGAGAATAAGGAAGCATGAAAAGTCCAAAGCAACTACCAGATCCCGGAACACGATCAACTTCAAATCCCGGGAGTAGAACACCAGACACGTTCTCTTGCTTGGCTTTGACACGGAAAGTGGCAAGCTTCGCTTGCTCCTGCACGATGTAGGAAATATCCCCCGTAGTATATGTGACCTCCGCCATCGAAAACGACGCCAACTGCATCACTCTACCCATCTTCCGCTTCGCCTATGGTTTTCATTATCAGTAACTTGTATGGGCAATATCAGGCAGCGTGACGCACCTCATCTACCTTTCTCAGTATTGCACGAAATCGCGTGGTCAGCGCATCACGCTTCTTTGCGAGCAACGAATGTCCGGTTTCAGCTCCTTTTAAACGGAGCTTTGTGTTTGTCAAGGCCATACGTGTGGCGAAGACATTCTCCCGAGGACCTGCTCCAGACATTGTTGTGGAGAGAGTGCTGAAGGTAAATTAATGAATGGAGGCGAGTGTACCTTGGTGGCCGGTTAACATACCAACAACTCGAATGACATACAAGCCGGGATAGCTCAGCTGGGAGAGCAACAGACTGAAGTTCTGGAGGTCCCGTGTTCAATCCACGGTCCTGGCATTATTTTTGGTAATTTGCATCTCGGTCAGTGAGTCTTCGATTTTTACTTGAGAAAGGATCTATTTTGTTTCCCCCCTCTGCGTCAAGGTACCTACGCGAGCGTGTCTCGACGAACAATTTAGGTGCAAGGGTGTTAACGGTAGACCTCATTAAACTTGAAGACAGAGTCAACGATGTCTATTAGAATGTCGGAACGTCTCATTATCTCGCTTGTACATAGTCATCGATCTTCAAAAGTAAGCATACAGTCTCCGTCGAGAGTTCAATTGCGCTCGTGGACACGAGAAGAGGTTGAACGACATCCTCCTCGAGAATATTCGAGATTAGGCCCTAGATTGTATGTGGTCAAAGTCGATCGAATCGACTCAGGGATGGATGCACTTACCGTGCGAACGTTGATACCAGCATTCCGGTCACCAAGGGCGTGTCGGTTGCGCAACTCCGTGACAATAGAAATCGGGTTAAGTCCAGCGTTCTCCGCAAGCGTCGTCGGTATCACCTCTAATGCGTCTGCGTATGCTTGGAAGCAGTAGGCTTCCATGCCTTTGAGTGACTGCGCATATTGAGACAACAGCCGGGAGACGTGGATTTCAGGTGCGCCACCACCGCCAATGAGCGCTCTTGTCATCAAATCAGAACCTCGATCGATAGGAAATGTAACGCCAAGTCTCACCGCTTCTTTACGAGACACCGGACAACACAAAGAGCATCATGCAGACTGCGTTCGCATTCTTCCACGACAAGGCTGTTGCCACCCGTAGCCAGAATGCTGACTGTGCGTCCACGGTTTTTCACGCCTGTGATCTTGACGACCTTGACATCAGAATTTGACGTCTCTTCAACTAGATCTGCGTATCCAAGTTTGTCTTCTGTGAAGGCTTCGATGTCGGCAATAGGTTTACAGCCGAGACTCTTGGACAGGAATTCGATCTCATCACGTTCAACATCCTTGACTGCAAGGATATTAAGACGCTTAAGGAAGCTGAGGGATGTATCGTCGACTGCATCACGGAGGATAGACTTTTGGATCAGCAGGACGTTGCAATTTGCCTTCTTGATCTTTTTGCAGATGTTGAGCAGGTACTGGCGGCCCTCTTTGATAACCTTGTCCATTTGTCGGTAGTCATTGATCACGACAGTGTTGTCCATCTGAGGTGCTATGAGAACTGAGATGAATGGGGCGAAAGGCACATACATCAGGTTTGGGAGCGCTGAGTTGGAACTGGATAATGGCAATCTTGGCCTTCTCCATGCGAGTAGGGCCACCGGCTGAAATAATGACATTTTGGTTTAGGACGACACCGTCTACGAGTTCAGTGTCTTCGATAGTGCCGCCGACTTTCTTCACAACCCTGACGTCACGAAGGTCCACACTAGACGATTGAGGTGTGACCAAACGCGTCACAGCAGCAACTGCGATGGGAGCAAGTGTCGATGAATATTGGGAGACGATCTGAAGCGGCCGTCAGCAAAGCGCTACTACGATAGCTTCAAAAATCTTCGGCACCTTTGAATTCAGGGAAGTGCTTGCTGCTCGGAGTAGACTTGTCTTGTCACTGAGATCAATTGGTGTAGATATCTCAGTGAGATATTCGACTGCCTTGACCGATGCTTTTAAAAACGATTCTGCGATGATGGTCGGATGTATGCCTTTCTGTAGCATCTTTTCTGCGGCCCCGAGAAGACTGCCTGCTAGGACAACGACCGATGTGGTTCCATCACCTGCTTCGACATCTTGAGCAGCCGAGAGATCAACCAGCTAAAATGCCGTAAGTAGATGATCGGCAAGCATCAATGCATCACGCCCTGGCACGTACCATCTTGGCAGCAGGATGTAGGGCTTGAATGCTCCGTAGAATCGTTGCTCCATCGTTAGTGATGATGACCTCACCTTTCGAGGTTTGAATCTACGCAAATGAATCGCGATATGATACCTCTGAACCATCAACGAAGTATCATTAAGCCATACCATTTTGTCCATCCCCCTTGGACCGAGAGATGTTCGAACAGCATCACTGATGGCTGCAAGAAGATCATCAATACGAAACGATCCTAAACAGCACTCTACACGCACCTTTAGCAGCGACCAAGTTGGACATCCGAAGCTCCATTGGTTTGACCTGTAGACGCGTTCATTCCTTCGAGTCATCGCGATCATAAGTGACCAGTACCTTGTCATTGAATGCGGCATTTGAGCCCGTACGAGTTGCTTGAGATGCTGCTGGTGCAGCCTTTGATGCCATTTTGAGATCGTCGGTAGATGCAACGTTGAGCAGTAAACGACACTGATGCGTGCAGACAAAACCAGAGTCGCGCTAAATTAGCAGTCACGGGATTTGCCGTAAGCTGCATGCGTATGCTCGACTTGCAGACAACGTTTGACTCCACTTGTATAGTTCCTTTCTCTCGCTTCACGATCTTACTTCTCTAATGGACCTCGTGGGTGCATATAATAATACAAGATCATTGTAGCTGATGTTTCCTGCAGTTTGACGATCAGGATGGCATGGGAGGCGGCCCAGGGGGTCTATTCGCTCAGTTTGCCCAGTACGCCACCTCTCTTCGGCTCTTGTACCAGGAAACCTAACCAGCAGCTATGTCACTCCAGAGGATTTGGGGTTGCCATGGGTTCTCGAGCTAACCGGCCAAATCCTCGGTCATATAACGTGTATTTGAAGGCCTACAGTGTAGCGATGCTTCCTGGCCGGGAGCGAGAGAATCTCTCCTATGGAGGAAAGAGTACGTACTTACCTCTCATTGCACACTGGATGTTGTGTAGTAACAATTCTTTGTTTGATTGCAGTTATTATGCCTCCATCAGCCCTTGCACACTTGACTCACCTCGATCTTGAGGGACCATGGATGTTTCAGCTCACAAATGCGACTAATCCGGCCGCATCCACGCATGCAGGTGTACTCGAGTTTATTGCTGAAGAGGGAATAGTTCATCTCCCTTACTGGATGATGAAGACGCTGCGTCTAAATGAAGGGGACCCGATTCGCATCACTGGTGCTGAGCTCCCGAAGGGCAAGTTCGTCAAGCTACAGGCACAATCTACACATTTCCTTGAAATATCAGATCCGAAAGCTGTGTGCGTGCGCGTATCACGGCTCAGTGGCTCAGCTAACATTCATCAGGCTCGAGCAAGCTCTGCGAAACTTCACTGCCCTCACCCAAGGTGATATAGTTGAAATATATTACAACTCCATAATCTTCGGATTTCTTGTGATGGAGACGACACCCGGGGGAGGTGGCATAAGCGTGCTAGATACCGACCTAGAGGTTGACTTTGCTCCCCCGGTCGGTTACGTAGAGCCTGAGCGTCCGAAACCCGCCCCGCCTTCCACTATGGCATCGAAATTGAAGATCGACCTTAATTCATCGAGTCCCGGTTCCTCACGGCCGTCATCATCTCTCGGTGGTGGTTTTTCTGGTAGTGGTGGGACGGCTGTAAGCAAAGGGGGCGATCATTGGGAGAGTTTCAAGGGCAAGGGCGAGACTCTCGCGGGTCGGAAGACGAAGGGCAAGGGTATCAGTCATCGTGGAGTCGAAGCAGTAGCGGATCATAGTAAGATCATAAGGACTGAGTGGGTTCAAACATTTCAGTTTTATGTAGGTATGCTAACGATTTCGATAGCCAACAGAAGATTATAGACAACAACTCAATGGAAGCAGAAGTCAAGGTTCCCGCTGCACTTAATCTTCCCTTCGGGAAGCTGTTCTTTGGCTTCAATGCTGTCCCATACACCCCACCGGAACCCAAGGCTCCTTCCTCTCCTAGCTCTCCTCCGTCAACTGTGAGTTTTTTTCTAAAAAAACTGCTCCTCGAATCGATCTCACAATTTCGTCAGCCCTCTTTCTCAGGCACGGGTAATACTCTGACGGGCAGACCGGCCTCATCACTCCCACGCGCGAAAGGGAAGGAGAAGGAGAAACCGCCCGGGAATTCACAACCGAGCGACAAGTCTTGGGGCACTGGCAATACTCTAGGTTTATCTCGGTCTACCCACATTCCACCTAGCTTCCGTGGACGTGATCTTGGTGCTACAGGAGGTGGATACCGACAAGCAAATGTACAGTCGAAGCAACGGAGTCCAACACCTGATTGGGGCGTGGACGACGACGACATCATTGACATTGACAGTGATTGAATGGATGGTGGTTGTAGGATAGTTAAAGACGGTCAGACAATGGTTCGTGTGTAGAGGATCAAGTTGATCAAGCTGTATGTAGCGACCCGACTGATTTGTAAATCATGAAAGTGAGCAGATCATCAGGCCTGGACCAAGGTCACAACATGACAACCCCGACACCCTTCCCTGGTTCTACACCACCAGCAGCCGAGACGCCTGCAAGAGGTGCTGTTCTCCAGTTGTACAAGTAAAAGTTGAGGAGACCGTCCCCGGCGCCGAACTACCACAAGACCATAAGGACTGACCCCGTTCCCTTCAAAAATAAGATACATACCTTTAAACTCTCCAAAAAGCTACAGTTGTCCATGAGTGTTAGGGCATTGAAGACGTCGAATTTGGCCTGGTTCGCGATGATCAGGGCATCTCCCACAAGAGCTTCTAATCGTTTCTTGAGGTTGTTGTCCGCTTCCGAGTCTTCGGCGAACGCCACATCAGATGCATAGTAGAACAAGTAGGCAGCTTCCAACAACCCATGTTTCGGATGATTTATAATCGTCGAGGGAAGAGAGTAGAACGAAAAGAAGTCGGTTATCCGGCGTGTTTTTGGGTCCTATAGCGTACATTAGAAAATAACAGGACGCACATGGATAAGAAATTGACCTCAACAACATACGTCCACACCACCTGGCCTGGCCTCCGATAATGCTCTGACGGTTCGTCCATCCGTCCTCGCCCACTCAAAAACTGATGGCGAACCTCGTCAAGGGTCATGATTGGCCCCATGCTGAACCTCTGCATGTAGCGCGTGAAGAGATCGGCAACGTCTGAGACATCTCTTTCCTCCATTTCACGAAGGCCGCTCAGTTCAGGCTTTGCAGCGGTCTTGTAGACGCGAATCATTCGAGCGAGCGTCATGCTCCTGGGAACATACGTAAATTTGACATCGACAAGTTTCGGAATATTCAGTGAGCGGTGGAAGTAACTGAGCGACTGTCATAAGTACTTCCACTAGCTAAGGGGAGAAACGACATACCGGCAAGTGGACACAGGTGTGGGAAGGACGACGCCAGCGGTATAGATGGCCTGGAAGATGCCCGTTAGATTCACTTGTCGTGTGATCTCCTTAATGAGCACCGGGGCCAAGCGTTTCGACCGCAACTTCTTGTGCACACAGAGATAATTGATCTCGCACGCCCGGAAAACGCTGTGTCATATTTTAACTTCTCCAGAAATCATCATGATAAGGGCCTTACTTTCCGCGTACACGTAATGTGACTGGCACACCAGAGATGAAAGCTACCAGTTTCCTATTCGAAGACACACGAACACCAAGATGCCATTCTTTGAGGTAACCTGGGGGTTTGAGTGCCCTAGAAGCTCGTCAGGGGCAAGTTCCAACTTTGCACCGACAAGCTTACCATTCAAGAAACTCGGCACTATATTGGAAACGGAATGCGGCCTCATCGTCCTCGACGTAATTGAGAGACAATAGATCATAAACCTCTTTGATCTGCAAAATTGCAAGTCACAAAGACAAGACATGATAAAATACAATGAATACGCATACTTGCTTGGAGTCGTTTATGTCTAATATGGACCACTCAAAGTCTTTCGGGAGAGGGTATGCGTCTTGGCGCACTTCTTCCCGAGGCTTGTCGGGTTCGATGAAGCCGTCATCGGGCGAAGCCTCATCACCTAGAGCCACCAATAAGGACGTCTTTGAATTGAAATAAACAATACAGTGCACACCAAGCTGTGGGACTGGCTGAGTTGCCCAAAACTATGTCGAGCCTTGCATTCATCGTCTACACTGCTACCTGATTATGTTGTACATACCTTATGCTCTCCCATGGCTTTCTTTCCTCGCCCAGAGATGCCCGATTTGCCTTTGATGACATCCATGATCTTCATCTGCTCTAATACTTGCCTGATATTATCTTCATTCGTGGCTGCGGTATTTGGCCCGTGCTCAGCGACGACTCGATCCACGACGTGAGTGACGAGCTCTTGTGGTATTTCATTCTTGCCGCGCACGGCGTTGAGAACCTTTGCAGCTTTGGACTTTTTCTTCTTCTTTGGCTTGGATGATGAAGCTTCAGGTACAACAGCATCATCAATCTCATGTTCCGGGGTAGAACACTGATCTTCAGGATCCGAGACTTGGGTAGTATCGATGATTTGAGATGACGAAGACATTGGTGCAGCGAGGTGGCGGTGTCGCAGGACACGCAAGACCTTACGTGCCAAATTGAGCCAGTTTTCTACTCTTACGCGCTTGACTCTTGTTCAGTTACTTGACAATCAACATGTTCATGATCAACTGGTTTTGGGATATTCTTGCTCAGCTTGGTTGGTCCTTCTAGTCCACTATTCTTTGTTTTATTCACCATTTTTAACTGAATAATTCCTAGGCCTGATGCACAAGAATGCCAAAATTCTCTTCCTTGGCTTGGACAACGCTGGCAAGACGGTGCGCAGCGCGTAACTTGTGCAAACCTACTCGACTCATTAACATACTTTACAGACGCTTCTCCATATGCTGAAAAATGACAGACTGGCCACCCTTCAGCCCACCCTTCACCCTAGTACGCAGTCCACATTTTCAATGCTTCTCCTTCATTAATGCTATGCACACTGCAGCTTCCGAGGAACTGGCAATTGGTAACGTGAAATTCACTACATACGATCTTGGTGGACATCAGCAAGGTCAGTGTCGTTTGTCGCCACCTCGATTATGTACCGCACACTAAATTGTTTCTCAGCTCGCCGCCTCTGGCGTGACTACTTCCCCGAGGTTGACGGAATTGTGTTCTTGGTTGACTCTGCAGACTTCGAGCGCTTTGCTGAATCAAAGGCTGAGCTTGACGCTTTATTGTCTATCGAGGAGTTGGCCAAGGTTCCGTTCCTAGTTCTCGGAAACAAGATTGACGCTCCTGGTGCAGTCAGCGAAGAGGAATTGAGGCATCACCTTGGGCTCTACCAAACAACCGGCAAGGTCAGTCTTCATATCTGGGTTGGTGCGGAGGATTGCTTATAAGGCACGGTGTTCTTACAGGGCAAAGTCCCGTTGAACGATATTCGACCCATCGAGATCTTCATGTGTTCAGTCGTCCAGAGACAAGGATATGGCGAGGGTGAGTAGCCTAATTTATTACTGTCAGTGCGAAATGACTGAATGACGTGTCCGTCTAGGCTTCCTATGGCTCTCGCAATACGTATGTCCTATCCCCATTCTCGTATATCATTTTGACTGACATGCCCTTTCTAGATATGATTGTGTGCCTTTTGTTGGTGATTGAAGGGATTTCTTAGACCTGCACTAATTCCCGTTTGCCCCTGTCTCCTTCACTCTTGTTGCCGTTGTGGACCGTCCTATGTTATTCTTTACGCTTCATACCATTGGAGTTGTCTAGCTCAGCAGACTTGAATTCGTTGAGTGTGAGAACTGAGGAGCACATCTTGAGAGGAGCTTGTCAGAGATCAAGTATTGGTCCGTGGCTAGACTTCGGCATTTAGGTTACAGATGAAATACGCAGCCATGGCCAGAGCAGTAAGTTGGCAAGAATGAAGTACTGATTCGTACGCCGTGAAGACTCCCAGACTCGTGTACAATCAAAAGCCCACACCGGATCTTAACGACGATAAGTGGGTGTTCCGGTTGAGGCCGTTGTGAACGTAGGTGATTTCCTAACTATGCACCATCGATTACTCTGTTTTGAGGCGCCACGCAGGCGTCTGAGTGTGCTGGTTACATACGAAAGTATATCCACTCATGATGACCCCAAGTACCCATGCATGGCCAGCAACATAAATCAAACTCCTGACCCAAAGCTCAAAGAACACATCATCGCCGAGGAACTCCAATTTGTATGCCTCTGCAAGCCACAGTGCTTGCGTGCCCATCCAGACCACTCCACACATCGTCCACGTTTTCCATGAGAGGTTGATGCGAGGTACAAGTAGGGGTATGAAGAGGGTATACCAAATGAAGTATTGGGATGTGCACACTCGGTTAAAGAGCACGAACGTGAATGTCTGTACGAACCACACGAACGGAAGGTCGGCTGAGAGTCGGCCGAGGACGAGGCCGGTCCCGAGAGACAACGTCAACTGCGGTATAAGACTTGTAAACGGCGAGCGGAGCAGTTGACGCCAGATTGATAAGTCGGCTGAGGTACCTCCAGAAATTGGGTATGTGAGGTAGATGAGGTAGAAGTAAGGAGAAAAGTTATGTCGGTGATCTCGCCGGTCTGTGTGGTATAAATATGCTTCGTATAGGAAGGGGTATCCCCAACTGTGATAGCCAGTGAGCATTAATGCTTGGAGATGATGCACATACTTACATAGCGTAGCATGTAGCTCCCAGAATCACAAACGTCCCTGCGCTGAGCAGGGCGAAACAAAGTGCCTGTCTTCCAACCAGAGAACGCAGATACGCGAAATCCCACCCTTTGCCATTGACACGCTGTGAGGTAATCACAGAGATACAGCTAACCCCATATATGATCGGGTAGATTTTCCAGTGAGCACTGATCCCCAGCATCACGGCGGTGGCATTCTGTCGTCCCTCAAGTGCGTAGAGTAATGTCAAGAGGACAAAAGTACAGAGGATCGCTTCAGAAGAACCACGCGTTGAGATGGTAAATACAAGAGGGTTCAGAAGGTGGGTTGCGGCAAGGAGTGTTGCATGTATACGCATGGAGTGTTCCAAGTTCTTTCCGGCGACATCTGGTGATGATTTGGTACTGGGAAGGGTGTGCGACATCAGGATTTTATATATGAGGGCGCCATTTATTAGATCGCATGCGGTAAACAAGTACTTTCCGAACGACGGGTGCAGCCACTCATTGGGAAGGAGAAGGACAGCCAGCAGTGGAGTATAGCGATAGGTCTCCCGAGTGTACGGACTATGCAATCGCTGAGCCTAAGATCACTGAATGGAGCAAGCGACTTACTCGCCGACAGCAAAAGAGGGAGATGCGAGTGGCCCCTTTGCGATATTATCCTGCAGATTTGGGTAAAGAATGAATCGGGCAGCGTCGCTGAAAACACGATAGTCGATGTCGGTATACTTCACTATCGAGTGTGCATCGTGCCATTCGCTGTACAGTATGAGCACAACGCGAAGGACAGCAGAAATAACCAGCAGCGTTCGAAAACCAGGGATACGATCCTGCCATGCGGCGCTGGGTTTGGGCTGCATACGGTCTCGAAGAGAGCCAACTATAGTTAGTTACATAACATCACCAAAATTATACAACTCAGACATGGCTATATATGGCCATGTCGGAGCTACCATACCTGCCACATGTATCCGGCGCAAGGTCTCAATGTAAGGCAATGTTAGGAAACTCAATTCCTACATGGTGACTGCTATATGACTATAGTCAGGCATTAGGCTAGTGTACCGATATATCAAACATTGCTATGTACATAATGCATTTGAATTTCGTTCAGATTCATCAGACATTGCAATTGCGTTCGGATATAACCATGTAATGCATTGAATTAGTAGTAGTACAAAGCAGTGAGGTACAACAGTTCCAAGCCTATGTATGCGAATGCAGGTAATCGAGAGCAGACAACAGGATGGGGAAACGAGTGATCTATGAGTAGGTCAGTAGTACAACACAGTAGCAAATGACAGCGAGAAAATGAAAGTACACATAGGGGTCTGCGAGCAATGCGAATGAGGAGAACGTGCGATGATACATGAGGCAGGGGACAGCTACTTCCTTGAACTTCTCCGTGGCTTGGCTTCTGCAGATGGGGCAGCCTTGCCACGCTTTGGTTTAGAGACTTTGGTGCTCCCCTTCTTAGCCTTGCATTTACGTTTGATCTGGACGGGTTCAGACTCCTCGTCTGACTCCGAGGACCCTGTTAGATCACTGGAGGAGGGCGACTCAGCACGTGCAGGTGCTGGTGCAGATGGAGCTGGAAGCTTGCGAGGAGAAACTCGTCTGGGAGCAGGAACTGGCTTGCGAGTAGGAACTGGCCTGGGAGTAGCAGGCGGCACTGGAGTTGGTTCATGAGAAGACGTTGGCTCGGAGGGACAAGCTGGCGTTGACTCGCGAGGAGGGGGAGGTGGTGAAATGGAAGGTGGGGGAGAAGGAGGACGTGCTGGAGCCGCCTTTGCTGCACGACATGCTGCCATTTGAGCACGGACTCTTGCCAAGTCGTTATCACTGCCTTCGCGAGAGCTGGGGGTTTTATTGTCATCCATAGTACTGTTGCTGTCACAACCCTCCTCATTCTTGAATATTTTCCTTAGATAAATAAGGGTTAGCGTGAACCTTGAGAATATAACAAAAACTTACACATTCCAAGCCTTGAGGAGGTCTTCTTTCCACTCTGGATCAGGTGAATCTTCAATCAACTTGATGATATTGTTGTAGAATTCCTGGTAGCTGAAGGCACCGTTGATTTCGGACCAGGAATTCTTGGCGCTGATACCGAAACGAACCTGAATAAAAATGAGCGACTCAGCATGTTAAGTTTGAAGTAATCAAACCTGTAAGCAACCATAGGCAATATGTGCCGCTTCTACCGTGGTCATGTTGTGTAAAGCGGCATTGCAGGTGCATGTCGCGCGCATCTCCCCTCCATATGCGCTCGAGGGACTTGTAAAAATGTGCCGCATAGTCTAATAAAAAAAGAATATCAATATAAAACAACATGCAAAAAAACACGCCTACCCGCTCCAATAAGTAGCCATCAAACATGCCTTCGAACATGTTGTCGTCATCGTAGTCTTTACCTGGTGGGTCTCCGGCCCATAGAAATGCCGGAAGTGTAGATGCGGTTAAGCTAACCTTGCTGCACTGTATATCATTAAGTGCCCTGCAAAATGTTAGAATAGCATGGGGCGAACTTTGTAAAAAACAAAATTTACTTGTCAGCATCCTCTGAAAATCTCTTCAGTTCCCTGACTGGACAAAGAAAGCGCGCTAGGACCGGATGGTTGATACCCATGTGGGTGCGTGAACCGCTTCCGTCATAGATAGCTGGATGGATTGGATGATCCTTGGTGTTGAAGGCCGCGTAATGATCGATTTGGCTCTTCAGGCGTGATGCATCGTCAGAGCGAGTAGCCGAGATAGTAGCATCCATCTGAAGATTTATTAAGTACATAATGTGCGCATATATGCGCATGTACTTACCTTCTTGATGATAGTGTTGAGTTCTGAGGCTTTGCGAGGGTCACCAAGTAGAGGTTTTAAGCCTGGAGTGAGTTGAAGCAGCCGAGCGAAGTTCCTTTTATATCGCTCTTGAACCTTAGATGACCTATGGAGTGGCAATACAAAATCAGTGCACGCTAAAATACGAGACTGACTTACATCTTTGAGAGTCGCTTGTCATGACAAACCCGAGCATCTTCGTCTTCTGATAATTCTCCGTTCTCTGCAGCATCGTGCTGCTGCAGAGCTAAACCTACATTGATGAGTTGTTTGGTCTTGCAAAACAAATCAATACAACGCGCGATGCAGCGCGCAGCGGCGAGAAACTCTTCATGAGGATCGATATCAGACTCTTTGTTCCTAAATTGAGTTGTCACAGTTAACGGTGATCAGAATATCTACAATGAATTGACTGACCTAGAAGCACTTTTCTCGTCACCATCTGATAAGCGGCGCTTTTTCTTTAACCTTGTGACCTTATTTGAGGCCCTCTTTGGAGTGACAATGCCTGCCGATGATACTGTATGTAAGCTGCGTGATGATACTGATGAATCTGACGAAGTAACCGAGTGTGAGCGTTTATGCCGCGCCATGATGATGGTGGGGAAAGAGAGATAAGATGGTAACATTTGACGCGTTATTAGTTTTTGTTTGGCGATTATTAATAATTCCAACAAATTAAGGACTCAATTGATGATTATATGCGTGACAAGAAATACACAATTTGTTCTACGATTTACTTTACTATTAGTACATGGCAGTGAGTGCAACAGCAATGAAAAGAAAATAACCTGCAAAAGAGAGCAATGATGACGTGCAAAAGAGTGTAGGTACAAACTAGTTAAGATTGAGGGCTTCTACAGCCGCAGGTAAGGTCATGAAAGCATCGACCTGAGAGATCTGTGTGCGGTTAGAACACTCTCTGAATCCATGGCGGGGAGGCCATGTATACCCGTGATCATCCTCGAATTTCTCCTGCATGCGGATGATACTGGGAGAGTCCTTGGGGATGACGTGAAGTACAACAGGCTTTGCATTGATGCACTGTGGCATGTCTGAGTCCCTGTAAGTACCATAGTAGCTGAGTCAATGTCACAAACAAATCAAAAAAAAATTACTTGGGCGCCAGTGTTGGCTCACAGACCATTGTAGTGTCTGGATCCTCCTCAGTAACAGACTGTAAGTCACTAGAAAGTTGGATTATGTTAGTATAAGTTAATGAGACGCGAAAAAAATCACCTCTTGGCTCGTCCACCGGCTTCGTCATCGCTATCTTTATCTTCGATCACCCTGAACTCTACAGCATTCTTCAACCGTAGTATAATTTTCTAGTGTCAATGATGTCAGTAATGAGAAATTCAAATATATTCAAAACACATACCAATGGGCCTGGGCGTTCTGGCATAAAATCGAGGGTGTAAGTCGGCCATCCAGACAGCATATTGTCGACCTCCAACACAACAACATTGTCATGGAAAAACAATGCCCTGTTGGCCAGGTCGAGGTGGTCTTCAGTATTAGTGATGAGCATTACAAGACGCGTCAAGCGTTTAGAATTAAAGTTGTTGGTATAAGAGATAAGCAAAGATTGACGCGTTATTGAGACATTGTTTACTTCCAGAAAGTGCCAGCTGACTTTGAAAAATCGCATGACGCAAGATTCCGGCGGAGGTTCAATTTGATATCGACCAAATTAACTCGATCATGATCATGCGACACCAACAACACGCGTTCCTACTTAGCCTGGTTTGGCCGTTTGCCCCAAGGCTAAGTAGTGGAGGACCACTTCCCTTTCCACCACGTCTCCTTATTTCCATTGTTTCTTTTTTCGCTCATCTGACGCCTTCTAATTCCAGCCTCCCATGCACACCGCTCTCAGTAGCGTTCAAGCAGATCCGGTCTTTGCTGGCGCCGCGTTGGAAGGTCCCGTTATTTTTGGAAGGCCGAATGAGCATATACCCTCAGTGGGTTCACAGTGAGTCGTCAATTTCAGGTCTCGGAGAGCTGGAGGCAAGTACTGACAGCCTTACAATCTCAGCTAACTTTTTCCTATTGAGGGTCGTTTCACGCCTTGACCCGCTTCGCGTCTATCAGTTGCAGATTAGTGCTCCCATTCCGTTGACCGCCCGGAATTCACGAACGACTATGAACGCTAACTTGACGTCACGCGTTTTGTTATTTCCATGGGCCAAAACGATATCTCCCTGGATAAGGGATTAGGTGAGTCGCTTGCCCTACCGCGCATCCCACTTTGATTTGCAGAGATCAGGTGTGGTTTTTAAGTGAAATCACTCTCCTGTTGGGGTAGTCTACCCTATGTAGGATGTGATGCGGACATTGAGCGACTTCCATCATGAGGTGCATTCAGGTGATTCACACTGAATATTCAGGCATTGATATAACCTTGCATAGATTTAGTAGCGCTTGTATTGTAGATAGACTGAAATAAATAGCCCCTTCCTCCCATTTTATGTCTGAAGTCCCCCGCTCCCTCTTCTCTCGATGGATGAACTTATCTGCCTTGGTTGTGGGAAGGCCTTCAACAGCCAGAGGCGCTTGAGCGCACACGAGGCTTTGTGCAATACTCACCATGAATTTAGTGCACAGGTCAGCAAATCTCACCGGCGCGCTGAGAAGAGCCGAAGGAACAAGAAGAGGAAAATCAACCAACGGGACCACCGAGATGTCCTAGATGAAGCTGACGAAGAAGCCGATCCCCTTGAAGATGTGGGAGACATGGACGCTGGAAACTGGGATATTCAGGTATGTTGTGATTTTTCAATGTTTGCAACTGATATTTTACTTATATCACAGGATGCTGATATTCCTGGAGGTTCAGAAGGATCCCGCCCGCATTCCCCGCCAATACCCGAGCCTAATGCGCCTCCCCTGCGTTCTAACCGTTCTGGACGCGTTATTCGCATGCCCAGATGATACGCCGACTTCGTTCCCGGTGATGACATACCGGAGGTAGCTCAGGCTGATGATATCATGCCCGAGGAGGTGGATCAGATCGGTAATGAATTAATATCTTTTCAAACAGAACCGAACACAATGGGATTGTACCGAGTGTATCCTACTCGCCCCACTCTGTGCCCACGGTCCTCCCTCAGTAGCCTATGCGACACACCAATGTTGCAGCCTGAGGATGGTGAAGATCCCAGCAATGCTTCGTCTCGCCTTCACACTGGCCCCCCCCCTCCCGCCTTCCATCACTCCCGAAAATCTCTACTCCGCATTTAGCAGTCCAACCGCCGGTCTACTGATGTGTTGGCAATATTCCAACTCGAATCTCATTTCCGATGCTGCTTTGCAGCGGCTTACAACTTTCCTCGACGATGATGCTTACGATCGAAGGGACGTAAGAATTTTTAATCCCACTCGAGAAAAGAAACTTATTGCAGAGTACCTCGAGGACCACTCTAATCCTTTCAGCGCTCGGAACGGGTGGAAGGAGTCCTCAGTATATATCAGCCTCCCTAAAGAAAAAATGAAGTGGCCGTCAGAAGGTGATGCCCCTGAGCTGGAAATTAAAGGCGTGCGCCATCAATCATTGATCGATATCATCACGGAAGTATTTGAAGATGGCGCGGCGACAATGTTCCATATGACGCCATTTCATCATATGTGGAAAGTCTCCGAAGAACGGAGCATTCAAGTTTATTCTGAGGCGTATTCTTCGCCTGTAATGACGGAGGCCTTTGTTGAGGTCAACTCCCTTCCCCGCGAACCGGACGACAATCTCGAACGCGTTGTAGCCTCACTCATGATGTATTCCGACTCGACACACCTTTCCAATTTCAGCGCCGCCTCCCTTTGGCCGTTCTACCTGTTTTTCGGTAATGAATCTAAATATACTCGCGGGAAGCCTACTGCTTCGGCATGCCATCACGTCGCATACATCCCTACAGTAAGTCTTTTCAAATTACCTAAATTACTCAACCCCTATTTACAAAAATTAAGATTCCAGACGATTTTCAAGATTCTTATTTCAGTTTCTTTCAGGATGCATCTTCGTCGGAGGTCTACACATACTGCAAGCGCGAGCTTATGCAAGCAATCTGGAAGCTTCTTCTCGATGAAGACTTCATGCATGCTTATGAGCATGGGATTGTGATCCGTTGTGGAGATGGAATCACTCGGCGAGTGTTTCCGCGATTTTTTACTTATTCGGCAGATTACCCTGAGAAGTAAGTTTGTTTGTTTCGGTTTTCGTGGTTCTTAGATTGATGTCATATCAGGATCTTACTTGCTGGAATTAAATTTCTTGGCGAATGTCTATGCCCCCGCTGTCTCATCAAAAAGGCTGATGTATCTGAGATGGGTACAGAGGCCGATATGCATGATCGCTTAACACTTCAGCGTGTTGATGATCGATCCCGTCGAAACAAGATCGATCGCGCACGCAAGCTCATTTTCCAACGCGGTGCACCAGTGGATGGTAAGCGCGTGAAATCAATTCTTAATTCCGAGTCCCTCGTTCCTACACGTGTAAGCATTTGATCATACTTAATTTTAAACTTGTTGCTCATTAAATCTAGAATGCATTTTCCGATCGGCTTTTCGCCTTTGGATTTAATTTATTTTTAATGTTCGTGGTGGACATGCTACACGAATTCGAGCTCGGCGTATGGAAGGCCATCTTCACCCATTTGATGCGCATTGCACATGCTGCCGGGGGTAATGTAGTAAAGGACTTGAACTGGAGGTACATTTTATTATTATTATTATTATTGTTACTGACTACAGTATAATCTGCTACAGGTACCATCGTGTGCCAACATTCGGGAGAGGAACGATCCGGCGTTTTCACACGAATGCCTCTGCAATGAAACGCCTTGCGGCGCGAGATTTCGAAGATCTGTTGCAGGTGAGTATCGAAGTTTCTAAGTTCATTTTATAACTAATTTCAAATCTAATCTCAGTGTGCGATCCCAGTCTTCGAGGATCTACTTCTAGATCCTGATAACGACAAGATAATCCTGGACCTGTTGTTCGACCTTGCTACTTGGCAAGCTTATGCCAAGCTCCGTCTTCATACCGAAGATACTCTGGACTTTTTCGACTCAGCAACAGTTGTCCTCGGCAAGAGTGTTCGCAAATTTCAACGGACCACCTGCGAAACCTACGTGACGACAGAGTTACCTCATGAACACGCTGCTCGGGGGCGTCGGCTAGCTGCTCTGGCTGCCAAGCAGGGTGCATTAGCTAAGGCGAAGGGAGGCACACCGCGCCCAAAGGTAAAGAAACTTAATATTCAAACATACAAGTTTCACGCCCTTGGGGACTACCCTAACACGATCAGAATGAGGGGGACAACTGATAACTACACCACACAGCCAGTGAGTTTTTCATTTTTTATTTTTAGTCACGTATGTAATTCTATTATAGGGTGAACTAGAGCATCGGCAACTCAAGAGACGCTACCCGCGCACCCCTAAAACCAACACTACTATGACTGCAAGCATAGCAAATCAAGATGCTATTGAACGTCTGTGTAATAAGGTAATCAATGCTCGCGCACAGTTCTCTGCCCAGCAGGGTACCGACAACAGACGCCGTCGTGTGCGGACCTCACCATCAGACCATTACCACATCGCCAAGTCTGCTCGTGCAACTTACGACCTCACGGCATGGTTAGGTGAGCTGGGTGATGATCCGGCACTCCAAGTACGTATTTACCATTTTAAATTTGAAGGTGTATCTAATACAGCTATATAGAACTTTATTCCTCGCCTCAAAGACCACTTGTATGCTCGTCTGCAAGGTCTTGAGTATGAAGGCGATGAGCATAACTTTTCCGATGCTGAGCGCAACTCAGTTCTCATCACAGACAACCAACTATTCGAACACAACATCCTTCAAGTCAATTACACTACATACGATATGCGACGTGAGCAAGACTCCATCAACCCCCGCACTCGTGCTGACCTCATGGTCATGTCACATGAGGACGACCGCACCCATCCTTACTGGTACGCCCGCCTGATCAAAATATTCCATGTGAACGTGGAATATTATGAAACCCCTGATTCGGTACGATCCCGTCCGAAACGAATCAATTTTCTGTTTGTTAGATGGTTCAAGCGGGATACTAGTCCAGCCGGTTTTGCTGCTAAGAGGCTGCAGCGTCTCCAATTCTTCGAGGACGAAAGCCCCGACGCATATGGATTCCTTGATCCGGAGTGCGTCATTCGGGGCGCTCACATCATTCCGGCCTTCGCGTTTGGCCGTCCCGAAGGGCTTCTTATTCCTACGATCGGACGGCGTCAAGCAGACCCAGACTGGGTGTTATATTATGTGAATATGTAAGTGTATCATTGGTTTCACTATTTACCCGTTAACTATACACATACTACTTAGGTTTGTAGATAGGGATATGTTCATGAGATTTCGAGGGGGCGCTGTCGGCCACAAGGGTATGCGAGAGTGGGACGACATTTTGCAACGCGAGGGACACGTTCCCGAAGACTCGGATAATGAAGCCGAAGAAGACATCGAAATGACGGACAAAGCTGCTATCGCCGAGGAATCTGATGGGGATCGTGTGAACGAGGGCGGTGAGGATGTAGCTGGCGATGATGAAGCTGACGAAAGTGACAACGAGGATGGTGAAGACTCGGAGGACGAGGACGACGAAGACGACGAAGACGACGACGATGACACCGAGGAGAACGAAGATGACATCTTGAGAGATGACGAGGAGGACGAGATTATAGCTGAGGACGGTGAGGAACTCGATGACAATATACTTATGGAGGAAGGCTATGGCGCCCTTTAGGTACTTTATTTAGCTTTCATCCGATTTTCGTCATATATGTTTAGAATTACTCTATATAATACATTGGATCTATCTGATATGTATCTGACAGCTACTCTACTGGATGAGCTATGTTTGACAGATAGTATGTTTGATGTCATCGTGTCGCTATGATATTTCAAATGTCGAATATGACGCGTATATATAATTGGCGGTGTCAGAAAAGTCAACATGTCATGTGATGTCTGGATTCGGTAATTTTGGTGATGAATCTAGCAATACGTGACCTAGTGCTAATCCTTATTTATATATCAATCCTTTATTCTATTCGGTCTATGGGAGACTAGCTAATCCTGAGTTGCCGGGCGCAAGCGCCTGGCGCAACTATAAAACTTATCTGACCCGAAACTGTTGCCAGAATCTTCAATCTGTCTACTCATCCAGGGGAATGTCAGACTATCGTCCCCTGCTTGATCATACAGGCAACTCCAGTCCCCACTACGGCACCAGCAGTGATGCCACTGATGGTCCAACACTCTCGTACGTTGATGAGCAGAACAGACCAATGGTGGAGAAGAGGCTTATCCGTAAGCTGGACCTTCGAGTAGCCTTCCTGGTTCTGATCTACATCATGAGTTGTGTAAGTCTGGTATACCTAGTGTTTCCGCCACTGCCTAAGCTCTTTGTATAGATGGACCGTAGCAATGTAGCGTACGTGGCCCTTCGAAATCGCCTGGTAGTGGTTTGTATCTTAACCGCCTTCGCCACAAGTGCAGCAAGGCTTGGTGGCTTTGAGGAGGACCTTGGCCTGACGGGGAATCAGTTCAATACACTCATCAGCATCTTTTACACGGGATATGTGTTGATGCAAACTCCTTCGTATGTCTCAGCAGGTTCTCCTTCTACGACGTCTCTGAGAATTCAAAAGCAATGTGTTCTTAGATCGCATAAACAGGCCATCCTTATACCTCTCAAGTTGCATGGCAATGTGGGGCGCTATCACCGTGTTCATGGGTACGTGCTTCTTTCATTTAATCCGACCAAAATCGCATAACGAGGCCCATGGAAGGTGCATCACGAACGTCAGTATCTAACATTCTTGCAGTCCCGTCTTCTCGCAGTTAACACTCCTTCAGGTATCATACTGCTTTTATTTTGCGTTTCTTCCTCGGATTTGTTGAGGCGGCGTTCTTTCCTGGAGCTGCATTTCTCCTCTCACGATGGTACAGTTACCACATACTCTTCGACCGGCATGTATTGAAATTTATCTAGGTATAAGCGCAACGAGCTGGGGTTACGCATGGCGCTTTTCTTCTGCGGCAACTCCATTAGTTACGCTTTTGGCCCACTTGTAGCGTCAGGAATTTTGGCATGCTTAGATGGTACTCTGGGATTTCCAGCTTGGAGGTCTGAAGCGAAATTTCCAGTGTTCCCAAAATTCGAATTGGGCTGACTTTGTTGCTCTAGATGGCTCTTCTTTCTGGAGGGCACTTTGACTATTGTGGTAGCAGTATCTGCAATCTGGATTTTACCAGACTTTCCTTCAACGCCGAGCGTCTGGCTTTCGCCCGATGAACACGTCCTGGCCAAGAGACGTATGGAAGAGGAAACTACAACCGGAGATGAACACCAAGGCAAGCCCGTAGAGGGCTTTTCTGGTCTTGGTGAGGCTCTTGTGGATTGGAAAGTATGGTGGCTTGGTGCTGCTCTTTGTTTCCTAGTCGCCTCTTTATCATGCAGCAATTTTTTTCCGACACTGTCCGCTACAATGGGTTACAGCGCGACTGTCAGCCTCCTGCTCTGCGCACCTCCGTGGATTTTGGGAACTGCAACTTCGTTCATCGTGGCCTGGTCAGTCGTTACTCGTCAGGCTCCGTGTCAAAATTGACAATACCCAAGGCACTCCGATGCAACTGGTGAACGCTTCTGGCATATCGCCGGCCCTCTACTTGTCGGCGTCGCTGGGTTTATCATTGCCATTTCTACCATGAATACGGCTGTTCGATATCTGTCGCTGTATGATCCATATGTTCCTCGTTCTGCTATTCCACTGACCTGCACCGTCAAGGTTCTTTATGACTCAGCCCCCAGTTGCCTTTGTCATCTTTCTCACCTGGGTCATGAACACCTTTTCTCAATCGCAGTCGAAACGAGCTGCAGCCGTCGGGATAATAAACTCGATGGGAATGTTTGGCAACATGGGTGCATCGTCAGTCTACAGCGACCTCGTTATCTATGCTACTACTGACGCCGTCGCAGGTACTTCTGGCCGTCCAGTTGGGGGCCCACATACGTGAACTCATACCTCATTTGCATTTTGACAAGCATTATATGTATTGTGATGTGCTGGGCGTTCAGGCAGCACCTTGCCCGGTGCAATGAAGCTGCTGAAGCCGAAGAGGAAGCTCTAGGGCTGCCAAAGGGTTTTAGATATCTCCTGTAGTCCTCGTTGTTCCACTCTCCCGGAGACATATTATAGACGCGAACGCCGATTTCAGTATGACTGTTGTTGCACAGGGATGTCGCATCCACACCCGACTCAAACGGGATCATATGCATGCCATGATTCCTACTGTGAGAAGATGTCGCCCATTCAAACCGATGTGTGGTATTGAGATACAAGCGATGATTGTAGTTTCTGCCTTGGTTTGCACCCATAGTCGCCGTTAATTTTCGGGACAATATGTGCTTTTCCAGCAGCCCCTGAATGAATAGCATGACCTGTGTTCCACCATCGAAGGCGTACGATGTTAATAGTCGCAATAAGAAGGCCACTGCGCCGACAAAATATTTGTACTTCATGTGCATGAACCAGCACGGGTACCAAATACGGAGCCACCACTCAGACAAGTGTGATACGACAGAATTAGGAGTTTATCCCCAACGCAATTTGAAAGCCATCCAATGTCCGCACTGTCTAAATCATCGTAGCGGCGGCGGGCGCCCATCCCCGATTCCTTTGATTCGAATCGTGTTACGGTAAGTACAGGATGTGATATTAGAAAGAAAATGACACTGAAGTGGAACTATCAGTGAAATCGGGTGGTTCCAAGTCTTGAGTAAGTAGTACAGGATTCGATAAGCATTAGAATAAGTCATGAGACATTGCAAAGTGATTCTGTGCATGCGGATCACGTCTTTCAGATTATCCGTCAGGTTGTTCCGTCGGTTCCAAGCCTTGCATGATACCAGGCGCGAAGTCAAGAACACACTGCACAAACAATGCATCATCGAGGCCAAGAAGAACGTGGGTAAGTTGAGAAACAAAATAGAACAAACGCATGTTTTTTGATCATCTGCTCATATCAGGTGCACCTTTGGGATGTATCTGTTTAAGCGCGTCACGCAGCGTGGAGTTAGCTAGCTTATTGAGTCTTGTGACAAACCGTCCAGAAGTATTGGAAGTCATCCAAGGACAACGAGTATCAAATTCATGCGTGACAATGCCAACACTAGATAGTTGAACGGCACAAACAGCTGCCATGACTTCAAAGCCACACAGGGCATCAAAGTACTGATTGATGGCGACGAAACGGTGATGAACAACCTGCTGTCCAATATTAAGACACTTAAAACACAATTCAAACAAATCTTACCCAATCACAAAGATAATGAGAAAGGCAGTCTACGCAATCAGACTTTCGAGATGGTAACTGCCGTAAACATCGTCGAAGCTCAGCAACAGTAAGAGAAGCAAGAGCACACCTAAAGTCGTCCTTGATAACCATGTGCACGAAACACTTCACTGAGTTCAGGCAACCTACGACTGGTTTTGCAATTGACACGGGTGTTTGACAGTCGCAATCAACGAAGATGTTTAACGTCGCGATCGACGAAAGTGACAACGCTGTGGACGTCGACACATGAGAGCTGCTGGAGTCAGGATAATCAGCACAAAAAAGCAGTTCCGATTCCGAAGAACATCTAGATCTGATGACAAGATCACATTTACAAACCATCGCTGAGAAAGACATTCCCCTCCGAAAAAAGACTCGCGCGTACAGTCCTTGGCTGGGTGATCTCCGATCATCATCACAGAGCCCTCCTCTACGAGTCGGGGATGATGAGGAATACGCACCGCATCGATGAGTTCAAACCGCCCCGATGATAGGTGTGTAACAGCAAACAAGTAATTTCCGAAAGATGGGCGCAAACCCATTTGGAAGAACATCAATGATCAGCGAATGGAGTAGTCCGTACACCAGGGAGACTTCTTACTGTACTAAAACACTAGTAGCGCAAAAAATATCCCGAGTGTACAGGCGACGGAATCGCGCAGCCCGACACTGTGGGTAGTAGTTTCAATGAAATTCACTAGATGAAATCAGAAGATAATTCGGTGAAACTAAGAGCATTAAGAGCTGAAATAGAGGTGCTGATATTGCCGTTTTTTACTCTGAATTCGTAATCTGAAAGCATACTCTGAAAATATGCTGAAGTTGTGCTGCCAAAAGAAATGTTGCCATGCTATGGCACACATCACATGATCAATTTCACTTATTATAATTTGCAATTGGCAGGAATTGAACCCAGGACCTCACACGTCACGCAATTATAAGTGCAGCATCATTACCACTCAGCCACAAGACCATATGAATAACTTCACAATAATAGCAATATATACCAAAACAATGTCACATGACAAAAATGCGAAAAATTTCACCCAAGTGACTGAGTCAGTCCATTCAATTATCACTACAACACTAGCTACTGTTCTATTTACTACCACATAAATTCCAAGTACAGTAGCTTGATATAATCGTAATTGCATTAATGATAAACTACTTTATTTCAGATCAACTGAGAAGTGATTGGTCTTGTAAGCCACGTACATACCATACTACGAAGAAGTGTTACAGTCATTTGCAGAATGCTAGGCCAAAAAATATTCACTACATATATATTCAGCAATAAGTCGGGACAACAAAAATTTAACTTCCGACGGACAATCTCGATCTACAACTTGGATGGGGCGATAGATGTCCAAGGAACAAAAACAAGTTGCTCTACAAATGAGCTTGCTAAATGTCAAAGACCCAGCAATTCATCGTTACACTGGGATTAGTAAATGGTCATTGCGATGATGTATCAATATCTGATCGGAGAATAGAAGTTGAAATACCCCTGTGTATGTAGTGAATTTTTTTTGGCCTAGCATTCTGCAAATGGCTGTAATGGTGCTTGGCAACTGAACCCCAAATAAATTACCATTATAGGAAGGCATGGGGTACCAGTTAGAACACAAGCCCCGACCCATACAGAGCTGAATCTGATTCAGTAAATTTTCTACTGAAAGGATGGTGCTGAATTGAGGGTGATAAGCTGAAATTCAGAATCAGCACTCCAATGAAATTAACTGCATGCAGTTTCAGTGGAAGTTACTCTGAAACATTCAGCACCAGTGCATTTTCCAGTGATTTTCATTGGAACTACTATCTACAGTGCCGACGTCACTGAACCGATCGAATAGCTAGTCTCCCCTAGTCAGAGCATTGAAGGAAAACAGTCATTTCTTCTTAAATAATGCGGATTGAGAGACTTACTCTTCATCGGGCAACGGAAAAAGAGTGATCTCTTTGCGGTATTATCCTGCATGTTTAGGAGAAGGATGACTTGGCAGGGAGCGTCGCTGAATATACGGTACCTATTCAGCGTCGGCGTACGGTACTACTATCGAGTGCGCATCGTGCTATTCGCGTGCAGTATGAGCACAACGCAAAGCATAGCAGGATATGTACCCAGCGGCGTTCGAAAACAAGGGATATCCTCGAACCTCAAATACTCATCCGAGTCACGGTTAGATGTCGTCTAACTACATAGTATTACGTGACGCGCGTCCGTGTGAAAGCGCCAGTCTAGCCCAACACCATATATCCGAGCTGAAGTCATCGCTCTGGCAACCAATCTGTAGATTGTTGACTTCATGTCAGACTATCGTCCCCTGCTTGATCATGCAGGCGATTCCAGTTCCCACTACGGCACCAGCAGTGATGCCACTGATGGTCCAACACTCTCGTACGTTGATGAGCAGAACAGACCGATGGTGGAGAGAAGGCTTCTCCGCAAGCTAGACCTTCGAGTAGCCTTTCTGATTCTTATTTACATCATGAGTTGTGTAAGTCTGGTGTACCTAGTGTTTCCGCCACTGCCTAAGCTCTTTGTATAGATGGACCGTGGTAATGTAGCGTACGTAGCCCTTCGAAATCGCATGGCAGTGGTGTGTATCTTACTAAACCGCCCTTGCCGCAAGTGCAGCGAGGCTTCGTGGTTTCGAGAAGGATCTTGGCATGACAGGGAATCAGTTCAACACACTAATTAGCATTTTTTACACGGGATATGTGTTGCTACAAGCTCCTTCGTATGTCTCAGCAGGTTCTCCTTGTACGACATCACTGAGAATTCAAAAGCAATGTGTTCTTAGATCGCATAGACAGGCCATCCATATACCTCTCAAGTTGCATGGCAATATGGGGCGCTATCACCTTGTCCATGGGTATGTACCTGTTTCGTTTAATCCGACAAATATTGCATAACGAGGGTCATGGAACTTAGGTGCCTCACAAACGTTAGTATCTAATTGCAGTCCGTCCGTTCGGTGCTCGCATTTAGCACTCCTTCAGGTATCATACTGCTCTTATCTTGCGTTTCTTTCTCGGATTTGTTGAGGCGTCGTTCTTTCCCGGAGCTGTATTTCTTCTCTCACGATGGTGCAGTTACCCAATACTCTCCAACCAGCACATATTGAAGTTTGTGTAGGTATAAGCGCAACGAACTAGGGCTACGCACGGCGCTTCTTGATTGCGGCAACTCAATCAGTTATGCTTTCAGCCCACTTGCGGCGTCAGGAATTTTGGCAAGCTTTGATGGTATACTGGGCTTTCCTGCTTGGAGGTCTGAGGCGCAATTAGCTTGTTCCCAAAATTAAAATTTGCGCTGACTTTGGTGCTCCAGATGGCTCTTCTTTCTGGAGGGCATTTTAACCATCGTGATTGCAGTGTCCGCAATTTGGATTTTACCAGATATTCCTTCGACGCCGAGCGTCTGGCTTTCGCCTGATGAACAAACCTTAGCCAAACGGCGGGCGGAAGAGGAAACTGCAACCGGAGATGAGCACCAGGGCAAGCCTGTAGAGGGCTTTTCTGGTCTCGTGGAGGCTCTTGTGGATTGGAAAGTATGGTGGCTTGGTACTGCTCTTTGTTTCATGGTTGCTTCTTTATCATGCGGCAATTTTTTCCCGACACTGTCCGCTACAATGGGTTACAGCGCGACTGTCAGCCTCCTGCTCTGCGCACCTCCGTGGATTTTGGGAACTGCAACTTCGTTCATCGTGGCCTGGTCAGTCGTTACTCGTCAGGCTCCGTGTCAAAATTGACAATACCCAAGGCACTCCGATGCAACTGGTGAACGCTTCTGGCATATCGCCGGCCCTATACTTGTCGGCGTCGCTGGGTTTATCATTGCCATTTCTACCATGAATACGGCTGTTCGATATCTGTCGCTGTATGATCCATATGTTCCTCGTTCTGCTATTCCACTGACCTGCACCGTCAAGGTTCTTTATGACTCAGCCCCCAGTTGCCTTTGTCGTCCTTATCACCTGGGTCATGAACACCTTTTCTCAATCGCAGTCGAAACGAGCTGCAGCCATCGGGTTAATAAACTCGATGGGAATGTTTGGCAACATGGGTGCATCGTCAGTCTACAGCGACCTCGTTATCTATGCTACTACTGACGTCGTCGCAGGTACTTCTGGCCGTCCAGTTGGGGACCTACATACGTGAACTCATACCTCATTTGCACCTTGACAAGCATTATATGTATTGCGATGTGTTGGGCGTTCAGGCAGCACCTTGCCCGGTGTAATGAAGCTGCTGAAGCCGAAGAGGAAGCTCTAGGGCTGCCAAAGGGTTTTAGATATCTCCTGTAGTACTCACTGTTCAGCTGTCTCTAAAAAATACGACATGAATGCCGATGCCATCATGTTTGTTGTCCGCAGGGATGCGACATCTGCACTAGCTTGAACGGGATCCAACACTGTCACGATCATATCACTTCATACTTCAAGATGTTGCCAATACTTTCATAATGTTTCAAACTGATGTATGATATTTAGATAAACAAGCAGCGATCGTAGTTGCCACCTTGGTTTGCACCCCACCATGCCGGGAAAAGATGTGCTGTTCCGGCAGCCCCTTGGACCGCAAAGGAGAGAATGAATACCATGACTTGTGTTCCACCATCAAGAGCTATGGTATAGCATGATTTTTTGAAATTCGAGATAAGAAGGCCACTAAACTCACCGGCGCCGACCAAGTAGTTGTATTTCATGAACCAACGCGGGTACCGAGTACGGAGCCACCACTGAGACAAGAAGGCGATCGCGTAATAGGACAGGACTGAAGAGTTTATTCCAACGCAAAGCCATCCAATGTACGCACTGCACACATAATGAGGGTTCAATATCGACTATCAATGTATTCAGAGCGTACCAGATGATAGGAGTGTAATAGTAATCCATGCGCAGTTTCGGCCAGTAACGGTGAATAATCCAGAAGGGAAGAGGTGCAACCAAGCCAATTAGATAGGATAAGGGAACCCATTGGTACCTTTGACCGGTTGAAAAGAGTTCGTGAGCCAGGCCGCCCCATGCTATGGCTTGCGAGTTGTATGACTGAGGTTGCTGACCAGACCAGATATTTGTTCCTTGTACAGATAGTAGGATTTCACGTTGATTGTCGATGATAGAATTCATCAACACTGAAACAACAAATTAAATGTGACGAATGGATGGGCAGAATGACTCCCTAACCATAGTTGAGAACAGCGCCAAGTAAGGTGCCAATGATCTGGGCCGTGAATGCAGCACGGGGAGGCAATTTGGCATCTGCGTATCTGCAAGTGAGAGGAACCTTCCCTGACAACGAATGTAGACGCACATTGAGCAATCTTCAGGTCACGTAGTAGCAATAAAGCTTGAGACACAGTATTCTGAAGGAAAATCAATCAAAAACAGGTCCAGGACGCGAAGATAAGAGTCCGCACATAGCTGTAAAGGACCTGTCAATATCAACATCAGTAGCGGTCACAGATCCGGAAAGTGTGTCGATACCAACAAAGAACATGTTCGCCATGGGTCTTCCGTTGTGGAGGTAGCCGGCAATCATTTGAACCAATGTTTCTTCACCGAAAGATCAACTTAAGGCACCGTGTAGTGTATAAACGGTACTTACGGATGGAAAGACCAATGCCGGTGATAGCGTACAACGCGCCGAAGAACAAGATAGATACGCTGGCCAAGAGTACTGCGATGACGAAACCCCACCTGAAAAGAATTCGTACTTTTTGTGTCAGATAGAGAGAATGTTGCTCACCAGGGCAGCGTAGAATTTGTCTTGTAGATGACGACCAGCCCAACGACAAAGGAGAGAACAAACGTCACGAGGTACCAACTATTCGGAGCATCTGGATACTGTACGACAATGAGTTAACGTTGTCCATCTGATGTCCCAAGGACTAACCTTCAGCATCTCGCGGTAGTGTGGGTCGAGGTTCTCAATGTTGATGGGAACTTCCCTCTTTCCACTGTGCTTCCAGAATTTCCAATCAAAATTAGCACGCCAACTCCTCAGTGTATCCATGTTCATCCAACTCCAGGCTGCACGTAAGTCATCTTTATTCCATAGGAGGAGGTGAGTGAACGTCGCAGCCAGTCCCTGTGGTGGAACTATGAGCAAAATACTTCACATCAGTAGCATTTCTTGACTCACAAGATTAGTTGACAGAAGGTTAATAATCCAGGTACCGGCGTAGTATGGAAGTCCTTGTTCCGCGACTAAGGCGGGGTCCACCTCGTAGTTGGAATTCATGATCAAAGTCTGATCGTACACAGTTCCGTTCTCGTAAAAGAGGAGCTGCGCCAACTGACATGCATTGCGCATTATCAGCCCGGACATTAGAAATCGCAGTAGAGGTTTTACGTACAAAGGGGAAATTCTGAGATTCCCATATGTTGGTGTAGAATACCGCAACAAAGACAACCCTTCATTTCCCTCAGTAATATTATGCACCGTGACTGAAATCACATACATGCAGAGTATGTAACCAATGAAGCTGGAAAGCTAGGGGAGACGTCAGAAGTTTCATATGCGCTGGTGTGCCAACTGACCTGAGCTTTCAGTGGAATAGTCATCGGGTTAATAACACCCGAGATGTACTGTACAAATTAAGTTCAACTCAAGAATCAACCATATCTAGACAGTGGGCATTACCTGCCAGTCGAAGCACAGGGACAATAGACCAAGGCCCTCGTTTCCGTTGGAACCACCAAATACGCGAGAAACAGCAGCATTGTTAGGAGCAGCCAGGCAGAATATTGAGAAACCAGTGAGTAGTGGAAAAATCCATTCAGGGAACATCTCCCATATAAAGATGCTGATTTCAAGATCGTTAGAATTGAGACTGATTCATTGATGATATCTAAACATACGCAGCAAAGACGACGTAGAAGACCTTGAGCTTGCGGCGTGCTTCGGAGCCATCGCGATAGAGAGCGTCAAACATGGAAAGCAACGGGAGAACACCAGGGTATAACATCTTCGACGGATAAAGGAGGATCCCTGAGAGTCGTGAGCTGAGATTTTGAGCATAGCTACTGTTGAAGATAAACATACCTCGCATCATACCGCCGATCCCATAACTGCGATTTGCGGCGTCAGTGATGGGCGGAGCAGGGAGCACGTCAATGCAACGCACCCGAGCAATTGAGAAGAAAACAACAAAAATATTGAAGAGCCAGCGTTCGGCGTGATGTTATAATACAAACTAATGAGTCGTCAATCACCATTGACCGAGGAATTGAATTATTAGCACACCGTTGGACAGCAAGGACCTCCGTAGCCAATGCAGAGTTCGCGGCTGCACTAGACATGATGATAATGAATGCATTTTCCTTTTTATTAAAGGGTCCCTGATATTCATAAATCATGCGTGAACTTCAAGGTCAGGAGCTATGTGGAAGACGCACTGGATTCAAGTATCGGAACAGTCCAAGACGGGGGATAAATGTTTCCATCGTAAAGCCAATGACATAGGATATGATGGCAAGGAACATCGAAGACACTAGGATAGTTTGCTGGAGTGCCAATCCGAATGAGACCTTTGAGAGAATGTTTGATCAAGAAACCCTCACAGGTTTGAAGTAATAAATTTGAGCTAGGAAGCAGTATACTAAGTGAGTAGGACACTCGACTGAATGATCTTGACTGCTTTACCCAAGGAACCACCAAAGGCGGAAAGGCCGAGACCGATGAAGAAAGCCCGAAGAGTCCAGGGGTTGAGACTAGGATCATCGTCCACGGAAATTACGTGAGTTGCAATTTCTCGCTCGTTCTGAAGAACAACATTCTCGTCTGTTTCAGCTTCTTGGGTGGAAGATTCGATATCCCCATTCACGAAGTAAGATTTCTCTTCCTTCGCGTCAAAGGATTTCTCGTTGGTGGCACTAGGGGTTCGTTCCACCGCTTCAGCAGCCATGGCTATCGAGAAGGAGTACGAGGGACCGAGGCAGACCAAGCATGAAATATCAGATATTTAAGTGTGTATCGGAGGCAGCAAAACCTAGGAAGGAACGGTCTAGGGGGCCGAGAGAGAGATGAATTCCATTCTTGAGAGGTAACAGGCACGGAAACCTGAAATGATACCATCTCGTGGCAGAGCCAAGAGCACCAGCAGCTGTTTGTGGCACTCGCATGACCATGTATATTCTGCACAACGATAACGGAGTTTCTCGACTACAAGAATCAAGCAGTTAGACCCGCGTTGGCTTGTGACGGATGATCTGAAATTAGCCAACCGGCAAATACCGCAACGTCGCGACGCAGATAGGCACTATGTCATTGCACCTCGAATTAGCTCGGGAAAAATATTTACTATACCAGCGGCGAAACCGATATCCAATTGTTGGTCAGTTACGTGCACTATCCACCCCTTGAAAGATAAGAGACTCGATAGAAAATCCACAGGGGCCAGCGTGTATTCCACCAGATGGGCCAAACTCACTGCTATATAAACTTTAGTACGTGGCAGTCAAAAAAACCATTGCTATATAAGATAAAATTCAGTAAGCTCCATCAGAGGCTAAAGTCACGTACCAGACAAACACATCACGGCGAAGCGGGAAATCCGCAATTTGGGTTGATTGTGAAGCAATATGCCACTATCATGTAATCTCTCCTAGTCAGACCAATCCTTCGTATTAAGACTATCAGGGAGAAAAAGAGGATATCATCGTGGATTCCATAAGAATCGACCAGAATCAAGGCTTCCAGGGTCCCACGGCAATGCCGCATTTCAGCAGCATGCATCACCATCAGAATTCCTACCGTCTGCAAAGAAAATCTCTTCTAAAAAGATTCCCTTTGGATGAAAGGAACAAAAGTCCTGATTCGAAGGACCTAGGAGATGAATTTTGCATCAAGGGTCAGAACATTGACCAACCTGCGATCAGTCAAAGAGCCGCGATTCGGTCTCCGGAACCCAATTGTGTGACTGACACTTGGTTGAACTGAACTGCCGGACCTTCCACTGCACCGATCTGAGTCGGTTGAATAACCAAAAGGCTTCCATACACCTGTGCGTCCGGTGTTCCGTAATGAATCATATGCCAGTGCTTTGCAATGAACAACGCTGACGTGGCCCTATAAAACTTAATTGACGAAGTTAAGCTCGTAATGGAATAGTCTTAATACCTGAGGATGTGACTCCAGCCTTGTCGGCGATCTCCTGAACGAAGAACTTCTGCTCCTGCTCGCCGGCTGGAACTACCCGAATTCAAGTTGCCTTCCCTATTAGAACTTGGCAACTAGATTGAGAGTCAACTTGAGTTTTTGGGTTCACCACTTCGCCCGACGAAACATAGAATCGAGAGGACCACGATCCACAAAAAAACATTTTTTGCTCGTTTGAAGCATAACACGTTAGTACTTACTACATGATTCGACCACGATCTCTAGACTCTCGGATTCTCTCCATCCCGCTATCAGGTTTGGTTCAGGGTTTACACTGCATAATTTTGGTGGTGGCTAAGTGACGCGCATTCTAGAGAAAAGCTTATAAACATCATGTAAGCTTGATGAGCTGCACGATTAGGGCTAATAACAGTATCAACTGTCAAGTTCCCTCGGGCTCACTGGTGAGGCCCAGGAGTATTCAAAGTATTCGATTTCCGCCATGAGATCCAGATAATTTTATGATTTGCAACCAAGTTGGAGCGAGCGGCACGACCGCGACGATGCGATGAACGATGAACGATTTTAATTGGCTGACTACGCTACTGATGTAACTCAGGCACTACTACGTATAATATGAACCTCGCCAGCTCATGGGTGGAATAAGGAAAATAGTACTGTCAGTGGGACATTGGCCGGACTAGCACTCCACTATCTGTAAAACAGAACCACCGGTGGGACAGTATCATAAGAAATGTTGTGAGCGGGACTTTGACCGGACTAGCATTCCATTATCTGTAAGAAGACAGAATCGCCGGTGATACAACATCGAGAATAAGGTGAAAGAGGCTAAATTCAAGAAAACACTCCAGCTCTCGACTGCTCATTGTCTCCGGGACGAGACTGGAATGGATTGTGGAAAACCTTGCGCAAGCCAGCTGGGAGACCCAGACTTTATACCATCCTCGGAGTGGTGGGAAGGTGATGGTTGTGAGACACGTGGTAACAATTTTGGGAGAGACATGAGTCATCAGAATTTGACCGAAAAGGTGAGTGTTTCGAGTTTAACTTTACGAGTCCACACCCGTTGTGCCTTCGGCACAGCAAGCAAGTGGAGCACTTCAGGAACTTAATAATTAATAATTGATAATCATAGCAGAATTTTGAAAATTTTGAAATAAATTACATTTTTGAGCAGTATTCAGGATTTTGACAAAAGTAAAGGTACAATCAAAATACTATATACTTTTGTTTAGTTGTGAGAAAATAGGACAGAGGACACAGGAGAATTAGACACAAACAGTGAGACTGAAATTTACCTGGGACACTGGCTTGCAATCCCATGGCCTCATGCCTCGGCCAGTGGGATGCAAGCCAGTGTCCCAGGTAAATTTCAGTCTCACTGTTTGTGTCTAATTCTCCTGTGTCCTCTGTCCTATTTTCTGCTTTCCCGTTTTCCTGTCTCCCATCTCCCGTCCTCCCATCCTCCCACCACTCCAATAATGTCACATCACCCATTTGATACATCACTCCCATCCAATCAGAAATCAAGTCATATTATAGGAACAACTCTAACACAAAAAACTATTCAGAAGGCTCCCAGCCAGGTGGAGGTCCCTCTTTGCGTAGCTCATTCAAATGCCGACGCTCCTCCCAACTTTTTCTCTTCATCTGCTGAAAGATGTGCTTTCACCAAGCATCCACCACCTTGCGATGCTTTTGATGCTTATGTGCCTTCTCCAACTGAGAGCAGAAGGTATCTACATCCCTACCATTATCCTTGAGGTCTTGCTCATGTTGCTCTTCCCACCACATGATGTCCTTTTCCAACTTCACGTTAGATCATTGGAGGTCATGGATTTTCTGATCCATGGCATTGAGATTCTCTCGCCAAGTGGTGACCTTAGCATACGGGTCGTTGAGTCATCTCCGTTCAAGATGCATCATGTGGCTCTCGGACCAGCGACAATGGAGTTCAGCAGACCAGTCAGTCACAGCAGGCGCCGACAACTCAGAAGGAGGGGGTACTGAAGGAGTTGTGGAAGTGGGAGGTGGGGCCAGCATGTTGACGGGCTGGCGATGACATCACTGCAGGTGGGCCGCAAAACTTGCATCAAAGCCCTGCAGAAGCCTGGCATTCCAGTCAACAGTAGGTCTGGGCTCCTGCCTTGTAGCTACCATAAATACACAATCAGACAGAGACAGAGAGAGAAACTCACCTCGTGACATGACCCAGCATGACCAGAGTGTCACGTGATAATGGGCCCGAGCCAGCATCAGGTGCTGAGGAAGCACTGGGAACAGCTGCTGTAAATTGTGTGATCAGACAAAAACAGACACCAAAAAACTCACATGGTGATGTGACCTGGTGTGACAGGGAGCTCTGCGTCACGTGATGCAGCCAAAAACGCGTCTGAGCCAGTATCAGGTGCTGGGGAGGTGCTGGAAATGGCCATAGTGAAGTGTTGAGGGTACTGGGAGGCAGCAAGATTCAACAGCTGATGATGAGAGGTGATGCCAGGTGATCAGAAGAGACGGCAAGTGATTGGGAGCTGCTGGAATGGTAGAGCAGTGTTGTGTCGCGTCGCGTTGTGTCTGGTGCAGTTGGTGCAGAAAAAAAAAACCACGTGAGATTGCCAAATCAAGCAAAATCTACATATGACCAAATTCGGATGGTATATAGTAACGGACAACGGTTTTCGGAAATTGAAACTCCGCTTGACAGAACCACATGAAATTTCTAAATTGAGGTTTAAGTGAGCTAAGCAGAAACACATGGATGAAACATGGCATCCATGTGCGGGTGGCTGAGGTTCCCACACAGGTCTCCCATAATATTATGATTTACACAAGGGTAGTTGGATGAGCGTGCTCCTCAGCAGCTTTGTCCATCGGGTCTACCTGAACACTACCTTTGGCTTGTGAACCTGTCTCACTCTCTTCTCTGCTGGTACCCTTGGTACTGTTCGGCACGTCTATTGTGTTCTTTACTCATTGGGCCTGTCCCATTGTCATTTCAGCCGACACCCAGTGTGTCGATCGGCACGACTATTGTGTATGATGCAATCCTGCATTGCCACCTCCTTAAGTGGAGTCACCAGCCTATGTCTAGCGAGACACTTGAAGAGGGGCTCCTTGCCTCTTCTCACTCGATTCGTCCGTCTCGCTAGGTACACTGTTTTTCTCTCATTGTTTCTTAGTTTCTTCTCACTTGATTCATTTGTATCAATAGCAAGCTTTTGCGCACTAATTTATTCATCGAATATCTTCTCATGTCTGATAATGCTGGAACAATGCAAACCCTTTCATCCAACCTCTCTTCCGAAGTCGAGCACAAATTCGACCAAGCTTCAGTCTCCAAATGTCTCAAGCTTGTCGACAACTTCGGAAAGGGACTTGTCGAAAAGGGAGATGCCTTGCTTGAAATTCAGCTCATTCTCCAGTCTGCCATCGGCGAATCCGACTCTCTCTCCCAACAGGACTTCAAGTCAGGATTTACCCATTTCTTACAACTCCTTGATCACACCTCCAACGACTTGTCTCTGGACAAAGGAAGGGGGGGAGATGAGAATGAGTCCAAAGGGAGAGAATCTGACTGTCCCAGTCCCAGTCCGAATTCATCGGCCATTGGTAAAGAAAGGGAATTACGCGCGAAGCTTAGACAATGAAATTTGTCTGAAGAGGAGGAGAGTGATGAGTCCAGAGAAGAACATGAGTACGTTCTGCGAGGAAAGAGGCATAAGCTTACCTCCAAATGACTTCACTTCTATCCATGGCTTGACCCAAAGCAATATTGTCACGTCTCGCACAAGAGAGCCGAGGAACTTACCCTCAATTGCTATGAGGAGTGGACCAAGGATCCCAAGTATTATTGAGGTCAGGTCACTGCAACACCGGGATGTCCTAGCTTCCTGCTGTCCCAGTGGACCTTACTCCTTGAAGGACATGCACCAGATCTTGAAAAGGTCCTCTCGGGACACTATTCCACCTCTATCGACCCTAAACAATCCCAGACTCTTGGGAAGGGGTTCGAAATCACCTTGTCCCAGCCCACCACCACTCATAAGGTCAAAACCTACAGAGACTGGAGTATCGCCTCCGACTTATGGATCGAAGCCCTTACCTTTATCATGCCCTGGAAGGAAGGAGAATTACGGGGCTACAAACGCTACCTTTCTGGGTTCTTTGTTGACGTCCACTATGCCCTCCACTCGCGAATCATTGATTTTGACAAAGCGTGTCGACTCAAAGTCGAAGGGCAAAAGTATCTCAGATTCGACTCCATTTCCAAATTACGTCATCTCGAAGTCTCACATCTCTCCTCCCTTGGTATGGTCGCGTACTCTGAGCTCCATCAGCTCAGTTCCTCAACCGGCGAGAAGTCCTCTGGGAAATTCTCAGGAGGGGGGAAGAAGGGACGATTCGAGTTTTCGGGTCAAGGGGAGCCCTGCCTCAATTGGAATAGGGGAGCTTCATCAGGAAAATGTGGTAAGGCTATATAGCCACCCATAGCGCTATAGACTGCTATACAGACTCCATAGCCCTATAGCTCATATAGCCAAGTGCCCAATTGTGCAGGCTTACTACACCAGTGTATAGTGCTATATAGCTCTATTAAAGTTGCTATAGCTGGGTGGAACATACCACAACTATTGTAGCTATTATAGCTCAAAACACAAAGCAAAAATTTCTCTTAATAGCTGTTTGTTGCCATAATAGTCTTCTCAAAATTAAAAAAAAGCGAAAATTCCAAATTATATTTCAACTACTACAATACATGTAAACTAATAACTACAAAACAGGCAAAAATGCGAAAATTACAGGAGGAAGAGACAAGAGAACTAGAAGGAAGAATCAGAGAGGAAAGATGAATACAAAAAAAAGAAAGACTTACCAAATAGTGAAAATTGCGAAAATTCTTGAGGGAAGAGGAGGGAAGGGAGCTAGGAGAGGATCAGACAGGAGGAAGTGAGAGTCAGAGAAAAGACTTGCCAAATGGTCAAAAATGCGAAAATAGTTGGGGGGAGGAGGAGCAGGAGGGAAGAGAGCTAGAAGGAGAGGGTTAGAAAAAAGATTAGTCAAATAGTCAAAAATGCGAAAATTATGGAGGGAGACTTACCAGAGTTCAAAGCACCAGCACCAGTACCAGCACCAACAACATCAACACCAAGAGAAGGATAGAGAAGCATGAAGAAGAGAAGAGAGGCAAAAACTCGAAAATTGTAAGAAAAATATGGAAGATAATCTAATGAGGGGGCAGTGGGGGGGGAAGGAAAGAATGGGAAAAGACTTGTTGGTTGACCGCATTTTTGCTTACATAAGCAGTGCCAAACAAAGCCACAACACAAGACTTGGTGAATTTTCGAGTTTTTGGTTAATAGGACTAGGATTATGACAGTAAGAAAAAGACAATGAAATTGACTGTTAGCATTAGGATTTTGAATACACATAAGGTGAATTTTCGCATTTTTGCTTACATAAATAAGGTGTACCTTAACACTTTTGAACCCTTCAATTCCAAGTATTTTCCTTATAACTCACTAAGATCTTGACCTATTGAAGTCATTAGACTATGGATAGACTTCCCTTGACAAGGACTACAACTTTGATTTAATCGAAAAAAGTTCCCATGGTCAAGTTGCTTTCTTGAACCCTTCAATTTCGAGTATTTTCCTTATAACTCACTAGGATCTTAACCTATTGAAGTCATAAGACTATGGATAGACTTCCCTAGACAAGGACTACAACTTTGGTTTTCATCGAAAAAAGTTCCCACGGTCTACTGGGGTCTATAGTTGTTGAAATGTTTTACTTCTAAATACACTTACCAAACTTTATGGTAATATATAGACTTTCATGATGTCTATACTGGTCTATAGTGCTGTGATAGCTTGCCATAGACTGTATAGAGCTGTGGTGTGCTATCGGGGCTATATAGAGGATGGTCCTCTATATAGAGATATAGTTTTTCCTGATGTTGCGACAAATCCACTTCCGAGTGTACCCGCTTCCATGTTTGCAGCAAGTGTAGAGGGGGACATAAGTGGACAGAATGTGGCTCTATGGCAAAGGTGGCTAAATGAGACCATAGCCCATGGTCAAAGATTCAAAAGGCAGATGGTGTGGGGTAATGAAGCTAAGTCACTTAGCAGAACTGCGCTTTGGACTGAAACTGCCGAACCTCTTCCTCGTCCTCCTCCTGCAGAGTTCACCAATGATGCCGCTCTTTCCACTATCGCTCAAAATCCACATCTGCTTAAAGTTTCCACACCCATTAACGTTGACCGCTTCGAGAACCTTCTCACAATCGCTCATTATCCTAACCTTCCCTTTGTGTGCTCCGTCTGTCTTGGGCTTTGGGAGGGGTTTTGGCCTTGGGCTGATACTCACCCCGGGGTCTACCCTACTACTTGGGAGGTGCCTTCGCCTACCCCAAAAACCAAGGTGGAACAAGACTTCATCTGAGGTCAGATCAGCAAAGAGGAGATGGTTGGTCGTTATTCTCCCACCTTCGGACAAGACCTTCTCCCTGGCATGTATAGTATGCCTATTCATGCTGTTCCAAAGGAGGGGGGTAAGTTTCGCTTAGTTACAAATCATAGTGTGGGAGAGTACTCCCTAAACTCTATGATTGCCAAAGAGGATATTGCCGGCGTAACGCTCGACAACGTCCAGGATCTTGGCGAAGCCATCAATGAATATCGCCGTCATCATCCCTATGATGTCTTGCAGATCTAGAAAGCCAACGTTTCCGAGGCTTACCACCATACATCAATGCACCCTTTGTGGCAGATCAAACAGATCATCACCTTCGAGGGTGAGCGATGCGTTGATTGTGCTAACGTTTTTGGTGGGCGGGCCTCTCAATGGATCTTTCATGCATTCATGTCACTCGTGATATGGATTGCAGTCTTTATTTGACTTATTCAGGCTTTTATCTACGTCGACGACTCGTTTTTGTTCTCCAAGCTTGGTGACCTATCCTATTATGTTAAGTATCAGAAGATGCTACCATCTGAGATGGTAACACTTCTCCTCTTATGGGATGAATTAGGAATCCCGCACGAAGAATGCAAACAAATCTTCGGATCTCCTCTCCCCATCATCAGCTTCAACGTCGACCCAAACCTAATGCGAATATCCCTCAAGGACGACTCAAAGCTTTCTCTTGTTCGCGAACTTCGCAAGTTCGCAAAATACAAGAGCAAGAGGACACTTAGGGATTTTGAGCATATTGCTGGGTTGCTTAACTGGGCACTTAACGTCTGCCCTCTCTTACGACCGGGTCTCTCGGCCGTATATGCCAAAATCAGGGGCAAGTCTAATGCCAGAGGTATGCTCTGGCTCAATCGTGCAGTTGTTGAGGAGTTGTTGTGGGCTGCTTACCACCTTGAACAGTCCAACGGGGTATATCTGCTCAAATCCGTCTTGTGGTGCTATAATCCACTTCCTTTCGACACTCTCGAAGTCTACTGCGATGCTTTGGGTTCAGGTATGAGGTTCTGGTATCCCAGCCTTAACCTCACATTCCAGTCTAACCTTCCAGAACATCCACCCATCAAAGACATTTTCTTCACCGAAGCCCTCTGCGTGGCATCAGCCGTCCATGACGTGGTCACATGTTTGCCGAGAGATGGATGACTTGCAGTGTTCACGGACAGTCTGAACACTGTCTACATGTTTAACTCTTTGTCCGGTGCCCCAGGTTTCAATTGTCTTCTCATGGATGTGGTGGAGACCGTGTTGGTCTTTGAAGTTGATTTCCGGGTCTTTCACATCTCCGGGTGTGACAATGTAGTTGCTGACCATCTTTCATGATGGAGAGCGAGAGATGCAGTGAGTTGTTCACCAGGCCTCCGGGTCCTATCCTTTCAGCCCCCTCAGAATGCACTGGGGGTAGCGCAAAAATGATTCCTTCATTGGTTAAGGCCAGGCAGCCTATTCATGCTGCTTGGTCGATGGATCGGCTCATCCACGAGCGGTCCATCAATCTTGGCTTAGCCCTGGATAAGTCAACAAATCAATCTTACTTGTCCATGCTCAACTCTTATGTAACTTTCTGCGATCTTCACCGTCTTGCCATTGACCCAACTCCTGACACCCTACCCTTATTTGTCACATTCATGTCAGCGCAGATAAATCCATGATCGGTAGACAACTACCTGTCGGGTATCTGCAGTGTACTCGAGGAGTTTTATCCTCAAGTCCGTCAAAACCAGAGGTCACGATTAGTCGCACGAACTTTGAGGGGAGCAAAATGTTGGTATGGGGTGCCTATTCAGCGAAAACTGCCATTATCACGCTCGGACTTAGAAACTACGCTAATGTCCATTCCTGCTCCTCCTTCCCATGATGACCTTCTCTTTATTGCACAGTTGTTTGACGGCTTCTATGGTCTCCTTCGCCTGGGGGAGCTTGTTTGGCCCGACAACTCTGCTTTGCAAACCTTCGAGAAGGTCACCCTACGCACCTCAGTTCATCTGTCACGAATTCCAAATATGAACCATTTTTCATTCCTCGGTTTCCCTTCAGCTACTTCCAGAACCTGAACTGGTCACATGACTCCTTACCCTGTCACACCTTCACCTCTTCACATATCACCCGTGGTTTCTCCGATTGGCTCCCCTACTCCACGGGCTAGAGCAATCTCGCTTCCCAAAGAAGAACCGGTCGGAGCTTGGGTTTCTATTTAGTTGCCGTATTACTCATTCGCTTATATATCATGATGTCATACTTAGTCATCCACAGTATCGTACGACTCTTTCTCATTGGCTGATTTCTTTCAGACTCCTATTCAATGTTATGTATATAAGTAGGTTAGTTAGCATAAGTACTCCTTAGACTTAACCTCTTCGTTTCCTACGCTTGTAGTGACTTAGACGTTCATGCTCAATACCATCTTGTTCACTATCCTCTTTGACCGAGTCCTAGTGGTTGTGTGCTCGCCTTCATCATTATTGGTGAACGTTGGTCATAACATCATCTCAGTGACAACCACCATTCATTCGTCCTTCGTCAGCACAAGGCTGATACACAGTTTGAAGGTAGTACCATTGTGGTACAGCGAGCTGAGTCCGCTGATCCACATGGAGCCTTCTGTACTTACCTGTCATCCCATGACAGGCTCTTTCCGTTTAATAGCTTCCTTTGGCTGAGAAGCGATGGGACTATCCCCACTCGCTCTTGGTTTATAGCTTGTCTTCAGGCCCTGTTCCCAAACTCCATATCGGGTCATTCCTTGCGCGCTGGTGGAGCAACTTCATTAGCAGTGTCTGGCGTGTCATTCGATCGTATTCAGGCTATGGGATGTTGGTCAAGCGACTCCTTTCAAGTTTATATACGTAAAAACCCGGCTCTTATGCATGCACTCATCTTCAACGGCTGCTCCATACATGATCCAGCGGTCCCATTCCATCCCATTTAATACTAAGTCACCCCTTTCTATTTATTCTTACTTATTTTACTTATTATTACGTCCCCTCCCTTCCCTCCCCTCATAGCTGGTGTTATAGCACTGGGATGTCTCGTAGTCTCGTACGGTACTCTGTTTTCGCGCTGGTTTGTTTCCCGAATCGATTGGGGACCCCGTTACCCTCGTGACGGGGTCCTCGTATTGCTGGCTAAATCCTCACTCGTCTGCGTTCACACGAGACTCGAGCGAGGACAATTAGAGAATATTTAGGGGTCGAGACACCACGGTGCAGCAGAGCAAGGAGTGATTGCCAGTCTGTCATTTCAAGCTAGATGGTGATGGTGAGGTACCACCAAAGCCTCACTACCAACCGATAGTAATAATGGCAGTGTACGAGGAACTCGAGGATGATTAACCGGGGAGATGGTTTACAACGAAAAAAAAGGCAGTACTGTATGCAGCAAATCTAAATGTTTAAAAATTGACGTATTGGGCTTGTGCGTTGGTGTGGCGGCTGCAGTGAACGTTCTACTTACGTAACATCAAACTTGGTATGCTTCGCTACGAGGACAGGAGCACATGAACGGAGCGGCACTACTAACCTTTCGTCCACTTAAACTCGTGGCTTCACAGATTTCAACTAGTACTTTTCCAAGTCCATCAAGAAACAACTTTTGCGATGTCCACAGACGGAAGTTTGTTGGTTCAAGTCGGTTCATATAACACAAACCTACAAGGTGGTACTGGCTTGCCTCAGGACCTTGTTGATTGGCTTGTTCCAACACTTCAAGTAGCCTCATTCCTCTCCAAGGACACACGCACACCAGATATTGTTGCAATTGGCTTCCAGGAACTTCTGCCCCTTCACCTTGGACGTATGTCGTCGTGCTCGTACACCATTACTCTGACATGACATATCCACCAAGTGGCTGGATTGTCCAAAGCTGTGATTGACGATAGAGACGCGCATATTCGTAGTCAGATTGAAAAGCATGCGCCGGGGAATGAGTCTTACACACTCGTCGCGAAGGCTGTGAACGTCGGCGTTGCGCTTCTCGTGTATGCACGAGATAGTGGCGTCGCGCGCAGGGTTTGTGATGTGCAGACTCAGTGGACCGGGACAGGTCCAGCTTACATGGGCAACAAGGGTGCTGTTGGCATACGTTTCCGGGTCTCAGATAGAGGGAGCAAAGCTGGAGAAGTTTTCACGTATGTCTCATCTTCATAATGACTTGTATCTCGAACAACCGCTCTTCAGGTTTGTATGTGCTCACCTCACCGCACACGAGCCCAAACTCGCTCAACGGGTGGCGGATTATTATCATATTGTTAGCACTCTTCTCTTCCCGGCACTCCCATCTTCTCCTTCCCCTTCCCCGACTACCATGTATTCGACGTCACACCTGTTCTTCCTCGGCGACCTCAACTTCCGTATAACGATACCCCCGTCGCGTCCACCTGTGCAGAGTTCCAAGCCCAACGAGGTTCTTGCGATGTTGAGGGACGACGCATCTCGTGAACGGCTGAAGGAGTTTGACCAACTTTTGAACCAGCGGAGGAAAGGGACGGCTTTCATCGGTTTGCGCGAGGGCCCATTCTGGACATTCAAATGTACATATAAGTACAAGCTTGGCGAGGTCGACCGGTACAGGTGTGTCTTTGCTCCCAATAATATTCTCCTACTTACCCAGACTTGTTAGCACAAAGCGGACCCCATCTTGGACCGATAGGATAATGTATGCGACTCATACTGATTCACCCGACACACCTGAGAATTCCAACATCACCAACATTCTGTACACATCAATACCGTCATACGTCACATCAGACCATGTGAGTTCTCCAATGTCCACTCCCATCCGTATCTAATAGGTAAACAGAAACCTGTCGTCTGCCTTCTACTCCTTCCCCCACCGATTCCTACATCATCCCCCGAAACGTGTACACCTCCCATGCTCCGGCTGCCCTCAGTATACATGCCCACGCCCGATCCGCATGCTACGCTTAAACGGTACACTGGCCGCACGCTTGATCGCATCATTGGCTACATATGGTGGCTTCTCACGGTAGTTGGAGCCGGCTCAGCCATTGTTGGGATTTTCAACTTCTTTCTCGGGCTTACCGCATGGAGATGGTGGAAAGTACCAGCTATATCTATTGCCGATGCCTAAGAGTGCCTAAGCCAACATCGAAATAAACTATGGACCTTCACCCACCTTCACAAGACCTTCAAAGTATACATATGTCATTATGAATCACAGTCACCTATTTATCTATCTCGAGTTGTGTGAGCATCATTTCCTCTCGGCTCTTCGTCCTCATCAATGTGAACAAGCGTGTCCTCCCTCATTGTCGTAACGCGGATCTCCGGAACTTGCATCTCGTCGTTCAATCTCGCACCTTCGGCATCATCCTCGTCAGAAGTAGGTGGGTGCACTAGTGCGAGGAGCACGAGAGAAATCGTCAGAAGCGCCACAGTCGACAAAAATATTGCACCGGGGAAGGTCGCGACGGTCTCGTAGTACACCAACCCAAACAATGCGGGGCCCATGATCTGAGAACTATGTCGTAAAATGTGTTAGAGTGCTTGAGTTGGCTGAAAAGCGACTATCCTACCCGAGAGCTTGTACAACACTCATAGCGCCGAAGAGCTTTCCAGCCTCGCCCTTTCCCCCTCTTCTGCTGTAGACGTCAAGCGCGAATGCCTGGACACCAGGCATGTATCCAGCGCCCAGTGACTGCAGGGTAGCCCCGCAGGCGAAGAGGAGACCATTAGAAGCAAAAGCCATTATCACGAACGCGATAATGTCAATAAGGATAGAAAATCTAGCGAGATTGAGATCGAATTTCGGAGAATGGGAGGGTGATGATGTTTGTGTTTTGGCGGCGTTCGGCCTACCTGGATGGGACCGAGACGGTAAGTCCCGAAGTGGCTCATCTGGGGCAGTAGGGAGCTGCACGGGCGCCGGCTTCACATGCTTGATGATAACTAGGGAAGGGAGTTCATATTGAACAAATTGCAGATGAGATGTTGGTACAAACTGGGTAAGATGACAGCCAGGAACAATGCACGGATAGCTCCAGTGACAGCGACGTAGTAGCTAATCTACAAGGTTGTCAGATAAATTGACAACATTCATGTTCTCTTACCGTTTCTGAAGACCATTTGAAAGTTCCTGCAGCATACTGTAAAGTTGGTGTCGCCAGACCCTGCGGGAAAAGTAGGTGTAAGTATTGGAGATACCACGAAAATATAGTCAAGCTCCACCATCAGGGACGTCGTAAATACATAGCTAGCAGCGATGAAGCATAAACTCCAATCTCTCTTGGGTCGTTTGAGCGGGTTTCCGTCAACAATGACACGCTCGGGCAGAAGAACTGCCAGAGGGCTGAAGAACCAAATGGCGCTCTTCAAGACGACCGTAGCCCTTGAAATACCATCGTTCCGCCTTCCGAGTGCCTCCTGTTGTCTTTTATGCGCGCCCATTGCCCTTGCTTTTGACAGGGAATCTGGGACGATCAAAAGGATGTAGGCAAAGTACAGTGCGTGGACTGTCGCAGCTAAATAGAAAGTGGAAAGTGCCGAGCCCGTAGCCCGAATTAAGATGCCTCCAATGACAGGACCGAGGGCTATACCGCAAAACATGGCGCCCAGTGCCAAAGAAAACATACGAGACCTATCAATGGTTATTTATTTATTTGAGTGCAGCGTGGATAAATATTTAGCCCTACCGCTCAGAATGATGGGTACTGTCGGCGAGATAGGCATTTGATGCAGCAATGCCAGTGGTCATCCCTACAAACACGTCAACACTGACTTATCAATGGCGTGCTTTGACATACCCCCAACCATGCCGTCCAATATAAAACCGAGCATCAAAAACCAGTATCCGCCCGGGAGGCGCTCGACAAAGAATGCAGTGACGATGAAGGTCAAATCACTGGCCAGTAAACCAAGCATCGAGATGCCCATAACTGATGTTCGGCCAAACCGGTCTGAGAGCTCGAGAACAGGAGGTTATGGTCAACATCAAAAACATGAATGTAATGACTCACCGAACCCCACCAAGCGGTTGTAAAGCAGCTCAGAATACCCGTTGTGGTGTGCAGAACTAACGCAGTATAAGTGTCTCTATGTTGGATAAAGAAAGACGATGAAACCGACCTGCAGACAATTTCGCAACGGTAGCTTGCACAACTGGGTCGGACGCGCATTGATTGCGATCGGGAACATGTTCCTGTTGGGGGCCTGTATTTGCAGGAACATACAGAGACGCAGATTGAGTAGACACGGATGCGGCACTGGGTCCATCGAGATTAAATCCATGCAGAATCATCGCCGTGTTCATGGATAACGTTGAAAGTGGCTGAGCTAGATCTAACATGTCGTTCGGTCCATACTGTAACTCAGGCGCATGAACACGACATGCGAGATTAGTGTACATCTCCACCCGAGGAGCGATGGTTGCAGAGAACCCTAACGATGCCACAGGCATGCCAAATACCAGCCTGCTTGAATGGTCAACATCATCTTCTACATAGAGGGCTCACTTCCTGACCAGTAGGGCGACGGCCGTTTCCACCACGGCAGTACTTTCCACGCTGTGACTTCTTCGTCGTGTGCTTCGTCCTCTCGGTCAAGCTGGAACGACCCGCCCTGATCCACGAGTATGCGTTCTGACTGTGGAGGTGGGTGCGCCATACCATGCGGTATTTCAGTAGCTTGTTCACCGACTGAACCGCCAGGCAAGACCAACTCCTCAGGCTGGGGAATATATGCACTCCTCGAGGAAACAACAGACGTATTTCTGGATGGTCTTCGAGACATGATGGGCGAAGAGCACTGAGTAACTGCGGGAAGGGAACGGGCTGTATTTACCACGACGCACCCACGCACCTACCGTGCGCTACTCTGACTGAAGTCACATTTTGGTAATTTGATAGCGTATGTATAGCTTAGTGCCTCGCAACCCTTCTGTCATTTGCCGATAAATCGGTCATTTAATTTACGCTTACCCGACGGTTACCTTATCTTTAATCTTATCTTGACCAAGCTGCTTGACATCATCTTATCCACCCCACATGGCGGTAAGCTGCAATCCACGTTCACCACCATTTGACTCTCATTGCTGTAACGGTGTTTCTAGACAGCGGCAAGGACAGTGGACATCAACGAAGATGTCATAAAGGCTCTCAGAAACTTTCGCTTCCAGCGTAGGAGTCAGGGAAACGCAGCAATCGTCATCAAGATCAACAAGGCTACTCTTGTGATGGTTGTAGACGAGGAGTATGATAATATTTCAATCGAAGGCCTTGCCGAGGGTACGATCATCGTGGAACTATCTTTCGTGGCTTAATTTGCACGCTCCAGAGCTGCCCCAAAATTCTCCTAGATATGTCGTGTTGTCATATGAACTCAAACACCGAGATGGCAGGACATCGTTCCCACTCGTGCTTATCAACTGGGCTCCATCGTCATCCGAGACGACCATGATGACCTTGCATGCCAGTGCTCTCCTTGACTTCCAAAGAGTCGTAAGTCATACCTCGCAGAGGGCCCTAGATTTCACTATTCACTCAATGTCCAGGCGGAAGCAAACAAGACTATTGAAGTTCGAGATGTAGAAGATGGACTCACTAAGGAAATTGTCGACAATAAACTTCTCTCATAACCTTCGAGGTATTCACGCCCGGTGGATATCCGATATACCGTGACCTACTCGTAGTTGTCATGCTCTTACACTAATTGATCGTCGTGGCCTATCGTACTCGTCTCTCCAGTGGGTTTCTTGCTACGTTAGTTCGACAATAGATCCTGCTTCCATTTCAATGACGATGGCTCTTGTCGGCTTACCCTGAGATGAAAGCCACACGGAAACACAGCTTGATCACCGCATGTTCACTGCCAGGAACCTTGAAAATAGCCATTTGGAGTCTGGGAAGTCATATATTCCTGCTGGTGTCTCCTTCCCACTCAACTAACATTGAGAGCAAATCGGTCACTCCTGGAGCGAAGCACAATCAAGCAGGTTCGCGAACCATATCCACTCTTGCTCTGGACCATCTGACCCATCCACGCACCACCACAGAAAAAGGAGACCAATATACGCACGTCAGCAATATTGAAAATCAGGCATCGGAAAAGGAAGTGCTTGCGAATGCAGGTGAACTATCATGATCTATTCCCTAGGAATAAATGGGCTACTCCGTTTTGAAGGAGCATCGATCACGGGAGGGAGGGATTGAACCATATCCTTAGTGCCAGCCGGGAAAGGGAGATCATCCACACCCTTGGGAAGGACTTTCTCGTAAAGGCCTTTCGCTTGATTTGCATTTGCGGAACTGATCATTTTCTTTTTGGCATCGCGAATAAGGACGTGTGCGTCGTCAAATCCTGGCACGGCGCCCTTGACAAAAATCAGGTCAAGGGCCGTATCGACACGCACCACGGGGAGGTTCTGAACAGTGGTTCGTTCGCCTCCCAGTCGACCTGCCATCTTCTTACCGGGCCAGACTCTACCCGGGTCCTATAAATCAGAGTTAGTAGAGAAGTTGCTCAGTTTAATAGACACGAACTTGGTGCTGTCCGGTCGCACCAGCGGAGCGGTGTGATACAGAAACACCATGGCTTGCACGTAAGCCCTTAAAGTTCCACCGCTTCATAGTGCCTTGAAATCCCTTCCCAATCCTGGATTGCCTGAGTAACACGCGCAAAAGATGATGTGGGGAACTCACGAAGCGGCAATCACGTCCACGTATTGCCCAGGCACAAAATGAACGGCGGAAAGTGTCGTTCCTGAGCAGCTTTCCCGTCACGGAATATTGGAGAACGTGCTCTCGAGGAACTCACCAACAGGGACGTGTGCATCGGGGGTAACAGGGAACTCCTTCACAATGTACTTCGGCTTAACATGAGCCTTCCGGAAGTGACCCCTCATCTGATGTGTTGTTGTTCTCTTTGGACGGTCGGATGCACCGAGTTGAACTGCATGATACTCGGTACGGTCAGGGCGCATATGTATGATGTTTTTGGTCACTTGGCAGTTCTCTAGCTACGACGAATATGAGAACAGCAGAGAAGTGCTCACGAGACTCGCTCACCTGCAGCACCGTAACCGGAACACGGGCGCCGTGGTCATCCCACACGGCGGTCATTCCACGTTTACGCACAATGAGGCCAGTGCGTATCGAGTTTGGTGTCCATTTGGCTGGCTTCGCGGAAGAAGTGGGGTTTGCGGCCTGAGCCATTCCAATGCGGGTCGTACTAAATTGTCGGCATTGTGAAAAGAGTTGTTGCGGCCTCTGCGCGACTGCCCTATGTCTGAACATGGTCGAAAACAACCTTGTATTTCGGAGCGTTACTGAAAGAAAATGTTGTCGGATATCGGAGGTTAATTTCCCACATTCATAGAGGGACCGCTTACCTTGCAGTATTCTTTGGACATGGAATGGAACATTGGCCTGCGGATGAACGACAGACAGCCTTACCTGTGAAAAAGCAGGGAAGGGGAAACAAAAGGCTTCAAGTCCACGATACTCAGTATTGGAATAATCCTTCCCTCGATTATGGAACATTCGGCGGAGCAACCCTCGTGTCATCCGACGGACGGCTAGCTTGGACAACCGTTCTCGATACATCAAATAGTGAGCTTAAATATCTTGTCTGAGTGTGTTTGATTTGACAAATCATCCAGCTCGAAGAGTGACACCAGTTGGGGCAGGGCGTTGCATTTTCCCTGCCACTCGACCTGTGAATCCGACGCAAAGTCGCCTTGCACAGTGGAAACGAATCGAAGAAGGAGTATGAAACTTAATCCATGTTCTCAGCTTTATCTTGACGTCGTATCAGCTCAATTTTGTTAGAACATGTTTCCCTGACGCTGATTTCCCGACGGAGCTCATCAAAGGGGAATTCCAGGCTGATGAAAGACAAAATAAAGATTTGCAACTTCATGATCCTTTGAGAGGCAATCTCATTGGAATCGTGCCGTCTTCCAGCACTCCTCAGATATCACTTGTTCTCTTTCCGGTGGGAGAAACCAGCAGTGAATTGAGTAAGCCGTCGCGCCCAATATCGCCCTAGTTGGTTAATCTCAGCTTGAATGTCAGATATTTCATTCATCACCGCTACTAATTCTGACTCTTCGACTTTTCACGCGTCTGGTCGTGCTGCATCCAAGTTCGAGACACCCATTCTCCAGATCTCAACCCCGAATGCATTAAATTCAAATCTGAAACGTGGTGCAAATCCTGTTTTGGTCAGAACGCTTTCCGCAACATCTCTATTGAGTATTGGAACGCTGGATGAAGAAACTGACGTAAAGACAACGAGGGAGGTGGACATACTCTCTGATGATGCAGGAGGCAAAAGCATTGTGGATGTCGCATTTTCACCTCATCACTCGGATATCATTGTCGTGAACACCTCTGGAACAGTTTACAACTGCAGTATATATCAAGGAGCAAAAGCCGTGCATGTAACTTTTCTTATCCGATCACACTGAACTCATATCTTTACCAGGCGGCGCATAGGACTTAACCGAGTTCATTTTGAGGACACAAACGAGGACAAATTCTGGAGGCTCCGTACATCTGACCAAGGTTGCTTCCTAGCATCAAGTAGCTGTATTCAACATCTCGATTTCAGGGTACGAATTCCGGTGGAACGTTTTGATTCTTCAGCTAACGCAGAGAGATAGACAAGCCAGCCTGCTGTTGACCTATTTTCCCCTGATCGGTTGTGCTCTGTTGTGACGTCTTTTGACTGGTTAGAGCGAGAACATCTCCTCACGATTTCGACGACCTCAGAGCTCATATGGCTGGATGATCGGTACCCGAAGAAGGCGCTTCTGAGCTTTAAGCACCACCGAGCGTATGATAGATCTCTCAACATCAGAGTTGTACAGCTAGATGGCGGTACGGAATTGGCGAAAATTTGGTCCTCTCTATTCACTCATTTTCTATTGCAGGCCCCCTGGCTTTCCTGAGTTCGCTCAAAAATGGACTCGTCACAATTTATGACGTGTCTCGAGGAAATGATAATCTAATCCAGTGTCATTCCGTTCCAACATCTTTACCCCATTACGGAGATGTGGGTGCGCCTGACTCGGAAGGTACATTTTTTGTCCGGCCCGATAGGTCCACCTTTTCCCTCTTGCGGCTCTCTGGGCAAGGTAGCATCCACTGCCAGGACTTTACCGTATGCCGCAATGACATGGACGTACTCCCAAGACAGACTAGTCACGAATGGTCCGCCGATGTGCAGAAAGTAGCTCAAAGAGCAAAGGAGCTTCAGCCGCAGTACGGGCCTCTTGGCGCGAGGCATTTCTCTGAGTTAAACCTACGGACTGCGTATCAGAGTGAGCATTGGTGATTCAGCTCAATTGAGTTCGTTGATATCCTGGTTTTGGTTCCAGAAATTTTCTTCACGGGGGATGCGACCGAACAAGCTGCCTCTGGGGGCGAACTTGTCGCGATGATAGACAGGCTATCTCAGTTTTGGCAAAGAGCAGAGAATACTGACAATGCATTGTTGACATTGTGAGGCGTGATCCGAAATTGGTCGTCCTTATACGCTAATCTGTTATACTTGTCAGGTATGATATCTGCCTTCGTGCTGACGAAGAGCCAGACGAGGCTTCCCGGGCGGACTTTTTCGTTGGCAGGCTCATCAACTCGAATCGTGGGTACAGAGCCCTCGTGCGCAACGAGCTACCGGTTCAGGAAATTGCGAGCGGTGCAGCATGGTGTTGCGATTTCAAGTCATTTCTCCGCCGTATGGGTCTTGGTTGCGTGGGTGACTGGCAAGAAATGCATGGTGCTCTGGAAGCTTTCAACTTGTCTTACTCGGACGATGCCCCTGAGCTATTCGTGCAGCAAGAGAAAGAGTCACGAGAGCGGCTTATCCTCGATTTGACCCTTTCCAGTACGGTGTTCTCAGCTCAGCCGGTTTCTATGCCTGCTGCTCCAATCCAAGTCGACGATGTGGAGACTATGTCACTTGCTGCAAAAGCTCTGACACTTAACGATGAACTTCCTGAGATTCAATTTGGCTACCTGCGTCCATATCGCAAGCTTGATATCAACCACTACCCCGATGTTTTCAAAGAAAAGGACGCTCTCGCAGAGCCTACGCAGGATGCAGATTTTTCCACTCCGCTGGGTGTACGACTTTTGTTGAGGGAGTGGGAGGTTGGAACGGACGTTGAGTCCTATATATATCACGATCCATACAACACCCAAGGCGACGATCCTGTTGCCCCCTCCCGACAACGACCTCCCACCGCACCGGCTGCTACGCAAACGACGACTACAACATCACAGCGTCCTCCCCCGATTGTTATTCATGTTGCCCAGAGCCACTGGGGGAGGTCCGGCACTCAGTCTCAAGATTTCACTCTACCAACTGCAAATATTCAAAACGCAAATTATCCTGAACCTTCACAACCCTCCCAAGAGTTGATGACGAGCACTCAAGTGTTGCCCGGGCCGTATGGTGGTCGGAATCCTCCGATGAACAAGAAGCTTGTGAAAAAGAGGTTGGGTGGTTTCTGACAAATATGTGCCAGTAGTACATACCCTCGAGAATGGTGTAACAAACAACCCGCGGATAGCTGCCTGGATCATGATACTTACCAGTACTTGTTGTAAGCGCGTCGCGGTTTCAAAACTCTAATCGGCAAAATCAGGCACACCAACCTGTCGACAAATATAGGCAATTTTCATGACGCGTGACATCCTCCCCCGAAACTCTACCACAAGCCTATTATTGAACCGTGTTGGAAGATCCCTATCTCCTCTTCAGCTCTTCTTTCTGGCTCCAACTGAGATCACGCCCGGCCTTTCTCGACACAGACTGGCAGAGGCACGAAACTGGGCTTTTTGTCTGGTCCAGCGAGAAGAGCTATGGATGGAACAAGGTACGCATATGATCTGGACTTCTCGCAAGGTAACAGTTCTTGAGAAGTCCACAGCGCACCAATAAATCCCTGGTTCAACAGGGATGCTTTTAACGACGTTTTGAAGCGTATGTATAATGCAAAACACAAGTCCATTTTGTAATAACTTCTCTGCTAGGAAATAAGCCGGTGGTCTGCGCTCTCTCGGCTAGCTACATTTCGACCTTTGTTGGATATCCAGTATGTTTTCCCTTTCTATGTTAAAGGAACTTATGAACCTGATCGTTTTCAGTTGGATTCCTTGAAGTCGAGACTACAGACCACCAAAACGAGGATGCCGGTGCTCAGGCTTGCTGGTATCGTGTATCGGGAAGAAGGAATAACAGGCTTCTATAGAGGTCTTTGGATACCGCTTGTCACGATTTCGTTTGTCCGTGAGTTATCCCGCTGCTTGTTCTGTGCAAGCCTAACCACTATCCAGGTGCTGCTTCGTTCACGATATACAGTAGTACGAAAGAATACTGTCGTAAAAACAACTATTTTACAGGTGATAGAGCTTCCGATGCTGCTCTCGCGGGCGGTCTCAGTGGTGCATTGTCTGGGTCATTGATCTCATTTACCAGTGCACGTGCGTGCTATCTCACTTTGTTTTCTTTAATCATCTGACATGTGAAACCAGCCTTCGAGCTTGTCAAGGTATTCTTACTTGGCCAATTTGTCTGGGAAGGTAATCTTCCAAGTATGTTAACAGGTTCGAAGGCAATTGGAATACAGCATAGCCGCAACTAAAGGCGTACAATTCGTTAAACCCCCAAATACCATCGAAGCTGTCCGAGAGATCTTCCGAACTCACGGGCTGTCTGGGCTCTGGATAGGGTTCCGTCTCCACTTTTGTGGGTAATATATCTCGCTGTTTTTTTTACCTTGACTGAGTCCCCGCTCCGTAGTGCGAGATACAGCTGGCACTGCTTTGTACTTTTTCGAATATGATGCCATGCGACATTTATTGGGCCGCCAGCGCTCGGGAGAGCAAGGACCAACACCAGCGTGGCTACCGATACCCACATCCTTGATTCCCTTCGTCTGCGGTTCACTGGCTGGCGTGTCTTCATGGGCACTGATCTATCCCCTTGATGTGTAAGCATCTGTTTCTTGTTGTGTTACAACGCTCATTCTTTCCCTTCTTACCAGAGTAAAGACCAAAGTCCAGCAACGTGCTTTGGCTGGCACTCCTCCGAAAGGAGTATGGGAAACCCTCCGTCGCCTTGTGCGCGGTACGACAGACCACTACAGTGTTGCAACGACGGCTCAAAATTCACTAGGTTCGGATCCTAAAGATCCTAAGCCAGTGCTTGCTGGCATAGCACGCATATATCGTGGTCTCGGCGTCAGTGCAGTGCGGAGCATCACAACGCACGGGCTCCTCTGGACATTTTTCGATATCACGTCGCATTATATCGATCACCTACCCTGACTCGCAACGCACTGTTAAGAGGATCCCACCTCGCATCTGACTAGAGATAAGGCATGTACTATAGCATCTGGTGTAGGGTTGCCTAGTCTATTCATTATAATTGATATCATTCGAGATGCTTGCCAGTCAATATATGCCTAAACGTAGTCGTCGCATCACAGGCTCTTTGTGCGATATACACCTCAAGGTCATGCTAATCAGACAACCGGTAGGCCAAGCTTACCTACAGTACTTATTAATCCGTTCCAAAATAGTTTCCAGTTCATTTTCCCCCAGGAATCTTCAGTCTGTTCATGATGTCAGGTCTCTATCATCTGTTGTACAACTACTTTTTTCTCCCCTTGTATCCATTTCCAGAATGTGCTATTCAGAGTACAGTAGAAATGTTCATAATGCATAATGCATAATAATTCATAACGAATTAGAACACAATGACTTTTAGCACAAAAAGCGATCCATGGATGGGCCTAGTCCATTTATTGTTGGTAATGGATGGTTTGGTGTGACCGAGAATGATTTTCTATGGATTTGTTTTGATTTTTTTAATTGTGCGTTATGAGCATTTCTACTATAGTACTCTATGGATGACAACACATGCTAATCTAAGGGACACCGGTGTCCCTGCTGCACTTCAGGTTCACGAATGCCCTGACGTGAGGATCCCCTTGCCAGTCCGCCGTTCTCGCCGACCGTTGTAGACCTGCAACCTGGTGAAAGTGAAGTGACTAGTATAAAAATGCGTGTGATGGTGTGGGTAGCTGGAGCACATGCTTGTAGTACAACTCCTAAGTCACAGTTACAAGTCCATGCCCATGCCCCAAATTCCGTAGCGCCTATTCATTCCCTAGCACGCTTCCCTAAGTGTACGATTGGATGAGATCGTTGGTCTGCGACACAATGAAAGCTCTTGGTTCATCATCGAGGAAAAAGGATGCCAAGTTGAGAAGCCCCTTTCCCCGCCGTCCTGTCATAGGACTTCCGTAAAATTAAACGATTGATTTAGTACGCTTTTTGTTTTCTTTTGGATCCAATTATTATCCATTTGGGGTGCAGTACCCTATGTAGGATTGTCCCTCCGTCTCTGCGAATGCCCGATTCCAATCAGCCTTACCCAAGTGATACAGTTCGCGAGGTATGGGTCGCTTATCGTGTGTTGGGGATGGAACAAGTACTCGGACTGCCGAAGCTGCCTCGTGCGAAGAGGGATATGGAAAGCGGAAATAAATAAAAATGGAGGCAGATTGACCGTCGAGGTAGTTTGGCGTACTACGGGGTTGTTCGACACCTGAAAAAGTTGCCTTAGCGCAGCTGCACTACTCGTCTCTAGAGATTGAATTGACAGCGTCTGCATCATCTGCGTGGTTGGGTGTCATTCCTGGAAACGTGGAGATTTTGAATACAGCTTCATTTTTGGCGAACTTCGAAAATCTGCAACTAAGACTTAATACCAAAGGCGAAATCTTCGCGAGAATGCTTGTTCTGGAAATGAAATGTATCAGGGCGGGTAAGTTTCCAGCATGGGAAGTCGCCGGGGTAGCTCAGCTGGGAGAGCAACAGACTGAAGTGATGAGTTAGTTCTTCTGGAGGTCCCGTGTTCAATCCACGGTCCTGGCATTGTCATTTTGTCCCATTTTCTTTGGATGGCTTCATGCTCATGCTGTTTCAAGAGAAGGTTATGATGTGTCTTCAAAACGGGATGCATACAACAATATGAACGTATCAATATCAAGCGATGGTGTACTTTCCATAGTCTTTCTCTGGGTCGTATATCTACATCTTGATTAGCAACAATATCGACACAGGAGGAGCAGCCTCACTTACCTCCCATCGAGAGGCCGGAAAGATGTGCTTAAATCGTTGATACCAGCTCCTCTCCACCACTTTACCAGCGTGTGACTCATCCTTCTCCTTGGTCGCATCAGCAAGCAGGCGAATATCATCATGGACGTCGAAATTAAACAACGGCCCACTCTTTCCACGAGCTTTGTTAATGATAAAATCATAGAATGTGTGATGCTGTCGAAATATATTAAAAGAACCAACAGGGAAACTCCACCAATGACGCACGTGAGGTATGATGAGGTCCTCCTTGATGTACATCAAGTTGTCAACGCTAACGCCTCGCAATTCCGGGAACTGTTGTCGGCACTTCTCCAAGAAGGAGCTAACAGTATCACCTTTCTTGCACTGAGATATCCCGTGATTGAGCGGTTGAATGCTAGATGCATATGAGAACATACCACAACCGACTTCCTGTGTCCACTCCCATCCCAATAAGAATAGGTGATCTCGATTTCTTCTTGTTTAAGCTCCTCTTGTCTGCGAATCCATTCTTGGCGCAACCTTTCACGCTCTTTCCTCTCCGCTTCCTCTCGTTCGCGGTCAGGGAGGAATGACGTATCAACATTGGGATTCTTGCGGAACTTGGCGCGCTTAGGCACTTGTTCGCCGTTCTCAACCTCGGGCGTTTGACGTGATGAGGTGTCTCCTTCGGCGTCCCCTTCATCATCCATGGCAAATGATAGGGTAGCTTTCGTCTTCTTGCGTTTCTTTACCCTCTTTGTTTCTTCCCTAAACAAATCCTCCACGGAATATAAGCCATCTTTCCACACAATCGTCACGACGCAAGAGAGAACAACATTGGACACTGAAAATGACATACTTGAGTTCGTTGGTGCGAGCAGCCTCGCGTGCCTTTGCCTCCTCTAGCTCCTTCCTTCTTTGCTGAAAGTCCTCTAACCTCACCAAACCAATGGTCTGGTTCTTGAGAGTGTCCTCCATGGAGTCATTTTGACCAACAAATTTGTTCACTGAGGGACGGGATTTTTCTGTTTCGTTGATGAGAGTCTGTCGTTGGCGCTCGTACTCTTCACGATTTTGAGCACGCTGCTTGACGAAAGCATCTTCACGGCGACCTTCCGCGTTGTTAGTAGACATGAAGGTTGTGGTTGCGTGAAGCTGAGACACGCAGTGCACGTGAAGCGCCAAGTTGACCCGCGGAGTATGAAATTACTCTTTAAGCTTTGAAGTCGCCGCCGTTCACTTGAATTCACTCTAAGCCATGGTTCACGTCTTGGGGGTGCAGCTGCCAGACTACCAATATGCGAGGGTACGCTATTATTGTTGTTTCTAAAAGCTTTGCTCATTGACAAGCTAGTTCGCTTTGACTGCATTCTATGGCATCGGCCATAAAACTGCACATCGACTTTGTGCACGTCTTCAAATTCACGACAAGTGCAAAGTCCGAAGTCTATCGCCCCATCAAATCACAGAACTTGCCGCATTCCTTTCATCCCCTTCTACTTCAACCCCACTTCCCCGTTTGCCATTGGCCACGCCGTCCTACAAACCTCCACCGGCTTCAACTGCATTAGCGGTCCTAAAGGAGGAGACGAAGAAGCTCGCGAAGAAGGCTTGGGCAGATCCCTTGAGGAATATCAAGATTGAGAGCGAAGCAAGGAGAGTGGTTAAAGATAATATTGCACACCAGCGCATGATAGGAAGTTATGTCGGCAAGAGGCATGCTATGGGTCTGCCCGTCCGCGGACAGAACACCCAAAACAACGCGCGGACCGCAAAGAAACTCAACAGGGTCGATCGTCGTGGTTGAGGGTTTTTACCGCCCAATTATGTATGTGCTTATATCCTCGGAAGTCACTTACATCCCTCTCCGCGCATCTCCCTTATTCTCTTCCAGTGTCTTCTAGACAATACACTATTCCTAAGTACAATATGACGCAAGGCGGCCTGTTTGCAACTTCTAGTCATCTCCGACCGGCACTTCTTCCTCCAGGTACTTCAACAAGGTTACCCGAATCTCCGTGCTCTCGTCCCCACGAAGTACATCAGACAAAAACTCCGCCTGCACCTGCATCTGGACCTTGAACAGGCGTGATACAGAGCTGCGCTGATCATTTTACTTTGTGAACTTACCATTTCAAGTGCTCCTCTAAGAACACCGCACAGCACGTTACTGAACCATAAACCTCCTTCCAAAGACTCGTCAGGGAGTTCAACAAATTCAGCCAAGGGATTCTCATCCATGGTCAGAATGAACGACGAGCCAAGGACTCCCGACTGTTGGGATGTACTGTTTGGGCGGGAGGAAGGTGGTGGAGCACCAGTGTGTGTAACTGTTGGTGTGATATTTAGAAAGGATTTAAACCCGACCTTAAAACAAGGAGTGTCTAAGAACATCAGCGCAGGGGGATAGTAATGAGCGCACACCTTCGCCACCACCTCGCCTACTTCTCGGAAGTCAGAACAACGACCTAAAGAGCTCCTTGCAAGGAAGTCCTCGATTAAACGTGTCCCGATGTTATATCCCATTTTATCAAGTTGCTTGTTCACTTCAGCATAATCTTCATAGTCCTGGATCAACTGGACGACGAGGGCGCCATATGTAAGAGCAAATAGCTCTGAATTCTGTTTCGGGGGTCAGTTGGGGTCTAACTGACCCAAAGACGCGACGCAAAGTCCAAACCTCACAATCTTCTCTGTGCGACTTTTCCAAAGGTCCTCTCCGATGGCTTTGTACTGTTTGCTCGTCGTCGCCATCGTCGAGGAAAGTAAGACAAATGACTAGACTGCCGGATTAGGCTGAATCGAATCGAAGATTGAATCCACGTGCTTGTCAACTCTAACTGCAAATCCACCTACATATCATCAGCTTCAAGAAATATGTCACGGCCAGAATACCAGGCTCCGCCAGAGATTGTATATTTTATTTTCGTCGGCTCACAAGCGATAAGCAACTAATTTTTGGACACCATCTACAGTATTATGGCGATGCTGAAGCCAAAAAATACACTCAAAAGTATGCTTGTTCGCATATCTATGCCCTTACCGTTCTCAGTGCCATGCAAGCACCCGTAATCAACAGATCCAGGCAGATATGACGTACCGTGCTCTAGAATTACTCAACCTTCCTCCGGATGAGCCTGCTTTTCTGTTGGATATAGGATGCGGATCGGGGCTCTCAGGTGAGATTTTGGAGGAGGAGGGGTATATCTGGACGGGCGTGGACATCGCGCCAAGTATGCTCGGTGAGTATCAAGGTTTTAGCACAGGAACTAGACGTGAGCTAATCACAACTAGAGGTCGCACTGGAGAGGGATATTGACGGTGACCTTTTCTTGCAAGATATCGGTCAGGGATTTGGTTTCCGGCCAGGAAGCTTTGACGGAGCAATAAGGTCTGCGAACAGACTTCACCTGCATAATTTTATCTAACGATCTACTAGTATATCTGTGTTGCAATGGCTTTTGAATGCTGAAACATCACATCCAACGTCCTCACCACCACACCGTCTCACTCGTTTCTTCACGACTCTCCACTCCGCTCTCCGTAATCCCTCCAGAGCAGTCTTTCAATTTTACCCGACTTCAGATGACCAGATACAACTGATCACTTCAATAGCACAAAAGGCCGGCTTTGGAGGGGGTGTTGTCGTAGATTACCCAAATTCCAAGAAAGCGAGGAAGGTGTTCCTATGCTTGTTTGTTGGCGGAGGAGGCACGCAGCAACAGATGCCTCAGGGCGTAGAGGGTGAAGACGACGAGCACGCAATATTTGAGAGAAGAAGAGAGAAGGAAAGGAAGAGGGACATAAGTGGGAAGAGAAAGAACGTCAAAGACAAAGATTGGATCCTAAAGAAAAAAGAGGTAAGTCAGGTGGAAATTTACTATGTCTATCTACTCACTTGTATAATTAGTTGTATCGCCAACGAGGAAAAGAAGGGGTACCAAGAGATTCAAAATACACTGGCCGCAAGCGCAAACCAATTTTCTAGTGGATTTTCTCGCAGTGTGTCACAAACGCCAGACCGTCGTTAAGAGACACCATACCATACAAGTACCTACGTCTACTCATGTCCGTCTCTCTACGAATAGCTCAGGGAGGGTCTTGACCGAATCCTGAGCATCACTCCTGATGAACAAGCCCTGGAGGGCAGCCATGCTGATTCTCCTCCCCTTACGTATCTCTTTGGCGGTTAATTCCTCTATCTGTTGCCCCATACGTTCTACAACTTCTTGTTGGACAGATTCACTGCCGCCGTAGAAACGTGTAAAAAGCGTGCGTGCCTGTGTGGGCGACGCATCATCAACGAGCACGCTTAGATCAACACGCCCCGGTCTGATGAGCGCAGGATCCAATTTTTCAACATGATTTGTCGTCATGAAAATAATGCGCTCCTCTCCCGAGGCAACACCATCCAAAGCGTTCAAAAAGCCAGAGAATGTGACAGAGGATTGATAACTATAGCATGGGCTGTTAGCCGTATGTTCGGGTTGTCACAGACTCATCGGCTCACCCATCCTCGCTTGTTTGCACGCGTTTATTAAATGCGGCATCCACGTCTTCAATGAGTATAAAACTACGCTCTGGTGCATTTGATAATAGGTGATTGAGTTTATCGTCGCCGAGTCCTCGTTCCGACAAATTGAGTAGACATATGTCATATGATAAGGATCCTGCCAAAGCTTGAATATACGAGGTCTTCCCTGAGCCAGGAGGGCCATGCAAGAGATATCCCCTTCGGTACGGAATGCCCCGATCCGCATACCACTGTCGTCGTTGCAGGAATGCCTTGACATCCTGTTCCACTTTGTCACTTACACCCGTATCCAGCACGACACTGTGTAGTGGCCGCTTCCGCCGAGGTTGACCAAATGGCTTCCATTCGATTCCCCATGCGGTTCTGATCACGAGTTTGCCCTCTTGACCGCGGAGAGCAAGGTCACGGGCTTCTGCAAGGAGCTTCGAGAAAAGATGGCGATCTCTGGAGAGTGTTGTTACAGTCACAGTTTCCCATGGCGTGCCCGACATGAGTTGCATTGAGCGCGTCTCACGTTCTCTTTTCATCTTGATCGCAATGTTATGAAAAACGTTTCGATGTGACACATGGCGCGACTGACCTGCATCCAAGCTCCGCCGTACTTGAACCAATGAGTTCCGGGGCCTGCAACTAGCCGGAACAAGACAGAAGAACTGCCATTACTGCGTTGTTCGACTGCGGTTTCGACGCTGAGTTGATGGCTGCGCAACCAAGATTCGGCTCTTCGGGAAGAAGATGGGGAAGCTGATTGTGCATTGTGGGCAAGCCATGCGAGAAACCACTCATATGCGCGATCTTTGTTATTCACCTCTAAAGATACGAGGAGACGCCGCCGAAGTGCAGTAGTACCAAAGACTAGACCTTGGCGGAGTACAGTTAAACCAACGCCGACGCCCTGGTGCAAGTGTCAAGCGTGAATAAAGATTTTTATAGATGTGCGGACCATAAGACCGAAACCAGCCTGAAAGTAGGGGCTGCACTTTCGAAGAGCTCTCAGTAAACATGTAGGTCGCCAGAAATATTGCGGGGAACGTACTTATCACCGAAAATACTGCTCATAATGGAGGATGAGGCTGCTCCTGCATCTTGGGGTATGGCGAGACCGGTACTTGACAAGCCTGATATACTGGCAATCTGGCCCTCTAGAGGAGGTGGTGGTGCAGGAGCACCTTGAATAGCCATGGTCTCACAAGTTTTGAGAACGGTTTCTACTAGTAGCGTCTAAACCAGAGAAAGTCTTGTATCAACGCTTCCGACGGGTAACTTGCAACAAAGCTAGCCTCCTGTAGGCAAACGGGGGTGCTTCTTTGTTATGTACGAGTAGTAAAGCCAAAAAAAAAATTGGAGCGATTCCAAAGTGATTCCAAATTTGGAGCGCGTTTGTTAGCGCGTCTTTCACCACACCCGTTTTCCTCGTTATCCTCTTCCATCGAGCTGCGGCGCCATGGTCAAGCACTCTTCCGTTGCTGAGGCATACACCACTCTCGGTCTTGAAGAGGTATCAGGCTTTTTGTTTTCGCAGACGCGCATCTAATTGGCCATGTGTAGGGTGCCACTCTTGAGGATGTCAAATCTGCATATAGGCAGGTGAGTGTCGAGGTAAAAATATCTTGGCGGCTATTGCAATAATACAATATTCAGCATGCCCTGCGCACTCATCCAGACAAGAATCCCAACAATGCCGATGCTACTGCGCAGTTTCAGGCAGTTGGTGATGCATACACTGTCCTCCAAAGACACCTGAATCCGCCTACTGGCTCCAGACGGATGTTCCCTTGGGGAAATTCAGCGAGCGACGACGAAAATGACGACTACGATGACTACGGGGACGATTCATATGATCCTGAGGACGACCCAGACCGCATGTCATTTTACATGTGTGTTATTACAGTTGTCTAGAGACGTAAAATCCTGACATGTTCTTCACAGGTTCCTTTTCAGCCAGTTTCTAGATGGGAGACATGTGTATTTCCGACCGCGTAAGTCGTTTCTTTCCCCTAGTTTGTTGTTCGATGGAAACTAAATGTCTGGTGTAGCCGACCCCCATAGTAATTATCGTCGTCGATCACCTTCCCCTGAAACCCCTGAACAACGCAAGGCTCGTATCGCGCGGACTGTTGCAGAGCGAGAGGAGGCAGAGAAACGGCGTCGTGAGCAACAAGCTAACCGGAAAGACTTCGAAGCACGACAACGAGAAAAGGGTATGCCACTCGTCTTGAAGTTGTTGCAATTACATATGACCCCTCTCCAGAACGCAAAGCTGCAGAAGATAGACAAAAAGCCAAAGCAGCTTCGAAGAAGGCAGAATCTGAGGCCAGCTCGTCAAAAAGCGGCCCGGACTGCTGAGACTCAGCAATGGCGTGTCCAGACCATGAGATCAGAGGCTTTCTCGGCTGCACGTAAGGGGGACGCAGCCAAAGTCAGACACGCTGTTTGGGAAGAGAATGTCGATCCTGCCGGAGGCGAAATCAAGTCTGGTTGCGAAAACTACGTCAAAAGGCCGCCTGAAGATCCGAAGGAAACACTGATGCATATCGCTACACAGCAAGGTGATGTCGACCTCGTGGAGTGGTTAGACGCCCACAGTCAGTCACGTTGCTTTAATTACCGCTGTCACGGGTTTATTTTTTCGTTCTACTTAGGTGCGGATCCGGAAGAGCGTGACTCTGCAGGGCTGTCAGCCTTCCACTTGGCTCTTCAGCAGGGTTGTATCCGAATCATAAATCATTTCTTCCAATCATATGATCCGAAACACGACGACGACCACAGCGGGATCTATAGCCTCCCACCACCAATGTCGCTTCTTTCTCTAGCTTTACAATCGTGCGACCCTGAGGTTGTGTGGATGATCCTCGAGAAGGGTCTGGCTTCCACCCAAGATATCGGAAATGCCTGGACGCAAGTCACGTCTGGACAGGTCAACGAGCCACTGCTCCAGAAACTCTCCCGTGATAGTGTTAAGTTTTCAGAAATCCAGAACCTTCTGATGACCTTTGGAGGGTTTACTCCACCACCAACACCAAAGGACCCAAGTCCAAAGAATACGAGACGTAATTCACCTTCTCCCCGTTCGCCGTTGGCGCCGGACGGCTCTGCCAAGAGTCGTCAGCGGACGCGTAGCAAGAAGCAAAGCGTTAACCAACCTCCTAACGCTCATCCTGCAAAAATGCCCCACAAAAATGCCCCGCCGGCACCCTCACAAACTGGCGCAGTCCATTCGGAGGCTCTCAATGGCGATCGCGGGCGGGGTCGCGGACGGGGTCGCGGTCGTGGTCGTGGTCGCGGACGTGGACGTGGAAACTAGATCGTTATTCAGCGATCACATCCCTGTCCTGCGTTCCACTCGGTATCAGCATATTTCATGAACCCTTCTGTTTCATTCCTCATTACTTGGCACATACCTCCCGCATCAAGCCACTTCTTGACGCATCATGCATACATAGTATCAATTGAGTCATCCCATCATCTTGCTACAGCTGACATCGTGATCACGAGCTAATGTTTATATCGCAAACTTGTGTAATATTTACTCTATGCGCATACAATCTTGCACTCGTATGTAAATTAGATCGTTCTATATTCTTTGATTGCCTTGGCGGCATTAATGATTATTTGTTGTTGTTTAATTCGAAAGCTGTTGACAAAGACAGCCAAACAGGCTCACCGGTGTCTTCAACTTTGACCACATTGGTGCTTCATTACATCAAGTTTAACACTAAACTAAACGACTGACATCATGGGACGACTGGCGGAAATGCAGAGGAAGCTCCTCGAGGTATGTCAATGATCTGACTGCCGCGGTATTGTCTTTAATTTACGTGTCTAGCAAATGATGGGCCCTGAGGCAATGGGAGTAGCCAATGCCAACCTCGTCTGGTCTGACGACAAAGTTTGCCGAAACTTTCTGTGCGGCACATGTCCGCATGCACTTTTCACAAACACTGTACGTTCATTCGCTGTTTGTTCTCGGTACTTAATTAAAACTCCTCAACTTAGAAAATGGATCTTGGTGCATGCCCAAAATCACACACGGAGCGATTGAAGACAGAGTTTCTGGCAGCGAAAGAGGCAACCCCAAGTGACCCTATATTTGCTCGTTTCCAAATGGAGTATGAGTCGAACATATTTGCCTTTGTGGACGAGTGCGACAGAAGGATTCGGGCTGCGCACCGAAGGCTGGAGAAGACACCAGAGGAGAACGCGAAGACGACTAATTTGATGCGGGAAATTGCTGAAATTGAGCTGGCTATTCAGGGTGGGACTGAGAAGATCGAGACCCTTGGTATGTGGTTTTCGCTTTGGAAATTCCCCGCAATCTTACATGTCCCAGGTGAACAAGGGAAGGTAGATGAATCAATGAGGGAGATGGCCGCCATTGAAGCTTTGAAGAGCGAGAAGTCAGAAAAGGAGGTATGTTACGCCCTGCCATGGGAAGCAGATCTCATTCAAGCGTTGGATCTCTTATAGCGCGAGCTTCAACAACTCACAGATACGTCCGGAGCTTCCGGACATCAGAAACTTCGGGTCTGTGACGTTTGCGGTGCATATCTTTCCGTACTCGACTCCGACCGGCGCCTCGCGGATCATTTTGGAGGGAAGGTATGTTGTTTTTAATATCAGTTTACGTGAAGAATGGATTCCTACATGTTGATAGATGCACCTTGGCTATCACGAGCTGCGAAACATGCTAGGCAAGTTTCGAGAAGACCGTGAAAAGCGGAAAACGGCACCTGCGTCTTCTGTTCCTGCCTCTGGCACAGCCGGGGGTGCAGGCAAACCAGGTGGGGACCGAGGGGGCGATCATCGGTCATCACGTGATGATCGTGAACGTGACCGAGGGTATGATAGACATGCATCTCGATATGAGTAAGTTGGTTGGCCGCCTTATTGATAACGTTTAACTTATGGCATCTTCCTTGAATGCAGTGATCGTCGGAGAGATCGTGATCGGTCTCGATCGCCAGGCCGCAGACGATACTGATTCAGCACGGGTGTTGATTACGCTTGGAAAGGGTTTGGAATGCACTGTTTCTGAAGGGGGATAGGAACCAAACATGAGTTGCATCGTGGATCCGGTGAGGCGCCGAACTTTGAAGACGGTTGCGGTATGCTTCGAAGGGTCGAGACTTTAGGACTTTCCGCAGCAGGTAGTTGAATGCTATATAGAAACGTGAACGTGGATTTGTCCGCCCGCGACTAAGCCTACTTAGACGGTAAGAGTCGGAAGACCCAAGGAATTGGCTCAATAGTAGTTGTAAATTGATTTCGGACTATTCCAAAAGTAGATAAACCGAATATTAGGTATAACGATTTATTTTGATTATAATTATGTTTTTGTGCCTGTGACATTATTTGTGCTGTGCATGTAATCTGCATGTTTCTGTCTTTCATTGGATAACGCCGCGCTTTCATTTTGTCTCCTTAAAAACGTTCTTGCACTCTTGTCGTCTTATAAGCTTAAACTCTGGTCAGTTTGGTAAAAGATCTTTGTCTTTTGGACGTTCGTTCCCTATATTTTTTCTCTCTCTTAGAAATCACGAAAAGCTTTCCAGATCTTGTCTTTTTTTCTATACCCTCTCCATAAAGGATCTCCCAGGAATTTTGTTGTCAGCGGCTGCCCACTGCTTCCGAGACAACTTTCCTTGATCAATGATGTCCCTTCATGATACCCGGGACCCCAATGTTCAGATGGATACAAGCCCTCTCCAATCGCCTTCGAATACCCTTTCTCTAGGCTATTCAGTACTCGTTCCTTCCCGTCCTGAGGATCCTCACATACAAAATACCATGTCTCATTCATCGCGTGACGCTGTTCCCATCTTCCAACGACCGGTCGACCCTAACGCTCTCCACCTCTCTATTTCAGATAATTCATCCAATTCTGCTGGAATGCTTTCAATGGAAGCTCTTGATACACCTAGGTCATCTCGTGCACCCGCACCTGGCTTTATTTCTGATTTTCAAAATATTTCATTCGGCGTACTATCGCGGATGGATAGCCATCTTGCCACCGTTCATTCCCCACAAAGCGCGAGCTCAGGTTCCAGCGGTCCTTCATCTGCCGTACATGGAGTGTCGTCTGCATATACCATGTCTACGTCGTCCATCATGCCTAGTGGACAGACTATGATTTCATCTCTGCATGCTGGGGCGTTGGATTCTTCTGGGTCTCCGGGGGCTTTGGCTAGTTCAGCTTCTGAGCTGGCGTTTCCCCCTTTAAACAATGGTCCATCACAGTCGACACAGGACTCAGGTTTTAGCTTCCCGCCCCAAGACGTGCCTGATTCTCAGTTCAGTGGCCGCGATAGCTCGCCAGAGACACCCGGCGACTCCCAATTACTAGTCGTCGGAGACATGCTCAAAACGTGGGTTCTTCTATCTTCCGCTTGACGACCACGAATAATTGTGTTGGCTAAAATGTTTAGTATTGCGCATACCGCGCAATCAGCAAGTACAGCATGTTCACGTGGCCAGGGTCTTGAAGCCAACGTCAGGATCGACGAAATCAAGAAGACTATCACTCTGGTCTCCGAGCTTATTGCTGCCACTAAAATCGCGGATACTCCAGCTGTATCGCGTAACCCTTCACCGCGACGCTTTTCTGCGTTGGGCCCCAAGTCCAGCGTTTCCCCGCCCATACATGGCGCAGTTCCTCTAACACAGGAACAATTGGTCCCGGGGATGCACTTTTCCTCTGTATCAGACATAGGTACTATGGATGGTCAAAGTAATGGTGATATTTCAGACATGTCTCGGAAACGCTGTGCTTCGTCGATGGCTGGAGACCGTGTTATCAAGGCGCCGAAGCGTGAGCCACAAGAGGACACGCCACTTCATATTATCCCTCCGCCAATGTGCAGCCAACAGCCTTTCTCTTCTGCCGTCGTGCCCCCCATGACTGACCTACGATCCGTGGCTTCATATGTTCCGGCAAACGCGCCCGCAGACTTAGCTTCCCGACCGACAAGTTCCGCCGGTCAACCTCCCCTAGGGTTCGGTTTAATCTCACATCAACCGCCAGCCGCAGCCATGGGCTATCCGATACCCGTATCTTCAGCAGCGCCTCCTTCATCTACGGAATTCATATCAACGTCGCCGCTATCGACTACCATGCCTCATTCTGCTCATTTCCCCCCTCACCCCACCGTCCGGACCTCGTGGTCGGATGGTGCTGCAACGTTACCTCATCGCAGTCATCAGCATTCACTTTCGGGAAGTTCCCTCAACGCCGGCATCAATTTTCATTCGATACCCACCACTGGCTCGTCGCTCGGACCACTCCCATTTTCAACCACCGGAACATTCCCTTCATCATCTTCACAGCCACATTCTCTCACGAATACCGGTACAGGCATTACCCCGCCGATTGGTAGAGTTTCACGATCCGGCTCTTTCACGACTAGCAATGTAAATCCATTCGCGTATGGAATATCCGAGGTAACGCCCTCCAATGTCCTTGACTTTTTGCATTCAGCACCTACTGCGCAATCATATGGGCCGCATAGTCCAACTTCGTCTCATGAAGGAGAATTAGACGAGTCCGATGTTGCTTCACATTCACACAGCCCCCCTGAGTCCTCAGGATTAAGAACGATTTCTCATCATTCAAGTTCATCTCGCTCTGCTGCAGGGCATGACGTTCATCCAGGTTCTCTCGTTACTCGTCAATCTACAGAGAACCTGTCTCCGACGTCAGGGCACAGCAACGAAGTTCCGCAAGAATATCGTGCGGAAGTTGACCGTACCTTCTTCGAGTTCTTGAACAATGTCTGTTCAAATTGTGAGTATTTCCTCCCAATCAATTCTCGTATCATTGACCTCCTTTCCTGCAGTGGATGCCACTGATGCGAAAGGGGAACCAATACATCAAACATTAATGGCAAAGAAAATGCAACGTCTAGATGAGTCACCTGATTTTCGACCATTTAAATTCCGGATACAAGCTTTCACAAATGCATTTTTGGAAGAGGTGTGTATCTTTTGAGACACGAGGCGATCGATGAGATATTGACGCCCGTGCAGCTGGCCAAACAAGGTTACCCAGAAGAGAAAATTCCTATGAAGAAGGTCAGACCATGATGCATGAGAACGATCATATCTGATGACTGAATGACTGAACCTTGATTTCTTGCAGATCCGCAATTACCTGTGGAACCAACCGTATATCTCCCGCTTCAACGAGGATGGCAAAAAGACCAAGTCCAAGGGTAATCATATTTGGAACATAGACGCAAAGAAGAACCCTGATGGCAGTTGGACTTTCCGTCCTTTTCATCGGAAAGTGGCTGGCTCGCCGCCTGGTGTTGCTTACGTTGGCCTTCGGTGGTCTTGGGCACCTCGTATATGGGATCCACAGGCGTCGCGATCGAACTTGATAGTTTCGTACAATTCGCCGTCCCTCCCATCCTGGCTATTTTGGGAAGACGACGTGCTGTCAGGAACGCCTCCCCCAGACGCAGAGAGCTGTGACATCACAGTTATAGCCCGTGTACGTTTCCTCTGTCTGGACCTCCATTTTTATCTAATCCCAGTGGCGTAGTATGTTCAAGATGGGCAAGAAGAGTTATTGACGCAGACCTTCCATCTCAACATTGTGCCTGTCTCGAACCTTGACACCTCGTTCCCTGCCTCGCGTCGCGGTTCCATGAATGGGGAGATGCACAAGCCACGTCGGGTGGCAAGTGATTCCACAGTTCCTCAAACATCTCCCAGGTCAGTGCCCGTTCGCATCTGAGGATGTCCACTCTCATATTTTTCTCTCCAGGACATTAAGGTCCCAACCTTCCTCTGGTCTGGTGTCACCCGTTGCCACGCGTGATGCGCAAGTAATCCAGGTGTTGACGTCAGCTGCTCAACGTGTCGCTCAGGAAGCTCAGTCTCAAATAATCTCTTCCGCGACACAAGGCGAACCAGGCCCAGAGTTGAAGGCTCTCGCGAAGCAACAGCATGTGTTGACAATCACCGCACAAGCATTCGACCAGGAAGTGACGGGTCAACAACGGTCGGAGATTGGTCCACAGGCGACCACTGTGTTAGCAGCAGCGGCACAACAGGTTGTCTTTCAGGCTGCACGCCAAGTAGTTGCGGATCGCTCTGCCGCTGTTGCGAGTCAGATCTCCGCGGGTTTCACTCCCTCGCCTGATGCTGCTACACAAGTGACTGTGAATGAAGTGTCGGTTGCTACGCAATCAGCCGTTGCACAGGCTGTCGAGATCACTGGACCGTTGTCCAACGAGGTTGACGTCCTGATGACGGCAAGTTCCTTGTTGCAACAACAGATCAGAGCTCCAGTAAGTCCAATTTCAGCGATGCTCGATTCCGCTCAACGATCAATGTCCATGAACTCTCTGCACTGCCACTCTGCTGGAACACTACCTCTAGTCCCATATCCAGCAGCCATGACCACTCAATCCAGTGTTCATTACCAATCTGCCATGTCTAGCCTGTCAGACTTCGGCCGACTATCATGATCTCCGCGATTCTTAGCATATCTCATTTAGGGCTTTGGGACTCATTATGTGCCGTTGGGTTATCTGCTTATCTCACTTGCTTCATCATCTCCCATAGAAATCCGGCACGGCATTCAATCATTAACGTGACTCGAGAGTGTAAAAGAGGGTTGATTAAGCATTATCTGTACTTCTATACGATACCAAGAAATCACGTTCCTCATAGCTTTAAATCGCCATGACAGACCTCGCACTGCTGACTGTTGGGAGGGTTCTCCAGAGTGCAAGACTGACAAATCTGGGGAGACTCGTGGTCAGACTGCAGCTCCCCTTCAGAGCTCATAGTAGCATCTGCAGCCACGTTCGGATGCGACGAAGCCAATAGGGTACCTCCGAAACCTCGCTCTTCCTTGCGCCTTTTCTTTGCACGTGTGGCATCATCTGCCGTTATATTTTCGTCATCTTCTGTCTCTTCGCGCAGGTCGAGGACATCATTGATGAGAAGTCCAAGAGTAGCAACAGTGACCGAATTATCGTCAAGTTCCTGGCCACAGCGGGACAATCGTTGACATATTGTTGGGATCTTGAGCGCTTCATGTAGCTATGACGAAAGTCAAGGAAAGATCACCACAAAAGACAGGCACTGACCATCACTTTGATGTCCTTCACTGTAGTAGATTTGGAGACAGTAATCCGTTTCTTCTCCACGCCATCCTTGGATTCACGTATACGCTTTGACTGCCGCGTACCAAAGGTCCTATGAGGTCCATATGTCATCTGATGAGGCTGACCGTTCTCCTCAGATTTATGTCTTTTGTTCTCTTGCGTCGTGACATCCTTGGACGTGTTTTTCCCACTGAACAGCCGGACAGTGATCTCGGCAAATTCATAGTTAGACCGTCTGTGTGGGTATTGAGATAACTGAAACTGAAATAGTCAGGAGTACACACCTCTCCGAACGACAGCCATGACACACGGGGATATCGTGCTCGAACTTGGTGTCAAATACGTTTGGTGGATTTTCGACAAGCCTCTTTTCCAATGTGATGGGGGACCTGCAAGGATACCTACAATCGGAACAATCAATCAGACAAATCGCAACATCCAAGTACTACACACAAATCTGCTAGCAGTGTCCACTCTGTCATTTGTACGACCGCAATAGATGTGTCCCAATCATTTGGACAATTAGGATCGAAAACAAGTTGCCCATGCTCACACAGGAATTGTGAATTATCAACCACTTCAGGGCGTGGTCCTTCTGTTGGTCGACTAATCCACTTTCTCCATAAACGCACGAACTGTGCAGGCAGGATAGCACAAGGGACATCCTCGAGGAGCAGAGTGTTTCCTGTTAGGGCGTTGTCATGCATGTGGCGTAGCCGCGCCTGGACCATGTGAGTCGCCGAACTCATCAAGCCCACTGTCAACACACCTTCTCATCTTCAGCCTTCCTACGTAGCTCACGCTTGTCTTCCTTAGACATATTTATGGTTGCCTCACAAACAGCGCAGGGCTGCTCCTGAGTTGAGCATGGTACCCACTGAGGGAACAAGCCTTTAATAACTTCACCAGCCTTGGAACCCCGTTTAGCGATATTATCCGCCCGCGAGATGAATAGAATATGACTACCTTGACAGATATGCTCTTCCGTGCTGTGGACACCAGCGACAGCCGACCATGTTCGCATACCACATGCCCAAGATACTCTGGAGCGTCCGGTGGTGAATCTCCTTGCAGCGGCGTGTGCATTTTTGGCTTCTGCAATCGCCAGTCTGCGAATTGAGTCAACGACGTACTGCATAGCTAGCATGCGACAATGCGCACCTTTGAGCCAAATCTTGGATATCCAGTAGCCTGGTTGATCAGGAGTATCGTCACAAACTGCATCGAACTGCGCTACCAGCCGAGGATGTTCGCATTGATACAGTCTTTCTATTGGGCAATGAAACAAAATCGCAGAAAAGTGACCCTCGGACCTACCTATGAACGTTTCCCTGACACAGGTCTCACAAACATCCTGCACCTGGCGTACTGGAGAAATTTCGGACTCGCCAAACTCGGCGAGCTTCTGATACGCGCTCTACAAAAAAAATTAGATTTAACACTACGCACGAGATTTCTTAACGTGCTTACAGCAGACACACGCTTCATATTGTTAGTTCTCTGAGGGTCCAGGGCGTCGTGCTCGCAAAGGATGTCTGACGTTGGCAATATCTCTGGTGTGGTCTCTGGTTCCTCCGTGGCTTTAGGTTTAGTTTTCGGCTTGGCAAGAGGTTTGGACAACCATTGTTCTAGGGCTTGACGACTTATAATGACAGAGTCCTGGAAGTGATCATAAACCACGTGAACGTGTAATATGAAGGAAATTAAGCACCTCATCCACAGAATTCACGCTCCAAGAAGAGTAGATATCTCTCATCTTCTTAAGCAACTCATCAAAACGTTCCTTGGCTTCTTTCTCCCTAGAGCACCTGATGAGAAGAAATCGTATCGAGTATCGAACTAGCTTGCCTCTTTGCATATGCGTCGCAAGCCATGTCATGAGCTGCATTCAGAGTATTTACAACCTCTTGAGCGCGTGGGGGAGGGGAAAAACTTCCAGCATCAACCGTCATGGCTCCATGCTCAGATGCTTGGCTGGTAGTGGTTACTGTTGGCCAGTTGGCGTTGTCTGCGGATGGGACATCCTTGCGAACGTAAATGAGCATATAGACGTCCTTCGATGAAAAGATATCCCTGAGCGTTGGTGAAAAGATAAATCAGCGACAACTTTTCAGTGGCAAGAGTATTTTATTACTCAAGACCATGTTGTTTTGCCTCGGCAATTTTAGGCTCCGTGGGTGGTGACGAAATTCTACCAATCAGGGTTCAACACGACCTTGCCAGTAAATCCTTCTGTGAACTTACTCAACAACTTCATCGTCGCTATCGTCGATCCGCCGCTTTTTCTTTGCGGGACGTCCACGCGGATTTCCAGTACTTCCCCTGCCGCAATCATTAGTTCACTTCCTTCGATACTATTGACCATACTTCTTGGGGTTCCCGTTCAGAACATCAACTATATCGCGACCAGTGTATCTCCGTTCTCCAAGCGAATCAATCTTCGTGACGTTTTCGTCGTCAAACTGAAACCACATATTCGATCTGTGCCATCCTCAATACGTCACGTGATGGCTCGCCGGGTCACTCACGCAGTATCCAGAACTTGAGCCTCATAGTGACCATGATATGCACTCGGTCCCTTGTGCAGTAGAACGCCTCTGAGCTCATAAATGTTCTTTTTGGCGCTCTTGTCACTACTGGCTGCTTTTCGGGCGGCAGTAGAACCCACAAACTGGTCCATGTTGAGCGTCGTCGGGAACAGAAGATTATGCTTAGACTTCTTGCGCTCCATGGAGGCAAAGTCATAAACAAATCGTAAGAGGGAGAAATGAAGTACAGGTGGAAGGTTCCGCAATTCGGTATACCTCGTAGCATCCTGGAGTGACTCGCATCTCGAACACAGGTACCTGGTAAACGCGCGTGAGTGACGAGTCCGGATAGACAATCCGGTGCTTCTACGAACTTGTTGTCACCAGTGAGTTTCTCGTTCTGTAGAAGAGCTGCGATACGGTCTTCTAGCCGAGCATTGTTCTGAGCGAAAGCTGTATTAGCCTCCGAGAATGATTATGTGAAAACCACAATGACCTCGATATTTATTTCAAGTTCAAGGAAGTCCGTAGACCGCTCAGATTTATTCTGGCAATTGCCACAAATAGTGCCATATACTTGCTCGCCTTGAAACTTCAGCGACATGAGTTCATCGGGCACGTCGGGCAGTACGAGGACCTACCTGATTGGACACAAGCGATCTTAAAGATGGCGACGACTGTTTCTGGAATTCAACGTCGAGATGAGACATAAAAAGCTTTGAGAACCTGTTTACTTGGTGAGGACGCCGCTCAGAAATTATTAGTAATGACTGACTCTTGTGCGTCTTGTTGTTCTGAGGTCGAAAGCTTTAAGCTTTCAGCAAGTTTTTCAGGATTGAAAACATTTTGCGTGCATTCCTGCAATGCTGTGAATGTCACTTGCAACTGAAATATGGGCGAATCCTAGGTACAAGTTTGATTAATTTGCACTCGTTTACCGTCTGCTCACCAACCTCAAAGACGTCCTCTTTATCCTGTGATGGCTGACACATATAGACACCATTGCGAAAAGCCAGGTCTCGAAACCATACCTTGGCGCTTATTTCTAATCAGTTCGAGGTGATAATAGAGAGATACCTACTTGAATGAAGGCATTCGCATAGCACGTCGCGCCCAGGTTCTGAATTGCATGTGAGTATAACCCATTGTACGATCTCAGAGACCACGATAGTTTTTCTACCTTTAAGCCAACTGGAAGTTCAGGATCTCGTGCATTGAACACTGGGTTGAACCCTAGGTCAGATGCCTTCAGGAACAATTCCCTGGCTTTGTCTGGATTCACGACATGTGTGTTATTCTTGCGATGCCGAGAGTCGCGTTGGCAGTTCTAAACTCACCTTCGTCTTTCCATGTCTCTTGTCCAAGGTAATTCAAACAATTGGGGTTATTCTTGCACAACTTCTTACTGCATGGCGGTGGGTCATCATCTGAGATAACAATGACATCGTCCTCCAGCTCGCCACTTGCGAGTTCGCGCTTCGGAGTAGGACTACTCTGCTTCTCTGGCTTATGGGCGTACTTGTTGGCACAGAGCGGGTTGTTACTCCTCCTAGAGAGGCCACACGACATAAGGCGATGTTCCAAGGTAATCTGAGAGGTGTGGGTGACCTCCGTGCCAACCCAACCCCATGGATCACTTCCAGGCAATTTGCCTCGTTTAAGCTGTTCCCCTGCAGCTAGTCCCTTAGGAGCTGGGGATGTGCGATGTTTGCGCTTCGGGGGCATGGCCAGTTACTGAAGGCTGAAAGTCGGATTGGGCTGTGGAGATGATGGAGGAGAAGGAAGAAACGTGGACGAGCTGAAGCCGGAGACAGGGAGGAGCAACTTGACTTCCATAAACTCAAATATCTGGTTCCGCCGAAGGTTCCGCGCTACAAACTCAACGTTACGTAACTGACACAGTACTATGTTCTGACTTGTTCATCATAAACGTGTTCTTGTTTTCCATCTTCACGCGTCAAGACCTTCCGCGGAGGTTGTAACCAGTGACCCGCCGTAACCCTCATGGACAGAATACGCGGTTTCCTTACGCGCCCCAGGCCAGATGCGAATGTCGCCAGACTTCGACGGCGAAGACAGGCGGCTACCTTTATCCATCGTAATTTAACAATATTAACGTCAGTGAAGTCTTCACTGTTCACGCGTTCTCTCGCTGAAGTTGTGCAGAACTGCCTTGTTTATCGTTGGATATGCGTGGATGCTGCTTATCCCTATACCGTTACTCTCCCAAGGAACATACATAGATGAGAATGCGCTTCAGCCAGCGCAAGTACGTGCGCATATCAGTTGTTCACCACATGAGCTGATTCAGCCACAGGTCAACACATATTGGAACTGGGGCGACGTTCATACAGCGGACTTGCATCTGTACCAACTGGATGGTATACAAGAACGAAATCTCACAAGTGAGCAGTAAGTCATTCTCTGTTGATGTTCGTAATACTCTGGCTTATGTGATTGGCAGGAGAGCGGAATTCTTTAGGATGGAGTTCAGTAAGCTTGGCCTCGCTGCTTCTACACAGAATTATACCTTCAGTACAAGCAAAGGGGTGAGTTTTCATGTTCGGTAGTCTGTCTCTTACAAAAAATTGCTAGGCTATCTCGGGCAACAATGCATACGCTGTAATGTCCTCGCCTCGAGCTGCTGGAACGGAAGCCATGGTGATTAGTGCATCATGGTTAAGCGCCGCAGGACACGGCACACTGAACTTACGCGGGGCATCTACTGTATTGTCCCTTGCTGCATTTTTGAAAGGTAGAGTCATTGGATAACCTCCAAACTCGTGATATACAACGTGCTCGGCAGATTATTCCTTATGGGCGAAAGATATCATCTTTATCATCAGTGATGACTACCTTCATGGCATGCATGCATGGCTGAATGCATATCATGGCACAATACCGTCCAGTATAACGTTCAGTATTTGTGGAGTCAACTTAGTCTTACTTTTGTTCGCTAGATCTTCATACAGACCTTCTCGAGCACACCTCGGGGGTCATTTGGACTGCTTTAAATATTGACTATAGCAGCCATTCTTTCTCTCACCTTGGTGTCTTCCACGGTGGGCAAACCAATCTCCGCATTCTCCAGTTACTTACGGATTTCTACAGAGGGCTTGAACGGACGTCTCCCAAATCAGGACCTCGTCAATTCTTTCCGGCTTATCTCACATTACACAGGCGGCGTCCCAATGATTGTGTACGATCACTTGGAGCCAACCGATCAACCAAATCGGTTCCCAGAGCAGAGTGTCCTTCCGTCATGGGTTGCGACTTTTCTTCGGCAGAGTCCACAACTTCAGCAATACGAGTATCGCGCGCGGAATGTAGTCCGACACATCGGCTATCAGGCTCGCGGTATGTGCAGCGGGGTGCATGGCCTAATGCATCAGTAATTCTGTTATTCTCGATGGTTTGCAGGATACTGACTAGATCCAGATTCCGTATCGACGCTATCACCCTATTTGCCGTTCCAGCAGATGGACCGCATGGGTTCCATGCACTAGGCAGGTGAGTAACCCTTCTTTATCTATCACTCCAAACTAAAGCGACACGTGCCAGAATCGTCGAGTCTACACTCAGGACGATGAATAACCTTCTGGAACGTTTACATGCTTCCTTCTTCTTTTATATCTTAACCAGCCCTGGGACTTTTATGAAGATTGGGAAGTTTCTCCCAAGCGCCATCCTCGTCAGCGTTGCTATGTTATTCAAAGGGCTCGGCGAGTGGGTGAATGCGGGATGGGTCTGCGAAGTATCTGGGACCTCGTTGAAAGGCAACGAGACTGAGCCTACTCCCGCGAAAAGCACATGGAGAAACAGACGACGGCCCTTACTGTCTGCGCTTATCATCATGATGGCTACTCATGTTTTAGGAGTGCTCGTATTCAACTTAGTGTGCAGTCAATACTTTGATGAGAACCGATCGGTGAGTCATTTGAATGCCTCTTGGTGCTACACACCAACACCCTCCATCTTATAGTTTCTAGCGCCAGTAATTTTTGCCACTGTGTCCATGGCACCCCTCGCGCTCCTTCTACTACTTTCGACGAATGCCCCGGAAGCAGCCCCAACTTCAGTGCTCCTGAAATCATCGAATTTATGCTTAGCGTCAACAGTGATATCTATCTTGTCCCTACTAAACTTTTCTCTCGCCGCCGTGCTTGCGATAATTATGGGTGTCCCTCTCGCAACGGCATCCCCATTTTCAAGCGCGATGACCTCTCGTTTGCGATATGCTGGCTATTGTGTGCTAGCATGGGGTTGGCTGGTATTAGTACCTGGAGAGGTAGAAAGCGCGATCTGGAACTGGGAGGTCCTGGGAGTATGGTTTGCACCGTTCATCTGTATTGTGTATGCCCCGCTGGTCATGCAAGCGGGAATTGTATGTCTACAAGGGTCATGATGATAGATCGATGACAGTATGGTGTCATATTACAATGCAAAAGCGATAAAGTGAAAATAGTAAAGCAAACATGACACGATGGGTATGCTACTCAGTATCAGCCGATGTCCATTGCAGTATGGTCGTCGGACCCAAACAGATCTCCCATTGTTTCAGCCACATCTACTTCTTCTTGAGTAGCTCCCTCTACATCTGTATCTGGATCTTCTGGAGCAATACCTTCCCTCTTCCGTCGTTGCCTTTCCTTCATCTCGTCTCTCTGGGCAACCTTCATCTCAAGGTCAGCTGACAATTTCCGTAGTGCATCCTCAAACCGTTTCTAGAAGCGACATGAGATTTAGAACGTGGAAACAGTGTGGAAACAAATACCTTAATCAGAGGATTTGCAGAGCTGGCAATTTCATTCTGCTTCTTCAACACAGCAGCTTCAAGGTCCCGAATTTCCTCGTTCAACAGCTTCCTCTCCTGTGCTTCTTCGTCATCTTCATCCTCATCATCTTCCTCGCTTTCATCCTCCTCGTCTTCCTCCTCGTCATCACCCTCACCTTCCTCATCTTCATCACCGAGGGCAAGATCTAGTTCTGCGGCAAGGTCTTCGTCGATATCACCATCGCCTTCATCATCTTCTGCTTCCTCGGCTTCGCCCTCGTCTCCCCCAAAGTCTGGTCCTGGTGTAGGAGCATCCCCTGCTTCCGAGCCAACAACACCGGGTGTAGGTGCATCCAGGGGTCCATCCCGTTCAATGAATTCTGAATCAGAAAGATCCGGGTTGACATTTTCCAGGACATCTAGCCACAGGTCATTTAGACCAACACAACCTCGAAGGATAGTGATCATACCATATTTGACCTCTGTAGCGAGTTCATCCGTGGCTAATAGCCGCTCGACTGCCTCCTCGACGCTTTCAATAGTCTACATTGGCAACGTCAGAATGGTGGGTGCACGTGAATAGAAACATGTAGGGGATGTACCCTCTTGTTAACCCTCTTTCGAAATCGTCGTTTGCGAACATGGTGCAACGGTGGTGTAATACCGTGCGGCCAGATGAATTCGTCGACATTCACATTGCGAGTTGTGGTAAACGCCTCCTCATTGGGAATGCGATTTTCAACGACAAGCATCTGCAAGCATGTTAGTGAAAGATACGACAAAGCGAGCGAGACAAGTAACCTGACATATATCTGCTACTTTGAACATTTGCTTGTTATCCAAGGTCTTCTGTGCTTCAATTATGCATGGAAGATCGACAAGCTTGAAGGAATACAAGGTGTTGCCAATATGGAAGACTCCTCGACGGGAGTCTGGGTAAAATTAGATTCTGACCACTGTAAGAGGAGGTCACTCACCCTTGAATTTAAACCATACATCATTCCCGACTTCTCTGGAGGAAACCATCTTGCGCAGCTTTTCACAATCGTCCCCAGGCGGCATGCGGATGATGAATTGTTCTTCAAATGCAAGGTCCTCATCATCTGAGTCCAACTCCCGGTCATATGGGCCCAAGAATGACATTCCGGGGGCCTGCGCAGCTGCCTTGTCGCTGAGTTTAAGTTTCAGCTTTGGTTGGGGCCGGTTCTTCGCTAATGATGAGCGCGTCGTTCGCTCGGAAGGCTCGGGAGTACCCCTTAGACGGAGGGTTGTAGCCATTGCATGTTCTGCGGCGGCACGAAGGGGTCGCGTCCTTTGTGGTAGAGTTGGAGGTGTCGGCTTGGCGCCATTGACGGTAGACGGGCCCGCTTGTTGTTCTTCGATATCGTCGACGACTATGAGGTCGTCATCCATGATGCGGTCGTCAACTTAGGCTCTAGACGAAGCCCAAAGGCCAAGTCCAATGAGTATCAATTCCGTCACACCAAACGTGACAGTGGTCACACTGTAAAGATCAATTGCATATGGTTAATATCAATGGTCCCTGGGTACGTGAGGTTGGGAGGCACCGGTCAAATTCTAAAAGACGAAAGCTATTATCAAAATCAAGTCGTATATATGATTATGGTGCGAGCCGGGGGGGATCACAAAGCGAGATCACCCTGGATTCATACTAGTCGTCCCTGTCCTGGGCACCTTTTTCTGAACCCTCTTCATCGTCCACAACCTCCGTTTCGTCTTCTCCTTCATCGTCTCCTTCATCATCCATAACCTCCATTTCGTCTTCTTCTTCAGCCCCAGTTGTCTGCACACGTCGAGCTCGTCTGTTGGCTTTTACGATGGCGACATTCATACACAATCGAGTGACGTAGATTGCCACGCCGCCAAAAGCAAGCGCAAACCACGTCCATCGCATGCGGCGAAACTGAAGGTCTGTTTCGTCCAGTTGTTTCTTCTGCGTTCTGAGAGGATTGCTCAGAGGTCGCGGTATTAACGACAGCAACGACTGTTTTTGAGTGGGGGCTATAAGATATGGCGGGATTTGTGAAACTTCTGATTGCACGTGCCGCGCGTGCTCTACGAGCTTCGGGTATGAAACCTCCAGAGTAATTCGCATTAGTTGATCCGGGAATGGCGGATCAAGCAACAGGAGAATGTGCGAAGCCAGATAAATGTCAAGAGTCGTGGGCCTAAGAATGAGTTCAGACAACACAAAACAACGAAAATACTGGTCTTTCTCACCGCTCCCCAAAGAAAAACTTTTGCTCATTCAGTAAGTTCGCATAAAGAGCAAACGATGCCTTCGCTTGTGCAGATACCTGTAAGATAGTAAACATCAGGTCCGTCTCAGCAGACGAAAAAAGGTTCACTTTATCCCGTTCAAATGCGCGCGCGTATTCGTCTTTAGGGTCAACTTTCTTCTGTCGTTTCCCGAAGGAATCTTTCTGCAGTTCAGACGCCAGCTGTGTCCACAGACCAGCCGCCTCTAAGCGTGGTCGGTGCATTTCACGTATACGCCCAGGCACATAGTAGCGCTGCGGAATTGGAAGCATAGATGCCATTACAGGGTTTGTGAGGTTCCAGAAGTTGTCGTTCAGAGAGTAGAATGAATATGCCTATGGGAATATCAACCATTGAACGACCTACATAAGTCCTGCATGGACTCACCACAAGGTTCCCAATCTGCGCCTCAACATGCGAGCACCAAGCGGTTCGCTTTGCTTTTTGTGGAGTACTTAGAGACGCGTCGAGATCCCTTGCACCTGATGATGTGGTAGACTTTGCTAATGAAGAAACGAAAGAAATGATGGCTGGGAGGGATGACACTGCGGCATGGCCATGCGTGAGGAAGGGAAGCTTTCCTGCAGAGTAACACTATGATATGCAAGCTCAAGCAACGAGGCCGATGAACTTACCGCTAGGAGACACGTCGGGGTTAGTACATTCCACAACTTCAAATTTCCCTGGAATGGTCAGTTGCAGATAGAAAACTGCTGCAACACATGTGGGGTCAATAGACGGCAAGTTCCACCTTGAAGGCCAAATGTGCAGTGTACATAAGGTTGGTTGTGTGGCTGGTGCTGCAGACATCATACACCTAAGCAGAAGTAAGTTATTAATACTACTTTGATCGATTGGCGTTGTTTGGCGGAGGCTTTAGAATTCAACATGTACACACAAGTCCAAACACTCTTGCTGTCGCTTTGTCCCAATGTCCTTTGTCCTCGAACACAGTCGAACACAGGTACTAGTGATTCATTTTCAACCCGATCCCCTCGATTGTCGCATTGCCTAGATGTCCGTGAGTGATTGCATTCCAAATGCATGGTTAACTATGATACAGACTACACATACAAGCAGTACCATACAAAAATATACTCGACAACATATCAGTACGACAGATACCAGACAATACGTCAACAAACAGAACGAAATCAGATTCATATGGTCCCCCTCAAATCGCTGCACTCTTTTGACCCTCATTGGTCAGCTCCGTTGGATCCACTGCAGTGCTTTCCGACTCTTGAGACGCACTGTCTGGGCCTTGCATAAACCTACCTGGGTTGGGCGGAGGACCAAGGTCGAGTAGGCCTTCCCCTGGAAATTGGTCGTACCTTCCGCGGCCCTTGACGCTCACGGTCCTGAGGCTGAGCGCAGGCCGCACTCGACCTTGCACCGGAGGGAAGGCATTCTTTAGTTCTATGCTCTAAAGGGGAAAAATAAGCGAGTTGGACGGTACAGCAAGACCACCACACTCACCAGCCGGTCAAGTCTATTTGAGTTGGGGCTCAAACTCGGGCTCGGGGTCATCAGTGTGTTCACCAATTGCGCAACGGGTGCGCTGGCGACCCGTTGCTTCGCAGGTCGATTTTTGGGGACTATTAAAGCACTGTTGTCATTGGGTATGATTCCCTGCGCCATGAGCCAGTCTAAAACGGTTGCTATTAGCGTGAATCTTCAATCTTCACAAGGGATCAAAACGCACCCCGAGACCTGTACCGGAACACAAAAGTAACATATGACCTCTTACCAGACCGGTTGTACGGCTTTACCTGCCATGTCGTGGGTGACTGCAGGTACGTCTCCATATTCTCGCCATACCTTTGAAAATTTTGTTAGACACGGAAACAACGGATCCTAATTGTACGCACCCAACACAATGTTCGCCTATGTGACTTTGCGAATTCCAATCTGGAATGTTCTGCAGTGGGTTTGCTGGCTTCGACCCTTCGAGCTTTACACGCTTGACCTTGAGCATGATGGTTCCCGCATCCTTCGTGCATTGCCCGCTTGCACCTGTTGAAGATGAGCCTTCGTGCCAGTGTTCGCATTGTTTTTCATGACTCGCCTGAGCTTTGACTCTGTGAAAACACGAATGGCCTTTCTGTGTTTGCACCTGTCCTTACGCCATGCCTCGAAGCAGTCCCATCGCCAAACAAAAACCGACCGGGAACTACGTATCCATCAAGAGAAATGAACGTGCATGATTGTACTCCGGTCCCCTCGTCTCTCCAGTGTATTGAAAAGGTCTGGTGGCATTAGTGAGGCGCGTCGAGATTAGATGAACGACATTGAGATACCTTTCCCGCTTCGCTTGGGATCCAACATGAGACACTGTGCGCGTTCTCGTCCACAGCGACAAGATACACGGGGATCTGTTGGCCCTCGGAGACGATCCATGCAGAGAAGTCACGATGCCTGAGCATGTTGCGCGATGATCGTGTTAGAGGACGAGTGATAAGTTAATTAAGTTGGCAGAAGGACTGTAAGCAAGTATAACAGAAACGAATGTCGTGTCGCGTCGTGTGGAGAGAGTGCAAGCTGGATGTGGCCTGTTTATAAGTGGACCGGCACTGATAGCTTTGGCGTAGAATCCACTGAATATTTTACAGAGATAAAGCTGCTTTGTTCCACTGAACCTGCGAAACTTTCCACAATTTGTAGAAGGCCCAGGCAAGTTGGTTTTGCGACCACGTGCAAATAAATATGCACCCACAAGTATTCCAAAATAGGAAAGATAGACCTCCAATTGGGCCATCCATGTTGACGCGAATTGGCCTGCGCGACTTCGTGCTTTGTGCTCGACCAGCTTCATCACCATCTTGCCTGCTTCACGCGTCTTTCCTCGCTCACCAAATAATGCCGTCCAAAAAGAAACCCACTGCGAAGCGTAAAGCGGCATCCGAGTCACCATCGGACAATGAAGCCACCGAGTCTGCTCCAAAGAGGGCTAAAGTAGCGAAAGACTCGCCAGAGCCTGCCGTCGCTGCCAACGGCCAACCGACCAACAAGGCACTACCAGTCAATATCCGCTTTCCATCTCGTATCGCAGGAACGGTTCGCCTATCAACATGGAACATTTGTTCGCTTGCATCTGCTTCTAAGAAAGTGCGTGATGGACTTATATTGTACCGACTCGCTAGTAATCTAGGTTTTGTCTTCCATTAGGGATTTAAATCCTATGTCGAGGCGGAGGATCCAGACATTCTAGTGCTAACAGAGACCAAGGTACATACATTGATCTAACTTCGGTCTCACCTATACTCTCATTAGGTGAACGATGTTCCGGTAGACCCGGTCCTAACGTCGCGATTTCCGCATTGTACTTGGGCTATATCTGCCAAGAAGTCATACTGTAAATGAATTTCAGTGCCCCACCGCTGCTGATTTCAACTTGACTCAGCAGGAACAGCTGTGCTTTCCAAGCACAAGCCTTTATCCGTGGACACAAAACTTCCAGGACATCCAGACCCAAGTAGTGTCAAAGGTCGTATAGTCACGGTGGAATTTCCTGGTTGTTACATTGTAGCTACATACGTGACGAATGCCGGTCAGGGGCTCAAGGTCGGATCATCAGATATATAGCATGGACACTGATTCACCTATCTCAGACTCTGAAGGAGAAGAATGTATGGAACGAACACTTCACCACATATATCCGGGATCTAGACAAGAAGAAACCCGTCATATGGATGGGTGACCTCAATGTCGCACCGACCGCGATAGGTGCGTAGTTTACCGTGCCTGCGGTTTTGTCCCCATCTTACATTTTCATATCCAGACTTGGCAAACGCAAAGTCAAATTGGAACAAAACACCTGGATATACGAAAGACGAAACGGAAGCGTTTCAAAATATCCTTAATCCTCCTGAATCTGCTGTTGGAGCTGGCAAATTTGTTGATGTCTGGAGGCAGAATCATCCAGAAGACAAACACTATACATATTTTTCGTACCGTTTTAATTGCCGGACCAAAGGCCTCGGCTGGAGATTGGACATGTGTAAGTTGCCAATCTTTACTAGGCGACTAATCCTAAAACCAGCATCCATATAGTTGTAGTGAGCGAGCGACTAGTGGAGAAGGTCAGAATGTGCGAGATTAGGAGTGATATCTACGGCGCATCAGACCATGTACCAGTGGTGATGGAAATAGAGAGCGATATCGTTACGGGAAGCTAAACTCTCTAGCACTTGCGATATGTAAATATACACTTGATTGCACGCATTTCTCAATGAAATAAACATCAGGATGGGTGGTATGAACAGGTCAAGAATCCAGGTATTGTTAATACTCTCCGAATCGCACATGCCCCGTCTCCTGGGCGTGCATTCTCGCGTCCTTCTCACCCTTCAGTCCCTTGCCACAGTCCTATGCAGATTGGCATCAATTATCCGTTATACGGATCATTGGATGAAATTGCTGCTTACTTCGCATTTGAGATCAAATGTTGCAGTGTTAGTATACGCTTTCTTTCCTCGCAGGATAGTTACTAATTTTTTAGCAGCAGCCAAAATTGGATCTTCTTCGTCCGCGGAAATCTGGTGTCTGAGGTAAATAACTCCAGGATAAGATGTACAATATTGATGCGCTCACGATCGGAAAGACAGTCTGATGCCATTCAGGCGGAGCGTCAGCCATGGGTGCCAACGACGCGGCATCATAATGAATGCCAGAATATACCAAGATGCAACTGCGTACCAATTATTAGAAGCATTTCCGAATGAGAACGACGGCAGCTGCTTACCGATTGCCTGTACTCGTCTCTAATGGCGGCTCGAAACGATCAACCCTTCCAGTTTCGACGTCAATAGATGCAATTTCCGTTCCATAATGCTTAGCGAGGATTCCAAGTTCTATCGCACCTCCCCATGTCGAAGGCTTCAGAATGGTAGCGATGTATGCGTCTCGGCTCAACCTGCGGTCACCAATCAGCTCGGTGTAATGCTGTGGTGAGCATCGACATATGTTACCCTAGGATAGCTTCGTTGTATGTTTCCATGTCTGCTCGGATACCATCTGCAACGACTTTTTTCGGCATGGCCAATCAGTCAATTTGACAGATTCAGAACCAGTGCGAGGGCAGACCTTGCCGTATCTGTTGCGCCTTGCGGCCATCTTGCTCAAAAACGAGGGCGATGGACGAAAAAAGACACGAATTATCATCTGGCACGATCTATGGCGCGTGACAGATAACCGATCAACATGAACGCATTACCTTACCCTGTGCACTAGCACACCATTTGGTGTATCGACATAGTCTGGACCACTAGTTCTCAGTGCGGGCCTGCTTGAATTCGGTTGCGATAATGAGGCTTGAGGTGGTTGGGAAGAGACTGGCTTTGCCTTGGGCGGGGAAGGTGCGGCGCGCGCCGAGCTGGATGCCTTCTGGTTCACAATGACCTGATCGCCGGACTTTAATCCCAGGCTAGAAAGAGGAAGGTCGGGGATTATCGTCAGGGATTGTGGTGGGTACCCCGATCTGACTGACATGTACAAAAATCGCGGCGAAATGAGCTGAGTTGCACGCGCTTGCGTGATACGTACTTTCTTGCTGCGATGGTGGGATTTCAGACACTTCAAATATCTGCTGCTGGAGGTCTTGAACTAGAGCATTTTCGACGTCAACCTGTAACGTTGTGACGCCCTTGGGGTGACGCAAACGAATGGGTGCCATTGTAGATGTGTGGGATCAATGGCGCTAGGGAATAAAACAAGCTGGTCATACTCTGGGCCAATCATAAAGAGATTGCGTCATCAAGTTAGGAACAGTGTGTGCCAATTATAGCAAGGTCTTATGCTGCCTCCACTATCCGCCTGGACGCTGCCTCAACCTGAACTGGTGCGCCCTCTGGGACACGAGCTTCAATACCATGAAGCTTGTCCAACGCCGCCTCCTCAACCGCTTGAACCTTCTCCTTCTCTGCCTCTTCCACCAACGCGTTCAGCTCAGCTTCTAGCTCCATATCATCTATGTCCGCGTCTACTGCAGCCATGTCTCCGCCCACTCGGATGGCATCGTCTATCTCACGTGCATCGGCAGTCGATGCCGTAAGTGCATCCATTGTCTCCTCAATCTTGTCGCGTTGAAGCGAGGGGTGGCTAAGGATCGCCTTCAATGTTGCCGTCGAGCTCTCGTACGTCTTCATAATCTGCACGGGTTGAGCCACGTTGGTGAGCGAGGCGGAAAATACGGAAGAGGAAAAAGAACTCACTTCCACATCACCCGCAGCCGTCTCAACACTGATTAATGTTGACTCTAGGTTGTGAAGCGATCCCAGACGCTTTGAAAGTAGGTCCTCCAGGTGTTTCTTAAACCGCAGCTCTACAAGCGCAATTGACTTGCGCTGCTGACGCAGAGCGTCTGAAATCTTTGAGGTGGTCCTGAGAACATGTGTTATTCGATGATGTGATGTAGTAAGACACGTTCCTTACTGATCAATTTTATGCTGGATGTTATCGACCTGTTCACGGAGGTTTGAAACTGCTGTCTTAAGTTCCAGAATGCCTCGATCTACGGCAGTTATTTCCCGGTCACGATCTGCTGTGACAAATTTAATGACCTTAAAGACATGTCAGTCAGCAGGTAACATGCACAACTGAACACTTACATCGCCATCCTGTACAACCACGCGTCTTTCTCGTTCGAGGTATTTGATCAGGACTTTCGTGTCCATCTCGCTTAGCACAACTCCAGGTAAGACGTTGGCCCCAAACTCCCTGCGAAATTCTTCAAGTGTGTACAAGTTGTCAGCTGGGCTGATTCCGACGCCGTCTCGCAGAATTTCTAGGGTATCAGCAGCCTGTACAACAAGCCCTAGCATGACGTAGTCCCCTTCTATCTTCTTCCACATCTCAGCTTCTGTATAAGATTCTTCTGAACGGACTATATCAAGCTGCTCCATCGCCCACCATAGCGGTTTTCCGACCACGAAGGAAGCAATTCGATATGGGAGCCAGCCTGGGTCGTATACAGACTGCAGTGAAGTAAGAAACTGGGAGAGTGGTATTAGATCATTACTTCGTCGCATCTCGGCCTTTACTAGTGCAATGCGGTGAGTCCAACGCCAGAAAGTGTAAGAGCTGCGTAAAGACGCACTATGGTGGTTCCGAGGCCGAGTGGCTTGCCAACACCTTCATAGCGCAACTTATCCACTAGCGCTCTTCGTGCGCCTAGGACGAGTTTGTTGCTCGTCCCATCAGACCCCTCATTTGCCTGCCAACCTCGCGAAATAATATCCTTGAGCGTCCGATGCCACCAGTCAACGTGAGCATGGAAAGAAGAAGGGTTAGAATGCTTCTGTCTGTGAATATCGGAATACAGCGACTGTAGACGGGATCTTGACGTTGACACGTATGTTGGTAAAGTAGACAAAGCTGGTGATGACAGAACTGTTGGCAACGCCATGAATGCAAGAAAGTAAGGCCCCAGTCCATTTAGTAGGGAGGTAGGTTCCAAGTCACGTGATTATCCTAATACTAGTCACAACCCCTACAAGTGAGATCTAGGTGAACATCTACGGGGAGTGTATTGGGTAGAATCATTCTAAGTCCTGCCTCAACAATCACTGACTTACTCGGGCGGCCAGTTTCCAGGCTGAAACGCAGGATGAGCGGAAGAACGATAGCCGTCGTTAAAATCTGAACTCACGAAGTATCTTTTGTGAAGTTCTCCCCCAATAGTCTCGATAAGCGCGATTTCGTCAGCCGTGAGCTCCGGAACAATCTCAGTGTCAAGGTATTCCCTGATACGTTCGGCTTTTGAAGAGGTTCTTTGATGAGACAAGCATTAAAACCACATCACCAGTATAGGGAATTAATGAAATCTCACGTTACCACAAGAACACCCTTTTGTTTCAGCCATTTGTTCAACACCTGACCATCAGACACAGAGGCGCCACGAGTGGTCTCCAAACGAGCGCGGATTTGCTCGATCACAGGGTCTAATGGACCGCCTTTTCCACGGAAAATAGGCGACAGACCACCATACGATGACGTGACGATGTTGTATTGCTTATGAATGGCGAGGTTTGGCTGCAACGCTTTCCATACATATGGATGAGCCTCGAGCTATTAATGGTTAGATGAGAACTACCACGCCGTCTTCAATAACTCACCTGGTTAACCGCCGGGGGTATAGTGGCAATTTCCAGGATGTCCTTCAGGTGGTCAGCAGTGAAGTTAGAAACTCCAATGGACTTGGTTAATCCAGCCTTCTGAGCCTCTTCCATGCCTTTCCAGACCTCCTTTAGCTTTCCGACGTGTTGGCTGGCTTGGTGGATAAGGTATAAATCGACGTAATCCACTTTCATCTTCTTCAAGGATTCTTGGAGTGCGCTCTTTGGCGTTGCACCAGGCTGCAATGCTCCGAGCTTCGTTGTTACGAAGAGCTCGGACCTGGGCTTGCCAGAAGCTAGTATTCCGTCCCCCAAAGTGTCCTCATTGCGATAGACCTGGGCACCGTCGAGGTGCGTAAAGCCGTTATCGATAGCAAGGCGGATAGCCTCTTCAGCGTCCTTGCCAAAGAGGGCAGTACCAGTGCCAAAAGCTATCCACGGGACCTGGTGTCCGTCATTCAGAGCGAGAGTAGATATGGGCATGGTGGATAATCGACCTGCAAAGCGGCTTGAAGGGAACCCAATCAATGTCTGGTGCTTTAAATTCGGTTTCTCGATGTACTTTACTAATGAAACGGACCTCCGTAACATGGGGTGATGGCGCAATTGGTGCACCGTCCCCGTGATCGATATCGCCTGTTCATTCTTTTCATGGTGAATGCTGATATCGTGGGACGCATATGGCTGTTGGTCAATGTCAGGATATTGTTAGCGCGGCTCCCGCCATGGCCCATGGGGCACACGCTGTCGAGATAATAAATAGCTTGAGCTGGCTGTAAGTACTTGTTGAACGCGTACAGTCGCGAATAGACCAGCCCTGAAGAAAAACGTGTTGGTTATAATGCGGGGGGTTAGTTTCTCACTCATCTTTTAACAACTTTCCAGGCGCTTGTATACCACATGCTCGATTGTCTATAATCTTGGCAATCCTTCATCTCGTAGCGCCTCAGATGAGCACGGTTCACCCTTTGGCCGTTCATCCTAGCTTATTGGATGTTGTGGTCACCTGGTGTACCGACAATTTACTGTACGATCCAATGTTATCAATATTCTCGTACAATATTGTCACTATCCTGATACTGGACGTCTAATATTATTGTGTGCGCTCGTGGACCTACTCAGAACCTTCACCTCGAGTGAAGGGAGTTGACTTGTAACCACCACCAAGAAACTCGGGCTGATCGATGTACTGGGTGGAAGTGGTTTCATGATTGGACCACCATCTTTGCCCAGTCCTTTCAATGTATCGGCTGAAGTCGCCGGCCTTCATGACAACGCCATATCACAATAGTTGTCCAGATGCCGAAAGGATCGAGAACAAATGAGTATCTGTAAGTACAAGGTACGCGTGAAAACTCTTCGTAATATCTCTGTAGTACTTGTTCTGACGCTGTGAACAGAAGCCATGTCTCTGACTTGTAAAATCATGTCGTAGTCCGACGCGATTCTTTTATATTCTCCGCCGCGAGCAAAAACGCGCCAGATAACCAGTCTGGACCGCAGGTGTCCGAGGCGAACAATCAATCGCAACGCCCGCGAGTATATTCTTCCACGCTCGGCGTATCCTCTGCGAAATCTGAAGACAACTCATCCCACGGCCGGCCGGACAAGCAAGTCTTAGCAGGAATGCGTCTGACGGTCTCTGACTGCATTCGCCATGCACCACTGTTTTCGTCTGAGCGAGATCCTTGAAGTGATATTCCAGTTTGTGTTCGATTCCGTAGAAGTGGAACCTGACCGACACTACGTATTGCCTGGACTCTTACCGTCTCCATGCGCTCAAGATCGACGTTCCGTCCTCCATCTCGCACTCACCTGTCGTGCATTTTACGACCCAGCACTTAATGTCCTTTATTCTCACTTGAGAGACATTTATCATCTTATTAAGTCCCTCCCTGACCAACTGGTGGAACTGATTCTGTCACGCAGACCTTTCCCGGCGGAACATTTCCGCTCATTGGTCCTCTGCGCTGCACGTGTTCAGATCCTCTGCGCTGCGCACATCCAGCTCCTCTTCGATCCCTGTTACAACGATACTGCATACACATTTCTCCTTGCCAGCGTCCCCAAAGACGCACCGCTCTTTCCCAAGTTGCGCTCGCTTGCATGGCACGACGAACGTCTCGCCTCCATCCAAGTTCTCACCTTCCTCCTACCGACAGTCGAGACCCCTTCCATCTCCATCTCAGACATTCGATTTCGCAAGACCATCATCCCTGGCCTCCGTACCGCTGCGCCGCGCCTCAAGGCTCTTGAGTTCGAGGGCATCACACCTTGGGATTACCCCTCGGAAATTGAGTCGCTCTTGCTAAGCTATCCTGAGATTCTCGCAGAACTTTCGTTCCTATGCTGCGATATCTCAAGCAGCCTGCTTCGTGCCATCGCCCTGTGGCCACGCCTCCGATGGCTCTCTGTCCAGCTTGGTTTCAAAAGCATCCCCACTGCACCTCTCCATGTGTCACAGTCCTTTCAGGCACTCGCTCACCTGCATATCTCATGCCAGGATCTGAACATTTTCATCTCTTTCCTGTGCGCTTTCCGAATGCTCGGGATGGATTCTGATACGTTCGGATGCCCCAACCTCAATACAATTCACATCAACACAAACAGATGCAGCCCAGCCAGCAGCTGGTCTGAGCTCCTCACCGTTCTCACCCGCACAAAACTAGAGCACATCATTATTAGCGAAAGGTGTCACGATCACGCGCAGCCCTGCCCCGCACCATCATCCTTTGACTTTTACCCCCTACTTGCGCACCCTACCGCCCTCGCAGACCTCAAGACTCTCGTCCTCTCCCCCGGCCACTCCTCGTCCATCGCACTTACCGGTGCGGACATCATCACCCTCGCTCGCGCATGGTCATGCCTCAACATCCTTGACTTAGGGTTGCGCAACACTCCCGTGTCATTGTATGCCTTAGGAATCCTCGTGAGGCGCTGCCGCGAGCTACGTGAGGTCTCGCTCTGCGTCAACGTGGGCCTCGATGCGCTCGGAGCAACGCCTCTGAACGACGACGACAATCAATTGGGTTCGCAACCCAACATGCGCCTGATCAAACTGGACGTCGGGGAGTCCCCTATCGCGTGCGCGGGTCCCTTGCACCCTCTGACGGCACCGGACTTGATGAGGTCCATTCCACGGTTCTTGCACGCGATGGCGCCGCGGCTTGAGGGCATCTCGAGGACGGCATGTATCGTGTGGTTCCAAGGGATATATGGGAGGAGATGGGAGACGGTATCGGACGCTTTGTTCGCAATGGCGAATGAAGTTGAGCATGGTGACTGATGGAGATGTTTTAGATAGATGTTTGAGCACCGAGATTCCGTTGGGTGGACAGGGGGATGCGTGCATACACGAGGTTTAGATACAATCCGATGTTATCAATTTGGCACATGGTGTCCTCGAGCACATGTAAATTCCGCTACTAGACACTAAATTATATTATGTGCGCTCGTGGACGCAGAGCCTCGGAATTATCACCTCGAGTGAAGGGAGTTGATCTGTAACCATAAAGAAACCCGGGCTGATGGAAGTCCAGAGTCCTTAGCATCGTCTGAAGTCGCCGGCCTTCATGACGACGCCAATTCACAATAGTCGTCCAGATGCGAAAGGATCTAGAACAAAGGAAGTATCTGTACAGTACTACACTGTCAATGTACAAATGAAAACTATTCCCTTCAAATATAGAGCTACAATATATCTAGTGTCCTGACGTCCATCATGCTATGAACAGAAGTAATGTCTGACTTGTGCAATAATATCGTAGTCTGACGCGATTCTCTTATATTCTCCGCCGCGCTGCTGCACGAGCAAAAATGCGCCAAACGGCTGTCCGAGGCGAACAATCAATCGCAACGCTCGCGAGTGAGACTCCGAATCAACATGCCCATTTTCTCCGGTTGATTCACCAGGCGAATCGTGTAACGGAGACTCGGGAGGGGACCAATCTTCCACGCTCTGCGCATCCTCTGTGAAATCAGGCAACTCGAGGAGACAACGATCCCACGGACGGACAAGCAAGAAGGTCTGTCGAGTGGGCCTTGCCCGCGAGAATTGAATCAGCTTGTCTTCCGTGGTGATCAGTAGGTCATGGAGCCGGTCTGACTTGACTTCATACGTGAAATATGTCGCCTGGTCTTGACCAGGCCTCCGTCTGACTTCTGTGATAGGGAATGCGATGCAAGGCAGATGTAGCCGGCGATGCGCGAAACGAGGAGCGCTCAGGCGCTCAAGTTTGTGATATAATCCCAAACCCAATTCTACAGTCACGGCATGTCGCAGCGAGGAAACTGATGTCTGCATCTCGTCTTCAGATAGACATGATAGCGTGAGTGGTGGAGCTTCGTATGAAGTGATGTCTGCTGGCAGACAGCTATTGAACTCTGATGATTTTCCGACCCAATCGAGGACAGCAATGTCGCCCGATTGAGCCACAATCTCCTGCAAGAGCCGCCCGAGTGCGTTTTGCTTCTTCTCGCCATAATTGACGCGTAGCTGGACATCGAAGATGCCAAACAATGAGTACGCAATGTCTTCCTGCAACGTGGTAACACGCGTCGACGCCCATCGCAGTTTTTCGCGCGCGCCACTCATCCCTGGACGGAAGGCGACGAGGGCTCGTGGATCTATGCCTGTCGTATCCTCCAACTCCTGCATGATCACAGGGGACTCCTTGTGGTTGGGACAGGGATCGTCGAGATATAGGGACCAATCATTCTGATAAAACAGAACAGCTTTGGAAGCCAGAAATTCTGGAACTGTCCATCCTCGTGTGTTCCAAGCGCTCCTCGCCAGTGCGCCAGATTTTGACGAAGGCAAAACATCCGACAGGTAGACAATTATAAGCGCAGAATGGTGATACCAGACAAACATGGAATTGAGTGATTCTTGGAGCTCAGCATTGTTATGCTTGTCGATGCAGCATGTATCGCTCCAGGCCCAGTGATACCCCGTATTCCGATCAATGTCGCAGAACGACCGCAACTTCGCGATTCCGGCAACTGGATTCAACTTGTGTATGACCTTGTCCTGGATGTCGTGCAGCAGCGGCTCCTTCTCTTCCCACCTATGCGATAGCATGACACGACGGAAGTACGTTGCCACCACTTCTTCGATGCGCTCCATTCGGAGATTTACATGCTTCATTGTTGAAGACAAGAGTTCCTTGTACTCTGTACTCGATTTGAAGGCAGTTATCTGTGCATCTCGATCACATAAGCGTCCAGTGGAGGTGTTGAATAAGCGGAGCGGGGCGTTGTCGAGTTGAACATGAATTGCATTTCGGATAGTACTTTCTGCTTCGGATGGTGTGACATACTGCTGGCGTAGGTGTCTGAAACTGGTCAAGCATGTCAAGGCATGCCTTGGGCCTGGCTTCCTTCGTATTTGCGTGTCAGGATCATTGTCCGACTTAGAGAGCATGGTTTGGAAGGCTTCGATCGCCTCATCATAGCGTTGGGCGCCATGAAGTGCTGCATGCTTCAACTGGTATCCAAGATCAGACGAGGGATTGAGATCAATGACCTGTGTATTGTTGAAATGAGCATTGGCTACGAAATGACAGATACCATCGCACCTTCAGCGCATCGAGAAGCGCATCCTCCCACAGCATTTTTTCCAGCTTTGCCTTACTGCGGTTTGCAAAGATAGTATCGCTCGCGGGATTCAGGTCGATCGCTGCCGAGTATAGGTCAATAGCCCTGTCGTAATTGCTTGCAGCGAGAGCAGTATCTCCGTGGGTAGAATGAAGCGTGCTGCATTCTTGTTTGAAAGCTGAGTGAAATACGGATCAGGATTGCAGCCTAGGTAACATTACTGGAAGACTCACCGGTGGACCAATCAAGGCAGCTGGCCTTTGTGGTTTCGTCACTCATATCCATCATATATTGATACGATTCAAAGGCTTCTCCAAGTCGACCTGCCAGAAGGAGTGCAGAGCACCGTTTCTGGTGTGCAGTTTGCCACAAAGACTCCAGGTCCCATCCGAAGAGCTGTTCAAAGCATACAGTTGTGGCATGAGAGTAATTTCAAATTGCATCATATCGGCGTACCACCATAAAGTCCTCATATACGGAATGAATGGCTGATTTAGCTAACAAAGGGATAGTATTGACAGCGGCAGCGAAGTGATCGGCAGCTTCGTTATAACGCGTGCTGTCTAAGGCATTGATGCCTAGTTGTAAACATAGATATGCCTGATGTGCGAAGGTCAGAAGCCAACGCACAAACCTGGGTTTGACTGAGTGTTTAATACTCACTTGGACGATACTACACGCAACAGTATCGGCACTGGGACAAGCAGCAGCCAGCTCTTGGACGCGCAGCATTGCCTCCTCGCGCTGATTTGCATTGAAAAGCGCAATAGCCTGAAAACCATCATGAATTAGGGAGCACGTGAATAAAAAATCACCAGCCTTAATTAACAAAATTAAATGAATAGTTTTCAAATCTCCGTTCGAGAACATGAACGTGAGGTCAAATGCTTTCATCCCGTCCTGGACTTGCATTTTCCCGCAGAGGGCAATGCCCATGGAGACATAGCCTGACAAGGAGGGCTGAATGCTGACAGACTATGTCACTGTTAGCTGGTTTGTCTCAGGGGAGTTGCAATAGGACAGTGTATCTCACTGCGAGTGCATCATAAAGCGCGCGGTCCCACTCAGATTTTCGCGCCATAACAAATGAGCGATTGGCATAGGAAGCATAGTTGTTGCCATCAGCGTCAATATCTCGAGTTAGCAGCTCTTCAGCAATAGGCAAGTCTCCAGTTATAAATGCATGGCGGACGGTTGTGTCTATAGCGAGGATCTACATGAATCATGGTCACATTGGGTTATAAAAGTCAGCAAGGGTGGAAACCTGCCTTGGAATCAATGACTTGAGCCTTGGGGCGTCAAAAAGACGTGAGATGAGATGTCGAAGGGACGGAAAATGAACGGTAATTACCTCATTTGAGGCTTGTTCCAAAGCGGCCTCGGGTATTGCCCACTGTAAGATTTTTTTGTCATTACCTCCGCTGAGAATGTGCTTGCTGTCTGTGGAAAAGGTGACGCGGCATACTGGGTCAGAGTGCTGGAATACGGCGATAGTTTGTTTATCTGAGAGGCGCCAGAGGCGGACATGGTTATCATAAGACGCGGAAGCGAGGAGTGTGCCCGTAGAATTCACGGCAATGGCGTCAATGAAGTGAGAATGGCCGTACCAGGGATCACCAACCTGCTTCCAGGTGGATGAATCCCATTCCCGTATTGTGCGATCGCGGTAGGAGCCTGCTGAGAAAAGACGTGTTCCATCTGGCTTCCACGCGATTGAGATGTTGTATGCTCGACTGACGAATGCGTGACCCTCGAAGTTTGCAATGCAATCCCTTGTGCCTGGATTCCATATTTGGATATCACCAAATGTCGCGATAGCGAGATGTTCGCTTGATGGGGAATACCGCATGCAGTTGACTTCATCACCGCATTCAATTGGACTTCCTTGAAGCTGCCATGTTTTTATGTTCCACAGCTTCACCGTGTTGTCCGATGAACCAGTCGCCAAAACTGCACCGTCTGGTGAAATGTCCAGCGAGCCGATTGCCCAGTAGTGGGCTTTGATGGCTTGTGTGTGAGATGCACCAGTCTCTCCGTCCCATGCGATGACCTCTCCCTTGTTATCGCCACTCGCTATCAATTGACCGTTTCTTGAGACTGATAATGCAGACACCCTGCTGCGATGCCCTTCCATCTTCTTCAACACAACACCGTCGTTCAAGTTCCACAGACGAAGCGTCCTGTCTCGAGAGCCTGTCACCATACGCCGTCCATCGGGGAAGACTGCGACTGCGAGTACGGAATTGTCATGCTCTTCAAACGCTCGAACGGGTGTGGTGCTTGGAATGGTGTGTTGCATAGCTTCTTCCGCCATTCAGGTAGAGATTGATGGTGTTTGGAATCGCGAGTCGTGGTGGCTGCCTTGTTGTAGGACTCTTGGTGTCTTCCTTTAAGCCGCACAGGTGCCTACGGGTGCTTGCACTTACCGTTTTATCCTGCTATACAGCGTTTTGAGACTATGTAAGAGAGAACAATTGTCCCCAATGCAGATCATGGATAAATGAATAGTTTATTTAGAGATTGTTCCCAGGATGATCCCTACTCGTGCACATGGGAGATGCAATGCTCCAAGTTACAGCCGTTGCTTTCTGGACAACCATAGCGTCTGGCAGTGTTCAATTTCTGTTGGATTATTCAATATCAATGCTGCGATCCACCTTTCACGGAGCCGAGATGCATTTTGTTGCACCGCCCCGCGCTTCTCGCAGGTTGTTCATCGAAAATTTGATCTTGAGGGCTTATCTGACATATGGTGCAGGACGAATATCATTATAGACCATAAAATTGCACAGTGTCTCTGCAGATCTGATCCACCAGACACCCGAGTAGTTTACTAAACCTGTGCAGGATCAGCGAACCTCATGCAGAACTTTGACTGTGTCAAGGGTCTTGATTCCAGTCTGAGGCTTGGGAATTCGCGCCAACGTCTGCCATGATAGTATCGACGTTCGACCCTGTGCACGTCGGTTAGGCCATCAGTGCACGAGAATAATTGGGGAGGCATGCAAACATTACGATGAGCATTATTAAAGCAGGAAATGACACGCAAGCAACTATATTTTCCGGGTGAACGAGGGGCCAGCATACAATATAAGTATACTCGGCATAACTTCACGATTAAATGCACCAGTGTACCTGGCTGTGGTGCACCACGCATTCGCAGTGATGATTGCCATAATCCGTTAATTAGATCGTTAGCAGGAGGCCCTGGCGAAGCGGGAAGAAGCTGTTTGCCTAGCACTTTCCCCCGCCTCACGCGTAATCATGTGCGTACACAGTAGTTTGATTTCATAGTGGTCCTATTGTAAAGTTCCGATGGATAATTGGGAGCTCAACCGAGGTTCAGTCAACATGTAACAGGAATAAGAGAGCTTATCACGACAATAATAAGCACTAAGCCAAGAAATGAGAGACCGGACACGCAGCTACATGGATATACAAATGTCGTCAAATTATGGTAGGGGAATCACATCCAATGGTCATCTTTGCGCTCGCATTCAAATCTCCGGAGTACCAGTGTACTGTCCAGGACGCGGTTGTTGGGAGAAGACAGGAGAGGGTATCGATGGGTTTTGGTAGATGTTAGATGAGGTGGTTAAGACGGTAGGGGAGGGAGGAGAAGTTGGGAAAGTGGTCGGGTCGGCGGGATCCTGTGCAGAAGATGAGTTAACGCATTACCAAATCATTAGAAACATACGTAGAGACGCGGTTGCTGCGTCATTTGGGATTGCATTGGGAACGAATGAGGGTTAGCGGAGTAAACACTTTGAGTATAACCCGGACCTCCACCAATGTCGCTGAACGCGGCCGATGGCGCTTTGGAGGAGCGACGGCGTTTGACAAAGAACCACGCCGCAAGGCCTACGATAGCTGCAAGTCCGACGATTCCACCGATAACACCCCCAGCTATAGCTCCAACGTTCGAACTAGATGACGACGACGACGATCCTGTGGCTGTGGTCGGAGGAGTGGTCAAAGAACCAGACACAGTGGTCGAATGAGTGGCTGTGCCAGTGGATTGTGCTGTGGTCGCGGAAGATTCGGGAGAATCTACAAGAAAGTGAGTGAAAGTGCATCTGCGACGGAAAAGGTATGCCCGAATGCTAACCTCCATCGGCTTGCGCCAGGGTGGCGTCGAACGTGCCACTCCCGCTGGTCACCTTCAGAAAAGACTTAGATTATGAAAATTTAAAAAATACATGTACTAACGTTCAGGTAAGCCCAATTCGGAACTAGAGTGCCACTTGGAATGTTATACGGGTATCTGTATGCCAAGGGGTTAAAAAAACTTGGAGAATATAAAGAACCTTGCAGACTGACGTTGTGACAGATAGCTGGGTACCGGCGGCTGAGCAATTGTAGCTCCAGAGACTCCAGCTACGAGAAAATGAGTATTCCGTGAAGTCGAGCATAATTCGATACGACTCACCTCAGAAACGTGCGGTTCTGACAATCGCCACAAGCGCTAATCAGCGAGTAGACTACGGTACTACATTCGCAAGCGTTGGCTCCGGTGACCTCAGGACCTGCATAATGGGTACCGTCAGGTAAAGGATAGATCGAAAAATCTGCACCAAAACTAGTTATGCAAGGCCAAGGCATACTAAGAAACGAAAAAGGCGTACCTCCACCCGAGCAGACACTCTCGAGGTAGGCAGCAACTGTGCAAGGGTTCTGCTGGAGAGTGTTGTTCATCTGCAGATCACCCAATCATGCATCAGACCCAAATCTTTAAGCTAGATAAAAAGAAATCATTCACCCAATCAAAGCCGGAGACGCAAGTCACATTGGATGTCTGCGCAAAAGCACCTCTGGGTACAATCGCAGCAGCAGCTAGGACCACTATTAACGACCATGCCTTGGTGAGTGGGGACATAATGGGTAAAAGGACGGGGACAAGGACAGAGCTAGCTCGAGAAGCCTTCAAGTTCTAGTAATTAGGCTCTTTGTTCCTGATGGCAGTTCGACATCAGGCGGCCAGCGCATCAATCACTGCGGAAACGAGATTTCAACTCGATAGAGTTGAAGTAAGATAGACCTCATTCATACACCGGTTCATCACATGATCTAGCGTGACATTTTGATGAATTTATACCTAACTCCATGTGTATGAACTCTGAGAAAATTTCGTTCTATGATTATGTGCGGAGAGTCTGGAGCAAGACATGCATGTAATTTCTATAATCTAACTTGGTGAACTGAGAGACGAGCAGTGTTTGTGAGTTCAAGTGAGGTGACTGAGGTCACATATCAGGTCACGATGGTAAATTTGCCATGAAAATGCCTACTCCTCCCTCAAGTTGCTGAAAATAAACATTCTGAGGAGACAGCATTAATACTATAGTTCATCCTCACAGGATCATAAAATAGATTTCGCTAATTCTCATCCGAAGCAGAGTTACAAGCCAAAGAATGCGTTCATGGCCTAAAGTCACGTGATGAACCGGTGTATTAATGAGGTCTATGTCGGAAATTTCCTAAGTCGGTTGCAATCACGTACCTCTGAGACTCGGTTCCAACCGTATTGATACCGAGTCGAGACCTTCGCACCTGAGTTCTATTATTGGTACCCAGTAGGAATATTTACACCGAAGTTGGGACATTGAAAGTGAGTCATATTATTGATACTGAGTTTCGACATCATTATGTACCTATTATTAGTAATGATAATACATCAGATTCGATTATGTATTATCTGTCAATGAATCACGTCACTGTTACAGTGTTGCTTCCTACCACCATCCTTTCAGCTCCCTGGATCCTACTTTTTGACACAATGACACCTCAGACGGATTTGACTGTCAAATTGCACAACTACAAGGTGCATTATTACAGTCATCGAGTCTTATTAGACTGATTTTTAGTATTAATATTAGACCGACAAATATCCAGACCCTCAGAGCTTATCAGACACTCAATTTTCTGCCGTCTGAATCCAGCATCTCTCCATCAGACTCTGCGAAGACTCAGAAAAAGGTGAGTCTCCCCCCATTTTCAATAGTATTTAAGTTACCCCAGGCCTAATAAGATAATGAATAAGACCTTCAACTGAATTTTACCAGGTGTCTTGGACTTCGCTGCTGAATCAAAACCGATCTCAATGCCTCCTGACCCCACACTCCAGATGTGTTCGTATTGTAACACACAATACTGTCGTCAAGGATTCTGAATGCACGAGAATGCTTGCCGGAAGTGATACGAACAAAGAAGAGAGGACATTGAGCTTGCGAGGCTTATTCGACAAGGTATGTTCATTGTTTCAAACATTACAGCTTCACACTAAAATACTAAATGTCGACACATTGTAGAGAGAGAACATGCGCAGCAAGGTAGCATTTTTGTTGGTGAACAACCATCTGCTTTTAGTGAGTTGTGATTGTCTCACGACCTGAATCACTGATCCTAACTCATTCGGCCATTGATAAGCTATCCTCGATCATTCGCAGGACATTGATATCGACTTCAGTGGTCCAATACATCATCCAGATGATACATCTGAACCTGGTATGTCTCAACAATTTTTCTGTGCATCTGAGCTTGCAACTTTCATCTGTATTTTAGATCATCTGCCGCCGTCCAGAATGGCATCACCTGTATCTCAATTTGAAGTTGATGATATCCAAGTCTGATATCACCCCAACAGCAGGTGCCCTACACAAGTCTACCACTTTGAGGATTATAGATGTGGCCCTGGTGCTCCAGCAGTGCCTCCGAAAGTCAATCCTGAGCCCTGGCGTCCATTTCGCACTCGTATTGACTTTGAAGTGGCCGAACTTGCTCATGAAGCTGTGCTAACTCATGAGCAGACAGACTGGTTCATCAAACTTATTCATTGCAGTAGATGTGAGTTGTTTACGCTTCGGAATCGTAAAGACGTGTGAGACACGTGGGATGCAGCCTTGTTCAAATTGACTCCCGTTTGTATCCAATCACTTTGAGTGTAGAAAATATCCTTACTTTGAATACCATATTATAGTTTACGAAGGAAGAGGTTGTTGTGCCCTTCTGAGGCATTGACCAGACCTTTCTGTTTTTTCATCACTCGCTATGGGACTGGGCTGTGGACTTACTTCAGGATCCTGAAGTTGGTCCACATTTCGTTTTCGATGCCCAACAGCTTTCAAAGTTTGATGGCGAGAAATTTGTTTGGCATATTCATGAGCCTTGGACTGCTGATGCCTTCTGGGAATATCAGGTATGTGGTACTATCATTTGTGTTATGAGTTCAATGTGTGTTACGGTATACTAATAATTGAGTTTCATAACAGTCGAAGATACCATCAGATGCTAAACCACTTGTGTTTATCCTCTACGCAGACAAGGCCAAATTATCATCCTTCAGTTGTGCAAAAGGTTATCCGGTAGTTGCGCGGTGCACTAATCTTCCTGTTGCTGTTTGTAATGGTGAGGGCTTGGGTGGTGGGCAAGTTGTGGGTTGGTTACCCATTGTTAGCTTTTGCTTTACTCAATGATCGTGCTATTGCTAACTAATACCAGCACTTCAATAGGTAAAAGAAGACAAGAAACATTCCAGAAAGCCTGCCTTCGTTAATTTCAAAAATGCTGTGTGGCATACATCATTTTTGAAGCTGCTCGCTTGTCTCGCACCGCTGTCAAGGCTCGGCTCTTCTGTTAAATGTTGGGACGATGTTGTCTGCACTTTCTATCCAATCATACTCATACTCTCTGCAGACTATGAAGAACAGTGAGTGACCTCAATGTTACCAGGTAATATCTGAACCTGAAAGTATTACAGGGTCATGATGGCATTGATTCGTGGTCTAATGGGAAAGTTTCCTTGCCCTGTCTGCCTCGTTCCTCGTGAGGAACTCTCCAAGGGATTAAATGCATATCAATTTCGCATGTCTGAAGATGCAAAGGCATTACATGCTCAGGCCCAAGAGTCTACAACATTGGAAGCAAGAGAGCAGGTATTGAGCTCGGAGAGCCTCCGTGATGTCGATGTAAGTCTTTCACCTCAATTTCATTTTGTTTATCACTGTCACTGTCAGAGTGCATTTGACACCATGGAGCACACCAATGTCTACCAAACTCTATCATTTGACAAACTTAACTTTAATGACGAGGGAAAGTTTGATCACCTGTGGACAGAATTGCAAAAATGGATCACTAATTCCAGTCGACAAGCTGCAGTGGTAATTGATGCTTTGCAAGTATTTTTTTTGTCTGTAGTAGGTAGATGATAATTTACATTGCCAGCTTCGAATCGTTTCTGTGTTGGCGAAATTTGAATCACTTCAACCAGGTGGTATCAATATCCTTTTCTGATGGAATGAAATATGAAGATATATCAAAGGTATGTGTATTCAATTTGTTTATCAAGCTTTAGATCGATTATTCATGCCATTTAATAGCTGATCGTTTTCGCTGCCCATAATGTATTTAAGCGTGATCTGGATTCCCAGGCTTATCTCCTGCTTTGTTGTATTCAGAGTTATGTGGAATTCAACACATATGCATCGCTAGAGGTCCACACCAAGGATACGATCAGGGATGGCCGAAATACATTGTTGGAGCTTACGGAACTTATGGATGTATGTTTTGTTGTGTATATCATCAATTGATGCTACTAATTCAGACTTACGAGTCAGATATATATCAAAGATACAGCAGACCTCTCAGAGAAGTCTTGGAATTTTCCCAAGATGCATCTTTCCGCTCATCTCTTCGACGACATTGAGGCAAAGGGCGTCACCCAAAACTACAATATGAAGCCAAATGAGAAAATGCACGGCCCACTGAAGGACACTTATCAAGATTGTACAAACTTCAAGAATTTCGCAGAACAGGTAATGCACTAGTGGCTTCTTAGATACAATGTGAACCAAGTGCTGATGGAGCAACATATTTTAAAGATTCTCCAATACAACCATGATGGCTTAGTTGCAGAATATATTTGTAGCAAGATGGAGTGCCTCGATGCACAGAATCTCGGTTCATTAGTTGTGCCTGATCCATCGGAGGTTGATTCAGATGGGCTCAAATCAACTGATGAACCAACTGATATACAGCATTTTAGTCTTGGTTCGCAGCAGGCAACCAAATCATTTGCAGATATCGAAGCAACTAACGCAGGCGATGCAGCCTTTTATTGATTCCGGATCAAACTAAATGAATTTTTGAATCGTGCATTCATCACTAACGACATACCATTTCCCAATGGAAGACACATCCAACTTGCTGCGAATGACATGGTGCATTGAACATCTGCAGCCCTCGAATGACATTACTGATAATATCTCACCCTTGCTCAGATAACTGAGTTCAGATTTATTAAAGTCAGCTACGAGTCACTCGTTGACTGGCGAATTTCTGTGGACTATCTCCAATGTAATCCAATGTTCCATGGATCACCTCAATATGATTGTGTCATCCTGCAGGCAGAATCTGGTCCTATCTTCGCCAAACTGTTGTTAGTCTTCACCTGCACAGTTGGGGATGTCGCATATCCTATTGCACTCACACTCCCGTATGATCAACTGGTGGGCACTCAACTGTGGAAGGATAAAGACTTCAAATTTTGGCGAGTCAAGGCGAAGCCCAGAGCCTCTGCTGAGTGCTTTTCGGTCCAGTCAATAATCTGTGGTTGTGTATTGGCAGAGGATAGTACCAGAGCAAACAAGTTCTTGGTTGTTGATATGACTGACACAGATATATTCCTTTGAATGAAGGAAATTTGTACAGAGGCTGGTTATTAATAGGTTACTACAGAACCACACCGTCGATGCAAAATGGGAGATGGATATCTTAGACGCTCTCCAAGATATTCGGGCACGGAATGCATAGAATGAACGTGTGGGGAAAGCAGTGGATCTGGTTGCTCGATTGACTGTGGAGGAGGAGGAAACAGAAGAGGACAGGGAGCGGAGACTCACAGAAGAAGAGGATGAGAGGCTGGTGAGGGAGGTGTTTTCCAAGGTGTTGATGCCCGCACTGTCAGGTAGCTCTCCTGTGGCGGCAGAGAGTTCTGGAGATACATCCATCGAACCGACTGCACCACAACTGGTCACTATCAAGCGGAAGGCTGATGACATCGAGCCTGATCTGTGCAGTCTTCTTCCAGAATCGATGCGAGTATTACTAGATGCCAAATCGGTTGGTGCACTGCCCGCGAAGAAGCTGAAATCAGATTTGAAGAATAAGCTGGGCATCAAAATAGTGAAGAAGGGCAAGGTGGCTGTTTGACATGTACAATTCTCATGATTTGTACTATTTATACTGAGTGTACATGATATCCATAATGCAGTGTGTTTCATCAGTTCCATAGGTCTACAACGACCACCTTCTTGGTCATGGCCATAGCTGCGTTCATGGACACTGTCAACCAGTCTATATGGGTCATTATCTGATTACAAACACATACTCATACTATAAGGATTCAGACACTGGCAGAGGTTCATCACTTGTCTACCATCACCCTTATCCTTTTTGTGCATGCCACCATTCACACCTTCACCCAACCTCACGCACCTCATGCTACATAGCACCTACGCCCTCACAAAACTTCACGCCCGCACCTGTTCACACCCTCACGCTGTTGCCACGCAATCCGCACACACCTTTGAGCACCCTCGAATGCCTGGCATTCAGCCCCAATCCACACAGGCAAGTGCCAATGCGAAGGCAACCAAACATGAGGAGATTGAAGGATTGGGGAGTTAGGATGAGAGGAGGTCCATGGTTTGTCCCTCCTATGTCTCCCTTTTGTTTGCATGTTTCGTTCCTGCCTTGCATTTTGCATTTACTTTTTCCTTTCAACCCTCCCCCTACACTTACACACTTCACACCCTAACACTTTCATTTTCGTGTGCATACTACTTCCTTTTTACATTGTCGTTTCGTCACTTCGCGTGAGCCAAGAAACATTGCGCTAGTGATTCATTGACAGGGGACCCCTACCAGTTGAGAGTGTGCATTGGGATCACAATGGAATGCCCCAACACAGATCCAGATGCAGACGGCAAAGGTGATGCAGACAGAGATGCAGAGTTGAGAGAAGCAGTTGATCTATGTGGCAAAAAGGTAAATGTTGATATTCCTCCCTTGTTAATGAGAACCTCATTGGACGACATTTCTCCAAGGCTACTGAGGTTTGGTGCTTCTACGGCTTCCAAATAACAATGGAGAACATTTACTCCAAGATGTGCTCACTCCTCATCGACACTTACATCAAGGATTGTCAGATCGCCCGGATCTCCAATGAGCTCTGAATCATCAGCTGCGATAAGGGTATGCACACCAATTTTGCTTGCTTGCTCTTTAGCCATAACCTTAAGCATTACCCGTAATACCCTGAGACTATTGAGTGTATCACCGACGCCTAGGCTGTCATCATCAAGCAGGAATTCTTGACTGGGGAGGAAGAACTTTAAATTATTGTCCTTAGACTTTTAAAATTAACTCACCCTTACCCCCGATTATTGTATGTCCTTGACAAGGTCCAGTTCGTGAACTGATGTTCATTCTATCAGTTCTTCAACAACTCTCATTTAAATCAATTCAAATATCACCGTAATAATAACTGCAACAGTGAGCATGACGGTTACAGCATTATGTGAAAAGCTGACATCGTATTTTCGGCCAAGTCCATTGGTTCCAATTTGGTTCCAACATCCATCACCGATTCAGAACCTTGATTCAAATGTTTAACCTTCACTGTAACTGTTACATCGAGTCCTCGGCAAGACTCTGAATTGATTCAACATTGCCTCTAGGATGAACCTGAATCATGGACTGACAGTAGCTATTATTCAACCTTGATTCAGATTCAGACTCCATGTAAATGTGATGCATTGACTGGCCTCAATGCTTAATAGCCTGCCTAATATCACAGCACCACATCAAAATTTTGTCATCGCTTGTTACTTTCGAAATGGTGCACTCAAATTATGTTGCGCCTTGTGACCTTTTTACTCATCTTTCATGATTTAGGGTCTTTGCATTGCTGGATATTGATATGGTCCAGGCGCCACACTGGTAAACTACCTCGTGTCTGATTCGTATTGCTTTCTGATATATTACATGTTATCAAGTCCATTATGCACATAATTTGCTGCATGGACTATCTTCCCTTTGTGCCGATTCTGAATCAGACACTGCTCGGTTGTCGACACACAGCAAATTTCAACTACAAATTCTCCATCACCCATCACACTTCATTGTGGCCACCAGTCTCCCAATTTACTGCGCGAATCCCTCCTATCATGCCCCAGCAGGCTCCTCGTCAAGTTAACATGCCTGATAACTCTGACTCGTCCGAATATGAATCAGACTCTGGTCCGTCTGCAGGGGTCTCGTCAATTAGCAATCAGCCATCAATCTTGAATGGTCGAATGCTGCAACACGAGGACATGGAGGTATGTTTCATTCCTGCAACTATTATGATATGCTCTCCTAATTGTGTTCCTTGAAGATCATTCGTTGCTTACAACTCGAAAACCAAACGCTCAAGAACAACAATCATACTTTAGGCGAGACAAATAAAACTTTATCAGCCAATCAACGGTGATCATCTTCGAGTACCCAAATTCCAGATGAGCTGAAGGCTTTTGACGCTGAACTTGCAACTTTTTCCCGCAAGTACGGTATCATTGCAGAGATGTTCCCACCCGCACACCGCATCCTCAAACTTCCTGTGCCAAATCCTCCACCTGCCATCCTATCTGGGAGTCACTATGCAACCAAGAGCGCAGAAGAACTCTGTCTCGTAACAGAGCTATACTCACTTCTCCCAGATCATCTCCATCGCTTTGTACTGACTACTCATTTCCAATTGTTGGTACGTGGCCTTAAGTTCAATGTTGTGTGATCTTAGCAAATTGATTATTGGTATATAGCACCACAGCTGGGACACCATCTTCAAGGTGGTTGCTCAAGCGAGATTGGCAAGTTGCGAGTGATGGCAGGGTGTATTTTTGGTCTTGATTCTTCCTACTTCGACACCGGCTTTACAAAGCGAGATACAATTCTCGAAATCCAGAAGCTGCTTGGTCAATCATCTTCGAAGTTTCCACCTGTCCTTTTTATGGGGCAAGAAATGGACCCAACGATGTCAACAGTTTTTGGTAACTGGGAACCGCTCACAAAGGTATTTTTGTTATGGCTGCCTGAAGAAACTGTGCTTGTACTAATATGTATAACAGGCAATTAGAATTGTAATGTTTGGAAAAAATTCGCTGGACATTGTTGGGTGGCTGCATGCCAAATGTAATGCTCGAAAGTGGGGCATAACATTGTGCACCCCTGGCCTTCTTGCCTGGGGTTGGGTTGCAGTAAGTCGACCCTTGTTTGCTATCATCAGTTCTCAGTGTCTAATGCTTGTTTAGTTGACATTTATTCTGTCCCCGGTGTGGGTGAGGAAAATAGACTCTGGGGTGATTCAGATGTCTAACAAGGGTGTGAGACTAATACTTGTCCCGAGGGGATTGCTACTGGGTAGCGGGTCCTCAAATAAGTGTGAGGAAAGCAAAGACTAGACTCTGTCTAGCAACCCAAAGGGTTCCGGTCCTTACTAGGACTGGGAACACAAAGATGCGGAGGGTACGCGACAAGTGGAACTAATGCGCGATGAGCGGAACTACGCGGAACTAATGGAACTAACACGGAACAAACAGAACAAACCGGGAACAAACAGAACAAACCGGGAACTAATGGAGGGAAAAGAAACTATGAGCCTGCAGGAGGATGATTGTGCAAAGTTGGACCAGGCTTGTGTCTGGTACTTGCTCCAAGTCATTGGATCCGATGTCAGGCATTTCGAGCGGAACTCATGGAGGCGGGAACATTGCAATGAGATCAGGAATAGATTCAGGAAGATATTTTAGACAGTGAGTGGAGTACTGGGAAGTACTCTGTAAGTGGAAGTGGAGTCGAGTCTATCAGAAGGTAAAAAAACTAAGATCCCATCTATTGCTACATATATAGAAAGGGGTTCCAAAATGCGCTATGCTACAACTGGGTGAGGCTGTGAGATAAGGAACCGGTCCCAAGTAGCAGAAGGATCCATATAAGTATTGTAACACATATGAAATGAGATAGGAACATGTTAGTAACACGGGGAATGTAGCTAGTACTCACCAGCGAGGATGGAAGGAACAGGGACAGGATGGAGGAGGACGTTCCGAAGGCTAAAGGGATATGATGCATGTGATACGCGATTGTTCCACTGGGTTCCACTGGGTTCTGCTTGGTTCCAGTGTAGCGGACGGCTCGGGGAAGATGTGGATGGGTAGCGGGATGGTAGTGGAATGCACGGGAAGATGGTGGTAAGGCATGGGAATTATACAGGATACGGGCCTACAGTGGGGACATTCCCCACACCAGACACTTCGTTCACTAAAGATGGAGTTGGTGCAAGGTCTCGACTACCGTATGCAGCCATGTTCACAGCCTACAAGCAACTATGGGTCACGCTTTGGGAAGAACCCCATATTATTTTGATCCGTCAGAAAATCGATACACACATCTGGCAGTCATCAACCTCGAATGTTGCAGCTTCAGAAGCTGAAGCCAAAGATTTCACTTCTGATCTAATGCACTTGGCCCTTGCTAATGCTGGCCACAAAGATTCAGATTCTCCAACTATCAATGAAGATCCTGTCCCCACTCCATCCGCCCACCTACTTGTCAGCCTGCCACTAGTAGCTGTTACTTCCCTGACCCTCAATTGGACCACAGCAGTCCAATTGTCCTAATGTTGGTGGACCCAGCTTAGGCACTATGCTTTAGAGAGGATGAGGACATTGACCTACTGCTTGCTTGCTTCTACTCTTACTGTGCTATGTGGTTATATATAGTGAGACCCTAGGAACTCCTGAGACCTCTGGCACTCCTTGCCTTGCTCCTCCTGCCTGCTCCTCCTCCCACCAGCAACCCCCACTACATATGCCCCCCCTCTAGAAGAGCACCTCTGGGTGCATGTTTCTGATCTACTTCTACATGTTCCTGTCTTCTTCATCTTGCTTGCTCTTAATCTCTGACTCTTCCCTGTCTGCATCTATCTTGCTTTCCCAGCTGTCCAATAAGTCTTTTTTGTCAATGGTTTCTTGTAGCACTTCTTGGAGAGATGCAAGGACTGTACTGTCTCAGGGAATGAACTGGTGTAGTCTTCTTGCATGGAATGATCCATTGATGGGAAAACCTTCTAAAGTGCTGATGGTATAGGAGTTTCTGATTCTTGATACAACACATCTTGGTGCTGACCACCAAGGTTGTAGCTTTTGTGACGAAGCCATCATCATGTCTAAAGTGTTAGCATAGACTTGTATCAATTGTCCTGGCTCAAAGATGACTTCACCTGCTCATGACTTGAGAACCCATTGGTCAAAGGTTGCTTTGTGGTGATTGGCACGAGCAACTGCTTGATCTGCACTATCCAACCACTGCTGGTCTATGTATGCCATGTGTACTGTGACGTCTGAAACAGACAGTGTGTTGTTGGCGCTTGACACTGGTGTGGGTATCATGTTAATGACTAGCCCAAGTAGAAGTTCTTTGGGTGAGAATTGGAATGCGGGTATGATGCGCTCGTTAAGGTGTTGGATTGTGTTGTCGAAATGATCTGGCCATGTGTGTGAGATGTCCTCTGCTTTCACATTCTCGTACTCATCTTCACCTAGGTTTGGGCTGCATAGCCATTTCAACTGTCCCAGTAGTTTCCCATTTGCATTTTTTACTGAGCAGTTTACCCACAGTGAGTAGGCTGCGACTATGTGGTGGTTTGAGTTGTGCACTGTGCACCATGTGTGCACATCTCCATTGTTGAAGTGGGATCCTCCATCTGCCATGAATATTTTGGGTGCACAGAAGTTATGCATGATGGATTTCAGTCCATCAACTGTAGTTTTGGCCATTCTGTGGACTTTGAGCTTGACTCCCCAGACATATTGGGAGTACATATTGAGGATGAGTAGGACATTGTGGAAACCATTCTTTCCTTTGGGTAGGGCAAGGTAGTTGGCCACAAGCAGTTCAAATGGGTGGCAGTGAGTGATGGGGTCCATTAGTGTGTGAAGTTGTGCTACTCCAAAGTTCTTGCAATGAGGATATGCAAGGATCGCGTTTGTGATTGAGTGGTTGAGCTTCAGGCTGTTGATGCAGTCCATCAGCTTAAGCTTAGTGAGATCCCAGCCCCAGTGGCTGTTATTGGCGTGTTCTTGCTTGGCTATCTCTACTGCTTCTTCTTGGGATATGCACTCTAAGCATGGGCATGCTCTAATGGATTTTCCATCTGTGATGCGCCAAAGGTGTCTATCCTTGATACTATATCCTAATGCCCAATGACGTGCCCGTCTGCGGTCTCGCTCTGACTTGGCGCCCTCCAAGTTGCACATGGCTTCAATTACTTCTGTGAACAATGGTTCAGTTTGCAAACTGAGTTTTGAATTCTGCGACTGATGCATCAGTGATATCAATATGTAGTAAATCATTCACCAAGCCGTGTGCTGACTCCTAATCCTTGCTGATGGACCATGCACTGCCATCTGCATCCTCCCACGGGTGTCCTGATATACAATGGCTTAGTGCATTGGCCACTGTGTTCATAGTGTCTGCTCAATGTCATACAGTGGTGAGTTGGTATGCTAAAATGCCGTCTCTCCATCTTGTGTGTACAAGAGATGCCTTGTCATTTAACAATGTATCATGAAGAGTGATGCAATCTGTCTCGACCTCTACTGGAAATCCCCAGGTTGTCCCACCAAAGTGGTCGAATGCAAATTTGAGTGCTGCAAATTCCAGTAAGTAAGGTTTATATCTCTCCTCTGCTGGTGAAGTGCGCTTTGAAGCAAATCCAACTGGGTACATTTTGGTCACTGTGTCACCCGAGGGAAGTTGCATTGTGAAGCATTGTGACAGAACGGTGCCAAATCCATCTTTACATCCATCACTGGTGACTTTGAATGGAGTTCCATCAAATTTTGGCACCTTGAGGATGGGTTCTGAGATGAGTATTTGCTTGAGTCTTAGGAATGCTTGCATATGGCATTGCCCCCAAAATTGCATAAGATTGTGCTCTCTCAGAAACTGCTGGTACTTCCATTTCGTTCCTTTGATGTTCATCGGTGGTAAATCCAGGTTCTGAAGTAGGTCCATAAGAGGAGCTGCAATTCTAGCATAGTCCTTGATGCGAGTCCGAAAGTACCCCATTAGACCTAAGAAGCACATCAATTCCAATAGATTTTTTGGGACTGGCCACTCAGCTACTGCTGCCAACTTTGCTGTGTCTGGTTTAATGCCATTGTGTCCTACGCATGATCTGCCAAAGATGAGCTCTGTGAAAAAAAGCATAGTCTTTGATGGTGATATTGATAGGCTGAGCTCACGACAGCATTCAAGGGGTGTGCATGGTCATCCCAGCAACTCCATAAAATCATCACCTGCCATTGACCTGTCATCCACGTATAATTTGAGGAGTAGTTTGAGCATGATGTCATGTAGCACTTGGGCTGTGAGGTCACTAAAGCATGACGGTGCACCTTGCACTCCCATTGGCATGTGACAATATGCTTCATACCTGCAGCCTTCTGTGTAGAAGCAGAGGTAGGGTTGGCTTTCCTCTTCTACTGGGATGGCATAGAATCCTGCTGCAAAGTCAAGGACACAAATATACTTGTGCCTTGCTAAGCGTTGCTGCTTCATATTAATATCTCCTTGTGGTGTGGGTACCATGTCAGATACTTTGTTGACTTCATTAAAGTTTTGGCAGATCTGCCATTTCACTTTGGGGGTGTCAACTGGCTCTAGTATCTTGTCCAGTGTTGAGCTTGGTTCTACATTTGGATCCAGCGGCTCACCTAGCTCTATACATTGTTGATTTACAATGTGGCAGATGTCATCTAATGATAAGTTAGTGCCTGAGTGGGTCTTTTGCACAAGCACTGTAGATGCCACTGCCTTTACTTCATCTGCTGGTATGAACCACATGATTCCTGCTTTCCTCATCTCATCAAGAACTGGGAACAGGTATTCTCGTTGTGGTTGTGTTAGGGGGTGCTGGTAGATCTTCTTGGAGAAGACTGTGTCTGGTGGTATGGACAACTGGAACTTGACAAAATTGACCTGCTTCACTTCTCTAGTTGATAGTGCAAATATATCCATGAATTCCGTGACCAGGTTATGTGCTGTGGTGCACTGATCATCCATAAGTTGTGGTCCATAACGAACAGTATTCATGATCATTTCTACCCATGGGGGGTAGAATGGTCTGGGTGACATTAATCTAGTGAACATATCATTTGACAGGTTAGGATGTATAAAGTCTGGTACTTCACCAAAGGGTCCATTGTTCTCCACATCGTCTACTTGCATCATGGTCTTTTGGTACTGGGGTGTTTCTTGTTTTTATGTATTTACTAAGTTAGTACATCAGAAAAAAATTGGTGCTATATCTCTAGCACTTATTCTTACACAATGTACATAGCATGAGCTACCTTTAGCTAGCCATTCATAGCCTTCATAGTACCCATAACTTATGGTTTTGAATATGTGACACATATAATACACTTGATCTGTATTATAGCTGACATAGCTTGCCCATAGTATATGGCTTAGGGCATATACTCACTGTATGAGTCCCTTCAGTGACAAACCCTGTGTTAGACAGGACAGCTGAGGGACATAGAATCCCGTGTCAGATGAGGCAGTGAACATGGGCCAATGGATTTAGTATCCTTGATGATGTTGGATGGGCCCATATGTATATTATACTCAATGGAAATGGATGGGCCCATGATGCCAGTATCACCAGGATATATGAAATTGATGGGTAGGCCCATGTCTGTATGATATCATGTGGACAGATGGGCTGAGGGTAGGATATCATTTAGACAGATGGGCCAAGGCTCGGAAGTGTATGATTTAGACAGATGGGCCGAGGGCAGTGTATTATTTAGACAGATGGGCTGAGGGCAGTGCATTATTTAGACAGGTGGGCCGAGTGAAGGATATCATTTAGATAGATGGGCTGAGGGCAGTGTATTATTAAGACAGGTGGGCCCATGTCTGTATGGTATCATGTAGACAGGTCGGCCGAGTGTAGGATATCATTTAGACACATAGGCCAAGGTTTGGAAGGTATCATGTGGACAGGTGGGCTGAGAGCAGGATATCATTTAGACACATGGGCCAAGGGAAGGGTATTATTTAGACAGGTGGGCCCATGTCTGGGTGGTATCATGTAGACAGATGGGCTGAGGGAAGTATTGTTTAGACAGATGGGCTGAGGGAAGGGTATTATTTAGACAGGTGGGCTGAGGGGAGTGTATTATGTAGACATGTGGGCTGAGAGCAGGATATCATTTAGACACATGGGCCAAGGGAAGGGTATTATTTAGACAGGTGGGCCCATGTCTGGGTGGTATCATGTAGACATATGGGCCAATGTCTGTATGGTATCATGTAGACAGGTGGGCCAAGGGTAGGATATCATTTAGACAGATTGGCCAAGGCTTGGAAGGGTATCATGGAGACCAGTGGGGCGAGGGCAGATGGAAATCAATGATAGGTGTGTCCATGGGATCGACTGCGATTTCCTTGGCTAACAACATCTTCCTGTCAGCATCGAGTACATCAAAGCCCTTTTTGAGCTTGATGGCAGACATCCAAATGATGCACTCGGGGGCCACTGAGGATGTCGATATGCCAGCCACACCTTCACATTCCAACCAGCCTGATACCATATCATCTATTGTATCTCAAATGTACAAAGATATCAGTCAATCAACAGCATTGACATCAAAGTCCCATGCACCAATGTCAGAGCAGGAGTTGATGCTGATCTCCAAATCTATATTGTGCCTGAACAGCCTTGATGACAATATGTGTGAGTCAATTCACACATTCTCATCATTCTGCATGAACACTTTGACAGTTTGATGTTCTCATTCCCACTTCAATCATCTTCTGGATGATCACTACACAATCCCGGATCCTTCAATGCGGGACATCCTTGAACTTGAGTGTCCTTTCCATGCTGCTTTCACAGACAACACTGACAAGCTGCACCAGGCCACTAATGATCTGAGGTGCATGGAGAAGCAGAGGGCAATGAATATTGAGGCACTCGCCATTCTTGATCGCTTCATAGAGCAAATAAAAGACGACTGGAACAAGTGACAGGGTCACTTACATAGCCGGTAGTCACCTGAAGTGTAGTTGTAAATACCGGGAGCAAGCATTATTCTCATCCTACAAGACTGTCCCACCTGTGCTCTACTTTGATCTGTCTTGCTGTGATGTTTCGCCACCCTTGTTGTGCACTTGAATGTCATGCAAGCTTGAAAGTGTCATCATCCTAACACTGGATGACTATGTTGAAAGTTGTATATTTTGGTGGACTCCTCGACAAGGGTTAGATTCATCTTAGCTAATTGAATGTCATCACCCATCTCAACAAGTGAACTCAGATGGCAGGCACAGGAATGATAATTGTACATACAATGAAGAAACATTTTTGTCATCCTACGCCGCAGTGCTGCGGGTGCTACCCTTCAATTGGGTTACCCAACCTGGCAATTCCTCGGTTTTCTCGGCAACAGTCTTATTCCTTGTTGTCCTCCTGGAGGCCTTTGTTACATCACCTCCATGAGAGTGCTTAGTGGCACAAGGTGATGTAAGCTGGCCTCCCATTGCCCGTCTTTTGATCCCAGCCTGTTTCACACCGTTCTCGTGCACTTCAATGTCTTCACCAGACAGGGATGCAGGTACCACTGCAGCAGTGATCTCATGGAACCTCCGCTCCTTTGGCACTGGTGCATTTGGTGTGTCCTCAATGTCAGAACTACCAAGTTTGGGCTCTTCAACATCACTCTTCAGGGTTATTGCGCAATGCCTGGCCACAGCCATGGACCTTGAGCTGACTGCACATTTGTGATGAATCACTGGTGTGATCTCATCATCCTCAGTGCTCGGTGGGGTCTCATGGATTGGCAGTCTCACAGACTCCCTGCCCAGTGAAGCCTTCCATATGGATTGACTGACTCAGAGGAAGAGTCATGAGGCATCAGCATCAATGCACCTCAACTTGGTGTCACATTCCCATCCAGTGACTCATTGGATGATTCTGGGTCACTCGGTCTCAGTCTCAATATCCTCCAGCCAGGTGCTGGTGCTCTTGTAGTTTCAATAAGATTGACCATCTCACCCCAGCCATTCTTCCATGCTTTAAACTTGAATGCCAGTGGAACTCCATTCTCTTGTTGATCATACCAGAAACCAGGCAAGGTGGTGGCCTTGGACATTTGCAGTTTCGAGGGGTCCTTCACATGCACATCATCCGGGAGGTACAACCTGGATATAAAGTCATCCTGGCATTCCATGATGGCTCTCCATGGAACTACAGCCTTTGCATTTCCACTGCAATGTCCTTGCTCAGGGTGAGAATATGTGGTGTGATATATTGTGGAAAACAGCTCACGGTAGTGTTCAGTGAGAAATGCCCTCATTATAGCTTTCTTCTGCTTGAGCCTCTCTTTGGTTGTATCGGGCAACAAAGGCATGCCATCGCCATCAGCCTTGAGCTCAAAGGCGGGTTTCCTTGCATTTGTCCTGAACCCAACATTGTGGACTCCTCCACCCTTGGCAGCATCAACACCTACCGAAATCAGTGACCATTCACTTCAGGATTGACTGTTTGACTCACCAAACTGTTCCTTGGCATACTCCTGCCACACAGGCAGGATGTCTGACCACTCCTTTGTCTTGGTGAAGCTGTCCCCTCCAAATTTATCATTGAAATCATACCTATCTCAAAATCAATTGATCAGAGACCATGAGAGACTGAGTGGGCAACTCATGTTCCACACAGGACTGCCCCCTTCTCATCCTTCCATGCTGTCACCATGAACACTCTCATCCCATATTGCCTCCACATCTCCTCAGGCAACATGTGTGATGTAGTGTGGTCCCTTCTTGGTGGCGACAGTGGCCTGGATCTTGGGTGGCAGGAAGTTGTTGGACCATTCTTCAGCCGTCTCCTTGGCTTTTTCAAGCTCATCAGTAGGCATCTCTTCCACAACCTGTGTCACCATGCCCTGGTAATATTTGAACATGTCGGGATCACCTGGCTTCAGGCTGGTCTCATCCTTGATCCTCTGCAGCACCTCCTTTCTCTTATAATGAGTGACCACTATCCTAGCTGTCCACTTCTTCCCATATTTGATCTTATCCCTCCTCTGTTTTGTCTTTGTGTGATTGTACAGCCAGGTCTGATATATCTGGATGCATGGGTGATGAGAGAAGTATGTGTTGATGAGATGCCCTCACCTTGCATCTCTTCTTCGAGTGTTTGTCATCGAGCTTCAGACTGAAGAACTGCACCGCTCGACAAATGGCATTAAATACCTTTTTCTCGTCTTTTCTGTTGGCAGAAACACACCCATCCTGTTGAGCCCTCAGCTCAAGGACTTCTACCTCTTTCATTATTTGATTGCCCAGCAATCCTGTCCTCAGTGTGCAAGGAGCCCCCAGCTGGGGTGTGATCTGAGTTCATTGCATGGGATGTGAAATGTATGACAGTCCAAGGAACAGTACAAGGAATCAACAAAAATGACAGATTGTGGTTCACTCAATTCAGAGCTCTGGTCTATGTTGGATCAGTGTTTGTAGGGAATGCACTGCTCGCATGAGATTTCATTTAGTGGCCCTCAGAGCTTCAGTCTAGGTCTGATCGGTGTTTGTAAGGCACTGGTATGCATGTCATAATCCCATGAACATATAATGAAGCACCTGAAGCAGGTGAAAAACTGATTCATGTAGAGTTATTGGTTGGCTCCTGTAGGGATTGCAACTCTGGGCACAACCTGCAAATTACAATCTGTCCAGCATGGAGATCTCGCTGAAGGGTGATCTGAGTTTGTGGCATGGTCTAGGTCATATCAGTGTTTGTAAGGCAGTGGTATACATGTAATGATTCCATGAACATGTAATGAATCACAGAAGTATCCATTGTTTCATCCCTGGTGGTTGATCATTGCAATAGGCTCGCAGATAATCAAATGCACTCCTCACATGAGATCTCATTTAGTGGCCCTCACTGTGGGCAAGAAAGGCAGGCAAAAGTGGAAGAAGGTCCCTCATCCCAGAAAAAAATAGAACAGGAGTGCAATCTCCCCCTGATACACCAACAGTTCAGCCCATTGCTGGTCCATCTGTCTGGGATGACATTGGTGATCATGCCTATGAGATTGAATGAGAGTCTGTTCGACCTCTCTGCCTTCCAACCTCCCTGGCATATGCATCCATATCTTATGTTCAGACAGATGGTGTTATGGCTGTGCTTATCTTACTTCTTTTTCCCTTGATCCACACTTACTACACATGTCTCTTATCATGCTATATTTAGTTCGGTATTACTCAGATGCCTCATTTGCTTATGCATGTGCTTACTGATACATACCTATTATTACGTAACACCCTGTACCATGTATACTATATAAACCCTGGCTAGGTGACGCTGATTCTTCAGCTTAACCTACACTGGTTTTCCTCTGAAACATCTGACTTGATTCTAAGTTACCTCTTCGGTACTTAGTCTTTACTTGAAACTTGGACGTTCTTTGGACAGTTGTCTAGAACGTATCGACAGACCTTTGGTCTTATTAGTTATTGTTTGCCTGCGTTATACTTCGGCATAACAAAAGGTTAAGCTCTATCACAAGACGACGCTACCCTAGTAGTCATCACAAAACATGGTGGCTTATAGAGAACCAAGACACTACTCTTCGGAGTCTGACCACGAAAAAGAACACTTCTCTGAACCAGGTTCTCCTATCCAAGAAGATAAGAACGAATATTTTGAAGGATACGGATAAGACCAACCAGGACCATCTGAACCACCACCACCACCACCACCACCACCACCACCTCACATACCAAACCCTCCACCAAAGAAGATGGGCGAAATCAATTTGAATAAACCAGCCCTTTTTGACGGATCACAGAAACAGGCTAAAGCTTGGTGGACGTCTGTGACCACCTATGTGAACATCAATGACACCACTTATGACAATGACGCGAAGTGCATTGCGTTCGCCACATCATTCATGCAGAAAGGACATGCTCAACAATGGGCCACTGGATGGCTTACTAAGAAACATCCCTCCACGCACACTTTAGGAAAGTGGGATGAATTTGCCACAGAATTCAAGGTGGTGTTCTTTCCAAAGAATGATACTTTAACCGCTATCAATATGCTTATGAAAGCAAAACAAACATCAACCATCTCGGCATACATCACCTACTTCAAGCGAATCTTGGCAGAAGACGTATGTGTTGATGTGGACGTCGAAACAACCTGTTTCAGACAAGGACTCAAGAAGGAAGTTCAAGAAGCAATCCTTATGAGAGAAAAGATGCCCGCGGACATCAAAGAATGGATTGATGCCGCAAGAGAATACGAGTCCAGAAGGCAACTCATCAATTCTGACCAAGGATTTTCCAAGAAGAATGATCCATATGCAATGGACATTGACAAAGTCGAAATAGTTGAAGAAGAAACAACCCAAGTATGCAATACTCAACTCTCTCGATCCGAACAAGACAGATGCTGCAAGTTGGGACTCTGTTTCAAATGTGGAAAGAAAGGGCTTATGAAGGATTGCCCAAACCACAGAGACTCCGCTCCAGGTTGGCAGAAGCCGACCGGACGACTGGTTCGTGAAACCAAGATCGAACAAGACGATCAAGATGCAGAGTATCAGGAATTCCTTGCATGGAAAGCATGGAAAGTGTCGAAAGCACCTTCGACTTCTAAGAAGGATTTCTAGATGGGGAAACCGGACCTGGCGTCGGAAACCCCTAGTACATCTATCAGACTCATTGTATCTTCTGTAGGCGATTCAAATTCTATGTGCATTCCTATTTCAATTGAATCCTGCAAGTCCGATAAAACCGCCAAAGCAGCTGCCCTAATTGACTCAGGCGCCGCTGGAACATTCATTGACTGGAAATACGTACGAAAGAACAATATCACAACTCACAATCTCTCTTCACAAATCAAAGTCCAGAACATGGATGGGACAAAGAACAAAGCAGGAACCATTATCAAAGCCTGCAATCTGTTCTTCTCAGCAGGAGGTCGAACCATGTTTGCTACCTTCCTTGTTATGTCCCTCGGAGGCGAAGACATCATCCTCGGACTTCCCTGGCTCAAAAACGAGAATCCAACAATAGATTGGACCAAAAGCGAAATCTCGCTAGAAGAAGATCCAATCATGATTCAGACCCTTATCACTGATAGAAGCAAACACGCTTCAATGCAACCAAGAATAGAAGAAATCATAGATGAAGAAGCATATACGTCTTCGGAAGAAACTCCTGAAGACCAGCCAGAACTTCTACCAGAAGAAGAAGACATAGAAGAAATAATAGAAGAACTACAAGATGATGAAGTTCTTATCGCTTACGTCAAAGGAGAAGAATTCGTGGGAGTATACGAGAAAATCAACTTTGATTCACCACTCACTCAAGAACATATCCCTCCCACCTTTTCCTTCGTATCTCGAACAAGTAGAATCTCCAAAATCCCCAACTCTGCTCGATTCATGTTCACCCCTCTCCCTGTTTGAAAAGCTGCAAACGTCGCCCAACAGTTAGCACAAGAATCATATGCTAAAGAAAAGCCAAAGACGTTTGAAGAACTCGTACCCGAAGTCTTTCATATGTACAAAGACGTCTTTGACAAAGCAGCAATGGACACCTTACCCCCATCTCGACCCTTTGACCACAAGATAAAACTGAAACCTGACTTCAAACCACGCTCTTGCAAAATCTATCCACTATCCGCACCAGAAGAAAAGGCAATGAACGAATTTGTAGACGAACATCTGAAAAAAGGAACTATTGTACCATCTCAATTGCCTCAAGCATCTCCTTTCTTCTTCATAGGAAAGAAAGACGGATCTCTCCGCCCATGCCAAGACTATAGAAGACTTAACGATGCAACCGTAAAAGATGCATATCCTCTTCCCCAAATCCCTGATCTCATTGACAAACTAAAAGGCGCAACAATCTTCACAAAGATGGATGTTCGCGCAGGATACAACAACATCAGAATTCACAGCCCGGATAGATGGAAAGCAGCATTCAAAATGTCGCGAGGACTCTTCAAACCCACGGTTATGTTCTTCAGTCTATGCAATGCCCCTGCAACATTCCAAGCAATGATGAACAACATTTTCTCTGACATGATAGACAAAGGTTGGATGGTCATTTATATGGATGATATCCTAATCTTCTCCAAAGACCTCGAATCCCATCACCAATGAACAATGCAAGTATTACAACAACTTCGTGATCACCAGCTGTCCCTCAAACCTGAAAAATGTGTCTTTGACACCACTGAAGTCGAATACCTTGGTCTCCTCATTCATCCTGGACAAATTTGTATGGACAAAGTCAAACTAGACAGCATAATCAAATGGGAACAACCAACAACCATCAAACATGTCCGATCATTTCTTGGATTTGCCAACTTCTACCGACATTTTATCGCTGATTATTCCACTATCGCAAGACCACTCATTGATCTCACAAAGAAAGATTCTATCTTTGAGTGGTTGACAGCCTGTGACACAGCATTCAAAGACTTGAAGAACCGATTCCTCTCCACCCCTGTACTTTCCATTCCTGACAAAGACACCCCGTTCACTATCACTGTGGATGCATCTCTCTATGCCACTGGCGGAGTACTCCTTCAAAAGGACTCCAACGGTGATTGGCATCCATGCTCCTACCTCTCTCAAACTTTCTCTCCTGCGGAATGATACTATCAGATCTTTGACCGTGAACTATTGGCCATTATACGAGCTTTGGAGGCTTGGTGTCACTACCTTGAAGGATCCCCTTTTCCAGTTCTTGTCATGACTGACCACAAGAATCTGACTTATTTCCGCCAAGCCCAACAACTTAATCGTCGCCAAGCTCGTTGGCTTTTGTTCTTATCCCGATTCGATCTTCAACTCCAACACGTACCCAGCAAAGATCTTTCCGTTCCCGACTCTCTTTCCCGCCGACCAGACCATATTCCCACTGATGCTATGGATAATTCCAATGTCACTGTCCTACCAGACAAGTTATTCATTAAACTCATTGATAACACCATGCACGAGAAACTTTGCATCTCATCTTCTGTTGATCCAGTTGTGCAGAAAACTATTGACGCACTTTCGAATCCCACCCTACCCCTCCCTATGAAAACTGCGCTATCCGACTGGACCTTCTCTGATGCTATTCTCACCTTCAAAGGTTGCAATTACGTTCCTCCTGCCAGTGGTCCTTTGCACAAAGAACTGATCTCTCTTCATCACGACTCCCCTACTGCTGGTCACCCTGGTCGCTTCAAGACTCAAGAGCTTCTATCCTGCGACTATTGGTGGCCAGGTCTTCCGACTTTTGTTCGTAAATACGTGGAAGGCTGCGCC